TGACACGTATTACAACTTCCTTCAACCGTTCCCACCAGTCACAGAACTCAGACCTGCCTCTTACCCGACCTGCCTGTCCACTGCCAAATTTCTTTTGCCCGACTTCGTCCTTCGCCCGACCTCACTTGGGCCGACCTCCGCATCAGCCGCCCTCCGTCTTTGACCGAAGACCTCCGCGTCTGTCCGTACCTCTTCCTTGCCCGACCTTCCTCTTGACAGACCTCCGCGTCTGCCCGACTTCGCCTTCCATCCGATCTACGGTTTACCCGACTTGGGTACACCTTTTTTTTAGACTCCGCCCGACCTGAATACAGCCCGAACTGCTGATCACGGACAACCATCTCTTGGTAGTACCTGAGTCTGGATTTGGATCAATTTTTGAGATCTTACCTTTCTTCATTTTCCCGACCTTTATTCTGCTCGACCTCCAGACCTTTTGGCTTTCATTCAGACCCTACCCAGAATCCTACTGCCACTTACTATTATTATTATTTTTTGTGCTTAACAATAAGCCTCCTCCTCAAGACTCCTAAACATCACTTCCAGTGATGTTTTAGGAGTTTGCAGGCCGGCATCCGAGGCTACGTCAGCCTCAGATCCGACCTCCATCCTTCGAGGCTACGTTGGACCCGACCTCCATTTATCGCGGAATGGTGCTGGCCTGGACGTTGGTCGATCTTGCACTAACATTGCTTCAGCATCTCCCCCCTGACGGAAGTCATGATTATTTTCTGTAAAAACGGATTCTAACCTTCTTGCCGTGGATGCTAAACTGGCCAGATCTTGAAAGTCGTGGGCTGTCAGGGCCTCGCGAAGTCTGGTATGCATGTTCCTGACCACCAAATTGGTCATTTCGCTTTCATTGATCATCGTAGGACATCGTCCCTTCATCAATCGCATCCTCTCTATGAATTGGTAGCCGGTCTCTTCCGGCATCTGCGTGATCTCCAGAAGGTCTATCAGTGAGACTGTCGGCAGAGGATTAAAGAACCTTCCATGAAAATCTGCCTCTAAATCTTCCCAAGTTTGCAACTGTCCAGGCGGCAGACTGACATACCAAGAAAAAGCTGTTCTTGTGAGCGAAAACCCAAACAATTGTAACTTGTGAAACGGATTGTTGCCTACTTCTCCCAATTGAGCCGTGAAGCGACCCACATGCTCAATGGTAGAGGCTCCGTCTTCTCCCGAAAAAGAATAGAAGTCTGGTGGCCTATAATTTCTCGGGAGAGGATGATCGTTAATGATCCTTTCTGGAAATGGCCTCTGGTAAACCGGCCTGTTCACCGTTTGCGGATTCATTCCGAAATGCACCCGCAGAACTTGAGCAATATCCTTCGGATCTACTCTGGGTGGAATATGGTCGAACACTGGAATGTGATCGTGAGTCTGACCTCCCAATCTTTCTTCTCTGGAGAAGGCTGGTTCGGCTGGGATGGGATTATGAGTCTGTCCCCCCAACCTATCTTCCCTTACGATATTCGGCTGCACATTTTCAACCATTGGTCCCAAAGGAACATTATCAGGGAACATTAGAGGAGTCTTCCCCCTATCTGTTCGGTTGACAGTTGTGGCACTTGGAAATGTACTATCAACATATGATGGTTCTGCAAACGTTGATCCTGAGAAAGTCGCCTGAAAACGAGAAGGTGACACGGCTGGAAGCATGTTTGGATACAGGGTGAATCTGGAGAATGCCTGATCCAACATGTTTTGCATTAGATTTTGTTGTTCACGCAACATGTTCTGCATAAACACAGTTTGCTGATTGTTCATTTGTTGAACATAAGACAACCAATCGGTAGGTGGTGGGGAAATCTCCCTTGGATTTGGCATGACTGGTGGTGAAATATTCTCTCCCACTGGTGCTGATGATGATTGAGGTTGTGTGCCTGCCATATTGATCTTTCTGATGATTCGGCCAGACCTCAGTTGTATGACATTTTGTATTGATGTAGGATCAGCAATCTTGCCTTTCTCCCACTGTGGTCGCCAATTTGTTGATGTAATTTTTCAACAAAAATAAAGTAAAATTCAAAGATATAGAAAATATCCTTAAACTTGATTAATTAGTGCCTGAGATTAGGAATCTCTAAACACTGTATGGTACAGGAAATAAACTGGAAAATAAAAGACTGAAATTTAAAGTGGTGATCCCCAAATCTGACTTTGCTTTGTTGAAGTTGATTGAAGATGCCTTTTCTGACGGATTTGAATCCTTTAAAATAGCCTTTCAGAGAAAACGGTTTGAACCGCCGTCTGGTCGGTTACAGCAACCGCTGTCAACCGACCACTAATTTCTCCTCTAATGACACGTATTACAACTTCCTTCAACCGTTCCCACCAGTCACAGAACTCAGACCTGCCTCTTACCCGACCTGCCTGTCCACTGCCAAATTTCTTTTGCCCGACTTCGTCCTTCGCCCGACCTGCTTCTTCGCCCGACCTCACTTGGGCCGACCTCCGCATCAGCCGCCCTCCGTCTTTGACCGAAGACCTCCGCGTCTGTCCGTACCTCTTCCTTGCCCGACCTTCCTCTTGACAGTCCTCCGCGTCTGCCCGACTTCGCCTTCCATCCGATCTACGGTTTACCCGACTTGGGTACACCTTTTTTTTAGACTCCGCCCGACCTGAATACAGCCCGAACTGCTGATCACGGACAACCATCTCTTGGTAGTACCTGAGTCTGGATTTGGATCAATTCTTGAGATCGTACCTTTCTTCCTTTTCCCGACCTTTATTCTGCCCGACCTCCAGACCTTTTGGCTTTCATTCAGACCCTACCCAGAATCCTACTGCCACTTACTATTATTATTATTTTTTGTGCTTAACAATTACTATTATTAATTATTAGATATAAATTATTTTATTTATAAAATACATAAATTTTAAAACTAAATCAAATAAAAAAATAAAGATTATTAATTTATTTATATATATTAAAACAATAATTAACATAATAAAATAGATATACAAAAGATTTACTATTTTAAATTTTACATAATTTCAATAAAAAATTATTATTTTGAAGTAAATTAATTTTCTAAGATCTAAATAATAAAAATAAATATTTTATAATATTTTATTACCCCTTCGTCCCAAAACTATAGTCTGGGTTGTGTTTGATACGAGATTTAAGGAATATTGATATTATATTGATAGTGGATAAAAAGTACGGGTAAAAGAATTTTTTTGCCCTTGTAGGTCTATTAGTATAAAAAGTAGTGACAATGGTGTAATAATAATATATAAAATTTTAACAATTTTTCATTAAAATTCATAAATTTTGAAAGACTATAAACTATTCAATACTTTAAAATTTAAAAAAAAAATTAAATTTAAATTGAATACACAAATTTTTTAAAATCCAATAAAATCCTACAATCTGAATTGAATGCATCCCTCTTAGTTTATAGATTATTATACTTAGTCTGAAAATTTACTAGAAACATATAAGTAATGATGATAAGTTTAACATGTTAAAAAAAAATAAAAAATAAAAAATAAAAACATAGCAAAACAAAAAACATCATAGGCCTCTCAACCCTCCAATTTTTATTTTCTTGTTTTTAAAAAGTACAATAATAAAATTTAATTGCCCCCTCCCAACCCCAAGTCAGTTGCCTCTCATTCTCAATTATTGTTTTAGAGTGTGTTTGTGGAGAGAGTTTGGATTTTGAATTGGAATTTGAATAGTAAAAATTTTGAATTTGATCAATGTGATGTTTTGAACGTAAAATTGATTTTTAGTATAATAAAAAAAAATAAAAAATAAGTATTTATTTTGATGTTTTTAAGTGAAAAAATGGAATGAATAGTAGATTTAAAATCCAATTCCCAAATTTTTTCAAATTTTACTATTTGAACTCTGCGTTTTCCCTCACAAAATATTCCGGCAAAATTGCTTATATCCCCCTGTGATTTTGAAACTCAGCGTCGTTTCCCCTAATACTTTAAAAACAACGTAGTACTCCCTTGTGTTTTAAAAATCCTCGCACACTCTCCTTAAATATCTTTTGTAATGGACCGTTATACCCTTCCTTTAAATAACTTATTAACACTCTTTCATCACTTCTCTCCCTCGCTTCTCTCCTATCCCTCTCCAATCGATTACAAGTTTGAACATTGATCCAACGGTGACGTTTTCATAAAAAAGTTCATCGATTTGTCATAGAAATGGGTAGCAACGAACCTAAATTCTTATAAGTCAGTGAGTTCGATCGATTTTGAATGACTTTTGTGTTAAGGCCAGGGCTTTTCGGCGTTTTTCTTTTTCTACGGTTAGGGCTTTGAATATTTTTCTACGGTTTTGGACAATTTCGAGTTGATAAGTTCATCGACTTGTCATAGAAGTGGAATTCGGGTACACCTTGTACATCTGTTATGCTTTTTATACATATTGTATGGTGACCCGAAAACTCTGTCACTGGCTGCAACCAATTACGAAATTAATTGATTATGTTAATTGAATATTTGTTTTTTGTTTGGTTGCTATTGATAGTGTTTGAGGGTGGGGTGGATATATTTTAATGTCGAAAAACACATGAAAAAAAAAATCAAAGAAAACGAAGCCAAGGAAGAAGGTGGAAACAAAAACATCACATCTATTTTGCAAACACCTACCTGAAAATCGAAAATCAGTGGTTGCTGGGTTTGCTTCGGTTGTGTTAGATCGATTGACAGAGAATGGTTGTTATTCCACCTTCCTCCGCCGAGTTTTCAAACCACAGGGATACAAGCAGTTTTGTCAAATATTCTATCAAACATTATTTTAATACCAAACTCAAACCAAAATTTTTCAAATTCAAACCAAAAATAAAATAGTTCTCTTTTGAAATTCAATTTTATTTTTTGTTTTTAATCTTTTAAATAAAAATATATAATAAAACTAAAACTAAATTAGACAAAGATTGTTGGAATTCATTTTAAAGACAGAATATATTCAATAACTTTCAGTACAATAATAATAATAAAATGTGTTTCAAACATTAATAAAAATAATAGTAATAAAAAAAACAATTAAAATGAAGCACATTGCTGAAGCCCAAGAAGAATGGTCCAATATTTACAGTCCAATGAGATGATTTTGAACCAATCACATGTCTTTCATTTTAAATAAAAAATAAAGAAACTAATATAACATTTTAAAAAAGAAAACAGAAATAATAATAAGTATAATAATAAATATACGTACCCCTTAGATTTGTGCTTAATAATGCTAAATTGAAGTCAAATTCAATGATTAGCTCAACCGTTTCAAAACTGCCCAATGACTCCACATTGGCAGTTATAGTTTGCTTTGCACGTGACTAATAGGCTCCATAGTATCAGCAAATAGCAAATCAAAATCACCACATAAAGCTCTGCATTGATTCCGATTGATGTCCCGAAACGTAATTTTGCACTTCCTCTTTGATCATCTCGTGGATTACCGTTATCAGATCTGCACTATACGACGTCGTTTTGTTATTTACATCCACATCCCCATCCGCCGCCTCCGACGAAGATTCGTCGATGTTCCTCAGGCGATCATGAAATTTCCATAGAGCATCTCTTTGAACGGTGTATTTTTTAGCTGAGTTGCTCGCTGTACCTGGTAAGCAGAGAGTCAATTCAATTAACTCTTTGTTTTCTTCATCGGCGGCGACTACCGGCGAAGATGCCGCCGGTGTGCTCCTCGGTAAATTAATTGAAGCTTTCGCATTGTTGTTGGAGTCGGTGAGATCGGAATCGGATAAGGATAGGCTCTCAGGACTTAAATTAGTCATCCTCATCGTGGCGGTGGTAACATCTCCGCTCTCAGATCTCCTCGGAATCTGAGGCGGCCGCTGCCGCTCATCCTCCTCGCTACTCTCAGCGGAGAGTCTCCGTTTCAGCGTCGAGTTCCAGTGGTTCTTAATCGCGTTATCCGTACGACCGTTGAGAAGCTTTGCGATAGTCGCCCAACGATTCCCAAACTTCGCGTGCGCTTCTAGAATAATCTTATCTTCCTCCGGTGTGAACGCGCGGTGCTCCACCTCTGGCGAAAGCTGATTGCACCACCGCAACCTGCACGACTTCGCCGATCTCCCCCGAATCGACCGACTTATCAACGTCCAACTCCTCGCACCGAAGCAGTGCACGAGTTTCTTCAATAAATCATCCTCCTCGGGGCTCCACGGCCCCTTGATCGTGTTGCAAACCTCCTTCGCCGCCGCCGTCGCCATTAGCGCCACCACAACTGAAGAATCTCAAAAACCCTAACTTATCGGAGAGTTTCAGAGTATATGTATATATGTGAACGGACTGATCCTCAGTTGCGTCCACCGTGTATATATAGGGGGGATTCGGTTACCGGACGAATCGGTTAGTGGAGAAAATATAGGAGCGCAACATTTACCGGTTACAGTAAGAAAGGGGCAGGTGGACGGACACGTGTCGAGGAAGGGGAATCATATAATAGCGAGTCGTTAATGACTCGTGCCGTTATGGAAGTTATTTAATATCCAAAGAAAGGGAAGCAGTAGCAGCACAGATTTAGAATCGATTTTTTCCTGTTTTATCTATCGACGGATAAGATTTACTCGGAAATCGTTACCAATTCAAATTTTAAAAATACATCAATCATTCCATTCACTGTATCAAAATCAAAATCTAGTTGTATATCGTAACAACTTAATTTAATTTAGAGTACACACGCTATATATATATATTTAATTTAATTTAGAAATTAAAATGAATGAATATTGCAATGATTGAATGGATAAGGACGAGAGCCGAAAGTGGGCGGCGGAATCTGAATTACGTGAGGGAAGAGGTAACCGGTTAGTTTATATATTGTAAGGCACGGAAGACGGTGGTGAGGTGGACTAAACGACAGGATCAACGGTACAGATGGAAGATCGGATATTATTACAAAATTAGCTGACGGTGCCCGGTCACCATTCACTTTTATTTATTTATTTATTTCTGGTTAAAATCCACGATGAAGAAGAAGAAACCAATGTTCTCGAATCACCCGGCAATGACCTACGTGGCATTTCGGAGCCGTCAATTTTGTCGGAGAGGGGTCGATCGACGGCGCGTGATGGAGGATCAGGATCTCACCAAGATTGGATGGTCAGGATTGGCTCGGCAATAAACATATGTGTTTAGCAATAGACTGCTGTAACTATATTGAACTACACTAAGGAAATTACAGAATACATAAAACGGTTATGATTGTTTTGGAGACTTTTTAAATTTTTCGCTATTTATTAAATTCTTTTTACAATCATATTAAATCAAATATTTATTTTTTATTTTTATATTATATTTAAAATTAATTTCACATTAAAAATATTATATTAACACATATTTATATCACATCATATAACTATTCAAATTAAAAAAATTTACTATTTAAATTTCAAATCAAAATCTCAACCTCAGACAAACACACCCAAAAAAATAAAAAAACAAAACTTATAACTGTAACATCTCTAACTCTTCAAGTTCCCTATACTCACTTATTTCTGCATTGACTCGTCAAACATTACTCTTACACTAAAAGATATATAACAATCATAATATCGATTAACCTGGACAATTGAATTATGATTTTTTTTACTCTTGTGATAAATCTGCACACGAATTGAAGTAATTCATGCTTCAGGTAGCTATAGTGGTAATTATTGATCGCAGGATCAATAGAATAACCACTGTTATAGTTGCAAATATAACGACTATAGTAACAATTGACCTACATGGTCGAATCATGATTTTTTTGTTTCTGCGATTAACCTGCAGTAAAATTGTACTAATAATGTTGCTACTAGTTATAGTAGTAATTATTTATCACATGATCAATAAAATTACCATAACTTGGGCTGCAGATAGCTATAATCATCATCGTCATAATTTGCCTAGTTGAATTCGATAAAGTTTGGCCATGAATAGCCATAATGCCATCTTAGCATCGAAGTTGTTAAGAAGAGATCCGGACAATATTTAACAAAAGTGTCATATGAGTAACATTGTTGATTGATTGCAAGGACAAACCAATTGTTGTCTAACTGAAAATAGTTATATTTGAATGTTAGTTTCAGAAAGCCATTAAAATAGAGATCATAGAAAACTACGAACAATACTCGAACATTGAACAAAATACGAAGGCAATCCTTCGTACCGAAGTTATTACCGATGATTCGGTGTGTTTTTACGTTATGATTCACTTATTTATAGAGAAATAAAATTACTATCAATAACTGTTTAACAACCTCCCACTAATACACAAAATTCGCTAATAACTATATACTCAAATTGATTACTCGATTGACAGACAAAAAAAAATATAGACCGAGTAAATTATTGAACAAATGATAAAAATAGTAATAATAATAAAAAGTAATAATTAATAATATGCAAAAGAGTTGCCAAAGTTTATCTGATTTTAAATCTCAAAATACCCGACATAATTACTTTTAAACAATAATTTTATTATTTCTTTTAAATTAGTTACTCTCTCAGTTTCCTGCTGTATTTATATTTTAGTTTCTGTTCCTCCCACATTTTATGTCATTGTTTGAAAAAAATTACATAAATTTCATTTTAATTTTTTAAATTTATAAATTATAATATTTATTAATTATATTTTTTCCAATTTTTTTTAAACCCAGATACCATAGCATGGACGGATCATGAAATTTGAGCAATTAATAATAACGGATTACTCTCCATTTTTCTCATTTGAAAAAGCATACGGGCCTGATTGTCACAAAACTGGTCTATTTGGGCTTGATGTATAATAATGGGCCCAAATTTAGTTAGTGTCCAAATATAAATATCACAACATCTATCTATGCCTTCAATGAGTTAATAATATTAGGTTTATTTATTTGACATAATCATAATAATAATTATTATTATTATTTACTTATCTGTTAATTGAAATTAAGATAAATTATTGTCTCATTATATCATTTCAATAGTTTATATAAGCCGTGCAAGCGGGTGTCACCACTAATTATTATTATTATTTCTAATCATGTTGAGGTCAACAGCAAAGAGGGAATCTGTGTTGAAAATCGTGTGCAAACGGACAGAATGTGTTTCATAGATAGATTGGCAGAACATATATCTAATATATTTTTTTTAAAAAACAAATAAATAAATAAATTGGTGTCAATTAGAGCATTATATTTATTAAAATAGTTGGATGACCTCGTGACTCCTTCAGAATCTGTAAGCACAGAACAGTGGTAATTTTCGTTGGCTTGTGGGGAAAAATTAAAATATTTATTATATACCAGTGAAGGCATATTTGTTCTAACCTCATTAACTGATGCTTTTGACAGTTTATTGCTGAGGCATTTTGCTGGTGACATGACTATGATTGTCTTTTTTCAAGTGTCAAGTTGAAAAAACATACACCAAGTACACTTTTTCTTGATTGGGAAAACAAATAACTTCCCTTTAATTATTTAAACTATAAAAAAGGGGTTTCTGGCAGTGTATTTGGTGGGAGGTTTTTGAGCAATTGTTGATACCAATGCCCAATTCCAAAAGCAGCCTTAATCATAACTAAGATACATGAATTTTGTCTCCAACACTGTTTTTTTTCAATCATCATCATGTGTGTATGATTGATCTTTCAATTTTTCAAAGCTCATAAAAAGATTCTTGTATTGTATGATTAGACTTCTGCCCACTACACTAAAGCCATAGCTACTGAGTTTAGGAACTCAACCAGCATTAGTAATGGTGGAAAGGATGGACTTTAAAGACTCCAAAAAGTCAAGAAACAGAAGTGGGCTTCATCCACTCCAAACACATCTCTATCTCTATAATATATATATATCAATCTCTATTCCAGCCACTCCATTCTTGCCCCCTCCCCCTCCCCCATACCCACCCACCATGAAACCCCCACCAAGAACCTTCTTCATTCTACAACACCACCACCATCCCTCAAATCCCTTAAACCCCTTAAATCCCTCTTTCTTCTTCTAATGAAAATGCAATGTTCTTGATGTGGGCTTTTAAGTTCTTGAAAGAAAATGAAGTGTATCGACATAAAGGCTTCTTCTTCCTTCTCCCTTCTTCTTCTTCTCCTAACTCTCCCTCCTCCCTCCCATGGCCTCAACGTAGATGGAACCCTTCTCCTCTCCTTCAAATACTCCATCCTCAGTGACCCTCTCTCTGTCCTCCACAACTGGGACTACCACGACGACACCCCATGTCTATGGACAGGGGTCACCTGCGCTGCAGTCGAAACCCCCTTCGGAGAAGTTCCTGTAATCTACCGAGTCATCTCTCTCAGCCTTCCAAATTCGAACCTTCTTGGAGTCATCCCAACAGGGTTAGGCTTCCTCCCACATCTGACAACTCTCGACCTCTCCAGCAATTTCTTGAATGGAACTCTCCCTGACTCCATCTTCTCCGCCCCTCACCTGCAATTCCTTTCTCTCGCCAACAATGTCATCTCCGGCGAGATCCCCGACATCGCCTCCAAGAGCCTCAGGATCCTTAACCTCTCCGACAATGCTCTCACCGGAACCATTCCTCCGACCATCGCTTCTTTGCCGAATCTTGGGGTGGTTTCTTTGAGGAGTAATTATCTCTCCGGCAATGTCCCCGCCGGCGTCGGCTCCATCGGAGTTCTCGACTTGTCGTCCAATTTGCTGAATGGATCATTGCCTGATGACTTTGGTGGGGAGAATCTCAAGTATTTGAATCTCTCTTCGAACAATCTTTCCGGGTTATTGCCTCCTCTGTTTGCTGCTAAGATACCTCGGAATGCCAGCGTGGATCTCTCGTTTAATGATCTTTCCGGCGAAATTCCAGCGGGTTTTTCCGATCAGAAGCTGGAGTGGTTTGAAGGGAACTCGGGGCTTTGTGGGAAGCCACTCAAGAACCTCTGCTCAATCTCTTCAACTATTTCTATTCCTCCTAATGTTTCGAATTCGAACACTTCTTCTGCGGCGATTGCCGCGATTCCTAGGACGACTGATTCCTTCCCGGAGCCTGATTCTTCGTCAGGAGCATCATCAACACCGAATTCTGCAGCTCAACGTGGTCTGAAACCAAGCACAGTTGCAGCAATTGCAGTCGCGCCGTTGGCCGGAATCGCCATTCTTGCAGCCCTTTTTTTCTGCGTTTACTACAAGAGGATCAAAGCGAATGGCGACGCCAAGGAAAGCTCGAATTCGATGACAAACGTAAGATATGAGCTCAACAACAGTTCAGAGTCATCACCAGTGACGAAGAAGAAGCAAAACTTCCTCATCTGGCCTTGCTTGAATGTAAGAAAGGGAGACGAAAGTTCGGACGCTACGGGCTCAGACAGCGACGAGAATGCTTACCATGTCGTCGGTCCTCGACAGGAAAACCAAAACCAGAACCAGAATCACCGTCGTCGTTCGATTAGGACAACCGAAAGATCGCTCGTGATGATCAACGGCGAAACTGAGATGGAGCCTGAGACGTTGTTGAAGGCTTCAGCATACGTTCTCGGGACGAGCGGCAATACCATCGTGTACAAAGCTGTGCTTCAAGACGGGACGGCATTCGCTGTGAGGAGAATCGGCGAGAGCAGAATCAACCGGATGAAGGAATTCGACAGCCTCGTCAAGGCCATCGCCAAAATCCAGCATCCAAACGTTGTCCGCGTACGCGGCTTCTACTGGGGAGACGACGAAAAGCTCGTGATCTACGACTACATCTCCAACGGCAGCTTGGCCAACGTCGGCTACAGTGAGTCTTCGATCAACACTTCGCTTTCGCGGATCCTCCGGTTTCGGGGCTAACCTATTTGGTCATACCTTTTTCAGGAAAACTCGGCTCGTCCCCGAATCATCTGTCGTTCGACACTCGTCTGAAGATCGCAAGAGGCGTCGCGAGAGGGATCAGTTTCATACACGACAAGAAGCAAGTCCACGGCAACATCAAGCCAAGCAACATTCTCTTGACGTCCGAGATGGAGCCTCTGATCAGCGACTTCGGCGTCCATTGGCTCGCTAACGGCCGTAAATCCACAACCTCGACGGGATCCCCTACCGCATTGGCCAGATGCCTGTCGCCGTATCATGCACCGGAATCGCTCATCTACAGTCGAGGCGGGAAGCAGGATCCGAAGTGGGATGTCTACTCTTTCGGGATTTTGTTGCTCGAGCTTCTAACCGGAAGAGCTTTCTCCAGCCGGGAGCTCGGCCGGTGGTCCAATGCCGAGGATGCAGGCCGGGCTCTGAGGATGGGCGACGTCGCTGGCCGTGAGGAGGCCACGCAGGCGTGGGCTGAATTAGGGTTTAGGTGTGCCTCGTTGGTACCTCAGAGTAGACCTTCCATGAAAGATGCAGTCACTGTATTGGAAAAGATTCCATCTTGTTCATACTAAAATGCATCAGATTGCTGCTAAGAGAATGGAATACACATCTTAAAGCTATGGAAGTTTTTATAATTTTAAAAAGGGATAACATCAAGAATCTAACAATGTGACAAAATCATGATCCCAATTCGTTATTACATATTTGCGGTAATGATTTATGAACCAGAAAGAAATGGGACCTGAGCAAGAGTCGTCGGAATGGAAATGTGGATGTTATGGACGGCCAAATATGCAGCGATTCCAGCAGCATATCCGGCGAGGGCAAAGCCGCTGACCTGAAAAAAGGAGGAAGGAAACAATATCGTAATAAAATCAGGGAATGTAATAACCTTAGTTCCATGGATGATGCATTGTTACCTTTCTTAGGTACCAGAAGAAGTCCACTTTCTCCATTCCCATATAGGCGACGCCGGCAGCCGAGCCGATGACAAGCATGGATCCGCCGGTTCCAGCGCAGTAGGCTATGAGCTGCCAGAATTCGGAGTCTTGGGGAAATGACGATAGGTCGTACATTCCCATTGTTGCTGCGACCAACGGGACGTTGTCTATGATTGCTGAGACAACACCGATTGAACTAGCAACCAGTTCGATATTTGGAATGTGGGTGTCGAGGTAGTTAGCTAGCTCCCGAAGAATACCTGCTGCCTCGAGACTGAAGTATTCGACGGTCAAATTGGGATCATGACATAATATGAGACTTGTTTTGGAGAAAGTTTGGAATTTTAATGAAGATGAGAATACCTGCTGACTGATAGAAGGATGCCGAGGAAGAAAAGGGCTCCCTGAGTGTCGATTCTTGACAACGCCTGTGGTACTTTCAGCCTCTGCCTTGCAGATTCGCCGTAGTGGATTGCATCGGTGAGTATCCAAAGAACGCCCAATCCGAGCAGCATGCCCATGTAAGGGGGCAAGCCCGTCAAAGCTTTGAAAACTGGGACGAATATCAATGCGCCGATTCCGATGGAGAAGACTAGCTTGCCTCGAGGGGCCATCTGTTCGGATGCCAGAACGTCTGCAGAACTCTGAGCTTTCCCATTAACTTCACTGGGATGAAAGTGAAATGAATTGAGAATCCTTAATATGGCTTCTTTGACGACATTTTCTAGCTATCAATAATCGCACTTTTTAAAAGCCAACGTCGTTACCTTGTGAGGGACATGAGAGCCAGAGGAACAGCTAGCGAAACAGCTGAAGGTATTGCCAAGTCCTGTATCCATAGATAGAGGGGAAAACATTACGTCGCTGATTGAAACAAATTATTTGGTAAATTTTCAGCTGAAATGCTAAATTGCTGTGTCGAATACCTTCATTGTCTGCAATGTGGATATTTGACCGTGTATCCAGAGCATAGTGGTGGTGACATCTCCGATCGGTGTCCATGCTCCACCAGCATTCGCTGCTATAACAACTACAGCACCAAGAAGCCTGTTGAGCAAATTTTTAGTTGAAATCATACCGGGACTTAGATGTTCAGCAAAGTGCTTCGGAGGAATGCAATTCTTTTAAAGGTAGTCATGAAAGTCGAAACTAAATTCTCAAGCATCGCCTAGAAGGGGCATGGTTCATAGGGTCACTTACTTCCGGTATTCAGAAGGTGGCACCAATTTTCTCAACAGCGACACCATGACTATAGTAGACGTCAAGTTGTCGAGTATTGAACTCAGAAAAAATGTAACCAAACCTACCTGGAGTTATTAGCATCAACCAGTTAAATACCACAAGATAGATACGAACCAACAAGATTGGATAAATGTTAATTAACATTGTACACATTGAACAGTACTTACCACCCAAAGAAGAGTTCGCGGCTTGCGGGTGGTGATATTGTCTGTTACCAGCTTGAAACCTTGATGAGCATCAACTATCTCAACAATGGTCATTGCACCTAGCAAGAAAAACACTATTTCACTGACTTCAGCTGATGCTCGAGACAACTCTGAAACAACAACCTCAGTTGAAGGGGCCTGCCAAAAGATTTCAAACGGACAATTTGCTTCGTTAGAAATAAAAAAAGCCACAGCAGTCTACCAATCAATTGTCAATTAATAAAATTTCCTTCCAAACAAATTCAGACAATAAAATAATTCGATGGATTGCAACGATGAAATATTAAAACTGACATCCAACATTATTTAAACGTTACCCCAATGCTTCGTATAACCCACAAGCTGACAGCCATCAGAAGTCCCACTCCACTTTTATTGAAGGCAAGGGATTCTTCAAATATAATTCCTGCATAACCGATTCCAAAGAGCAACGCCATTGCCAGATCCTGAATAACCAAACCAACATTAATTTGAGGATGAATCTTATCTTTTTTTCCATATGATTAGTTTTAGATTTAGTGTTTGGAAACCTGGTTGTCTGCCACCCAGGAATGATTTATTGCAAGTGTTCCAGTTCCAGCAGCTGCAAGAACTGCAAGAGCTTTCACAAAATCTGTCTTCGGTTGATAATTGGCTTCAAAATCTTCCGAGCTTGTTTCATCAACAGAACATAAGGGATCACATGTCCCTGCAGGATTCAGTTCCTACAATATATATTCTTTAATCAGATATAGGAATTGCAGCACATGCCATGTACTGGATATAAATGTTTGCAAAATTATCATTAAACAGGCACAATTCAATTATAAATTTGCCCTAAGTATTTTATGAAATTACAGCTAAAAGTAAGTTCCACAGGTGCCCCTATTATTCAAACAGAGATCTGCTCTTAATTCTGTTTGGAGTGAATGCATCCCAAACTGGATGTCTTTCAGATTTCCCCTAACGCTAGAAGTAATTGAGTTAACATCTACAAGATTTATGTGGAAACCTAAATTGTTAAATCCACAAGGAAGAGATCCACTATAATTGAAAGAATGAATACAAGGAAGGTTCACAAATGGATAGCCCAATTGAAAACTTAGAGAAACTAAGTCACTCAGATTCCTCTCTTGAATATACTTACAACTTATATTTATATTTACACATGAGACAAAATAATAAAACAGAATACAACTAACAATCATTTGAATTAGCGGGAGAAGGTTTACAGAAGAATAAAGATGGCTGTTCAGAATAATTTGTGAAATTCTGAAAAAAATTTCTAGTTGCACTATAAATCAGAATTGTCAGTGAAATCCTAATACAAATATTAGTACCCATTGGCTTCAACAAATAACTCTAAACTAACACACATTTGAGGCTATACTTGAAAATTTACCATTAGCAATCTCCTTTGCCACCAATAAATGTACATACATACATGCCCAAATTTGAGATAAATTTACCCAGCTTAACAGCGGTTAAACTTGGCTAGCAAAGTGTTACAGACATCATGTCCATAAGATTCTCAAAACTACGACCTTGTTCATCACAATTTCCCCCGTCTATGGCTATGTCATGAATAAGCAATGCTTGTTTTGGCCTTGCAGTGGTACCAGTCATTCTTTGTTAAAGATATAGCACACCGTTTATTATAGTACACCTTTGGAGCCAAATTGCCTCCTTCATTCCAGTAGTGTTAGCTACGTATTAACCTTCAATTGTTTATAATGCATTGATCGACTAAAGCTGAGAAATCTGACCAATAGTGCATCCATTAGAGATGATGATATGACTAGATAAAAATTCCTTTGATCAAATTCGTGGGTATAATAAGCATTGAGAAATCCAATCAACCAAGCGAACAAGATTCCCTTTTGGTGAATGCCACGCACCAAAGTCTTGCAAATCATTCAAATAGCGCAAACCCATTTTACAGCATCCATTAAGATTGACTCACCACATTGATTGAGTACGCAGCATATATCAGGCCCACTATACATCATTATAAACATCAAACCCCCAACAACATTAGAATATGGAACTATTTTCCATGCATTTAGCTTCCTCATCATACTCAGGACAGCATCTCCATACAGCCTCGTTCCCAGAAAAATGGAGCCATCCACGTCATCAAACAAACAAAACAATTAAGATCAAAAGCCCTAACAAGGAGTACAGAGAGGACATAGAGTGCTCTTTACACACTAAATTAAGCCATTTTTTTGGTACTTAGGAATACAAAAGAAAATCCTAAGATAATGTATTTCCCTTGCTCTTGTTTCAAAGCAAACAACCTATCACCCACCTATTGCAACTTTTCCATCCGTCCTAAATTGGAATCAAGACTTGGACACAAGCCGGCATTTGCCATTGCTTTGATATAATACATATCAAAGAAAAAGAAGGCTGAAAACTAAAGTATAATCGAATAAAACATCTTCCCGCAGAACGAAAATTCAATAAATTTAAAGAAGGAAACAAATACTCATATTTATATAAATATCCCTCCTACTAAGCCACTATCGATAATCTAAATATTACCATAGCAACTAGCTCAACCATTAACCATGAACCAAACAAAGCCTAAATTGCTTCAGTGAGACTTCACCGGTACTACAACGCACTAACTGGCGTTGGCTGAAACATTGGCTTCAGCTAAAAACTCTTCAGCAAGATTTTCTCAAATTTGAGGTAAACAATACAATACTCAATAAATTCCTATTCTCCAATCAACAACAGCAATCTCAACCAGACACCAATATATATATATATATATATGTATGATATCATCATCCATTGAATCTCAATCATTTTAAGCCTAATAAGTAGAAATAACACTGATCCAAAACCGAAAAGCTAAAAGTAAACGAAGTACGTTAAATACCTGATCATCTGAGCTCGATTGCGGCTGCGTTGAGGAAGTATAAGAACTACCACGAGCATTATCTTCAGCCCGAGAAAGAAAAAGCCCATTTCTACGCGACGAGATTCCCGGAGCAACACTTTTGTTCAACCAAGACGAAGACGGAGGTAAAACAGCTGGGCAATTCTTGAATCTGATGGGCGCTGAATAACAACAGAGATTGGCTCTCACAGGATGAAGCGCACCAATCGGCATTATTGCGAACTGGATTCGCGCTTGAACAGCCTTCGGCGCATAGAGTGGATGAGGTCGGAAAACAAGCGAGTGTCGCGTTTCAACAAAAAAGGCGTGGTTTAGTTAAAACACGATCTTGATCAGTGCCTACAAACGTGACACGTGTCTGATCTTCCCTGCCATTCTCCGACTCTAAATTTTATCCATCTGTCTACTTGTACAGCACAAATTGAAAATGCTGCGTGACAATTGAGAATCTGCACCTGACATGGCCGCCGTCGCCGCCGCCGGCGTCGTAATTTTTTCATCTCTCCGGCTCCACACAGTTGTCAACGGTATGAATTCTCCATCGTAATTTGTTTCGTGTACATTTACAAGAATCTGATCTCGATTACTGTTCTGCAGACATTTACAGCGCAAGAACTGTTCTTGCCGATCGTGTTAGGCCCAAATTCGGTACTTCATTCGCCGCTGGCTCTCCTCTCTGTAAGAGAACTTCTATTGATACGAGGAAGTAAGCTAATTAATCCATTTCTACTGCACGCTAATGATTGTTTGTTTCCGATTGATTTCAGCAAGCAAGAAACCTGCTTACCAGAAGATCAGAAACTCGAAATACAGAGGGATTTCCATAAGAGCTGAGGATGGGGACAGGAATGAGGGAAACGGGTTAAATGCGTGGCTCGGACGTCTGGCAATGGTGGGTTTTGCTTCTGCAGTTGTTGTCGAAATCAGAACAGGGAAAGGGCTTCTCGAGGTACGTATCGAAGTTCTTACAGCCTGCAATTATCTGTTCATCATGATTGATATTGGTTGTTCATCTTCATCTTAATTGATTTTATTTTTTTCAATTTTATTAGAATATTGGGGTTATAGCTCCATTGCCAACACTGGTCTTGACTTTCACAGCAGTCTTGGGAGTTCTTACAGCCCTCTTCATCTTTCAATCTGGTTCGGAGGATTGATTATGGAATTGTATGCCTGAAGACGACAACTTTCTCATACATATACACGTGAAGATCATACTTGTTCTTGAATTTGCCTAAATGTATATATTTATAATTGGACCATGAAATTAGCCATATAAGTGTGCCTTTTTTTTTTTATTATTATTCTGCAGATTATTGCTTATAAATGTAACGTATGATTGTTCATTTTTTGTAGATATATAATAATCATTATTATAAAAAAAAAAATGACAGGAAAATGTTATAATTTGTTATTATAGTAAGTGTAATTTACAAGACAGACAAGCCCATGTGCTTTCACACCCATTAAAGATATCTTTGTTTGAGCAATGTAAGAAATCTTCCCTACCAGTACCAAGCTAATTAATAATAATCACCTGCCAAACACCACCTAACAGTTTGGTATGAATAATGAATAATCAATCCTAACAAGTCTCATCAGTCAGTTGCCTCAATTCACCAAAATAAAATAAGAAATAAATATTGTAGTAAATTAGTAGTAGTAATATTTTGAAGGGAATGTTAGAACCAAGATAACATTTTGCACTGGAGATTCTTATTCTTTAACTTAAAACAATAATAATAATAATAATAATACTAGGTGAAAGAAAAAGTTTGTTTGTTTGTTTGGAGATTCATTCATGATTTTGTTTTCTCCAATAATCAGAGTTCTGACAACAAATACTGAAATAAATAATTTGATGAAATGGAGATTAACATTACTTTTTCTTTTTCTTTTTTTCAAGACATCAATTCATTCCATGAAAATGGAGCTAATAAGTTCGAAATGTGTACCCCACATCTACATAATGAGCAATTATTAGTAATATTTTTTATTATTTATTTTTAAAATGAAAGTAATTATTTGAAGTAATGTTATGAATTATACTCCCAATAATTTAATTTTAAAATTGAAGATATGAGTTTTTTTCAATATATATTGTTAAAGTTGTTACGATGTAAATATATATTGTTGCATGGAATTAAAATCAAATGCAAAACCATATAAAAACCACAAGTAATCGCACAAAAATTTTCTTAAAAAGAAGAGTTATTATTACAACATCGGATGCCAACAGGAAACCGACAAAGGTCAACTCTATTACCTTAAAAAAAAAAAAAAAGCATCATTAACATTCATTTCCATGATTATTTCTCCATCAGTATCACATCCAAAATTATGCTATGCTTTAGTTTAATTTAATTTAGATTATAGTAATATATAATTAAGTTTAAACTATTCAGAATGGTCCATCTTGTGACAATTTACGAGTAGTATTTATTTATGTTATTATGTACTTGTGCAGAGATATGAAAAATTAAATACATGAATTGATATTAAAAAATATATATATTTTATTATTATAACTACATACGAATATCTGTTTAGTACCTATCCTGTTCCTACTCTGGAATGAATAGCGATACTCGGGAGTCCCGTGACATCAGCGCCGGTTAACATCCACCGTTGATAGCGTCGGTGAGGAGGAGTGGGTCCACAAAGCAACGGTGAAAATGCAGGCGGGACCGTGGTCCCGGGACCGCGCAAATAAATAGCTGGAGGTTTTTAGGACAAATCGAGATTTAGGGTTTCCCGCGGTAGGCTTGTTGGCAAATCGAATTGGGTTTCTGCGGCGTGGAGCAGAGGCCCGAAGAAACCGGGCAGTTTTGCAGGCAATTGTCTCCCAGGCTACCGGAAATCTCCTCCGCGGCGGCGAGTAATCCGGCCGGTGGATGACCGTTAAGGTAATTTCCGTCCAGGTACAATCGCCGGAGCGGCGATCCCTTCTTGCTGTATTGCCACGGGATTGGACCTCGGAACTTGTTGTGGCTTACCGCCAGCGATCGGAGCGCCGGAAAGTCCGCGAACGTCGCCGGGAGGAGCCCTTCCATGTTGTTGTAGCTCAAATTGACGGCCACCAGTTGGCTGTTGAAGTTCGCCGGAGGCTTCGAGACGGCGATGCCGGCGAAGGCGTTGTTCGCTAGGTCGACTTGCTGTATCGCCGGCAGAAGGAAGAACCACGATTCCAGCGCTCCAGTGAAGGAATTCTCGCTGAGTTCGATCACCACCAACCGATTTTTTCCGGCGAAGGAGGATTTTGTTAGACTGCCGGAGAGGGAATTGGCCTTGAGGGCTAATTCGTGGAGATTTGGGGGGAGACTGGGGAGTGGTCCGGTGAGTCTGTTGTAACTCGCGTCGAGCCTCGTCAGTCCGGCGAGGGAGCTAAGGTCCGGCAAGTGGCCGGAAAGCTGGTTCCGAGATAGGTCGAGGGTTTCCAGAGCGGAAAGTTTAGCGATTGCCGCCGGAACGGGGCCGGAGAACGAGTTAACGCGGAGGATCAGCGTTTCCAAATTGGTAATCGACGAAATCGAGGAAGGTATCGCACCGTAAAAGCTGTTGTCGCCGAGATCAAGCGCGATCAGCTGGGAGAGCTTAGAGATGGCCGGAGTTAGGGTTCCGACGTAGCCCTGCGAGTCTAGGGTTATCTGGACGACACGGTTGCCAGAGCAGGTGACTCCACAGGTGAAGTGGGAGATCCTCGGGACGCCGCAGGGATCGGCGGCGGAGAAATTCCAGGAGGCGAGGCAGGAGGAGGGGGGTATGGATGAAGGTTTGACGGCCGATTTGAATGCCGCCAGGGCGGCGGTGTCCGCCGGAAAAGTGGTTGATTCAATCGTCGGAAAGGAGATGACGAAAAGGAAGAAGACGAGAGAGGTCAATTTGGGATTGGACATTGTGAAAATTGCACAAATGTTTGTTAGGGCAGTCGAAAGATGGGATTTTTATGGTGAAATTTGGGTTGGATTTTAATTTTATACTTCTTGTATGAATATGAAATTGGGAGAGGTGGGTGGGTGGGCCTTTCTGACATAGTTGGACACAGCATTATAGCACTCCAAAAAAAAAAAAAAAGAAAAAAAAAAAAGTGATGTGTGGGAATATGAAATTTCGTTTAATATATTCAACAAGCCTCTTAAAGAATGCAAATCATCTCTACATTTTGTTTAGCTCCATTTTTACTGCTGTAAATACATTTTCATTTTTGTTTCATCCATTCATTTATTGCAGATTGATGATGACAGAAGAAATGTTTTTGGGTGATGATGATGAGACACAGTCCGTAGAATATTATTCACAAAGGTCAGTGCTTTTTTTTTTTTTTTTTGATAACGAAGGTCAGTGCTTTTTAATGTCCCAAGTACTCGTTTATGAGTTGGCCTTGTCTTTATGGCTATGGACTTTTTTATTTTTTCACTTTTTAAGGAACACAACTGAAAAAAGAGTAGAGGATGGGTTGGATGGTCTGTTGCCTCTCTAAATTGGGTTTAACGATGATTGATGATTGTTTAGCATTTAATCGCACTTGTCTTCCTCAAGATTCTGTCAAGAAACTGAATTGCAATTTCCAGCTTCCGACAGCGGCATAAATACTAGTCGTTGTCGGAGAAGATATTTCCGAGGCGTTTTTTTATGTTTGAAACTGAGCCACATATTGGTTGAACTTTGTTTTCTGGCTTGTCGTCGTCTTCCCCTCACTGTCAGTGTCGGCCAGCTGGTGCCGTCAATCAAACTTGTTCAGATTATTATTATTATTATTATTAAATTACTCGTCGTCTGAACCCTGACAAGGTTTTGGGTTGGATTCTGCGTCGAAAGCCCAAACGAGGTTTTGGGATAAACCCAATTGTGGAGGAACAGAGAAGCCCTAATTAGGGTTCAATTTGGAATTTGGGTAAAAAAATTGGTTGAATTTGCGATGGGTTTCTTTTTACTCGGTAAGTCAAATTAGGTTTCAGCTCCCTCCCACGAAATCGGCGATGGCGACGGCGACGGCGACGGTGCTATACTTTCTGCTAACGTGCGCAGTGCAGTCAGTGCTCTCCTCGTTGGAATCGGCATATCCTTCCCCTTATGGCCTGGATGCATCCTGCGGCGCCGATGACCTAATTCCCGTCCGTCGGGAGGTGTACGGAGGCGGCCGGATAATCGACATCAGCCACCAGTACCACTCGGAGATGCCATCGTGGGAATCTTCCGACGGGCTCGGCCACTTCCTGTGGCTCGATAAGAGCATGAAGAACGGCTCGCTCGCGAACAACTCGGAGATGAAGATCCCGACGCACACCGGCACACATGTCGACGCGCCGGGACACGTGTTCGACCACTACTTCGACGCTGGCTATGATGTCGACACACTCGACCTTGAGGTTCTCAACGGTACAATTAAATAACCACTTTATTCTCTGATTATCACGTTTTTCCATGCCCAATTGGAGGAAGAACAAAAAAATGGTGTTTGGTGGGAATAGGACAAAACTGAAAACCCCACTTGTAATTTTTGTGGTTAGACAAGTTTTTAATCCATTCTGGCTGCTGATTCATTGATAAAAAAATGGTTCTAGATTGTCCAAAATAAGTTCATAAAAATCTTGTTTAGATGATTGGATTAGATCCCCACCTTTGACTGGAACGTCATTGCCTACATTAAACTTGTAGGTAATAACAAAAGATAGCAACAATTATGAATTCAACAAGATGGACCTACAAGGAAGACTATCGATACATAAATAGACACACTTTCTTGTCATAACCAAGACCTTATCTGATAAGCTTGTCTTCATTTGCTTCAAAGATGGAGAGTATGAGATATGATCGATATGTTTTTCTGATTTGGGCTTTGGTGCAAGCAATTTATTGTCCTTCTGTGGCTGTATCATCGTCCTCTGATTGTGTGTATCCATCTAGTTATGGATCGTCTGTTCATAGGGTTTGTGATGCGAATTTGGGGCCTTTGAGAAGGGAAATTTATGACAATGGTGAAATATTTGATATTACTCATAAGTTCACTCCTCTTACTCCGGTGGGAATTTCGAACGACGGTATTGGAGAGTTTCTTACACTTTTGTTTAGTATGAAAAATGGGTCGGCATACAATTTCTCCCAGATGAAACTTCTTGCTCATGCCGGGACTCATGTAGATGCACCTGGACATTTTTATGAGAATTACTTTGAGGAGGGATATGATGTCGATAGTCTTGATTTAAGAGTCCTTAATGGTACCTATAAATTTGATCATATACATGTCCTGCTATTTCATTCATTTTACAGTTCCTATATGCTTTGTGGATAGAAGTTTAAAAAACTAACTTTGTGAGATAATTGATTTCTGTTCTTGATCCATGGATGAAATGATACAGGTCCTGCACTGCTAGTAGATGTTCCGAGGGACAAGAATATTACCGGTATATGCTTTTGAACCAAATTCTTCATGTATTGTTTTGATAAATATTGGCATTGTTTGATCTCTTGCAATTTCGACAATTCACTTGCTCTAGTGCAATTTTGATATATTCAGCTGATGTTATGAAGTCCTTAAACATTCCTAAGGGAGTTCGGAGAGTACTTTTCAGGACATTAAATACAGACAGGTAATTACAGCACCAAGAACACTTCTTGTTTGCCCTATTTATCTTATGTATGTGATTAAGAGAAGTTAGGCTTCCTGCTTTAACATAGTAATCATTTTCAGACGTCTCATGTTCAAGAAGGAATTCGACACAAGTTATGTGGGATTCATGAAAGACGGCGCCCAATGGCTAGTAGACAACACTGATATCAAACTTGTCGGTGAGTTTTTGTGTGGTTTGCTTATATCGAACTAATGCTGATGATATGTTCTTGGGACTGATTTTCTCATCCATCTGGTTGTATTATAGGAACCGATTACCTATCCGTTGCTGCTTTTGATGATTTAATTGCGGCGCACCTTGTTTTTCTTAAAGGCAAGGTAACATTGTCTTCATTTATCCCTTGTTAAAAAAAGAAACATTTGGTGTAAGAACACTGATTCTGGTGAAATGTTTTCAGGAGACCATCTTGGTCGAAGGGCTGAAGCTCGATGATGTGCAACCGGGAGCCTACAACGTGCATTGCTTGCCTTTACGGCTTGTTGGTGCTGAGGGATCGCCGATTAGATGCATCCTGATCAAGTGATGCTCCTGCGTACTCTGTTCTTATGTTTAGTTTTATTTGCCGTAAGATGGCACACGAGCCGGGGTGTATTATGGGATCTGTTTAGTAATCTTTGTGATTGGAAGTTCGGTTTTATTGTTTGGAATAATACGGTGTGGCGTGGTCTCTGGTTATTGTATGTTGAATATGAATATTATTTTGTAAATAAAAATATTGAGAGTATAGATTACCAAATATATCGGTATTAGGCTGAACTTGATAAGTTGTAGTATTTAAAAGCTGCAATTGTCACTTTAGATGGAGGATTGGTTGTGGCTTCCATCAAAACGCCATTGTAAGCTTCGTTCAAAGGTGAAAAAGGTTTATGGCTCAAGAGCTATAAGTGAGCAGCAAAGCAAAGACATCACTTAACCAATTCAGAAATTTATATACCTGGTCCGTGTCCTTCTCCTATTGTAGTTGATAGATCATCAAACATGTATCATTGCATCACCCACACTTGCAATGTGAACAAGGTTTATGATAGTTCAGCTCCCCTGCCAAAGGGTTTCTGGAAATTCCCGGCAACAAACTCGGACAACTCCAATAACCTTGTCGTTTGTCTACACAGTCCATTCTACATTTATGGAAACAGGACTGGACTGGATTAATTAGATTTGCAGGTGTATTATTGGTATTTGGAAACAGCAACGCCATAGCCAGATCCTGAGTAACCGAACCAGCATCAGTCCTATTTCAATATGAAATCAGTAATTTCAGAACTGTTCATAGACAGAAGAACATAGTGAGGGACAGCACAGAAACAGAGTCCGTATATATTAGTGCTATTCTGTATAGAAGTAGTAGAGGAAGGTCCAATTAGGGTTCAGCTCTCTTCACTTCTGTGTTAAAGCTCACCTCAATCGGCGATGGCGACGGGGCTGTTCTTTTTGCTAACGTGCACAGGGCTCCCGCTTGCGCTCGCGCTCGCGCTCTCGTCTTCCGACTCGGCGTATCCTTCTCCTTACGGTCTCCATGCATCCTGCGGCGCCGATGACCTAATCCCCGTCCGTCGAGAGGTGTACGGAGGCGGCCGGATAATCGACATCAGCCACCAGTTCCACTCGGAGATGCCGTCGTGGGGGTCTCCCGATGGACTCGGCCACTTCCTGTGGCTCGCCATGAGCATGAAGAACGGCTCGCTCGCGAACAGCTCGGAGATGAAGTTCTCAGTTCACACTGGAACACACGTCGATGCGCCGGGGCACGTGTTCGATTACTACTTCGACGCTGGCTTTGATGTCGACACACTCGACCTTGAGGTTCTCAATGGTATGATTAAATTTAGCAAATACATAGCCTTTATTAAATTTGTAGGTGAATGACCTAGAATAGTAATATGATTTTCGACATCATACAAGATATACATTGAAATTTGAACATGATGAACCTACAATCGATACGTATATGCACCTATCAATTTGATCTATGATAGCCAAACTGTAAATTCTGTGTGCAAATACATTTGCAGCTATTTCATTCATTTTATGGTTCCTAGGTTGGTTTTTGTCGTCTTGTATTAGACTTGTGTTGCTTTCTTTGTATTCCTTCGATTACCTTCATGTTGCTATGTGCAGAAAAGTTTAAAACAACTTTCTTGGATAATTTATTTTCTGTTTTTTATCCGTGGATGAATGATTTCTTCATCATATTTGAACAGGTCCTGCACAACTGGTTGACGTCCCCAGGGACAAGAATATTACCGGTATGCTTTTGAACCGAATTCTTCTGTTTTTGATTTCAAGAGTCCTCTTTCTGCACCTGTATTGCTTTGTTTAATGCAGTAATGTATTTACTCTATCTCTTGCACTCTCTACCATTGACTCGCTCTTGTGCAATTTAATGTCTTCAGCGGATGTTATGAAGGCCTTAAACATACCTAAGGGAGTACGTAGAGTTCTGTTTAGGACACTAAATACGGACAGGTAATTGCAGCAACAAGAACACTTCTTATAGCCACTTTAGTAGGTGATGGTTGTGATTATAGAGAAGTTATACCTCCTACTTTAACATAGTAATCATTTTCAGACGTCTCATGTACAAGAAAGAATTTGATTCTAGTTTTGTGGGGTTCATGAAAGACGGCGCCCAATGGCTAGTAGACAACACTGATATCAAACTTGTTGGTGAGAGTCTGTGTGGTTTATTATGATCAAACGTTGACATGTTCCTCCCATTTACTTTGTCCATGCTTTGGGGACTGATTTTCTCATCAATCTGTTTATCTTATAGGACTCGATTACCTATCTGTTGCTGCTTTTGATGATGCAATTCCAGCACACCTTGTTTTTCTTGAAGGCAAGGTAAGAATTCCTCCTCCTTCCTTTACATTAATCCCTTTTTCTAAAGGAAACGGTTTCTGTTAGAGCATTAATTCTGGTGAAATTTTCAGGAGACCATCCTGGTCGAAGGTCTGAAACTCGATGATGTTCAACCGGGAACATACAACTTGCATTGCTTACCTCTAAGGCTTGTGGGTGCTGAGGGAGCACCCGCTCGATGCATCCTGATCAAGTGATGCTCACATATTTTGTAAGGTCACATACGTCCTGTCTATATTCTACTCGATTTCATTTTTAGTTCTATCTTCCATAAAATAGCATGAGCAACATATTGATTACTCGGTCAGCTGAAGCAGGTATCGAGAATTGTATTTGTATACATGGTAGGTGACTGAATATTTTACTTGTTTCAGATGTAATGCTACCTCGGCTAGAGCAGAATGAGAACCTATCGACATATGGTATGTATAGAATAAATAGTCAGGCTCAGGTGTGCCAGCCATATTATGTGATATGCTTTGATATAATTAAAATTTGCATGTAATTAATTTATGAGTGACACACGTTGAAGTTTTGAGTTTTAAGGAAACTTTTTCCCATGTGTGTATTTATGGTTGCTTGCTTGCTTACATGTAGGCGGTGATAATTTTGTTATTTGATAGCAGTATGTGCTGGAAAGTGGCGTTTTTGAACATTTATGGTCAAGTCATCTGTTGTTTAATCTCCAAGGAAGAAAGGGTTCATTGCCCTTTGTACATACAATTAGGAATTCGATTACTTGGACTTGATGATACTAAGAAACCACATAAAGGCAGGCTTAAATTATATAAACCCCATCCTTACTCAAATAAGTCTTCTATCATTATTATTATTGTTATTTGTTAATGAAGTCAAGATCCAAAAATGGCTATATAATGAGTGGATTATGAGCGTTATTAGTCACCGTAAACAGTTGGTTTCCATTTTCAACAGAGAATAGCAACCTTAGTTTCTACTGATTGTAATTGTGATTGTGTAGCAGCAATGAGGATGAGATGGATGCTGATGGTGGCAGTGGCGATGGCGATGGCAGTTGCAGAGGCAACCCCGCCCGGAATCGCCAAGAATCCGAGCAATGCAGCGTGCTTGGACAAGAAGTACAAGCTTTGTTACAACCTGGTTCATGTTTGCCCCAAGTTCTGCCCTGATTCTTGCACTGTTGAATGTGTTTCTTGCAAGCCCATCTGCTCCGGCGCCTCCAGCCCTGGTGATGCTCCACCACCATCGGACGGAGATGGAAAAGGCGGAAAACCACCCAAATCTGGTGATGATTCACCACCACCATCGGACGGAGATGGAAAGGGCGGAAAACCACCCAAATCTGGTGATGATTCACCACCACCATCGGACGGAGATGGAAAGGGCGGAAAACCACCCAAATCTGGTCCACCGGGCAGCGAATCTCCTCCTCCACCAGTGGACACATCACCACCACTGCCGCCACAAACTCCGCCAACAACCCCACAGCCGTCCCCTCCAACACCCACACCAGTGCCAACAACCCCGCCATCATCTCCACCACCATCCATTCCTTCAGTTCCTTCGCCATCACCGCCACAAACTCCGCCGACAACCCCACAGCCGTCACCTCCGACACCCACACCATCGCCAACAACCCCACAGCCGTCACCTCCGACACCCACACCATCGCCAACAACCCCACAGCCGTCACCTCCGACACCCACACCATCGCCAACAACCCCGCCGTCATCTCCACCTCCATCGTCTCCACCACCACCATCCATTCCTTCAACTCCTTCCCCATCGCCACCACAAACCCCGCCAACAACCCCACAGCCGTCGCCTCCAACTCCCACACCATCGCCAACAACCCCGCCATCATCTACACCGCCACAAACTCCGCCAACAACCCCACAGCCATCGCCAACACCACCTACGGTTCCCTCAACTCCTACACCACCTTCGCCATTGTCGCCTCCCTCAACTCCTACACCACCTTCGCCATTGTCGCCGCCAACGCAATCACCTCCTCCTCCACAAGATTCATCAGACTCCGCCGGAGCAAAAAGAAAGAGATGCCGGAACATCAACTATCCCCAATGCTACAACTTAGAACACACATGCCCTGCTTCTTGCCCCCACACTTGCGAGATCGATTGTGTCTCCTGCAAGCCCGTCTGCAGTAAGCATCTCCATCATCAATTCAATCATCACAATAGATAGAGCTTCCTAACTAACTAATCTCTGAAAATTTTTGCAGAATGCGACAGGCCAGGCGCCGTCTGCCAAGACCCTCGATTCATCGGCGGCGACGGAATCACTTTCTACTTCCACGGCAAAAAGGACAGAGATTTCTGCCTCGTCACAGACCCCAATCTCCACATCAACGCACACTTCATCGGCCGGCGGAACCAATTTATGAAAAGGGATTTCACCTGGGTCCAATCCATCGGAATTCTCTTCGGCCGCCACCGCCTCTTCGTTGGCGCCCTAAAGACCGCCGTCTGGGACGACGCCGTCGATCGACTCTCCCTCGCATTCGACGGCGAGCCGATTCTCCTCCCCGCCGTCGCCGGCTCCACTTGGCAACCGTCGGACTTTCCGTCGGCCACCGTTAAAAGGGACAGCGACGCCAACAGCGTAACCCTCCGCGTCGACGGACTTTTCGAAATTTCGGCGACGGCGGTGCCGATAACGGCGCAGGAATCGGCGGTGCACAATTACGGTATCACGGAAGAGGACACGTTCGCGCATATTGAATTAGGATTCAAATTCTTCGCCCTGAGCGGAAAGGTGAACGGAATTTTAGGGCAGACTTACGGCAGCAATTACGTGAGTCGGGTGAAGATGGGAGTTCCGATGCCGGTGCTGGGAGGGGAGAGGGAATTTGCAGTTTCAGGCCTTTTCGCGGCGGATTGTGAGGCTTCTCAGTTTCTCGGCGGGGAAATCACGGCGGCGAAATGAGCTACGGCGGAGTATGAAAAACAGTGAGGATTCTGACGGTCTATTTTATTTAATATTTAATAATTTAAATTGACTGCTAATAATAAATGAAATTGTATAAATTAAAGAAGAAATAATGCAACCACTAAATTAAATTAAAAAAAAATATATATATATATATATATATCAAGTGCTTTTGAGTTGAGTATTGTTTCCTAATTTTCATTAATTGCTCTTTTCTCTTCTTCTTCAATTAAATATGATATGATTGTAACACAATAAAATAAATATATAAACGAGTGAATACATGTATTGTATTTGTATCTTAACTCACTCAATAAAATTGCTTTTTTTCTTCCTTATATTTAATTGAGGGTGTTTTCTTTATTACATGGGCTTTTCCGTCTGATGATGTTCGACCTTATTTTAATTTATTTTCCTTGAATAATAATTTTGATTTTCAGATTTGATGAAATGGATTTGTATGGTGATGCCAATATCCAATTTGAGGTGAATAAGCCCAACTAGTCTTGCTAGAACCAACAATCCATATTGAATAATGAATGATAATTTAGTACTTGTCTATTTGCCATATATATGTATATCATTTTAGCAAAGCCTATTAAATTAGTAGTATTAATTCATTTTACATGACTACTTGTTTCAAGTTTGGGATTTTTATAATGAAAATATATAGAGAGGAGAGGTGAAAATACTCATAAGTTAAAAGAATACAATGATTAGAGTGTTTAATTATTAGCTAGGGTTAATTAATGCATAGGATACATGAGTTAAATTAATAAAGGTTGTTTGCATGTGTTAGAGCGCCATCTTAAATTTTTAAGGTCCAAGAAGACAAATTAAGTTAGGCGAATCATACCTGGTAAGTGACCTGAAGGCATCGGAAGTTTGAAACTATAGCCTCACGATCATGAGTCCACCAATTGCTATCAATTTTATTTAATACTATATGTTGTAGCTTTACATATAATGTATTATAGAGATATATATATATGCAAAGATGGAGAGAGAAGGGGAGAGAGACGTCTTACCATTTTGGTGAAGATGCAGCTAAGCGAGCATTGATGATTATACATACAGATATATATATATATATATATAGATATGCAATAATGATTTCACCCAACATTCATTCCCCCTATTTATTTATTTGATTGATGAATTGAATGAATGAATGTGTGGAATTAGTCAGTGAGTAAGTACGTACGTACGTTGCATGCATGCATGCATTAATTAATTAATCGATTAATTAATTAATATGCATAGGGTTGGTTCCATTTATTTATTTGTTTATTTGATTGTGTTGGTGTGCGTATCCAAGTTCCCACAGATATATATATGATATGTCTGTCCCATGCATGATCTTCCCACAGATATATATATGATATGTCTGTCCCATGCATGATCTCCACTGCTACTGTCCTGTCCTCATTAATGGATGAATGAATGAATGAATGACCATAGCTGCTGCGTTGATGAGCTGATTCTTTATTATTATTATTATTATTATTATCATGTTGACTAGTAGTACAATTCAGAGGTATTGGAAACTGAAATGGGGAGCTCGAATTCAATGCCTCACTGTCATCTCTTGATAATATACTGCTACTACTTATCTATCCATATTTAAATAAATAATTAATTACTTAGTTAATTCTGCAATCATCTCATCTAATCAGCAATCATGCATGTATCCATTTCTTATCATTCTCCAAAGCACGTACAACAACAACAACAACAATAATTTATTAATGAATGGAGGGAGATTGAGATGTAGCATAGGTATATAATATATATATAACTGACTCACGAGAGGTGTGTGCTTGCAATTAGATATGTGTATATATATATATATATGTGATTATTTTGATACCAGCTTTAAATGAGGTCACATATATATATATATATATATGCAAGCAGGCAGGGGGTCCAGTAAAGCAAAAACGTTGGTCCCATGCAGATTTGGGTGGGACGACGACCACTGCACTCCACTCTTAATTTAATTTATTAAATAAAGTGAATTGTGTGTTTGTGGCAGTACTAGTGAATGAATATATACAACAACAACACACATTTTCTTAGCTTGCTACATTATTATTATTATTATTATTATTATTATTATTATTTGGGACAAAGAAATCTGGTACTTACATAAAGGTGTGAGAGTAATGATAGCATTATTCGACAATTATTGTGTGGGGACAGAAACACATAATCATCATCGATCTTTCATTTATTTAAGTTGACTTATTAATTCCCAAAGTAGTAGTACTGCCCAATATCATCATTACCTACTGATCTTATTTACACATTATTCTAATTATATTACTAACTCTCTCCTACCAATTACTAATACCATATTCATGTTGCCGTTTTTTTTCATCCCACGTACCATGTCATTTTCTTTTTCTAAAAAAATATTACACACTTTAATCTCATTTTAAATTTTTAAATTTTATTTTTTTAAATTTTAATTAAACTAATTAGTTATCTTAATCTTAATTTGTAATTATTTATATTATAAAATAATTATTTTCACTAATAGATTTTTAATTATCTACTAATTACATCCATACTAAAATACCGTGTTTACCGTGTAGCAGACACGGTATCTGGGACGGAGGAAGTATATTATACTTTATATTTTTATGTCTCATATATTATATTTTTTTAAAAAATATGTATATATATATATTTTAATAATATTTTAAAATCTATAATTTATAAATTTTGTAAATTTAATTATATAAATGAATTATTTTTATTATATTATAACTAATTTTATTAATATATTTTTATTGTTTATTAATTATACTATTTATAAATTTATGTATTTACAGTAACTCTGTCATAATATTTTAAACGAATGGAGTATTATTACCATAGGTTTTGTTTCGTGGACTGATACTAATTTATGTTAATCATTTTTAAAAAATATCACGAAAGGTTTTTCGCCCACTATTATTATTTTTTTAACACAATTTTTTATTTTTTATTTTTACAAAAGTCAATATTTCTAATTTATATATATACTATTATTCAACAACAATATACTAAATTACTTGATATTAATTAGGTTCAATATTTTCTACCTAAATATTTATTCAGTATATTGCATAATAAGAAATAACGTATGGATACACATACTAAAATTGATTATATATATATATATATATATATAATCAAATGAACACGGTTTTACTCTTATCAAAATAAAATATCAAATTTATAAATTCCAAAAAACTATAAAATATTGATAAAAATATATGAAATAGTTTTTGGTGTGTAATATTGAGAATTGTGCCAAAAATATAAAATATATTATTTTTAATTGAATATTTAACTTTTTAACTTTTTATAATGAATATTTTGAATATTTAATTTTTTAACTTTTTATAATGAATATTTTGATTATTTGACTTTTGTATAAAATATTTTGTATTTATTATTATTATTTTTGAAATATCATACTTGAAAATAAGTGTTGGAAAAACAGAGCGATTATGAGTATATGTGTATATATTAGAGCTGGCAATGGGACGACTTTGTGTCGGGTTAAATACTTTAAATAGGTTAAATTACTCAACCCTAACCTAACCCATTTATTATTGTATCGGGTTCGGATTGACTCATGTTGACCCGTATACATAATTAAGTCAAATTTTTTGTTGTGTTGACGTGTGTTATGTTAGTTTTTATTGGTTTGAGCGTAAATTTGGTTGAATTATTTAAAACTGAACTTAGTTTAAATTAATTTATGAGAAAATTAATAAATTATGATTATTTTACATATATAATAAATATATTAATCAATATTAATATATAATAATTGAGTTGTCGTGTCGGGTTCGAGTTGAGAGTCTCAACCCTAACCCGACCCGTTTATTATCGTGCCGGGTTCGTGTCAACTCATATACATAATCGGCTTGAAATCTTTGACCCAAAACCAATTATTTCGTGCCGGGTCAGTTTTTGTCAGCTTTAGTGTATATAAATATATATAATAAACATTTTCGGATTATCTATATAATTTTAAGTTTGTTCACTTTTATGCTTTTTAATGAATGTATTTGTGATGTTACTAGAAATTGTATTTGTAATAATAATAAAAAACAATAGTCTTTAATTTGTTAATAGGTAAAATATCATACGTGACAAATCTTTGACATTAATAAGATCATGTTCCTGCAAATTATGACATTATAAATTGTTCCACTTAAAAATATTAAGTACACAAAGCCAATATTGTCTACATTATTATTATTATTATTATTATTATTATTATTATTATTATTTTTAATAGGGGTGGATAGTTTAGGCTTAGGCTAATGTGGAAGTGGAGACATCTTCAACAATATGAAAGATTTTTGTCTACCAAATTGGAATCCACAATACATTCTTTTTTTAATTAATTAATTCCAGCCCTAATGTGTGTATATATATATATATATATTTAAATTATTTATGCATGAATTATTTAATCCACGATTCACACAATCAGGTCACAATGCCCAAAGATTTTGGGACATTAAAATAAAATTCCCAGCTGGTATGCAAACCACCTTTCTTTTACCTATTTTATTATTACAGTGAATAAAAGATCTGCTCTATTTATTTATTTTTCCAAATAATTGGTATATTAACACGTGAAAAAAGATGCAACCAAAAACCTAAAGGCAAAAGAGGATATTATTGGCTTCGTCCAAAATAAAGTGATTAATTAACAATCATATTATATTTCAAGTGTGAATATATAGTCAATTTTGAGGGGAGACCCTTTAATCTTTCTTCATAATTTCCAACAATTTCTTTTCAAAAATTGGTAAAGCAAAAAAGATAAGGTGTCTTAAATTTTAAATTTTGAATATAATATTTTTAAGAAAAAATAAAATAATAATAATAATAATTAAAGGGTGTAGCTATTTATGAGGTGTTCTTGAATTAAACCCTACGATTCCCCTTCCTCCCAAAAAATATAGTTTACTCATTTTTTTTATTTAATATTTATTTATATTACATACATTACATTAAACATATATTAAATTGAAAATTTTATAAATCTTTCTTGACATGATTTGTTGTGTTCACGGGATTCATTGGTATGGTACGTACGGTGCCCCTTTCTTCTTCCTATGATAAATGATAAAATCAAACTTCTGCCATGCAAGCTGTACGTACGTATGTATGTATATATATACACACATATATACATGCATGCAGACAGTACAGTAGTAGTAAGTACAGAGAGTATGTTATATGTATGTTTATGTATGTACAAGGTGGCTAGCTGGTAATAAAGTCGAAATCAAAGACACCCAAATGCAATACATGAATATGGATTTTAATTTTATTATTATATTGTAATTATTCTTTGGGATGAGAAAATATATAAAAAGATAAAGCTGTACGTACGGTGTTATCCTCATAATCTGACACCAAACAAACCAAAGGCCGTCGAGAAAGGAAGACAAGATCATGAGAGAGAGAGAAAGAGATACATATAGAGAGAGAAAGAGATACATATAGAGAGAGAAGGTCAAAACCCCAATTGACCACAGACAACATCCATCTCAACGTTCTTCTCTTTCTCATCTTCCCAAAATTGCATCTTCTTCGTTCACAGAACCAAGAATGTAGAGAGAGAGAGAGATTCTCACCAGAATTAATTTAATTTAATTTTAATCACGGAAAAACAGAAAATTGCATGCATGATCAATTGCTTAAATTATGGAGATTAATTTATGTCCCGCAGCATTCTTGAAAAAGACAAGAGAGAGAGAAAGAGAAGGCAGGAGAGAGAAAGAGAGGAAATTTGTAGAAACAAAACATAAATAGTGAAAAAACAAATAGGATGGCAGCTGCAGCAGCAAGCATTCTTCTGCTAAGTTTTCTTTTTTTTTTTTTTTTCAAATCTCTTTTTCTCTCATGAATTGCCAGCCAACCAAACCATATATGGATTTAGAGATTTCAATTTGGAGTTTTCTGCTGCTGCCGCTGCCATGGCAGCTCCACCTCTTCCTCTTTGATTCTCTTCCCTTTTCCATTCTCTCGATTCCTCCCTCCGAAGAGCACAACGATCAAACTGGGAAGGAGGATTCATTGGTTCTCTAGTACTGATCTGATCTGCTCAACTTCAACGGAGACGCCAATGGCAGGCTGATCATCATCAATTTCTGTTCTTGAACATCAAACCTTCGTTTCTTCAAAAGGGGCGACCATGATGAATCGTTTGAGCTCTCTGGAATTTCGCCCAAACTTTTACGCTTAATTGCTGGATTATTATTATTATTATTAATGTTCTTCCAAGTGTTCGACAAAATGCCTGAGAGAAGCTCGTAGCATTCACCCACTTCCTCCTGCAGACGAACAAAAGTTAATTTGGATTAATCATACAAAGATAGTGTGGAAATCAATTAAAACACAACATCAGCAGAAGACAAACCTTGTTGATTTTGAGTACAGCAAGAAGGTCATTTTCATAGTGCAGAGAGTTTTCAGGTTCAAATCGACGAATAACGTGAAGCATTGTGGCTGTGGCCAAGACAGAAGGCGTGTGAACTACGGATCTTGAATCTGTAAGGACAATTAATGGGCAAGGCAAAAGTAAGATTCATCGATGGAGGGTAATAATTAGGGATCTAATCTGTAGCAGCAGTTGCTAAAATGGCACTCACCGGAGATAACTGAGAGGAGGAGATTTTCACAGCTCCTGAGGAATTCCCAATGGACATAGCACTTTAGCCCAAGCCTTCTTATAATGTGATCGATGAAAGAAAGAGGGGTCACTGGATTCATCCTCCATTTCAGAGATGACAGCACCAAAAGCTCCATTCTTTGGATTGTTTTGGCCTCGAACACAAATTGGGCACCCTCCATCTACAGCAACCAGCAAGAAAACAGATATGGAGTTTAGTGGGAAGAAACAGAAACAGAAAAAAGGAAAATTTGTGGATAAAAGCGGGATGTGATGTTATGATAACATTGAACATACTTGAAGGTCGAGGAGAAGAGGGACATGAGTTTCTTCGACTTTAGCAGCCAAGGAGAGGCAAGTGACGGCAGCAAGCTGCATCATCCATGGCTTGTCTTTCTGAAAGCTCAAGCTGCAAAGAAACCTGTCAAGATAATTGACTGCAAGAATGGCAGTCAAAGCTGAGAAGGCATAATGGGCATTGATTCTCAGGATCCATTCCACAGCTTCTTTTCTTGCTCGGAAGAGGGAGAGATTATCAGCACAAAAGGTCCCTCTGGCTCCTCCTCCATTGATGCTGTTTTCGGTTTCTCTCTCTTTGCAGAAAAGGGACTCAAGCTCTTCGTCATGCCAGAACAAGTCTTGCTCCAATAAAGGGAAAATTCCATTGAAGGAGGAGGAGGAGGTGATTCCACTCTTCTCTTCAGCATCTTCATCTTCATCTTCTTCAACATCTCCCCATTTTTCTTCTTCACAATAAAGGGCGTCTTCAAGAAAGGATTCTTGCACAAATTTCTCTACAGCCATGGTTAATTGACCCAATGGGGGGGGTGGGGGGGGGCTCTACCCTCTCTGTTTCATATTACTTGAGAAAAGATGTGTACAAAGTTAAAGCAGAACCTCCCATTCTATTTGCTTCTCTCTCTCAACAAGTCTATGAGCTTTTTGTGCTCTCTCTCTCTCTCTCTCTCTCTCTCTCTCTGAATCTGAATGGAGACTATGGAGCTCTCAAAAACAGTGAGATAAAAAGGGGAAGATTTTACTCAGAGTGGGTGTCACGCTTGTCCTCTCTTTATGGTAATATTAGTAGCGCATTGATATTGAATTTTTTTGCTATGTTTTTTACTTTTGCACAATTGCAAAAATAAATATATAAAAATTGTTTTATTTTATATTTATATTTATTTTGTTTTAAACAGTGTTGGAATGTGTGTGTGCATTTGGCGGGCTGAAATACAACAGCACAGATTTCAAAGCAGAAACAGGGCCCTCTTGAAAACTACCTCTTATTGAAGCAAAACAAATACTATTTCAAATTCATTTTCAACGCATCTGAAAAAGATATTCCTAATGCAAAACCAGATCAGTGATGTTTGCTTGCTGCCACAAATGTATAAATTTGTCATCTACAAGGGATTGTTTCCTACTTCATGAAAATTTCAGCATACACTGCATTCTAATTCTTTATAAAGATTCAATTTTTTTAATCTTTTTTAAGTTATTTACTTGTGGGCAGTGTTTATTTTTGTGGTACATAATTTGATTGCATTTTATGTTCATGGGAGTGGTTAACAAGTCCTCAATTTTAGGTTTGGAAAAGCCATAAATAGTGCCATCCTGTCTGGCCCATCTTTTGACTGATTGCACTTTGTATGTAAGCGTATAGTCATATAGATAGGTGGTGAAGAATCGGATCATCTATCAAAATTGTTTCTTGATGATAACAACTCATCAATTTTACTTAAAAAGCTTTTTATGACAGTTGTTATCCCAAATCTTGAAATTTCATTCAAGATTGTGACAAATCTGCTGTGGTGTACAGAATGATTATGACAGGGTTCACTCAACAAATATTTACCAGCTGGATGATGAACCTTCGCCATTGACCACTCACTCACTCAGTACTGTAAGTGGGCAGCCGAAAGAAAAGGGTACATCAATTATTTTGCCCCTTACACAAGGTCAAACCAACAAATTACCACAACCATCATTTGCCAGTCAAACAATCCCATGATTTGAAATCATTCACCCCATACCAAACAATTTTGTATTATTCCTCCCATGTAATCATTTTTTGCAACAAACATGTACATATATATATATATGAAAGAATCAATTTTTTTTGCATAGTAATGATGAATTAATATATGTAGTCTATGCAAATATACAGATACATTACCAAGTGGAGTATCTATCTATATCCCTAAGCATGCTTCAATATGGTGGAGGATACGCACCTGTTAGAAAAGCAACCAATTTGATAAGTCTTAGATATGTCTTTGTAAAAACAGATTGATTAAGCAAAGATATTTGAGGGTTTTCTTGCCTGGAGGAGGAGGATATGGATTTGGGGGATAAACTGATTGCGGCGGATACGACGATGCCGGTGGGTAGCTCGGGGGATAAGTAGCTACTTGATGATGGTATGGAGACGGAGGATATATTGATGAAGGTGGAGGAGGGTATGACGGGGGATACGTCGTGGGAGGATAAGAATACGATGGGGGAGGCACCGAATATGGAGGGACTTGTGGCGCCGGTGTTCCGGAAAATTGTGGTGCTTGGCTCGATGTCGGCTTCTGAAAGGAAAATCAAGAAACAAGTTTGTAATAAGATTATTGTCTCAATGTAACGATTGTAACAATATCATGAAAAAAGATCGATCTAGCTAGCTTACTGTGGCGTTGGCATAATGCATTATCAATCGAACTTCCCCGGCATGCCTAGAAATGAAAACAACCAAATTAGCGCCCACTATACAATAACTTAGGCTCTTGTTACACAAGTAGTTTTTTTTTTTTTCCACAAAACATCAAATTAAATAATGTATTTTTAACTTTCTCTAAAATTTCAAAACTCAAGAACTCAATATATGTGATGTGTAGTTTTGACTTGGTTGCAAACTCTACAAGTCTAACTGCAGCTAAAGTGGCTGCTAAGCATAGTAACAATTTGCTGAAGTAAATTCATAGAAGAAGTTGTTTCAAACTGAAGACGAAGAATTGTTTATCACATTTAGCTAAAATTTCAATAACTGGAGTAGAAGAAAAGCTTCAGAGCAATTGAAAACAGAGCAGAAATGGCGGTAATGTTGTTTGTGCAGTTCAGTATGTTTTTATACCTTCCTCTTTTGTCCTGAATTGGCCAGGCACTGTCGTCGTAGCCCTGCGATAGAACTTTCTGCAATTGAATCCTAAAATGGACGCGCAAAGAATTCGATAATCATTAGTCTGGAGGAGGAAGAAGGAGCTAGAAGAAATTGGATGAATTAGGGGATTAGGTTAGGTTTATTACTTGCCAACACCAATGAATGCGTCTGCAGTGATTGTATTGCTGTTCCAGACTGATACGGAGAATTCCGGCAGTCCTTCGATCAAGGTAAACATGAATTTCTCTTGAAACGTAGGGGTTTTGCCTCCATCTACATGAATTTTAGTTGTGAGTATCGAATCTGAATGATGCAATCCTTCTGTATAAGAAAATTTCGCGTGGATTAGGCGTACCTGTGCAAGTTCGCGTGCGGTATTTGAAGCTAGAATACTCGAGACAGACGTAGGGATCTTGCCTGGAAATCCATTCGGTGTCCTTCAATCTATTGCAACCGACGACTGAAATTCGAAGCACGAACAGAGATAATGAGGAATCCAATCAATGAAATGAAGAACAACTGCGCACAATCGAATTCAACTTACCAGTCACTTCCAGAATCTGGCCGTGGAAACCTGAAATCGACACCGGATTGGAAGACGAGTAAGGCGAGGGCTTCGAATTGTGATTCTTCACCATGATTCGAAATTATATTGCAGACTGATTCAGCAGCTACTACAGCGATTGAATTGGGGATTTCTTCAACTAGCAGCAAAAAAACTGATTATATAGTAGAAGCCAAAGGAAAATTCTCAACGTGGCTTATGAAGCATCTCGGTGCGTTCATATCCACTCGTGTAGCGCGTACAAATTGAAAACTGCCGCGTAGGCCGTTTCTTTCTTGGCCGCCGCCATAGATTTAACTTCGAATATGAAGTAACAGTATATTAATCGATGGAAATTCATTATCAGATGCAAAGTACAAGAAGAGCAATTTCATCTGGACAAGAAACACGGAATTTATTCAAACTTCGCTAAAATGGCTGGATTCTGGATAAACCCTAATTTCTTGAATCAAACACTTCAAATCCATATCCGAAGATCCATCCTTTTGGACAGCCGTTATTGCCGAATCCCTCAAATTCTTTGCCCTAATTCTCAGCTCGTCTCCTTCTTCCTCACCCATCAATCTCCTCATAGCTTTCTCCACGTCTTCACGCTTCACCGCCTCCCTCTCCTGCGTTCTCCTCGTCCACTCCCGAACCCCCACCGGAATCCCTATTTTCAGAATCTCCACTACAAATTTTTCATTGAAGAACTGCTCCGCCGACAGCGGCCACGTTACCATCGGCACGCCTCCGGCGACGCCTTCGAGCAGGGAATTCCATCCGCAGTGAGTAATAAATCCTCCCACTGCTTCGTGTTCAAGGATCAGAACTTGTGGTGCCCACCCCGTGATGATCAATCCCTTCCCTTCTAATCTCCTTTCAAATCCTTCCGGTGACCATTCATCGTCTCCGGCCAGTTCTCCGACGACCCATATGAATTCTCGCCCCGAAGCTCGAAGTCCCTCAGCTATCTCGACCAGCTGCGATGACGAGAACCTTGCCATACTGCCGAAACAGATGTAAACCACAGAGTCGGGTTTCTTTGAATTAAGCCAATTCAGGCAATCTTGATGATCATCATTTACAGAAGCTTCTCTGCCTCTGTGAGCTTTATCCTCAATGCTCCCATAGAAAAGAGAAATGGGGCCAACGTTCCATATCTTTATCCCCATGAGCTCCTGCATAAGTCGGACATATGCAGGTTCGAGCTCTTGGAACGTGTTCACGACCATTCCAAAGCTTCTTGATTCGGCTGCTACGATCTTTTTATAAGTCTCTGCAAAAGGGCTCTTATCCTCTTCTTTGAACTCCTCTGGGAGCTGTCGCCGGGACATTTTTACTTCATCCGGAAGGCCGGGGACGACGAATTCTTCCGAATCCAATAGTCCATTTTCTTTGTGCATCTTCAAGCATTTGGAGACGCACATTGGGAAGCAACCGGTCCCGTAGAACACCAGCCTCGGGATGTTAAGCCTGGCGGCGACATCATTCGCCCACCAGAAGAATGCTCCGGCGACAATGCAGTTCGGGTCGCCGTCTTGCAAGAGTTTCTCGACAGGTTCTTGGAACAAGTCCATGGCCTTGATGAATTTGAACGTCATTTCTGAAGTTGTGGTAGAAGACAGGTTTTCGCAGCCGGCCGGAAGGCCTGCTTCCTGACAGGGGAATTCGACGATGGAGATGGCGACTTCGAATCCATCTTTCCGGTCCCTTTCGATTGTTCGGAAGAAGTGGGAAGCATTGAGGGGAGTAGTGATGATCGTGGACCTTGCACCGAGCCTGGCTAATTTCCTGGCAAGGTCTACCATTGGGATCATATGGCCTGGCGCCATTACAGGGATTAAGTATATGTGAGGTTTTGCAGACATGTTTACTTGTTTTTGGTATGCAGAAGAACTACATGGTTCAGTTGTTATAGTTCCATGTTTTGTACTACATTGTTGTCTAGAAATCTTGGGGATTTAGGATCAAGACAAGGGCTTGGTCATACAGTAGGGGAATGTCCTTATCCCTTGGCCAGCAAGTTGTGCATGTTGACAAGAAATTATTTTGTCCAAGATTGATGTGCAAGAAAATTGTGTGGATTTGTTCAACTCTAGATTGAATTGAATAATGATGGTGTTCTTTTGATTCCCACTTGCTAATTTTGTAAGAAAAAGGCATTGATATAACTAATTTGGGATCCTGAAATTCCATTACAGTGTGCTTTGCAGATACGAATAATAATAGGGAAATTTAACCATATAATCATAAATTACTAAATGAGGGAAATTAGGACATGAAAGTAATAGTAGAGCTAGAAAGATTGGGCTGTTCCATTCTTGTTGTCATCCTATTCTTTCTTGGGATTGGGAGGCTGATAGACACTCAATTCTTGTATTAAATCATCCAGATTGTTGTAGGATGATCCTCCTTGTTCAACAGCTTTTCTTGCCATGTCCTTGTAATGCTTTGCCCTTTGTCTCCTTTCTGCAGATCCTTCTCCAACCATGATGTCCTGCACAGCCTTTGTCACTGCACTGCTAGCCACACCTTCACTATCATTCCTCTGCCAAATCTTATTCCCAACTGAGACTCCAATTTTTAAGATGTCTGTCACCAATTTTTCATTGAAAAACTGCTCGGCAAAGGCCGGCCATGTCACCATAGGAACCCCAGCACAGATTCCTTCTAGCGTCGAATTCCATCCACAGTGCGTCACAAAAGCCCCGACTGCAGGATGATCAAGAATCATCAGTTGGGGTGCCCACCCCCTTATGATCAGCCCCTTTCCTTTCATCCTTTCTTCAAATCCTTCGGGCAGCCATTCTTCATCGTCTTCCTCGTTTTTTCCTCTCCTTACAACCCAAATGAAATCTTGGCCTGAGGCCTCGAGGCCGACTGCTTTTTCGTGTAGTTGTGCTGGACTGAAAGTCGCCGTGCTGCCAAAGCACATGTAGACTACGGAATTGGTGTTCTTGGAGTCGAGCCAGGCGAGGCATTCGTCCACGTCGATGGATGATTGTTTCCCTCTATGTGCTCTTGATGATCTGTTAATGTTGTTGGCTAACAGAAGGGGGCCTATAGGCCATGCCCTTCTCCCCAACACATTCCTGTAATGTTCGATGTAATCTGATTCGAGCTCGTAGAAGCTGTTGATGACAACTCCATAGCTTCTGTCAATGGATTCCATAACTTGATCCATCAATCTTCCCATTATACTATCCTTCCCTGCCCGCACGTGGGGCGACACCTGTGCCGGAGTAAATGTGTGGTGATGAGGCAGGTTAGGCACCAGGAATGTGTCGGATTCGGATTCGACATTCATGTAAGGCTTATGGAGATGCATTTGATCTGTGAGGCACAATGCGAAGCTGCTCATGCCGTGGAAGGCTAATCGGGGAATTCCGAATTTGGCTGCGGAATCGGCTGTCCATGGCAAGAAGGCGTCGGAGACGAGGAAGTTGGGTTTGAGTTCCTGGAGGAGTGCCTCGAGAGGTTCTTGGAGCAACTCGACGGCGTGGAGGAATTTTGGGAAGAGATCTGGGGTTGTGATTTGATCGAGGCTGGAAATGTTGTCGGGCAGGGAGGATCCATTGGGTGGGAATTTGAGTGTTCTTACTGCGACATGGAGGTCGGATTGCTGTGCCATGGCGATGGAATCGCCGAGGAGATTAGTTGAGATGATGGTGGCTTTGAGACCCCTGGAAAGAAACAGGCTGGCCATTTCCAGTGTTGGGATAGTGTGGCCATGAGCCATTAATGGAAACAAAACGACATGTAGCTGCTGCCCCATTCTGGACCTGATTCGAATTCTCTGTTTCTGTGTCTTACTCAAGGAAGAAGAAGAAGAAGATGATGATGATGACGTAAGAATGGATGTGAATATGAATTTATGTAGAGGTGGTTGAGTTACTTGTAGAGCAAGGAGTTCAAGTGAGTTGAAAGGTAAGAGAGTGTAGAAGAAGATGTATGAGCGTGTGTGTGTCTCCTCTAGAAGGAAGGAAGGAATGAAGATGAGGGTTGAATTGAAGAAGATGGCATGACGTAGGTGCTTACGCTGAAATTTGTGTCTGGAAAAGCCAACTGACAAGACAAAGCAGATCCATATCGATTGGGCATCCATCAATTTGATTGTATCTTTGCTTCCTCAGTTGTTTTTGAATCGCCAATACAAGACAAGACACTGCGTGTTTGTTTTCCTGACGACTTTTGACTCTTCTGCTGGAAGGGAGCATTGATTAATCAAAGCTTTCATGGAAGTTTCTTAGAAAATACTACTACTACTAGTCTGCTACTTCATATATATATATATATAAACGTGGCAATCTGGGAGTCGAGAATCAGAATCTGATGATGGAGGCGGATGGGATCCCTCTCTATCCCACTCACATCACATGGTGTATATACACCAACACCAACCATGTGTATATGAATACTGTAAATTTGTCATTTTTTTTTAAAACAAACATAACCTTAATTCAAATCTTTGAATTTTATTTATTACAATACGAAAATTGTGATATTGAGCAATCTTTGGGAGCGGGGTTACCGTGTTTGATGTAAAGTTCAGCATTGTATTAAACAGCACACATAATTAGGTTTGATCGAGAGTTTATCCATTACGCACTTTCGACGGTGAATTTTCACGTCGTCAAAGAAAAAACAAAAAACACACATAACATAACATGCATTAATATAATATAAATATAACACATAAACTAACAAACATATGATATATTTTCATTCAAAATATACAATTGTTTATTTCAGCATAAGCTACCGTTACAAACAAATACTCTCTCGGTCCCAATATAATATACTAGTTTACAATTTTTGTCCGTCCCAAAACAATAGTCTCATTTTTATAAATAATTATATCACCATAAAATTATCCATATTATTATAGAATTGCCATTACTTTTTACACTAATATACTCAAAGGGCAAAAAATGTTATTTATTCTTACTTTTTACAGTTTCTTAAATCTCGCAATACCACTATATTTTTCGGACGGAAGGAAGTAGCATATATCTTTATTTGTAAATAATATAGGCATATATTGTTTATGTATTTTATCATGTGCTAATTTAAAAAAATCAGCGTAATCGTAACCCTTCCAAGTGTGAAATAACAAAAATGAGATGGAATTTTCACCTAAATTTTCAAGTATTGCATTATTTTATTTTCGTACAAATTTCATATAACCCAAATCGAAATATCGTATGATAAACAAGTCTACGCAACTCAAAATCGTTTGTATACCTGTGAAATTCAATTCAGTTCTTTCTCTATTTTTTCTAATCAATCCTATATAACAACAGTTCCTACATCGAACCCATAGGATCAAGAACACTTCCCAATCTCATTCACTGTTCTGCTTCTTCTTGTAAGATCTCAAGTCTTCAATTAAATCATCAACACCCCGAAACGAAGACCCTCCTTCTTCCACAGCCTTCTTCGCCTCCACCGCCAGCACTTCCACCCGCCGCCTCATCTCCTCCGCCGCCGCATCACCGCCCATCAGCCTCCCAACCGCCGCCCGGACCTCCTCCCTCCCCACCACCGCCCTCCCCTCCATGTTCCACGACCCCCACTCCACACTCCCCACTCCCACCCCTATCCCCAACACCTCAGTCACCAGCTTCTCGTTATAAAACTGCTCCGCCGACAGCGGCCACGTGATCATCGGCACGGCGGCGCAGACTCCCTCCAGCGTCGAATTCCAGCCGCAATGCGTCATGAAACCCCCCACAGCTCCATGCTCAAGAATCAACAGCTGTGGGGCCCATCCTTTGATCACCAAACCCTGTTCAGAATCCAAAACTCTTTTCTCAAATCCATCTGGAAAACACCTCCCTTCATCGTCGTCATCTTCGAGAATCTTCCCAATAGCCCACACAAAAGGGTGCCCTGAATTCTCAAGCCCAGCTGCAATCTCGAAAATCTGGGCTTTGCTCAATCGAGCTAAGCTGCCAAAGCTGACGTAAAGAACTGAATTAGGGTTTTTAGAGTCCAGCCAGTTGAGGCAGGTTTGCTCATCAATGGCGGCCCTCTGACCTCTCTCGAACTTGTCTTGTACATTCTTGTTGTACAGAGACACTGGCCCGACAAGCCAGGCTTTCTTTCCCATCACATTCTTGTAATAATCGACGTAAGAGGGCTCCAGATAGTGGAAGCTGTTGATCACCTGTCCTAAAGAGTTCTCGTCGGATTTTCGGAGCTTTCCGGGGAAATCGCCGGCGGTACGGACGAAGATGGGGAGCTGGGATCGGCACAATTGGATGGTGTCGGGGAGGCCAGGGAGGGTGAAATGGTCGGAATCGGAATCTACTTTTGTGTGGGGGGAGTGGGAAGTGATGCTGTGTTCGCAGCATCGGGAGAAGCAGCAGCCGCCATTGAAAACGATTCTTGGGATTTGGAGATCGTCGATGAGGTCGGAAGCCCAGCGGTGGAAAGTGTCGGCGATGATGCAGTCGGGGGGGCGGTGGAGGAGGAGGCGGCGGAGGGGGTCGTGGAGGGCGGAGGTGTCGGTGAAGGGGGAGGCGGAGAGGTCGGAGTTTTGGAGAAGGGGGTGGAGGGAGATGGGGAGGCCGGATTGTTGGTGGTCTCTTTGGATGGAGTTTTGGAATGTGACGACGTCGTTTGGGGCGGCGAGGATGGTGGCGGCGGCGCCGTGGGCGGCGAAGAGGCGGGCGAGATCGATCATGGGGATGAAGTGGCCGCCGCCGACGAAAGGGAAGAAGTAAATTTGGAGGGGAGGAGTAGGAGAAGCCATAGCCGTGGGAGATTTCTTTGGAGGGGTCGAAATAGAACGAAGATACGTATATAAATAATTATATATATAACGATAATAGAAGTGACTATTATTCAAATACAATAATAATCAACACAATAAAGTACATTAGACTGGTAGAGTGAAGTAGACTTTTCTTTTGCAAGTGTGGGAGTCATCAATTATTTATTACACTATGAAAAGTACCAAATCTCAAATTGGACACTCCAACTTGCAATTGCATGGATAGAGAGAGTGACAGCGAATCCATTTCCGAGTTCAATGAGTCAAATTTGAAGTTCACGCCTACACCGCCATATCTATCTTTTTATAGGTTTGGATTTTGAGGCAAGGTTGGGGGGTGGTGGTGTTGCCATTTGCCAATGCCTAGTATTTAAAGAATGAACCTTTTTATTAAAATTGGATTTAAGGTAAATGGGCAAAAGAATCTTGATTATGCCATTACGAGTTACTAATCCAATCCATTCATCCAACCTTCCTATTGGAAAAGACAATAGAGAAGAAGAAGGGCATATCCCCTACAAAGAGATTCTTGAGAGTGAGACATATTCACAAACATTTGACATCCAAAACTCCATGGCTCAACAACAATCGGTTGTCTCTGATAGAGATGTGCACCACAATATCTTTACACAAGCTATTTCTAGAAGACCCTGCCGGGACAAGAGAGGCTGGAAACTGTATTCTTCAAGCATCTACTCGGCCGGCATGCCTCTGTCTCAACCCGACATCTGCAGCTTCCCGAATGTTGTTTTCAGCAGCAGCAACAGCAGCATCTGCAACGAGAACTTGGTCGTCGGATGCAGCAGCAGCAGTAGCAGTAGTAGCAGTAGCAGCAGCAAAGCCCTGTCTAGCGCGAGCCCCCAAGGTCTCACCATAGTTGTGGAGTCTTCTTCCAATCAAATACCGGTCATCCCGGATGGAGTTGTGGAGGTTGGTGAACCAGACATGGAATCGCTTTGCGCAGAAGTATAGGACGCTGAAGATGAGGCAACCCAACCAGGCGAATCGGTAGACAGCCGAGTTCACAACCAGCGGGTAGCCGAAGATGGGGAATACCCCGCGCGATAGAACATAGGGCACACACAGTGCGGTGAGCAGCTTCATGATGATTGGGAAGACAATCTCGCGCAGAACCCAGAGACCTTGCAGCCTCGAGAAGCCATCTTCCCTCACCCTTTCAAATTTTACGCGCCAGGTCTCGTCCACCAATGGCATCATGTGATCCAACATAACCTATCAAGAGAACCATCGCAATGGGAAAGATTAACCCAAACAGAATGGAAGGCGAAAAAATTAAATTTAACACTACACGAGGTTTCAGGGACGGGAGAGTTGCTTACCAGCCTAGTCCAAATCTTCAAAAAGATTAGTCCGAGAGCCCAATCCTGGTATAAAAGGAACACCGGACTTTCATCCACAGGAACCCGCATGGGTACAATGACGAGAAGCTCGAACAGAAGGCCAATCAATACAGGAATTACAAATATCTGTAAACACAACAACATGCATTGTTAGGATATATACATGATGGTGGAATGCTTTTATCCAGGCATGGTTGACTATATACTTACCCATATCGACAGCAGAGCAGAACTCTTCAGAATTATGCCACACCATTTCCAGATTTGATTGAGCAACAATCTAGTTCTCCTTGTTCGGACCAGGTCCACACAATACCTTACTCCGGCCAAACCAGTCCAAATCACGTAGCTTCCGATTACAAAAGCGTATAAATCTGAATAAAAAATACAACCGGGAATGATTTAAGAGTTATATCTTCATTTACAAATGAATGAAATCAGATTGATGTTTTGAGTCATACCATTGCACTTGATGCCGTGAGTTATTGGGAGAAGTGGGAGGGCATTAAAGAGTGCACGTCCGAGTGAAATGGGTACAACTATCAATGCAGAGTTGAATACAAGAAGAGTCATCCAAGCTGCCACCAACAACAGCACAATACGCAGCACAAAGCCCCACCTTCTAAAAGATTCAAGCAAACATTTAGGTCATTCAACGGAAGGATTATGCAACAATAAACCAAAAGGTAATGCTTCAAGTGAACACTAAGAGAGTAAGGACACAAGTAACACAAAAAGTACAAGAAAACAGAAGGAGTGTTGACAGTAAAGATCAATAATGGATTAGATTTCAGTCATTTGGTTGTTAATTTCTATAGAACCGTCATCCGATATTTACATTCAAATTTCAATCAATCAAAAGACACACACAATGGTTAGTACAAATGTTATTAACCAAGCCCAAAATTTGCACAAAAAGTCTAATTATATACGTCCTCTTTAAGAATGGATTAGTGAGTAATTAAAAAAAAAATAAATAAATAAAAAGAACATATGCAGCAATAAATATTATGGGTTCTAATATAACTTACCCTGGATCAGCTTGTTCATCACTATCAAACTCTTCAGCAGAACTTGAATTTGCTGCCCCATGTCTGGATCTATGCACATCTTCGAGGGCTGGAACTCGCTCCTGCTCAACTGCTTGTGCAATCCCTCTATCGTGTCTCCCTGCATCCCCATTCCCATTTTCATGTCCACCATTGTCCTCCGGCTTTGGTAGCAGAAAATCAGTTAAACCAAGTGCCCAACCAACAGCAGTGAACCAATACCGGAGTACAGATTTGAGTGTATGCCGTAGTTTAAAATGCTCAATAGCAAAGGGAATGCATATTTGAAAGAGAAGCATATCAGCTGGGATTTCAGTAAATGGATCTGAAACACTGCATCAAAAACATGTGTCAAAATGGATTACCTTAAGAAAATACAACAGAGATCATGAAGTGCTAGCAGAGGATTCAGCAAGAGATCTTACGAGATGTCCAAGGGGAAAATGGAAGGAACCATTCGCATTGCAAGTTTAACAGGCAAAAACACCAGCATCACAATCAAACTCCCATATACAGCAACAGACAACAAAACTCTGCGGGCATGCTTGTGCACTGGATCATCAATCAGATCTCGGAATGGATTGTAATTGGGATCAGCAGGATCACGAAGAAAGTAGAGAACCCCACTACGCAATACCTACAGAAAAACAAGGATACATAGGTATAAAACCAATGACATCAAAGTTAAAGTAAACTGTATTCTTAGTTTAGAAAAATTCATACCCCTCGAAGAAGGCTAACAAAGATGCTTATTTGAAGCATGTAAATGATTCCAACAACCCAGTGAACCAGAGAGCTTGCCAGGGGTGACAGTGAGAAGAACTCAACTCTCTGAGAGATGGACTTCCCAAACATCCTTATGGTGCAAACATCCAGCCACCACCCACACATCAGAGGAAACACCCCAAGTTCAATGACCAGAAGAAAAGCAACTTTAATCATGGTCATTAAATGCCTCATCGCTGCCACAAACTGCCTGAAGAGAGATGGAATGGTTTCTGCAATGGAAGCAATTCCATAGAACCTACCCATAGTCAAAGGCTCGCCCCTTGAATACCGAATTAAGGTGACAATCCCAAGGTAGAAGATGACAAGAGAAAATATAAACATGTAGCCAACAGCAAGAGTGGTGACATCGGAAAGTCGTGACGCCCCAGCTGACTGCACTTTCAAGAGGTCTGCTGCAATTGTGGAGCTTGTGTTTGACACTTCAGTTTGTCCTGTTGCATTTACTTTCAGAATCTCGACAACCTGACCAAGTAAACTATAGTTTTGGTTATCAGATGTCAAATTTACAACTGCAGTCAATGCATTCTTTAGCGTGATATTGGCCAGTGAAAGCGCTGATTCTGTTAGCGGCACAACAGTCGATAACACTGGGCTTGTAGCAGAGGACAAAAGCCATGACAAGTAATATAGGATGACACGCCCTAACGAGAAAGGCATGAAGATCACAACTCCGAGGAATATCATATTGCTAGCAAGAACCTGCAAGAAAGGGGTAGGACTAGAATGAATTAGGCTGATACAACCATAGAAAACAAATGAACTAGGCCTTTAATAATATCAACATGTATAACTCTAATCCAACTTCTAACAACTGCCAGTGCAAAAGGAAAAAAGCAAATGACTTTGACTATTAAATGCATGAAAGCAATCAATAAGACACATGGAAAACCGCTGAAAACTTGACCTTTAAAGTAAAAAAGGAAAAGCATATATTACCAACAAATTTAAGCTAGTGTTCCATACACAGTATGCCATGCATCACAGAATCATCAAGTAAAATATAGCCTGCAGTTCACATATAAGACATGAAAATATAAAAAAATAATAATAAATGACTCACAGTGAAAGCATTTTCAACCAGATGGAACACAGGTCCCTGCATGCCAACCAGTTCATCAAAAGGTACATCCTCCGCACCATCAGCATCATCCAAGCCGTCAAACATCTGTTCGACATGGGCCTCAAGGCGAGCAGCCTGCATCTCCCACCGAGCTGCAACATTTTCTGCATTCCGTCGAAACATCTGCCCAGCACCTGCAATTCCTTGCGCCCCACCAGCCTCTTCACCATTTCCATCTGCAGCAGGATTTCTATTGGCTTGAGCTGCATGCCTTCTTGCAGCCCGGGCTCCATTCCTATCTCCTTCATCCTCTCTCTCAGCATCTTGTCCACCCAGCTCACGCAAATGTCTAAAGTAATCTCTCAGGGAAGTTGCCCCAAGAAAAATGAATACAATGCTGGCAGAGAGAAGAAATCCATGCAGGCAATCAGTAAGAATGATTGTCGTTGATAAGTGGCTCAAGAAAAGTCTCTGAGCTTCTCCAAGAGTTCTGACAAATGCCAGCCGCCATATCCAAAATGTGATAAACGGAATTATGAGGAGCCAAACGGACAGTACAAAACTAAGACGTAGAAAGAACTGCAGGACATGGCAAGCTTTCATAGCGATCCCAACAACAAATTCCTGAAAAGGTAGCCTTGCCGGGGCATTTTCTGCATAAACTGGAGAAAATGAAAATGGATGCTTGCAGACCTGCATTCCACATGCAGCAATAAATATCAGCAGTGAATTAAGATAATCTCTCAAGATATCTAACAAAGCATAAGTTGAAACCAATACTCAAAAAGCTATCCAGCAAAATTTCTTTCAATATATGATTTGTCATTTCTGGTTATCACTCCCTTTCTTGGAAGATAAGATATGTTTCAATATACATAAGATTTTCCGGTCACTGAACAATATCAAGAAGGCAGACCAATCCTCACTTATTATGGAATTAAAATTTTGCATTTTGGAACTGACAACACTTCGTTGTCAATACATAGAACCACAAAAAGATGTTGATAATTACTTCCAGAGAATTCTGTTGGTAGAAATGATAAACAAATAACTTTCCCATTTACCTAAACGCGTGATTACAACAAATCGACATAGACGACCAATCCATGAATAATAATATTAATTTTAAAAAAATAAATAAATAACAACAACTAAGAATTGACTGTTTCAAGAATCCAAACCTCGCATTGCCGAGCGTTGCTGTGATTAAGCCACTGGAGAAGGCAATCCTGGTGAACGAATTTGATGCTTCCACTGCACGCGCAGGGATACCGCAGCGGATTATCCGCGTCGCCAGGGTTTCTACAGATCCGGCAAACATCCTCCTCCTCATCTTCATCCAACAAATCATACCTGCCAGCAGCAGTATTTCCATCACTGCTGCTTTTAATATCATTGTTGTTGCCGGCACCGGCGCTGCTGCTTTCTCGTATCGAAGAACCAATCGACGACGTGGCAGATTCCATCGGATCCACCGAAGATGAGTACGACGTCTCCGGTCCGATCTCCATCAGGATGGTGGAGAAAACCGTTGGATCTTCTTCTTCTTCCTCCTCCTCCCCTACCTAGGGTTGGTAAATTTTGTGGTGTTTTTCAGAGGGGTGGGCGACAATTACAAACTGACACCATATTTATTATCATAATATCTATATCTATATATATATACATTTTTTACTTTTATTTTTACGAAAAATCAATTTATGCCCAGGCACAGCTATAAGCTATTATCCATATCGTAATGACGTTTTTGCCCCTACCGGACTTTTGCCTGATATGGTTGTTTTGGTAATTTTGCTGTTCCAATTTCGAAAGTCGGCAAAACGTTTCTGTGTAGTCAACTGAGCTTATTTTGACTGTTAAATCATTTTCTTTATGGACGTGTTACTTTTCTTTGTACAAAATAGTTTTCCACTATTTTAAATTTGGGTAGTTTTTTAAATAAATACAAATTTTAGAATTTCTTTTTAGCCGATAAATAACACTTTATATATATAATTTTTTTTAAAAAAAAATCAATAAAAACAACCAAATATTTGGACCAAGCGACGTTATTTTTCATGGCCCAATAAAAGGTCTAGATATTTTTTGGGTTAGCTTTGAGTTTGTAACTTGTTTCATTCAGGTAATAGATTAATCCAAAAAAAAACAAAAAAGTTAGGGCGAAAACAAAAATGATAATAAATAAATGTAAAAAAAAGGTTATGTAAAATATACTTCCCATTTTCTTCTACAAATCTGCTTATTTACCAATTAATGTATATCTATAATCCACTATTATATTATATGTTGACAATAAATTTTGTTATTATTATTTTGGTTGATGTTTTCAAGTAGACCATGAATATTTGAATTTAATTCGGACAATATAGGACATGTGTTGGTGAGCCCAATGAAGAAGCTGGCCAAAAAATTGTAAATTGATTCTATTCGATTTTTGTTGGAAATTTGATGAAGTCCAAACTCAAAGGAAGGACCATAATATATCCCTTCTCCGACAAATGGATGAAATTGATAGCAATTCATTGTAACAAATTTTGGGTAGGTATAGACCGTGAAAAACAATATTTCAATTACGGAAAGTTAGTTAGATGGAATATCATCGAAGAATATTTTGGAGAAAAAAATTAAAGCAAGAAGGTATATAATACAAAAAAAAAAATAATCTTAGCGTTTTGAGAGAGAGATTTGTGAGAAAAAGATCATGATGCAATTGTGAGGAAAAATGAAAAGCGAAGGCGTTAATAAATTTTGCGAGGTTATAAATTTTGCGAGATTGAATAGAGATTTATAATGGTAAAACATTCTTAAATTTGCAACTTTGTAAGTTAATTTCGATTTTGAATGAGTTGAGACATATCTGGACTGGAACCCCACATGTAGGTTCTTAGTGATCGAATTGGATTATCAATTTCGTGTATTTAATTTTTCTGCTTACAAAATTTGCATATTGTTTGATCGTTTTGCTCGCGAATTGTATGTGTAAATATGCTTACGTATGTGTTTGTATTGTTTAGTCATCTCACGAACTGTCTGTGTAAATATGCCGTCTCACAAACTGTCTGTGTAAATATGCTTACGTCTGTGTTTGTATTGTTTGGTCGTCTCACGAACTGTCTATGTAACTATTATGTCTGTGTTTGTATTTTTTTATTGTTCCTGCTTTTATTTATTTGTTGTTTTTTCCATATTAAAAACGATATAATAAAAATTTGTTGATTAATTTCTTAATGGTTTTCATGTCCCCAATTCGAAATTTCGTCGTCACTAACCGTCGAGGCCAGAGCTCTACTCCAGAGCCGCTGCTAACCGCGGTTTTCTTATAGGTCAACCCAGGCCAGAATCAGGACCATAGGGCCCTTGCCCAAGGTCCATCTTCAAATAGGACCAGTGGCCCCAAATCATATATATATATATACATTGATATTATTAATTTTATATAAAATATACTCCCTCCGTCCATATCAGTGTATTACCGTAGACACGAGAATTTAGGTAAAGTATAATTAACAAGTAATTAAAAAGTGTATTAGTAAAAATAATTATTATTTAGTAAAAATAATTATAGATTAAAATTAAAATAAGTAAATAGTTTAATAAAATTAAAAAAAATTATAAATTTAAAATTTAAAATGCGGTTAAAGTACATAATTATATTTCTAAAAAATAGAAAAGACAAATTATATGGGATTGACAAAAATAGAAAATAAGAACAAATTATGTGGAAGGAAGGGAGTATAAAATAAAGTTCAAGTCAAAAATTTATTTTGAATTTTTTAAATAAATTATTTTAATATTAATTTATTTTATTAATTATGTCTTATTTGTATGTCTTAATGGACTTGTTTAACTTTATAATTATATATTATATTATTATGGTGAGTTAAATAAAATTGGGAAGATATGATAGAAAATTATATTTGATATATTTTTAATTTTGTGTGTATATATATATTTAAATTTGTATATCTTATTTTCATTTTTTCAGATAATATTTTTGAAAATTTGTATATCTTATTTTCATTTTTTCAGATAATATTTTTGAAAATTTGTATATCCTATAAACGCAAATAGTTTCATTTGAATTATCTTTTAAAGTTTTATTATTCATAAAAAAATAAATTCTTTAAAAAATATTACATTAAATAAAAATATATATTTTTTATATTATACTCAAAACAATTTGATGTTAAAAATATCACATAAATTTTATGTTTATATTTTTATTCTTTAAGTTATGTTTGGTACAGAGAAATGAGGCCAGACAAATGGAAATAATATTATTTTTCTTATTTGTTTAGTCGTAAAAATGGAACTTGAGAAATAAATCATTTCAATTTTCTCTCGTATGCAACAAAGAGAAATGACGTTGTAGTATATATTTTTTAAATTTTTTTGTACTATTTAATTTTTATAATTTTTTTTTAAAATTATATTATTTCAGTTTAAAAAAAAATTAATTTATTATTAAAATATTTAATTTTTATTGTCTTTTAAGAAATTTAATTTTTTTAAGAAAAAAGTCACCAAAAATATTTTTTATGAATTCTCGTCTCTTTTTATCTAGTTAATCATTTATTTTTGTTTAATCATTCATATAACTGCATTTATTTTTATATTTTTCAACGAAATTATGTGTTTCAAACAAGAGAATTAATTAATTCTCATTCTCTCTCCAATTTCATTCTCGTACCAAACGCCCCTAATATATAAAAGTTTAATATTATAATTAAATTTTAATTAAAAAAAGTATTTATAAAATAATTTATTTATCATATATTAATATAAAAAATATATTTAAGGCCCATTTTTTCATCGGGCTGGGTCAACCACAATACCCTCAGCGAACTGCAGAGTGCTAAGAGTAAACTAAACAAAAACCAATTTCACCACCATCCAAAAGCTCCACTGATTCAGCAAAATCGACGCCGGCGATCGTCAGCGTCTGCTCCGGATCATCGAATATCCGGCGGGACGAAAGGAACATTGACGTCAAGGAGATGCCGTCCCCCAATGCGTGGTGCACAGGGAAAACCGCAGCTCTGTGCGCCACAAGGACGTGTGTTTCCCAGAGCGGTTTCCCTTTCGATAGCGGCGACGAGACGGTTAGGTTCTCCACATAATCGGTGGTCGCGTCTTCGTCGGAGAAGAACTGCTCCTTGTAGGAGAAGGTTCGTGACGGAAATCACGTCGTTGTCGACGTCGACCTCAGTCCTCCGCCAGAATTGCCGGAGGAAGGGGTCCGTAACCATCACGCTGCAGAACCGGGGATGCTTTAAGCATAATCGATTCCAGATCGATCGCTAATTTCCCGGCGATTATGCAATTTATCACCTGATCCATCAGCGGCTGCACGAAAAGTCGGCCGGCCGGCGTCGCCGGCTCATCTGTCTCCGTCGCCGGTACGCTCTCTTCTGCCATACCTAATTTCTTCCACGCCATATTTTGTGGACGCTTATAAATGTGCACGATTGTCTCTAAAATACGCCACTGCGTACGATAAGACAGATGAAAACAATAAAGAACAAGAAGAATCTGAGGTGCAGAATAGAAATTAGAACACAGGTGAATTTTCCATTGGAATCTGGTATACAAATGAAAATAAAAGGCCACACGTATAACCTCACCAATAATTTGAAAGTTCATTAAATTTTGTGGGGATCTCTTTATGCTCAATCGAAGCAAGAATTGTTTGCTTGTTTAATCTTTTGCAGTTTAGCTCTTGCCCTTTTATACATGCACACAATTTTTAAATTTTAGGTATAAAATAGAGTATTATACTTATCATGCTTAGAAACAAAAACATTTAACATAAATCAAAATAGTCGGTTCTTTGAAGCTATGCAAAGAATTGAGCCCAAAAGAGTGACTTGCCTATGTATTTTTTGGGCTATTGGTTGGGTTTTAAAGGGAAGTGGAAAAAATGGTTTTGATGGGTTTGTTTGTTTTTTGTTTTTTTTTTTTTGATGGGTTTGTTTTGTTAGAGCGTTAAGTTGGATTATTATTTTAAATAAACAAGAAAGTAGTATATTTTTAATTTAATAGGTTAAATAAAAACATTAGTAAATGCAGTCCATACAAAGACAAGAAGTAGGGTGGCTTCACTGGGAACACGTTAACCTGGAATGTACGGACGAGATGATTCCGCAGCCTGATGGATGGCTCAGATAAGTTCTGGATTTTAGCTCCCTGAATCTGCCGAAGAGACCCTTAATCTGATTCTGCGTTGTCTTCTGGTATATACCCTCTCTTACATACACACATACAGCTGTGTGTGGGTGTGGGTGTGCCTGTAAACACTCACCTCCATTGTCTTTCATCCATAAACTGTGTAGTCTAAGCGACCCCTCCCATTCTGCTTTCGCTTCTCGTGGGCTCACCCTTTAATCTCTGAACCGTCTTCTTGCTCGCTCTCAATAGGAAAAGAAAAAAAAGGTTAGCTTTGTTACTTTCTTTCTAGTTAATTTCAATCCGGCTGCTGCTCTTCTTTGTCGGAATTTCAAACCCAGATAAAGAAATTGAAGAAAATCGTGTAAGGAGAAACCTAATAGCCCGCCCTTCAGCTTCGCCGATCGTCTTCCTTCGCTCTAGGGTTTCTTTCCCCCTTTGCCCATCTCAGATTTTCGCTTCTTTTCCGTGCTTATAAATCTATGTTTTGTGGGAATGAACTATTTTTGTGTATATATGTCTTTAAAAAAATGTTCTGTGCTTTGTTGTCTGTCTTGCGATGATGAGATTGAGATTGGTAATCTGGAACAAGGGATCTGATTTAAGTTGGTTGTTTTGCTTGCTGATTTTGTTCTTGTTATTTATCTGTAGAAGTTTTTTCATTTCTTGGCCATGATTAATTTCGGGTGTGTTTCCTGAACTCTGATCGATGTGTTTCGATGATATCAAGTGGAACTTTTAATGGGTTAATTTTTATGAACTCGTAGGTCAACAAAAGTAGTTGGTACTGGCGATATCCACGAAGTCTATTACATCCCTGTTGTTTTTCTCATCCATTATGCTAAGATTTTGTCTATCGCTTATGGGTGAAGATCGATTCTTCTGATTCAATTGTTTTCTGGATTAGGTTTGCGATTATTGAGTGGAGTGATATTGCTGATAATCAGAATTTTCTATATGCATTTCCTGCCTGGCTTTAAGTTAAAAATGCTTGAATCTGTGGTTGATTTTTTTCATCAACTAAGGCTTCAAGGAACATAACCTTGAAATATAAATCAGATTGTACGTGCCTTGTTTTATGCTTAAGCTGTTGTTTCTGTTTATCATTTGAGTGACAAAATGGTTTTGATGATTGATCTCCGGTAGAATTCTTTTTTGTGGCGTTATTAGCTTTATTACGCGATTGTTGATCATCTGTTAGGCTTGAACTGACTTCTATCTTTTGAAATCTTTTGCAGGTCCACCAAAGCGCGAAACTCTCTGAAACTGTTTCTACTTTCGATAACCTGACGATTTTCTGATATTAATTCGCAGTTATGCAGCGGGAGAGAGGAGTGATTGATTCCTCTCCGGAGACAATTGATTTGAACCAAGATTCAATTCCTAGTAGCGGTTCTATGGATCAATCAAATTCATGGACCATGCTGAGTACAGTTGAGAACCTTCTGTCGAATGACGTGCTCTCGCCCCCCAGTGGGAATGCTTGTCGCACACCTGCTTCTAGCGACCAGATTCCGAGTTTCAGTTTTTGGGACCAAGGTGAATCTAGCTCCAGTACAAGAAACGCGCCAAATGGAGCTCCTGAAGACGATTCAAAAGCCAGGCCTGGCTGGTCATCATTGCCGCGGACTTCTGGAACTCACCCTAGGTCAGCGGATTGGCATTTTGTGCCATCTAGTTCGGTTAACTATTCAACTAATATTACCAGAGACGTCGGAAATAGCTTACCTCCTGCCCCTCCTAAATCCAGCCATTCAGAAATTGAGCCAAATTCGACCATTTATGCTTCTTCCAGTCACGTTGGAACCTCTGTAAGCTCTTCAAGTAACTTCTGCGAAAGTGACGATGCAGCGGGCCCATCTTTCGGAAATTGGGGTTCGTCTTGCAAGAGAAAGGCACTCGAGGGTACTTCTGAACAGCTATATCCTAGTGGAAGTTCAAGCATCAATCCTCTGATGCCATCTTCAGCTCCTCTTTATATGACCGGTCCACAAAATTTAAGCATTTCATCTGGATCACCCAACTTGTCTACGTCATATCGTGCGGAAAATCTTCACCCAAGTAATGGGTGTGCCATCAGTATACCCCAAGGCGTCAGTGAAAGATTTGCTAGAAATTTCTCTGTAAGATCAAACCAAGGGCGGATTGATTCGGCTCCATCTGATACACCTAGAGGAACTTCTGTGAGACATTTTGGCGTCAATGCTACCCAGATGCCGCAACCCATTACTCATACTGAATCTTCTGGATCAAGGTTGCCAATGAGATTTCAATTTAACCCGAACACATCGAGCCAGGCTTGTATAACTCGTTTGGATGAGGCTGGAGAGGCGCACACCTTCCATTGGGATGGATCTCTCAATTCTCTAGGTGCTAGTTCATCTGGTTCTGGAGCTCATCAAGAATCGAATGATCGAAGCTCTGGGAGGAATAATATGGACTACCTCATGACTAGTTCATCCCCGGAAACGAGAAATATATCACAGCACCAAGTTGATTGGAGCTTTGCTCCTGGTGCTTCTGCTTCTGCTTCTTCGAGGAATCTGCCTTCTGCTCCGCGGATTGTTCTAGGTTCAGGTGGCCCAACCTCTTCTGCTGTCGGTTTCCCTCATGAAAACCAACCTCAACCAAATCATCAGCAGCTATCTGAAGCTGCTCCGTGGATTCCTTTCCCTCGCGGCGGCGAATCTGAATCTGGGAGCCGGAGAAGACACTTTACAGTTCTTCCTTCTGCCTCTTCATCAGATGAATCGACCTCAACTAGAAATGCTCAAGATCAGTTTCGCCGAAGCTCAGCAGCATTGTTAATGGAAATGCCAGGTGATGAAAGTAATGGTTGGCGCACTTTGCCCGGTGTCGAGGGCAGAAACAGGCTGGTACATTTTTTCTACTAAATCTCTGTTACCTTTCAATGGCAAATGCTTGTAGTTTATACATAATCTTTGCAATAATCATCTTGTTACCATACTTGTCAAAATACATTAGGAAATGTGCATTGAAATCAAATGGTTTACAGTTGATTTTTTTTTTTTTTTTTTTTTTTTCCGTGGGATTTTGTTTTATGATTTCCAATATAAGTCGGAGATGACTTGATAACTAAAATTTCATCCTATAAACGAAATGATTCATCTCTGATTTAATGCGTAGAATCTTTAATCATATTGAAAAAGGTTATACTCTCTCCGTCGGGTACCTTTTGTTTGTGCACGGGAAATTTATGTAGTATAGATTAGTTATTTAGATAGATAATTACTTATTTAACTATTAAAAGAAATTTTAAATATATGTTTAAATATTTTTAACATATTGCTCCGTTTCACTTAATTTGTCTACTCTTTCTATTTTCATCCGTCCCTTTCATTTTTCTAGAAATATAATTATACACTTTAATTGCTTTTTAAAATTTATATATATATATTTTTTACTTTAATTAAACTATTTAGTCATTTTAATCTATAATTATTTTTATTAAATTATAATTATTTTCTCTAATATACTTCATAATTACTTACACTTTTTATTGAGATATACTCTCTCTGTGCCTAAGCTAAATGTGACAAATTAGCTGGGACGGAGGGAATATATCTCAATAAAATATATACAATAGAGATATTATTAGTAGAGAATAAAATTTTATTAACACAAATAAATAAAAAGAAATATTTATTTATATATCATTACCATAAATTAGTTTTTAAAAACAACGCAGAGTTTTAAGGGTAAATAAAAATATTTGTTAATTGAGGAGATAGAAATTTAATTAAATTGATTTATATTTGTTAAGTGTGTTTAAGATTGATAAATTTACTAGTAGAAATGAGTATCTTTTATGGGATGGACAAAGAAAGAAAGTGGAAGGAGTCATTTGGGACGGAGGGAGTAGTATTTTAATGTTAAAGTGGGGTGTCATAGGAAATTTTCTAAAGAATCGATAAAAAATAATGAGTGCTGTATATAGTAGAAGTAGCGTCAAATCGATTATTATGTGTTAAAAGTAAGTACGATAAAATTGTGGGCCGATAAAATTATTTGATTTTGACGGAGGGAGGGAGTATCATCTCAATGGCTAACCAAATCAAATTGAACTGTTTTAGACATCACTTTTCCCAACCAATAACTGTAATGAATGAAGCAATTAACTATAGTTCTTTTTTCTCTCATTGGTTCAACAGATTCGCCAAGTCTTAAATGCAATGCGGCGAGGCTCTCACTTACAAGCTGAGGTTTGTTTTGGATTATTGCAACGGTTATAAATTCAGCACACGCTAAATCTTAAATATATTGTGGGTCCCACTATAAATATATGCCGTACTTTTACTTTCCGTTTGAATCTAATCGCCACGTGCCCATTTATTTTCTGTATTTTGTCGTTTATGAAGTGGCCTTATCATTATGGTTATACTTAAAACAGCTTAAGCATTTGCTTATTTGGTTTATACTAACGAGAAATGTGCGAAATCTCTTTCTTCATTGCTGTGATGTACTTACAAGTGAGTCTGTCGAATTGCATTTAATGTTTCTTTCAGGATTATACGTTTATCGACCCCTTTATAAACAGTATTGCCGAGATGCATGACAGGCACAGAGATATGAGGCTTGATGTCGACAATATGTCTTATGAGGTACTCTACTTAAGCCCATATGCTTGTCTTCTTGATCTTGACTTTCATTCGCAGTCTCAATCCCAAATCTTTTGTTCGACAGGAATTGCTAGCTTTGGAGGAACAAATTGGAAATGTGAGTACTGGATTGAGTGAGGAGAAGATCGTGAGCTCCATGAAGCAGCGGAAACTTGAAGTCTTCAGAATCCCTCTGAATTTGGAGCCTTGCTGTATATGTCAGGTTAGAGCTGCGCCATCCATGGAACCAATATATACATATATATATATATATATTTGCTCGCCATTTAATTGGTTGGTGTTTATGTGTCGAAATTACTGTTTCCAGGAGAATTATGTTGTTGGAAATGATATTGGAATGCTGGACTGTGGGCACGAGTTTCACGCCGATTGCATCAAGCGTTGGCTGACTGAGAAGAACCTCTGCCCTATCTGCAAGACGACGGCCCTGGAAACATGAGCGACGGGGAATGGCGTGTACCCATAAATAATACCTGAACTTGCACTTGAATTTGAACCTGAAGTTTTCTTGGTCACATCGCCTTTCCTTTGCAGGGTTTTTATTTATTTATGTCATGGAAAATGGAGCAGGAAAAACCTGGTAATTTATGGACTGTTTTTGTGGTGTTAGAGAAAATAAGAAAGATTGAAATGTGCCTTTGGATATTGATTCGAACCAAGAAGGTATGAAGAGATCTTTTACAGACATTATTGATGGGATGTGAATGGTTTTTTAGGTCCATGCTTGTTGTTTGTCTCTTTTCTTGCTTGTATGTATGTATGTCTTTCGTATTCATGTACACCTAGGCATGTGTTGCTTCTTCAATTTTATGTTATTTTGTGAAAGGTTTGAGAGTTTTAGTCATAGTGGAAGATCAGTGTTCAATGTAGAAATTTTATGTATTTGTTTTTGTTTTTAAATGGTACCATAAATGAATGGTAAATGTATGCAAGTAGAGCCATAGGCCCATATGATTTTGCTTTCAAAATTGTTCTTGCATTATTGATATTTTTTATTAAAAATATTATATTCTAAAATTATTTTTTATTCAACGTAGATTATATTCACTATTTAACTATATTTTTCATGGATTTCAATTTAGAGAACCAACATAGAGGCCACGAAAGTCGAGATATTTTTATTTCACCCAAAATCAATCCAAGGATGACCACCAAATTGGCCCTACTATTACAATGGCCAAAATAAATGCAAATTGAAACAAAAAAAAAAAAAAAAAACAGAAAATGGTCCTGTCCAAATATATAAATGAGGACCAGTCACAACTCGACTCACAAGTAGACACAACAATTCAATTGCCACTACACACAAACATTTATACCATTTGAATAATAATAACAATAATAATAAGATTCCACGTGAGATTTTTTTCCAATGATTCTTTAAATCTGACCCAGGTTACATTGTTGTCCGGATTTAATTTGAAGGATATTAGGTTTAACTGAAAGTTTATCCAATACACACTTTCGGACAGCAGCTGCGATTCCAAATCATAAAAAAAATAAATAAAGAAAGAGTAACGAGTCGTAAACATCCTCCCGTCCCGTTCTTGAAATTACGAAAACACCCCGACGTAATTAATTCCCAAATGCTTCTCTCATACATATACATAAAATAAAAATCTGTCATCATTCATGTGAACTGAAGCTGTCTTCTTCAATGCATTTCCCACCCCAATAATTATTAGATACCCACCCCACCCCACCCCACCCCACCCCCCCTTATGTAAGCATTGCATTGCATGCGACACCTTTCTTCTACATTATTAATTGGTCAAACCAACTTAATTGAATAATCTCTCTCTCTATTCCTTTCTTTTCTTTTCTACTCTATTCTCTACTTCATGTCCACGTCATCATCATCAGCAAATCAGTCTTGCCCATTTCTTTCATTCTTCCTTCAACAACACCACACTTTTTTTTAAAAAAAAATTAGTCATAACTTAATTGGAACTTGATCATATATATATATATATATACACATTCATTCATTTCAAGGATAATGGCTTTTTTTCTTTAATATAAAAAAGTAAAATTAAGGGTTCATGCATGCGTGCATGCACCTAAATTCCCAAACACCAAGGAATGATGAATAGTGTGGATTAATTAATTAATTACCTCTTTCATAATAAAATTCAAAACAAGATTGACTTGTATGTTTTTTTTTGAAGCTGCCACATAATAATAATAATAATAATAATAATAATAATAATAATAATAATAATAATAATAATAATGATAAAACAAAATTGACCACTATTTATTGAAAAAATATTAGAGTAAATTGCATGATATTGATCTGTATTTTATTATAAGTATATGAATATATTACTTATTCCGTCCCGGAATTATAGTCTTAGTTGCGTTGGACACGAGATTTAAGGAATATAGATATTATATTGATAGTGGGTAAAAAGTATAGATAAAATACATTTTTGTCTTGTGTAAAAGATATGGTAGTTATTAAGTTATATGATTATTTATGAAAATAAGACTATTGTTTTGGGACGAACAAGAATAATAAACAAGACTATTATATTGAGACGGAAATAGTATATTTTATTTATTATGTAAATCTTTTTTATAATAGTCCAAACTTATAGTTACTCTATTCCCACATCACCAAACCATCGTTATATTATATCTTCATTATACAAACAGTGAAAATGAAGAATTGGTTACTTTTTTCTTTATTTATTTTAGTCAATGAATAATATTTAAGACATTTTAGCGATTTTATTTGCATGCTTACTATGTAATAACAAAGCAAATTTCGCAAGATTATTTTATATTTTTTCAATAAAATAAAATTGGATTTTATGTAATTTACCAAAAATAAAATTAATTAATTTCGGTTTGAGGTGAAAAGTAAATGTGGGTAATTAATTAACTAATTATTAAAGGAGCAGGACCTCGGTCCCGGCGTATTCATCAGAATTGGCGACGGAGACATTGGGCCACGAGTCCCGGAGTAACTTCAGCAGCATTTGCGCTTTACGCTTCGCTCTTTCCGTGCAGTCGCTCTGTACCAGAAGCAGTAACTGACTCAACACGCCGGCGGCCACCGCCTCCGTCCGACTTCCGTCCGACGACGAGCACAGCGACAGCAGCGCACCGGCGGCGTACTCCGTGGCGCGATCGGATATTTTCAGGATGATATTCACCAGCAGCGGCACCGTCTGCGGATGCGAGGCGAACGCCGCGCATCCGGCCGGAATCCGGCAGAGGAGCTCCGCCGTGGCTAGCGCTCTCTCGGCGTCGCATTTCTCGAATTCAGCGAGTCTGTCTATCAACGCCTCCACCGCGCCGGCGGCGACGGCTCGGTGACGGTTTTGCTTCGCCAGACACAAAGCGAACAGAGATTTGACTCCGATCTTCAACGCTCTCGGATAAACCAGCGGATAGTTCAGGATTCCGATTATCCCCTCGAAAACTCCGTCGGCGCCACTGATCCGCTCCCGAAGCTCCGGCGAGCGTATCCCCGCCGCAACATTCTCAATCACCGCCGCGGAGTTAACCCTAACCTCGATCAATGAATGGAACAGTAAATTCACCAAAAATCCGACGCTCTCAACATCCGACGCCACGTAAATGCACTCCGATTCCGACAGCGGAAACATCGCCAGAATCCCCAGCGCTTCCACACTCAACTCCGACGGCTCCAAACCACCACCACCACCGCCGGCATCGGCCAACACAATCGACAGCAAAATCCCCTGCGCACCACAGGCAGCCATAACAGAGCGATTCTTCTCCAATTCCCTTGCCAGTCCTCTCAACCGCCTTACCGCCGAAATCCTCACGCCAACGGAACCGCCGGCCGCCGCCTGATTCAACAAACTCCGAACCAGAATCGGATCCGCCGGCTGCTTCGGAGTGGGTATCCGCTCCACTCCGAAGCAGCGGTTCGCGACGCACCAATCCTGAATGAGGCGCCGAAGCGTGTGGTTCGGAATGAGCGTGAAATCCGTGAGCGGGGCCCGCGTTACCGGACACGTGGTATTCCCGGTTGCTACCCACGACTCTATGCTAGAGCGATCGTACGTTTGACCGGTACAAACAGTAACCGGGTCATGCATCAGCTCCAGAGAAATTGGGCACCGGAAATGGTACGGAATCTGGACTCCAATATCCAACGGCTCCAAACCACCAGGCATGTTCTTCTTCCCCACCTTCTTGCCCTAATTTCTATTCCTATTTCTTTTATCCAATTTCTTTAAGAAGAAAACGTAGCAGAATGTAGGAAAATTAGGAGTTACAGACAGCAGCAGAATTAGGAGTACTGCGAATAATCTGAGTCTGTTGGGGGGGTAGAGTTGAAGCTAAGGGCTAGTATTATATACGATATGGGGAAAGAGGGACAATGATATGTGTTTCTGATCATACATATAAATGCTAATATTATACAACATGTATAGGTGTGTTTGTGTCTGTCTGTGACTGTATTTTTTATTCAGACCAAAACTCCTGTAGCAGTATGAATTAATGGATTGGGCAATCGGTGCACGTGTGGCTCATTTACTGAAGTAGTTAACCATAGTTAGATTGATGGGATGGATGAGTAGGATGGTCAAAGGGACTTGAAGTCATGTTAACTCTTTCTTGAATCTTGATTCTTGATTCTTGATAGAGATAGATAGATAGTTTATTAGCCTAATATGTTCATATTGTTGGTTGAGTGAGCTAAATTATGACTAAATTTTTTTTAAAAAAGATTAATGGTGGGAGTTGTGAAACTAATTCAATTAAATCCCATTTCATTAATTCCATGATATGATAAACCCTACACAGTTAGTCAGTCAAATTGAATCTAGACCTCGTACACAGCAACTAACTATCTATCTCTGGAAATTTCAAAACTTTGTGTGTTTATTGGTGAGTGAGCAGTGTTGACCTGACCAATAACACCACTTTAATACAGTCTTGATTGGTTTGGTTTGGTTTGGTTAGTTAATTGGTGTTGTATTGATTGCTAACATTACACAACATATCAGTGCTGCCAAAATTAGGAATTTCAAAATGACCAATTCTGGTGCTCTCACTGTCACCTTTCCCATAGGCTGTTACTATTAGGTTGTTAATTGAATTATCTATTTATATATAAATAAATCATAATAACAATAATAAGTCTTGCAGTCGAATGCAAGTTATAGGAATATCATTGCCCTGATCAACACCATCATTACCTCTTTAATAAATATAATACACACACTAATTGCATTGTTTTTGTGGAATAATTAAGACAGACTTCTTTATATATATTGTTGCATTTGGCTATTGTGTTTTTGTGTGAGTTTGAACATATATGTGACTTCTTCTACCTAAATGAAACTCTAATTTATCTCCTAATTATAGATAAATTATTTCGAATATTTTTAGATATATTATATTATTTAAAATTAATATTGGTTGTGATGGCTAAGGGGGCATCTATATTTGTAACCGAAAATGCTGGTGGGGCTGATATGTTAGCAGTCTGGTCAGCATTGGCCAAGAATGGAAAATGTGAAATACACATATACCATATATTATTAATAATAGTTGATTTGAATTAGAAGATTTCTGTGATTAGGAGGATGGGACAGTAGGGATGATGATGATGATGATATTTTGTGAAAATTTTGGTGGTAGGAATTAATAGAGAATATGGTCAAAGAAGAAGATACAAGTAATGAGTATTATGTGGTGGATATATAGATTGATATATATATATATATATGTATATGTGTGTGTGTGGATTCATAATCAAGTGAGGTAGGGTCTACTCCACCACACCCAATTTGGACCACTTTATCGATCATTTCTGTCTTCCATGCATCACATAATTGTAATAATAATAATAATAATCTTTGGCGATGGTTGAATGTAGATTTTAGTTATGGGTATGATTTAGAGGGAGCGTCTATGGAAATATAATTCATGTGCTTATTCTAATCGCTACCCTAACATTCCCTTTAGAGTGATATCCTTGAATTTTTTGAATTTAGGATAGTATATATGTGTGTATGTTAGAATGCTAAAGTAAATTGATTCATTTATTTATTTCAATCAAGAATTAGGGTTATATCCACATATATATATATATATATACATGCTTTCTATGGAAGAATTATTATATTATGGGCTTTAATTTCCTTTCCAACTCGATCGATCATGTTAATTATATCATTTTATTTTTTTACATAAATGAGATAACTTTACGGGCTGTGTGTGACCTATTGGAACAGTGAGATCGAGGGTAAGATTTTGATGTCGGAAAATGCCCAAATGAAACAAGAGAATAGTCCATTTGACAACGTAACACCAAATGATTCTCATATTATATAATACTAGTATAGTATATATTAGCAAGGCTTGTCTCTCTTGTTGGCATTGCATGCATGCATGCATCTAATTATCTATACATATAATAAATATAATATAATTATGTATGCGTGCTAGAAAGAGCTTAGCTTAGATTAACTTTGCCTTTTTCTAATTAATCAAATTAACATTAATTATCCTTCTAACCTTGTGCTAATCACGTGACAAAAGCATAATTGATGCTGTTACAGTTCATCACTCTCGACATGTACACATACAGACATGAAATGCTGTCATCAATCAACCCTTTCTTCTTTTACCTATATATATTGCTCCAATTAATTACATAAAAGTTCATATATGAACTTTGAGAATATAGATATAGACATAGATATACACGGTCTATGATATACTCCATCCTATATCTATCTATATGTTTGTTTTTTTTACAAGAAGTTTTATTGAAGTGTAATAGGAATAAAAATAAAAAGACTTAAAATATCATAAAAAATTTATTGTGTATATTTGTAATATAGTGTAAGTTTAGTGGTAATTTTAATAATAGATAGAAATTAGGGTTACTAGAAAAAAAAAATGAATATTTAATTTTGAGAGGGACCAAAATTATTTAGGAGGGAGCATATTATATTTAAACACCTATTATAATCTATATATACACACACACATACTTATCCCAAAAAGGATGTTTAATTTTATTGGCTGAGGATTAAATTAGTAATAAAAGATGCTTCGTTGTTAATTAGATATAAACATGAACACAAATACATTAGTTAATTGATTATAGTATTATTTAATCAACACTGATCCAACTGATAGATTATTTATTTATTAGTATTATTTTTTCACGATTAACAAATTAAATTAAAAGGCCATAAAAGCTAAGCAGTGGAATATTCTGTCTCTGCTCTGTCCATTCATGTTTTTTTGCAATATTTTTCACGAGTGGGTTCAATATAAAATAAAACCACTGATTCCCAAACCATAAGTGGGAATTATAATAATTAAATATATATATGTCTATAGTTAAGGAAGCAATTAGTTTCGATAACTGCAATTAGTTTGACTCTACACATTAATGTTATCCACAACTTTTTCAGTTCTTGAGCCCTGTGTCTCCTTAACCCATTCTATTCTTCCTACGCTTTTATTAATTCTTAATAACCTTCAACTGCCTTTTCCTAAAACTAAAATTTTAGTATCAGCCCATACCTTATGATGAAGCCCATACCAAAATCCAGATTAATCCTATTGGGCCTTTTAAATCTATCAGCCCAATAGTCAAGCCCATTATCATAACACTGATTTAATTAGGTCTAACATATTGTTGGAGCCCAATATTGGCTATATTATATTACTAGCCAAGAAAAAGTACAATAATATGGATATATGCATTGATAATTTATTAGTATTAGCCAAAAGTTGATCAATAATCGACCAATAATGTCTTTAACTTGGGCCCACAACATCCATCTCTAAAATTCAACACAACACTGTTCTCTCTCTCTCTCTCTCTATCTATTTCTTTGTTTTCATCATACCCAATGTGAAGTTTTTTGGACTGTAATAACAAAGCCTGGAAATGGACTCCAGGGTGTTGTATTTCAAGAATCACCACTCCAGAAAGACAAAAACCAAACAAGAGAAAAAAAAACAGGTCTGGATTAGTGTGTGACTGTGTGTAAATGTAAAAAAAGATACAGTTGCAGACAAGAACACTGCCCGTGCCCAAACACGTGCCACCACAACTGAGTCGGGCCCTGTAAAAGATTTCTTTTATATATTTGGGACTGCTGTTAGCTGTTTGCATCATCATCTTCAGGTGGTTCCACTCCATATAGTGAAAAACACATAACATAAAAATCCAGTCTTTAAAATGACTAGCTAGATAGAGGGGGTTTCATATCATGGGTCTTTTTCCATTAATTCTCAGAGAGATTTTAAATTTACTACTTATCTGTTAATCTTATGTTCTAATCATTTGAAAGAATTAGCTAGAATTGAATAATAGTGGTGGTCTGTAACGGTGCCTGCCCTGCAATTTATATTAATGGCGGAACGTTGGGTAGTGGAGCTCTTTGGATGATCTCGACCGTTGGATGATTCCGGGAGTTGTGCACCCAGGAGTGGGGAAAGAATCTGTACTGTTGTGAAACGAAGGCGCATCGACCATGGCTGGTGGGGCCCAAATCGAAATGGTAGTGGTGAAACCCTAAACTATACTGACACAGGATGAAGATGGCGACTGAGGTGAGAGAGAGAGGGCTAATTAGCTAAATAATGTGTAATGCCCACAACTTGGTTCACTTTAATTGCACAGAAAAACACACAGGAAGGAAGATGATTCGGAATTTATGAGAGAGAGAGCTGAAAGGCATAGCTTGCTCAACTAGTCAAAGCTAGAGAGAGAGAGAATCAGGGCCCCGCCAGGTCTCTCTCTCTCTCTCTCCTTCAGAGAATTTTCACCTTTTTCCCTTTTTCTTTAATCTTTATTAGTATTTCTTCTTGATGTGCTAGAATGCGCCGCTTCTGAAACCGCTCTCCACGCTTCCTCCTTCCTCTTCCCCTTTCCATGGAGATGTACGGGCCACCGGCGGCGGCGCGTATGGTTCTGGTTCTGGTGGTGTTTCTTGGAACTCAGCTTTGTTTAACAATGGCAGCACTCGGTGAGGCATTGCTCCTTCGTGTTTCTTTTACACCTTTTTGTTTTTTTTACAATCTTTGCCAGCTCAAGAACTCTGTCTTCCTGCATTTTGTTGGTTCAGATCATGATTCTTGATTCCTTTTCTGCATATTGTTTGTTTGGTTTATTTGATAGCTCTCTCAGTTGTATCCAAAATTTTAACAATTCTTAAATTCTTCTGTGTTGGCCCCAAAATGGGGATGTGCTATTTATGGTAAATTGCTTGATCCTCAATCTGCAGAGATTGTCGTTTTGGGGATTAGAATAGAATACAAATGAGTATAGAATGTGAATTGTTCTGTTAGGAAATCCCAATTTCTCTGTTTATGATGAATAATGATCCACATTGTAGTAACTATGTATGTAATTTGGTTGCTCCTTTTCGTTTGAGGATGTAAGATGAAGATAACAAGTTTTGAACCCTATCATTAAGGCTATTACAATTAGTTTTCGATGAAAAAATCTTCATTACTAAGCAGCATTGTTGCCTGTCTTCGATTTGATTTCGATTTTCGATGTTTTCAGATTGCCCGTTGGACTTGAGCCGTGCTAATTTCACCCTTGCCGCGTCGCTCTGCTCGAGCCAGGCGAGCCGGGGGAAGTGCTGCCGGTACATCAATGCTTTGGTGGCTGTATCTGTGTCCCAATACGCGAACACAACGAGCAATTTGGGGGTTCCTTTGAATACGAACGACATCTGCTTGCATACGGTGTCGAGAACTTTTGAGCTCTATGGAGTGACCGGGAACGCCACCATTTTCTGCGGCTTCGGGACAAAGATACCCGTGAACTATGCGTGTCAATGGCGATCGACCGTCGCGCAAATGATCCAGTCTCCGAAATTCGATGATGTCGCTGAAAATTGTCGAGTGCCTTTGTCGCAGAACAATGCTTGCCGGAAGTGCTTGAATGCCGGGATTCTGTATCTGCGCAATTTGCTCGGTCCTGTCGATAACGTCACGTTGAGTACGTGTAGGGACGCTACTTTTGCCGCTCTTGCTAGCAAACTTGACTACCCGTCGACGATGGATCTCGCCGGATGTTTTTTCGGGGTTCAAGGTCTCATCAATTCCACTGGTATATATATATAAGTTTATAAAGATCTTACCTTTTGTTCGATTTCGCGACAATTATTTGTTTTCGATTTATTTATCGTGCATCAAATTCAGATTCGTTTCCGTCTTCACCTTCTCCCGGAGCTTCTCCCGGCGCGCCGGCTGCTGCTAGTCCGACTCAGCTCTCGCTCGTCGTGCCTCTGAAGGAAAATCGTCGCCGTTACCACTTGGGATTGGTTCCAAGCGTCGGGATTGCAGTTACGGTGCTCGCTCTTTCGCTCCTCGCCGTATTGATTTTCTTAATCCGAGCTAAGAGAAAGAAACTAAAGGATGCCGATATCGGCGACAAGACAACTTCTCCGGCCGTAACTCTCCATACAAAAAAATTTCAAGATGGTATCGACGTTTACCATTTCGAATGGATCATTAGAAGTTTGATGAGCGAGACGTGTCCTGACTAGTTTTTTCTTTCATTAAGGCCCGCCGTGTCTGTTTCGAAAATTCAGCTACAAAGAGGTGAAGAAAGGTACGAACAACTTTGGCGCCCTTGTCGGAAGGGGAGGCTTCGGAGTTGTGTACAGAGCAGAATTTCGTGACGGTTTAGTCGCAGCCGTGAAACGGATGAGCAAAGCTTCGGAGCAGGCGGAGGATGACTTCTGTCGGGAGCTTGAGCTCCTTGCTCGGCTGCATCACCGTCATCTTGTTTCTCTCCGAGGCTTTTGCATCGAGCGACATGAAAGGTATTATCTTCATTTTCATTTTTCGCTTAAGAAAGACTCATTCGTGCATCTTCTTGTAGGTTCCTAATTTACGAGTACATGGCAAACGGAAGTTTAAAGGATCATCTCCACGGTACGTTGTTCGTATTCGAAATCGAACAACTTGTTTTATTTGACTAGGAAAAATTGCTTATAATCCATCCGTGGTTTGGAAAGTCTACATCATGCATAATTTGTAGGGATTCTGTATAATAGTTTTTAAAATACGATGAAGCTGAGTGCAGTTTCTAAATCACAAAGGAGATAGTACAATTTTTCCTATCGACTAAATAGATGTGTAAATTATTTGCATTCAGCACAAGGCAGGACTCCTCTAAGCTGGGGTACGAGGATTCAAATCGCCATCGACGTAGCAAATGCACTGGTAAAAATCCCGGGATTGTCTCGATCTATTTATTCGAGTTCTTGATTGCATATCGTTTGTTTCGATAGATTTCAAACTCGACCGTTGTTGCGCAGGAATACCTTCATCTTTATTGCGATCCGCCTTTGTGCCATAGAGACATCAAGTCAAGCAATATACTACTCGATGAGAACTTCGTCGCAAAGGTGCTACGCCAAAAGAAGCCTATATATACGCACATTATCGTTATGAACTTGGATTGAAACTCTGCTCAAATTGTTCGCCCAGGTTGCCGATTTCGGGCTTGCGCACGCGTCGAAAGATGGCTCCATATGCTTTGAACCCGTGAACACCGACATACGGGGAACACCCGGTGAGCGAATTGTTTTCAGTGACGATCGATCCCATCCCATACCCGAGCTAATTACGAGCATCTAAACATTGCAGGGTATTTGGATCCCGAGTACGTGATAACGCAAGAACTGACGGAGAAGAGCGACGTTTATAGCTACGGCATCGTTCTTCTGGAGCTAATTACCGGGAGACAGGCGATCGAGAACAAGAAGAACTTAGTCGAGTGGTCGGAAGAATTCCTCGCTTCGGAATACAGGATAACCGAGCTCGTGGACCCGTACCTCGGCGACGGTTACGATTTCGATCAGCTTCAAACCGCTCTGGCAATCGTACGATGGTGTACGCAGCGAGAAGGGAGGGCGCGGCCATCCATCAAGCAAGTTTTACGACTTCTGTACGAAAGCTCGGACCCGTTGCACAGCGGGTTCGTCGAAGCCATAGAGGATGAAGAAATCGAAGAAAGTAGGGGAAGGAAAAGCCGAGGCAAGAACACGTACTTCAGCGGGGACGGACGATGTTTGGCTTCGTCGTCGAGCACATCCCGGTCACATTGCAGCCGGAGCTTCCTTCTGGAAACTGGGTCCCCTGTTTCGCCGGGTAACGTCCCGTCAATTTAAGACCCCCGTCCCGTCGCATACGCTACAAGATCGAACGGAGTAGAGTTAGAAGCAGCAGCTGTGGTATACCTTTTTTCGTGTGCTGTCGAGAATGTCTGCGATTCGTCGAAGCTTTTGCTTCTTGTTTGTGTAAGAACTAAGAATACTCTGTGTTCTCAAATGAAAGAAGAATCAAAAGAGACCTATTAGCAACCAAAAGCACAAAAAGATCTTATTGATGGACTCATCATTCAGTTTGAAGCTTCTTTGGTGAACAAGAACAAACACATACCTGATGACGACGACGACGACGATATACAGACTGTAGTAGAAAATTGAACAGATGAAATAATATAGGAGGATAGATGAACTAACTATGAACATCAGCAGCTCTTGGATCTCTCATGGCTAATTCTGTAAATCGAGAACCCTTTCAATGGCAGCCACGTAGAACTCTTTAGGCATTGTGCCTACCACCGAATCACATTTCTTGCCGTTCTTGAACAACAGAACCACAGGCACGGCCTTGATATCGTAGTCCTCGGCGACTTGTGGGTCTTTGTCTGCATCGAGGATGAAGACCTTTATTCTCCCTGTGTACATGGCTTCTATCTCATCGATTACTCGATGAACCATGCGGCATGGCCCACACCAACTGGCATAGAATTCCACAAGCACGGGGATGTCGCTGTTTAATATCAGCTTATCCCATGAATTTCCAGTGACAACTGCAGCTGCATTGAAGAGGAAAGCAGTTAGACGGAAGTGGATGTCGGAGATGGATCTCAACAAGTTCAAAGATACAGCACATCAAACATTTGCATCTATCGTTCTGCTTTGTATGGTGATTTGAAGTTTTTCTTCAGTCGTAAGGAAAAACTAACCATCAACCACCGTAACTACATTGTGCATCAGGCCGAGTACCAAGTAGCGGCATAAATTTAAAAACAAAAGGAAAACCCAGCAGCATATATATTAATGAATGAGATTTAAAGATAGCATAAACAGAAAATAGCTCCAAGAAATCAGTGGCATAACAAACAGTCATGTTTAGAAAGATCATACAGGAAAATGATTCATGAACTCAAATTAACACTTCAGTCTTGGTAGATTTCACTCAATACAGATATTATACGCCTTGACAAAGAAATTCACCAAATTGTATCCTCCCTGTTCAGCTGTGATAACTATTTGCACAACAATGCGGTGGAAAGAAATAGATAGGAGACAGATATATGATGATGGATTGTTCCATCAAACAGGTGTGGCATCTATTCTTAATACTAAATTACCATCTACTACTTATAAGTCAGAAATTAAAAAGAATGCTATTTCGATTCCATTGGATATGTGACTCTAACAGGTATAATGGCATGATCAGAGTGTAAAGGTTATTAAAGTTGTACTGGGTAGGGATATAGTATGGACTAATATATAGCAACGCATCCCAGTCGAACAAGAAACAAAGCTGTGGCTCAAGATGTAAGCACTTAGCCAAAGTCTGTGTATCCATTTCTTCTGGTTTTTCTTGTTTTTTTCTTTTTAAGTGTCAATTAGAGCATATTCAAACTTTATTCCTTATCTGCACAAATTCTTAGTGTCAATTGTGGCCACAGATAATCCTTGATCTCAACAATAAACAAACTATCATAATCAATCAAGCCTTACAATCCCCAAATTCAATTAATTATGTAGAGTAAACATTGCACCATTTTCATACGACATAAACCTCCATTTCCCGATCAATAAATAAACGGAAGGGAAGATCTCCACAACCAGATCATGCTGCAAAGATCAAGAGAACAGGACAATAAACTGAAACTCATGCATCCATTCTAATTCTAATCTTGACATAAACAGCAGATCGTGAATCAATGCAAAATATCTAAAAACAATACGATTTCGAATCAAAAAGCGGTTAATTACTTAAAATAAGTCAGGAGCTCACTTACTTTTGGAGTAATCACTGATGCAGGAGACGAGTACGGATCCTCTGGCCTCGAGTCTCCTCACGGTCCGAAATGAAGACCCGAACCTCAGGCTCTCCCGCCGTTGGCTCACTGGCTTCAGAGAAAAGGCTCCGCAACGAAGCGGCGGAAGGGAAAGCGGGAATCGAGCAGTTGTGCAACAAAATGCAGCCATTCGACACTCCACAAAGTCACACGCTGATTGCACCTCCTCAATTGAGCGAAATTTGTCACGACGACAACGCAGTATGAAGAATTATGCACGAGTTTTCCGTTCACAGATATACAGGGGATGCAGAAAGGGATGGCGAGTGGGGGAAGGAGAAGTTACTTCGCAGCAGACAAATATGATGGGAAGGTAGCGGTGATGGCCTGGCCCAACAATGAAGCACGTGGGTTTCGAATTCGGGTGGCGATCTTGACTAAAAAATTTATAATTTATAATTTATATTAATACTAGTATAATATAAATATAAATATAAATATATATTGGTGTGTCCATGGGATCATCTCATCTGTGTGAGATTCTGCAATTTGTTTGTTCCCCCAAAAATTAGGGTTTAAGAAAGCCCTAATCGAAGCGTGCCCCAAATGCAGCCAAGATTTCCGCAACGGTGGTGATTCCCCCAACGGCGTGGATATATCATGTATAGCAGCAACATGCATAACACCTCTCTAGATATATATATAAATACTTTTTCCGTGCAACAAAGACGAGACAATTCAACCGAGGAGGTGGTTTCTCGACAAACAAACAATTGGTCTGATTCTGAATAATGATGGCCAGAGTTTGTTAAAAGCTCACTCACAGCATGATGCATAAGAGATGGGCCGGGCGTGCTAAGATAATATACAACACTAGTGCTCCTTCCTTGCTTCCTTGTTTTAAGGCTACCTATGGGCGGTGACACTTAAGTAGAAGAAGAATGGCATATATATATATATCTACCAGGGTCCGGTTAACGTCCTTCTCAGGCACGGTCGTTTGCCTCCCCGGGGGTTGTTAGTCGTCTCCAAGATCTAGGGGACAAGTTGGCCAAGCAGCAGATATATGAGCTTTGCTAGTACATTTGAGAAGGCAGTGTAATAAAAATAAATAAGATGATGGCAATAATAGTATTCACCTGGTTTTTCTGCATCTCGATAAATTCTTCCTGCACATCACATGTCACTAGTTAAAATTTTTACTTTTAGGAAAAAGTATCATCAGTCAGTCACTCTCTGTTATGGACGTTGGATTTTAACTTGCCTGTTTTCTTTGTAACTCCTCGTTTATTTCTCTTAGCTTTGCCACTTCTGCTTCCAACTCCAGAGTATAAGCCTGCATGTCCAACCAGTCAGGTAACATGTAATCACCATACACAGCAGACACAAATACATAATCTAAACCCAAATTCATGGCCAAGATAAAGCATTTCATCCGTCAAGTAAAAACCACCATAACTACAAAAGTTCAATTGTGAATCACCTGTTTTCTAGCTCGTGATCGAGCAGCAGATTCTCTATTTTTTATCATCCTCCTCCGCCGTCGCTCCACCACTTTCTCCAAGGAGCCATTTGATCTCCTACCACGTCCTCCATCCGCAAAATTATAAGGTGAAGGTGATGCAGACGGTGTGTCCACATTACTCTTAACAATGGAATCGGAGTGCAGATGATCCACAGGAGACCCTCTGGAAACTGTGACGCCGTTGCTCAATCCATTAATGGCAATTGTCCCAACTTGACCCATGTTATTACCCAAAGCATTCGTCACAGTAATGGCAGCACCCTTTGTTCCTGGATTAGCAAGTTGAGAATTGTTACCAAGCTGTGTCGGGGAGGAAAAAGCACCCGTTGCTTGCTTTGGGAAGAGTGGCTGTAATGGAAGAGGTTGTGCAGATGCAACACTAGCACTGTTCATATTGATTCCCAAATTAGGAGAACCAAATATTATATTGCTCTGATCCGCGTGTGCATTTCCTAACCCGACATGGCTCTGAGATGGTTGCTGAAATCCTATGGTCAAACCAGAGTTGTTCCCATTCGACGAAGGTAAATTGCCAAACTGAGCATCTTCTCTAACCACCCCGGCTCTAAACAAAAATTCTTCTAGTGTCATATTACCTAAAGTGGTCTGCCTTGGCCCCAAATTTAAACCATCATTACCACTTCCATCATCGACACCGATGGTTTCTTTCAGGACATCCTTCCACACTTCATCAACAGTTTTTTGGCTGAGTGTCCGTGGCAATGTTAAAGAGCCCTGGCGCTGCAAATTTCCACCCGAGACAGTGCCATTGCCTCCAGGTGCAGAGGAACTAATAACCTGGCTCTCCTCAGCTGTCCAAATGCTTTTCAGGAGCTCCTCCATGTTCATCGATCCAAAGTCCTTTCCAGGTCCACCCAAGGTGCTCTGAAACTCATCAAATGTCAAGGAATATATGGAAGACTGTCGAGCCAATGGATAATTACTAGATGGTTTTCCACCACTACCATTTGCTTGCTGTGCTGCATCCCCGAAGTTCTTAAAGTTCATATACGAACTCATTATTGTAAGAATAATGGCTAAATCTGCACCAATTATGATATCAGCAACAATAAACAAAGTAATATATATATATATATATATATACACATGCACACATTATTATATTTAAACACTTAATCATGCAATATTTCCTTCTCAAGCATCTAAAAATATCAAATGATGATAGATCAGCTGGATAACATAATCAAACGCCACTATCCTATGAACTACTTTTGGATTTTCTTTTAGAAAACAGTTTGCCTACAATCAGCTAAAACAACTATAAGTGAGATACATGTACATGAGATCTCAAAACTTCTAAAAATGATCAGAACGGTTGTGGATATTTCACTTGTAAACTTTGACCGAATATGAGAGTGAGACACTCTCTTCTCAATCCTATGACTGAAAATCCTATGGCTCATATCCCAGAGTGTATTACAGTAACTAAGATAGATTTTGCTTCCACATACAGATCTAGAGCCACATATGAACCAATCTCTCAGTTTATGCAATCTACACACACACACACACACACAATCAGTGCACATAAAAAAAACGTTCATATATCCAATAAATTATCCCCTTCACCCTCATCACCGTACTAATTGCAATAATCAGCTTGTCCTTTTTACACACTCTACTGCAGTTCCAAATACAAATAAAACCAAAATCAATTGAAAAATCAGTTAAAATCTCCAAGAATCATACATAACCAACTAAACTACTGGACACATAATCATTTACAGAATCGATTCTTCTTCTGGTACATAAATTCCACAGATAAATACTAAAAAAACTTAACATCCTACAAATCACGAGATCACACACAACAATTACAAGCAGCAACTACAGAATCGTTTAGTCCTGTTCTACCGTAATGCTAGGAAGCAAAAAAAACAAAAGTAAAACACAAAACAAAATGAATACAAACTAAAACTACAAAAAGACAAAAACCAAAAACACCACTGTGTCGAGGAACGAAGAGAAGAGAAAGGAAAAAAGGGCGCGAGACGGATTTACCCTCAGAGAACAATCGTGTCGTCTCCTTCTTCCTCGCCGGATTGATGCCTGGTGGTAGCGACAAGTGTCTATCGCCTCCTCGACACACCTCGCCAATCTTAAATCCTTCTTTTTTCTGAATACTTTATTCCGATTTTTTCCATTTTTTAACCCCGGGAGGTTTAGAATTGCGCAACCTGGACCAATCACATGCCGCAGACGTGAGCAAGTGGCCAATAGCATCGAGTTACGTGGGAGGATCTGAGCCGTTGGATTCTGTCGACAGTTGTGCAAAGTGGCGGCTTGTGATTGGTCCAATTTCAGGCGCGGTTGGTCAGCGACGCGCGTGTATGTCAGTGTCAGTGACGCAAATGATGATATGATGGAATGGGCGAATGGTGTGATTGAGTGCGTCCAGCTCGCACAACTAGGTGGACCTCACGCAATTTTTGGCGCGTGGGTGACGTAGATGATGCCGGGTTAAATGGGCCGGGCCGTGTAGTTCTTAAGCCCAACTATTCTAACGACCGATACTGATATATCGCATATATTCACGGTCATTATTTAAAAGTATTTCATTTTCTTTTTTTATCCATTTTTTTTAAAACTTGCATCTAGTTAAATAGATAATACTACTCCCTCGTTTCTATCTGTCCCATATATCATATCATTTTTTTTTTTAAATCATTACACACTTTAATTTCATTTTAAATTTTTTAATTTTTTTTAAATTTTAATTAAACTAATTATTTATCTTAATCTTAATTTATATTATAAGATAATTATTTTCACTAATACATTCTTAATTATATATTAATTACACCCCTCCTAAAATACCGTGTCTACAGTATAGCAGACACGGTATCCGGAGGGAGTATATTTTAGTAGAGGGAGAAATGATTTATTGTATTATTTTAATATGAAATAGTAAGTGTTTGTGTATATTTGGTGTTATTCAATGTTTGCATGTATTTTCATTTTATTATTTATCTACCAACATGAGTTAGCCAACAAAAACTATTACTCCCTCCTACATACAATTTTGTATTCGTTTTCTTTTATTTACAAAACTAAACTTTTCATTTATTGTTTTCTTCATACAAAATATTATATCAGATATCCATAAAAATAAAAGTTCAGGTAACAATAAAAGGTATTAGAAATAACATTGTCAATTTATAGAATATGTTTAAGATTATAGCAATCCATTGATGAAATATAAAACTTACTGACATCTCCAAAAATACATACAATGCCATAAACTGAGTTTACGGTTGCTACGGTAAACCCTAAAATGGTACAATACAAAAAAAAAAAAAAAAAAAAAAAAAAAAAACTATTTTTTTGTGTCAAAATTGGCGCATGGTTGGAGAGGAAGAACTCCATATATGGGGCTGCAGCTGCAAAAAAAAAAAAAAATGCAGCTCCATTGGAAATGCTCTAATAAAAAATCTAGAATATTGAAAATAGCAAGTTATGTGAATCTTATATAATTTGTATTCTTTTGTTATTTTTCTTTCGTAGTAAAATTTGACTTTAGAACAAGGATACATGTAAAATAATTTGGATGACTAAATTTGTGTTGTTTGTGTCTTAAATATCTATTTCTTATTTAAATTTTGTAATTATAATCAAATTTAAAATTCAAAATATTGCTTTCATTCATTGTTTTGAATACACAAACAAGCTAAGTATATTATTATATATGTAACCAAATCTTTTGTTTTGTTTTTTTAGTTTGGTTTCAATTAATTATTCTAATTCCCTAACAAAGTGTACTATTTTTATTTTTTAAAATATAACATCACTTACAAATCATAAATATAAAAAAAAAAAAACAAATACAAACCAACATCAACATTTATCTTTAATTTACAATTAATATAATCTTTAATTACTATTTTAAATTTAAAAATAAATAAAAACGAACAAGTTATTAACGTGACAAATATTATAAAGCAGCTTATTTCATGTTCACATTGTCCTCGAGAAAATTTAAAAAGAACGGATGTAAAGAAATGAATTTGTTGCTTTATGTCAAAGGTAGGCTTAAAGCGCGGAAATATTTATTGTTTTATTTGTAAGGAAAAGATTTGTTGGTTTTTAATAATAATATTAATTTTATTATTATTAAATGGCTATTATTAATTATATTGCCATATCATTGGTTTACTACTTTATTACATCTTAATTTCAAATTTAATTCATTATTAAAGGGTTAGGAGCCGAATATTCTGGGACCGGTTAGGTCTATGCCTTGGACCGGGTTTCGGTCGAACCCGGTCCACGAATTGGCTTCCTATAAATACCTTAAACCCCCCACTATTCCCGCTCGCTGAAATGCAATACGAAAAACAAAAGGAGGAAGCAACTTGAGGAAAGCGTGCTTAGATTGGATCTCCGGCGATACGACGGCGTTTCTCGATGTCGGAATCGGAGACGCCTCTCCGGCGAGCGAGTGCGCCTCTGCTATACAAGCAGAATTCGTGGTCGCCTGACATCCTCCGCGACGAGGCGTGGGCGAATCGCCGGATTAATCAGCGCCTCCGGCGCGGCCGCAGCGTCACCGAAGACGACCTGGATGAGCTCCGGGGATGCCTCGACTTAGGATTCGACTTCGACTCGCCGGTTTTGGATCCGAAGCTCTCTTCGACTTTCCCTGCGCTTCCGTTCTACTACGCGGTGAACAAGCGGTGTTCCAATTCCCTGCCTCGATCTGCTTCGTCGTTGTTCTCCGATTCCGAAACTGCTTCTTCCTTCGCCGGAAGTCCTCCTTCGATTATCGATCCAGGTAACAATTTAACTCAAATCCTTTTTACCAATTGATTGCGTGCGCAAGAGGAAACCGTTCGATTATTGCGGAAATTGAGAAATCAGAACAATTAGGGAAACATAATTTCGATACATCATACTTCTTAATTGAGCAGTGAAAATTCAATTCGATTGAATCCAGATCATCTCAAAATCGATTGCTATTTTTTAACCTTTGAAACTTTGAATAGGCGAAGAACCGAAGATGGTGAAGGCGAGGCTTAGGCAATGGGCACAGTTAGTGGCGTGTTCGGTTCGCCAATTTTCGCCTAACTGATGACGCAATACAATGGCTGCTGCTGATTCACGACTTGGTAAGCCTCAAAACCAGAAAGCCAAACACACTCCACAATTCTTCCTCTGCCCAACTCTTTCTTGTTGACATCGCAACTTCTGGTAACTTTTTCTTTTTTGTTCTTCTGCTGCTGATTTCAGTGGTTGAAATTTGTACAAGTTTTGATCCAAAATCTGAACTTGTTGTAATTATAATATTCACAGATTTCTGCTTCTTGCGTATTTGTTAGGGTTTGAATGCGTTACTCAAAAACTTGTCGAGCAAATTGCCAAATAGATTTAAAATTAAATTGAATATTATTAAAAGTATATTGCATTTCAAAAATATCTTCTTGCATCACATGAAAAATGCTGCTACTTTACACAGTGGGTATAAATAAGATAATCATAATATGGGCCAAATCAAAATAAAGATCAAATTGCATTTTTGAATAGTGGCGTTACATCGTGGGTCAATTTATGTGGGAACAGACTTTACCGTTATGCCGTAAAATGAATATCAAATATTAAAATAAATTTTGCTGTAATAAATAATTTATCTACACGTACTCAGTTTTAAAGGCACCCTATTTCCTGCGGCTACTTTCTTATTAGGCCGCCGCCATTGAAACAATATTTACACATTTGACCCGTGAACGTGTTACCTTGTGATTTAGTAGTAAATGGATCAAATAAAATAGAATATTATAATACCACAATCTATTATAATACTAATATTAAAAAATTTACATACAAAAAGAAAACGCCACCTTTATTCCGGGAATGAAGGGAGTATATATTTTTTAATTTAAATATTTTATTTTTTCCATTTTAGTTAATTTGTGTATTTTAGTTAAAGCACAAAATTTTAGATACTATATAATTAATAACTAATTAAAAAATATATTAGCAAAATAATTATGATATAATAAAAATAGTTATAAATTAATATTGAAGATACTATATAATTAGCAACTAATTTAAAAATATATTAATAAAATAATTATGATATAATAAAAATAATTATAAATTAATCCTTATTAAAATAACTAAATAATTTAATTAAAATAAAAAATATAAGTAATAAATTTTAAATTTTAAAATATAATAAAATATATAATTATATTAAGAAAAAAAAAGAAATAATTTATATGAGATAAACTAATATAGAAAAAATTATAAATTAAATGGGAGAAATAGAGTATTATTTTCTCAACCCAAACCTACTAGTCATCCAAACCAATCCTTGATTGATTATAGGTCATTTGCATCATGTGGCCCGTTGATATTTTTTTATAGTACATGTTAAGAAAAAATATATTTGCTCCGTCCTTAATTAGATAAGATGAACTTATTATTCAAAAAACGAAAAGAACAAATTATGTGGGACAAACGAAAATAAAAAATAAGGATAAATTATTTGGGACGGAAGGAGTATATTTTTTTGTTTCCTCTCTTCAAATATGATCTTTTTTTTTTTGTCTATTTTATAAAACTAATCTTTCTATTATTTAAATTTATTTATTTTAAACATACTTAATAAATATAATTTAAATTAATTAAATTTCTAATATTTTACTTAATTTTTTTATTTGTATTTCTCCTCAATAAATAAATATTTTTATAATATTAGTTTTAAATTGATTATAAATAAATATACTAGTTTTTTTTTTTTTATTTGTATTATATAAAATTTTATTATCTAAAAATAATATTTATATTGCATGCATTTATTAAAAATATAATTTTAAAAAAATATATAAAATATCCATAACACTACTTTTATATATATATAAAATAATAGTAATAAAATAATAATGTAACTTATTTATTTATACTATTTAAAATATGGCGTCCTGGGTCATCTTGTTGTGACGGAAGAAGCATCTTTCTATGGTGGTTGACGTTGTGTAATTTTCAATTGAATGATTTATGTACTACACTCTGGGTCCGTTGTGTTCACAACTGCCCATTGTGTATATATATATATATAGTAAACTTTAAAACACGCCCGTGTTCACGAAATTGCACCTCTGGCCACTCTTGACTTCCAAGGCAAAATTTATTAACACGCCCGTGTTCACGAAATTGCACCTCTGGCCACTCTTGACTTCCAAGGCAAAATTAGTAATAAAATTAAATCATTATACCAAATGGTTAGTAAGATGATAATTAATGTAACCATAAATAAAAGAAGTTGCAATTTATATTTATTTTTAATTTATTGATTCGGTACATTTATGTCTCTTAACACAATATTTATTTATGTGATTTAAATGCCCTCGAGGGTTTATTATTTCATTTATTATTATTAAATAAATAAATAAATAAAATTGAGACAATTTATCGAAACCTTGGCAAGGAGAGCGTCACACTCCAAGTCTGAGTCTGTGTCTGGGAGGGCGACCAAACCCCTAACCCCTACGGAACCTGCGATTCGCACAATTTTGTCGAATTCTTGAATTGAAATGAGCCTGGAAATTCCAAATCATCTTCACCAATTGTGATTATCGCGGATTGGAATTTCTAGCCAGGCCCCGTTCATGGCTGCGGCTAACCACAGGCAGTTTCAGAAACCGGAGGAATTGGTCGATCCAGAGATTCCATCGACGTCCTATTCGTCGTCGTCGTCGTCTTCAAATTCGAGCCGGAAAAAATGGTCGAATCTGCTGCCGATTTTGGTTGGCTTGGTAGTGATAGGGGAGATCGCCTTTTTGTGCCGGCTGGATATGGTGAAGAAAGCTGACCTAGTCAACTCGTGGGCTGACTCGTTCTACCACTTCACTGAGAAGGCGTCGGTTTCCTGGACAGCAGACGACGCCAGGTCGGGTCAGGACGTGATTACGGGCTCAGAGGAGAGCTGTGAGGCATGGCTGGAGAGGGAGGATTCCGTGCCGTATTCTAGGGATTTCATGAGAGAACCTATATTGGTGCACGGCAATGATGAGGTACTAGTGCTTTGCTTTGGACATTCAATTTGATAATCTGTGTTCTGATTTTTGTGGAATGCTGTTTGATCATAAATTGTTGCAACAATTCAATTTAGTTTACTTACACCTTTTGAGGTTTGAACTTACTGAGATGTGTATGAATTCTGTGAATCATTCAATGAGGAAGTGGATTGGCACTTAATATCGAATATGGAATCTAAATTATATGTTTTTTCACTAACTTTTGTGGATTAGATGTATCGACTTGTTAGTTGTTTTGATGATGTTATCCTGCAACGTCGTGTGTTTTTGACTTTTTATAGATGATGTTTAGGAGTGGAAGACCTGTGCTGTTGGATGTAAGTTTCGATATGGAGTTGATAAGCCCGATGCTGGATTTGGAATGCCACAGAAGCCCGGTGTGGCTACTGTGCATAGATCGATGGAGGCAGCTTCGTACTACTCTGAGAATAATATTGCAACAGCACGCCGGTGGGTTTCATGCATACCCTTCTTTGTTTAACAAATGATAATTAACAATCGTGTGCTGGATAGTTTCTTGCCAAAATTAATCAATGGTTTTGTTCTTGCTGATCTGCCATTGTGCTTTTCACTGATCAGATAATTGAATCTATTGGATTGATTTTTGGAATGTTTATAACATTGAATATCTAAAATCTTGCTTATCTAAAAAATGCACTTAAATGTTCATCTTTGATAGCTCTTAATGTTTAGATCATGTGGGTGTCCTCATTACATATATATTTTCATTATCTTCATCTGGTCCATCACTTGATGACAGGGTGTTCTTTATTTTCTTCTACCTATTTATTTCTTTATTTTTCACATTCGAATTTCAGGAAGGGGTATGACATTGTAATGACAACCAGTCTTTCATCAGATGTTCCTGTGGGATATTTTTCTTGGGCTGAATATGACCTAATGGCGCCGGTTGAACCAAAAACTGAAGCTGCTATTGCCGCTGCTTTCATTTCCAACTGTGGTGCTCGTAATTTTCGTTTGCAAGCTTTGGTTGGACTTGAGAATGCTGGTGTCAAAATTGATTCTTACGGGGGCTGCCATCGAAATCGGGATGGAAATGGTGAATCTTTAGATTATTTAAACTGAAGTTTGGCATTGGAGTTTAAATTTGTTATTAAGTAAAATATGAATTTAATACACACACGCATATATACATATATAATGTTTAGATTTGCTGAATATTGTGTTCTTATGTTGTCAGTGAACAAGGTGGAAACATTGAAGCGGTACAAATTTAGCTTGGCATTTGAGAATTCCAACGAGGAAGATTATGTCACTGAGAAGTTTTTTCAGTCTCTAGTTGCTGGTAACATAGCATTTCTTCTTACAGATTACTATGTTTTTACCAAATTTTCTTTATGCCTACGAGCTTGTTAATATTGAGAATACTTTTTCATATGTGGTTTTAAAACGAAGAAAATGCTAAGACAAAGAAAATGCTAAGATAATTGTTATTAATCACATTAGGAATAGAATTTTAAATGAGATGGAAATGCCAACTACGCCTGCTACCAAGGATTCGATTTTCCTCCGCTTATTCCATCGTAGGAAAAGTATGTAAATATATTTACAATTTTATAAATTATTATAGTGATATTGTCATTTTAATGCGTAGTATCTTCTTAATGTGCTGCATACTTTTGAAAATTTCATTTTGTTTCCCATTTTTATGGCCTATTTCTTTCAATTTACTTTCCATCGTAACAAACTTTTATTAATTTTGCTGAATGGTTAATGAATAGCATGTTTTACAGCAGTAGTTTAGCCATTACAAACAAAGCTAATTTCCGTTCACGGGTTCGTTAGAAAGTATTGTACATCCATGAATTGTTCTTGTAAGCGGCAGAATAATCGAGTTTGGAACTGTATTGAGGACGTTATGATGCTGGTGTTCTTACCCAAGGCCTTTGACGTATGTTTTAGGCACAATTCCTGTTGTCATCGGTGCTCCAAATATCCAAGATTTTGCACCTTCGCCTACTTCGATTTTACACATCAAGCAAGTGACAGATGTCGATTTTATAGCCAAGAAAATGAAGTTTCTCGCCGAAAATCAGAGTGCATTCAACGAATCATTAAGGTTTGCATCACCATTCTTTCACTGCATCCTGCTGTATCAATCTCTTAAAAACATATCAATACTCATGGATTCTTCTTTAATAGGTGGAAGTTCGACGGGCCATCCGACTCTTTCAAGGCCCTGGTCGATATGGCTGCAGTACACTCATCATGCCGATTATGCATCCACTTGGCAACCAAGATCCACGAGAAGGAAGAACAGATCCCGGAATTCAAAAACCGCCCTTGCAAGTGTACCCGCAGCTCAAAAACCACGTATCACATTTATGTAAGAGAAAGAGGGAGGTTTCACATGGAATCTGTTTTCTTAAGGTACACATTATCCGTAAACATTATGCTGTCGTCCTTCTTGGATCAACCAGTTCTGATGAATCCATATGTTCTCTTCCTACAGGTCCGACAACTTGACCCTCAATGCCCTTTCGGATGCAGTTTTATCAAAATTTACATCCTTGAAACACGTTCCTATTTGGAAACCAGAGAGGCCGGCAAGCATAAGAGGTGGAAAAGACCTCAAAGTGCACAGGATTTACCCGGTGGGGAAGACGCAGAGGCAGGCATTGTACACCTTCCGATTCAATGGAGATTCTGAGCTGCGCCGCCATATAGAAACCCACCCGTGTGCGAAATTTGAAGCCGTTTTCGTATAGGTATTCGGAGGGCTCGAGCCTCGGGATTTCGAAAAATCACACGAGAAAGAATCAGACAACAGGCAGGGTAGGTAACTCTATGGCAGCCTCGAAGATCTTTGTAGGGATTCAACTGTTTTTATCGGATGAATTTGCCTGATTAGTTTCACCAGATTTTTGTGTCCTAAATTAATTGATTAGCAATGCCAAGAAGTTGGAACAATGAGTCTTTTGGCAGCCATCGGCGCCGTGATTGATATGATATGATCAACGGCTGAGATGCATTTGGACTATTTTGTCATTTCACATGTATATGAGGCGAGGCGGCTCTATCGGCTATGGCCTGTGGCTGTGGCTTTGAGTCGCCCTGCCCTTTCATTCCTTCTTTCAGCCTTTCCCTGTCAATGGCTTTACCCTCTCTTAATTAATTCTTTATTTTCTTAATTCAATGATTGTATTTTATTATTTGTAGCAAGTATATTAAAATTGAGATTCCCACTTTCTTGTACAGCAACTAAGCTACACGGTACAGATCAATCTTGTTACTCAATCTGCGCCGTTCATGGCCTGGGGAAATGGACGGCCTGGATTCAACCCGCGCCAATGGCGGGCGTTGCGGCAACTCGACACTGACTATGGCTTCAACGGCAGAAATAGCGAAGCAGGAAATGACCTTTAGCTATATTCAAAAGGCCAATTCCATTGCAGAGGCCAAAGGACCTTCTCCGCCTTACAAAATGGTCTCGCCTCATCTTCTCCCGGCTTCTCCACCACCATTCGCCTCCTCCTCCGCCGCCGCCGCCGCCGTCGCCAATTTCCCCTGTTCTCACCATGACTTCACTCTCCGTCAAATTCCTATCCGTTCCGTTCCCAAATTCGACCAACAACTTCAAAACCGCAAGACTCCACGCCACGCCGCCGCAGACCGTGGCGCCGCCGCCGGAATCCGGTGCGGCGGAGATCGACTCCGAGAGGCTTGAGCCTAGAGTCGAAGAGAGGGACGGGTATTTCGTGCTCAAGGAGAAGTTCAGGCAGGGGATAAGCCCTCAGGAGAAAGTGAAGATCGAGAAGGATCCACTCAAATTGTTCATGGAGAATGGAATCGAAGAGCTCGCCAAAATACCTTTCGAAGAAATTGAGAGCTCCAAGATGCACAAGGACGACATTGATGTCCGCCTCAAGTGGCTCGGCCTCTTCCATCGGAGGAAGCATCACTGTAAGCTTCGATTCCAGAACATTCTGGTAGCTACTTCATCTGCTTCTGTTAATCATTTTCACAAATTGTTAGACGAATCAGGCAAATCACAAATCGGTCTCTCTCTACGTCGAAAATGTTAATTCTGTTGATTCTATTACCTCAATCAACATGCGTGAATGGTGCATTCTGCTGAGAAACCATTTCTACTTGCTATAATCTGATCTAACATTTGCCAAATTACTTTCAATCAGACGGTCGATTCATGATGAGGCTTAAGCTTCCCAATGGTGTTACAACCAGTGCCCAAACTCGATATTTAGCCAGTGTAATTCGGAAGTACGGCGATGATGGCTGCGCTGACGTGACCACACGGCAAAACTGGCAAATCCGAGGCGTCGTTCTACCCGATGTGCCGGACATTCTTAAAGGCCTGGAAGAAGTAGGCTTGACAAGCCTGCAGAGCGGCATGGACAACGTCAGGAATCCGGTGGGGAACCCTCTCGCCGGAATCGATCCTCACGAGATTGTTGATACAAGACCTTACACGAATTTGCTCTCACAATACATCACTGCAAATTCGCGCGGCAATCCGGCTTTCGCCAACTTGTGAGTACACTTTCGGCAAGCTCTTGTCTGTCTTACTTGTTTCGACTCGTCTGACATTCGTGTTGCCGTGATGTTTTGCAGGCCTAGGAAGTGGAATGCGTGTGTTATCGGATCGCACGAACTCTACGAGCATCCCCACATTAATGATCTTGCTTACATGCCTGCGACGAAGAACGGACGGTTTGGATTTAATCTTCTCGTGGGCGGATTTTTTAGTGCCAAGAGATGCGCGGAGGCGATCCCCCTCGATGCTTGGGTCCCCGGGGATGATGTTCTTCCTGTTTGTGGCGCAATACTCGAAGCCTTCCGAGATCTCGGCTTTAGAGGGAATCGACAGAAAACAAGAATGATGTGGCTTATCGATGAACTTGTGAGTAATGCAGGGGGAGTTCAAATTTGTTTTCCGCGACTTCTTTGATTGAATTTGGTGTGTTTCGATGAATTAGGGGATCGAAGTGTTTCGAAAAGAAGTCGCAAAACGAATGCCGCAGCAACATTTGGAGCGCGCATCGTCGGAGGACTTAGTCGACAGCAAGTGGGAAAGACGAGACTATTTCGGCGTACATCCTCAGAAGCAGGAAGGCTACAGCTTCGTCGGGATTCATATTCCCGTGGGGCGCGTCGACGCAGACGATATGGACGAGCTGGCCCGACTGGCGGATGTGTACGGGTCAGGCGAGCTTCGACTCACCGTCGAGCAGAACATCGTCATCCCGAACATCGAGAATTTGAAAGTCGAGGCGCTCCTCCGGGAGCCTCTGCTGGAGAAATTCTCCCCGGAGCCGCCGATCCTTATGAAAGGGCTGGTGGCGTGCACCGGGAACCAGTTCTGCGGGCAGGCGATAATCGAGACGAAAGCGCGGGCAATGAAGGTGACGGAGGAGGTGCAGCGGCAGGTGAGTGTGGGGCGGGCGGTGAGGATGCACTGGACAGGGTGCCCGAATACTTGCGGGCAGGTGCAGGTGGCGGATATCGGGTTCATGGGGTGCATGGCGAGGGATAGGTCGGGGAAGATGGTGGAAGGCGTGGATGTGTACGTTGGGGGGAGGATCGGGAGTGACTCGCATCTCGGAGAGGTGTATAAGAAGGGCGTGCCGTGCGGCGAGCTGGCGGCGCTGGTGGTGGAGCTGCTCGTCGACAGGTTTGGGGCTGTTCGCCGGCAGAGGGAAGAAGAGGACGAAGAAGAAAGGCAAGATTGATATTAGTGTTGTGAAGAAGATTAATGGATGGATGAAGGGTGATGAAGAAATAGTATTATTGTGTGTTTTTTATAATAATAATAATTATTATTATTATTATTATTTTGATAATACAGATATAAAGTCACATGAATGTTTTAAAAATATATATATATTACATATATTTATTATTTTTATAATTTTTTATACGTAATAAAAAAATCATTTCACAAACGCCCGAAAATAATTGAACTAATAAACTGCACACGTTTTTATTTATTCATATTGATACTTATTTTAATAAAAAATAATAATATTTTACATTATTACGTGGTAATATTTTTTTTATAAGCCTATATTTTATTTGTATTAAATAATTTTATGCACTTCTAATTTTATTATTTTATTTAAAAAAAATAACTATCTTATTATTATTATTATTATTATTTATCATCATTCTATTATATTTTTATCAAAATTTACTCTTAATTTATTTTTTCTTGTTTCATTTTAACATTAAAATATTTCATTCTTAATATTTATGCAACTTTGTCCAAGTATCATAACAAGTTAAGTAGAAAAAGTATGGCAATTTTATTTGTTAAAATATGATCATATAATAATGGATGAATAGCTCCCATAATTTATTATCATATTTTAATAGTTAATAATTAATTTTTTATGTACCCACTATTTAAATTTTTTTCTATACAATAGTTATTTTATTTTTACCTACTCTATTGTTATATTAAAATACTGCTATTTTTTTTTTTAATTTTCTTACTTGAACATTGTGGTATAATTAAGCATGATAGAGAGAGTATTATATTTTTTTTAAAAAATCAATAAGAAAATTGTTAAACTCATAAATTTAAAAATAAATAGTAATATTCTGGCGTAAAGCTCGAATTTATTTTCAACAATTGAGTTAGGAAATTCTAAATTCTTAAGGTATTACAAAGAAAATAATAATGGTTCCTAATAAATTTCTTGAAAAAATTTATGTATGATTGAAGATGTCCAATTTAAGGGCGGGATGAGGATAAATTGGACCGAAGCCCAAGACCCATTTTCGGATTGTAACAAAAATATTTAGTTGTCATAGAATGCATTAAAAATTTATTTAAATTTAAAAAATTGTTAAAAGGTTAATTTATTTCCATTTATATCTTTCTAATTAAATTAAAAAATTATATGAATCATATTTATTTATTCTTATTTCAAAATTTATATTTAAAATTTAATTTTTTGATAAAAAGTAAAACATCAAAATCAAAGTATATTTTTTTAAAAATAAATTTAAGAACAATATTTCTAAAACAATCTTAAATGTGGCTATTCCAACTATTCCAATGTCTTTGTATAATCCTAAAACCTTAAACAAATATACTATTTAGTTTTTTTTTTTTCAATAATTATAAGGGGTTTGCTTATTTGTGTTTATTTTAATATATATTAATTTGGAAATATTGTTAAATATAATATTTAAAATACAATATTACAAAAGTAAATAATTTAAATAAAATAAAAATATAGAAATATATATTATATATATATATATGCACCCATCAGTTGGATTGATTCAATTTTAACATCCATTACATTACACATGCATGCTTCAATATATATACACACCAAATTAATTATTAATTACTTTTTCCGTTCCACTTAATTTGTCTTTTTTTTTTTTCGTTCATTCCACATAAATTGTTCCTTTTTTTTAAAATATAATTATAAATTTTAACCACATTTTAAATTTCATAATTTACAATTTTTTTTAAGTTTAATTAAACTTTTTAGTCATCCTAATTTTAAATTATAATTATTTTTATTAAATTATAATTATTTTCTTAATTACTTATTTATTACAACTGTACGTAAAACTATGTGACTAAATTAAATGGAACAAAATATGTGAAACTGATAGAGTATTAATTAACCCAAATCAAAACAAAAGAAAAGAAAAGGAATTGAATATAATGGATTGAACAAATGAATGCCCGTATGTACCTACTTAAAAGGTGAACCCATCTCTCATCATCATTCCCTAATTCACTCAAAATATCCACACACTCTATCTATCTCATCAATGGCAGACATATATATATGAATCGATCATATTTATGGTGCTTTGCTCACAATATAATTATTTAAATAAATTATATATTTATATTCTGATAGAAAGTGATCTCTGTTTATTGGCACAGCCACATAAGTTTCTATCAATTCTTTTATTTATTTATTTAATTTCTGCCATCATTCACACACCCACACCCATTATCTATTAAATGAATTATTTTTCCAAAATTGTAGTGTGTGTAGAATGGAGAAACCATTTAATATATAATTAAATTTATTATGTCTTAATTTGTGTAATTAAACAATAATTAGCACAAACTAATGACTGTGTCTTTTTGGGGTAAACAAGAAAACACTTTTAGGTGAAATATTATATCATAATTAATGGAAATAAAAATAAGAACTATAGTAATTAAATATTCACCCACACACATGCATAACACTAGTGCAAATTTCAATTCGAACGAATCTTCTAGAGTCAATGTGAATGTGACCTCTCATCTATCTATCTATCTCAATTAATTTAAATATTTATAACATCACACAAAAATGACAACTTTGATTATATACCATGAAATATGAATCTAGCTAGCTGGCCACGTCATTTTGCTTAACACAAATTTGTTACTAGCTCCACCCATCCTATATATATATATATATATATTTATTTAATTTAATTTTTCAACATCATTATATTATAATTCAAATATATATATATATTTGTTGACCGTCCACTATTAGTCAAACCTCACTGTATTTTCATGGCCATTTCTGCTATTATTTATATATTCAAACATAACATTAGTTAATTAAACTAATAAACCTTTTTATAATAATTGCTGTCTGAATATTGCATATATATATATTTATATATAAATGTTGAGACAAAATGGCAGGTAATTTGATAAGTTATATTTATAATATTTAAAATTAATTCCAGACTGGTGTAGATCGACGGCCGACATGTTACTAAATCGGGCAACGAAACTTCTAATCCAGTATTGCCCACACATTACCAGATCCTTCTGGACACGTGTCGCCCCGGTATTGATCAGGTGGCGGGCACGAGAGGGATCTACGTGGACCCCACAAGGCCGTCGATCTATCGGGTTGCCATCTACATCGCCGACGTTGGCCCCATCCGGCGCATATTGGCCGTTGGATCTACAATCTGTCCGTGAAGATTCGCGATCAAACCCTTTCAGATTTCGTTGTCAAAGTACTATTCTGCCCTTCAATTTTCAAAGTGGTTGATTAAGACTGGTGAATTATTGCGGTACCCTTCCTTGGACAGAACAGAAGGGGTGAATGAATGAAGCAACTATTTACGGATAAGAAACGTTTTGTAACTGGACTTTTTTATTTAAATGAATATTCGGTTAACCTAGGCTGTATTTTAAATATACTATTTCAAATAGGATCATTTTGCACTTCTTTTACTGTAGGTAAATTAGAAAACTTGGTAAAAATAAAAATAATAGTAAAAAATTTTAAACATCATGCCATAGTCATTTCGAAAATGCACTAGGACGGACCTATGATCTAAATTTTACTATGGTAAAGGAGGAGAGTTTCAATTTCCCACTAAGCTTGACAAAACGGTTTCTCACGAACTGATCATAGCCCAAAAGTGTTGATAAAAATATAATTGTTGCACAAAATTATATTTTTTTTAAAAAAATCAAATCTTTGAGGACCATCGTTTTAAATTTTTGTATCCTATCCAGTGTCATAACTTAGAAAAATTGTCAAAGTTTTGAGATTATAAAAATCAAGTTTGAGCCGTCAGCCGCCCATATTTTACTTTGTATTGTTAATTTCACTTTGAACAACTATAGTGTCTTGTTTTATTTAAGCACAATGTGCATATTATTTCATGTCAGAAAATATTTATTTGTATGTGTATTATGTTTATATAGATAGATACAAATTATGATCGTAAGAGCAATAAACGTGGCTTAAAGTGTGTAATAATGAAGTAAAGTGATTGAACATACATGCACTAGATAATAATTCTGAAATTGATTTTCATATCCCTATCTACACAATCAATTGATCTGCTATGATCTTTTCGTAGCATGCCCTCTTGCCCATCCATCCATCCATTAATTTCTTTTTTTTTTTTTCTTTGGCAAATGGTAAATAATATATTTTCTAGTGGTCCATGTCAACATTTCATGTGCACAATCGATGAATGGCCACCACAAACACACACACACAGAGAAGTAATTAATGTTAGCATACACATCATTTTCTTTGTATGGATCACCAATTCATATATATGTATATATATGCAATAAAACCCTCACTCCTTACATCCCACATCGGCAAAAAATTAATATCGGTCGAAGAAGGGAGGAGAAGAAGATTCTGTTGTTTTAGTTGCATAATTGGTGTGAGACTTATTATCACTTAATCATCATCATCAAGAACATATATTATTAATTTGGCTTTGATGGAGTGGTCGTCGTCGTCGTTGGTGGTCTACATCGGGGTTGTCTTCGTTTTCCTTCTGAGTGTGGTTTACAGTCAGCTATGGAGAAAGCACGTGAGAAGGCACAAATTAATTCCCAGACTGCCCCCGGGCTCAATGGGCTGGCCGTACATCGGCGAAACCCTCCACCTCTACTCCCGACACCCCAACTCCTTCTTCTCCGACAAGCACAAAAGGTACGTACCTTACTGTAACTGATACATCATTCATTCATCCATTAATTAATTAATCAAAACCCTAATTCTTACATTACATTAATTAGATATGGGGATGTGTTCAAAACCCACATTCTGGGATGCCCCTGCGTGATGCTGGCAAGCCCTGAGGCGTCGAGGTTCGTGCTGGTCAGCCATGCCCATCTGTTCAAGCCCACTTACCCCAGAAGCAAGGAGAGGATGGTGGGCCCCGCAGCACTCTTCTTCCACCAGGGAGACTACCATGCCCACCTCAGGAAGCTTGTTCAGACATCGTTGTCCCCAGACACCATCAAGAAACTCATTCCTAGTATTGAATCCATTGCTCTCTCCATCCTCCACTCCTTCGCCACCGCCACTCCCCATCACCTCCCCGCCAACACTTTCCGAGGAATGAAAATGGTATACATATATCTAGAGAGAGAGAGAGAGAGAGAGAAAATATTATATTATATTATATGATATGATATGCATGTGTTGATTAATTAATTGAAATTCAATGAAAACGTACAGTATGCTTTTGAAGTGGGGATTTTGTCGATATTTGGAGAGCTCGAGAAGCAAATCAAGGAGGAGATAAAGGAGAAGTACGCAATAGTGGATAAGGGATACAATTCCTTCCCCACTAAAATACCTGGAACTGCTTATCACAAAGCTTTAATGGTGCACACCATACCACTTATAAACATTCGTCATTACATTTACACACGTCTGTAATTTTGATTTTACTATAATAATAATTATACGTGCAGGCACGAAGGAGGCTTGGCGAGATTATCAGAGACATAATTGCAGATAGGAAGCAGAAGAAATTAATGGCGGCGGAGAATCATGAGAATGAGAAAGAGAATGATCTTCTGGGTCATCTTCTGAAGCAGAAAGGGAAACCCCTGACCGACGACCAAATTGCAGACAACATCGTCGGCGTGCTGTTTGCTGCTCAGGACACCACCGCCAGCTCCCTCACATGGATCCTCTACTACCTCCATCACCATCCCCACCTTCTACAAGCTGTTAAGGTCATCCTCATCTTTTATTTTATTTCAATAATAATTCGGCGTTTTTTTTTTTGAAAAAATTTGATTTAAATTTGAATTAAAATAATGTTTGATAAAAAAATATTTTTTAAAAACAAAATATATTTTTTTAGAAAAACTTAAAAATTTAAATAGTAAAATTTGATAATAATAATAATAATGTTATTTGGGGATGGCAATTATTACAGGCAGAACAAAGTGCTATTTACTTGTCAAACGACAAAGGAAATAGAGGGCTGACGTGGACTCAGACTAGAAACATGCCTTTCACTTACAGGGTATATATATATATGTATAAATTATAATTGATGTGAATTTCATGTGTGGATGGACTGTTTTTGTACTAACAAATGGACAAATTTGATTGATTTCAGGTAATACAAGAGAGCCTAAGAATGGCAAGTGTCGTGTCTTTTACATTTAGAGAAGCTGTCGTTGACGTCGAATATAATGGTAATCTTTTATTACGAAAAGAAAATTAAAGAATTAATTGATTAATTAATGTGACATTTCGAAAAATTACTGTTAATTTTGACAGGCTATCTGATTCAAAAAGGATGGAAAGTTATGCCACTGTTCAGAAACATTCACCACAACCCTGAATTTTTCAATGATCCTCAAAAATTCGACCCTCACAGATTTGATGTAAGAATTCATCCATACCTTTCTAGAAAATATATATACGTATATATATATATATTTAAAAAATTTGATTTTATATATTTTATTGAATTTTAATTGTGGTGAATGCAGGTGCCTCCAAAGCCCAATACTTACATGCCATTTGGCAATGGGGCCCACTCTTGCCCTGGTAATGAGCTTGCCAAACTTGAGATGCTCATTTTAATCCATCATCTCGTCAACAAATATAGGTAAATTAAACTAACCAAATAAATTATTTCAAATGAAATACTCCTATATATAATTCAAGATTTTTATGAATTGCAGGTGGGAAGTGGTGGGGCCCATGCACATGGTACAGTACAAACCATTTCCGGTTCCTTACGATGGACTTCCGGCAAGGTTCTGGAAGGATCCGTACAACCTTAATTAGTCAGAGGAATTAGTTATATATATTAGTATTAAAATTTTGAAATATACGATATAATAATAATAATAATATTGTATATTATATTATTATTAGTGTAACCCCATGCAAAACCCCTGTGTCTGTTTTTGTTGTACCATGGGTCGGTGGGTCGGGTCGGTAATTAATGATAAATTAGGCAGATTACTGTTGGGGCTGTCTTCATTTTATGTTTATTGTATATTATTAGATTAAATAATTTGGGCTCCAATGATTGTTAGAAAATGTTTTTTGTAGTCACGAAATTAAGATGCTCTTGTAAAGAATAATTGTGGTCAGTATATATTTGTAATACACATTGTATCTATATGATAAAATAAGGTCTTCATGATCTTTAGCACTAGAATTTTTTTCAATTTATTTATTACTTGCGTATCATTCCAAAAAAATAAATAAAAATAAAAATAAAAATAAATCAAAATTATTAAATCATGCAAACGTCTAAATGTTGAAAAATTAAAAATACGAAAAATACATGGACCCGTATTGTTTCAATGATTTCTTCTTTCTAAAAAAATAAAAAATAAATATTCAATCAAGAGAAAACTGGGGCCAGAGCAAGAAATCAACTCATATAATATAATTTTCTTTAGATAAAATATTCTTTGGAAAAAAAAAAAAAAAATGGTCAGGCAATCATTTTATATTTGTAAAATTAAATGAAACATATCTTAAGGTTTGTTTGCTAGTAGAAATGATTTAATATTGTGCTATATATAATTTATTCTTAAATGTTTCATCTTATAAAAAAAGGAATCCCTTTATATTATAACCATAATTTTATCCTTACGAAGGCTTAAAACTAAACTTAAATTTTGAAAATAGCAATATGTCATTAATTAATGTTTTCATTATTTACCTAAAAATATCACTAATTAATTAATTAATTAATCCATTTCACGTGAATGTCAGCGTCACTCACTCCAGTCTCCACTCTCCACCTTTACCAGATTTTTTCATATTATTATTATTCATTTATTAAATTTACAACATGATAAATATACACACACAAAAATAAAAACTGTTTTTTATTTTATATTTAAATAAATAAATATATACAATGATAAGTAACAAAAAAAGAAATGCCTTGGGACAACCGGAACCCTATAAAGTGCAGGAATTTGCGCGTGGGTCCTTTGAAAACATTATACTCCTATTTGTGACCACACTCTTTCACTTTTAAGCCAATAAATACCCTCTGGCCGGCGGCACTGCACGTGACGTCGTTGTTCCGATAGGGATAACGTCACTGCCCCTATTATAATGAATATTTTCAAATTTTCAAGAACCTTTTACTTGTGTCGGGAGATATTTTTAATTATTTTTTAACGAAAAAATAATGATTAAATAAAGGGGTATGTTTGATTTGACTCCAAATTAGAATCATCACAGAATAATTACGCATTTGTCCAATTGTGTGTTCATTTGACCGCACAAGAATTTTAAAAAAAATGTAATAATATAAATTTTTATTTTTTTTTATAAAGAAAAGTAGTATTTTTTTATTAAAAAAAGAAACAAAAATAAATTTGAATGAAAAAAAAAAAAAAGAAAGTAAAGTGATAATAGATTAAAAATAGATTATTTGTACTAAACCTAGACTAACAAAACTCAAGTTAAAACCAAATAAACTCAGGCTATTTTATTGTCAAAGTATTTTGTATCAAAACACAATAAAAACTACTACTACTACTACTACTACTACTACTAATAATAATAATTTAAAAAATAAAAATAAGAACTTAATAACAACGCCATAATATTTTCTATGAAATTTAAAATTTAATATCATATTTATAAATATACAAACTTAATGTAAAATATAATGAAATTAATTAATTAATAAACCGCAAACAATTTAGGAAAAAAAAAAAAATGTCGTCCAAATTGCATGCATCGTTATTGTCTACTTCAAAAGTCGATATCATGTAATAATTAATCCAATCGACATTATTGTTGTGACAGAGTTAGACAGTTAAATCAAATGATCGAATCAATTTAACTATTCGACCATCATATTAAAATTGACAGATAAATATTTCAAACTCACCCTCGCCCTCGAACATGCATGATGAAGACACGCACTAGGTCATCGTCTTCAAAGGACTAATTGATCAAAGTTAATTGCTTGAACCTTCAAGATTTTATTTCGACTTAAAATGGAATGGAACCACCTGAATGGAATTTCTTTTATAGAATTAAACTCATGTCATTTTTCTTCCAGAAATTTCATATTAATTTATTTTAGCTAATTTGACGATGTAATCTAAAAATTTATTATTAAACTGATCTTTGATGTATATATAGTTGTCTTTGATCATTTAATTTAGTTTTTAAAATAGTATCGCACCTAATAGGTTTTTTTATATATAAGTAGTAACTTCATATATAATTAGAGGTTTTTTATTATTTTTTTTAGTTGAATTAGATATTAGGTATATTAAAAACGAGTATTGGATATAATATTTTTTATAAAATAATTAAAATTGAATAATACAAAATATTAAGAAGTGAGCAAAAAAATTAATTTCAATAAAATTGAAAATTTAATGTACTAATTTATTTTATTGATCGATAATGATATTTTTAATTGAGAGTAATAAAAAAAAAATGCAAAATAAACAAAGCCTCGACATAAACTAGAAAACTTTATTAATTTAGTGACATAGTAGTTACAAATGTATTCTTAAATTTTTTGAATATGTATTATATATTTATATTGCCTAAAATTTATTGTGGATTATATATTTATTTTATATATACAAATGGGCCAGACTTACAAACTAGACCAAATTTCTGACACTTTGATAATAGGCCTTTTACTAAAGCCTGCTTGCATTTTATTTAAATTGTTTTATTTTAAACATTGAATTATAATTAGTGAAATTTTCTCAAAATAAAATGCTGTTTTTGTTTAATTTAAAATTTTCAGCATTTAAAATTTACCGCCAACCCCCCGAACCAATTAAATAATTATATATATAACATTTAATTAATTTTATGTTATATTTACTGGCAAAGTTCACATGATCCTTAGCCGAGTTCCGTTTTCGTCTCCTCGTTCGCACATTTCCATTCTCTTTCCTTTCTCGATTTTGCTTTTTCCTCATTTTTCTGTGAAATCTTGCGGAGGTTTCAAAGCGGTTAGTTCTCGCTTCTAAGGAATGGAATGGTGCTTGATCATCTCAGCGATGAATTAAGTATTCGCACGAAAAGCTGTTCGAGTCTCGTTGATTGATTTTGATGCTTCGTCGTTTAACTGAGTTTCAGTTCAATGGAGAAATCGTTTTGGAAGTATACTGGCAGCCCCAGCGCTTGGCATTTAACAGTCGCTCTCTACTTTGCTTTTGCATTTGGTGCTGCGAGGTTTATCCTTGACAGATTCATCTTCCGCGTAAGCTTATATCGGTGAATGGAGCTGCATCTGCATGCTCGATGTTTACGGTTTATATATTGACAAGTTGTTTTGATAAAAAAATGTTAGTTTGCACGATGCAATTTAATGGTATGAAAAAATTTTCTGTTTAAGCAATCTTCTGGAAAAGAAGAACAACGATAATGCAGCCGATAAAATGTGTTGACACAAATATATGTCGACAACTTCATTAGTTGAGATGATCTCTATTTCTCACAGTTATTCAATGTCTCACACAGTGGCTGGCTATCTGGTTGTTGATTGGTAGCGGAGGCACAACTCGGCTGACACTTGATGGGCGAACAAGGAGAAAATTAGTGAAATGTACAGAGTCCTTGTGGAAGCTCACGTACTATCTTACCATCGAATTCTTCACTGTGGCCACTGCCTACCGTGAGCCATGGTTCAGAGGTGTAAGTGTAACCCAATATTTTATAGGCTGGCCACACCACGAGATCAAGTAAGAAACTATGAATAATGGAAATCTCTTCCTTGTTTTATGTTAACAAAACATCCGCTCTCATGGAAAAAGAATCTATCCATATTAAGGTTTGCTTGGTATGATCTGCATATTGATGAAGAGATACTGGTATGTATCTCATACCATATAGTATTAGGATTTCCTCTAAGGAGCACTGACGATTGGAGTTGCATGTTTCTTGAGTGTTTCTTCCATATCCAAATTACAGATTCATAAAGTTAACTCGATCTGCATAGTATATACGTTTTTTTTGTTGAAATAAGTTCACTTATTGTTTTCAGGCTTCCGTTGAAACTTATCTACATGTGCCAGTGTGGCTTCCACATTTATAGCATTGCTGCACTGCTTCTGTGGGAAACAAGGAGGAAGGATTTCCCTGTCATGATGGCTCATCGTGCTGTAACTGTGATCCTGATTTCATCTTCCTATGTCTCAAGGTATCTTTCTACTAATTTGGGTATTATTAAGTTTTATTCATGACCAATTGGTACCTCTTTATCTAAATTTACACAAACCATGATCATCACATCCAGAATAATAAATCAGCCATTCCAACTAAATAAGAGACTAATGTTTGATCAAATTTGGAGTAGTAAAACCTTAAAATTTTACTTCTCTTTCTGTCTAAATTTTTCTCCAAATCCTAATGCTCATTGGAAAAGAGGTAAGCTTCCGGAACAGAAATTGTTGTAGCTTGTATACAACCATAAGAACATTCTACTTGTGAACTTACTGCTCCTTTTTGATCAATATATTGTTGGAGATGCTTTCTTGTAGTTTATTTCAGATAGGAGCTGTTATCCTCCTCCTGCATGATGCAAGTGATGTCTTTCTTGAAGCTGCAAAGATTTTCAAATACTCCGTAAATGAGCCTGGAGCTAGACTGTGCTTTGGCTGTTTTGCCTTGTCATGGTTTATACTTGGGCTAATAGTCTTTCCATTTTGGGTCATATGGTCATCGAGAGGTTTGTTTTCGCACCTCGCTCACAAAGTATATATTTCTTTCAATCCTTTATATTGTTCTCTTCCATTAAATCTCCTTGTTTCTTCCTCAGCTATTTTTCATGCAAAACTATGGACCTTTCACAGGCCTACAACAAACTATTATACTGTTTCTTCAATACAATGCTGTTCACCCTGCTGTTCTTCCACCTTTACTGGTGGAAGCTTATATGTTGTATGGTTGTGATGCAAATGCAAAGTCTTGGTAGAGTTGTCGAAGATATACGTTCAGGTAGAGGAGGAGTTGAAAGCATAATTATTTGAGTACCGTAGTGCAGTAGTCATTATCTTCTAACCAACATTTTGCAATCCTCATTCAGATTCTGAAGAAGATGACTAAGGCAGGTTTATTCTCTCAAAGCAAGGATCTATCAACTTTCGAAGACTGATGGTGTTCTTCCATACAGGTTTGGTGACTACTTAGCAGAAAACATATCTCTCTTTTATTTTTACACATTAATTATATTCTTGTCACTGTTTCATCAATTTAGGATGTTTCTCCACAACAGAGTGGTTGTTGAATCTTTACCTAAGGATGTCGGGGCGAGTTCCTGATGGGTTTTGCTTTAAACCTACCGGGTTTGGGTCTAATATGAAAACCCACTTTAATTTTCTAAAATATATATGTTTTTTATAGGGTATTTAATATAATATAAATAAATAAATAATTCAAATATCAAATATTAAAAATTTAAAATTTAAAGATCTCAGTCATAATATATTTTCAAGGGGTGGTGACGTTAATGTAGTCATGCAATGGATGGGCAATGAAAGAATGGTGAATTAGAAGATAAAAATATTTGTATAAAATTGAAAAATAAAAAATAATGAAAAAAAAATATAAATTTAGTCAATATGAATAATTATAAAAATATTTAATATTCATTTTAAATTTATCAATTTATTTTCGAAGATCTAACTCTTATATAGTATTTCATCTGTTTTGGGACAAATGATTTTTTTTTTTTAAAGTCATAAGATGATATGTTTATATTTTTGTAAATTTAATAATATTAAATATATTTAATTAATATAAATTAATAAATAAATATATTTTTTTTATCTATATTTAAAAAAAATTATAAAATTAATTTATGTTAATTATAAATAAATATATATATATTTTATCTATATTATATAAAATTTTATTTTTTATGAAATATTATTTATATTAATATATTTTATTTAGATATAATGTTTAAAATATGTAAATATTTTAATTTTTTTTATTATATATATATATTAATTTTTAGATTAAAAATTTATTATTTATATAAAAAATAACAAAAAAATATCATAAATACTATAATTAATTTATTAAATTATATTATTATTATGCAGGCGAGCGTCGCTGTAGATGATTCTATTTGGGTTGGAGATTCTGGAATTGACCAACACCTTTTCGAGGATGGACCCAAAATGAGAGAATTTTGACTTGTGTACTTTGTGTTCTAGAAGGTCGCATGGTTCTTTGGGTCACATGTTGTCGTGGGTCCTGCAAGCCGCTAGCCAAATTTTACCTGGCTGGCCGGTGGCCCGAGTATCATGCATTCCAATGCCCGTGACCGTGAGCACAACATTTGACACACAACATGTCCGCTTAGACGTAGACAAATATATATATATATATATAGGGAAAATCTTTTTTGTCTAATATAACCACAATTAACCAATTTTAACCTTAAAATAATTAATTTTAGTTTTAACGTTGTCAAACCAAAGAAAAGTATTGATATGAATTTAATAGAGTTGACCCCGCGGCTACTTGTATTTTACATGATTTTGTAACAACAAATACGCTCGTGTTTAGAACAGTCAGTGGCCTCAGTCACGGTCGTGTTTGTACACGATTGTGTAATAGTTATACAATTATATATATATAATTTTTATTTATTTATAATTAACATAAATATTTTTTTATAAAAAATTTAAATATGAATAAAAAATATTTTTTTAGAAAAGATAAAAATAAAAAAATTTTAAGTAAATCATATATTATTTATAATATTATATGGAGTATATTATTTAGTTAATTAAATTAATTTATATTTTTTAAATATATTTTAATTTAATAAATTTTTTCAAAATAAAAATATATCAATTATGGCAAGACAAAAATAAAAACTATATTAATTATTATGAGATGGAAAAGGAAAAAATAATATTTATTTCAAAAGTCAAATGATATTGAGAATGAAAGTTAACGGTAGCGTTTATGTTTTTCCGTTCTAAACAATAATCTCCCGAATGGGCCGGGCCGGGCCACCCAAAAAGATTAAGATGACGCCATCTTACCCGTCACACCACATCATCTGCACTGCCTGCGTGCCACATAGATATTATCTGTACGTCTACGTAATACGTGTCCAAAGTGTGTGCGCGTAACGTATATATATCCATAATTTTGAATTCCACTGTCCCAGCTGGCATCTGCCCTGCCATTAACATTCTCTTCAATTTTCAAATTCCTTCCCAACAACCAACCCTAATAATATCCATTCCCCGGCAAGATAAAGTCAGCCGGAAACTTTATCCCAACTCAGACATGAATAGGTCAAACAAGACAACCACCCACGGCGGCGCCGGCGCCGGCGGTTTCCCAATGGCGGCACTTCCATCGCCGCCGCAGATGACCAGAGAGCAGGAGGAGTCGATCATGGTGGACGCCCTGACGGCCGTCATTTCCCAAACGGAAAACGCCGCCGCCGTCGACGGCTCTGCGTTTTTTCCGGCGGTTTTCGACAGCACGGATACGACCTGCCCCTCCTGCGGAATGATTATGAAGGACTGTTTGGGGTGCAGTTTTTTCGACGACGGAATAATGAAGAAGAAGAAGAAGAAGCAGCAGAAGAATTACAGAGGCGTGCGGCGGCGGCCGTGGGGGAAGTGGGCGGCGGAGATTCGCGACCCCCGCAAGGCGGCGCGTGTGTGGCTCGGAACTTTCGAGACCGCCGAGGACGCCGCCCGAGCCTACGACCGGAAAGCAATCGAGTTCCGCGGCCCTCGGGCGAAGCTCAATTTTGCGTTCTCCGATTACACCGGAGCCACCTCCTCCGGCCCCGGCGCCGCCGCGCCGGAAATTGGGTCAGGGAGCAACGGCGATAAGGAGTTCTGGGATTCGATGATGATGGGTTCTAACGACGAAGATTCTGGAAACCCCTCGAATGTCCGCAGGATTTAGGCAGTTTATTTAGATAGCAGTTACGTTGCTTTAATAAGTGACGGATAAAAACAGAAAATATAAGTTAATTTAATATGGAGTACTATAAATACTCCGTTTGTTAATTAGAATTTTGAAGATGATCAAGGTTTTAGAAAATTTTGAAAATAATTAAAAATAAGTATTGACGTTATATTTTGTGAGAGAACAAATTAATTTTGATTTAAATATAATTAAAATATATCAATTTTGGTATAAATACAAAAAATTCATAAATTTTAGTTTTATTATAATTAATTTCAATTAATTTTGATCCACCGTTTAAAAATTAATAAAAATTATTGACGTGGCATAATTGAGTTGACGTAATGGTTAACTGATAACAACAAAAATTGATTTATTTTTTATTTTTCAAAAGAAATAACAATACCATATTATTGAAAAATTAAAATAGTATTAAAAATCCAAAATTATTGTCTAAACTTGATACATTGACTTAAAAAGAATACTAATAAGTATTTAAATAAAAGATATGATAGATAAAAGGTAAAGTAATGTATTATATACAAAAAAAAATGTGACAAAAAAATATTAAAATAACTAGAAAAACAGTAATAAATTATTTATTATTTATTAAAATATGAATAATAAAATTATTTATCAGGTAACAAAAGGAATAAGATGTTGATAGATAGGAGTAAAATATATTAGCATAAGACAATAGTTCATTAACAATGTTGAATTTGAGAACAATATGTATTAACAAACAACAGCAGTATTATAAAGTATTAATAAAAATATTTTTGTTATTTTTTTTTAATTGATATTATGTTTAATATAATATTTAATATTTAAAAATTAACCTGCAAAAAGTAAATGAAAAATTTAGCTATTGACAAAAAGAGTAATATTTTATTGATTAATGAAAATGTATAAATTATTTTAATATTTTTGTTTTTGTATTTTATGGATAAATTAATTGTATATAGAATAATATTGTGTAAAAAATATATATTTTAATATTAATGCACCATTATTTTTTACAATAATATAAAATAACTATTTGTTAGTACAACAAACAAAGATAGTATTAGTAATACTTTTAATTAAAATAGAAGAAGTGATAATTAGTAAACTATAAAATAAATTAGGCTATACTTGTTTGAAAATTAATTTATATTCCATCCGTTCGTCTGCTTATAAGGTCATTTATATTGTGCGTTATTGTATTTAATATTAAAAATATTTTTTATATTTGTATAAAATTTTTTTACAAATGTCATTCTATTAGTATTATAAGACACTAATTGAAATATTTTTGCAATTTTTTCTTAATTTATACTATGTTTTGATATAATAATTAATATTAAAATATCAACACTCAAAAAGTAAACGAGACTTTCAGAACCGGACGAATGTAGTATTATTTCTAATACTATTTGTTTGAAAACAATTAATAGTATTCGGTATTTTCAATATATATCAAAATATAAAAATTTTAATGTACCAAAATTTGGACATTTTCAATAGTTTTTGGGGTATGGTATTCATGGTACTTTAATTTGATAGTCCTTTCGTCCAAATTCAATGAGATTTTTTTGGACTTTTGTAGTAAACTAAAAAAAATAGTAATATTTTATTAGTTAGTAAACTGAATACTCTATTTGTCTCGTAATAAAATATTTATTTTTCTATTTTATTTCATCCCATAAGAAAATATCAATTTTTTTTTATTTAACATTATAAATACTCTTATAATTTACAATATATTACAAAAATATCATTACCGTGTACTAATAAGATTATTTTAGTTATTTCTACTACATTTAAATATAATAATAATATTTCTAAAAAAAAGTAAATAAATATTTAATTATGGGACGAAGAGTGTATATTTTTGTATTAGAATATGATTATTTTTTTTTTAAATAAAAAATGAATATTTTGAAGTTAAACCTACCAAAATCATAAAAATAAACTTTAAATTAAGAAAAATTGAAGTCATCTTTCCTCCCTAAGCGGTGAGTTTTATTAACACGATTTGTATGCGGGGAAAACGCGACTTCTCCACAAACACATTAGCAACATTGGAAATATTCTTTCCTTCGTTACCAAGAAAAATGTTTACACGTGTCGTCGTCAGATCTACGCTAAGTCTAAATGGCGCCGATAACCATATATAATGTATACATGTAGTGCTCCAACCGACGCTCCTGACGTTTTGCACCCTCCGATTTCTCTCTACATCTCATGGTTTGCGATATTTGACGTCTCAATTCCTCTCTGTGCGCGTGAAAGTTTCGATTTCCTGTGGATTTTTTATAGGAAGGAATCTTGATTAATTAGGGGTGTAGCAGCGCCGCCTACGAATTTTGATTGGGAAGGAGTTCTCGGTCAATTGCAGTTTTGAGTCGCTGCCACCATCACCATGGGAGGTTCACAAAGTCGCGAAGGATTGGAGCTTTCGGATTCGGATTATTCGGAGGAGGAGGAGGAGGAAAAGGAAGAGCAGGATTCGGATAATTATGTTGACGCGGAGGATGGTGGTGCTCAGGTGAGTTCAAAAACCCTAGACGAAGTTGATTCGAGGTTACAGGATTTAAAGCTCAAATACTCGAAAGCCTCTCCGAATTCGATTAAGAAACCTAGCGCTGATCAGAGGAACGCTGTTAAGCTGTACCTACATATAGGCGGTAATACGCCGAAGGCAAAATGGGTGGTTTCGGAGAAGCTCTGCACTTACAAATTCGTTAAGAAATTGAAGATTGAAGACGACGAGGAAGAGTATGATGGTGATGAATTGCGCAGCGGTGAAGGATTTTGGGTTATGAAAGTGGGGAAGAAGATCAAGGCTAGGGTTTCCACGGATATGCAGATGAAATTTTTTGGGGATCAGAAGAGGGTTGATTTTGTAGACCGTGGAGTTTGGGCATTGAAGTTTTACGAAGATGAGGAGTACAGGGGATTTGTTTCTAGATTTCAGGACTGTTTGTTTGAGAATGTTTATGGAATGAAACCTACAGAGGAAAACAAAGTGAGAGTTTATGGTAAAGAGTTTCTTGGCTGGGCTAAGCCAGAGGAATCAGATGACTCCATGTGGGAGGATGCAGATGAGGGCTTGTGGAAGAGTCCACAGAAGAAGCCAATGGAGTTTCCAGAGAGGGAGAGGCAGGACTTGTTGGAGGAATTCGAGGAGGCGGCGACAGGTGGGGGGATACAGAGCTTGGCTTTAGGAGCATTGGATAATAGTTTCTTGGTTAGTGATTCTGGAGTTCAGGTTGTGAAGAACTTTAGCCATGGGATCCATGGGAAGGGTGTTTATGTGAAGTTTGATGACCGAAAGCCAGGGTCGGGTGGTGCAGGGACATCCGGGACACCCAAGAAGGGCCTTCTGATGAGAGGCGAGACCAACATGATGCTCATGAGTCCCTCAAAGGATGGGGTCGGGCTCTCGACGGGGCTTCACCAGTTGGACATTGAGACCGGGAAGATTGTGACACAATGGAAATTTGAAAAGGATGGTACTGATATCACAATGAAGGACATCACAAGTGATGCAAAGGGGTCGCAGTTGGACCCTTCGGAGTCGACTTTCTTGGGGTTGGATAACAATAGGTTATGCCAGTGGGATATGCGGGACAGGAAGGGAATGGTTCAGAAGCTAGCCAATGCGAGCTCGCCCGTCTTGCATTGGACTCAAGGTCACCAATTCTCGAGAGGGACGAATTTCCAATGCTTTGCTACTGCAGGGGATGGTTCTATAGTTGTGGGATCGCTGGACGGGAAGATAAGATTGTATTCGAGGACTTCGATGAGGCAGGCAAAAACTGCTTTCCCGGGGCTTGGTTCTCCCATTACATCTGTTGATGTTACATACGATGGGAAGTGGGTGTTGGGCACCACCGACACCTACCTGATCTTAATATGCACTTTGTTCACTGATAAGGATGGTAAAACTAAGACTGGTTTTTCCGGCCGGATGGGGAACAAAATTCCGGCCCCAAGATTACTAAAGCTCACTCCTGTGGATGCACATCTTGCTGGGGCTGACAACAAGTTGCATGCTGGCCATTTCTCTTGGGTAAGTTGACTTATGCTTTTAATTTCTTGTGCTATATATAATTAATTCCTATAATCATGATCTCATTCTTGCTCTCATTGATTGCACCTTTGAGTTGAATGTAGTTTGATCATTTAAGCTAAGTTTGTTATGCAATTATCTTTCTTTTGAGTTGTGATTAGTTATGAAGCATTGCATTACTAATTGTTGTGATATGTATATTATGCAATTATCTTTTTTCCGAGTTGGGATTAGTTATGAAGCACTACATTACAAATTGTTGTGATAAGTTTATTATGCAATTATCTTTTTTCCGAGTTGGGGGTAGTTATGAAGCATTACATTAAGTAATTGTTGTGACAAGTTTATTATGCAATTATCTTTTTTCCGAGTTGGGATTAGTTATGAAGCTTTTCATTACAAATTGTTGTGATATTTTAGAGTAGGTGCATTAAGTTTATTATGCAATTATTTCTTTTCCGAGTTGGGATTAGTTATGAAGCTTAGTTGATATGTTTACTTGTTTGATCTGATCAGGTTACTGAAAGTGGGAAACAAGAAAAGCATCTGGTGGCGACGGTGGGGAAGTTCAGCGTAATATGGAACTTCCATCAAGTGAAGAACAGCGCGCATCACTGCTACCAGAATCAACAAGGGCTCAAGAGCTGCTACTGCTACAAAATTGTGTTGAAGGATGAATCCATAATCGAGAGTAGGTTTATGCACGAAAAATTTGCGCAAGCCAGGACCAACTCCCCCGAGGCCCCGTTGGTCGTGGCGACCCCCCAGAAAGTCACATCCTTCAGCATGTCTGGTGGCAAGAGGTGATTGATGATTGTTTGTTCTACCTCTTGCTTCACCATCATTCAGTTTGTTTTAGTGTTAGTGTGTTGTTCTGTGTGGATATTTTGCCTCTTCTCATTTGTAATAAGTTGTTAATAGCAGTTTTCTGGTGTCGGGTCGGGCCAGCGTTTTTCCTTTATACTGTATTGGTGAGTTTTCTGGGACAGCGTTTTTATACTGTATTGGTGAATACTAGTTATCTTTTGCAAGTATTTTGTTAATTTATTCGTCCCAAAATAAAAACAAAAACCAAAACTAATCGCGCCAGGTAGGGGTCGAACCTACGACTTTCTGCTTAGGAAACAGACGCTCTATCCACTGAGCTACAGGCGCCTTATTGTTAGTTTCTACAAATTAATTAGTTATATATACATACTGTACTATTTTACAAAAATTAATATCAAGTAAATTATTAGATTAATTATGATACTGCCTCATCGTTGGCCTTCTGGTTTAAAGCATGACCAGCCATTCCATCTTCCTAAATTCACGTCCTCCTTATGCAATTCTTTCCAATCCCACCATTTCGCTCTCCCTCCCTCTGTTTCTCCCTCCCCCCTCGCCAGAATCTTCCACCACCGCCATGTCCGCCGCCCTCTTCCTCCTCTGCCTCCTCTCCATCCCTATCTCCGCCATCGCCAATCCGGCGCCGCCTACAGGTAATCAAACCACCACCTCCCAACATTTGCATCATTACCACATACCATCTTCCTAACTAACCATTTTCTTCAATGCAGATTACCTCATAAGCTGCGGCTCCAACAACATCGTCGAAGAGGGCGGTCTCAAATACATCCCCGACGACGCTTTCATAACCACCGGCAACAAGACAACCTTAACCAACAGCCCCGACGTCTGGCCGAGGCTGAGAACCCTCCGCTTCTTCCCCAATGCAGACGCCTCGAAGCACTGCTTCAGCTTCCCCGTCATCAAGGAAGCCAAGTACCTCGTCAAGACGATATACTTCTACGGCGGATTCGACGGCGGGAAACAGCCGCCAGTATTCGATCAAATCATCGACGGCACCAAATTTGGCATCGTCAACACGACCGACGACTTCGCCGGCGGCGGATCGTCTTACTACGAGGCTGTCGTCGTCGCCCACAACAAGATTCTCTCCGTCTGCCTCGCGAGAAATCAGCACACACCTACCGGCACCAGCCCCTTCATCTCCTCCATCGAAGTCCACCATCTGCTCGACTCGATTTACAACTCGACCAACTTTAAGGAGAATCTGTTGGTCACCGTCGCGAGGAACAGCTTCGGATCGGAAGCTGACATTGTTGGTTTCCCCGATGACCCTTTCAACCGGTACTGGCAGCCTATGAAGGGCAATAATCCTGCCGAAGAGAGCAAATCGAACGCGACTGTTTCGACATTCTGGAATGTTCCGCCGGAGAAGGTCTTTGCATCAGCAGCCATGGCGAGTAAAGGCCAGAATTTGACGTTGAACTGGCCAGCATTTCCGTTGCCTAGCGCGCATTATTACATGATGCTGTACTTCCAGGACACTCGAGCCCCGAGCCCGGATAGTTGGAGAGTCTTCGACATCTATATGAACGGATGGAAATTCTTCCAGAGTCTCAACATCTCGACGGCTGGGCAGAGTGTGGTGGGGGCGCCGTGGCCACTTTCTGGACAGACTGAGATAACAATGGTTCCTGAAAAGGACTCACCTGTCGGGCCGGTGATCAGCGCTGGCGAAGTCCTGCAGATTGTGCCTCTTGGAGGAAAGACCATAACCAGAGATGGTACATTCCTACATAAAAACAGACATACAAACATATGCACCAATATATATATATAAATAGAAACCCCTCATGTTTTATACAACATTAGACAGAATTCCCTTCCTTTTGAAAATATTACACAAAATCCTCTTCTTAAAAAACATGATAGAATTTCATGCAATTTTTAACTCATAAGAGAATGGTGGAACTTTCCGAACCACACACGAATTATAAACAATTTTGCCATATATATACACACACAGTCCTTTTGTCTAACACCTATTACAATTGATCTTCTATAAATTTATTACAGTGGTGGCATTGGAGGAATTCAGGAAAGGACTGAACAAGGTGCCTGAGGATTGGACAGGAGATCCATGCCTACCAAAAGGGAATGCCTGGACAGGGGTTTCATGCTCAAAGAAAGTCCCAAGCAGAATTGTGGCACTGTAATTCTTAGTTCTTGTTCTTGCTACAACCTACAATTAACTTCAGACATGGTCTTTGATCATGTCAGATCATTCAAAAATGGGGTTTTCACAGTATGTTCTATTATATAAATGAATGAAGGAACCTGACAGGCTTTGGAATGTCTGGAACACTGGACCCAAATATTGCCCACTTAACTGGCCTCAGGCATTTGTAAGCAACTATTCATTTCCACAAATTCAAATTACATATTTTGTATTTCCCATAATCACAAAAATTGAATATCAGGTTGCTTGGGAACAACAAGCTTACAGGGAATGTACCTGATTTGGGAGCACTAAAGTCTTTAATAACTCTGTAAGTTTTCAGGGCTCTCTGTAGTATTAAATTAATTATAAACTGTACAGATTTAGCAGTTTTCTTGACTCTATTTAATGGGGTTTTTAAATTTGTTTTGGTGGGGAAAGGCATTTGGAGAATAATCAATTTGAAGGACCAATTCCTAGTTCATTGGGAGACCTGCCAAGACTTAAAGAAGTGTATGTTTCTAAAGCTGACAGTTTTTTCTTCAGTAGATAGTTATTCTGTAATGTCAAGGTATTTATTAACAGGCTGCTTTTTGATCTACAGAAATCTGCAGAACAACAAATTAGATGGTGTTATCCCAGAGACATTGTCAAAGAAACAAGGCCTTGACTTTCGGTATGCATTCAATATTTACATTCTGCATTATAGTTCTAAATGGTGAATCGGGCTTGGCCAGATTGTCTAACAGATATAGTGTTCTGTGAATTAGGATCTGAAAAACAGTGAGGAGGAAGTGGTGATGGAAGGGGCAATGAAGAGCATGAGAAATTAACTATGGTGGCTTGGAAGATTGTTTTAATCGAGTTGGGATTACGGAGAAAAGGACACAAAGGGAGAGATACATCAAAGTACATTTATATTAGGCAAATATGGCCTTCATTTTTATAAATATGGGAATATGTTTATATAACATTCTACAAAGAGGCTTTCTTCTATTCTGTATGTGCATCTGTTTATATAAAGCAAGCTTCATAACGTTCGTACAAAGAAATTTCATTTATTTGCCGCAGCTTTAATGATGAGGAAAAATGTGACTACTACGAGCTACAGATCAGACACGATCGGTTAAATAATTAAATACCTCAACAGATCTTTATGGGAAAAGAAATTACAAACTATTCACAGATATATTTGCAATAATAGCAGCAAAATAAACATTGTTCAACAGCAAATATCATATACTTAGAACAAACCTACAGTGATCACACCTTACACATTAAGAGATAAAACTTCATGGATTTCAAGGTCCACAAAAACGTTACTATCTCCAAAATGATTGAATGAGATCTATATTAGAATTTGTGGCTATCTAAAGAACATCCAATCAACAAAGAAACATGTTCCCATTCATCTAAGAGATGCCGTAACACCATATGCCACAGGCTGAGCATAAGGAACTTACCAGTAGTCATTACAGGAGCATTTGCCATCCTTGAAATGATGAAAACGTTTGTTATCTCTGACAATTAATTCTCTCCCAACAATTCTGGACATGATCTTGATTGCATTGTGACAATCCCCACAAACACGTAGATTCTTGATGATACGCAGGGGTGTCCTTGCCGGAGTACTAATGAGACCATAAGCAATGGCAAGGCGCTCACTATGGTATAGCAACGCCTGCTCCTTTGCCTCTTGATCAATATCGTGAAGAACGTATCTTGTGTCAGGCACATAAGCTTGCTCTTTCTTGGCAGCCCTTAACTTTTCGTCGTCCTTGTAGAGCGTAAGGTTACGGAACTCCAGTATCCTGTTTCTCCCTACAAGCATGTTGATCGCAGACTGCTTCTTTGGTGGAGGAGTTGGAATCTTATTTACAATTGCCTTTGAAGGATCAAGACTGACCATCAGTTCTTCAGCATGATCTTCAAGATCAATATCTCCATGTATACGAGCATAGTTCATCAAGGCTTCCCAAACATCTGCCGTTGGTTCAAATGGAAGATCTTTGATATATGCCTCAGCCTCAGTAAGATGTCCCAGCTTCCCAAAGACACCTAAGAGTCCCAAATAATGTTCAATCCCGGGAGATATCCCAAAATCAACTTTCATCGATTCAAAATGTATAAACGCCTCTTCAATTGCATCAGCACTAGCACAAGCATCAAAAACAGCTAGAAAAGTTTGCCCATTCGGGGTTATCCCAAACTTCCTCATCTGCTCAAACAATGCCAACCCATCGTCACCCAGCCCATTGGCTGCATATCCATTTATCATCAAGTGCCAAGAATCCATATTCCTATCAGCCATGTGATCAAACACTCGCCGTGCATCTGTCATACTTCCACACTTTGAGTACATGTCAAGCACCTTATTGGTTAACTCAAGATCACTCCTGAAACTCGACCTCAAGAAGTAGTCGTGCACTTTTTTAGCATCCTCAAATTTCTTGGATTTCCCACACAAGTGAAAAAGCAAGCTGAAACACTCAGCATCCGCACGAGCACCCTTGTCCAAGTGTTCAATAACTTCCTTAACCTTACCCTCCCGGCACAAACTCAGTAAATCAACAATCTCAGGTGCTCCAGCATCACCCCTAACAGGCCCTCGATTTTGAGCCTGATTGTTTGAAAAAGGAGGCTGCCCAGCGTCGCTCATAACAGACCCTCGATTCTGAGCCTGATTATTTACGAAAGGGGGCGGCCCTCGATTTTGCCCTTGATTATTCCACTGATTCACACCCCCGTCGGGGAAATTCCGGCTCTGCTGATAGGTCTGGTTCTGAAATCCTCCTGGGGATGGAAAATTTCTGTTCAAATTTGGAGTAGGGTTTTGACCGTACACTTGATTTGGATTGGTGCCCCAATTGTTCGTGTTTCCACTCGGCGGGGCGTAATTCTGGTTCTGCCGAAACCCCTGATTGGGAACATTCGAGCTAGGGTTTGGTCCTCCTGGATTCAAAGTTCCTTGATTTGTGAAACCTTGATTTCCTGCACTGTTGGAATATCTATTATTGTAACCCTGATTAGAGTAATTACCATTTCTGCGATTACTGGGGTGGTTTCCGAAATCATTGTTCTGCGGACTCCACTGATCCTCATGGCTCTGGTTGAAATTGTACGAACGATTCGAAGGTTGTTGATTTGACCTCTGGACATCATCGGGTATTGCGGAGGTCGAGAGTGCCCTTGTCGGGAACACAGAGAGGTTTCCAGCATGCGATTTGGGAACTGAAATGACGAGTAGTGAACGGCGTACCTTGCCAACAGATGAAACAGCGATGAAGGAGAATCGACCCCGCAGAATTGAGGACAGAGGCGACGCCATATTTCTTGCTGCGAAGACGAAGCTGCAAAACCTCCCGCTGTTGATAAACCCTAATTACAGCAATATCCTCCTGGGCATTTCGCTGATGATCTAACCGGGTCATCTAGTGGGTGATCCATTCTATATTCGGGTTCGGGTTTGGAATCCCTGGGTCAACACTGAAGCCCAATTGGCGGCCCAAAATTCAAATATAAATTATTCGTAAATTAAATCAAAATCAGTCACATTGAGAACATCAGAACGACGCCGTTTCAACTCTTGTCAAAACGACACCGTTTCGACACAGTATTAATTTTTTATAGATAAGGACTATCTATCAGCTCTGCAGGCTGCATGCTTGGTTACATGAATGGTGAAGATTTTCAGAAGATTTGGCAATAAATTTGAGTAATCAACAGAGACCCAGTTGCATATATATATATATATATATATAATTAATCTGGATTGTTTTATGTTGCAGAGAGATACATAAATTAATGAGAAAGATCGGACGGGTGGATGATGGAGACATTATTCAAATAATCACACACACAGACACTTTGCTGTCAGTAGAAGCAAAAAATTGGCATTGACCAATAAATCAATGAATCTTTGGTCTTTGGACAAATCAAAAACCACCTACATGACAGCCAGCATTGCACACTGCCATTATGGATATGCATATGCATATCTATTAATTATATATACACTACACTAGAATACAAAACAACAACAACCATAACAAGAATAATAATAATAAACAACCAAGAATTACAGAAATTGAGGAAAATGGTGGATTTTGGATGAAAAGACAGCTTTCAAGATGCATTTTAGAAATGCAATGGAGAGTGAATATAGTATAGTAGTAAGAAGTTGTATATATATAGAAATAAAAATGTTGGAATCTCATACTCACTTCTCACCCACCCCTTTGATGAGCAAGATTAACCCATATTGTCTTGAAGAAAATAGAAACATATATACCAGAGAGTATATAAATTCAATATTTGAGCCCTGAAGAAACCTGAGTGAGTAATCAATGGCAGTACATATAAACATATAATATATATATGCACATGTGGGAGAGAATGAGTTTAGCAGTGCCAATTTGGCCATCACTCTAAAACAAACACTCACTCACTTTCAACTTTTGAAGTTAGGCTAAATTGATAGTTAATTCCAACATAAACAAAGCCTTCCAATGGATAGATTTAATGAAGTCTTTGGAAACCTAAAGTAGATTGATTAAACAATCAAATTAGCACTTCTTTTCTGCTGTCCATGTGGATGGTTATATTCCACCATTTTAGTTTATTTGACCGCCGTCTTGATTTTGTCTCGGTGCATTGTACATTGATCATATATTGGATCATTCTTTGACTGTAAGTCAGTAGAGACAGTGAATAATCTTGTGATTAAAAACTCTCTATAATCATTTAAATAAACAATCCCCATGTTATAATTAAGTTTATTGTGATTATAGAGGAGTTATGAGTTGTTCTTGCAACAGTGATTGACAATTATATTTAACAGTGTGAATGTATTTAATTGCACACAGTTTTGCTTGTATCCAAATCTATTGACTGCCTGAAGATTCAATATAAATATATATATGTATAGTGTGTGTGTGTGTTCCTTGATTTCTGAAGCCTCCAGTCTTCACAACACATTGCTTTAAGATTACAACATGTCTGTGAATTATTTGGAACTAAGTTGCAATATGGAGTGATAAAAAGCATTGAAAGAATATCAAAAAAATAACAAAGGAGAGAGAGAGAGAAGAAGAAGTGAAATTAAAAACTATTAGTGGACACAACTCTGCATGATTCAGCATGATATATAGATCTGATCAAGATTATTAGTGTTACTATTATTATTATATATCCACTTTCTTGGGTTCAAAAAAATTCAATAATTGAGCTGGTCAAATGAACACAAAACTATTCCAGAAATCAAGCAAAACCCTCAAATTTCCACACAAAAAAAAAGGACTAAAAAAATCCTATGTGCACATGAGGCATCCACCCTCCCTATATAAAAGGGGTTCTCAAATTGCATGTGAAGCTCCAACAGTAGGTCCCCAAAAACACACACAAGAAAGCAAACAAACAAAAAAGGAAAAAAAAGAAGCCTCTACCCTCATCTTTGTCTTAGCTCTGTTCTTGACAACAACATACAACTGTCGATGGCATGTCTAAATATGTTCAACAATGAACAACAGCATCAGGGGCTGTACAGCACCATGAGTCCAAGAATATCATTCTCCAGTGATTTTGGTGATCCTCAGCAGGCAATTAAGCTCGAGAATGGATACAGGGAAGCCCCCGTGTCATCGGATTTTGCATTCACTGTGCCTACCTACAGCATGATCTCTGCTGATGAGGTTTTCTTTAAGGGGAAGATGCTTCCCTTGAGGGAGAACTGCACAAGAATCACTACCCTCAAGGAGGAGCTCCTTGCAGGAGAAGATGACGATGATGACATCGACAGTGCAAGAATCGGGAAAGGGATGAGCAGCTGGAAGGAGAGATTGGGGATTAAGAGATCACCATTTTTTGTCCCTAAGAAATGTGATACTAAGAGCAGTGAAATCAGTAGTCAGGAAAGTGTTTGTGCTGCAAGCTTTAAAGGTGAGAGGCCATTGCAGTTTCATGAGTTGATCTAAAGTAGTATGAGTGTATGTTTTGATGTTGAATTGGTTTGTGTAACAGGGAATTCTTAATGCTTCAGGTGATGTTAGAGAAGTCATAATTGTGAGGTTTGTTTTAGTGTAAAGATAAAAAGCTGAAGTTCTTGATTTTGATCTCTTAAATCCCCTAATTATGTATGATGATGCTCATTGTTTGTTCCCTTGGGTTTTCTACATGTACAAAATGGCTGTAGATCAACTGTTTCCGTGTAATAATTTGTATGTGTTAATGGGGTTCTTATGATTCAGTGTGTCAAGAAGATATTCCACCATTTTGTGTGGTTCTCCTGAGACAACTTTTCATTACCTTTACAATTAAAGATGGATAGATAGATAGACACCTAGGAACAAAACAATCTTTAAATCAATCATATACATCTATAGCAAAATGAGTATCATGTCAATCAATCATATTTACATTTAGACAAAGTTAAAAACCAACACCCCATAAATGAAACCAATGTAGGATAATCAAGCATAGTTAGATTCCAATAGGGCCTAATGATGCCAACAGAAGGCCCCTCCCAGCCATGGGATTGATGTGTTGAAAAGAATTTACAATATAATCCAATATATACATATATATAATATATATATGTACAGCATCCACTGGATCTCATTTCTGACCACAGAAGCATTTTCTTTAATGGGCACCCCATCCGTACATAATCTATACACCTGGAAACATGTTTCAGCAACATGATCAAAATCTAAATAGTGAAAACTCAACCCAATATCTAATGGCATTTTGTTATTCACAGTGGTTCACTTTTCACCATACTTGCTTTTTCTTTCTATATAATTATCCTTGTACCCAGACCAAAGCAAAAATAAAAACAAATAGGACATGTGTGAGTTACAGAAAGTAACTTGCAGGGCAGTTTTTACCTAAAACTGATGCAAAGCTTGGCAATGATCCGCACTCCTCAGTTGCTAGGGTGAATTCAATAGCCCCTGATACAACTGGGACCCGGCTTCTGACCATTACCTCGTTCTTCAGCAGCAGCAAAGGCAAATAAATGTCGTCCCTCGATTAAGTTCATGCCTACTCTGAGATATTTTTAGTTGGACTTCTGCCCAAGTATTTTTCCAAAGACTCATTTTTCCGATCAGGGTCAAGGCTGTCATACAAAAACTGTTGTGATATTGCTCTATATGCAGTAGAGAAGTATAAACAAAAGATCACACTCAAAAGGGATTCTGGACCTGTTCCTGAAGCCAAGAAGAGCACAATGCAATGCACGTGCAGTAGCAGAAGCAGGGGCCAGTGCTGCAGCTGGAGCAGACTTCACTGCTGTGGCCAAAGCAGACCCCATACCAGCACCGCGCTGATATCTTTTCATCGGTGTTTGTATCAAGGTTGAAGCAGATTTGCCTATACCATCACTAATGCTTTGGTAAGCCTGTCAGCATTCAGCAACCACAATTTAGATCAAAAGAATGGTAGACAAATTGCTGGTGCTGGGAAGAGCATATTCGTCATCTACTGCATTATTCTTATCCAAACTAATTAGTTCAGGAGAAGAAATATTGCTTTTCCGAATGTCACAAATGAATGGTGAAGATTAAATATTTAGGGAAAAATAAAAAATAAAAATTGCACAAGATAACTGTAGCGAAGATTTAGTAAAAGAAATTAGGATATAACCTGTTGAATTCCTTCTTGGGCATCATTGGGTTGATTTGATCTTACATTTGTAGCCACTCTGCTTTCTACCAGCCATGGTACAGAAGGTGGAATGCTTGCAAGAATATACTCTGCCTGTAGGAGGATATTATGGGCTCCTGCTGCCAAATGCACTCCGAGGCCAATGGCTTCAAGTGAAATACTTCTAAGAAATGCAAAAGTACCTAGTGCAACAATTCATAATCAGAAAGTTTTCACAAGAAGTTGTCCAATGCCTATACTTGTAGGATCATAAACAAAAATAAAATAAAATCATGTCACCCGAAAATAGACCAAAATGAAAAGGGCGGAGGGGTAGACTAAGCACAAAATATCCCGAAAAGTATGCATTCACAGCAATAATACATTTGTACTCAATAATTATAACATTAGAGTAGGAATAAGAAATTCTACATGTTTACTAATCTGAGTAACAGAATGAAAGAAAACACAAACCAAGCAGAGAATTTCATGCTTCCAATAAGCTATAAATTGAAGAGTCATGTCTGCTATGATAGTTTACTTTACCTCTTTGCATTCCTTTGAGTAACCTATGATCCTTTCTATAGCTCTTCACAGGCAGTGACACCAACTTTGCAGCTCCAGAACCAACAGAAACCAGTGACTTAATGGGAGGAAGACCTTTCAACAGTTTATGGATCTATATATAACATTCAACTTGTCAGCGTCGATGCAATCATAAGTCATGACTACCAAAACCAAAAAGAAAGCAGAACATAGTCATATTAAGCTTTAACAGAACCTGGTTATGAGAAATGTCTTCCAACCACTCCCCAAATATTGCTTCACAGACACTGCTCCAGCCATAGTGACCAACTCCTTGCACATGTTTTAGTTGTAGCTCCACACCCTACATTGGTATACAATATAAATTTCAAGAATAAATCACAAAGTACTGTTCACACCCAATTAACACTTAGCCTGTGGTATATCAGATATGGCTGTTGGACGATAAGCATATCCAGTTCTTACTCAACTAATATGAAACATTAGCACAAAGCATTGTCGAAGCAATCAGGCTGAGTCAGCAAAAAACCAGAAAATTACCTTCCAGGGCACCAAGTTAACAAGTTCAACATACTTGCCATCCCTAAGTGCAGTTAAGTCAACACGGCAAGGAATATAATCAACTCGAATCAGCATAGGCCACACCTCGAATTTCTGTATAAAAGCAAAGAAAGATGAAGTGGTGTGAATTAAGTATGCATAGCATGAAAATCCTTGTTAGTTTAAAAAAATTATTGAAAACCAAGAAATATTTGGCAACGCAACATAAATACCGCAACACAGGTTATAAAGGGGTCAGTACTAGTTATAATATATCCACCACCTCACACAAAAAAACAATTCAAGTGTTCACATGGTTATCTACCATGATTCAAATTAGATGGTCTTTAAAAGTGACTCAAAACTTTCCTGGAAGTATGTAAGGAATGCCTCTTCACTGATGGAACAACCTCGTAGACTCTCACACTTCTCAAGTAACTCTCCTGATTTACTCGAATCCAATGAGGAGCTGGAGGAGGGGTCTGCTGACGACCTTTCTCCTCCAAAGAAGCTGATGAGAAAATCAAGTTGGCTTTGATGAAGATGTAAGCGGATAGGAAGTAAAGAAACTCGCAACCTGGAGAGGAAATACAATAAGAATAAGAGAGAATTGGAAAAAGAAATGTATCATTATGAATTATGATGTTGCAAGTTAAAACAAAGATAGATGTACAACTGTTACATCAGCCATTTTGGAAACAACTAGGGGGAGAAGATGTCAGTTTAAGTGAACACAATTTCCTTGACTGCAAAATCTATAGATGGTATGAGCAATGTTTATGATAAAGTAATATAGAGGCAAGATCGATGAAAAATTCAAGAGGTGGCTTCAAAATGAGAAGATAGAAGGCTGTGTCTATCCCCAAAAATCAGGGATTGCAGCTCAGACAGATATTTCTTGAATATAAAGTCGACGTAATCCTCACGCCCACCATCATTTGGTTTTGGGAAGTTAACAAAAGGTGAGAGATCCAACCAACAATCCCAGTTGGTAACAAGAGGTATCAACATCTGATATTATATGTCCACAACTCTACAGTCAAATAGGATGAGAAAATTGATTGCCAGAACTGATTCGCCATAATCAATTACAAAGTAGAGATTTAGCAAATATCAAACATCCAGATCTGACTTACACATGCCCAAGATTTGAAAGAATACCATACTACCAACATAGAGGTAAAACCATAAAAGAGAAAAAGGAGAAGCATACCTATTTTCTTCTATACGAAGAGCAGGATCTGGTCTCACAGCTTCTAAATTTAACTTCAATGCTTTTGACAATAAATTTCTTGGATGCTTTTTAGATTTATAATATCCAAGAACCTTAAAATGAAAAAAACTGTATATCAGAAAATAACATAAGAAAGAACAATATGGTACTTAAGTTCATATAATTGAGCAATACCAGCCTCCAGGGAGCACCATTACTCCTGTCATTCACGTAGAAATCCTGTATAACAAGTGAAAGCTTAGATGCAGATATGTTACCCTCCGGATAGACCTCATAGGAAATATCAATTCCAGATAATGCAAGCTCCAAACAGAAGGCCGTATCCCTCCCACGATTCATGCCAGATGCCGCACAAGTACTCTGAGAGTTGGACCAATCCGAACCACCATGCATTCTCCAAATGACATTCATATTCTTAAGCATTATGCGACCCTCAGCTCTCACAGCATCATTATGCTCCGTGGAATTAATAGAAGCCTTACTTTCTGTAGGTTTCAATGCATTAGTCTGCTCCACTTTGGAAGTATGATTTTCAAATATTCTCAATGAAGAACCTGCATACCAACCACTATTATCAGTTCTTGTATCTCCAACACCACCATTCCAGTAGCCAAGAACATCAGAAGAGTGGCTTTTCAAAGCAAGGTCTGAGAGGGGACGAAGATCTGACAAGAAATACTCTTCTATGAACGATGGCGCCTTTTCTTCCAATGATGAAGCACTGCTAGCCACAAGAGAACTATTGCTGGCCAATATAGCAGATTTTGATTTATATAGTTTGGCATGGCCATCGGAATTTCCATCCAGCTGAAACATGTCTTCATGTATTTCATCCATCAAATTGCCAGAATAAGATTTCTTATCTGAACTTGAAACCTTCTTAGAAAGTGAGTCGGAAATCTCACTCCCTAGCATCCCCTCATCTTTATTCTCGTGCACCTGCTGCACATTGTTCCATCTATTCTCCAAGTGCACAATATAGTCATGCATATCAGGAGCAAGAAGACTTTGAAGTTGGGATGCCAATCTAATTAATCCAAAGGTTGTATCATGGCAAGTAGTTAACATGATGTGAGACTCTTGACATTCTAATTCCCATGCAAGGTCATCGTCTGATTTCATCCTCAAAAGTGCTTCGACATTCGCCTCTTCAGCAACTTTCACATATCCAATCTTTCTAAGATATTTTACACTATAATCAAAACCATCCACCTTAGATTCAGTCACTTTGCATACAAGCAAACCTAGATCTTGCAGCCTAATTTTGTACTCTCTTTTTGAGTTATCATCCAAGGCTGTATTTGAAAGTTTTGCAGACGAAGCAGCTAACAGACAAGCAAAATTGACCTCATCTTTTTCATGGCTACTCAAATCAGGATGCTTGAGATTTAAATCTTGGTTAGCTGCCAATTTCTTCAAGTGTGGCTCATAACTCAAGCCAACATCCACCAAATTAAGAACGAAGGAAGATCCACTGGTCTTGCCCATACTCTTCTCACCTGCATCTTTAGACTCTGAAGATGCTAGAGTGAAAAAGGAAATCATTTCACTGAACCAATCCAAGCGACCTCCTACAGCCACAATGGTGGCACATTTTACAATAATTGAAGAATAATTATGATTGCTCTCAGGATCCCACATGTTTATAATGTCAGAACCTGCCTGCTTAGAAGATAGAACATTTGAACCTTCCCCATTCCCACGACCCACTGCCAAGGCACTGCATGATATCAAAAGAAACTCCTGACTTAAACCTTCAGTAATAGAACCCCACAATCTTCCCTGACCATGGGCCACCCATAGGAAATTAGCATTCCTTATTCCACCAATATTAGATACAGAAAGTAGCTCAAACTTGTCAACTGCAAGTGTTAGGCTGTGCCAAGACCCAGGAAGTTCTGAGCGCATAGAGCACTTAACATCGTCTACTGGATCAAGTGTAATGGAAACTGCCATAGAATCAAATTCCATTAGAATTGATGCCTGAGAAGCTGTATGTTCCTTCTCAGTTGTCACCGATTCAGAAACGCCTGAGAAATGCTCAGACACTTGATTTAGGAGGTCACATATGTTGTCAAACTGAGATTTGTCTGCATTGATTGTGAGAGCAGGCAATTGACCATGTAACAAAAAAGCAGAGCTTGACAGTATATCTTGTCTGGTGTGAGAATCCAAATCTTTACTGTCTTTCACAGTTGTTACAGAAGCAAAAGCACAGCCTTTTCCTAAAACGTGATCTTCACTCCTGTTCCCAGATGAAGCTAAAAGCTTGGCTTTCCTTGCTATCCAAGGACCAGTAGCATGACCTTCCTGCCTAAACATACTAACCACAGCCAAATCATCAGTTTTACTCACTATAGAAGCAATCTTGTTAACAGAAAAGCTAGCCTCCTGCCTATTTCTGGTTTCACTTCCATCAATCTTCTGGGGGAAAGCTGAATTGACAGAGAAGAGATAGAAGCCATAAAACTTTATATTCAAGGAGCATGATGTAGCCACAGGAAACCGATTCTTAGAACTGGAATTTGGTGTTAACTTAGCTGCTCGAACACCCTTCCCTGCAATTCCTTGCGAAACAAAATCAAAAATAATAAACTGGTTGCAAGAAGAATAGCTGCTCAAATCCTTGTGTGCCTTGAGAGGGAAACACGTTATTATCCTAGCATTCGAAACAAATATATTGCCCCTGAGATTTTTTTGGGTTGGTAAGTTGGCTGTCTGTGGACGAGAAATTTTTCCATGATCTCCAAGTGAAGGTCCATCATTTTCAGATTCTGGAACTAGATGAAAATCACTTGCCACATTGGAGAATTCAATACAATCAGCGATGGCTTTCAGTAATTCCAGTATCATGGAAATTATATCAAAGTTCACCCAGAAAACAAAAGGCGGAAGCTCTAAGGAGAAAGATATTGGTCCCATACATGAGCCTGTGGAAGGATGTGAATCTGCCTTCACATGAAACCTAGTGACACCCGAAGTTTTCAGCAAAGTCACACTGGCATAATTCGTAAAAATATCTTGGCCATTACTCATGTGACAGCATCCATTGATGTGAGGTATACTCAGAGAAATATCACCAGCATCATGAACCTGGTGAATATGTCCAGGAATTTTCTTCAGAAAAGTCTGCAGAGAACCTTGAACACCATTTTGCATTCTTTCAATGAATGCAACCTCACTTTTGTAATTGTCACTATGTCTGTGAACCCTGCACTCCATAAACTCGTTTTTTGAACAGAAGTGATCGACAAATTGAATATGTTGAACAGTCCCTTCAAAACTCATTTCCAGAGGGTATACCTGTGGAACTCGCAATAAATTTCTGTTAACTAGTGGATTAAAATGAAGCAGATTTTGAACTTAGTAAACACAAAAGTTTAATGTTCATAAAAATACCTAAAGATCATTTGAATCAAATGTAATTACCTGGAAATTGAAAAATAGACCCATAAACTGTGCACACACACAATGAATTAGAACATCATTATTGGCATTATCATCCTCCTTTGCAGGGGTCTCTTTCTCGTCTTCGTCATTTAAGAACAACAGAACAGATACTTTCCCTATGGTAATGTTGAAGCTGGTTTCAACATGCTGCTGCTCTGCAATCAGTGAAGAAAGAGAAACAATTTCTAAGATCAAAGATTACATGTGATTGAGTGATTAATATGATATAAAAACTCAATTGATGTTGGTGACACATAAGACTGCTTCGCGCATCAACTTATATTTAGGAAACTAATTTCTAAGGAAGCCGGGTAGAGGTTGCTACCAGAAGCAAGTTATCAGATCTTCACAGCCCTCATTTCACTCTAGTTACTTTTCAGTTGCTCCCATACATTATTCTTAATATAATAAAGTGTTGCCTGGTGTTTCATACAGCTACGAAATTTTTAAGTTTGGCTGCATAGTGCATACTGAAGTTAGCATTAGATTTGGACTCTATTTGATATAGGACTTTATGCTAAGAGTAGAGTTCTTAATATTTCTATCTTGTAAAGATTCGAAATCAAATAATGGGTTTTCTGATTTAGCTACCTCTAGTTCTTTTCTACAGACTGAATTGGGTTTTGACATTTTCTAGGCAAAAATAGTTGTTAGATATGATGATGTTTTGAGTATAAAATTGGCATTGGATTTATTTTTTTACTTTTTGAGGAAAATTGGTAGATTGAATAATATGAAAATGGGAAAACACAATTAAACAAACAATCTATTTCCAAATGTTGTTCTTTGAATTTATTTCATTCTATGGCAAGACCTTACTTTCACACTTGGATACATGATAAGATTTTCTTTTGAAATCAATCACAACCCTGTTTTTTTCCTATGACTGTTATCTAATATCTCCCACACGATATATCGCTCCTATTAGCTCTGTTAGCCACAAATTCAACACTCCAAACAAGAAAGCGCTCATGGAGCGCGATTATAAGCAAAAGATTAGGAATCATATAAAAGAAAATTTATATTAGATAGGCTCCTAAAATCAAGGTACTCTTAAGATCTTGGATTAATTTTCTAGGACTATCATCACATCCTGGTCTCACACTCTCACTCTATTCTCAAGTTTGACAATAAATTGAAAGTTCAGCACGCTCAAAAAATATGAGAGGATTTGATGTAATTGCCGACAATCAGACCAGGTAACAAAGATGGGGAAAGAGAATAAGCCATGAATGAAAAGGTAACTGAAGACTGCCGTAAGGCACTTACCTGAGGAGACGTGTAAAGATCCAGCAGCAAGGTTGGATGCTGCAGTAATTGCACTAAATACTGAACAAGTCCAGTTCCACATACCGCTGCTCCCCAAAGCTGACTGTGAATTTCTTAGTTCATCAAAACACTCAAAAAAGTGATCCACACTGCAAAATAAGAAATTATTTTGTAAGTAATGCAAGATTTTAGCAACGCTTTCAACCATTATACTGCGAAAAAAGCTAGAATAAAACGGTAACTGTTTGTGCTCAATGAAGTATGACTAAATTGGTTTGGCCCAGATCAAACTGTGTGCTAACAAAAGGCTCAAATTATTGGACAAACAAGTGATTGATCAACTGATTAGATGGACATCTAGAAAGTGCCAACTAGACCTGATAATATTGCAATTGGGAGATAAAGTTAAAATTGTAGTTGATTCAAATATTAGATGATTTTATTCACCCACCATAATGTGTCCTCAATTTGGTCGTGCATAAGCTCGTAGCTTGTTCTGCTCTTAAAAATGTTTAATATTTCTGACTTTAAAATATACATATATATATATATATATATACTAGGTAAAATAAAACCAACCTTGCCACTAAATCTGGTTCCTTCTCGGGTTTCTCTGTTTGGCTCACCCAATTGGATATAAGGTGTGACTCTGATAGTGGATTGTTAACAGCATATTTATCCACAAACAAGCTATTGGTGATAATGCCCTCGTTACGGAATAGCTCCTTGCCTCGGGGAAGTATACACTCACTTTCATTTAACAAAGATTCTGTTGGTTCTTGACAGTGAGCATCCACAGTACCATCACCGATACCTCTAAATAGGTTCCACAAGGAGATAAAACATTTGATGGTGCTAGGCTGAAGTCTCAGTTCAAGCGGCTCAATGTGAAGATCTGCATCCACTTTCCGAATGTCCAATGAACCATTTTTCCAAGGTAAGCTCGCCCTAAGATTACCTGAAAATCCTCCTCTTTCTCCAGAAAGTACCACACTTGTGGTACCAGATACACAGTCTCCAGAATTCATTTCACTGCAAGACTCAGGCACTGACTGAAGATTGAGACCATCTGCATTGATTAATTCAAGTACTGCACCATGAAATTTCAAATAATTTGTTAATCGATTCAAACCGAGGAAATTATGAGGTGAAGTAGAGTTGCTCGAAGATGCATCCTCAGAAATATTTGCTCCACACTCTGCTTCACTAATCCTAAGCACCAAGATTTTGTCCAACCCTTTTCCGTTTTCTTCTTCCATAAGTGGATCAAATGCCACAATTAATTTATTAACTTTCACATAAAAGCTAGTCAGTAACCACTTAACCAATCTGGCAATGGTCTTAACTCCTTCATGCACATTAACACTGGGATTTGACGCCGCAACATTGGGGATGTCGCCATCAGGATTTCTAACACCATGACTGAATCTATTTTCACCGTTTCTAGTGTGATCACTGCTATTTTCAAATTCATCTTGAGAAACCTTCACCCTGCGAGGACCAAGAACAACCTCAAGTTCATCCACCTCAATTCGACAGCCGCCCTCCTTCCATGGCATAACTACCATTAATGATCCTATGGACCCCTCCTTCAACACAACTGGCGATGTTCCCAACTGAAAAAACACAATAAGAGTTTGGTGAAAACTGAACCCGACTCAAGATGTTCAGAAAATTTCAAAAATTACGTTACATTAAACTCACAAGCAAGAAACTGAAATCAAGCTAAAGATACTCGAGTTAACTAACTACACAGCAATAAGTAAATTTAAGATCACCGGAAGGAACTATCAACAAAAATTGAAACTTGAGGAATACCGGAACTACCTTATCGTTAATATAGTCGACATTTAGAGCAAGATCGGAAAGCTGAATTGTGCCAGCGCCGAGCTGAACATCGAGCTGATTAAGATCGATATCTCCCAGAATAAACTTCCCTAGTTTCTTCTTCAACAAAAATTTACAAATACGTTTAATCGCCCAGCGCGAGAACATCGCCTCGGCGGGCTTCGAAAAACTCCAAGAAAACATATCCCCTCTTTTCTTTTTATCTTTTTAGGTCTTCTTTTCAAAAATTAGGGTTCCCGAATCTGCTTTTGATGGAGGTTGGAACCTCCATCCAAGCGAATTCCGATAAATTGAAACCCAATCACCGCTGCCAATAAAGATCTTTACTTTCTTAGATTCCTCCTACTGCGCAGAGAATTGAGAAGACTTTGAGGGGGTTTTGAGAGTGGCGTGTTAGGATTGGAGATGGGTTTCTTGCTAATGATTGAGATCTTCGTTCTATTCTGTAAATTTAATCGAGATTGTGACGCCATTGGATTGCGAGAATTAACGGTAATTCGGATTGGGCCATGAAAATTCTTGTACTCATATTCATATAATTAAAATTCTCTTAAACCTAAAACCCCTCTTATTCTAGTTAATTTAAAACATATATTAAATGCTTTCTTAAAAATGTATATATAATATTTATATATATTCGATTATTTTATATTTATATACATAATGAAAAAATATTAAAATGTGACGAAAGATAATAATAATACTCCTACAATACTTTTAAAAAATGTCTATCTCATATCAATTGACGATACTTTATTTTTAATAAGCTTATAAAATTAAAATATAATTAACAAATAGTATACATTATTTTAAAAAAAAATTACTTTAATTTCATCTTAAAAAATATATATTTTTATATATACTTAAAATTCTTTTTTTTTTATAAAACTTAGTTTATGTATTATTTATTTATTATAAAAAAAATTATTCTCTATACAATAATATTCATATTACATATTTTATATTGTGATATAAAATTAAATTATTTAAATAAATATTTTAAATTATTTATTAAATTTATTTAAACTATCAATATTATTTAATTATATAAAAATAATAATATTATATTATATTCCATTATTATTTAAGGATATATTTTTTAGCAAATTTTTTTTAAACTTTATTTTTTGCACTCTCATTTTTCAAAAAAATACAAAACATCTCATCAAATGGTATTTTCATACCAAATCAAAACTAAATTCCAAATTCATCAAAAGAAACACAATAATAAATATCATTGTCTTATAGAAAGACTAAGGGTGTCTTTGTTTGGTTAGATAATATGAATAATTATTTTTTTTTATATAAAATATGAAAACTTGTGTAAAGAATATAAAATAGTAAATACACGAAATATTTGTTTTTTGATATATTAAAACATCATAATTATGAAAAAAAAAAAAAAAAGTGATAGATTGATTTTTAATTCATCAAAATGGTAAAACTAACGGAGCATTATTTATTTACTATATGTGTTTTTATTTTAACTATTTTATTTTATTGTTTAAAAAAAATTATAGTGTATTTATTTTGTGAAATAGTTCGAAATGATATATTTTTATACGAGATATTAAAAATTGTATAAGATTCAGATGAATTGATTTTTTTATTTTATTTTTTGTAAGATAATATAAAAAATAATATTTTATATTAAATAATTGACTTTTTATGAATGGATAGTGTATATATTATATTAATATGTATATATATTTATATTTTTTAATAATATTTATAGAGAACATATTGAATGAATATGTGTAATATATTATATTTTTTAGAGTGAGTGTGCATTTTTCCTTTTAAAAAAAAACAAATTATTTTGTAGTTTTTCTCACCAAATATTACACTTTAAATAAAAAAAAAACTCGAAAATAAAAAATTACACACTCTTTATTTATTATTTATTTTTAAATAAATTATAGTAGTAATTTCTAAGTATTTTATTATAACATATAAAAAATTTAAGTTCAAAATAATGTAAAGAAATACTTATAGAATTCGTTTTTGAGTTTTTTTTTTATCATTTTTCTTTCAAATATCTTATACAATATCTACTTTTTTATATAAAATATATAGTCATTTTATTTATCTACATATATTTTTTTAAATATCATATAAAATATATTTTTTCTCAAAAACTGGTATGTTTATTTTATGAAATAATTTGAAAAAATATTTTTTATATGTATAAAAAATTGTATAGATAATATAAAAGTAATGGATATGTATAATATATTATTTATTTTTAGAAAAATATGTTAAAATAAACACAAAAATAATATATTATTTGTAATATTATATTAAGTGTATGAACATTTTTTTTTTTATTAAAGTAAAACTATTTTTATTTTTAAAAAACGATATAGTTGAATAGGCGAAAATAACAAAATAATTACTAGTAGTAGGAAGGGAGTATATTAATTAGGGAAGCAGATGTAAGTTTTGGATTAGGATTGGTTATTTGTAACATTGATTTTAAGGAATAAAATAAAGTGGATGGTTTATTTATAAGACAATAATTGTGTGGTTGGAAGTTACTTAAGGACATTAATCACCTACTAATGATGACTCAGACAAGTGATAAGGAGCCAGCTGTCATGTCTATTTAATCACACCTATAATAATCAAATTAATATCAACAAAAGAATGAGCTGACGGTGTATGGTATAAATTTTGGGGAAAAATAATGAGATTGTGTTATTTATCATTAAAATAAGGAGCCTATCAAATCTAAGTAATCTAATCTATGAACAAGATATAAAACCAACTTGAGTTTATAAGAAATTTGAATATAAACGCAAAAAATAAAACATAAATAAAAATAATAGTTCACTTTCCATTGAAACTGGAAACGAGATGACTTTCCACCCCGAAGCAAAAAACGAGATGACTCCACAGAGTCGAAAACGAGATGACTCTACCGGAGCCGAAAACGAGATGGCTCTTCACCGGAGTTGAAAACGAGATGACTCTTCACCGGAGTTGAAAACGAGATGACTCTCCACATGAGCAAAAAACGACATGACTCCACCGGAGCCGAAAACGATACGACTCCACTTGAGCCGAAAACGACATGACTCTACCGGAGCCGAAAATGACATAACTCCACCGGAGCCGTCGAAAACGAGATGACTCCACCGGTGCCGTCGAAAACGAGATGACTCTCCACCGGAGTCGAAAACGATATGACTCCACCGGAGCCGCTGAAAACGAGATGGCCGAAAACAACATTACTCCACTAGAGCCGAAAACGAGATGACTCTACCGGAGCGAAAACCACATGACTTCACCGGAGCGGAAAACAACATCACTCTACTGGAGCCGAAAACTACATGACTCCACCGGAGCAAAAAACGACACGACTCCACTGGAGCCGAAAACAAGATGACTCCACCGGAGCAAAACACGACATAGATCGGAAACACCAAACATATCGCACGCAGACAATAGACAAGCACGGACAGAAAGAAGATCGCAGACATGTTTCAGATCGCACGCAAACAACAAACAGATAGCAGATCGCAGACAGGTTTCAAATCGGACACAGACATCAGACAAGCAGCTAACATATGGCAGATCGCAGACAGGTTTCTGATTGTACGACACACAAGCAACAGACAGGTTTCTGATTGTACGACAGACAAGCAGCGCATGACAAAAAGATCTCAAAATCACAAAACCTCCAGGTACAATGTAGGTTGAATGTACCCGGAGAAACACGGGTTCGTAGGCTATATTTACGGCATGAGAAAAGTACACTCTGATACCATGTTAGAAATTTTGGGAGAAAATAATGAGATTGTGTTATTGATCATCAAAATAAGGAGCCTATATAGGCAATACAAAACCGACTCGATATACTCAAATCTAAATAATTTAATCTATGAATAAGATATAAATCTAGTAAATCTAAAATTAAATATTTAAAATATCTCAACAGTGTAGAGGTTGCACTTGCGACCGTGGGGTCACGAAGAAAATATCAACAAATATACAAATAAGATCAATGATTCATCCTAATTTGTTTCATCCTAATTTAATTAACTATTGTCAACATTGTATCAACAAATATACAAATAAGATCATTGATTCATCCTAATTTGATTCATCCTAATTTAATTAACTATTGTCAACATTGTCTACTTGTATCATATTTACTTGTTTGGTAGAAAATGACAACATAATGAGCAAACAATCTCATTTAATTAAGCATAAGAGATACATAATAATAATAATAAAATAATAGTAGTCGCAATTTAAAGGTAAACTATAGTAAAAAATAGAATAGAATTATAAAAATTGACAACTAAACATAATAAATTGATAAATAAATATTATGCGTTAAAATAAAATTAATACTTTGTAAAAAAAATTATGCAAAATGTAAAAATCAAATTGATAATATAAAAAAAATAATATTTTATATTAATTTTGTGACATAATAAAATATATATATCTGAGTCAAGTCAAAAAAAATTTGAAGAAATAAACTCAAAGAAATTGTTCTCCAAACAAATTTTTCAATTGCTATTCCGAAAAAATAATAATAAAGAATACATTTTTTTTTTACAAAAATTTAAAAGTCAAAATAAATTTTAAAAATTCTTACAAAAAATCAAATATTCTAATATCGAATACTATGTTAAAATAGATTCAGACTTTCAACCTAAAACCAATTAGTAATATAACTTAAAATAATATATTTTCTACTTTTTAACATAATTTTTCATACCACAAAAAATAATAATAATAATAATAAATTATAGTAGAACATATTCCATATCACAGCAAATTTAAAAGAGCATGCAAAAAAAGGTTTGATTTTTTTAGTATTACTATATAATATTGACACATTTAGTTTTATTTTATATTAAAGATATAAATAGATATTTTATCATGCAAATAAATTATTTAAAATATTTTAAATAAATAAATAGTTGATCAACCAATGAACAATGAAAATTCGCCACAGCCGAACACGAGGAATATTTGGCGCGTTACGTTCGAGAACTGAACCTATAAATGTTTGTTTAAAAATATTTATCGAGGGAATCGTCCTCCTCAGAAAGCCAACCGAACGAACGGAATGCAAACCGACGAAAGCTTACAAACACACGCATGGATTGCGACGCACGCTTCGTTATATACCACACCAGATTCGACAACGTTTTTGGCCGTGATATCTCCACTCCACTGCGTTGTCAAGTGATCAACGAAGATGCAGCTCAGGCCAGGCATGTCGGCTATAGTCACCGGCGGCGCCTCCGGTATCGGCCGAGCGCTGGTGCTGGCTCTTGCGCGGGAAGGAATTTTCATCACGATTATTGATTTTGCGGATGAGAAAGGGAGAGAGGTCGCCTCGTTGGTGGAGAAAGAAGCCTCCAAGCTTCACACGGGGCTGGAATTACCGGCGGCGATGTTCATCAAATGCGACGTAACGGACTCGAGTGAGTAGTCAGATTCTTCGAGGTGGAAACTGGAAACTGCTTGGTTTATTAAGATGTTTGGTTTTAATGTTCAGATGAACTTGCTGCTGCTTTCGACAAGCATGTTGCGATTTATGGGGGATTGGATATCTGTATTACCTGCGCGGGAATCGGAAGTCCTGTTTCATTCTACGAGGATCGTACTGATGGATCGAAATCCTGGAGGCGAACGATTGCGATCAATTTGGTCGCAGTTATTGATTCAACTCGCCTCGCGGTATGAATCGATTTTTGCTTGTTTTAATGCATCGAATGGGATGAAGACTAGGTGACTAGCCACTTAATACAGTGATTCCATGAACTTCCTCATCTGCTCCTTGTTGAAGTGAAAGCTGTGAAGCTGCTGTATCAGTAGTAGCAGACATTTTTTACACCGTCGTACACATCCGTATTAATTTGGACCTAACGCTTGCAATCTCCATTGCCAAACTACCTAGTGATGCCTTGGGAAATACCTTTTTGTAGGGTTTGGTATTCATTCAATAGTAAACACATTTTGTTAAATATTTTTGCATAATTGAGCTCTTAGTGTAAGTGTCACTCTAACTCGGATTCATGAGAAATCCTTTATCAGATTCCTTTTGAATGAAGTAGCACTGTTTCAGCAATTTTTACATTTCAAATACTACTCACAGCTTTATATGTTTATATATTGAATTTTCTCATGGTTCTAAGTGCTAATTTGCTTGGTCCGCAGATTCAAGCAATGCAAGAAGCTAAAAAACCTGGCGTGATCATAAATGTTGGATCTGCTTCAGGGCTATTCCCCCTATACAATGATCCTATTTACTCAGGATCCAAAGGTTTGTTGTGCTTTCTTTACTTGTATAAAAATTTCTAAGATTATTTTTGTATCGCTATGTACTATCTAATAGACTTAATATAGAAATGCATATGCTCTTCTCGTGCCTAGATTGCTTCTCTTATTGTCACTAATAACAAATACAGGAGGAGTAGTTATATTCACCAGATCACTGGCTCTTTACCGGCGGCAAGGAATACGTATTAATGTGCTTTGCCCTGAGGTAAGAAATACTATAGGTTATATTCATCCCTTATGAAACAAAAATTAAAGAGTTTTGAAAAAGGTACTGTGTTTAGATGTGTTTTGGTTTAATTTTGGTGTTTTGATTTTGATATTTTTGAGGTGAAAATATTTGTTGGAATTGATATCCGGAATGAAAAGTAGGTGTTGCATGTGATGTTTTTGGAGGGTAAATGGTAGATTAACTAGTGTGAAAATGTATTTGGGACCTTTAATACTGAAGTTTATCATCAACTCTCTTACAAGCAGAGGATACCAAGTCAGTTTAGTTTACATTCTTCGAACTCAAATTAGACTTCACCACCATCATAAATATCTGTGCAATGGCTGAAAGTATGTTGCCTCAAGGCAGAGTTTGGGTTTTAGAGTTTTTAGTGATTAATCTGAGTAACTAACATCTAAGCCTGGAAAGGATTGTGTCTTTTTATTACACTACCTGGAACATAAATCTGTTTTATCCACTCCACATTGACTTCAATAGAAGACTAACATGGCATACCCTTTATCATCAAAATGATTAAAACTATGGCAACACTAAGAGTCTTCTTTACCATTCCAATAGGACTTCTGGAGCACAATGAATTTCTATGAAATGTTTTTAGGTTTACCATTGAGTAATCATAATTTTGAAACACCATTTATGTCCTTAAACATCTAAGCTGTTATCATTTTCAAAGTGACTTCAAGAATGGGTAAACTTCGTGTTGTGACTACTTGAAATTTCCCAACCTATTCTTCAACATACTGCATGATACATTCTGTAGAGGTCTTTCCACTACCACTAACATCACCGTATCCTGTTGTAATAATTTACTCAGACCTTTTGTAATATCTAATAACTTCTGTTAGTGTTCTTACTGCAACAAAGTGACTGAGTACTTGGAACTTAGAAGCCCGTGTATCATATGCTTCCAACTATTACTACTGCAGTTTGTTCAAACTGAAATGGCTTCTAAAGTGGATCCAAAGATAATCAATTTGACAGGGGGGTTCATGCCAATGGAAATGGTCGTGAAAGGTAAATATGATGCTGGTTAATATTTACTGTCACTTCTGTATTTCACTTTATTGAGGACTCGAGCCAGTAATTTAAGTAACATTGTTTATGCATGTCAGCCCAAATACTCCTACTCATGTGACCCCACAACCTAAACCTTGACATATGAGCCATACGTAAGAGCAAAAGACATATACATTTAGATGTCTATATCCATATTATATATATATATATATAGATGTAGGCATTCAATCACTCTGGATTGTGTAATACCTGTAAAAATATGGGTATGCTTGTCACATATCAAACAATCTTTTTGGGCTGATCCTTTAACCTATCTTATCTAGGTGCTTTTGAGCTTATTCAAAATGAAAGTAAAGCTGGCTCTTGTTTGTGGATATCTAACAAAAGGGGCTATGAATATTGGCCAACTCCTGGAGAAGAAGAAAAATATCGTCGACACCCTAAGAATTTGAAGAGAAACTCTTCAATTCTGACCCCACTAAATATTCAAGTTCCTCATAGTTTTGAGAAGATGTAAGTGTGGAGGTAATTAGTATTGCTAAAATAACTCTAACCATTTTAGTTTAAATTCCACTATAGTGTGGAAAAAATAATGGGGCATTTATTGATTGTGAAGAATTATTCAACTATGTTATGTACAACAAAATCATTTGTTTAATAGTCATCATATGCATAACACACCTGCAAATCTTCCTCTTGGACACAGGTGAACTATTTTCTGTCTATAGTTTTGGGTTGGTATAACTTATATCATTCTCTTCCAAATGTTTTTTGAGTGATTGAAATTGAAATTTCATCCTAAAAAAACTAAGTGTTGTTAGACATCTCTTTATGCATGGAGGTGTAGCTGATGACTGCATAAAATGTGTTTTCCAGTTTCCCTTTCTGGTGGGTTTTCAACAGCCTATTTTTCACTTAATAAACCTTTCTCCTTTTTTATTCTACTTTTGGATAGTTGTATTCATTAATTTGCGTTTGTGATTTTTATTTCTTGTGTTTGTTCCAGGTAGTAAAATGACCACCATTCTAATTAATGCGTTTATTCCATTTGTCAGTTTTTTCTACCTTTTCAAGCAATTTAATTTTGTATCTAACACGTATTATGCTGATCTTCTCCTACAGAGTTGTACACACTCTAAGTCACGACTTCCGAAGTGCAACAAGTGTAGTGCAGGCATCATTGAAATTGCCACTTCAACCAGATTATGTTCTTTTGAAAATCATATATGCTGGAGTTAATGCTAGTGATGTAAGTTCATAACTACATTTATTTTGTGTATTTTATTCTTATGGTTTGATTAGATTATATAAACCTTGGTAATGTAAGTTGCACATTATTTTTGCATGTGATAAATATGCTTACACGCCTACATATTCAGTTTATATCAGCCAGACAGCCACGTCAGAGTCATTTTATATCACAGTCTGGGGCCTGATTATGCATGCCACGTAATCATGTCTTGTTTGTGAATTAAATTAATTTATTAACAGGTAAATTTTAGCTCTGGAAGGTATTTCAGTGGGAGCAACAAAGACAGTGTATCTGTCCTTCCATTTGATGCTGGCTTTGAGGTTAGGAAAAAATCTGAAAAATTGTCTTTTGGTTTATTATGTTTATACTTGTTCCCCAGGCTTATAGGAGGAAAATAAGCTTTGTCTGGAAGTTGATGTAAGCTACCATTCTATTAAATTAAATATTTTTCAGAAAATTTAATACATGCTATGGCATTGACAGTTATGGAGAAAATTCATATACTCTGCATAAGATCAAGACCACATTAGTTATTCCAATTTTACTATCTTAAAAAATTTTGATCCTGTTCTGGTTTAGCAGTTTAATTTACTTATTTCACCTACATCAGCAACACTGAATCCATTATTGGGCTGTGAGACCAGCCATTTTAATGTCCTACTCATAGATAGTCTCATGGCAATAATCTTAATTCTGCAGGCAGTGGGTGTAATTGCTGCCATAGGCAATTCAGTTAAACACCTGAAAGTTGGCACTCCAGCAGCAATCATGACCTTTGGTAGTTATGCTGAATTTACAGTGGTAAAACATTTGCTTGACTTTCGAAGTATGATTTTGCATAATTAGTTTCCTTCTTGTTACAGGATGTTTTTAAGGATTGTTATAAGCATATGATTCTCTGTAATAGGTACATGCAAGACACATCCTTTCTGTAGAAAGGCCAGACCCAGAAGTAGTTGCTATGCTCACATCTGGTTTAACAGCATCCATTGCGTTAGAGAAGGTGGTTTCTATAAATGTAGATTTGGTGGTGGATTAATTCATTATATTTTGCAAACCTTACTATTAAAAAATGTTCCACCTGTTGAACAGTTTCATCATTGCCTTCTTTATGTTAATGCTGTAGGCAGCACAAATTGATACTGGAAAAACTGTTCTTGTCACTGCTGCTGCAGGAGGAACAGGGCAATTTGCAGTACAGGTGTGATCATTTTTTCATTCAGGAGTTTATTGTTGTTCGTAACAAGTAATTCTGATGTTTAGCTTTACTGTCACAGACTCAATAATGCTAATCACCAAACTATTTGAGGATATGCAAATATTTTGATGTCATATTGCTTCTAAAGCATTCATACATGTTCCATAATCCGTTTTTCACTAAAACAACAAATCATCGATCCTACTATGAGAATTTTAGGAGCCTTATCTTAGGCGTTTCCAGTTCAGTTTGCTCTTTTCCATCACGAACTATCATTTTAATCGAATTAGTCAATGAACTGTCTTACTGCAGCTGGCAAAGTTAGCTGGAAATAAAGTCATTGCAACATGTGGAGGAAAAGACAAGGCTGAGCTTTTGAAGGATTTGGGAGTGGATAGGGCAATTGACTATAAAGCTGAAAACATCAAAACTGTATGTTTCTTGAAAACCAACTTCTTTCTTTTGGTTCACCGTAATGTAATACGCCAAGTAAGTAAGAAACTAGAATCGGAAAATAATATTAACAAGGTTTTTGGTTCTTAAAGTTTCCAATATAGCTTTTACTGTATTTCTTCCACAAGAAATCATATGCACACCTTCCAGAAAATGCTGTAAAATCATAATAATTATCATGGTCCGGAAAGGAAGCTCACCTAGGTTAAGAAATCACTCAACAGAAGTGAAAATTATTGAACAAGTGCTAAGATTATGCTTGTAATTCTTTGACACATCAGTAGCTACCTAAGCCTATATGGTGAGCACATCCAATCAAGAAACCAACTGTGTGCTGGTTGATCCCTTATGAATTTCTTCCAATGTTTCAAGTTTTGAAACATCAAGCATATGGCCTTATATTTGTGGAATACACGTTTCTTATTTCCCCAGGTTCTAAAGGAGGAGTTCCCTAAGGGCGTAGACATTGTATATGAGTCTGTCGGTGGCGAAATGTTTGATCTGTGCTTGAATGCTTTGGCAACCTACGGCCGTCTTGTCGTCATTGGGATGATTTCTCAGGTTTCTTCTATCTCTTTTTCAGATTATTACCCTCTTTTGTGCACTTGTAGCCTAGTTTCCGACCTGATTGATTCTCAAACTTGCGTACAGTATCAAGGAGAACATGGATGGAAACCAAGAAATTACACTGGATTATGTGAAAAGCTTCTAGCAAGAAGCCAGACTGTGGTAAGCAACTCTGCTTACTTTTTCCAACTATCCTTTTATTACTAACAACTGTAGTTTTCAAACTTTAATTAAATTTTGATTTCCAAAACTTTCAGGCTGGGTTTTTCTTGATACAATACAGTAACTTGTGGCAAGAACATCTAAATAAGCTCATGGATCTGCACTACTCAGGAAAGCTCAAGGTAAATTATAGTCTCTTGGAACTTGCTTATACCAAATTCCTTGGGGTTGTCATGTTTTCTCAAATTTTCTCTACAGGTCGCCGTCGACCCAAAACAGTTCTTGGGCGTCCATTCTGTTGCTAATGCTGTCGACTATCTTCATTCTGGTAAAAGTATTGGCAAGGTAGTTCATAGTCTTCAATCCTCTAAATTCTCAATCTAAAATACATATTAGTTATATAAGTTTGTTGGTGAGTTTAAATACAAATTTATTGCAGGTTGTTGTCTGCATTGATCCTAATTTCAGTCACCAGGCTGCTAAATTATAACATGATAAAAACGTCCAATCATGTCAATAAATTGGGGGCTTGTTTGCGCTTTCACCAGAAAATGTCAGGCAAGTATGCAAAGGTAAGTATTTATCGTAATAGACAAATTTTGTTATAAATAATGACAAATATCTTAATAAAAAGTTAAACAACATTCACTTCCCTTGTTGAATATTTATGTAATCTACTTAACATTAACTAAAGTTTTTGTTTTTTATCCACCTTCATAGAATTGTGTTTTATGATAAAGTTTGTATGCAATTATAAGGGCTGATCATAATAGACAAAATTTGTTTTAAAGAAATAATGACAAATTTCTTAATAAAGCATTTATGCAAACAACATTCACCTACCTTATTAAATAAATATTTTGTAGTTTACTTTACATTAGTCAATTAATTAATTGTCAAAGCTTTTGTTCCTTGTCTACCCTTAAGCTAGCTCTATCCAAATTTTACAAGAAATGCCTTTTATGATAAAGTTTCCTTTCTACAATATTCTTTATATTTTTGTGTGTAATATTGATCAAGATAAAAATAAGTATGTATTGATTATAATATACAAAATTTATTATTAAAAAAAAAAAAAGATAATGACAAATGTCATAGTAAAAATTTGGCAATATTCACCTACTCTATTAAATAAATCATTTTGTAGTTTATCTTCCATTATTTAATGCTTTTGCACCCTATTTAACATTTTATGCACATTCCCACCCTAAAGATGCTCCGTTCAAATTCCACTAGAATTTAAGATATTGCTTTTTATGATAAAGTTCGATTAATCTGATATTTTACATTTTAATTACTTTACTTCTTAATTATATGGAAATATTATAACCCAATAAACATCATAAAATGGAAAACAACCTCTTTAATTTCCAACAATTAACTTGTTACCCTCTCCCATCTTTGGCCTCGGCTTAATACTCAGAATGTATTATCTCAAAAGCTTTACACAGTATATACATCTATGTATGTGTATATATGTGTTGTATTTGTATTGTATAGCCGGAAATTTCCTATGACTCAATTCCTTCCAAGTCAAAAAACCGGGTAGCTAACCGGTGACATACCTTTCAAGCTATTTACATTTCTTCGACAAGAGCCTTCTTACATGCAAGTGACCCCTTTGCCCGTGTGGTCGCACAAGAACGATGTCTGTGGGCAGCAGATATTGTTGCACGGCTTGGGCTGATTCCTCGGTTCATTGCCTGCAAAAATGTATTAAGAAGTTTGATAAATCGAATGTGGCCTCGAAGTTTAGCATCATACAACAAATTAAATCCAAGTATATGACCAAAAACAACAATATTCAGACTCTACAGTCTCAATAAAAATATATTATTTATCACAAAACATCGTATCAAAATACTATTTAAATCAAAATTCAAATAAAAGATTTAATTTCAAATCAAAACCAAGCAATGAGAAAATTTAATTCAACCACAAGCTCTTAAAGGTTGAAGATTTAGGACACGTGCCCCGCGCGTGCGAGCGTATAATACATCAACTATATTACTTTCAAACAAGTTAGCAAATTTGATTCAAAAGATCTAGCATTGAAACATAGAAAAAAAAAATGTAGATTCAACCAAAGGCTGCCAAATGCTAATGGTTTTAAGACTCGTGCCACGTGCGTGCGCACATGCTATAAATCAACTGTATATCTTTCTCACGTGTTAACACAATGAATTTAATTCTAACCAATATATATAAAATAACAAACTTTTAAAATAAATAAACAAAAATCGACAAACACTCACCCTCGGCAGCTTTGGAGCTAATACCCTCTGGCTGATGCGCATTGGTGTCACTGATAGTGGTGCGCGAGCCCTCTATCGTTCCTCTCAACAGAGGTTCAGGAGACTCCAACAAGAAAGGCTCTACAAACTGTGGCTTTCTGCGCTTCCTACTTCCTTTCTTTACCCGAACTTTTTGTTGTTGACATACAAATTGATACAGTAAATAATTAAGCAAGATTCATCCATACCTTTCATTTGCAAATACTGAATGTACAATAGAAACAGAATATATATATATATATATATGAAACATTAAAAGAATTGAAAGGGAAGAACGACCAACCAGCACCATCAGTTCGTCTTCCAGAAGCACTGATATCCAACAGAGAAAGTGCTGCGCTCACGACTTCCGTCCCATGCACCCGGACTACGTGCACCTGAGAGATACAGTGCTCGATGAATAAAATATTTACCTAAGAAACAGAAATGATCGAATGGAAAACCAGTGACTTACAATTAGGACATACACATGCACGAAATAAAACTAATAATAGTTACATAGCAACAATATATACAATACTATCGCACCAGTAGCACAAAGTAATTTCTTTCCCCGTAAGAAATTTCAAGTCACAAACATTTCGAGGCTATCAATTAATCAAGCAAATTACCTTAACAGGTAAACTACACATACATATAGCATATACTGAAAAAACACATTAGCCAGAATCATATATACCATTTGCACGAAGAGCGCATGGATCATTTTTCCCCATGAGAATAATTTAAGTTAGAAACAATTCCATTCGATCAATAAAAGAAAATTACCTTCAACTTGCAAGGGGCAATCAGATGGAAAATCAGTATGTCCCCCTTGAGCAAACGGTGAGTTATGGAAAAACGTCGCCATCCAGCACTCAGACCGTACCTATCCAGCAGATAAGAGGTTTCATACTCATTGCCCCATTCGTCCTCCAAGGTAATACACGTATCACAGATGGGAAAGTGAGTAATGCAGAATTTTTTGGGCAGATGCTGCATCGAGTAGAAGTGGACGTGAATCTTTGTGAGAAATTTAAAAAGTTCAGTAAAAAATGTATATCCTAGATGAAAAAGATTACCAGCCAAAATCCGTGTGAGACATTTGACGGGAGCATGCATTTGGTGAAGTGCGGGAGCTCATATCCCAAGTGGTCGAGGACCTGCCGTGCTCGCGCCTTTACTGACGACTCGGCTTCCATGTCTTCAAATAGGTCGTAGGTTCGACGCCTCTTCCGTGCAACACTGCAACACAAAAATTTAGAGTTGGAATCCTATCAATGGTTTGAATGATTGATAACTCTTGCAAAAACCTACCGTGGGGGCTTTGAATCATCCGTGCGAACCTGTGTAAGAATCGCGCAAAATAAAATGTTATCAGTGAATCATCCATCAAAACTATAAGGAAGAAAGCACTTTTCAATAATGATTGATTATCTGGCTTCCGATGCACAAAACAATATGCCATCAAACAATGTCGATGTCTCCAATGTGAAATATTCTTGCATTTCAAATCTCATTACTCGACTAGAAATCGACTCCCAATGCTCCCACCTAAAGCTCAGTCATTGCTTGGTTGTCATTGATTGGACTATTAGTAGCCGCAATTCATGCCTTTTGGTTTTTATGACAGAAAATTGGCTCTTGATTTTCATTTCAAATTGTTCGCGACTATTGAAAACTAAAAGTCATCATCAAGCAAATTTAAGATTTCAAGCATGCTAAATTCAGGTATAATGAGAACAATGCATACACGACCGGAAAATGCATAGCCAACGCACGGTTTACACAGATAGAAACTGCATAGCTAAAGCATTTAAACCTCAAGACTGAACTTGACATCAATTCCCAACGCTCTCATCTAACGAAAATCATTGCTGGGTTTTCATTTATTAGACTATTATGTGACAACAAACTACAACAAATGCCAACGGCCATTCTAGAACCCAATGCAACGTCGATGTCTCCAATGTGAAACATTCTTGCAATTCAAATCTCATTATCAACTCCCAACGCTCCCCACCTAACCACAATCATTGCTTAGTTGTCATTTATTGGATTGTTAGTAACGGCGTCCGCCACCGGAGCCAACTCCAGTAAATGCTGCCGGATATTCCGGACAGCCATCCGCGTTGCACGGAGTTTTAACTGGAAGAACTTGCGCATTTCACGCCTTTCGATTTTTATGACAAAATTGGTTCTTGATTTTCATTTCAAATTGCTCGTCACTATTGAAAACTAAAATTCATCATCAAACAAATTTAAGGTTTCAAGAAGTCTAAATTTAGGTACAATGAGAAGAATGCATCCACGACCGCAAAACGCATCGCTGATGCACGATTAACACATACAGAAAATACATAACTAAAGCATTTAAACCTCAAGACTCGACTAGACGTCAATTCCCAACTCCTATCTAACAAAAATCATTGCTTGGTCGTCACTTATTGGACTATTATGCGACAAACAATCGTAACCGTGCCTACACGGACCAACTACAACAAATGACATTGTCCACTCTAGAACCCAATGTAAGCACCATCAAACAATGTCAATGTCTCCAATGTGAAACATTCTTACAATTCAAATCTCATTATCAACTCCCACCACTCCCGCCTAACGACAATCATTGCTTAGTTGTCATTTATTGGATTGTTAGTAACGGCGTCCGCCACCGGAACCAACTCCAGTAAATGCTGCCGGATATTCCAGAAGCCGATGCAAAGTCCTACCGGACACCTCTCCGAGTCACACGGCGTTTTATCCGGAAAGAACCAGCGCAATTCATGCCTTTCGGTTTTTTATTACAAAATTGATTTTCATTTCAAATTGTTCACATCATCAATCAAATTTAAGGTTTCAAGCATCCTAAATGTAGGTATAATGAGAAAAATGCATCCACGACCGGGAAGCGCATAGCCGATGCACGGCTAGCAAAGACAAAAAAAATGCATAACTAAAGATTTTAAACCAAGACTCAACTAGACATCAATTCCCAACGCTCCCATCTAACCAAAATCATTGCTCGGTTGTTATTTATTGGACTATTATGCGACAAACAATAGTAAATGCCACTAGCCATTCTAGAGCCCAATGCAAGCTCCCTCAAACAATGTCGATGTTTCCGATGTGAAACATTCTTGAAATTCAAATCTCACGACTCGATTCGATTCGACTCGACTCGAATTGAATCGAAATCAACTCCCAACGCTCCCACCTAACGACAATAATTACCCGGTTGTCATTTACTGGATTGGTAGTAACAGCTTCCACCGCCCAACCACTACCATAAATGCCGCCGGATATTCCGGAAGCTGACGCCAAGTCCCACCGGATGCCGATAACACTATCGGAAACTACTCATCATCGGAGAAATCTCAAGGCTTCAACTATTCTAAGCATAACAAGAAAAAACACATCGCCGATTAATGGAGTGGCCGGAAAATGCATAAGCTATGCATTTCGCGGCCGGAAAACGCATAGCCGATGCACGGCCAGCGCAGACAGAAAAATGCATCACTGATGCCCTGAGCAACTAGAAACTTGCACCCTCAAATCCTGTCTAGAGCCTAAAGAAACCTAAAAAAACAACCTAAATCTGAACGAATCTATGGCATCAAATGGCAGGCCACAAATCTGGTTATCATCCATTCTCAAGAGCTCACAGACAATAACGCATCGAAAAAAAATAGGGATTAAATCTTACATAACTAAACAAGAACAAAAAAGACATGGTAAGAGCATATCTCACCTGAGCATCCTTAGATTTGGGGCCTCTGGACTTCTTCGAAACCCTTTTCTTCTTCCTCCCCAACTCCATCGCATTCCTTCTTTTCTTCACCTTATTCACCTTCTGCCAAACACAGCGCAAAATAAAGAGGCACAGTCAAAACAACAAGCAAAGTAAAACTCAAACTCAAATTCGAAACACAAATAGAATTGGTTTGATTTGGTAGACAAACCTCAGAACGAGGATGATACGTTGGGTCCTTTCCGAGTAGTTCCGGGGCGTTCTCCTCCTCCTTCTCGCGTAGGGTGTGGTGCAGCAGCTTGCCGGACGCCATTTCAAATTCTTTTTAGTTGTTTGTGTGCGGCTTCTTCTTCTTCTTTTTCCTTTCCCTTCCTTCCCCCTCACTCGAGAAGCGAAAAGCTTTTCTTTTGTCTCAGTGACTTTCGAACAATTTCACTATATACATAAATATATATATATACACATATACACACACACTACTGTAAGAGAGAGAGAGAGAGAGAGAGAGAGAGAGAGAGAGAGAGGGTTGGTATAGAGGAAGAAAGCGAGGGGCAGCAAGCAGGTTAGCCAGCTGTGCGAATGTGGACAGCCGAACACGGCCCACATTAGCAGAAATTTGTGCACTGTTGGGGTGGCTCTGTGCTCCTTCTCACTCCTCAGTCCTCACCCTCACAAGATGTGTTAGTTTAGTGTTTTTTTTTTTTTTGCTTTTTTGTTTTAAAATAAAATAATTTTTAAATATAAAATTTTTACTATTAATTGTATGAGAAAAAGTTTTGAAAAAATTCAACTACCTAACAAAATAAAAATGAGGTAATAGCATTTAATAAGGATTGGACCGTCCATTCAAACTAAAATTTTGGATTCGATATAATTGTATAAGAAAAAGTTTTGAAAAGATCCAACCGCCTAAGAAAATAAAAATGAGGTAATAGCATTAAATAAGGATTGAACCGTCGATTCAAATTAAAACCCGGTCGAACAGGATTGAACCGTCAATTCAAATCGAAGTTACGGGTTCATATCGAACCCGGTCGAACGGATTGAACCGCAATAAAATTAGGTTGAAATTTGAATCAATCTAGTGATTCATGATTGGTATACATTTATATATATGTATATAGCGTGACATGTAAAAGAGTTTAATTCTTTTTCATAGCGATTCAATTATTTTATATTTAAATTCGGCATTTTTCAAAAAAAAAATAAAAATAGAGTTTAATAAAAAAAAAAAAAACATCAAATATTATTGAAGTAATGAATTGAAATTTTCGAATTCAATATCAATTGAAAAGAGATACATTCTAATATACTTTCAAATCAATAGTGCAAATTGAGTGTAAATAATAAAGTTTGTTTAATATTTTAATGTGAGACATAGCACAACTTTCATAACATAAAAATTAATATTTTATTTTTAATTGTTGACCTTTATGAGAAAAATAATACAAGTATTACATATGTTGAGAATTCTTATAGAAAAAAATTAATTGGAAAAACAAACTCTTAACTTTATAAATCAAAGTTTAGATTTTGGTGGTAAATAATATGTTTGTTAGTAAAAATCTTCAAAATCCTTACAACCAAGTGTTTGTTCAGGGGATTGGATTTTAAATCCACTGTTCATCTAATTTTTTTTTTCTTCAAAAATATCAAATCAAATATTTATTTTTTATTTTTTATATTATACTAAAAATCAATTTTATATTCAAAACATCACATCAACACCTATATATATTACATCATACAACTATTCAAATTCAAAATTTTTACTATTCAAATCTCAACTCAAAATTCAAACTTCTAAACAAACACAACAATGTTTAGGACATTTAAGTAATAATTTTGAAATTTTGAAAGTTGTTTCAAAATATACATTTCATCTATATTTTTATATTAAATTTTAATTGTAAATATCTTGTATAGACATAAAGTGTTTCAAATTAAAAGCATTATTATTAACCTAACGTTTTTTTTAAAAATAATAATAATAATAATAATATAATAAGAACACATATGTATATATTAATATTGCATTCTAAAAGAAAATAAATAAATAATCCAACAGAATACATTTTACTGTACAATTTTCGTAAATCCTATTAGAACATTTATTATTCCCCTCGTAAAAATATTACGTCTAACCTATTATTGCGTCAAACTCCGATGTTTTTAAGTCCACTTGCCACACATGGTTCGTCGTAGATTGATTTTCTCATATCCATATTTTCATTTTTCATCCGTCCCACTTATTTAGTCAATTTTTTAAAAAAAGAATTATACACTTTAATGTTATTTTAAAAATTTTAATTTTTAATTTTTTAAAATTTTAATTATATTAATTGGTTATATTAATCTCAATCTATAATTATTTTTATTATATTATAATTATTTTTACTAATATATTTTTAATTAGTTATTAATTATACCCCTTCTAAATTCCCTTATCTACTGTAAAACGGACAAAATATCCGAGACGAATGAAGTATTACAGCTAACCTATTATTATGTATTTTATTTACTCTGTGCAGTAAAAAATTTTACAAAACATATTTGAATACAAATTTATATCAATGAAAAATACTCGTTTTTGTTATTTTTTTTAATTATTTTTGTCTGTTCAAAATATTTATTTTCTATTATAACAACTAATTTAAATATAAATAACAAAATAGCTTTAATTTTTATTAAAAAAAATATATTTTCTTTATTATTGTAAAATAAAAATATTAAAATCATGTTATATACTTCTAAATAACCTGTCGAATATTATTATAATTTCCTAGGAGTAGTCCCCCACCCTCCCCACCCTTTTAAGGGATTGAAAATTTTCGCAATTTTACTATGTGGGATATTATCCAATATAAAAAGATTAAAGTTAAAAATTGAAAAAATATAAAAAAAAAAAAAAAGTTGTTACATCAGAGGAGTAGTTGATTTACACTACCTAATTTAAGTATTTTTACTTAGACTTTTAACCCATAATTATAATATTGGGAACACTGAGATTTCAGGTAAATTAGAGAGTTAAAAAGAAAATTTTGATATACACATATTTGTTTATAAAATGGATCAAGTGAAAGTTCATTGGGTGTGTTTGTTTGGAGGATTGGATTTTAAATACACTATTCTATCTTTTTTTTTTTTTTTCAAAAAAAATATCAAATCAAAAATCTATTTTTCATTTTTATATTATACTAAAGATCAATTTTACATTGCCAACATCTATTTATATCACATCATATAACTATTCAAATTCAAAATTGTTACTATTCAAATTTCAACTCAAATAAAAAATTATACGCAGGACACTTGTATATATATAAAAAATTTCAAATATTTAATAAAAATATTAAAAGTACATTAGTTCTAAAAAAAAAAATATTATTATTCTCATTTTTATTTTATTTTAATAATAATAATATTTTGAAATTTATATTTTTTGTTATAGTATTATTTTGATCGGATTTAGTATATTATATATATTCAGCGTAATTAATTTTTATTTTGTAACAATCTATTTAATTTATTGTTATTATTATTATTTATATGAATTTTTATACAAAAAAATATATTTATAAAGAAAATTACATTAAAATTATAAATTTTATTAATTAAAATAATAAATAAAATAATTGAAAAGGATAAAAATAAACTAACATTGTCAAATATAATCGGTAGTTTTTGAACTGGCGGAACTGAAATCGAAATAAGAAAATATAAACTAAAATTATGAAAAATTTAATTTTGATTTGACATTTTCAAATATTAAAACTGATTAATTTAATTCGAATTATTTGACCAATTTTATTTGTTATTTTATATATATATATATATAATTTTTAATATTATTTCAAATATACAGAACTTAAAAATATTTGTAATTTTTATATTAAACATTAAAATTTTTTTTTTTATCTTATTGATATTATTATAATAAAATAATAAATACTTATAAAATAATAAATAGTTATTAATGCTATAAATAAAATAATATGTACTTTTTTATTATTTTGAAAATCCATTGAAATCTCATCTCATAGCAGGAGATTATATAGAGTGTAATTTGTTAACAATTTTATTAAAGAATCCAACAAAATTCATGGATTTTTAATGGATTGTTAAATACGCCAAAATTTTAAAACACATTTTAAAATCCAATTGAATACACCAGATTTTTAAAAGACTTTTAAAAATTGGATTGAATACACCAAAATTTTAAAAAGATTTTTTAAAATCTGATTGACTACACCCAAATTTTAAGAGTAGATTAAAATACAATAAAATCTATATTGAATACACCCCTTAGTTTGCAGACTATAAAAGTATGTGATATATTAATATTTTTGAAAAAATATATATATGTTTATTTTTTTTAAGAACACACCTTCTAAACCTGAAATTTTTAAAAAAAGTTAATTTAATATTTAATACTCTATCTGTTATGTAAATGTCTGTTCATTTGATATAGTAAGAATTTTAATAAAAATAAGTAATAATGGTTATATATATATTTTTTTATAGTAAAAATAGTAGAAATGTGTAATAATTTTTTACCTAAAAAAACAAAAATATATTTATTAAAAAGTATTAAAAGTATTAACCCTTTAATTAATTAATTTTAAGTATTAACCCTTTTAAATTTGGATGTAAAAAGAATGAGTTGATATGATTTGAGGGTCACAATTGACATAGTCCGCACGCAATTTTCTTTTCCTTAGCTAAAAACGCTCCACAAAGAAAGTCTGCGGTGTTTGCTTGGTCGTCTTTTTATTCCATTTTCATATCTTTTATAATTAAAAGATATTTATATTTTTACGTAAAATGTAGCTGTATTATTATTAAAAATAATAATTTTATTTACATTTTAATCGCAATTAAAATATTTTAGGTTTACATAAAAACAAAGATGATATTTTACCTATAAACCTTCGCCATTCAGATAAAAAGGGCTGCTGTGGTTAGAGCACAAGTACTGTTTGGAGTTTGTTTATCTTCTTCTCCCTCTCATCAACCCTACGCCATTTTGCCATTTCGTTCGGAGCTCCCATGGAGGGCACGATGCTCCTGCGCGCTCTCTCCTTCCCGGCTTCTTCCTCGACGCTTGCCTCCTCCAGGTTATTCTTCCGCCATGCCCACCGACTCGCTCGCCTACCGAAGCGGCAGCGGTTGCTTGCCAATTTACAACAGCGGTCGCTTCTGAGCAGAAGATTTCAATTTGCATCGTCGGTCGCTCGGCCGTCTATCGAGATGAAGAGATGTTATTGCACTCCGTCCGTCCGCGCCATTGCCACGTCGTCTGCGCAGCCAGCGCCGGGTAACAGATCAATTCTCGATTTTTTTTTTCCCCTTTAATTGAGGTTGATATTGATTTTGATTGGTCTTGTGAATTATCAGAGGTTTTGGGAGTGGAGGATGAGGTGGCTGAGAAGCTAGGATTTGAGAAAGTGTCTGAGGAATTTATTGACGAGTGTAAGTCTAGAGCTGTTTTGTATAAGCATAAGAAGACTGGGGCAGAGGTTATATCGGTTTCCAATGACGACGAGAATAAGGTCTTTGGTATTGTTTTTCGAACGCCTCCGTAAGTGCTTCTTCACTCAAGATTCTTGATTAGTCATGAAATTTGAAAATTTTGGTAGGCATCTTTCAATGATACCATTATGGTATTGATGTTAGGCGTCTTTCAATAAATGGAGCTGTCATCAACGATGGCACCATTTGGTAATTAGGATGTTTCTCTGAGATTCTAACTTTTCGATTTCTCAATTTCAGAAAGGACTCCACAGGAATTCCTCACATTTTGGAGCACAGTGTACTTTGTGGCTCAAGGAAGTATCCCCTGAAAGAACCATTTGTTGAGTTGTTGAAAGGAAGTTTGCATACCTTTCTCAATGCGTTTACCTATCCAGATAGGACTTGCTATCCTGTTGCTTCCACAAATGCTAAGGTAAGCTTCTTATTTCCATGTGAACACAAATTTACATTACATTCTTGTTTTAATTAACATATGAGTATTGTTTTTGTGCAGGATTTCTATAACTTGGTTGATGTGTACTTAGATGCTGTCTTTTTCCCTAAATGTGTGGAAGATGTCAAAACATTTCAACAAGAAGGATGGCATTATGAATTGGATGACCCCTCGGAAGACATTACTTACAAAGGTTGGTGTTTACTGCTAGAATTATATTGTCACCTCCGATTGCTTATATATCTTGGTACAATTTACATATGGTCTGCAGAATGTTTATTTACATTGAACTGTATTTGTGTTCCCCTAACAGGAGTTGTTTTCAATGAGATGAAAGGAGTCTACTCTCAGCCTGATAGCATATTGGGCCGAGTTTCCCAACAAGTAAGCTTCACACTCAATTGATTTTCTTTCTTTTTTTTTTTTCTTTTCTTTTATAAAAGAGTAGTTATTTTGTTTGTGTTGGATCGAGTAATGGACTAACCTTAGAGGTTTGTTACACAGTAGAAATAAAAATTTGTTACAGTTGTTTGAACTATTACATAACTTCACTGCAGGCTCTCTGTCCTGATAATACTTATGGTGTGGACAGTGGTGGTGATCCTCAAGATATTCCGAAACTTACATTTGAGGAATTCAAGGTTTCTTTCTGTCCATATTTAATTTTTCGGTTGTTTACTTGTTCATGTGTAGCAAGTGTTACCCCCTCATTTTTTTTGTGTGAATAAAGTATTTTGCATGGGTTAATAGGAGCAATCTAAAGGATCGGATGCATTACACCTTCACCTAGCTAGTGTCCTACATCCTGCATTTGTTTGTTGACTTACTCTGCAATTCAAAGTTCTTTGTGAATACTAAAAATTGTAATTTACATAGAAGTAATTGAAATTCAGACATGAAAATCACGATCTGTTCCTTTTGTGCTGAGATATTCATCTCCACATCAGCCTACTTTCCGGTATCTGAAATCTCCACAAGCTGTCGACGATATTCCATTTTGCTTTTGAAGTCAACAATACAATCTTTTCAGTAACCCAAATTTCATAATTATGCAGGTAAACATGGATAACTTTGAATTTGTAAATATAAGCATGAAGAACTGATTAATAATTTTTATTGTATGTTCAAAATGACACAAGCAAAGTGATCTGCTGGAACCTTATTTTAGAGTTTGATGAAGAGTTTTTTCTTTGAATCTCAAAATAAACGCTGAATGCATTTAATTATTTGGTTACTGAAACTCTAGTGATTCCATTCCAGACGTTACTTTAACATGGTTCAGTATATTTTCTCTTGAAGGGAGATGTCGAATTCATTATTGTATAGAGAACAAATAAAGTGTACACTTGATTACTGCAATTTATGTTTTGTATTGGTCTGTTTCAATTGAGTTAATATTTTTTTGTATCATATTTACAGGAGTTCCACCTGAAATATTATCATCCAAGCAATGCTAGGATCTGGTTTTATGGCGATGATGATCCGGCTGAACGGTTACGTCTCTTAAGTGGTATGACATTGAGTTTTCATGTCTAATATTTTTAATTTTTATATTGGACAATTCTAACTTACATAAATCAACAACATTAAAGGTTTACCAGTCCTTGGTTTCCTCCATGTTATGCTCTTTATGTTTAGCTAACAAGTTATGGACATGTATTTGTGTCATATGTATTAATTCTCTCTGTATGGTACAAGTAATTTAAAAGGATGAAATTACGCATTCACTCATTGAAGCTTTGTTGCTCTAGGATTTTTGTTGTTTTTAATTCCTTAATTTCAAATAAATTTTCATTTTTGGTGCAGATTATCTAGACAAATTTGAAGAAAATTCAGCTCCAGAAGAGTCAAAAGTTGGTTGCCAGAAACTCTTCTCAGAACCTGTTAGGGTTGTTGAGAAGTATCCTGCTTCTGAAGGTGGTGATTTGAAAAAGAAGCACATGGTGTGCCTTAATTGGCTCCTTTCTGAAGAACCACTGGACTTGGAAACTGAGCTAGCCTTAAGTTTTCTGGATCATTTAATGCTGGGAACCCCTGCTTCTCCTTTAAGGAAAATTTTGCTAGAGAGTGGCCTAGGAGATGCTGTTGTTGGAGGGGGCATTGAAGATGAGCTCATTCAACCGCAGTTTAGTGTTGGATTAAAAGGTGTATCAGAAACAGACATTAATAATGTGGAGGACTTAATCATCACTACACTAAAACAGCTGGCTGAAGAAGGCTTCCATTCCGATGCTGTAGAAGCTTCAATGAATACAATTGAGTTTTCTCTCAGAGAAAACAATACTGGATCATTTCCTCGTGGTTTAGCACTTATGCTTCGATCAATGGTATAGTATATTTCTTTCAATTTTATCTGCATCAACATGGTTTCTTCTCTGCTATATTTTCTCCACTTATACCTCATGTGTGAAAAATTTTAAATTATACAATATCTTAACGAATAGGGAAAATGGATTTATGACATGGATCCTTTCGAGCCTCTAAAGTATCAAGAACCTTTGAAGGCATTGAAAGCTAGAATAGCTGAGGAGGGCTCCAAAGCAGTCTTTGCGCCGTTAATAGAGAAATTCATTTTGAAGAACCCGCACCGGGTAACTATTGAGATGCAGGTATATTTTTATAATACCGCTTTTGAACTCTGCTAGATGATATTTGACTTAAAATTTCATTGGGCTAATTAGTATTGTAAATGCTGTTGCTAGCCTGATCCGGAGAAGGCTGCTCGAGATGAAGCAGCTGAAAAAGAAATTCTGGATAAGGTGAAATCTGGCATGACCAAAGAGGATCTTGCTGAACTTGCTCGTGCAACACATGAGCTTAAGTTGAAGCAGGAGACCCCTGATCCACCAGAAGCTCTAAAATGCGTTCCAAGCCTTTCTCTGGAAGACATTCCTAAAAGGCCTATACATGTTCCTACAGAGGTGTTAAGATGATAAAAAATCCTATATCCTTTTGGAAATCTTTCTTTTGTTTAATCTGGATTACATATGTTGTTTGTAACTGATAGGTTGGTGACATCAATGGCATAAAAGTCTTACAGCATGACCTTTTCACAAATGATGTTCTATATGCTGAGGTGGTTTTCAATATGAGCTCTTTAAAGAAAGAGCTTCTTCCATTAGTGCCCCTGTTCTGGTGAGATAGCTGCTGCTAATTGATCTCTTGTGCTTTGTTTATTATTTTTGTTTTGAAATAGAAGAATTTTATCAATATGAATCCCTGATAGTTAGTACTCTGAGATATGATCTTGTTGCATCCAGTTTATGGTGTGGATAACCCTTCTTTATTAGGTATACATGCTATAGGCCATGACTACCATTTCCAAGGTACAGTATATGCATTTAGACAAGTGATGTGGATCCAGCTTTATGCCAGTGTTTGACTCGAACCTTTTTTCTACTGTGTTTCAAGTTTTAACGGTAGAAGTAAAAGGAGCGGACAGGATGGCTTAAAACTAATTCACATTTAGCTAATATATATTGATGGATCCTTGTGGTAGTAGTTCCATAACAATTCTCTCTTCATCTTACAAAAGATTAATGAGATTTATGGATATCTCAACAGCCAATCACTGCTGGAAATGGGTACTAAAGACTTGGATTTTGTACAACTAAACCAATTAATTGGAAGAAAAACTGGTGGAATATCAGTATATCCTTTCACATCATCAGTTCGAGGAAAGGAGGATCCATGCAGCCGTTTAATTGTTCGCGGCAAAGCTATGTCTGAACGCACTGAAGATTTATTTAGCCTGGTAATTTCTTTTAGTCTTGGCTGCTTCATTAACTTGAGTTTTGAGCTGCCTTGCGGCCTTGCCATTCTTGATGAAATGAATTAACTTGTTGCTAACACAATGCGAGGTGCACATGGTTACTGTAGTAATGTCTTTTGGCTGCAGGTCTGAAAATTGACCTGATACATGTAGTAATTATGTGTTACTGTAAGCTGTTTTCTAAAAGTATTTTACATTTATTTGGTATTTACTATTTATGCTTCTCTGTTGTAGTTGGAATAGAAGACAGACACTCATTTTTACGTACCCTCCAACTTTCTTGAAAATTGATTGGAATTGACTGATGCAACTATTTGACATTGTTTACTGTAGATCAACCGCATTCTTCAAGATGTTCAATTGACAGACCAACGGCGTTTTAAGCAATTTGTTTCTCAAAGCAAAGCCAGAATGGAGGTATTCATTGAACCCCTTTCAAAGTTTTGACTAACTGATTCTCTTGACTTAACAAGTGGCTACAACCCTTAATTTTCAGAATCGGTTAAGGGGCAGTGGACATGGCATTGCAGCTGCTAGAATGGATGCAAAGCTCAATGTTGCTGGTTGGGTCTCTGAACAAATGGGTGGTGTCAGGTTTATCCTCTTGGTTTAATTCTTACCTTTGGATTTGTTCCGACTGTCACTATTTGCATTTTGAAGTAATAATTCATTCAGCAATTTTCTGCCTTCATATGTTGATTTTGCATCAAGTCCTAAGTAATGTTAGCACATCCTTGCAGTTACTTGGAGTTTTTACAAGATCTTGAAGAGAGATTAGAAGATGACTGGTCCGGAATATCTTCTTCACTTGAGGAGATACGTAAAAGTTTGATTGCAAAAACTGATTGCCTAATAAATCTGACGGCTGATGCAAAGAATCTGAATAACGCTGAGAAATATGTCAGCAAGTTTCTTGATATGCTTCCTAACCCTTCCTTGGCTGGATCTACTTCTTGGAGCGGTCGTCTCCCTCCTATTAATGAAGCTATAGTTGTACCCACTCAGGTTTGATATAATCACTGTCTTTTATTTATTATTATTTACTCACTAACCATGCTTTTTATTATGCAAACATCATTAACAAAAATGATCTTTTGCAGGTAAATTATGTTGGAAAAGCAGCTAATCTTTTTGATGTTGGCTATCAACTTAAAGGAAGTGCCTATGTCATCTCTAAATACTTGAGCAATACATGGCTATGGGATCGTGTGCGAGTTAGTGGTGGGGCTTATGGAGGATTTTGTGATTTCGACACTCATTCAGGTTCAATCTTGAGTGATGCTGTTCTGTTATGATTTTAACACTTCTGCAGCTCTCCTAACAATGGATTCCTCTCTTCAGGTGTGTTCTCATACCTATCTTACAGAGACCCCAATTTATTGAAGACACTTGATGTTTATGATGGCTCAAGCAACTTTTTGAGAGAACTTGAAATGGATGATGATGCTCTCACTAAGGCAATTATTGGTACCATTGGAGATGTTGATTCTTATCAACTACCTGATGCAAAAGGATATAGTAGGTTAGTCCATGGACAATCCTTACCTTATTGAAATAAATATTATTATGTATGGCAGGCTATACAAACCCTTCTACATGAAATACAGATTGCATCACATTACAAGCACAACTATCACAATGTCACCATTTTAATCTTCTTTGGTTCAAATGCTGCCTTAATGATGATTACTATTGTTTGTCCAGTTTACTGAGGTACTTGTTAGGAGTCACAGAGGAAGAGAGACAATTGAGACGTGAAGAGATCTTGTCAACCAGGTACTAAAACCTAATACTCCCTCTGTTATTTTCCAAATATGTGCTCAAACTTTTGGACGCAGGTTTTAATGTGGGTGCATATGTTTTGATACTTTTTACCTTTCTATAGTAAGAAAATATAAAAATATTATTATTTTCTAATAAAAAGAGAAAGAGAACATTTTTTTGAGGTCAACTAAAAAAGAAGTGCATGTATAATGATAATTTCTGCATTTTGCATTAGAACTAGTTCCCAACCTCATGGTACAATAGCATATTGTCTGATCCAAGCCATTTAAATGCTTTGAGTCCAGTTACTTATGGCCTATACCTTGTGATGATTCATCAATTTACGATGAAGAAAATAGAGAACGAGTGTGATTTATCTAAAGGCACTGCAAGAATCTCTTACACTGGAATATGATGGTGAATAAAGTAAATAATTATTGAAAAGCTCTTGCCTATTGTAGTTGATTTATTCTTTACTCTACGCCGTTGCACCAATTCCATGAACTTTATTTATATATTGTTGTTCCTCAAAAATACCATTGCTTGTGTTCCTTTCTGTTCCCTTATATCATGGAGAAGAGATGCTTTATTAACTTGTACATTTATTTATTTCTTTCTTTATTATTTGAAGGTTGAATGACTTCAAAGAATTTGCTGATGTCCTTGAGGCCGTCAAGAACAAAGGTGTTGCGGTTGCTGTTGCATCTCCTGATGACGTTACCGCTGCAAACAAGACGAGGCCTGATTTCTTTAAAGTGAAGAAGGCACTATAAAATTTTTAAGTGAGTGTTCACGTATTTATCACTGGAGATATATTCCCCCTCTATTCTTCGTGAATCTACATATGTTGGAGGGGTTCAAAGGAAGCGAAGCCGATCTCCATGCTGCTCCAGGGGCTTCTCATAGTCCAGCAGAAAAGAACTGCTTCACAACTTTTGGGCATTAGTTCTAAATCGATTCGATAATAGGAGTTCTGTAATACACTTCCAGCCGTACACATTGGTATTTGTAAGAAACACTTTCAGGATAATTTATTCATATAATTTGCAATATTCATTATAGCAGTTAGCACATGCATATTGTTTTTTCTCTTCCAGAAAAACAGTCTGCCTCTCTGCTTTGATTTTTACCTACCATTTCCGATTTTTTCATGTTCTTTTGATCTGAATATTCCACTTGAAACATTACCATTATTGTAGTGTCCATTTCTACCTAGATCGGCAGCAGCAGTGGTGGAGGCGGTGGTGGCGCTGGCGGCGTTGGGTGTTCGTTCATCTGGAGCACGGCAGGCAGCCCCACACCCCTGAAGAAGGTAAGCTTAAAAGCTCCCTGATCTCATTTTTTTCTGTAGATGCATAATATGATAATAATGAGTTTATATACATAAAAGAAATATAAAAATAAAATTGTATTATTATTTATGCACGAGGGGGGAGACATGGGAGTTGAAATAACTCAAAAATGGCCCCCTTCTGTAGAATAAATCCAACCTGCAGTGGCAGAAACAATTCAGCATCATCTGTATCTTATGTATGGATGCCTCTCTTGTTATTACATCCAACGAACAGTCTGCTGGTCTCTGCCACCACTTTCATCTCTCTCTCTCACCCCACCAGCCATATATTATATCCCTTTTGGTCAGAGACATGGCCCTTATTTTTAGGGGGAAGATTGGTTACCATTTACAGCCTAATTATGTCAATATTCATTTATGGGTCCCATCAGTTTTGCTTCCATTTCTTTCCAATTGGAATCCAATGTTTAGTGTGGCACCACAGGCACAGGGTTGGGTTGGGTTGGGTTGAGTTGAGTTGAGTTGAGTTAGGTTTTTATCCATATCCATAGTTGATGATGATTTGTATTTTTGTGGAATGTGTGTATTTTTGTCTCTCTGCTTGACCTCCTTTCATCTTGTTTAACAAGTACTGCTCTGTCTTTTTGCTCTTTTCTGGACCCTCTTCCCTGTTCTACCTCTGCTCTCTTCTTTTCATTTACTCATTATTTATTTCTTTTGGACCTTGTGATTACAATCTATGAGCTTCCTTTGTGTCAATTTTTTGTTGGTACTGCTTCTGCTTCTGTCAATCCTCTGCAAGGATCTATTGTATATTCTGAAATCCCTGTTTAGGTAATTTTCTTGATCATTCCATTGATTGCATTCACTTTGAACCCAAATATAAGTCAAATGGACATCTTTTAGCCTTCCCTCTGAACATGATGATTAAATTATGGCTTGTGTTTTTAGCATTGCCAAACTCACCTTCAATCTTGAACCAAATAAAAAGTGATAACTTGTTTGATATCTATCTAGGCTAAGAGTTTAGGGTTTCTTTACTTGTGAAAATATCATATTTATTTATTTTTTCATTGAATGTATGTAGTAGGTGTGTTTGTAGAGAGTTATTAGATACATACATACGCAGTACAATTGTCATTAAAAGTGCAATTGAATTCCACATCTACACCACATTCCTAACAATATTCAATACCATATCTGTAAAAAAATCTGATTATTGCAAGATTCACCCACAGCTTTACATTCTCAACATTTAATCTTGGTGAGGCTGCTTAATGACAGCAACAAAACTATTCAATTCACATAAATACACATATTTATGTGGTCCACCACAAATTAATTAATTTACCAGAACCCATTCGAAACATATGCCAATATTAAAATAAAATAAATTCAAATATATAATTATTTTAATTATTGCTATTTTATATTTTCAGCATTTCAGTTTGAAAATTCATCTACCTCTGTAATGATGGTGGATATGCTGCAGTTATTGCACATTATTATTATTATTATAATATCTTCTTCTTCATCAATCTCCGCTGCATTTGCAATATATGCTATTCCTAATTTCTCACAGGGGTTGTTACATTTTTATTAATTCACAACTATTTTATTTATTTTAATTTTAATTTTGCAAGCTTTTTTGGTTGGAAGAAATCAATGGAAGTTGGATTGTTATGGAACAACATTGATTTGAAACAAGATCCTTCAAATATTTTGCTTATTAATGTATGTATGCATTATATGTAATTATTTGGTAATTTATTGATGATATTCAAAGCAATTATGCCTATTTCAAAACAGCTGAAGTTAATTTTTCTTTTTTAATGGTTGAACATAATACTTTAATCAATTGAATTAAATGGATGAGGAATTTTGGCATTTAATCACTCAAATTGTTTGAAATTTAATTTGTTAGTTCACCAAACTGAATGGATACTACAATTGTAATGTAATAACAATAATTCTTTAAATCAGGTGTTTGTTGAGATTTAAAATATTCAACACATACTGAAATTAATAACAATGAACAAAATATATAGTTTCAATATATTGAATGCTAAATATATTGATACTTGTTGTGTTACATAGTTAAGTAATATTCAATTTTGCATATGAACCAATATTGATCAATTAAACTGAAAGGCTTTTGGGGATAAGAATTTTGTGTTTCAGAAAAAAATGGTGAATTAAATCAAAATAATGTGACTGACCAATCAATTAATTAGAAATTTCACCCATCACAATAAATTGAATTAAAGTAAATTTATAGTTACTTAGCAATTGTATTTTCTTTTTTTTTTAAAAAAAAAAAAAAAACAAAAATTGTTAATTGATGACAAACATTGAAACGTATTTGAGTTTAGCCGTGCTGACCGGGAATAGCCGGTGGTCCGAGGCGTCCACGTGTCGGAATAGGATTGGATGGCCAATCTGCAATCATGGTTCTCTTAACGGCATGGCATGACCATGTGCCTGTCACCGTTAACGGAGTCAGGACCACATGTTACGATAACCGCCTCGGTGGCGTTCCACCGTCGGATCAAATCAGCATCTTCTGGTGAATTTCCATTTCTGCCCCTACCGCCTCCGCTATGATGCGATGTTTTTTTTATATATAGATAGCAGCAGTGATGGTGAAGTGCGTTCTTTCACTAATCACTACTGCTGCCTGCGGAAAGAAATTCACCTTTGTACTTTTGCAGGCGCTGATCTTTTGATCGCTATATATATATATATATACATATATGCATCTTGCAACCGCAATTCCACGCAGATTTTTTGTGTTTGAATTGTATCTGGATATGGAAGTTTGTGTTTGTAGTTAGAGAGAGAGAGAGAGAGGAGAGAGGAAGAGAGATGCGGAAGGAGTACAGCTGTGAGAGTGTGGCGTCAATGAAGAGTAGAGAAATGGAAGAAGACGAGCAGGTGCTTTGTTGGAAGAGGAGGAGGTTTTGTTCTGAAGTTGAAAATGAGCGCCAGGAAGTGGTGGTGGAGAATTTCGTAGCGTCGCCGGCGGCGTCCTGGACCTCTGGTTGCTCCAAGGATGGTGAATCAAAGGACGTTGTGAAGAGTTTGAGAGCAAGTACAGATCTGGAGGTAAAATTCGAAATTCAAATTCTGTTTGGGAGGGACGACTCATCTCGTAGGAGAATTGATTTTGAATTCTTTTTTCTTTTTTTCCCGAGCTTTAATTGTGTTATATTTTATTTATTTTAAAGAAAAACTGGATTGATTTGCTTTTGTGACATTTTCAGAATCTGGAGTTGAAGCTGGATGGTTATGAAAGAGAAAATTCTACGTCGATGGCCGGGGGTTTCAGGTGTGCAAACAGTATACGTTCAGATGAATTATTTTGAATTTTTTTTCGTGCTTAATTTCATCTGTTCAATATAAAGTGAAGTGAAATTCTCTTTGCATCTCTCCATTTCGGTTCATTCCTGAGTCTTTAAAGTTTCGACTGATTTCTTATGTCCGTAATATATATATATTTTTTAACCTTGTATCCATTCATTGCTCATCTTAGGTTTTAAACTTCGTTTTCGATTTTTCAGTCGAGAGACAACTCCGACCAGCGAGCTTTGTGGAGATTCGGAGGAAGTTTTGATGAACTCAGTAGCGTCCACGCCGACAAAGAAGTCACCCGTGCCTCCGTCGATGAGTCGCCGGAAGTCTTCATCATCATCGGCGGAAAAGATGCCATCGGAGGCGGAACTGGAAGAATTCTTCACGACGGCGGAAAAGTACGAGCAGAAGCGATTCGCTGAAAAGTGCGTACCATTAATTATACTAGTATATTTTCAATTTAATCTTTTCTCACACATCCCTTACATGGTGCGCACAATAAGACGTCCGCCAACAACTCCATAAAAAAGCACACAACGCTCATTTTACCGCAGCACACCATTGATTATTCCCGTAACCGAAAAAGGAAACTGATAACGATCTGATATTGTTTTCAGGTACAACTACGATATAGTGAAGGACGTTCCGTTGGAGGGGAAGTATCAGTGGGTTCGTTTGCATTAAGAAGAAACCATACCAGGCACCTTCTGATTCCTCCTCCTGTTACTTTCTCCTCCTCCATTTTCTAGGTGAAGCTCTACTGTTCAAAAGGAGGACGACATTAATCCAATTCAACTTTTTATCCCTACACTAAATCTGCCTCTCTCTCTCTCTCTCTCTCTACGATCTGTATAGCATAATTTCCCAATTTTCTGTAAAGCAGCAGCAGCAGCAGCAGGACAGGAGGTAATTATAATTAGTTAGTTTTCTCCAAGTGAATTACTCCATTTCTTAATCATGCTAATTGATGATAGACAAGTGGATATCATTGTCAGAACCGACTGAGGAAGGGTAGCTAGCTAGCTAGCAAATTGATCTGAGGTAGGTTTTAACTGCTTTCTCAGTAACATGTTTTTGCGCATCTCTTCCAATTAATTGAGAAGGGCCTTTTTGTTTTCTTCATATATGCATTGCTGTCAGTAGTTTGTTTCCACTTTGTTCTTTTGAAGAATTCCCATTGTGAAGGGAATTCATTTGTGCCACCACTCCTTGTTCTTGCATGGAGTGTGGACATACATACATACATTTATATATATATATATATATATTTTTTTTAACTTTGATCAATAACTTTGTCCTTTTCGTTTGGGAATATTGGTACTAATGACAGATTAGAAGATGAGATTAGCATTGCATATGTATGTATAATTTGAGATAGATCTGGCAGGTTTTGATTTTTTTAATTAATGTTAATCTTAGGATTAATTGCTATTGGAGCCTTGATTAGGTGATAGGGACGACATGTCTATATATATATATGTATATATATATATATAACAGAGGTCAAAGCTTCTTCCCAATTTATTTATTCATCTTGATGAGGGTCACATAACTTAGATCAAATTTGTGGCAATTAATTACTACTTTATATCCTTTTTCAATTGTTTTTTTTAAGAAGCATGTGCTGAGAGTATAGGAGAATATTCGGATTTTTATTTTTATTTTAATTTTCCGAGAAATATATATATATATATATAAGCAATAAAGAAAAGCTGCAAAGGAAAGGAAATAATGTCAGAATCTCTCTGTGTTCTGATGATTGTTGAAACGACAGATAGATATATGCAAAGAAAATGAACCACTGGGATTGGGATACATATATTATGTTCATATGAAAACCACCTTACATCACACCAGTGGGCTCAGTTTTCAGAATAATTCTTGGCCTATATCACATGAATTCTACAAATATATATATATATATATCTATATAAAATTGAGATAATATTGTATGGTCTACATGCATCCTATACAATATAGATAAAAGGAAAATAAAAATAAAAAATAAAAAAAAAGGGACGAAAGAGCTATTCTCCTCTACCTGCGGGAGATAGCTCATCTTCTCTTACCAAAAAGACATATATATATATATATATAGTTAGTGAGTAATCCTAATCCCAATATCATAAAGTGAATTAACTTATTCACCTACAATATCAAATTGGTGTTGTATTTAGATTTGTAATTTCGAGTTGAAAATCAAAATTGATCACAAAATTCAATGTATGCAGTTGAATATTTTTAGCAATTATTTAATGGATCACAAAATTGATCGTACATATATTCTCGTATTAGCTAGGGATCGGTGAATAGAAGAACTCAAGATCCGTCTCTAATCCCAATTCATTGATCAGATCAAATAAATTTCATATAAGCACTAATTGTAAAAGATAATAATAGTACATAATAAATATATATGGAGTTGGAGTTGGAGTTGGAGTTGCAAGATTATATAATAATGATTGAAATGAATAAAAGGGGACAACGAAGTGGGAGATGTCACGTGCATGTGCACGTGCCGTAACGATGAATGGATCAAGATCAAGATCAAATTGAATTTAGTTACTTTATTGAGTTCCATTCCATCTTCATGTGCTTTGGATCTGATGCCCATAAATTAAATAGATATATTAATTATTATAAATAAAGAACGTAAAGTAGATCGATGTCATCTTAGGAAATAAAGAAAGAAAGAATGAATGAATGTTAGTTAAATGTTACTTTTTTTAGTTTTATTTTTATTTTTATTTTTATTTTAATAATTGTATAGATATATATGTTGATGGTCATTTTGGTGCTGAGAAGGTGGCCGGCCAAGTGCCAACTAATAAGATCTTTTCTTTAATCACGTTCTGTAGTAGTGGTAAGCATTAAGTGTGTACTCTTTTGGTGCATGCAAGAGTGTATCTATATATATATATATATATATATATATGAATTCATTTTCTTTTGTACATGTACATTTTAGTATATGTATTTTATTATACTCCATCCGTCTTGTAACTAAGCATCCATTTGTTATTTTTACGGGGTTTTAGAAATACTAGTATTATATTGAGATGCAGTAGAAATAAAATAAAAATGACTAAAATAATATTGTGTAATATAAAGGTAATGACATTTACGTAATATATTGTAAGTTGTAAGATTATTTGTAATATTAGGTAGATAGTACAATTACTAAAAAAAAAAATGAATATTTTGTTATGTGACGGAGGAAATATATAATAGTATAATAGAAAGAAGAAAAGAAGAAGAAGATAATTTTGTCCTTAAATCCATTTACTTTTAATAATATTGTTTGCAATATTACTTAAAATGTAAGAAATATTTTTTATTAAAGTAAAAATTAATTTTGTTAAAACAACCTATATATTTGAATTAGACAAATAAAAATGACAAAATGATTCATGTAACATTTTATATAAGTAAAAAAAAATACAAGATATGTATAGAAAAAAAAAAAAAAAAAACACAACCTAAAAAAAATAAGAGCAAATTATGTGGGATTGAAAGAGTATATTTTTATTAAAAGTTGTGGCGGGTGAATAGTATTTATTTTGATTTGAAATAATAAAAGAATTAACCTTATGACTATGTTTGATTAGATGAATTTAAATTTGAAAGTGAATTTTGATAAATAAATTTAAATAAAACAAAAAAAATTATATGATTAAAATTCATTTATTTGATTGCATAAGGTGTTTAAAATAATACAATACAAAAAATTATAAAATATTAACAAACAATGCACAAAAAAGAACAAATTCATTATGCCTTAGATAAATATTTTATGGTAAATCTTAATAAATTAGGGTTTGTTTGGTTTGTGTTTTAACTTGAAGTTTTGAATTAAACTTTAGTTTAAATAGTTTTGATATAATATTTTGTAAAAAAAAAATAATACTCTCTTCGCCCCAATAGAATGTATTTTTCTTTTGTATGTTTTTATAATAGATTAAAAATAATAATATTTTATTAGTCAGTAAAAATATAAGATGATTTTAATATTTTTGTTTTTGTAAATATAATATTTTTTCTTTTGACCAAAATTAGAGGTATTTTGACATTTGTATTTATATTACTTTTAAAGAGGGTACTTTTGAGTTGATAGATTAAAATGATAAAAAAAATTTATTGAATTGATACGAGTACATATATTTTTATTGAATATAATTTAAAATAAATAAAAGTATTAAGAGGGTATTTGAAAAAGAATTTATCGAAAAAATTCTAGTTTATTTAATAGTTTCTTTTAACCGTTTGGTGTAAATTCTTTTTTTGAAAAAAAAAAAAAAATGGACTCAAAAAATTGAAATCATAATCAAACAATTAGGATAGGTAATGGATATGATACGCTAGTAAATGGGCCAATGGTTTTCTGAGGTCCAATAAAGTCAATGGTTGGATTGGACTAGCTTCACATACTTATAATTAATAATCAAATATTAACATTAATTTATAAAAAGCATTTACTTTCAAAAAAATTATAACAATAATACATGTATGTAGTATGTCATGTATCTATTACTCCCCTCTGTCATCCAATCGTTTATTTGATTGGATACGGATTTTTAAAAAAATATGTAAGAATAAAAATTTTTATAAAGGAAAGTGATATAGTTTTACTTAAAAAAAAAAAAAAAAAGGAATAAATTTGGATGAAAATAAAAAATAAAAATAAAAATAAATTTGAAGGTCTATTTGCAATAGGTCTCACTTCAAATATGATATACTTTAGTCTTCTTTTTTGTGGGAAGTAATGCTTATATGTACCTTATTTATTTATTTATATTATATTGTAAAATTATCGATAGAAAATATAAAGTTGCATATATTCTCAAGCAAAAAAGGAAGAAAGAGTTTACTTACAAATGATTGCCAAAATAATTTCATCAATGTCAGTGACAACGGCCCACACTTCCACCATAATAATTTTATTATTAATTATTACTATATTCATTTATTTTTGGAATATGGTTGCTTAAATAATTTAAGTTGTGTTTCTTTTTGCACTAAAATTTTAAATTGTACTATGTGTATATTTACGAAATATTATTTTAATAATAAATTCAAGCTAATATTTTTTAAACTCAATAAAAAAAAAAAACGCACATGGCTCCTACTCATTTTTTGGATTCCATTCTAAATTAAAAAAAAATAAAATTGAAGTATTAAATTTTAAAAATAAAAAAAAATATTTAATTTAATATTACTGAAAACTTAAATAGTATTAGTTAAATTTAACCACTCCATTATACCATAATAAACAAAAAAACACGAATGGATCATTTTAACCTAAAACGTTGGAAAGAACTATTTTATATATACATATAAACTTTATAAAAAGCAAAGAAATAACAATAATACAATCGAATCTTCCCAAAATAAAATATGATTATTTTTAATTTAATATTGCAATATTTGAACTTCTTATTTCAGAAACTCCACCAAACGGTCTATGACAGCCACAGATTTCTCAGCAGTTAAATCAAAGAGATAAAACACGTGCCCCTCACGCTCCGTCTCCATCATCTCCACTTCGCCGCCCCACGCGCTCTTCTGCAACGCGGCGCAGTACGCCACCGCCCTCTCCTTCCGAGAGTCATTCTCCGCCACCGCAAACATCACGCGCCGCCCCGCCATCCGCCCGATCCGCGGATCCACCGCCGGATTCACCCGCGGATCGTCGTCCCCGCCGCTGCTCCCCGGGCAAAGGTACTTGTATAATATATCCTCTCCTTTTAATCCGAAGTACGGATGCAGCAGAAACAGACCGGCGACTTCTACTCCGGCGAGCTCCTCCACGCCGGCGCGGAGCGCGACGTCGGTCGCTATGTTCGCGCCGGCGCTCTCCCCGCCTATATAAACCCGCCGGAAGTCGGCGAGCTCGTTCAGCCACGGCTCGGAGCCGTCGCCGCCGGCGTGAGCCGCGGTCCACCGGAAAACGGTCCAGGAGTCGTCGTAGGGGATCGGGATAGGGTTTTCCGGAGCCAGCCGGTACTCAGCCGAGACGGCGATTACGCCGGCTTTCTCGACGACGGCGGAGACGAAATTGTGGGAAAAAGAAACGAAGGCTGATCCGACGCAGAAAGCTCCGCCGTGGATGTACACCATTACCGGAAGCTTCCGCGGCGGATCGTGGCGGCGAGGCGCGTAAATGCGAGCTGAAACGCCGCTCTCCGAATCGATTACCACGTCCTTCGTCCGGACGGCGGCGTTCGGATCGTCGGACGGCGGGACCGCCGGCGGAGTCGGAAGCCTTTCGATCCTACCGTCGTTGTAAATTCGTAAATACGTTAAGTCGATTTTAATCTCCGACGCCATTGTTGGAAAACCTCGAGTAGACCGACTGAATATTTATGGACTGAGAATGCTGAGGGGCAGTAACCGACACACTAAACCCGACCCGGATTGGTTTGGGCCGGGTCAACCATTAAGATCAGTTGGCCCATTGGGGAAATCGAAGAATTCAACGGCAATAATTGTGTCATGAGCTCATTAATGGTGAGGCCCTTCCTTATTATAAACACGTAAGGGTGCGTTTGTTTTGGGAATTGGATTGAATTTATACTATTTATTCAATTTTTTTCTTAAAAATATTGAATCAAATACTTATTTTTTATTTTTTATATTATACTAAAAAATTAATTTTACATTCAAAACATTACATCAATCCCTATTTATATCACATTATATAATTATTCAAATTCAAAATTTTTACTATTCAAATCTTAACTCAAAATCCAAATCCGGAAGAAGCACACCCTGATTAATCAACTATCCTATAAATTTTAGAGTAGGTGATGATTTAGTAAGGGTGTATTTGGTCAAATGATTTTGTCTCGATTTTTTTTATTAATTATTTTTTATAAACTATCAAACTAAAGTTTTATTTATAATTTTTTATATTATATTAAAAATTAATTTTATATTAAAAATAACACGTCATGTCACACCCTATAATAATTTAATTTTTTTTAATTACTCAATATTTAATTTCTAAATTCAGATATTAATTCAAACAAATGTTTATATTCCTTTTTTCCTAATTAATTTGTCCAATGTAATTGTCACAAAATTTTAAATACTATATAATTAGTACTCTCTCCGTTCCACATATCATGTCTACGTTGCCGTTTCTGTCCGTCTCACATATCATATTAATTTTTTTTTTGAAAAATGATTACACACTTTGATCTTATTTTAAACTTTTTAATTTATTTTTTTTTTAATTTTAATTAAACTAATTAGTTATCTTAATCTTAATTTATAATTATTTATATTATAAGATAATTATCTACTAATTACATCCCTCCTAAAATACCGTGTCTACATTGTAGCAGACACGGTACGTGGGACGGAGGAAGTAATTAATAGTATATTAGAAAAATATTACATATTAAGATGATATTTAATTAAAATAAAAAATTAATGATTAGAAAAATATATCATATTTTAAATTTATAATCATTAATTTTTTATTTTGATTAAATTATTTTATATTTTTTAAAAATAAATAAAATATATGGACAAATCGAAATTAAAAAAAATAAAAAAATGAACAAACTAAATAGGAAATGGGAGGCGAGTTTTATTTATTACATATTCGAATTAATAATTACTTAATTAGCAGTTAATTTATAGTGCAATATGATAGTGATACGGCGTCGTTTCGCAACGATTGCACAGTGAAATGAATGATTGGGTCTAAACGGGAACCACGAAGATCTTTTCTTAACCTAGGTGGTTCGTTTTTCTTCTTCAATTCTAATTTTGATAGTATTTTTGAGATTTTCTGCTTTCTTTATGATATGATCTGTCAAGAACTTCTCGAGGATTTGTATTTTTGTTCAATTTCTTGTATAATAGTAACTCTTTCAGCTGCTTGTATGGTTTTTGCTTCATTACAAAAGCAATCCCCTCTCATTGATTACACTTTTTCAAAATTTCTGTATCTTCACAGAGTTATTGCTTCGTTGTCTTCAGCTCAATCATGTTACTTTTATGATTTAATAGCAATGTTAATTTGGTTCTGTGCATTGATCATTGACAGTTGTGGTTTTGATTTTTGTCCTAGTTTGTAGCGGTTACATTCTTTCTCTCTGGCCTTATCACTGCATTGTTCTTCCATAACCAGAATTGAATACTCCACATTATATATGTATATTGTAATGGTGATTCGATCCTTTGTAAATTGTAATGTTGTTATTCACCATAGCAGTGACATTTTCGACTATTATGGAAATGGTGGATAAAATTCATTAAACTTGAAAAATGAATTTGCAGCTGCTGTTGAGCTAAGAAGTCTAAAATGGATTGTTAAATAACTTTTGCTGCTGTATGATGTTATGACAAATCATTTTGCATTCAAGTTTCGGCTTTTCGTGTTATTTTCAGGGCTACAGCAGAGAGTACTTCGGCTCTAAAGAAGTCTCCGGACATTTTCCTACACTGTATGTTCTCCATACCCAAAAACTCTTATGACTATATTATGAAGCTACTAAATGGCACTCACAAATCGCACGTGCACAAACCCTACTCGCATATCGCACGTGCGCTTTCATATGATGTAACTAATCTAATCGATGGAGGCTTAAGTGCTCGTTTCTTACAAGCCAACACACGGTGCGTCTTTGCTGGTAATGTAAGATGTCGGATCCCTTAGCTTGACACCATACACACATCCTTATCATGTCTCTGGAAACTTTTAGTGAGTGTTTAGACCAGAGCATGAAATTGTAGATAAATAATAATAGAGAATAGATACGTGGAGATAAAAAAAATAAATTGGAGAATAGAATTGTTCAATTGGGCAGAGGTTGAGATGAGAAGCCACTCAATGGAACAAAGTATGAACTAAGAAGAGTGTGGAATGAAGATTAAAGCTTTCAAAGTGTTTCTTAATTTTTTAGTTTTTTTTACGTGAGATATAAAGAATTGTATATATAATATAAAAATAATGAGTATATAATATATTAATTTTTTTGAAAAAATATTGTGGGAGAAAAAAAAAAAAAGAACACGCATATTTTCACAAAATAAAAAGTATACTTATCTATATACATTGGGTTTTGTTGCTTTTTATTTTTTATTTTGGAGTAAACCGTTTCTTATATAAGGTAAGAAGCAATATTGATAATCTTTCTATAAAAAAAAGTGTACTTATTTATATATATTAGATTTATTATAATTTGTATTTCTTTTTTTTAAAAAAGTTTTAATAAACACAAGGGTTTTTTTTTCTTTTGTCTTCAAATTTACAATTTTTACTGTTTGAACTGGAACGTTTCTTAAAATAAATATTTTTTTTAATACAAAATATCTCATCATATATTATTTTAATATAACACTCAAATCAAAATTTCATAAACTTATTAAAGGGAAATCGTATCCTTGCTTTAACTGATCAAGATACTTGTCGCTATTTTTTCATAAAATCAATAAATAAATAGTCCAATATTGGACACAAAAATAAAGTACCACATTATTTAAGCCAACATTCGACGATCCCAAATACATGATAATAGTTTTTATGTGTAGATATATACCAAGTTGATGAAACACCCACAATCAATTAAATCATTGAGACTGCCAAGCACAACCCATCATAGTTGACCGAAATTTCACCCAATCAAAACATGCCACTTGTCAAGCACAGCTGTTTGACTTTGACCAAGTTTGGCCTATCCGTGGCAAGGGAAGCTTACCGACTTCATCAAACCCTAATAATATTATTTGGGAACCTACCAAAATAATTATACTTATGTTGTAACTTGATATTAAATTTTTTCTTGAATTAAATTTGATGACGTGTAATGATGAAAGACAGATATCATATGTATGTATAAAAGATGTTAAAAGACAAAAAAAAACAGGTTTAGGTTTATCCAAAAATAGAATCATCCCATGAGAGTTGTATTTAATGCTGCTGCGTTTTGTACTTTGTGAGTTGTGTGTTGTACCATAGACTTGAGTTACCCTAACCAAATCTGGTAAAGATCCACCAGTAAACAGAGAACGGCTGCCATATCTGTCGTTGCATAACAGCCGTTGGATCTTGAATCGGAATGGGGCCCACTCTAACACCGCCTGTTCATTTGGCGTGCTCTAAAATCGACGGCTGGGATTTAATCTTGATGGCCAATGACGGACCGGATTCGATTTCGTCATATACGATGCCACACGTTGAATCCACCCTAGATCCGTAATATCTGCCATCTCGTTATTCTCTCGCGAGCCGACTTCGCGAAAGTTCGTTCTCTGCGTTCTCCGGCTGGGAAACGGCTGATTCGCGCCGGAATTGATCCTCCAGGGAGGTGTGATTGCCGGAGAGGAGTGATGAACGGCGGAGATTTGAATCAGCAACAGCAGCAGCAGCACCAACAGATGCAGCAACACCAGCAATGGCTTGCGATGCAGCAATACCATCAGCAATGGATGGCGGTGCAGTACCCTGCCGTGACGATGCAACAGCATATGATGCATTACGTGCCGTACTACCACCCTCACCACCAGCAGCAGTACCAGCAACCGCCGCCGCTGAAACAGAACAATCAGATTCAGAGCTCTAGTGAAGATAACAAGACGATCTGGATTGGAGATCTCCAACCGTGGATGGATGAAGGCTATCTTCATTCATGTTTTTCTCAAACTGGCGAGGTAACAGAGACTCCTTTCTTTTTCTATTTTTCTTTCCAAGTTAGCGCTATAGACTTATTGCGGATTTGCCTTAGAGATTACTTTTCAATTGTCTGCCGGTGATTCGTTGCAGTTATAACCGTAGAACTTTGAAAATAGGTTTGCCGATGTTAATTATTTCGAAAAATTTGCGGTGTCTTTTGAGTCTCCGTGTTGATTCCCGAAGAAATTAACGACATCTGATATCTAGATTCTGTTGGAAATATACATATATATGGTGTCGTTAAGAAATAGACATTATTGCGAGATGCATAGAGGCCATAAGAATGACTGCAAGTTTAGGACCTACTTTAGAACATGAAATTTTTTTATTTTGAATGAAATGGTTGTTGCTTTCAATTTTTGAGGTTTTATAAGGCTAACTTCGAAGTTCAATTTCCTACCTATAATTAATGTCTTTGTAAATGGCAAGGTTGAATTGGTTAAGTTAGAACTATATTTCCTGATTTGGATGAAACAGTATTGTTATAGGCCTTCCACTTTTGTCAGTATGCATAATTATTGTTATTGTTATTCCTTTGCGTGTCTTTGATGCTTCTTGAAAGCCTTGTGAGCTACCAATCTATGCCAAATTTGTCTTTTTATATCTTTTTAATGAGTTAGGCTGTTTAAAAAAGCAGGTTGTCTCAGTGAAGATAATCCGCAATAAGCATACTGGTCAGTCAGAGAGGTATGGATTCATTGAGTTCAGTTCTCATGTAGCTGCAGAGAAAGTTCTGCAGAGCTACAGCGGTGCCACAATGCTGAACACAGATCAGCCGTTTCGCTTGAATTGGGCAGCCTTTAGCTCTGGTGATAGGCGGCCCGATGCTGGTTCTGATTTGTCAATATTCGTTGGAGATTTGGCCACTGATGTTACTGATGCAATGTTGCATGATACATTCGCTAGTAGGTATCCATCTGTTAAAGGTGCCAAAGTTGTAGTTGATGCAAATAGCGGCCGCTCGAAAGGATATGGCTTTGTTAGGTTTGGTGATGAAAATGAGAGGACCCGAGCATTGACTGAGATGAATGGACTGTATTGTTCCAGCAGACCTATGCGAATTGGTGCTGCAACACCCAAGAAACCTTCATCACAGCAGCAATATTCTTCACTAGGTGCAGTATATTATTCCACTTTTATGCCATATAGTGTTTAACACTTATGCTGGTTTTTAATTTTTCAACTTGTGTTCCATATCACTCCTTTTATGCTAAAACATGACGTTTGGTTCGTAACTAACTAGTTCTCTTTTTCCGACTAATTGTAGCGTAGTTTGTTTACAAGTTCTTGGTTTGTCCGTAATGTTGTCAGGTGGATATTCAAATGGTGTGCTGCCTCAAGGTCAGCCTGAGAACGACTCATCCAACACAACGGTAAATCCATCCCCTGTTTCGAATTTCCCTATAATATTAAGAAGTTAATAAACTCACAGATTTCATGAGTCCTTTTAGATATTTGTGGGAGGACTTGATTCAGATGTTACTGATGAAGAGCTGAGACAATCCTTTACTCCATTTGGGGAGGTTGTCTCTGTAAAAATACCCGTGGGAAAGGGGTGCGGCTTTGTACAATTTGCAAACAGGTATTTCTATGATCTTCTTTAGCTATTACAATGCTTATAAATATATTCACTATCTAGGTGTGTCTAAGGAAAAGGTTTTGTATACTGTTATTTACCTATTCATGTGTAGGTGCACTTGTGAGAATTATAATTCCGAGATAGGTGATATATCTTGTTTTCTATTGTTATGATTTAAAAGAAAATTGTGGATAGTTCTGTTTTTGAGTTGTGGAAGATCTCGGGAGGCCATTAAGTTGAATTTGCCATGTTTTTCTTATGTGGGACACAAAAAATTTTGAGTTTGCTGACAAACCAAATGAAAGAACATACAGAGAAGAAGCATCTCATATAAGATGTTGAGATCTATACGTGAATGTTAGTTATCATCACACAGAACATTGTTGTCGAATGGCTCCCACCATTTTCACTTGCAACAACACAAATTGGTTCTATCATTGTTTTAGATTCCATTACATGTCTAGTAACACAATCATCCCTTCTTTCGCATTTAACAGAAGCAATGCAGAGGATGCTCTCGAGAGACTAAATGGAACAGTTATCGGAAAGCAGGCTGTTCGTCTTTCATGGGGCAGAAACATGGGAAACAAACAGGTATATTTCATCCTAACATTTTCTTTCAATGAATCTCATCATCAGATGCCCATTCTGTTAATCTCTAAATCTTTCTTGCACGTAAATATGGCCAGTGGAGCGGAGCGTACTATGGGAAGCAAGGTGGATATGCTGCTGCAATTTACGGGACACCTTCGAATGGCCATGCAACTGCCCAGCAGTAGCCCATCTTCTGAGCAAGCCTATTTATCGATCGCCAGGGATAGATGTATCCGAAAACCGACAAGAATTTTGTAGCTGGATTATATATCATCACCCCACCCCACCCCCTCCCCTCCCCTCCCCTCCTCCCTTTCTGTTTTATCCTTTTCAAACTCTTGGCTTGGGATATTCACATTCAAAAACCAGAACTTTATAATGCTACTAGCGTTTTAACTTTGAAGCATAGCAGGTTGCTCATGTGTTTGATTATTTGTTGTTATTAGGTCATTGTCAGAAGTGGATCAATTAATTAATTGATTGATGGATTGATTGATTTCGGCTACATATGTTAAATCATATGTAAGCAAATTTGGATATTCACGTCTTTGTTTGTGTCTAATGCATTTCTTTTCAGGCATATTTTACAGCAGGCCAATAAACACTTTGGAGTACTCTCCAGACTTGGCTCTACGCAGACACAACAAATTCTCCTTGTCTACTCAGCAATGGCAAATTCCTATCAGCTCCAACAACTAAATCCAACAGCAACGAACACAACAATGCTGCAGCATATCTCCATTGTCTGGCCTATATATATATTAACCGGCAGCAATCGAAGAAACCATAGCGCCGTCGAAGAGATGAACCAACCGGCGCTGTTGTTCTTCGCCTTTCTGGCACTTGCAGCCCATGCAGCCGGGAGAAGACACGATGATTCGTTCACGAAACTGCTGAAGTCGCCAAGACTGAGAAGATCAGGTCATAGTTCTGCTGAGGATGTTCTAACCGATGTTTCGCTTGTCTACAAGTATCCTCAGGATGGCCTCAAGGAAGCTGACAAGATCCTCGGATTGCCCGGACAGCCGTCTGTCGATTTCAGGCAGTACTCGGGGTATGTCACCGTCGATCCTACAGCTGGACGGGCGCTGTTCTATTACTTCGCCGAGGCTAAAGACTCTGTCGACAAGCCTCTCGTTCTATGGCTCAATGGAGGTAACATTGTTTTTTACTTCTATCCGTATTCTCGTTCAAGTTTAATTAATCTGTATCGAATATCTAACATGAGATTGCGTTGCTGCAGGGCCCGGGTGCTCTTCGTTCGGGAATGGAGCAATGACAGAGCTCGGGCCATTTCGAGTGAATCCGGATACCAAAACACTGTGGCACAACGAGTATGCGTGGAACAACGGTGAGTCTTCGCACTTAAGTTTTCTTCGATCCTAGGATGTTTTTGCTAACGTATTTCAAATTCTGGCCCCGGAACTTCATACAGTGGCAAATGTGATCTTCCTGGAGTCGCCGGCCGGTGTAGGATTCTCATACTCAAACAGGTCATCAGACTACGTTACCGGCGACAAACAGACCGCAGCTGATTCCTACACATTCTTGATCAACTGGCTCGAGAGGTTCCCGGAGTACAAAACCCGCGACTTTTTTCTAGCCGGCGAAAGCTATGCCGGCCATTACGTGCCACAGCTTGCTCATCTGATCCTGCAAAACAACAAGCTCCCAAACGAAAGCGTCGTAAACCTCAAAGGAATCACGGTAAGTTCGAAGCCGCCTCTTTGTTCATTACATCTCTGTTTTTTTTTTCATCATGAATGTGTACCGAATGGTTAGATTGGGAACGCATACATCGACTACACAGATAGGTGGACCGGCACGTACGAGCATTTCTGGACCAGCGCGCTCATATCAGACGAGACACACCATGGTATCTTCGCCAACTGTGATTTTTCTTCATCGAGTGTCAATCGTTCAGACTCCTGTGATAAACTCCTCGATAAGGCGGATGTCGAGATGGGCGACATATTCATTTACGACGTTTATGCGCCGTGGTGCGGCGATAATGCCACCGGATCCCTGGTACGCCTACAATCATTAATTCGTGCATACACATAAATTAATAACACATGATATAGAGACATGATATAGAGACAAGACAAACAATACACTATAACCAGTATGTCTCATACATATATATATATCCATGGCAGATTTCAAACTACGATCCGTGCTCGGACGAGTATGTGTCCTTCTATTTGAACTCGCGGGAAGTGCAGAAGGCTCTTCATGCTAACTTAACCGGAATCCCCGGCGATTGGGAGTCCTGCAAGTAAGATTTTCCTATAGAACTTTCCAGTTCTTGCTCATCGAACATTATAGAACTTTTTGATCATACTAACATATGTTTCTTGTTTCTCATTTTAGTTATGAAATACTTTCGGATTGGACAGATCAACCCGACACCGTGTTGCCGGTCATCAAGGATCTAATGGCTAGCGGCCTTCGAGTTTGGATCTACAGGTGAAAAAAGTTATCGAGAAATATGTACAAAAAATTTATTCGATATAGGGTTACATAACCTTAGAATTTTGAACTTGAGGTTTCTGTATATATATATATATATATGCATTAGTGGCGATACCGACGGTATTATTCCTGTTACAACGACGAGGTACTCCGTCACCAAACTCGGGGGGCTTGTGAAGACTCCATGGTACCCATGGTATTCGGAGGGCGAGGTATTATTGAATCAAATACTTATTTTTTATTTTTTTTAAAAATATATATATATCAAAATTTATTTAAAATATTATATTAAATATTATTTAAATTCAAAATTTTATTCGATCAAATGTACATAGGTGGGAGGCTATGCTGTCGAGTATCAAAATGTGACGTTTGTGACGGTGAGAGGCTCCGGGCACTTTGTGCCGAGCTACCAGCCGGCGCGTGCACTCACCTTCTTCTCATCCTTCTTATTAGGAAAGCTCCCGCCGGGGCAAAATTGAATCTTGACCGTTGGATCGAGATGAATGCCGTTGGATTGGATATTGAGAAATCAATCTTTTAATTTACATGATCACAAACACTTGGGATATTTGTTGTTTGATTTTAAGGGTGAAAATAATTGATGTATGCAATCGCATCAAACACTCTTACCTGTTATTATTCGGACAAGGATATTTATACGATGATTATCCATATGTTAAAATAAGGTAAAAGCGTTCTTTGTTACGTCCCAAACTTTTTCGATAAGAAACACGACTTTGCCGTCAGAAGAAGCCTATTACTCAAACCTTTTGTTTTAATATATACAATGTTCATTTCTTTCTTCTTCTTTTTTTTTTTTTTTTTTTAAAAAAATAAAATAACATCATTTTTTTAGCAAAGCATTACGTGTAACTTTAATTAAAAATAAAAATCAAATAAAAAAATAGAACAAACAAACAATCAATCGCAAAACTATTTAACTATATTCCGAAAACGGCCTGCAGCCGGCCTTCGTCTGTCCGTGTGGCATAGCCAAATCATGTTTGCTATATCTCATATTGTCTTTTCAAAACCTCCAATAACAATGCTAATATACCATACTTAGAATAGGACTAAGCTAAACTTCCTGATGTCTCCCATGTTCAATTTCTAATTTTCCTATTTATTACACACATTTTGTATGCACACGCATGTCTATATATATATTTATATTAAATATTTTTATTCACATATAATTTTATTATTTTCACTTTAACAAATAATAAGTAATTTGTCACTGTTATTTTAATTTACTCTATTATATTTTTTTATCAATTTTTTAATATATATAGGTACTTTATTTTTTATATTTTATTTTAATATTCAAATATCATTATTTCTTAATTTTGGTGTCTAATAAGATCTACATAATTTTTTCGAATGGATGAAGAATATATATGTGAATGTTTAGAGTGTTGATCGGCTCTACGCATAAAAACATATAAGATAATATATAAAATAGAACACAGGGTGTTTACATGTGTAGTCTTTTATACTTTGTTTGATGGGATCAATTGTAGTATGTGTAACGTGTTGTATATATATATATATATATATTTGTCAATAATGTGCTGTGCTCACTATAATTAGCCAAAACACTTCCTTACATTCATTCTTAACTTTCAACGCCAAACATGAAGCCGGCCGCCGGAATATTCCTTCCATTCCTGCTTCTGGCAGCGCTGTTGTCGTCGTCATGGGCTCATAGTTACCGCCAGGATCCTCTCGACGATCTGATCACCGGTCGGAGAGCAACCGCGCCGGAAAATCAGGGCACTCGGGATAAAGAAGATTTCCCGGCGGCAGCCGCCGGCGGGGAGAAAGAAGCCGACAGGATCTGGAAGTTGCCAGGACAGCCGGCGGTTAGTTTCTGTCAGTACTCAGGATATGTGACCGTTGATCCTGAGGCAGGCAGGGCCCTCTTTTACTGGTTTACTGAATCCCAAAATGCTTCCAGGGATCCTCTTGTCCTCTGGCTCACTGGAGGTATGAATATGATACAATCTCGATCAGGCCCTCATTTGATTCCATTTTACTTTCCAGGAATTTAAAGTAGATTCCTTAACTTTATTAAATACTTTTAACGGTGTGTTTGTTGGAGGTCTTTTAACGGTGTTTTTGTTGGAGGTTTGGATTTTGAATAGTAAAAATTTTGAATTGAAATAATTGATATGATATGATATATAAAGGAGTTAGATTTGAGAAAATTGATAGGAACGTAAAATTGATTTTTTGAGAAAATTTTTTTGGATTAATAGTAAATTTTTTGCAGAATTTCTTAAACAAACACACTCCAGTAAAAATCGCTAATATATTAAGTTAATCAAATATGTTAATCAAATCAGTTAACTGTCAATAACTATCAATTAATTGTCAAACGTTGTTTGTCTGTCAGGGCCTGGTTGCTCTTCTGTCGGAATTGGAGCCCTGATGGAGTTGGGGCCTTTCAGGGTCAACCCTGATGGGAAAACCCTGTGGCAAAATGAACATGCCTGGAACACAGGTGAGATTAGCTTAGGACACAATATACATACATACATATATATATATATATAGATAATTAGACTATTAGAGTGAGAGAGAGGGAGAGGGAGAGAGAGAGATAATTATTGTCTTTTCAGGGCAGAACTGAGCCAGAAAACTATGTACAGTGGCAAATATGCTCTTCCTTGAGTCGCCGGCCGGCGTCGGATTCTCGTACTCTAACACGTCATCGGACTACACCACCGGCGACGGGCGGACCGCCGCCGATACTTTTGTATTTCTCCGCAATTGGCTCGAAAGATTTCCCGAGTACAAAGCTCGGGACTTTTATATAGCCGGCGAGAGCTACGCCGGTCACTACGTTCCTCAGCTCGCACAACTCATTCTCGAGAACAATCGTCTCGCCAATTATGCCGTTGTCAACCTCAAAGGGATCGTGGTCGGTTCCCCGTCCTACTAGTTTTTTTTTTCTTAATTATTTTGATTCGACGCTCTTTCGAATTTCAAATCTATCCCCTTTAATTTTATACATAGATTGGGAACGCCTACGTCGACTACCATGACCTATTTAGCGGCATGTACGACTATTTTTGGTCACATGCTATCATATCCGACGAGAGCCACGGCGCGATCCTTAAAAATTGCAACTTTTCGACCAAGGCATCCATGTCTAAACAATGCGAGAAGTCAATGACCGAAGCCGGAATTGAGATTGGGGAAATGTTCGTTTACGACATATACGCACCCGTTTGCGGCACAAACTCTACCGCGCCCGCGGTAGCATTTCATTCATCTTTATACAAATCTCCTGCTACAAATTCTTCAATCAGATATACTATTTCCGTTCAAAACTATGCTACAAATTCTTCAATCAGATATACTATTTTCGTCCAAAATTAAACTTTCTATTTATATTTGGTGTTATTGTTTTTAATATTAAAAATAACCTTATATTCGTATAATTTTTTATACAAATATCATTATATTAGTATTATAATACACTAGTAAAAGTATTTTTGTCATTTTCTATTTGTAATAAATTTTGATATAATAATTAATATTACAAAATCTATAAAAATAAAAAGTTTAGTCTTGGACAGGAAGGAAGTAATTTTTTTTTTTCTTTTTTTCTTTTATGTAGATAAGTACATTCGATCCGTGCTCAGACAACTACATCAATGCCTACTTAAATACACCGGAAGTGCAAAAGGCGTTCCACGCGAATGTGACCAGGACGGTGCCCGGGCCGTGGAACATGTGTAGTTACTTTATAGTTGCGTGGACGGACAAGCCGGAGACAGTCTTGCCCGTCATCAAGGAGCTCATGGCTGGCGGCATAAGCGTTTGGATTTACAGGTGACCTATAATAACAAATTTTAAGTGAAATATAAATATACAGGAATAACAGAAAAAAAATATTTGTAATCAATTGTCGATCATTATGTAGCGGGGATACCGACGGGAGAGTGCCGGTGACGTCGGCAAAGTACTCGGTGAAGAAGCTGGGCGCGGCGGTGAAGACCCCGTGGCGGCCGTGGTACTACGACGGCGAGGTACCAACACGGCTTAACTCTTTCTATATATATAGATAGTTAGATATTAATGACACGGCCGTGTTGTTGTTGGATGAATAGATAATTTTTATTTGAGAGATGGCTATTATATATGTTCGTACTATGTAGGTTGGAGGTTATGCCGTTGGATATGAAAATGTTAGTTTTGTGACGGTTAGGGGAGCGGGCCATTTCGTGCCAAGTTACCAGCCGGGTCGGGCCCTGGCGCTCTTCTCCGCATTCTTGTCCGGGAAACTGCCCTAACCCGAACCCTGCCCACCCGGCGCCGTTCTCGGACCATCGCGGATTGACTACTCATTTTGAGTGCGTGACTATGAAACTCATTATAATTAGAGATTTATTTTTTTTTTTTGTATTTTCAAGGTGTTTTTTTCATATAAAATATAATTATATCCAAGATATTTAAAATACCCCAAACTTCTGTCGAAGACTCGGTCAACGATGGTGTCCGTACAATCCAAAACTTAGCACGTTTGGGAGAGGAGGCGTAGAATGCATAGAGCCAAATTTGTTCGATGAATTGCAGTTTTTTTTATTTTTTTAAATCTTCATTAATTCTTTAGTTGGAAATATGTATATAATTGTGTGCCTGTTTATAAATATATATAATAAAGATTGGCTGTAGTTATTTAATTAATATTAGTCACTCCAGAAGCTTAACAAAAATGTGTAGACATTTTGTTCACTATCTGTGTCACATTAGGAGCTGTGCATGGCTGACCTCAATTTAATTATTTTTTTAATGATTGGATTATTAACTACCATATTTGATCAGTTTAAATTTAATGATAATAATTAAAAAAATATTTATATAATGCATTAATTAAGTCAAATACGAATTAAGAATGGAAAAAAAATAAATGAAATGGATAAAATTAAGAAGTGACAAAAAGCGACATTAAATTCAGAGTTACAAAGCACAGACAAAATCAATGAATGCTTCCTCCAGATGATCTGCACCATCCATTGCTGGCTAGACACGTGGGCGGTCCAGATTGATGTAAGACCTGAACTCCAGGACCAGCAACAAAAAATGACTGCCCCTCCCCACACCTCCAGACAAGTCCACCCTGTCTTTCTTTCCTCCCACTTTCCAGTCTCAGCATTTATATAACGACCCCCATTTACACTTCAAATTTTCTCTCCAGTTGCGTCCCTGCAGTCCCGTACAATGGAAATGGAGGTCATGTTCCCCTCCCCCGCCGTCGACTTCAACTTCGACAGTAGTAACTGCACGTCACCGTACCTAACCGCACCGTCGAGCCCGCAACGCCTTGCCGGCTTCTTCTACAGCGCTCCCACCAGCCCCGGCCGCGGCGGCGCCGCCGGCGTTCCCTTCACCTGGGAAGAAAAACCGGGAACCCCCAAATCCGCCGCCGCCGCCGCCGCCGCCGACGATGCCGACGAATTTCAAGATTCCGATGACTTCGCCTTCGATTTCAGCGGCCAGCTGGAGACCCATTCCCTGCCGGCCGACCAGCTCTTCTCCGGCGGTAAAATCCGGCCACTGAAACCCCCGCCAAAATTCCAGTACGAACAAAACAGGGCCCTGGATTCCCCCAAATCGCCGAGATCACCCACCAGGCTCTTCCGGGAAGCATTCTCCCCTCGCCGGAAAAAATCCCCCGACAATTTCGACCCTTTCGCCGCCGCCCTGGAAAAATCTCGGCAAGCAAATTCCATCCGCGGCCGAGACAGGACCACCCGACCGGCGCCGCCGCCGTCGTCGTCAAAAACTCCCCCGGCCGCCGGCCGGAGCAAACCCTCGAGATCCTTGTCTCCTTACAGGGTTTCCGATCTGTTATTCGACAATCATCATCATCCTCCTCCTCCATCGAATTCAATATTTTCTTCCTCATTCTGGTACAAGAAATGGAAAATCAAAGACCTGTTACTATTCCGGAGCGCTTCCGAAAGCCGGGCGACGGAGAAGCAGCAGCTCCTGTCGAAAAAGCGCCGGCAGGATGACGTCAGGAACTCGAGTTTCCGGTCGACGGACAGCGCCGGTTCGGTGTCGAGCCGGCGCGGGCCGCCGATTTCGGCCCACGAATTGCACTACACCGTGAACCGGGCGGTTTCCGAAGAGATGAAGAAGAGGACTTCGTTGCCGTACAAGCAGGGTTTGTTGGGGTGTCTCGGATTTCATCCGACGGGCCCGGAAATTTCCAGGGGGCCCGGCCCGACAGGTTCGATGTCTCGAGGATGATGATGATGGTAATTAATTCATTAACACAATATCATTACATGGATTTTGGTTAATCAATCCTGTTTAATTTCGTCTTTTTCCACTTTCGATTACATTTTTATTATTTGGCAGTGGCAGAAATGTCCAAGCACAGTGTATTTTAATAAGTGAAGAGTTCAATTTGTTAACGTAATACTATGGTGGCCATGGTCAGTAGCCAATTATATATAAATACAAATTCTCTACACGAATGAATGCAATAAAATATATATGTTGAGGCCTATTATTATGATTATTATTATTAAATTAATAAATAGTTGTGGGAGTTTGAATAAAAATTTGAACTTTATCCAAAAATTCTCCTCAGCAACATGATTAGCAGGGGACAAGTAGTTGAAATTAGCTCTGTATGATCAAAAGTGAAATTGCAGTTATGTCCCATAATTCAAGTAAAGAATTCAAATGGAACCCCTGTAGCAGTCTGTAATTGTGGCACTTTTGGAGGGCATAGAAATTAAATATTCAATTTCAATTTGAGGGAGGAAAGATTGAAGAATTTTGTCAGCTTAATGGTGTTGGTGGGTGTAATCATTTAATCACAGGTGCTGTGCTGTGCTGTTCTGTGCTGGTTACTTTTCCCATGGGAAAAATAAAGCAGAGAAAGATTCATCAATAGTTCATTCTTGTATTGATTAATGGTGGCAGGTCATAAAGTCAATAATATATAATCTCAAGAGTTAAAATAAGGTTGTTGTTATTGAATAAATAAATATATGTAAAATATATATCTCAATAAGTTATATACGTATACAGTTCTTTGGTCAAGAAGTGAGGCATGGGTTGAGTTATCTGACAAATTTGATTAGAAGATTGGATATAAAATTGGCCAAATTGCTGACCAGTTTAGCACAGGCATCCAACTTAAATAATATTAAAATCAAGTGGATTTTCATGACCTGTAATAAATCTTTCCCAACTTAATTACTTTTTAATCCAAATAAAATGTTCAATAATACAATGAAAAACAAAGAAACAGGAGTCTTCAATCCATAGATTCATTCTTAACAATTGATCATCCATCCATCCAACCATCCCAACATTTTTTTTTTCTAATTTTTATTAAAATAAATGGACATAGGAACACTTAGAAAGCCCTAAGCCCTACAACAAGGAAGAAGAAAATTTCATCATCTCATCTTATAGTCTATATTATGTGTTCAATGGAAATTAATATCAGGGGGGTCTGGTTAGACAAGGATCACAATCAGTATTAAATTGCAATTAGTAGGATTCTTAGAGTTGTGCAACTTTTAAAAGTCAGTTATGCTTGAGAAGAAGAAAATAGGACATAGTAGAGGTGGGGGGTGGTCACAAGAGTGGATAATAATTAATTTCATGTTGACTTATTGACTCACATGAGTAAATGCAGTGTAGTGTGAACAGTGACAGAGATGATGAGATTTTAGAAGAAAAAAGAGAGTACCTGCTTGTAGCTGCAATGGAAGACTGACTCCAACACCTTAGCATCTTGACAGGAAACTACAATAGAATTTGTCAATTGAGTATTGATAACGTTGTCCCCCACAGAGATCCTGCTTTGACTACATGTGTATATATATATATAAGTATGTATGTATGTATGCATGTTAGGATAATTAGGGGAATCCAATCAGATGACTGAGTCATGGATTTTATGAAGAACAAGAAATGGGAAATGATTTGCAGACGGCACTCTATATTGGGAAATAGTAGAGATGTTAATGACATATTGCAAAAAGTTTCATGAACAATTATAGTCAAGTATAATCACCTCAAGGAAATTTCAATAATCAATGCCAAGTTGTATTCTTATCATAACATACTTATAAAATATACACAGTTTAGGGTTTTGAAAACAAACACTGCATTCAAGCTTTTTTTCTGCAATTATGTTTGCGCTGAGTAAGCAGGCGTAGATATTGTTGTGCCAGCTGATCAGAGTCCAATTGCTCATTCCCTGCTTCAGGTTTCCTGCATTATACATGTATGGAAAATCAGAAAAGTTTTTTAGGGCAGACAAATTCATGTTAGGGATCTCCCAAAAACAGACAAGCAGATATACGGCACAAAGATAATGTGCATACAGTAATAAGCAGCTGGACAGGGAAATTCATCTATGAGAATGATCTTAGCTATCAGATGATGTTGCTAGAAACAATTTTATGTAAGGTAGTGCAAGAATTGTTTTCCCTAACACTTACATCTTGGAAAGGCATGAAAGATCTCCTCAAAGCAAGTGCATATCAGTGCTTATAAAGACCAAGCAATGGCTTTTCTCTCTGTTCGACTCTTTTTCTGGCAGCTTCCCTAGCCTTAAGGGCATCAGCTTCCTCTTTAGACAGGGTTTTAGGCTTCTCATTTTGTCTTTTTCTCTTAACAGCAATTGAGGATGGAGCACCCTTGACAGATCTAGTAGGGTTGAGTGGTGTGGAGACCACGCGCCCTGGTGGAGGGCCAGTTTGAGCAGTTGAAGCAGTTTTACTATCAGCACCTGGTTTATTCTCGGATACTGACGGTGGCTTCCCTAAACTAGGCTTCTTCTGAGCAGACATGGAAGAATTTTGAAATGAAGCAAGGGCCACTTCTTGTGTCACCCATTTGCCTATGGCATTGACATTTTATTAGCAAAGTATCTAAGAGAAGATTATTTTCAAAAAGAAATGTGCATACCTAAAGCATCTGTATAATAAAAGCCGGAGTTAGGATCATAGTAACCATTGTTCATCTGGCAGTAGTAGTACCCTGATGCACTGTCAAGCTCCCAATCTGTCAGTCATGAAATATATATATAAATTTAAATTGTGGAAGGGAATGATAACTTTAGCATGTTATAATATATATAAATATATATACATAGCTCAGGGGAGAGAAAGATTGAAAGGTTATACATGAGAAATTGATTGTGTAGAGAAACCAATCGATGATTATGCAACAGGAAAATAAAAACAGGGAGCACAATAGCCAAAATTCATTTGAAGTTAAAAACAAGCAATTTATCACCTCCAGGCATGGCAAATTCATCATCAGCAACAAGCGCCTGTGCGTTAGTCTCTCTTGCCTCTTGAAAAGTTGCTAAATCCTTCTGATAACTGCGCTTGGCTTTCTGAAACAATTGAGCAAGTGTGGTGATACAACAGAGTAGCATAGTTATGGAGAGATTAGATCGAATAGAAGCAAATAGGTAATATATATTAGAACCATCCAAATCTTTTGAAGTTTGAGATACAAGAAGAATAACATCAGTTATATAGGCATCTTGTAAGTAAGTTAAGAAAGTCTTTCACACCGTTTCTACACATGCTAAATTTTCCAGTATATCTGATAAGTCCATTCGGCAGCATGAAAAGTGTAGTCGGAGTGCCAAGAGAATCAATAATGTCATCAACATTTCAAAAATAGATATTACGCTTGCCTTTTCTGCGGCCCTTTCCTAGATTAATGTAGTCCATTCATTAGTTTGATTGCTTTCTGAGTATACAATTACTTACTGCTTCTATCTGTTCGAGGACACGGGCTGCTTGCTTTTCTTCTTTTTCTTTCTTAGCTTTCTCCTCTCGCATGGAATTAAGCCTCTTGGAAACATTATCCTTGTGTCGCTGACCAAGCTCATGATTTCTAATGCTGGCAGGATTGTTGGATATATAAATTTTGCAGGTGTCACACCACTTGTTACCCTGACTAACCCAGTACTGGAGAGCAGAAAAGACAATGAGATTACTCACACAACAAAACAGTATAACATGGAAAGGGAGCAAAAACTGAAGTGGATGGAAATGTCTGTCCTGAGTCAATCAGTCGATAGATAGATATAGTCTTCTCTCCCAAATATGATTGAAAAATAAAGAAAAAAAGAAGCATAACCTATTAGCATATTATCAATTTTCAAATACAGAATGGCAGCATAAGACATTCAGGTCAACAACTGAAAGGCAATCAATTAACAAGGTTTCGAAAGTTCACAACTAATAAAACGATTAGCCTAAATCCATAGAGTGCAATCATCAATGAACATACACATGTTTTGGAAAAGTGTTCTGATATTTTCAAAATAGTACGTGTTCTTTTGTGGATTGTAACACAAATTTTGATTATTCGCATTTTTTTTTCTTCCAAAATATCAATTCAAATAATTACTTTTCTTGATATTATACTACAAATATATTTTATATTCAAAATATCACGTCTACCATCTATTTATATCATATCAAACAACTATTCAACTTCAAATTTTTACTATAAAAAACCCAAACCCACGAATAAACACACCATTTGATGAGCTTTTTTTTTTTTTTTGGAGAAGATTTCTGATGAAAAAATGCGACAAAGAGTAAAAGAAAGTGAACAGAGTTAAAGCAAATCACTTATTTTTCATTTGAAATATTAATTAGCCGGACAACATTAGATTATAAGCTCGATTCCTTCTGAATCCAATGAAATGGACACTAATTCAAATGTCTCTAGCTCAACCTATCAAAATTGGATATTAGAAAATCTTTACAATGCACAGTGTATGACCAATAGAAACTTAGAATTCAACATTTAACGAGCCATCTCCATAAAAGAAATTTTCTGAAAACAGAATACCATACATAGATGAATCTCTACCGTACCTCTGTCATGATTGCAAGTAACTTTCACTGCAACTCAGGTATCGAAGAAGCACGGAGATCAGCAGCTGGGATTCCAAACTCAGATTCTCCCTCCCAAATTCAATCTTCCTGGCGCAGCGCAAAAGAAACCCTAACTAAAATCCCTGATTCCTTCGTTAATGATTGACCTTTCATCCTCCAAAATCACAAAAATAATTTACTTTACGCATGAAAATGGGCTTGGGCTCCGGGTTATAAGTTAATGGGCCAATGTTTGGTCCATAAAGTTTCTATTGACGCAAGGCGGAAATTCGAAATTTGGTAAAATCGTAAAGTACATCTTGCGCGGTGTTTTTCTCTCACCGGCACAGTGAGCTCAGCTTCAGGGCGACAGCAGACGCCGATTACCTCCGGAAATGGGACCGCCGAAGGGAGCCACGCGCACAATATCGCAGCAAGCATTCGATGAAATGGTACGGGAAAACATAGATGACCTCGGCATGGACCCTGCCGAAGCTCTCGATGACGCCATCCAGACGCTTACTCTGCAAGGTGTCGATCTTACAGGTTTGTAGCTAATCGAAGTTCGTGTGCTTATATTCCGAAGTTTCTCTATTGATTATCGGTGGTATTTTATTGTGTTATCTTTCCAGGTATTATCACTTGCCTACCTGGAGAAAGCAATCCGGTGATCGAGTGTTTGGGAAAGTTAAGAGAGGAAAAAGCATTTCCTGAAATTTTGGATCCGCTGAATGAATTGAATGTTTTGTGCAAAGATAAAGGATCGGGGAATGCGTCCATTGCCTCGAAAAATGGAGCAGTGGAATTGTTGATATCTATTTGTTCTAAGCTGCGGAAGGAGAGTCAGGGCTTGGCATCCGCGTTGAATGCCCTTGCTTCGGTTATTCATGGTATGAGCGAAATTACGTAGTGTTTATATATTTCAACTGAATCTGTAAATGTGCATCTAGAAACACTTGTTCTCTACATTTAGTTTCTAATATTCAGCTCTTGCAATTCTACTTAGAGTTGGACTGTCAGTGAACAAGAATACCTGAAGTAACAATGGAGTTGTAACTTGTATGTTAGGGGACATCTGACGGGTTGTTCTTCAGTATTTCTCCTCTATTGGGTCGAAACCCGCCCAAGTGAGCGAGTTTGAGAGGTAGATCGATCAAAAATAATATCATGTATATCTGGCATCATGTTTTGGCGACACCCGCCTGGATAGTATGCTTTAATGGCAAGCATTGGGTTGCCTTTGGAAGAGTTTTGTGAGTGCAGACATACTTAAGCTCACACAAGGTGATAGATGAAAGAATTCAGTTTAGTGGAAGTAAATTGTAATCTAGGTGATCGTAATTGTGAGTCTTAGCTACTAAATATTTCATGTTCTGTTTTAAGTTTCAAGGAAACGTAATTCAAAGTTTTAAAATGTGCAAGATCTGAATTCAGTATCAATCTATTCTTTTACACTTCTGGTAGTATGACAATACTAATATCTGCTCACCTCTTCTAGAAGTTGGATCAGATTGTAAGAATACTCCATTTGGAGAAAGAAGTTAAGAGTTGTTATGCTGTTATGCTTGTGCAGATCTTCAAAGTTCAGAAATATTTAAGGAGAATGGTGGCCCAAGGATTATTGTGGATATCCTAAAAGGTGAAAGAGGTGATGCAAACACCTTAGAAGGTTGTTTTGCAGTTGTTGCTGCTGCTGCAACTGGCAATGAAGTTCTGAAGGACTCATTTATGGACTTGAAAATTGATGAGCTAATATTCCAGGTTCTCAAAGAACGAAACGTTGGGACTGTTCCAAGCATATATGATGCCATACGAATTATCTTGACATCTGATGACAATCGTGTTTTGGCATCACAAGTAAGCTGACAAACAAAATTTTCTCGCCACACTAATAATAGTGATGATTTTTCATACAATATCAAATATCAATATGGTTGATATTATTGACCGATGTTTGTAAGACTTTTCTGAGACCATGGTTTTGTTTACTTTACCTGAATTTTGCACAATTGAAGGTATCATGAACTTACAGGTTTTTGGATATGCTAGAAAATTCTCTGAGTTGGGAATTGCAGAGATTCTTGTGGACTCTCTTCGTGAAGAAGCTTCTTTTCCCCATCTTACCTCAGCCGCCATTGCTCTGAAATCTGTAGCTGTCAATGTAAGTTTTTCAAATGTTGTCAAAATGAGCAGCAGATATGTCGACTTTATATTGCTGATGTTTAGTGTGGAAAAGGAGACAGTGTTGACAAATTAAATAAGGGCCAGAGAAATAACTATGTGAAAACATGACAGGCTAATTAACTTAGATTTTAGGCTCTCATCGGGAGATATCTAGAACTTGTGCTGTAGTGGTTGATGTAAGATTATTAGATCAACTGTTACTTTCTAAATTAGCTTAGATTTTTATGAGAATATAACTTATGTAAGCACAAACAAGTAGAGTAATATATCAGATATCTTTATCTAACTTATTCAACTTGGTGCTGGCATCATTGCAGGACGAGATTTGTAGGTCTATTGCCAGCGCTGGGGGGATTGATGTGATTCTCAACTGTATTGATAATAGTGGTTTACTGGGAAACAGTGGTGTAGCGAAAACCTGCTGCTCTTTGTTGTCTAAGGTACAAGCTGGACTGTAGTATACATGGAATGCTTAATACTTTCTTACACCTCTATCCCTCATGCAGAACCACCAGTTATATCCCATTTTCCTTATTAAAGCTTATTATTGTTTATTAGTTTTTAATATTTGTTTATTTATCCTTCACACGTTAATTTGTTGAATATTTTCTTACACCTCTATCCCTCATGTTCAAAGCCTAATTTCACTCCGTAGAACCACCAGCTATATCCCCTTTTCCTTATAAAAGCTTATTATTAGTTTGTAATATTTTTTTATTTATCCTTCACATATTAATTTGTTGAACGCTCACCTTTTTAATTTATATGTTCAAACAAGACAGTTTATTTAATGTTCGTCTTAAAGTTTACATTACAAGCCTTTGCCAATGTTAAGGCTTTCTTCAAGTTTATGCCATGTTTCATTTTACATCCCAAAGGGTGAATCATGTTTTACATTTAGTTTGTCTTCTTCTGAAGCTTCTTTCAAATATGTTGTCAATGGTCTTTCACCAATTTGTTGTAAAATTTTTCTGCCAAAGCTTGTAGCTCACCATCTTGAATTTTATTTGTTTTGGGTATTGCAAACTTTGATCCCCATACATTTTGAAGCTGCTTAACTATGTATGTTTGATTAGCTTGCTGGAAGTGATGCCAACAAGGCTGCTATTGTCGAAAAGGGAGGCATGGATAGGCTTTTAAACCTCTCAGCAAGATTCTCTGATGATCCCTCTGTACTGCAGGAGGTAGAGATTTAGTTTGTTGCTGAATAAGGGTTCCTACATAGTGTGTGCATGTGCATGGGTGTGATTGTACATGCCAAGGTATTCAGGATCCATAGTCTAACAGATTCATCTTAGCCCATTAGAATATACATTATCGGCTTCCACATGCTTACTGTGACTTACATGGTATTTACTTCTGTAACTCCAACAGATCATGTCCATCATTTGCACTCTGTGCTTGAGGTCCATGGAGAATTCAGCCTGTGCCATGGAGTCAGGTGCTGGGGACCTTGCGATTCAAGCCATGCAGAAGTTCCCAGCCTCAGATCAACTGCAAAGAAATGCTTGCTTCATGATCAGGAATCTGGTTGTTCGAAATCCAGAGAACCGGTAACAGTTAATAAGTTCCTAACTTGCCTTTCTTCTGTTTCATAATTTTCGTCCAGTCACTAAATCCTCCACTACGGTGCACAGAAAACTTCTGCTTGGAAATGGGATCGAGGAATTAATCAGAAGGGCAAAACAAACCCACAAGAGCTGTAAAGATGCAGCCACTGATGCACTCAGGGATTTAGGAGTGAATAATTATAACTCCTGAGGTCACCCGCCAACCAGACATCTACATACAACATAGTTATGCTGTTGGTGGGTGTTTTCATTGCATGACTAGCAAATCGAAACAAGCTATACGTAGCTAGCTTGAAATTGACTCAAAACTCCAAGAACATTCTATTGTTAATTGGGTTTGGTAAGCTTGTTTGGAATCTTGGACTTGAGCTTGAGTTTTTATCATTGAGTAGTATGAACATTCAGAAACGGGCTGTATCGACAGCAGGCTTGGTCTTATCTTGTGCCATATATTGTGGAATTGAAGATCTTGATTATTAACAGCATAGATAGCATGAAATGGGGCTTCTAACAAGCTTTACAATAGTAGGTATATATATGATTGGTGATTATGGGCCAAAATGGGCAAAAGGCCATCCATACAAGTAACTAATATTGAAGTTGGTGGTGCAGATTTGTGGTCCAATTGGGGATTGGAAAGCAGTGACAAAGAAGAATTGACAAAAGCTGCAAGATTTCACATGGTCAAAGTCAAACCAATCGGATGGAAGGAATCTCTTCTCATGCCATGCCATGCCCAGGTACGCACACCTGTCCCATCTCTCTCTCTCTCTACCATCATTTATTATTAGCTTAAACAAATACTCCTGCTTACTATACAACACAGATAACAAACAGTACCCACTTTCCCAAAAAGAGGGACAGATATCACAATCTGATCTTCAATCCAAAAGTTATTACCCCTCAACTCTCATAGGATCAACATTGAATCATAACTGCCATTGGTAACAATAGGGTTGTGAATGGGTAGAGTAACAGTAGTAATGTAGTAAATGTGACTGGGGCAAAATAGGATAGGTGAATTCACTTGGGTCGTTAATGCCACTCTAACAGTATACACTACTAGCTCCAATTCTCTTGTAGGAATTACGATATAAAAGATATTCACTTTAAAATTTTGAAGTAGAAACCCCTCTTTTAGTTAGATCTTCATTATGGCATTGAAATGTTTGTATTTTCTTTTATTAAGTGGATATTTTTAGCTTTCAAATATGATTACTTTGATATTGCTCTGTTAGGTAAATAAAAAATATGTATCTGCATGACAAATGCCCAAAATCCCCACCATTAAAATAATTAAGAAATTAAACATGACAAGATAACAAAATAATAACACCATGATTGGATTGAAACCTTAATTAGATGATAAGCTAATACTGTAATAATTAAGCTCTACTCTTGTTGATGACGAGGGTTGTGTACGTGTGTATTACCTTCCTCTTCTCCCTCTCCCGCCGCCGCCGCCGTCGTCCGGGCGGAAGTTCCGGCAGTGTGCTCCGTCACGACGACCCGCGGCGGCGGAGGGTGGTCTAGGCGACCATCAATGCAAGAAGCGCATTTGGTCTCGACCCAACCCTCAAAATCATACTGCGCGCGGCCGCGGATTCCCCGGCCGGAGCACAGCCGGCCAATCATGATCGCGATTGCGCCGAGAATGGTTATCACGGCGAGGACGCCGATGACGGGCCCGACGGACCCGTGGCCCGAGTGGGCCGTGTAGGCCTGCTGGGCCATCTCCATTGGCGGTGGCTGCTGTTGCAGTGGATCTAATACTGGACTGGAAGTAGCCATTTTTGTTTATTTAGTATGATCAAACCCTAAACCCTAATTAGCCACAGAACAGTTAATTAGCTGCTTCTGTTTCTAATTAGGGAAAAAACTGGAAAAGGGGATGGTAGCGATGATAGGAGAGAGTTGAATTCGTTGGGTTTTGGATGATAGGAGTGTAATTTGATTCTTGAAGCATCAGGTTCTTTGAATGTTGGAGAGGAAGAGAGAACACTGACTAATCATCAGTTCATAGGGAGAGAATATTGCTGCATCTTTTGGGAAGTAAAAAGTGCTGTCAAGAGTGTGGAACGAATTAAAACATTTTTATGGAGAAAATTATCACATCTGGTGGGGAGGAAAAGTGGAGGGAAAAAAGGGGTTGGTTTTCTTTATATACACAGGACCTTTTTATCTGCTTTTGATCAAGTTAATTATATCTTTGTAGCCAGATCATAAAAAAAAAAGATAAATCAGATTAATTGGTTTGTCAGGTGAGATATACATCTATGCAGACAACATAGTATGGTTAGTATTATTCTTATTACTAATCTTTACTCTTTTTTTGTTTTTTTAATTATGAATGGATACTTGTAGTAATGTATGACTGTGTGATTAAGGGGAACTGGGGAATGGAGATAGATACATGATACTTACATGTGCTGAGAGAGAGAGAGAGAGAGAACAGCCTGGGCTTGGGTAAGGTATTCAATGAAGGTGCTATATCAGTTTCCATGTGCTGTTGCTATCCCCAAAAACTAATTGCTACCTAGCTATGGTTCTCCATTTTGGGACCACATAGGTAAAAGTAATAGTATATGTATATACTACAAGTGTGTCTATGTATGTGTGTTTCTTTGTTTTGATTTGGTTATGTGATTATCAATTGCTGAGTAAATGCAAAAGGGTATCTAATTAAATGGATACATATACATAAGAACATATATAACATACATGAAATTAGGGTCGAAAGTTGGAAGTTGGAAGTAGGTAAATGAATGAATGACTCAAGTTGCTACTTCTCATTATATATATGTCATGCAGGAAGAAAGAATGAAATTTGTGCGTACTTGTTTTTATTTAGGTCTATTGACTGACACTGGAATCCAATTTTTAACTGAGTGACAGTTGATATATTTGCCTTTGAAGAGGTAATTAATGGTTTTACATGGTCAGAATAAAAAACCATTAATCTGATTTCTGTGCATGTTTATAAAAATGTTTGTAGAGAAAGAAAACTTGGCATATTAGTCAAATCAATTGTTACTAAAATAAAATAAAATTTCAAACTTAAATTATATCTCATTCCACGAATACACACAGAATTTATATTATATGTTAGCATTTTGATCGAGCAAGTAATGTGTTGTTACTTCATCTGTTCTTGTTGTGATGTTATATTTCCTCTCACAATTCTTTTAGCTAATAAATTAAAAACTATGTGCCAATTGTGAAATTGTCTTTTTGACACAAGTCATGAGTGGAAAGGAGAAAATGTTGTGTGGTTGAGCCAAAAGTAGTCTTTCCTGGTGGGGTCAAATTTGTTGATATAATATCAACTTACACATATTTGTTGATATACTTGAATGCACCTCATAAAGTAAATTTGTTTCTTCTCATATATCATCAACCCGTAGGGTTGCATTTGGAGCATTCTCACAATTATTTAATAAGCATCTTTTAGTGTAGCTTGTAATTACGAATAAATATATATGTGTCGAAAAGAAAGAAAGAAAGAAAAAACAAATTTGAAAAAGATGAGAGAATCTGACTGTGAAAGAAAAGAGAATATATGTCTTGGGGACAGTGATGACAGCAGATAATCGTCCCATTCTTTGACTTTATAATCGTTTTGTGAATGGTGTTGTTTTGGTTCATTTCATACAATAACAAGTTTAATATTATTATTATTTCAGAAAACTATTTATTTATATAAACTAAGAGTAGAGGTGGAGGGGGAGGGGCAGCAGAGTGCATGATTGTATTTGATAGACAAGGACAGAAAGATCTGAGCAGACCCATGTATCGTACAAAGGTTTAGTCAAAATCATGTACCACATACAGCCTTCTCTTATTCTTCTTCTTATAATAATAACTATTATTATTATTATTATTATTATTATTAAATTTACTACTAGTATTGTTATTGTTGTGTTTTTTAATGGTGTGCTATGGTCTTTCTGACACCCCAAATTCTTCCTTGTCGCTTTTCTTTTGAACCTTTGTGCTCCAAATCGTATTCCCTCTCTTAGTATATTGTTATTGTTTATTTTTATTTTTTATTATATAGGAAGCATACGGTTGTATACATAAGAAATACTTGGTGGTGAATACATCATTTTTTGGCTTATCAGTTTCGTCAATGTAATTTGCCATATGGTTCCTGATAAATAAGCGTCAAACATGTGCAACTTATGTGAGAGAAATATATGATATAATTGATCTCAATGTAACATTATATGTTAATATAATATATAAATATTACTAATATATGATAATAGTTCAGATAATATATTACAAAATGATGATTGGAGCTAATGGAGCAATTCAATAGTTTATTCAAAGGTTGCTGTTGATAAGCCCAAAATGAGAATGCTAGTGTGGTATGTAAGCTGTTGATATGTTAGAAATGTGTTCGATTAAAGGATTATATACATAATTATAAAGTTATTTTCTAGAGGAAAAGAAAGATATTATTATTCAATTTACTGAAGTTGACAATATATGCTTTCTTATGTGTAAGTTTAGTTTAATGTGGATCGTAAGATTCCCAAACTCTCTCTCTCTCTCTCTCTCTCTCTCTCTCTAATGATGGTGTGTTTCCACTATTGGATTTGGGGGACCACAATTGACTTGTGCAAAAACATTACTGTAATTGTATTAGGAGATTAATGCCAATACACATCAATCGAATTGAGTGTGAAGGCCAGAAAGTAGTTGTTGCTCTTTCTAACTCTACTTTCTTTGTCATCATAATGAATTTTGTGTTCTTCATCTGGTAATTTTTCTTGCATTGAGTTGGGATTTCACGTATCTTGTAACTTGCTTAAAATGTCTATCTTTCACCAATTTTGGGCTTCTTTTGGCTCAAAGATGGAAGTAAAAACACTAAACAATCTCACAAGATAGAAGGCTAAGTAAAAGATACAAAAACTTGCCAAGAATCAGCAGAGCAGCATTCTGTTCAACATTATCACACACACAGATCAATGGAACATGCTTTCCATACATGACAAACACTTCACCTTCTCTAGATATAAAACTCATCATAAACTTTGCAGGCATATAAAACTGAGTCAGTCTACTATTTAACTGGATTGCACCTGGACACAGAGTGGCTTCCCTCTCCCCATGGCGAACCCTCTGGTTCCGTCCGGCATTCGGGGGCCTTTTGTCGGCAAGCTGCTGTTTGGTGTAGTAGATGTCGAATTTATAATATGAGGCCGATGCTTGGGTTTCGCCCGGTTCTTCGACCAACTTTTCTTCAATGCACATGAGTTCTCATCTACCTGATTGAGTTATCAATCATAACACGGTTAGTTTACCTTAACATTGTCATCACTTTGAGAATGTTATTTAGTTACCTCAGCTGAGTTGGTAGGCGAGGCATCTTCCTGCGAAAGGCAGGGCGTTCCCTCCTCGTCGTCTGAACACACATCGAAATCTGACTTCCTGCTCCTTAACACAGACTTAGGCTGTAGATTAGCATCACAAGTAGTTAACGATATATGTAAGAAAGCATGAAGCAGAATGGATATGGTTGGAAGGCAACCTACCGATCGCTTGAGCATTACCCTCACGCGCATGCCTTTTCTCCAGTTTCTTTCATCGTTCAATGTTTCGGCCTGAGGAGATGAATTCGTTAAAGGATTATGGCATGAACAGCTGAGTAAGTGCAGTAGCTAGTAACAGAAGAGAAGGTGACATACTGCTTTCTCTGCAGCCTCCGGAGTTTCATACTCAATCAGTGCATGAAGCTTCAAGAACGGCACAAATTTTAAAAGGGTTATGGCGATGATATAAATGAAGCAGCAGCAATTAATCAGTCGATTCCATGTACCTTATTGCTAACAACTAAATCTCCCTTAGAAGAACGAGAAGAATTTGGTTCTTGTGGTTGACATATTCGGATTGATTTGATGCTGCATATGGGAAAGGAGTATTGCTTATTAAGTACATATGTATGCACATACAAGAAAAGAAAATAGATAACGAAATGAATCTGATCCGACCTTCCAACCACATTAAACAGTTTCTCAATGTTGTGATGAGAGTGATCGTCGGGTAGATTTTCAACTATAACAGAGCGGAGCTGCATAAGATGTAATACGAAAAGCTTAATGGCACCAAGAAAAGCTACAAAAGTTCTATAGAATGAAGGGATTAGTAGCTAGCATACCATCAGGTCTTCTTTATCCTTATCGGTTAAGGGGTGTTTCCGTCTCACCTTCTTGCCGTCGCTGCTCACAACCTGTACAGAAATAGAAAACATACTGTGATTTATAGCTGAATTATGTAGTCCTACAATGATCAAGGAGCGGTAATTTGGATTAAAATTCCAACCAGGTTAGAGGAGGATTGCAATGCTTGTGCCACCATTGGATTGCTAACGTTAAGGGACTTGAGTTTCTTTGCAGTAGTGACAAAATTTATAGGAACTGTTAATGGAAAAATTTTAGATACTGGAAGTGAATTTTGTGAAAACTCAATTCAAGAATGTAAAAAAGGAGTGTTCGATCTGATAAGGACTCACCAAAGCCTTCAGGATCCTTGCTCACATGTTTAGCAATGGATTCATTGGCTAGCAAGCTTATGTCACTGAACATGTACTCTGCCTGTTTCATCATATACACAACACAACGCAAGGATAACGGTATTGCAATCAACAATGGTTCACAATGCACATCTGTTGTAGTGTAGACAGTTACAAAACATTTCAATTTTGATCACAACCTTAACCCTAATTACAGAAGAAGGCATTTGAGAGTGACCTGTTTGACAATTTTTTGCTTAAGATCCTCGGTAAGGACGTTCTCCTTGGCCGGATGATTCAGCGGCGGCGCAACCTTGGATCCAACCAAAGGTACCGACGCTTGTTGATCGGCGTAATAGATCCAGTTCCCGTTTATTCCATCGAGACACTGAAAACACTGCGGGTAGAAGTAGCCGGACAATGGCAGATGCGGCTGGACATGCGAGTGCGACCGCGGCACGAATTCAGGAGCCGCCGCATTGAATTTGAATCCCCATCCACCTCCACTACCGTTCCCGCTGTCCTTTCGGTTCTCCGGCGCCATTTGTACGGCTTCTCCTCCACCGACACGCTTCTCACTCGCTTGCGCCATGCGAAACAAACAGGTTAACAAAGATCTCTCCTCAATTCCTCACTCCCAGCTTTTCCCCCCTGCACAGAACTAACACACACATATATCTATATATATATATATATACGCATCACGCATTTGAAATGCACATCGCTACAACCTGCAGAGTTTGGCGGTGGAGTTCGTTGAATCCACCTGCTTTGTAGCAACTGTAGGATAAAAACTGTTCGTTGGTTTCCACATTCCACTCCATGGGAGAGGTTAGCTTTGACGTAATCAATTCTGAAGCTAATTACAGAATGTTTATTTGGGCCTAATTGGGTAACCCGACCCATTCTATATTGGGCCTATTAATTAGGCCCCATAATATCCGCAATTTGTCGACGTGGGGGCACTTTTACAATTTTACATAACTACAGGGAGTAAATGGAAATTTCTGCAGGCAGCTGGCAGCTCCTTGATGCACCCACTAGCAGATGAGGGAAGAACTCTGCTCTGCTGAAGACGATGATAGTTCCGAGACTGGAAGGATGCCTGCGGCTGCTGAGACTGGCGATAGAAGTAGCGATCATGCTTGTTGAAGCTGTTGAATGGATGTTTTTCGAAGCAAATTCGATGCTGTCTTCGATTCCTGACTATCCACTTCTGCTTCCGCTTATTGATATTGTTCCTTAATTTTTGTCCGGGAGCTGACTTGGGCTGCGTTTTGATTGAAGAACCGGTGAATAGTAGTATCTTTATGTATTTTTAGCATCAGTGCAATTAGTTGCTTGTGGAGATTGTGCTTGTCACATATGCTGGCTTTCTCCGTACATTTGGATATGTATAGTGTAATTGTAATTGTAATTGTATAGTTTTGTTTGTGAACGAGTTCCACTGAAGGTACGATGATTCGGTCTTGGTTGTTGCCATAATTGAAGAAATTTTGTCTATCAAGGTGTTGGATCTGGGAGGAGCAGTTTTTATTAGACTTGAATTTGATGGTTGGGGATCTGTACTGCTTAATTTGGTTTTTGTGAAGTATTTCTTAAGGCTGAGTATTAGCAGACTTGGGGATTCGAATTGGAAACGCAAAAGATTTTTCAGTGTTCTTGAGGTATGGTTATCCTAGACTTTATGCAGAGATCATTGCTTTTTTATGTTGACAATTGTGTACCACAATTTATGGTCTGTTAATCTTTTCTTTTTTCTTTTTTTTTTTTGATTAACTTTTTTGTGTTTATATTTGTATATGTACTTTGTTTTGTAGCTATTGCTAGTAGAGGAAGATACATGTAAAGGTAAAAGAATAAAGAGGATTACTGACTTACTGTGTATTTCTTAGTATCATGTTAACCAAGGGATTAGTTTAACTATTCATTGTCTGGTTTTTGACATTGATATTTCAACATGAATCTGTTGGCAGGTTCCAAATTTAATGGGTCTGGCCTTTGTCGCCACACCACTAATTATCTTGTTTAGATATTTAACTCCTGTACGTTTATTATTGGTTTCCACTTGCCAGCAGTCTTTCTGTTTGAATCACCATGTTTATCCAAATAAGAAATTCATCTACATTCCACAAAGGAATCTTTACTATGTGTGAGGGGCCCAGCTCCATAAGGTACATCTCTTTAAGGTTTTGAAAACTTAATCCATGACACTGTTGAGATATATCTTTCAGTTCTATGTTATACTTTGGGTATCTTGCAAGATTCATTATTTATTACTCAATTGAAAATACTTTAGAGGAGCATCATATGTTGAGCCATTTTCCCCTCATAGCTTGTTTAGTACAACTCATAATATACTTTCAAGAATACTTCTGAGCAATCAGAAGCAGATTGTGAAACAACTCAGTTGGTTTAGACATCATAGCCATGTGGTCAGATGCTTTCACTACTTTAACTACATCTGGGGGGTTGTGTTTGGTCATCCATAGCTGCAGCTCTTTCTTTGCAACATTGTCTTCATCTGTCATGATGTAAACTCGTTTAACTGATCCATACTTGTTACTTGATAATACTAGCTCTGTGGACATGTCTTCTTCTGTGTACAGATATATTGGCCGCACCAACATTGTTGCTAGTGTCCAATCCTGCCATAGACACAGGGTATGCAAGATAAAGGTACCTTCTTTGTAGCTCTACTTTTCTTGCAGTGAAAAGCTGAGAATTTTTTAGGTTTTTTGTTTATTTTGTTCTTCGTGTTTTAGGATGTTTTACAGAGGGAGGCTGGTGTTACCTGGAAAGGGCTTAGCTGATACATTTTCACTAACAGATACTTGGGTCCCAACAATAATGTAGTTGGAGGATTGTTGGTTCCATTGTTGAATGAATATTGGCTGTCCAAAAGAGAACCTTCTTGACTTCTCAAGGACTGCAAATAGAAAAGAGGAAGAACTATGGGACTGAGTTACTGAAGACTTGATCTGTTTTTCCTGGATTTCTTCAAGGTGAATTAATAAAACCAAGGGCCTGTAAGGAATACATACCTTCCTACTGAGGGTGGAGATGTTGAGAAATGGGCCAGGCATCAAAGCTGCCACAAAAACACCAACACAAATCTTCTCTGGATATTTCTCCATAGCTTGAGATATGGCTAATCCACCAGAGCTATGAGCTACAAGAATCACCTTTTGTCTTGCAGGAACAGAAGCCATGAAATCCATGAGTGGCCTGAAGTAATTAGACAGAGTTGGCACATCAAGGACCTGTTCTGGATTGATCCCAGAAGCAGCCATGTCAAGGGCTGTAACATTCTGGCCTGATGATCTCAGCAACCCCACTATCTTGTACCAGCACCAGGCTCCATGCCCAGATCCATGAACAAGGACAAAGTTCTCAGCAGTTGTCTTCTGGAAAGGAAACATCACGAGGAAAATAAACATCAAGTAAGTCTTGTTGTTATTCATTTCTCTTTGGGAGGTGGTAGTTCTTGGAAGAGTAGACATTTGAATGGAGAAGAAATTTTGGATGTGATGTTTCTAATAATAAAATATCTTTTGGCGGTTATGTTTTAATTGAAAAATAGGCGTTGGACAGGTGTTTTAAGGATAAAAATATGTACATAAAATGATTAGTATAAAAGCAGGTTTGAAAAAACAAACAAGCACACCCTAAATTACTAATTTGGATGCCTGGCCCCCTACACTTTCCCTTGGATCATGATGAGCCACTTATTATTTTCATCATATATGAACACTTGGATCATTAATTGATTATTTGACTTATATATAGGCACACTTAAATGATTGATATTTTTTTTATGAATTTCTCAGGGATTTTATACAAAGCTGTCATTATTAATAACACCTACTTATTACAACCATGGAGAAAAACAAGATCTGTCTTCTAAAGCTTGAAATGATGCACTTGAATGTTTTCAGTGGTGAGCTTCTTGAAATTACTGAGTTTCCTGGTTGCATAAAACTTTCCCCAGCTGTATCCTTTGTATTTAGCTGGACTTTGCTCACTGACCAACTCCTCCAGGGGCTGTATCCATACGTCGTGTGAAGGATTTATGAAGTATGGAATCGAAAACCTTTCCTTCTGTGAATTGACTGTCACTCTGTGCTCCACACTTTCATACTTATCATTGCTCCATACCTATCAAAAACACTCACACATTCTGTCACTAATAACATTGATCGATTGATTGTAACTTATTGTGCAGATGACTTGCTTTCATATACCTGGATAAGGTCACCGACATTGACAATATAAGCATCAGGAGTTGGCTTGACAAAGATCCACTCTCCATCAGATTTCCTCTTCACTTCAAGTCCTCCTACGTCGTCCTGAAGCAGGATTGTCATTGCACCGGCATCCTTATGCCTTCCAAGGCCAAGTGCTAGCTCAGGAGCTGGACAAGGTGGGTAATAATTCAGCCTCATGAAACTTGTCTGATTCTTAAATAAGCTATGCAGCCGATCTTCCGGAAGTCCCATGCTCAAGGCTATCAGCCCGAGCAACTTGTAAGTGAGCTTTTGCATTTCTGCTGAGTACATTTCACACACGTCTCTGCAAATTGAGAAAATTTGCTAATAACAAATGCGATATATTGCAACAAATCAGGAATGGAAACAGTGCAACCAAATGAATTGGATACCGAAGATCGGGAGGATACTCAGGCCACTTGTTTGTCAATTCTTTCAGCTCTTTGTCATCAGGTTCATCAGAAGCATATATAACGGTCGGATTTTCTATTGTGCAGTCAAAAATCTCCTTCCAGTCGCGCACGCTCTTTGTGATCTCAAAGTCGGAATACCCAAACAGGTTCACCTGATCCCGGCTCGCTTTCCTCTTCTCCTCTTTCGGGAGGGCGAAGAACTCCTTTGCAGCTGACTCAATTCTTTCTCGAACCTCTGCAGGCACTCCATGGTTGATCACCTGGAAAAATCCCCATTTTCTGCATGCATCACCTATTTTTGCCACAAGATCCCAATTGGGCTCCGAGAAATTCAAGTTTAACGGGGAGAGATCGATCAACGGGATGCCGTCCTCCTCGATGATCTGAAGCTTTGGCCTGTGCTCAATGGGCTGGATGAAATCAGGTTCAAATTCTAGTGATGCCATGGATGAATTTGATGGTGTTAACACTTATTAGATGGTTTCAGTTCCTTTATATGAACAAGTTTGGCTGCTCTTCTAGAACATTGCTTTGGTGCAAGTAATCAACACTGCAAGTTATTGAAGGTGTGTTTGGTTGGATGTTTTGGATTTGAATGTTTTGCATATATTTTAAAGTGTTAGAAAATAATATTTTCAAATTAAAAAATAATAGTAGTAATAGAAAAAAAAAAATGATTTATTGAAAATGGTTTGATTTGAAGAAAGATAGTAGTGTGACATTTAGTGTGTTAAGATGTCAAGAAATGATTAGTGTGGGTAGTAGTGGTTGGGTTAGGTGGGCAATCCTTGTAATTATTCAGGAAACTTAGACAATGCTTTTTTTGGAATAATTATTGGCATTGCTAATGTCACTTTCTGTTCTTCATATCCATGGCCAATCATCATATCAATGGATATCCCATGCTGATTAGGCCCATGAGGATTTATAGTAATTATTGGACACACCCGGTACTCCTAGGTCAAATAGATCTAGACTCTTTGTATTCCACGAAACTGTCGGTGACAATCAGTTTATCATTATAATGGGCTTAAGGCCTAAAATTAATTAAAACTGGGTCATGGGCCTATATTTTTTGGGCCTTACGCATTAGCCCATTGTTAACAAAAATATGGACCACGTAATATACCCCACCCCACCCCACCCCACCCGTTAAGGCCTTCACTGTAGATGACGAGCTATTTAGTCCACAAAGAAAGGTCTGCCTATGAGAGAAATCAACCCCAGGTAAGTGTATGTATGCATGTATTTATTATTTCAGCGTGGAAATAATAGCACACCACACCAATAGATAAAAATAGAGTAAAGAAAAAGCATGCTTTCTTCTTCCCTTCAATAAAACAGAGGAAGTAGTACAAAGTTACCAGAGAAAATAGCAGCAGCAGCAGCTAAGAAGAACCTTGCAGGAGACGCTGGTTGTATTTACGGGTGGACTGCACTACAGGATCTGACCTACTGATGCATCGCCTTTTCAAGCAGCAACGGGCATTGAGGTAGTGACAATCAGGTAAGTCAAGAATTGAATCCCGTCCACCACTTTACCCGCTGCCGTGGCTTGATCTGTGCGAAGACGTTCCTTGAATGCACTCGCCTTCTCCTCTACTGACTTCCCCAGGTTGGCTTCAGCTTCCGTTTCTTGTGACTTGGCGCTTTTCAGCGCTGCTGAATAAGCTTCTGCTACATCTGATATGCCTGTGCAAGATTTACCTAAGTTACTGTCAAACAAACATCCCGGGAATACCAGAATGATTTAATATACACAAACATATATATATATGTTTATATGTATGAGCCATTTACCTGTAATGAAACTGTTGTAAACGGATTCCATATTTGCAGTCATTGATTGTGCCTTTGCTCTGATTATGTGGGCTCTTTCCAACATATCCTCCGGCCAATCAATCTTGATCATGTCCTCCTCGATCTCTTGATCTTGCACTTTGTTTGTGTTGGATATGAGGGACTTTCCAAGCATCAGCAGTTGAGTTGCCGCATAACAGCATATTTCGGAAAGCCTCTGGCAAAATAAGACCAGCTCAAGGGATCAGTGCATGATCAACCATATAATCATCAGCTTCTTAATCCTATGGCAAAGACATATATCCACATAGATTTAAACACTTCATTCACATACATGAACCCCCTCTGAATGTAAAGCATCGAGCCGCCCGGATGTTCTCTGAACTACGTCTGTTGTTCCCAGTCCAGACAAAGCACTTGCAAAACTACAGAAGAAAAACCAAAATAATGCAACCGATTAACATTTGACAGCAGGCGCGCCCTAAGATTAAATATTAACAGAATAATGTCTTGAAACTAGAGGTAACAAACAAAAGTCAAGGCTAGTTTTTACCCTGCAGCCAGCTCAGCAGCTTTACGAATGCTGGCATCATGCATCCGTTTCAATTCATCGGTGCCGTCATCATTTCCAGCTTTTATTTCCTTCCCTTTTTCTGATTCGGTAATGGTTCCATCAAGTTCAGCACCCAAATCAAATATCTGTTGTACTTCTTTAAGCTTTCCATCGTAGATTGATTTTTGTTCAGAAGATAGTTTTGCCTTTCTTCGGTTATACAACAAGGCATAATGATTGGACAAAGCCTCCAGCTCCTGCCACAAAAGATGATACAAGTGTTTACAAACTCAATTATAAAATAAATGGCTGCACAATGAATACTTTGAACCGCAAATACCTCTAGCTGTTCTGGGCCTCCATATATATAAAAGCACCTGTCGAATGTGGTTTCTTCGAACAATTGATCTTCATCTATCGTTGCATCGGACTTTTTCTCCACTTGAATCCCAGTTTCTGAAATTAAAAGATCCATGGTTTCTTTTCCGACTTGCTCAAGCATTTGCATACCCTTCTGTGTAAAGGCTTTTCCAGTCTGCCACAATGAAAAAAAAAACAATGTGAAACTGAACAAAACTCTTGGAAAAAGAAAGAGAGAGAGAAGCAAGAGATGCAGGTGAACCTCTAACAAAGATGGGGCAACAGACCCCACTGTCTTTGGTGAACCCCCATGTTGAATTGACTCGGCCATACTTGAAGCTGAATTCTCAAACCTAAGAGAAATAGGAAAGTTCTCATGATTAGACAATGGTAATTAACTGTACTAACTACAACACATCTTTTCATAACTAAACCAGCTTCTACAAAACCAAAATATAGGTCTGCATATGATCTGTGAAATACTATACGATCATGTCAATCATCTCAAGAAGATTACAAAAACCTTTAATATGATAGAACCTAATATATAAGATGAATGCGGGATCAGTAATACCTAAATTAATCAGGTGAAAGCAGAAACAGATACTCATGTTTCAGTATTAAATAATATCCAGAAAGATTATAGGGTGTCATGTACAACGTCCCTGCAGAACATCATAAAATAGCTAAAGCCTTGGAAGGTGACTTTACGAAATATAACATGCTACTACTGAGACATGCAGGGGAACTAAAGCATCTCACCCTTTCCAAGCACTTCCAAGTGCTTCCCAAGCTCCTGAAGCAAATGATTCCACTGATGTATCTAAAACTTTCAGACCCTGCATTTACAGAGTGAAACTCACTTACAATAATTGGAAGACAAATAGTTCAAATAGCAATAGCAATAAATTCAAAATATAATCTTAAATGGCCACTTCGAAAGAGCAACAGAAACAATGAAGTCAAATTGTAGTTCCCCAAATATTTCACACAACCCACCTGACTGAGAATGGATTCATCACTGGCATTCACTAGTTTATCCAGAGCTGCTTTCCCTTTCTTTTTATCCTCATCTTCACTACTGTCATCATTTTTCTCTTCTTCAGCTGCAGACCCTTCTTTACCTTCACCTATAGAAGATTCTGAGTCTTCAGCTACAGTCTCTGAAATGGTCTTTGCTGCTGTCTTTGCAGCCTCAACAGCCTAAGTATAAGAAGAAAAAAAAGAAAAAGAGAACACAACTCAATTAAGCAGCTAAAGAAACTCATAAAAACTCATCTGATAATAATGAAAGAAGCCAAACCGGTATAGTTAAAATCAGGCACAAATATTAGCAGATGTAAATAGACAGCCATTTCAGTCTAAGCTGGGTGGCAAAGATCCAGCACTACCTAATTCACCTAGTTCTTAAGCTAGTCAGACTCCAAAAGGGAAAGATTCTATTAGCAACTAATTTCAACTAGCTATAAATAAAAACACCTGATTCTAATTTCTACACAACAAATTCATTACCATATTTCCATTTTAGAATAGGAAAGAAAAATGTCAGCCACTATCTGTGAATGTAATCAGTTTCAACTCTCTGCATCAGATATCCACAATAAATTGAAACCACATATTATTTCCTCATGGTATCCAAAAACTAGTAAGCAGCAACCATCGAAAATGCAATTTCTAAGACAGCTACACTGCGTGCCATGATTAACATTAACACTATTCAAAGTTAATAACGTCACAGCGCCGAATTGCAGATCCACATGTATCTTGTCTTCTGCTTACATTTCTAATCGAAGAAAACCCTCCCAAAAACACACACAAATACGGTTCGCTTCTAATACATCGTAATATAAACCTCAGCAATCGAAATCAATCCAAATATAGAAGCGCGTGTGTGCGTATAAGAAAAATACTGATTTTCGAGAGCGGCAGACAATACATTGCGAGAGATCTCTTCTGCGGCCACAGCAGCAGCTTTCTGTAGATCTGATAAATACGAAAGTGGAGAAAACCCCCAGCCTCCCCATCCGCCACCAGATTCCGGCACAGGAACGGATTCAGCCGCGTCGGAGACTGTCGCCTCTTCCCCTGCTGCCTTTATTTCCGATTCAGAAGCCTTCTTCGCGTCGTCCGTCATCATAATTGAAAAACAATGCACTTATCAGCGTCAAAAAACACAACAAACCCTCGGAAATCACAGAAATCCTTGAAACGAATCGAATTGAAATCCGATAGAACTGATTCAGAGAAAAATCGAGGTTTTGAACTCCTTGGATTTGAATAGAGAACGCTCTCCCATCCCGTGATTTGCTTCAATGTGTGCCTTCTTTTAGCCTTAGGCAACAAGTACAGGTAGACCGACCGACCGACCGAAGCGCCTTTGTTCAACTTCAGAACGATGTCGTTTTTCTAAATACTAAACAGCTATTCACAGCGACAACTTAAGCGTACCTTAAACAACACGCTTTCAAACTACTATTTTCGCCTTTGAAATAATCTTTTGTACCATGGATAACATTTATAGTAGTACTACTTTTTTTTCATTATAATTAATAATAAAATATTTTTTTTATTTAATTTACAAATATATCTGTTCTGTTAGAAGGGTAGCGTTAACTTTTTGCAAGTAAATTTTTAATATTAGTATTATATTGAATTGTAGTAAAAAAATGATAATCTTATTTTGGGACTGACAAAAATAAAAAATAATAACATTTCAATAAGATGGAAAGTATTATATTTGAAATTAATCTATACGTATTTTTAATAATTAATAAAATATTATTATTACAAAATTCATTAGGTATAAAATTTCAAATATCATATTTAGATTAAGACGAATTGATTGGTTCTTTTACCGATTCAAATCAAATTAATAGTTTGATACAACTTATAAAAAAAATACTAATTTTCAAACAAAATATGGAATCAAAATATTATTTAAACAAAAGTTTAAATTAATGCCCATTCAAATCAATGATGTTTGTTATTAAACACAAAATTAAACTGAATAATGTGTTTGTTTGGTATTGTATTCTGAATTGGGATTTGAATAATAAAAAATTTGAATTTGAATAATTGTATGATGTTATATAAATAAGTGTTGATGCGATTATTGATTTTTACTATAATAAAAAATGAAAAATAGATATTTGATTTGATGTTTTCGAAAGAAAAAAAAATGAAATGAATAATGTATTTAAAATCCAATCTCCAAAACAAACACCCCCTATATACTTCCTCTTATTAAACACAAAATTAAATTGGATAAAATATATTAAATATACTTAAATTAACTTGGATATAAATATACTTCATTCCTCCTCTGGGCAAAGATGACTCATTTATATTTTAATAAATTTATAAATTTTAAATATATTTGATAATTATAAATTAATTTAATTAAATTTTTAATAATTATTCAAAATTTCTTTAAAATTTTTTTGGCTCTCTTCTCAATTAATAAATATATATAATTTTATTCATTATAAAATAATACTCCCACCGCCCATTTATATTTATTTTGGCGCAGTATTTAAAAAATAATAATATTTTAATTATAGTAAATAGTTAAAAGTAGTGTAATGATATTTTTGCCGTTACTTTTTTGTATAAAAGTAATGATATGATATAAAGTAAAAGTATTTATGAAAAAAAATAGAATATTTAACGAAATGTAAACTTTATAATTTGACCGGAAGAAGTATTTATATTATATATTTTTATTAAAATAAAATGTTAAAAATATTTAAATATATATTTTAATTTTTTTAATCATTAAATAAATAATTACTACTATCTAAATAACTCTCTTATAGGGTCTGTTTCTTTATATTGAGTTTGAGAAATTTTGATTTGAATTTGGTATTAAAATAATATTTAGTAAAATTTTTGTAAAAAAAAATACTATCTCCGGCTCACATACTATATCTATATTGTCATTTTTATCGGTCTACGTCACTTTTCTTTTGTCGACTGTAAGGACAATATTGTCGCGACGGTGCATCACCGCCAAGAAAGGCCGCCTAGTCGTTTGGCTATATTTGCGTGCCTTCAAATATCTGAAACCAATCTAAATATCTGAAGACAGTCTAAGGGTTTGTTCATATAGGGAAATTTTTTTTTTTTTTGAGATTTAAGAAAATTTGAAAGTTTAGAAAAATAGTAAAGCATTACTACTTAATTTTGATATTTCGTGAAAAAAAAAAAAAATATTTGATATAATATTTTTTTAAAAAATAAATAACATGTCCTGACGGTGCCTAGTCGTTTGGTCGAGGCTGGTGTCCAAGTGTCACCAAGAGAGATGTTGAGACACCAAGGTGACACAATATAGCGAGTTACGTAGAAAAAATAGAGCATTAGAGGAGTATTATTTTAAAAATAAAAATAATAAAATGATTTATTATAAATAAATGGAATAAACTTCCCTTATAAAATAATAATAATCCCGTAGTTCTAACAGAAATGAAAAGTACTATAATTAGACAAAGAAATCAAATCCAAAACTCAAGCTCAAAGTACAAAGATCATCCATATAGAAAATACCTAAAACCCTCACCAAAATTCTCTCTTAAATAAAGTGCACCAAATATATATGCACAATGCAATACTGCTATGAGCACACACTGTCCAAACAAGGAATCCTACATTGACAATAATTACCTTATGTACTATTATTATGTGCATATTATTTCTGAAACTGAAAGTAGTAGTTAGTATTTACCTTACCAATTCATTCATTGATTTCATTCGATGTTGTGCCACACAGGGTGTCTTCCCCTGGCTCTAAGCAGCCTTGTGTAGGCCGAATCCGGCATTCGCTCCTTCTCCTCCTCCTGCAGCTCTTCCCAAGTTTTAGGGAGTCCGTCGGGGACTGGACACTCCGGATTCACAGCTCTTGCTGCCGGTGTGCTGGCCGGGTTGACGGCCGCCTTGTCACCAGCCTTGGCGGCCTTGTGGATGGCTGCGACGCCGTGCACGAATCCGATCAGTGATTTCACTCCGCCGGCTTCTATCACTAATCTCTCCAGGTCCTCTTTTGGAACTTCTTTCTGAGTAGTGAGTTCAATTATCATATAAGAAGTTGTTCTACTCATCAATTATTATTATTATTATTATTTTTTATCGGGTTCTACTCTATCAATTATTGTTTCAAGGATGGATTGAGTAGTATAATTGATATCAAGCAGTTTATGAATTGAGGATGGAAGTACTGATCAGATTGTTCGTATAATTTGATGATGAAGTATGAAGTTACGTTACTTACTTCAAGCTCTTTGAGTTCAAAATAGGCTTTCCAACAGCTGTAGGAATCGTCTCCTTCCAGAGTCGAACAGTAATCTGAAAACGCAAACGAACAATCAGAAAACAGAAACAATAATCGAAGCACTCAAGAGAAAAGAACAATCGAGAAATCACAGATCACGATTATCAAAGACAAGTTCTATCTTACAAACTACTTATAGCACTTCTAGAATGGACGCCACAACAAATCAGAGAGTTAAAAACAGTAAGAAACACAAACTTGCCAGCGATTTGGCTTTCCGATTTCTGAATCAGAGGAGGTTCCTTGAAGGCTCTATCAATTTTGCTTCGGCTGAACGGCTCCAGCTTTGGGATGTATCCGTTGTTTCTCGATGCAGAAAAGCAGCGGAAGTTTGTTCTTCTTCTGGACCTTGATTCGACCAGAAAAGTAGTTGCAGCACAACTCAGAGGCAGAGATTCTACCATTTTTGTTGCAGGCTCGAGATCGATTTTCTTCCGACGACAATGGCAGCGTTTTGAAGAGAATGATGATTGCCCTGTATTTTACATATATATGTATTTACTTATTTATTGGGATAGAGAATTGGGGAATGTGCCAAATTTAGTGTTGGATAAGGATGAGATATTTTCTTTACTTACTCTTTTCTCGTTGAGATAGTTTTGAGATGATAGGGAATTGGATCGGAAGGCGGTTGTGACGAAAACAAGTGTGACAGACGAATCTTGACCGTTGATTTGCGGGTGAGATGATGGAAAATGAAGGAGACGGGGAACAGAATTGGGGAAATTTCGGAAGTCGTTTTCAGTCTTTTTGACTGTTCCGTTTTTCGGGCAATGGATAAATTCAACATTTAATTTCTTTATTTAAATAAAAATTATACCATTTTTAATGATGGGCTAAAAAAACAAAAATTAATTTTAAAAAAAAAAAAAACAAAAACCGTATGTTTAATAATTACATCAACCCTCTCGGGCAGTCGTCGTCACTGATCCATAAAATAAGAAGGACAGAAGATCATAAAATAGATCAGAGGAGGCCATTAAAAGAGGATGCAAGAGAATCGCGAAGATCAGAGTAGAGACCGAAGAGGGAATACTGCCTGAGATTGGCGACCTCGTACCATGTATTGAGAACGTCGTCGTTTTTGTCGGTGCCGGAGAAGGCCAACTGAATGCCGACGTCGCATCCGATGGTGCCTCCGTTGCTTTTGCATTTCGAATTCTGGACTGCGCAGTCGGTATTGTTCAGGCACACCACTGCGTCTCCTCCATTGCAGGAATTGCATCCAAATTTCTTCCAGAAGAGGTTCTCCAGTGTGCCTTTCTGGAACTCAAGAACCTGTTCCAAATTCAGATTCAGAAAAAAACAATACAGTAAAGGATGGATAGATAATGGAAGGTGTGTTTGTTTACCAGAGTGAAGCTGGTAACAGTGTGAGTGCCGTCCGCAACCAACACCGGTATCGATCGCGCCGCGTATTGCCGTCCGGCGAACGCCACCATATATCCTCCGAGCTTGCTCTGATGATCATGAGATCAGATCAGAAATAAATGTTTTCAAATCTATTTTGGCATTAGAAAGGCATCGATGTAGGATTAAGGGAAGTAGAGCTTACAGGATTGAAGGAGGTGCTATTAATGGTGATGAGCGTGATCTCATCGACCTTAGGCCTGAACAGAGCAAGAGCAGCACCTTTGGAAGAGAGAGCAAGCCGAGGATCGCACGGGGAAAGCTGAGTTTGGTTGAAAAAGAAGGAATCCTTGGCGGAGAAAGCAACGCCGATTGTAAATCCATCCGATTTCTGTACTTTTGAATCTTCGCAGGGGCTGAACACTGGATTTGTATCGTCTGCATAAGCCCCAAGCATCATCGTCGTGATGATCAAAAATCTTATTTGCCTCACCATAGTTGCCAGATTCATCACCTTCCTCCCTCTCCCTAACATTATTAAGAGAATACACTTCAGCTCAACAGCAGAGATCAGTGCTTTTGTCTATTAAAAAATCTGTAGAAATTATTCACAGTAGAACAACCAATCATTGCTTATACTCAATTGAAAACATGTCGAAGAAATCATTCACAGGATGAGGATGATGTGATTGCAATCGAAAACCAAACCCTAGCAGAAAGAAAACTTGACAGGACGCGAATTTGTTATCCATGCATAGAGTTAACGATCCTATTGATTTTTCCATCAGGTTATCAATCGGCAACCGAACAAAATGAAAAAGAAAAAAGAAAAAAGAAAACGAATCGCTCCAATCAAATTACCTGGAAGGAGGTCGCCTCCTTTTCGTCGCCTGTTCTGCTGAAACACCTGATTATTCTTCAGGAACCAAACAATTTCTTGCGATCTTCACAACAAATAGTACACCACAAACAAATAATCACACGGAAGTCGGAGGAAGAAGACAGAAGGATTTTCTCGAATCGATCGATTATATTTCTCCGTAGGTAACGTGACACGGTGATTTTCAATTTCTTGCTAGTTTATTTCAAATATCATATTTGGAATCTCGAAGAACACTGAAAATGACGGGAATGGTCAATGAAGGGAGCGAAACAGGTGGATCGTGTCCAAAAGACGGTTATGGAAGTTGGCGTCTGAATCAAGAAACGCGACTTCTCCTTTCACATGCGAAAAAGCGCTTTCGGGGAAACACGACTCTGGAGCGGGTTTATTTTGGCCCAACCCCATATTTTAATTCTCAACCTGAATCAATGGGCTTATTTTCGCAGTGATTATACCTTATTATTTTGAAGATAGATAAAATACAAATTTTATAGTATTATAGTTTTTTCTTATTTAATATAAAAATTATTTTAAATAAAAAATACAAAAAACCACAGTTTATATATTTAATAAAAAATTAATATATTTTTATAAAAAAATTCAAAGACAAAAAAAAAAAAAAAACCAATTTACTTATGGTTTTGCAGTTTTTTATTTATTTTTTATTATTCAATATCTAACTTAATAAAAGAAGAAAAAGGAAATGATATCCAACAATAATTATAATTCCCTCATCATTTTCCTAATATCTAAAAGAGATAATTTCATTAATTAAATAATAACGATGTTAATATATACAAAAACAATACGTTTCTTTACATAAATTTTTTTAAATTTTACTATTTATACTCAATATTTTTTTTTAAAAAAATATATATATATATTTTCCTTAAAAAAATATTTCATCAAACATTATTTTAATACGGAAAACAAATCAAATTTTTTCAAACTCAAATCAAAAGAAACGCACGATTACCATCATAGTATTTATTAAGACACTCCAATTAATTTTACGATAAATAGCAGCCACAGCCCTGGAAAGTTGCAAGAATCAGCTCTCTCTATCCAATCCCCTTGTCAGCCATCCATCTCCACTTCACCTTATCCACACAAAGCCCATTTTCTCCCCCACTTTATTCAATAATTCATCACCCATTTTTCAATCAAGGATCCAAATCCTCCTATCGAAAACAAACCAGGTATTCTTTCTTTTAATTAAAACAAGAAAAAACTCTTACATATACATACATACCATACTAATGTCCTCCACAGCTCTGTTCTGCAACTGCTTCCATTTTCTCCTCACTAATTGATCTCTTTTTATCTATCTATCTGCAGGTTGGAATTAACTGTCAGGAAAGCCAAATGGCAACTGCATCATCAGCAACCATGGCTGTGCCGGCGGTGGTCGCGGGCCCCGCCAGGCCGTCCGGGAGGAGAGCACGAGTCAATTACATTGCCGGCTTGAACTCATTCGATGGCCTCCGGGCACACTGCAATGTGGCCTCGTTGGGGCTCCCTGTCAGCGCCGACCAGTCCTTCGCCAAGATTGTCAGCTCGCTGAAGCAGCCGGGGCGGCGCGGCGGCGGAGGCGGCGCTCTTGGCTCGACTTGCAGCGCCGTGGATGAGATTTTCAGGATTGCTGCCATTCTGCCTGCTCTCGTGCTCATCGGCGTCGCCGTCGGATTCGTGCTGCTCAGGCTTGAGGCTACCCTGGAAGAAGAATAAAATGGCCTGTCAGGACAAAAAGGCTCTGCCTTGTTATCCAAGTGGTGAATTTTTTGCTCATGTTTATGTAGCATTTGCCAATGTTTATGCAACCATGTAAGAACCATTGTTTTTGAGTTCATAATGACAATGAAAGTTTAACACAAATCAGTAGAGGCATTTTAGATGAAAGGTAGCCATTCTTGAATGCATATAGAACAAAGCCAATATATATATATATATAATATGTATATGTACCTTAAGTTTCTTGTTCAGAGAAACATGGCAGCAAAAATTGCATCTTCATGATCCAGAACCACCATGGCTATCATCATGGAGGCTTTCTGCCAGCATAATGCTCTCAACTTCATGATTCTCCTACTCTTGAGCATTTATTTATGGTTATAAAGAACAGTTCTTCAGCTGTATGTAATTTAGATTGGGTTGATAAAGCACTTACTTTCAACCTTCAAGTTCTTCCATTCACCATCTTCCTGCGCTTTCTGAAGATCAAATATCAATTTGCGCTTGGCAGCAAGGAAATCTCATTATCCAGTCTGTTCAAAGATCCTAATTCATCACAGTGAAGCCTTGCAGGCGAAAACCTAATCCTAATCAAAACGAAACACCAGGTAAAGCACCACTCTTCTAATACGATCTGGTGTTTTTCAAGCCACCGCGATCGGCATTGGCTTTTCCAGTTCGACGCTTTTGTTGGATATATCCTGGAAATCTTCCATGTTTTAGACGATGGTGGTATACGGCGAGCAACTAGGGCACCGCGGAATTTCCTCGCCGATTCGAAGATCCTCCTTGGTTATTTATAAAAGATTGCCGCAAGGACCGGGATATGTGAAATTCTGCAGCTCCTCGTTCCACTCCATGTCCTCGATCTCCACCTTGCCGTATGACATCGTCCACGGCGGCGGGGGCGGTGGCGGTGGCGGTGGCCGGGCGTTGAATAGATGGCAGCCGGAATGAGTGCAGGCCTTCGGTTTGAATTTATATTATTAAAACATTTGGGGGTATTGCAGAATTTCTTAAAGTTTTGGGTTAATAATAAATACATGGGGAAAATTAATTCTCAGTATAATCGTAGTCCTTGTAAAGAGGAAAAGACTTCGAGCAATTACTGCCGATTAGTGACGCTCCGGCGATCCGGCGGCGACGAAGGAACTGGAAACTTCGGTATTAATGTTTGTGGAGTAGGCGAGATGCGGCGGAGATTCGATGCAGGGGCTCCACCACCAACAGCAGCAACTAGCGGCGCTCCTTACCACGGCACTACCGAAGGATGACTCATCGAAGACCGGGCCGACTTCGTCTACATCAGTAGCGGCGTCTTCGCCTCCTAAGGAAGAGGAATCTTCGCGCCTCGCCGCCATTGGCTCTCTTCATCGTGCCATACTGTATCCTCATAACTCGCTTCTCGTTACTCACTCTGCTCCCTTCCTCGCGCAAGGCTTCTCCCAGCTCCTAAGCGATAAGTAAGTCTTCAACCATGATGACATTCATGTTTCTGATGTGTGTGGCTGTTCGAAAGTGTCTGCGTCTATGCTTGTATGAAGTCATTCGTTGGTCGTACTTGTTATTTTTATGTTATTATGCTTGTGCTCGTTCTCTCCATCGCTTGTTTTTAGAAATACAGAATCAATGTTGATTAGATTTTTCCTAGTGTATATCGTGTTGCATAAATTTTACTTGTGATGATATACGATGTAGGGTGTATTCTGTGCGCCACGAAGCAGCCACAGCTTATGGTGCTCTGTGTTCTGTCTTATGTTCATTATCTATGGCCTCTAATGGAAGACAGAACAATGCTATGCTTGGCAGTACAATCGACAGATATATAGGATGGTCACTGCAATCTTTGAGTATTGGAGACGGGTCGTTGGAATTAGCACTTGAGAGTCTTAACGAGTTTCTTAATGTTGGGGAGATTGGAGCCATTGAGAGATATGCACTTCCAATTCTTAAAGCTTGCCAGGAACTTCTTGAGGACGATAGAACTTCACCAAGTTTGTTGCCCAGGCTTCTTGGTGTGCTAACATTAATCTCATTAAAGTTTTTCAGATGCTTCCAACCACATTTCATGGACATTGTTGATCTTCTTATTGGGTGGGCTTTGATACCCGACATTGCTGACTCTGATAAGCTTGTAATTATGGATAGTTTTCGACAATTTCAGAAACATTGGGTGAACAATATGCAGTTTTCTCTGGGATTGCTGTCCAAGTTTTTAGGTGACATGGATGCATTACTCCATGATGGAAGTCCTGGTTCCCCCCAACAGTTTAAAAGATTGCTTGCCCTTTTGTCTTGTTTTTGCACAGTTCTGCAATCGGTGGCCTCTGGTTTATTGGAAATAAATTTTCTTGAACAAATAAGTGAACCCCTTTCTCAAATGGTGCCTGCTTTACTTGGATGCTTGTCTATGGTTGGGAGAAAGTTTGGGTGGTCAAAATGGATTGAGGATTCTTGGAGATGCTTGACATTGTTGGCAGAAATATTAAGTGGAAGTTTTTCTACATTTTACCCTATCGCTGTAGATTTATTGAATCAAAGCTTAGTAACAAGCCCAACTGTGGGGACCCAAAAAATTACTTCATTCCAGATTCATGGTGTTCTTAAAACAAATCTGCAATTGTTGTCACTCCAAAAGTTTGGGCTCATGTCATCATCTGTTCAAAAGATATTGCAATTTGACGGACCCATATCTCAGTTGCGGTTACATCCCAATCATCTTGTAACTGGAAGCGCTGCAGCCACATATGTTTTCTTACTTCAACATGGGAAGAATGATGTTGTGGAAATAACTATGGATTCATTGTTTCAGGAGCTACAGTTATTAGGGTGCAAGCTTGAAAATAATTTATGCAAGCAGGGTGACCATGAAGTAATGGAAGTTTTTAATAATTATTCTAAAGATGAGCTGATCATGTTGATAAAGTTTGATCTGAAAGTGCTATTAAGCTGTGTGACTTTGGGAGGATGCGGCAATTCTACTGGGCAAGCAAAAGTGGATGTTTTATCTGTTAGTAGGACAGAAAAGTTGGTATCCTTTTTAGCTGACAAGTTAGATCCTTTTAATTCTCCTATCAAAGGCAGTATACAGTTGCAAGCTACTCTTCTTAGAACCATTGGAATGCTATCAGCCATAGAATTTTTTGGTAAATGCTCCGTAGAGATACAAAATGGTGGCCTGGTTTATCTTGAAGCATCGTCTGGAAAAGATGGAGAGGAAGCTGTGGGAGATCTATATTCTAAAGTGGTGTTTGGTCATCTGAGGAGGTACAATAGGCTCCTAATTAAAGCACTTGAAAGTTCTTCTCCTTTGGCTGTCAAAATGGAAGCCTTGAAATGGATGCATAAATTTTGTGAAGATGTCATTAACACACACAAAAAAATAAAGAATCCATTTTACCCTTGTCAACCAGTTGAATACTGGAAAATCATCCAAGATTTGCTCTACTCAACATTAATTGCCGCTTCAGACAGAGAACCCGAAGTCAGATCTCTAGTAGCCACTGTGATTGAGATGCTTCTGCAAGCCAAAATTATACATCCTATCCACTTCCCAGTTATTGCTGAGACGATCCTTGAACGAGTTGGTGATCCAGAAAAACACATAAAAAATGCATATCTTAATTTGCTTTGTTCTGTGCTACCTTTGACAACCTTTGTGTGTGGCCTTTGTGACTCTGGAGATATTAACACATGTAAGCCTCAGAGTTCTGCTTCTACCAATAAATCGTCCTTGCACTGGAAACAAGTTTTTGCCCTTAAGCAGCTTCCCCAGCAGTTCCATTCGCAGCAGCTTGTTTCTGTTTTGAGCTTTATTTCTCAGAGATGGAAAGTGCCCTTATCTTCTTGGATCCAGCGGCTGATTCACACCTGCCAGAGCAAGAAGTACCAACTGTTGACTCATCCGGAGGAAACTCAGATGTTTGGTGGCAACGGTTTATGGTGGGAAATCAAAGTAGAGCAAGATATTCTTGAAAGAGTTTGCACAGTTAATCTTCTAGCTGGCGCCTGGTGGTCTATACATGAAGCAGCTAGATTTTGCATTACTACTCGCCTTCGAACTAACCTTGGTGGGCCAACTCAAACTTTTGCTGCTTTGGAGCGGATGCTTCTTGACGTGTCTCATGTCTTACATCTAGAGACAGAACAAAGTGACGGATCTTTAAATATAACAGGATCTTATGCTCATTTACTGCCTATGAGATTATTGCTAGAATTTGTTGAGGCATTGAAGAAACAAGTATATAATGCATATGAAGGATCTGCGATCTTAGCTCATGCTTCCCGGACAAGCTCCTTATTTTTCAGATCAAACAAGAAAGTTTGTGAGGAGTGGTTTTCTCGAATAAGTGAGCCAATGATGGATGCTGGACTTGCGCTCCAGTGTCATTATGCTACTATTCATTACTGCACAATGCGATTGCAGGATCTCAGCAGCCTTCTGGCTTCAGCATTGGCAGAGAACTCAAGAATCCAGATAAGTGAAAATCTGCACAATATCAGAGGAAGATATGCTGGAGATATATTGAGAATCATGCAGAGCTTGGCACTTGCTTTGTGCAAGAACAATGAACCAGATGCATTGGTCGGGCTGCAGAAATGGGCGACCAAGGTATTCTCTCCCTTGTTTTCAGATGGAAGCCAGGGTCCAAGAGTTGACATAAGTGGGGGGGATTTTCCATGGATTGAGGGGCTTGTATATCAAGCAAGAGGCCAACATGAAAAAGCAGCAGCTTACTATATCCATTTGTTACAGACTGAAGAATCGCTTGCTTCCATGGGTTCTAATGGTGTGCAATTCTCCATTGCACGCATTATTGAGAATTACACATGCATTTCTGATTGGAAGTCTCTGGAATCCTGGTTATTAGAGCTGCAAACTATTCGCTCAAAGCATGCTGGCAGGAATTTTTCTGGAGCTCTGACCACTGCTGGAAATGAACTGAATTCAATTCAAGCTTTGGCTTGTTTTGATGAGGGGAATTTCCAGGCAGCATGGTCATACCTTGACTTGACTCCAAAAAGTAGCAATAAAATCACACTTGATCCCAAATTGGCTTTGCAAAGAAGTGAACAAATGCTTTTGCAGGCAATGCTTCTTCAAATGGAGGGGAAAGTAGATGAAGTTCCTCTTGAGTTGCAAAAAGCCAGATTGATGTTGGAGGAGCCATTTTCTGTTTTGCCACTTGATGGGCTGGTGGAGGCAGCTCCACATGTCAACCAGTTGTATTGCATTTCTGTGTTTGAAGAGGCTTGCAATCTTGAAGTCTCCAAGAGTGGGCCTTTCAATTCATTACTAAGTACATATATGCAAACCCTGCAATTCCCCTGTAATCAAGTTCATCAAGAGTGCAGTTTGTGGCTAAAGGTTTTGCGTGTTTATCAAAACACTCTTCCAAATTCACTTGTGACTCTACAGCTCTGTAAAAATTTAGTAACTTTAGCTCGGAAGCAGAGAAACCTAATGTTGGCTACCCGTCTCAACAATTACCTCAAAAAGCATGTCTCGCTCTGTTCAGATGAAAGCTTTTGTGATTATTTCACGTCCTCTATGAAATATGAGGACATTTTGCTTCTGCGAGTTGAAAACAGGCTTGAGGATGCATTTAAAGATCTTTGGTCGTTTGTGCATCCTTTAGTGACTTCTTCATCACATGAAGCATGTGCTCATGAGAATGTTTTGAAGGCCAAGGCGTGCTTGAAACTTTCAAATTGGTTGAAAGAAAATGGTTTGAGTAAAAACTTGGAGGGTGCTATTCTTGAGATGCAATCTGACTTAAACAAGATTGGGATTGCTTCCCAAGGCAAAGAGGCAGCCACCTCTGCTGATGCTAATCAATGCTCTAAAATAGGAATGCATCTTGTTATAGAGGAACTTGTTGGTACCGCTAGAAAGTTGTCCACACTTATTTGTCCAAGGATGGGAAAATCATGGATTCTGTATGCCTCCTGGTGTTATACTCAAGCTAGTGCGTCCGTCTCATCCAACTGTGAGACTGTTCTTTGTTCTTGTTCTTTTTCTCCCATCCTCAATAATGAAATCAAACCTGAGAGATTTGTGTTAACCGAGGGTGAGCAGTTGCATGTTAAACACATAGTCCTACAGCTTGTTCAAGAAAGATTGAATGCGGAGGAGTTGAATGAAGAAAGAGGAGATTGCAACAATTTGATTAATGAATTCACGCAGAGTGACAATGAAATGAATCTTTTATTGCAGAAAATAGTAGATGTTATTGAAACTGCGGCTGGAACACCAGGGGCAGAAGACTGCAGTAGCAATGCAATATCTTCTTGGCTATCTTCCGAATTGCAAAAATGTCTTAATTATGCTAATATGACACTAGATGAAACCAAATCAGCATCTGCAGTGGCTGATTTGATCGATGTATGGCGGTCTTTGAGGTGGAGACGCGTTTCTTTGTTTGGTCAGGCAGCTCAAGCGTTTATCAACTATCTTTCATTTTCATCTTTGAAAAGCTTTGATGGACAATTAACTGGTCGTGATGTTGATTTGAAATCCAAGTATGTGAGTTATACCCTGAAGGCCATGCTCTATGTGTTGCATATCCTGGTCAATTATGGAGTTGAATTGAAAGATACTCTTGAATCTGCTCTTTCAAAGGCCCCTTTGCTTCCCTGGCAGGTAAGAGAAGTTTTAGAGATCTTGCTGAAAGATTGATTAGACTGTGTTTTAACTTCTTGTTCTAACTTTGAAGGAAATAACACCTCAATTATTCGCCCGATTAAGTTCACATCCAGATGAAGTGGTCAGAAAACAGTTGGAGGCATTGCTCATCATGCTGGCAAAACTTTCCCCATGGTCTTTAGTTTACCCGACTCTTGTTGATGCAAATTCTCCTGAAAAGGAACCTTCCGAGGAGCTTCAGAATATTCTCTCTTTCTTGGTAGCTGATGCATGCTTCGCTTTCTGTTTTTACTTTTATAATTTTATTGCGTTTTGTATGTTAAAATGTAGCAAATTGTGTTGCTTTCTGGTGACATATCTCCTTGAAGGTGTTATTTTCTTATGTTTAAGTATTGGTATTCTTCTTCTTCTTCTTTCCCCCCCTTTATCTTTTTATAAGCTTTTATTTTCCTATGATTGCACCATAATCATTATCTTTGACATAATGGTTTGTTGCCTTTTATTTTCAGTTTATCTGCTAAAATCATTTAGAATGAGCGTCCAAGTAATTTATAGTTTTCAAAACAATTTTGTGTTCTTTTAGATGGGGTGACATTCTTTCTCTCAACCCCGCCCTTGTTTCTGTTTCTTGTAGAGATTCTATAGATTGTCACATATAAGTATTAACACATATTGGATTATATGTATTGTTTGGACAGCTATTGCATGATGTTGAATGCTGTACCCAATATATTTTTGAAATGCAGAATAAGCTCTATCCAGGATTAGTACAAGATGCTCAATTGATGATAAAAGAACTTGAAAATGTAACTGTTCTTTGGGAGGAATTATGGCTTGGCACACTCCAGGATCTTCATGCAGGTTTTTTTCTCCCCTTTATGATGATGTTTAATTATTGTTTTTGTGTTTCCTTGTGATTTATGAAATTACTTAACCTGCTGTTAGTTTCTGACATAATTTTATACGTCTATTACATCTCCATGCTCCAGTCATCTGTGATAACATTGTGTAAAATATTTACTAATGGCCTGAGAATTAAAAAGCCAGAAATTTTGGCGCTTTAGATAATTGATTAGATTTTCTGGATCAAAACTCATCATTTGTTGATTCAAATCTAGATTTAATTAATATCTAGCATAGTTACCTTACTGCAAGCTGCTTCAATCTATAGCTCAATCTGTCTCTTTCCAGCTATCTTTCTGGTAAATGATGAACATGCATTCTTCCCCATTTGCGACTGTGGAAGTTGTGATTAATCAATTCAGTAGCACTAATATGTTTTCCTGCAACCTATTAGATGTTATGAGGCGCATCAACTTGTTGAAGGAGGAGGCTGCACGAATTGAAGAGAATATAACTCTGACTCGTGCGGAGAAGAAGAAGATTAATGCTGCAAAGTACTCGGCCATGATGGCTCCCATTGTTGTAGTCTTGGAGCGTCGATTGACTTCTACTTCTCGGAGACCTGAAACACCTCACGAGTTGTGGTTTTTTGAGGAGTATCAAGAACAAATCAAATCAGCTGTTACAAAACTTAAAACTCCTCCTGTATCTGTTGCAGCATTGGGGGATGTTTGGCGACCATTTGAGGCCATAGCTTCCTCCTTGGCATCTTACCAGAGGAAGTCATCCATTTCTTTCAGGGAAGTTGCACCGCAGTTAGCTTCTTTGTTGAACTCAAATACTCCAATGCCTGGTCTTGAGAGAAAACTGATGATATCTGAGTCGGAGAGTAGCTCAAACAACTTTCACCCGGAAATAGTGACAATCGGTTCTTTCTCTGAACAATTAGCCATTTTACCAACTAAAACTAAGCCAAAAAAGCTTGTATTGGTGGGTTCAGATGGGCTGAAGTATACATATCTCTTGAAAGGACGAGAAGACCTCCGCCTTGATGCCAGAATCATGCAGCTATTGCAATCTGTAAATGGTTTTCTGCAGTCATCTTCGGCTACACGTGGGCAGTCACTTGCAATTCGTTATTACTCTGTGACTCCAATAAGTGGACGAGCTGGTCTCATTCAGTGGGTAGATAACATGATTAGCATTTATAGTGTCTTTAAATCATGGCAGCACAGAGCCCAATTACAACAGCTTTCTGCAACGGGTGCTGATACAAATAATGTAGTTCATCCGCCAGTCCCTCGGCCCAGTGACATGTTCTATGGAAAAATTATACCAGCGCTAAAGGAGAAAGGCATAAGAAGAGTAATATCAAGGAGAGACTGGCCTCATGATGTTAAAAGGAAGGTTCTTCTAGATCTCATGAGCGAGACTCCTAAGCAACTTCTTCATCAGGAGCTATGGTGTTCTAGTGAGGGATTCAAAGCATTTAGTTCAAAATTGAAAAGGTGATTTAGATTTATCTGAAGAACACTACATCATTTTGCAATACTTATACGGTTACATGGCTGCTCACAATTCTATTTTTTATCTTCAATATGCATGATGTGCAATGACCAATGTTGTCATCTTATTAGCAGTACCTTTAATATTAGTGTCTGCAATCATATATTCAGTTCTTGCTATTGAGTTTCTGCTGAATAGTATGTAGAAACTTATTCCTGTCAACAGATGAATTATAAATGAGTACTGGCCGCTGCACTAAGGAATAGAACATAGCATCTAAGAAGTTGTTGCTTTCTTTTTCTTTTATTATTATTATTAGTAGTAGTAGTAGTAGTGTTTTATTATTTTTCAAGTTGGACGGAGTGCATTGTTGGACCCCTCATCTTCTACATAGCAAGCTTTGAAGCATATAGCAGTTTCTGAATAATAACCTGTGATAACTTGTGACATAGATCTGAGAATAGGGATAAGTTAATGAATGCAAACAACTATTGGGGCTGATGAAAGTGAGATTGCCTATTGATATGTAGAACTTAGGTAAGTGTTAAGCTCGTGTAATGCTTTTGGTTCCTCATGAAAATGTTACTGGACTGCTATTGAGCATGTTACATAGACAATGTGGATATAATCCAACTTATAATCATATTATATAGGGGGGTGTGTGTGTGTGTGTGTGTATGTGTTTAACACTTTAGTCTCCTTGCAGGTTTTCTGGGAGTGTGGCAGTCATGAGTATTGTTGGGCACATTCTAGGCCTGGGTGATAGACACTTAGATAATATCCTTGTTGATTTTTGTACTGGGGATATTTTGCATATTGATTACAATGTGTGCTTTGACAAGGGGCAGCGACTGAAGATCCCTGAAATTGTTCCATTTCGTCTTACCCAGATGATGGAATCAGCATTAGGGCTAACTGGCACTGAGGGTTCCTTTAGAGCAAACTGTGAGGCTGTTTTAGGTGTTTTGAGGAAGAATAAGGATATAATACTGATGTTATTAGAGGTTTTTGTGTGGGACCCACTTGTGGAGTGGACACAGGCTAATTTTCATGATGATGCAGCTATTGTTGGTGAGGAAAGAAAGGGCATGGAGCTTGCAGTAAGCTTAAGTTTATTTGCTTCTCGTGTCCAAGAAATTCGTTTTCCCCTGCAGGTATTTCACAAAATAAGGCATAGTATGTTTATTGTAATACGATGATATTTTATTTTTATTTGATATTTCTCTTTGTGTTTCAATATACATAATGGTAATGCAATGCAAGGTTAAGACAGAATAAAAGGGTTTCTAGCCATTTATGCATTCATAGGTGTTGGATATGAAGCCTGATCTAAAATCGAAGGATACTTATTTGGATAATATTGACATTGGCCAAGTGTGGGTCTACGGTTTCTACTCTATAAATATACATATACAAATATTCTCACTTTCTAGGACGGGAGTTGTTTAGGAGTTTCTGAGAGTAGCACAATTCCATAGTGAATTTCCTTGCTTGACAGCCCCTCAGACGTATATCAGTTTGATCGAACAGGGTTACTAAATTTTGTATCCCTTACTATTCTCTATTCCTTCCACATTGTGTTATATTCCATAACCATAGGCAATTAGTCAAACAACAAAATGAATATTGTGTTTTTGTTGTGTTTTTGCTTTTTTGAGAAGTAGGAGCATATATTTATTGAATTTTCTGCACAAATCATTAGCATCATCTCTAATTTTTTGATAGTTCTGGTACAAAATTTTGAAGGTGTAGGAATGGCATTGCTTGGAACTGTTGATGTGTGTGTTTATCATCATATGTGAATTCAATCTTCAGTTATATTTTGGCTGAATGAAGTTTATATACTATTTATTGCATCCAAATGTGCACAAATCTTGCAACTGAGCAAGAATCTTGTTGCAATTTTAGCTGAGTTCCCCTCCAACATTTTGGAAAACCTTGTTTTGATGATACAATTATCTTATAGCTACTCAGGCATTAGTCTCTTGGGATCAACACAAAAGCTAATGTTTCATTTTTAAGATCATAATCAACAAGCAACTGACTGTTATTCAAAATCTGACCAGGAACATCATGATCTTTTGCTCTCTACCTTACCAGCAGTTGAATCAACCATGGAGGTTTGTTCCAACTTTTACCTTAGGTTCCTAACATTTGTTAAATAAAAATTTATTTCATCTGACTTTTCCATCTCATATGTAGAGGTTCACCAGTATTCTAAATCAGTATGAGACCACATCAAGTTATTTCTATCAGACAGATCAAGAACGATCTAACCTTGTACAACATGAAAAATCTGCAAAATCAGTTGTTGCAGAGGCTACTAGTAATTCTGAAAAAAGTCATGCCTTGTTTGAAATGCAAGCTCGAGAATTTTCCCAAGCACAGACAATAGTGGTGGAGAAAGGCCAAGAAGCAGCAGCATGGGTGGAGCGTCATGGAAGAATTCTTGATGCGTTAAGGAATAATTCAATTCGTGAAATCAAAGTCCGTGTTGAGCTGACTGGTTTGGGTGAAGCTTTATCCCTTACATCTGCAGTTATAGGGGCTGGGGTTCCTCTAACTGTAGTTCCTGAACCCACACAAATTCAGTGCCATGAAATTGATAAGGAAGTTTCTCAGTTAGTTTTTGAACTGGATCATGGGCTTTCTTCTGCAGTTTCCGCTCTCCAAGTGTATTCATTAGCTTTACAGCGGGTCCTGCCATTGAATTACCTTACAACAAGTCCAGTGCATAGATGGGCACAAATTTTGCTTTCTTTAAATACTATCACTCCTGATGTGATATCAGTTGCGCGGATACAGGGTGCTGAACTCATTACCAGTGGGCCCACTTACAAATCCGGCTCTGTTAAGGCCAATTATGATGATCTCTGCCTTAACGTGACAAAGTTTGGTGCAGATATTGAGAGGTTGGAAGAAGAGTATGGAGAACTTGTTATGTCCCTTGGCCAAGAAACTGAATCAAATGCCAAGGAACGGATTTTATCAGCTTTCACAAACCACATAAAGCGTGCAGATCTCAAAATGAAAGAGGGATCTGCTGTTTCTGAGCCAGAGAAGTATGAAGGAATGATGAACTCCACAACCAACTGGGAGCTTGTAGAGAAAAAAGAAAACTTTATACGCATTTTGGATACAGCGGTTAGCAATATGTTTCATGATGTTCATCACAAAATAAATCAAAGCCTGGAACATTTTGGAGAGGAAAGAAATACAAACAGTGGCTTGCAGGCTGATCTTGGATCTTTTCTTTGTGTATTTGAAGAACAAATAGAGAAATGTTCGCTTTTAATGGAGCTTCTTGATGAGCTCAGGCACCATGCTGGCCTAGATACATGTGACACTGAGGATGACATTAATCATTCTTATGCCTACCAGGGTAGATGGGCTTCTATCATTAGGAATAACATTCTGTTTTGCAAAAACCTTATTGGTACCATAACTGAAGTTATACCCAACCTTTTAAGATCTGTTATCTCTTTTAATTCTGATGTTATGGACCTTTTTGGATCCATCTCAGAAATTCGGGCATCTGTGGACACAGCAATCGATCAGCTTGTCCAGGTTGAACTGGAGAAATTTTCTTTGGTTGAACTTGAGTCCAACTACTTTGTGAAGGTAGGTCTTATCACTGAACAACAGTTGGCTCTTGAGGAAGCTTCTGTCAAGGGTAGAGATTGTCTTTCCTGGGAAGAGGCTGAGGAACTGGCCACTCAAGAAGAAGCATGCAGAGTGCAACTGGATGAACTCCACCAGACTTGGAACCAAAAGGACCTAAGAACAACATCACTTACAAAGAGAGAAGAAAACATTAATAGCACTTTGGTGGATTCTGAACTTCATTTACAATCTCTTCTTACTACTGAGCATGAAGAGGACCAACATATCTCAAGAAGAAAAGCGCTTCTGCTTGCCTTGTTCGGACCTTTCACTGAGTTGGAATCAGTCGATGAAGCATTGGTTTCAATGGTTGAGCCTCTTTCTTACAGCTCAAGCAGATTGCCTTCCCTTATAGAATCAATAAATTCAGGATGCTCAGTGTTTGAATACATATGGAAGTTTCCTGGTTTAATGCGCCGCCGTGCGTTTTTTATATGGAAGGTTCTTATGGTTGATCTTTTGCTTGATTCCTGCACACATGATGTGGCTACATCTTTTGATCAAAATATAGGATTTGATCAGCTTGTTGATGTTGTAAAGAGAAAGCTTAGACGTCAGTTTCAGGAGCACATTGGCAAATACTTGAAGGATAGAGTTGTTCCTTCTTTTTTGACAAGATTAGACAAAGAAATCAAGGTCTTGAGGCAAAGGACAAATCCAAGTAAGAATATTGCAGCCGATCAAGTTCAATCAGATTTCGAGTCAACTAAAAGAATGCAACTAATGCTTGAAGAGTACTGCAATGTGCATGAATCTTTCCGGGCAGTGAAATCACGAGTATCCATCATGAACAGGCAGATTAATGAACTTAAAGATGCTCTTCTGAAGACTAGCATGGAAATTTCTCAGGTGGAATGGATGCACAATGTTACCTCGAGACCGTTGGAAAATGTCTGGCAAGCTATTCAAAAATATCTTCCAAATGATGATAACTTGCTACGAATTATATTGAACACCAGTAGGCCAAAATTTCTGGAAAGTCTAAGAACTTCTGTGGGAAAAATAGCTAGGTCAGTGGAATGCCTGGAATCTTGTGAGGGGGCTTCTGTTACAGCAGAGGCGCAACTTGAAAGGGCTATGAGCTGGGCGTGTGGAGGCCCAAATGCTAGTTCTTCCGGAAATTTTCAAGCTAGAAATTCTGGAATACCTCCTGAATTTCATGATCATTTGATCAAGAGACAAAAAATGTTACAGGAAGCTCGAGAAAATGCAACAGATATTATGAAAATCTGCATCTCTATATTGGAGTTTGAGGCATCCAGAGATGGGGTTTTTAGGACTACAGGAGAAGTTTCAGCAATGAGAACTGGAATGGATGGTGGAATGTGGCAACAGTCTTATTTCAATGCAATTACAAAGCTGGATGTGGCTTATCATTCTTATTCTAGTGAGTTTGCAGTCTTTTCCACTTGTCATATTGAGTGCAGATATATTCATCTTTGCAAGCACTGCAGTGAGATAACATTTTCTTTGTTGCTTCAGGAGCCGAGAAAGAATGGGAGTTTGCACGAAGCAATGTGGAAGCAGCTTCCAGTGGCTTAGCTTCTGCTGCCAATGAACTTTCAATTGCTTCAGTAAAAGCGAATTCTGCATCAGGTGAACTCATAGGGGGAATTGATCTTCTTTTCTAACTATCTTTCTATAATAATCTTGGGATGCTGAACTCATAGGGGTCGTATACTTCTGTGGACTAAATATATGTCACTGTATGTGTTTGTCACTATGTCACCCCGATAGACTATAGGTCATTTATGTCACCTTGAACTAATACTGGTAAAGAATATGTGCAATTGATAGGATCTGGGGCACACCATGGCTAAGTTCAACTCTTATTCAAAACTCATCTTGTGCAGGTGAAATGCAAAGTACACTTATAGCTATGAAGGACTCTGCCTATGAGGCTAGTGTGGCACTATCAACATACGGGGGCATTGTTCGAGGCCATAGTGCGCTGACTTCTGAATGTGGGTCCATGCTTGAAGAGGTATTTACTTTTCATGTGTAAATACGTTGACATCAATTCCATGTTTGGTACCATTATACTTTGTCTTTTTTTTTTAGAGTGTTATTCTATTGTGTTAAAGCCACAAAATATAAGAATTGTACAGAGCCATAAACACAATAGATCTTGATTGAGAGTTGATACCATGATGTCTTGAATAGAAGACCTAAAAAAAAAAAGCTAAAATTTACAAAAATAATCGTAAGTGAGCTATGGTTGCTCCATATGATGAAATGACTGTCAGTGCTTATAGGGATTTAGGTCTTATGTTTCATGTCTTTGATATTTGGATATGTACTATGGATTCTTGTGTCTAATTATGGTACTATGGAATATATACTGCCATAACATCCATTATATGCAATTGTTACCACTTTATTCAAAACCAATGAGGACCAATATTTACTACATCTACCTTTGGATCTCTTTCGTGTTTATAATTATAAGTTAATATAAAGTAAAATATGAACTCCCTTGTCCTTTAGATGTAATCTTTCATTTTGATCATGGAATCTGTTTGGACTTTCTTATAAGTTTCAATGTGTAGGCCATACCGACATACTATTCGTATCTGCAGAAATTGTGACTCCGCTGACACTGACTTTGAGAGGCAGTTTGACAGTCGTATATATCCAATCATATTAGAGTTTTCCTTTAGGCTGAACTTATATGTGTTGGGTGTATGGTAATAATCCATATGATCTCACGATATGGTAGTTCACTCATACTCGTGAATGATTTGGAGTGTGCATTACCAGCTCTGCATAGTTGTACTAGATATTAGTCACTTTTCGTCCTGCCTTAATGAGCCCTCACTGTACAGGTTATGCTTGGTTGCAAAGTTTTATATTTGTTGCCCTTGAGGAACTTGGACAATTTTGAACCCCAACTCATTATACACGCACATACATGCAGAATACAAATACTTAAAAGACGGTAATCTTTTGGTTAATCCTCATTCTTTCTTGCAGGTATTGGCCATCACTGAAGATCTGCATGACATACACAATCTTGGAAAAGAGGCTTCTGCATTACACTCTTCACTAATGGAAGAGCTTTCGAAGGTTTTGCCTTTGTGAATTATAAAACTTTTTTATTTTTTTTTCTTTTTCTTGTATCGAAAAATAACTACGGGCCACATTTTACTAAACATGCCATGTGTCTTGAACAGGCTAATTCGATTCTTATTCCACTTGAGTCTCTACTATCAAAAGATGTAGCCGCTATGACTGAGGCTATGCCTCGGGAAAAAGAGACAAAATTGGAGATAGCCCCAATTCATGGGCAAGCCATATTTCAATCTTATCAAAATAGAGTCAAGGAGGCCTTACGGGTGTTCAAGCCCTTGGTGCCATCTCTTACTTATTCTGTCAAGGGGCTTTACACTGTGATGACAAGGCTTGCAAGAGCTGCAAGTCTTCATGCTGGCAATCTTCATAAAGTAAATTAATGGATATAATTGTTGCTTAGTACTTGATTTGGTATTTAATGTGCAATAATATTGGTGATTACGGGTTTTTCAGGCTCTTGAAGGACTTGGAGAAAGTCTTCAAGTAAGGTCACAGGACACTGATCCATCGAGAGGAGACCTTACAGGGCAAGTTGCTGAGTATGATGACACCCAGGAGAGCGAGATATTCATAAGATCTGATGGGGAAACTGATGAGGATTCTGTTGAACTAAATGACCCTCCTTTAGCAGATAATGAATGGATATCTCCACCTTTGAGCATCAGCAGTAGCAGCTCAGAGTCGAGTGCTACATCAGCAGAGGCAAGTATTGCCGATAGCTTGAACGATCACGATGTGACTTTACCAGTTCCAAGTAGTACAGGCAGCGAAGAAAAAGATGATTGTTTGGGCCCCCTTATCTCCCATGTGACTAATCCACTTGAATCACCACTCGGGGAAACTGATCCTGAAAATAATCAGGTTGAATACCTATGCTATCTAATCATGATATTAAGGATTCTATGGATTTTTAAATGGGGCATTTTATCTCACTACATCTCTTTCTTTCGTCAGGAGACCTATGATGTGCATTCGGTGCAGAAAGATGGAGAATCTGTGTTAACTGAAGACAAGACGGAGGATGAATTACAGAGAGGTGTCTTCACTAATGTAGAGTCAATTGGCCAACCTTTCGTGGGTAAGATGTCTTTCTTTCAAAGATGAATTCATTGAATTGGAATAATGTGTTGGAGCTTGTATATATGCACCACTCACACATCATAATTACCCCATCTTCATGTTACAAGCATACGCAATATCTTTTTGCTGTTTTTGAAGTTTTTTAAAAGGTAACTTTGGACTTGCAGGTAAAAATCCGTATGCAATGTCGGTCCTACGACGTGTGGAGATGAAACTCGATGGAAGAGATATATCTGATAAGAGGTATTTTTATATCCCTTCTGTTTCACCCTTGTAATGCTTATTGAAATCCGTATGGGCGAACTCCGATTTTGACATGTCATGGTTTTCATGGATCCGACAGTGAAATCAGCATTGTAGAGCAGGTTGATTTTCTGCTCAGGCAAGCCACAAATATAGACAACCTGTGTAACATGTATGAAGGTTGGACTCCTTGGATTTAATCCTGAGAACATTATTCCATGTTTTCTACACGGAGCACCCGGAGAAGCTTCTCCCTCCATAAAGGGAAGTTCTTTGTGAATCATCTCATCAGTTTCCGGGAAATGAGGTTTGCATATGGACAGATGAGTGTTCTGCGCGAAAGGCGCTTATGCAGAGCAGGTTATTTGGACCTAAATCCATGTGTGCCCCCATGAAACAAATTCAGCTTGTTATGTCCAAAAGATGTTTTGGGGGACGCTGCACAGATGTTATTACAGGCGTTGGCTCCAGCCTTTGCTCGCTGCGTTCTTTCTTGAACCAGAAGGCCAGAGGATTGAATTCTCGTGCATCTCATGTGCTTATCGGAAGTCTTATAGTGGGATTCATGTCCTTGCAGCTATCTGTTCATCTAACGAAAATCTTGCTTTGTTCTTAAAGATCTCTCAGGCTCGCTGCGATCACAAATTCACAGTCACAATCCCACCGGTCCTGTGCCTGACTGATGAAACAAAGAGCTCCAACTGATTGAAGCTGTATTATCCTGTAAGAAAAAATCACTTCGTTTTAGTTTAGTCAGTGTGTCGATAATAGTTCCGATATTCCTCACATATTTGCTATGGCGTTTTTACCTCCTTCAGTAGTCAATAATTAATAATGCGATAATATGTGCAAATTAGGGCCACTTCACTTCAATGAGAATTATTGAGACACAGCAAGATATTTGCTAGGCTACTTTTGTCTATAGACACGGATGGATGGATACAAAAAATATACTCCGTTGATTTGATATGATGTGTAGTGTAGTGTGATTGGATCAAAATATCTAATATGACACAAATATCTGTAGCGATACTCTCTCATTAATCCAATAGAGTAGTAGTAGTAGTAGTAGAAGATTATATATCTTAACAAAAATATCTCCTCTCTATTGCTTTTTCCCCTTGAAGCTAGCTAGTGCTTTCATACACTACCAGAGCATGATAATATCTCATTGGACGTTTGTTTTGTTCATTGATTTTTCTCCCTCAGCTCTCCTCTCCTCTCCTTTGTATTTATTTTTATTTTGAGAGTCCAATCGCACCACACCACACCACACCACAATCACATGGCCAATACAATACATAGGAAAGGAGCCTTTCAATTTGGTTTGAGGCGGTACCTTGCTTGTTTTGTTTTGTGGTTTGTTTGTCATCTACACTCAGACCAAATGACATTTTAAGCACCAATTCCTTTACCCTCAGAATATTCCATCACCCATGATTCAACCAAAACCATACAATACAATACAGAATATTGTAGATTTAACACATTTCTAATGCGAGGCAGTTCCAACTTATATTTTTTGGTCATTTAAATGTAATTATTCAGTGATTTACTCAATAGTTCGATAATTATTTTATAATATATGTATATAATTTAATATATTTCAACCATAGATTTAATATGCATCTATTAATATAGAAATATTAAATACACTATTTATTAAAAAAATTAAAATATAGTTTTACAAAATCTCATTTAATCTTAATCATCAGGCCGCATACTATTTGAAAACACAAATTTAAAATAAATTAAACAAGCAAGTTCAAGTGGTCCATTAATGGACGAATGTGATGTGATGTGAAGTGGGCTTGATGAAATATGCGGAATGAGTTTCCAGGAATATACTCAATACTCTGTACGTACGACTAATTTGATTTAATTTATATGTATATGTGATATATAAATAATATCCCCCTCACTCTGGTGAAAGAGCGGAGCAATAGTAGGGGGCTGAGGGTGGGACCACTCCCCATTCCCCTTGCCCTTCAAACCTCAGTTCCATTGCTCCAATCCAAGCAAAACGCGTCTCACTCCCAGTCCCAGGCCCACACAACCTACACCTTTACCTCTGTGTTGTGTGTATATATATATATATATATAGCAGAAGCCAAGCACTTGTTTCATTCATTCCTAACAAATTCCATTCCTTTCCATCAACAAAACAGCAACAGCAGAGGAGAAAGAAAATGGCAGCAGCAGCAGGAGATGCAAGCAGCATGGGAGAAGTGGGAAAAGCGATAAGAAGAAGGTGGGCAATTGCGAAACCACCATATCCGTATCCATTCTCCTTCAAAACCACCACTCCCCAACAGAATACTACTACACCAACAACAGTTAATGACGACTCTGAGGCACTCCTCCTCCTTTCATTGCTCATGGACCGCTTCGCCCCCTGCTAGCCTACCTACCCCTCTCTCTCTCTCTCCCTCTCTCTATAAACATGTATGTATGTATGTATCCATGTCATGTATGTATGTACCACTTGTATAAGAACCAATATGATATTCATTCCTACTTAGTCATCTCCTATTTCTCATATACCATTTTCATCAGTGGACTATATATATATATAGAGAAAGAGAGAGAAGAGAATCTAATTTAAGGCAACAATGGATGGGCATACCTGACCATGCATATTAGTCCTCATCTTATTTTGTTAGAGGCAGGCAGAGAGAGTTCAACCACTGCAAGTAGTGCTTCGGCTGGGATCCTCCATGCTCACGCTCTCCATCGTCGACGATGATTCATTCATACCATTCCTATTATTATTATTATCATTATCATACTGCTCCCCCTCATAATCCCCCCACTTCAGAACCTCTCTTCCATACCGAAGCGCCCCATCCACGCTCTCCCCCTCCAGCCCCGTCACCATCGCCACATACAGCTTCTGCCCCCTCAGCTTACCAAACAGCCTTTTGAACTTCACCGCCATGTAATGGAACGCGCGCTGAGACAGCGACGACATGCTCGAGTTATTCGAGCTCTGCGGATGCATGCTCATCACCGGATTGAAGTCCTCGAACCACTCACACTCTGTTAGAGGATTTTGCTGGAGCTTCTCCTCCAGAAGATCCGATTTATTCAGGATCAGGAGGAAATCTTTGTCCGCCAGACTCGGATGAGCCACCATGCTCTCGAAGTGTTTCATGGTTTCCATCATCTTGTTTCTGCCTTGGTAGTATTCGTCGTATATGGTCATGGAAACGCAGTAGATGACTAAGTCGACGTCTTCGAACATGTCCAGCCATTTGCTGTTTTCGCCGAGGCTGTTTGCAGGAACTCGGATCAGCTGATACCTGCATTTGCATTAACAACGTCCGAAACTGTAATCGACTAAACAATCACAACCGTATTTGTTCAGATTCTACAATTTTATGTTGCTAATATATAGCCCCTTATATTAATAATCAATACAATGCAAATTTTCAATTTCCATAATTTATTTTCACAAAGACCAAGTTGAATAGAGAACTGACCTGAGTGGACGATCATTCTGCTCCAAAGATTCCATGTATCCGTCCTCTGATGATTTTGGGAACGAAAACTCCATTGATGCAACTCCATTGGCGGAAGTTATGCCCTCGGCGTACAGGATATCCATTTCAGAGGGCTCGTATTCTACTCGCGAAATTTCAACAGCCTTTCGAAACATAGAAGGTTAGTTAGTTCGTCGATATTAAATAGTCTTGATGCAATCAATATCGGTTAGTTACCCGATCCAGGAAATAGTTGGCGACTCTAGGCAGCGTATTCAGTTCGTTTCTCCTTTTGTAAATAGCTTGAAAAGCTTTATCTTTCCACAGCTCCTCGACTAAAGGCGAATACTCTCGTGTGGCAGCCGGGAATATGGCCTCCAAGTTGCCTAACGTCATAACTTGAAGTAGCCAGCTTGCAAAGGCTTCGAGCCGCGGACTGAATGTGTAGACCTTATTATCAATCATATGGTCTGAATTCCCTGTCAACCAACAATCGACTTTCAGAATCTGAGATTTCTATAGTGAGATTATTTGTTTTTAGGAATAGGGTGATTCGGTACAACGGATAGGGAGATTAGAGTTCAATGATATATGTAAATGTACCTGATGTCGAAGGCCCGGGATCCACTATTCTTTTCCTCCTTATTTCTAATGGTTGATCTTCTTCTTCTAAATATCCTCGTGCCTCGAGTATAATGGCAATGTATCTGTACAGATTTCGTTGGATTATGGTTTTGATGCTTTGCTTCTCCTCATCTGAGAAAGGAACGCCATACAGAACCCTTGCCTGAATCCAACCGATAGTTAAAACAATCAAATCTCGACAATTAAAGCATGCATTGAATTGGAGGCCTAAGGCTACGACGAATGTAATTTAAATGAAAGTATTGGCAGTGATGCATACAGAAGTAGATATTTCGATGAAAATGGAAAATGGATTCAAACAAATATGATATACCTGCTTGTATATAGTGCTCGTTCCTGATTTATCGCAGCCTACTAGGAGAAATCTGTTCATCGCGCCCTGTTCGAGGTTCTTTTGATTCAAATTATTACAATCTTTATCGACACCTTCACCAGGATTCGGAATATCAGATGGAAATGGTAGGGATAGAGCAGCACATAAAATTCTGACCCTTTTCTGTTTTAGCAAGAATGGATCACCAAAATGAGATTTGATTCACAAATGATAATCCATAAAATGTTGATAACCAAATTTGATAGTTACCTTCCCCCACAATTTTCCAATCACATAATTCATGCCTTCAAGCTGACACGATCCATCGGCCGTGATCCAAAAGTGCGGGCTCCCTTCGCAATGGATGCCTGCAGCCTGAAACCATTCAAAAAACCAGATGATATTCTGCACTACACAACGCCATGAAAAAGGAAATTATAAGCTCAAGTAACCTGCAACATCCACAGCTCTGGTTTGGTTATTTCCCTGCTGTTTATCAGCACATTCGTGTTGCCGTTGCTAGCATCTCTCAGAATTTGATAACCCACAGACAATTGAGCTGTGATAATCTGGCTTGGCTTCTCTCCAACCTGCTCGATTCATCCGACGCCATTGTTTCCTCAAACAAGTATGAACAATCAAATCTAGAGATATTGAAATTGAGTGATTCTCACCTTCCCCCAAAATCCAGAAACTTTGTCGTACCAATAATTCCCAGGTCTAAGCTTCTTCGGAGGATTGGGGCAGCTCTGCAACATAACCAGCTCTTCCATGGACAGAGGTTTATCATTTACAGAGATGAGATGCGGCGGCAGCTGGTTGATTTCGCACGACGTCTCAGCCCTCATGATTTGCTTGATCAAATCGTTGGTGAGCATCCTCTTCAGCATTCTCGAACATCTCCCGAGCGATCCTCTGTTCGACTCGTCAATCGGATAACCAATACAGGTAATGCACTTTCTCCCTTCCGGCATAGACCCCATTGCTCTGAGCACACATTTTCTGCAATACTTTGCACTGCAAACAACGCATACTTCCCTCTCTGCGAATCTGTTCTTTTTGTTGCACTTATTGCACAAACCTTTCTTCATTTCACCTGCAGCCTCTGGTCTCCTCGCCGGCAATGCCTCAAGCTCGTCAGGATCACTTTCGCCGGATTCATTCGTGGGAAAATCGCGAAAAGTTACCACAGGCACTCTGTTATTAGGTTCGCCGGTAACTGAACTTGCACGGCTGCGCACTTCTTCATTTGAAGACTCAATGGACGCACGAGCCCTAGCGTCGTCGTCCAAGTCCTCGACCTCGGAGCTTCCGGAGACCTGATTGGAGTCATCATGACCGTCGGAAAACCCTAACGTACCTGAACTACTAGAACTTTGAGCGCCGACAAGTTTACTGGATTCACTACCAACCCTAACTGCTACGTCCAATGCGCCATCCCGATCAGAATAACCGTCAGATTTTCCGGAATTAAGCTTTCCAGAATTCCCAATTTCGCGTGGTTTAGTCAGCGGAAACCGACCGTCGGAGCCGGAAACTTCTCCTTTTTCCGGCGACTTTTTGTTCGATCGAGCGCTCTTTCTCTCAATCGGTTGAATAACCGGCAGAGACGACTTCCTCAACTGACCACCAAAGAGATTAGCCACCAACGCCGTCGGAATCCGTCGGTCGTCGATCGGAATCAATCGAGGAATATCGCCAGTCACCGGAGGACCGCTGTATTCGACAGCGAAGGAGTACTCGACACTATAATCGTCGTCGCGATCCTCGCCGGTCTTCGGCACGGAAACAGGCAGCAAATTTCTCCAAACGCTAGTCATCTCTAATCAAACGCAACGAAGTAATTAACTCCTCCTAAAACCTTACTCGAACACACACAGAAGCCAGCTGAAAAAGGACCTCTGAATGCAAAATTCACACACATACACAGATCAATCAAATAATAAATGAATTCAACTTTCAACCTTGGCAATTGATTGGAACTGAACTTGAAGATACCATTATTAACAAGGAAAATTGAAATACGACCTGATGAAGGAGAAGACCGGAAAATGGAATGAACGACCGAGTCGTGAATGATGAATTGAATATTCAAATCAATAATTATTGCTGTGCTGCGACTTGCGAGAGATCAACAACGCGGCTGGCGTGGAATTTGACTGATCCATTCCCATCTCTCTCTCTCTGGAAACAGATTAAGAACGAAAATTATACATGAATGAATGAATGAATTCAGATAAAAAATGAAGTCAGATCAAATCAAATAGTAAAATGAAGAGCATACAAGGAAAGGGACATAGCAAATCAAAGCAGCTTTCCTTGTTTCCTTCTGTCTGATGACTTTTCGGACAGAGACTGACTGACGAACGCTGCCTCCTCTCTTCTCTCTCTCATACCTTTTTTCGTCCTTTCTATGTTCAAGTTATTTTACTATATATATATATGACTGCATGTATGGCTGTCTTTCCTTGTGCGACTTTCACCTGAATTTTACTATTTTTTATTTTTTTTAAAAAAAATTATTATTGAAATAAATAATTATTTCAATTTTAAATTTTATTATTATCAATTTCAAAATTCAACTTTCAGACCTACGTAGCTACATCCAAAATACATACGACTTTGTAGGTGAATATGTTTTGGCTTTGGGTGTTTCATAATATTGTTTACTTTAATGTTTTGTATAAAAATTGAAAAGAAAAAATTTAAAAAGATTATTGAATTTAGTTGAGTAATAAATTAAGAAAAAATAATATTATATTGATTAATAAGTATGTGTTAGTTGAGTAAAGAATTAAGCGTGTGATAATATTTGAATAAATAGATGTAAGATAAGAGTAAGCAAAATTGATAATTAAATAGAGATTATGTAAACTATAAATAAGAAATAAGTTATTTAAATAAAAATAATTCTAAATAGTAAGTAAAACTATTTAGATGAGTTAGAAAGAAATTTATTGTATTTTTACTTAAAATAGAAAAGTTATGTAGTAAAGCAAAAATTTAAAAAATAAAAATAAAAAAATAGATATTTGATTTAATATTTTTTAAAAAAAATTTAGGAATAATAGAAATTTAAAATAAAATAATAATAAAAAAAAAACCATATATATTTCAAGATTGCGATGGTTGTGATCCGTCTTACTATACCCTTGTTCAGTTTGGGCCGTAGATATATATTCAGGCCCAAGACTATAATCCATAAAATTGTCTTCTCAGCCCAATTACTTGTACTAATATCCTTTTCATTTAATTTATTCATTACAATCTGGGACTACCGTACGACTGCCATAAAAAGTTTGTTGATTCTTGTGGAGTAACAAAACTTATAAATAAATAAACTGTTGAAACGTGACTTGGATTTAGCGGTCTACCCAACCCTAAACCAAAGCGAAAGGGCTGTTTCAATTGGCAGGGTTCCTTTTGGGCTTATCCTAATTAATAACAAATAGGCTTAAGGTTTAGGGTGTTTTGGGGTGCTTATAAATAGACAACTATGGTTCTTAGTCGGATGACACATTGTAAATCTCTGAATCAGTATAATAAAATCTCTCCGGTTCCTGCCCGTGGACGTAGGTTGACACACCGTCACCGAACCACGTAAAACCTCTGTGTTCTTTATTTGCTTTCTTTCTCGTTTTCTCATAACAAGTGGTATCAGAGCCATATCCCATTGATTGAAAATGTCCTCGTATAAATTTGATCTGGAGAAGTTTAATGGGTCGAATGACTTCACGCTCTGGAAGGTCAAGATGAGGAGATGAGGGCACTTCTGGTTCAACAAGGATGTGCGGCTGCGTTGGAGGGAGAAGACATGTTTCCTAAAGACACGAAGGAGGAGGTAAATAAGGAGATTTTGGCAAGGGCTCATTCCGCGATCTTGCTGTCAGTTACTGATGAGGTGTTACGGGAGGTTGTAGATCAGACAACGGCTTTTGGGTTATGGAATAAACTGTGTGAGAAGTACCAAAACAACTCCCTCACGAACAGGCTATATCAGAAGCAACGTCTTTACACCCTCCGGATGTCCGAAAGTACTCAGGTAAAGGATCATCTTGATACCTTTAACCGTATCATTCTTGATCTTCAAGGAGTTGAGGTTAAAGTAGATGATGAAGACCAAGCCCTAATTTTATTGTGTTCACTACCTGGTTCATATGAGAATTTTGTAGATACTATGCTATATGGTAGAACTACAATTTCTGTTAATGATGTGAAAGATGCCCTTATGTCCAAAGAATTGAAAAGAAAGGTTTCTCTGGAAGAGGGTTCTGGTTCAGGTCTGTTTGCAGGTAGGGGAAGACCACATGAGAGGGGTAACGGGAATGGGAGGTCGCGTTCAAAATCAAAATCCTCTAGCAAAGTTAAGTGTTATCTTTGCAAGGAGAAAGGGCACGTTAAAAGGGATTGTCCACAAAAGAAGAGAAATACAAAAGTTGATTCTAGTAACAGTGGCAGCAGTGCTGCTGTGGTACAAGACAGTTCTGATGATGGGGACTTTGGTGAAGTTCTGACAGCGTGTAGTGCTAGTACTGCTGATTCCTGGATTATGGATACCGGTGCTTCTCACCATATGACGTTCTCTCGTGATCTACTCACTTCTTTTAAGGAGTGGAATGGAACGGTGAAGTTAGGTGATGATGGGGTTCTAGCCATAAAAGGGAGCGGGGTAGTGCAGATAAAATTGCATGACGGTACTGTCAGGAAATTTGACTGTTGGTATGTTCCTGAACTCAGAAAGAATTTGATTTCTCTTGGGACCTTAGCCAAGAATGGTTTAAAATATCATGGTGAAGGTGAGTGGGTGAAAGTCCTGAAAGGTGCGCTGGTAATGATGAAGGGAAAACTGCAGCATGGAATTTATTTTCTACAGGGCAGTTCAGTGATGGGAACGGCGGCGGTATCTCAGTCCTTGGATAAACATGATGATAGGACAAATTTGTGGCACCGGCGATTAGGTCACATGAGTGAGTTAGGGTTGTCTGTGTTGAGCAAGCAGGGTTTATTTGGTGGAGATGTGATAGGTAAAATTCAATTCTGTGAGGCTTGTGTCAAAGGGAAGCAACGCAGGGTGAGGTTTAGTACCGGTCATCACACTTCAAAACAAATTCTGGAGTATGTTCATTCAGATCTATGGGGTCCCTCTCCGGTGAAATCGCAGGGCGGGTGTTCTTACTTTGTCACTTTCATAGATGATTATTCGAGAAAAGTCTGGTTGTACTTTCTGAAAACTAAAGATGAGGTGTTTGGGAAGTTCAAGGAGTGGAAGACCATGGTTGAAAAACGGACGGGTAAACAGGTCAAGACTCTAAGAACTGATAATGGGTTGGAGTTCTGCAACGCTCCATTTGATGATTTCTGCAAGAAAGAAGGTATAGTGAGGCACCGCACTGTACGACACACACCACAGCAAAATGGAGTTGCAGAGCGAATGAATCAAACCCTCATGGCGCGTGCTAGGTGTATGCGCATATTTGCTGGCTTGTCTAAGCAATTCTGGGCTGAAGCAGTAAACACTGCTAGCTATCTGGTTAATAGATCTCCATCAACTGCAATTGACTTAAAGACTCCTCAAGAGGTATGGTCCGGTAAACCCTCTGATTACTCTAATCTAAGAATATTTGGATGCCCTGCATACGCTCATGTGAATGATGGTAAGCTGGAGCCGAGGGCGGTAAAATGCATATTTCTAGGGTATGCAACAGGAGTAAAAGGTTATCGACTGTGGTGTACAGAAGGTAAAAATCCTGGTAAATTTCTTATTAGCAGAGATGTAACCTTTGATGAATCTGCTATGCTTGATCAGAGTAGAGGTTGTGAAAGTATTGCAGGTACAAAAGATTGTGGTGCTAACCAGAGGGTGGAGTTTGAGACTCATGACAGAGTTGTGTTAGAGGAAAAGCAGCAGGATAATACTATTGATCAATCCGATCAACCAGATCAGTCAAAACCTCAAGGGAAACTGGTTGAGGGGGAAGCTGATGACGCTGGTACTGGGGTTGAAGATTCCATAGCAGCAAGAAAGGGAAAGAGAAATATTCAGAAACCAGCTAGGTTTGCAGGATGTGTCAATACGTGTGACATGGATTCTGTTGCTTATGCACTAGCGGTTGGTGATGATCTTGGCTCTGATGAGCCAAAGACATATAAAGAAGCTGTGGCGAGTAAAGATGCAGAAACCTGGATTATGGCAATGAATGAAGAGATGCAGTCTCTTGAAAAGAACAAGACTTGGGATCTTGTTGCACTACCAAAAGGGGTGAAGCCAGTGGGATGCAAGTGGGTCTTTAAAAGAAAGGAGGGAATTCCTGGTGTTGAACCTGCTAGGTTCAAGGCGAGACTGGTGGCAAAAGGGTTTTCACAGAAGGAAGGAATCGATTACCATGAAGTCTTTTCTCCTGTGGTGAAACACAAAACCATTCGGGTTCTTTTGGCAATGGTGGGTGCTTTTGATCTGGAGCTGGAGCAGCTTGATGTAAAAACAGCATTCCTTCATGATAATCTAGAAGAACAGATTTACATGTCTCAACCGGAGGGGTTCTACAGTTCTAAAGGGGACCAGGTATGCTTGTTAAAGAAATCTCTGTATGGCTTGAAGCAGTCTCCGAGGCAATGGTACAAGAGATTTGACTCATTCATGGTGTCTAATGGTTATACTCGTAATCAGTTTGATAACTGTGTTTACTCGAAGAAAGTTTCTACTGATTCCTTTGTGTATCTGCTGTTGTATGTGGATGATATGTTAATTGCAGCTAAAAACATGGCTGTAATTAATGACTTGAAGGCTCTACTAAAGGGTGAGTTTGAGATGAAGGATTTGGGTGCGGCAAAGAAAATACTTGGTATGGAGATCTGGCGTGATAGAGAAGCAAGACGGTTATGGGTTTCTCAAGAAAAGTATATTGAGAAAGTTTTGCAGGCATTCTCTGTTGATCAGTCCAAACCGGTAAGTACCCCTTTGGCGGCACACTTTAAACTTGATCGAAGCACTATACCGGCTACAGATGAAGAGGTTGGTTACATGAAGACGGTTCCATATTCAAGTGCAGTTGGAAGTCTTATGTATGCGATGGTATGTACGAGACCGGATCTCGCTTATGCGGTTAGTGTGGTGAGCAGGTTTATGGCTAATCCGGGTAAAGCTCACTGGGGAGCTGTAAAGTGGATCTTGCGATATTTGAAAGGAGCGTCTGATATTTGTCTGGTATATGATGATAAAGGCCATGGTGATGGTCTTGTTGGCTATGCAGACTCTGATTACGGGGGTGACTTGGTGAAACGAAGATCACTAACTTGTTTTATCTTCACTTTGTTTGGATGTGCAGTCAGTTGGAAGTCTACTTTACAACCTACGGTTGCATTGTCGACGACTGAGGCGGAATACATGTCAATGACTGAAGGTATTAAGGAGGGTATCTGGTTACATGGTCTGGTGCAGAGTTTGGGTCTGAAGGTGGAGAAACCGGTGTTATTCTGTGATAGTCAAAGTGCTTTGAGTTTGGCTAAAAATCCAGTGTATCATGAGAGAACCAAACATATTGATGTAAGGTTGAATTTTATCCGTGATGTTCTGGAGGAAGACAAGTTTTCTATTCAGAAAATAGCTACAGAGCACAATCCAGCTGATATGTTGACAAAGGCGCTACCGACGGAGAAGTTTGAGCACTGCTTGAACTTGGTGAATATTCGTAGGAGGTAAAGCCCTCTCGGGGCATCTGGCAGGAAGGAGACGACTGAGAGATACTGACAAACCTTTGGCGGTTGGAGAAACTCCAAGTCAAGGTGGAGATTGTTGAAACGTGACTTGGATTTAGCGGTCTACCCAACCCTAAACCAAAGCGAAAGGGCTGTTTCAATTGGCAGGGTTCCTTTTGGGCTTATCCTAATTAATAACAAATAGGCTTAAGGTTTAGGGTGTTTTGGGGTGCTTATAAATAGACAACTATGGTTCTTAGTCGGATGACACATTGTAAATCTCTGAATCAGTATAATAAAATCTCTCCGGTTCCTGCCCGTGGACGTAGGTTGACACACCGTCACCGAACCACGTAAAACCTCTTTGTTCTTTATTTACTTTCTTTCTCGTTTTCTCATAACATAAACCAAACTATATTAAATGAAGAAAAAAATAAAAATAAAATGTATGAAATGAATTCATCTGTAAGTAAGCATTAAAGTTTTAGCCTAAGCTATATATACTTTGCTATGCTGAGATTTTATCCCCAACGTCTCTTTACAGCCGTCCGTTCAAATTAAGGTTGCTTGTCAACTAAATATTTTTTCCTAATTCAACCTTGGAAGCTTCCAATTAATCATTTTCCCATTGGCCGGTATGTCCACGCGCGGCAGAGGCGCGTGAATCGACGCGCCATCACATTCCAACTGACATACGTCGTCGTTTTCATCGTCATCCGTCCGCCGGAAACTTTTTCCGTCAATGCTCTGACACCCTCCACACCTTTACGCTCCCGTCCAAGCTTCCACTGTACGCAAGCCACCGCTTATCGTCGTCGTCCTCCTCCTCCACGGCGGCGACGTTCCTTTCCACCGCCAGGCATTTCACCGGGCCGGCGTGGCCTGTCAATACCGTCACGCAGGTGTGAGTGCCGCCGTCGTCCCTCCGCCAGACGCAGATGCTCTTGTCGGCGGAGCCGCTCAGGACCAATTTTCCGGCCGCCGCGAGGCACAGCACCGCCTGTTTATGCCCCCTCAGAACGCCGCCGTAAGACATGAAATGGCGCGCTCGTTCCCAGAAATTTACGAGGCCGTGGGAGGAGCCGGCGTAGACCGTCCGGGCAGCGTCGCTGACCGCCAGCGACGTGACGGCGAAATCCTGCCGGAGAATCGTCTCCACCAGCACGTGCCGCGTCGACCGCCCCACGAGCTCCCGCCGCCACGCCTTCACCGTGCCGTCAGCGGACCCCGTGAAGACCAGGCCGTCAATGGCGACGGCGACGGCGTTCACGGCGTCGTCGTGAGCCCGAATCGATTCGAGGCATTTCGAATCGGAGATCCGCCACACTTTGATCGATTTATCCCACGAACCGGAGTAGAGCAGACCTTGATCGGCGTCGACGCTCAGGCACGAAACGGCGTCGTAATGCTTCACCCACGGCACGCTCCGGTGCCGGCGAACCTCAACGTAGTTTCTCGGATTGAGCGATTTTACCAAAATATCCCTGGTCGTCGGCAGGCTCCCAATCCGTTTGTGGCTCTTCCCTGTAAATCTCCAAACCCTAATTCTCCCGTCCTGATGCCCTGTGAAGATCTTATTACCCAAAACAACAATGGCTTTCAGCAATCCGCTGCTCGATTTGAATCCAGAGAATTCTCGAAAGTTCTTCCAAACCCTAACATTTTTGCTATCCGATCCGGTGTAGAGCAAATCCCCCGACGCCGCCAGCGAATAAACGTGGCCTTCTTCTCGAACGAGCGACCCGATCAGGCCGTCGCCGGCGGAGGACAACGGCGGCGTCGCGGCAGGGAGATGAATCCACGGCGATTTGGTGTACGGCGACGATTGGCTCCAAGGCGACATAAAATTGTTGTACGGAGAAGAAGCGACGCTGTTCGGATTGGAGTAAAACGACGCCGGATTGAAGTATGGCGGCGTCGTCGACGGCGACGGCGAGACATCACTAATCCGGCGGGAGGAGCGGGAATGGCGGCCAGATTCGTCGTACTCGTTTTCCAAATTGGGGCTAAAGTCGGCGGCGAATAAAGCCCCCAACTTCCGGCGCCGGAGACTGCTGCTCTCGTCGGAAATCGGATCTCCGTTCGGATTATCCATCTCAGATTTCTAATGATTGAATTTCGTGAATGAGCTGTGTGTGAAATGAGAGAGAAGAAACGTATGAATTTTAGGGATCGGGGAAGAGGGCGGAACGCGGTATTTATAGGGCGGACACAATGGGCAAGCTGGTAGGTAAACTAATGTATGGTGTGGTGACACGTGGCGCGAGGATACGTGAGACACACGAAGGAGAAAGAAAAAGTGACATACCAGTGTGAAGTGGGATGGATTGATTATTCGAAAATTTTTATAATAATTTTTTTTTTTTTTTTCAAAAATAAAATAAACGAAGGAAAAATATTTTCCTGGACATGGAAACAGTATCAAAAAAATTTCATATAATATGAGAATTCGGATTAAATTAAAAAAGAGGGAATGGAATTAAGACGTGGAAGGTGGGAATTAAATTAATTAATTAATTAATTAATTAAAATCGGAATACTATTCTTATTCACAGTTGACCAAATCAGGCTGTGATGATTCATATTGGGAATTAGGGATAATGAGGAGTTGAAGCATTGACCATTGACTTAATCAAATTGGAATCACTATTATTATAATTAACTGAGTCGATTTAATTAATTACTGCCTCGGGACAGGAGGCACCCATAAAGGAATTAATTAATTAATTTTGGGTTAATTAATATTAATTCCCCATAAATTAATTAATAGCAGAATCTATTCCGTATTTCTGATAATATACATTATTGATGAAATCATTATAATAAGGAGCCTTTCTTTACACTTTTGTGACTATTATTATAAAATTAAACATAGACATAATTAATTTGATTCGATTCTAATTTTTAGAGTGGTTTGAACTAATAAAAATCAGTCTTCCTCTTTTATGCAGAATCTATTTTTGCTACTAACATGTTGGTTTTTTACTTAGAATTTTATTCAATTGAATTTTTTTCTAAAGGCATGCAAAATATACAGTCAAAATCAATATAATTAAAATTAAATGAATTTTGTAAATATATTACCAATCCTGTATTCCTGTTACGTGCACCAAATCCTTCAAATTTAACACACAATCAATGGAAATCTTTTAATTTTTAATTTTTTTTTTTGTTGTAAATTTCAAAATGTGTTTTAATGATATACAGTATGGAGGGCAATCAATGGGACAATTAATTGCAAGTGACATTTTTCAAAGTTAGGTTAAGTGTAACAAACACACGTAACAACTAAAAATAGAAATAACTAACAACCGTATATACGTGTGTGCATAATAAAATAAAATAATACTAATGTACGTATTGCGTACGTATACCGTGTCGACGGTCCGGATTCGATACACGTACCACGTGAGACGCGGTGGGCCGTACGATCACGCGCTTGAGCTCGTGCTTACATCGGCATGGCGCGGGCACTACTGATTGGGCCACGTCATTTTCTGGTGCACAGTTTCTAAAAATGTCAACGGATTGTAACCAACTTAGCAAATAAATATTTATTTATTTATTGATTTATTGCTATTGCATGGCCCCTTGATCCGAACTGACACTTGGATATTATTGGACTTTTATATTATTATTATTATTATTATTAACTCTTTTCATGAATTATTATTATTTGGGTTTTTTCTCACATTGGAATCCGGACTTTATATAAACTTGCATTTTCCAATAAGTTTGTTAAAAGAAAGAAAATGAAATATGATTAATTTGAATCAAAACAAAATAATTTGATCATGGGAACCCTTGTGAGTTGTCAATACAACAAAATTCAACTTGTAGTGTTTGTTTGAGAGTTTCTAAAAAATTATTTATTATTGTATTAATATATCACAAATCTACACTAATCTTTCACTTATTACACTAATAAGCCTATCCTATTACAATCTATAGAGAATGACACCAAAAATTCTTATCCAGCTAGCCACACAAGCGAGAGAATGAAGAAGACAAGTTGGAAAATAAAAAGTCAAAGAATGAGAGAAAATAATCTGGAATACTTATCGTAACACTAATTCAGATCAGACGGCAAAGATTATATCACAAGGTCGAATGGTTAGGGTTTTGTTTTGAAATTTTATTAAGAAATTTTTAATATTATCCTATATTGGAATATTGTGAAAACTCCCTATATATTATTTATAAAAATGAATGTTACTTCACTTTGGACAAATTGATTTTAAATTAAAATTAACAATAACAACAGTACATCGCAAGTTATGAGTTTATATATAAACAAACTTAAAACCACGATGATGAATAATAATTAATTTGACTTTGTAAGGTGCGTAAGGGAGGAAACGGACCACATACATACAGATTATTGGAATTTAGTATATTAATAAAAAATAAATAAACTTGCATGATTAATGGTCCCAATTGCCAAAAAATCGCCACAATTATATTATTCATTTTATACGGATTTGATCGTGACTGTTATGTGTCTAGAACTTCTGTCTATTTTGTCCCCCATCCCATCTTTTTTTTTTTAAATAAATAAACATATCATGTATACAATGCAGCTTATTATTCAATTCTTAATCGAACTCGATCAGTTCATTGTAACGATTAATGAATACAATTCAAATTTTCTTTAGGCAGTATGGGTAAAGAAAATATATAGTAGGGGCCATGGGGTAAAAATGAATAATATATACTACTTACTTGTTGGTATTTATATATTGATTATTATATTAAAATATAAGTATAAATTAAAGAAAAATAACAAAAATATTTTCGAAAAAAATTATATAAATATAAAAATACTTTTAATATTAAGTACAATGATACGAAATATAAATGAGAGTATTAAAATCGGACGATATGAATATAATTTTTACCTTGCCAGGTCGGATGACACTGATGTGTTGGAAACATTCATGCATCTTTGGTACAGTCCAGTAGGGTTCAAAGTTTAAGAAGAAGAAGCGTGTGAAAAATGGTAACAAAACAAACAAAACACGTGTTAAGTTAAATGGAATTACAATTAGCTAGTGGAGAAAATGAAATCAGCAGTAATTAACATGTACGCATTATTATGTATATGTGTCGATCTACAAATCACTTAACACTAGGCTGTCTAAATAGTCACATATTTTAAATTAAATTAAATCTCATGTATATGTAATTACTAATTATATATTCACAAGTCATTAGTTATTAAACGACGTGTTTTGAGTTAATCAAAGTACGATGATGTAAGTAAATCTCCATACAATCTCCTAAATAAATATAATAAAACGATGCTGGGATCTGTGCAACAGGATTATATTGAATTGTTATCCAACACTTACTTACTCAGGATTATTTATTCACCATAATTAATTTGTCAATTTATTAATTTCATATCAATATTTAAAATTTTCATACGGTCTACGTTAATTAATATGTTGAAATTTTGTTATTTATACTAAAAATCTGAACTACTCAACATGTGTCCTCCAATATTCGATTTTTTCTTACGTATTAGTGTTTTTTTTTTTTTTTTTTTTTTCAGTACACAAAATGATTTTTCAGTGTTCAGATATTTATGTGAAATACGTGGCGAGAAAGCATTGGGTGACGCACTCAGAAAGGGGAACAATTCAAAATACATTGCATAGTACAAAAATGATAAATAATAATTGTGGGTTAATGATTAGAGGGTGGAGTGGGGTGGGTGGGGTGGGGTGAGGTATACACAACAGCTACGCTGGCAATGCCGAGAGAGGGCATTTGTCATTTATCCTAAACGTTAATACAGCTTTATTTTTTTATTAAAAAACGTGCCACTGCAGCTATTGTCTATAGACGTATCCTAAGAAGAATCATTTTTATATTTCCTCGGTTTTGATTAAATTGTCTAAATTATTCTATACAAGACCATTTATGTAAAATATAATTAAAAATTATATTAATATAAGTTAAAATAATTTAATAAAAAATAAATTATATATAACAAACTTAAATAAATAACTATATGTATGACATAGGTAGTATATACTTGATAATAAACTACTCGTATGTATTGTCTTGTATATTATAGATAAGGTTGTCTTATGTTGGCTTAAAGTATTTATTTATTTTTTAAATAATAACAAAATATTAATATTTTATTAATCTACAATATAATTTTAATATTTTTATTTTTGGTAGTAAAAAGAAATTATAAAAATTACAGATTTTTTGGTATTTAAGTTAAAATTAATTTTATTATAATAAATAATTGATACTTTTCAATAGTATATAAGAATATGATAAAAATGATATATTAATTGCGACGAAATAAATATTTTCTAATAGTATAATTAATAAATAATTATAAAATTAAAATTAAGATAAATTAGTTTAGTTATTATAAATTAATAAATTTATAACATGATTAAATACTTATGTGACTTTCAGAAATTGTGAAAATAATTTTTTCTATGCAATAAAATACCCACTATTTATAACCATAGAATCTCTCTAATAATACATATATGTTAACGATATTTGATATACTCCTATAAAATATACTACTCTTATAATATTATTTGCTTTATTGTAATTTATAATTAATTTTAAATAGAATATTGATGTAATTTTTATTAATACATACTGATAGTCTGATACTGAAGCTGATGGTAACCCGCCTATTTCGGTTCGACGGCGGTTCAAAGAACCGGCGGTTCGCAGAGCCGATTAGGCAGGGCAAGTGCCGGAAGTCTACTATGATGTGGGCTACCGATGAAGGCTGAATCCGCAGCAGGATTATCCACTCAATCGATGGCCAGTTCAGATCTGAAGCATTTTGGGGAAACGATGGTGATAAGTCTGGTCAATGATGCTTCTGCGATTGCGAAGCTAGGTGAACATGGAGTTGCGACCTCGTTACTCAGATGGGTTGCTGCGCTTGCCGCAATGTCAGTCTTTTTAGTTTCTCATTAATTATTGTGTGTATCTCTGAATAAGTTACTGTTATCGTTTACCTTTTCTGCCTCGTTGTCGATTTTATCTTCGCTCGATTGAAGAACTAGGGTTTTCATTATTCGTCGTAACGTGAATTGGTTAGTTTATCTGGATTGGGTCTTTCAGTAAAGAACAAAGCATGTATTATTAGGTTAACGTTTTAATTAAACAATAAAGTCAATTAAGTTAGTTGAGTGTTCTTGACCCGTAGGTAATCATTTCTTTAGCTTCCCCTTATAAATTTATATAATATGTATGTGATGGGGATAGCTATGGATGATTGATCTATTGATAATTTGATATCATAAACTGTTCCTTAGATAAAAATCAAGTATATACATATCAAGTTTTTGAAGCTGAATCCTTCAAATTATTTACAGGTAATTGGTAAAGGTCATACTCTGTGTAGTAAGTGGCAATGATTTTGGCTCAAATTCGAACCATTCTTCTAATTCCCAATTTTGTAATGCCAAATTGCAATGGGTATGAACAATCTTCCTTTTGCATGATCTGCAGATATTTGTTGATCCTCGACAGGACAAATTGGAGAACCAACATATACACAACCCTTTTAATTCCTTACCTTTTCTTTACTCTCCCATCTTTACTATTCAACTATTTCAGGTAATCCTATAACTATCTTTCTTCTATCATTGGTGTCGAACAATGTTGAATTCACCGGATTGTTTACCTGCTTTTTTTATTGTTTGGATTTGTTGTTTACAGAGTAGAAAAAATAGTAATTGGATATGAAGTTTTGTATATAGTTTACTGTTGAATGATGTTTTTGGGTGGAACTGAGAATCTGTCTCACTTTTTTCTGTTGAATGGTGTTGAACGATGTCGAATTCATAAGTGAACAAAGGCCACATGTTCATGTATTTGTTAGCTTATATTTACCTGTCTATATTCTACAGGGGAGAAGTTGGCAAGTGGTTTGCTCTCATTGCTGTTGTGCTGCGCCTGTTCTTCCCCCGGCATTTTCCAGGTAACCTACTTACTTATCTTCAATCACCAAATATCATTTTTGAGTCCAGAACTTTTATGGAATAGAAAGGGACATATGGCCCTCACGTACATTGTATACACAGATTTTTGATGGAAATTGGAGTAGAACTGCTGTCATAAACAATCTTGTTTAGGAATTTCAATTTCTGCATTGAAGAATCCATTCTCCATTCATTGGTTAATAATGATCAAAAGAATGATAAATGAGGGAATGTGCAGATTGGTTGGAATTACCGGGATCATTGATCCTGCTGCTCGTGGTGGCTCCCGACTTGCTTGCTTACTCAATAAGGGGCAATGTAGTCGGCGTGCTGTTATGCCTGGTGATAGGATGTTATTTGCTGCACGAGCACGTTCAGGCGTCGGGCGGGCTGAGGAATTCCTTTACAAAGAAGAAGGGCATCTGGAACTCCATTGGAATACTGATGTTGTTCATCTATCCTGTATGGGCAGTAGTTGTTTACCTTGATCGACATTATTAGGCAGATCTTTCAGAATCCCATGGTGTTGTGCTTGTCAAGATGTTCTTTTTATGTATATGAGAGCCGGCTTGCTTTCTTCAAAGTAAAAAGTTCCATATTAGAGTTTATATGTCACCACAGCTCTAACTTTAAAGTAGATTTCCCATCTAATATTGTTAAAAAAATTTATAATTATAACTTCAAATATTGTAGTAGGTTTCATTTTTTTTGTTATGGGCAGCAAAGTCCTTAAAATTCTAATAATGTGCCTTGGGTGTTTTGAAATTGGACTGAGAAAGCCCATAACAAAATAATGTGTCACAAGTGGACTTTAGATTTTTTAGACATTGGGTTAAAGAAACCTTTGAGTCCAATATTATGCTCATATAATTTGGGCATTACATGAAAGCCCAAAAATTTATAAATAGTATTTAGATGGGCCAAATGGCCCATATTGATTTAGGAGTTTGGACTTTAAAAGCCCATTAATTTTAAATGAGGTAAATATTGGCCAAATTTTAGGCCCATTTTTGGGCCCATTAGAATCATTTTATGCTGCCGCCTTTTCTGTATAAGTAAATCTGGGAAGGGCGAGGAGGGGTTAGGGTTTTAGATCGATCTCTGCACCATTCATATCGGAAATTTCGGCAAAAATGTTTCCCGGAATGTTCATGCGGAAGCCGGACAAGGCGGAGGCGCTGAAGCAGCTGAAGAGTCACGTGTTGATGTTCGGAGTTTGGGTGGCGGTCGTCCGTGTTACACCGTATGTTCTCCACTACTTCTCCGATCATAACGAGGAGCTTAAGCTCGAACTCTGATTTCCGCTTTTCAGGTATGGAAAATAATTAATTATGTTCTTAACGTACACGAAAATGAATTTCTTCTTTCGGTGGAATGATTAATCCTGTGATGTTGAGATTAACAGTATCCCTTTGCTTTTGGGGGAAAGTGTTCGTTTGCCTCTTGTAATTGATGTTTCATCTTATTGGAGACCATTTCGAAATTTACAGTTAGGTTTTATTTTAATATAACTAGATAGAGCTCAATAGGTTTCTTGTAATTTCGCGTACTTTGAAATCCATCTTGTTGCATATATACTCAGTATTCTGTATGTTTGATTGCATTCGATTTGGTTGTGGAAAAGTCTTATAGTTTTCCCCTGCTAATATATGCTTATTTTTAATATTATTGTTGCAGCCATTATGTGCCCGTACCGTGTGCACTGAGATTGGTGCTGAGTCTCACAATGCAGTCAGTATTCACTTATGCCTCTGAGATGGTTCCATTAGTTTCATGTTTCTTTATCAGTCTCTTGAATTGAGAATGAATATATGACTTTCTTAAATTTTCATGATGATTTTTATTTCGGCGGGGTTGTTGAATATTATAGTTGCAATATGTTCTCAAATATGGGCTCTATTTCTTACCAACAATGAATTCAATTGCAATTTCAGAAATTGTATGAACACCTAGGTAGCTCAAATATGGAGTTTTGGCTCACTGGTTGGCATATACACACACATACACAAGATTTCTTTAGTTAAATTACAATCCAATTACAGATCCTATGTCAACTGAGATATCTTGTTTGGGTTGAGCATTAGTTAAAGTTTTTGTCACTGTAAATTATTGTTGAGGAAGTTATTTCTTGGGAATTTATGAGATCAAAAATATTTTAATATGGGTGATTGTGAATTTTACGGAAAATCCTGCCAAAATTTGCAACACTTTCTTGTAATTACAACAATGGTGATACATTCACTGCTACAATATACAAAGGCAAGTGTTCAAGAACATATAAATCTGATTTCATAGGGACACGATTAACAATAACATTGGTGCTTTCACTTAGAGTGATAAAAAGTTGCTCAAAGAGAAAGAAATCAATACACAAGAGTGGGAATCAGATTAGGTTCTTTTCATTGACTACTATACACATTGCATCTATCATAGTTTGTCTCTAACGACAGGTAAATATTTATATGCAAAAATCTCTCCACGCAACATTGTAGTACTATTTTCTCTCCATCCATGTTGTCCGGACAGACATTGTTAGTCACTTAATTTCTGTGTGAAACTCAAGATTCATCCGAGGCTGTGATATTTGTAAATGCATCTCTATCACCCGATGAGTTCATGCGAGAGTAGGAAACGGAAGGTGAAGTTGTGAGGGATCCAGTCGATCTTTTTCCAGAACTTTCCATTCTGGGAATGCTTTCTGAAAAACTCAGGCATGGAGTGTTCGACCATTTCTGATATGGCCGACAGAGATAAGCCTGCCCCCTTTATATAAAGCTCTATGTTCTTCGGTATGGCTAATCTCTGTTCTTTGTGTAGCTTCATATTCATCTGAATGTACTCTTCTTTCGCCATTTCGAGCTCCTGGAACACTTTCTTTGCCGTATATACTCGAACCTGTAATAGGGTTAATCAAAGCATTATGCGTATACCCCTGCTTATGACATGTAAGTTACTCAATTAGGTGCTTATGACATGTAAGTTACTCAATTAGGTGCTTATGACATGTAAGTTACTCAATTAGGCTAAAGATCTGTCGATGACTTACTGTTGGATCTGATTGACATCCCAAACACAGGGCGAAGTGTAGTCGAGGCTCCGGGTGCTTCATAGCATATACTTTCCGAGGATCTCCAGCTTTGAACTTTGTCTTAGGGGAAAACAGTGACTGAAGCCACTGTAAGAAAGTTTTTTTAGATCTAGGCAAAGATAAATATGCCGGCATATTCTAGAAAGTTCATTGAATGCACCTACCTGGGTTGGGCGAGGCAGTCGACACCCCAAAATGGAACTCTGTATTGTTTCAACGCTTACAGTGTGGCCTCCGATGTTGTATGCAGCCTTTAGGACTAGAGAGATCCTTTTTAAGCTTCCTCTGGGAACCCCATAAACCAAGAATGCCTGTACCATCGATCATTATTATTGCACTTGATTTTGGATCTTGTAGTAAGGAAGGATTAAGGACATGGGCAGGAAATGAAGACAAAAGTTCAGGGTAGAATTCTTACATGCATTGCTAGTGCATTGTGAACATTGATCCAGAATGCTAATTTCTCTTCATGCTTTAATTTAGCAGGATCAATTTGTCCCAGCCTAGAAATGAGACACCTGAAACACACAGACACAAGTACTAATCATGCACCTCAAACTAAGAGGCCAATAGTGAATTTATATGTATATATACTAAAATATATATGTATATAGCTTATTATTTATATTAATATTTTACAGGCATGCAGTACGAGAACTAAGAGCATATATATATATATATATTGTTATAGAGCATATAATATGTGTGAGATTTTTTCAAATAGTACCAATCAAAAATAAACAAAAGCTTATCGCCCAGAAAGTATCAATCAAGAATTTAGAAAATATGAGTTATATTTGAAACTTGTATTATATTAACTCTTGGTTGATACTTTTTGGATTTTTAATCGACTGATTCCGTAACTGCCTCAATATATATATATATATATATACCTGTAATTATGTAGGAGATGTTCAACTGCGTTTAGCCTTTGGGAGTCTTTGAGGAGGCCGTGTACCTCAACTGTTGTGAATATTGATCCCGGAAATTCATTGGAGCCGTCACCGCGGAAAGCATTGTTCGGAGAAAAGTTGGGCGGCGGCGAAGTGGTGAATGCTTCAGCGAGCTGAGGTGGGTCGGAGAGATGATAATATATGGTTGAGATGCATTTGATCATCTCCTCGGATATCCAATTCGGCGTCTCCCGGAAACCATAGTAGTCGTGCTCTTGCTCTGCCTCCGCCGGATTGGAATTCGAAGTAGACTGCAGGTAACAATATTATACATCACTTGATAAATTAGGCGTCGCCACCGTCATCGTCGATAATCTGTATGCAAACTATATATATGATGATTTGGATTGAAAGTGAAGTACCTCTAGCATGAACAAAGGCAGGGAATGGTAAGCATCAACAGCTTCAGTGACAGCTTCAGCTCTGAAAGAAGAAGCTGAATAGTGAGATAGTGAAGATTGGCTTCGGCCTATGCCGCCGTCGATCAGCGCGTCGGCTCCGAGAATGTCGCCGCCGCGTTTGTTGGGGAAAACGGCGTCGTTTGCTGAAAAGGTTGATGAATCTTGTTCATTCCCTGAATGTAAATTTGCTTCAGAAGGTGTCATCCAAATGTGCATTTCATCGTTGGTTTTGTGTCTTTCAGCTTGTGTGGATATTGTGGACAGCCTTTTCACAAAATTCCTTCGGTACATCGACAGAAGATACTTCTCAAGATGCAGAATTTCCATCTCCAGACGAGCAATTTCTTTGATGAGATCCTCGGCAGGCTGGAAATTAGCAAAGTGAAGAAAAATGTTAACACACTGTTGTCGAATTTTTGGATGCATACAAATCGAATCCAAGTAAATACTGCAATATTTAATTTGATATTCGTGAAATTATCTCTTGTTCGATTTGAAATAATTTTTAGATTATTGAATTCGGTTTGTGAAAATATCAGTTTTAAAATGTCATTATTTTATTTTATTTTTTTTTGTCTTATTAAATTCGGTTAAGAGATTTGTAACTAAAATTTTTCAAAATAATAGTAAGAGAACCTAATAATGAAAATGCATGCATCCAATATTAACACTACTTTTTCTTTAACAAAATTAAATATTATAATTGTAGTTTTAATTATATTATATATTAATTTATATAAAATTTTAAAAATAATATTATAAGTAAATTTAATTTGGAAAAATATATGTATACGTATACTATATTTTATATACATTTTATCATCGAAGAATATGTATATTGAATATTAAAATTTTATGTGTATTTATTTAATATTCTAATAGATTAAATATCCGTATTCGAAGTATAAAATTTCAAATAAGAATGCTAAAAAAATTTAGAATTGAAGTTAAGGAAAACCTGGGAGAGTGATTTATAGGTGGGATCGTGGAAAAGAGGCTGGCAATTCATTGCTTTTTCAAGAGCAGACCTTACTACGGTTTGGCTGTCCAGTTCTTTCTGAAGCAGTGCAATCTGCAAGAATTGGGAAGACATGGAATCTGTAATAAAACATCACTTTTTCTTTTTCTTTTTGGTATGAATTCATTTCCATGTAAAAAGCATTTCATTCTTGCTGCAATTCCAATCCCAGGTTTCGATTTCATCACATGTTGAATAAAAACTAATCGTAAAGGTATGGTTAAGGTTTTCACCTCCTCTTTCAACAAATTCTGAACCACTGTTGGGGATAGTTGTCGCTTCTTGTGTTCCAAGTTCTTCAAGTGCCCCATGATATAAATATGTATATGTATCAATTGGTTGAATCCCTGCTGCTTATGAATCCAACAGGTAAAGAAGAATTCGTGTGATGATGATTATGGGGCTTTACTTGGCTCACAACTCATCTGCACAATAATCATTACAACATGATTGATAAATAATCGAATAAAGCTCAAATAGCAGAAAGATGAAAGCTTAGAGCAACGGATGCATTGCCCCTTAAGAAATTGAAGAACTGGGAAACAGAAAATAATAATAATAAAGAACAGAGGGGAAAAGGATATAATAAGGAAAACCTAGATGCATTAAGTAGATGACATTAAATGGACATTCCTAGTGTTAAAGTTGCAAGTATCAATTCAGACCACTTGTGAGATACACACAGAAATATCATTAAATGCAGCAAAACAGATATTCCAACAGAAAGTGACAATTGCATAAACAGAGACAAAGCATGATGTGAGAAGGCTCCAAGGATTATTAATTTGGTGCAAACAAATTTGCTTTTTCTGCAATATATCTCATGGACTGAGTATTAAGAGAGAGACTACTCACATCACATCTACTCTCTCACATAAACAGAGATTCTTGGAAAACTGAAGAAGAAAACTATCACTGATGGGGAAGACCAAATGGATTCCAATGTAGTTCAAAACCCACATGGGAAATAACTATATATATATATCTGTAAGGTGTTAAATTAAATATTGGCAAAACTCACATGAAAAAAGAATAATACTGAGATATAACAATAGATCTATATATATATTTAATATGTCTGTATATCATCATCTCGAGAGAAGTAAAGGTTGTTTGTATATTCATTCCACGTGCCCCATCAACAACCAAAGATGAGATAAAATAGTAAAAAGCATGAACCTTTAATATATATATTAGAAATTACTTACTGAAATGTTTCTATTCAACTAAAGGGGCAAAATATATGTGTATTTGAGTAGGATTGCATCATGCTTATCTACGCAGAAGAAGATGAGACTGAAAATCCAAAGACTATTTTTGTTTTGACCTGTCACTTTTTTCTCAGAAAGCCTTACCACTTTGCATTGGCTTTATGCAATGGTGAGGCTCTTTTTTATATTCTACATAAAAAGAAGCAAATTAGTTGGGGGGTGGGGGGGTGGACTTTGAATCTACAGCAAAGTCCAAAGAAAAATATGACTCTACATTTAATGGTGCATATTGAATCTCTTTTATTACAATTAGGAGGACTCAAAGCTGAAAGAAATTTTGGCTAAATACAAAATAAGTGACACATGTTAATCATTAAAGAAAATAATGGAGTACCAATACTTAAGGTAAAGAGAATGTGTATGCGTGTGTAAAAACAGCTTTATGAAACATGGAATATCATATCTATCACTTCACATAATGGCAAAAAATCTCAACTCCATTTAGCCCAGCTCACCTTAGCATATCATGAGGTTAAAGAATGAAACCAGTCAGGCGATGCATGGTAACAAAAGCAAACAAGTTTTGATGCATGATTTGGCTTTAGGCTTTAGGTCACCTAAAAAGGGCTGAAAGACAAAGGTCAAAACAAAAAGAAGAAAGGTAATGCCTCATATGAGATGACTCATATATACATATACATATATATATATATTACTATATTAGTGTGCCTTTTGCATGGCCTAATTCTTTTCTTATCTATATGTAATGAAAGTCGCACGGGCAAAAAAGATGATAAAAAGATGATAGACAATTGTGATACACAGCTCACCTAAAGTTGGATGAAAAAGAAATGCAACCTTTTTTTATGGGATATGGTGCCATTTTCTTCTTCAGAAAATAAAGTATAGTATTCCAACTAGATGTTCACCACTTCTGACTTTCTGGGCTTGTCAAATTTTTTGGAAATATTCAGATGATTTTTCTAAATAACACTGATTGAAGGATGTTTCAAAAAGCCTGCAGATTTGACCAAAAATCTCTAACTATAATACTCTTCACTAAGACAAGGGAAACGACAGAAACACAGGTAGAAAACTAGTATTAAACTACAAATAAAACAAACTTGACTCTGAAAGAAAATAATTTTCCCTCAAATTTAGTAATCATTGTTGACTTAAAGGTCTAGAAGTTTGTTAAACTCCAAATGCATCTCCAAGAAATCAATGAAAATTTTGTCATTTCTGATTTTTTAAATGTGCATGAGTATTCATACTGGACATATATTTCGGAATTTAAATTAGAAACAGTCTTCTAGTAAGTCAATATATGTTTTCCAAAGAATCCCACAAACATGCCAGTAGACCAATTAAATACATAGGTTGTTGCATCCAATAGTTTCCAATAAATGGCCAAGATTATACCAACTCCCAAGTCATTGAAATCTGTGGCCTAACACCTATTCTATTAAAACACAACATGTCTACATTTAATGCTTACTATTTAGTGATAAAGAGTCATCTCTAACTGACAGACACAGCCCAATGAAATGGCCATGAATCAAAAAGAAAAAAAAATACAATAAACTTTTGGCCTTGGTTCAATTCATCTGTTTAGGTTATGTATGCACAAAAATGCAAGGTGATCAGGATCAATAAAGAACCTCTCAAGAAAAAATGCTAGTATGAAATAGAAGTTTTCAAATCTACATACTTTGAAGTAAGCACTTTATTAATAATACACTTTTACAATCATCTATAAATGGTCTTAATACAAATCCTGAAGTTCTCATAGAAAAATGAGACATGCAGAATCTTGATACGCCTAGATTACTGAACAGTGTTGCAGACCATGCTTTTTTATCTCACTAACTTCAAGAGTTTTGGAGGGATTAAAATAACCCAGAAAAAAACACAAAAGCGAACTTTCCAAAGGTATCCCAAGTTTAAAAGTCAAAGGGAGAATCTCTAAAAACCTACAAACCTGTGGTATGCAGCCCTCTATAGGATAAGATGCACATTTACTTTCTCAGCTGCTTCTACTGCCTGAAGGATTTTGCACAGCATTGCTGCCCATAGTTCAATTACTATTAAAAAGGATACATATATATATATATATATATATTAGAGGAAGGATCAAGCAAAAATTAGTTCAATCTGACAGTAGCAAAATGCAAGCAGTATTCCTCTATATATCTTGTCAATAATAGTCAGGCGAAATTGCAGAAAGTTAGGTCAGGGACAAGTGGTTCCACAGATTTGCATGTGCTCTATGCTCACATGGTCAATAACTAGCTAATGGCATGACTTCCCTTTATTTCCATGGGAGTCAATCCTTGCTTATAACAAGGTACCCCATCATCTTGAATCCCTGCATAATTATATGACACCTGGTCACATCAACAGAAAATCTTCATCTTCATCTTCATCTTCAACATATATGTCTATTTAAAATGAAAGCAGTATCACAGCAATAGTTTTTTACCTTCCCATGGAAGGGCACACTGAGCCCAAGAGAGCCCAATTATGAATGAAGGCCCGCCCAGATTGCTTCCACAGTTGGTTTGATGCTAGATGGCTCTGATCATACATAATAATTTATACAAGGAATGCCATTGTGCTCAGCATATGAAAACGAGTAAAGAATGTAGCAATAGTCAATTCAATTCAGTTTAAGTTATTACACTGAAGATAAAGACAGGGAAAACTCAACTGCCCTTCTCACTTACCTGCCTGATTACATGTTTCGCAGCAGCCAGCCGGCATCGTCCATGGCGCACCTTCCTCTTTGCCGGCCCTGTTCGTAATTTTAAATAAAAGCACCATCTTGCTGATGGTGAATTACATACATAAAACATAGTCGTTCCATTCTTACATCAAACTAAGCAACCCCAAGACAGGAAGATACAAGAGTTACATTATTCAACACAGGCTTGTACACATGAATATTTCATTCCGAATGTGTTTGTGTGACAGTGTGTTCAGATATATGAGAACAATTAAATAATTAAAATAATAAATATTATTTTCAGCATTTCAATGGAGGTTCTACACAATTATTCTCATTCACGTCCGAGTCTAACAAAAATTAAAAGGCTATATACATATTCCAGGAATATAATATATATATATATATCTTTTTCTCCATCGAATGTCCTGAATCATCATCTTCATCCTCCGCTAACTTCAGAACTGTCTTCAGGAGTCCGCAGGCAAGTTGAGATCAAATACATTGTTGTGTACAGAACTACTGCCTTGTCTAGGACGTTTCCGTGACAATAATAGACTTTCATTTGAATTTGCCGATGAAGATGCTTCACCTGTATCTGTCACTTCTGCAAGAAGAACAAGAATGCATTGCGTTAATCAAACTATTTGCGAACCATGAATCAGTTTATGACATTTCGCAACGTAGCTCTAAAAAAAATCACATAAATCTACAAGGGAACATGATAAATGACATGTTCAAGAAATTGGACTTTGCGCCTCAGACATAAATTACGGATTTGTAGAAATTCAAACGGAACTTACAAGACTAGAACAAGGATTAGATTGGGCTTCAGAGAGCACATGGATAATAACCCTCTGCAAGACAAACTTTTCAAATGCAAAACTGTCGTGCATTACGGATTGAATAAACTAAATAGGCAAATAATTATGCTAATAAAGATCTACAAGGATTTCTTCTCTTGTACATCATACATACTCGCCAACATTGAAAAAATAAACACTTGAGCAACAATAATATGCAACTTAATCGAAAGACTGAATTCTTGATATCGTAAAAACCAATCCTTGTTTAGTGTGAAAACACACAATCATGAAATCTGGTATAGAGAACTGATTGTTACAGCTTATGCCTTTTTGGAAATAAATAATTGATACATGTGGAAAATTTCTAAGTTGATCTTACACAGAAAATGGTAAAAATCCTTTCATTCGAGCAAAATAGTAACATTTTCTTTTAAGGAAACTGGGGTGGACGACATATGTAATATATCTTTCATTGTTTACCTCATTCATAAATAGTTCAATCTTTTCTGCTTAAAAGTCAATTGTGTTCACATTCAGTTGAAATAGTGATTATTACAAAAAAATTAATCTGAAATCAAAGCTACTTCAATAGATAATTTCAAGTTCCTTTACCATTGGGTACATCAGCAACCTTCTGACAATTGCCATTGGCCTGTATGTTCCTTCCAACAATCAGCTCTTCTGCCTTCTCAATGCCTTTAGACTGGTAAGGAGCAATAATGTGAATTGAATATTGAAGCGAGCCCAACAAGTCATTTTCAATACATTCATACCTGGAAAAATTAAAAGTATCATAAACTTTCTAATTCACCAAAAATAAGCAATTAAGCCTTCTAGAAGAAATGAACTCACATTTTCTTGCACAGGTTGTCGGTGATCACAGTAAGATTAATCACTTGCATCCTTATATGCATGATTCGTTCCTCAGAATACTCATCAAATGGCTCCTCAAGAAATTTCGATAGCTGCTCAACATTTGACTCAAGCTGCTGCTGCTGGTCTTCAAATAAATGCTGCTTTATTTCACTTTGCTCTTGGGTCATTTCATTCTTGAAGATCTCATCACCAAACATGTAGAATGCAAAAGGATATGAGTATGAAAGAGCCCGTCTTGATCTGAAGAGCCTGTAAAGACCACTTGTAACCCAGCTAAAATCTCTTAATTGTGACTCCTTTTTTTCCAAATTTGATACCTTATCCTTTATTGTTTCCCTAAGCCTGTTCTCCTGCTTAAAGGAGTCTGTATGAGCTTTATAGCGACTATGATAGTGCATGTATCTATAAAGATCTCGCTTTGCACGCTCTGCTTTCTGTTCACTGTCTTCTTTATAACGACCACAGCTATGATTAGTAATATGGGACCAAGTATGGTCTCGGCCTGTAGCTCCACCGCAAAGCCAACTAAAGCAGGAGTAAAATAGGGACAATAGATGAGAAGGTGCAATATGAAATTTCAAAACTAGAAATACAATATGCACAATTATGCTTGCCGCATCAACAATTATACATAACTAAGTTCATTGCAAAGTGACCGCCGAAAATTCAGAGAAACAGTGATTTCTTATAACGAGTAGTGTTAGATGACATTTGCAGCATGCCATTTATAACCAGCCATTTTGTTGACTATTTCATTTAAGTTACACAATATAACCAGTAAGCTAGGATTTCAAACAACACAGATGTGATAGAAAACAAGAAAAGATTTAGTACCAAAATAAAAATCAATATCTAAACAAGGAAAAAATAATTTCTAATCTAAACGGAATAAAATCCGTATAAAACAAGTCAAAAGCATCTAGGCATTAATTTGTAAGTTGAACCACAGATCATTCATCTGGGCATTAATTTGTAAAAACATCATTAACGGTAAAATCAATGCACCCAGTTTCCTATATGAGAACCTCAGTTCATTCATCTAGGCATTAGTTTGTAAAAGCATCATTGACGGTAAAATCAATGCACCTAGTTTCCTATATGAGAACCTCAACTCATTCATCTAGGCATTAGTTTGTAAAAGCATCATTGACGTAAAATCAACGCACCCAATTTCCTAAATGAGAAAGAAAGTGCTAACAAAGAGTTCTTACCAAAATGCTTGGCCACATATGCAGCTCACTAGGTTGCAACCACCATTCTTCTCAACAGGTTTGTGGCACTTCGGACAAGGCTTTGTATGTACAGTAATCCAGTTGACAGTCTCAGATTCATCACGACATTTCTTTGTCCACAGCTCCCACATCATGCATGAACAGGGTGAATGGGCTTCTGATGAACAACTGAAACAGAACTGAAAACCACAAGAACATTCTACCTCACAAAATTCATCATTTTCTACCCGGATTGCATTCCCACAATGTGGTGCACTGGGACACCATTTCACCATTTTGTTGTCTTCAATGTACGACTCCAGAAGAAATCGATCAAATTTCTCTGCTAAATTAGGATGCCTCACACTAACAAGCTTTCTGACAATAGCTTCATCACAGATGGCATTGCATTTATGTGCCATACATGTGATCCTTTTGCTTTGTCCCTCGTTTATTTTGACAATGAAATGCTCTGTCCAACCTGAAATTTATTCCATACTTGATCACCAAATCAAAAAAAAAAAAAAACATGTACACAATTGGCTGAGTAATACACAAACAGAAGCACAATTCTGATTCACTTTCCAAAAGATTCACATAAAGCAAATAAACCATTATGTACTGGTGCACTTCCTAGCAATCCTTATCTAAAAAAAGAAAGGAAGAAAACAGAATAGAACTTGAAACCTGACTATTCATGTAATTTTTCCTGCTCCACCAAGATATACACATGATTTACAGTGAAGGAAGGATTCTTACAGTCGTTGCAAAAGCAATGGCCGCAGTCCATTTTGGTCACATCCTTTGCAGGTATATCATCCATACAGATATTGCACATCACCATAGAGGAGGATTCTAGTGGGTCAAGGTCAATATGTTCAACAGTAACACCTGCTTGGGAAAACATAAAAGATCTTCCCCTCTCCACACAAACTGATATTAGTTTCTCAACATCCCATCGATAATGAATGAGAAGAGTTCTTGCATGATGCTCTCTTACTGATAGCAACTCCATTACCCTCCGTAAATCTTCCCTCTGCACAGGTCACAAAATCCCAACCTTTAAAAAACATTGGAATGTGAAATAGATTGTAAAAGAAAGAACACAGCAATCTTATATTTTGTAAATATTTTTTTCTGAAATTCCCCCATATACAGATCTTGGTGAAACATATACAGAAATTATCAGTTCAAATAAAGATAACAAGAAACTTCTTTGGTGCAAATTTCAAGAAGGCAAGCTACGCACAACTGACCGATTGTATGGAAAGAAAACCTTATATTCCTACTCTCATCTTACCTGTGCAGCCAACAGGGACTCTCTTGTGATGACCTGGAAAAGAACATGACCAAGCAAAAACAAATCATTAGACCAAAACAGCAAGAAGCAAGTATAAACTTCTTTGTACTTATAGTTTTCAAGGAAACAAAAATAAAATACATAGTTACAAAAATACAAGAAAGCATTTGATGTTATTATCAAACGATGATAAATAATGATATAAAACATCGATGAACAAATATCATGACACAAAAACAAATTTCACACTTCTTAACAACCTCCAAACCATTGGAATGATATGATTGAACTAAATATCAACCACATTGCATGGTCGGCCCACAATCCGCATTATCAACTTAATGCAGCAGAGCGATCAAAGAATTTTGAAGGGGGAGATTCAGTAATTTTAACAACAAAAATCAAGAAAGCGTCTAAAACATTCTTCAATTCATCTAAATAAAGATTAAAGAGTATATCAGAAAAATTAACTCAATCCTCCATTAGCAATCTAAAGGACCGCCGCCTCGGCACATCAATTGGCAAAAAAACAAAAAAACTTTTTTTTTTCAAAAACTATTATAAAAACCACATGCATTCTTAACCACTCACGTAAAACAGTACGGAAACGGACATACCTTGGACGACGGGGGTTTTGCCTGGGCCCACTGGATGTCGGACTCTTCATTCTCGAGATTGTCGAGCGATTCTCCTTCTCGATCGGATGAATAGCAATCATCCTCCTCCTCACTGCCACCGCTCATGTAGTAATCATCCTCCATAATCGTGCCCCTTTTTGATCACCGACCTCTATACAGATAACTGCGTATACGTAGAGAAATTAATGAAAAAAAAAAAAAAATCAAAAGGGTCTCCGATTCGGGACACTACAATCCGACTGGGGGAAAATTGATGGGGAATTGTGCCGAGAATCAGGGTGCAGGTGCAGAGGGATTTGAGAGAATTATGTTATAGATAGAGAGGGGATTGCGAAAGATTGGGGAAGTATGCCGCACAAGGGTTTCAAGAAGGGGAGAGATAGATATAGCAGCGGCATACTGGGCTGGGTTCTAAAGACTTAAGAGTGGCCTTTACGACGTCGTTTTCATAAGTGTGCTAAGGAAGGTTTTGATTTTGCGCGATACGGCAGCGTTGAAGGGGTGACGTCACTGAAATTATGACCCGTTGATGTCAATCACGCAAATTTATAAAACATAGAACATGCTTTTTTTAATAAATAAATAATATTTGATTTTGTACAGTAATTACATATATGCTTACAAGATATAATATAATTTATATATAAAATTAATTTTAAATATTATATATATATTGAATTCGAATTTTTATGATTTTTAGATGGCGGGTGTGTTTGATCATTAGTTGATAGCTAGTTGATTCGATTAGTTGTTAGTTCTCAGCTGATTTAATTATCTGGTTGACTAGCTAATTCAATTTGTTGTTTGTATTAAAGTGTTTGGTAAAATAATGGTTTCATATTAGATATTTATACGTAAAATGACAATTAAAAATATTTAATATTTTATTTTTAAAATATTTAATTGAGTTTTTTCGATGGGTAGAGCTTTTTATAATTTTATTATTAATTTTAAAAATTAAAAAAAAAAATTAGTAAGATATTATTATTTTTTAAAATATTTTTTAAACAATTAATGCAAGTTTATTGAAAAATATATATTTTTGCATTAGAAATAGTATAAATATAAAAGAGCAAAAATTATTAATATATGTATTTTCATTAGATTAATTTTTAATTAATATATATTTATATTAAATTTATAATTTTAAATAAATATATTTATTTTTAATAAAAAAATATTATGTGATAAAACATGCTATATAATTGATTCAACAATATTAATATTTTTATATTATCTTTATTTTAAAAAATTAAAAATATATATATAAATAAAATAATTGACATATAAAAAAATTATTATTTAAAATTTGTAAATATGAATTTATAAGTTATTAGAAGAAAATATATCTATATAATTAATAAAATAGTGTAATAAAAAAATATATGAATATATGTGAAAGAATTAATTAATTTTAAGGACAAATAAAAAAAATTAAAATAAAAAAGCTAATCTCATGGTATATACAAATATTTTAAAATTAGATTTTTGAATTCAATAAACTAGCTAATTTATCAAACACTAAAATTAACAGTAAAGACTTATTGGTCAAAGAGTTAAAAGTTCTTCACTAAGCTAAAATAATATTTATAATAACTAATCTTTATCTATCGAATCCAAATATATGGGGATGTATTAGATTTGTATTTAAAATACAAATCAACAATATTTTTGTTTGTTTGATTTTAATTTAAAATTTGATTTGAATTTGAATTTAAATAATATTTTAATATAATATTTTATATAAAAAAATGAATATAATTTTATTAGAAACTGTATTAAATAAATATCGCTGAATATACAAATTAGATTATCTTTAGGGTTTAAATCCAATTTTACAAGTCCATATATTATTAGCATTTAAAGTGATTATAAAAAATTTTTGTGCTTTTTATCAATTTCATATCTATATTTTTTATATCGTGAAAACTTGTCACCGTTATTTTTCGGGTTTGAACCCAATTTTACAAGCTCATATATTATTAGCATTTAATTTAATTTTTTCTTGTGTTTTTTTATCAACTCCATATCTATTTGAAATTTTCAATAATATGGTTTTCGAATCTGTTCTTTTAATTATATTTTATTAATTTTTAATTATATAGTTTTAAAATTCTCAATGAAAGATATTATTGTTTTTTTATAAAATATTTTAATTTTTTTTTAAAACTATAATTTTAATTAAAATTCAAATTTAAAAATTTATATTTTAACTAGATTCTTAAATTGAAATCAATATTATTTTAAATTAAAGTAGAATATATAAAAAGAATTTTAAAAAATATATATTATAAGAAAATTTATTTAAAAATCTATAAAAAAAATAAAATAGTAGAATATAGAAAGAATAGTGAAAATTTAGCTGATTATTATTTTCATAAGATATAAATAATAAAATTATAATTGGATGAATAAGTATTTGTACGGAAATTTAGAATTTTAAATTAGATTAGTTGTATAATGTGATATTTTAAAGGTAAAAATAATTTTTAATATAACATAAAAAATAAAAAATAAGTATTTGATTTGATATTTTTAGAAAAAAAAATTGGATGAATAGTAAATTTGGGAGAAAATCCCTAATGAACTATTTTATTTCAATGCCCATATATATATATAATTGTATTTGTTTAGGATTTTCCAAAAGATTTTCATTAACTTTTTTATCTTGAACATATCAAAGCAAAATTTTATTTTTTATATTATAATAAAAGCTAATACTATTACATTTAAATATCAAATTAATAATTATTAATCACTCAAATGCAATTTTGGTAAGATTCAAAACTTAAAACTAAAATTCAAACTGATATTAAGGATGCCCGATTTCCAACTTACTGGTTAGAGTGACCCTTAGCCCTATAAGTGAAAGAGTTTTCAAATTTTCGACATATTCAATAACTAATATTAATTAAAAATTTTAATTAATTTTAATTATATATATATATATATAATGTTGATACAAAAGTGCATGAACGTGTATATATATATATATATATATATATGCTAAGTCGATCATACTAACACAACACAGCACATACCAAGTGAAGTGAGTCAGGAAAGGGGCGGATTATTAACTTGATTCATTAGGTCTCCTCCAACATAGAGATATACATAAAGATATAGATATAGATTTCATCGATACAACCACAACATGCGATATAATTAAAGCTTGAACACATACCCGACTATATATCGATCAATCTACGCCAACTGCAATGCCTCCTCGCGTTTTATGTCAAACAACTTCATCAGCGTGTCTTCAACGACCTACGACCGGACACACTATTGTTACGGTTCACCGTACAAATGATGCTCGGAAAATCTTAAGCTCTATTTGTATTTTCAACTAGATTTCCGAAAAGTCATTTAAAAAACATAGCAAACATCTATGCATACTTTTCATTCAATGATTTTTTTACTATTTTCTAAATAACAACAAAACATAACTGAACAAAAGCCTTACCTTGTCGGGAGTGGACGCGCCAGACGTTACGCCAACTGTGACCGGACCCTTGGGTAGCCAATTCTCTTTCTCCGCCAATTCGCCGTGCTGCATTGAAAACATCGTAGGAAGGACAAATTAATCGGGATAATGTTGGCAGGTGTTGTGGGAGAGAGAATTTTCGAGGAAGAATGATGCTTACCATCAACTTGTAACTGATTTTGTTTCCGGGGCCTATTCTTTTCTCGCAGTCGATCCAATATGATGGAATCCCACGATCCTCGGCAATTTCCTGCAGGTGGGAAGTGTTGCTTGAGTTCCACCCGCCAACGACTAGGATCAGATCAACCTGTTCTTCGACTAGTTTGTACATTGCGTCTTGTCGTTCCTGCGTGAATCAAGGCAGCAGCAGAATGACGTCGATGAAACAAATTGTTTAGAGAATATTGGATTAGAGCGAAAGGGGACTGATTGTACTTGAGTTGCGTCACAAATAGTGTTGAAACTTATGAAATGGGTGTTGACATTTTCGACTCCGTACTTCTTCATCATGGTTTTCTCCGCTAACTTTCCTGCAACAAGATCCAAAGTGTTTGATGATACAAGTGATGTAATGCTAGAGAATATATGATGAGAAATATGAAGACAGCTGCTCACCGATATCCTCGGTTTCACCCTTTAACATGGTGGTTTGATTGGCAATGCCAACCTTTACAAGATCTTGGTCAGGATCAAAACCGTCAGACACTGCAAATTTAAATTTCTGCAAGGAAACATGACAGGTTAAATTCGGGAATTGATACTAAATTTGCGGAGAATAAAAAAGAGTGACATTCTGGCCTTACCTCCATAAATGCCTCCTTAGTTGAGCTGGAGCCATCGAGCGCACCACCCAAAATGTAATCGCATACATAGGTTGCCTGCACAATTCCATCTCTTTTGTTAAGATAATCCAATTAAACGGGAAATTTGATGTTAGAGGAAATTGAAGCACACCTCTTTCATGTTCTTGACAATAATATACTTTCCCGCAAAAGAAGCAGTAGCCACAGTCTCTTCGTGAGAATATTTACCATGAATTATAGAAGTGTACTCTCCCTTCTTGTGCTTCTCCACCGTATTCCAAACCTTTATAACAAAATTGTGTATTTAATATTAACATACACACAGAATAGTTAAACTGATTCGAAAAACTATCATGGGAAAAAAAAAAAAAGTACCTTGGAAACCCAAGGACAGGTTGTATCTACTATTTGAACATTCTTTTCGCTCAAAAGCAACATTTCGTCAACAGAAGCTCCAAATGCAGGCAGGATCACAACATCTCCCTTGTCAACAACACTGAAGTTTTTCTTACCATGATCAGTTGGGATATTTTGCACATCCATCTCTTCGAGCCTCTGGTGGTGGAAAGTTAAAGCATATAATCAGAGATTGATTTTAAAAATGAATCTTGCTTCATTGGTCATCGTATGTAATGCAATGCAATTCAATGCAAGTATAATGTCAGTCTTCAGAAAATATAATGAAAAAAACGCTCAATTAGTCCAAGAAAGAGACAGTTTAGATTTCCCACCAAGAAGACAATAGATATACAAACGAATCAAAGGACATTTGATCAGAAACGTCATTCAAAAGCAAAATGGAAATAAGGTGCATCTGCAATATCAGATTAAAATTTTATGAATGTCAAGAAAGATGTGTTGCTTTATATATTTTTAATATCTAATTCCTATAATCGGCATGTTTGCGGATGAAGTTCTTTCTTCATGAATCCTTGCAAGTAAAACACTTCCACACAAATGGGTAGCCGTGTAGATTCAGATACAGATTCTTAAATTCTGATAAAAAGGTGTATGTTATATACTTATTTCAAGACAATCGAAAAAGGAAACAGATAACCAATTTATAGAACCTCCCATCATTCAGAACAGAAATAATTATATAAAATGTAGATTCAGATACAGATTCTTATATTCTGATAAGAAGGTGTATGTTTTATATTTATTTCAAGACGATTGAAGAAGGAAACAGACAACCAATTTATAGAAACTCCCATCATTCAGAACAGTAGTAATTAAGTAAAAGTCCTTTATTCAAATCATCAGCAAACTACAAACCTGATTGACAGTGGGATTGTGAATGATTTCATTAGTGAGCCAGATCTTCTCCGTGGGGAACTGTTTTCTAGCTTCATAAGCAATCTGGACAGCCCTCTCAACTCCCCAGCAAAACCCATAAGATTCAGCAAGCTTCACTGTAACATCCCCCCATTTGTACACATACCCATTCTCCTTCAGTGTCTTAATGATATCACCTGATCGATGTGATGCAGTTCCAAGTCAAAATAGAGAAGCACAACCAAAATCCAAATAATTAATCATACATAAACAACTGCGCATTATAGATCTAGTAGAACAACAGCTGAAATATGCAATTAACAAATCTAACCAATGCATAGTATAGTGATAAACATCAAAATCAAAATCAGGACAAAAGGCATTTCAGAAAATGAGCAATTGTATCCAAACAACGAAAACATCAACCAATCGACTTCAAATTTTGAAATCAACTTCGAATAAAGGCATTTCCAAATAAAATCAATCAAACACCACAAAAATCACTACAAATTCAGCAATTCTTACTCGTATACTCCTGATTCATCTGCTCGAGCGTCTCCTCCTTGTGCCCAAAACCCTTGCGGTTGTAATTTTTGCTCCTCGTTAGGTTATGACGGAAAACCTTAGGATCAAACTCCGACGCCAACGTGGCAGACGACTCAGTTTCCCCGGCGGCGGAACACCGGACGGAAAACGACCTTCGCTGCCGGAAAACTCTGTTATCCAGCATGGAAACCTGAGCTCCCACATTCACACGGCAGTATTGCAGTGAAACAGCCATGGAGAGAGGCGGAACCTGGAGCCGACTTTGGAGTAAAATTGGAGAGCAAAACGATGGGGAATCTGGAGGTCAATTTATCCGGTCCCGGCAGCCCTCGTGATCCATCAATGGCATTATTATAAACACGTTATTCAGGAGTCTCGCGATTGTATTTAATTATAGATATAATAATAATATATATATATATATATATATAGATATTCGTAGTAAAATGCTCTAGGGAAGCTGTATCAAATTGACATTTACCCGGTAATGGAACTATTTGGTTTTCTTTAAAGATCCCGGGAGTTCAGAAACCCGAGTGTATGCTATGGGGATAGATAGAAGGTCGGGATTCGGGTCCGGGACTGAGAGGACAGTTCTTTTAATAATGTTGGTAGGTGGATAATACGACGAGGCTCGGTAACATAACCAATTTTTATTAGATACTCCTATTTATTTTTGAAAAATATCGTATTCTTTCTTTTTCATGTACGTTTATCTTTTTGTCTATTTTACTTATTTTGTTTTTTAATAAAAAATATTTTTTTTAATTTTATTTTATAATTTGACTAATTAATTATCATAATTTTAATTTAAAATATTTTTATATAATAATTTTTTTCAAATCTAAACAAAGCCGAATTTTTTATTTGGTTTTAAATTGAATGTAGTGTGAAGTTTTTATTTGAATTTGAATTTTCTATAATTTTCTTATAAGATATTTTGTGAAATATATAATACTTTATCCATCTCAATACAAAAAATAAATTTATTAATATTAGTATTATATTGATTTGCAATGAAAATGATAAAAATACAAAAAAGTTATAATTTTTATATAATATATTATAAATTATATAAATATTTATTATATTAAGTGTAATTACTAAATTAAAAAAAAGTACCAATATTCGGAGACGAATATAAATAAAAATATAACACTTCTTATTAATAGATGAAGTAATATATTTTCAAATATATGTATGAATTGAATTAGTATTGAAATAAATTTGAGATTATAATCAAACACAAAAATATACTCCATACGATGTTTTTTTTTTTTTTTTAAAGTTATTATAAAAATAATTTTGTTTTCTAGTTCTTTTTTTCTTTTTACATATTATTACTATTATTTAATTTCTTAAAATTTTGTAAAATTTGTATCCAAACATTTGAATATACAATTAAATAATAAAAATTATAGATATTTTCCTTTTTTGCTCACCAAACATTTCAATAATATTTATTTCAATTAGAATTATGTTGGGAAGTGGCTAGGATTGTGTGACCACTTATGGTGTAAGAACATGTGTGGTGACCATTCAAATAAGCCCCTGGCCTCCCCGGTCATCGAGGTGCTTCTTATTTTTATTTTTTATATAGATTTCTAGATAATATTTGAATTCAAATATAAATAGATATGTGGTATATAATATTCGGATGTTTATTTTTGTAATTTATTAATATGAAGGAAATAGACATATGATTTGATAGTTTTAGATTATATTTTTTATATTTATTTTTTTAAAATACAATTCTAAATCAAGCTTAAAAAATAGACAGCAAATAAATGCAAATATAGATCAAACTAATGATATTTAGGGTTGATAAGTAAGTCTTGGAGATAATGGCTTTTTAATTGGTTTCTCGATAAAGAGAAAGAAAGTAAAATAGAGAATTTATTTACTTTCAGATTGGATTTTATCTACTGATCTAGAAATTTGTTGGGTTATATGGGTTTATTTTTTAGGTTTTGATCATTTTTATTTATATTTTGATTTAAATAATAGTCTTAATTTATGTTTGAAACACATATATACAACCATATATATGGTTATTTCATACATATAGAGATGGTATTGACAAAAAACCAATATTAATATCATTATTTCTTGGTGTAGATTTGGAAGTCCCTAAATTTTTCAATGATAAAATTTTGATACTTTTAAAGTTAGCTTTAAAATATCTCAAATTAAAACTAATGACAATTAAAAAAATCAAGATAAAGCATTACTTTAGAATGAGTATTACTGGTAAGGCAAGCTGGCAAAAACTGACCCGACACGACGACCCAACACGAAATAATTGGGTTTGGATCAAAGATTTCAACCCGATTATGTATACGGGTTGACACGAACTTGTTACGATAATAAACGGGTCGGGTTAGAGTTGAGGCTTTCAACTCGAACCCGACCCGACAACCCGATTATAATATATTAATATATTTATTATATATATAAAATAATCATAATTTAATAATTTTTCATAAATTAATTTAAAATAAATTCAACTTTAAATAATTCAACCTAATTTATGCTCGAACCAATAAAAACTAACATGACAACAAAATAAAAAATTATTTAATTTGAATCAAGAAAGTAGACTTAATTATGCATACGGGTCAACACGAGTCAACCAAACCCGACACAATAATAAACGGGTTAACACGAACCCGACACGATAATAAACGGGTCGGGTTATAGTTGAGTAATTTAACCCATTTAAAATATTCAATCCGACACGAACTCGACACGAATGGACCCTTCGCCGGCTTAGTATAGCATTCTTTCAAAAAAAATTACATATATTCCACAAAGATCTTGATTAAATATACAATTGAGTATATGTTTAACACTATTGGTGAGATGAACGTTCTTACCAATTCTCTTCAATTTTGTATTGCTTCTAAGAGTTACATATATTCCTCTTAGAAATCGAGCATATATGACGAATGTATGTTCAACATTACTAACAAAAAGAATGTTTTCACTAATTCTCAAATCATGTATAATTTCAAAGAATTACATATATTTCACAAAGATCCCAAATATATATCCGATTGAGTATGCTTCAACACTACTAATGGAATGAACGCTCTTACTAATTTCAAATTCGAAGAATTACATATATTCCACCAGGAACTCAAATATATACAGTCGAGCATATGTTTAACACTACTAATGAAATGAACGCTCTTACTAATTCCCTTAAATTTTGTATTGCTTCGAAGAATTATATATATTTCACCAAGAACTTGAAGATATGTACAACGCTACTAATGAAATGAATGTTCTTACTAATTCCCTTAAATTCTAGTATATTACTTCGAAAAATTACATATATTCCGCCAAGAACTCAAAGAAATACAGTTGAGCATATGTTCAACATTGCTGATGAAATGAACGCTCTTACTAATTTCCTTAAATTCTACTATTACTTCGAAGAATTACATATATTCCACCGTGAACTCGAAGATATACAGTCAAGTATATGGTCAACACTACTAATGAACTAGACGCATCAAGAATATGACTGCAAATCCATATTCTACGGCAGCATTAAGATCATTCAAGTCACAAATGTTATAAAAAGTAGGCTTTTTAACTATAAGTTCAAAATACATACGTATTTCATCAGGTACAGTCTTCCCTGAAGCTAACTATGGATCCTCGTTCAGACAGATAAGACAACAAACTACCGAGCAAATGTGAATCGTATGCCTACAAATGTTGGGAACACAAAAACAACCTAAAATCCTCAACCTTGTCTTGGCACACAATGCAGTTTCACAAGCAAATGGAGGATTGCCGTATTATATAATATACAGTTGCATTGCAGGGAAATCCAACCGTGTCGAGCAACAAACTTCATCCGAGTAATAGATGCACGAGTATGAAAAAAGCAACGAGGACAAATATTACCTTCCAAGCAACAGATTTCCATTCTACGGGAGGTGAATAGTTATGAAATCCATGAACATAGTCGCCACTAAAGGAACTAGAGAACAAGTACGGGACACCAGAAGTAGTTCCATATACGGTAGCATCATGATATCCATTTACCTGAAGGTTAAAAATGGTGGGCAGGATGCCAAAAAGCGCAGACAGAGTCTGATGGCCGAATCTTGCAGCTGCCATTGGCATTAGTCCTGTAATGGGATCGAGATCATTAGGTCGGGCATAATTAACATCCACACGCGGAGGAGTTTGAGGTCTCTGCCTCGATGGCCGACATGGGAAGGTAATTCCAGGGACTGGTTGGGATCTCGGGTCTGAAACTGTTTTGCCCCTTCCATAGATAGGGATTAGCTTCTCCTCTTGCACAATGGCCTTGCAAACAGGACATTCGTGAGAATGAGAATGCAGTTGAAGCCATTGGCAAAGGCAAGGCCAGCAGTAAAGATGACCGCAGAGGGTCACAATCGGATCAAATGCCAATTCGAAACAGATGTTGCATTCGAAGTTCCCGGTGTCACTCACTACCTCTGATGAGCAAGGGACATCCATTGATTCATCAATCGCACAGTCCATGAGGAATCACTGTTTTAACACCAAGGGATGTGTTATAAACATTTATAGAATCAATCATTTGCTTGCAAAACAGCCATTGAAGGAAACAAACCAATTGGAGAAGACGAAAGGTACTCCTTCCTACCTCTATTAAAGGTCTAATTCTTCAAATTATCAATTCAACAAGCAAACGGTGTAATCGAAATACTATTGTGATTAAAAACTAAAAGATGTTTTCTCTTTCTAGCTCTACTTTCTAACTAGAATCAGATCACACAAATATAACTAATATATCAGATAAGATCCACGCGCCACAACCAATTCATTATTCACATCAAGCAAATTAAATCGAAACTTCGAACACACCTTGAAAAATCTCTAAAGTCCGAATCACCGAACCACTAAATAGCTAATAACTTACCAAATACGTCCAAAACACCAGAAATTATAGATAATCCGAACTCAAAAACCCTATAATACTCACAAAAAGGCGAGCTAATACGTAAGTAAACCAGAACAGCAGAGATTCGCTGTATAGATCCAAACTCCAAGCAACAAACTAAAACTGCAGCTCAATTCTCCAATGTGTGCATGAATGAATCTAGTGATGGATTTTAGGGGACTGACAGACTGACAAGTGACAACATCAGTCAGTGGGATCGGAAAAGCGAATAACCAAAATTTGTGGCTGTTGAATGCAAATTTAATTATATGATTTTAAGAGGACCCGAATGCAAATACGGACGGAAAATCGGCCGCGTTGACTGGCACGTGATCCATGCCGCCTGACACGTTGTACAATTATATAAATATTTTGAAATCTTTTGATGTGATATACTAGTAGTATTTAATTAATACTCAATTTAAATTAAATGTCGTTGTAATATACTCCTTAAGCCACCTTCATTTTAATGGACACGAGTTTTATAAGTATGTGAAGATGTATAAATTATTTTTTTTGGAGAAATTCATTCTTTATAATTTACTTATAAAATAATACTGATAAAAAATAAATAATAATGGGTGAGCAAAATATCCGAAATTCGAAAATTCAATCCGAACCAAAGCGAAATTTAAAATTTGGTTCGGATTTTCGGATTGGATCGAATTGATTTTTTAACAAATTTCGAATTTTCGAATCGGATCGGTATACTTAAAATCCGAACAAATTCGAAATCCGAAATATAATATTTTAATATATTTTTTTATTATATATATTTAATATTTTATTAGAAAATATTATATTTTAATACTCCCTCCGTCCCTTAACAAAGTATCCGTTTCTTTTTTTTTTTTTTTTTTAGTAATTGTACTATCTACTTAACATTACAAACATCCTTCTAATTTACAATATATTACACAAATGTCATTACCTTTGTATCATACAATACTGTTAATTTAGTCATTTTACCTTTATTTCTACTTTATCCTAATATAATACTGTATTCCTAAAATCTCTTGAATAAACAAAATGGATAGATAGATTGGGAACAAATGGAGTATAAAAAACTCAAATTTATTAATTATATTTTAATATATTTAATTTTTTATATATTTAATATTATAAAATAATAATAAAATATAAAAGGATTTAAAAATTTAAAAAATAATAATAAAAATATTTAGAATTTCGAATTTTTCGGGTTTGGTTCGAATTTTTTAGTTCGGATTACAAATTTTCGAATTTCGGTTATTTCGGTTCGATTCGAATTGGTTTTTTTAAAAATTTCGAATTTTCGAATCGATTCGGATTTGACAAAATCCGAATGCTCACCCCCATCCACCAGTACTGATTTGGGTTTTGGTTTAACTTTCTGTGTATATTTAATAAAAAATATATTTCTAATTTATATAAAAATTAAAAATATTTTAGTATTAATTTGTTATTATTTTTACAGTAATGGAAGAATAATATTGTATATATAAAAATAAAATAAAATATTTAAAATTTATTAAAGATCAATAAAAATAATAGTTAAGTAAATATTTATTAAAATAAAAATATTTTTTTATTATAAATAAATTATAGTATATAAATTTAAGAGATAAGGATATATAGACATAATCAGGGAGTATATATTTATAATTTATATAAAATAAAAAGTATTTGGAGATTGGTATAAATTCATTTTTATTATCATAAAAAATATATAAATTGATGTAAAACAGGTAAAAATAACAAAAAATATTTATAACTGTTACTCTTTTCTATACAATATTCCATCTAAAATGACATCGGAAGAATTTAAAGCCCACAGTTACTTTTAATAGTATGAAGTTAACCAACGAAAGAGGTTCAAAACTAATTTTTGAAAATGCAACATAAGAACATAATTAGCATACGTACCTCTAGGTTAAGGGTGTGTTTGTTTTGTATTTTGAACAATATTTATCGGAATTTGCATAAATAAGAAATAGTTTGGTGAAAACACCCTGTATGTAAATAAGAAGTAGAACTAAAGTGTTCAATTCAAGTCCAAAATCCTAGGCAATGTCAGTAAAAAGAAGTGATTTTTCAATCAAGTTGGGAAGATGGCTCCATGGTTTCATGTGGATAACAATAAAAGCCTGTCGAAAAAAAGAACAAAGAATGAAGCACTTCTACTGGCATAGGACCAACATATGCAATAAATGTTGTGCAAAAATTTGGAATTACCTGAGGGAGTAATTATATACGAGAATGCATTCAGTTCTGCTTTGCTACGAGCTCAATGTCGGCTCCAACTTCAGCAATCTTGACATCCATGGATGCCTTTGCAGCCTTGGCTATGCTTACAACGTCAAAATCCAACGCCACTTTTTTGACTAAGCCGTTAAGCATCTGCCGTACAAATGACAAAGGACAACGTTATACATCTGTTTGGATTTCAGCTATGCATAAGATCAAAACATATGTGAATTCAACAAGGCATTGCCCCGAGTATCATCTGCATTTGTCTCAGCATAAATTATATGTTTTTTCCTATTGTATTGAAGCATCGAAATGTGAAACAACAAGACTAGCTGTAAAATTGCACCCAGTAGTTAGTTTCTTATTCTATTGTAGTGAAGCCGTGAAATGTGTAACCACAAGCAGGATTTTTAAATGGGCGTATTAGTTCTGATTGCATTGCTTCAATTTTTTTTTTTTTTATTTTTTTTAAAAAAAATTCATGTAGAAGCTACTGCAAAGGATGATTTTAGTGATAACACAATCACCAGATGGTTTGAGGAAACTGAATAGAAAACCTACCAGTGATCCAATGGCCACCAAAGCACGAAATCTTGAATCGGGATCAACTGTTTCCTCCTCTGCCATCTTTCGAGAGGAAAACAAAAAAATTAAAAATTAAAAATTAAAAAAAATAAGAGAAATCGCATTTATGGAAAATGTTAATTATATTGCAGGAACATTAGATAAACACATTGCAACCACTCAATTATCCAGTGAAAGTCATCATTTGGCCACAAAAGTAAACAAAGCCTCGCATTACTCGAGTCCAGAAATAGTGAGATAAAATGAAGTTAGAAATACCTCTAAAGCCGCAGAAAGAACTTGTGCTTGCCCTTCTTCATCTTTTGCCTCAATCAAAAGAACAGTGTAACTGCGAAGCCAAAGATGGCATCAGTAAATCCCATATCATGACAGGCAAGAGGCATGGAATATTGTATTCAATATTAAAGATTCCTACAGATATTATCACTTTGGCAACATCTAGATGCTGTACTCTGCATGCAGTCTTAGTTACAGAGAACTATAATAGCACTAATTTTTTTTAAAAAAATGGTCGTGAAGTACTAAAAGATGTGGTTCACAAAGCCTGAAAGGAAAATAGAAATGCATTAACTAACTTTTGGAAAAGAAGGCCTATGTATCCATCTCAATACACTAAAAGCCTCATTCAAATGAAAAATATGATCAACCAAGATTGTAATATGTTTTACTAGTTGACCACATCTTACCATTTGATTGCAAGCTTCTGCGGAATTGTGATTTATCATTACATTTAAAGAAGCAACAAAATAACTCATTGATAACACATTACTGGCCAAGAACAATGAGCAAACAAAATTTATTAGATGCTAATATGAAAGTCAAAACATAATTAGTTCACCTTTACTTACTTGATTAATAAAGTTGCATAAGACAATTGAATGTTCTTATTTGAAGATGAACAGCTTGAAAAAGCATCAAGAACCTACAAAACCAGAAGGTTAATTGAAAGTGTACCGTGAATTATAAACAGGTTAAAAGGATGAATCAGACCATGGTGTGGCAAGCCAAAAATGAGAATTCTTATCCTATACATTCTATCTTGTCATTCTTGCAGATTATAAGATACCAACCTCAGCACGGTGTAATCGTAGCCAGTCACTAAAGCATGAATTTTTGAAGAGATTAGCCACACAACGGAGGCTGGTGAGTAGATTTGCAGGAAGTGGAGGGCTTGAAGTAACCTTCTTGATCAATTCAATAACTACATCTGCAAAAGCAAATGAAATAAGAAATGAAACTGAGATTGGCACACTAAAATCACTAAAAAGATAACATTTTGGGTGCAGAGTTAGTATTAACAGAAGGTTGGAGACTTGGAGGGAAACATAATTACTTACCGTCAATATTTGAAATATAATGACAAATTCTGCATGCACCATCAGGGTGCAACACGGTCATCCTGATCAGATCAACAACTGCAATCATAGTAATCAAACCAATGAGATGCAAATTAATACCAATGAGTTCTAGTATCATGTACAAGTAGCAGGTTTTCTGTGAAGAAAAATATATATTATACTTTTTCATACATGGAAAACCTACAAGGCTTATCACTTTTTTTAACCCCCTTTATCTTTTTCCTAGTTTAAAAAGTTCAATGAGCAGTAAGGAATATATTATATGCTGATCCCAAGCAAACCCAATCACTTCTGTTTGAACTGCAATTTAACAAATTGCACTTACAAGTAAGGGAAAAATTAACCCTCAAAGTTGTGGATGACGAAATCGACCAGAACTTGAATGCTTAAGTTATAAACCAAGAAGAAACATGCTCAATTCATTTATCAATAAATTGAGCTTGAAATAAACCGTGACTGAGTATCTTGTATATTAAACCATTTTGTAATTATTTTTTCATTAACCAAGTTGCATAAATTTCAAAGAGCCAAGTATAAGCCAATTAATGACACTCCCAAGCTTTTTTTATGCCACACCATAGTTTGTTTACTTAAAAACAATTTCTAACAAGCCATTCTTATTTGCTCTGATCATGTTGGTAGTATACTATTACTGCAGGTGTGCAACAGAAATCTCTGCCAATCAAGCATCACCAGCACGATCCAAAGTAAGTTTTCAAAATCTTAGAATCCTATATTGTGGGAAACCAATGAATTTCCTTTTGCACCCTGATTTTACCTTTTCATTCTTATTTTAATTTTTAAGGAAAACAAAATGGACAAGGAGTTGTACACATGCAACTTCATATAATTGGATTTTGAGCATAAGCAGTTACCAGGAAATAGCATTGAAACTGGCCATGTTTTCGGGATCTTCATGATCAATGCAATATCAACATCAGAAAATTTACTGCTGTGATAGTGCGATGTGTCCTTCAAGATCTTTACGACTGCGTTTAGTCTTGAGACATCACCTTCATTCAACCATAGGTGTTGTTCCTCCTTCAAGAAAGGTTTATAACAATCAATCTCATGTACATAAACGCATAAACAAGGCTATAATATAATTACAAGATTACAAATAGATAAGTTCTCAACATGCCTAGAATATGGTGTCTGAGGTAGGTAGCCAAAGTGAATATAATCAATATATATATAAAAAACAGTCAAAGATAAAAGAAAAAGCATGTAGAGGTAATTCAACTTGTGTAATATACAATAATTGCAATAACAAAATACTGAAGTAATCAGTATACCTGGTTTGAGTGCAGGGCACTGTTAAATTCTGAAATCTTTTTGAGGATCCCATCAAACTGAGCAGTATCAAATACAAGCATTCCTTTCTGGACAACAAAATAATATTTATCCTTGGATTACATAGTTATCTTCCTTGCATTAAAGTTAAGGAATTATTCAAATATCTAAACTGTTTCACTATAATATGGAGTGGAGTCAACTCTAAAAGGCTATAGATTGAGTCAAACTTAATAATATAATACTCCCTCCATCCCATAATCTTTGCTATGTTTACTTTTGAAACAGTTTTTACCCTTAGTTTTGTTTGGCATTATTCTATAAATTGTATTTAGAAGGGTAAAGCCGTAAAAGAGAAAGAAAAAAAAAGGATATAAAGGAAGGAAAGTTGCAAAATATTTGGGACATTACAAATTAGAAATAATAACAAAAGACTTGGGATGGAGGGAGTAATAAATTAGATTTTATATATAAGTCGGTGTCATAATATTTCACAGCGGAAAGAATATAGCTATATTACTTTGGCCAAGCTAAAAATAAACATGTTCCAAAAAACAATCTGATCTCATTTCCCAACATTACTAAAATCAAGAATAACCCAGTATAGAAAGTGTAAAATTCAGAAATATAATTGAAGATCAGTTAACTGATGTGATTGCCACCAAGTTGTGCTCAAAAGAATATGACTAGACGGGAGACAAAAGTAACAATAAAAATGCAAAGAAGGGCAGCTTTACATCTATGTAGCATAAAAGTGACACTCCCAGAAATAATTTGATGACCACAGCCATTGTACATGACTTATTTGCTCAATAGATTGATAGATACCCTCAAATTGATATCTCAGATCGAAACAATAAGGCACCAACGTTTTACAAACATTAACTGCCAGTTTATTCAAGGAACCACAGGGACCTATATTCCAAACCAACAGGTCAACTGGCCTTCATTAACACCCCCAAATCATTTCTGAGAAATATTCATTATGTACTACCCATCAAATGTTCTCTTACACACTGCATCAAGCCTTATTAATTCTCTCTGCATCATTCAACTTTTTAGTCCATTTTAGTCCTCATCCCCCAAGTCAATAACATTGAAAGAAAGCACTCTGTGAATTAAGAATACTAATATTGTACCCCAAGGATGCAAAAATGCATCTAAAAAAAAAATGTTTTAACAAATTTGTTCAGGTACTCAATGGACTTGTAACTGACACGCCCTTAACCATATATGTGAGGAAGATCCAATGCGTTAGAACGTTTGTAATAAGTCAAAAACCCAATCACTCGTAAACCAACAACAGAAGATGAATAGAAGTTAGAGAGATTACTTTAGGAATGTGCTTGTAAGAAGGCTTTGACATTTCTGCATTTATAAAGACAATAATCACCACCTTTTCCTATTAATAAAACACGGTGAAGAAGAAATAATGCAAGTGCAGGTGGGAAACCTTGCAATTTGGATGGCCCTCCAGGTATATAAGCACTAGCTGCAGTGTTAAATGAAAAAGAGAAGTGACTAAAAAGGCAAAACACAAGTATATATTGTATTAATTTGCTAGTATTGTTCCCTTACATCCAGTGTAGGGGTCTTGAAAAGATGGATCGGGAGTAAAATCTTTTTGTCCTGAGTTTTGCATAATAAATTCTACAATTTGTTGGCGGTAGGAAAGAGGCAAATTTTGCTCGAGTAGCCATTTATCAGCAACATCATATGGATTGTCTGTAAGTAGTCATCAAGTCAAACTTCTCAAATTATTTATTTATTTTGAAAAAGGAATAAAAACACAGAGAAAATGGCATGCATAATTTTGGTGACACAGAATTATAAGGATATTTCCTACAGTTCCTCCACAGTTTAAATTTTATCAAAATTATACCTGACCGGTTGTATGGCAATTTACGTATAGGCTCACCATCTCCAACATCAACATCAAATACTGAAATATAATATAATCAGTTATTAAACAGCAACAGAGATATAGAGATATACAGAAAAGTCATTACAACAGAAAAAAACTAACCATAGTCATATTGAATGCCATTGTACAAAGGACGCTTAACATTATCATCAGGACCATCCACAACTTCACCGATCTAAACATCATTTCAAATATTAAAGCACTATTTACAATCAATGAATTGTAAAGTATAACATAAGCAGAAGTAACTTCGTCCAACTAACCCAATTTGTATATCTAAGAACGCCTTCCCTTTTAATGGAAAAAAAGGAAAAGAAGTGCATATATGTACAGGAAAAGGGTAAATAACCTTATCCCACTGCTGTTCTCTCATATTCCATGAATAAGCCATGCCGTTGTCTCCTTCTCGAATTACCTTTGTCTGCCCATCACTAGTTCCTGGTCATGAATCATTGTTTACGGCTTTGTATATGAATCATTAGTTTCTGTATTGACATTCAAAAGTGTGAAGAAAATATTCTCCATTAGAGAACAGATTGATTATACTACCTGGAGTCTTTAATGCTTCTAGGCCAGGCAAATCTTCCAATTTCAGTCCACCCACTCTCTTCCTAATACACAATAAAGTTAAATAAATGACGCATATCAGATTTGTATAGTGTACTGTAGAGCAACCAAAGCTATCCAACCAAATCAAAGATAAAATACAAATACAAAAGATATATATATAACTCTAACTCAGTACATATATAAGAAGCTAATGGTACTACTGATGAGACCAACAGAGTAACATGGAAACCAATTGATGCTGGAAACCTAGTAACAGAAAATTAATGAATTTACAAATAACTGAATGAAATAAAGAACATGTGATAATGATATGCAGGTGTGAATCATCTAAAATTCAGATTAGTATTATCAGTTGCCAAGTTCTATAGCCTTGGTATACTGTCCTGCAGTAGCATAATTTACTAACCTAATAAAAAGTGTAAGCTGTAAAGAGTAAAGCCAACATCAAATGTTAATATTAGTTGAGAATGACTCCATACCTACTAATCTTGTATTGAGAAAGTAGAGAAGCATAATTAGTAAGCTCTACAACATCAGCGATCCTATCATGCTCAGAAGTCCAAATGCGCACAATGCCATCAGAGCAAGCAGTCACAATGTCACCATTTTCCAAGAATTTGACATCCCAAACACAGCCAGGATGCTCTATGCTTTGCACACAAATTCCATCTGCAACAAAATATTATCTTCAAACTCTCCAAAGATGATGAATGACCTTGAATTATAATATAGCGAACCAAAATTCAATTCATCTTATAAGTGAATGATATTGGGCATAGTATCTTCAATGACTGGAAATTTCTTACATTGTTCTAGCAACAAGAAAGCTTGACCCTGTTCGCATAATTTATTATCATCAATACTCATGTCAAAAGAAAAAATCTTGGGCCCTAAAGCTCTTCAACCAAATGGTTTGATTATAATTTAAATTTGAAAGAAAACCAGATTTTTCACGACAGCTGGCCACAAATACTTTAGTCAATATTGATAGGCCACAACAAACAAAACTAGAAAGTTGCAATTTGTAAATAATTTTGCATCTTCTAACAGAGAAACTTAACCTGAGTAAATACTGACCAACTTAAGCCGTGATATTGCAAAAATATAATTACAAAGATATTATTCAAACAGTTGATTATGGATAATAAACACAAAAAATAAAAGAAAAATTAATTGTTGCATAAGCTAAAAGAGCAACCTTTCCATATTTTGGCTGAACAATCCTCACTGCCACTGACTATAAGCCCAGAAGAATGAGCATCAACAGAATAAACAATGGATGTGTGATCAACCATCTCCATAAGAAGTTCCCCACTAATCGCCCATAGCCTAATAGAACTGTCATTCAGATTTAGACAGAAATCAGACTGTGCAAAAGTAAAGATCAAAATCAAGGACGTAAACACAAGGAAACATATTATCCACCAACAAAGGACTATTAGGGTGTGTTTCTTTGGGTGATTTGATTTGTTTTCCACTATTCATAATTCTTTCTCCCTAAAAACATCTAATCGAGTATCTATTTTTTATTTTTTATATTACACAAAGAATCAATATACATTCAAAACATCACATCAAACAACGATTTAAATCAGAACCCCAAACAAACACACCCTAAATAAATAGTATTGTAAGTATGAATGAAACTAAATATGCAGTATTCATGTCATCTTCTGATATTCAAGACAGCAGCTTGCTTCTGAGACAAGTAATATCAATTTTCCTTTCATGTACATGATGCACAGCATACATGCAGCCCACCTTTAAGACTGCGTGCTGGAATGCATGGGCGGATGTTAACCAACTGCACTTGCAGCTTGTAAACTTATAAACAATAGGAAAACATGCATTTATGACATTGAACATTACTTGTTGATATATCTATATATATATATATATATCTATTTGGGAGAGCTGATTTATTTATTTTTTAATTAATAGGAGAGAATACAAGAACTCATTTGGTATCTACAACAAGGTAGGCTCCTCTATGTTTCGTTTTGGTAATATATATATATATTCTGTACAACCATAATCCAGGCAAACAAGCAAGGCATGGATGCATATATATCCATCTTGAAACAATGTTTGAGCAGTAGAAGATTCCACCTGCTACATTTATAGGTTGTGTGCTTTGGAGATTAGAAAAGAGAATTGAAGTTGAAACTCAAGAGATTAATTTTTTTTCATGTTTCAATGTTGAATGATGGTATACATTAATTCATTAAAGTAGCCCATGGGTATGACCTTGGTTCCACATACATAATTATTGCAGTTTTTGTGTGAACTCTTCAACTGATATATGCCTGGCAAGCCTAAAAATGATACCAAAAGCTTACCCATCATGTGATGCCGAAAGAATTCCTAAATTTGGCATAATAGCTACTCCTCGAACAGTATCTGCAAAAATGTACACAAGCAAAAAGATCATTCCATTTGCATAACAGCACATACAATTGCCCATCAATAAAGAAACAATTAAACTAATTAAATGTCTTCCACAGAGAAACCACTGCTGCATGCATGAAAACTTTCAGTTAATGAGCAATTGCAAAGTTTAGTCCCATTGACCTATTAGGATTTACCTCTTTTGGTTCCAAACAAAGAATATATAAGATAACAAAGGAATAAAAAACCTCTCTAACTTAGAGGTTTTAACGCCATGATGAACTTGCACTAATTAGGTGTAGAACAGCAATTGCACTGCTCATCATTACACACACCATATATTGTAGAACATGTGAGTTAGATTTCTATTTAAGTGTGTGAAAATTACAGATGTAACACTACAGAGGCATCTATTTTCAGCTCATTAGGTGCAAACATGCATTGTAATAGATGGTACTATTAAGATATCTGTTGCAATTTAGTGTATATAGGAGGAGGGAAATTTACTACCATTAAAAAAAGAAGAAGGGTTAAGGAAAATACCTGTATGTCCAGAAAAAGTATGGATACATGATTTCCCTTTCCACAGCTTCAAAGTCATGTCACTTGATCCTGGGAGACAATCAGTGTGGACTTAGATTGACTTTTAATATGAAATGAAACTTCTCATAAATTTTGATAGTTTTTTGTAATCACAGCAGATATAGTATTGACTTACAAGCAATAGAAAGATCTTGAATAAAAAAAGTAAAAATAAAAACCAAAGAAGAGATCACTAAGAAGTAAATACAGTTAATCAAACCAGAGTTTGAAAACTACAGTCTTCTAAAAATATAGTTGTATGAAAATAAAGAAGCTACCAGTAACAATCTCGCCAGAAGGCAATTTCACAACTGCTTGAATTGCAGCCTTGTGAGCTTCCCAGGCCTCTATTTGTTGCTCTCCCCTCCAGCGTCTAATTGTACTAAATTAGAAATACCCCAATAAAACCAAAATCATCTATGTGGTAAATAATACGAACATAAAATTAAGTTAATTGCAAGGACTGATAACAACAAATTAAAGTCCACATAAGAGATACAGAACAAGAAACACTTACCAACACAGTATCCAATGAATTCCTATTTTTCTTTTTCCTTTTTTTTTTTTTTTTGGGGGGGGGGGGGGGGGGTAACATCTTTGGGCATGTAAATGCAAGCATGTTCAGAACTGTGATTATTTTCTTTCCTTTTTTTACTGCGAAATAACAAAATGGGATTGACTGGCTCATTTTGGATTTATCAAAATGCATATTAAGTTATCAAGTAGAACAGACAGAAAATTGGCAATCATTCAGAACTAGAACTGAAGGGTAGTAGAATTTAGAAAGAAAGCACTAAGAACCATAACTTGGCGTACCAGTCCACAGAGACAGAAACAATATCTGAACCATCCAATGCAACTCCACTAACTTGCAACTTATGACCTTTTAGCATGCGAACTTTCTCTCCAGTGGCCAAATTCCACACAATAACAAAGGTGTCCATCCCTCCTGATATAATCCCACCCTCAGGAAACTCCTCGTTCGGTGGAATCCAAGACAGTGGTCCCACAAAACTAGTGTGGCCCAACAATATCTTTGATATGGCATATCCATGCTTCTGTGATTCACTTGGAGTCCAAAACCTAACTGTTCTGTCTCTGGAAGAAGTCGCAATACCTGTGTCGCCACATATACATATGCCGCGAGCCTGAGGATCAAGGAAATAAACCAGTGAACAATAATGCATTAATATAATCTAAAATTTGTAGCAGAAGAAGTAAACTCAACATGATCATACGAAAGCTACATTTTGAGTACTAAAACTGCAACTGCATGCACACCTTACAGATACTTTTATATGAGAATATTTCTATGCTTCAATCAATAAAATGGCCACTCAGTCTCCTGCCTGGAGATACATTCTTGACCTGAACAGATATTTCAAGAGCGATCTACTCTCTCAAAAGAATCTTTTACAGAATACAAAGGATTTAGAACCCAAAGCCCTAGAATGAAAGACGCTATTTGGGTATATTCTCAATCGCAGGCACAATTTTTTTTCAACAAATTATCTACAATGGAAACAGTTCACTTTCCCGAACAAAGTCAGAAGTTCAATTGCGACGTCCAATGAGTTCAAAACGAAATCAACAAAATGGGTAAATAAAATCTGAAAATAACCAAAGAGTGGAATGGGAAGCGTACATCGTCTTCGTGACCTTGAAGTTGACACCTCAGCTGATACTCTTTGGAGTCGATATCCATGGAAAACAGATTCTCAGATATCCCGGCAGCAAATTTTAGGCTGCAATTTTAAGCAGTGAACTCACGACTGCGATGAACTTGAACTTGGTGCGCGGATCGCTTCCTTCCCAAGTCAGCAGCCACACCCAAATTCCTTCGCAACTATTCAATCTACCGACTCCCATTTTACATATACATGTAAGGCCCATAATTCTGTGGCCCATGTCTAGCGTGGACGGACCCAATTTCTTTGGGCCGGCTATTCACGAAAATGACCGGCACTGGAAATAATAGTAAGTAAAACGTAAATGAAATAGTATTATTTTAAAAAATATATATATTAAAAATGGATTAAAAGAAATAATAAAATAATTAGGAAAACTAATAAAAATTGATTATTATTTAATGATGTAATGATAATAAATTTATGACTGTATAACAATGTCTATCGTGAAATGAATTGTGTGCAGAAGACCAAAAGATGAAGTAATATAATATTATAATATAATAATAGTACACACCATATTTCTATAGAAAATATTTTTTTTTTAACATGGATTTTGATTCAAATAGTATTTTAATATAAATATTATAAAATAAAATGATATATTTTTATTTAAAATTACTTGTATTTTTAATTTGACATGTGTGTGTTTGTCGGGGATTTGGATTTTGAATTGAGATTTAAACAATAAAAAAATTAAATTAACATAGTTGTATAATGTGATATAAATATGGATTGATGTGATGTTTTGAATGTAAAATTAATTTTTTTAGTATAATATAAAAAATAAAAAATAAGCGTTTAATTTGATATTTTTAGGAAAAAAATTTTTTGTAAATAGTAGAAGTCCACCAAAATTCTTCGAACAAACATATCTATGATAGCTTGAATTTGTTTAGTTGTATTTTAGTGTTTTTAAAAAATATTTTCAATATTAGTGATTAATTGTACACGTGTATGACAATATAAACGAGTATAATAGTACTCAATTATATATTATTTTCATATTAGTTGTTGTGTCAATTTTATTATATTTATGTGTAATTTTTGTTATTTTTTAATGGTGAAATCAAAATTGATCGAAATTATTTATAATGATACTAAATACAAAATTGATACATTTTAATTATATTTTGATTACAATTAATTCAATTACTATTTCTATATAAAAGCTACTATAGAAACAAACTAATCACAAAATATATAGTAACTCAGTTTAAGTGTGTTTTGAAAAATTTGAATTAAAATTCTTAATAAAACTAAAACTTATGCTTTGTTCTTTTTTATCTTTTGTTCTACGTATTTTTCAAAAAATATTAATATATTACAAACATTCATTATTTTTATATTTTCTACCAAATTCTCTATATTTTACATAAAAAATATTTTTTCAAACCCCTACCCTTAGGTCACCTGTCACATATGGTTCACATGGTTTAACTTGCCTGTCAGTACTTAATTTGCAGGATATTAGGTTCGACAAAGAGTTTATCTGCGGACTCTCAGTTCCCATGTCATTAAAAAAAAGAAAAAAAAAAACAATTTAACGGTGTGTTTGTTTGGGGAATTGGATTTTAAATACATTATTCATTCTATTTTTTTTTTCAAAAATATCAAATCAAACACTTATTTTTCATTTTTCATATTATACTAAAAATCAATTTTTATATTCAAAATATAACATCAACACCTATTTATATCACATCATACAACTATTAAATTAAAAAATTTTACTATTCAAATCCCAATTTAAGGGTCTATTTGGTTCAAATGAGGGAAAGGGAGGGGAGAGATTTTAATAGAAGGGAGGGGAAAAAATATTAAAATTGTAATAATGTGTTTGGTTCATATAAAATAGTATTTTTATGTTTGGTTTAGCAGGGAAGGGAAAGGGAAAATATAATAATTCTACTGTTTTATCTATATGTTATATAAATAAAAAAAAATAAAAGTATTTAATAAAATTCGATTAATTTATTTATAAAATGTGATACAAAATTTATTTATCTAATATATTAAAAATAATAATTACATTATTACGTCTTGGAAGAATCAAATACTTTATACATTAGTTATTTATTAAATTTATCAACAAAATAAACAATACTTTTACATATAAATAATAACATTATAACAAAAATTATATAAATTAACTATATTATAAAATATTTTATATTTTATAATTTATAATTTTTTAATATTAATTAAAATATTTAGTTATCTTAGTTTTAATCTATAATTATTTTTACTATACAATAATTATTTTTAATAGGACACTTCTTAATTACTTACTAATTATATTTTATCTAAATTCTCGTATCTACAATAATATGCTCATATTATACGAGAAGAAAAATATTAATATTATAGATATAATTATATGCTAATTTGTAATTTATTAAAAATTTATTATAATTAAACTTGCTTAAAAAATTAATTAAAACTATTTCAAAATATATAATATAATTTCAATATATATTAATATTTATTTGATATAATTAAAAATAAAATAAATAAATATTAAAAATTTGAAAATTTTATAAAATTTCTAATAAAATATATAAAAGGTATAATAGATAATTAGATAAAAAAAAATTTTGGTAAAATCACTCTCCTACAAATTCCCCAAATTGGAAGAAAAATTTGTTTTAGAAAAATTGACTCCCCTCCCCTCCCTTCTCCTCCCCTCCTCTCTAAAAAAATTTGAATCAACCACAAAATTTTTTATAATTTCCTCCCCTTCACACCCCTCCCCTTCTAAACCTTCAAACCAAACAGACCTTAAAATCCAAATTCCCAAAACAAACACACCCTTAAAAAGAAAATAAAAAATTTTAAATTATTTTATAAAACAAATCCACCCTTAAAAAACTTTTACGGCTTTATTGAATATTTAAGGGAAGCTCACAAATGAGTGATTATGTACATAATGTTTGATTCATTAGATATTTAATTATATAAATTTTATTTTATTATATTAGACAAATAAATTTATATCCGAATAGACATTTTATTAATAAATATTTAAATTTATTACTACATAATTCTAGGGTGCCTCAACAGGAGTGATTTGAAAAATTTTATACTTACTCTTGATTTATAATTATTTTATTATATAATAATTATTTTTATTAATATATTTTTTAATTATTTATTAATTCTATTTTAAATATTATTTAGAGTAATATTTTTAGATAAATTCTTATATATATTAGTTATTTTTTAAAATATTATATTATATCGTAGATACTAAAATTAATATGAACAAATTAAGCAAATTCAAATATTAAATGTAATAAAATTGAAAGAATACGTCACCCTACATACTAAATAAATAAACAATTGAAAATTTCCTTGGTTTGTTTGTCTTCTTAAAAAATAAAATAAAATAAAATAAAAACCGATGATTAAAAAAAATAAAATAATAATAAATATAAAAAAACCCTTACAAGATGGTTGCGTTGCACCGGTTACACGGTGCACAGGCATAAAAAAGGAAAAATCTTTACCTATTTCTTGGGAGAAGGAAAGAAGAACGAAACCCACGACCACCACCGCCACGACGTCCCCCGCCCAGATTGAGATTGAGCGACGATCAGTACCGTCGCTCCATAAAATTACTGTCGGAGCAACTAACGCCGAATTGATTTTTCCTGTCTGCGGTGGTTCAAGAATTGCCGCCGCCGGACTGCGGTAAGTGAATTTAATCTAATTTTGTTTTTGGTGACAATTAAGGGAAATCTCGAAATTGATTTTCTGATTTTGCGGCTGGGCTGGGCAAATGCTCTGTTTAAGTCAGTACCAGTTCGCGTCTCCACGTGTTTACTTTTTGCTCGCGCTTTCACTTAGATTCCTAAAATTATCGTAGTATCAGATCGGAGCTGTTTCAGCACGTTGTTGTAGCTGGTCCGAGGGATTCATTTTTTTCGATGAATTATTGCGTGTGTAGGTTTCTATCGGAGAAAGGACTGCATAAACTGCCCGACTTAAGTTTAAGCTCGAGTTCAGCTTTCCAGTAGTCGATCGCGCTGGACTTAGCTTAGCAGGTGTTTGATATGACGTATAAAGTCCAATAACTGTGGTGGACGGTGAAGAACATTTCCTTAGCTGAAGGCTAACTGCAGATGTGGACTAATATATTCAAAATCGTAAGTTCTTGCATGCTTTTTTTGGCTGCATATTTAGTTTATGTTAGGAAAGGATCCTGTTCCAACTTAAAACCTTAAAACCAATTGGTGATAAGTGGCTTCACCCTTGAGAGTCTTAACATTTCTTGAAATGATACCATGTTAAGGAAGTATTCAAGTTCCAACTTAAAACTAATTGCCCTTCCCCCAAATATTTCTTCCAATGTGGAATATATGACAGTTTTAACATTTTTTTAGAATTCCAGTTACAGTAGAATATCAATCTAAGTTATCCTTCTTTTGTTTTTTGGTTAGTTCTTGATGCTTACTATGCTTATTTTTATTATTTAGATTGGTTTTTAGGACTTGGCACTTTCTCAAATCCAGTTTCTTCTTCCTCTTTACATAAGGTCTATAAAGGCACTGTCTGTGTATATTGTAAACTGTGGTTCCTGAAGTTGCTTGTCATATTTGGTTGTCACCCATAGCTTGCTTAAAGTTCTATAGTTTAAGTTAAACTAGTACGGATGAGAAAACCTTTCCAAAAATTATTTATGCTACACCAACCAAAATGAGTTGTGTGCCATCAGCAATACTTATATTATAGTGTTGGTTATTTTTTGAATTGTATTAGGTGTCAGCTTACAGGGGAACTTCATGGCTTTCAGATATAGGTTTTCTTTTACCTTCTTGAGAATCTTTCTTTGTTGTCATGGCATATATATATATATATATATTCCATTCTTTTATTCCTTTCCATTGATATGATAAAGTCAGTAATTTACTTGGATAATAGGGATACTTTGAATAAGTGACTGCTTTTTGCACTGATAGACATTCAACCCACACCTGTATTATACCTTTATGGGGAACCTATGAAAATATCATGGAATTAGATCTGTCAAAACTGACAGTTTTTATTTGCTCACTAAGTGTGCTGAAAATTTTCCACTGTTGCTAGCTGGTGTGGATTGGAAAATTATAATTTACTCTGCTGAGTTCTTAAGTTCTTGCTTAGGCACTGTGTATTGATATCAGCAATTTCTTCCCACACCTGTATTATTTTCTGTGTGACAGCTACATATTTTGATTTTATTATTTTACAGGTAATGTATAATACATTATAGTTTGTCTCTTTTTCTCATGATTTTTTCACCTCTAGATAATGAATTTATTTTCTATTTTTTAATATATCTCCGTCTGAACAATCTTGTTTGACTTTCCAGGGAGGTTTGCATCAGATATCATGGTTTCAGTTTATTCCCAATGACTTTGAATTCAGTGCACTGTCTGATAAGAGGTATACTTGTGGATTCACTTTTGTTTGTTGGGCTGTGATTTATGAGTAATGGGAAAGTTTGTTTTGTAAATAACTATTGTTAGTGATCCAAGTGGTCATTTAACTCGGTTAGGACTTTGAATTTCTGTGTACCTAACTTGTTTAGATGTTTGGCATTTATGAGGAAGGTTATAATTAATTGAATTACTGGACTCCGGACTTAAGTCTTACACTTGCAAGTATACTGGTTGTAGCTGTCAAGGAGCACTCAAATGCTTATATGCTTTGAATATAAGTTTATTGCTAACTCCATATACTTGATGTATGAAGTGTTAAAGTGGACCAAAAAGAAGTAGCAAATGAGGCAGTGCTTTCGGCACATCTGCAATTGCAGAAGGAAGAGCTTCTTAGCTCGTGGACAAATTGTTTTATGGGACCTTGGGACCCGTCCCAGGGCTTACATAATCCTGGTAAAAATTAAGGGTTACATTATGTTGAGACATAGCTTCTGTCCGTGTCTGATTTCTGGCTACTTCTTTTGTTGTGTAGATGAAAAAATTAAGCTCTGGCTCTTTCTCCCAGGCCAGCACTCCTGTGTCATTGAGAATGCAAGGCCTGCTGTTGCTAGATTGAGAGGTATTTTATCTTGCTTGATGAATGGTTTGGAAAGTTTACCCTTTTCCACTTCACATATTATGCTGCATTTTCTACTCCTTGAACCAATTAATTTTGGATATGATGCCTAAATTATATTGTGCTATTTTCCATTCAAGTTCTTGCATCTGGGCTTTGGGTAGCCCCTGGTGACTCAGAAGAAGTTGCGGCTGCTTTGTCCCTGGCATTGAGAAACTGTATAGAAAGGTTATTCTTTCCCCTATTGTGATTGATTCACATGGATGATCATTAATTAACTGTGTTCTTATTCATTTGACAGATCTCTTAAAGGGCTTTCCTACCTGCGGTTTGGTGATGCATTTTCAAAATATCATCCATATACCCAGAATGAAGAATTATTTAGGTTACTATTTGGCGCTAATAATGTTTGGACTTATGTATCTTAATGATACTTTATTATTCGAATGATGAGCAGTAAACAGTATCAAATGGATTTATGCAATAGTTCCTTGGGTGTTTGTACTTTCCGTCCTGCTAAATTGTGAATATTTATGTCCTTTTTTTTCCCCTATCTTTTGGCTAAAATTTTGCATCTCAGACTGGAGATCCTTTTTTTTTGCGAAGAAGTCATTGTGATTGAGAAGTTGTGGGAGACCTAATGCAGAAGTTCTATTATTGTTTTGTAGGCGGGGTCAACCTGTGGCAGAGTTTGTCTTTGCTGCTACGGAAGAAGCAATATTTGTTCATGTTATCATATCTGCTAAGTTAGCATCACCTTTCCTTGCTTAAACTTCTATTTTTAGTATTTCAAATTTTCTTGACACCAACACTATGTTCTCTTACAAAAGTTTCTGAACCATTTTTGTACTGCTTTCTGTTAGGCATGTCAGAGCACTTTCAGGTAGTGACATTGAACCATTTTTCAGCAGCTCTAAGAGTTCAAATGACCCTATCCCGGGTGCGTTTTTCTTGTTAACTTGATCTACTTCAAAGTTATGACCAACTTTGAAGAACATTCTCTCTGTTCTTCTATCTCAAATTGGTGAAAAATGAAGTAGGAAGATGACATAAACTTCTATCTTTGAGGCTTCTTCATACATTCCTAAGTCCTGACATATATATTGGCTGATTCTACATGAAAAGAACTGCTTTTGTGTTGCTATATCTTGTGATTTGGTAAACTAAACAGTAAATTATGATATCAGTCTGACCTATCAGAGCATTGTGCATTAAATTCCAGATTGAGGTGTCAATGTTGAAACTGTGTAATTACATTTTTATTATAGCTTTTAAGGCTGAAGTCATCACTGTGTTCCATGTGCTAGTTCTTGTCTTTTAAAAATTTTCAAATGCATGTGTTAGTATAGTTATGTTTGTTTCCAAACATATTATTTGTGCCTTGGAGACGAATCAATACCTATTTCTTATTTCTTTTAAGTTAAGGTTGCTTAAAATGCATGGAGTGCTTTCTCTGGCCTAGAAAACTTCTGAATTGAGATAGGCAACCAGAATTTGAAATTTCTTAGTTGTTTGGATTTTGGAAGTCTGAAATTTACAGCTTATTGTTTGTTTCCTAATATAAATATATTTTTAATATGGTTCTGAGTTTTTCAAGTTGATTACTGGTAATTTTATTATATCAATGGCTTGGGCCAGCTTTCTTAAAGACTGATTAGGTTGTTATTCTTTAATATGATGATTGTTTGAGTAAAGGCAGTGCCGCTAGTGAGCTTTCAATGACTTATGTCTTCGACACTCGCCTGCTACACTAAGTTCATTTATAGTTTCTCAGTTGTGCTCTAAATCTTCTTGGCTTTTCGAAATCTCAAAGTTTCTTCTGCACTTTCAAAGCAATATTATTTTGCAATTGAATGAAGTGTCGAATAAAATCCCATGTGGGTTGCATGATTTAGGATTTGAATAAGAAACAAGCTATCACAGCTTTGCAGCCTGAAAGTGATCTGTTTGAACCTTCACATTAACATGATTCATGTTGCAGTTGTGGTGTCTCCTCATGGAATGCGTGGGAAGCTCACAGGATATTGTCCTAGCGATCTTGTGAAGCAAGTCTATCTGAGGTCTGATGAACTGTATCTGACATATGTCATGCATGTGCATTGTCTTTTATTTTCTATTTTTCTGTCATTAAAGTATCTCTATTCTATGTGCTGGGTAAAAAAGAAAATCTCTTGGGGAAAGCTGAATTTCTTTGGCTTCTTTATTTTTTGCATCTTAGTTATTTTTACACTTGCTTTTCGTGTATGTGAACAGCTCTGGGAAGTTTAGAGGTTCAAGTGGAATTGTAGGTCTTCCCTATCATGTTACTCTAGGGTCTGGGCTACCTTGTCAACTGAAGGCCCAAAACTGCTATGTTGAAGTGACTATTGGCTGCCATGATAAAGCTGTAAAAAATGTAAATTTACATGGAGACTTTCCTCAGACCATGAGTACAGAATCTCCAGCTATCACTAGAGGTACTTCAAAGGGATCTTCACCCAAACTTCCACATTCGGAGAAAATGTTTATTTATCCACCCGAGGCTGTCCTAGTTCCAGTTATGCAGACTTCTTCTGCCAGATCATCTTTGAAAAGGTATTGTTATTGTTTGGATTTTGTTTTTCTTGTTGATGGACCATGACATCTTGCGGTTATCTTCGTAGAATTGATCAATATTTTGTAGTAGCACTGTGTTAATTTCTTGTTCTTAATGGTCTTCATTGGAGACATTGGAAACTCATGAAGTAGGTTCCAGTGAAAATATATAATTATTGGGGAAGTTGGATAACATTGTGAATGCTAGTTTGAATTGATTTTGTAAGCTTGTATGTCGACTCAAAGCTTCTGTTGTGTAAGATACAGATACAGGAGTCAATATATGATTTACACTAAATGTTAACCTTGGATCTATTTGTTCATATCCTAGATACATGCATGCAGAACCCGCTAACACATATATCTAATCTTCAGATTCTGGTTGCAAAATTGGGTTGGTCCAACATTGTCGGGTTCATCACTCTTTATGGATTGGTTAGCCCAAGGATTCTCAATTGTTCTTTTTCCACTTTTCACTCTCATTTTAACCCATCCTGAGTCTGCGCTTTGATTTAGTTTTGACAGTGATAACAAGGTTGATTCTTTACACGAACCAAGTGCAATTCAATCTCATCGTGGTTATCGTAGCAGTAGTAACAGCAACAGTAGTAGCAACGGTAGTATAAGCAGCTCTTCCACTGACACAGATCAAAAGACATTAGGTGCTGGCGATTTAGAGGCAGATGCGGACTCTATAATGTCACGGCAATCTGGTTTATCTTCATTAGGTCAAGTGCAGAACAATGGCCCCCAATTGGTAAATTCCTTTCTCTTTCTAGAGGTTTTTAGGATCTGGAAAATAGTTTTTATAGCCTGTTTCTGTTTTCAGGACTTCTATGCCAAGACGAATAGATGTTAAAATAGCCGCTAATTCCATAATTTTCCTTCCCCTGGGTATATGCTTTAAGTCTGTTGCTGTTTTTTTTAGAATCACAGAACTTGAGTAAATCCAAACTTAGCTTTCACTTTTGATTTGAGTTTTTGTAAGTAAGTGCAATCACACAACCTCTTCATTATTGTGTGCTCAGGGTTCTAAAAGGTCACGAGCAGGGGCTTCAGATTCATTTGGTCAAGCAGGTGTGGTTTTAAATCCTTCAATGAGTGATTGTGGTGCCATGGAAAACAATGTGTCAGTTTCTGGGATTGCAAGTGAACAAATTGGATCTCATTGGGGATGGGATGAGGGTGATAGCGGCATCGGAATGGATATTCAAGCACTGCTGTCAGAGTTTGGTGATTTTGGCGATTTTTTTGTGAATGATACATTGCCTTTTGGGGAGGTAATCCTCTTTGTACTGGTCTTACAGCTCAACTAGATTATAACACGAAGGGGGTCTTTGATATTCTAGCCAGTAGCTTTCTTTCTATACTTGTGGCAACTAATGCCTAAATATGTGCGGGGATCTTTGATATTCATATCTGATCAGTCATGCTATAAAGCATATAGGACAACTGAATATAATTCTATGCTAGCCAATATCGTAGAAGTTCTAATTATGATTCCTGCTAATATTATTTGAATAACAGCTTGTTTTTCCTTGTTACCTGAAGCCTCCAGGGAGTGAAGAGTCTCATGCTCCCATGCCTCCTCCACCTGAAGGTGTTGAGTTTGGTAGCAGTCCCAGTAATTCAATGATGGATGTGTCAGATCAGATGCTCTTGCCTGGAGGTTTTACTACATTTGATAGCTTTAACACCCTCCAAGCCCCTGCTGCTTTGGATGATTTATCGAGCAAAGATCAAGAGGCCACAAAGAGTACTACTCCTCATCAAGTTACTTCCAGTCTGCCATCTTTCAGTACCGAGTTTGATCATGTTGTGAAGGCCGAAGCATTGATGACATTTGCTCCAGAATATGGGGCAGTGGACACCCCTAAGAGTGATATCTCATCTGTAATTTTCCGAAGCCCATATATACCAAAATCTTGCAGAGTGGATTCTGCTTCAAGCTCTAACAATTATAAATACTCTGCAACACCACCGTCTTCTCCTTGCTGTGATGGATCTGATGAGAAGTCCATTTTGCCTGCAAGTAGGAATGCGTGTGCAGAAATTAAGGACTCTGGTGTTTTTTCAAAATCAAAGAAATATTACACCCATGTTGAAAGAGGGAAGCATCGACTTGGCGGAAGTAGTGACAACTTTTCTAAAGGTGAGTTTGGAACTGTATTGCCCCAGGTTTCTGTTTTTAGTCAAACAAATGCCAAACCTGTCCAAACAGTAGCAACTGAAGGCTCAACAAGAGAAGATAACATTCTTTCATCGTCAAGGACTGCCCTAGCTACAGAAATTGATTGTTTAGCGTGCCAAGCCTCCATGTGTAGGCTACGGCATACACTACTGTCCTCTAACCTAACTGGTGGCTTGGGTGGGTTGTCTGGAAGTAGTACTGCAAATCAAACTCATGTTGATTCAAGCACTATTATTGATAGTGTTTCAAACAAATCTGAGTTGAAAAAGGAAATCCTTCCCATGCGAATAGCTGGTGATATTGATGGAGGAATAATGGATGGTCCTTTGAGTGCACCTGTTGGTGTGTGGCTACCTGTTAGTATGCCTAAAGTTACTAAAACGAGTACCTCAAGTATGGAAGTTTGCTCTTCCATGTCACATAAGTCATTTATGGAAGAAAACATGATTTCCTATGGACTACGAAAACCACTTCAGGAACTTCTTGATGGCATTGCTTTACTTGTCCAGCAGGCCACTTCATTTGTTGATGTAGCACTGGATGCTGATTATGGTGATGGCCCTTATGGATGGCTTGCACTTCAAGAGCAGTGGAGGCGGGGATTTTCCTGTGGTCCCTCTATGGTGCATGCTGGTTGTGGGGGACTTTTGGCTTCTTCTCATTCCCTGGATATTGCTGGCATGGAGCTTGTTGATCCCCTTGCAGCTAATGTAAGATTTGGCTGTCATTGGAATTTATCTTCTTGAATGGTTGATTTATTGATATCAAAATTTTGATTTCTTTTGAAGACGTGTTTGTCCATTTTTCTGTAGTTGTCCTTGTTTCCTCAAACACTTCTTTTTTTTCTTGGTGTGGGTTCGTACAATGCTTCTTTCCTATCCTCTGTTTTAGTGTGCATCTTGTAAAAGGATTTATTTTTTCCTGTCATATTTACCTTAGCCATAATTTATAAAAAGGCGAGAAGGATCACAACACCTACTTTGATTCATATGTTTATTGGTTAAGAATTTTCATGTAGCCAGAATGATTCTGTGCATTGGGTATTATATTTGGTTCTCCACATTTTAGAGTACACAGAGGCACAATGCATCAAGACAGTTGGTTGAATCTAGTTTGTAAACATTTTATTTTCTGAATTTGACAAAAAGTTTGGATGTGAGGACTATTTGAGATAGCTTGCCTTCTGCCATTTAGATCAAAGCTGTAGAAAGTCCTCCCAGTTACACAAATGACAGAAGGATTCTAACGAAAAATCTCATCTCATTTTCAGGTTCAGGCATCTTTAACTATAAGTTTGCTTCAGTCAGATATAAAAGCAGCCCTGAAATCGGCCTTCAGAAGTGTAGATGGTCCTTTATCTGTTATTGATTGGTGCAGGGGTCGTAGCCCATCCAGTGAATCTGGAATGACCTGTGATGGATTTTCTGCAGAGTCTGCAGCAAGTGTAAGTGAAGGTCGAGATTCTTCTAGTATGGTAGCACTTTCTGTTGGAGAGCCCATGAGCCCTTCTCTGTCAACTGGTGGAGCTTCTTCCCACAAAGGTATGATTATGCCTAATGTCTGATGAGCTGTTCACCTTGTGTTGTTGGAATTTGGAGATTAATGATATTGTTGGCCACAGCTGATGGAACCAGGGTGGATGAAGCAGGTACTTCTCTGTCAGAGTTGGATCAACAGACGGGTTCACAGTTTCGACCTACACTTGCTGTTGTTCCATTTCCTTCCATACTTCTTGGGTAAGCATGCTACCTTTTACTTTTGTAATGATCTTTCCAATTCTATCTGCTTCACTTAGTACACTGAACATGTTGCATGGGTGATGTGAAGTTTGTATTCATATTTGCCCTACTTAAAAATAGTTTTGTGTGTTTGTGTGTGTGTTTTCCTTTTAAACTGTTTATAATTAGAATTTGCGTGGGCATCAACTTAGTTGTTTGTGTACATGCCCTGGGTTGGTAAAACTTAACCTACTAAAATTTAAAACATTGGCCTGCCTCTGTCTTGTACATTTAATTTTGGATGGTTATAACTATATTTCATATCAGAGGCTAAGATTAAGTTAATGCAGGTACCAAGACGATTGGCTGAAAACATCTGCTAGTTCCTTGCAACTCTGGGAAAAGGCTCCTTTTGAACCATATGCAACAGCCAAACATGTATGACTTGATGAATTTATTCCCAATCAACTTGATTGGTGCACATCCACTTTCTGAGTTTTCTAATTTTTATTTTGTTCAATGTTATTAAGGGTTTGGTAATTTCTATTACTTTGTATACTTCCTACTATGACTAAATTATTCTATCTATTATTTTCTTGTAGATGAGCTACTATGTTGTGTGTCCAAATATAGATCCTCTCACCACAGCAGCTGCAGATTTTTTTCTGCAACTTGGAACTGGTTAGTGTTGTTGATTGTTTCTATTTTCCCATGTTTTTTTGTTAAGAGTCTTGGTTGTGTATGATCACTTTGGTTGACTATTAATGATGGTTTATATGATTTTGGTCAAGTTTCTAAAATGTCAACACACATGCCTTTAGCAGTTCAATAGTAAAGTGTAGGTAGTTTTTCTTGTACGTTATAGAAACTAATATTTTCCTTTGAATAGATAGGCTTATGCTTAATAGGTGGTTTTAAGAACTCTGAGTAAACTAGCTTAAGATTTTTGCTGACATTTTTATAACAGGGTTATCTAGAAACAATTTAACTTCTGCTACTTGGTTTCCTCTTTAAGCAATATTTTTTTTAAGAAAGGAAGCTTCCATTACAAACAAAAACCTCTATGTCTTATCTCATCAAATTGTTCGTATTTTTAGAGTTTGCTGTTATCAATTAATTTTTTGTACTCTGGGCTTAAGAAATTATTGTTAATGGTGAGTTGTCTGGATCTTATCACTTTGTCTTTCTAACTAAATGTCTACCTGCAGTTTATGAAACCTGCAAGCTTGGCACACATGTACCCCAAAGTATTGGGAATGAAATGGAGATAGATTCCGGGAAAACAACCCCTGGATTTGTCCTTCTTGATTGCCCCCAATCGATGAAGATAGATACCAATAATGCATCCATGTTGGGATCAATCAGTGATTATTTTCTCTGCCTTTCCAATGGCTGGGATCTGACTAGTTATTTAAAGACACTGTCAAAGGTTCTCAGAACCTTGAAATTTGGTTCATCTGCAAATGCCAATGCCAAGGAAGGAAATGGTGGACCGTGCACTGTAAGTTTTGGATGATGTTATATGCTTGTTTCTCCTAATCATTATGGTAGTATATTTCGTCAGTGCATGATTATGATACTGGTTATGAGTTTTTCCATGTTCAATATATAAAATCCACAACCTGGTGGTTTGGTCCCTGATCCCATTGCTACTACTTAAACTCTGCCCTCGTAGTGGGAACTGGGAAACAGTTGCATTCATGATAAACCTAAGTTAGTTCCATGTTGGTCTGTGTAATTCTGTTATCTATTTTTTGCACACTTGTTCTTGCTATGAACCAGCCGCTAGGGCTTCATAGGCATAAATAGTGTTAATAGGCATAACATTGCTTCGAACTTTCTTGTGTCTTTGACGGCTACTGCTTGCGACACAGTAGTTCACGCTGTACTTGATTGTTTCTTTTGTTTAGTAAAGTTCTCTTCTATCAGTTTCAATTATTTGTATAATTGGAAATTCTTCGGTGACCAATGACTATCTGATGAAGTGGCTGCCGATGTTGCAAAATATATCAGCTTTATATTCCTTTCCTCTTGCTCTTCTTCAATGGTGCCGTGTGATCTAGCAATTGAATTAGCTAATAATTTTGAACTTCCTTTTCATTTGTTGATTCAGGTTGTCTATGTAGTGTGCCCCTTCCCGGAGCCTCTTGCAGTTCTACAGACTGTGGTTGAATCTTCTGTAGCCATTGGATCAGTCGTTAGGTCTTCAGATATAGAAAGGAGATCTATGATGCACAGCCAAGTAGCCAAAGCATTGAGTTACCCTGCTAATGTAGACGAGTCAATTTCAAATGTTTTGACTCTTACAGGATTTAGCATCCCAAAGTTGGTATTGCAGGTTGTCACGGTTGATGCTGTTTTTAGAGTTACTAGTCCCATGTTGAATGAGCTAACTGTCTTGAAGGAAATCGCTTTCACCGTTTACAATAAAGCCCGGCGATTTTTCCGGGCCTCAGGTGAGACCACACAGTCATTATCCGTTCAAGAAAGATCTCACTCTGTTATGATGCAAATGGCCTCACCAGTTTCTGGTATGTGGAAAGATTGTGTCGGTGCTCGGCTTGTGGGGGCTCCTCTTCAAAGAGATAGTGAGCTCGATGCAAGCTTGAGACCGGGTGCTTGGGAAAGCTCATGGCAAAGAAGTGGTGCCCTTGGATGCGATCCCAACAAACCCGGAGATGCATTTCCTCTGGATGAAGTTCGATGTTTGTTCGAGCCACTTTTTATTCTTGCAGAACCTGGCTCCTTAGACCGTGGGTTGTCTCCATTTTTGGGAAGTACAGTTGATTCGTCGAAACTATTATCAGATGATTGTGCAAGCACTAGCTTTGTGCAGAGTTCTGCAGGAAGTGGCGACAATGGCCCTGCCTCTCAGCCTGATTCAATGGATTCAGACAGTTTTGCATCTGGCCATCAAAGAAAACTCCCGAGTCTTCACTGTTGTTATGGATGGACTGAAGATTGGCGTTGGATGGTTTGCATTTGGACAGACTCGAGAGGAGAATTGCTCGACAGTTTTGTTTATCCCTTTGGAGGGATCAGTAGTCGGCAAGATACAAAGGGCTTGCAGTCACTATTTATTCAGCTATTGCAACAAGGGTGCCAGATTCTTCAGGCCTGTTCTCCCGATGTTGCAAAGCCTAGAGATCTCGTTATCACCCGAATCGGTTGTTTCTTTGAGCTCGAGTGTCAAGGTATTTTCACAACTGCTCCATTTTTATGCCTAAATCTTCACTTCCCATTTACCAATAGGGTCTCCATGTTATGAATCTTGAAAACTGGCTTGTATTTCTGCAGAGTGGCAGAAGGCCTTGTATGCAGCCGGGGGTTCCGACATAAAAAAGTGGTCTCTGCAATTACGTCGATCTCTGCCTGATGGAATCCCTGGCAGTAGCAATGGCGGTTCTCTGCAGCAGCAGGAAATGAGTTTAATGCAGGACCGAACACTTGCTCCTCCTCCAAATCCCTTATACAGTTCGTCGCCCAAGGCTCCCACTTACATGAAAGGTGGAGTCGCACAGTCGTCTTCCCGGAAGCAATTACTGGCTGCGCATCCAGCGCTGGACAATTCGAAGGGCTTGCTGCAGTGGGTGCAGAGTATCAGTTTTGTATCGGTCTCTATTGATCATTCCTTACAGCTTGTTCATCAAGCAGATTCAACATCTCCCGGTACGTATTATATCCTTTTCTTTTTTTGACTCTCTAGTCACTGTTAACCATAACTAATTACTGTGTCGAACTAAAGGTCGTCTAAGCTATAGTTTTCATGTTTATCTGGGAATATTTTGTCTAATACAAGCCTTGGTTTGAAGCAGGGGCGGCGAGTCAAGGTAGTGCCACATCGGGCCTATCAGGCTACCTCGAGGGATACACGCCCGTCAAGTCTCTCGGCTCAACTTCTGCTTCCTATGTCCTGATCCCGTCACCAAGCATGCGTTTCATGCCTCCCTCCATTCTCCAGCTCCCGACATGTCTTACTGCCGATTCCCCTCCGCTCGCCCATCTCCTACACAGCAAAGGCTCTGCAATCCCCTTGTCCACCGGCTTTGTAGTATCCAAAGCCGTACCCTCAATGAGGAAAGATCACAGAAACCAGTCGAAAGAAGAGTGGCCCTCGATACTTTCTGTCAGTCTAGTCGACTACTACGGAGGCAATATTTTCAGCCAGGACAAGTTAGTGAAGGGTGTCGTCAACAAACAGACAGTAAGCCGGGGCATGCCTTCATCCGAGGCTAAAGATTTCGAGGTTGAGACACACATAATCCTCGAAGCAATAGCCGCCGAGCTCCATGCCCTGTCGTGGATGACGGTAAGTCCTGCGTATTTGGAAAGGCGATCCGCCTTGCCTTTCCATTGTGACATGGTTCTGAGACTCAGAAGACTCCTACATTTCGCGGATCAGGAACTGTCGAAGCTTCCGGATAAGGCACAGGTGTAGTAATATAAGATAAATCCAATCCTACCACAGTGAGGGATAGTTTTGTTGTCCATGTCATGCTCATCAGCATAACTTATTTTGTTAGTTTTAGGGTTGGAACTCGGTGGATGAAGTGAGGAAGACTTGTTTGTGCTTATTTAGGTTAGAACTGAACGTCAGCAGCAGTGTTGCTGTTGATTATGGTAGAAATTGATGGTCAGGATATATAGCTTATATGATTGAAGAAATCTCACTTACTGCACAGTCAATCCAAGTGTGTAAATAATATTTATTGGATTTAGTTGGTATTATCTGGTTAATTGTGTTTCAGTATCTTTTTTGCTTTGAGCTGATAATTTTTTATAGAGTTTTTAAAGCAGTGATTGAATATGAAATTTTATCTAGTTTAGGAGTTGAATATTTTAGATGATTAAATATAGTTTAATAATTATTTTATACTACATAATTTATCAACTTGAATAAGTTCAGCCATATAATCCAATTCCTATTCTTAGAACGGTTCTTGAGAACATATATATATTGTGCTGATTGGACAACATAATTCTTATCTAATACAATATATATTGTGCTAAATAAAAACATATACTATCAATTCATGCAATATGCATTTAAATAAAAGCATATGCTACAGTGCTGTATAAATATATTTTGTATTGAAATTATGTTTCACGTGTTACATCGTGTGATAAAATTTAGCATAGTAACAGCAACAAAATAGTGCTTAAAGAAACCAAATACATTGCCATTTAACTTAAAAGAACAATTTATCACGTATCCATCTTAATAGCATGCTTACTACTACTAACATAGAGACCATATAACTCAAGTGTAAAACCAACTCTTTCAAATCAAAAAAGTTAGTTAAGCCAACGTACCGAAATCACTACTCGGAGCCATCCGGAAACGAATCCAGAGCATCACGCTTCCCCTTCACGTAGTAATCGACCACTGCTTTCATTCGGTCAAGCTTATCCGGGTGATAATTCACATGAACAATCACCGGCTTCATTTTCTTCAGCACTGCATCTTTTCTAATCGTCTTGAACAGAACCTTACTGTTCATAAACATATAGTAATCCATAGTCCTTCTCGAAGCATGAAGCCCTTCATAACCAGGATGAGACGGGAAGACCAGCTCTTCATTGAATACGGCTTGATCCCAAGCATTCTCCCGGGATAGCCTTCTAGACACACGATCTAGAAGTTCTATCGCGGGGATTGTTGGCCTTATGTGAAAGAATCCAGAATTATAAACCCATATCCTCATTGTATGGGCAAACCTTGCCCACCCCATTTCAGGTTCATCCAAAACATGGTTGTATCCATAAGCTGTCTCGTTGTCATGGCCATCAGACATGGACTCTATGTCTGAGTCCCTGTAGAGATATTTGAATGGATTTTGTAAGTGGACTATGTCGACGTCTGAGAGGAGAACACTGTAGCCAAGCTGCAAGAACTCTCTCAAGATCCTAAATTTCAATCCTGAGACAGCATGGTTTCCTCCACCTCTTGCAATGGATTCGAAGCCATCATCGTATTGGTCATTTTTGGCATCTCCATGTGCTCTTTTATACACCGGGACATCCCTTGATAGGCAGAAACTTTCAATTTTTTCGTCCAAAGCATAAACCAAGTAGTTGGGTATTCCTACACGTTTGATGTTTGTGAACCATACCTCCAATTCGTCTTTAACGTTAGAATTCGCAAGTGAGACGATGAGCTCATGGTTCACAGAAACTTTTTGCAATATTTTGGCTAACCTTGGGTTCACAGACTTATCAGGTCTGACTGTGGGGTTGGTTCTCAGGCTCTTCACGGCTCCGAATGGACCAGCTTTTTTTTGAACCCCCAAATCCAACAGTCGTTTCTGCTCGTTGGCTTTCCCTTGTTCCGCCAACCGGACCTTCTCCGTGAGATCCCTAATTTGCTCTTTCAGCACTGCCTGTTCTTCTGTTGCAGCAACGTACTTTGATTTCAATATGATGAGTTGATCTGAGGACTTGCATGAAGTGGTAGGAACCTATGGAAATTTGAGGATTCATATATGTGAAATAAATTAGCTAGGAGAGTGTTTAGATCTGTGATAACAAACTAAGAAGAGCCAATCATTAAAGCTGTCATTGTCAATAACTAATGCTTATTTAGAAGAAATATAGAGAAGAAATAAATTCCAATATATAGTTTTAGGTTTTACTATGTTAATCAAAAGGAGGTATTAGTTTTACACGCTAGTATATCATTTTCTCTTTGGTTTGGAAAAAAGAACAAAAAAATTGAATCACAACCTAAAAAACAATGGCTGGATCTGCAAAAAGTTGAATTCCCCGAATATTCAAAAGCAGTGCGATACTTCATTACTAATAAAAGCAACAAACAGTTAACAGAGAGGATGAGTTCAGCTTCATTTACATCAACAAACAATCTAGAGTCAGCATCGTGTTTTCAACTCAATCAATTGATAAAAAAATCTATACACACAAATACGAACTGTAAGCAGTTAATAAGTTGAATTCCCCAAATATCTAAAAGCAGTCGCAGAGAAAACCGCGGAAGGAATTTGCTCCCATGGAAAACGATACTTCATTACGAATAAAAGCAACGAACAGTTAACAGAGAGGATCGAGTTCGATCAGCTTCATTCACATCAACAAACAATCTCGAGCCAGCACGTGTTTTCTACTCAATCAATTGATACAAATCTATACACACAAATACAAAACTGTAAGCAGTTAATAGCATGCGAAAAGAATGTAATTAGGACCTTCAAATCTGAATTCGCAACAATTTGACGAGCTCGAGGCAATAATGAAAGAAATCCGTCGGGGTATAAAAAGGCAAAAACGCATCCAAAAAGCACTCCGACGAAGATCGCCGCAGCGATCTTAGATCGGTTACCGCCGATCATGCCGCGCACGTACGTATCTTCTCACGGATTGCATCAAACTAGCTAGCGAGAACGAAACTCGGAATTCCACTCCACTTACACCATTGCAGCAGAGAAAAGCTAATTAATTGAGTACGTACACCATGCGTTTACTTTCTGCTAAAAAACGAGCAGACTTCAATTTATAGCAAAATGACGCGTCAGAAACACGCGCCATCAATCCATTACGTCAGCTATTGCATACTGTACAGTACTGATGAGACACATATTATATATATCCATTTATTTATATAAATTTGTATATCAAATGTCAACTTTATATTATACTCCCCCTCCTTCCCTCTTGCTGTAAATTACTTTAGAAGATTTTTCTATTCATCCAATTTATTTTTTACATTAAACAACCACCTATTTATTATTTATTATTTTTTATGTTATACTAAAAAAATAATTTTAACATTAACAACTATTTATATCAATAACTATTTATATCATCATACAATCATTCAAATTAAAAAATTTTACTACTTAAATCTCAAACCAAAATTCAAACTCCGTAACAAACACACACGTCTATATCAATATTTTCCCATCTATTTAGCCAAATAGATCTTTAAATATATACTTATATTTCTCACATATATTCTACTTATCCAAAAATTACATTACTAATCCTATAAAACTCTATCAACCCTTACAAATACTACATTTTTTAATATTTTAGTAACACAATTTCTTAATTTGCTTATTAATCTAATTTTGATGCTTCAGAATTCAATCGAATAAACATAGCTTAAAAGTATCCAAAAATAAATGAACTGTGTAACAATTTTAAAAGCAGTAGACAATTATCATTACTGATAGCAAACAATTATGAAGGGAAACAAACATATATATACATCAAGGGATCGAAATGCAGATGAAGAATTCCAGAAACAAAACTAATTTGCAGATTCTCATATCTAACTATTTCTCTCATATCTAACTATTTCACCGGTCCAAGGATAACGTTCAGATAACTCCATTTCCTAAAGGAAGCAAATTTACAAGAAAAGCAATCAAGGATCTATTTCTTCGATGTAAGAAAGTCATACAATTATAAATTATGCCGTATCTTCCGGTCACAAACCAGGTCAGTCTTCATCTCCTGATTCAGAAGTTTCATCCTGCGCTGGAGGGCTTTGGGTTGCAGTACCATTTGGTGGGTCTTGGCCTCCTTGGATTGCAGAACCATTGGCAGGGCGTTGGCCCGGGTGCAAAATTTCCCGAGCAGCATGATTAGCTTTAGAGTAGAGGAATAAATCATCAATGGAGTATGTATGGTTTAAGTCATTGTCAAATGCTACTGGACAATCGAAAAAGATAACTGAAGTAAAGAGAGAAACTATTACCTGTCAGCATAATCTTTGTGAGGATTGCCCTTGCAACTTGAATTTCTGATTCATAGCTGCTCACAAATCTCGCCTGTAGAATTAGTTCGGCAGTATTATATAACTTATCGACGATTAAAAAAAAAGCTATCCAGCAGAAGAAAATCAATAGACAGTAGTCACCATTTCACCATAGCAGAAATTCACAATTTGATCGAGTCTTGACTGGTGTTTCAGGAGAAAGGGTCTCAGGTAATTCATGTATAATTGCCTAGCCCCCTGCCGAACCAGGTGAGAAATGTATCGTATATCAAAGACAAGGATAAGGTTAACAGTAAGCATTGGTAAAGATCGAATTTCAATTTACACTTTCTAGAAAATCCAAACAAAATTATTTTTGACAAGAGATGAGAGGCAAAAGCCAAAAAGAATCTTTGACCGAGCTTACATAAACAGTCGGCAGTTGAAGCCACACAAGAAATGCAAACTTCATATGATAATAGAATGGACACCTGGATTTGAATGCGAGAAGGGTAAAACAAGTGCGTCAACAAACACCAATTGTTATTTCGAGAGGAAAGGAACTAAGAAGTTGGGCTCAGAATAGTACCAGTAAATAAGTTTATCAGTGAAAATCTCAGCCAAGCTAAATGAACCATAAACTGCATCCATGAACCATGATGGTGACAATGCCAACATAAGAAGATATGCCAGAATCCCAATTTAAGCAGATAAAATAAATTAATCATTCGTTTTGGTAATATGAATTCACAAAAACTTTATCCAGGTCTATGAAGATATTGGAAATATTGGCATATTGCTCAAATCACATTGTCTAAAGTGCATGCGAACTTAAATCATTTTCATAAATTTTAGAAAAGATTCAATGAATGAAAAATGATAGGAGAGATCTGTCAAAAGTAATTTGCTTTCGCCAACCAGTCCAATACATAAGCCATTTATTTTGTTCATCTTCATCCTTCGTCTCAATGGCCTTGAATGTAGAATAAACAGGCAAGACAACACCCACAGAACAGCTGCAAATAACATGATATATTTTTATCAGTGAATCATCTATAACAGTTTCCCTTTAAAAAGATGACTTATGACTACAAACATAGAAAAATGATGACACAACTGTAAACGCTGAATTCTAAAGTGTGGAGATTCAATCCTAAAGTAGCATCAAAATCTTACATTTCCGTTATGAAAATTCAAAGCACTTACCATGCTGTCCGGACAACAATATTTGAACTAAGTGGGTTAAGAAGCAAACGTAATCCAACCTGCATAGAAAAGAAATGAGAATAACACCACCTCCCGAATTTCAGCTAGGAAACTGAAAGCAACTCAATTCATTTACATCCGTGTTGGAAGTTAACAACAAATGTACGAACATGAATGTCATCTCAAACTATCACGGAGACACACAATATTCCTCACAGCGCAGACACGCCAAGAATCTCGCCATGCTATTAACCACGAGAAGCTCACTTCAATATCTCCATCTCTTCTCATTTACGAATCGAGAATTTCAAAATTAAGAACAAGATATGCAAATATATATATAGAATACAACTCGGAAATCGCCGCAATACGAAAATTTCCAACCACACAATCCAATCACGAACAAAAATGAACCAAACGAATTTTGATTCGTCCGAAAGTCGAACGAAATCAACGCAAAGCACCTCGGTAGACATGCCGGATCCGAACAGCGCCATATTCCGCCAACGAAAAGAAATCGCCGACCGATTTCAACACCTCACTGGAATTTTCAATTTCAGAGTGAATCACAATATCGAAGGAGACGCCTTCGCACGTATTAGTAGTCAATTCAATCTCCACATCCTGGCTACGCCGCATACTTTGCCCTATTATTATTATTATTATTATTATTATTATTTTCCACCCAGTGAGTTTTGGTATTTACTTTTTGACCACGTCAAGATCTAATTCCTTAATCAATCCTAATTTACTTGCAGTAATTATTATTATTATTTATTAAATTACCTTTTTTTTAACTGAAGACGACTCTTTGTTACCAAATTAACGTCTTTAGTTTCCGTACTTGGTGGATTTACCGACACGCCGACGCGAATGGAAAAAGGTCGGTGTTTTTTCCATGTCCGCTGTACATTCGTCGCTTCCCGATTGCAACAAGGTTTGGATATATTCAAATTGACTCCACCGCCTTCCCGATCGGAATCAGAATACATTGTTTAAAAATGAAGCATCTAATTTGTTTCTGAGTTTTTGTTGTTGCGGATCAAAATCAAGCGGGGAACGGAAAGCAAAGGATGAATGCAATCAGAGACAAACTATACGATAAGCTTTCGAGTTTGTTTTCGGATTCGCAGGCGCCTAAAGAGGCGCTAGATCGAGAATCTCCGGTACTGTTCATTGCATTTTCTTTTGTGTGTTTCTGTAAGGATTTGTTTCTTTCTCGGTTTCGGATGCATTTGTTGTGGTTAGAGGCCATACCTTTGATTTGAGATTTTTAAACTTTTTGAATGTTGGAATATGTTTGGATAGAGAAACGTGAATGATATGAGAAGTGCTGTGGTTAGAGGCCATGCCTTTGATTTGAGATTTTTTAGTGATGGGAGTGTCTGTGTATGATTTGCTTTCAAAAATTGGATCTGTGTGAAGAACAATCTTGTGGTATTTGGTAGTTGGGAATGGGACTTGATGATTCTTTGCTTTTTGGGGTGTTCTAAAATCGTGCAATCCTTTTAGTGGGGTTAGTTATGGCAAAGTGAAAGGAAATTTGGTTTTAGTGGATTGTTTCATTTAGGAATATGTGATTTTTTTCCATTTTCCTAAGGGGATTATGTATATGCAATCCTCATTTCTTTTCCTCATTAGTAACCTGTTTGGCTTGCTCTTCACATATTACATATATATATATATATGTATGTATTATGTATTTCCATTGCTTAGGTAGCACTTGAGTTATGTTGGTTGAATTGAGTTAATATATAGTTATGTTCTGTTAGAAAAGATACTGAAACCTCGCCTATTTTTGGGTTTCTAGTTATGGCTTTTATGCATTTTTTCTGATTCTCCACTATTAGATGCGGTAACTGGTAAGGAATATTTCTTTTTAACCGCACGGTTTCGATGTGTGCAGACTATAAAATGCACGGAGGATGAAAAGTCACAAAGTTCTGTACTTGCTTTCTTTCTACCCTCAGCAAGTCCCAATTGGTTAAAGCAAAATTCGCCTACAAATGAGGTTCAATCTCCCCGATCAGATTCATTTAAATGGAGAAGTAGAAGCTTCTCTTTGAAAGACAAGCCCTTGGATAGGCCTATGGAAAATGACGACAGATATGGAACAAAGGAAGACATATGGTTGCATGAAGAAAACGAGAAACACAGTTCCGCCAGTGGCCATTTAGAAAATGGAGAACCAGGCTCTGGGACGAGCACAAGTGGCAGCTCTGATGTGTTCGAAGATTTCATGACCCCACATACTTTTGAGAAGCCCATGCCCGGCCTCATGGAAGAATCTCTTTTCATTACTCCTGATTTGTATCGGTTCTTCGAGGCATCCCTTCCTAATATAGTGAGAGGCTGTCAGTGGGTCCTGATGTACAGGTGAACTTGATAACCGATATCCACAAAACAATGGATATAATCCTGCTTATTCATTTTGATGTATGTGCCGTAATTTTCTGAATGAAGGGCAGTACGGTAAGAGATGGCATATCACTACAAACACTCTTCCGGAAGAGCAATGGCGCTACTGGTCCTTGTTTATTGGTGTGTTGACCTTCTTATTGTGACGTAAAATCAGATGCTTAGCTCTCCTCTATGAAACCTTATCTATGTTATTCTTGCAGATTACTGGCGATAAAAAAGGTGCTGTTTTAGGTGGGTTAATCGAATGCCCCCTGAAACCCACTGCAAAAAGGAAGTATCAAGTAGGTTATAACCTTCACTTAAATGTTAAAATTCTGGCTCCTAATTCTACTTTCTTTATGTTACTGCAATCATGTTATGTTAGTCGATGTATTTTGTTAACATATCTCTTTGTCACCAACCTTACAGGGAACAAATCAAAGCTTTGTATTCACTACACTATATGGCGAGCCAAGGATATTCAGACCAACTGGTAAGCATGTTGCATATTGGTTGCTAAACTTCTTTGTCCCTTTCTCATTTTCTTTGTTTATTTATTTTCTGTTAAGACAAGTCTCATCGATCCATATTTGCAAGCAATTGTGTTATTGGAGTAATGGGTTCAGTTAGGCAAGGGGGTCGGATACTGTGTTACACCTGTTAAGTTGGAAATTAATATTCACAGTGATTGTTGCCATTTTTGAAATGAATAGGGGCAAACAGATACTTCTATTTGTGCTTGCACGATTCACTTGCTCTCGGAGGAGGTGCAAACTTTGCTCTGTTCTTGAATGAAGATCTGTACGTTGGTTCTCCTCACTACAACCTTGCACTTGCTTTAATGTTTTATATGCTGACAAATGGATTTTATCGGCTCATCCTTTGTCTGTATAGATTAACTGGAAGAAGTGGGCCTTGTGAGACGTTTGGAAACTTGTGTCTAGCTCATGACGAGGAGTTTGAACTAAAGAATGTAGAGGTAATTATTTATCTCAGACTTTCTGTCTTCAACATTTTGAATATATATTATGGTTAGTGTCATGTGCAAATCGACGAATTTTATCCTGTGGCATTACCATAGTTTTTGTTGCAATTCTGAAACATATCCTTTTTTGTAATATTATTGCAATCCGGTAATGGTTCCCAAACCTCCTAATTGTTGTCTTCCCTTCGCAGCTGTGGGGTTTTACGCACTCGTCTCAGTACCTTCATTGAAGAAAAAGAACATATATTTTCTTCGCCCTTGGACGGTTTTACAAGGAACCGATTCTTTTATTGTATTGCATTGTGAAATAAGTTGTGGATCAGACTTATCCTAAGTTTTCAGGTGTTTTTCAACACAATTCGTTTGTAGTGAAATCTATTATTGTTGTCACAACTGTGCTTCATTGTATTTTAAAGGGTTTATTTTAAATGCCTCTATGAATGTCTTTGGCTTTATCAATTTGTATGGGCAGGGGATCCTCCAAGACAATTATGTATATATACACAGTGTCTATATATGTATGTAATATACAAATACATATGATATTATATATATATAGAAATAGTGTATATATATCACTTTGCTGAGGGGTGTGAAAGAGGCATAGAAAAGGAGATTGAGGATCTCATCCCATTTGTTTGGACTATTCAGACTATTATAATTCAAGGAATAATTTCATATAAATTCGTTTTGATCAATTCAATTTCTTTATGATTCTCCACTACTAGTTTTTTCTCATTAATTTTCTATTCTAAATTATTTATTCACTTCAACTCTTATTACCATATTAAAAAAGTTAAATACTCATATTATGCTAAAAGACTTTGTCATTAGAATTAAAAATCTAAATAAATATAAGTTAAAATTGCTTATAACTCTCATGTGATTTCGAAATTCAGTTTATTAAAATTTCTCTATACTTTAAAAATTGTATGGCACTCTTTATACTTTGAAAAACGTTGCGCATGAAACCCCGTCACCATGAAACTTTCCTCGTGTGATAAGAAGATGATTTCCTATCTATATGTTTTGCATGACATGGGGTTTTATGCAATATTTTTGAAAGTATAAATGAGCGTCGTGCAATTTTTTAAAGTAAAATGGAGATTTATGATGAGTTTCGAAACCACAAAGTGGCTTCATGCAACATTTTTTTTTTAAGTATAAGGGGACGTCATGCAATTTTTAAAGTAAAAGAGGAATTTACTTGTAGTTTCGAAACCACCTGAGAGTTATGGACAATTTTGCCTAAATATAAAACAAAAATTATTCTACAGTTCTCACATAGTATGATTTATCTCATTGATTGATCTGTAATTGTAAATTATTGGTGTATTTTATACTATTTATTTATTGTTTATAAGATTTTTAAGGTTAATGTGTTATAATATATAGTTGATACTTTTTTATCGTAATATTATTGCAATGTATAAAAAGAATGAGGACAAATTTTTTTTAGTAATTTCAATAAAAGAATGAGAAGCTATTACCACCCACTAAAAAAATTGACGATTACCATTTTAAAAATGCCGATTCTGATTTATTTGCCGATATTTACTTATTTTTAAGTATTCTTCATTTTTAATTTTTTTTTAATTTCTGTGTTATTAAAAATTTAAATTTTAAAGATGAACACACAATAATAATATTATAATTATTATTAAACACAATAAATTACATTAGTCAGTTTTGTTTACACATCCGCATTTTTCCAGCCACCGCCAAGATACGCTTCTTTCTCTCTCTCAATCAGTTTTGCTTACACATCCGCATTTTTCCAGCCACCGCCATGATACGCTTCTTTCTCTCTCAATCTTCTTTCTCCATTCTTTCATTTTCCCTTTTAATTATAAATAAATTATGCATTATTTTTATAAAACACACTTTATTTAAATTTTGAAAAAAGAATCACAAATTGTCCTAATAAAAATAAACCTAATCAATTTTAATCATATTATAAAAAAACATTAATTTTGTTATAAAAATTTTTAATCACTTTTTGATTCTAAATTGATTAAAATTTTGCCACATCAAACGTGAATAAATTTTTTTATAACAAGTATCAAAATTAATAATTTTTTTTTTATTATTATTTTTTTTTATAATAGGACAAACTTGATTGTATTTAAAGTTAATATATATATATTTTTCAGAAATAAAAACAAAGAATTCTAAACCGCCGGTTCGAACATGAGGTTTACAGGTCAGAGAATAGAGAGTCCAACCGAACCGCTAGTCTCAAAGAGACACGAACCGCCGAGTCGAAACCGGCTTGCCCCAAGGCAATCTATCAATAGATTTGACATTCAAAATCTCTTATTTTTGAAATAATTTCTGTTACCGTTATATAATGTTATATAATAGCATCGACCTGCCTAGCCTTCTTCCTTCCGTATATCCATGTATATATATATATATAGTCACTGGTCACTATACTATACCGTATACACACAATGTGGTCTACCAATTCCCAAATTCCATCATTGATGGAGAGAACAGCTGGTGAGAGTGAGTCGGTCCTTGGCGAGTGGGTGTAGTACTAGTAGGGATCCCATCCCATTTCATTTCTGCAAACCAATATTCCTCCTCTCCTCGCCAATCACTCAGTCAATCAAACAAGGAAGGCCTAAGAGCAACGATAATGAATCAATCCTGGCTTGGCGCCGCCATGGGCATCCATCCATCCTTAAGAACGAAGCAATGAATGAATGGTACGTACAAGACTTCTTTCTTTCTTTCTTTCTATCTGCTGGGGCTGGGCAGCTGGGGAGTGAATTAATTATATGAATGAATGAAGAGGAGTTGTTGCTTTCAAAATATAATAATACAACAATTCTTTGAATCGAAGATTTAATGAACAACTCAATCTCTCTCTTTCTTGTTCAATTTGTGTGTGTGGCAATGAATGAATCAAAGAACTAACTAAACAATTTATTCTTGAATTGCAGTTAGTAGATTGGATTCAGGGAGAATTCCATTCCGGTGCTTTATTTATGAATATCTCAAGAATTAATGAACAACTCAATCTCTAGCTCTCTCTCTTTCTTGTTCTATTCGTGTCTCTTAATGAATGAATCAAAAATTTAACAAACAATTTCTTCTTGAATTGCAGTTAGTTGCTGGATTGGATTCATGGAGAATTCCATTCCAGTGCTTTCTTTATGAACAACTCAAGAATTAATGAATAACTCCATCTCTAGCTCTCTCTCTTTCTTGTTCTATTTGTGTCTTAATGAAAAAGAATTAACGAACAATATATTCTTGAATTGCAGTTAGTTGCTGGATTGGATCCAGGGAGAATTTCATTCCAGTGCTTTCTTTATGTGGACGGAGTAAAGTATTAAAGATAGTTCAAATTCTTCGGAAAATATATCCAGGCCGTGTTTACTTTACTTGTGTTGGTTTTGTTTTGGTGTAAGTGCTTAAATTTCAAGTTATGGGAATTGCTTTATGGGAATCAAATACAATTAACCTTTCTATTAAAAATAAAAAGCTTCCTCTTTTGCTCGGGATTCTATCTTTAGGAGGAGGTCTTTTGTCAATGGCCTGTATTTCTTTGTAGAACAGTGATTAATTTCTGTGCTTGTTAATTTCTATGCTTATGCCAGGAATCAGTGTGGATGAAGTTCAGTTCATCTAATAACTAACGGTAAGTCTTTTTTTAACTATCAATGCTCTGTATCTCCCCTCTTGATACTGTCTACTGCATCTTTTGAGTTTTTCATCTGCATTTTACATTCCCAGACGTATTTCTTTGTGAAGCAAGCACCATCCTTGAATCTTTTCCTGAACTAACAATTCTAGTTTATTTTAATATGTTCCGAAATGTTGTTGCTGTGTTTGTGGGACCCAAGCTCGTAAGATTATCTGGATCGGTTGTTGTTTTGTGAATTTTCAAATCTTGTTTTCTTAGCTCTTGTTTTAAGTTTTCATTTTGTCTAAAATTATTTTCAACTCAAGAATCCCTATATTTTACCTTCATCAAATGATTTTTTCAATCTTGTTTCCTCTCCCCTGGTTACTCTTTGTTGTAATAGTTGAAGGTTTTGAGTTATCCCTTAAAATTTTCGAGGATGGTGAATTGGGTGATTCCATAAACCATTCCTTAGAGTGGACGGAAATTTAAACCTTAAATGTTCTTTTTCAAATCTTCTTTGCCATTTTTCCTCTCCTCATGTTACTCTTGTGATGCCAATAGTTGAAAATGAGAGGTTTTGGGTTATCCCTTAAAATTGACGAGGACGGTGAAATGGGTGATTCCATAAACCATTCCTTAGAGTGGAGGGGAATTTAAACCTTAAATGTTATTTTTCAAAACTTCTTCGGCCATTTTTTCCTCGCCTCATGTTACTCTTGTGATGCCATAGTTGGGGATTCTCGATTAGAACTGACGAGAATGGTGATGGGTGATTCCACAAACCATTCCTTCAAGTGAAAGGAGAATCTAAACCTTTAAATGTGCATTTTCAAGTTTGTATTTTGTCCAAAATTGTTTTCAACTCAAGAATCTCTATATTTTACCTCCATAAAATGGAGTTGTGGCAATTTTCAAAAAATGAATTCTATTTTCAATCTGATTTACTGCATGCTTTCAAGTTCTCTGCTTACTTTTGCTTGTTTACCTACATATCAATCTTTTTAGTTCGCAAGAACTTTACTACCGTCTTTTCAAAGAGCCCATTGTTGTTTACTTGTTTTTAATATTAGATGATATTTTGATTCTGTTTTCTTTTTGTCTGTGTATGTGATTTTGGTGGACATAAAGTGGGGGGAGGTTGAAACAAAACTATGGAATTAAGGCACATCCAAGCATTAAAGATTGTATAATTCTCAAAGTATGGTAGATTTGGTATCATTTTTACATCTAATCTTTATGATAAAGTTTGTGTATGCTTGAATTCCTCTAAGATTGAACAATGTGAAAAAAGTTTATTATTATTCTGAATGTTGAATGTAAATGAGATTATAATTATTTACTTCAAATTCAGATCCAAGACTTCTTTGCCCAATGTGAAAATTGAAAATAATGATTAGATGGTAATGGCTGTGAACTACAAATACTTTTATCTATCCTTTAGTTTCATTGTTTCATCATTTTTTATAGTTATTATTAGTTGTGCTCGATGGCTTTCTGGTTGCACATCCTTACTGCTCGTTGAACTTTTCAGGCAAGGAAAAAGGATGAATGAGCCATGTAGGTTTGCCATGTATGAAAGTATAAGATTTATTTATTTATTTTTCAAAGAAAATCTGCTACTTGTACATGGTTTATTCACTAGAACTCATTGGCATTAATTTGCATCTCATTGGTTTGATTACTATGATTGCAGTTGTTGATATGATCGGGATGACCGTATTGCACCACCCAGACGGTGCATGCAGAATTTGTTAGTATGTTTTAAATATTGACGGTAAGTAATTATGTTTACCGTCAAGCTTCTGTTAATGCTAACTCTGCACCCAAAATGTTATGTTATTAATATTTTTAGTGTGCCAATTTCAGTCATTTGTTTTCACAGATGTAGTTACTGAATTGATCAAGAAGGTTGCTTCAAGCCCTTCACAGCCTGCAAATCTAGTCACCAGCCTCCATGGTATGGCTAATCTCTTCAAAAAACTCTTGCTTTAATGACTGGCTACGTATATATCGTGCTGATGTTGGTATCTTATAATATGCAAGAATGAGATAGATTGTATAGGATAAGAATTCTCTGTTTTGGTTTGCCACCACGTGGTCTGATTCATCGGTTTAATCTGTTTATAATTCATGGTACACTTTCCATTATTTGGTTGTACTCAGTGCAGTACTCTACTGGTTTTTGTAGATTCTTGATGCTTCTTCGAGCTGTTCATGTTCAAATAAGAACATTCAATTGTCTTAGGCAACTTTGTTAACCCAAGTAAGTAGCAAGGTGAACTCATTTATGTTTTGACTTTCATGCTAGCATCTAATCCATTTTGGTTGTTCATTGTACTTGGCCAGTAATGTGCTATCAATGAGTTAATTTTGTCCCTTCTTTTTAGCTCTCCTTGCAGATGGTTAGATACAAGAATGGCAGGAAAAGTAAGTGGATTAGCTTTAGATTGGAATAGATAATTTTTCTCTGGTTTTCTTGGATTGATTCATAATTAGGTTTCTTTACTAGTTTGAATCAAGTTTGCGTAATACACACTTCCTTATATATCTGTATCGGTTGTTGTTTTGTGAATTTTTATCTTAGCTCTTTGTTTTAAGTTTGCATTTTGTCTAAAATTATTTTCAACTCAAGAATCCCTATATTTTACCTTCATCAAATGATTTTTTCAATCTCGTTTCCTCTCCCCTGGTTACTCTTTGTTGTAATAGTTGAAGGTTTTGAGTTATCCCTTAAAATTTTCGAGGATGGTGAATTGGGTGATTCCATAAACCATTCCTTAGAGTGGACGGAAATTTAAACCTTAAATGTTCTTTTTCAAATCTTCTTTGCCATTTTTCCTCTCCTCATGTTACTCTTGTGATGCCAATAGTTGAAAATTAGAGGTTTTGGGTTATCCCTTAAAATTGACGAGGACGGTGAAATGGGTGATTCCATAAACCATTCCTTAGAGTGGAGGGGAATTTAAACCTTAAATGTTATTTTTCAAATCTTCTTTGGCCATTTTTTACTCGCCTCATGTTACTCTTTTGATGCTATAGTTGTGGATTCTCGATTAGAACTGACGAGAATGGTGATGGGTGATTCCACAAACCATTTCTTCAAGTAAAAGGAGAATCTAAACCTTTAAATGTGCATTTTCAAGTTTGTATTTTGTCCAAAATTGTTTTCAACTCAAGAATCTCTATATTTTACCTCTATAAAATGGAATAGTGGCAATTTTCAAAACATGAATTCTATTTTCAATCTGATTTACTGCATGCTTTCAAGTTCTCTGCTTACTTCTGCTTGTGTACTACCTACATACCAATCTTTTTAGTTCGCAAAAACTTTACTACTGTCTTTTCAAGCCCGTTGTTATTTACTGGTTTTTAGTAATAGATGCTATTTTGATTCTGTTTTTTTTTTTTTTTTTTTTGTGTGTGTGTGTGTGTGTGTGTGAGGTTGGTGGACATAAAGTGGGGGGAAGTTGAAACAAAACTCTGGAATTAAGGTACATCGAAGAATCAAAGATTGTATGATTCCCAAAATCTGGTACATTTGGTATCATTTTTACATCTAATCTTGATGATAAAGTTTGTGTATGCTTGAATTCCTCTAAGATTTAACAATGTGAAAAGTTTATTATTCTTCTGAATGTTGAATGTAAATGAGAAATTATAATTATTTATTTCAAATTCAGATCCAAGACTTCTTTGCCCATTGTGAAAATTTAAAATAATGATTAGATGGTAATGGCTGTGAACTACAAATGCTTTTGTCTACCCATTAATTTCATTGTTTGATCCTTTTTATTACGAGTTTTAGTGCAGTAGCCAATGGATAATTTGTAATTCAATTTTGTTTGAGGTGTTTACAGTTATTATTAGTTGTGCTCGATGGCTTTCTGGTTGCATATCCTTACTGCTCGTTGAACTTTTCAGGCAAGGAAAAAGGATGAAAGGGGATTGAAAAAGTGATGAGCCTTGTAGGTTTGCCATGTATGAAAGTATAAGATTTATTTATTTATTTTTCAAAGAAATTCTGCTACTTGTACATGGTTTATTCACTAGAACTCATTGGCATTAATTTGCATCTCATTGGTTTGATTACTATGATTGTAGTTGTTGATCTGATCAGGATGACCCTATTGCACCCCGATGGTGCATGCAGAATTTGTTAGTATGTTTGAATTTTGACGGTAAGTAATTATGTTTACACCCAAGCTTCTGTTAATGCTAACTCTGCACCCAAAATGTTATATTATCAATATTTTTAGTGTGCCAATTTCAGTCATTTGTTTTGACAGATGTAGTTATTGAATTGATCAAGAAGGTTGCTTCAAGCCCTTCACTTCCTGCAAATCTACTCACCAGCCTCCATGGTGTGGCTAATCTCTTCAAAAATTATTGCTTTAATGACTGGCTAAGTATATATCGTGCTGATGTTGGCATCTTATAATATTCAAGAATGAGATAGAATGTATAGGATAAGAATTCTCAGTTTTGGTTTGCCACCACGTGGTCTGATTTATCCGTTTAATCTGTTTATAATTCATGGTACACTTTCCATTATTTGGTTGTACTCAGTGCAGTACTCTACTGGTTTTTGTAGATTCTTGATGCTTCTTCGAGCTGTTCATGTTCAAATAAGAACATTCAATTGTCTTATGCAACTTTGTTACCCACGTAAGTAGCAAGGTGAACTCATTTATGTTTTGACTTTCATGCTAGCATCTAATCCATTTTGGTTGTTCATTGTACTTGGCCAGTAATGTGCTATCAATGAGTTAATTTTGTCCCTTCTTTTTAGTTCTCCTTGCAGATGGTTAGATACAAGAATGGCAGGAAAAGTAAGTAGATTAGCTGTAGATGGCAATAGATGGTTTTTCTCAGGTTTTCTTGGATTGATTCATAATTAGGTTTCTTTACTAGTTTGAATCAAGCTTGCGTAATACACACTTCCTTATATATCTGGATCGGTTGTTGTTTTGTGATTTTTCAAATCTTATTTTTTTAGCTCTTTGTTTTAAGTATGTATTTTGTCTAAAATTCTTTTCAACTCAGGAATCCCTATATTTTACCTTCATAAAATGATTTTTTCAATCTGGTTTCCTCTCACATGGTTACTCTTGGTTGTCATAGGTTAAGGTTTGGGGTTATCTTTCAAAATTGATGAGGATAGTGAATTGGGTGATTCCATAAGCCATTCCTTAGACTGAAAGGAAATTTAAACCTTAAATGTTCTTTTTCAAATCTTCCTTAGCCATTTCTTCCTCTCCTCATGTTACTCTTGTGAGGCCATAGTTGAAAATGAGAGGTTTTGGGTTATCCCTTAAAATTGACGAGGATGGTGAATTGGGTGATTCCATAAATTATTCCTTAGAGTGGACGGGAACTTACATCTTAAATGTTCTTTTTCAAATCCTCCTTGGCCATTTCTTCCTCCTCTCATGTTACTCTTCTGATGCCATAGTTGAAACTGAGAGGTTTTGGATTCTCCATTAGAACTGACGAGAATGGTGATGGGTGATTCCACAAACCATTCCTTCAAGTAAAAGGAGAATCTAAACCTTTAAGGGTGCATTTTCAAGTTTGTATTTTGTCCAAAATTGTTTTCAACTCAAGAATCTCTATATTTTACCTCCATAAAATTGTTTGTATTCCTCGTGTTATTCTTGCTGCTTGTGCTTGGGGGGAAATTTGCTTTTTCTTATTTTCTACTGGCAAGTGTTGACTCATATCTCTACTTGCACATGACTTGGCTAGTTGTCTTGTATTTGCAGTATCTAAAACATTTTGGTTTTGAAATGGAGTTTGTGTTAATTGATTTCAGATTCAATCCTTGGTGAAACCAACAAGGGAAATAGTAAGACAGACATTAGTCCGATATTCATAGCATGATATTGTGTCAAAACGTAAGTAACAGCTTTAATACTTTTGATTTATAAATAATTTTTTTCAGCCTCGTCTGAATGCAATTGGCACAGTAGACCACGATTGAACATTGTCACATCCTCTTTGTTGTTATGCTGAATAAATATAAAAGAACTTTGTGCCATAATAGTGTGATATTGTTGTCAACTGCATTGCACTGAAGTTATTATTCTAAGGTGAGAGGTGAGGTATGTAGATAACAATTATCTTTTAAACCATAGACATGCTTTTCAAGTTAATGTTGGAGATATATTTTTCTGCTCGAATGGAGCAGAAATTGGAGAAGGTTAAGGATGCTGTAGAGCTGTAATCTAATACTCCTCTTTGAATGGTATAAATGTTAAAAATTGCTTTCAGGTATTTGGGCTTTTATTTGAACATTTTATTTCTTTGGCTTTTGTGGAGAACCATCTATCTTATTGTGTGTTATATATTATTCTCCATTTTCACAATCTAGTTTTAATTTTTGGGTGATATTGTTTATTTAACTGTTGATCATGCAGTAGGTTCTAAATAGCTAGGTGTTTTTTGTTTGCTCCCTCTGCCATATCTGAAGGTTGGTGAGTATCATGCAGCACCTTTGCTGGGAAGTCCAATTTCAGCTCACAACAATTGGGGAAGGCCCCCAATCTATTCTGATCATTGAAAGCCTTTGGGAGGTGATGGACCAAACTTATTACGCTGTCCCCTATCTTTCTTGGTATGTCTACCCACTTATGATGATGATTTAGGACGCTTATTTTTAGTTTTTGTTTCTTGACTAACAAGTGAGTAAATGCTGATAGAAAATCGACGAATCATACAAGTGTTGTCTACCACTCTCACTTAAAGAAGCATGAGAATGCAACTACAGTGCTGATCTTTCCTTGAAAAAACAGATTAGAAAGTAAGAAAATCATTATGTGATCTACACTACAACTTATTTAATATTTGTTTCTTTGCGGGTTTTCTCTCCTTGTGGCTGTGGGAGGAAAGGCTGAGGTAGATGCATGTTTCCGGTGATGGTGAGGAGCAAAGAAAATAGTGCTGAAATGGGATTGAAAACAAAGAAGAAACCCGTGACAGAGCCAGGAAGCGGGGGAGGGCAAGGAAGAATGTTGCCATTGTTGCCCTCAAGTCCAACATGTGAGTGATTCCAAAGCATTTGTCTTATCATCATATTCATATGAAGATATCGCTAAGGGAATTTGACAGTGATAGTGACTGGATTATGTCTTTCAAGCCTGGATGCTGGCTTCCTTACACGATATGCTCAAGGCAGCCATCTGAAACTGGTTTGTGTTTACACCTTTCTTGCATATATTATCACCAGTCCGTTGGTATTTAGTTATTACATGTATCTTTGCAAGTAATTTAATGCATTTATGGCTGATCAACTTGAAAAGTGTTTGTAGTTGTCAGTTTTCAATTAAGACCATACTACAAAAGCTACGGATTGACCTGAAAATTATCTTTTTAGTAGAAATTAAAATTTTAAGCGATGTAAATTGATTTAATTTGTAGAACTATGCTTACTTTTGAATTCTCTCTCAACATGAATTTATTACATTTGCAGCCGTCATCCTAACCCCAGGAGATGTGTGAAATTTTGTTGTAAACAGCTGCTCCAGTTGGTCTGAGTTTGACGCAGCATGGTCGAAACTACACTGGCTAGCTAATTAGACCATTCTCTATCATTTAAATCATCGGGCTTGAACATGCTGTGAAAAACAGGGGAGCTGGAAGAGAGGATTGCTCTGTGGGCTTGCAGCTGCCCATCAGCAGTATTGATGGTAACATCTGTATGAATGGTTTTGTCGAGCATTCGAGAGAGGCATCTCAGGCTGGTTTGTGCTGCTCGATGCTGCATTGTGCCATCGCCATTGCCGGGCCATATTGAACTTCTCTCTCCCCCCTGAGATGAGATTCAGATGAAGGATCTAATGGTAAGTATCATATGATCATGTTCTTAATTTAACAGAAACTGCTGTACAAAGCTCACATTCGGAGAGGAGATTTTAAGGTCCATAAACTCGACATCAATGACTAAACGAGATTGGCCGTTCACTTCCACAGGGCAAGAGAAGTCATCTTTCGTTCGTAGGAGTCTCTCTTGAACTGCAGCCAACGTATATATGGATATATATAGCAACAATGCGATGGGGGTGGTGGTGAGATGGCTAACTTTTTTGGGTGTTGCTTTACTTTTACAAGCATTGACTCATTTATTTCTTGTTGACTAAACTCGGTATTTTTTTTGTTGTTATTAGATATCCTTGCAATAAAGATACAAGGAATATATGGATGCACAACTGCACATTTCATAGGAATGCATGTGACTTTAAGGAGTAAGTTTTCTAGACTGGAACGGTTTGCGAATTGTTATTTCATGGATCTAGTGATTTTGGCTTTTGTATTGATGAATTTCTGCTGCAAAAAACTTGTTCTAGGTTTCAACCTATATTCAAGGCCTAGTAATGGTATCACAAACCATTGTCTAAATCCTCCGGTTCCATGAAGTCAAGTATATTTTGTTTGTAATTTTTCTTATTCATTCATTCAATATCTCTATTATCTATAAAACAATACAATTATCTCTTACTAGATTATATTGTTTTGTAATTCTATAGTACCTTTAATAACTATTAATTTTTGTATTTGACTTTTCCTTCTTGCAGTCTCCACTCTCTCGTTTTAAGAAGTTGATGATTTGTAGTCACGCAACAAGATATGTGACAGGTATAAAAGTCAATTGAGACGCATTTTATATTTTGATTAGCAAATATTTTCATGTTTATTCATCTTTGATTCATTTTTAGGCTGCTCCTATGTGGATGGATGGATGTCTTCTCTCCCGTAAGAAGACATGTCAGCACATCTATGTATCCCTAGTTTTATGGTTTGTCTATATTTTGAATTTTTAGGTTTTCAACTGTATTAAAAAAATCAATGTATTCTTTTAAATGTTATCATTTTCTTTTGCAGCATGGGAATGGACAAGCTTGTTGGTACATTCCAAGACAAACATCAGGTTATTAGCAATACCAACGGTAAAGATTGAAATTTATTTATTCTTTTTTTTGTGAGCTTCTTTCAGGGCATCATATGTTTTTTAAATATCATTCATCTATGCACGCTTATATTTTTCTAAAGTGTGCAATTGAGATTCAAATTTCAGCCTCTGGCGGATGATGCTGATGTAGAAATGTCCTCTTGGGTAGACCACGATCTAGCCAGCGCACTACAATGCGGGAATACCTGATTTGGAATAATATATCATTGACAAATCTAAATCTCCGGGCCTCCTACTGAAGATAAGTTTATAAATATATTCATATTTTATAATATTTCTATACATATTTGGTTGATTTGTGCCTTTTCTTTTCCTGTCGAGGGTAGGATATTTGAAATCTTACATATTTTGTTTGAATTATATGCTAATTATGTGTTTGGTGCAGGTAAACCTGAAAGACTATATGTATAGGTAAATCAGCTTACTGATACTATCTTGCATTTTATTTTTTTTTTTGTGTTTTTTTATTTATTATTTTTTTTATACCGTGTTTGTATTGTTATGTTGCACTATTTATACTTGTATATTGTGTTTATATATGATATGGTGTGCTTATGGTGTCTTATTGGGTTGTGTTGTTTGTATTGTTATGATGCATTGTTTGTACTTGTGTGATGTGTTTACGTATGATTTGGTGCTCTTGTAGTATCTTTTTTGTGTTGTTTTTATTGTTCAATTGTGTATGTTTTGTGTGCTTGTACTGTTTTTTTGTGTTGTATTGTTTGTATTGTCATATTGCGTTGTTTGTTCTTGTGTGTTGTGTTTATGTATAATATGGTGTTCTTGTGGTGTCTTTCTAGACTGTGTTGTTTTACTTGTATGTTGTGTTTATGTATGGTATGTACACTTTTTTTTTTGGTGGTTATTGCTTGTGTTGCTGTTTGTATTGTATTATTGTATATTTTGTGTAATCTTGTGGTGTTTTTTTTGTACTATACTGTTTGTATTTCTATGTTGTATTGTTTGTGCTTGTGTGTTGTGTGGTATAATGCTTTTGGAGCCTTTTTTTTGTGTTGTTTGTGTTGTATTCTTTGTCAGTTTGTTGTTTATTTTGTGTGTGCTTGTGATGTCTCTTTGTATTTATTGTTTGTTGTATTGCATTGTTACAATGCATTGTTTGTACTTGTGTGTTGGATTTAGGTATGGTGCACGTGTGACTTTTTGTGTGATTAGTTTTATTTGTATTTTATTTTAAAGTTTCTTTTTATTTTTTATATTTTAAATCTATTTCGATGTATTTGTATGAGTGTAAAATCTCTGAGAGGACTGGGGAGTCAATGGAAATAGTTGGATTTGGATTTCAAACTCAAGAAGGTAAGTCATCTACATACATTAATATTTATTTTAATTCTCTTTCAATGTATTTGTAGAGCCTTCACATAAAATCTGGTTCGATTTGGATTTCAAACAAAAAAAATGTAAGGGTGTATATATTTTGGTTGAATTTGAAAAAAAAAAAAAAATTGATTTAAGTTTAGCATTAAAATATTTTTTGATGTAACTTTTTGGGCAAGAAAAAAGTGATAAGAAATCTTCAATAATGATAGGTGATACACGATAAGTTAATTGATGATGGAAGGTTTAAAAGCTATGTTTCTTTGTTTTTCCTCTTAATTTTTATTTTCTTCTTTGTTATTGAATTTCATTTGTACTTTCTTGCATATACATACATTTTGTTTATGTTTCTTGCTTTACAATTCAAATTTGAGTCAACCGGTGTGATTTTCTTTAGCGGATGAATATCCAAATTCCGGATACATACAACTTGTTTAAAAGAAGAATGGTCTCAAGCTATACTCAATGATAAATAACCACACCAAAAACCAAACAGTAAGCATCCCAACCAAAAAAAAATAAAATATTATAATAAAAAAAAAAAAAAATAATAATAATAATAATAATAAATCAAACAGCAAGCATTTACTTATACAAAGGGTAAAGTACAAATATTCTAAAGTAACTGGTCATAAGTCATCAGTGAAGGTAGGCAAGAAAGAATTCATTAACAATACAAATCACAACTTAACAAAGAGGCTTCGCAACATAGCATATATATTTCACAATTTAGGGAATCCAACAGCTCGTAACATTCGTTTGTTTCTCGGTTCCATTGGACACAAAGAGGAAACAAACAAACAAAAATAAAATTACCAGAATAGAACCCACAACAGCAGTTTAGGAAACTAAAAATGCTGCTTCATTTTTCAATGCCCTGTTGCAAATACTGGATCAGATCATAACCGGCAGTCGTCCACTTGTTATAGGCATCTGTGCACACACGTATCATGTAATTGGCCGCTTCGCGCTCGCTCATTTCTGGATGAAATCTTTTACGTAGATTTCCAATTGGGTCACCTCTACTGAAGCACGGCAATCCGCTGTCCAGCATTAGCGCAACTGTACTTATGATCCCATCCATGTAGCGCCGTGCAGCAAGGTAACCCTTTACGCACAAGCTGGATAACAATGGCTTCATAAGTATGAGTTAAGGGGACAATAAGTGGTTTTGTTTCGAAACAATTGATCTTACCTTACAAATTGGTACCACGTGTCACTTTTCATTACTCCAGATGGATCAAGCAACTGAGTCATTTCATGACTGAGCTTGAAGTGAGCACTTTCAAAACGCATATTGCCACCAGGCGAAGTTTCCAGAATGAAACCAAAATCAATATGAACTAGCCTGCCTTCGCTGTATTCACATCAAACCACAGTTAAGAGTCTAAACTGATGTGATTGCAAATAATTTCGTGCAGAAGCAATGTTCTATGTCTTTTCCCACTCTTCATGTACTTATAGTATGAAGATTGTCTATATACATGCCATGTTGTTAACATTATGATTGTGCGTCTTAGTATCGGAATATTATAATTGAATCTCATTTCTAGTGGTATGGCTTTTCTATATCTTCTGTGTTTACATTGTACTCTTACTCAATAAACAGAGCAACTCCAAAAGGATAACCTATTTTTCACCTCCTGATCACATTTTCTGTACTTCACTTAAGAACTGATTGCATAAATATACATGATAAAAATTGCAGTTTTCTTCCACATGATGTATTGCCTCTGAGTTAAGCTAAGCCAAACATGATGTTATATATGTATTCATTCTGGGTTCGGGACTATATGCATCTATACCTAATACCTAATAAAGGACATTATGTAGTTAGGTAAACATGAATGAGTTCACACAATAACGAACACAGTATAATAAATTGCTTACTTATCAAACAGAAGGTTTCCATTGTGTCTGTCCTTTGGTTGAAGCAACAGGCTAGCAACTGCATACCCAGCACTGCTCACGAGAAAATTCTCACGTGCAGTCTCAAAGCTTGGTGAACCAACAGGTCCAAAATCTTGTTGAAAAATCTCATATAGACCACCATCAGTAGTCTCACCCATCTGACTCCTGCTTCGAGAATTGGGCACAACCTGCCGCCAAGCAGTAAGGATAGAATGGTTATAGAGGAAAATCCAAGCAAACCAAGAAGTAATATTTGCATAACTCACACTTTACAAACACACAGACACTATGCATTTACCTCAATAATGCCTCTCTCTGGGCCAGTTGGGAGTACACCATAAGGAAACAGATAAAGCTTTAGCCCAACAGCAGCAAAGATGTCTTTTAAAAGTGAAATAACTTGCAAAGCAAGAACATCTTGCCGACAGTCATCCCCAACCTAAATCCAAACTCAGCCACCATCAGGCTCAACATAAATATTTTAAAGAGAAAATATGCACCAAAGGTTCAAAATAATATTAAACAATTTCATGAGATTCATTTCAACATTTTCTTGCTAGAACAAACAACATAAAAAGCTAAATTGTTGTATCTCAGCAATTGCGTTTCTATACGACACTATTGCTCAAGGTCTTACTGCAAGGCTCTTAATTTCAAAAGCTGTGGAAGGACAATTCATAGGATATGCCACGCCTCATCTGGAGTAATCTAGATGTAACTATACAGAGATTTAAATTGATGTACCTTAAATATGCAAGCTTGTGGCTTTATATCATTGGGATCTCCATCCCGGTCCACCACATTGAAGGTGATCATGATAGGAACTTTTGCTGCTGATTGTAGAGGGATTCCACTATCAACCTGAATACCCCTGACTAGTTTATTAGGAGCAGTTGGTAGATACAGGTCATTTCCTTCCACTTGAATCTTCTCCAGCTCCCTATTTTTAACACAAAACAGGATCACACAATTGAAAGTGATATATAAGTCTGCATGCATGGACACAACTTTCATGGAAATAACCCTCAAACGTCACCTTCGTATGCCAGCACGTCTTTCATCTTTTGGAAGTGGATAGAGAACACCAGATATAGATGTGACTTTGTCAAAGAAATCAAATTCTCTTTGAAACACGTCATATGCTATCGGATTGAAACCATCAATAATTTTTTGTCTGACAACTGGAAGCAGTGCTTGAAATGCACTATGCTGCAAGCAAAAAGGAAAGGGCACAAAAATAAGAACTTATGGGAAGTATTACAAGTTACAACAAAAAAGCACATATTGTCATCTTTATATAGAGTTGAAATGATTGATATGGTTGAAATACTATACCGTCGCAGATACTGCATCCTTTCCAGTTTCAGAAGCAGTGGTTTCACCCTGCATGAAAACACAGCCATCTGAATGATAAACATCCTTGCAATGCAAAGTAAACACTTAAGAAAACTTGCCAATTAAACTAAATTTTAGTCACCTGTAAATGCCATATCAGTATATGAGCAAAAATATCACTCCTTTGTGTGGCCCTATGCAAGTATCCCTCAACCAACTTCTGTAATTGCAAGTTAACAGATGTTAAAAAATTTTCTTGCCTAGAGATGCTAAAATTCATGTAAATCATTTCAAAACCTCAAGTATGCTTCAAGGACAGGGAAATGATGTGCATGAAAGTTAAAATAAAGAGAGCAACAATTATGTTTTATATATTCAGTTGTTTTGATGACAGATCAATTTATTAAAATATACAGAAGTACAATCATGTCGAGTCAAGAGGATAAGAGCCCACCTCATCATCATATCTTAGCGCCTGTACCAACTGTGGCATGAAGAAAGTCACTTTTTCTGGTGGATAAGATTCAAGAACCCTGAGGACATATGCCATGACTCGTGGATGACCTTTATATGCAGGAGTAAGGAACTCCAAAGCTTGTGTAATTGAACAAGGCGCCCAGTGTGGAAGACGTTGCAGAAGTGTTGAATTCTCATCCACCGCTTTGGGGGTGACAAAATAAGGCAAAGCTTCAGGAATACTGTGGATCTCCAATATATGTGACTATGGAAGGAAATTCGCCATTAGTTAAAATCAGATGGAAATAATTGAAAGAAATTGAACTAACAGCAGCAAACAGATACCCTTCATCTGCATGTTTTACTTCAGCATGTACAACTCAAGTTTCATATCAAAATTTTGAACATGCTAAAAGAATTAAGACTACTGATATGATATTATAATTGTCTTGCACAGTTGCCTGTAAGTAATTAATTTGAGCATAAGCCATTAATCCTCCAGCATTTCTCCATATCAAATTTACTTTCACAAGGTAAGATTATGAGAATACTCATGCTTTGCATGTAAACTTTCTTGCAGCCACGCAAAACCTAACCAACATACTTGAACTAGCTGAGTGATTTCAGTCTTCAGAGTAGCATTTGTGGGAAACATTGCAGCCAACGATAAAGCAATTCGCGGATCAACAGCAAAGGCTGTCCTTGCCAACTCTATCCATTTATCAGAGCTAATTTTAAGTCGAGAAGAACCTTCCCTGAAAGCCATTAGACAAGAATATAAGCAAAATAAATAAATCTATAAATAAGGATCTCCACCATGAAACTATGAGCAAAAAAATTGGTTTGAGAAGTCTAGGTAATTACTTTGATCCAACAGGTTGAGCCCAAACCTCAAGCCTGTCAGCCTCATGCTGGCATAACATCAGCAGCAACTGTCTTCTCTTCTCACGTCCAACAGCATAGTTCTCCATCCGACCCCAGACAGGGTGATGTTGATCCTTCTACAGAGTATAACTAAATACTTTAAGCTTATAAAACAATCTGTGCAACAACAAATATTTCCCTACATTAAGGATTTAAAAACATTTCAAAGCCACAACTTCAGGTACTTGCCATCAATTTTCTTACCATATCATTTGAAGAGCTACCATTTTCAAGCCCTCCACCTTTTGTCTCTAATGGGGGTAAGTCCACCCGTTCATTGAGATGATGGACAAATGTTGAAACTGATTGAGATTCACTCTGAGAAAAATTGTTGTTATTCAAATCATACCATCCGGGTTGATGAGCAAACCACTCCAAAGAGGTTCTGTTTTTACCAAAAGAAGATAAAACAGTATAGACAGGCGTACTTTAAGACAACTAATAAAGATTAATACACAGCTTAAGGGAACAACAACTGCTTAAAGATAGAGATTGATATTGATGGAAGCTAAAGCGTAAAGAGACAAATCTATGCAGACAAAATAAGCAGATCAATATCATACATACTAGATAAGAAATTTCACGTTGTGTATTTTCAATATGCCATGGGACTGCTCAACATAGAAAATATAAGCATACTTCAGGGATAACAAAAACATATACAAATAAGTTTAGACTTTTCCACTAAAAAGTGAACAAACAAAACATTACTTTTAAATGATATCTATCACCAGATCAAGGTCATGTCTCCACTTGACTCATTTGAACAATGTGTCTGGACCGCTGAAGAGCATGCTGAGGAAATTTTTGAAGCATTCTCTAAAAATATTCTTTTCTAGGTATAGATCAATATCAAATAATATTTTGAAGTTCAATTGCTGTCATTAGAATTACGAATTGCCCGTAGTTGAATCTGTTAACTGGAGGATTTTATTTGTAGGCTGTGCTCATTGAGTCCATCAATTGCAGAAAGTTATTTATTGAGGTAAAATAACAAACAGGAAAATATTCTTTCCTGCATATGCATATGTCAGTAAACAGATTTAACAAGTTCACAAGCTCACTGCTCATGTGACTTAGTAAGCAAGTTCTGTCCTAGAACTCCCCTCAGACATCACAGCATCCCATATAAATTGAAAGACCATTATACCGTAAAGACTAATATGTTAGTATAAACAATTCTAAGGTAAGGCAATCAAATCCAGCAAGTTTCTAAAAGCTCTTACTTAAGAGTCCTTACCTATATATTCTATCTTCTAGCAATTGAAGGCCTGATCTAAAGTTCTTGAGGTTCCCCTGTGTTCTGCATGAACACAGTTTTAGTCCAAAAAGCATTAGAGTGAAGAAAGTTCCTGTAGCAGCTGGATGCCGAGAAAATTTCCAGGGAAGCTTTGTTGTTCCTTGTACCATCCGACCAAGAAGTAAAAGCTGTTCAATGCTATCATGCCGAACTACCTGTAACAATAACACCCAAAACCAAATGACTTCATATTATTGAGTTGATGCAGTAGTGCAGTCAAGAAAAATTAAAGACGGATAAATCATGCACTAGAGGGGACAATATGCACATAATACTCCATTTATCTTACTGATAACCACAGAGATCAGTCTAAACAATGAAACAAAGTCTGACCAAGAATGCATGCAAGAGAGGCTAAATATGTGATGCTTACTTCAAACCGATCAATAAAGAATCCAAGCCACAATCTATGAGCCATTATCTGTCCAACAGGGTCCTTCTCAGGCAGAGGTTCTGGCTCTCCAGGGGAAAGATGGGGTCTCAATTTTGCAGATGGTCCAGAGAACCTTGTGTCAGATGCAAAAAGGCCTCGTTTGGTGTCTATTGTCCACAACCATGCATCTACTAGCTCAGCAAGGACAAGAGATCCTAACTGAGGAGCAGCAGAAACCAACCATGTCCAGATGTAAACACCAGTCTCTACAGCATCAAGTGTGGTTATATAAGCTGGACACCAGCAAAGAAGGCGTAGAAGTTGAGAAAAGCTCTCAACATTCAATTTTGAATCTGAACCCTGTGTAAAATATGTTTCATCATCCTCACCAATAATAATCATGTATCCAAGTCCATTAACAAACTCAAATGTAGAAAAGTAACAACGGGTTTACCAGATTTGAAAGAAGTAGGGCAGTAGCTTGAGAGCATGTTTCACGAAAAAATGCTTTATCTATTGCTTCTCCTTTCTCGGCAGAATTAACACATTTCTGAAGCAATCGTACAAATTTGGTAATCACCACTTCATTAAAGGACTGTGGTGAGTGTTCAGAAGACCCTGAAGCTGGAGGGTCAGGTGTCAGTCCACTGTTAGCAAGAGCAAGCCCACCAATGCTCTCATATAACCTTCTCATGCCTGCTATTTCTCCAGCATGGTTACACTTTGCTGTTGCACTGACCATACCAGTACCAAGAACCTCCAAATTGAATGCATCTGTCAATTTCAAATTCCCTCCTGAAGCTGCAGCAGCAGCAGCCATAACTGCAGGAATATTAGCTGATTTTGTACCAGTCCAACACTCATTTTTACCCGTGCCAATCCTTATCTCAGACAAAAGAGAAACCACATCAGCCGTAGGCTGTGTTCTTTGCCAAGAATTAGCTTTGCAAAGGTTTTCCTAGTTAAAATAAAATACGAATTAGAAATTAAACATAATAATGGCTTTCCAGTCAACAACACAAAAAATTTGATATTAATATTAGCTCTTGGCTAAGGTTTACAGGATGGACAGGCCTAAATAGAATGCATTAACATGTTTTCTGCAAAGCTCATGTATACCCAAGGACAATCCAGAACGAAATCTGGTAAATAAGAAACCTCCAAAGCGCCATCTATGTGATTCATTTATTGGAAGTGTAAAGAATTCGGAAGTGGAGAGGGCAGTTGAAAAAACTCTAGATGACTTCTAACAGATACCTAAATAAATTAGATGATGGACTACAGCAAAACTATTAGAAAGATGATAATAGTTTATTACACTTAAACATTCCTCACATGCCCATAATGCACTGTCTTACACATCTGTGGAAATAAGCTGTAAAAATCAAACTCAAGCTTCTTGTTCGTCAATGACTAGAAAGGTGGATTATCTAATACTTAATTCCTTAATTAAGATGATATTATATTAGTTGAGAAAAATGGAACCATAGAAAGGAGAAAAGACAGTTTAGTACCATATCTCCGCACACTAGTTTTGCAAATAAGTAATAAAACAGAATGTAAGTAAAACTGAGAAGAAGATGCAATAAAATGAGATGAATCCCAGTGAGAAATGAATAAACCTGAAGAAGACCCTGACTAGTGCATGGAGCATGCGAAAGTGCCACAACAATCCACTCCCGAACAACCTTTTGGTATAAAGCTCGAACATTCGCCAGATAAGCAGGATCACTCACTACAGTAGAGGGTGGATCATTATGCATTGCAAATAGCAGGGAATCTAGACAGGATGAGTTCCACAAGATCTGCAAGCCATGGAAACCATTAAGTGCTCCAGATGTTAAGGGAGACAAATGAACAGCACAGCCCAACCATAATGCATCTTCACCTGAGGAAATTTATCTCTAAGCTGCGTTAACAGATTGACAGAGAGGTCTCGCACATGCTCATCCCTCTGAGACAAATTTTTAATGAGAAAACATGCATGGACAGAAAGTGTAGACTCTCTAACATCAGCGTCAGGTCCAGTCTCAGGTGCTCGATCCTCCTGTATCATTTTGGATGATATATAATGTTTGCATGATATATTCAAGAAAAAAAAATATACAAAAAATAAAAACATATCAGGAGTATCTATTTGTAAACATAGATGAAATATTATAAGAAAGAACACTTCAGCAATGCTTTAAAATTCACACACTCATATGTGAAATTTCTGCCTGATTTTAAATACATTGGATACAATAAAATTCAAGTATAAAAGAACAATGTTACAAACAATACACATGGTTTCAGCTACCATAAAAGAACACTAGTTGACTGATAAATGATAAATAGTATAGGCTTCATTTAGAAGGACCAAACAATCCTGTACAGTTCTATTAAATTATAAGTTTTTTCCATTCACAAGTCACAACAATGAAACACCATGGTCATGTAATCCACTGCTTCAGCTTTCTTGCACACACTGCATGCTCACATAAGAGAGAGAGAGAGAGAGAGAGAGATGATGGGGTGGGGGAAAGGGGTGCTCAGTTACCAGCCAAGCAATTGCTGTTTCAAATGCTCGATGGACAATTGCAGTCAAGCACTTGGAGACTGCTGGCATAAGATTCGGGCTTCTAAGGTATTCAAAGACACAGCTGAAAGCACTTCGAGAAGCAGTTGAACTTGGGCCTCCATTAAGAATACCACCATTGCTGCTAAACCGTATAATCTCCAAGAATGCTACAGCCAGAAGATAGGTTGCTTTGACACCTACACAAAGCAAGTATACATAACCCATCCCTTATCTTAGGAATAAGAACACTCTTAAAACAAAAAACAAAGAAAAGGGCAGGCATCAGATCAACTCCCTAAAACGAACCACTAGTGACCAAGAAAAAAGATAATCATACCTGAGATTGTACTCATTCCAGACACGTCCACCCGCCCTCCTAAAGCAGCATAAAGAGCAGTTCGCTGGCTCAAAGCAGCTTTCTCATTTCCACTACCTCTCCGACTACCCGGATTATGAAGAGCATTAAGCTCCAACTCATCTTCCAGCCATTTCACAGAGCTCACAACCTGAACAGGCATTGTTTCCCTTCAAACGTTATACTTTAGAGATTCTTATGGTGATGATAAACATAAAAAAGGTACTCGAAAAGATCAATGATTGCCAGAAAGGAAATATATAACCAGATAATAAGAATCCTTCCACACTATGGAAAAATTTCATGTAGAGGACTACCAACCAATCCGAGAGGAAATCCTCATTGTCACCCTAACAATGTTAGCTTTACATCTAAATTCTACATATAAAAAATAAAGAGCAAAAATATGTTGTCCTTCATTCATCAACTATATTAAAAAAAGCTCATCAAATTCAATTTTAAGAGTATAAAGTATTTTTTGGCTTAACGCACATTGAGTTTAGAAAATTATGCATTCTACACCAAATATTGCAAGATACTTGCAAGAACCAGACGTTAAACAAAAAAAAATCCACCATAATTAATAAGTAGGATGATCCAATAATTTTGTTAAGTAAGATGTGCAAAATTAGTGCATATTTCAAAAGCAAATTTGTAGGTCCCAATCTAGTTAGTCATGAAGGAAGGCAAACAATCAAAATGAATGGATAATGTAAGTCAACTTACAAGAGGTGGAGTTCCGTGAGATATTCGCTGAACGGAAGACGACCATGAAGAATCCCACATGTATGGTCCACCAACAGCTTGGAGACCACTAGTGCCGATGCTGCTCACACTATTGAGTGTAGTTGAAACAGACTTTGTTGTTGGCATAATTTTTTGTATTGGAGGGGCTAACCCAAAGAGAGCAATATAGAACCATAAATTGCGAAATAACTTCAAGAGTGAAGGTTCCACATCTATGTTGGGCTCAAAATCTGAACATATCTCAGCTACGGCAGGGAGGAGTGGTCCAAGAAAATCAGCCCCACTTCTGAAAGATGTTACTCGTTAGGGTGTATTTAAAAGGTGCCAGTTCAACATAACACCCTAACAATTCAACTTTTGAAACTGTACCTCCCACTTTTTGATTCTGCAGCCAAGCCCACATCTGAGCATAGTGACAGTAGACGATGTCGGTAGTCTGAACGCAACTTAGTACTTGTGATGCCTTTGGCAATCAACAAAAATCCTGCAGGCAAAGTCTTGAGTGTAGTTGAAACAGTGAGCACCCATTTTGTCCTAGCAATATACTTCTAGCATTAGTCATTCTAATGTAATGAAAAGTTAAAGCACACCTCCACACGTTCAGTAGTGGCTTCTGGTACTTGTGTTCTACTTTCGGCAGATCCAACAGCAGAAAGTTTACTTAAGTAGCTCCGAGTCATCAAAACCACAGCTTCACGGTAAGACTTCTCAAAACCTAAACTCGCCAAGCGAGAAACAGCATCAACAAGCTGCAGTAACTCAAGAAGAGCAGGTTGAGAAAATTGTGCAAGGGTACTTCAAAGAGATCTATATTAATTTGGCCAATGTTATAGAAGCTACAATTTGAAAGTCTAGAAGGAATAATTAGTAATACTAAAGCTACAGAAATAGGAACCCACTTGAAGTCTCAATAAACCTGGACTTGAAGCATCACCCTCCTCCAAACTTTCAATGAATAGGGGCAATATCATCTCAACAATTTCAGGCTTTTTAACAGAAGCATTAAGCTCAGCTAACAAACGTATGACATTCAGTTGCAATGGTGGAGCAGCCTGCTTCTCTTTTCCATCCTGGAAGGCACAGCAGTTGGGGTTGCATAAAAAAGTTAAAGACATGCATAGCATAATCTCAAAACCTTAATGAGAAAACCCTCATCTGTTTCAACCATTTCTCTAGAACCAGAATCATCAGTTCATCTCTAGATGGCTAAATAAATGAAAGCATCCAATTTAAGATAAATCTTAGCAATCTGAAAATCATTTTGAACTCATTGAATATATATATCTACAGCATAGTTTGACACTTTTTCGATAGATAAAAATTGAAAATAAGCATTTCTCCATAATATTCAAATATTAACTTCCAACTGAAGTGTTCTGATCCTCAAATAGCTTAAACTAACCATTTCCTAAGACTCTATAGAAAGTTAAGGCAAAATAATCTAGACACTTCAAGGCTAGGCTAGAACAATTGCAATGAACCATATCCTGAATGAGACCTTAATCATTATGTGATTTTCCAATTATTATAGGTCGTATTACCCAGCAAAGAGGTTTGTGTTAGTCATCTATGGTCATATAACAACCCAAATGTTTTTAATGTATCCAGTTGATGGAAGTTTAAATGTGGACTGCGGAGTATTTTTGTGCTTTTGGGGCAGGTTCTAAACACCACTGGGAGAGACTTGAATTAAGGAGACAAGGTACCACTGGAAACATAACGAAGATAGACATGAAAACAAACACTGGTACAATAAGAAGCGGAAAAGCAAAGTACAGTTATGATGTTTTAAGCTATAAATGGCACCAACCTCTTCCTCATAATCATTTCGATCCCGGATACTAGTGGCCAGTCCCATGATAAAAGCATCTACAGGCGGCCGGTCCTTGGCCCAACCAAATTCAATTATTTCACAGCAAGTTTTCAGGACACTTCTAAACATAGATCCCTGGTTACTGGCCCAAGTGTCACCCTGCTCATAGCAGATAACATCAATAAGTTCATTTATGAAATTGACATAGTGGAGCAGTAATGTGGAGTGTTGGTTAGGTATCCCGAGTTTGATCATCGTGAAGCATCATTCCAATAGAAGAAGAAATGTACCTGAGCACAAGTGGCCAGTACAAGGGGCTTAAATCGAATCAGCAGAACCCGGAGAAGCTGACCACCACGAATAACGGCAGCTTGAGAAATTCCAGAAAGTAAACATTCAAAAAGTTCCTCACAGGCTCTCAACTTTCGCCAGCCAGAAAACAGGCATGCCTCCGCAGCCTCTATCAATAGTGCAAGAGATCCATGCAACAATCTCTTTGAGGACTTCCCTTCTGTGTCAAGAGATGTTAAAGTCTTGATATGCAACTTTGCAGCAGCTTGGCAAACAGACAGCTTTCTATTGATCTTAACTTTAAGCAATTGCCCTTGATCCGGCCAATCGCGCTTTCTTATCTGCACACGTGAAAAAACAAATGTGATTTTTGGGCAATGCTTTTTATCCTAATCTAAACTACTTTTCAATTTATCATACAACCACCGATTCATTATGTATTACCTTTAATAAAGCAATGATTGATTGAAGTTGATTCTTTGCAATCCCTCTCACTTGCTGCATAAGCTGGGAATCAATGGTCACTATACTCAATACATGTCCGATTAACTTAAAAACAATTTCTTGTCTTTCAAGAGACTCCAAAGTCTCTTCTTCAAACAATTTCATAGCCTTCTTATATGATGGAGTGCTGCCCCCACCACCTCCCTCTCCATCATTGAACAACCCATCATTGCTTTTCCATGCAATGCTGCTCCCCCCATTTGAAGTCACACTGCTCGGAGACTCTGCTGAAAGATTGTTAAGCTCAACACTTGGAGACTGATAATGGTTCACGCTGAGTGGAGAACTCTGAGCTGAAGCTCCATCAGGAGTACCCGAAATTCCATCCCCTGGAGAGCTTGGAACAACAATTTCAAATCGATCAAGAAGAATGGCAATCAATTTGGTCACATCAGATTGCGCAACTGGAGGGAAATTCAAACATAAAGCATTCAGAAAAGCCCGACAAACACTGGAATTGGCATTGCTTATCGTCTGAATCACAATATCACCCGTGAACCCAGCCACGTCAGTCGCAAAATCAGGGGACTTCTCAGCCGCTCTTGAAATGTAGCTCAAAAATTCGTTAAAGAAAGAAGAAATCGCCTCTGTTGAAAATGCCTGCGGCCAGAAACTCGGGTTGAAGGATGCCGGAATTGAACGGTAAAGCGCGAGAAGCAGCGACTTGGGGGTTTCTTGATCGGAATTCGGGCATTTGGAAAGAAACCGTGCTAACGCTAATATGGCATGTAGCTGGGACCTCGAAACCCTCGGCGATCTCGACAACAGCGACTCCGCCGACGGGCACCGGCTGCAAATCCAGGCGATTTTCTCGCGAAATTGTGCTGGATTCTGTGCAATCAAATCACAGAGCTCCACCAGCGACTCCATCAAACGACTCCAAACTCCGATTTGCCGGGATTCACCGAATTTCAACTAAGTTCCCATTGATCAAACGGAATCAACAAACGGTCAACACCACCACCAACAACTAAGCAAATCCAGTGAGTCTGAACACAAAATGCCGCAATATTAGGGTTTATGAGTGGCCTCGGGGAGACGGCGCTGATTAAACGACGGCGTACGATGGAAATCGCTCTCCGTCTTCGTCCCCGACGGCGATTGAGTTGAGGGCACACGCATTACCGCGCCTCCGTTTTCTCAGATCTTTTGTTCCGCTGTGTTTGTCTGTGTATTCATTTTCCTTTTTTTAATATTATTATTAAAAATATATATATATATTTATTTTTTTTTCAGAAATTAGGAAAGTGTCTGGCTGTTCAAATTAATTTTGCTTCGTTTTTCTGCAGACAACTTTAGTTCACACTTTGGCCGCTGAATTGGTTTAAATCTCTAATTGACCCCAAAAGTTTTTTTTTATGGGCTCCTAATTTCAGGGCCGGCCCAAATAATTTGTGAACACCAAATAAAACTGTATATAAAGATCGCCGGGAGCACGCATCTGGCTTCTCGGAGGAATTCTGGCCGCGAGAAGATTGCAAATCCCGCCTGAAGAACTGGTGAGTTTACAAAGAATTGACTCTCAAACTTGTTTGATTCATACATAGGTTTTACTTTGATTTGTGAGGGTTATTGGTACAATAAATTTGCTGTTGACGCGCCGCTGCTGAGTAATGTGAAATAGTTTCCGATTATTCATCTTGTTCGTAGGTTTGATTTCTGAGGGTAATTGGCACAATAAATGTTCAGTTAAACGCGCCGCGGCTGAGTAATTTGAAATAGTTTCCAATTAGTCATCATGTTCATGTATAATTGCATTCTATCGCTGTTTCATTGGAATTTGAATTGCAATCAAGGATTTCTGTTTGCCGGAGAATTGTGGTAAACTTCTCTTTGTTTATTATGTGCGTCGTGCTTTCTAGGGCTTGTTGATCCGAGGAATCAAACAGTGTAATATATACTCCTTCTATGGTCGTTCAGATTGAAAGTGAATGAACTCTTAGAGAAACATTTTCCGCAATTTAAAAAAATAAAATAAAATAAAGGAGTTGCAGATAGATTCTTACGGTTAAACTGCTGGATAATCATAATCCTACGAGTATATTCAACTAGATAGTTGAGAGTGACAAAAATCGATCCAATTCTCTTATATTTTACTTGGATGCTACAGATATTTGGAAAAACCTGAATTCCCAAACCTGTATGGTTTACACTTTGTTATTTCCAGATAATACATGAATGGACAGCATAGTAGATTCACTAAACAGTGCCTACCACGATTTCATCGCTGCAATGGCTACTGTGTTGGAAGCGAAAGAAACTTCCGGTGGCCAGAAAACTCCAGCAACTGATGCTGCTCTTGAAAACTTCAAGCAACGATGGGAACTATTCAGGGTTGCCTGCGATCAGGCCGAAGAATTTGTGGAATCAGTGAAGCAGAGAATAGGTTCAGAGTGCCTCGTTGACGAGGCCACTGGTGCTGTGGCTACTAAACCAGGGCAGCCTGCTCCGACAGGTCTCCCACCAATTAGTGCTGTTCGGCTGGAGCAAATGAGCAAAGCTGTTAGATGGTTAGTCATTGAATTGCAGCAGGGTTCGGGGGCAGGTGCTGGCTCATCACATCCCAGTTCAGCCGCCCCTTTTGATGCTCGATTCACTGAAGATGCTGCTCAGTAGGTAACTCTCAATTCTCACTTTACCATCGAGTTGTCTGTTCTACGCAGAGCTGCCATAGATCCTGGAAATTCTGGTTAATTCTCCCCGAAAATGTTTATCTTGTTTATACACCATTGTGCGGCTGTCTGCTGAACTATGATCAAGAATGAAGCTACAGGACGATCCCGAAACTGACTTGGATGGCTTCCTGAGTTTCCAAAAGGTATTCTTCTGTGTTTTTATGACACACTGAATGATCTATGTAACAGTTTAAACGAGCATGTATGGATGAATACTCAGTCAGTTGTGTAATTTGACTATTTGAGCCCTTAGGAGAGTAGCACATTTATTTGTTGCTTTGGAATTGAAACATTAAGGAATTTAGGAGATTTGTTTTATGAACATTATAGGCTTCATGAATGTAATGATCTAGGTCTCGATCAATCAGTGGCCATCTTCATCTTTTTTCGAAAAAGAGCTGCTGAAGTAGTTTTTATTTGTTGATTGATCGTAGTATAATATGTTGGATGATTTGAAGATTTAAGAGTGTGGTTGTTTGGGGTTTTGGATTTTGAGCTGAGATTTGAATAGTAAAAATTTTAAATTTGAATAGTTGTATGATGTGATTCTTTTGAATGCAAAATTGATTTTCAGTATAATATAAAAAATAAAAAATAGGTGTTTTGATTTTATATTTTTAGAGGAAAAAAATTGGATGAATAGTGTATTTAAAATCCAATCCTCCAAACAAACACACCCTAATGAGCTATGTACTCTCTTGTTGAATGACACGTGAGTGGGTTTGTTGACTTATGGTGTCTCGTTTGTATCCATTTACCTATCTGCAAATGAATATTTACGCGCAGGGGTATTTATATTTTTTATTTTATATTATATTAATAATTATTTTACATTTAAATATTACATTATTTTTATTTAGGTTATATAATACAATTATTTTAATTCAAAATTTTTTCTATTTAAATTTTAAATCTAATTTCAAATTTTTACTATGGTGATATATTTTATAATATTTGTACATTAAAACTTTTGACACTATTTTTTATATCTCATTAAATTTTTACTTTTTATTATTTTCATTTAAAAAAAAAAACTTTTCAAAACTGAAAAAATATCTATCTAGACGAAAATATTCTTATAATTCCACAATGTAATTAATATATGTATCTTCATTACAAAATTAATATATTATTAAATGATATTATACGAAATTGTAATGAAGATGCATATATTAATTACATACACAGAAAATAAAGACACGATCTATCTGTAATCCGTACATTCCATGCAATAGATTTTGCGATGAGATTTTATTGATTCGATGAAAATCTGAGGAGGAAAATAGAAATTAATAATAAATAGAAATTAATAATTAATAATTAATAATTAATTAATTTAGTGGAGAATAGAGAGGGTGACGTACGGATGGCTGTGAACGTGGGCGGGCCCATGGGCCAAGAGAACTAGAATGATCCATTCGAAAACGACGTCGTATTGGCTGACTGCCAACAACCAGTTGAGGAAAATATGATCCTCGCTCCCTCTCCGCCATTCCCTCGCTCTTTATCAGCGTCACTCAATGCAAACTTTCCTCTGATTCTCTCCGCTCATGCACTGTAGGTGTTCTTGAAACGGGATCGATCTGCAGGTACATTCGTCATTTCCTTCTCCTCCCTATTCTTCAAGTAGTATCTATTCTAATTTTGTGTGATCGCACGGTTTTTTGGTTCGGATGGCACTGGTTGTTACGGTTAACTTGTGGATTCTGTCGCCGTGTTTTGTTAGGGTTTTTGCGACGACGGATATGCCGGAGCTCCACTTGCTTCGTCTCACCATGTTCCTTCGCAGGCTGGAAGCGATGTGAGTGGGAGTTTGTTGTTTGTGACTGTGGACGGCGAAGTTTTATTTGTGTTTTCGACATCGGTTTCTGTTTGGATTGAGTTTGTTTCGTTGCGTATGTTCGCAGGATTCTAGATTTGGGGGATGTTATGCATAGCGTCTACGTTTGGATTTTTTTGGTAAGTGGTTGTTATTTGTTGTCGTTTCTTCGTTTTGCGGTAATTTATGCTCGAATTGATCTTCTTACCTTCCTGTACTTGTTCTGGATTCTGGATTTGTGGAATACTATGCGTAACATCTACGTTTTGGAAATGTTTATTGCTGATCGAATATTGCTTCTGTAGTTGGATTTGTTTGAGCTATTTGGATGAGTTTTTTGTATAAAAGTTATCTTAGTGATATTTCTTTGGATACTGAATGCTTTGATGTGTGGAGTCAGTAGATTTGTACACTTGATAATGCTTGTCATACAAAATAATTGATTTGTGTGGAATTGGTTTGTATCGATATAGCTTTTCTAGTAGCTGTTGTGCCACATTCAATTTTCTTATGTCATTCTGAATGGTAACCTTGGTTGTTTGTGTTTGTGAAACACTAGCCTGCAACTCATTATAAACAGAACTACTGCATGTATGTTAATTTCAATTGAATATTGCAGAATGGAGATTTTGGACTCCGGTTACTATGGCACATTATGCATCTAATGTTGAGCTTCTGGTACTTAGCTGTGGGATGGGTAAATGCGCTCGAGAGCTTTCTTATCTCCTCTGGAATGATTAAGAAATATAAAGATCTTGATGTGAGTAGAGTCAAGTATCTAGCAGTTGTTATAGACAGCGAAGAAGCTCGTCACACTCTGAAAGTTCTTGACCTGTTAAGATGGCTAGATTCAATTGGAGTGAGAAATGTCTGCCTCTACGATTCAGAAGGTAGAATCGAAAAAAAAATAATAATAATAAGATAACCTTGATAAACTGTATTTAGATTTTAACAACTTTCTGTGGTTTCTTGTTACTTCTGAACTGCAGGAGTGCTAAAGAAGTCGAAAGATGCCCTGACATTGTGGCTGAAAAGTGAAAGATTGTCCAATGTACTGCCTCAGTTCTTTATATTCTACATTCTTGATCGATGTAGTCCCATTAGCTAAACCTAACAAAAATATATATCGTCTCACAAATTAAATCCCATTAAAGGTGCACTTCTTTGATCATAGTTCAAGATTTTAAAGTCTTTTTCTCCATTTGAAGTTCATAGAACTTCAAGGGTCATTTCCCTTATAAGTTCTTGTTTCCTAGTGTCGCGCTGTCCTTTCGGGAGTTGAGGTTTAAATGTTTTAGTGGTTTGTTTTTTTGCATAGGCTTTGATATCATATATTTGTCACTCATTCTCTTATCACAATGCACAGGCCATTGCTAGCAACAAGCTTCCTGAGCAGAAGTATATGAGTATGGAAGTCATTTCTTATTCTGATGGGAAACATGCTGTTGCAAAAGCAGCAAATGTACTTCTAAAGAAGTATTATCTGAACTCCAACTCCGACAGGCCAAAATTAACAGAAGCAGACATGACAAGTGTTCTTGGAGAAATAGGTTTGTTTTCCAGATTCAATGATTGTGATTTGATTCTGTTAGGTGATGGGCAGTAAGTTTACATTCATATCCATCTATTTGATCAATTAGGGTATGGTCCAGAACCTGATCTCATGTTGGTTTATGCGCCTGCAAGATGCCACATGGGATTTCCGGCTTGGAGAATTCGGTATACTGAGATTGTGTAAGTATTGCTTTTATACTCCATTTCCACTATTTTTCGCGAATATGGTGAAGGCCCCCCTTATTTTAGCAAAAGATGATATTTGGTAACAAATGACCATACTACTATCTTATGATTATTATTATTATTTGTGATTTTGGATTTATTATATCTTTCCCTCACAAGTATGTTTTGTTGTTGCAGGCACTTGGGGCCATTGAAGTCTATGAAATTTGGTGCTCTCATAAAAGCAATCCACAGGTTCACTATGGTCCATCAGAACTATGGTATGTATATCTACTTCAACCAGAAAACAGTTAACTGTTCATCTCTGAAACCTAACCGTAACAGTCAAGCAAAAAAGACTTGCTTGATCTTAACTGCACAAAATTCACTTTCGACAGCATGAGTAACAAGTAAATGAAATGTTTAAGAACAATTTGGTTGTAGCAGCTATTGCTTCAATTCATTAGTGTACCACATGCTTTGTTGAATTGCCTGTCTGACTTAGCCTTGCTTTCTATTTTATTTTATTTTATTTTTATTTTTATTTTTTTAGGTTCCTGAACTGGTTTACAGCGGACATCATGTTATCATCCTGAACTGTTGCAGTGGACCACCGGGCACCAACGTTTCATTTAATTGACTGCTTATATTTTATATAGATATATATATATATATATTGAGTTGTTAATCTATGTATACAGTTATCGACAACTACATATAGCCTTCCTTATAACTTGACAATAATTCATCCATGTGTCTGCCTTATTATCTATTTTGCACATATCTGGATCTAATTAATCAAATAATCCCATAACAACACAAGGATCTAAACATATGGACAAATATGCATTGCAGCTATCGTAGCAGTCGAGAGATCCGTAGACTTATAAAAATGTTCAGACCAGTCAATAGAATAATCGATGAATTAAGCAAAATTCTAATTAACGCAGTAGAGATACAAAGACTTTGAAGACTGTATAGAAGCCTGTTTCAGTACTCCGTTTCCAGAACCCCATCGATGAGACCAAACTCCATAGCCTGCAAGGAAAATATGTCCGCATTAAACCAGAATAGCAAAGTTAAAAGTTGCATTACTTGTGGCGGATTACGGACATATTAATTGATCATTTATAATAAACACGCGGACACAACATACTCTATGTTACATGTAAAATGTAGTTTTTTGTTGGATCGATAAACATCACCTCAGATACAGACAAGAATCGGTCTCTCTCCGTGTACTGTTGCACTTTTTCAAGTGGTTGGCCGGTGAAGGCTGCATACATTTTGTCGACTTTCTGCATCCCAGTAGATATAATGAGAAGTGAGAATGAATTAGCAGTATGGTATCAAGAAACAGACAGACAAACAAACAAACAAATGCCACGAGGAATCTCATTGTGCGACAACAGCATAAAATGGGAACTGACATATCGAGTTTGAACTGCTTCGTTCACTTGACGTCTTACGTCCTCCACGTGACCCTGCAAACAAGCGTAAATGTAGAATGTTCAGTCAGTGCCATGTAAAAGGTTACATAATTGAACAATTCTCATGTTCAATCAAGTATACGGCCATCAAACTGCAAGGAATGTTGGACTACCCAACCAAAATGCACAATTTCATGAATTCATCTAAATAAAATATCCATGGAGAAGTTAGTTCCTACCCCACACCCGCTTTGTGGTTGATGTATCATAATACGGGCGTTTGGCATTGAATACCGCATTCCCTTTTCTCCACCGGCAAGAAGAAGTGCACCTTGGCTTGCTGCTACTCCAAAACATACTGTACCAACCCGGGGCTTTATCTGAAGTGAAAAAACAATTTTGTATATAGATAATGATATCACAAAACATTTGAACCAATGAGAAAAAGGGACGGGTGAAACAATATCTCAAGACATATATAGGTGCAAATTTTAAACCAAGAAATAAAATAGAGGTGCAGATCAATCTTCATCTTACCCAGGACATGCAGTCATAGATTGCCAAGACAGAGTATGTACTCCCGCCTGGGCAATTCAAATACATCTGACATTGAAGATAGCAACCATCATTGACACTCAGGCATATTATCAATCTTATCTGTCAAATATATTGCTTCAAGGGATTATATTTACACACCAAAATATCTGATTCTTCATCAATTGTCGCCAAAGTCACCAGTTGAGATATAACTCTCTGAGCAACCTGTGAGTTAATTGGCTGCCCAATGAAGATTATGCGATTTCGGAACAATACAGTGGAAAGATCCAAAGGCCCCCCTGGAGTCATCACTGCTGGCATTATAGGTGGATTCCCTCTTTTGGCTTCTATCACACCATTACTACAAAGGGAAGTCTTTTGGTCAAGCTTTAACTAAAATGAACATCTGTAGCAACAACAAGCATGCTTCCGAATAAATGTGATAGTGGAAGTCATACCAGACCAACCAATTATAACATAAATTGTGATCTCAATCTATGTTTTATATATATATATATATATGACAAAATGTTCCAATGTCTAACTTGTTTCCACAAATGCAAAAAGCACAAGTCCGAATTCTGATGGGTGCCTATCAGATTTAGAGTTTACACCTGCCTGAATTCATCCTTTTCTTTCCAGATTGTTTGTGTGTTAGCAAAAGTTACAATTTCTATAGCAACAAAGCTAGCTATCAACATTAGTACAAAGGTTTCATAATGGTAGTGCTCCTAAAGCAGCATGATATTTATCCAGAGTTTAAGTTCTATCATAACACCTACCCTTTCTTTTGGGTTAATAAAATTTGTCCACTAACTTGAAAGCATTGTTTATGTTAAATAACATGGCTAGTTTAGTCATGTAAATCCAAACAACTAGTTGCATAATCACGTACCAAGAAAAACCATGACATTTTTTCGAATATACTATAATTAAATTGATTACGCCAATTTGCCAACGTGTCAGTTATACAAAGTTAATATCAACACTGGAAAGACAGATAATATATACACTTTCAATTTAGTTGATGGGCGAATAAGCTTGATTAGCAAAAGATTCAATTGTTGGGATCAAGCCACCAAATGGCGCACAACTCAGTGAAACAACTTCAATTACAACGATGGAAGAACTATCAATTAGGTATAATCAATTCAATGAATGGAGAACTATAAGTCCTAAAAATTCAGTGTAAATGATTGAAGAACTATCAATTATGCATATTCAATTCAATGAGTGGATAACTATCATGCCTAAAAGTTAAATTTAAATGATGGAAGAACTAACCTTGGATTAGAATAAAATTCAATTGGATCAAGCTTTGATGGCAATGAGTTTGTTCTAATAGAGGAACCTGGAAAGTAGAATCTACGCTCAGTACCCAAACACGTACACAAAAAATAATGGTATCTCCAACACGACATAATTAGTAGTTAGCAATGGAAACACCTAACAAAGAAGCAACCAAATCCAAATATTTATTGCTGAAACAGAAATTAAACTATGGAAAATAAAAAATTCATCAGGAGTACAAACACATACCCAACAACGAAGAATCGCCATAGGAACTTGACAGAGCATATATTACAGGTCTCGGAGTTGAGTTTCTTCTAGAAATTTGAACAAGTGATAACAAGTTGAAATCAATTAAGAAGCACAAAACCTACGATCATGTGAAACAGAAAACAAACCAAACCATATGACCACAAAAACATGAAATTGCATATAAACAATAGTACCTTGCCGTAAAATACGTAAAAGAAGACTCTCTGTAACGAACAGAAGCGATTGAAAGATTTAGCGGCGTCGCCATTGCTGCAGTGACCATTCTGCGTGCGAGAGAGAATGAGGGGATAGAAATCCGAGCGACGAAGAAAGAAGGGCAGAGGGTTGGGGTTTTAACCCGACCCGCTTCGTGAACCCATGATTGGTCCGGTCCGAAACCAAACCGGAACCGAACCGCCAAACCGCCGCCGATTTCCCGTTGGAACCGGCGGTTTTATTTTTTTTTGAAAAAAAATATATTGGCCGAGCAGCGGGACAATCAAAGAATGATGAGGAAAAAAAATGAAAGAACGAGGAGAAAGACGGAGAAATTTGCGGGCGGCGTTGGGCCAAAATTTTGAAATGTGAATTTTATCAATATAATATATTTATAGTTAATTATAGAAAAATAAAGATATTATTAATATTAATAAAAATATAAGTATTAATAATACATAAACAATAATAATAATAGGTATTAATGATACATAAACAATAATAATAGTAATTATTTTGTATTTCGTATTTTTTATTTTCATAAATTTTGAATTATATAATAATTTTTATACAATTATAATTATTTTAAACTATTAGTATCCAATATATCAATATTTTTTTATAGTTTATCTTTATTTATTTTAATTTATTACTTTACTTGTGTGTTTGTTCGGGGTTTTGGATTTTGAGTTGGAATTTGAATAGTAAAAATTTTGAATTTGAATAATTGTATGATGTAATATAAATAGGTGTTGATGTGATGTTTTGAATGTAAAATTGATTTTTTAGTATAATATAAAAAATAAAAAGTAGGTGTTTAATTTGATATTTTTTGGGGGAAAAATTGAGATGAATAGTGGAATAAAAATCAAATCGTTCAAACAAACACACCCTAAATAACTTATTACTTATAATTTCATTATTCATATTTCAATAAATAATAATTAATTTGTTCTATTTTATTATTAATTCTTTAATAAATTTTTCGTAATATTTCAATTTTACTTTTGAAAGTAAATATGAGCATGGTAAGGTTTTGGTGTAAAGAAGATCCGAACGGCAGAGAAGGAATAGCAGCGTATTTGGTAACCCTGACCCGTTTACCGATTCTTGTGAAGTCATTAGTCATGAATGGTCTGGCCACGACCAATCGGATTAGCCCGTTTGAGAGCAGCCCAAAACCAAATTTGGACTGAGCCCAAGGGTTTATTTGGCCTTGTATACAAATAATTTATACAATTTGTTTGTATAATTATCGTTTGACTAATTTTACTTTATTTCAATTATTCATAATTTTTTTTAAAAAAAAAATATATTACATCAAATACAATTTTTTTTATTTTTTATTTTTATATTATTCATAACATCATTTTCAAATTCAAAATTTACTATTCGAATCAAAATCTAAAATAAAAACCTCAAACAAAAATTTCAACAAAAATATCAAGTTCATACTAAAACCAAACTAATATCAAGTTGTGCAATAGAATGGAGACCAAATTGTACACACTCCATTAATGCTGCATTTTTTATTTAGTATGTACAACAGAACAAGCCGATCCACAAAATTACGAACAACAAAAGCACTATGAAATTGCGTATCAAGTTAATTAAGTAGTACTTACCTCTGCGTAGAACACTGAAAAGGTGAAACTCTGTTACGAGCAGAAGTGAAAGCGAGCCACAAACTTTTGATTAGAAGGCGTCGCCATTAATTTCTGCTGCGGTGATCGAAGGCGAAAAGGAATTGCAGAGCATTTGAATTTAAGAGGCGAACCGTTTCCCGTCCTATTGAGCAAAACAGAACAGATACAGTTTTACTAATGAAACTCGCATTTATTGGAAACACGATTTTAGTTGCACTAAATAAATAATTTATTTATTTATTTTATAGAATTAAAAATTTGTTTCTTTTACCTTTAAATTATATGTTTCTACTATTTAAACTCTATATTTTAAAAAAAATAATAATTTTTTTTATAAAATATTTATTATACATTATTTTAATATTACATTCAAATTAAATTTTTTTAAAAAACATACCCAAGTGAATTGGAAAGATATGCTTAAAAAAAATAATAAAAAACTCAATTATACATGGATATGTGCAAATAATTGAAATAAATGCAACCAAGACAATGCATGTGAATGCCTGATGGCGCTGGCAATAATGAGTTTACTTGCGCACAGGGGATGGCCTACCGATTATTTGGAGCTCCTGGACTCCCAACGCCCGAAGCATCTACACCGTAGATCCATTGTCACTTTGTCAAATCAGATTATCACTATTAATAATAATTAATTAATCTAAAACTCTCCAAAAAGAGGTGTCCAATGCTTTTCTCGTGGAACCTATACATACAACCTCCCTCTCTCTCTGTATTTATATTTATATATAGGTAGGAAAAGTACACAATTGTACTATATGCAGACGTAAGGCAAGTAGGAAAACTACAGTATACTAATTCATGGTTAGTTTCAGAAATAAAATTATATTCCCTTCCATATAATTTGTTAGACGTAACTTGTGATTTTTATTTTTATATAATTATGCATTTTAATCGCATTTTAAATTTTAAATTTTATAATTTTTTTAATTTTAATTAAATTATTTATTTTATTCTTAATCTATAATTATTTTTACTAAATAATAATTATTTTTACTGATACATTTTTTAATTACTTATTAATTATATTTTATTTAAATTCTCGTATCTACAGTAATACACCCATATTATATGGGAACGAGGGAGTGTCTAGTTACACGACAAGATTAAGACAGCTTTATGATTGATGCAATAAAAAATCTAAAATGCAGTTCACCCCATATCTGCTCAAATGATCGTACTTGCATCATATATATATATATATTAAAATATGTATATTATATCGATCTGATTCGTCTATAAATATTCGGACATTTGATGCAGAGGATATACATTGCCCCTTTTGTATTCAGAAACATGAAGTCTTCTTTGTTCTTCTTTCTGCCATTTTTGTGCCTTGCCCTGGTACTTACAAGTCACAGAAATATCTGTTAACTTTTCTATAAATATGAATTTTTTTTATTTTTTTTTTGTCTGCAAATTTTCAATAGTTGTTACAATTCTGTTTCCGAACTTTATTAAAATGACAAGAGTTAGAATATTTGTTGCGACTTTAAATGGTATGTGTTCATTAATAGTTCTTGAAGATAATGGTATATGTTGTATTTATTTGATGTTGTAATGTAGGTCGATGCAAGAAAAGCTCCGGGCGAGTACCGGCATAACGTCGCGAAGGATGAGCCCGTGCCCCTTATCGGGAAATCATCTCATCATCATATCCACGGCGACTTCCACCACCGCGCCTTGCCGGATAGTCTCAAATCAGAAGAGGGCTGCGGGACAAATTTTGAGCCGAGGCCTAATGTGTCTGCTTATGGCGAAAATGTTGAACCTGAAGAAAAAAAGAAGTCGCAAGTGAAAAGTGACTTTGAGCCGAGGCCTAATGTGTCTTCGTATGGTGAAGATGTGGAGATTAAAAAAGAGAAGTCGCAAGTGAAAAGTGACTTCGAGCCGAGGCCTAATGTATCTGCGTATGGAGAAGATGTGGAGATTAAAAAAGATGAGAAGTCGCAAGTGAAAGGTGATTTCGAGCCGAGGCCTAATGTATCTGCGTATGGAGAAGATGCGGAGATTAAAAAAGAAGAAAAATCGCAAATGAAAGGTGACTTCGAGCCGAGGCCTAATGTATCTGCGTATGGAGAAGATGTGGAGATTAAAAAAGAGGAAAAGTCGCAAGTGAATGGTGATTTCGAGCCGAGGCCTAATGTGTCTGCGTATGGCGACGATGTAGAGTCTGAAAAAAAGGAGAAGTCGCAAGTGAAAAGCGACTTTGAGCCGAGGCCTAATGTGTCTGCGTATGGCGAAGATGTGGATACTAAAAAAGAGGAGAAGTCGCAAGTTAAAGGCGACTTCGAGCCGAGGCCTAATGTATCTGTTTATGATGAGTAGGGAGGGACGTTGAGGTACAGATCGAAGAGGTTGCACTAATATGAATGTTTCCATTAATGCATTATTGTCTGTGTCGTGTATTGTCTTAATTTGAAGATGTGTTTGTGTTACATATCCAATAATTGTTAGTGAACATGGAAATGGTTGCATTTCCAATTTCCATGCATGGCTCATGTATTAATAAATTTGTACTTTGGAAGTTAGCCAGGTTGGGATGTTATGTAATGTTAGATGATATACATTTCCTTCTCGAGGGTTTGTTTAGATAGAGATTTTTAGAAGTTTTTGAAAATTTTAAAGTTTGAGAAAAATAAAATGTTATATTTGATTTTAATATTTTATAAGAGAAAAAATTATATTTGATGTGATATTTTTTAAAAAAATAAATAGTGCCAAAAGACGAATTGTTTACATTACACCATAATGTTCCTATATTTAAATTAATTTGGTTTCCTAGATCATGCATTTAATATAATAGTATTAGGTAAACAGCATTGTCAAGAAATGTTATACAAGGAATAACACATAATAATTTAAATCGAGTACATAAGAAGAGTCCAGAGCAATAATTAGAATCAAAATACATGAATTTAGCAAATGATATATAAATGATTAAATACACAAAATAATGCAACCCTGGGGGATTAAATGAAATTAAAGCAGTGAGTAAGTCCATGCACAGCTAATTCAACAAGGGGTATAAATCAAACCACACAAATTTTATAGTGTACAAGGAAATAAATAACACAGGGCAATAACATATCACTTGGTCTTGCCTTCAGGAGCTTTTCATTCTCATTCTCTTCTCTTCTCTTCAGCATTCGCACCCGGTCGATCTTTGCTGATTGCTGCTTCCAACATCAATTGTGTCGGGCAAGTATCTTCAATAAATTTTCCAGCAAAGCAATGAAGAAATAGATCAGTGATTAGGATAATTCCCGACTGAGAATGTTCGGTGAAGTAAAATAATTATGGCACCAGGATATGGTGTCGTATACTCGATGCATTGTATTTTTCAAGAACTTTGGTATCCACACAGCATGTTATTGTTTAACCTTAGTCTATACTAATAATGTATTAGGAGAGGTTTATTTACTTACATCTCTTCTTCTTCTCCGCTCTTTAACGCGTTCTTTGCAATGACCTGGAAAGCCTCTTCCACATTGGTGCCTTCTTTAGCAGAAGTCTCAAAGTAGGGAATGTTCCCCTTTGAGGCGCACCAGGCTCGAGCCTTTTTCTCGGACACCTGTACACAAGGGCAATGCCATCAAACACATTTCTCGGTAAGAATTGTTATATATATATAAATAAACTCTTATTTCATACAGAACATGTTATTCAACAAATTCAAGAGAGGGGAAGAGAAGAATATGAGTGATTACCACTCTGCTATTTCCACCATCCACATCAATCTTGTTGCCAATCACAACAAATGGGAAATTTTCAGGATCAGATGGGCTTGCCTGCAGAGAAGCTTCTCTTTTAGCATGTTCTTTTTATAATAGAATAGATTTATCTTATCTAAAAAGATGAAAAAGGAAAAAGAAAATGGAAACCCATAGAACTGTCTTAGGGGCTGCCACTAAAAGCAATCAGCAATTTTGAAATCGATCTAACATGGCTAAAACATAATGAGCTGTAATGACAAAAGAATCCCCTTGGAAGGCTAGAATTAATGCTAATGTACCTCACAGTGTGAATGGAATTGAAAGATTAACATCTATAAGCATTTTGGGCTCACATCTATGTATTTAATAAAATGTTTTTTCTCTCATAAAAAGAAAAAAAAAAAACATGTTCTTTATATAATATAATAGATTTATCTTCTCTTTTGAAAAGAAAAAGAAAATGGTAACCCATAGAACTGAATTAGGGGCCAGTAAAAGCAATCAACAGTTTTAAAATTGATCTAACATGGATAACATATATATTGAGCTGTAATGAAAAAAGAATACCCTTGGAGGGCTAGAATTAATGCTAATGTACCTCACAGTGTGATTGGAATTGAGAGATTAACATCTATAAGTATTTTGGGCTCACATCTGTGTATCTAATAACATGTTTTTTCTCTAATAAGCAAAAGAGTGGAGATTGGAGTATTCGATATTTATATGGAGATCACTTCAATTAAAACTATGACTATTTGTAGATCTTATGACACACTGAGAACATGGATAGCGTCTTTGGGGCCAGATGATAAATTCTAAACAAAGGCAACAATGACGGCTATCATCCTAATAAGATAAGGAACAGCTCAAATACCTGAATTAAGAATTCCTCCCTCCAGTTGTTAAGGTTGTCAAATGATTTCATCACATTGACATCGTAGACAAGCACACAACAGTCAGCACCGCGGTAAAAAGCAACTCCAAGGCTTTGAAATCTCTCTTGCCCAGCTGTATCCCATATCTTAATTGCACAAAAACTCAATATCAGGGAATAAAACACCAAAACAAAATAAAACTATGTAGTTCAGCTACATTGTAACTTTCTCTCAGTTGTCTCAACTTTTGGGAAAAGAACAATAGGTACAGACAAGTATACTGATTCAATTTTAGAGTTGCTAATAACAGGAACAATATCAAGACTAACCTGTAAAGTGAAAAGCCTGTCCTCAAATTGAACTTCCTTGGTCAGGAAATCTGCCCCGATTGTGGCTTTGTATTGGTTGCTAAACTTCTTATTTACATACCTTTAAATAACATGTCAATGAAAACAACAGCAGTAACAACGAAACCAAATTGGATCACTAGACTAATAGATTATGTAAATGTAATAGGAGTTATTTTAACTAAGTAATGAATTATTAAGGATACTGGTTCATCAATGAGGTCTTCCCCACCCTGCAATTATACACATAAAAAATAAAAAAATAAATATACAATTAACAGAAGAAAAACCAATCACAGCAACATAAACATAAAATTGCAGTCAGAATGTAGAATTAATGTTCCTATTTATCCTAGGGTTAGCAATAAAGGAAAACACTAACATAGGAATATTTGCAAAGACAGAACTGATGACCAATATATCGTTAATCTGCACGTAATACAATCTCTAGTTCTCGGGATGTAGGAATTAACATTCAAATTATTCTTGAATTCTGAGATTCAATTCATTCTCGAACAAAAAAAACAAAAGGGTAAAAATTCTTAGAATCTGAATCTCCATCAATTATTCTTTTATTCTTCACCACGATCCAAACCCGGTGCGAACATATTAAACCTCCAAAACACGAAAACATCAACCAAATGCCCTCCAACCTAGATATAAAAGATCTCGCCCAACCAAACAAAATTGGCCAGAAATTCACGCAGCGCGACAGTCAGATATAAATCAAAAAATAAATCAAGAAAAAAAAAAACCCTCACCCGCTGTCGCCGAGAATGATAACCTTGAGGAGAGCTCTTCGGCGGGACGGCATCCTGACGCAGTTGACCAAATCGAAAAATCTGGCGCGCTCTCGGATTACACAGAGCGAAAAGGGAGGCAGGGGTTTCAAAAGCGGAATCGGAGATGCGATCGGAGGTTGGATTGTGGTTTTTGATTCAAAATTTTGATATGACAGTATTTTTTTATTTTTTATTTTCAAGTTTGTGCGTTCGTCCCGTTTTTACTCTCACCAGAGAACAAGTCACAGTTGGCAAACGGATCCTTCTAGTTGTCAGAGATTTTGTCGATGGAAATGGCCTCAATTATTGTTTATATCCTTTTTTTTTTTTTTTTTTTTTTTTTTTTTTTTTAAATAAATTTATGTACAATACTTATTAATTACTCACTTTGTTCTGTGTACATTGTATTAAAAATAATTATAAATTAAAATTAATATAATAATTTTTTTTAAAAAAATATAATTTTAAAAATAAAATTAAATTGTATAATATTTGTTAAGACATAAAAAATAAACATAATAAGTAAAAAATATATATTTAAAAATTAGTGAAAAATAATCTAGAGATGGACTCGTGATCATGAATTCAAATCAGCCTCAAAATTTTACATATCACATATAGTTCTCATTTTCCAATAATGATTGTATTATTCTTTAATCATAAGTATTTGTAGCTTTAATATTATTTTTCTCGTTCACACTAATTATATCATAATATAAATAGGTAAAAAAAAGTAATATATATATATATATGATAACGTATTATAATATGATAAGTAGACAAATTACTTATTTTGTTAAAAAAAAATAATAATAAAATTATAAGTTTATAAAGTTATTTAAAATTATATATAAACCTCACGTGAAGATAAAAAGAAAAATATGATATAGAAAAATATTTGGATATTAAATCATGAATTTAATTTTGAAACTTAACGCGTCCAAAAGTATTATGGAATGATAATTGAAATATAAAATTATTTTTTTAATATTAATATATAATAAATAAATAAATATTTAATTTAATAAATTTTGAAATTCATTTTTATAAAAAAAAATCACCTAAATATTTGAATCAATCAAACACATACAGTACTAACACAATGCACACCGAAGAAGACTTTAAGGATGTGTTTTATTTAAACCTATTTTTTAAATTTTATTATTTAGATTTAATATTTTTTAAAATATATAGTATTTCATCCGTCCATTTTTAAGGATTATATTTACATTTTATGTTATTATATTAATATTAAAAATATTTTGTATAATTTTCTTTTACAAATATCATTCTATTAGGATGATAAGACACTTAGAACTAGAAGAAAAGTAGAATAAAATATTTAATTATATATTCCCTCCGCCCTTAACAATCTATTCATTTTTCTATTTTGGTCCGTCTCAACAAAGTATTCCTTTTATTTTTTTAGTAATTGTACTATCTACTTAACATTACAAATACCCTTCTAATTTACAATATATTACACAAATTTCATTACCTTTATATCATACAATACTACAGGGTTAATGTAGTCGTTTTACCTTTATTTCTATTTTATCTATATTCTTGAAATCCCGTGCCTAAACAAAATGGATAGATAGATTGAGGACGGATGGAGTATTATTTTAATATCAAATTTAAATTAAATCTTTCCAAATTTTCAGAAAAGAAACACGCCCTAATATAAAAAACGACATGCTTGACGCATAAACACTACAGACGAAAGGTGTCAAAGCACGAATGTCTGATCATGAAACTCAATCCATTTTATACTAGAATTATATACATACATATATATATATATATATAAATCCGTGGTTGTAGGAGAATTGTGAGGTGAAACGACGGCAAGAGCTTGCTGCGTAGAAACTAATGCCATGCAACATCATCTTTTTCGACTACCTCGCGGAATCTCTCCCTGCCCCGCGCTTCTCCTAAAGGTAACATCAGATTCATTTCTCAAATCCATTTCCATTCAATTCCAACTATGGATTGGACGCCCCGAATCGATTCATTCATCCATTCGTTCCTCTTCATATTAATTCCAATAGTTAGCTACTTTGTTGATTCCATTGAGTGGATCGAGATTTAATTTGCTTGTTTGCTTGAGGCGTTTTGAAAATTGAATTGTGTGGATTTGAATTTGAATTTGATTCACCAGGCTCGACGGTTGCCTTGCCTCGCCTGGGAGAACGGCAGGGAAGAAGATCCACCGACTCACTCTTCGTCGCTATGTCCACTGAGGATTCATCGTCGTCAAATTCTAAATCCGATAAGTCACCGCCTCCGCCTCCTCCGCCGCCGCCGCCGCCGCCTCCTCCTCCTCCACCTCCTGAACACAAGAAAAAGAAGCAAGATGATGACGGTGGCGACTCTCCACCTCCGCCGCCGCCTGATGGATCTGATTCTAATCTCAAATCACCGCCAAATGCATTAACCGATTCATCATCCGGCGAAGGAAGCTCGAGCAACCAAGGCGTCGTGGCAGGAGCGGTCGTCGGCGGCGCATTGCTACTCGTTGTTCTGGCTCTCCTCTTCATATTCTGCGCTAGGAGACGACGACGGAGGAGAAAGCCGCGGGATTCGGAATACTACAGCGACGATTCTGTCGAAAACGGAGGTACGTCCTTGGCGCCGTGCAAATTTCATTCCATCCAGCCGATCCTAATCTCATTCCTAAAATATTAACCGAATCGCCATATCTATCAGGCGGTTACTACAACAACGTTACTCAGAAGAGAAACAACTCCAACTCCAACGAACACTTGGTGAAATTTCCTCCTCAATCCGATCCACCCAGCGCGCAAATGAAATTTCCTCCTCAATCCGATCCACCCAGCGCGCAAATGAAATTTCCTCCCCAATCCGGTCCACCCAGCGCAGCAATGAGCTCAGAATACGGCTGGTCAAATGGTCCGCCGCCTCCTCCTCCTCCACCAATGTACAGCACCGAATTGAGCTCCGCCGGCTTCAGCACTGGCTCGCCCTTGCCGCCTCCTCCCCCTTCGATGACCATAGGGTTCAGTCAAAGCAGCTTCGCGTACGAAGAATTGGCAAAGGCAACCAACGGCTTCGCCCAATCGAACCTGCTAGGGCAGGGCGGATTCGGGTACGTCTACAAAGGAGTGCTACCCAACGGGAAGGAACTCGCCGTGAAATGCCTGAAAATGAACAACGGGCAGGGAGAGCGGGAGTTCCAGTCTGAGGTGGAAATCATTAGCCGCGTCCACCACCGCCATTTGGTGTCGTTGGTTGGGTACTGCATTGCAGGTGCACAGAGGATTCTGGTTTACCAATTCGTGCCCAATGGTACACTTGAATTTCACCTTCACGGTACGTACGTACGAACGAACGAATTCATCCTTATTCCAATTTTTACTGATTTCCCTTCTAGCTTCAAGAAATAGCAAACTCACTGAATTCGTGAAACAAACAGGACCGGATCGCCCAGTTATGGATTGGCCTACTAGGCTTAAAATTGCTATTGGATCTGCCAAAGGATTTGCTTATCTTCATGAAGACTGTAAGTTTATATATATATATATATATATATACATCCTTTGCTTGTTTTCACTCCATCTTCTTTATTGCATCGTGATTTTTTGCATCTCAGGTCATCCTGGCATCATCCATAGAGACATCAAGGCTGCAAACATATTACTAGATTTTAACAACGTAGCCAAGGTGATATATATATATATATATATATATATGTAGACACACACACAATTTTCATCAGCCTTAGGTTATCATAGTTATGGACTCATTGTATTATATATGTAATGAATGCACATTGATGTGTTTATTAGGTTGCTGATTTTGGGCTGGCTAAGATTTCTCAAGAAAACTACACGCATGTCTCTACTCGAATAATGGGAACTTTCGGGCAAGATTGAAATCTTTCTTCTCAACTCATAAATTCATGATTTCGTCTTCGAATTAATAGTTTTTTTCTGCTCGATCCCTGAAAAATGTGTGTTACTAATGGATGTAGATACATGGCCCCTGAATATGCATCCAGCGGCAAGCTCACCGAGAAGTCTGATGTCTTCTCTTTCGGGATAGTGCTTTTGGAGCTGATAACCGGACGGCGTCCCATTGATCGCATAGATGGCGAGGACAGCTTAGTCGATTGGGTATCTATATACACACATAAACAATCTTTAACTTCTTCTGGATGATCATTAATGTATGAAATAAAAATCATCCTCTTTTGATCTATATCCCAACAGGCCAGACCTATTCTCAACATTGCTACGGCTGGGGGAGGGAGCTATGAAGAGCTGGTGGATCCTCGACTGGAGAACAACTACGATCCCTTTGAGATGCGACGTGCCGTGCACTGTGCTGCTGCTTGCATTAGGCACTCTGCTAGGCGGCGCCCCAAAATGAGCCAAGTATGTACATTATATGTATTGATAGATGATCTCTAGCTGCTTCAACAATATTTTCTTGATTACACTGCAACGAGCATGCTGTGCAGATTGTGCGTGCACTGGAAGGTGATGTCTCCCTCGATGACCTGGACAATACGGTGAAGGAGTCGAGCTCCTCCGGGATGAACTCTAGAAACAACTCCGAATACGACCTGAGAAAGCTCGGTGGCAATAGGAGCCCTGCCAACTAGCCAGCAATAACAGATTCACAAAAACTTCAGTAAATGCTGCTCCATGAATCAAATCATCGACTGTAAGTTTGCACCTCCGTGGTGATCGTTGTAGTTGTTATGATTCCAGGGATAGCAGTTTGCTCTATATATATATATATATGAAGGTCACATTAAAGTTATAAATACATGAGGTTGATTTCGTATAGAGTACATATTAGCTCGGGGGAGTTTTTTCTTTTCTTTTCGAGTCAATCTGAGGTTAATAAATTTAATTTATATTTGCTATATGTTTAATTAGCAAATTGTTTTAAGCTTTATTATATGTATATTGGTTTTATTATTGTATTGCATGGTACAGATTGAGTGCAATGCGTATATAACATACAGTGACTCAGAGCCATTGATGGCTGCTGCTGCTGCGATTGCATATTTGGTTTACCATTTTGCAGGAATGATTGGATGCATTGTTTTGTTCGTGAAGATCCATCTTAACAGACAGTCAGGTGAGCTCTTCTTCTGGGTTTTTCCTTGGTTCTTTCTGCCATTTCCTTTGCCTTTGAAGTATGGTTTCTATTATTAGAATGAAGGCAATGCTGATATATATGATTGTGGGAAATCAGGATTGATGCAGATGCACATTAACATAATCAATTCAATCATTAAAGCTGTTTTGGCTTCACCATCATATCATCAATTTTCATTTTTATCTACTGAATCTTGCTTGCTTTTCTGTCTGTTAAAAAAACAGATAAACAGATATTACAACAACAGGAAGAAGAAGAAGAACAAGAAGTACCAGGCCAATTACAGCAAGCAGGCAGGCAGGCAGGCAGCATTTCTCTCTCAGATAACTCTTCGGTACCCTCCAAACGCCCAAATCTGCCAATAATATAACATAACATATTATATGTACATATCAAATCCCTACTCTTATCTTCTCTTTAATTAGTTATAAAATTCAAGACTAACCAAACAACCAACCTTAAGATTGGTGTCCCAACTTCCCGTGCACAACCCACTCCCGTCAGCAGATAATCCCACACAGCTGATCCGACCACCGTGAGAATTTTGAAGAGATCCCAAGTTCAAAACTGGCTGTTCAAAGTAAACCACAAACCAAACCCATCTCATCTCCTGATAAATATACTTACAAAACAAACAAACACACCCCCAAAAAAATAAGTCGAGAATGTCTGCCTGTGTGTACCGTACCTGTGCTAAAAGAGTGTCCCATACATAGCAATCCCCATTTGTATATCCAGCAAAAAGAAGCCGTCCCGAGATGGAAAATGCGATTGAAGTTACATGTGACACCTCATCACCACCATTTGGTTGCTCGTATACTTGAAGCTGGTGCCCGGTTCTGATATCAAACAGTCGGCAAGTTCCATCATCCGAACCTGTCCCAAATCTATGCCCATCCGGAAAGAACTTTACTGTATTTACATCTCCCTCATGACCGTGGAATGTTCTAACAGCCCGACTAGCAACCCGAGTGTCCCAAAGACGTGCGGTCGAATCACAAGACCCAGACACAAACATTCGCGAGTTGGATCCATTGATTGACACACTGGATCAAAGCAGCAAGAACAATAAACAATTAGTTCCTAACCATGAAGATGAAGTTCAACCTACATAGTACATACCTTAGAACATCAGCAGTGTGTCCGGACTGGAATTCGCCTCCAAAAACAGACGTCCTCAGGCCAGTGGTTATGTCCCATAGTACACATGTTTGGTCACCAGATGCTGTTATCAAGTGCGTATCTTCGTCCGGGACGTACTGGCACGATGCAACATAACCCTTGTGCCCGGTAAGAGTTCGAGATACCGGGATCCCATCCTTGTCGGTGGGAGAATTCAGGTTGAATATAGTGCACATACTGTCTAGGCCACCACAAGCAACAGATTGCCCGTTGGGAGAAAAGGCACAGGTCATAACCCATGCGCAAGGTAGCTTAATTGCGTGCGTCTTCTGGCTTGTGAGAGCATTCCATACAATTAATCTTCCGTCTTGAGATGCACTGACAATGCGATTCTTCTCAGGCGTCCAATCCAGAGCATACACCTAAGAGTTCATTAGAGATTATTTAATGACATAGTGGGGGAAGCGTAAAGGGACTCTTTGGATACACAAGAAATTCGATATATGCATGATTGGGTTTAGAATTAGACGTCGGAGCAGAAGATCAGTGATATTCACATTTATGTAATGTCGAATTGAAATTTTGTTCTAATACATCTCTGCAGGGAACCACGGGCTTTCAAACCATTTAGGAAGCCAAAAGGGACTCTTTGGATACACAAGAAATTCGATATATGCACGATTGGATTCAGACGCGGAGCAAAAGATTGGTGATATGCACATTTATGTTATGTCAAATTGAAATATTGTTCTAATACAACTTTGCAATGAACCATGAGTCCTAATACACTAAATGGCCAAGAATGCAGTATCTATCCTTACACAGTTCATTTCATTTCATGCAATTATCAGAGTGAAATAAAATCAAGCCGCCCCTATTTCAAATATAGCATTGACAACTAACCACAGTTTTTCCAAAGTACTTAAAAGAAAAGCAAAATCGAAAGTTTGTTGAACATACCAAAACTAGATAATATTTAATTAAAAGTAGATAAAAATTATTGACTGACTCATTATTCTCAAACAAATCAACAGCGTTGCGAAGAACCAGAGACAAAACTAGGAAAAAAAAATACTACTATAATTCCATTTACCAATGTACGGTTCTTAACGGTTTACCTTTCCCGTGTGTCCCTGCAAAGTCCGGCAACAAACCAGATCAGTCGGTCCGAAACTCACCGGAGTCTTCCCCTGCGACCGGGCGTATCCCGCAACTGAATATATACATACATATATATTATATATATGAAAGAGATAGAGTCGGTACATGATCCGCACCAAATCATACAGATCTAAGCGCAATAGCGATGAAAACAAACTCCACCGATATCACAATACACCAAAATGGAGATAATGAACAAAATTGGGAAACTCATACTGTCGGTGTCGAGAAGAGAAAGCCGCTTTTGCTTCAACCTATCTCTGAGGGCATTGACAGCTTCCGTGGCCGCCGCGTGCCGCTCTTTCAGCTCTGCAACAGACATTCCTCCACCAAAACTAAAAAAAAATCAAAAGCAGCACAAAATCGAGGTGTTACCCCCTCAGCTCCATCCTAACCCTAATTCCCGCCGTTCTCACACAATTAACAGAGTCGAATCGCAGCATAATTAAAGCATCAGGAACGACGATTTCGCGCTCCCCGACGTTACGGTCAGGAGACGCCGCCGGTTGCGGCGAGGAGAGAGAGAGAGAGAAAGGGAAAGTGGTGGTGGGTTGAGCGGATGGGAGGGGAGGAGGGCTGCGAAGCGAAGACTTTTGAGTGAGAAAAGGCCGTATTGAGGTAAATGCATCATTGACATTTGACGGAACGCCGCCGGGCCCACCTCCCTGCTGACGTGGACACCACATTTAAGTTATGCCGACTACCATATCAAGACAAATAACACGTGTCCACCCTGAACGCTGAAAGGTATATGGGCCTTTACTAAAAAGCCCATTATGTTAATTTATCTGGGCCAGGCCCAATTATCAAATATTCGGAACCGCAAACTCTATCGAACCAAAATTTTTTATTAATCCAACAATATATACTATTTAAACAAAATTGGCTCGGTTAACCAAAAAATTGAATTAGATTCAACCATTTAGTTCGATTTTTTTTGTTCACCCCTAAGTTTGACTGTATTTTTATTTATTTTTGAATATTTTTTCCTATAAAATATTATGATCGATGCTTTTGATTCAAAACACAACAATATATAAGGAAACAAACCCTTTTAATTTCTTCCAGCCATAAGCATGAAAATTCTTTACTTGGATTCATTTACCTGCAGTTCCCAACAGATAATATTAAAATAACATGCGAAATAGTATTATTGACTATTGGCTTGAAATGAAAGGCCCTGATTGAATGAAGATGGATGCTTTCTTACAACGTGGATACACATTTCGAACAGCAGATGAAAAGAATCCTTACACGTATAGACTAGGATAGGCATGCGAAAATAGATAGCCTACACTACACGTCCTTATATATATATATATATGTATCTCACTGCTCACTGCTGCTTGAATTACAGGAGCATCAATCGTTTTTACTACAGTAGTTGTTCTTGAATTCCCACAGCCATTGCTGCCTGCAATCCATGGGAGCTGTTATATACCGAATAGATTCATATAATAACTAAGATATAACAAAACAATAGCACGTTAACAAAATATAGAAAATATCTCGACAAAAATGACTTACAAATATCAACAGAAGCCACCATTGATGCAATCTGCAAGAAGTTGCAGTCCCGCGGAATCCTGCAACCAATTTCGGTAAATAATGTTATCTATATAAATATAAGCAGCAGATTGAATTGGACAGATGGCAAATCCAACAATTGGGAGAGTTTCTTGAAGTGTGAAGCTTATTTGTTATATGTGTACCAACCTGGCATGGGGCTCGGCACCGGATTCACCGGACTAACTACTGAAGTTGCCGGAGTAGTTGGAGCAGGATTCACCGGCGCTACCGGGATGGTAGGCACAGGAGTCATGGGAGGAGCCGGTGCAGGAGTTGCAGGTGGAGGAGATGCCGGCGATGGTGCCAGAGTTTCTGGGGCCGGTGCAACCTAGGCAAGAGTTGGCGACAATCAAACAATAATTAAACAAGTTGCATTTGACACAAGAATATTCACGAGAATGCCTGCAGTTACAGGACTGAATGTAAATATTCAACAAACACAGCATGTCTAGGGATCAAATGGTATAGTTTATTTGTCAGTATCTTGGACCCGAGCAGCTAGGAAATATTCAAGTACCTAAAGGTCGTTCAAAAAGAATTAAACAAAATTTTTGTTGAAAATGCTTCAAATTAGACCATTATTATGATAGAAGATCTTTGAATTTGGATGATCCAATCCGCAAGGACCATGATCGGGAATTGTTAGGGATAGTATTGGAGACAATTACTCGATCCATTTTGGGGGTTGCTTTTTCCAACAAAATTTGGTTACATTTCTTGATGGGATTTGGTATGAGATCGATTTGATTGATGTTCAAATATTTCTATCTTCTATATGTTGATAAGGTTTAATCATCATGGTGGGGAATAGCTCTAATCAGCACATTAATCCTTCCCTAAGAATATATACATATAACAATTCTTGAGGAAAAACATTAATCTGCTGCGAAAGGGAGTGGGCTTACCTGTGCCCCTTTGGAGAGGCCAACGTCGTATGTCATAGAAAGATCAGGTTTAAAGAGCCCAAATGATCGTTCGGAGCCTGGCCCGGGTTTCATATTTTCATCGTAGAGTGCAAAGAGGTATGTATCTACAGACTTTCCGGGCATTAGTGGCGTACCAACCTTCGACCTGAGGTGCTTTATCAAGTTGCCATTATAGGCCTTTGCATTGTCCAAACTTGGCCCAATTTCATTCGAATCTCCTTTGTAAGGCCACCCCGTCTCCGCCACCACTATCTCAACGTCTTCAGATCCCATTCCTTTCAAAGCAGAATGCACCGCATCGACCTACAATAAAATGCAAAACTCTAAATCAATTTACCACAAGCAAAGCAGAGAATATCAGAGAATTCCTAAGCTTTAACCAAAAATATCTAGGTAGCCAACCTTGGCACTAGAATTGTGTCTTCACCCAAACACATCATACTGTATGATCGATAAATATAAAAATCTTACAGTAAATTCAAATAACTTGTGTGATCCATATGCTCAAATGGCCGGCCTGTCAGCAACCACATAGAGACATAAGGATGTAATACGATTTCCGCATGCTTTAGAGAGCTAATCAATGACTACTAACAAGAATATGGCAAGAAGATCAAAAGAAATGGCGTTCTTGAATATGTTGGAAATAAATTCAAGTTTTGTCACATAAAATTTTCAGAAACAACAGCTAAGTATTCAACAATGAAGACAATCGTTACTATATCAGCTACTGAGGTTTGAAGTTTTGGGCACTACAAACTCATGAATCTACCTGTGCATCAAACATGTTCATGTACTTGATGCCAGTGCCTGAATCGACTCGTCCTGCGTTAGGTTGGAACAAGCAGAAAGCAAGAGTATCTGGCCGAGGATCACTCTGATATGCAAAATAAGGGTAAGGATTGATCATAAAAGGAGCGGCGTTTGCGCTGTGGAATTGCAGCAATGCTTTCATGGTGGCGCCATAACCAAATGCCCCTGCGGAAGGCGGCTCCGATTGGCTCAACACCGCCATGGAATGTACGGTTGACACCTTGATCTTCCCGCCCAATGATGCTGCAATTAATTTGATTTCACAAATTTACACGAATTGAGACCATAAGCTCGATCGACCTTATTCCGTGGTTCGCAGAGTTCTGTTTACCTGCATTGATGGCGTTTTGGACATTTTGCATCGCCGGTAAGAGCTGAGCCACGAGATTCTGGTCCGGCGACGTCACCACCTCGTTGCCGACGCTAACGACGATAATCCTGCTCGCCGGGTAGTACGCAAGCACGTTCGAGTTCACCCAATTACCCGCGAAATTAGGGTCGGAAGCGAGCGCCGGAATATCCCCGTTGGAAGCACCGATAACAATTCCGATACCGGTGTTCGCCAGCGCCTTGATGATCGCCGGATCGGCGCCGTACAGCCGCACCTTTTCGATCGAAGTAGACTGCAAAAGCTTGACCGTCGCCTCCGGTGGCGGCAAGTTGTCGGCGACGATTCCGTAATTGACTCCGATGAAAGGCTCCGAATCTATAAAACCCACGAGAAGAACAAAAAACGTAAGGTATAAATCAAAACCACGCTTTTTCCAACATAAAGAAGCGTGCTCTCCCAAACACACGATTTCAAAACCACAGATATATATACAAGAAGATAGAAGATCCCCAAGAAACAAGAAATTCAGAGGAGCTAATTAAACAATAAAACTGTAATGACCAAAACTGAGAAAGACGAAAAGAGGAAAGTGACGTACTAGCAGAGTGAAAAGAGAATAGCAGAAGACAAAAAAGAAGCAAGAACTGCAGCCATTGATGGGAGGAAGCAGATGTCTGCTTATTTGGAGCCATATCCGCCATGGCCAGAACTTCTTCAAACCTGCAGTATATATATTAAGAATTAAGAAAGAGAGGGAAAGAGAAGCGTGGCGTGGGGAAATGGGAATGTGTAGTAGCTGTCTGTTCTGGCTGGAAAGGGAAAAGGGAGTTGGGAGAAGAGGGAAGAGGGAAGAGAGCTAGCTAGGAATGGGAATAGGATTGATTCACAGTGAATTTGATTGATTAATAATTCCTTAGGGGAGAAGGTAAAGAAGACAAAGAAAAGAAAAGGAAAGAAAAGAAAAGGGTCATCGAGAAGAGAAACCTAAGTATTGCCTGCCCTTTATTTCTCGAAATTGGATTTGGGGCAATAATTGGGATTGTTTTGGGGAGAGAGAGCAGCGTCAGCAGTCATTTAAGGATGTTGGAAAAATTCATGGAGTCGTTTTCAGAAGGAACAAGAATGGATGGGATAGGTACAGGTGGATCGGGAGGATGATCCAAGTGTAGTGCAGGGAATAGGGATGGAATCACCCTTGTCAAAGTGTTCCTTTGTCAATTGGGGTTGGGATCGGAGACTCTCTCTCTATGTCTGACAAAGGAAAGAATAATCATCTTCTGCAACCAAGCATCTACCTCCTTCTCTATCTCTATCTAGATCTCCCTCACTGTTCGTTCATATTTATACATTGGGTGTGTTTGTTTGGGGGTTTGAATTTTGAGTTGGAATTTGAATAGTAAAAATTTTGAATTTGAATAGTTGTATGATGTGATATAAATAGGTGTTGATGTCATCTTTTGAATGTAAAATTGATTTTTAATATAATATAAAAAATGAAAAATAGGTGTTTGATTTGATGTTTTTGGGGGGAAATTCTTAGATGAATAGTAATATTTTATCTAAATTCTACAAACGAACACACCCATTATAGTAATATACAGTATGTTTTAAAATAACATTTACTTTTTTTCTTTTATTTGATTTTGACTTTAATTTTTAATATCAATTTAAGTTTAAATTAAATTTTGATTTTATAGTTTTTAAAAAATACTATATTTTTATTAAAAATTATACTATAAGTTGAATAATATAATTTTTTTATTTGAAAAAAAAAAACAAATAAACCCCTTATTACCAACATTACTTAATGGGTTGTAGGTGGTGCTAGTACCTAGAAGTTTATTTGAATTTTTTGAAATATTTTATATATTTTGAAATTTAATTTCAAATTTTTATTATATAATTAATTCTTTTTACTTAATATTTGTTTGACAAAAAATCATCATTAAACTACTGTTAACAAAACTTTAGAAATATACACCCTAGATTAATAAAATAAAATGAATACATTTAAATATTAAAGTATAAAATATATATAAAGAAAGCTTACAAAGTTGAATTAATATATAACTTTTAATATAATCGTATATAAGAATTTATTATTTAAATAAAATAAATAATTAAATAAATATTATTATAAAACATCATCCAAACGCAATTGTTTTTTTATTTTATTTATTTAAAGTAAAGACAACATAGAACATAATCTGACGTTAGGTAATAATACTAACATTAGGTCCTTTGTGTACTTATTTCAGCTTTGATTAGGTACTAAAGTTATTAACATCACGTTCAATAAATAATTGAGAATTATAAGGAAATATATTGTGGAAATACTTCCTAAATATCATATATTCAGTAATAGTGCATTCGATATTCATTAAGACTCATATTCCAACATTATTATAAAGTGGAAATAACATTGTCAAAGCTTTTGGATGTATTTAAAGTGACTTATCCGTGGGGCCTAGTTTGCATGTATTAATTTCGGCCGAAGTTTACCCAGGTAGATTTTCAAAAGTTGTGACCGAATCAAATTCAATGTATAAATACTGCACGTGCACGTATCAAATTCAATGTATAAAAATATAATAAATAAATAATGCAAGTATAAAATTCAATGTATAATTCTCAGCACCTTATATATGTATGTACAAAATAATTAAACTAAATAACTCTATACTCTTCACAAATGGAAAAAACAACACTGTTTCTATTCTTGTAACAAGGGAGTTTCTGTTGTACCTGTGTGTATGTTTGTTATTTTCTGTATAAAACTTGCGTCATCCTACATCCTCATTGCTTGGCTCTATCATCGGCCGTGATACATGGATAATCAGTTGCTATGTTGTAATAACACATATGTTTTGTTGGTAAATGGGGTGATTCCATGTATAAAGATCTAATGGTAGAACTAAGCCAAGAGGATATACGACAACGCAGGAGTGTTCTATAGAAAATACGCATCATCGATTAACTGTAGAGTATCATAAACTGTAGAAAGTAGAATACCTTATAATGCACCAACCATTGTCCTGTAATAATCATCTCTGCCCGAGTCTTTCTTCTTCATCATCGTTCTTCTGTGGATTAAGGATTTTGTTTCTGCCAACAACTCGGGGAGGAAGTGGGAGAGGCTCCCGGAGAGGAAGATGTCCCTGTAAAGCATAAGACAGCAAGTCTTTTTATGACAACGCGGCCAAAAAGTAAAATCATTTGAAGACTGCAGTACTCACAGGATGGTAAGGAAATTCATCGGCTTCAAGCATATGCACAATTTGCCCCATCTTTGGACGTTTATAGGCATCCATATCGATGCAGCGTAGGCAGACAAGTAATATTCTCTTTAAAGTTCTCGGGGAAGGAGGAACACCGATCAAGGGATCCACCAAATCTTCGCCACGACGGCTAGATACCATGCTTCTGAACCAATCAACCAGATTCATCTGCATGTAGGAATGTAATGTAAAAAAGAAATGTTGTTGTATTGCAATTATGTCAAGTTTGAGGGGCTAGAAGTTATTTAACCTCCCCAGGAGGGCGGGAATAGTCTATGGGGCTCCGTCCAGTAATTATTTCCATGAGCAGAATTCCAAAGCTGTAGACATCACTTCCTTCATTGAGCATACCGGTGTTTGCATAGTCGGGGGAGACATATCTGCAAGAAAGAAGACATATTAGATATGCTTATTCGGGTGTCTAACAATAAAACATAAGAACAACACACACCCGAATGTTCCCATTACACGTGTAGTAACATAGCTCTTCTCTGAGCCCAATATTTTGGCAAGTCCGAAATCCGACACTTTTGCATTCCATTTTCTATCCAGAAGAATGTTGCTGGATTTTATGTCGCGATGGATGACTTTGGGTTCTAGTCCTTCGTGCAAGTATGCGAGTCTAGAACAGAGTTTAAAGATAAATGCATTCTTAATCATGTGAAATTTTACTCTTGTGCAAAAGATAGCCAAAAACATTTGATTAAGGTATGTATGCCTCACCCTCTTGCTGTCCCGATGGCAATTTTCATTCGGATATCCCAAGTTAAAGGGCTGATTGGGCCAACATCACCATGCAGCCATTGCTCCAAGTTTCCATTATCAATGTACTCATATACAAGCAACCTGAAAGAAAGTAAAGGTTCAAAAGAAATCCTTCCATAACTACAATGAAGGGGATGTAAAATGGCTTTGTTATAACCTTTCAGCACCGTCTGCACAGTATCCTAACAAACCGACGAGGTTCTTGTGTCTGACTTTGCCAATGGCTTCAACTTCCACCTTGAAATCTTTCTCTGCATGCCCCCTGTTTCAAGCAGATGAAATAGCTGTTTATTTTTACACCAACTACATATTTCTAAGGTATAGAGAAATTTTGGAATCATGTTCAAACTGTTGTTTATTGTGTCAAAGAAATTGCTGTACCACTCCATATACTGTCATAAGCACTGAAAATTCCAATTCTGGTCATCACTACACAGATAAATACATGATAATTTAGTTTTGTTCAATTACAGACGACAGCCATGGCCTAAGATTTTACATTGCTTTGACTTTTCACAGTTACTCCATTAAGTTAGCACAGCACAAATATTTCTTCTTGATGCAGGACAAGAAAGATAGTTCCAGAAAATTCCACTAAACATTTCACTTTAGCAAAGAAAACCATTAATGGAGGAGCAACATATGATCAAAAGCAAAAGCAATGATCCAACTGAGAAATAAAGGCACACTAGATAAAGTAAATCAAAATAGATAAAAGTAAGAAATTGACATTGCAACAGCTAAAATAAGATTGGTGCAAGGCAAAAATATATAAATATATAAAAAGGCATGTGTTCAAAGCGGGCCTCATGCAATATAAAAGAAAATCTACATAGATAAAGAAAACAAAAGCTAACATTTTACTTTAGCTACTGGTCAAAAGAGGAATAAATTATCCTCATGCACTGATTTCTGTGAAATCCAGATCTGGGAAGCTTTGCTTCCTTTGAGTACTACCAAAGAATCCTCACCAAACCATACATAAACAAATACACAAGGTCACCCTCCAAATTCTATGAAAATTATATCAAGAATTAACAAGAGACAGGCTGTTCACAATAATGGAGAATTGCAATTGGTATTTGATCGAAACCACCAAGTTAATTGCTCTATCTAATTAGTATTTAAGAACAATCTTTTTCGATTTAGAGGCAAATTAATGAAATGAACGAATTAGCTTAAACACTGAAAATTAAAGTGTCGGTGGACTTACTTCTTGTTGGAAAGATTTTTTACGGCAACTACGGAACCGTCGGGTAAAACGCCGCGATAAACGACGCCGTATCCTCCTTCGCCGATCACATTTTCGGCGGCGAACTGATTCGTTGCGACCTCGAGTTCCCGCAAGGTGTACCACCGACCCCACGCGAGGTTTACGAAACCGTCTGTGGACGCCGATAATGCCGACGAAGACTCGCTCCGAGTGGTGCTCGATTCGTTGCTCTCCGACTCCTCGATCTCGATTCCTCTCGCGACGTCTGCAATCAGAAAAACCTTTTTGCTGCTATCATCGCCAAGTGGTTTGGTTACAGCTTGCGCTTGACTATTCGTCTCTTTAATCTCCCCGATTTCTTCGCAAACCAAGGGCAAACGTCCTGAACCGAGTTTGGCGCCGATACGGCGTCGGTTAGAGCTCCACCTCCTACGAAGGAAGAGGAAAAGGAGCGCAAAAATGGCGAGCGTGAGCACAGCAGTGGCTATGACGAGTACGTACAGCTTCTGACCGAATACAGGAGTTTTGGCAGTGAGAATACTCCCTCCGGATTCATTGCCGGCTCCCGCCATCACTTCCGGCGAGATCGCGCCTTATGATTGAAGAACTGATCAGCACACCACCACCCACACAATCCGACAAGGCGAGTGGATATACAAAACGAATAATGGAGAAAACGAGTGGTATAAGGGAAACCAGCTCGAAGCTTGAAAAATGGCGGCACAACGGATACTTAGAAAATTGATTGCATGATTTAAGGGCTGTGTTGCAGTGACTTCGACGGGAAGACCGTGATGAGTCAGAGCATGCGAGTGAGGGAAGAAGACCAGCAATCAAGAGGAGCGCCTGGCCGACCGTTTTCACTCAAATGACGCTTCTACCCTTCTACATTTCATTTATTTTATAGTAGGAGTAATGTAATGGGTTGGTTACCTTATATACGTGAATGATTTAAATGGAAATGTAAAATACTTACAGCAGTATTCATATATATTAAAATTAATAATTATTCAAATTTTATTTAAATAATTATATATAAGTGCTGGAGACAATAAATAAAATCACGCAGTTGTGTTATTTTTTACAATTTAATTATGCCAAAATTAATTATAGCACGGCGTTAAACAACATATTGTGCTAATTTTATATAATTAGATTTGTGCTGATTCTATATCCGAGGTACATACGCATAAAATGAATAAATAAATAAATTTGATGATAAAAAATGTGTATTTTGTAGGATTGGAATAATTGATAGGAATATGCCACGTAAGCTTTTTTTGAATTAATGTTCTATTGATGATGGTGCAGTAGATGCTATCTACGTATGACAAATTCATTTTCAATCGTACATCTATTATATGCCCTGTGTCACATCTGCGTCGTGGCTACAGTGGTCTAAATTATTGAATAAATCAACAATGTCTGGATAGACCGACTTTACGCCATTCAAAGGCAGAAGCGTGTGTTCATAAACACGACAACAGAATTAAGTAGCGACACATGGGCATGGCGCTAAATAACATAAACAGCATAGCAACAATGGCAAAGGTTTTCTGGTTATGCTCTTATCCTAAGTACAAACAACCTGAGAAGATTATAAAACATATATAAAGATTCATCAGACTGCACAGACCTTACTGCCGTGTTCTTCGTCGCGCGCTGATCGTGCAATTTGATCCTACAGGGGGAGATGTGTAAGATTAGTGAGCCAACAAGAGTGGAAGCGTGTCATAGTGTTACATCGATCATAATACGCGTCTCCTGAAGTTTCGGGTGGTTCCCTGGTAAGTCCGGACCAGCAGACCTAAACCTATTCCGACTCCAAGACAAATACTGAGGCCAATGCCAACGCCTACTCTTACCCCGGCATTGAACCATGACAATTCGCCATCTTCACCTTCCAAGTACTCCGGATTGCTGCAAATCCAATTGCCTTTGTCTTGAGGGTTGTACAGCCGGCAACCCCTCGACTGCAAATCAACAACCAAATCAGCATTGAACTAATTTGTATAAATGTATCGACATGATTGCTGAAACTAAAGCGAATTAAATTTAAGAGTAACCTGTGCAGTCAAGAAATGATGTTCTTGGTTTTGAGTTATTCCATTTTCCGGGATCGATTCCAGCAATCCGCCTTTCCTGAATTGCTTCCTCCTCGGACTGACTTGCATAGTTTGGGTCAATACGATCGGAGTGCCCAAGAAGCTGCCAGCCACATAAACTTCGATGACTGGTGAAGTTCCAGAATCGAGACCACTGCACAAACTCGGGTTTCCCTTGAAAAATCCGGTGCCCGGAAGTATATCCGACTCACAGTTCATACTCCAACCAGGATACCTCAACTCCCCAACAAAGCCATTGTCGCCGGAAAACTCCAAAGTTCCATTCAGAACCAGTTTGTTTTCATGGAACACTTCAAACATCACACTTCCTGTCACCCTGATGCTGTCGGTATTCACGAATGTGACTTCTTCGGATCGCTTGTCTAATCGATCTCTTTTCAAAAGGGTCGAGACACCATCCGAGTATATGCTGGCCCTCACACAGTTAACTTCCAGAAGAGTGTCGCGTGACAATGGGACATGGTTTAATGTGAGGTATCCGGGCATTGAACCGTCGTCCATTATGCATTCGCTAACCCTAACATAAAAAACTCGCAAATCAAGCCAATCCAATGATGTCTTAGCCTTAACCCCAGCTGGGCAACAGGACTGCCTTGTAATGCTGAATTTATGTTCCAACTCTCCATTCTCATGGAAATCCTCATCAGAGTTTGCCATGTCTCTTAAAGATATCAGTGCTGTCTCTTCATTGACATCCATCAATATTCACTATAATGTAATAGAAAATGGACTTCTATAGCAATCTGAAAACTTTCCCCAACCAAAGCAGTATATAAATTATAATGATAGTTCTACTTTCCACACATGCTAAGCAACACGAATAAGCAGAAAAGCCAATAATTCTGCTGCCAAGAAACCACACAGAAGATATTTCTCAAAAAAAAGGAAGAGTTTTTCAAATTGAACTGAGTTGAGCAGTTAGAAGACAGAAAGCCAATAGCTGGGCTTAAATGGGATAAAATTGCAAAAGAAATAGGCAGCAAGAAGAACCCATTAGAGAAGGAACTAATAAGATGTTCTGAACACTAACCTTAGAGGAAGAGAAACGAACAAGTTGGAATTCAGTTGGAAAACTGAAACCGGGAAGCAAACTATTGCCTAGTTGTTGAGCTAACAAAAAGGAAACGAGTAATGGATGAAACAGAAGAAACCCAAAAATTTAGCAACATCTTTGGCATTTGAGAACACACTTGAAACTACAAGAAATGGGATAATAAAACAGTGGCATGTCCATAAAAAGAAAAGCTTAGAGCTGAATACCCACAAAACTGATGACTAAAATCACAGGCAACTTTCTGCTAAAACTGTTGAAGCCCAAAAAAGAGAAATAGAAAGGGAACAAGATTGTGTTGGCTGTGCTACATTCTTGATACGTGTAAACAATATCAGAAACAGAAAAAATAAAATGGAAAAAGGGGCACAAAATAAATGCAGAGGCAGGAATTACCAGCTCTCCAGTGGGGTTGATTTTAGGAAAAACATGCTGCTGCTGCTGCAGGAAATTACGATCAAAGAATGAATGAGAGGGAGAGCCCATAACTGCGCCCCAAAAACGTGACCAGAGTCAGCCATCAGATGCGGGAAGAAAACATAGCATAATACACAAACTCCAACAAACAAATTACCCAGCCATCACTAGACGACAAAAATCATGCTCTGAAACAATGAGACACAAACAAACAAAAGCCGCCTCTCATTCCCTCCATCCCTCCTACGCCACCGCAAAGGCAAAATAAATAGGAAAGTGGCATAATATTTGTGGGCTATTATTAAGCATATATATATATATATATATAATCCTCTGCACCGTATGTACATATACATATATATGTGTGTGGGTGTATTATTAACTATTTATACCCATTACACACCTTTGCTATAAAAACAAAATTATCAAAGAAGTTCTCATTCAGGACAAAAAGAAAATGTGGTCAAAGTATCAGATTCCTAAATTAATCAAAGGGACAGACCCTATTCACAAAAACTGCACCAGCTTATTTGTAGAAATTACAGAAACTAAAACAGGGGGTAGCAGGAAAGGAGGGCGTGACCATCTGGTGGACCAGGATGGCACAGTTTCACCATTCCACCCCACTGTAGTTTCATCATCCACTGCACCCAAATCACTGTCCATTGCCAAGAATCAAAGTAAGACAATTAAATGAATTTGAAGGATAAAGAATTGAAATAATGTTTATATATATATATACATAAAGTAGTGGCAGACGACATCATCACATCATTGCCCTGGAAAAATGGGCCGACTGTTGGAAAATAACGTGATGCTTTAGCCTCTTCATGCTTCCAAACGCGTGAAAGGCTGCAGCTGTTACTTGTGCTCCTTCACAGAACAATACACACATACATGTTTCATTTTGTTATTTTATACTAAAAGCAATAATAGATTAGCAAGGACTGGCTCAATAGCATGTTGCTACTGAGCACATAATCGAAATCCATAACTAGACAGTACTGAGAAATAGAACAAAATGGTTCAATTTGTATGGAAATAGGCATCAGCCATGTTTCTTGGTTCTGTGATAAGATTGCTCTCATCCTTGGATGGAGGTAATGAGTGATGACCACCAATACAAGTTCTTCCAAAGGGATGAAAGTTTCTAATGTAGAACCACGTAATTACAATATGATATGCAAGGGGGTGCCAACCATGGAAGTGTTAGCTAAAATAACTTGCAAGCTTTGATTGGTTCAAGCCAAGTCTGGCTAATGCAAGGTTGTCCGGATCTTTCTTCACCGGGGAACTGCAAAATCTAAAGAATAGAGAGGACACAAAACGAAAGATCAGTGGGAAATACAACAGATCATGCAGAAGAAATGGCTAAGCCCCTGAAAAGTGAAGGGCATGTAGTTTCATCTCTATACTAAACAAGTCTTCACCACTTTAGTTTCCTTTTTAATGTAATGATTTAGAGCAGATACAATAAAACGGTAGAAAGTTTTCAATTAGTAATAACAGCAACTAAAGGAAATGTTAAAAGTATGACCTCGAGAAAGCCAACTCCAACAGGTGGTATCCATGGCGATATTGGATTTCAATCGAGATGATGCAATTGCACTATGGAGTGGAAGCATTGTTTCCAGACTTATCACCACACAGGCGAACCTTCACAACACAAAGCAAATCTCTTTACTATGTCGGTTTGGCATAGCGAAACTAGATAAAAATAAACATAACGATTGGCAACATTAAGGAGTGAGGAAGATGCTTTGAATATGGTTACACAAGAGGCAAAGAAATTAACTTCACCGAGGTAAGATAAGTTCGATGATTGTACCTTGAAGTAGTAACAGGACATTTACTGTATGAAGAAGGGAAGGCGGAGGCAATTGCGGGTTTTGGAACTGCAGCTTTGCCGCGTGCAACCTGGACAGAGCTGACAACCCTTCTGCTTATTAGGGAAGCAAATTTGCAATGCGACGCCATTGGAGCTTCAGTTCAGTGGTTTCAAGACGACGATGCGAAAGGGAACTCCAGCTTAAACCCTAAACCTAAATTATTATTATTGTTATTAATTTATTTATTTTAGATTTGTCCAAGCGGCTTCTGTTAATTATAAATGTACATTTTATTAGTTTATTTATAATATTTGCCCTAATCAAAACTTCACACCCCCACAGCCGCCGGCGCCGCACTGCACCAGGTTCTTCCTTTCTCCGCACATCCACAGCCGCCGCACCGCACCTGGTTCTTCCTCGCTCTTCTTCTTCCCCATTCTTTCCTTCCTTCATTTCTTCCTTTTTTTCTCCTTCTTGAAACCGGAGAACCGCCGGTTCCAAACCGGTTGGGCAAGTCCAATTACTCGTGTTCATTTTTATTTTATTTTTTAAATCTGTCACTTAAAAAGTATTTTTGTTTATATTTTAATTAAAGTCCGTGGTTTTGTCTACACTACAAATGTTCGTTTAAATATTTGAGTATTATTTATTTTTTTAAAGAATACCAATTAAATTGTCTCATTTATTTAGTTTAGCAAATAAAACATTTATATATTACTCATCTGTAGTAATACTTTATCATTTTTTTAGTTTTATTTTTATAAATAATTATATCATTATAAAATTATTTATATTTTTATTATTATTATACAATTATCACTATTTTTTACCCACTATCAATATTATTATACAATTGTGATTACTTTATTAGTAAAAATAATTATAAATTAAAATTAAAATTAAAATAATTAAATAATTTAATTAAAATAAAAATATATAAATTATGAGTTTTAACATATGTTTCATTTTTTAAAAAAGAAAAATTATGCAGAATTTTTTTGTGCAAATTATCAAATTGAATATTTCTTCGTCTCGTTGCAATGTTGTCATTTGGTTTGCAATGTTGTCATTTGGTTTGTGCTTCCTGGTATTTGGGGCGTGTTTGACAATTAGCTAATAGCTAACAACTGTTAGCTGATTCAATTAGCTGATAACTATTAGCTGATTTAATTAGCTGGTTTGACTAGCTTATTCGGTTAGCGGTTTGTATTAAAATGTTTGGTAAAACAACTGTTTGATATTAGTTTTTTATACATAAAATGACAATTGAGGATATTTCTATTTTATTTTTGTTTATGATATATTCAATTATGTTCTTTTGAGTTTAGAATATTTAATTTTTTTGTTATTAGTTATTAAAAATTATAAAAGTATTTATTTTTATTACAGTTAAATTTTAAAAAATAATATATTTTTATTAAAATATATAAATAATTTTTTTTATTGAAAATAATGTAAAATATAAAATAAAAAAATTTTCATGTACATATTTATTATGTTAGTTATGGATTAGTTCATTATATTTATAATTTTTAATAAATTTAATTTATTTAATTTATTTTTAGTTTAAAATTTATATAATGTAATTGTAATATAAAAATAAATTATTAATATTTATAATTTATATTTTATGTTGATTTTAATAAATTTATATATTTTACAATTAAAATAATTTTATATAAAAATTAATTATTTTAAATTTATAAAAATAAAATTATATTATAATAAAATATTATAATATAATTAATAAATAATCAAAATATATTTATTTGTGTATAATGCACAATAAATTTTTAAAAACATATAAGAAGGAATAAAAATGCTTTTACTAAAAAAAAAAACTATTTTAAAACACTGGTAAGTTAGCTTTTCAGTCCAAAAAGCTAATTTACCAAACACCTAAATTAACTTTTTGACGGGTCAAACACCTAAAACTTTTCTATAAGCTAAAAATTTTTCGAAAAGCTATTTGCCAAACATCCCTTAATATTTAAAATATAAATGTCATTGTATTTATATATAAAAAATTAATAAATATTTTTTTAAAATAATTTCATTATTATTGTGTAATATAAATATAACTCCATTTGTAATATATTTTGTAAGCTATAAATATATTTTTAATATAAAAAATTAGATAGATTGTAAAAGAAGATAATATTTTTTATATATTTTTTTTCGTAAAATTATATCCCCACCTTAAAATCGTACCGAAATAGTGGTTATGAATGGCGACTTTGTTTTGTCTGGTGAAGTAAGCGCTGAAATATTCCGCTGGTATGAGTCTTCTGTAATTCCTTTATGACCTATTTCTGAATTAAGGTTTTTAGGCTAATACCCTCGCTGCTTGGAATCGCGGCGGCCTGAATTCTGCTGCTGCTGCTCCCCCACCGCCGTCGAGAACCAATGGCGGAAGAAGCGGTGCTTGGATATCTAGAAAACAACGAGGAGATTTCGGATTCTGGAAATTTTGCGGAGGTGAAAGGAATCAGCCACGATGAGCTCGTCAATGTTATCAAAAGCCTCAACGGGTTTCGTCTCGTCGATGCTCAGGTCATTTGCTTTAGTTTAATATTCTCCATTTTGGAAATTTTTTTTCACCTACTTTGTAACTGACATCGTATGCATCCGATTATTCGAGATTAAAGGCAATAAATGTGGAGACACTTCTAGTACTGATATTGTTATCCTATATCGGGTTTTGAGTTTCTGCATACCAATACAGATTTGGATCCAATCTGTTTCATGTTGAATTACTGTTCGTTCGATACCGATGCTTTTATGTTGACGAGTTTTGTGTTTTCTAACAATTGTTCAGGATATCAAGAGGGAAAAATGGGTGCTCACCAATGAGGGGGAACTGTATGCTAAATATGGATCTCCTGAAGTACAACTATTTTTAGCTGTGCCTCCAGAAGGTATCACACGAGAAGAGTTGCAGGTAGTTAAATGAATAGATAAAATTTCATTCTTTGAATTGGTCTGCTTGAGGAATGGGGATGCCTTATGGTTTGGTGCTTCTTTTGCAGAAAATTGTTGCTTCACGTTTGCCAGATGATATTGAGGTAAGTAGTAACCTGGTCTGTTTGGTTTCTGGAAAAGAACTCAGGGCTACCTTTTTTTCATTTGTTTGCCATTTTTTTGTGGCAGTTCTTGTTTTCATATCTCTTTCTGTAGTATCTTGGCCTATAACATTATTATACCAGCAACTGTATGTCAATATTTAAATATTGAACTTCTTCGAACTGTTGAATTTAGTTCTTACCTTATTTGCTGAATCATGCATAAGTTTGATAGTTTATTCTGTTTCATATGTTTACATCATGATTTGTTGGACACAGGAAAAATTGAAGTCCTCCATGTTCAAAATTGGCAGCACACAGGCCATAAAAAACAAATGGATTGAAATGGGCAAGTTGAAAGTTTCAAGGAAGGTAATGCCGACTAAAGCTAACTCTAATGAACCTTAGGAGATGTAACCTGACTCAACTATGCTGTCCCATTAGAATGCATGTCATTGAAAATTTACACATGGCCATGCATCTTTGGACACCTGTATTTCCAAAATGTCTGATGAAAATTTTAATTTTCTTAGAAGTATTAGTAATTCAATTGCATCAATATTTATAAGAATAGATTTAGGGAAATTAGAAGTTATAGAATGATAAGTTTGTTTTGGGGAATTAAGGGTTTGTTCCTTTGTGTCTTGAGGTGTTTTCATGTAATGCTTTTAATGGAGAATAGGCTTTTGGTGTGATGTTTTGAATAGTAAACATGGTATTTTTTTTAAAAAAAAAATTTATGTGACATTTTAAATAACAAGGAATTGATAAAAAAATTTCTTGTAGCATGCATAATGAAAAAAACCAAGTTTGAAAACACATAGGAACACACCTAACTTTTGATGCACACCAAGGTAGCTATTCTAGGTGTTCATACAGTATTTTATATGGTCTTGATAAGGATTGGTAACACCATATCGTTCAAGAAGGCTAAATGGCTATTTTATCATATATATTTTATTTCATGTATGTCCTTGTCTCAAACAAAGATCATAATCCTCAACATGCTGAATTAATCTTGGTTTTGTGATTTGGTATAGGTTCAACATGTTGAGGACAGAGTGAAAGAATTGCTTGTACAGATTCAGGCTGGTGAGGTGTGTTGCGCTTTTTGAGTGCCTTCTTTCCATTTGAATAATAATTAGCATGAAAGTGAATATCACATGGAATGCACATGGCTACATGTTTCTACAGTTAAGTGCTTTTGCATGTGTTAGTCTATTAGGATGCCAAACTATCATGTTATTATGCTTTGCTTGATTGCAGCAAAGTTCTCTCAGCTGAATCTCTTGAGGAATGTATATAGAAACTTCCATTGTGTGTTATATATCAATTAAGCTTGAATGTGTTCTTATGGACCTTGTCAATGATATTTTCACGACATCCAATGATTTGTGCAGGCATACATTGTATAACACTTTGAAAGAGTTTCTATTTATTCTTCTGTATTTTTTTTATAAATACGAGTGTAAAAAAACTGTGCGCAATGAATTTATTACTCTTCTGCATCTATGTTTGTGGCTTATTATTAATGTTTAGGTAGTGTAACACTGGAAACTGAGTTATATTTCTGTAGAGAGTTTCAATGAGATTAGTGAGCAAGAAATTTACTTGGAGCTCAATGATGCTCTTTGTATGTTGTATCATTATTGGATTTATCAATTGATGATATACAAGATGTGCAATATCAAACCAATGTGATTAACAATTTATTGATTGTCAATTGATATTGCTCTTAAATTACAGGCTGTTGGTTCTGAAGACATTGATGCTTTGAAGCGAAGAAAACTCATTACTCCCCAGTAATTACCTGCCTTTGGTTTTCATTTTCAATCTTCCTTTTCCTTGTATCAGTCCTAATGTCACTTCAACATCCACTGCTCTACTCTGTTTATTGTTAATCAATCATACCCCTTTTTTCCAATGGAAGGACATGGAAAGGCTATTCTGTAAAGAAGGGTCCGAAATATGCTCCAAAAAGGAAAAAGGTGGCCACTGATTTAACTCGTGAGAATCTACAAAGGTAATCTATCTATTTAATTTTCTTTTAAAAAATTATATTAAAGGGTTAATACAATATGTACCAAAAATGGAAAAATGAAAAATGTTAAGGTCTTCAGTCTCAATAGTCCATTTTTGGTTGCAAATAGAGCTCTGTCTAATCATAGTTGTAATGCAGCTATCATCTGATGCTTAATCCTTTCATTTTCTTATAAAGGGGTGAATGGAAGGAACTTGAGTTTAAAGAGTACAACTTCCTTGCTAAAGGCCAGCCAACTGAAGGCGGCTGTCTCCATCCATTACTCAAGGCATGGCCACTATCGTTGTATAAAATTATTCTGTCACATCCATAAAGTTATTTATTTGGCCTTTATTTTCAATAACTGAGATTTAAGACTAGTCTCTTTTTTTTCGTAGTCAACTCATTTTTATTTTATTTTTCGTAGTCAAATCATTTTTATTTTTCGTAATCAAATCTTCAATTAATATGTGCAAGTGGACTATTGTGAAGATTGTGTTATCATTATGCGAATGATGATTAGTATCATATATATGCTCATGCTATTTGCTAGTAAAGATCATTATTTCTATAAATGGCTTGTAAGTTCTTGCTTTTATTTTCCTTAAAAGAAAGTAATAAGAAGTTCTGCTGAAACTTTCACCAGACATCTAATGATATTATTATTATTTATTATTTTTTTTGCTGTGTTATACTTATCAACCTTCTGATCAATTGATGGAGGAAATTGAAAAAACCTGCTCCAAAGATTTAGTCGTCACATTTGATGAAATGATAAATCTGCCTGATTTTGTTGGTGCAGTCATCTATAAATGCTCATTTTACATACAGATCAATGCTGTGCCTGATTTTTACTGTTTCTATTTTGATTCAAATTTGTTGCAGGTGAGACGCCAGATTAAGATGATATTTCTTCAAATGGGGTAAGATTGCTAATGCTCATCCTTTTAATACAATATCCATTTGTGTCTGTTATTGCAATTTGTTCTTCCATGCATACAGGTTTGAAGAGATGCCAACAAATAATTTTGTGGAAAGCAGGTACACATTCATGTGCTTTTATCGTGCAATGAAAAGTTAGCTCCCTGATCTGTTTTCCAGGAAATTATATAGTTACCTAAAAGATATAACTGATTAGGTAGTTCAAAACTAGACGGTATAATATGCAGCTTTACTGAGTTACTTATAATTCTACAGCTGCACAATCTTATTTGAGCTTAACAATCAAGTTACTACAAAACCAAAGTACCAGTAAACTGGAATAATATATATATGTTTTACTAAGGGTGTGTTTGTTTGAGGGTTTGGATTTTGAGTTGGGATTTGAATAGTAAAATTTTTGAATTTGAATAGTTGTATGATGGGATATAAATAGGTATTGATGTGATGTTTTGAATATAAAATTAATTTTTAGTATAATATAAAAAATAAAAAATAGATGTTTGATTTGATGTTTTTGGAGGGAAAAAATTGGATGAATAGTGTAAATCCAATCCAATCCCCCAAACAAACACACCATAAAAGAATATGGGTAAAAGAAGAACCCTTGTCACTGTTAATTTCTATACTTGTCCGTTTATATTCTTACTTGAAACCTTGTTTGTTTTTTGCAACAATTTTTTTTTGTCTGCTTTGCAGCTTCTGGAATTTTGATGCACTTTTCCAACCCCAACAACATCCAGCTCGGGATTCACATGACACTTTCTTTCTGAAAGGTTTGTTCTAAATTCCATCTTCTATCTTTTAATATTTTGCATCAATTTTTTATGGGTTTGTAATTTACAGAGCCTGCAACCACAAGAAGGCTGCCTGAAGATTACGTTGCACGAGTTAAAAAAATTCATGAATCTGGTGGCTATGGCTCCAGGGGGTAAGCAATGCATACCCCACCTTGTGCATCCACATGGACACGTACATGTTTAGTTACTTTATTCTTGCATTTAACGATTAATCATTTATTTCTGCTAGATATGGATATGATTGGAAGAGAGAAGAATCAGATAAGAATCTTTTGCGAACTCACACTACTGCTGTTTCCTCCAGGATGCTGTATGCACTTGCTCAGGTTAGCTTTACTTAAACTCGTATTGTTATGTTCTCTCTACTAGTTTTGGGCAACATGGCTCACATCTTTCGTTTTTCCTTCCTGCCAATTATAATTTTATTGTAATTAATTTTGTTTGTGCGGTAACCTTCCTTATTTGTTCACTTCTAATTGTCTGTGCTCCACTTCTTTTCCTTTTGCTTTGTCAGTCATGTTCCCATTCAATTCACTTCATTTTTATTATTTTTTCAAAAAATATTTAAACTTCTAAATTCGAGTTCCTAGAACCTCTCCAAGATAAGTATTATATGGCTTCAATTCATTTCTAGTTTTTCTTTTTTATTCCTAGTATGATGTGTGGTATTATATATATCCCCTATAACATTTTATGGGTGGAGATGCATCTCAAGCCCTGATAACATATGTTTCTTCTTGCCAGGGAGGTTTTGCTCCAAAAAGATATTATTCAATAGATCGAGTTTTCAGAAATGAAGCTGTAGATCGCACTCATCTAGCAGAATTCCACCAGATAGAAGGTATTTGACTCATAACTGATGCAGTTAATCAAAATAATTCCGATATTGTGCATAGTGCTACAGTTGAAAGCTTAATGGAAGTTTTCCAATGGGGCCTACCCATGTCAATGCTTCCATATTCACCTCACATGATAATTGAAGCTCTAGATTATACATTGTTATAAAAAATTTCATTTCACAATCGCCCATTCTCTTCAATGTCCATTTTGATATAACCATAACGATAGCAAATGAACTAGTATTTATTTATGATGCATGCTCCTATTGTTTTCTCTGTTTCAAAACTTACTGGTTCTCCTCCATAGGCTTAATATGCGATAGAGGTCTCACCCTCGGACACCTGATAGGAGTTCTCGAAGACTTCTTTTCTCGTCTGGGTGATTAATTCCGTCTCATTTACTCAATCCATCAGTTTATTTTCTCCCATAAACTGATCTTTCTCAATATGTTGCTAGTTCTGAATGTGGTCCTCAAATCTCTTTATTTCAGGGATGTCCGAGCTTAAGTTCAAGCCTGCCTACAATCCATATACTGAACCGAGTATGGAAATCTTCAGGTAACTACTAAATATTGCCAGCTATTGGTACATACGATGAATGATGTAATGATACCAACTAATACAAACATACACTATCTTCAGTTATCACGAAGGTCTACAAAAATGGGTGGAAGTCGGGAATTCTGGGATGTTCAGACCTGAAATGCTACTTCCTATGGGGCTTCCCCAAGATGTTCAAGTGATTGCTTGGGGGCTTTCCCTTGAAAGGTAACGGACCCAACCCTTCCATCTGAAAAGATGCTTGTTATTGTATCATTTATTATATTGATCATTCCTTCTTGTGATTGTTTTGGTAAATAAATCGATTCTTCATAATTTTGGGGTCTCGTTAATATTTGTTGCTTCTACTTATCTTACCAGACCCACAATGATACTTTATGGGATCGATAACATCAGAGATCTCTTCGGCCACAAGGTAAAATGAAATGCCGGCATATGAACAGTTCATATTCCATTACATACATCCTTTTTAAGGTGCATTATCGATTTGGTTTTGCCGGCATTGCAGGTCGATCTGAGTCTCATTAAAAGAAACCCGATATGCCGCATTGGCCTCTAATTGTTGGGACTCCACACTGCGATTATGAGATTCATTCAACAGATGTGATTCACTAGAAACCAACTATGGATTTTGATGCCAGGATAATTTTTTGTTTTTCAAGACTGTTTTATTTGCGAAGAACTGTTCAGACAAGGATATATCTATATACACACTGATCGAATCCTTTGGCTAAGACATTCGTGTTCTTTTGGTTCTTCTGTTCTTTTTACAATTGTGTACTACTAGAGATGGGAATGTGTTTTGTCAAGTTTTTAATCTGACCTGTTTAAACCCGACTTATCCGAAAATTATTTGCTTATACATTTAATGATTCTATTAACATGTTAGAAGATCTGACACCAACGAACAATAATAAATTGATCCAGCAATTCGGCAAACATACAAACAGGTTATTTTAAGTTAGAGTTGATAGTCTCAATCTCAACCTGAATTATTATAAATTATCATGTTAGATTTCGATCCATATGCAAAAATTGATCAAAATTCTTAACAAAAATCCAATTATTTTGTATGGGATTAGTTTTTTTTTCAAGTCTATGTTCTGCTGAAAAGTCTAAATCAATTCATTGATGATATATTTATATGTAAATTCTATAACTCAAAGAAAATATTAAATATATTGTTAAGGATTCTTACCACAACCAGGTCCCATGGTCTAGTGGTTAGGACATTGGACTCTGAATCCAGTAACCCGAGTTCAAATCTCGGTGGGACCTTAAGTTTTTACCAATTCCTACTTACACTTTCTTTTTTTAATGCTAACCTCAGCCTTAGGCTTAAATGAGACAGCATATCCATTAGTCACTGCTATTCCAATTCTAATTGTTACTATATGAATTATACAAAGGATTCTTTTATAACTCACCAGGCAATGCAGCAAGTATCAATCCATGATTCATTTGCTCTACAGAGGTAAGTCTTTCCAAAGCCTTATGGACATCTCTCATCGAGGGCCGTCAATCCGGTCTGGGATCGAGACAGCTCTTAGAGATGATGCCCATGCCCCATACCTCCTTAAGGAAATCCTCATCCACTATCAATGAAGGATCCACTATTCTTGTCATCAGTTCCTCGTCTGTTAAACTTATGTACCTCAGGAATGTTTTGTCCAACCACTCACCCGTGGTGGCGTTCGAGGGTGTGCTGCTGATGTCCAATCTCCCGGTCACTAGCTCAAGCAGTACCTTCCCAAAGCAATATACGTCGTGGGCACATGTTACGTCCACCATACCTACTTGTTTCACCAAGAAAAGCGTATGGATCTTCATCAAAGTGCAAGACATAGCATTAAGGATTCAAATAAAAGGAAACTTAAAGCCATTAAAGTGGATCGAATAAAAGATTCAAAATGTAGTTAGTGTACAAGAATAAGTTTAGGACGTACCCCATGTGTCATTTTCAGGATCCCTGCAACGGTGAAACACACATTTGTTTTAGTTCAAGGGCTTGGAACTTAAATCCTTCCATTATCAAGAATAATCATGTAACTAAGTTTACTAGATAACAGTCTTGTGACAACTCAAATATTCCTTGTGATTAAATTTAAAGAGATGAGAAATACATATGCAAAGAGCTATTTTATATGACAATATGTTTTCGGTGGCAAAAGTTATCACAGAAGTTTCATTCTATATGTGTTAACCTTATAAACCAGTCGTCTTCATCATCCAGTTTTTCGGTTTCTTGAGTCGGGCTTAAGCTTCCTAATCTTACTTCGAAGTTATTATCCAGCAGAATGCTACTAGCTTGTACATCCCTGGAAGAATTCACAAGAAATCAATACAATGAAATATATATACAATGGAAATTTTGAAGGACAAACATAAACTGCAAAACGGATTTACCCATGGACTAGTGGTGGATTGCATTCATGGTGTAGATAGACTAGCCCTTCTGCAGCCCCCACAGCAATCTTCAGACGTTTAATCCAATCCAAGGATATCAATTCATCTTTGTCGGGATGCTTCTTGAACAAAGAACTGGCCAGATCACCTTCTGGCATATACTTGTAAACCAAATATTTGTGATCCTTGTCCTTCAGGCAATGCCCCAGCAGAGGGAACTGTTTCGATTCCCCAATACAGCTCAGGAATTTCAATTCCCACAGATATGCTTCCCGATCAGCGATCACCTTCAGATCAACTCTTTTTACGACGATTGGATCCGAAAATTGAGGGAACATTGGAGGCAGAATGTTGGAAAGACCTCGCGAGGGTTGAGGGAAGACTCCGAGGAAGAAATCTCCGGAGCGGCCGCGCTTGATGAGGTTTTGGTTGCTGAAATTTCCTGTTGCTCGGAGAATCTGGCGGCGCGTGAACTGAAATCCGAGGTTCGAATACCTGAGCGACGACTCGGAAATCTGCCTGGAGTTGAAGCGGATGCTGTCGAGGGATGCGGAGCGGGCGAGCTCGCGGAGGTGTTCTCTGAGCAGTGCTGCTCCGACGATCCGTTCCCAGTTGTCGTATATCGCCGACATCGCTCGAATATATCTATGGATATCGCCGGAAACGAATGAATCTGTAGAAAATAAGAGCTACCGGTGAGAGAAATGCTCTGTCAACTGATTCAACTGGCATTTACGACTTATGGTGTTCTTCACGCGGAATTCGACAAATTTACGCTCGAAAATATTCATTCTCTATTAGCACATTCGTGCTTCAAGTTATGCGCGAGGAAATTTCGTCAGAAACACCATAGAATTCCTATTCTTTGAGATATATTTACATAAGTATATAAGAGTGCGACGAAGTACCTCAGCCGTATCGTTGACTCCTGCGCCGCCATGAATTGTCCGCGGAGCATTCGCCTCAACACTTTCCAGCATCATAGGAAGTGACGTACCGATTTCCAGGACGCTGGATTTATCCACGCAGCCGAAACTTCAATTCTCCCTCCGATCCGCTGGTTTCAGTACGTCAATTCAATTCGCCATAGCTCGAATTCGAGTGATTAGATTTCCGGCGGTGATGACGTCCAGCTCCCTCACCGGCGCTAATGGCCATGGAGATCCGACCCGAGATACGACCCTGATCCGATCTATTATTTGGGATCTCATCGGGTCTTGTAAACTATATTTCGGATTAAATCTGGGTCCAATTCGAATATTGTTTCGGATTGGGTATAATTGTATTCAATTCGGATCCTAACTATAGGTAATGAAACCCTCCCTTATCGAAATTGGATTAAGGCCCAATAAGTACATAAAAGATTTGGGCCAAAAGATGGGCTTATTGTATGTACGTTTACCGGAATCCCGTTCCGTTCCGTTCCCTGTAACCGCATTAACACAAACCTGTAACTGACCGCGAGAAATGCGCGGGAATTCCAACTGCCCGCTGCCCGCACCTATATAAGGCGCCCTGTTTCTTCCGCCTTACCATCTCTTTGTTGATTTTTTTTTTTTTTTTTCTCAGCCCTGCGAAGAATTTGTCAGGTAAGTTGTTCAATGGCGGCAGCGGATGTTGAATTCAGATGCTTCGTCGGTGGTTTGGCTTGGGCGACCACCGATTATTCGCTGGGGCAAGCATTCGCTCAGTACGGTGAAGTCTTAGAATCGAAGGTCGGTGGCTTCGATCGATCCGATCTAGATCGGTTTGCGTTACCTGTTCCTTCGCCTTTGCGTTATTCTTCGATTTGATTTCTTCTGCAGATTATTAACGATCGGGAGACAGGAAGGTCCAGGGGATTCGGATTCGTGACCTTTAGGGACGAGCACGCGATGAGGGATGCGATCGAGGCAATGAACGGCCAGGATCTCGACGGCCGCAACATCACTGTGAACGAGGCTCAGTCACGTGGAGGAGGAAGTAATGGCGGTGGATTCCGCGGTTCTCGTCGCGACGGTGGCGGTTATGGAAACAGCGGCGGCGGCGGCAGCTATCCCCGGCGGGATGGTGGCTATGGAGGCAGCGGCAGTTACGGCGGCGGACGTCGTGAGGGTGGATTTGGAGGCGGTCGGCGAGGCGGTTATGGCAGCGGCGGCGAGCGTGGATACTCCAGGGGCGGCGGAGGCACGGCGGCGTACGGAAACTGGAGAAATTGAAGGAGGTTTTTGAGTGGAGCGTAATGATTATCGTTCCACTTTCTTTCTATCATCACTCTCTCTGTGAAATTGAAAATCAATGGTTGGTGTTGCTTACTCTTTGTGTTGTGTTGTGTTCTGAAAACCTTCTAACAGCTGCTCACTCAACTCATATGCTAACAGACACTATCTATAATTGGAAAAACTTTAAAATAACAAAATTGATTTTCTTCACATTGTGATTTAAATAAATAAATAATAACTAAACATCTTTTATTTGGAGTTTGGGTCACCTTTCTTTCTTTTTTTCTTTTTAATTTTAATAATCATTAAATAAAATATATATATATATATTTTTTATTCGAAATATTATATACAAACATGTACCGTGGCAGCTCTGCCTTGGTGGGGGCGTATCAACAAAGATTCTTCTGACAATAACATGCTGTACCTTTCAATCTAATCATTGGAGCAAATATATATATATAGAATCATGTATAATCAAACAAACATTCATCTAGTTCCCCATCCTCATCGATTTTTAACAACCCAACACGAAATGCATGCATTTGCATAACTAACCAACAACTAATTAAACAATCTATTCTCAAAATCCAATTTTTGCCTTTTAAAATTCTCAATAAAAAATATCAGAATGAGAATGAATGACCTAACAAAAATGAGAATGAGAATCCTGTAATGGCCCCAAGGACCATTTCTTTTTCTTCACACAAAACTCTCAGCTCTGCTCCACTTGACACTAGATAGAATCAATTGCATCACACTCTTACCTCTTCATTGAGGAGCTGCTGCATCTGTAAATTATTGTTATTACAGTCAAGAATCAAGTTAAGTTCAAAGTGGTGGATATTACCAAGGAAAGAGTAGCTTGGTCCAGGGTGATGAAAAACCTTATCTTCCATCAACTCCTTTCAAGATTCCATCCCAACCACTAATCACCTTTCGACAAAGTTGATCCAACCAGCCAAGCCACCTGTTATTCATCATAAGCACAACATTGTTAAAGTATATGATGAACATAGGCCAAGTTAGGGCAGTAAATTAAGATTTAAGAAACACCATAATTTGAAACTGATTGATCAAAGGAAATGTAGGAAGCTATTATAAGCAGAAGATCAACCCCCTACATTTTACCTTTACGTCATTGAGGAAAATATCAAAAACCAATGTGTAAATAATATGTTCTGCTAGGCATTTCATATTCTTCTCAACCAAATGGCTCTATAGCATACACTTGGCCTTCGTCTGAAGGAATGCATCCTTGCCAAGTAATGTTTGATAAAAAGGGAGAAGCATTATAATTGTAGTAAACTAAACATGTGCATAGTTACAGAAAACCCGAGGTAATGTGCAAAAGAAAGAAATTTACTGGTAGAGAATGAAAGAGATTTTATACATACAGATTCTGAACTTTGTAGAGATTCTTCTGGTTGGTCCTTCCACGGTATAGTCAGTTGATATGGAGCATTTACCACTACATGATAGAAGGAGGAATCTCCCAAATTGTGATTTATACAAGAACAGCAAATGATGGAGGTAAATGTTGTATACCAATTTCATATGCCGGTCGAGAGATTCTTCAAGGTAGTAGTAACTTGCCTTTTGTCCCACTCCAGATGTGGTTCTTAGGGAGACAAATCACCAGAATTCCTCATATCTTGCTAGTTCATACGAAAAGGGCAACTGGCATGACCAGCAGCACAACTTCGAACCCCATGTCTACCCTTGGAGCCTATAAATACTTCACAATTCCCACTGTTTTCTACACCATCCTCAGCTGACAGTTCTTGACCTCAGTCTTGCTAGACCCCTCAATATTTTTTTTTTTCAGTAAAGCGACTCCCTCCAGCATTTAGTGTTGGAAATGGCGTCTAGCTCGATGAGGTCTTGGTCAGCTGCGGAAAACAAAGCCTTTGAGATGGCACTGGCGGTGTTCGACAAGGACACCCCAGACCGTTGGGTGAATGTAGCGAGGGCTATTGGCGGGAGGACCCCTGAAGAAGTGAAAAGGCACTATGAAATCTTAGTGGAGGATGTTAAATACATTGAGAGCGGTAAAGTACCGTTCCCCAACTACATTACCACTGGAGGAGTTGGTAGCATCAAGACAATTAGGAAATAAGGTACATTCTACAATCCATGCCTTAATATTTGAAATAACTATCACTGAAAGCATCAAAATTCCATGAATGTGTTATTGTTACGGCCATGCAATCAAAAAATCAATCCATAGAAGATCTTCAGAAAGTGTTTTGTTGGATATTATGTTGGATTGTAGTTATACTAATGAATAATCATTATATTTTCGTGCAGGATGACGAATCAGAAGCTATAACAGAATAAAGAAATGCATTGCAGTTATGTTCAGATGCATGAAGATTATTATAGATATATATATTTAATATGCACAATGCAGCAGCTACTTAAGAATCAATATAGAGTGATTCTTCCTAACATGAGACAAAATTTGTCTAATAACCACTAGATTATGTAGTTTCCCTTCAATTATCATTCTAGCTGTGTTATGTACTAATAATCTACAATTTATTGGAGGAAGTTGTTTGAAATCCTTCAAGATTGTAATCTCTTTGATATCAAAGGAACAACTAAATTTCCCTATTTATGATCATGTCTATTTTATCTTCCCTACATACTTCATTATTTCAAATTATTTATGTTTCTTCACTTCAAAGTAGAAGGATGCTGGCAGATTATCAGGACCAGTTTTGTGGGGAAAAAATATTCTACAACATGTAGTAGTAGCCTATATTGCTTACAATGATTGTAATGTAGTCAATGAAGTTTCATGATGTCAGTTTAGTGACTAAAAGACATTAATTAATTAGAAGACATGATGAGAGCATATAAGCCAGGATATATTACCAAAATAGTGTGAATATGTATTTTGGTAATATAGATGGGAGGGATGATGCATACACATTTCCACTGAAAGATACACTATTCAAAATTTCTATGATTAAACCAATATATCCCTGCAATTCAGAGGCCTGATTATACTCTATGCCCTCAGATGGTATACATAGGATATCTCCAAGGAACGTATAAACCATACTTGACAAGTAAACCAACATTTTGTAATGATATATTTGCAGATGGTATCATAAATTCTTATTGGTTATGGTTAGGAAAAAAGCCTCTTCTGAATGATTAAATATACTAAAATTCATGTCAAGCCTGATAACAACTTTGGGATAACATTCCAAGCAACTTAACGCATAATAAATGATTTATACCCTTGCAAGATTGTCAGAAATATGTGGATGAACCCAAAATGTAAAAATTACATTGAGACATCCTCTGCTACTCCTGCATATGTCATTTGCAAATATGCATGAAAAAAAGAAAAAAAGAAAAAAAAAGCCATAACTCCAGATTGATTTAATCAATTACATCTGGGATACAAAATATAATAAGCATTCCTTAAAAGCAAACAAATTACCTCTATACACCGGGTTCTGTGGACAAGAAATGGATATGAACAATGTAACTCATTAACACAATTAGGTTTATACAATGTTAAAACTTAAACATGAAACCTCTAATATACCGTTCCATAATCCAATAATACACTCCAAGCTCATAGTAGATGCAAGGCTAAAACAAGTAAGGTTCAATAATCAATACACCTTACTCAGCCACGGTTGTTCTGAGGGGCAAAAAGCTTTCCACTTCTCTGTTCACCATATTTCTTTCTGCAACAACTTTTGACATCCCAAACATCTGAGAAAATTCCTAGGATCAGAAATGGCTTGACATCAAATCAGAGTTTAAAGGAATTGAAAGCTGGAAACCTTCTTGATAGTCTTCTGGAAGTAAGTTTTGTGTTCCTCCGTGGAAGCATGAATAAATTCATCAATGTGATCCCTCAGATCTTCCATAAATGTTGCTTCTTCATTTTTCTTTTTACTACATGAAGTCATGGCTGGATTTGAAGCTCCAGATGAAGAACTCCTTTGGAATTTTTTCACTTGACATTGTCTATATTACCTAATCAGGTGTCATCAAAGTTGTTCAGTAATCAGTAATGTCTTTTAAACAGATCAAACCAGGAATGGCAGTAAAACAGGCATACCAAGAACTTAGGAAGAATTCATATCCAGGTATGCTTGCTTACGTTTTCACCCCATTTAGAACATCCCATCCAAACCTATTTCAATTCCTAAACACCCAAAACACAGACAAACACACTTTGCAAATAGCCAAAATAACAACATGATTCAAATATCATTTCACATTAACACCCGAAAGATAATCCGAGAAAATTTCCAAGCCAGCGAGCAAGATAGTTATTTCCATTAAAGGCCAATTTTGCCTATGCAACATTAGATGATCATCCACGTCCACCACGCAACTCAACAGTAACACAAAAAAAACCAATAAAGGAACTGCAGAATTTCACTTTTCTACCTCCGATCAATTCATGGTCCCAAAATGTTCTATATTCCATAAGATATGCCAAGAAAAGATCAAATGAGAATCAAAATACTCATTCGGAATGACATCAATTCAGAAGAAAACAAGAATAATATGCAGAGACATGAACACCAAAACAAAAGACGATAATATGCAACAAAAGACGATATTTTCCCAAAGCCAGATCAAATATGCAGAGACATGAACACCAAAACATGTACGATCTCATCAATAGTTTTTCCGTTCTAGAAAGACCGTAGCACACGTGTGAAATAACAATTGGGCTTCATCTGGCCCAAAATTAAACCTTATTGGGCCTAGATGGGCCCATTACAAAAACAATAAGATCACTGACAATTCTTATTTTAAAAAAAAAATAAATAAATAGTGTAATAATAGGGTTGTTTGTTTGTTTGAATTGATACATGTTGAATTAGTGCAACATATGCTATTATAATATGTAGTTTGGGAAGAAAACAAAAATAACTCATGGGCATGGTTTGAAATATCACACCTTAGTCACACGTATGTTGAAGTGGTATATCAAACAAATTCAATATGCTGAGAATATATTCTCTTTCTTGGCCTAAAATGGGATGGACCAACTAAAAGTGTGGACCTATTTTCGGTAGGAATTCAAGCTAAAAAGTAGAGCAAAAAATTGTGGAAGTTGAAGACACAATCATAATAAGTGAATGGCTTTTGAGGAAATCGAATCCCATCAAAAAAAAAAAACTTATCAAAAGAACTTTTTCATATGATGATTTTTTTAGGGTGACCCAGAAAATTGTGTGAAACTAAAAAGAAAGAAAGAAAGAACAAAAGGAAATTTCCCAGTTGTGTTGTGATAGTTTGATGGAGGAGAGGACCACTAACTGCTTGAAATGTGACCTTTAATTTTCCATGATTCTTGAAAGATGTTAGAGAGTAAATACGTACATAAAATGTACATGCATACAGTATAAAAATTTTTGTTTTTTAATTTGGATTAAGATTATTTGTTATTGGTGGGAAGAGACAGAGGGAAATTGAATTGGAAAGTCCAAACTTCAAATTCCAATAAAAGTGAGACGTTATTGGTAATGATATTGAGATATAAACCAATCAATAGCTCGTGAGCCATATGTATATGTAAATATCATAGCCAATAACTCATTTCCCAGTTTTACTTACATTGGAATTTGAATTTTGGATTTTCTAATTTAATTTCCTTTTTCTCTTCCCGCCAATAACCAATCAATATTTTATAATTATGTAAAATATAAATAAACTTTTTAGATAAAATTTGGCATGAAATGAAATGAATCAGTCAGTCAGTGAATAGGAACAACTTCTCAACGACACTTGTAGATTGCATGCTGTCACTCTCAATCTCACTCACTCACAGAGACAGACCTGTAGATACATGTATGTATAAGCAGAGAGAGAGACTAGAGAAAGAGGCATGTATGTATACCTGTATGTATGTATGTATGTATAATGATATGAAGTGAGTGAGTAAGTGTATGTGTGGTTGCAGTTGAGACGTGTCAGTGAGTATCAGTAGGGTTTGAAACTTTACCCACTCTCCAGATTCGGATGGATCATCGCCATACGTACCAATGCCAATTGCAATTGCATTCCTCCTCCGATCCGCCGCTATAAATAGCTACGCTCTCGGCGCAATATCTTCACTACCACACCACAAAACCTAATCAATTTTTTCTCTTCTCCTTTCTGTGGCTCACGAATGGCGTCTGGATCGCTGAGCTCGCACAGGCCAGGCTCCTCCTCGTGGACACCGCAGGAGAACAAGCTGTTCGAGCGAGCCCTAGCGCGCTTCGACACCGACTCCCCTGACCGCTGGCAGAACGTCGCCAGGGCGGTCGGCGGCGGAAAGTCCGCCGACGAAGTTAAAAGGCACTACGACATCCTCATTGAGGATCTCCGCCGAATCGAATCCGGCCATGTCCCTATCCCCAATTACACCAACACTTCTGTCCAGGATGAGAAAAGGTACATTATACATATATATATATATATATATATTTAAAATATTTAAAAATATATATTTTTAATTTAACCCCAGGCGCACACACACATACGTATACATTATGCATCTATACTATACACGTGACTGCATATGATATGCATGTATATATAGTGATTGAAATCTGCTTTTTTAAATTTAATTAATTAATTAATTAATGTTGTGGTTAAATATAATGTAGGCTGCTGAAGCTTCTCAACATGTGATTGGGAGTAGAGCTGAGAGGGCTAGCTGATGAAGAATATTAATTAATTAAAATGAACGAAGAATGCTGTAATTATTGGCCTTCTTCCTAATTAATTAGCTTTTTTAATTTATTAGGTATTGTCACGATGTAACGCCCCTAGTTTTTCATGCATGCATATTATGTTTGTCTTCTCTTGAAGCAGATAATCAAGTCTACTGCTAATGCATGCATATGAATATCCCCATCCCTAATTACCTAGTAGCTTTTGTCTTTCCTAGTATTGAATAAAAATCCTACTTGCTATAAATATGCTGTTTCTAATTAACGTTATAATTTTCTTAATATATATATATATATATGTATATTATCATTGCCTTATAGCTAGAAATTAAATAAAATTATATATGGGCTACCTGTTGGGCCTTCTATCATGGACTTCATAAACGCTACAGTTGGGCCGGGTGTTATTTGGCCCAAACATTATTCTTCCAAAAAGAATCTTTTAAGGACCTGTAAAGTACTAAAGTGGAGAGAAAATTTGTAAATAAATTTATAAAATTAATTAAGCTGGTTTAGCATTCCTTGTCTACAATCAATAATGTTTATATGTATTTATTTATTTATTTTGTGTGAAAAGGAAGAAGAGGATTGTAGTGTGTGTCCATTACCTCTGCTGGAAAGAGGCCCATTTCATGTTTATCCATTACAATCAGCTTTCAGGTTCTTCACAACATTGTTCCAAATCCAAGCACCAGAAAAGCAGCTTCAAAACAAGGAAAATAAAATTAAAATAACAATAATAATAATTATTATTATTATATAATACTATTATATACAAACAATATTATTAAAAATAATGAAAACAATATGGGTGCACAGATTTGATATGGAACATTGGATCTGCTGCAATATAAATTGGCCACTTATCATTCCCATCACTTATTATTTTCTGAGAGGATAAGAAGACAGCATAAATATATATATATATATATATATATCCATTTTTTTAAGGGTAAACAAAGATGAAATCTTTGGATTCTTCTTCAACTTATTCATTTCACTTCCCTAAAGAAAAGTAAATAAGTCAACAAATTATCATGCAAATAATCTTTCTTATTTTCAACTAACTGATGAATAATAATAGCAGCAATCATGAAAAATGGATTGTCTTCAATAATGATAATCTTGATTCTTGAAGAATGGGCTCATCATTTCATACTGCAGATTGTAAAGTAGCATATATCATCATACATAGAAAATAAAAAGTTTAAAAATCAAATTTATGCACTATCTACATGCAATACACATACACACACATATACAAATATACAATCATGTCATTTATGATTGGTTCAATGTACTTGGCTTTGGGGCATGTAATATAAAAGCATAAAAAACTCAAGATGGGAAAGAAGGCTGAAAGCAAGCAAAATCAAACTATTTTTTCTAAAAATAAAAAAGAACTTGTGGCACAGCCATTAAGTTTTGCTATATAGCCCACAAAGAAAGTGATTGAAGGATTCAGATAAGGACAGGTCCCTATTGGCGGGGGTTGGGGGTGGGGGGGGGGGGGAGGGGGGGTCATGCTCCTGGTCATGGTCATCTCAAATATAATAATAAAATATTAAAAATAATAATAATAAGCCCCTTTTGTATTCTCACATTTCAATAATTTGCTAACTTTGTTGCCATGAGATGTATGTATCCATTTACATATGCAAAATTAAAATCATGCATGATGTACTAACTGAAGACTGTGTCAAGTCACTTTATATGAAAGCTAACAACCAAGCGTGACCTCAAATGCAAGGCACCGTACATATCTATTTCCAAAATTATATAAATAATAATAATAATACTTGTAATGATGGGGTATTTTTAAACAATAAAATAAAACTAACATAATAATAAAAGTGAACATGACTTAAAATCAAATTGGGAAACTACATGCATATTTGACCTTTTTTTCTCTTTGCTATTTTCTTTCAAAGCATCAAAAGACTAATTATGGCTATCATTTATACTTGATAGTGATTTAGGGTAATGTAAAAGTGCAATAATTAAGAATGATTACAAGGTCAAGTTGCTGCAGGAATTAATTATATGAAAACGAGATCAGGCAAATTGATTGGAACATGGATAATTTTAAATTTCTGATAAAGGGGAAGTCACATTCTGAAATTTAAATTTTTTCTAAAAGATTGAATGCGAAATAAACAATATTTGAGAAGGATATGAAATCTTACAAATGGTACCCCACTGACAATGATTTTTTCACAAAATCTTTGCTCCAATCCTATATCTGCCCACTATTACATTGTCCTGTACCAAAATATAGCAAATATTATTCTTTAGGTTATCTAATTTACTAACTATAAAAAATCAAGTTCCCCCCAAAAAGAGGGGGTTATGAATACATGTACCTACCTGTATGCATGTATGATGAATATGAAAAGTAAAATTGTGTCACAAATCTGATCCACTATGAGAATCATCTATTGATGAAGGTGAACAAAGAAACAAATAAAATAGTGGCATTTAAATAATAATTATTGAAATGGGGAAAGGAGGCCCAACCTATATATGGGCCGTGTCCAACAGACAGGCCCACGTGATTTGTGGGCCCACCCACCATGGCCTCTGCTCGTGGCCGGGCCCACTACCACTGTATCCCCCTCTCACATGTATTCCGGCTGCTTCAGTCATCTTCCGGCGGTCGTTATCATTTCCGGCCACTTTATATTATAAAGTACCCCACACCCCCCCCCCCCCCTCTCTCTCTCTCTCTCTCTCTCTTTATATATATGTTTATATAACTATGCCTTAGCCACTATTTTTCCTCAGAACTCACAAGATCACATAAGACGATTAGGGATTGCTCTTGATACTTTACCTTTTCCTACCTTTGAAGAAGCTCTGGAGCAGCTCTCGCCGGAGATGATGCATTGTTTGAACGCCGATGCAGGAAATGCCAAAATGAGCGTGCTTGAGCGGCGCCTGAATTGGCAGCGGGATCAATTTCCTGCAACTTACTACGTCAGTGAAAACGATCTGCCAGGCGCTGGTGCTTTCTTCGCTTTAAATAACGATGATCGTGGAATTGGTGATGTCATGGTGGGCGGAGCTATGAAGCCGGACCCGGGTACGGAAAACGGGTGGGTCGGGGACTTGAGTCGGATGATCCTGAATTACGGGAATCGGTCCGAGGTCGAAGTGAGCAGAGCTTTTCCGGGGACAGTTATCTCCCCGCCGGCAACAGCACCGGCCGGCGTGGGAAAGGAAGCTGATTTTGGCTCGTCTACAGCAAACTCAAAAAAGAGAAAGGTTGATAAAGCTCAAAACCCTAAGGTGAGTGTGTGATGTTCTAGCAAACTTGCTCTGTTTGGCGTGCCCTGATGTTTGTGACTTCAACAGCTTTCCAATTCTGCATAATTTAAAGAAGAGAATTGTTATATAATTCAACGGGATGTATGTATTTATGTATGTAGGGATCTTCAGAAGAAATATTTGAGGAGAAAAAGGTGAAAGTTTATGCAGATGAGGAATCTAAAATGACAGGGCAAAACAGCAACAGCAACAGCAAGAGCACTACTACGACCACAACAGGCAGCAATGAAACCAACAAAAAGAACACGACCAAAGGGCCATCAAATGGCAACCCGAAGGCTTCAGATGCACCGAAGACTGATTACATTCATGTTCGTGCTCGTCGCGGCCAAGCCACGGACAGCCACAGCTTGGCTGAGAGAGTAAGAGATGTTTTTGTCTTTCTAGTCCCTGGAGAATTCATTTAGAAGCTATATTCAACTCTTGTTGCATTGATCATTGCAGGTGAGGAGAGAAAAGATCAGTGAAAGAATGAAGTACCTGCAAGATTTGGTTCCGGGGTGCAACAAGATAACTGGGAAAGCTGGAATGCTCGACGAAATAATCAACTATGTTCAATCTCTGCAAAGACAAGTAGAGGTAGATTAAATCCCAGTAAAAACTATATTCATATATATATATATATATGTCTTTGCAGAATAGAATTAACAAATTCATCATCATTCATTGCAGTTCTTGTCTATGAAGCTGGCTGCAATTAACCCTAGGCTTGATTTTGACATCGACAACTATCTAGCGAAAGAGGTAAAGACAGTTACATTGATTATTTGATTTAAATCCTTCCTATAGTTTGTATTCATAGAGATGGATGGGGAATCATAAATTCTTACATGTTTAACATCTCCAATTTCTCCCCGCAGATATTTCCATCGTGCACGTCTAGCTTTCCCTCTCACCTGGTGAATGCTGCTCACCTGCATTACAATGCATCAACTCAAGGAATTTCAGGCCCCATACCAGAAATTGGGAGAACTATTTCCCCACCAGTGGTTTCAATGGCCGATTCATTTCTTGATTCATCCTGTTTCAATGTGAGTGTCTGATTTAATCATTTTTTTATTTGTTTCACTTTCAGTTCAAGAATCAATTAGTCATCACTTCATCTAAAGAAAACAGTTTTACATGATGAGACAGCAAATTCAGCACCTGACATGGGAGGATGACTTGCAAAATCTGTTTTCTATGGAGTACCAACAAGGAAGACCAGCAGCATTTACTTCACAGCCATTTACAGGTACACAAACATGTCTACTCAATTTTCTGGTCCCTGTTTATTTCAACATCAGAAATCAAGCATAGTGGATATTTTACATTTCATGAGACCCCACATACACAGACTAAAGACCTCGCCATTAATCTATGTGGTCCTGCTTATTAGCCATGCAAAACTTTCTAATTGTGAAAATAAATTTCAGGCAGGACCTCCTCAAAATGTTTTCAAATCCAAATTATCAATCATCCTTGATGAAATCAAATTTCATAATTGCAGGTTTCCTGGAAGCAGGGAATGTAAAGCTGGAAATGTGAATGGCATATTCTTTGATGAGTCAAGTTCAAGTAATTCAAAGTTACCTGATCCTGATTATTTTTTATGTCCTTTCCAAATTAGATACTGTAAATATATTTAATGAGTAATGTTGTGCTATTGACAGTTATTATCATTAGCATATATAAGATGACAAGAAGAAATCCAATTTCAGTTTGAATTTCCTCTGATGATATTATTATAATCTTAATCCTCCACCACACACAAAATTAGACATTGCATATGATTAATTTAAATCAAAGCTGAAAGCACATTAATATCAGCCAGAAACAGTAAAAAATGACCATATTTCAGATTAATGCCCAGCCTATGAATAATTAATCAATGCAAACATCACCAACAGGAGATTGTCACACATACTTATTTCTGCAAGTTGTCCTGTGAATTAAAGCCTGAAAGCTGTTTGCAAGCATTCATTCATATGTAGAGAGGATAGGAAGACAATAGCCAACCAAATGTTTCTGATCCTGTGAGAGTGGAATGAGACATTTCAATTAATAAGACCCCTCATAATTAGATAACGAAATGCAATTTCTCTCAATTGTCTCATTTCCCTTTTGCTGTGGGGCTGTGGGCCTTTCCACAAAAGAGCTGTAAAGGTTCAATAATCCCATGGAGGGCAAACATATCTGGCTATCCCTATTCAACATACCTGCAAGCATTTAATAACACCCTAACAGTTTGCCACTGGAATAATAATAATAACAATAATAATAATAATAATAATAATAATATGCAGTAACAAGCTACAGAAATGAGAATATGTCAGATTCTTGATGATGAATTCCCTGACTATTTCCCAACAAATCATCCATTTTTTGACCAACTGTGTTAAAGCTGGAGCTGTAAACATCCATCACAATTCCATTTAAAAAATTTAAAAAAATAAAAAATACCCATACCCTTTTCCCATCAAGAAAAAAAGATTATATTCCACCAACAGAAATAAGTGGAGTTTGACAACAATCCTTGCTAGCATTCTCCAGGCATTTAGCTGCACAGCTATTTATAGATGAATACTCTACTTTTTAGCAGCATACACAGGGTAGTAGTAGAGAGAGTTTTAATCCTATTCCTATATGCTTATGTTCGTTCTGGTGGGACCTCAGAAGGGCAGAGAGCAGCTCTCATTTTCAAGCCATGTGAGGAAAGGCAAAGGCTGGACCTGCCCTAATCTATCAGTGAAATCTATTTGATTCTCTCTTCGCTATTGGATGTTGAAATGGAGTTTTGCCTCTTCACTATCATGGCCCCATTCTCCTCCCCTTTATAATATAACTTAAAACCTGCTTTCACAACACTGTCTTTTCCCTAGATAGAAATGAAAAATAAAAATGTTTTAAACCTACTAAAAAGATTCTTTGGCTGTGTGGATGACGCAAAAAACCTCACTATAACGAATGGATTGGAAAGTACTTCATGTGAGCTCATATACGACAACAAATACAGCACAACAGTACAAGAAAGAATTTATACATATTATATAGCGGTTAATTCAAGCAACTTACCATCACGTAAACTACAGAATAATCGGTATAACTATAACAATGTGGAAGAACAAATGCAGAATTTAAAAGAAGAGCAAATTACGAATGGAATCGAGACGTTCGTTCTCACTAGTTCATCAGATTAGCTTCCGAGATCACTCCTCTACCATAACCATAATCTTCTGTCCGATGCCTATCTCATTCGACTTGATTGTGCTGTGTGAGGCGAGGATGAGAATTCTTCCAGCAATGGCTGATCGGCGCTTCGTCCATGACTCCCCTGCGCTCAGCGTCGTAGCCACTCCACGATTATCCATGAAGAGGAAGCCCAAAGGACGTTCTCTAGCGGGCCGGGCTGCCTATGCCCAGGCCCACTAAAATGGGTACAATCAAGTTGCCTAGTGGATCGGATCGGCCCAGATCCGAAAACGCCCAGCCCACTTCAGTAGATACGATTCTCAGGACCAGGTCTCGTGGTGGACTAATAAATCTGAGTAAATACAAGTTTAGAGAAAGAGAGTAAAGCAAATTCATACTCCAAGCCAAGTACCCAAAAATATGAAAATATATATATATATATATATATATATAATATATTTAATTTAATTTTCTTGACTTGAGAGTAAAGCTGTAGAAGATGGTTGGCTCTAAGTAGCTCTCATGCATGCTCATACAAGAAATATACATACTGCACATAATATATCAAAGTATTATTACTTTCTTTCTTCCTATCTATCTTCAAAAACTGAACTTAGAATTAAAAGTCCCCATCAGAATATTGCTTGTAAGTTTTGGTGTTCTAACTCCAACTTTCACCTAATCAACAAACTGATGTCTAGCACAATACCCTCCCTCCCTTCCCACTCCCCTTCTATAAAATCTCCAAAAAAAAAAAAAAACTATGTAGCTACACAACACCCCCTCTCATATAATCAATCAAATTATATTTTAATTTCCCGGGGCGATGGGGGTCGAACACGACAATATCCACATTCGTCTATTACTCTTTTGTACTATACTAGGATGTCTTGCCACGACCCCGGCAATGGCTGCGCTCAAAAAATACCAATTTGACGTTAGTAGCAACAGTTAACTTGCAATAACTCTGTATGTTCAGTAGTGTATAATATATACGATTCTTTTGTATTTTTCAGGTTCAGGTAAAGACAGTGAGCAGATTGTGTCACGCGAAGCCTATTGTGACCGTTAATGGAATGTTTCCGGGGCCAACGATCTATGTTAGAGAAGGGGATCGCTTGCAGATTAATGTCACTAACTATGCACAATACAATATGTCTGTCCACTGGTAAGAATTAGTCGATCATGATCGCTATCCTAAGCGTATGGGAACGGTTAAGGTGCTGAATTGAAAAAATTAATATCATACTGATTTTTCAAATCAGTACCCGTAATATATACAAACAACATGTTGTGTATAATAAGATTGTGTGTTGTTGGTTCATAATTATAAGTATGTTGTATAACAGTATGTGGTGCGTTGAAATCAACTATTATTTGTGTTGTATAAGACTATAGCATGTGATGTTATTTCGTGTGTTGTATTTGTATTATACGAATACATACGGCGTGCTGTTTATAATAACACGTGTGTTGTCTGACACTTTTGTGTGTTTTCGGGCAGGCATGGTTTAAAGCAATATCGCAACGGGTGGGCAGACGGGCCGGCTTATATAACACAATGTCCAGTTCAGACAGGGCAAAGCTATACCTATGACTTCAATGTAACAGGGCAAAGAGGGACTTTGTGGTGGCATGCACATATCTCATGGCTTAGGGCAACTGTTTATGGAGCCATAGTTATTTTGCCTCAACAAGGGACACCTTATCCTTTCCCTCAACCCGATTTCGAATTCGAGCTCGTCTTAGGTAATTAAAAGGAACTAGAAGTTAGTTTATGTTAGATGATACAAATGATTGTCTCATCTAAAAGTTTAAGCTATTAAGATACGCATCATTTATTTATTTATTTATTTATCTTATATCATCTAAGAGTTGTTTTTTAAGGTTATTACAAGTTCAAGAACTTAGTTTATGTTAAATATATAAATGATAATCTCACCTAAAAGTTTAAACTATTACATCATCTATTTATTTATCTTATATCATCTAAGAGTTGTTTTTTAAGGTTATTACAAGTTCATGAGATGTGTAATAACATTGAAGAAACATTATGTGTCGAAACAGGCGAATGGTGGAACACTGATGTCGAAGAGGATGTAAAACAAGGAAACAAGTTGGGATTACCTCCGAAAACATCGGATGCGCATACGATCAACGGCAAGCCGGGGCCGCTCTTCCCGTGTTCTGAAAAACGTAGGATCAATGTAATGTCGAATGTTAGTTCTAGCTCGATAAGATGTAATAACGATGTGTTTTTTTTTTTTTGCTCAGACACTAATGCTATAGAGGTCGAGCAAGGAAAGACGTACCTCTTGAGAATCGTCAACGCTGCGCTCAACGACGAGCTTTTCTTCGCCATTGATGGACACAAGATGACGGTTGTCGAAATCGACGCTGTCTACACCAAACCTTTCTCGACTGAGACAATCCTAATAGCTCCTGGACAGACAACAAATGTTCTTGTCCGAGCGAACCAGCTCCCCGGGCGATACTTCATGGCCGCAAGGCCTTTCATGGACGCGCCGATTTCTATCGACAACAAAACAGCTGCAGCCATTCTGCAATATAAAGGCATCCCAAACTTCGTACTTCCGACATTACCTCAGCTGCCATCACTTAACAACACAGCTTATGCTCTAAGTTACAATGCAAAGCTCCGGAGCCTCAATTCAAAGCAGTTTCCGGCGGCGGTGCCGCGGAAAGTCGACCGGCGTCTGTTCTACACGATTGGCTTGGGAGTGAATCCTTGTGAGGATTGTCTGAATGGGACACAAATGGCGGCTTCATTGAACAACATAACCTTTGTGATGCCTAAAATTGGACTCTTACAGGCTCATTATTACAACCTTAAAGGAGTGTTCAAAATGGACTTCCCTGACCGTCCTCCGACGGTTTTTAACTACACCGGAGCGCCGCTTACGGCGAACCTGAAAACGTCGGTGAGCGGACAACCTCGGCTGAGCAAAATTGCGTTCAATTCGACGGTGGAATTGGTGCTGCAGGATACGAATCTTCTGTCGGTTGAATCTCATCCTTTCCATCTCCATGGGTATAATTTCTTCGTGGTCGGGTCAGGGATTGGGAACTTCGATCCTGTCAAGGATCCGGCGAAGTATAATTTGGTGGATCCTCCGGAGAGGAACACTGTCGGAGTTCCGACAGGGGGGTGGACTGCCATAAGGTTTAGAGCTGATAATCCAGGTATGGTTTATGATTTTGTAATGAGAATAAACATCTGTTAGATTTTGTAATGAGAAGAGAGTTTGTAAGATGACGATGATGGAATGATAATGGTAATGATGTAGGAGTTTGGTTTATGCATTGTCACCTGGAGCTTCACACTGGGTGGGGATTGAAGATGGCGTTTGTGGTGGAGAATGGACCGGACAAAGATCATTCGATTCGGCCTCCGCCAAAGGACCTTCCACCTTGTTAATGGAGGTGGAATTCTGCCCTAATTTCAGTTTCAGACAAGCCTTGTCGCCGTCTCCAATGTTCTGCAGATAAGAATGAATGAATTGCAGGAATATTTGGATTGAAGAAGAAGAAAGAAAGAAGAGAGCATTCACCAATTTGTTTAAACCTAATTTGTTTTCAAATGTAAATTAATAATATATATATATATATATGATATAAATGCTTGATTTGTACGAGATAAATTTGTTTGTTTCATATAATGAATCATCTTGTCTTTCATCTATGTTATACTTACACCACTTTTATATATTTACAATTTTATTATTTTTAATTTAACAAATATTAATAATTTAGTTATTATTTTTATTAAAATTTTATAATATTTTATTTATTTTTTTTTTATCTTATTTTAATATTATTATTGGGGTGCAAACTCAAATCCCATCGAAAATTATAGAAAAAAATTTCATGTCAGTTCCAAGCTCCATTAGCATGAGCTTTTTTGAAAAATATTCAAAAACTCAACCCAAAGCAGACAATATTACGCAGTATGGAGATATCTAATACTACTAATTTTTCAGAAAAATAGCTCTCGATAGTCAGTAAGTGTGATTGTATGAGGTGGGATGTCTGTAACTTTCTTCAGCTCGAATGTAGTGAAAGGTGTTCTTGCTGGTGAACCTGCCCTATCAATCCCAGTTGCTTCCCCGACCATTAATATATTAGTATATACATATTTTAGAAAATGAAAAAAAAAAAAATTATTTTTTCACAATTTTTATACAAAATATTAATATATCATAAACTCTTTCTCAACACAAATTTTAGAACAAAAATTATTTTTAGTCTCGTTTAATATCATAATTATTAATTTTGATATCATAAAATTTATTTTATCAATTTTAGTTTTGAATATGACCGTGTTAGATGACTTAAAATGATGACTTGACAGCCAACACGACCGTGATTACCGTGCACTAAACATAGTGATGTTTATGCCGATATTGATGCTCGTTTTCTAAAGACAGTTATATTTCTCTTCGAGTTTGTTATCAGCGTAATCATATTTTAGGTATGTTATAAATCTTTTTAACCATATTCTTACATAAAAAGATATAATAATTGATATAACAAAGACATAGAGAAGGTATACTTTACATAAATATATATATATAATAATAACAATAACAATAATAATACTCATAGATATATAATTAGTAGGTAATTACGAGGTGTATTAGTAAAAATAATTATAAATTATTATTAAGATAAATAAATAATTTAATTAAAATTTAAAAAAATTATAAAATTTAAAATGTGATTAAAGTGGATAATCATATTTCCAAAAAAAAAGACTGGGACGGACAAAAATAAAAAATATGGAAAAATTACGTGAGACGGTTAAAATAATAGGTTTAAACTTACTTTAGAATGAGTACAAAACGAACTTTTCTGAGGTTAATACAAACAACAATTATTGAAAATTATTGCACGGCAAGCTTGATTAATTAAAGTATATATGTTGTCTGGATACAAAATCACATGTAAAAACTGCAGCAGTGTAGTGTAGGGTGATCATTATTAAGTTCCAAGGCTTGCCAAAATTTATATGTATATATATAAATTATATATACACAGAGGCAAGCTATAAATTATATAGAGCTAGCAAAGCATTCATCCATTCATTCATGTCTATCTTCTGTTCCTCAGCTCAGCTGCTGATCATTTCACCCGGACAACCTTAAACTCTGCCAATCTTCAGGAATTTCTCCCTTATGTTGTCAACATTAATGGAGTCTATATGACTGTTCCGTCTTTTATGGTCGCCTTCTCGACCACGATGACGATCCCGGCACGTATGTAGAAGCCTTCCTCTGGTCTGTCGGCTTCCTCGACGTTCTGCATTGGTCGGGTTTGTTTGTTTGATCAATGGTTTCGATTTTAGTTAAGGATAAGGTAATGAGAAGTTATCCGAAGACTTACGTCTTTGTTAGAGATGATCACGTTCTTTCCGATCCGCACATTCTTGTCGATGATACAGTTCCTGTTAGACATCGATCGAGTTAGTCAGAAATTAAATAAGGCGACTTTTGTAGTTCATTCATATTAAATGACCGTTTTACGTAAAAGCTTAAGTTTTGAAGAATACATATTGTTTATTTATTTATTTATATATTATGGAGTTAATTAACGACTCACTCGATTGTAGTGTCTCTTCCGATTCCAAGAGGGACTTTTCCCTCGGACATGAGGGCAGCTATCTCCGAGTCGGTTTGGTAATAATCGGCGCCGAGCATCAAAGTATCCTTGAGCTGGACGCCACTGTCCAGACGAGCGCGTTCGCCGACTATGGAGTGTTCGACCGTGCATTCTCGCAGGAAACACCCGTGTGAGATTATTGCCTCCTTAATCTGAAAAACAACATCGAGACATGTAAGAAGAACACAACCTTGGACGGGCGATGAGCATGAGCACGGCCGACCTTGCAGCTGTCGATTTTTGTAGGCGGTAAGAATCGAGGAGATGTGTAGAAAGGTGTCCTCGGATCGTAGAATTCGAACTTGGGAAACTGCAAACAAGACATCAATTGTCTCAACACAGACATAGAATATATACTGGCAACACATAAAGGTATAAAGTCGACACAAGATATACATTAATATAATAAAAAAACAACATTTGAACTGAAATTCGAAAACATGAACATTATGGGATAGAACATCAAACCTCGTTCAAAAGGGCTAAATTTGCATTGTAGAATGATTTTATCGACCCGATATCTTCCCAGTAGTCCCTGAATAAGTATGCCTACAACACAAATTCTTGTCTTAAACGCATAAAAGCAAATGCAAGAAAGAAAATTAGTCGATTCTTTACTCCCTCCGCCCGTTACCTGAACATTGTGTTCCTTTATTGCCGCAGGTATGATTTCAGACCCGAAGTCATTAGACAACGGGTGACTCCATTTCAGAAGCTTCAATAGCACGTCTGTCTTAAATGCATAAACTCCCATAGAAGCAATGTACGGAGATTCCTGAGCTTCCTCTCGAGACAAGCCTATGATCGAGGTGTCGACTTGCTGCAATAAAATAACCAAATTTCAGACAGGATTAGACGATGAAAATTTGAGACAAGAAACTATCGGACATATTTGGATTATGTTCGAGCTAACCATGGCTGTCTTATCATCGCCTTGAGGTTTTTCACAAAATTGGGTGATCCGACCACGGCTGTCGATCTTCACCAGTCCAAACTCCGATGCACGGCTGAGATTAACCAAAGGTTTATAGATCAACGGTCGAGATCAAACTAATCACAAGAAGACCCGCAAATCGCACAAACCTGTCGATCGTTGGCGCGCACGAGAGAGTCAGCTCAGCATTACGATCAATGTGATTCTGTTACATCATATATTTCAACAAATGGTTAATGATCAATGTCCATTATCATCGTTATCCAATTAGCGATCAGCCAATGTACCTGAATGAAGTCCATGTAATCCATCCTATAAAGATGATCTCCGGACAGAATCAGTATGTTGTCGATATGCTTCATCCTTACGTCCTGCAAGAACTTTCAGAACTTGTAAGAACGAGGCATCATTACACAGATATGTCTGAATTTTAAGGACTTGCCTCAAACAGCCACAAAAACTGTCTGACTGCATCCGCTGTCCCCTGAAACCATTGCTTTCCAGATTCTCCGGCAGTCTGCGTGGCGGCGAGAACCTCAACGGAGCGATCCCCGAAGCTGACGCCGTTTCCGGTGTATGTCCGAGAGATGTGACGGTTCAGAGAGGCGGAATTAAATTGCGTGAGAACAAAAATCTTGCTGATGCCGCTGTTGATGCAGTTACTCAAAGGAATGTCGACAAGTTTATAGCAACCTCCGATGGGAACCTGAGCATATCAATTAAGGACAACAAATTTTCAGGGCAACCAAAACAGGCACGAGGTGGAAAGGATGAAACAACATCAAGGGGAGTAAGTAACATATGTAGCATCAGGAATCTACCAATTTACTGAAAATTTTGATCAAATCACAAAGCATTTGTAAGAACTTAAGGATGTCATTCATGGAACAACTAGATATTACTAATTTACTATCCTCCTCTGCAATGTAATCAGCAGTAGACCAAATTAACAATGTGAAATGTGCAAACGTGTGTGATTTCTTACAGCTGGAGTGGCAGTTTTGCTTGTAAGAGGGAAAAGCTGCGCGCCGGCGCCGCCTCCGAGGATGATTGCAGCCACATTTTTGGGATCAGCTCTTTGCCTCTCTACTACCGGTGGTTGTGGTTTCTGAAAATTGATTAAATCCAAACAACAAAACTCAAAAGACGAACAAAAACAGAGATAATTATTGTCCAGAGAATCAACAAATTTCTATGACATATATATATATATGTATGTTCTGACCACTGATTTCTTTCTGTGTTTGGTTATGACAGAGTAAGCGACCCCAGGTTTGATGTTCCGACAATTTTTCTCGACGCTCAAACTCCTTCCGATTCGACTAGCCCAAGCAGTGTTGTTGTTCAGACTTCCTCGAATATCCTCTCCCCAAAAGCCACTCTCGCCGTGTCGGAAACCTTCTTTGCTGGTATTTGATAAATGCGTCAAGGGCTTCAATGTTGCGCAGGACGAATACATCGTGTACGCAGTTCACGCACTGATCCACAGGAAGAAAAAAAAAAAAAAAAAAAAAAGACATCACTAACAGTAGTTTAAGACAAGCGATGAATCATCACATCACACACACGTTTAATTAAGATTTTAAGAACACAGAGTCCAGACAACAGTACCACAACACAACCTAATCCAAAACGAAAGCACGCAATGCGAAGGAAGGTGTGCGCATAAAACTCAGAACAGACATTGATCTACAAAACTGATTGATTCACAGAAACAAATAAAAAAGGCACGAAACTGAAACGATATAGAAACAATAATGTCGGAAAATAAAATACAATCAATCAATCAATGGTACCTCGGACGCGGACAAGGGAGAGATCTGAGAGTGGACGGATCTCGACCTCCAATCGGGGAAACCGAGGACGAGGAGGAAATGAAAGAATTGGAGATGGATGGATTGATGAAGAGGGATCGAGGCAGCTAAATAAATAGCTAATGCATGGGCAGCGCAGTGTATAAGTTTAGTTTAGTTTGATTGTGTCAAATGAAGCATTAATTTAATATCTTATTTATAGATGAGAAAGAAATCACCAAAGCCACGGAACTACTCCTAACAATTAACTGAAAATTCTCTCTCTCTCTCTCTCTCTCTCTTCTCTCTCGGACTGGAATGGTAAATGTATGTATGTATAATGATGTATGCATGTGGCCATAAATGGGGAAATACCATAGGAGAGGAGCTTGCCTGCCATCGTCCACGTTTCTACCTCCTATCTGCCAAACGACACGTGTCCTTTTCTTCTCGGTATTAACCCTTTTTTTAATATATAGTGAAAACATTTTATTTTATTTTATTTTTATAAATTTATTTATTTGTATCTGCATGACATGACGTGGACATACTATTCATTGTTTAATTAATTTTTTTTTTAAATGCAAATATATATTTTTGTTTATTTATCTTAAAAAAAATGTACTAATATCCCAAATTCCGCGCATTTTATATGAGAATCAATCAATATAATACTTTCTTTCGCCTATCATATAATTTATCTATTTTTTTTTTATTTCGATTCATCCTGTATAATTTGTTTTTTTTCAGTTTTTAAAATAATTATACAGTTTATTTTTTTATAGAATTTGAGTGTTTTTATGTAGTTCGTAGGATATCAGGTTCGGCCGAAAGTTTATTCCGTGAACGGTAGCGACAGATTTTCGCATTAAAAAATAAATAAATAAATAAATAAATGTTAGTAGGATATCATAAAATAGAATTGGGAGGATGGGGTGTGATTGGTTGCATGCCATAATTATTGCATCCTCGTCCCTAATTAATTGAATTTGGTTCATTTCAAATGGACGTTCCAAATCAAACCTCGCCCACCAACTAACTTCCAACACTATTATTATTTACACCGCCTAAATTCTACTACCATAAATATTAACATAATATTCTTTTCAACTTGATAAATATATCGACAAAAATAAAAAAATTAAAATTAATCGATAATTAAGTCAGTCGAATGACCTCAAGTCAATCGATATTAAAAAACAATCTTAACGAAGAAATCTGGATTGCGACTCTTACATGTAAGTAAAGATTGTGTTCTTTTGTAAATTTTACCACATATTTTTACTATTCATATATTTATTTTTTTTCAAATATATAGTATCAAACAATTATTTATTTATTTATTTTATATAATATTAGAAATTTATTTTATATTAAAAACATCAATAGTTCAATGAACTGAGAGATTATACACTTACACTCAGTGTTATTACTTGCCTTGTTGGACCTTCTTCGCAAGCTATTAAATTCGATCGAAAATTTATTAAAACAATGCACTCATCAAGTAACGAATGGGGGTTTTATGTTATCAAAATATATATATATATATATATATATACATACATATAACACTAGGATAGATGAAAATAACTTAAGATTGTTCTTTTTTTTTTTTTACATTATTCTTATTATTATTTCATTTAGAACTTGAAATGAGTTAACATTCATTCACCTTAAAGTTTTCAAAATTGAATATGAAATAAGAAAATAAAGTAAACGTGTCATATAGTTATTTAATATGGGAAGGGAAAAAAAAAAAGAAAAAGAAAAAAAGAAGCTGGGAATAGAAGAAACAAAAACAGAGAGGCTAAATTAGGCCAACATAAGGGGTGGGAGAGCAGCCCCATCCCATCCCATGTGTTCATCTGATCTGATCTGATCTTACCTCCTCCTACGAAAACGACTTCAACGTTCACTCTTTCTCCCCACTACCCCACCCCACCCCACCCCCTCCAGATATTTCCAAACACTAACAATCAATCAATCGCAAGTTTCTAACCCTGCCCCTACATCAACCATGTCTTAATCCTACATCCGTACTTAAAACTACGTCTATTTGACTTTACACAAAATTCTAAAAAAATAGATAAAATATTTGAAAAAAAAAATTATGACAGAAAAAATTAGTATATTTTTACTTTAAAAAACAGAAATAAGAAAAATAAATGTAAATGGAAAAATGAGTAAAAAAATTCACTAATTAATTACTACCACTCTTCTCATTCATTTTCACTAAACTAAAGCCCAATCCAACAGAGCAGAGCCCACCCCACCCCACCTGTTAGTTAGTCAGATCACCTAAATAACGTTAATATTAATATTAATATTAATATTATTCCCTATTTTATTTTATTCTTGTAATATATTTCCTAATCTAATTTTGAAAAATATTAGTAAATAATTAAAAATATATTAGTGAAAATAATTATTATATAATAAAAATAATTTTAAATTAAAATTAAAATGACTAATTAATTTAATTAAATATATATAAATTAAAAAACTAAAAAATATATAATTATTTTTCAAAAAAAATGAACACAATAGGAAAGTATTACAAAAAATTTAAAAGTGTGTAGTATGATCATAATATTTTAAATTTTTGTATTTTATATACTTCCTTCGTCTCATGTTGTCATTTTTCATTTTCGTCCGTCTTAAAACAAGATTACCATTTTCTAATTTTAATAATTGTACTACTTACATAACATAATAAATACCCTTCGAACTTACACTATATTACACAAATGTCGTTACTTTTATATTAAACAATGCTAATAGGAGCATTTTCGTCTTTTTCACTGCAACCTATTATAATACTAATATTCAAAAATCTATGTGCAAAAAGTAAACAACAACCTTATACAGGGACGGAGGGAATATAACAATATATTTATAATTTATATAAAAATTAAAAAAAATATTATAATATCAATATATAATTATTTTTTTATAATAAAAAATAGATATTTTGAGCAAAATAAACAAAAATAGTAAGTATCACTCCCTTCGTCCCAATACAATAGTCTTGATTACCATTTTTGTCCGTCCCAAAACAAATCTGTTTTTCATAAATAACCATATCACCGTAAAATTACCCCTACTTTTTCATTTTTATTACACAATTGCCACTATTTTTTACATTAATACACTCACAAGGGCAAAAATATCTTTTATCTATACTTTTTACCAACTACCAATATAATGTCGGTATTCCTCAAACCTCATACCCAATCCAATTAAGACTATAGTTCTGGGACGGAAGAAATCCTATTCTTTTCCTCAAGTTATGTTATAAGTATTATTTATTTAATTTTTAGTAATTTTATAGCTAGTTCATTTATAATAAGTCATTTATTCATCCAAAATTTTATTACTTTTTTAATAAATAATAAATAATTTATTATTTTTCATTTATCTCATCATTTTTTTTTATTATTAAAATTTTATAATATTTTAATTTTATTTTTCCTGATTCCGTATTCAGTTTTCTCATTAAAAGATTGGGCGTTGGGATGGGTGGCCCATCCCATATAAGTAGTTGACGCGCCCACGCCTAACTAGATTCATTAAACTCCCTCACTACTCTACCCTACCCTCTCTATTAAATTAAATCAAATTAAATTAAATATAAATACCTGCTTCTTCTTCGTCGGCGTCTTCCAATTCATTCCATTCATGGCCGGCGGAGGAACGCTCTCTTCTCTCCGGAGGCCCTACCTTACTCTCTACAACTGGACCGTCTTCTTCGGGTGGCTCCAGGTACTCTTCCTCACTCTCAAAGCGCTCCACCACTCCGGCGCCAATTCCGTCTACGCCGCCGTCCACAAGCCGCTCATCCTCGCGCAATCCGCCGCCCTAATCGAGATCCTCCACAGCCTCGTCGGACTCGTCAGATCTCCCGTAGGAGCAACTCTTCCCCAGGTCAGTTCCCGAATCTACCTCACCTGGGGAATCCTCCACAGCTTCCCCGAGATCCAGACGCATCCGCTCGTCGCATCGCTCGTCATTAGCTGGTCCGTCACCGAAATCATCCGATACTCCTTCTTCGGATTCAAGGAGGCCTTCGGATTCACGCCGCCATGGCTCCTCTGGCTCAGGTACAGCACCTTCCTAATTCTCTACCCTACCGGAATCTCCAGTGAGGTAGGCCTCATTTACAATGCCCTGCCCTATATGAAGGAATCCGGCAAATACAGCATCAGAATGCCTAATAAGTGGAACTTCGCCTTCGACTATTACTACAATGCACTGCTTGTTCTACTCACATACGTCCCTGGGAGTCCTCATCTCTATGGCTATATGTTAGGGCAGAGGAAGAAGGCTCTCTCCAAATCTACTAAATCAGAATAGATTAGGTTAAATCATTTTTCCTTACTTGGAAGAAACTACTTTATTATTATTATCATGTTCTTCTGTGTGTCTGTCTGGTTCTAATATGTTCGATTCAATGGAGCTTCAGCTTCTCCTCCTCAAATCTATACACATATTTTTTTATTTCAAGATCATGTTGAAGTGCAGGATTATTACCTGCAATTAGCTGTGCCATAATTCTTGATTGGTTTTTGATGGGACTATTATTAAAATTTAAATCTTGGCAAGATTTTCTTTGCACAAGCTATAGGCCTTTAGACTACATCCATAGTGAACCCAGAACAGTTAAAGAATGAAAGATCATTGCAGCAATTTGTGCCAGCTATTGGAAGGCATTTGCAATTTGGTATTTACAAGGCCTGGAATGGAATAGCAAAAGCTGGTTCATATACCTAATATATTTGCAATTTGGTATTTACAAGGCCTGGAATGGAATAGCAAAAGCTGGTTCATATACCTAATATATTAAAGAAACGCATTGACTAAATATAATCAATCTCTTCTTGTTAACTAAATTTATAGCCAAGTGTTCAGCTAGGCTAGCATATAAAAGATTATGAAAGTAGGCTACGGATCAAAGTGAGAAGAATAATCACATGGTTTTTCCAGCAAGTGATCCACTGATATGAACACAAAAACAAATTCAAATAAAATTATTATTAAATTCACACTTTCATTCAATGATCGGGAAGTCAGGTATTCGTTCATAACTATTTAACTCAATGGCTAAAAATAGTGCTCGAACAAATTCTCCTCCAGTTGTTAAAGAAGTTAATGGAATTCAAAGCAACCGCAAAAACAAATTACAGAAGCACAACATATCAAAACGAACCATATATATTCTGCACTGAAGCAAGCAAAAGGAAGAAAAATCTGAAAACAAATTTGAATGAATCTGAAATATAGCTAAACAAAACTCGGTTAGAATTCAAAATTGACTTACCCGGAGACGATCGGAAACAACGGAAGCATTGATGAGCTTGTATATAGGTACCTCCGACAGCATCTTGTCAGAGGTCGCATTATCTTGTCGCCTCCGGATTTCCCCGGCTTGGATGATGGTGCAGGAACCTTATCTTTCTTTGACGCCTGCCAAATACAGAAAAACAAAATCAGAATCACGAGCGCAGTAACTTAACATTGATGAGATTTTAAATATGCAGAGATTCAGAACGGCGGCGACAACCTGACGTGCAATCGTCGTTTCAGGTCGGAGAGATTGCAAAACCCTAGTGATCTGCCCCTTGGGCCCGTTCTCTCACACGACGTCGTATTGCGGAACTTCTCTTGGGCTAAACTACAGCCGGCCCACTATAACACCCCACAACCTTAATAGGCCTTTACGCTCTTTTTTCAGCCCAAAATGAAGTAACATTAACAATAATAATAATAATAATAATAATAATAAATAAATAAATAAATACTGATATGAAATGGAAAGGAAAAGAGCACATAAACAAAAGTGGAATCCCACTCAAAAATTTCACAATCCACATAACTTGTGCATCTTTTACAAATCATACAACGCCACCATGCCCAATAATAAATGGAAACAGATGTTAATATTCTGAAAAAAACATGGAGAATCAATGATAGAAAAAGCCCATAATGTTTAAAACACAGGAGGAGTATATAGTGCAGGAAATCAGTTAAATAAACCAACCAGAGTTAAGCTATATGCGTGCATCCTTATCTGTTCTTTAATGCTCTTTTTAGAAGCATAGAAAAGATACTTTAGGATCCATCAAGTGTGATTATTTTGCATTTAAGTTTGGATTTGGAATCAACATCTTTTGTTTTGGGGAATATAATAACATGCATACGGTGCTCGACAATAAAGAAAGACCCCCTTTTTAAATAAATAATATATGTTTTTAAATCCAGATAATTGGAGCAAATATTATAACAAAATACGAATCTGAGGTTTGGTTCTTTTCTTTTCTATTAATTGTAATTAAATTACACATGTAATAATTTGGTGTAGTTATATATATATATAGTCTATAGACTAGAGTTGGGTGAATAGAACTATAAAAGTGCCTTTAGAAAGAAAGTTATCTGTCTCCCACATAAGGCTCCATTGTGGGATAATAATAAATTAATAATATAAATAATAGATAGGCCCACTTGCAGTTAAAGAGGCCTAATTATTGTAAAAACATAGGCCCAGTACTCACTTTACTTATTTTAACTTATAAAAGTCTGTGTCACATAAAATTGATAAATAATTGGAAAAGCATGGCATTGTAAGGAAGGAATTCTCAATTATATAAGCATAAACAAATTATGAATGACACTTTAAATTATAGATAAGCATTAGAATCTAAAGAATACAACATCTAATCCACTTGGTACTCGAATAAAATCTGGCTCTAAAAACACGTATCTTACTCTATCAGTGTTTAGTGAAATAGTTAGAATATTTTTTGTGCTATTATATTCTTCATTGAATCAGACTTACACAAGACAGTAATTAAATTAAATTAAACTAAACTATATTTTTATTACCAAACGAATCTAATAAAAATGAATACTTAGTCATTACATTTTGAAAGTCAAAAGTCACATATTGTATTTTAGACAAAGACCTCACTTGACATGGAATACCACTAACCACTCATTTATCCAATGAAATTTCACAAAGCTGAAAAGAAAACTTCAGACGCTTTTTGAGGGTCCATTTGTTGAAAATAATTTCAATGTTAGGAGTACTTTTTTAATGTTGCCACGTAGGAATCATATTTAATTGCCTCGTGGCATTCCTTTAAGCTATCTCTGGTTTATTTTGGATTTACCATATATCCATCTCATTTCACATAATCAAAACTTTTTTCAATCATTACATTTACTAGTTATGGTGAATATTTACTCCAACTAAATAAACACCAGAAAAAAAATAAAAAAAATCAATAAGATTGAACATTCCACCAACATAAGCAAATTTTTTATTTTTAATTATAAAGCATAGAAATAAGAATAAATTGTAATACAATATTCATTTGTAATTTTATTATAATAATAACATACTTTACTGAGCTAAACTTTTTTATATTACACAGTAATATCATTTCCAACATATCATTTATATTAATATAATAACATAAATTAATAACATACATATAGCTAGTAAACAGTCGTACCACAATACATAATTTATATTCATACAATATAAACACAACACATAAAGGTACGACAATACATTATTTATATTCATATAATACAAACACGACATATAAATTAACACATAAATTATGTACAACACACATCTAATTATAAACAATATTTTATGTATATTTTAGTTTAATAAAAAATAATTTCACGCAATAAATTAAAAATAAGATATTTTGTGCAGTAAATCGTATTTGGCTACTAAAAATAACCCTACAAGTAAAACTGAACAACTTACAGAATGAATTAGGCTAAGATGAAATGTGCTGCAGCATCACCAGCTGTAGATTCCCACTTCAAGAAGAGAATATGTGCAGTGTTTCCCACTGCGCTATATAGCCAAGCATCATATATCAAGCCCACTCAACTGAATTGTTTAAGAAATAAAGCCATAATTATCTAAAGCGAAAAAGCTATGGTAGAAATTGGTTAATCATACCTCTCCACTCTATATATACGCAGGACCTCCATGCTCTGCTTTCTAGGAACTACTCTGTAGTCTGTAGATTTCAATCCATTTGTTTTCCCCACACAATATGATGATCACAACCTACCCATGCTGTGTGCTCAAACTTAGGGTTCCGTATTCTGATGATTTCTACTGATAATATTGCAAAGGAAACAGTAAAACACGAAGAAATGGAAACGATCAAAGTTCATGACATCGGAGCTGAGAAAGCAAACGCGATTTCGAGGTACCGTAGGATTCAGAGAATCACGACTTTGCTTCGATTTGTGGAGGTGTTCGTTTTCCTGATCGTCGTCTCCAGGTTTTCCACGCAATTCAGTTTTTCTCTCAAGCTGTCGAGTGAGTACTTCAGGGGGGTTTCTGTAACACTAATTAGTCCTAAATCCGTCTTTGTAATCGGAAACGCGATCGTAGTCGCTCTGATTCTGATATCGGGGCAGTTCTCCTCAAAAACCTCCGATTTCTACGACGAGTACGTTGAGGAATGCCGGAATTATAATCCGCAAGTTTCGATCAACAAAGTAGAGAAAAAATCAATTGATCGTTACAGATCTAGTGCTTGTTGCAATAATGGAACGAAGATCATCCGCAGAGTCCAATCCGAGCATCTCATAAAGGTCGAAGAGCGCCACGGCAGCTTGAGGCGGAGCGCAAGTGACAAGTGTGAGAAAAAATCAGCGAACGAGATGAGCAGCGAAGAATTCCGGCGAACGGTGGAGGCGTTTATCGAACGGCAGCAGAGGTTTTTGAAGGAGGAAGAAGAAGAACAGTTTCTAGCTTAAGTAACCGTTTTGTTTATATACTTTCCATCCTTTGTTCCTAATTTCCTTATTTCTCCTCATTTTATTTCAATATTTCCAAATATATATATCTATATCAAGATTAGGCTTAAATCAAACTCTGTAATACAAAGCATGTAAATACAGGAGTATTATTTATATATCCTATTTCCCAAACTTATTAATATGGTCTCATAAAATTTAATTCAAGATGTGAAAAAATAGAGGTATCTTGAATTAGGTCCCGTGCAGGTTAGACATTGTTCTGTAGAAAAAATAAAATCCAAAGCATAGCTAATTTTTTTTATATGTTTAAATCGAAATGTGTTAGGAGACCCATAGGCCATAGACAACACAAGTCAATTATATCATATATATTACTAACATATTTTTTTAAACCCTTCCATCCAAAACATAAGATCATACCATTCCTGGATAAGAAAACATCAGTCAAAGGGAAACAACACTTCAAGAAACAATAACATATCTTTTAAAGGACATATATATATTCATTGTAGTTTCACACAATATCGAACCATCAATCAACCGCGAAATTTACATCAACATGAAGAAGAAGAAGCAGAAGCAGTAAACCTCATATGCAAGGGGTAGAAGAAGATCAACAATGCTCCAAGCACGACAAATTCACCAGCAAAATTTCTTCTTCTGGACAAGAAACTAAATGTCACTTGTGATTTTAATCGAGCTGTATCAATTGATGTAGGGGAGGATCGGAGATAACGAACTTACCCGGAATTTCGCATTCTCTTGGCTGTCAATGTAAGCAAGCAGTTCCTCTTGTTTCATCAAAGCCTCGTACAAAGCCTGCTCGCGTGAAAATTGCTTTAACTGTTACTTCACATTTACATTGTAAACGATTGCTGCAAGAACATGGAAAAGATGGAAAGATAGAGAAAGACCTTTTTGGTAGCAATCAGCTCTGCTTCTAGGGCATCGACGCGGTAAACAGCAGCATTCAGAAGTTCTTCTTTCTCATAGGGCATCTCTGATGGCTTTGCTTGAAGAATATTGATCTTCTCTTCGAGCTCGCCCATCCTCTTCAGGACCGAAGACAGCACTTCTGCTTCTGTAAAAGATGGTGTGGGGGATGGAGGTCTGAACTCTTCTTTGTGGACTTTGTCAAAAGAGAATTCATGGGTAACTTGGTCGTGCTGAGACGATGAATCTGGAAGTTTCTTGGTCCCCTGGCCGGATAATTTAGAAATAAACAAGTAAACTGTCATGAAGAAGGCCATAAAAGCAGCCAACAGTCTAGCACAAAATCCTTCTGCAGCCTTTGGAGAATTGAGTGGCGGAAAAACAGCTGTGGCAATAAAAACAAAACAGTTATTATTTTGATAGAGTGAGTAGAAGACGGAACAAATAAACCAATATAATGTTTCGAAACTAATTGCAGTAAACCTTTGGAGACATCGAGATTCAAAGGGGAAGTTTGCTTCTTCCATCCAGAAACAACAGCCTTGTCAACCATAGGCACATACTCATCGTATCCCGAGAAGTGCCCCGCATAACCAGCTGCTCCAATAGCCTTAGCCTAACAGATTATAGTTTTACTTGAATCGGTGAGGAAAAATAGACATGTAATAGTAAGAGAATTGTTTGAAACATAGATTGCCAGCATATGTTTTGGAAATCAGGTAGTTAAACTTCAATTCGATGCCAAATCATTGTATATCTTCGATAATAAATCATATCATACGAAGGAAAAATATATAACCATCGGAAAAGGGAAAGATATAATGTCCCCAGAAAGTTAAATCGTGTACGCCAGATGAAAATATTATAGAACCTAAAAAGCTTCAGGCTTAACCATCTTTACCTCCTCGCGCACAGGTGTCAGGCGAAGGTGGGAATAAGTCCTAGTGGTTTTTGGCGAAGCAATATCTTCTGCTTCAGATCCAGACTCTGCTGTAGATGTATCGCTTCCTTTTAAGTGCTGGTGAAAAAGAGAAACATACGTCTCAGATAAAGAAAATAGTTAGACAATGATGATAAAGAGGAAGACAAATACACCATCCATACCATTTGGCAATGAGGCTTTGCATACACAACCTTCCCATCACTGTTGATAATTTTAACAACCTGCCTGGCACGGCGTGCTTCACCGTTAAGCACCATCTGCATCCATGCAATCAGACAAGTATCTCAAAATCAAAACAATTACAATATATATATATATATATGGTCGTGAATTAGATATTGCGGGTGCATAGGGACCTTGAGAATGTCAGGATTCTTCCATGGTCCTTTATCTGAGCGAAGGCAACCCCCTTGATCAGCACATGTGCATGTTCCTCCCAAGAATTCGGGTAATTGACTGAACAAGTCCACGTAAAATGTTAGGTCGATAATAACACTACAAGCAGAGGCACAAATGTGAAAGTACCCTGTTCACCTGGCATCTATAATTTCAAGCAACTTGTTCTGGTATTTATTTCCAAGAACCTGTTCAAGATTTTAGAAGATACGAAAGAGTATGTTATGGGCAATCTGTCGATCCACAATGATAAAAGCATCAAAATGATTATAAACAAACATACATGAATCTTAGTGGCAGTCCTGGGATCAATAAAATTCTTCACAGTATTCCACAGCAGTCGAAAGCCTGGACCAGCATTGATGATAAACATTTGATGAAGAGTCTGCACGTAAGGGACAAAGAAATGAACAACTAACAAGCATTGTAGGACAATAAATTGTGGAATTAAGGATCCAGTAGTTACTTCGGGGTAGTTGTCACCGTCAATCTTCTGGAGTCGCGTAATAAGGTCTCGTGCAGTCTTGGTAAAGTTTTTCAAACCCTGAGAATCAGGAAAGAAGAAAGGGAAACAGCAATAGCTGATCAAATGTTCCAAGGACAACTGAAACACAAATGATGCAAACTAGAAAAAAAAACAAGATTGAGTATACTTCATACCACGCCATGGACATCCAAAATTGTTGTGCTTGAATCAATATGACGTTTTGCAGAAATAGTACAAGCTGGAAACTTAATGGCAAAGCTTTTCTCGAACTCTTTCACATGGTATTTCACATAGCGATCAATAGTTGTCACTTGCATGAGTTTGTTTGGTTCGACTTTCCCTAGCCTCTCAATGTAGACTGGCCTTCCCTCTTTATCAACTCCATGATAGCCATGGGGGTAGTACTTCAATACCTCATTCAACTCTTGGAATTCAAAATCCTGCAAGGGAAGATACAGTAAATGGAGAACTTTTACATATAAAAAGTTCACAAAATTTACATCCGAGGCCAAGTGCAGAGAAAGGTATTAGTACCTCACCAATAGTGTCAGTACCAAAGTCTTTTCTCCACTGAATCATATCAGCCCACATGGTCTTCGACTTCTCTATATCAAATTTCCTTGCTTTCAGAAACCTGCATTAAGATTTTATCGAAAATCATACAGCTGACTTATTGAATGAGATAAGAAAGTTTGTAGAATACGCCTTAAATCCTGGATACAAAATAACACTGTGATTGGTAGTGCTTTGGAAAGGGGGACCCACATTGGTGAGCACATAAATTTTCCATAAAAAAAATGTTCAACATTCATCTCTGTTTAAATATCCATAAGTACCATCAAAAGTCTTTACATCTATCTTAAGTCACTAGGAGGTATCAACGGCGACTGTACAACAGGCCAGTAGATGAGCAATTACAGTACCTATTAAGTAGAAATTTAATCACTTTGTTCATAAGGTATAGTGTTCTCCCAAGTTTTCTTTCCGAGACTAGGGTTTCAAAATGAATCTATGAAGTTGGTAATTCAAACACAAAGTTCTCTATTTTTAGCACATTCACTTATAGAAATTTCACACTGACTTTTTAAGATTCACTTAACAAAAATTAGCAACAGAAAAAGAATACTGGTTATTGACCTCAACATCATGTGATAATCATCAAATTTCTCCGGAAGCAACTCATCCAATATCAGGGCTTGTCGAAATGATTCAACAGCTTGCAGTTCCTCAGCATCTCGGATGTCTTCAATTGAAACCGCACTGACTCTACCCTCGCCTTTCCTTCTATTGCTCTTCTTCTTGAGAGAATGCTTGAACTTCGAAGATGCATTGAGTGCTTTCTTCTTCAAAGTACCTATTCTTGTCCTTCTTTCATCCTCCGAATTCTCAAAGTCAGACTTCCTTTCTCTTCTCTCATCACTACCACATGCACCCTCAAAGCCTGTGACACCAAAATGATTGGCAATCATGAGAAGAATAAAAAAGATAAAAACACAGCGCCAATACAAAGGAATAAGTCTCTCTACATTCCTGATTTTTAAGTCAACTAAACGGTTTAATACTCATACACATATTGATTTGATGAATTTCCCTTCAAACATCTTATCATGAAGAAATCTTGCAAGGTGATCTGAAGCTCTGTTCAATTTGGTAGGAAAAAGACTGTCCTATATATTAATTCATAACAAATTCTATAATTCCCAGACAAGTTCATCAGCATCATTATCACAACAGCCAAGTTAATACAAGAACTATCAATTGCCTTGACAGGAAACTTATAATTACAGAATCACGAACCCAAAACGTGAGTTACCCTCATCACAATGTTCAAACCAAGATATACCTCATTACCACAAAGAAACAATGGAATTACCTTATGAAATACATACATATATGCATTACTCATTACAAGATCACACAAGACAATGCCAGTCATAACGCCACCTCCTCAGAACTCTTTCGGACAAGAACTGGAAAATACGAAATTTTCACCGAGATCTCACTTACGTAGCTATAGAATTAGATATACAAGATAATAAACCTATTCACACCGAGACAGCCCAAAAAGGTCATCCAATTTTAGATTTTCAAGGTAGCAAAAGATCTTTTAATCACACATCGGACATGGAAAACCAAAACACGAATAAGTCATCCAGACCGACTATGGAAAAATCGACATCAAAACCACCAATGCAGATCGAAGTGCGCAAAGAAAGTAAACTGAATTCAACTCACATGGCCTGGCAAGGCGATCCAATGGTCCCGACATATCCAATTTCCGATCACCAGCTTCAAAACAGTGATGATCGACGCATCAGCCGACCGAGCAATCCCACATCAACAAATTTCCGCAACTGAAACGCCCCGAAACTCAATTTCAGCAAAAACGATGCGCAAATTATCGGATACTCGTCCAGATCCAGAAAAAATAAAAACCCTAATTTGCAGCGAAAACAGAGCTTTAAAACCCCAAAACGGTAAGGATCACAGGTTTGCTCACACCGCTATAAATGAATTAAAATCCGCAGCAGAACGCGCAATCAATTCAGATGATATAAATAAGGTAAGAAAATGAAACGAAAACAATAAATACACAGCAATAAATTAGCTGAAATAAATAAGTCGAATGGATCGCCGGATAATTTAGAGCGACGGCAATTCCCACAGAGGGATAGACAAAGACAGAGAAGTCGAAAGAAAGATCAAACGCCGAAGAATAGAATTGCAAGCATCGTGGGGCCGGCGACACGTGGCGGCAGCGCGCCGGCGGTGGGTGAAGAATATGCTACAAGGACTTTTTTTTATTATTATTAATTTATTTACAGAAATAGCGACAAAGGTTGTTCGACAGTTGTGATTGAGAAATCGTATTCGGTGCAGTGATTTTCGTACAGTGCCGTGCGGTTAAAACGTCGGGAGGCTTTTCCAGCGCGTAGTCTAAAATCGTACGAACTGTGTCGGTAGCCACTGGAGCATTTATTGTATTCGACTTTTTGCCAATTATATTAATTTCTGTTGAATTCTTATCGATAAAGGCGAATTTGGTTTTAAATAAATTATAATTTTTAAATGAAATTGTTGAAAGTCAACCCACTTATTATAAGATCATTACTCATATTCGACGTAATTATTATTAAATAATTTATCTATTATAAATTACTATAAATTATTTATAGTTATTAATTTATGTGTAATTATTTTCGAATTTTTATTATGATCTGATACACATGGCCCAACTGTCATATCGTAATGGACCAACCACCCTAGCAAATAGTAAATCTTAGGGCCGTGTTTGTTAATTATTGTGTTATTATTATTATTATTTTACTATTTATTTTTCAAAATTTTAAATAAAAACTTACAACAAATTACTTAAAAAAAAAAAAAAAAAATCACCTTACCCAAAAAAATCCATAAACAAACTTTTGATTATTGCTTTGTAAAGATGGTTGAGTTAGTGCAGTAGATGAACTTTTAACTACAATGTGAAAATTTTAAAGTAACTTTGGTTTTTATTGAAATTGAATGTTTAATTTGATTTTAATTTAAATACTCCTTATGTCCCACTTACCACATTTTATGTCACTTTTTAAAAAAAAAAAAAAAAATGATTACCCATATTAATTTTATTTTAAATTTTTTAATTTTAATTTTTTAAATTTTAATATATAAAATTTTATATTATAAGTTAATTATTTTTACTAATACATTCTTAATTATCTACTAATTATATTTATTCTAAATTTTTGTGTCTACAATGACTAAAACACCCAATGTGGGACGGATATAGTAATATTTTAATATAATATTTTGTAAAATAAATAGTACTTTTTTAGTTCCAGCTAATTTGTCTCATTTAGCTGGGCATGAAATTTTAGATATTATGAAATTAATAAGTAATTAAAGAGTCTGTTAGTAAAAATAATTATGATATAATAAAAATAATTATAAATTAAAATTAAAATAACAAAATATTTTAATTAAAAAAAAAAAGAAAAAAAAAGAGAGACAATTTATGGAGGACATATAGATATAGAAATAATGGATAAATTAAATGGGACGTAAAAGAGTATTCTTTCTTCTACTAAAGTTATATAACTTTAATTATTTTTTGTGCTAAAATTATGTCTATTTTATTTATAGTAATCATTTTATCCATCCATAATTTAATTATTTTATTTTAACCATTAATAATTATTTTGTTATTTTGGATATTGCTATTTAATTTTCAAAAATATCATATCATTTTTTTTTTCAAAAAATATCAAATTAAATATTTTTTTTAAAAAAAAACATCACACCAATCTAATTTTTTACTATTTTCAAATTTTTTAAACTCCAAAAATCATTATCTAACCAAAGCCTAAGGGTATGTTGCTTTTGCCCAAATCTTTCAAGTTTTACGTTGACTTAGTTTGCAAGCTTAGTGCAGAGGCTTTCATATGATTGACAGTTTGCAAGCTTAGAAGACAAATCAAATGACTATTATAAAAATTATTTAAAATGAAACATATATATATATATATATATAAATTATTTAATTGCGACAAAATTATTGATTCGGACAATACCACGTGACTAACATATTTATTTTTGTGGTTCATATTTTATTTTTGAAAAATAATAATGGCTTTATCACAATCCACACTGTTTCTCACATGCAATTAATTTACAAGAAAATAATAATTAAGTATTGATCTAAATTAGTTAAGGATGTGTTTTTTTATGGTTTTTATTTTAATATTTTATTATTTAAACATTATATTTCCAAGAAAGAAAATAGTCCATGGGCCATTGAAATAGCATAGACTTAGATCATACAAGTAATTTTTCCTCTGATAAAACATTTCATCGATATTATTTTGATATAAAAAACTGAAAATATCTGAACTCAACTAAAATCTTCAAAAATAAAAATAAATAAATTTATAAATAAAACTCAATGTTAGTTGTTACATAGGCCCAATTTGCTGTCTTGCAAAAGTATGGATTCATTTGGGCCTAGTCCGTTCATCTTTAAAAAACATTCCAAAATAAATTGAATCTGTAACATGTAGGAATATTAATTAATTTATATTATAAGATAAAATATATTTCTTCGGTCCACTAAAAATACTCTATTTGGGTCCGAGACAGAATTTTAAAAAAATAAATATTTTATTGAAAAAATTATTGGTATATTTTTTGAAATTTAGTTAAAAATGAAAGTAAAAAAAAATAAAATAATGTAATAAAATTAGTCATATTTTTTTAAAATAAATGTTAAATGTATGACAATAATTACGACTTTACCGAGAAGAAAATTGAGAATAAATTTAAAAAATAGTTCTGATCCTCTGCCTTAGGCAAATTTAGCAAAGCCTTTCTTTTATCTTTTCTTTTATTTATTTAAACAAAAAAATAATCATATTAATAAATAAAGTCATCTCAGGCACTAACCCACTTTTTTTTTCTTAAATTTTATTTTCTTGATTGTTAAGAAAATTTCATTTCAAGAAATAGGTCTTGTCATTGCAATAATACAGTTCAGTTTCGTTATTGGTTCAATCATTTATTATATTTTTTTTTTTTAAAAAAAAACCTTATTTTGTATATAGTTTTTTTAAGTATAAGTTTATAGTCTTTCACTCTTATTTATCTCATAAGTAAATATATATATATATATATAAATTTACATACATTCAAAAAATTCAAAGACTTTATAAAACTATAGGTTGGGATATAAAGTCTGATTATATCCTAAAATCTAGTGATATGATTTAGATATATAATTTGGATATTATTGGCATAAGCTTAACTATAAATATCAATGTATTTTCACTTTAATATGTATCTGCGTAGTTTATAATAAAATTCCTGGTTGAGCCCCTAGACGTAGATCATTCATGATCGAACTGGATTACCAAATTCTTGTATTCAGTCTTTGTTATTTCATCTTGATTTCCTGAGAATTTTCGTAACAAAAGGTATAAGAGCCTGGTTTGTTTGTAAGATGAACTGGGAGGCATTGTATATTGATTGTGGTTGTGGAAATCCCTTGTGACCTGCGGAGGTGTCTTATGTCGAAAGTCTCCTAACGGTGTTGGGTCGGTTCCGACTGTAGGTCAGACAGCGTGTCCCTTTGTGATAGGTGGTGCAAGATAGGCAGGGAAGGATAAGGGTTTCGGCAAACGCAGCGAAGAAGATATCAGATATGTGCTCTCATATGAAGTGAGCTTGGGTTTATTTGTGGGAAGTCAAGATTGGTGATCGTCATGTTGTCAAGGTATTCGATATTATGAACTTCGGTTTCTGAAATATGCAAATAGAAGATTACATGTATGGTAAAGATCTAACCGCGGTATTGAAGGAGAAATCCGAAGGCATGGATGAAGCCAAATACAAAAAGATCAACAAGAAGACGATGAGTGCGGTTCGACTAACCCTTTGTGAGAATGTCTCGACTGAATTTAGATTTGAGACAAAAGGAAATGGTGAAGATCAAGAATGGTCAAAGTTGAAGCCGAAAAATAAGGACAATGAAGATGCGAGTCATGTGGTATGTTGGAACTGCAATGGGCACTTGAAACGAGAGTGCGGGGCGTCGGAGAAGGATTAGGGTTCGGCAAATACAGCGGAAGAGATATCTGATGTGCTGATTTTGAGCGTCAGCAATCCAATTGAGTCATGGATCTTGGTCTCAGGAGCGTCATTCCACTCATGCAGTGATTCGGGAATCATAGAATTCTATACCACAAGTAATTTTGGTGTTGTCTATCTTGTGAGACATTGAAAATTGTAGGTAAATGAATTATTCGAATCAGAACATCGAATGGTGGGGAATGGAGATTGAATGACGTGAGCCATGTTTTGGGTTTGAAACGAAATTTGATTTCCGTTGAACAATTGGATAAGGCAGGTTACTCAACAGTTTTTTGAACCTAAGTCGTGGAAGATAACCTAAAAATCCATTGTGGTGCCCTAAAGGAGAAGAGATGGAACTCTCTACATGACGAAAACCATGCAAGACGGAATCACTTCCGTGGCCATAAATAATGACAAAAATTTATGGCATTCTCGTCTCGGACACATGAGCGAGAAGGGGATAGGGAAGCTCACGTCAAATGAAAGATTGTCATGTCTAAAGTCTGTCAATATTAGAGTACGCGAGAACTGTATCTTTGGGAAGCAACAAAATATGGCGTTCTCAAAGGGTATGAGAGACCTGGAAAATGAAAAGTTGGAGGTGGTTCATACGGACCTACGGAACCAACTTTTGTATCGACCTTTGAAGGCTCACAATACTACCCCGTGGTCATTGACGACGTTACAAGAGAGGTATGAATATATTTTCTTAAGTGTAATTATGATGCTTTTGATAGCTTTAGGAGGTGGAAAGCACATGCAGTGGGAATAGTCAGCCGATTTATGAGCAATCGTGAAAGACATTCTAAGGTGGTGACCTTAGATGAATTGAGGTTGTGTTCAACCTCAAGTGGCCTCGATGAGTGAAGAAGGAGGCTTGGCGCCGTCGTTGCCGATGAAGTAAAATGTTAAAGTGGAAAATGCAATCAGACTTCAAGTGGGAGATTGTTGGGATATGAAGCTTGATTATATCCTAAAATCTAGTGATATAATTTAGATATTACATCATATATTTAGATATATGGTTTGGATATTATTGGCATAAGCTTAGACTATAAATATCCATGTATACTTTAACATGTGCGTGTGTGCTTTAGAGTAAAGTTTCTGACTTGACAGCGCCCCAAACGTAAATCATTCGTGATCGAACTGGATTACCAAATTCTTGTGTTTTTTTTTTGTCTTTGATCGTCTTATTTTGATTTACTGGAATTTCCGTAACACTAGTTTATATTGATTGTATGTATATACAGAATTGTATGATTCTTTTATTAAAAAGAGTATTTATATTAAATATATTGCATTAAGGTATAATTTAAAATACTTAGTATGTATTTTAGAATTGATTTAAAACAAACATATCACACCATATTTTAAATTTTATTTAAATAGTACTCCATTTAATTTTAAATTTTCAAATAAAAATAACTCAAATAGAAAATAAATAAATGAATTTGAGATGATAATTAAATGCAGTGATGATGACTTTTTATAGTGTGCCAAGTACATTGAATCTATAGACTTTTGTTTTTGTTCCCCATAAAATAATAGTAACACAAAAAATTAATAATAAAAACACAAAATTGGTCAATTAAAGACATCCTTGTTTATAGCCTACCACAATGTTTTACGTTTTTGTTAAAAGTACAAAAATGGAACAAATTTTCTTATAAATTAAATAATTTCTACGTGGATAAAAACGTGTTTAATTAATTATATTTATAAAAGCAACATACAATATTTAATCATATATTAATACGAGATTATCCAAATTTTTGAGTGAACTTCTACTATATACTAAAGTGAAGTCATTGTTATTTCAATTTAAGTGGCTATGTGACAATATAAAATTAGCACTAAATACAACAATGTAAAAATGAAATAAATATATCTTTTAAATGTTTATGTAGATAAATGTAGAATGAAATATAGCTAGCTCATGGGTTCAAACCCCCGACGCTTTACCGGTCACACATGGTTCACCTAGTGTGACTTTTCCGTCGGGCTTGGTTTGCAGGGTATTGAGTTCGACCGGAAGTTTACCCAGTACGCACTTTCAGGTAGCGACTGCTGGTTCTCACATCATAAAAATATATATATATATATATATATAGCTCAATTGAAAAAACAAGACAAAATTAAACATAATTGGACACTAATTTAATTTGAATGATTGTCATAATTTAAATAGTCCTTCAAACGCGCCACTAATTTATTTAATTAATTAATTGAAAATGACAAGAAATCCTCCATTAGCAATTTATTGCCGATCATCAAAGTAATCAACGCATGTTTATAATTTCACTATTTGTAGTCACGTGGCGGCTTATGCGATTTAAATAATAAATAATGAATAATAATTAATAATACCTTGTCATGAATATAATAGTTAGTATATATATTTATATTTTAATGGAAATTTTTCTTGTCTAATTGTATTAATTGGGATTGTATTCTACTGTCAATTCCACCTTTAATTTTAAATTTATTTTTAGTGGTAGGTAAATGGTCTCTTTTTCATATTAGAAATTACGCTTTGATTAAAAATTGTGGAAAAAAAAAAATATTAATATATTGAGCAGACTAGTTTATGTGGATTTAGGTTTTGTATATATATATTTTTTTCTTTTTTTCAACTTAATATTATTATTATCGACTCAATTTTTAATAACAAAATTATTATTGAAATTAAATCCAAAACTAAACAAATAAAACCTTGTATTCCATGTACTGTGTTTCTTTTATTTGAATTTATATAAGTAAAAATTTAAGTATTTGTACAAAAAAAAAAACACCTAAAATAATTGTGCTTGAGGGTCATTATCTGTCTTTTTTTTTTTTTTTTTTTTTTTTTTTTTTTTTTTATAGCAGCTTCTAGAATAACTGCATGTTGGAGTTTATTGATGTAAAATATACGGTTCCTTTAAATATAAGTTCTGACATTTGTTTTAGTAGTAAAAAACTAGATATTTATTTAATATTTTATTATTAAATAATTGACTTACGATCTTTTTTTTATTATTATTATTTTTAAGATCAGTATTAATTAATAATACTAAAATTTCAAAAATATTTAGTATACAGAGCGATAATTATTAGATTGGGCACCTAATAATAACCTTAGATTTGGTGGACATTAATGAAGAAATTCGGGTTTATGGAGGGGGCCACGATGGATGACGTGCCCGACACGTGTCACATCGTACACCGTTGAGTAGAACGTATGGAATAACAATAAAAAAATGATGGATCCAATTAAAAAGAAATAAAAATAAAATGAAGGACTATAAATTGCAGTACAGTCATCATGTTACCTTAAAAAGAGTTAAAAGCCAAGACAGCCACCGCCACGCCGTGTAATTACAAATCTAACCTCTGGCCGCGGGAATCTCCTTGTCCCCTCGTGCATTTTTATTATTTATTTATTTATACTCCTTTCCGTCCTTGTTATTTTTTATTTTTGCTTGTTTCAAAATAATGTTATTATTTTATAATTTAGTAATTGTACTACATACTTAACATAATAAATACCCTTCTAATTTACACTATATTACACAAATATCATTACATTTATATTACATAATATTAATAGGGATATTTTCGTCTTTTTTTCACTACAATCAATTATAATACTAATATTAAAAAATATATGTGTAAAAAGTAAATGACAATTTTGCACCGGACGGAATGAGTATTATTTTATAAATTTGGATGTTAGGAGGTATTTCGAGTTAGCTTTACTAGTTAGAATATATAAATGGTTGCCTATATAGCTATAGAGGTTTTATAAAAATAATGGTTAAAATATACTCTTTCTCTGTCCTAAATAATGTGTAATATTTGCTTTTGGCACGAGTTTTTGAATTATGTGAAGGGATAAAATGTGGGGTAGAGATTAAGTATAATTAATTATTTTCTATTTTGAAAATATTGCAGGTGTTTGAGACATACCAAAAAAAAATAATGCAGGGTATTTAGAACGGATGAAATATTATTTAATATAAAATAAATATTTATTGCATTCCAAATTAAATGTGCTTGAAAAACATAAGTCAGTAGATTGTGATTATTTTTATTTTTATTTTTAAAAAGCTTTGCTTCTAAATTATATTAAAATTATTTTACAAAATCTCAAAAATTAAACTGAATTAATTATCAAAATATTTGCTTTATATATATGATCTAATTATAGTCTAAATTAATCAGGACTAACTAAATATTTAAATAATAAAGGGTGTCTTTGTTTCGGAAAATTTTCCCAAACTTCACCTTCATTCAATTTTTTTTTTCTCCAAAAATATCAAATCAAACACCTATTTTTTATCTTTTACATTATACTAAAAATTAATTTTATATGCAAAACACTACATCAATACCTATTTATATCACATTATATAATATTCACATTCAAAATTTTTACTATTCAAATCTCAATCTAAAATCTAAAATTCAAACCCCGAAACAAACACACCCTAAATATCTTAAAATATCTATAATGCAGTAAATATTATAGCGGAACCTTAATTTTTTTATTTATCTTTTATTGTTTTTACAAAACCTTCATTTACACAAGTGGAGGGGCATTTACGTCAATTAACAAAAACTGGGCCCAGGCCCAACTAAATAAATAACTACGGCCCACCTAACTCGGGGGGTCCGTATCCGTCCAGGTTCAACGACGTCGTTTAGCCACCTCTTTGTTTAAGTGGTTGAAATTGACACGACGACGGCGACACACCTTCAGTGTCGTATGCTGACATTTTGGTCATATCTGGACAGTAAATTTTATTATTTTATTATTTTTAAATTTTCATTTCATAAATAAAGTCGAGTACTAATTAATATTTTCCGCTACACATAATTTACTTATATTTTTTATTTTTATATATTTCACATATATTTTAATTAACTTTTAAAATTTAAATTTTATAATTTTTTTAATTTTAATTAAATTATTTAATTATTTTAATTTTAATTTATAATTATTTTTACTATTTTCTCTGTTCTAATAAAATAATTTTATTTATTATTTTTTTCTGTTTCAAAATAATAGTCTTATTTATCCTTACTCTTTCATTATTATTACATGATTGTCACTACTTTTTATACTAATACACTCACAAAAACAAAAATATTTTTTACTATACTTTTTATCTACTATCAATATTTTCTAAATATCGTGCGAAGATAATCAAAATTATAATTTCGGGAGTAATTAAAAAAAATAAAAGTAGAAGTTCCTGGTTAATTTTACTGCAACTGCATCTTCATGTTGGTTCCCAGCTGTACTGTACAGTAATTTGCAAACTGTGGCGGATACTTCCACCTCCCAACCCACATGTCCCATCACCTATTTCTCTACCCCACACAGCTACTTTAATTAAAATAAATTCAAATAAATAAAAAATCCCATTTTATTATTACTCGTTCCACCTACCGTGTCAGCTAGCTAGAACATTTTATTTTAAAAGGAATATAATTAGTAAATAATTAAAAATATATTAGTAAAAATAATTATATTATAATATAAATAATTATAAATTAAAATTAAAATAATTAATTAATTTAATTAAAAAACTTTTAAAAATAAAATTAAAAAATTTAACATGAGATTAAAGTGTATAAAAATAATATAATATATGAGACGGACAGAAATATAAATATGATATGTTGGACGGAAGGAAGGAGTATTTTTTTTAAGAAAAAAGAAAAAGTAAATTAAAGATATTTTGATTTATTTCCCTGATTCTTGAGCAGCTTTTTGGGTCTATAAAATCAGTAGCAAATCTTCAATTTTACTTCCCCTTCCTCTTCTTCTTCTTCTTCTTCTTCTCCATCCAATTCTTGAAAATAATTAATTAATTAATTGTTATTTTTCTTTAATTCTGTATATTTTTTGATGATTGCTGTTGTTGTTGGGCAATCTAGCTAAGCTTAGCTTGATGTTCGAAATCGAAAGATTATTGTTGTTGTTGATTTTTGAGATTCATGTCTGCAATTCTGAGTGAACTTTTGGTCTCAGGGTTTATGATAAATTCGACATACAGGCGCAGGACCCATTTAGTTCAATCCTTCTCTGTCGTCTTTCTCTACTGGTTTTATTACATTTCATAATTCTTCACTTTCCCTCTTTTCTCCATACTAATAATACATATCTCTATATCTACAGTTTTTATAGTTATACATATATATAAGTAATTTGAGAAAAATCCATCTGGGTCCTGCTGCTAATAGAATATTATAGTAATTAATTTGTGTTGTAATAAAATTTTAAAAATAAATTAATTGGATGGATTCGTCGTCTTCACATTCGTCGGGGCTTCAGAACTCCGGCTCGGAAGAAGATCTGCAGCTGATAATGGAGCAGAGGAAGAGGAAGAGAATGATCTCGAACAGGGAGTCGGCTCGGCGGAGCCGGCTAAGGAAGCAGAAGCATCTCGACGGCTTGATGGCTCAAGTGGCTCACATCAGGAAGGAGAATCAGCAGATTCTTACAACGGTTAATCTTACCAAGCAGCAGTATGTCGCTATACAGTCTGAAAACGACATCCTTAGAGCTCAGCTGGCTGAGCTGACCCAGCGGCTCAACTCCTTGAACGAAATCGTTAGCTGCCTCAGCGCCGGATTTGAGGACTGCGAGCCGGCGGCTTATGGGATGACGATGATGATGCCCAGCGCCTGGAATTGTTTCAGCCAGCTGCCGAGCATTGTGGCGGCGGCTTCAGCCGACGCCGCTGGGTTCCTGTATTGAAGATAATGGGGGAATATTATTATTATTATTATTATTATTATTATTATTATTATTATAGATGCCAATTTTTGAATAAATATTAATTATTAGTATTAATTATCAGACTAAATATTAGTAGTAATATTGTAAAAGGGGAATTTATATGATGAAATAAAAATAGGTAAATTAGGGTTCGTCAAGAACTTGGATGATTGTACTATGGTTTCCCCATACATTATGTAATTATTGTTCTTCTATTAGTGGTGCTCAAATCATTACCATTATTGTTATAGAATTGTATATTTACTTACATTTCAGCACAAAGATTTATCAAATGGGTTTTTTTTTTTTTTTTTTTTTTTTTTGTAATATTCGAAGAATAATAAAAACTATGAAATACAAATAAACTTTTGCAGTAATATTAAAAAAAATAATAATAATAAGCGTACATCTTGATATATTATTTTAAATAAAAAAGAAATACTATTTAATATCATAACTTCAGTTGAATTATTATTGTTATTATTATTATCTTCAAAAAAATGGCAAAATCAGTTGTGCATGTGACAAAATTATTAGAAAAGCAATCCAAAAAACAGCTTAACACAACCCAGTGAAGAACTTGAACCAAATTTTGTCTAAAACACACAAAATTATTTCCAAAAATCACATCCATAAATTAATTTATATGCAGACAAGATTATCACATCCAATAATTCAGACAAAGAAAGACACAACCCGGAAAAAACATGACACCAAAAAGGTGCTGCAGCATAGTATCCCAATCCGATCATAGGGCAACATTTAGAGGCTCATTTCACTTTATTTATAATACATTTTTAATAAAAAAATTTTAAAAAAAATTAAAATACATTATTTCATCTAACAAAATAACACAATCAAACCACAATTCTAACCAAAATACAAAACAAAATTTCTAAGTAAACAAACATGTGGATATTAATATATGATGTGGAAGTTGACAATCACCAACCAACCATTTTCGACTAGATGTAGTTGTCATGTAAGAAAGGCATATGCTTGCCTTTCCTTAACCACTTTCTCATGTCGAAAAAGGGCCAAGAAGAACATGGAAAATTGATCGATATCTCCACATACAAACAGGGGATGGATTTCTTTACAACCCCATGATCTTGTGTTGTCCCTGTTTCAAGAAATACGATACAAACTAAAATTATTCAATATGCTTCAAGATAAAGTTTTCGAATTATTCAGTCGAATTTAATGAGTTTATAAATTAGCCACTTTCTCCACAACAAAAATTCCTTCAATTCAAATGCCAGTTTGCATAAACTCTCACTAAGGTCTAAAGAAATCAAACTTCAAACACTATTGATAACTCTAATGAAAAAGATCAAAAGTATCAGAAAAAAAAAACAAACTTTCATTAAACAAAAGCACTTGAATCGTGCTCTTTTGATTTATTCTATTCTCATCATTGACTTTCATCATATTCAAACCAATTAAATATGGACAGGCAGCCATAAACAATGTACTTTCAGATCACTTTATTCACATTAAGAAAGAATGGAGATGGTGAAATGCCCCTAATGGTGCCTTTTCTTTCTCAAATATCTTACAGAAAATGAAAACAATACAAGCACAAGACATACTTAAATGACTAATGATATTATGACAGCATATGGCCCCGCAACCGCTCTTCCAATAATTCACATGAGCGCAATAGAAAATGCCATCTTCCATAAGTTCGATAACAACTGGCAAGTAAAAAAAGTCGAAAAATGTCCTCCCATTATAACTATAGTATGGGATTTTCTTAAAAATCTATTCACTTGTCTCTCCTTTTCTCTTCCTTTTTCTACTATTGTTCCTTTCTAAACAGCATATTTAAACCACAGAGAGCTAATGAGAAAGGAGTAAAGGAATGTGGAGGTAATCATAAAGCCTAGCATTCAGCAAAAGTTTTTACTTGGTGAAAACTACAGCACATATAATTTGATCCATAACATTTTGGAATAATTGTTCGAATTATAAAGAACTTATGTTAAGCTCCTATATGCATAAAAATTTAGAAAAGAATCACATATAAATAATAAAAGCAGGATCACATAAACGAATGTTTTTTCATCACTCATTTAGAAGATTCTGCAAGAAAGACAAAGACTAAGGCAATGGTCAGACGTTTAAGCTAAACTGTCGAAGAATAATACACTGAAAATTTGGCTTCAATAGTATGGCCTTTACATTCCAATACAGGTATCGAATATGCTTTTAATTTCATCGCATAATATATTATTGCAAGATATCTATCTAACTTCAGTATAATGCAAGTTGCAATGGAAATAAGGGAATATTAACAGAAACCTTTCGGCGTATCTCGGTGTAATGGGAGAATAAGGTTCTGTTCTTTCTTAGCCACAAATTTTCCTTACCACTACTACTACACAATGGTATAAGATAGAAAGATAAAAAACAGTAGGGCCATAAAACAACACTTCAAATGGAACATTACCAATTATAGATAAGTTGCCATTTTATCGATACTCCATTGTTGAATGAAACCAAGCAAGCTTACTAACTGGTGCAGGAAAGCAGAACTTGAAATAACAATAACACTGTGTAAAAGTTAGTCCCCACCTTTATGCATCTGAGGCGCACAATATCGCACACCGCCGTGTTTGTAGTGCAATCTGAGCTGTATCTGATGCAGATCACCCCCACACTCTACTGATTAGATGTTTGAATGAACAAGTTGCTGTTTCGACTGAACTACCAGCAGCTAAAAGTAGCGAAAATCAACACCCAACCGCGCTTTTCACCATCTAATTACAGCACCAAACTCAACATTACAGTAAACTTTTAACACCAAAATGGAGGTTGATGATCCATTTAGTTTAGTTTACGCTTTTACGTAATTTACATACACAGTTAGTACACTAGCCATTGAAGTGATTCAGTCACTGATTGCAGAAAGAATGATAATAATAACAATACATAACAAGCATTCTGGAAGCTTTACTGCCAAGATTTATGTATTAAGTAAAACTCCATTAACGTTGTGTTGCATTCAGACTAGCAACAGAGGAGAGAACTTTGTTAGAAAATCAATTCCCTATCTGTCACTGAAAAACATGCATTGTTAAACCAACAACCTTCGCATCATGATGTACAGTGAGATGTTCACATATAATTTATACTGATTGACTTCAACAGCCATAGAAAAGTGTCTCCTAAAAAGTGAGCAAACAGTCTACATTGAACTGATTTGTGTAGTGCGGAATTTGAATTTGAATCGGAATCCTCAGTTCCAATTTCACCAAGAAACTGTTAGAAATTACAAACCTTCAGCCATCATCATACGGCAGACGAGACAAAGTGTCCAGATCCCACCAGGGCCAGCACTAATCGCGACATCAAATCAATCGAAACAGCGCGCGGTAAATCCATTTGTATTTGTTGCAGCCTGAGACTTTCACCGCGCTCGGCAGTGATTGTTTCCACGGAAATTGAGGCCCAAAACAATTGCAACTTGATGAACTCTTGAATCAAAGCCCTAGAAATTTCAGCTCCTTCCCCTCTTAAGAAGTCCAGTAGCATTTCGTCAAGCCCAACATCCGGCCCGTGTTGGCCTGGGTCGGGCCGACCTGGTTGTAACATTTTTACAGTAGCATTGAGAAGATCATTCACCATCGTTCTTGTTTTGATTGCAGGATCGGACCTTTTCGTCTGGATTTTCGAACGTAAACAAGATGGGTTTCCAGCGATGCATGCCGGGTGCCTGTGTTCGCATAAATCAAGGTTCTCTCATCGACTAAGTTTATTCATAACCTGAAAATTGCATTTATTATACCCTACCATCTATCATTAGTTTATTACCCACAAGCAAATGCCCTAATCACGAGAGAAGTATGCAATCTTTAGCAGCTCAAGATGGCCTATGTGTAGAAGTTTGGAGCTTTACAATCCATCCCTTCTTCATTCACTTTCAAACGAAATTTAATCATGTTCTTGATTACTGTTCAGTGATTGCATTTTCTTCGGTATGGGGAACAAGACAGTGATTACAATGGCTGAAGAAATCTCTGCAAAATATTTGAAATACAAGGATTAACAATATGCATTCCATGAATTTCTATAACCAATTCCATTCTACATATTATTCTGCCATTTATTCTTGACTCTCGATTTTCAGATCTTCCAGGACTTTGCATCATTACAGTACACATTCTCAAAACTGCTTCCGAGGATCTATAATGTGGGCCAATGTATAGATCGTAGAAAAACTCAATATATACAATTTTCCAAGTAAGTTCCTTTCTTTGTCTTGTCTTCTTCATGGCATCATTTCTGTGTCTAAATTTTTTTTGGGTATAATCATACTAATTAGTTACACCTGGTTAGAATTTAGAAATATTATTTTACCAACTATAAACAACATGAGAAGATAAGGCTGAATTGGTCTTCCACTGTTGATGAGTGTCATCAATCATGTCCAACTTAGGGGAAAATTTGTAAAAGAAAAAGTGATATGAAGCAGAAAAACATCGATTCATTGGGTCAATAATGGTTTTAAATTTGCTAGGTCTTCTTTGGAAAGTAGAAGCCAGTATTTAAGGTAATCTGTCCTCAGTCCACTTTTTAAAAAGAAGATTAGCAGATGAAATAAATTAATTAAAAGTGTTTGTTAGTGCTTCTAATCTTTATTCTCAACCAGTGGCATTTGGTGGATTGCCTTTGTCGTTTTGGATGATTGAATGCACTACTGATTTCCCCCACAAAAAGCTATTTTTTTGTCCAACCTAATTTGTCCTACTTAGTCCACCATGGATTGACTCTGCCCAGTTCTTGCTCTTTGAAAAATTCATCTTCTTTTATTCTACAACCCTTATTTACTATATTCCCGTGAACTAAATATGTTTATACATTTTTGTTGGTGCCAATATCTATAAATTTGCTTACATACATGTAGTTTTTGAAATATTTGTTTTTGGAGTTGTATGTAGTTTGCATGTGTCATAAAACTGTTTTAATTGCTTGCTTAAGTGGAAAGATAGATATTATTGATATCTGTTTAATCATCGAAGTGGGATTTGAGGTGGCTTGTCAATTAGGTAAAGTGGAATAAAATAACTGTTTAGAGTCATGTCATTTTATTTTCAGATTATGTGATCCATAAAAGTATGTATATTTTTAAAGTGTATGCTGATAACAAAGACATCACAGGCAAACTAAAACCAGCTCTGGCCAAGAGCCTTTCAATGGCAGATTAAGTGATCATTACAAACAAGATGAGTGAGAATTAACTGTCACAAAAATATTGTATGTAGAGTTTTTTGATGGCAGATTAAGTGATCATTACAAACAAGATTAGTGAGAATTAAATGTCAGAAAAATATTGCATGCTGAGGTAATTTGGCAGCATTTGAATGCTTGAAATTGATGGTGATGGTGAATTAGGGGTTCCATATTTTTGAATTATTATTATTATTATTATTTTATCCAATGGCTTGTTAGACCTTAGTGCCTCCAACAATAAAATGGTGTCTCTCAACTTTATGTTGTTTCGAAATTTTAAAATAAAAAGGCTACAGGATGGTCTTCTTTGGAATAGAATAGACGTGTGTGTATATATATATATATTATATAATGTGTTGCTAATTACTAAAAAGAAGACATCATTGTATATAGTTTATTGCTGTTGTGAGACTCCATAGAAATCGATCAAAAGGACTACTGCACTAGTACTTAAATTTCTATATAGTGAGCAGCAACAAAAGTTGAGATCCCTCTTCTCTCAACCAAGAAAATTTCGATTATAATGAAGAACAGAATGGGATTTATTCTTCTCAAGAAATTTATCTTTCTTTTCCTTGTTGTTTCTGCTGCAGTTCTTTCGACAGCTTTTGCAGGTAGCTTTGTCTTTAATTTGTTGTTTTCAATTACTTTATATATTGTCTTTAACATATGTTCCTCTTCCTTTGCTTCTTAATGTCTGTTACATACATACGTGTATATATATATATGTATGTATGTATGTATTGGCGTGCGAAATCATTTTGTCGAAATATTGCATGTTTCTTGAGGGCAATTTGTTTTGGTGGTAGCTGTAATTTACTGACAATATTTATGCAGGGCGTTTGTCGAAATCTGTAGTGTCCAAGGACATGACTGAAGCTCTTGATCATCAGGTATTCGAATCTCTAACTACACTACGGGTGTGTTTGTTTTGTGTTTTGATTTGAAAGAATAATTTTTATGTAAAGTACAGATAAATGTAAATAATATAAAAATAATGAATGCGTAATATATTAATATTTTTGAAAAAATGTTTTTAAATTTTTTTACAACAAGAACATAGAACATAGCATACGACGCTATATATATATATAAATGCATGTGTGTGTTGGCATGGATTTACGAATTAAGAGATGAAGGGTTTGTTTTTTTCCAAAAATTTTTGTAACACATTTCCTCAAAAAATCGTCATTTTTATATTATCTATAATTCTCGTTAAAAAACTTTTTCTCAAACTAAAACACAAAACAAACACACCCCAATATTTGCTTTATACTTGGGTGTTTTTTTTATGAGATAAAAATTGGCAACCGGAGCTTCGTCAATACAAAACATTGGCATGTATTTACTTTGTAGAATGTGATTAATGCTATTATTATTTCAATAGACTATATAACTTTAAGACTAATTTATACTACTATATTTATTTTGTTTAATTAAATATAAGATAATACATACTTTTATATAAATATTACTTTGAATAAATAAATTCTACATGAGAATAGTTATTGTCAATTAGTGTGTATTGTTATTACGGCGGATTTATTCAATTTCGGGCTTTAAATAAATTTTGTTATTTGATTTCATATTTATGTTGGAAGTTAAATTTAATTCATCTCTACATCATTTAGATCATCGTTAATTAATTCCACGTAGTAAAGATTTCGTCGTTCTTTCCTCTGTTTGTTTTTTTTTTTTTTTTTTTTTCCTTAATCGTCTTTTAGAATAATATGTATGTGAATATGAAAACATGTTAGTCATGGGAAGCGCCACGGCACGATGGAATGAGAAGGGAAATCCATGAAAGGCTTCTTAAAGTGAAGACAGACGACTATGGAAAATATGATCCTTCGCCTTCGTTCGTCAAGCCTCCCTTCAAGCTCATTCCTAACTAACGCGCTCGCTTTATTACATATATAGATACATATAAATATATATATATATATACATACATTAGCTACTTACAATGGCCACTTCATCATGGCTTTATATATATGTGTGTATAATGTGTGAATAAAAACAACCGCAGTAATATATCCTCGTGATGTAAAAGTTTTTGTATCGTAGCAACTAGGATGAAGGAATTCTATGTATGTGTAATGAACTATGTTGCTTTGGTTACATGTAATGAATATAATGTTCCTTCGATACTAAGTTCTGATTATCGTGATACTTTACATATATATATATATTATTATTAATAACATATTGTTGTTGAGGCAGTCGTTGCCACCGATGTAATTAACATATGCACACTTGCTGGGAACAGATAGAACAGTGATGACAATGGCCCTTGCCGAGGTTGTAATACGAGGGCGAAGACCCGCCATGTTCATATATTGTAATGAACATATAATTGAATAACATAAAATAAATTAGTATATTATACATATAGTATTATATTATCAGCTTTAATACAGATACAAGTGAACGTTTGATTAGTTAAGTTTTTAATTTTAAACTTTTTTTATAATTCAATCATTCCTTATGTAAATAAGTAAGCAAACTAGTAAATAAATACTTCAACAGAATTTTTTTTTTTTTTTTTTATATATATGTATATATATGTAAAACTGTTTGAATGGTATTTGTATTATTGCATAAATTTACTAAATATTACATAATAAATAATATTTTAATAGTACCTTTTTAAAAATGTACACATGTATAATTGTATGTTTGAATTAAAAAATAATTAATATACAATATGTATACACGTGAATCGAAACCATACACATGTTTGTAATGTGGCTTTAGGTACTAACTTATTAATTAAGGATTGTCTAGTACTAAAATTGAAATCACATATGGCATGTTTACATGTAATATTTTGATTTTAATAGTTGGTTTTAATCAATAAAATTTTAAATTAAAATACTTGTTCGATATAATATAAATATATATTAATATGATATTTTAAATATAAAAGTCAATTTTAGCATAATATAAAAAAATAAATATTTAATTGGATTTTTTTAAATAATAAAATAAAATAATAAAATCAATTGTAAAATTTTATAAGTAAATGCACCCATTATTTTATAAATTTGATTGGTCGGAGTTTGCTTATGTATATGAAATTAAATATATATATTTTTTTAATTCATAATATAATTTTCACCATTTATTGAGAACCTCCATTTTTTATGGGCTGAAATAGTCAAAATTGTAACTCAAACCCAACTATTGATTGATTTGGGACTGTAGAAAAGATGGTGATGTCTGCCAAAATTATGACCAAACAAAATCAATTGGGTCATTGTCATAGAAAATAAAGTATTAATACCCATCTTAATTTATGGAGCCATTTTGGTTAAAGAATAATAATTAAAAGAAATTAAAGAAAATGAATAATAAAATAGGTAGAGCAGCAAAAAAATTTAAAATGAAGTGACATGAAAAGACGATATATTCCATTAACGCCGTTAGCATAGTGCCGTCTAAAAGCGTGGACTGGAGAGCCCGCGCCAAGTAACGGCGTCAAGAAAATTACTTCCTGAATACTGCCGAAGAAGACGAATCAGAGCCTTTTCTTTCTCTGTACTGTCCACATTTGTTTTCTTTTTCCCCCTCTGTCTCTATTTCTCTCTCTCTGCAATACATACATAAATAAATACAAAGCTTATACATACATACATACATACATACATATTACAGTATATGTATATTTTTATATATATAACTATTTTTAATTGACATGCACAAATGTCTATGTGTCATTTATATAAAGTCATTATTGCTCGACATACGCTGACACACACAGTCGCCCTTTCCTCTCTTTATCTAGGGTTCGTGAGCGGTGAAGGGAATCGTACGATCAAGTAAGTTTTTATGTATTTGCAAGGCGATTGCTGCTTTGAATTTAATTTTGGAATTTCCGTGAGCATGTGGTTTTTGTATATCTTCCCTTTTAAAGTCTGCGAAAACGCATGTTGAGCTAGGGTTGATGTTCGAAATTGGATGGATTGGATGCGGTAACTGGTAAATATGGTGCCAAAATATTTTGACTTGATTCAGCCATGAATTTCGGATCTATGCGGTGTATGACCCAGCGTGTTTTGGGGATTTTACTAGGTTTTACCCCCGAAAACAGCACTTGAAAATTGAGGATTGTTTATTATGTTGGTTACTGTGTTTTTATATTGTTATCTTTTACTATCGACTACTGTTGATAAATTATGCTTTTGTATGTGTAGTTGTTGGAGGTTTTAGAGCTGTCAAATTTTAATTCCTAGCATTTAGTTTGTAACTTTGTTTGAGAACGCTGAGATGCTTTGCTATTTTGTATTGAATTTAGAAGAGGAATGAAAGAGGACAAGTGTTGTGGCTCCATGAATTGTCAATTAATGGTGGTTGACATTTACTCTATAATTGTAGGTGACTGAATGCAGTGTTATGCACAATCGTTTCTCAGAGGTCATTGATGTAAAACCCTGTTTGTCGCAATAAATTGCTTCATTTTCCTCGGGTTGAGAAAGAATGGGGGCCGCTTGTTGTGTTGCTGCGAAGGATAGAACTATAACTAGTGGATCACCTGGTGAAATTTTGCAGAGGCACACCCGCTATTCGCCAAGTTGGAGTTTTCGATGGGACAATCGTGGACGTGTGGCTGGGGAAGATGCACCTGCAAGTTGGTTGAATGATGGAGGTTATAGAGTAGATCATGTAGAGTTCAAATCCGGTGCATGTGCTTCCGAGGAGGGTAGTCCATTAGATAGTTTTAGATCACTTACATGGCAAAAATCCCCATTTTCTGAAAGAAATGCTGGAATCTTGAGGCTTCCATCTTCTGGTAAATCACTATATTGCATTTTCCTTATTGTTTTAAATGTTTTCGGATAGATGTGTTGTGACTTACTGACTTGTAGATAATTCTTCATCTATTCTTAAGCTAATTCCTATTTAGTTCGATGCATTATCTTGACTCATTTTCAGTGAACTGGAATATGCACCAATATTTCATATAGTTTAAGAAGATGATTTGTTCTGTTCTTTATGCTATATGTTTGATTAGTGATTCCAACTCTATTGCTATTTGAGTTAAATCTAGTGAAGTTAATGCACAGTAGGAGGGGATGAAAACACAATAGAATCTAGTGAAGTTGATGCACAGTAGCAGGGGATGAATACACAGTTGACAGCTACAGTTTTCCTTTTTGAGGTTTCATTTGCTCTTAGGGAAGGGAATAACAACACAAGTAGCGAGCTACCATGAGATGAGCACAAAGACTACAAAATAAAGTATTCTTTATGACATTTTTTCGCTGCTAGATACATTAGAGAACTATCTTTGTTGGTTTTTCTTCCATTGACAATTTTTTCTCTTTATTGAATCAGTTCAGCATATTCTGTGTAGAACTTTGCAGCTAATCTTTTGGTGCCTAACTACATAAGTTTCTTGAAATACATAACCTGAAGATGAGATGCATACTCCTGTGTTATGGTAGCTATACTACTGCAGCCATTCTCTATGTTACCGTTGAAAGGCATTATGTCGATGCTGAATAATTATGATATTGGTTTGGGATAAGTACATGAGTTTTTTGACCGACAGTTACCGAAAGCATTGCTCAAAATATTAGCATGGAATTTGAAGGTTATATGGGATCCATTGTTGTTTCACAAGTATTCTGGATGTTTTCTGGTTCTTTAAGAGCAGCAAGTTATAATTAGATAGTCCATCAAAATACAGACCATTTAAGGTTTGTTGTGAACTGAATTTTGAGGCATTTTCTGGATTATGTATCGATATATACATTTTATGAGAATGCTTTTTCTATTTAGAAATGTAAAATTTCTGAAATTAATGTTGAAGATAACAGTCCTATTCAGCTATGATTCTATACATTAGCCCGTAGTAAAAAATGTGTATGTGTGAGAGAACATTGGAATATTTCATCATTTTGATCAAATGACTATGTGATGCTTTCTTCCTTAAACTTTTCATAATGATTAATGGTGTCTAAATTGCCAAGAGAAGACTCCTCTCTAATAACCAGCTAAACTTTCCTTATTGTTTACTTAACGTTTTGTAAATTCATTTTGAGCCTAGAAACTTTTAGCACTATGAGAACTGGGAAGGAATCAGGGCAATCCATGCACACACATTCGTTATCTTATTTAAGGCTCTACACTGACAGAATTATGATGATCATTTCCAATTTCCACTTGAAATTAAACGATATTTTACATAGTTGTTTTGTTTATTTTGCAGATCGAGCTATTTCCCGGAATGTATTAGAGGTATGTAGAGAATGCCAATAAAGGTGGTTTGGCTTATTTTATACAAAACATCAAATCCTTAGCATGCCATTGCTTGTCCAAAATCTAACATTAATTCTCTCATTTCTATGTTTGTATTTAAGGTTAAGGAGCCAACAGACTCGCCGAATGCTTCTTACCCATCTCCCATAAAGTTCTCTCCATCAGTTTCGTCTGTGACAGCCTCTCCTCTGTCTTCCCAAAGTCACCCTGTCCCCCCAAACTCGACTCCTTCAAGGTTACATCGCCGATCCCCAGGACATCGATTTCTATGTCAAGTTTCAGACAGTCGGATTCCAGAGTACAAGTCCCCGACATTCTCAATATCCGAAGAGCCGCCATTGTTTCTTACTGCAAATTGGGGCAACGACTCCACCAGGGGCTCCAATGGCGGATCTTCCGACAGCTGGTCAGTCCCGGGCTTCTCCGAATTCATGTCTCTCCGCCGCGAAAGATGGTCTTTTGACAGCGAAACTTCAGTCTTCAATCGAGACAAGATTTCCAGATTCAGCGGGGGCAGTTCAAGATCGCATTCTTTCGACCTCCAAACTTGCGGCATTTGTTCGAAGCTTCTTACAGAGAGATTAGCTGTCGTCTCCGTTCTTACATGCGGACATGTCTACCACGCCGAATGCTTGGAGTACATGACCCCCGAAATCAACAAGTTCGACCCCGCTTGCCCCGTCTGTACCTTCGGCGAGAAACGGGCAGCGAAGATGTCCGAAAAGTCCATGAAAGCTGAACTGGATTCCAAAGCTAGAAAACGGTTCAGGAAGCGGATCCTCGATCTCGGTAGCAATGCGTTCGATCGCCGCAAAGGTTGGATAGAGGAAAAGTCTTCCAAGACGAAGGCGAGCTCGAGCATGAAAAGCTCGTCTTCCTCCCCGTCGGGAGGAAAACCATTTTTGAAAAGACACTTGTCATTCTGCTCCAGAACAGGTAATAGATCGATGATGTCGGAGAAACAATCTGTTCTAAAAAGGGGCTTATTCTGGACAAGATCTAGCAAGCAGTAATGTGAAGGGAGCTACATTATCAATCCACTGTAAGTTTTTTCTTTCGATTTTCTTCACCATTTTGTGTGCATAATTAAGTTTTGATATACAATAATAATCTACTACAGGTGGATTTGGATTGATAATATTGGTCTCTCCGTTTCCGTTGTCGGGACAATTTGATGCAAGCTTTTCGGGTCGGGTCGGGTCGTAGAAGATATACTTGCTGGTGCACACACTGTATAGAAGTACCAAAATTCAGTATTGTATACTTTTAGTGGCAATGGAAATTTGTATGAATATCTTCATCGTGACTCTATGATTTGTATTTTTTTTTTTTTCTAATGTGATTTGTTTTTCTTGTCTTTCATGTTGGAAATCTGTGTAGCCTCAAATGAAAAGAAAAATAAATATTTTTTATCGAAAAAGTAAAAAGTAAAATAAAATAGTAGGGAATATATTTAGAACTTTAGTTAGTAATTAAAAAAAAATGTAATAAAATTAATACTACGTACATAAATATTATTTTCTTTGGATTCTAAAGGTTTAAGAAGGAAAAAGACAAAAAAAGCAATTTTATTATTATATATTATAACGATATTTATAAAAAAAAATTATAAAAATATTTTTAATATTAAGCAAAAGACACAAAAATAAAATTTTAGAGCCAGATCGAAAGAATAGTAAATAAAAAATAATAATTAAGCTTAAAAAAAAAAAAAATAACGAATGAACGGAGTATATATAATCTCATTTTGGATTAACTCTACAGACAGTTGAGTCCAAACGCAGGCGATATACTTCAAAACTCAAAGTTGTGTTGTAGTAACAGGCCTGGTTCGGTTGCTTACGTGTCAAAATGCGACTTACGTGGCAGCTCAGGGGAGTCCCCACGTGTGATGCACAGGATAATTGCCCTGCTCTCTGTGTCACCGTTTTTCCATAGTTTAAATACCACCATAGCCCCAACCACCGAATAGTCTCTCAAACTTCAACACAAGATCAGATCCTTCCATTACATTCCATTCGATTCGATTTGATTCCTCTCTTCTCTCTCTCATCCTTGTACTGAATCGTGATTTCGAGTGTTGTAATGGCGGATTTGCGCGATGAATACGGGAATCCAATCCAGCTCACCGACCAGTATGGGAAACCGGTTCAGCTCACCGACGAGTACGGCAACCCGATGCATCTCAAAGGCGTCGCCACCTCCGCCGCCACCACCACGGCCGCCGTGGAGACGCAGAGGATCGAACCTCCGCTTCATCCTCCGCCGCCGCCGCCGCAGCCGCATCCGCAGCTGCAAGAGCAGCTTCGCCGTTCCGGCAGCTCTAGCTCTAGCTCTAGCTCGGTAAGTTTCCAGGGTAAATTGTTATAAACATATATATATATGTGGAAAACATTCGGTTATTTATTAAATTAATAAATAAATTGTGGTAGTCGGAGGACGACGGGGAAGGAGGGAGGAGGAAGAAGAAGGGGTTGAAGGAGAAAATAAAGGAGACGTTCGGAGCAGGAAAGCAGCACAAGGATGAGGCCGCACACAGCACACCAACTACAACTACAACCACAGCGCAGAGCAAGACGTCGACCACCGTCCCCGGCCACGTGGCGCCGGAGCACGACAAGAAGGGCGTCGTCGAGAAGATCAAGGAGAGACTTCCCGGCGCCCACCACCACCGCCATACTCAATAAATAAATAATGTTAAATAATAATCTCCAGTGTTTTTATTGTTGCTGTTGCTATTAGATTGTTAGGGTTTTGAGTGCGCTTTTCTTAGGCGTTCGGTCGGTTCGTTCTTGCTGCTGTGTGTATATATTATTTACTATTTTCTCTTATTGCCATCAAAGTAATTATTCCATTTGTGTACCTAACATTGCTATAGTCAAAATCTTAAATCAGGATCACACACATATAAAAGCTTCTTAAAAACCCTTGTTTCATTTCAATATATGACATTGTGATTTAGGTGAATTGGGCCTAATGTGGCCCACGCCATGCTTCTCCTTGCCTAGTTTTGATCTTGAGGGAAACAACTTTACACACCCCCACAAGATTATTACTATTTTTTTAATTTTATTTTATGATGCGCACTAGGCCTAGACCGACCTAATAATACACTACGAATTAGGTTTAGGGTTCAACAGATAAGTCACATAACCATAATTAGGTTCAACATAAGGTCAAAAGTTCAGTTCAACTCCCACGTATGGGGAATACTCTATGAATTAGGTTCTTCACATAAAATACCCTTTGAACAAATAAGTCATATAACCATACGTGACAGGTTTACAGTCACAAATTCAACTCCCACCATAAAATACTCTACAAATTAAGTTCAAGTTCAACTCCCACCATGAAATACTCTACAAATTAAGTTCTACATATAATCACAAATTCAACTCCCACGCCACCAGCCCATCTACGGGACAAGATTATTACTATTACTATAAGCTACCATTGCACACTATTAATTGGCTATAAACCTTTTCCAATAGAAACCAAATATGAAAATGAAAATTGAAGTGCAGATATGCATATAGTCTAAAACAAGAACACTTCTAATATATGCTATGCTATGCTGATCTTCAAACCTGAATAGTTTGGCAGAAGTTACACTGACATTATCTCTCTCACCTAAATTAGTGAGTTGGAATACAAATCACCACCACCACCACCATGGCATCATCAGATTAGGACAGACAGACAAGCTGATCCATCAAAAAAGTCCAGTTCAAAAATTTTGCAGATAGATGATACCACCTACAAATAAAAATATTACAAGCACCAAAAAGAATTACCATCTTCTTTGTATCCTCCTCCTACAAGGTTAGGGAAAGTTGTTGTACTTCCTGTGCTAGCTAAAGCAACTACTTGTTGATGCTGCTGTTATTTTCACCATCAAGCATGACCATGTCTGCATGCTCATCTTCTGCATCAACCACCTCTTTTGCTTTTCGTCTCATCTTGGCCTCAGGGGCAGCAGCAGCAGCATTATCTGAACCACCATCACTGGATGATACTTCGGACAGCTTACGTTTCTTCCCAGGTTGGGAGGGAAGGATTTGCAAATCATCATCTTCTTCTTCTGTCACTGTATGTGCAGCTTCAGGAACAGTGGAGGATGTGCTTGTGCCATTGTCGGCAGGTGCCTTGTTGTTCTTCTCCACTGCCACAGGTTGAGTCCAGCCAGAGAGGACCATTTCATCTGGTTCCTTTTCTTCATCAAACTCCTCCCTGTAATATATATATATATATATAGCATCATTGATGATAAAAGTAGATAGATCATGAGCCCTTTTATTAACAGAAAGCAAGATCAAAACAGAAAACAGAATGAATGGGGAGAAAAGAACACAGGCTATAAATGAAAGGTAGATGCTTTGGATGTTCAGGAAATGTTAACTGGAGTGGAATAAAAAACAATAAAATTGATACTCTTGAAAGTTAAAAAGCAATAGGAATTTTTAGATTCAAATGTGACAAACTGTATCAAAGCAGCTATTTACCAGATACAAAATATAATTACAATGGAGGTGGATTCAAATTTCAGGTGCTAGAAGCAGATATTTCATTGAAGATTCTTTAGTGACCCATAATCGATCAACTTCCCGAAAAATGGTTGGAAGAAATGAAGTTCGGGAGGATGCTATGAGTACAAATGAGACCAAAAATTAGGCAAAAGACTGGATCTATGTAAATTTCTAATACCAAACAAGCTGCATTTTTGTAAACCAAAGCAAAAAAGGTGGAGTGTCAAACTAACCTGTGCTTTATATTGACACTGCATTTCAATTCTTGTTGAAGGTCCTCAACAGTAAGAATTGTTCCACCTGTTACTGGAGATGGAAGCTCAGACAGTACCTGATAACAAATTTCACAAGCACAGTTTTATTCGATGGTTGGATGCACGAGGAGATGTAAATTACTCAACTAATTACCGAACAGACTCGAAATAGAAAAAAGGAAAGAAACCTTATCAAGGTTCGCTGCATAATTGGCAACCTCGTCTTCATCAAGACCATCACCATCCTCGTAAAGAAGGTCATAACCATGCATGATCAGTGGCAAGTTCATTCCAAGCTTGGCCTTCACAATCCTTTCAACAAGATCCCTCAACTTTGATCGATGTGTATTAATTTCAAGAGTGAGAGGTGTCTGAATGCAAAAGATCGTACCATCAGAATCGAACTCATTCAGCCACAACAATACAGTTAGTTTGTCAGCCATAAGCCATAACAAAAAACATTCTCAAAGAGACCAAGAAAAGCCAAACCTCCGAGCAGACATAGCACAGTTTGTTAGGCTCAAACGGCTCCACTGGCATAAGAAGCATCTTTCTTGTAGGATGTTCCAGGCAGTAAGTCATCCTACAGATAAAAGATCTATCTCAGCATCAAATAAAAAAAATATAATGATAAGTCGATAATAAAGAATGCGAGTTAATCTATAAAATCCCATCACATCCATGGAGTTCACCAGGAAGTTGAATCATGGAAAGATGTGCCTTAAGAAAAGAAAGACGCATAGAGGCTTGTCAGACAATATAAAATGGACGTACCTGTGAAATTTTCCTATTAAATGATAATAGTTGAGAATGAATAAATAAAATCAGTGCTGGGTCAAATATAGTCATATAAAAAATATGACCCACCTATAGTTTTTAATATCATTTTGCAGCACTTTAATAGCCTCAATCACAATCAACCCAGCAATGATGGCATTTGTTGTCGCAACAGCATGTACAATGTTGCCAGCAATACCTTTGGCCTCAAAAAGGCTATGCAAAGGGATGTCAAATGAAGAAGCTCTGATATTTGCAGCAGCAGTTACAAATTCTACAGCCAGTTGATCATCTTTGTCGAAACTTAACTTACCAATCTCCTGAAAAGTAAAACACCAGATGGGCCCTATCAGCCAAGCAACCACATGACTAGGAGGAATACTGGAGATGAAAATTTTCTGGTACAAACCTTTTTGCGAGTTGAAAAAAATAATTTTAAAGCCTCAAGAAACACCATTGCATTCTCCTTTAAGCTCCAACACTCCTGTGGGTTTTTCAGACTCAACGAGGCCATAGCAGATGCTGAAAGAGAATCTCCATGTACTGAGTTTTGAGCCTGACTTCCATTCTGGTTGATGGGTTCATTAGGAATTACATCTTTGCTATATATAGGCATTGGCCTTTTACGATTTTTCCATGTATCATCATTTGACAGTGCCAGCTCAATGTTGTACCCAAAAACATGATCAAATATTCTCCTTCCATAATTTTCAATTTCTTCATCATCCTTCCACTCAAAAACATCTTCAATTTGGTTTGATGAGCTGGAACCATCACTGGAACGCACATTCAAGTCATTATCCTGATTCTTGTCCCCAAACAACTTTGTGAAGAGCAGGTCCTTTGCCCATACGATACAATGAACAAACTGCATTATGTAGAAAAATTTTCAGATAAAAATAAGTAGAAAGAAACATTGAACTTAGGTATGGTGTAAGGAATAAAAGGAGAACTATTTTCTCACAATATCAGCAATAGATCATCACTGAATCATAAACAAGTAAAAAAGTGGTCATATTTTTCACCATATCACTACATAACCAGTTAGTAGCAGAAACACAGATTGTCTACAAAAGCCAAAAACAAATCATTTTCTAAAATAAATAAGCAAACTCAGTGTGATGGTTTTAACTATAGATACCAACAAAAATGATCCCTTCAAATAGATCCATATACTTATACAGGGAAATATATATATTTATCACGCCATGCAAGATGGGATAAGGAGATTCACAGTTTTTAAGTGATAAAGCTCTGCCAACAAGGCAACAAGATATGAAACAGGAGTATGTTTTACCTTTGATGGGGTACTTGTGATAGTGCACACAGGGTAAGTTTTGGGTGCTGGCTTAGGATTGCATTCATAGCATTCTGTTCTACCCTTTAAATGAACTGTAACCTGCCGCCGACAGTTAAGAACGGGAAAGGTTTAATAGCTAGTCGTAGGATATATGGATAGCAAAAGTAAGTGGAGTAAATATTTCATCAAATCATTTTAGTAGGCCAACATAAATACAAACATGAAGAATAAAACAGTATCTTATAAAAATTCAGTGAACAATAAACACCAAAAAGTGTAACAAACTAATGATTTGGTGCAATTACCTTGATAGCATATATTCTAACAAAAGTAAAAATAACAATTAAGCGTCATGAATTCTTACAAGAAAGAAACCACCTGTCCAAGAAAACCAGTGGTCCCACTTTCAATCAATGGGACACCAGCCGCCAAGCAGAGGCGGTTCACATGCCTCCTGGCATCTAAATTGTCAAGGCCATTCAAAACAACATTAAACTGCTTGAAGAAGTCAACATTGAAATCAGGATCTTTCACGTTTGCATGATATGGTTTAATGCTGATATGAGGCCTAAATCTCAGAACTGCGTCACGAGCCACCTGGTACAATAGTTAACCAAACAACATAATGGTCCATTAAAACAGTTTCCAAAATGGAATGAGTTCAATTCTTTACTCACTTTGGCCTTTGATTGCCCGACATGTGATTGTCGAAACAGGAACTGTCTATTCAGGTTGCTGACTTCAATGGTATCCAAGTCGATCTGCTTTGACGCAAGCACATTAATAGCAATATACATCTCGTACGTGCTATCTCATTTTTCTAACAAAGTGACGTTCGTTCAGCATGTAGTTTTTTCTATTATAATATGGTGTAATTACCAGCAGCTAATCCATGACTTACAAAAACCAGATAAATAACTTCCCATGACATCAAATCAACCTTAACAGCTGTTCAATACTATAAATTCAACAAAAATTCTTCTTCAACTGCTTAATCTCTTCTACTATCATTTTAATAAACTGAGTGGTAGTATTGTGTATAAGTGCCAGCCATAATTCAGTAATTCACAAAACCCTACAAACAAAGCAATATCAACCCATTTCCAAATTATGTTGGCATACCCCACTCGCACACTTTCCCTTTTTTTTTTTTTTTTTTTTCTTTTTTCTGAACCAGCTACTCCGCGAATTAGTGCATACCAGTGCGCAAGTGACTACTAAACCTTTAGTAAACTGTACACGAACTATTAAAGCAAAAATAAGCTCAAACGGATAAGTAATTTCACAAACCCTAGATTCCAAACCATCAAATTATGTGCATCAAATAACTCAGCTAGCACCAAAAACAATACTCAAAAAAGCGAGAAATCGGTAAAGTTGCTCACGATATGAATATCCTTGAAACCTGACAGCGCGAGGGTTTTGAGAAGTTCGCAGCCAATACCTCCGGCGCCCACCATGAGCACTTTCGCGCCCTACCCCACCAATTATTAGTACTTCCAAAAAAATACAAGTAGCACACGCAAAATTAAAGTAAAACACGGCACCTCAATTGCGGAAAGCTGTTGCTCGGATGCCATTGCGCCGACCGAAGGAGCGCAACTCAGCCTGAACAGTAGGTATGGCGGTTACCAATTAGACACTGGAAGCAATAAATCTTCAAGAATCTGAAGCGGTGGGCGGTGGAAGAACACCGAGGGGAGAGGGAATTTTGGGGGTGAAATTGTCGAGAAATGGGAGGGCGCCAAAAGAGAAAATAAGCGAGTCGCCCCCCTTTTAATTAATGTGAGCAAAACATGAAGAACAGGGACGAAACCACACACGAAGTGGGCAGCGGCGAAAATACACATATAGATCAAGAGACTCCTCTCTCTCTCTCTCTCTCTCTCTCTCTATATATATATATATATATATATAGTATTATTTATATTTTTAATTTTTATTTTTATTTTTATTTTTATGTTTATTCTTCTATTCCTATTTCTACCAGTTGTTTGACTTTTTATACGCTGTTTGGATGCTCGACTCGGTTCCGTATTAGTAGTACTTCTCTTCTCTCTCACGGGTTTGATTGTTTGTTTGTGTTTTTGAAATGCGGCTTTGTTTAGATTGAGGTTTTTTTTGAAGTTTTTGAAATTTTGAAAAAAAAAATTAAAATTAAAAATTTAGTACTTAATGATTTTTTCAATACAATTGTTACCTAGAGTCCTATAGGATATTGTTAATCATCCAGTGACATTTGCAACATTCCTGTTTTTTAAGTATATATAGGCTTGAAGGGTGGGTGTGTTTATTTGGCATTATTCATCTTTTTTTTTTTTTTTCAAAAACATCAATCAAAAGCTTATTTTTTATTTTTTATATTATACTAAAAATTAATTTTACATCCAAAACATCACATCAATACCTATTTATATCACATCATACAACTATTAAAATTCAAAATTTTTACTATTCAAATTCCAACTCAAAATCCAAATCTCCAAACAAACACACCCTAAATGTATGTATCTATCTTAATGTGTATATATGTATATGTGTCTATAATATATACTCATTTCATTCGTCTCGAATAGTTACATTTACATTTTACGTTATTGTACATAATATTAAAATTATTTTTATATTTGTATTTTTGTTTTTTTGTTGTACAAATGTTCTTCTATTATTATTCAAGATAATAATTGAAATATTTTTGCAATTTTTTCTTAATTTATACTATATTTTGATATAATAATTAATATTCAAAATTTAACAGATAAAAAATAAATAAAACCCTTAAAATCGGACGAATATAGTATATATTAAAAAGAGAGTAATATGACTAAAGAAAAAAGTAAAATTAGGAATCGGTGTCCTTTCGAGTGAATTGTTATTACATCTATTTATAGTACAACTACGTAATGTTCTATGGATGAAATTTAGTCACCAAGAGTTTAGATGTGTATACCATGTTTACAACACTCCCTTTTAGATGCATTTAAACTCTGATTAAAACATTGAATAGGAAAAAATCATAGTGAATGAAAAATACTACGGACGTGTTTGGCAATTAGTCGATAGTTGTTAGCTGTTAGCTGATTCAATTAACTTATAGTTGTTAGCTGATTCACTTAGTTGGTTTGACTAGCTGATTCGATTAGCTGTTTGTATTAAAATGTTTGGTAAAACAACTGTTTGATATTAGCTGTTTATACGTAAAATGACAATTGAGGACATTTCTATTTTATATTTATTTATAATATATTCAAATGTTCTTTTAAGTTTAGAATGTTTAAAATTTTTTTGTTATTAGTTATTGAAAATTGTAAAAGTGTTATAAAAGTATTTATTTTTATTACAGTTAGATTTAAAAAAATAATATATTTTTATTAAAATATATAAATAGTTTTTTATAGTAAAATATAAAATAATAAATTTTTCGTGTATATATTTATTATGTTAGTTATCGATTACTTCAATATATATATAATTTTCAATAAATTTAATTATTTTTAGTATAAAATTTATGTAATGTAATTTTAATATAAAAAATAAATTATTAATATTTATATTTTATATTTTATGTTGATTTTAATAAATTTATATATTTTACGATTAAAATTATAAAAATTAATTATTTTAAATTTATAAAAGTAAAACTATATTATAATAAAATATTGTAATATAATTAATAAATAATCAAAATATATTTATTTGTGTAAAATGCATAATAAATTTTTAAGGACATATAAGAAATAAAAAAATTTTTACAGAAAAAACTATTTCAAAATGTTGGATAAGTTAGCTTTTCATAAATTAGTTTTTTGGGTCCAAAAAGCTAATTTATCTAACACCTAAATTAGCTTTTTGACTGGTCAAACAACTAAAAGCTGTTCAATAAGCTAAAAGCTCTTCAAAAAGCTATTTGCCAAACATCCCCTACATCATTTTTGTATTAATGCACTTTGAGATAATTCATTTTGATATTCACTTGAATAAAATCGACCGAGGTCATGTGTCTTCTAAAAGTAATGAAAAATGTGTTTGATATCATTTCAATCGCGCTTTTTCGGGGATGCTCTAAATCTGATCAATAAATTTACTAAAATATATATTAAGATTAATATCTCATTATTAAAATTATCAACTTGTAATTTCAAATAATATTTTTTTTCAAAATATTTGATCTCAAATTCTTTTTTAGGCATTCAATTGTAATTTGGATATCTTCGGAAATTGAGATCATCAACCAATATAGTACAATAATAATAATAAAAAAATTGATCTATTTTTTTTATTAAAATAGTATTATTTTAAAAATCAAATCAATTTGAATTAAAAAAAAATGATTAGTAACAAAACACAATAAATAATTTAAAAAAATACATAAATTGGATTATGTTTTGCTTTTCGGTCCTTTTCGCTTTTTTTTTTTCTTTGCATTGTATGAATATTATACTATGCATTAGTAGAAACTAAAAATAATACATAATAATAATAAAAATAATATAATCAACATAATACGGTGTTAATTTAGTTTAGACTTTTAAAAATTAAACAAAAAATTTTTATTGTAAGAATTTCACTATATATATTAATAAAAAAGAGTATAATCCTCTTGCAATAATACAAAGAATGATAACAAAATATATTTACAAATAAAATATGAAATAAATATAATAAATCTTAATATGAAAAACTTTTGAAGATAAAAGGAAAAAATTATTGGTTAGTCAAACCAAAAGAAGAAAATGTATCAAATCGAATATAAAAATATTTCAAGAATATATGTAAACATCCTTAATTACTATTATATCAACACACAAAAATCACAATCTTAGAAGAATTAAGATCAATAAAACGAAAAAAATAAAAATAAAAGTAAAAAATAAAATCATGAACAAACTAATCCTATTGCAAATTTCATCTTTAGATTGAAAATACTTGAAATTTTTTTTAGGATTTTATGTATCATATATAATGAAAGAAAATATTAGTATAAATAAAAATATATATGATTTTTAAAAAATAAAACCAAAACAAATAATTTTAAAATAGAATAATTCCTAGAATTAGAAATGAAATATATATATAGATAATAAAATCATAATTTTATCTATATAATTAATTATCTAAATTTAATATTCAAAAATATTCAAAAATGATGAGAATACAATCATTAACGTATTTTCACACACACATATATATATATATATATATATGATACAAATGCAAATGAAATGAACATCCAATTGAATCAACAGAGTAGTATATTTATGTAAATATACAATTTTTAATTCAAGTACTTTTAAAATTTTCAAGTAATAGTATTTTACATTAAATTATATTCATTTTATCAGCTTACAAAAGTGGTAATTGATGAATAAAATATTTTTAATTTGAAAAATTTTGATTTGAATTTAATATTAAAATAATATATAATAAAATATTTTTATGAATTTTTTTTTATTTTAAAAAAATGTAAAGTTAAATAGTAAAAGTTTAGGTATGAAGTTAAATAAACAAGCCCATAGTTTTGCTTGCATTTAATATTTCTCTGGCATTAGTGATTCTGACCTGGCAATAGACAAAGGGCACAATAAAGACTACTCGCATAGACAAATCCGTCCCCGTCCCCGTTACCGTCTGATTGTTGGACTGAACTCTCTCTTCCCAACAAAGCTCCGTTGCCAAGGAATACCCTAATTCCGACAATCTATTTGCTCCTCTGCCTGTAGGAATCGATGTAAGTTTCGTGGTTTTTCGATTGTTCAAGGAATTGGCCGCTGTTGAAGTGCTTACATTCGGATTAATTTTAATCTCGTTTTGTTGAATGCGATGTTTGGTGTTGTGATGATCTCTCAATTGTCGACATTTTCTTTGTTTTGGTGTTGATTGTGGTTATACGCTCCAGCTATGCTGGGCGTGAATTTGTTTTAACGGCTGAGGCGGGGCTGACATCTTATTTTTGTTGGGAGTGTTAGTTTGACATGGATGCATTCACCGAAAGATACTTTCAGAGCCTTGTACTGAAAAGACCGGCAACTAGTTCAAGTGGTAAAGTTTTCTGCAATACGCTTTATATGGCTGTTTATATTGAAGATGGCAAACCCTTGCTTGCTTGTTCTTGTTATTTTCATCTGTATCTGGGGCTTGCTTCTTAAGAAATTTTGAAGATGTTATGTTGATTCTCATAAATGCAGTTTTGTTATTGCGGATTTTTGAGAACCTTTTGTTGACCAAAGCAGTAATGATTAAAGAAACGGTAGTTATTATGCTAAGATGAGTGGCTTAATGCAGTAATGATTAAACATAGATGCTGATTTTTGGCTGGAGACATGCGCCAACCGTGTTTCATTATGTTGTGGGGGTATGAATGGCACAAGATGGGAATGTAAAGGACATTTTAAATCTTTTGAAAAATTATATATGCAACCTGAGCTACTTGATATGTTTGAGGTTGGTCTGTAGCCAGCAGTCAGCAAGCAGTTTGTTGAAATGTGGGTTAGATACTTGTGCCAATGTAGCTTATATATATATATATAAAGGAGTGTAGCAGTGAATTGGACTGAATCAAACCTTTCACATGATAGTTCCATGATGTCTCTGATTAGCTTTTTAGTGATAAATTACTGCTGTCAACCTGAAATATACCTGTTTCAACTTGGTATTTTGAAAACCATCTAACCAATATAAAAATAGCTTTCTGATGTTTGGGTTTGAGGCTGTAAGTCTTAGATTATGAGTTTTGGTTATTTCTAGTTATTCATTGGAGGAAGATTTGAAAACTGAGACATCATTGAATTGCTTCACAATGACAAAAAAAATTAAAAGAAAAAAAATGCTAGAATCAATGTTTATGACTGAGTTGAAGTAGTTTGGTATGTTTGGAATTTCATATGGTCATCATCATCAAATGCATATCTGCTTTTATAATTTCAAAGCTAGTAGGGGTGTGCGGAAACCTATAATTGTAGACTGTCCACTATATCTCAAAATCAGTATTGGTTTCATCAGACATCTTATAGTGGGAATCCTTCCTTATTATTTTTAAAGGGCAAATATTATCTCCCAACTTCAATATCTTCTCATCAAATGAGTAGATAGTAACAATATATTGTGCACTGCCTTTCACCAACAGATTTGAGCCCCAGAAACAGGAAAAGGATAAAAGCTGATCAAAGTGGTGGGTACAGTGTTGATGCCTTCTCTGATTCGTGGAGATTTCAGTCAGAGTGCAAAACAACCCGCTTCGTTGTAGATCACTGTGATACTTTGTCTAAATATGGAAGCATGACTGAAGATGTTCAAGAGCTTTTAATGAGGCGGAGAAGATTATTGGGCTCCTTCTATGGACTGTATCCAGAACTTCCAATTGAAGAATTGCTTGTTCCAGCCCCAGTTCCAGTTCCTGCTCCATCTCCAGCTCCACAAAATGCCCTTTCTGTAGAACATGTAGTCATCATTGATTCAGATGATGAATGTGATGCGAAGAGCGAGAATGGGAAACCAAATCTGCTGGCTAACTTGACTATGCCTGAGAATGGGAAACCAAGTCTGCTAACTAACTTCACTATGCCTGAGAATGGGAAACCATGTCTGCTGGTTAACTTCGCTACGCCTGAGAGCTGGAAACCATATCTGCATGTTAACTTGACTACACCTCATCCAACTCTTCAGATGAAGGGTTTTGCGGTAATGAACTTCTGAACTTGCTTACTTGTGAAACCTTGCCAACTCGTATCACCATCTTGGTGTGCCATTTGACTTCAATAGCAATCTAAGGTTAAATTATTACTCACCAAGAATTTTCAATCTTCAATGCACAATTTACACATTGTTCACTTTGCTAAAGATTAATGTTTTAATGGGATGGGTAGCCATTTTATCTGGATGAAAGATTGTGACTATTTCCATTTTCCACCACTGACAGAAAATGCTCGTTCATGATCTGACTTTATACCCTTAACAATGTCACAGGATGTCATTTTTCATTTTGCTGATACTATAATGGCATCATGCAGGAATGGGATTACACTCAAAACCATAATTCTCAGTTGGTTGAAGCACCTGCTGTTGGTGAGCGTGAGCTTGTCAACTCTAAAAGTGAGAGTGAGGGTTCAGATGATGACATGCAGGAGGAAAGTGATAACTCTCCTGATGCCAATATTGATGAACTTGGTGACATCTGGAATGAGATGACAGTTGCGTTAGAGTGTTCAAAGGTGGTAACCTATTCTAAATTTTATTGATGTGATTCCGGGTGATATTGTCTTAAGCCATCTACTTTTGAATTATATTTCATTCATTGTTCTTCTTGCGTGCTCATATCCACGCGAAAAGCTTAACTAGAGTGTTTATGCTTGTGTTCAGATTTGTTTTTGTGTATCCTTGTTTAAGCATTGTTCAGTGCCTATGAAATTCGGCTTCCGCGTTGAATGGTTGGTTCTCTTGTAGAGCTTACCATATTCACATATATGTTAAACAAGCTGGAATGGTTTCATTCTTTGATTGTCCTACCTCAGTTTCACATAATTTGACATGATAAACACACACTCATACATATTTTCAATAATATAGTATTTTCATATGAAGACTTGGTATTTGAGTTAATCTTTTCACCTGATTCAGTGTCTGTTGGGGTTTGGCAGACCTTACAGATCCACAGGAATATAGAGGCTTTGGGAATGAAACATAGGCTTCTGTGTTTAATTACGAAAGCTAGCTAGCTAATTTGGCTTTGTTGGAAATTAAGAAAAGATTTGTGTATGTTACTATGTTCTAAAATTATATAAAAACAGGCTTATACTTGTGAATATAAATGGGACATTTTGACAGTTACTGAAAGGAACATATATTTATTGAATGATTATTATGTTCCACTTTATATGTATTGCTGACAACTTGACATAAAACATCAAGATCTCCGTTTGTGAATATACTCACCTTTTGCTAATATAGATGTAATAAATATTGCATGGAACAATGATGAATGCTTTGGAGTGTGTTCTCATAATTTATGTATACAAGTTATTGTACTGCGAATGAACTGATGAACACTTTAATTATGTTTTCTGTACAAATATTATGTTTATTAAACCTATGGTCTTATGCACGTGTGAACACATTGACAATTCTTGATTGACTTGCAGGAGGCTACTGAAGCTACTCAGCTTGAGGAACATCATGATGAGGATGAAGAAGATTGTGACCATTCTTTCATATTTAAAGATGATCTTGGTGATGTTTGTCGCATATGTGGGGTGATTAAGAGAGGAATTGAAACAATTATTGAATATAATTTTACAAAGGTATGGTTTTCTATTTGAAGCTTATAGATTTTAGAGTCCCAGTTTCTTATGAAGTTACATTATTAGTGTGAATTGTCATATTTATATCTTACAATATCATTTATTGTATGCCTAGCAGCTCTGTTGACTTGCACAAGGCAAGAGAGCTTCTATTTAAATGATTTACATTATCATGTGTTTATATAATACTTGGTATAATAGAATTCCTTATAAAATACTATATGAATTTTTCTTTCATTAGTTTCTTGATCTTTATGAGAAGTTTAAAATTCTAATATTAAGAAAAAGAGTAGAATAGAGAATTCTTTTTCTGAAATGTTTCTTTTGATAGGATGGAGGATGTAAAGCACGCGCACTTGTTTGCTTACACTACAACTTTTTTATTTTATTTTTATTTGGTTGTATGATTATCTCTTCCTTTTATATGAATAGATGACTTGTATGATTATCTCTTCCTTTTATATGAATAGATGACTAACTTTGTCAGTCGATAAAAATTCTGTTCATGAAGACTCAGCAGGAGCCAACTGATATGTGCTATATTCTAAGTGCAGGCCAATAAGAACACTAGAACTTACAGATATGAAGGCCGGAGTTCCAGAGAGCATGACCAAACTGAACCTTTGCCAGAGGGTTTAAGATTACCTGATAATGATTTTATTGCTGCTGACATTCATCCGCATCCACGACACAGGAAGGAGATGAAACCGCATCAAGTAGAGGGTTTCAATTTTCTCGTAAGCAATCTCGTGTCAGAGAATCCTGGAGGTTGTATAATGGCACATGCTCCTGGCTCTGGGAAAACATTCATGATCATCAGTTTTCTTCAGAGTTTCATGGCTAAATATCCAGCTGCCAGGCCGCTTGTTGTACTTCCTAGGGGCATTTTGCCCATCTGGAAAAAGGAATTCATAAGATGGCAAGTTGAAGAGATTCCGCTATATGACTGTTACTCGGTTAAGGCAGACAGTCGGGCTCAGCAGCTTGAAGTTCTCAAGGAGTGGGTCCAAGAGAGGAGCATATTGTTTCTAGGGTATAAGCAATTTTCTTCCATTGTCTGTGATGATGACCAAGGTCCAGTTGCATCTGCCTGCCAAAACTATCTGCTTAAAGTCCCCTCGATTCTCATCCTGGATGAAGGTCATACCCCTCGAAACCCCGACACTGACATTCTGACTTCTCTTGAGAGGGTTGAAACTACAAGAAAGGTAGTTCTTTCTGGAACCCTCTACCAAAACCATGTCAGAGAAGTTTTCAGCATTCTAAATCTTGTGCGCCCAAAGTTTCTGAAGATGGAAAATCCCAAAGCAATAAGGAGGCGGATTCTGAGCAGGGCCGAAATTTCTGGTAGAAGGAATCTGATGAAACATGGAAGAGACAATGGCTTCTATGAAACCATAGAGGAGTGCTTGATTAAAGATGAAAATCTAAAACGGAAGGTCACTGTGATCCAGGATCTGCGGGAGATGACAAGAAAAGTGCTGCATTATTACAGGGGGGATAACCTTGACGAGCTGCCGGGGCTGGTGGATTTTTCAGTTTTTCTTCAGTTGAGCCCTGCACAAAAATTCGAAGTTAAAGAGCTGAAGACTGTGTCAAGAAAGTTTAAAATCAGTGCACTAGGCAGCCCTATATATGTCCACCCAAGTCTGAAGGTTCTCGCCAAGAATTCTGGCGTGAAGGACAGAGTCGATGAGGAGAAAATCAATGCATTATTGGAGAATTTAGATGTGAGAGATGGTGCTAAGCTTAATTTCTACTTGAATCTTCTGCAGCTCTGCGAATCTGGCGGCGAGAAGCTACTCGTTTTCAGTAATTATCTTTTACCCCTGAAATTCTTAGAGATAATTACGGGTAAAATCAAGGGCTACAGTGCTGGAAGAGAGATGTTCATGATAACAGGGGAATCTGACACAGAGACGCGCGAGTCGTCCATGGAGAAATTTAATCAGTCGCCTGAAGCTCGGGTCTTTTTTGGTTCTATCAAAGCTTGCGGTGAGGGAATCTCTCTTGTCGGGGCTTCCCGCATTATTATATTGGATGTTCACTTGAACCCTTCAGTCACCCGTCAAGCAATCGGCCGCGCATTCCGTCCTGGTCAGGTAAGGAAGGTTTATACATACAGACTGATTGCATCCGGCTCACCTGAAGAAGCAGACCATGCGACGTGCTTCAAGAAGGAGTCGATTGCCAAGATGTGGTTTGAGTGGAATGAATCTAGCCGACACCACACCCTCGAAATGGAGCCCGTCAATGTTAATGCTTGCGACGACATGTTCCTCGAAACTCCGAGGTTGAAAGAAAATGTGGTGGCACTCTTCAGGAGGTAAACTGTCTTAAGGAAGAGGTAAATCAACTTGTTTGTTTTCGGACATCTATTGCATTTAATTATACAGTACTTATAAACTTGTCCCAACTTCTGTCTGTGTACAAATTCAGAATTCTTTACAACTGCAGTGATTCGGCTATAAGCTTCTTTTGTTGTGAAACAGGGCTCTGCTTTTATTTCTTGACACACACACACACACTTACACATTCAAAGAAAACAAGAAATCATGATGATACTCTTTCTGCCTTCTTCTACATTATGCAAAAAACATACACTTCCTTGCAGATACATACAACTCCTACAACCTTGAATCTTCGACAACTTAGGTGTATCATGAGAACGACGGTAGCAGCGACGAAACGAATCGGTGAGGCTGATTGCTCGAATCCATGTACTCAAATTCTGCTGTCTCAGCGGCTATATCCGAACCTGCCGCGTTGTACATATCTGAATCCCTCGGGGGTTCGAAATGGCTGCTCTCGGCCATGGCCACGCTCCCGCGGCCCTCACCCTGCTGCAATCCTAATGTGAGCGATACTCCGTCGCCGACATTGCCGAATCTTTCCAGCTCCTCCGACATATGGTAGGCTGCCGCCGCCGCCGCAGCTTCCATGAACCTATCGTTTCCGGAACTCGACTCTACGACCCCTTCCGGAAATGGGTTTTGTCTTTGTCCGTCCCTCGTCGTTTCTTCTCCCATCGAAAAATTCTTTTCGGATTGAGCCTGCATCATCTTCATCAATTCGACGTTCGATATTTGATCGGGCTTCAACCCCAAGAGTCGCCCCGTCGAAATCGTTGAGTCGTTGCCTTTCTCTTCGGAAGCCTTCGTGTTTTTTTCTTTCGGTATTGTTTCCGATGAAGAATTCGAGTCCATATCAGCATCCCCTGTTTCTTCCTTGTACATCTCTTCTACCATTGGCTTCCAAAGACGAACCCGCGCGTTTATGAACCAATTCGAGACCTATACGTGAAACGGATCGATAAAACAAAATCCGAAACTCGTACAATAAGACATGTTCTAGCAATGCATTCATTTCTCACCTGACTTCTCGTTAACCCGGTCTGTCTAGCCAGCATGATCTTGTCCGAATCTTTCGGGTAGCTGCCGAAACAAATAACATCAACAAAACTAATGAAACAAACTTCCCGATCATGTAAGATTTCGACGCAACTTACGGATGAAGAAAGTGTTCGAAAAGCCAAGCGCGTAAGATCGAGACAGAGGTCTCAGGAAGTCCTCGTTGCGGTCTCCACGCGTGTTGTTGCATCATGCCGAGCTGTTGTAGCGCTCTCTGCTGCCTGAGTTGTTGATCGACAAATCGCAGGCGCGATATCCCAACGCCTTTATTATTCAGAGCTGCATCATCCTCCCCAAGCGATTTCCGCGCTGTCTGAATCTGGCCGTTTATAGCGTCGCGCAGACAGCGAAAGTGCCGTGAAATTGTCTGAAGAGCAAGAGCCGTGTACGGTTTCGATGCCCCCGATCCAGCCACAACATCGAACGAGCATACCACAATCTGCATTTGATGGTAATACTGCCGGTACCGTCTGTCGACCTGCAACGATCGATCTCAAATCAGGCACAACTCTATATATATATGTATATATATCGATCTCGAAAAACAACCTCAACTCTTACCTCGTCTAACATCGATAAAAGCTTCGTCAACTTATTTTGCTGTTCATGTTTCTCGGAAACTGAAAGCTCACTCGATGAATTCCCCGTCGCCTTAGCCGAAGAAGGTTCCGTAGCGCCGTCCATAGATTCTCCCGACTCCTTCCTCGCATTCTGATCCTTGATCGCTTGCCTGACGTTCACGACTTCGTTGAGCAGCTCTTGGGTTGCTTTCAAATACTTCGAATTGGGAACTGCTCTTGCGATACTTTGCGAACCGTACATCGGGACGTCATTTGCGTCCGAACTGCTTCCTACACCGCCGGAAAGGACATACTCATCCTCCCTCGAATGCTTACTGTTGTAATGATCCGCATTCTCGAACATGGCATTATTACACGCCAGCATTGAGCCGAAGTTGGGATCGTCGTTCTGGTATTGCATAGGCGATATTTGCATCACCGACGGGACATGTGTCCCAAGACTAAGGGATAGTCCTTGTCCCTGCAGATTCGGACCACCTACGACGACCTGGTTGTCCATGGATCGCGAGCCTCCGAAGCTCAACAGAACTTGCCGGGATGAATTGGAATCGGAATTAGCTACAGGCTGGACATCCATGTCGGAATACGGCGTCGAAGAAGACGAGAAATTCATGTACATTATGTTCCCAGGTAGCAGAGGTGTTTCTGTCTGAGAATTGGGCAAAGGGTCCCTTAAATACAGCATAGTTGCAGCATCCCTTTGATCATCTGCCATTGGAATGTATGTGCCCATTTCTCTCTCTCTCTTTCTATATATATATATATGCTGTAATTTAAGTTTCAAGAATCCCAATAAAATGATCCACAGAAGTAGTCCCAATTGCCTGGAAATTTTGACATGAAACAAAAAATGGAGTTTAAGAACACAAACCCTCGAATTGAATCAAAGGGTGAATTCAACATCAGAGAAAGCAAAATGAAATAGTAATAATTAATGGCAGTGAAGCTCCATTGAATTTATATTTTTTTATTTATACATGGATAGTTAATGAAACTTCCATCAAAATCAAGAATTCAATTAATATACAAACCTGACGAGTGGTATCCAGTTTGATCAGCAGATCCCAAAGCTTCAACACTGTAATCCAAATTCTCCTCTTTCAAAAACCAGAAAACAGAACAAGAAGGAAAAGTAAAGATGCAGAAAACCCCAAAAGGAAACAAATAATCCCAACTCTTTCTTTGTTGTTTTTTTTCAACAATGGAGAAAAAAGAAAAAAGGAAGAAAAAACTGGTGTCTAGTATGGTAGAGTTTCGAAATATTCAAATCTCAAAGTACAAAACCATAATCACCTCTCCAATTAGTTCCTCACTCTCTCCATAATCTGCTCATTCATCCATCATATACTCCTTTTTTTTTATCAATTCCCACGTGAAACTCACACACAAAGTCCCTTTCCAATTTCCCATTTTCTCTCTGATCAAGTTCCCCTTAGAAAAGAGGGTCCTTTCTTTTGCTACTATTTTCGAAACCCCACAAAAGATCCAAATTCCCAATTCTTGTTTGTAAATGCTGGAATTGAAAAACTAGGGCAAAATAAAGAAGAAGAAGAAGAAGAAGAAGAAGAAAAGCTCTTTTCCCCCTTTTCCTCTAATTGATTATATAAGGGTAAAGAATGAACAACATTGATTGATTTGCAGCAATGGTAAGAACAGTAATGATGATTAAACTGTACTGGCCTTCTTCTATTCTTCTCTTTTCTTCAATTCTCCTTTGCTGTTTATCTGTTGCTATTCCCTTCCCTTACCTTCCCTTCCCTTACCTTCCCTTCCCTTCCCTGTTGCTTGACTTGGTTAATTCTTTGCTGTTATTGATGATGTTTGGTTATGGAGTGCCAATCTCTAACCACCAGTTGGTAGACCTAAACCCCCTTCTCCCTTAAACCTCCCTTTCTCTCTCTAAATCCTCCATTTTTCTAACCAGAGTGTGTATGGTGATGGATGACGGAATGGAAGGCCTGCACCCGCAAAATGCAAATATCCAACCCCTTTATTTTATTCCCATTATTTTAGTTGGCCTTGCCTTGCCTTGCCTTGCTTTGATGGAATATCATATTTTAATGGGGTTAGGAATAATCCTTTTCTTTTATTTTTATTTTTATTTTTATTTTTTATTTTTTTTTCCTTTTTTTCTTTTGCCCCATTGCAATTGCATCCCACCAATAAGGTGCCCATGTCACTAGATTTTTGTCCTCTTGTGGGCAACTAAATTCTGCACCTTTTTCTTGATTTTTACAATTGCCCCTTTTGCTCTTTTGTATTCACACATTAACCCATATAACTTCTCCTCTGTGTTGATTTCATTTTCAGGTCTGGTAAATAAATAAAATTGGGATCATGAAATCAAATATATTATTTTTATACAATGACTACCAACTTTTGCTTGATGAAGGTAAGCAAGCATTTACCACTTATGTCAGCCCCAACTGTATTTGCCATTTTCATTCTAAGCTCCAGCTACATTTAATTCCATTTGTTTTTTCTTTTGGAAGTTTGTTGATATTAGGCCACCTATTAAAAGTATTACAAATAAACCATCTTCTGCTTCCTCTTCTTCTCCTTTTTATTTTATTTTATTTTATTTTTCTCAATTTTATTTCCTGGATTCAAATAGTTATAACCAATAATTGTACTTTGCTCACAATTCAATCAATCCATAACCCTCCCAAGTCTTGACCAGCTAGCTATTGATAAAGATAAAAAAGAAAAGGGGCATATGGAAGCAAATACCGCAACCTCAAGGACCTTAAAGAAAAGAAGTGGTTTGCAATTGCAATTTTCTGGTAATTGAGCACAAGCAGAGAGACAGAGAGACAGTGAGAGCAGTGGACAGAGATTTCAGAATAGAAGAGGAAGAAATTAAAAATTAAAAATTAAAAATTAAATAAATAAAGAATTAGTGTTGTCTGGAAATAAGCGTATGGGGATTCGCAACAAAGTGCAGAATCTAAGGTTATTCGCAACTGCAGATATCATTGGCACAATGCACAAGCACATCGGTGATATCGCGTCGCTTACAAACACGCTTTTAGAAAACGACTTTTGTTTTATGGATCTGAATTTTATATTGAAGTCGTGCTTTTATTATATTATAAAATCGCGTGATAAAAAATAAAAAAAATAAAAAAATTAATTATAGCATTTTTTTGTTGAATAGTGTCAGAATATATTGTTCGAATGTTTTTAATTAGAAAGAAAATTTGTTCTTTGTACACTTCTTAGAAAGATGCATTAAAATATGAAATTTGTATTTATTTATTTATTTATTTATTTTTTATAACTAGCAAAATATTTTCAGATTTTAGTGTTATTATTCAAGAATTAAATCCATTTTTATAAAAGGTTAACCCTTTATGGCAAATTTGGTCTTTTCGTATAACCATAAAATAATTAATTGTTTAAATTCAAATTATGAAATAATTCACTTTGACAATATATTAAAGAATAAATCAACTCAACGTATGGTTCAAATGAAATAAAGTTTACAAGTTATGGAAAATAGTGTTTAATTAATTGTATTATAGATTTTGACATTTTGATAATTAAATAGTCGGGTTTTTTTTTAAAAAAAAAAAAATTATACAAAAATAAAAATGACCAATTATATGTTGAATTTTATTGTGAAGTGAAGTGAATGGGTTAATTATTAGAGTGTGGGTTATTTTATTTTATTTTATTTTTTATGACGTGAAAATCCGCAACCGCTACTTGAAAGTGCGCACTAAATAAACTCTCGGTCGTACCTAATAGCCTGCAAATCAAGCCCGACGGAAAGTGAGCTAAGGTTATTTTATTCAACCTGCTGAGGTCGAAATGCACACGAAAGCATAATTAATGGTTTAATAATGGTTTTTATATCAATATTAATTAATTAGTAGTTGGAGGTCTTCTCTTTTACACCAAATTACATTTACTTATTATTTAAATAAATCTTTAAATCCCCACATAGCCGGCCACCATTTATATGTATATGTATATATATTTATGTAATAATTAATGTATATATTTAAAAAATATATATTTATTAGTCAATTTTAGAGGTTGCAATTGGATTGCGTCCAGAAATTGGTAAATTTATAAATATTTATATAAGACAGATATTCAAATCCAATATTTATGAAATTTTTTAATTATTTTGTATGTAAATTTGAAATTGTGAAATATATAGATGGATCATATATATATATATATATTTATATGATATTCTTATTCTAATGTATGTATAAATTAATACGTCAATCCATGTATTTACTTAACACTATGTTTGACCCTTCTTTTACGGATTGATTGAAATTTATTTGATATATGGAATCGAATTAATTAATTTTGTATTAAATTAGGATAAGTATGATTTTGTTTATTAATGATCAAAGCTAATTCTTAATAATAATAATAATAATAATAATAATAATAATAATTTTTTATTTTTTTGAGTGATGTAGGGGTGAGCTGGAATGGCCTCTAGTGATAATGTTGTGGGCTCCACCATAGCTAATAAGTCTATTTTCCTTTTTTTAAAAAATAAATAAATAAAAAATCGTCTATGTGATTATTCACTTTATTTAATTAATTTATTTATTATTCTAACCAATTTTGTTTATTTCCATTCTTTTGCTATATATTCTGATTTTTCAGTTTTCACTTTATTTTGTTGCTTCCATAAGTAACATTCGTATTCGAGTTATTTTTCCCCATTCCTCTAAAAACTTTTGCAATTATTTTGTTCCAATATATATATATATATATATGCATAATTTTAAAATAAAAATTTTCTTTTTATATTTTAAAATATGATTTATAACAAATTAAGAATAAAAAGAATAAAAGAACTATTAAAATTATTTCTCAAAAACAGTGTGTGAAAAGTAAAATTAGCGAACAAACATGACTCAGCCACATTGGGCTTCTCCTTTACAAAAGAGCCCATCTATTATTGGGCCAATTGCTCAAAATAAATATATTGGGCCGGAAAGTTTATGATGGGCCTTCAAAATCTCCTTTTATAATGTTAGAACCAAATTAACTGTGCCATGTTAAATAAATTGGATTGGGTTTTAACAAATTACCCTAAAAAATATTTTTTCAACAATATATATATATATATATATATTTAAATAAAGGAAACACCGACAACATAAAATTGTAGGGTATAATTATTGAGCAGAGGTACCCTTGCCGGGGTTGTTCACTTTACAAAAATAAAATAAAAAGCTACTCCCACCGTTAATTTTTGCACGTAGTTTTAAAAATTTAATATTATATTAGGATATGGTAGGAACAAAATAGAAATGACTAAAATAATTTTGTTAGTATGTGTGATATAAAGGTAATGATATTTGTGTAATATATTGTAAGTTGTAAGGGTATTTATAATATTAGGTAAATAGTACAGTTACTAAAAAAAATTAATACTTTGTCATTGGACGAACTAAAATGAATACTTTGTTATGGGACAAGGAGTATATTAAATTTAGAAATGATAGTATTTGAGTACTATTAGTTAGTAAATGTATGTAATATAACATGTATAAAGCAATTATATATATAAATATGTAATAGTATATTTATAATTTAAATAAAAATTAAAAATACTATTGTTATTATTAGTTTTTCTAAAATAATAAAAAAAATGCTTTTAAGGGAGAAACCAAAACACAATAGTATATTTTTAGTTGGGATGAGAGAGTAATATTCAATACAAAGCATTGTATTTAATTATTATACTACTTAGGAAATTAAATAACAATAATAATCATAATAAAAACTTACAAAATCACTATAAGAGCGTCTTATGTGTAATGTGTTCATTTTGTATTGAAATTTTTTTATATTAAATTTTAAAAATCGTATTGTTAATATATAAAAATTACTTCTTTTATCTTTAAAAAAGTGTTCACTTTATTTTTTTTGTTGTCTGTCTAAGTAATTAATATATACTTACCTAAATTATAATTTTTATTGAAATGGAGGAATTATTAATTTATCTTAATTCGCATGAAAAAAAATTAAATAAGAAGCTTACCTTAAATTTTTGTTCGCATATAAAAGTCAAATAATTTACCTTCAATATCTTGTTTGCATAAAATTAAAAAAAAAAATCAAATAAAAAATTTACCTTAAATACTTTGTCCACCCTAAAATGTGTCATTATCTACGGAGGATATATATATAATTAAAATAAATTAAAATAGGTATTTAAATATATTAAACACTATATTTTAATAAAATATTTATAATATAAATATTATTTTATAGATAATAAAATATTATATAATACATATAAAAAATATTTATTTATTTATAATTAATTTAAATTAAATTTTTGAAAAGAAAGAGTTTTAAATATAAATAAATGTATTTTTTTATTGTAAAAAAAAGATTGAAATACATAAGTTTTAAATGAGTTTTATGCGTAAAAATTTTAATTTATATTTATTAAGTATATTTAAAATTATTAAATTTATTAAAAAAAATCATATAAAGAATGGAAAAGACAAAAAAGATCCGCTCGAGGAGAAAAGATTAACTATAAATTAAAATTATGTTTTTTTTTTAATTATTTATATTAAATAAAATTTATTTTGTACTACAAAATAATATTAATCTGAAATATTTTATTAAGATACTCCGTTGTAGTTAAAATAATTAAACATATATTTAATTTTTGTAATCATATCAATTAAATATTATTTTAAAATTTTTAGAAAGTATAAAATAATATTAATACATATATAGAGTGTGTTACTTCATAAAATTTTACACAAATTTTATTATTCTATCGATTTTTTTGTTTTAAAAACAACTTCAAACAAATTATTTTTTAATTTTTATATTATATTAAAAATTTATAATATCGAAAGAAACACACGAGTAACCTTTCAGTTATTCGCACATGCTCTGGTAAAAGTAATTGATAGCATTGGAACCGTACCTTGTGGATAAGGTTATGCTTACTTGGGCTTTAATATATCAAATTTGTTTTTCAAAAATCTCTCTATAGTTTGCGACACAGCGACGATCAGCCGTTGATATTCGAGAAGAAATCACAACCGTTGATCAATGAAGGCACACAATAGTGGATGTTCTCCGCGACACACTGGAATATTTCTATATAGAATTTTCCTGAATATGCGAGCAGTGTAGCTCTTCGGAATCGGAGGTTCTCTGAGTAGTCTGCGCTCCGGTATCTGCTCCGCCGTGCTGTACATGGCTAAGCCGCCCAAACCCGGCCGTCGTACCCTTGATTCCTACACCATTAAGCGAATAGGAAAAACTATATGCCGTGAGTCCTCCTAATTTCTTTTTAATACGATCGCGATTTTTGCTTTTTGCTCGTTAACCTACTTGTCCGTGGTATTCGTTTTCTGGAGTTAGGATAGGGACAAGGTGCGTAAAAGTTGCTTGTTTAGTGGGAGATGATGTTGAGTTGATTATTTGTCCGTGCAGCCGGAGACTGTGTTTTGATGAGACCTGCAGACTCGTCGAATCCGTCGTACGTGGCGCGTGTGGAGAAGATCGAGGCGGGAAGCCGTGGCACGAATGTTAGGATCCACGTCAGGTGGTATTACCGACCGGAAGAGTCCATCGGAGGACGACGTCCGTTTCACGGCTCCAAGGAATTGTTTTTGTCTGATCATTTTGATGTTCAGAGTGCAGATACGATAGAAGGGAAGTGTACGGTACACAGCTTCAAGAACTACGCCAAACTTGATGCCGTGGAGAACGACGACTTTTTCTGCCGTTTCGAGTACAATTCGATCAGTGGTGCCTTCAATCCGGATAGAGTCGCTGTGTGGGTTTAACTTTCAGTATATATATCTGACTTATCTGATCTTTTTGTGGTTAATTTGCTGATTCTACTGCGTTATAAAAGCGATAGAGACCATATTTAGCAGCCAAATTATGTGAAAAGTGCTGGAGCTTCCCGTAGATGGCAATTGAAGTAGAACTATTCTGAGAAACTGACATGAACAACAACTGATCTGTTTTTATGGCTTAATATAACTACTAACTTGGGTGCATATTAGGTCCTGAAACTTGTTGCATCATTAGAAGACTGCATTGTTTCTTTAGTCTGCTTAAACATTTTATATTAGTTTGTTTATTTGTGTTCACTTTTTGTGCCAGAAGATAATTGGATATAAACATTTGTCCTTCACTGTCTCACTTTAAGGAGTTATTGTTTGGTGAGGATCTTTTTGATGATAGATAGAAAACTGAGTGTACAGGATCTGGAAGTTAGTGATAGTGGCAATATAAATTTCACAGCTGCATAATGGATATAGGATATAATGATATATCTCATAGCTTCACAAATTATAAGATTACCAGAAATTGAGAGACTGTTCCATAAGTTAGTTATCTCTTTGATTAGCTCCTTTAAGTGTACTCTATTGATGGATGCTTTGAGTTTTGTTCTTTGTTTGCTGAAAAATATATGACCCTTTTTTTTAGAGAAACGGGATCTTTTTCTCTCAAGATATGGATTTGAATCGATATCATCATATTCACTTGGTACCGACACTTGCGGTGTACCCTGGGGAACTGGAAAAGTAAATTTTTGGTTATGCGAGTTTGAGTTGAATAAGTTGTTAATTGTTGTTCATCTTGATTTGGCAGGTACTGTAAGTGTGAGATGCCTCATAATCCTGATGAACTTATGGTTCAGTGTGAAGGATGCACTGACTGGTAAGTTTATAGGACTATGTAGTATCCTGTAATATGTTTATCTACACCATAAAACATGAGCTCTCCTGATGTGGTGCAAGGGGATCTTGTCTTTAATTATAACTTAGTGTCATTTATTTCTATTTTGAATTTGAATTTCAAATAAAACATAACCCACGGAAGGTGGGTTAATGCCCGTTTCCGTCGATGGTAAACCTGCAAGGGCTGATCCCCTTGCACCACATCATCTCCCCCTTTTCTTTTTCACCATAAAACATGAGTTGCTGCGCCTATTCGTTGTCTGCCGTTTCTTATCCCAAAAGTTTGGTTCTTGATTATGTATCTTAAGTGATATTCAATTTGATATATTCTATCTGTAGCATTTCTGTATTGGGGCTATGTTGCCCTTGACATGAAGTTCCTATAATAGAACTCTGGTTGTAGTCGTTATGCTGATATTTTTTCCCTTCACGTGTTTATATGTTTCTATCATTGTGTCCTGTATCTTTCATACGACCAAAAATAATAACAAATGCCTCAAGGATGTCTCTAGAAAGTAGCCATAACTCATAATTATTAACATCATACTTTTAACATGCCTTCTAACACTTTTCTGTATATTAAGAGCTGACAATATATATCACAGACTACGGGCATGCATTCACATGTTCAGTTTGTTATGAAAATCAATTATTTTTCATGTGTGCCTTCGTAAGATAAAGGCTATCTCATATTCTCAATGTTATGTGGGTTAGTTTAAGAATGGCAGGATCTTATTGTTTATAATGCCGTCAACAGATATACTATGTATGTTGCAAGAGTAAAACGTGGTTGCCCACTTTTCTAGAGCTGCATAGACTCTCTTGTATATATAATTTACTGCTGGAGTTGTAATTATTCTGTTCATGTCGGCAATAGGTATTTGAATTAGAGACTTAAAAAGGTTTGAAACTAAAACTGCTCTGCTCAATTCTCCAATCAGGTTTCATCCAACTTGTATGGACATAACCCCAGAGGAAGCCGAAAGTCTAGATCACTTTTACTGTCATACTTGTTCCTCCGAGGATCAGAACAAATTAAATGATTCTCATGCCTCTACCAGATTTGCTGAGGTAATGCAAAACCTGGTAACATCACCCTTGATTTCCTTGATTTCTGGGTTTCCAGGATTCAGTTTTTCATGACTCTGAAATTCGTAATATGATTTTCAAAATACCCTCGACAATTAACAGATTTGTATACACTTGCATGCTCCAGATGAAGATTAATGGCACCCATAATTTGCTTGTGTAGAAAAGTTCCTGGATACAATTTATTTGTATTTCCATCTTGAGCTTAGGGAATATGTCCACATTTGAGACTTGAAATGTGCTTGCAGAAGCTAAACACAATGTTCATATAATCTTTTGTGCTCTCCTGTGCAAATATCTCCCGGATTATTAATAGATGTTTTCGACTGGGATAGGTTGGATATAATTATGCATTGGTAAGCAAAAATAACTACAAAAGCCTCTAATCTATTCTTTAAAAACATTGAAATTTAGATGGTCGGTTAGAGTCTTATCTTCTCACCGAAACAAAGCTGCTGAATGCTTTGTAGTTCATTATTCATTTGGTTATAAATTGCTATGTATTTTAATTTCAGGGGGAAACAAAGCGCCGTCGCAGGGGTTAAATTTGGTGGCCCGAAATGTGTGGATGGATCTGTAAATGCTAACAAACAGCGAGGCTGTCATGAGAGGGCTACGTATGCATATATATATATATATAGGAAGTAACCGGAGAGGATTAATGTCCTTTGTATATTTGGTGTGAAGAGTAGAGTTGTCTGTCCTTTACATGGTTTAAGGATGAGGCGTGTTTGTGCTTAGGCTGGCTGTTGTGTTGCAACAACTCTATATTTATATGTAGTTTGTTGTAACTTTGTATCCAACTGATAATAAATATTAGTACTACATTGCATTTTAAGTCATAGGGCCTAGCGGACATTGTTCAAATATGTAGGCATTTGATATTCATCAAATAGAAAGAATATATAAAACTGTGAATAGTATTCAACTGAAAATATTTGCAAATGACTCGAATTGAAATTAAATTAAGTATAATTATTAACATAAATATATTCAATAAATATAAAAGTCAAAACTAAATCGAACAAATATTAAATATACAATATTTGTATTCAAATCGATTTTGCTCGATTAACCATAAATTAGATTATCGGTTCTGTTTTCTTGCCCACCCCTAACACCGGATGTATTGATCATATATTTAGTCACATATATACATATCTATATATTAAGAAGAGATGGGAGTTAAAAGAAGCAATTTTTCCATAGAAATTCAGGCTACATTGAAAACATACAAAAGAATACAATGGTGACAACTCAATTCATAACGTGCATATATATATATACGTATGTATATGTATATTTCCATTCAGTATTGCCCACATTTTATTTTCCAGATTAGCTACAAGGGTTAAACAAATTCCTATACCCCTAAAAATTTGACCTTTTCATCGTATTTGGTTTTAGTGTACAATAACATACTTTAAACACAAGAGGCTTCCCCACAGGACTTACAGTTCATTCAACTTGTCTTAGCTCTCTTCCACACAATGACTGTGCCGCCAAAGTCCGAAGATGCCAACAAGTTCTCGCCATGGTTCCAGGATATGCCGATGACCGGGTAGCTGTGACCCTGCAGTTTTACACACATTCAAAATCTTCAGTGGAAAAGTTCCGAACACAGTTAGAATGTGATGGGATGTACCTGCAATTTGTTTACACATGTATGTCGAGGGCGGGTTAAGTCGTAGAAGTAAACACTTGCATCCTCACTCCCGGCAACTACATCAGCACATAGACAATTTAATAATCAAGAATGCGATAAGATGGGCTTTTTTCGATGTAGATATATGCATTATGCGACAAATTGGTGAGACAGTACCTATGAATTCTCCTTTCTCGAGGGAAAGCATGGGGCAAAAAGAGGCGCGGATGCTGTGTAAGCGTGGTGCCAATTTGAGCGCGCATCGTAGCGTCAAATAACCTTGCACCTCCAGAGAAATACTACAGCGAAAATGAGCCTCGTCAGATCATATATATATATATTTATTTAAAATTGTATATGGATTATAAGCAAATGTTCACGGAATATGTAACCTGAAGAATGACAAATCTCCATCTTGACTTAGAGTCAACAACACTGGACCCCGTGCAAGCAAGGAAAATATTCTATATTGCACGGTTGTGACGGGAGATTTATGCTTGGATTTACTTCTGTGTCGATGAGAACGTGATAGGGCACCGGTACGTGAATCCATAGTAACCGAGTACACACATCCCTGCATATGAGTTCATGAAGTAGTTAGTGTCTTAGAAATATCTTATGGGGTTATATCAGCAGCACGTAAACCTCAGTTCTGAACTACATACTTGAGCATCACCGCAGAAGATAAGTTGACCTGTGTGATCGTGGTCCATAGCTGTCACCTCACTATCGAAAGTACACTTATGGATCGATCTGCCCGTACTGAAATTGTACACCTGATGCCAGTTGCAGCAGAATGAGATGTTAAAATCAAATTATCTACAGAAAAGATAGCTTGCTTTTTTGTAACAGCACAATCTCAATTTCTCATATTTCATTACTTCAATGTGTCACAAACAAGAAAAAAGTCCATGGGAAGGTATAAATGTATGATAGGAACCACACGTACTAGTACGAAACATCATCTAATAGAAAGTAAAATGAGAATGAAAATATGAAAGAAACAAATTTCGAGCAAAGAGAACTGAGAGAGATTACAATATAAAAAATTTCAGAAACATTTTTTCTCAGAGGGAAAGTGGAAGACGGATTACCATTATTTCTTTATTTTTGTTCCCAACTGAGAGAAAATTATTATTCCCCTGCAAAATAAAGCAGAAATGGAAAATTTCCTTGTGTCAACTACATCAAGAAGAATGGAGTACTGGCAATAATCGAAGTTGTATTGAACTCACAGGATGAAAGCGGATGCAAAGTTGTGAGGATACACCATAGATAACCCTCATGCAAATGCCTTTTGAGATATCCCACACTCGAACTGTCTTATCAATCGAGGCAGATGCAATGTATTGATTGTTTGCTGAGAAGTCAAAATCTGAAAAGGGTAAAAACAGAATATGGTAAACATCAAACTTGGTTATATAAGAACCATGTCTTAATTTTAATAAAATTTGAAGCCAGAATTACAATTAAATTTGTCACATTCAAAAAAGCATCCGCACAAATTAATTTTAAGCAGCATCAATATTTAGGGAAACAAAGATAAACTATGTTGGTCATGAACCAGTATTCCTTCACTCATTTAAGCAGTTACATCTGATTTCCCTACATTAGTATATAATCTTGTCTAACCAGCTTCTCAGAGTGCCCAAATTGTCCATTTGAACAACTGAGAAACAAACGTATAACAGGAGAATAGCAAACTAACATACATTTCTGTTAGGAATGTCTCTTTGTAATTAGTAAAAATATCAGCAGAGAAGTATCTGACACAGTGAAATGAAAACTTGTATAGAAAAATAGAATTACAGAATCTATTTATACCAGTTAGTCCAACCTGTGACATCTTTTGTGTGCCCTGTTAACTGATGCAGAACTGATGGTGGTGTGGAGACAGTGCAGACAGTCAAGCTTCCGTCTGCCGCTCCATATGCAAGCAGATCTGAGCTCATATGCCCAAACTTTATGACCGTAACTGCAAAAAAAAACACCTTAAGTTCCCAAACTGAAGTAGCATCAACTGAAAAAGGGAACAATGGTACAAATGAACTTGAATTTACAATGTCAGAGATTACCCATGGCTTTGCATTGGTCAAAAATGCAGTGCATCCCTATAAATGAATATGCAGGCTCACTCTTTTTATGTGGGTAGTCAATATCACTTGCATTAGAATTGAAGCTTGCGCTGTGGCTCAGTGTTCGGCTGTTACTTCGTATTTCCTAAAATTTAATTAACAGAATATATAAATATACAACTACAGCAGCTCATACGTAACTGCCTATGCTGTATTCCCATCATTACAACAACCAATCACAATAGATTCAGTAATTATCCAAATTATACAAAAATCTTCATATTAAAAGCTTAGTAAAATTTAATAATTGCAAAAGAATTCACAATATTCTGCCTAGGAACTTAACACTCTAAGACCGGTACATGATGTAATTTGGAAAAATCAATGTCAATGTATAAATTATGTGGTACAAAGTAGACTATAATATAAAATTCTTACCTATCTTATTACAACTGCACAAGTTCCAAGCAACTCAAGTTAATACCTCTTTACAAGTATGAAACTCATTCCTAGTTTAATTATTCACTTTCTTGGCTGAGTAATCCCCCAAAATATTCAGTAACACTGATTCTAATATTGTCTTGGAGAAACAGGCTGAACAAGGATAGCGAAGGGATACCTTAATAGGATTCCAAATGTCTCCCTCGAAAAGTGGAGCAAGTGGACTTGGAGATGGTACCCATCGTCCACTGATGCATCAACCAGTAAATTAACCTGATGTCAGAACCGTATGGAAGAAAAACTTAAATAAAACATCATCAAGATGCATGCACATGAACTCATTAGAAGCTAGTAACATAAAATGAACAGTTGCACCAAGCAAGAGCACAAACATTTTGTCATGCCTAAGGTCTGCTTTCTTTCGAAAGGTCAAATGGCATATTTATCACGGCAGTCAATGGCAACAATTGCTACTCACAAAAATCAAATCTAGAACCAGAATGTAGCAACCTGTGGCCTGGAGTGCTTGTGCGACTTGGTGTCCGCAAACTCTCTGAATTTCTTGGCCTATTGATGTAATTACGGTAGGCCACATATCCTTTTCCATTACATCTCCAGCTCTGTGACACAGATCCAGAGAACTTAATTAGGGATATTGTGTTGAAATGCACATGGCATGATGGGCGCAATGTACATAAGAACATATCAAGAAAGTATAAACGTATACTTCTGTATGTTTCCTGAAATATATAAAGTAGATGGAAAATATCCAGGTACTTATTTATTACTGATGTATGCAAAAATAACGAATCGTGATTCCCGGAAAGCTAACAACCTCAAACCAGTCAAAATCAGTTAGCAACAGGATACGCCGTTTCTGAAAAACGCAATATAAAGAAGCAAATTTGTAAAGATTGCAAGAAACTGAACACTTTCACAACTCTTCTTTTTCCTTTCTTTGTTGTTCAATACCGAACTAACCAATCTATAATTTTATTTCAAGAACTTATTGAGCAGAACAAGCATTGCAGCGAAAACACGTTTCTGGATGCACTGCATCCAATATAAGATTGAATTACTATATTGACATCAGTTGCTTCAATTTACTTCTTGCTAGTATCTTCTTGCCGTGCTAGCTTATGTATGAAAACTTGTAGCCACTTACGGTAATTTCAGAAAAAATGTGGCACTTAGATAATTCACAAATTCGTGCATCCTGCAATTCGAAATTTGTGGCGCCTATACCGCATGACAACTATTTCCACATTTCTGAAACGAGACGAATCAAAATTCGCACTTTACATAATTGAGTCTGAAATTACCTCGCGGCGGAGAACTCCAGCCTGAGCCTTGCGGTAGAGGAGGAGGCGACGTATTCCAATGTAATTGGGATCTGAATCAGGAGTTGAAGGCTGAAGCAAACAACAAAAAAATTCCGGATCGGAAACCAAATCTTCGTTCCTCTTTCCATCGTCTCCCGACTTCGGTTCGTCCGCGTTCGGCGAGATAGTGTTGACCGTCGTAGAATCGGCCATTGTTGAACGAAATTTCAACTGCTCATCATCAATTTAACACCGCCGATTCGTTTCTTGATGAAGATCGGGAAACTCGGGAGCGAAATTGAAAGCTGAAGATAAATGCGCTGTATAACAAAAATATCTTCTTGATTCTTGATTCACAGTTGGACTTTCGGCACGCGAATCTGTATGGATTAAGAAGGTACTGCTGTCTTCTTTCGTTCCCAACATCAAACTCTAACTGCGTCGCATCTGTTCATCCCCTAAAATTAATTAAATTATTAAATTGCTTCCTAATAATAATAATTGACCTAATATTTAATTTATAGAGCCCAATTCCAATTTTCAACTGACATTCTATATGTATAGAGCGTGCTGCATTTAACGCACGACAAATTATAGAAAAATACAAATCGTTACTAATATTATTTATTTTAATATAATACTACAAAAATATATAAAAGATATTTTAAAGATGTGTGATTTTCCATAAGTGCTTACTTTTTAGAGAAATAACATCAATTTAGTAGAGCTTATATACTTATAGTTTCCATATTATAACAATGTATAATTTATCTATAATAAGAGTAAATAAAGAGCAGATTCTTTTATGCAATACATCAACCAACAATAAAGAATAATAATCAATCAATGAGATGCCAGAATCTGTTGAGAAACCAAACTCGATCAGCTTCCACGGCATATCCATCCTGGTTTCGATGCCAACTGTAGTAAGCATGTGTCCTGTTCTTGATCTCAAACATGGCGTGCCCGAAGCTCGCCTCCCGGAACGCCGAGTACTCCGGCTGTGGCTCCGTCATGCTGATCAAACACACAAATTTTTATACAAATCAACAACTCATATCTTTCTTACACGATCTTGAGTTTTAAGGGTCTTACTTGTTGGCCAGGCCTTCGGCATTTCCCCCGTCGCCAATGGTGACATAAATCGGAGCATTTTGGTCGCTCACCGGGGAGCACGCTCCGTTTACAATAGTGTAAGCAATGTTCGACACGCGCTCCTGCAAGGGAAGACAATAATTGGTTCTTAGGAATGGAATCTTTTATGATGTCGAATAATTGGGAAGAAATGGATGGCGCGACGCACAGATCGCTCGTAAGCATGGACATGGCCTGCAAAAACTACGTCGACTTTGTACTGGACCAGCCATGGCTCGAACATGACTCTCATGGATTCTCCCTCCATGTAGTGATAATTGTAGCTGTTGTACCATGGAGAATGCACAAGAACTATAAGCCATGGTGTCTCGGATCTGTTAACTTTCGGGAGCTCGTTTATAAGCCACTCGTATTGAGGAGTGTATTTACCTTAGAAGAAAAGGAAACATTGTTAAATAATGGCATTATATGCATCAAAAGGAATGTATGTTTTGAATTAGCCTTATTCTTACCATATGCAGAATACGATGACAAGACTATGATATATGCCGAAGCTCTCTTGATTGAGTACCAAAGCGGTTTGGTGCTGCCCGACGCTTTGTAAGGGGTGTGATAACGGTGAGTGTAAGGCTTGAAGGGCTCTGTTTCATCCTGCAATGGAACAGTAAACATGTGGAATTTTGATTAGAATTCAATTCTTAGAGATGAATGTCTAATTTTAAAAAGGGATCATACAATTTCTGGAGCAAAATCAAGTTCATGATTTCCTGCTGTCCAAATCCAGGGTTGATAGGCTGCATTTCTCTCGACAAATCTTCCCCATGTATCCCATCTAACGTTGTCGTGGTTAGGATAGTTATCGGCATATGAGAGGTCGCCAACGAACAGCACGGCTTGTCCCTTGATTGGGTTGTGCTCATAATGCGTAAGCGTCGCATTGGAGTCGAAAGTCTGGCCTAAATCCCCTATAGCACACAGAATGCTCAACAATAAGTTAATATACTCAGCAAAGGGATGCCCAATTTTCATGTGCCATTAGATTCTGCTATGAAGAACACTGATTTCTGAACATAACATCTACAAGAATCTCCTAAAGTTTACTTAGTTTAGCCAAATTGCATAAACAGGTGTAACTTGTAACTTGTAAGCCTCTCTAGCAACAATGACATAGTGCAATGAATTAAATTCTAGCACAGCAACAACAATTGTAGTATAATTATATGATAGAGGGAGCTTAAAGGCAACTATTAACCAATAACCATATCAATAGTCAGAAATCAAATACCTATAAGACCAAAAGTATATGGAACATCTGGGCCAATTGGTGGAGGTGTGATGAACCAGAATGTTCTTGTTGTGTTCCCAATTCCAACCTCATAGTAGTATTTGGTATTATACTGGCCCCCCAAATATGCAGAAAATTCAAGTCAAGATGTGCTTCCTAATTTCAGATGTTGCTGTACAAAATAATTATTGTGAAGATTCAGAACATGACGAAGCATATCTAGAAACTTTTACCGTCAGATTTTTTAGGGTGCAATGGTGTATGTATCCAGAAGTGTAATTGTAATATTTGTACTTGGTCAAAGTCCCTTGTGTCACATTCTTTTGGTCGCTATTCTCAGGCCAATACAGAACAGTGTTTGAGCCTGCCTCCTTTACAGTAACCCACGATACAATTACTGCTCTACCTACATGATCTCCTTGAGTAATATGCACCTAGAATTCAACCATGGTTTGATTCCCAGCGCTAAGAAAATTAATCCAGTAATCGAGAAACACTGACTCTTTATTACGAATTAAATCAAAATTCGGAATGCTTGAAGTGCAGTAATTACCTACACATACAAAAATTTAAGAAAAATTGTAAACTAGAGAAATTATTATTCGAGAATGACCTGTTGTGGCGCATTGTAGCCTGGAGGTACCTCGAAGACATCGCTATCGAGGGGCATATCAACGGTCTTCTCAGCCTTCCTCACAAAACTGCTCGTGATTCCTCCACTGCACAGAACTGCAGCATTCAGAACCATAGCAGCTACCGCGGCTAGCAACGTTGTCCTTCCCGATGCAACCATCTTCTTCCTCATCCTCTTCCTCAAAACTAATCCCCTTAACAAACAAAATCTGCTAATATGCAGAAATCACAATCACAGTGACGACACAACGACTTCAATCCCAGAGAATCTTCATGAATCTCGCGAGCCCCGCAACGTGCTTCTTTACCGACGCCATTTATGCAGAGAAGGAAGTCTAAAGAAGAAATCACTTAGGAATAACAGACGCAGATAAGAAGATGCTTCACAAATAACAAGGCGAGTAAATACAAATAAATAAGTTTAAAAAACAATAAAAATAATTTGTACAGTATCTAATTAAAAAGTGCGTTATCTTTTTCAAAAAAGGGACCACTTCTATAATTAGGCTAAACTTATGGTCCGAGTCGTAATTTCAATTAATTTGATCCTTTAACCACGAATTATCTGTTCCTATTTAGAAAAAATCTTGAATTGTTACCCCAATTTGATTGACATTTGCTGTCAGAAATTCTTCAGAAGTTGATTGAAAAATTATTGCAGTCACAAATGGAGGAAAATTTATTTACTAATATTTATTTATTGTAAAAGGAAAATTGCTGTCGCAGGTGTAATTGTGGTAGGTGGAGGAACGAGTCTCATACGTATATTAATGAATTAATGAATTCTTACATAAATTTTTTTATTTTTAAAAATAATATTTTTTCTGCATCACTAAAGTTTCTATTTGTCATCTTAGGCTTCTAAAATTAAAATTTTTTATTTTTTATTTTATAGAAAATATATTTTTCAACTAAAATACTAATTTATTTTTAATTTACATACAAAAATCAAATAAAAATTTTAGTAGTGAATTGGAATAATAATAATAACTCCGTACGTTACTGTGGTAACGTAAGGCGCCGATGAAGGGCTTGTCGTGGCGCATTTTATCATGCTAGCCTAGCTAGACCTTATTGGGCTTTTCCAGTTGGGCCGTATTGCTACACTGTTAAATTGGGCTGGAGCCCATTACGTTTCGGATTTATATTTTTAGACGTCAATTGAAAAATATATTAGTTATTTATTTATTTTTTCATAGTAAGACGAGATTAATCGTGACAGTTGTGGTGTTTTCTGTACTAAGATTTATTGCTAAAGTAATATTATTGCAAGTAACTTATTTTTTTATTTTTTAATTTGGCTAAATATTCGTTTTAATGAAAATGACCAAAAAAGAAGGACAACAAGTTAAGAATAAGCATGATTGAAAATGAAAAACGAACAATAGCACAGAGACAAGGAAGGGACAGTGAATGAATTTATTGGAATTACAGCAGTGTTTATGTCTTTTAAAGCATATATAAATGCAAAACATATGCATGTGTCTCGAAACCCTGTATAAGTACGTACATATATTGCTATAATTGTATTATTGCGGTTATAGTATTTTCACTTTTTTAAAGGATAAATTGCACAAAATTTACCTGTAATTTTATGAAAAGTTGTTTAATCTGCACCCACCCAAAATGCGAATACGTTTATTTTTATTATTTAATCTTAAGAAACAGTAAATATATGCAAAATAGTTATTTTTATTTGATTTTAAAAGTTTTTTTTTTTACTATTCTTTAAAGTTAAATATAAGATAAATGAATATATTTATAACTTTAGGAGTTTAGAAATAAGTATTCTGAAATTCATTCACAGTTTGAAACATGTGTAAGTAAAAAATTGATAAATAAGAATGATCGAGGGAGTTAGGCTAGAGTTTATGAAACCACAAGGAAGTTTGACGCACTTTTGAAACTATGGAGGATTTTGCGTAAATTTGTGAAATTACGGGTGAATTTTATGCAATTTAACTTTTTATAAAAAAAATATACTCCATCCGTCCCAATACAATAGTCCGGTTTACCTTTTTATCTCTTTCAAAACAATAGTTTCATTTCCATAAATAATCGTATCACTATAAAACTATCCTTATTTTTTCATTATTATTACACAATTGTCACTACTTTTTACAATAATATACTGACAAGGACAAAAAAATATTTTACTCGTACTTTTTACCCACTATCAATATAATATCAATATTCTTTAAATATCGTGTCAAATAAAACCGAGACTAAAATTTTAGAACAAAAAGATTATAATAATAATAAAAATAATAAAAAAATTGAAATATGACATGAACCCTAGTAGTATAATTAAGAAGCAGCAGTGGCGTGGTATATTGGAAAAGATAACGAAGCGAGTTTTTGGGAGGGGAACGACGTCGTACTGAGAATATATATGTATGTATGTATGTAATAGGGATACTGAAATCTGTCAGTGTGTGAGGACAAAAAAGTGATATTTAGGGTTTTGATGGATGGATGGATGGATTGATGATAGGATTAGGAAGGGCAATTTACTGTAACTTATTTACACGAAAAAAAAAAAATAATAATAATAATAAAAATTAATTTAATTTAATTGATACAATTTGGTTGGATATGCATCTACGCACTCATCATTCATTCTTTTCTACATATATGAAAGAATTATTGATTTTAACTGTTTCAAAAGTTTGTGATTTGAAAGCCAACAGCACCACTACTTAGAAGATATATAGATATATATATATATATATATAGTCATATTGATATTCATTCATTAGTTAATTAGTAGTATAATATTCAATAGTCCAATATGTCTCTGTGATTCCAACCCTTCTCAGATCCAATTTCATATATATATATATATATATATATCTACATATATATGATATGTCTCTCATCATAGATTTCTAAATTTGCTTTTAGATTTGATGTGTTGTTTCACCATATCCATACATGCATACATATATATGTATATATATATATTCATACAGAGACTGATCAGTGGCACTGTAGCAGCAGCAGCAATACACAGTACTAACCCTTTCATCATTAATCAATTAAATAATTAAAAAGTGACTAATAATAATAATTTGATAACAAAGACACCGGATAGATAGAAGCAGCAGGATAAAAATAAAAAATAAAAAATAAAAAATAAAAACCTCTGTACAACATTCCAGGTAGATAGAGAAATAAATGAATAAATATAATGGTTCACTTGCTGCACTGCCTCATTATATATGAACTCCCTCAACGTTTCAGAAGGAAGAAGAAAGAAGAAGACGAAGAAGAAGAAAGGGCAAAAAGGTAAAGGGGCAAATTCCTCAAAACCCCATTTCTCAATTAATCAAATAAAAAAGTGAAATTATACAATAAACTGTATATTTTTGACCAAGTTAACTGATTCCTTTTCAACTGAATCTGCTTACACATATTAACATATATATATATATATATACAGTTCATCCACTTATAAGTTTTCATACATATATATATACAATGGATGGAGTGATGATGGAAATTAATTAAGGTGAGTTGAGGTTGAGGATGATGATGAGAAGGGAATTAGAGATTAGGGAAATAAACAACAACAGCAGTACGGCAACGGCAACGACGACGACGTCATCATCGAGCAGTCGACGCAGCAGCAGCAGATGCAAAGACTGCGGGAATCAAGCCAAGAGGGACTGCGACCATTTGAGGTGCAGGACCTGCTGTAAAAGCCGAGGCTTTCAGTGCCAAACCCACGTCAAAAGCACCTGGGTCCCCGTCTCCGCCAGACGCCGATCCATCATGCACGCCGCCGCCGCCGCCGTCGAGATCCACGGCCCAAACCCTAAAAGATGCAGAGAAATCCCACCCCCATTAGGTACGTATATATTACTCGTTTAGATTCAGCAGATCCACTGTTGTAATAATCATACACCATTGATTATCCACCTCCAATCTTTGATTTCTTAAAAAATGTAGCCCATGGCTAACCCTAAACTCACCCTCCTCATCTTTCTTTTCTAAAAAAAAAAAAAAAGAAATTGAAAGAAGAAGAAGAAGAAGCTAAAGCAGAAACCCTAGGTAGCCATAGCTAATTGGACAGTGTGCTGTAAAACTAGAGAGAGTCATTTGAGTTGTGTGGTGTCATTGTCGAGTAAGTAATAAAACAAATGAATATCCACCATTTGAATTCTAGAAGCTACCTAGTTTACGATTAGGGCGTTAAATGAGGAATATAATTAATTCTATTACAATACAGTAGTAGTATTATTTAATTTAAAGCTCAAATCTAACATCATTGAATTTCCCATTTCCCATTCCCCATTTCCCCCCTTTTGAAAAATTAGGGTTAGAGAGTACCGGCGGGGTTTTTCCGGGGGAAGTGAGTGTTCCGGCGGTGTTCCGGTGCGTTCGGGTGAGCTCCATGGACGAAATGGTGAACCAGTATGCGTACCAGACGTCGGTGAGGATTGGGGGGAGATTTTTCACAGGTATTTTATACGATCAGGGCCCTGAATCGGAGGGATCAGGAGGGCATTATGTGGCCAAGGAGTCATCTGCTTCTGCTGTTGCTGTTGCTGCTGCAGGGATCGAATTGTTTCAGAACCCTAATTTTGCCATGGGTACTGCCTCTACTGCGCCTGGTACAACTCCATTTCCTTATCTTGTTGGTCCCCTTTGTGCTTTTTCTGGTACTTCTAATGCCAATGCCTCACAGTGGTTTCAATACCCTAAATCCTGAAATTTTAATTTGGTTTTTGCTATTATTAACTCTGAGCCTATAATAATAATAATAATAATAATAATAGATAATATAATTCGTGCATATATTTATTTATAATATATATATATATATATATATCTTGAAACTTAAGCTGGAAGACTGTACATGATGAAGAATAAAAATGGTTATGTTGTCATGAAGATGATCATGGCTTTAGATGAAGACAGTGATTGAATTTAAGATTGATATATGAAGAATTTATTTATTTATTTTTTGAAAAAAGGGGAATAAAAAATATGGGGAGCTGCCTAACAAAGATGTTTTCTTTTAATTTTCTGCAGATTCTTCCATTCCATTCCATTCTATTTCCAAGAATAATTTTTGTTTTTAATGTCTTTCTGAGACTATAATTTAATCAAATAAAAGTAGTTTTTTTTGTAGTGTCTCTATGGTTTTGTGCATTTAATTTTGGTGTGAATTTCTGTAATGGCATTATTTGGTGATTATTAGAATAGCACATACACTTTTATTATTAGAAAATGGAATTTTCTCTTAAGTTTCAGACACTGCACATATAAATTAATATACTAGCAGGGATTGCCCTAAAATAATAATAATAATAATAATAATAATAATAATAATAATAAATGTGTTGTAAGAAGATATGATTGTGATTTATATATAATAAAATAAAATAAAATATATAGTTATGAGAGGTACAAGTAATGATATACTATAATGAAATTATTATTATTATTATTAGGTCATGATGCATGAATATTTGGCTATATTTTAATTAGGTTGTGTCTGGAACATTTTATAGGTGTCTTAAAAGTGAATGTATATATATTTGATTAATTTGGTGGCTTGGCATGGCATCTTTGATTTTATGGTGAAAGTGACATTAAGCAAATTAAATGGTAAGCCACAGTTTTAGTTAAGTAATTATTAATAATTAAAGACACATTCACACTAACCAAAGGAATAGAATCATTCTTCTGCCTCCCATATAACCCATTCAGAATATGTTCTTGTATTTACTAGCTAAATTTTCAAATCAGATTTATTTTATTTTTTAAAAAAAGAAACCCTAATTCTTGGGTGCATTAATGTGTTCTAACTAATACATTCTCCCTCCGTCCGCTTACAAAGTTTACATGTTTCTATTTTGCGACGTCCAATTATAAAGTTTATATTTCATTAAATATCCTACTTTTTTTTTTCACAAATACCCTTATTTTACATCACATCATTACTTTTACACAAAAAAGTAAGGGCAAAAATGTCATTACACTACTTTTAGCTACTCATTATAATTAAATACTATTATTTCTTGAACACTGCGCCAAAGAGTAAATGTAATCTTTGTAAATGGACGGAGGGAGTATTAGTTTTTGTCAATTTTAACTATCTTATTTTTTTTTTATTCTTTATGAAAGGGTAATGGGATTTACTTAAATTCAATGAATGAAAAGGGGAAAGATATATGTGTGTGTGACAGACATGATCAAGACTCAAAAAAAAAAAAAAAAAAAAAAAACTCCCTCCGTCCCAATACAAATAGTTTTGTTTACCAATTTTGCATGTTCCAAAACAATAGTTTTATTTACATAAATAATCATATTACTATAAAATTACTACTACTTTTTCATTTTTATTACATAATTATTACTGCTTTTTACACTAATACAAAGTCTTTTATCAATATTTTTTACCTATTACTAATATAATAATAATATTTCTTAAATCTTGTGTTCTACTCAATTAAAACTATATTTATGGGACGAAGAGAGTAGTATATATACATAAGGGTATATATTTATATTAATCTGAAATTAGGGACCAGGAATTAGAGGGCTTTACCTAAAGCAATGATTCTGGGGCTTTATGAATGTAAGTATATATATAAAAGTGGACAATATAATAATTTGTATATATAAACTGGAAAAATGCATTTGATTTTCTGTAAAATAATTCTAAGTAAGATGGATTAAAGTGAAGGTGTTTAATTAATTATATGTTGGAATGCAATGAATTATTTAGAATTTGTTATTTGGATTATAGCCATGGCTACTGTGTGTCAATTTTATGTACATCTATCATTATACTATACCCTAAAAAATCTTTACTATTATAGCTTGTGAATGCCTTAATTATAAACACTGTATAATAGGTAAGTACCCACAGTGATCTAATTATTTGTACAATATATATATATATATATATATATAGATGGAACATTGATAGATTTGGTGTAATTCTAAAACTGTATAGGAATTGAGAAAATGGACTAGTATATATATATATATATATATTTATATAATTAAAATTAAATTAAATCTATGCCCATTTTTTATCATTAAAAAGTATTTTTTATTATCAATTTAATAAGAAATTATATATACTTTTTTATCTTTTTGGTATACTTTTTTTTTACTAAAACAGACAAATAACCCACATATTATAAGTATTACTACTATCCATCTTTATTACCAGATTTAAGAAATATTAGGGTTTGTTGATTGGTGTTCAAGTTTGAAGTATCTTTTTTATATTATTTATATGAAATTGTATGGATAATATTTAATATTGAAATGATTGGTTTTTTTCTTTTGAGAAAATGGAGTATATATATTGGGTTTGTTCAGTTAATTTTTTGGATGAATTTATTTTTGATGTTACATATAACAAGTAAAGTGTACATGTTAGTGTTAGTATTAGTATATATATTGTATTCTTTTATAATATTTTTATTAATATTCATTTGGAACTATATATGCCAATAAAAAAATGTTGGTGAACAAACCCTAAGACTGTTTATTTGTGTAGTTTTGGATTTTGATTTTAGATTTGAATTTGAATAATAAAATTTTAAATTAAAATAATTGTTTGATGTGAATACACCTTTTGTTTTATTGGTTTTGAGCATAATCTAATGATGGAATGTTATTTTTACCTCTGATTAATAGTAACGAAAAAAATAGGATAGTGTTATAATAATGTTAAGACATATTCACTATGTAGTGGCAATGAAATAGTTAGAGAGTATTTGTTGGGAGGTTTGGATTTTGAATTGAAATTTGAATATTAATTTTTTTAAAATTGAAACAGTGATATAATGTAATATAAATAGGTATTGACGAATATAAAATTAATTTTGAATATAATATAAAAATTAAAAAATAAAAATTAAGTATTTGATTTGATATTTTTTGTAAATTTCTTTATGATGAATAATAAAAATTTTAAAATTTTTTCCAAAAGAGCACACCCTTAGTTTAGGAGGGACAAGAATAATAGTAAAATTCCATATATTCCGCCAAATTTATTTATTTATTTATTTTTTTTTTTTTTACGTTTGTGTTAGTTAAATTTATTTCATTACTATATTTGAAGTCAATATTTAATTATTATTTAATATTTATTTACTTTATTGTAAATAAATATTACTCATTTTATTACATTATCTCTCTTCTTTTTAATTTTTAATTACATCTTCAAAAATATTCTAAACTATTTTTTTACTTTTTCTATTTTTTGATAAAATATTCATTTTTCTTTAATTCATGTGCCGAATCCAAATAAACTAAATTTTTGGGACGAAAAGCAATAGATATGAGAGTGAAAAAATAAAAAATAAATAAAATAATAGGAGGCCAATTCTCACGTATTAAAATAAAACAGCCCTTCAGATAAAGAAATAGAACAGTGTGAATCCAACAATTAATGGGCCACCACGCATGAGAAAATAGCCCATCAATAATAAAATAAAAAATAAATAAATTGATATAGTTAAAATAATACTTTACTTGTTTGGTTGGAGAAAGAAGAATAGATAAATAATAATAATAAATTATTAAATAATTGATAAAAATTACTTCTTCGCATAATTTGTCCCTATTCTTTTTTTCTTCCGTCTTGTCTTTCTATTTTTTTAAATATAATTATGCACTTTAATCGCATTTTAAATTTTATAATTTTTTTAATTTTAATTAAACTATTTACTTATCTTAATCTTAATTTATAATTATTTTTACTCATATAATTCGTAATTACTTACTAATTATATTTTATCTAAAAATTCTGGTGTCTACGGTAATAACTTAGGACGCAGGGAGTATATAAATAGAATGATAAATTAACTATCATTTGTAAAAAAATATTAAAAATTATAAATAAATAAAATTATTTTTTATAAATAAATTGCAAATAACTAAAAAAAGTAATAACAAGCTACATTCCTAGTGAAATTTTAATGAACTGTAGCAAAATTTAGTATAAAAACATTAAAACTTACAAAAGAACACAGCCAAATTTCTTTCTATTCTTTGGAAGATAGCGAAGGGACAATATTAAAAAAGAAATAATCAATAACACCTCACCGGAAGAGAGAAGCAAAGTAAATTGAAACAAACAAACAGTGCGATATTAATCTTGGCAGAAATTTTGATTTGGCTTTAGAAATATTTCCCGACGGCTGGCTTTCAGTTTCACCTCTCTGGCTACTATATATATATGCTCTTACCTCGTAGAGCCAACAATGGAGTCAAGTATATGCAAGAGCAAGACAGGAGCAGGACATTACTAATTTGAAAAGAATCGTATAATAATATATAGAGAGGCAAATTCATAGACAGACCGCTGATCAAGAAACATATTCCATGGAAGGAAATATGGAAATTCAGTGAGAATAAACAACATTATGGGAAGCCATTGATGTTCTTTATCTAGTTTCTTGATCGAATGTAGCATCAAACCCATATGGGAAAAAAAAAAAGCAAATATCAAACACCATAGTCATAATTCTTTAGGAGGACAAAGCTGAGTAGAGTTTCTTAACTAAGCATGGCTTTCCCTTAATATTAGACTTGAACTAGTTTCAAACTGAAGTCACTAAACTAAACAGATATGAAAACTTATAAAAGGCTTCTAGAATCGACATAAGACCAACTTCGATTGCTATAGTGAAGTATATAATAGACATAAGTTGAAGCTTCTAAGGAGCTTCTTGATTAGACCAACAACAACATTGTTGCAACAAAGAAAATCCAAGGCTAAAATTAACAACTAAAACAATATATAAATTAAACCCTTCTGGTTAAGCAGCAGCATGCATCTCTAAATAGTCTACAATGATAAAAACAAGCACAAAATCAATACAACAGATAAGCATAACACTAAATTCTAGTGGCAACATCAGCAAAGTAAGTTATACATTCATGGAAGAATGGTGAACAGCTAGATGCATACATCAACAACAAATATTCCAGATATTCAGATCTTTCAACTTCAAAATGCATTCCAGTGGATCAAATATTCACATATAAGCAATTTCACATAACTGAAAATCAGCACCTAATGTCACGATAACCAATCAGCAAGCTATGATCCATGTTCTAGGAACCACATCAACATAGACCTAGACCAGTCAAATTTACACCCAAACAGTTAACACAACACAATCGACGGATGCCCTAATATTATTTCATCAATCCTAATCCTAATCCTAATCCCAATCCCAATCCCAATCCCAATCCCAATCTTAGGGTACACAGATCCCCATACTCCACCTCCCACCTTCAGCCAGAGCACCCAATTCGACCATTTTACCTCCATCAAATAAACGAGTGTTGAACACCAAATCCGTGCTTCCCGTACAAGCACCCAGGCCTGTTGTGGTTATACGGAAGCTTCTTTGATTTGCTGTGTTTTGGCCCGCCCTTCTTTCCCATCTTCCTTATCCTCTGCTTTCCAAGCATGTTCTTCAGCTTCCATGGAACCAGCTCGTCATCAATATCATAGTCATCTAAACCATGCTCATCGTCATCGTCGTCGTCATCATCGCGCTCATCCCCAACACGACCAGGCATCATCTCAACAGGAAAAACCGTCCGAGGCGAGACTGATAGACACGTAATCGAGTAGATGACTTTTGGCTTCACGCAATCACGCGATGTGCGTGCTTTTCCTTCTTCTTCTTCTTCGTCAGCCCCCTCTTCTGCCATCAGCTGCGGCTCCTGCTCCTGCTCCGGGTCCGACTCGTCGTCGGTCGCGCCGTCTCCGTTGCTGATGACATCATCCCCGTCGAAGGAGAAGACGTCTTCGTCGTCGGACATCGACGAGTTGACGAACTCCCACACCGATAGATCGTCATCGGAGATGTCGCACCGGTAAGCAGCAGGGCCAGATCCGCCGGTTTTCGCCATTGACGCAGCGGTTTTCCTCAAGATTCTCAACATTTTCGCTTGCAAAACACGATTACCTGCTGTATTTTTCTCCGTTTGCTTCAAGATCGAAGAAGCACCTGCAGATTTTTTTTCCAAATAGCATGTGAGAAGGAATCCTGCCGCAAAACGAGAGGGCTAAAAAGAACGGAGGGCTGTGGACACGTGGCGTACGTCTGAGGCTCCGTCGGACCACGCACTCTGCAATTCTATTGGTCGCAATTGCGTGGCCAAGGTAGCGTGCACCATAATCCATCTCTATTTCTAAATCATATATATAATCTTTCTTTCTAAGTAACAATTTCTTAGCTGGATAATAACAACACTATAGTTAACTACTCCTAAGTCCTAACCACCATAAAAAAGATTGAATTCTGGTCGGAGAAGAAATAAATGGGCCGAATATAGGCCCATTTATGGGGAGATCTGAAGCCCAATACAAGGTCTTGTAATATGTAATATGAAATATGCAATTGATTTTGATGTGGAGAGAGATTGAGAGAATTGGAACATAAATGGTGACAGCAACAGGTGCTGGTTGCCCATGTCTGCACTGCACCAAAATTAAGGAATAAGTGATACAGTGAAGGTAGACATGATCGATGAAACCCTAATTTCTCCACCCCCCCACCCCACCCCACCCTACCCTATTGCCCTACTACTTTCACACATACATACGTACATACATGCTGCAATATTGTACTATCATTTAATGAATTGATAGAGCCACCCATGCCTCCCATTTACAGTTTCAGACTTGGGAGATACAGATACACATAGATAGATAGATACATATATATATATATATAGAGAGAGAGACTAGAGAGAGTGGAGATGTATACAAATATATATATATTGTGTTCGAGAGGTTTCGATTACGATGAAAGAAAAAGATTTGCTCAAATCTTAGCTGTGCCTTACTTCTTACAGATTAAGATTCATCTGCCCATAAAAAGTTTGTCCTTTTCCTTTTACTTCTTACTACAATCAATCTTCCTATGTACTACTATAAAATGTTCCTTCTAATTTCACCCACTCACTCATTCATACAATCTGCTATGAATATGATCTTGCAGATAGATGGATAGAATTTATTATCCTTAAAATTGAAGGTTTTCGAAAACACGTAGGTTCATGTTCATTCATGCATGAGTCCACAAGAACAGCATTGTAATGAAGATTCAATGTGATGTCTGTGGCAGTGAAGAAGCGTCGGTTTTTTGCACCGCGGACGAGGCCGCCCTTTGCCGGAGCTGCGACGATCGGGTCCACGGCGCCAACAAGCTCGCCGGAAAGCACCCACGCTTCTCCCTTCTTAATCCCCAAATTAAAGACGACTCACAACTTTGTGACATTTGCCAGGTAACACCTTATATACATATATATACAAAGACGGCTAACAGCAGAAGCATGAGCGATTGTTCTAAGCCTCTAGTTCAAGAGGATCTATACTTTTAAATTTTATCATATTATTATTGGATAAAATTTAAAATATATTTCATACTTTTGTATATAATTACCAAATCCAATTATAATTCTAAAATTAAATTCATAATATTTTTTCTAGAATTAATATAATTTTCTTCGGTCTTTGGAATTCATAGTTATTATTCGTTGTGGGGGTGGTGTTATTAGTATTGAGTTATTGGATATATTATTAGGTAATGGCGCTGAGTTGTGGATTTGGTGTTGCTTTTATTTTTTATTTTTCTAAATTTTTTTTAAAAATATTTAAAATTATAAAAATAAAAAATTGTTTAAAATAATAGCAAAAAATTAATATTTGAATAATAGTAATGAAAAATAGAGTTATGATTGAAATAAAATTACTGTGAATTAAAACAGAATAAATGGAGTTGATGAGTTGGAAATGACTTAATTAAATACAAACAAACAGAATAAATGGAGTTAATGAGTTGGAAATGATTTAATTAAATACAAACGTTTAGTTTTGTATAGTTTATTACTCTTATATTTGTCATTTATACCATTTTGAAAAAAAATTCATAGGGACGAGACGGCCCTACATACATACATTATACATATACATATAATAATTAATCTTTTTGAATGATCATGTGATGTCGCAGGAAAGACGAGCATTAATGTTTTGTCAAGAAGACAGGGCGATGTTTTGCAGAGAATGTGATGTTCCAATCCATAGAGTGAATGAACTTACAAGAAAGCACAACAGGTTCCTCCTCACCGGAATCAAGCTTTCCACGGAGGCGCCGCCGTCGTCGTGCCAAGTTGCTTCAGCTTCAGCTTCAGCCTCCTGTTCAAGCAGCAGATCACGAATAATAATGTCACACTCTGAAACAGAGACCCCAACCTCAGCCTCCATGGACGTTGCTCCTGATCCTCCCACGGCAAATTGTTATAGTAATACTTGGAGAGATGACAACAACACTCAATCTGGTTTAGATCATTCAACCAGCACAATATCAGAATATTTTATGGATGAAAAATTGCCTGGCTGGCATTTCGAAGACTTCTTGGATCCTTCTGATCATGATTATGGTTTCTGTAAGGTTTGCAGTATATATATTTTTTATCTGAGTAAATTAACCATAAAACTTGCAATAATTTTGAACATGAAGAAAAGATCCGGTTTTGCAGATTGAGAAGCAGATGCCAGTTTTCATGGAGGAAGAAGAATATGGGGACTCTTTGAATTCCTTATATATATATATATATATATATATATGTATACCAGCTTAAATAAATTTGCAATTTTTATATCGTTTATGTATGGTTGCTATGTGCTTTTGATGATTTGTTATGTTGAACCATAATACTAAGAAACCAGCAGAAAGACAAGTGGAAAGATTGATAACACAAAACTAAATAAATGAAAAGTTTACATTCAAACAAACAGTATATGGTCCAATTGTATGATATAGCAAACCACAACAACAATGGTAAGAGAAGGAAAACAGTTATCTATACTTAGTATTCACCCAAGATTGAACCAATCGACCTCAACTCAATGACACCAAAGCAATGAATAAATTATACCAATGTAATGGGTATAATAACTTTACCAAATCGTGACATCTTTGTACTATGCAGGAGGAAGTGAACTCACCCTTCAAATTCACAATGTTGTCGGCAAAGGAGCTGTCACAACCTTCGGTGGTCCAGAACGTCTCCCGGCTCTAGCAGGAGAAGGAGGAAAAGACAGCCGTTTCTTGGCAGCCCCAGCAGGGATCTTCTCTGGTGTATTTCCATTCTCTACTCCTAGTCCTGGAAGACTCGGCGACCTCAACTTGGCTTTGGTTGACTGAGTGGGCACCATGTAACTCGGCACGGATGCAGAACTCGTGAAGCTCTCGTCATCCCTAACTGATGTGCCAGCAATGGTGTGCCTTCTGTTACGCTCCGACAGTACACTGACCATGCTCCTTGAGTCATCATCTTGGCTTATTGCACTCGCTCTTGGACTCGGTGGCTTTAATTTCTTGGCACCGGGTGAACGAGTGGAAGTGTACTTGTTCCCGGAAGGCTTTGGGGTAGCCGGTGAGGATTGGATCTCGGAGTTTAGTTGATGATGAGCAAAGGACTTTGTAATTTCTCCTCTAGGAGTTCCCATGATGGATGGACGATCGTTATTAGGATCTTTGTTTGATGTGCTTTGAGAGTTCAAAGGCTGCGCTGCCATCCATCGTTCTAACCAGCTCCAACCCCAGTGAGGATTAGTTGGGTCCATGAACAGTAAGTTGGTAGTTTTTGATGATTTCTTCCATGTTTGCTGCTTTGAGGACAAAATTAAATCAGTGGAAAAATTATTTCAATGACTTGAAAACCATGCTACCAATCAAATTAGAACAAACCTACTACACTGAATAAAAGGAACAGCCTGAAACCAACAACCAAGCTTCCGCGACTCAATTACCATCAGTCAGCTAAGGGAAGAAATGTGTACCAAGTTGGAAAATTCAGATCAATTTATTTACCTGATGGGTGTAAGAATAAGCTAATGCCCTTTCACGCCTCATTGCAGCTTCATACTTGTGCAGCAAGTTGGCGTCAACTTGCTCCTTGGATTGTAGACTATCATCCCATTCGTCTCCCATCTGCAAGATCACGTATAGCACAGTAAATGGCTACTCTTTACTTGTCAAATAGCAAATTTAACCAAGTAACAAAGGAATTGGTTCCAGAATATATATATATATATATATGTGCGTGTATATTAAGCCATATTTGTGGGAACATCATAATTCTTAAAGGTTAGCAGTTACGGATCAAGAATAGCAGCTTTGGCAACAGACTAACTCTCAAAGACTCCAGTTCCTTGGCATGTTTCTGCAGGATCTGTCTCTGGAGTGCTCGATTCTCCTCTAACATCCTCAGCCTTCTTGACTGAACTTGAGATTGCACACGAGATAATGTCTGCATGCATTTCAGAGCATTCGCAGTTTGGCAGTAGGCAGTTGGACCATCAACAAGTGATTTCAGTCTGACCAGCCCTCTTAGAGCTCGCAGTGCCCTCCTAGCCTGTGACAAGATCAAGATCATAGTAGTGGTTCAATAAAGGATTGAAGGCCCCCAATAAAATCAAATAAAATTTGAAGTACCGGATCAATGAGAGAACATGCAGAAATATTGTAATATCCGAATGAACCCTAACATGTAGAGTTTTAGAATTCAGAAAATTGCACCAGTATCAGACTATCAGGGCGTTACTTGACAGGTTATACTGTTTTGTAGTCTTTAATCTCACTAAAAAGAAAACAGGAGCCACTTGTCAAGCAATCAACAGTGACAGAATATCTAAATATCAACTTCTTCTATGAAACTATGGAGAGTAGAAACGATCTAAAAGCCCCAGCAATTATATAACTCCCTTCTACCTATATATTGAACTTTCATCCTATGATAGAATGCAGTGATAATGACATGGAACTTGAAGATCACAGATGGTAAGATCAATTTAAGACAAGCATTCCAGAAGACAGAAATTAAAGGTAAAGCTGTGAGATGCCCCCACCAGGTAACCACGGAATGCAGTCTGGATTTTGATTGCTGCCACTTCCTCCTTGGATTTCCCTGCAAATTGTTTTCCCTTAGTATGCCATACCACCTCTGCTGCTGCCTGTGCATCTGCAGCCACTTCAATTTCTGCAGTGGTAGCTACAGCAACAGAGAATGTGTGTTTTGCTTGCTCATTCTCATCCTCGATCAATTTTATCTCATTCAACGGTGGAAGAGATTGAGCATGAGGTTGAGGTTGAGATTCTTCAACATAATTTGGAATTGGAGAATCCGAAACTGATGGCTTTTCTTTCCCAAACCATTTCTTGGATTTACTTGCTTTCTGCAGAATGACACCAAGACCAAAAACGATGGCGTAGCTGATAAATTATCAATCCTAACATCGTTTAAAATTCCAACAAATCTGCAATGGTATTATTGATATGTTCGCATACCTTGTCTTTCTTTCCCTTAGAATCTGGGCTGAGAGCCTTCTTTACTGAAGAAAACCAACTCCCTTTTCTCTCCATCTCTTCTAAATCATTGCTCAATTTGTCCTCATCTGGAATCCAAGTGAGAAAAATACAAATAGGCAATAATTAATCCGAATGTACTACTTGAATTATTCACAGGCGAATTAACAAATAGATCAGAACACTAAAAGGATAATTTATCATTTTCAAGCAAGGAAATATAAACACTCTCGGTTTCTTATTCGCCTCATCGAGATAGGAATTTCAGGAGCATTGACCGTTACTTCAATTTTCATCTGAATTTCCATAAACGTGATTCACCAACGAATCAATCCAAAACGTCCAATTCCCAACGAAAAATCAAGACGAGTTTCAAGAAAAACCACCTCGTATTTTTAAACTCCTATGATCACTACAAGTTTAAAGATAAACCACTCAGTGTTGTTAAAATCTAGCAAAACTAACATCCAAATCACCAAGAAACTCACCTTCATTGCAATGTATCAGATCTCACACAATTATTCCATTCCCTTCGCCGGAAAACCCAACCGGAAGCCTGAAACAAGCAAAATTAGACACTTCACCAGCAAATGTAGATTTAAAACTGCAGCGAGAAACAACAAACGGTACCAATCTCCACACTTATGGCAGCGTGAACTGTTGCGAGAAACCAGATCTTGGCAATAAATGAAGCAACAAAGTTCAAAGAGGTGGAGTAGAGTTAGTAGAGATACCGATGCGAGGGAGGGGAGAGGCCGATAGAATCACACAGCTGGTTTTTGGTTTGTGTAGGTCCCACCTTCCGGCCGCGTGGGCCCCATTTCTTAACTCCACTTACCCCACTCTCTTTATTGCTCTCCATAATTAGGGTTATCGTCTTAATTGGATGTCTAAATTACCAATTTGCCCACGCCACGATTCTTTTCTTTGTCTCATAAGTTTGTTTTGGACTTTAGAGTAAAAAACAAAAAGAAAAAAAAACCCCGGGTGGCAACTGGTGGGTGAGTTTATAGCCGCGAAACCACCGGTTTAAATTTATTTTACGTTTTGTTGGTTGTAGTCTGACGTAAAAATATTGTGTATTCAAATTTTGACACATATTTTTGTTATTCACTTTTTTTTAAAATATATATATATATCAAATTGAACAATTTTTTTTTATATTATACGGGGTCTCGGACTTTTTTGAGGCCATGAACCAAAACAAATTATAGACCTTATTATCACAATGTATTTTCAAAATAATGTCACTGATTGACGTCGATTGAACAAAAAGTTGAACATAATAGTCGATTAAGTGAGGTAAAGAAGAGTTGATGACCACGATTAAATTTGAAAACATAAGATGAGACATAATTATAAAAAAAGAAAAAAAAATATGATTAAAATTTAAAATTTAATTTTAAAATTAAATTAAATAATTATGTAAAAAATATATATATAAACTGAAGTTACAATATAATTTTAAATTTTAATAATAATAATAATAAATAACATTTTAAATAATGACTTTCTATTAATTAAAGACTGAGCAGCTGCTCATTCTGTTCACTATAAATTAAGTTTATATAACTAGGTCCACAAGGCAAGTCACATTAAGTTACTCGTATTGTCATTAAAAAATCTCTTTGGGTTGGATTCAAATTTTAGATTTGAATTTGAATATCAAATTCAAACATCATTTTGAACGAAAAATGCATTTTTCTTTTTCTATTTCTATTCAATGATCAAAATACACAATTATTTGATAAAGACACCCCACCCTATATAATCCAAAATTCCAGAGCATGTAGGAGTGGTTATGCTCAATTTTTAGAACAAAAATATTCCTCGGACAAGTCACGGTACATTCTACTAATCTAAGGATGTGTTTGTTGGGGGATTGGATTGAATTTATACTATTCATCTCTTCTTTTTCTTTTTCCTAAAACATCAAATCAAACACCTATTTTTTTACTTTTTATATTATACTAAAAAACAATTTTACATTCAAAACATCACATCAAATACCTATTTATATCACATCATACAACTATTTAACTTCAAAATTTTTACTATTCAAATCCTAACTCAAAATTCAAATCCCCAAACAAACACAGTCTCTTGACTTCATATAAATTCAATTATGCTAATGACAATGTATATATGAGTATAAAACTTTGTTTATTACATGAAAGTTGTATAAAACAAGTATAAAATATTTTAGATAATAAAATACATCTTTTAAATAGTATTTGTTACTATAATGACATATTATACTATAAATTTAAGGTGTTTTTAGTATAGAAAATAGAAACGCTGACAAATGATAGCATTAAATGTAATTGTAGTAAAAAATAGTAAAACGGAGAATTAGAAATATAAAAAAATGCTAAGGTATAGAATAATACACTATATTATTAATTTAAAGAATAAATCGATAACTAAAATTAATAAATTAGATAAAAATATATATTGTATATTTTTTAGTTTGATAAGTTATTTTAATAATAATAATTTAAATATGATATTTTATATGAGATCTGTATAATATAAAATTTATAAAATAATAAATAATAGTAATAAGAAAATAATAAATAAACACAAATAAGTCATAAAAATTAAATATAAAAAAATAATATAAGTAAACACACACTTACACTGACTCTCTCTATTTAATTCCTCTCTATTTATCTGTATAAGAGAAAAATAAAATTAAAAAATAAGAAATAATTTATTTTTCAACTCTCAATTATTTGTCTCCACCAAACAAAAGAAACGAGGGTATTTTTATTTTTTTATTTTCATTTTTATGTACCAAACACCCCTTAGTGTAATATTTGAATATAGTACTCCCTCCGTTTCAATACAATATTTTTGTTTATCATTTTTTTGGTCTCAAAACAATAGTCTTATTTTCATAAATAACCATATCACCATAAAATAACTTCTACTTTTTTATTTTTATTACACAATTGTCATTATTTTTTTACACTAATGCAAAAAATTCTTTTATCCATATTTTTTACCAATTACCAATATAATATTAATATTCTTTAAATCTTGTGTCTAACCCAATTAATAATATAGTTCTGGGACGAAAGGAGTATAATATATATATTATATATAAAGATATTGCGAGTTTGAATTTGTCTTTGGTATTAAATCAAATTTGTAGTAACAATCCAATATAAATTAAAAGTGGTTCTAATAAAAGGAACAAGGACAAAGTCAAATAATTGGAAGAAAGTTTATTACAAATTAAATAAACAGAACCAGCAAAAAGCAAAATGTAATCGTAACTGGTACGAAAGCAAATGTTTGTGCTGTGCATTGCAATTTGCAGGGACCATTGCATGCATTTTATTTATTTATTTATTATTATTATTATTTTTTCTTCGTGTCAATGTCCCTTGTACCACTTTTCTGGACTTGTATTAAGCTTAAGTACCGAATCTTATTTAATTTTGTGGGGACTATGACTTTGTTCACGCAATCAATTTTTCCTTATTTGGCACTTTCACCATCATCCAAATGAATTTTAATAAAAATGAATAATAATAATTATTTTTTTATAGTAAAAATAAATAATTTTTTAAAAAAAATGAGAATAATTTTTTTATGACAATGCAAAAAAAAAAAGATCATCATAGATGAGGGAGAAAGTACTATTTATTTTTTTTAAAATATTACATCAAAAAAATTTTTCTCAAAATATTAAATCAAATATTTATTTTTTATTTTATTTTACTTTATTATTTCCAAATCTCCAAAACACCAAAATTCTCGAAAAATCTCTGTAAACAGAGCTTGTATATTTGGTTACTACTGCCACACCATTCATATGCTCTCAATGTAGAAGGATCTTCTTTTTGTAATATATATATATATATATTATTATTCATTATCATGTTTTTTTTAAAAATAATTTTTATATTGAAAACAATAAAAATATAACACAAAACACGTTCAAAATTCTATCACTTTTGTTTGAGGGTTTGGATTTTGAGTTGGAATTTGAATAGTAAAAATTTTGAATTGTAATTGTTTTTATGATTTGAAATAAATAGGTATTGATGTAATATTTTGAATGTAAAATTAATTTTTAGTATAATATACAAAATGAAAAATAGGCGTTTGATTTGATGTTTTTTGGAAAAAATTTTTGGATGAATAGTAGGATTTTGTCAAATATTTTCAAACGAACACACCCTACGTGTTTGTTTACACTGCATTTTTTATTTTTAGAATGTATATGTGTTTTGTTTATGTAGATATTTTTTAAATTTTTGTTATTAATTATTAATTTATATATATATATATTACAAAAAATCAAAACTCCAAAATTTCAAAATATTTAAATGGACTCATAATTATTGACTACAATATTTTATACTATTTCATTCGTCCACTAATTTTATATCAATTTTCTTTGTAAATTGCAAAAAGAAAAAAGATATAAAATTGATGGACACAAGAAGTATAGAAATTTATAATATGACATGATAAAATAAATTTTAAAAAATCAAAATAAACAGAATAGTTATTCAACACTCCAATGTAGCTTTCAAATTAATATTCCTTAGACTAATTCCTTTTCCATATATGGTTTATCTATGTGGTTGTATAATTCGAAATTAATTTAAAATAAAATGTTAAATTTAAATTATTATTTAAAAATATTTTAATATGATATTTTATAATATATATTTATTAAAAATCAATGTTGAACAGTAATTTTTTTTTATTTGAAATAAAAAAAGAAAAAATAAAAAACCCATGTATTCATTTAAAACTTTGTAAACAAAAATTTAAACATCATTATTATTAAGTTTAAAAGAACACGAAAAAGAGATATTTAACTGTATAATACTAATTTTTATTTACTCATATTTTCAAATTTATTAGTTTATTATTCAATTCATTAATCTACCATTATTCTAGATTAAAAATCATTTAAATTTAAAATAAAATGAATATCTACTATAAGAAGCCATCGAATGTATTTGTCGGTGAAGCGCTGAGACAAGACTAGCGACTACTTCTATTGCAAATTGAAGCATCAAATATGACTCATAAAAAGGATAGTATAAATGGCGCAGGCATTCTCTCGTTATCCACTGCGGTAGCTTCCCAGCAAAAATATGGCGGCCTCGCTTTGCAATCTAGCATGCTCGCCGCTTCTTCGTCTGCCTTTTCCTCGGGAACATGGTAAAACCTCTTACTCTGAATTCGAATTCTCTGTGGCTCGAAATGCAATTGTTTGATGTTTTCAAAGGAAAGAAATGTAAGTATGCCGGCAGTATTGCACGGCACCTCAAACGATCTGTAAACCACACGTTTGAGCAGATTTATGATGCAGTACAATTATGTAGTTAGCTTCATTATATGGTTTTAAGTCAGGCTTCATTACCAGCATCTGTATATATTTACTAGTATATCTATTGATGTTGAAGGTTTCATGGAATGTCCTGCCGTTGGTGTTTGTAACCTTACATTCTCGATGCCTTGATTTTTTGAGTCACTGAAAACCGTTGATGATTTTCAGATTTATTATCGTGATACAGGAACTCATCACAAGGCCAGAAAATTAATAACAAAAAATTATAGTGACTTAGATAAACCAGAATCTAGAATCACTAGTTTAAGCGCTGGTAACGTTAACATGGAGCTTGGTCTCGAATCTGAGGAACGACTATATCTTGGCATGGATTTTGGCACATCTGGTGCGCGATATGCTGTAATTGACCAGGAAGGCAGCATATGTGCTGAGGGAAAGAGAGAGTACCCTTTGTTGATGGTATAATATCTTTCATTTAAAATTTTGTTTAGTTGTCTTAGTTAGATTTATTCAGATTTAATCGAAGTGTTCTACATTTGTAGAGGCAGCCTTTATTGCATATTTGTTTACAAATCTCGTGCAGTTAATTTACAAGCTTGTTTGTGGTTTTCTAGAAAGAGTGAGGAAACAGTAGATTGGGTAAAATCCTGGAGAACAACACTTTTCAGCCTCTTGGAAGATATTCCTGTCAGTCTCCGTCCAGCTGTTGCATCCATTTCGATCGATGGCACTTCTGCGACAACAATCATAATTGACAGGTTCAAAACTTCTTATTAGGAACTCTGCTGCCTGAATATACTGTTTTTGCATAACATGTTGCTTTGTTTATTGATGCAGCAAAACAGGTGAACCATTGTGTAAGCCTTTCCTATACAATCAGAGTTGTTCTGAAGCTCTACCAATAGTAAAAGCAATTGCTCCAGCTAATCACACAGTTTGCTCTGGATCCTCCACATTGTGCAAATTGGTCTCCTGGTGGAATTCTGGTACCCCTAAAACTTCAGCAGCGTTACTGCATCAAGCAGACTGGTTGTTGTTACTTCTTCATGGAAAGCTCGGAGTGACTGATTACAACAATGCATTGAAAGTATTCTCTGTTTCAGTTACCATGCCAATCTGTTTTAAATCTGAGCATGTGTCTGTTTGATTTGATATAACTGTTCCTTTTGACAGGTTGGTTATGATCCTCAATTGGAGTCATACCCTCAATGGCTACTTTCTCAGCCTTATTCTAGTGTTTTACCCCTTGTGCAAGTTCCAGGAACCAAAATTGGCACCATGATAGAAAGCATCCAAACACGTTTTGGTATGTTAAGTTACTAAATACTATTTTTTATAAGCAATAACGAATCTCACTGAGTTAATCTAATGAAGTTTTTTGCTTCCACAGCAACTAATATTTATTGTGATACATTCTTAAACAGACAGGTTCTCTGTTCTATTTTTATTTTTAAGTGATACAGAATTGTGGAAGGCATAATTATTTAGTTTCATACCTTCTCTTAATGCCATATATCACCTTGGTCTTTTTTTTTGGGAAGTTGTTTAATGGCCTAGGATTAATCAAAGCTGGTAATTTGAATGTTTAAAATCCAGGTGCTGAATGATTTAGTCATCTTATGATTAAATTTTTTGATGGTCACAATATTCTTTCTTGATAGGCTTCGCAAAGGATTGTATCATCTGCACGGGAACCACTGATAGTATAGCCGCATTCCTTGCAGCACGTGCAACTGAACCCGGAAAAGCTGTAACAACTTGTGACACCTTTACTTCTCATTAATCAGTCATACTGCATAAAATTTGCTGATTATCAGTAGACAACCTCAATACTTGGGAATAATTTTTTACCAGTGATATTGTTTGTGCACCTGATTATTCAGACAACTTTTTTGCCTGGCATATATACATTCAGGTCACATCATTGGGTTCAACACTTGCTATCAAACTTCTAAGCACCACGAGAGTAGATGATGCACGTTTCGGGGTGTATAGCCATCGGCTTGATGATAAATGGCTTGTTGGTGGAGCTTCAAACACAGGTGGAGCCGTCCTTAGACAAATCTTTACCGATGATCAGCTGGAGAAGCTGAGCCAGCAAATAAATCCTGCAGAGGCCTCTCCTCTTGATTATTATCCTTTGCAAGACATTGGAGAACGATTTCCTGTAGCCGACCCAAAAATGGAACCCAGGTAAACCATTCACCTTTTTCATTACATCAGCAATAGTAAACACTAAAGGCATTGCCATTGTTGAGCTACCATTGCAGATTGCACCCTCGCCCTGAAAGTGATGTGGACTACTTGCATGGCATTCTAGAGTCCATTGCTCGCATCGAGGTACATAAATTCATCTTCTGCTTCTCATTTGTGATTGTTACTGTATTAACTTATGCATAGCACAGGCGCAAGGGTACAAGTTGTTGACGGAATTGGGGGCAACACCTGTGGAAGAGGTTTTCACTGCTGGGGGAGGGTCCAAAAACGATAAATGGATCAAGATACGCGAGCGTGTCATGGGGTTGCCTGTCCGCAAGGCGCTGCAGACTGAGGCTGCTTATGGAGCTGCATTGTTAGCCTTAAAGGGTGCTTCACAGTAACTCACATTACTCTACTCATTTCATATGGCGCAATTATCACTACTTGTTTTTAGTCCTGCATAGCATGTATTCAACTAGTGTTTGCGACATGAGATCAAATGTGAAAGCTGCAATAACCAGAACGTTTGGAATATGTCATATAAATTATAATCGATCATCTCTTACAAGTTCCATTCAGCCTACCAACTTATATGCCATACCTGTGTCCCTCTCAAGCATGCAGACGGTAAATGATCTTATATAGCTTTTATGTTTTTATTCAATAGAAGTATATATAGGGGAGGTTGCATGGTTTAATGATTTCTATTTTGGTGAATGTTAGATACCAAAATGGATAATTGACTTAAAAAGAAGGAGTTCGGATCCTATTAAATTAATTCAGCTTATGCTGAATTAATCTTAACCATTCATTTATTTTAATTAAAAACAATAATTTAATTAATTTAACTTATCAATGGCTAAGATTTAGTTTAGCAGTGCTGAATAATGACTTCAAATCTTACCACATTTGTAAATTGCATCATATGTGCAGCCTGGATAAGGAAATCGCTAAATGAATTCATGCAATACCTCTGTGTTTGAGCTAGAATACATTGTATTGAGAATTTTAGTTAACAATTTGACTTTGTCATGGCTTTTCTCGTGAACGAAAAACTTGAGCATATGAATATCCATCTAGATACAACAATTAGCCAAAAAAGATGGATAACATGTGCAGATACACAATTATGTGGTCAAGGTATATCCTCCATAATGTCGACCTCCCTCCGAATTTAGCTACTCCCAAGTTGATGACTATAGTACAGCAATCCATCTCGTAAGGTTAGCCTTCGAAGCAAAACAGTAAACAGAGCCTGCACAGAAATGTTAATAATGACAGTCAATTTTACCTAAATGTATGTTGGCCACAGGGCTTTCAACCTACAGACTTACCAATTGAAACGACATCAGCGCGAACCATATTCCAATTAAGCCATATCCCGTCCTGCTCAATACCTGTTATTAAAGATGACAGTGTTCAATTAATGTAGGAACTCACAGCTAGGAAGTAAGATCAGACATTCGAAACAAGTCACTTTTACGGTATTACTTTTGTCATTAGTATAGAATACCTGCAAAAGAAGTGTATTTAAACAGGCGATCCCAGTCATTGTTACACCCAGAAACGTCAAGTCTCTTCCAGCCTGCATAATTGACAGCCAACTTATAATCAAATCATGGAGATCACTGCTTTCACTGCCTATTTGATCGAAGCTTAAATACGCTAACATACCATTAATGTGCCTTCCAGACAATTTATAGGTGGTGCAGCAAATAGTGCAACAAAGAAAGGCAATAGCACCTTCCTCATCTGTTGTGCATTAGATGAAAATAAATGGTTATAGCATATCGAATTTAATTAGTCTCACAACGCATTTTATCCGTTCTGGCTGATGTAAACTAACTATGTGAAGGTAAGGAAAATGACCTCTTGCATGACTTCAGGATCAGAGGAGAATAGTTTGGGGAAGAGCCAGGGAAGTGATGTCCCGATAGATCCCAATATAAGTCCACTTAATGCACCGATGATGATCAGTAACTTCAATAACTCTCGGACCTTCCGTATAATGTGAAGTTCAGGGGAAAAAAAAAATGGAAGTAGAGAAGATGAAAGGCAAATGTAATACAAGCAATAGTGTTTCTTTTATCAACATTTAGGATGCTATAAGCATGAGTTACCTTTTTCGAACTACGGTTGGTCCCATACATCAGCTCAGGCATGAATGACTGGGCTGTTTGGGAAAGAGGCTCTCCCCAGACGGCGCATATACAGTACAATTGTATCATCACCTAATGAATGGATTTAGCGAGCACTGCCTTTCATGTGGAAGTTACTTATAGAAAAGAAGAGTATTCAAACCTGATGAGCAGCAACAGTTTTGGTACCCATTGATGTAGCGAAGTAGACAAGCATGGCATAGAATGTGACCTGTGTCGAAGTATATGTCAGACAGTTGAATTGCCGATTGCCATGAATGAATGAAAGTAACCAAAATCAAGAATCTTGAATGGCACCATGAACCTTTGATAAGATTGCCACAAATGCCGGAGCTGCGAGAGTGAATATCTGAAGAAACTCATCGAGTGATGGAATAGAAATGGAGAAAGCATTGTAGCCTTTTTTGTTCAATGCCTCAATCATCATGTAAGCTGCAACAACCTTTGGCAACCATCGTCGTGTTAAATTTTTTTATGAATATATCATATTCGCTAAGGGATTAAATGCTCGTTATTTAGAATAAAATGGCGGCATTTCATAGTAAGATGGGGTAAGGGTCGTATCTGAATGCCGTACCTGTGACACCATTGTTGCCCATGCAGCTCCAGCTATCCCAAACCCTAGAAATCTGCATAATACTACATCACCAACACCATTAATAGCACTTGCAACAGCCAAAGCCTTGACAGGTCCCAATGAATCTTTCATTCCTAAGCTGTGAGCCATTCAAGAAACAAATTTTTGAAGATCAACTCACAATTTAAATTTAACATAAACCCCTGAAAGCTTTCAAGGATTCTGACCAATGAACTGTTAGTACCAAACCTTGCACTTTGAGCAACCCATCCCATAAGCCATGCCGGCCATACCAAACCTCGAATCTGAAGAAGAACAGCACATGTAACCCAGGGCAAAATTGAATCAAGCGATGAATCAGAATGCATTTCAAGATGTCATTAACAAAATGAGACCAACTATGAAAGATCAACCAAGTCCAATGTAATGGGAACCCAAGAAGAAATGAGAAATGACGATAATTTGTGCCAAATTTTCGTGCATACCTGCACATATGTATTTGCTGCATTTATTATATCTGTGTTCTTCGCCCCGGAAAAAGCTGGGATCAATGCAGAGATTAAATGAGAAGAGAAAGAAGCTTATACTGATTAGGCAGCATATGAATAAAACTGAAGTTAATCCTTCTCTACCCGTCAAGGCCCAACGACCACAAAACTTTGTAAAGAAAAGCATTAGGACACCACAAGCCAATCCTATGAACAGCAGTATAGATATCTGATGTTGCACCTCAGTTTTGTCCTGTCCCATTCAGTTGCACAAGAGACTACATAAATTTACAGCTTCAATCATACAATCCCCATCCAATCGTGATTGCGATCTGACCAAGTATCCAATTATATCATATATTCCCACATGACAAATTTAATAACTTTAGAGAGCATATAATTTGATCTGTTAACCTGCTTAACAAGGGATGTAGCCACCAAATTTGAAGTGGCAATGGAAAGGAACATGAACAAATAGCTTGCATAATCACACAAAACTGTCCCTGGCCCTGGCAAATATAAATAAATAAATAAATCCCAATGTGCACTTTCAATTAATTGAAAACTATACAGATTAAGTCTGGAGTTAGTTGACATACCTAAAGCTGCAAGCTCGACTGAGCTGCCCTGACCAACAACTGCTGTATCAATCAATCCCATCAACGGACCACAGATCCAAAGACCGACCGCAGGACCGGAAAATTTTATGATTTCCGTAATTTGATTCCATAAACTACTATCCTTCAGCAATTCCTCCCCAGATAGTTGCGATTCCTCCACCGCTGCAATTTCCTCTTCCGTTCCTTCTCCAACTTGCAGAATTTGAGTACCGACATCGCTACCACTGTTCTGGTAATTAGAGTTTGCACCAATCCGTAGCTTGCTTCTGCATTTCAGGATTCGCACACTAGTTTGGTGTAAAGTTTTTTGAATTTTGAAGTTTGGGGCACTGGTTCGGTAGCGAAAGCAGGGAAGGTGAGAGTGGTGAATTAGGGTTCCGATATTCATGGATTGAAATCTGTTCAACTCTCTGAACTACGACCAACTGACAATAACGGCCTTCTCTATCTCTTCTTTCTTCTTTCTTTTTTTCCTTTTTTTTTTTCTTTAAGTGAAAATTACTTCTTTTTTTTTTTTTTTAAATATAACACACATTTATTAAACAAACAAACCCTATATGTTAACATTTAATGTAATATTTTATAAAATACATATATTTAATTTGATATTTAAAATACTAACAAATATATACGTATTTCATCCATTCAATCATAGCACTTGTAGTTACCTTTGTATAATTGTATTTAATATAATAAATATTCTTATATTTATATATTTTTATACAAATATAATTATAAAATATTAATAAAAATATTTATCTCTTTCTCATATTCAAATACAAAAAATATATCTAACTATTATATCAAAATGAAGGGACTATATTATTTTCTATTATATCCATTCTATCCTACAAGATATTGTAAATATAAAAATTTAAGAAGATACAATTAGTAAATAATTAATACAGGAATAATATATTATTGTAAGTAATTATATATAATAAAAATAATTATAAATTAAAGTGAAATAATCATTAGTCTAATTAAAATTTAAAATAAATTTAAAATGTATATAATTTTTTTTAAAAAAAAATGATATGAGACGTGCATACATTATAATATGGATTAAGACTGAGGAAGAATATATCTCACTATTAAAAAATTTACTTTTTCAATCCGGGCTAAGGACACTTCTTGAGGTATGAACCAAGGGTGTGTTTGTTTGAGGGGTTTTGATTTTGAATTGGAATTTAAATAGTAAATTTTTTAAATTTGAATAGTTGTACGATGTGATATAAATAGGTGTTGATGTGATTTTAAATGTAAAATTAATTTTTAGTATAATATAAAAAATAAAAAATATATATTTAATTTGATCTTTTTTGAAAAAAAATAATAAAATAAATAGTAAAATCCAATTCCCAAACAAACACACCCTAAAGCAGAAAGAGGTTTGAAAATTTGAATATAACACTACTTATGTCTGCTGCGCAGAAATCGTGTTAAGTTTGAAAAGTAGAAGTAATGTGCAGGAAAAAAGGCAAAATAAAATCAGTTTGTTCACATGGGATTTTTTTAATATTTAAATTTACCATATTTTCTTTTAAAAATATGAGATTTAGTTTTGTGAGAATTTTAAGTTGGTAGTTTAATAATACAGTCATTAGTTGTAATTTAGATATACAGTATGTAAAAACCTTTGACTTTTAATGTGTAAAATAATATACTAATATTAATAAAAATAAATGCAAATAGCATTCAAATGGGCAGATTGATTATAGTGTCAATAGTCCGGGACCATATATAAGATAATCAAATAATATATATTTTTATTTAATAGAATATAATTTGTGTTAAATAAAAATACATAAGTGTGCTATATTGATATACTATTTAATTTGCATTATATTAATATAATTTTAATTTAATCTATTATTATATCATATATTGTACTCCCTCTGTCTCGCAATATATATATATTTTTAACAAATATAAATTAATTTAATTAAATTTTTAATATTAGACATATGTATCCGGGTTCTTTTCACCGTAGAAACCTCCACTTCAATGACACGTTTTAAAAGAAATCAAAACACAAAAACTTTTTTTTTTTTTTTTCTAAAATATTATTTATTTAATTATTTATTTTTATTTTTTTATATTTTTGTATTATATAAAATTTTATTATCTAATGATATATATTGATATAATTTTATTTAAATTTAATAATATTATTAATTATTTTGATATAAATTAAAAAATATATAATGAGGTAGAAAAAAGAGATTGTGAAATAAAAAAAAATGAGTATGCGGTGGAAATTTTTAGAAATTTTTTGAGAGTTTCTTCATGTGGATGGCCTTACAATTCATTCAAAAACCCTTTATTTCTATCTCTCTTTTCAATAAATAAATATTTTTATCTATATTTAAAACTTATTATTTTTAATAAAATTAGTTTTAAGTTAATTATAAATGAATAAATTAATTTTTTTATTTATTTGTATTATATAAAATTTTATTTTCTACAAAATGATATTCATATTGTATATATTTTATTGATATATAATGCTAAAAGTATTTAAAATGCCAACAACACTACTCATATAAAATAACAAAAATAATATCATTATTTATTATTAATAGTTTACTAATCTATACTAACTAAAATACCGTATATTTGAGCAAATGAGTCATCTTAACCGTGACGGAGAGAGTATATTTTTATATAGTAAGATGTTTGTTTTTATATTGAATTATATTATATATTGTCTGCTCATATGTTATATTTATATTATAATTAATATGCTTTTTATATTATTTTTCTTTTTCTTACTGTTATTTTTAGGCGACAGAATCTTGATAAGGTGAAATCTTTAATTTAATTAATATTATATTAATTTGACTAAATCAGTATCTATAATCAAAATAGATAGTGTGTAGTATAAAAAAATATGTATTGTGCAATTTTATATTGTACTTATATTTAGTATTGTTAGAATATACTTCATCCGTTCGTTTTTAAGGCCACATTTACCTACTTAAGATTAAAAATATTTTGTATATTTTTTTGTACAGATTTTTTTTTATTAATATTATAAAATATTAATAAAAGTATTTTTGTAATTTTTTTAATTTATATTATATTTTGATATAATAATTAATATTAAAAAAATTAATATGTAAAAAAAAAAAAAAAAAAAAAAGTATATGAGACACCTACCCACCCTCTATTTATTTGTGGTTCGGTTTGCTGCCACGAGTGCGGCTGACCTTTGAATTTGGGGCTGCTAATGAACATAAAGGTGTCGCTGTAACTTTACATTCTAGAAGCCATGGTCAACTCAACGCCCTTGGTTGTTAGGCATCCCTAACTTTGCTAGTGGCAAGCGCTGGACAATTCAAAATTAATCATTATTAAACCCAAATATCTTAGTATGAATTGAATTTGTTTCATTTTACACAATGGATTGTTACTTACACCATAAATTTGTCCAGTTTAGATTTTACATGGACAAGATATTTTTTAGAATTTTGAAAAAATTGAAAATTATAACAAATTATATTTGTTGCGTCGTTGGTGATGTTTATAAAAAAAAATATATATTTTATATGATATTTTAAAAAATATAAAATTTTAAAAAAATATTATAATGATAGTAAATAGAACTTTGATAAAGAGATTAGATACTCACCAAATTAAATTAGTATTGATTTGATCGAATCAGTATTTTTAAAAAATATACTCCCTCACTTTCAAAGGATTTCAATTTTTTTATTTTCAATTATTTTCTAATTTAGTAATTGTACTATCTATTTAATCTTAATAAATATTACTCCCTCTTTCCCACACATACCGTGTCTGCTACCGTAGACACGGTATTTTAGGAGGGGTGTAATAATTTTTCAAAAAAAAAAAAGTGAAATGATATATGGGACGGACAGAAACGGCAACGTAGACATGCATGTGGGACAGACAGAAACGAAAACATGGACATGATATGTGGAAGAGAGGGAGTAAAAAATTTATGTACAAAAAAACAAACATTACTTTTTAGATGAAACAAAGTGAGTACAGTATATATTTTTCATAACATAATATATGTCCTGTTATAAAATACGAGTCTCAGTATACAGGATTCGCAGACCTTAATAAGTAAAATAAAAGAAGGCATTTTACACTTATCCGTATGTCCCACGGTGGCAGTACATTTCGATCCGCAGAAATTGTGGCATCAAGTACAAGAAATGGAATATTAACCGATTTTTTTTTTCTTTGTATATAAATCAAAGGAGGGTTAACATTAATGGCGGAAAGCGAGAATTGTGAAACACGGCCAAACCAGGTAGATTGCTATAAAACTACGCACAATTAACGTCACGTCGAATAGCTGGAGGCTTCGGTGTCCTCATTTGCTCCAGATCACATATTCACATGTGCGCTCACATTCAATTTCTCCTACGCCTCTTGTATACGGAATAGCAACACCGAACGAATCCATTTTTAGGCTTCCTCACGCTCGTCGTACGCGCGCATCGATTGCATCGCGCACGCAACTCTGTTGACAAATTTGCGGTGCTAAACCGAGTGCTTTCGCGGATCGGAGGTAGGTAAGTGTGGAACCGCAATTGACTCCGTTTGTTTGAATTAATGAAATTTGTAATCATCTTTGGAAGTTTTTCGGCTCCAATCCGATGTAAACTCCATTGTTTCTGTTTATTCATGATTTTCGAGTGATGTGATTTGGATTCCTTATCTTCTGTTGTTTGAAGTTTATGTTGCGTCCGGAATCGAAGGGTTCCACATCGATACCTAATTCTTAGGTCGAGATTTTGGAATTACACTGATCAATCCCTTATTTTCTTGGGTATTTGGTGTCAATCAGGTTAAAATGGGAAGCGTGCGCGCGATTTTGGACCATCCGGATGATTTGTATCCGATGGTAAAGCTGAAGTTCGCGATGAGAAGCGCCGCAAAGCAGATCCCCGATGAGCCTCATTGGGGATTTTGTTACTCTATGCTTCATAGAGTTTCTAGAAGTTTTGCGCTCGTGATCCAACAGTTGGATACTGATCTTCGCGATGCTGTGAGTTTTATGTTTTATTATTCCCCCAGTTTTGGTTATTTTATTCATAGTCTGAAGAATCGCCGCGTAGTTTCTACTGTTTGAGATAATGCAGTTTTCTTCTTCTGTTGCATGTACTCTTTTAACTGCTGATTAATTATAAGGCATTAATTTAATTGTTGATGTTGATTAATGCTGGAGTAGTCAAAGAATTGAAACGGGAAACAATTTCTCTTGAATTCGGTGGTCCTTTTGTGGATAGACTAAAGCAAGAAGAACATATTGATCCAAACTTAAGTTGAATACAACCTTTTGAATGGTAATTCAATTATGAGTATCAAATATATAAATAGATTGTGAAATTTTCTAAATCCCTACTCTGTCCGTGGTTTTTGTAAGTGGTATAGTTCTACAACTGTGTTCTGTGATTCAAAAACACAAGTTACTGTGCATATAGTTAATATTATTCTCTTGTGTTTGTGCTATCTGAGTAAAAGATAATATGCAGCATCGCACCTCATGGTTTTCCTCTTTTTCCTCTTTCATTTTAAGCCAAAAGTTCCACTTAAAAGTGAGAATTAAATAGAAAGAAGGAATAATTTATATCCATGTCATATTGTCATCTAGCTGCAATATTTGGAGTGAATCAAAATCTTGCAATCGAGTTGCCAATGGTGTTGAATAGATGACCATCTATTTGACAGCTACGATATCATGCTCAATGGGAATTTACTTATATAATATATCTTTCTTTAAATGGTGCTCAGGGAATGAAGATGTTTTAATTAATTTTGCAACTTTGTATTCTGTAGGTGTGTATTTTCTATTTGGTTCTTCGAGCGCTTGACACTGTTGGTAAGCCTCCTGGTTTCTTTTGATTCTTCTAAACAACTTACACTGCTGGTTTAACAATTGTAGCCCTTCATTAAATTCACAGAGGATGACACAAGCATAGCAGCAGAGGTTAAAGTGCCTATTCTGATGGCCTTCCATCATCATATATATGACAGGGAATGGCATTTTGCATGTAAGTATTCAGCTTATGGCTTATAGTCTACCCTGTGCTCTTTATACAATGAGGAGAGAGACCCCCCTAGCCTGCATGCATTTTTTTTTTTTTTTTGGATTGATGGATTTGTTTGGTTGTGTTTTCATTTGTTTTCAAATTCATTCTACATAATACTATATATTTTTCCCAAAAAAGATCTCACATCAAAAACATATTTTTCATCTAATACATTAAATCATCTTTTTTGTTTGTTTGTTTAAAACACACACCTAACATCTATGTTTAATTTCGAACATCAAATGAGAGGGGCTTCAGTAACCTCTAAGTACGTTTGATTATGTATTTGATCTATAGGTGGCACAAAGGACTACAAAGTTCTAATGGATGAGTTCCATCACGTTTCCACTGCTTTCTTGGAGCTTGGACCCAGGTACTTCCTAGCTGAGAAGTTCTTCTGATATGAAGATATTTATGTAGGTATAGCTATTGACAAAGAAACGATAATAAGCAATGCCGCTTATGTAAATTTAAGCAATATTTATTAGTCATGTTGTTATGAAAATGAGACATACAAGAGCAGCATGTGTTCACATACTTTTGAAATGACATTACTGGCAACTAAGCAGGACATTCTGTATGCATTACATTGTGCATTGGCATCTTGATTCAGAATGACCAAAGAGGCTCTGATTTTTCAATATTTTTTTCCTTTTCTAAATTTAAAGATTCCAATAGTACTTTTTGGATTCAATTGGTGAAGAGAATTACATAACAATAGTAAATTACTTCTCTAAACATGTTCCTAAATGAGACCATTTTTATTGTTATATGAGGTAATCTGACAGTTGGAGTTGGTTTGCTTCATAACTAAAATTAATGTACATACAATCTAACATGTGCAATGTTATGTGTATTCTGGAATCTCGATAATTTTCATTTTGTTTTACAGTTATCAGAATGCAATCGAGGATATTACTATGAGGATGGGTGCGGGAATGGCAAAATTCATTTGCAAAGAGGTATACTAGAAATTTCACACACAAGGCACTTTTGCACTTCTCAAACAACTATAGAAGCATGTTTTTTTCAACTTTTGAAATAGGTTTATTTTTGGCTTTTTAAACACGTCTTTGTTTGACCATGAATTAAAAATATCCGAAGTAAGCATAGAAACATTCTCCCATCTTTATAGGTAGAAACAATTGATGACTACGACGAGTATTGTCACTATGTGGCGGGACTTGTTGGGTTAGGGTTGTCAAAGCTATTCCATGCTTCCGGAAAAGAAGATCTAGCTTCAGACTCTCTTTCCAACTCAATGGGTTTATTTCTTCAGGTAAAGATTCCATTGTTGTAATAAATTTGTACTTGAACGAAAATGACCTTTTTTTTTTTTTTCATTCGCAATATTGCAGAAAACAAATATCATCAGAGATTATCTGGAGGATATCAATGAGATACCAAAGTCACGCATGTTCTGGCCACGCCAAATTTGGAGTAAATATGTTAACAAACTTGAGGTAAACCCTTTTCCATAGCCAATTTAATATAAATGTCAACATTGTATGTATCTGTAAATTTAGTGTGACGGCTATGGAGCAAAACCTTTTTCTATCAACAGTTTAATTTGGTACATTTTGCAGGAATTAAAAGATGAGGAAAACTCAGTTAAGGCTGTGCAGTGCCTCAATGAGATGGTGACAAATGGTTTAGAGCATGTAGAAGATTGCCTCAAGTACATGTCTGCCTTGAGAGATCAGGCTATCTTTCGGTTTTGTGCAATTCCACAGGTATATTTTTATGTAGTTTAGTTTTCACGAGCTAGAATACATTAAAGTTTCTCCTTTATATATACGCCTTATTAGTCAGATGGTAAAAATATGAGTTTGGTAGAATACATAGAGATAGAATGAAGAGTTGTGTTGGGGAAAAAATGATAATAAAAAGAAAAAGGGGAAAGGTCAATATAATCTACTAAATAAGTTGGCTTGAGAAGACATACTATACTATAGAAATGGGCATTGCTAGCTGGTTTTTTAAAGCATTATGTTGTAGATTATGCATCTGCATTTTGGTCTTTCCTCCAGATAATGGCCATTGGGACCTTAGCTTTGTGCTATAACAACATTGGAGTCTTCAGAGGTGTTGTGAAATTAAGACGGGGTAAGATTAACTTTCTCATATTCTACTCTCTTAAGGAACACGATTACTTTATTTTATTTTTTAAAAATAATTGGCTAGGCAATGCATGTTTGTGTAACTACATTTTGTGATTTATGTCAACATAAAACTGACTGACTGTGCTTTTTTTATTTCTGCCGTAGGTCTCACTGCTAAAATCATGGACAGAACTAAAACCATGTCCGATGTATACGGAGCCTTCTATGACTTCTCTCTTATGCTAAAATCTAAGGTAGAGAGCCTTCTATAGACCCAACCCAATAAGCTAGCTGATCTACATGACAAAAATACACCTTCAACCTTGTGATGATGCTTTCTTATGTTGGAACTTTTCAGGTTGATGACAAGGATCCAAACGCTAGAAAGACAAAAGACAGATTAGAAGTGATCTTAAAACTTTGCAGGGACTCAGGAACTCTAAACCAAAGGTATTAAGTTCAACCGTTTCGGATCATTATCTGTGTTTTAAATCCATCCTGAAAGCTTATTTAATTTTATCATTTCTGCCAGGAAATCGTACATTATACAGAGCAAACCCCGTTACAATGCAACTCTGGTTAGTTCTCTTGTGTCTCTCTCTCTCTCTCTCTCTATATATATATATATATATCTATATATCTTATTAATGATTTTGGAACTTGGATTTTATGGGTGGCAGATTGCTGTTCTGTTCATTGTGCTAGCAATTCTTGTGGCGTACCTGTCAGCTATTCGATCTTAATTAAAGAGTGAGTACTGTATTTTCAGCCATCCCATCCCATCTTTTGTTATTATCCTGTAGAGAGAGAGCATTTAATGCATTGAGTTTCTATTATATTATTATTATCGCCATCCATCATCAGGAAGCTAGGAAGCTAGCTAAATGTACCATTCATTCCATTCCAGTGAAACTTGCTTCTACTTGTCAATTGCAGCCAAAGTTAGCTCGTTTAGCATTTCATGTAGTACCGTCTACCTACCATCTGATACTCCAATTGTTTGTTCCACGCATACATTACTTTTTTTACAGTCTTGGACTTATTTCTACATACGCACATATCTGTGGCATGCATAAATATATACTCCTATTATTAAAGCCGAAGACAGCATTAAGTCATTAAGTTCATCATGGATCATATCGCTTGGCCCATTATTATACAAATTGCTCAAATAACAACCCAACAAAGCTCGGTCCATTGTTGATACTCTTACCCAGTCCACTAACTTGACCCGACCGATGTACCAACAGACAACGCGAAGCCCAAGTTCTTGTCCATTGGCCCAAATATACGATGGCAGGCCCAATATATGAAAGCCCAAATGCACAGCCAATTCATGGCTAATAAAGGCCCATGCATTCCGGGCCCATATACTTCAGCGCACGTTATCTCGGCCCATGTACACCCTAGAGAGGCCCATTAATGGAATTGTTAAGGCCCAATAATATCGACCCAGGTACTTTTACGAGGCCCATTGAATGTTGATCTGGGCCCAATAATATCAGCAAGGTGCTGTTCGGTTAGGCCCAACAAACTCAGATATTGTCTTTACAGACCAAACAGGGCTCAATTTCGGGGGAGATGCAGGTTTATAAACCAAGGTAAATAGGCCCAATTTCTGGCCGAAGTACCGGTGCCTCAGGCCCACTCAGACATATGCTTTTGGGCCTCATGAAATGCTTGCGTATTTACAATATTTCTAATTCCACCGGATCCGCCAACTCTTACAAATCGATACCGCCAGAATAGCTCCTTGCCTTCGAAATAGCTTTCCTTTTGCCGTGTGGAGGTCTGATGCCAATATTCTGTTCAGACTTGGGTTTTCTGAATCTTTCCAAAATATTGTTATTTTCCAAAACAATTTAAGAAGTGATTTAATTCATAATTTTATACTATTAACCAAAAGAAATCAGGAATTTTCCCAAACTTCAGTAAACAATTCCTATACTAATCTAAAACAACATAAAATAAATACAGTACATAAACTGAATGAAACTGATAATGGAAACCTAAAAAACGAAGATGGTTAACCACCCAAACCATTTTTTTAAACTTAATACGCCTTCTTGTTAATTTTGGTAAGGTCATTCATTCTTTTCTTTAACCCCCACCATCCCAGTGGGTTCTATTTGTCCATCCAAACGATGAGGAAGCTGGAACTTTGGGATCCCCTGCCACAGTATGCCTGCAGGTTTGTATATATATAGAAATTTAAGGTTATATAAACATAATATAATGATGAATAATACGCAATTAATATTAACTTAACATAAATACAACACAATAAATAACACATCATTATAATCTACACAACACAATATATATATATATATCTATACACATAAATTTACACTATTTCTTTTTTTTTTTTTTTCATGATTTTAAACTTATTTTACACTATTTACAAAGAATTCTTTCTCAAAAGAATATCATATCAAAAGCTACAGTTCATTTAAAATATTAGTAAAAAATATAGTATTTTTTAGTCATAAGCATAACATCAAATACATTCATTTAACATTGATTCAATACTTACGTTATGTTATGTTTTTACTATTTTCAAACCAACTTGACCTAACATAACACAGCTTTAATAACCCATTCTGGGTGAAAAATCTAGGACCATTTTAAAGTTACTAATCAAGGAGGATCAACATAGAGATTTTTTTATTAGTTCCGTACACCTTAGCAACCTCATATGCATCAGTACTCCAATCTGTAGTCCTAAGCTAAGGCAAACTTCTAGACTATTATGCTTCATGTATATAAGAGCTCCATAGGCCAGTTTATCAGTGTCTAAATTCAGAATGACACAAAACAGCCACAGCCAAAGATCGATGATTTCTATGAAAAAGAATCAGCACGTTACTGCAGAAATAAGCAAAGTCCACATTGTTCTGTCTTTAAAAAGATGAAAAAGAATATAACTAAAGGAATGGTCACTTGCAGTACGCAGCCCAGAAACAAAAATTAAGGTCATTTAACCAAAAGCCAAGTTTTCTTTAAGTTCAACCCACACATAATATTACTTCAAAATGCAATTATGCAGCAGGCATCACATCCAAGCATACTTAAAGGCTGTAGACAATTTGCATATCACACAAGGATCAACAACCCAAGAAATAGTAACTAAGGTAAGGTTGCACACTTCTCATTTTCACAAAACTCCCGAATCATAAACTTAATTCATGTACCTTATAAAAGATCCTGTGACTGTTGAAAGCCCGCATTCGAGTTAAAATTAGAAGTGCATGAACATCAGTGCTTTCGAAAGGTTGTGAAACTAAAAATCCCATAATTGACTAAAACACACTTCAAAAACTTTTTTCATATAAAGTATTAGGATGATTGTTTACTTCAAAGTCTAATTCCTCATTATAGTTCTACACAGAGGATCTAAAGCTCTATTTACATACATTCTTCTGAAAGTTTCGACTAACATTATTATTATTTTTTTTAAAATATCATATCAAATTATTGATTTCACTCACATAACATAAAATCAAATTATAAAACTTTTTACTATTCCCAATATTTTCCAAATCTCCAAAACCTACAAAAAAAAAATTTATCATATGGAGCCTAAGATTCCTTAAAAAGACTTTTGAGGCTAACCAAACTGAAAAGGAAGGAATTCACAAATTACAAGCAAAACCGCCAATCTCAAGTTACAGTTTCAAGGCAAAAGTCCAAGAAAATTCAAAATGGTTTCACAATAATACAATTCCTTTCAAGAAACAAATGAACTCTGTCAGTTCCAAACTATCGCCATATCTGATATGAGTTTTCTTCAACAATTTGCCTATACGCAACAAACGAATACCATCGAATGCAATATTAATCGCATTCAAGGCACATAAGTTGCGGCAAGCAACACCAATAATAGACAACTACAAACATGTTCCATAAGCACATATCAAACCCTAAGCGAAACACTTACTTCCGGTAAAAACATTACCGAGAAACTGTCGGAAACACTCGAGAGCTACAAATTTGCCTCGCAGGAGAAGTCCGCACCGCCAACCTTGCCACGTTCATCGCGGCTCGCAAGCATCGTCTCTGTCTACCTCTGCCTCTCACGCCGACGCCATCAGCCCCCTGCACCGCCGTGCGGGCGATTCCTCTCCACTCTTCCGATCTCCTATCATTTTCAATTCAACTTCAGTAACAATTTTTAGGATTTGAATTTCAAATGCAATTTCTCTTTCCCGATTCGTTTTCCGTCGTTTCAATTCTCACCCTTTCTCATAACCGCTCTACTTTTCTTCCTAACAAACCGCCTCCATTTGAGTTTTTGAAAACTACGAGAAAGAGTTTTGTTACTTCACAGTAAGTCAGTAAGTTGTCCCCTCGGCCGGTCCGGCCCGGGTAAGATTGGGACCAAATAAAAAAAATCGATCCTGGGCTGGGCCGGGCCTAGATCATCAAGTGGGCTTCTTGTAGGCTTATTATTTCAGAACCTGATCGTCTCAATCGAAACGGCCCTAAACCGGCCCGGATAAATCTGAAAATTTAAACCAAACATTTATGATAAAACTAAAAATTTATTTCATTCAAATTAATTACCATTCAAACTAAGCATTTATTTCACTCAAATTAAAGTACATTAATACATACAGTACTATTTTGAAATTTTAAACTAAAATTATACAGATTAATTTAAGTATTTATATTTTTAATCTATTTAAATACATTATTCTTATTTACATAATCATCAAATTAATTATTTGAATATAAATTTAAATAATAAATAATATTAAAATAAATTAAATATTATTTATTAATTCTATTTATAATATTCTTTTAAAAATATTTTAATTTATTTTAGATTAATATACTAAGCAAATAAAATAATAAAATCCAAATATAATGATAATAATAAATGAATTGTAATTTTTTGAACTGGCCCGGACGAGGCCGGACTACTATAGTACTATTATATTATTATGAAATATTAATATTATATTGATAGTCGGAAAAAAAAAAATGCATAAATTATTTTTTCTTACCTTTGTGAATTGTTAGTGTAAAAATAAGACTATTATTTTAGAATAGACAAAAATAATTAACAAAATTATTTTATTGAGATGGAGGGAGTATTATTTAATTCGTACAATTTTTATTAAAATGATATTTAAATAAAAATAGAATTTTATTTTTGGTGAGTTTGAAAAAAATAGGTTTAAAATTTGAAGACTTTTGGAAAGTAAAAAGAAAAAATAGGGTTTCTGACAATGAAGGTTGACAATTGTTTTTTATTTTTAAAAACTTATAAAAAGTAAAAAATACAAATAAGAAAACAACAAAATACACTCAAATTTTCTGAAACACAGTACATTTTCAATATACTAGACAGGGAGAGATTAATTAAACAGTAGACAGGAGAATGATAGTAACATTCGTACTAGTAAAAATAAAACACAAATTAACGTGTTTTTTTATATATTAAATTTGTGGTTAGTACGATATATTAAAAGATTCGATTAAATTACAATTTATTTTTTTTATTATTATTATTACATATATACATGTATATAAATCCAAAATTGTTCAAATGATCAAATTGGTGCATGCATGAGGATTACTGGCATAAAAAAAAAAAAAAAAAAAAAAAACGATTACAACGAATCACACGCATATATTTCAGCAAATTAATCAACTAAAAAAATTTATTAGACCCTTCACATGATGCGACACGACACGACAGGCACAGAACAATTGATCAGATCATAGATCGGATCAAACGACTAACATCTGCACCTTATTGCAATTGCAGGCATTTATATATATATATATATACATATTTTATATTTATACTTGTAATAATTTGTAATTGTAAGTCTAATTGAGGTGGAGAGCTTATAATGTGACGCCAACTGGCCATGATTAATTGTGAGTAGATATTAGTATGATCACAACCCACGCAATTGTTTCATTTAAATAAATATATAATTCTCTACTGGGCCACCCTTACATTACATGTCATCAATATCTAATTCTTCAACTAGTCTTTCCTGGTTTTATTTTATTATTTATAGTAGTAGATTATATTATTATTTAATTAAAAAATAATAATAATTAATTAATAGGGTGGGGCGGGCGCCATAGAAAAGACAACTCCTTGTCTTGGTTTACGCCACACTGCATGCATTGCATTATTGTACTGTACTACTGCCCATGCACACATACATTTAAACTTCATATATATATATATATATTTTATTTTTATATGTTTCACGTCTTATCTTATTTTAATTTTTTATAAAAAAATTACATATTTCAATTATATTTTAAAATTTATAATGATCATTTTTTAAAATTTTAATTAAATTAATTAATTATTTTGATTTTATATAATTTTACTAGTATACTTCTAATAATGAAAATGAGTCTATTTCCATCCTGTTTACTCCCCTTCCCCTCTCTTATTTAGAAAAAAATATTTAGTAATCATATTATTTTTAAAATAATATGGGTTAATTGTGTAGAAGAACGATTAACTATTCCAATAGTCTAAACTTAATTAATTTTGAAGGGATTTAAAGTAATTATAAGTGCCGGCTAACCTCGCCACTTTTTTAATTCGAATATCTACTTAGGGAGTATTTAGTACATATAATTAAATAAAAAAACTAAATTAAATAAAGTAAACATTACCTGAAAGGATAGCCACGTGTCAAAGGCAGGCCTGCACCGCTGTGGATATGCACCAGTCACGGTCACAGTCGCCTACATCACATTATAGTATTACAAACAAGGCTCCCATGATCTAATTTAAATAAATAATTATATTTTAAGTTCGTGCCAACTCACCACAACGGTAATTCCTAAGATGATAAATTTACATTCACGGTAATTTCAGTTTTAAAAGGGGGAAAATGAATCACACCGCCAAAATTTGAGGGGGCAGATTTGAATTCAATTAAAAAGTAACCCAAAAGATTAAAAAGGAAAGGGCCCAAAATAATAAATAAAAAAACAGTCATAATTACAAAATTTAAAATAATATTCCTCAAATATCCAATTTGATTTGGCAACGCGGTTAAGCAAAAAAAGACGAGCTCAGCTGGCATGGCATGGCATGGCATTGCGAAAATTATTACCTCCAAAAAAATTCAAAATAAATTAATAATCCGATTATATTTTTGACTTTCCTTCCTTACCCGTCAATTTAATAAGGAATAATCACATGGCCGATCTCCATTGCAGACTAGAGCACCGGGACCCCAGAGCCAGATACTGTCAATCATTGCAGTCCACTCTGGCAGGTATAGCACGGTGCTCTAGTCCCAGGAGCTCGAATCGAAGGGGCCAGATTAGATAGTAAGAATAGTCAGCCCACCCCACCCATCCAGTTAATCATGCAGTGCGTTACTGCGTTACAGCGTTACAACTCATCCTTAGAAAAATTCACACACATATATATATACATACATATGTATGTATGTATATATAAATAGAGAAGAAAGCTTTTAAAGGGCAGGAAAAAAGGAGGAGGATAATACCATTAACCCACCACCAGTTTCGCCTCCATTTCGGTTCCTCTTTACCCACTTTGCTTTCTTTATCTTTCTGCCTTTATTTCGATCCATCTCGCGCATCATAAACTCCTGTTTTGGGACACTACAGGTATGTGTTTATATGTATGTGTATAAAATTGGTTGTGTGTGTGCAGGAATTTTAATTTTGTGGTACCTTTTTGGTAAATTTGAATTTGAATTTGATTCAGCTGCAGAATTGGTGTGTTGTTGCTTTGGTGATATGGAGTGCATTGAAGCGCGTGCGCTGAAATCGAGTTTCCTCTCGACGCAAATGGCCTTGAAAGCGAATTCCGAGGTGTTCTACAACGACGATGTTTGGTGTTTGACTCGGATTAACAGCGTCGCTTCTGATGATTTCCCCGTCGAGGAGCTGCTTAACCTGGATTTCTCTGACAAGGAGCTTCAGGATGGGAGTTTTTTCCAGGAAGATGAAGAAGCCTCGGACAAAGGAGTTTCGCATATTTCTTCTTCGTCTTCCTCCTTCTCCGGCGCCGACGAGCTTGATAGCCTTTCCGTCGGAGAACTGTCAGTTCCGGTAATTATTGAGCTTCTCTGCTACTGTTTTCTCTAGTTTCAGAGGTGTGAAATTTTGAAGGAGAAATTGAACAAACTGTCGGTATTAATAAAAAAGTTTGTAACTGTAGATGGAGGATTTGGAGAACCTGGAGTGGCTTTCTCAATTTGTGAACGACTCTGCGTCGGAGCTCTCCTTATTGTATCCTTCAGGAGGTTTCACGGCGAAACCTGCCGTGAAGTCGGTGGAAGCGGTAAAAACGCCGCCGCCTTTTCCGTCGAATATTCCGAGTAAGGCTAGGAGCAAACGGTCGTGGAGGCCGAACACCAAGCCGTTGTTTCTGGCGTCGCCGCCTCGTAGCGCCGGCGACTCTTTCTCAACGCCGTCGTCGTCGTCTTCACACGGTTCATCCACTGTACCACCTTCTTTTGTGCTCATGTTTACCGGCGTTGAAAAGCCGCCGCCAGCGAAGAGGCAGAAGCGAAAACCGGAGGCCGACGCCGCAGCCATCTCCGGCCGGCGGTGCACGCACTGCCAAGTCCAGAAGACCCCCCAGTGGCGAACCGGACCGCTTGGCCCGAAAACGCTCTGCAACGCTTGTGGCGTCCGGTTCAAGTCCGGCCGGCTTTTCCCAGAGTACAGACCGGCGTGTAGCCCCACTTTTTCGCAGGAGATTCATTCAAACAGTCACCGGAAAGTTTTGGAGATGCGCCGGCGGCGGGAGGAGACCGTGCCGGCCGACGAACCCGGTTTAGCTCCAGCGGTTCAGATTGAGAGTGCATGATTGATTAGCTATAATTTTGAAAAACCGGCCGCCGTAGAAACGTTCAATTTTGGTGGTTGGGTTGTAGGGTCAGGCAGGTAGCCGTAGAGGCTAGGAACTAGGCAGGCAGGCAGGCTCTGAACATGGTCGTTTTTTTCCTTGTAATAATTCATTTTTTTAATTTTTTTTCGCAGCTTTAAATTTAATTCTAATTACCTATTCAGGAATGTGATATGATAGAAGCCAATTTATCAAAAAATAATTGCAAGTGCAAGTAAACAACTATTATTAACATTTGACACACCAAGTCCTAATAGGAAGCATTCAAAACCGTCTAATGTACTAATGTAAAAATCTGGTGGCCCATGTCTTGAAGAATTCATCCATTGTTTCTCCTATAAGGTGAAATTACCCAATTACCCTTGCCGAGAGAGAATCATTCATCATTCATTGTCATCACGCCTATTAGGTGAGAGTTTGGAGACCACCCCACCCCACCCCACTCCACCCCCACCCACAAAGCTACAGTAGTAGTTGTGTGGTGTTCACCTTTTCTTGAAGGAAATATCTCAACTGCCAATTTGACCATCCCATACTCTCACCTCACATAAATGATACATTCATATCTTGCAGTTGCAGAAACATATAAAAAATATAAATATATAATATATATATATGATGATTTCAGGAGCCACAAAAGTTTTTTAGCTGTTTGGTATTGCCACATAGGGGAAGAGAAGTCTAATTCTTTTCTGTTCTTAGTCTTCATTGAATACACACACAAGTGGGAATTTCAATAACCTATGACACCCTCCTACGTAAAACTTCTACTAACAGCACTAGCAAAAACATAAGTTAGGCACAATTAGGTTCTACAGTGGACCTAAAGAATCCCACTTTCTTATTTGATAAACAAAAGTGAATCAAAACCCAATTTGAACTTCCTACATATACATGTGTATAGCAGTCAGTCCCACCTAATGAACAATCAAAAGCAAGTGTTAAGTTAAATTGAATTGAATTGATAGTAGAAGTGCAGTAGTTGGAATCGAGTCCAACTGCAAATGGCTAAAAAAGCAATGGCATAAATGCATGTGGCCGTTGATATCATTTAAATTTAATCAATCATTTGTGTAGCATAAAGTAGCCTGCATAGTGACATGTGGGCAGCCAGCCAGCTCTTCCTTATCGTTACACTAAATAGAATAAAATACAGACTTTGAAGTTCTCTCATTCCTACAGGACACTGACACGACACGACAATGATCATTAATAATATTATCATAATACAACAAACAGTATCCTGTCCATTGCAAAAAACTGTAGATAAAATAAACTCATCCTTGTCTATGCAAGACAATACCTATGCAGCCTCCTTAGAACGTGCATGCATCACAGGTAGCTTAAATTAAATTTAATAGCATTCCAAAATTTGGGAGCCTAATGTTGAGTTTAGATGAAAACAAATGGTTGAACAAGAATAACTTATAGTTAATAGGTAGATAGATAGATGGCAAGTTGGGAAACTAGGGTTTGTTTGTTTTTGATTTCGTATAAAAAAAAAACTACTATCCAACTCAAACTCAAATCAAAACCAAACAAACCCATCTTTATTTTTACTTCAATTTATTAGGTTTATGTTCTAAAGTATATTATAAAACTAATTAAGATGTGGCCCTAAGAGTCCAGGGAGTTGGCTTCATGCATGCAGTTGTTACAAGTAAACGTTTATTGAGATGCAAATTTAGAGAGTTTACTACACATATCAGGCATGGAATCTGCGATATTCGTGATTCTTTAGCTAGTAATGTATGTTATCCAACCTCAGCTAAATAAGCTTGAAGAAGCATGCTAATTTTAATGAATGATTGATTGTGAACAATAAAAATCGAGTTAAAAGAGAAGAAATAATAGTATAAGAAAAGGTAACAATAGCATAACATTTATGTTTGAAGAATAACTAACAATTTATCGATGTACAACCAACTCCCTAGCTAGCTATAACCAAAGAAGTATGTGGTGTGGTGTATAATGTAGAATTAGAAACCAAAGAATGTTCAAGAGAATAAATGAAAATGTGGCTGCGAAGCGTTTGGGAGGTTTATTCTACAGACGACATATATACACATATGCATCAACAGCTTCATAATTGATGGAAAAATTATAACATATGAAAGAAGTGAAAATGAAATGAGAAGAACGCAACAATAGAAGCTGGCTTACAGTCATGAGCAGAAATCTCAAAGACAGTGTTATACCTGTGTAATGAATGAAATCATAGGTTAGTTCATCAAATACAAAGATAATGATATATCCGCACAATAGATACAACACTTATGCATACACCTAAAAGCAGATCACTGGAACTGCACAAAATGCTCGATAATGTTCTGAAAAAAGATACTCAATCCATTCAACTATGAAACAAGAGGTAAGCATACTAGCCACCTTACCAAATTTAGAGTCAAGTATGAAGATAGTCACACCGGGAGCCCTTTCTACACCGACCATTTGTGTTGTATGGACATAGAGTGTCCCGCTTGTTAAAATGCCTAGAGCCTCCACCCCTATTCCATGGTCGGCCACCATTTCCGAACTCAGCAGGATCTTGGGTCTGACCTTGATCTTGACCCTGACCACCTCTATTGTTTTGATCAGCATGCCACGAACCACCCTGGTTCCCCGGTGGTGTTGGTGCAACCCAACCTTGAGGAGGACCCTGAGCCACAGGAAGCAGAGGACTCCCGGCATTCCCACCAGGCAGGCACCATCCATTACCTGGCATGAACAATTGAGCAGGCAGAGAATTCCAACCTTGAGTCGCAGTATTCCCAGGGACCATTCCTTGCATGTTAGAAGTTACAGTATTTCCTGCTGGAGCTACCCAACCTGTTGGATTTCCAGGAGGTGGTCCCTGCATAGCCACTCCCCAATTCATGTTCATATTTCCCCATCCCATGTTTGGGATAGCTTGAATTGGACCCCAGGAAACATTGGGATTTTCAGGTCTCACTCCTACAAAATTACTGCCATCCATTGGACCCATACCCATGCTCCCCCAAGGTCCATTAGGTGTGGCAGGAGGGATCATGTTTGGTTGATTACCCTGTGTTGGTCTCCAAGCATCAGGTTGAAGCCCAACTGGTGGAGTAACTGAGTTTGAGAAATTTCCAGCAGAATTCTGATTGTTTGGGGCATTCAAGTTGTAATCTTGAGGCTGCCCCTGTGCAGTTGAAGTACTATCCTGAGTATTGGCTTGAAGATTCTGAACACTCACATGCTGAATTGGCTGGAGATCTCCAGGCATCTCTATGGCATGTGGCTCGACTTTTGTATTTGATTGAGTATTGAGAGCACCAGAAATACCCACCAAACCTCCCTGTTGAGAGTTTGGTTTTGGAATAATAGCGGCAGCAGTCTGAATAATAGCCGCAATATTGGATACAATAGCAGACGAAAGCCCTCCATTAACACTAGGACTAGGTGCTTGCATGGTTCTACGAAGGTCCCCTTCTGCTCCAGACAAGCCTGCACTATTTTGTTCAGGGGTAGGAGAAGGTAGGCTCGCAATTTCATTCCTACGCCAAGTTTCGGCAGACAAGTTTGAATGGACTCCAGACTTATGATTAGCAACTGACCGATCTTCTTGGGGCAAGGATATGCCTGAGGTCTTGACAGCAAGTTCGGTTAAGGTATGGGAACTCTGCAGGGTATTGATGGCAGAAATCATATTGGCAACATCTGGTGGTGTTTTCGGGAACTTGCCAACCAATGCATCGGCTAGAAGTATGGAGTTGTCCTGTGTCTCTGTCATTCTCCAGATTTTAAGATCAGCAGGGAAGTAACCAGTGTTGTTCCATTTACGCAACTGCACCATAGAAAATGGTCCTTGCACTTTTCCTGAGGGATCATTGTAGTGCCACATCTTTTCTGATTCATTTACTTTGACTGCAGGTTCCCCTGCTCCAGCTGATGAAGATGCTATTGAGGCTTCTGATGCAACACCAGAAAATGATTCAGGGCGCACTGTGGTGGGCATGGTCCTTTCAGTAGACTTGGTATTTGTAGCAGAGCTCAGCTTCTCTGAATTGAAGAATTCTTTCGTAGTTGCCTTTTCTCTTCCCAAATTCCAAGAATTTTCATTTACTGTCTCATTAATATGCCTTGCATTAATAGAATGACTACTTCCTGACAGGGTTTTGCTTTGTTCCAATGTTTTACTCGAAGTTTTCGAAGCACCAATCCATGAGTCTCTAACAGACTTATCTTTCCTGTCAAAGCTGGAGCTTCTTGGCCTCAAGACAGCATCTGCAAGCGATGAAATAGTTAATGTTCAAGTATTTCATGCTCATATATCATAAACCAAGTCTGAAATTGACATGGAGGAAACCTTGTCTGCTGTCCTCAGTTTCACTGTCAGCATCATCTGATTCATAAGTGGGATCCATCTTTGGATCTGAGTGTATCTCAGGAATTTCTTCTAGCCTACGCTGACGTTCTTTAGGGGTCTTTAAAAGCTGTAATTTCTCCACACATTCTCTAAGCGTGAAAAAAAATGTCAAGGTTGAACTTCAACAAGCTCAAGAGTGGCATATAACAAGTCCAAAAGCATATAGTCAGAGTGACAATGAACAACATGAATAAACTCATCCAGAATGATTGAAACAATTTTTTGGAGGAAAAAAAAAAAAAAACACTTTGCAGATTTATAAGTTCACTCTCAAGTTGAGACATAAACTGAAAAAATAAAACCAAGATGTAGTAAGAAAAGGATATTCCTTCCGGCGTCCTAAATCACTGGCTCGATCTCGGAGATGGCTTAACCGCATAGTTTCTGATTCCAGCCACTGCATAGTGCCATTGGAAAAAGAAGCAGAATGAGATGCAAGAATATTCATTGATCAAATTTAGTCCAAACATGAAGGAGAAGAGCAAAAGCATAAACTACAGGATTGCAAGCGTCTAATTATTAGAGCATAATAGATCATAAAGATTACTCCAAAAGAGAAGTTACACAAAATTATCTTTAGCTTTCTATTGCAAATCAATCCCAGGTCAGTAAGTAAAAATTAATAATTGCAAATATGACAAGAAAAAGGTTCCTCGGTCAGATGACTCTGATAAGTAATGACACTCAACAGCTACAGCTGTGTGCCAAAGCAAATTAGTCATGTTATTCAGGTGATGTGTGACAAATACCATAAGATTTGACCCAAAAACTACTCACTACCGTATGAAAATTACAATGTTAACTATGACATCCTAACAGCCAACCAGTAAACTGTGACCAGAAATTGTGTGAGGCATGTGGCAAACATGATTCATTAGCTGATTTCAAGAGAGAGTTCTACTTGCCATATGTTACTCTGGCACTGATATAGACCATTAAATTAACTGCTGATGGGCATAGTTGCCACACTCCAGTGAGGGGCTTCATATGCTACCATTAACTATTTCACTAACACCAACACAAAAAACGAATCAATGCACTTCCCTATACAGCAGAAGGAAACACACAGCTTCCAACTTAGAGCAATGAATAGTTTATCTTAATTAATTACTAAGCTGACTTGTTTCTTGACAGGGAATCAGCATTGTAAGCATATAAAATGATCTTAATTAATTACTAAGATGACTTGTTTCTTGGCAGGGAGTCAGCATGTAAGCATATGAAATGAGTTAACCAACTGGAAAAATCGAAGAGCATGCCACACTATACAACGAGCACTCCTCAGGTGAACTATTAAAAGCTTATTACAAGAATATGATTATGTAATCACTGATATGGAACATGCACTAATTACATGTTAATTTGAAGCTCAACTTTAAGAAATTATATATTGTACTAAACACCCTCCTCTCATAAGAAATATATATATATATATTCCATTATCCAAAACTTTCTAAAATAATGTCCGAGGTAATGGCAGATTTTCCTATCCAAGCATCAGCTCTGGCCACCATAATGCAAGGGTAACACCTTTAGTATGCTGTTTTTCTTTCAACCAATTTAGGAATTCCAGTTCAGTATTATATAATGCATAAATCTTCAAGAGATCAAGGTGGAGGATACATACATCATTGACTCTTGCTGCATGTAGTTCCATGGACTTGTCAAGAATCTCTCCCTACAGACCTCATAGTCACCTCCATTAGAAGAAATACACAAGGCCAAAATTACATAACCATATGGGTAAGCTTACCACAGTCAGTCGACTGATAAGTCCACATCTGATACTCTGGCGAAGGCGCTTGCATTCCTCCTGTAAAGGTTGAAAACCAAAAGTGTAGGCACAAGACCAATTGCCACCATCGTTGTCTCATAAAAATCCCAGAAGAAACACTAATCATAGTTATATTAAACAGTAAAATCTATGCTAAATTGCTAACACATCTTAATCAGAACTATTTAAACAAAAACAGAGAAAGCTGGAGGTCATCTCCAATTTCCAACTGCCATATTAAGGATGTTTGATTAACTTCATCAATTTGAGAAGTGCTATGATGGCCTGATCCAGTTCATCCACTCTCTCTCTCTCTCTCTCTTTATATATATCCTTATTGTTAGTTCCAATAAAACAAATGCTTAAGAGAGATGAGAGTTTTCATTCAGATGACAACCTTTAGTACCAGACGACAAAAAGTGGGTTTCATATTTAAATTCAATTACCTCCGAAAAGTCTTGGTTTGAAAATGCATCAATAGATATTAACTCAGTCTTGTCAAGATTTAGTATTTCCAACACGATATCAGTAATCTTCTTGCCAATTTTGTATGGATCCTTCCTTTTGCTTGTACCTGCAAATAACATAAAAGTATCATGGTAATTGGTACACTTCTTTCCATTTTGATGAGTTCAGAATGGAAGAGCAGTACAATGAAGAATTAGAGGAAGAAACATATGCATAATTGGTAGCATATAGTAAAGACTGTTCTTACCTACAACTTGCACTAATCTATACATGTCCTGCTTTTGGGCACTACCAGATATCCGTATGCGCACAAATGTTCCAACAACTTTATCATGAAATGTTTCAGCATCTTCAAGTAAGTCCTCCATCAACTTTCTTCGCAGGTAAATTAAACCAATGTTGTGCATGTCAATGGCTGCATAATCATCAACATTGGACTGAGGTTCACGATTGCCACTTTTTTTGCGTGATTTACGTTTCTTATCTTTCACACCCTTGGTAAGAGGGCCAGCATTTCCATCTATATCTAACTGGTTATTTTCAGTTTCAACAACACTCCCTTGAATAGAATCATTCTGCTCATCTCTTATAAGAAAATGAGATTCGAGAAGTTTCAACATTTCAAAATGTCCAACACGAGGTTTACCAAACAGATTTTCAAGTCTTGCATCACATATAATTTGACTTTTTCGACGGGGATCACGCAGTTTGTTTCCTTTGATATACTCAAGCAAAAGTGCTTGTACATCAAATTGAGAGAGTACAGATGTGTCACCATTTTTCATGTGTGAAACAAATTCAAGTAGCTCTCTCGATGCCCAACCAGAGTTTCCGGATAAAACAATAGCTTTGTCCACATCTGCAACAGGAGGACTGACCAATTCCTCTCCTCTAATAAGCGATTTTGGTTGTTTCCGTATCTTTCTCCTTTTAGGTCGGATGGGTTCTGCATTCTCAACAGAGTTATCTGAACCAGATCTTCCATCATTTGCATCAGTGTGAGCTTCATGCAATTGTTGTTTGTTCGGAGCAGGCGTGTTAGCTCCTTTCCATGGATTTTTAGCTTCTATAATTTCAACTGATGTAAGTGAAAACTTGGCTTTTAATTCTGTATAGTAGTCCTTGAAGAGGAACTCCCAGCTACTTCTGTCATCAAAATCAATCTCAGCCTGCATTAAACAAGCAGCCTCATATGTTATATCATACATCTTAACTTCACCCAAACCAAGTTATAAAAATGAAGATGAAAATGCAGAAAGGAGGATGCAAGTATGTATGTATTTTGAGTGTGTGTGTGGGGGGGAGTGTGAGGAGATAGAGATAGAGATCCAGAACATACCTTATTGTTTCCCTGTTCATTGTTCTCAATAAGCATAACAGTTTTCATGCATGTCTCGCAGAAACCTTTATTTCCTCGGACACACAGGATAACTTTATCTTTAGTGCAACTCTTGCACAAGGAGAAAGGGCATGTATAACACATATATCGTGCATTCTTCTGACAATTGGTACAAATATGCCAACCTGAGAACAGCAAAAAATGTTAATTGCATGGAATTGACTGCCATACCATGAAGATAAATTTCAGTCCTTTTCTGTACTCAAACCCATAGTTGTTGCCATAAACCATGAACAACTATCGTCAATACTTATCTAAATACAAGATGGATAAGCTCACTATATAAAAAAACATGCTTTGGAATTGAAAATTAGTTAGAACACACTCAATATATGCAAGAGAAAAAAATCATGATAAGGTAGCTTAAGGTGATTTCTAGTAACCTAGAATGACATAGTTTTACAATATATATACAATTCTAAACTACAAGCTTCATAAAGAAAGAATCACATGATAAAACACTTATGAGATGCAAATAATAAACATTTGCAGCTGGTATGACTGGATGACAAAGCATGTATGGTTTTCTATCACATAAATAAATCATCAGAATTATGCAGGTATTTTGTAAATATTAAGAAAAAAAGAAATTACCACAGTTCCATCGGCCTTTAGATCTAAAAAAGGCTTCATCACGATCGACGCATGAAGGATGATAGGCCTTAGGACAACCTCTGAAAAGCCACAAAAGTACTGCCATTGATTAGCAACATTATAACAAATGCCTGCAGCATGATAATTTGAATATTGAAGAGAATATTTATTCTTTTTTTGTTAGAATTGGAAGGTGCACTCTCCAAATCTCCAAGAAAACATACCTACGGTCACATAGCACAAGTTCCCCGCCATCAAAGCAAATGAAACAAACATCATCACCCGCTGTCTTCCTTGACGAAGCTTTTGCAGTACTCTTGGAGTTTGATGTATTTTCTGAGAATTTCTTTCTTTTCCGGTTCCCTCCAGGCGTTTTTCCTGAAGCCATTTCTGCTTCAGTCTCCATGTCAGTGTCTTGTGTTTGGGTTTCCCCAGCAACTTCTTCATCTTTCAGGTCAGTAGGTGAATCATAAATATCCTGACCAGGCTCATCCACATCACTCGCGGCCTCGTCAGGCTCCATTTTGTCATCCTCATCTACAATGTTACCAGTTATTCTCTCAGTCTGTGTTGTGGCATCCTCCTCTTGGCTTTTAACAGCTACCTCCTTGATTCCTGATTCAGTTTCCACTTCAGGATCTCTCAACAGATTTTCCTCCATCACAAAATCCTTTGTGGACTCCAATCCCACTCCCACTCCCAACATTGTTTCTGTCTTAGCATCCACAGGTGGAGCTTCTTCTTTCACTAATTCACAACCCAAACTCTCTGGCATATCGGCAGGTTGATCTAACTTGGAAGTTTCTAATCTCTTTTCTGGGCCTTCATCCTCCAACATCTTGGCTCCAGATAATAAAGGAGCCATTTTTTTATCCTCACTATGCTCACATCTGATCTTGAGATCTACATCGACCTCTTCATGAACCTGTTCTAGTTTGCTGATATCAAGAGCACATGCATTTTCCCCAGTTATTATCACTGCATTAGATTTACCTTCAGGAAGTGATGTCTCGTCAATGGCCATAGGCTCAGGCTTTTCCTCTTGGGCGCCAGCAGGTTCTTCAGCAGTCCCAACTTCTGATTTCTTTACCAGAAGACCAATCCTCCCACCATCTACTTCATCACTATTCAACACTTTCTCTGCACTATTCTCTACATCTACACAAGACTCATATTTATTGTCCAACACCTCCATTGCATCCTCTCTTGCTTTCATTTCCCGCTGAGTCGACTCTTGCTCATTGCTCCCATCAGTAACGTCAACTTCTACCTTGCTGCAAACTACCGTTGCAGATTCTTTCTCAAAATTAGCTATAGTTAGCAACTCCGGAAAAGGTGATTCGTCACTTCTATCACTACCATTTACCTCCAGATTGGAGCCGACCACCGCCGCTGAAATTTCTTCTTCACTTTGAATTTGGGGCTGTGAGCCAACCACCGGTGAATTTTGTTCGTCACTCTTCATTTGGATTTGTGGATCAGCTAATATCACATTCCCCTGTGTATCTTCCTCGCTTTTCGTTTTGAGTTGTGAGTCAACTGATAATTTACTCTCTTTAGTATGTACCTGAGGATCGACCATTTCCGCGGGCACATCACCCATATCGTTGATAACAACATAATTATCATATGGCTTGATTTCTTCCTCAGCTTTGAATAGCACTGGCGGTTCCTCAGTTGGGGCAGCAATCAATTCGGCATCACCTTCCTCCCCTGCCGCTGCCTCTCCACCGCCAGGCTCCACAATGTTTTCCAACCCCCCTACAACAGCGTGTTTATCCAAAGTACGCTCTTCTCCATCAATCATATCCACAGGTTTATCCTCCAGGGGCACCGTTTCGTTGCTTTCTCCGCCGGCACTTGGATTAGATTCACCCAATTTCTCAAAAGACTCGCAAGGCAATTCGCCTTGTGTCTCTCCAACTTCCAACTTTTCATCTTCCACCACCAGTTTGTAGGGTTTATTCGTCTCGTCAGGTAAAGAAGCTTTGTCGTTCTCCATGTGCACCCAATTACAGTTTTTTCAAACCCTAATGTTGGGTTTCCTCCACAGAACACCCAAGCACGTTTTCCATACGAGTTCCCAAAGCTTCTAGGGCTGAAATATGGCAATCAAAGCTCAACAAATTTTCACTTCACATTTCCTGGTGTCCTTCGTTAAGAATACCGCAAAGACGAGGGGCTCTGCCAGGAAGGAAAGGCAAAGATCTTCATTCTATCCGTGTACTGTCTGTTTCTGATACGCCAACTGACCAACATCAACATGTAATAGTTTGTCTTAAGCCGCTCTATTGGGCTCACTATTGGATTATGTTAATAGGCCTAAAGCCCATCAAAATTGGTACACACTATTGGGCCTAATGCCCATACTATTTGGTAGGTCACAGACTCACAGGGTAACTTATTACGTACATCAAATCTACATAGTTATCAACGGTCGTATTAACTTCAACACCGGTTCTTCGCGAGAACGCTCTGCTCTCCTCTCCTCGCGGTGAAGCTCGTCCGTGTCAACCCGTCTCTCTCAGCTACTGGTATTCTTCTCGGGTTTGTTTGAGTTTGAGGGTTGTATTCTTAATCTAGTGTTTCGGGTGGGGTTTGATTTCAAATCTAGCTCTGTTTTTTTTTTTTTTTTTTTTTTTTTTGGGTGATTTTAAAGTGGGTTTCGTTTGAATTTTGACCGTCGCTTTTTGGCACCTAAATGGTAAAACTTTTCCAGCAAATAAGTTTAGGGTTCCAGATCTGTAGCGGTTGCACGGTGAATTTATGTTTATCGTTTGGAGGATAATTTCTACCTTTCGGTTAGGGTTTCAGATTAGGTTAGGTAGGGTTGTTTATCTGATAGCTTTGTTTGGCAATTTCATGTAACATCATATTTTTCTTGACGACGCGAGCTTTGAATTTAGTGGTTCTTCTTGGGAATGAATTTGGGGTTTGTGTATTTGACTTAGTTTGGTGCCCTACTGTTATTATCTTTTGAGGTCAAATTCGAAAATTAGAATAACGAAGGAGTAACCTAGATCACAGATGTTTAGGAATTTCCTACTCTATCCCCTCATTGATGTTGTCTTGCAGCACCACCTCTGGTTCTGGAATCTTTGATGTGTAGTTGTCCATGTGGATATCATTGATTTAATTAGTGTCTGTTTAACCCTGTTGGTGATCATAAATGATCTATCCTGGTGAAAACATAAGGTTCTTCGTTGTGGATGGAAGGAGCATACAAAAAAAAGGATTCATTTTGTATGATTGGTACTAGAATTAATGGATGCATAATATGTATGTATGTTTTATGCATTGAATGTTATAAGTCAGTGTTCTGAATTGATCCGTTATCCCTCGTTTCTTTTGGTGCTCCTTCCTTCATTCTGTCCTCTTCACTTCTTAATATGAATCATTCCCAGATGCACTGTAGCTGAAAAATGGTGATCAAAAGAAGAAGGGAATGTACAAATCTGGTGGATAGTTGGCTGCATGTCACTATAAGATATATCTTGAAATTTGGAGTGTTTAAGCCTGTATCTTGTTTGAAAAGAGGTGCCCAAATGCACTGGATGTGGTTGCACAGTAAATTTATTTGTGAGAACTAAATGGGTGCTGACTTCACATTATATTCTTGATGTCTGGTGGCATTGCTTGCTGAAAAATGTAGCATTAGTGAGGGGATCTGGTGTTTAAATCATGAAGGGGCACTGAAGAATTGTAGGTGTTATTGACATGGTGTCTTGGGTTTGTGGTTATGGTGGACAGGGAGGTGGCAGCAGCTGTGGTGTTGATAATTTGCATTTAGGTGTTGGTTTGTAGATTTTTGTAGTGTGGAAGATGACCTTAGGCAACAGGAGCCGAAGCAGGAGCCGGAGCAGGAGCAGGAGCCCAGTGGATCGTAAGATTCGTACGCAGCGATATTCTTATCGTGATGCACCATATAGACGGGATTCAAGACGTAGTTCCAGGTTATTTGGTCTTGATTCACTCCTTTGTTTGTAATGTTTTCTATGTGGTGTGGGTGGTTAGAGGCAGTTAACTGGTTAGTGGATGCTGGAGTCTATCTCAAAGGGAACCAGATCTACTTTGCTGGTTGATTACACATGCGCGTCTTGGATTCTGATTTGTTCAACATTGTTCTGCTTTTAGAAATGTGTGTGAAATTTGGTTTCTCAAGATTTCTTCTAATTAATGTTCTTCTGGAAAATGTGATTAGGTGTGAAATATGGAAATTCATTGAACTGCTTGTAGGGACTTTCTAACAAGATTATATATGCCTTTTCTGGATGTTTCTTTTTTGCAGTCTGAACAATTTGTGCAAAAACTGCAAAAGGCCTGGCCATTTTGCTAGAGAATGCCCCAATGTAGCCATATGTCACAATTGTGGTCTTCCTGGGTAAGTATACATGATTGCATACATGCTTTGTTGATTCAAGATCCATCAACACCCAATACCCTTTTAGAAAACCAAGCAAGAAGCATTCTCACTCAATTTACTTTTACTTTAGTTTTGATACTCAAATTATTAGTTAGAGAATCGCTTGGTATAATGTTTAACTTGTCTCTGTTGCATAGACTCCTTTCTTAACTGCATCTAAATGTGAATGTGTAAGGTGTGTGTTATCTTGCTGCTGCCCTTCTCATTTGTGTGAATTTGTTATTTTGTATTGTGTGATAAATTTCCCCATATGTTGAATATTAATTTTTGTGCATAGTCCTTGATTTCTATATTTGTTCAGCTCTAGTCTTGTATCACAGTGGTGTTAATACGAAATGCATTTATAGTTGAGGCCATGACTGCTTTAGCATTTGTATCAACAATCAGTGTATATAACTTCTAAACTTATATTTATATCTTTGGCTATTTTGATCAGGCACATTGCATCAGAATGCACCACGAAATCGCTCTGCTGGAATTGTCGAGAGCCCGGCCACATGGCTGGAGATTGCACAAATGAAGGGATATGCCACACTTGTGGAAAAGCAGGACACCGTGCCCGAGACTGCACAGCTCCACAGCTCCCTCCCGGTGATCTAAGGTTGTGCAATAACTGCTTCAAGCAAGGCCATGTGGCAGCCGACTGTACCAACGAAAAGGCCTGTAAAAACTGTAGGAAAACAGGCCATCTTGTCCGCGATTGCCAGAACGAACCTGTTTGCAATCTGTGCAATATTTCTGGGCATGTAGCTAGAGAATGCCCAAAGGCCAATACACTTGAAGGGAGGGTTGGGGGAGTTCGTGGAGGTGGATCCCGGGATATCGTCTGCCGAACTTGCCACCAAATAGGTCATATGAGCAGGGATTGCATTTCGATGTTAATATGCCACAACTGCGGGGGAAGAGGACATCAGGCATATGAATGTCCATCTGGGAGGTTCATGGACCGTTTCCCCCGGAGGTACTAGAGTGTGATTTGTGTGGCTTACACCGACCCTCTTACTTATCTGTTACCCACATTATTTAAGTGAAGTATGCATTGGTGGTGGATGTAATTAACCACCTTGACTTGGTATGAGTGTTTTTTTGACAGTTTAGAGATCAAATATGCACAATATTACTGGGATTGTGATATTTGACTTGGATTGTTGCTTAAGGTGAATTGAAATCTCACTGTGGAATGGTGGTGGTGTTGTATGAATCTAGCGAAAGCTTATTTTGTTCTACTACTAGGATATTAAAGTGTTTCGGTGTTCTGGTAGATCAAATTCCTCTACAAAGGGTGTTGTTTTATAGTTTTTAGGTGAAAAGTAAAAAATAAGCGGTAAATTAACTATTATTTTTGTCCGGTAATTAAAGCATGTTATAAACTATCATTTTTGTCTGGTAGTTGAAGCATGTCATAAACTAATCTCGAAATAAAATTTGTATTTTTAGTTCTTCATGCTGGAGGACACGTGTGCATCAGAACCAGAAATACATAAATTAAAAAAGTAATAATAAATTCATGTGTTCGGTATTGCTCTTTTGACGAGCCACGCTGGTGTGATGCATGCATCTTCAGCATAATAGGCTAAACATATGAAAAAAATAATTTTGAATAAACTAAAATTACATAATTAAAATAAAAAAAAAATCTGTCACTAAAAAATAATTTACCCAAGAATTATTATATTGATATTTTATTTTAATAGAGAATTATTTTAAGTGTCGAAATTGAAAATATAGAACAGTAAAATTGGTAGGCTATGCTAAAAAAGGGCAAATGTAGCCATAGACGAGTCTTGTTTTATTCCCAAAAATTCCTCTCAAAAGAATGATATGATACTATATAAAAGGGCATCTTTCTAAGTAGAGTAGCATAGCCTATCACGTCACGAATAACCTTCACCATTGGAGCCAAAATTAAACAAAATATAAGAGACACGAAAAGCCACGTATGCACACAAAAAACACACATACATATTATATATATATATACGTTATGAATGCTGTGGGTGGGTTGTGGGGTTGGTAAAGCATGCAAATGCAATGCAGACGCAGTTGACAGTTGAGAAGTTGCTCTGATTTTGCTGCGGCTGTCCTGCCCATTTGGGAGCATTGGTTTTGTTTTGAGCTCCAAAAAGCCTAATAATATGCTAACTTTTGTCAGCAGCAAAACCGCCCCAATACCAATACCAATACAATTCCCACCACCATCTTTGGTATTTGTTCGACCAATGCGATGCCACTCAGTCAGCTCACAAAACATCATACTAATGATAATAATGAATTCTTGTTATTGATTCACATGATTTATAATGATTTGCATTCTTGTCTTTTATGAAACCGCACCTAATGGGAAGAGGGCTTGCCTACCTTATTTCCACCACCACACTTCACGGGCTCAATCCCCTATGGGACATTATTACACCAACCCACAAATCAACATTTTCTTGAAAATAAAATGGAAAATTTTACTTCATTATTAAATAATAAAAAAAAACCAAATTTCACCATTTCATCATAATCATGAAAATAAAACCGAGTATAATACCTGCCCTAGGAGAAAAGATAAGAATAACTTTTCTAAATAACAGCACCCCATGGCCACCATACCCCACAAAGGTACATTCCCTCAACCCACTAGCATTCATAGCATGCCCAATCCCTATGCCCATTTTCTCCATTCTTTGTTCCTCCTCAAGGCCAACAAGATGAGGAATTTTGTCGAATATGAACTTGTATTTCCTGTCCTATCCTCCCAAGATTAAATAATGCAGCATATAAAAAGAATAAAGTAGGCCAAAATTAATACTCCCCCATTTCATAAATATGGTTTGGCCTACTTGGAAATAGAAACAGAAAAAAGCTTAAAATAAGGCACAGTTATGATGGATGGATGAATGGATGGAGTCACACTTCCCAGTGCATGTGAATTTCAACTGACACCCTACGCCTCTCTGTCGGCGCCCAGTTTTTGACACTGCCCGTGATTCTCCCTCCCCTGCTTACACATTTTTGCAATTGCCAATTTTGCCTTCTAATAAGCAACCACTATACATAATCAATAGATTATATATATAAATATATATACCCCGCCAGATTGTGTAGTTTTGCAGTCACCACCGTTTGTACTACTACCAACTTCTTCACTCACTGCACTGAACTGTACGGTGCAGGTTCCCTTGTAGGCTATCACTACAACAACTTTGCGTTTTATACAAAAGCGTCACTTGAGAGAATGAACCTACGGTGCGTACAGTTCCTTCTTGTAGTCGCTCTGGTGGCGCTGGTTCGGCTCCCGGCGGCGGTCAGTTACCACGACTACGCCGACGCATTGGCGAAATCGATTCTGTTCTTCGAGGGGCAGCGGTCAGGGTACCTTCCGGCGGACCAGCGACTGAGCTGGCGGGGGAATTCTGGAATGGGCGACGGCTGGACGGTGTCGCAGGACCTGACCGGCGGGTACTACGACGCAGGGGATAACGTGAAGTTCAATTTTCCAATGGCTTTCACGACCACAATGCTCGCCTGGAGCGTGGTCGAGTTTGGGGACCTGATGCCGCCGCCGGAGCGGCGGAACGCTCTGGTGGCGATCAGGTGGGCGACGGATTATCTTCTCAAGACGGTGGCTCAGCCAAACCGTATTTTCGTTCAGGTAGTCCATAGATTTCTATACCTCTTTTAGCTGTTTCTAAAATGTTCATAGCATCGGGCGTTGAATCAAATCGGAGTGAATACGATTTGGTTGGAGGAGGAAGTATGGGTGGTGCAGTTATAAAGTTAATGGCGGTTGCGGGAGTACTGTACAGAGAAGAAGAGTAGATGAGCTAATAAACAGACCTTGTTTAATGCGGGAGGGTGGAAGAAAATCGTGGGTAGGGATACCCGGGAGTTCGAGTCCTGGGTGAATCCAAGCCATTGGTGATGTGGACCCCACGTAGTCAAAGGTCTAGATTTGGCTGGGAGCTGGTCTACAGAATCAATTTTCTTTCTCTGTACTGTTCTGGTCCCCCATTCATCTTCCTTAACGAATCCATTGGCAGAAAGGCTTTCAACTATTTCAGCCATCAATGGGTGGAAGCTCTGTTTTCCATAAGTCATCAGGCCGATGTGTCCTCTTGCATTTGCAGAAAAATATGGACCATATTTAATGAATGTTAGCAGAAGATGATAACTAATTAGCTATATCCTCCGAACATGGAATTTAGAGTATATATTAATATTATACTTACTATTGTTGATTATAGGTAGGTGATCCAGTTATAGACCATAACTGCTGGGAGAGGCCAGAAGACATGGACACTGCCAGGACAGTGTACACGGTGGAGGCTCCGAGCCCCGCGTCGGATGTTGCCGGCGAGACGGCAGCAGCCATGGCTGCCGCCTCCATGGCATTTAGATCATCCGATCCGGGATACGCCGACACTCTGCTGAGAACAGCCTTCCGGGTTTTTCAGTTTGCAGACAGCTACCGCGGCGCTTACAGCGACAACTCTAACATTAGGGACGGGGTCTGCCCGTTCTATTGCGATTTCGATGGATATCAGGTAATCAATCAAAATGACAATAGTATGTATGATCTTAGCTGCTGAAATAGACTGACATTATAGTTGATGTATGAAGGATGAGTTGCTGTGGGGAGCAGCTTGGCTGAGAAGAGCCTCACAGGATGATTCTTACCTAAACTACCTGCAAAACAACGGTAAAACACTCGGCGCGGATGATAACATCAATGAATTTGGATGGGACAACAAGCATGCTGGCCTCAATGTTCTTGTTTCCAAGGTTGGTTGGTTAAATTTATTAGTAATCTACACACAACACAACCTTAACATACTAGTAAAGGATCATCATATATCTTATATATAACTAAGAAGACATGTTTTCGCAGGAAGTGTTGGAGAGCAGTATGTACTCACTGCAGTCATACAGGGCATCGGCAGATAGCTTCATGTGCACGCTGATACCCGAGTCATCCACCTCACACATAGAGTTCACACCCGGAGGCCTCATTTACCGGCCTGGTGGGAGCAACTTACAGCATGCCACCACCATTTCATTCCTCCTCCTCGTCTATGCCAATTACCTAGAGAAGTCGTCACAAACAGTGAACTGCGGTGAAGTCAGCATTGCTCCTAACCGGCTGAGGCAGATAGCCCAGAGACAGACTAACTACATTCTAGGTGAGAACCCCAAGGGGATGTCATACATGGTCGGATACAGCAGCGTGTACCCTCAGAGGATCCACCACCGCAGCTCCTCCATGCCTTCGGTCAAAGATCACCCCCAAGCAATCGGGTGCAAGGAGGGCTCGACATATTTTAACTCCACGGGTCCTAACCCAAACGTGCTGGTGGGGGCAGTGGTAGGCGGACCGGGGGAGGATGACATGTATGATGACAATAGAGTGGATTTTAGGAAGAGTGAGCCCACAACTTACATCAATGCTCCATTGATTGGGGTCCTGGCATACTTTGTGGCCAATCCTAACATTAGTAGTTAGAGTTAAGAGAATTATTGGTTGAGTGAGTGAGTGAGTGTGTTTATTCTAGGGATTGAAGAGTCTCTCATCTTGCAAGAACGCGAGAAGGAAGAGGCTAAGGTTTCAATGGTTCTTTGCATGCAAGTGAATTGAATCCTAATGCTTTGTTTTGTTTTATATGGAAGAATTATATAGTTTTAATTTGTTTCAGATTTTAAGTTTTTTTATGAAGCAAGAAAAAGGTAGCCTGATCAGTGTTCAGAAATATATAGCAAACATATTAAATCAACTAAAGAAATATATATATATATATATATTAATTCCGTGCCCTTTAGGGAGTCACTCTCATAAATTATATGCAGCCAATTTCATATCGTTTTTTTCCAGTTTGTTAAAGAGATTTTTCTCGACACTGGCCAAACAAACTCTTAATTGTGAATATTTTTATGGCCTACTTCCGTACCATCAAACACAAGCAAGCAGATATCAACTCATTATTTCAGTGGAAGGAATAAGTTCTTGCAGGATTGTTTTGGCAAACAGTATAACTCACATGAATGCTCTCTCTCTCTCTCTCTCTCTCTCTATATATATATATATATTAAAAATATTGTGAGAATTATAAACACAGATCATATTTAAATTGAGCGTGTTGATCATTGCTACCACATTTTATTACCTACCCAACCCTTCATTCATGCAAAGCATCTCTGCAACATTTTCTCATAGCCATGCCCATGGATACAATACAGGTACAGGCGTACAGCCTTGGCATTTGCCTAGAGTTAGTCTTACAGTCTAACACCATAGTCCTGAGGTAAACAAGAATATTCTCACCTACTCTGATCTATTATTCAAGTCATGTTTACCAATTTAGTGTAAAGCAGTCAATATGACATGCCATTTGACATATAAGGCTCATACAAATTTGAACTCTCCTGATTCTATGTACCCACTCTTCTTCATGTGAATTGTATATTACTAGATTTTTTGGGCTGTGAGAAATGAAGGCACATCTATTACTATTATTTTCTTCCAATATTTCGGACAGAATCCAAAACATTGAGATCTAGCCTGATAATACATTTGACTTGATAAAATAAATAGTTAATTTTTGACGTGCCTAACCTTAACAGGTTTCTAGTAATTTTCTTTCCACTGACCATTATCTCTCTCTCAGATTCTGGAATTTACTGCACACACTAGTAGTTCTGCAGCTAGAGACAGGAGCCAAAAACAGTACACACTTGAGAAACACTACAGATATTAGCCAAACATTCATCTACCTGGTGAAATTTTCACTCATTTTGTCTAGTTCCCATTTTCTTTTTTTGCACTCTTGAAGAACAGGTGGTAGGCGAATTTATGCAGTCAGATCATCACAATTGATTGGTGCGCAAACTTCTAAAAGTTTTTCTTCATTACCATTTAAATTTATCTTACTAGCGAAACGCACTTCTCTACCTGTACCATACCATTGAAGTTGACAATTAATTATGATTCAAACATCAACATCTATAACCACTATCTGTAACACACCATAGCAGTTAAATCCTTGTAAAATGCATTGCAATTACTGCCCTAGTAAGAAACCTGATCATCCACACCGCGCATATTATTGCAACAAAAATGGCACACGAAGAGTGGAAGATCATAAAATCCTCAAAAACAACAAAACAATGTCAACCTAACTTCGGCACGCAACGCAAGGGCTACTTCATTCACGGCTTCACTCGCACATCTATTTAGACAAACATGCATGCACCAGAGCAGATTCAAAGGCAAAATCCAGCACTCGAGAAACATGAAATGCGTACAGTTAATTAATATAAGCCTTACGTACCTACCAAGGAAAACCGAAATTTCAAGGACAAAAGTGGAATAGGCTTACTTTTTAGCTTATTGAGGACCTCCAATCAGTCATCCCGGCAGTGCGACTCCAACCTCCCGGCTAAGTCGACCAGATTAGAGAGTAGAATGAAGAACAGAAGACAGGAAGTGCCAAGGAAATCGACAACAGAGTTCTCGCACCTTGCGCACTGCGTCTGATATAGACTTGCAACTTCTGTCCTTCATGGTTTAAATTTAAATTGGGAAATTACAAACTCAGCCTTAGAAGCTTCTCGCCTCCGTACTATCACACCTCTTCCCCGTGTATTTCTACACTTCTATTTATTTACCAATAAGTATATATATTATAAATTAATTAATTAAACAAGCAAATATCAATTTATTAATGGTGACCAATTTTATTTTGTTTTATTTTTAAAATACTATCATCTCACCAACAGTCAATCAGTCATATCTGCTATTCGCTATAGCATTCATTTACAAGAAGGAAGACACACAGCTGCTCAATTGTTGGACACAAATATAGAGGAGTGTGATGAATGGAACTAGAGTTCGATTTCTAGGTTGAAATTCAATATTAAATTACATATCTTACAACATTTAACCATATGCATGCCTTAGCCATGGATACATCCAGAAAAGATAGGACTTACGAGGAGGTAAGGGTAAGGGAGAAGGAGGACCTGAAATTTCTCTGTGCAGATCTTATTGCCAATAAATAACACTATCCTAAGGTCTTCTAATTGATGCTACGCCTCCATCTTCCATGAAACAACAGCAAAGCGACACTGAGAGTAGCCAAGCAGTAAGAGTTGCACGATACAAGGACTATCTTGAGTGCGCTCTACCATCGCCCTCAGCCATTTTGTTGCTAAATGCCAACTGCAATCATTTGGTAAGAAATGCAAATGTTAGAGAATAGATGCAGCTGCTGCATGTAGAATCACATTTATCCGGCACAAGTTGATATCACTACCATTTGATCGTTTCAAAGACTTCTATATACATGCATTTTCAGTCTCATCTACAAAATCCCAATCTGTTACCCTTCCACAAATTAAAACCTGTCGTGGTACCAATCTAATAATAATCTTTATGACTAGCCAAGAACAGACATGAAACTTTTTTATTTTGGTTAGATTGCCTGCTGGAATAAACAGCTGTTTCTGTTATAAGATGGGAAGCTTCTTACAGCAAAGTATCAACCTAAAATATAGTTAACACATTGCAATAGAACTTCCTAACATTATTAGACAGGTATCAATAGCATATATGCTACCATGCTCAAAATTTTTCTTGAATTCCAGGAAAATATTTGTCATATATTTGGTTCTATGCAGAATATACCTTCATTACTTCTCCAGTTTCCTTTTGAAATATCCATCTTGAACCAAACTGTCAGATTCATGATGGTTGTCAGCTGAAGCACCTGTTCGTTCCTTGGAAGAAAGCAGACAGACAATACACACCCAAAAAATAAGGGCCTAATACTGGTTGACTAAACCATGATCTTTGAAAAACTAGTTGGTTATTGAGACACAGCAAGATTGAGATTAAAAGAGAATACTTGGTTCATCGGCACTTGCCCAACCATCCTTTGAGGTCTGGCATTGAGGTCAATCAACTTATTATCCATTTTTTCATCTGTATCTATGTTGTTGCGCTGGATTGAATCTTGAGAAATCTGATGATTTTGCTGATTATTCTCTTTTGCCCTAAGACTAGGCAAGTAAGCAGGATCCCTGTTTGCTTCACCAAGACTGGCTCGTTCGGATCCCAGCTCATCATTGTTTCCAGGTTTGTCCCCTGGAAACTACATAAGCAACACATCAGAAGAATTAATGGATACAAACACCTTGTATTCAACTGGTTTAGAAATGAAAGACCATTGTTATCTAGCACAACCACAAACCTTAATTCTCTGCCTCAGCAGCAGATATCTTCCATGGGTTCTTTTACCACCAACGTGGACAATCATATCACATTGCAGACAAAGGGAACTTCCATCGATCTCACAATAAAAGAAAGCTACACAAAAGGCCAGAAAGTATCCTTAAGCAAATTGCTACCAACCAAATATGAAAAATGACTGAACAAGAAGAAACATATGTACCTGGAGCATTTTCACAAATGTCACAGCGTGGGACTTCACTTGGCTCGGCAAGTCCAACTCGGACATGCCTGCTGGCAAGCTTATTACACATATGGACCTGGCACAACACCAAAGTCTAAACATTGTTACCATTATATTCATACAGAGATCATTAAGGCAGTAACCCTGGCTTAACATTCCAAGAAGTTCAAGTGCTCAAGCAAGATGAATCCTACTAGAACAAAGCAGTAAAAACAAATATGATTTATTCTCACCTCAACACAAGAATACAATCATTTCTCATTTGAGTAAAACATCTGCAACATACTAGCAGTGAAATCCATTATAAAATCCCTAACAATCTTCAGACGCTAAGAGGAGGAATCATTACAGGAAGGCGTGTTCAAACGGCCGGGCAATTCCCAAAATTCAATGATCTCTCCTGACGCAATCTATGATGCCAAATCAGATAGTACCACCAATCTTAAAAAAGTTCAACGGCATAAAAGAACAACATTTTTGGGGAAGAAGATTGATAAAAACAAGCAATACAACCTCTGCAAGCACATTATTCCAAACAATACAATCTAGAATAACCAAGTCCAAATACAACAAAAATCAATACTAAGGTTTTTTTAACTCGATCCATTAGATCCACCTACAGACTTGCGCACACATTAACTTACAAGCAACCAAAGGACACAACCTTATCATCACAAGCGCGACAAAGCGCGGCCTCATCCGCGGCGCAGAATATAATCGCCGCCGCACCCTCGCAAACGTCGCACAGCGTTCTCATTCTCTCAACTAAATTCAGTTCCAACAACTTGTACAGTCCGCAACCTCAGCTCGATCATCCATACATGAACACATCCGATATCGTCGCAGATACTCGATCAGCCATAAATACACACAAGCAGCTAGCTCCGGATCACATCGAATGCGTCAAAACGGGTACGGGCACTGGCGCACAAATCCCACATCAAATGACAGCTGAAAGGTGTTGCAGATCGGAATTCCGAGGAGAAATTGTGAAGAAAAACAAGTTCGAGGGAGTATGCGTGCGGCTTGCGGAGGTGCCTTTTTTGTTTTGTACATTTATTTTAATGCTCAACCGCAAGAGTATATAATACAAAAAATATGACACTTGTACTGAGGTGACACGTGTCGATCTCCCAATGAGTAGTCAAGTGCTCTTACAATTTTGCCCTCCTTACAACAATACATCAACATGTAAGAGCATTGTGAGAATACAAGAGGGCCCATAAAATGAAGTTGGGATTGAATGACTGAATAGAATGATTTATTTAAACTTACCTAATAATGAAAGAAATTCTATAGAGGAAGGGGATTACTTGTTGAGATTGTTAGGTGTGTGTTTGATTGAAAAAGTCAAGGGCATAATTGATATTGATTTGATTACCGTGTTATAGTATGGTTGTATGCTGCGGCTGCTACTGTAATGAAGACAAGTACAAAATGCAAAAGCTCTGTATCTGTTGTCCAGCAGATGGATTGATAGCCACACACATAAAGTGATTATGTGGAATGAAAGCAACCCATGGTTATTTGTACACCACCAATTTCACATCTTTTTTGTTTCCCTATCTTTTTCTATGTGCTCTTCATTGCCTTCCATTTTTACCTACATCTTGATGGTCCTACAGAAATTTGGACAACACAGATAAAAGCTAATTGGGCTTTAGTATTTCTTGATGAACTAAACCTATGAAACCCATTTAGTTTAGATTATGAAAAGCGAATAATAGATCAGTACCCTCACTTGAGTCCCTATCAAAGGTTTCTTTTTTTCAGAATTGAAGGTGAAAGACTTATGAATAGAAAAATAAAGCAAGAAGGGTAACTTTTTGTATTAGTTGGGCTGTAACTTTGCCTACAAATGCTATTGCACACTTGAATACAAAAGGGAAGAAAATTTAATGGAGGTGCAGGGAATTGGGAGTTGAGAGAGACAGAATCACTCAAACAAATTAGCACAGCACTGACATATATCTGAATTTGTAACTGAATGTAAGAGCAAATGAAGCTTCAAAATATTCCTAGAAATCTGTTGTTTTTCCAGTTTGCCAGACATGGCTTATCAGCTAGGTGTTTTTAAGAGAACATGTTTAGAACAACATATTCATCAACACAAGGCTGTTAGCTTACTACTCCACCTCAATAGGGTACAATCAAACTTGTACAGAAGATCAAGGTAGGTAACAAGTGCATTGACAACAAAAAATCAAATTAACTAGGAAGTAGAACTAAAATTAGGCATTTTATATTAAATAGAAGCAGTGTGATCAAGATTCATAAATGAGTTGGGCATGCCAATGTAATGCAGAACGTTGACGTGACATGAGCAATGAGGCAAGGCAGGAAAAATGCCAACATCAACTGATGATTCAAACATTGTGCTACCCAATAAGATCCCTAACACTAGCAGTCCCCGATTGGTAAGTGCTACAAGATCTCTATCATTGGAACCCATGGATATGGACCTGAATCTGTTAGTATGAATCCATAGTTAGCGCATTTTCCGTAGTTAGGATCACTCATTACTTGATCAAACAATTTCTTGCTATCACCAACATATACAAATAGAATGTCTACAGCCAATTCTCCTCTACATTCTATAATTTTCCACATTTCATTCCACGAATATCAATTCTATTTCACTGCCAGCTCTCAGCCCTGAAAAAATATGTTTTTGTGTGATCACAACAACACCTAGAGCAAGAGATAAAAAAAAAAAAAAAGAAAAGAAAAGAAAAAAAAGGTGTTTGAATCTTGTTGATAACAACTTATTCTATAGATTTACTTCAAATTTCCTTGTATTGATCAAGCCAATTGAAGAAAGATCTAGCTCAGCTCAACAGAGTAAACAACAATAGAAACATTAGCTATTCAAGAGTTTTGGCTCCATTTGGTTCGATGAATTATCTAAATGAAGCATAAATTGGTTGCAACAATAAACCACAAGCAAGTGCCAGTCCGCCAATAAATTCATAGCGATTGCTTCGAAAAAGCATCATCTCTAGCAGCTATAGAAAACAAAAATATATCTAAATTTCAGATGAGCTTGAACGGCAGAGGCCAAGGAGTGGACCTGGGAACCTCGATCTTATCCTTTATTCTCTCAATTTTCTTCTCCTTCTTCGGTCTACAGTTCCCATACGAACCTTTAAATCTCTTCCCTTTCTTAGTCCTTTTGTCTCCACGACCGCACAGGATCGGCGCTGAGGAAGATATCGACGACGCGAGAGAGGAGAGCGCCACCCGTTGATCTACGGACGCAGCAATCCGTCGAACCACAGTGTTGCATATCATTGCCATTTCCTTCGCCGATTGATTAACGGGTTTCGTTTTGGTACTTTTCCAAAATCTTAAAACCCTAGCCAAACTGCGTGTGTTTCATATGCTGTGAGATAAATATTAAGACTTGCCCAACCGGTTCCCAAACCGCCGGTTCGCCGGTATTGTATTTGGTTTGCGATGTGTGTACTTTGATTTTTATTATTTTTAGCTCTAATAATCATTTAATATGATATTTTTATTAGAAAAAAAAAAACTTTATTATTTAATATTTTTGGATTTTGATTTTAATAATTTTATAATTTCAACTATTGAAACTTTTACCTTAAAAAAAATAAATAAATAACATTCAAGGTATGAATTAAATCTGATTTATTTTAACTGGGTAATTTTTATAGATTTAAAAGAACAAACCACGGTTAATTGCACTGTACCTCCTATTGCATCCTTAACAATATTTATTGTAAGAAATGCCTAAAATTAAGTAGTGTTAAATATGTTTTGAAAATATTTCAGGTTATTTTTAAAATAATGAAAAATAAATATTTAATATAAAACCAAAGTATTTATTTTCATGTTCAATAATTCAAAAAATAAAACACATACACACACGAAGAGATGCAGGTGGAATTATAATTAGAGAAATAGAAAAATGTATAATAGTTTCTTTTGATGAATTTGGAAAAGAACTCATCATTCCACTCCATGAACAGATGGTCTCATTTGAATTCAGTTCCAGAAGAGGAGAGAAAGATACACATATGAAAGATGATGATAAGTAACGGATATAAAGCAAGAAGTGTACAATAAAATCAACCCTTCAGTGAGTACTTCTTTCCGGTGAAGGGCTGGAATTTGGGGTCTTCATTCTTAGGGGGTTCCTGCTTAGCCTCCTTAGGAGTATCCTGCTGAATCGAAAATAACAAGATTTAAATCCCCCATTTCATTGCATATGTAGTTTTGATGTTATGGGCAGAACAGACCTTCTGTGTTTCACGAGGGCGACCGGCATTTGAGCCAAAGACGAGCTTTCCCTGAGATTGGCGATTAGTGCTTTGTGAGCTAGAACTGCTGCCCGGGATGACTGTGGATGCAGTTGTTTTCTTGTCTTGAGAACCAGACGACGAAGATGGAGAAGGCTGGGCTTTTGAAGGTTTCCCGTCCAATCGTCTCCCAGAACCAGTAAATGGATTGAACTTTGGTTCAGTTTCAACTGGAGGTTCTTGACCTGTAACAACAAAGGCAAAATGCAATGAGAAATTTGTGGAAAGTGCTACATATGAAGGATACAGTAATTCAAAGGCAATGTAAATGTGAAATCGGTTTTCAGACTCAAAGAAATCAAGAGTATCATAACATGTATCTGCCATTTCATTTTACAGGGCAACGGAACATGATTGGCGAGCTCAGACATCACCCAACAAAATATGGTTTGAAGTAAATCTAGTTCAGTTGACTGTAAATAATAAAAAAGCAGACAAGAAAATTTTAAAAATTAGAAGAATCTGCACCTGCAGCAGAAGACTTGCTTGCTGGAATGGATTGGGAAGGCTTTTCTGGTTCCTTGTAATCAAGAGGGGGGGCAAAGTCCACTTCACAATCAGTTTCAATGATGCTAATTGCATTTGATGGCCTCGTCTCAATGATATCTATGTAATACTTCTTATTATTATAGGCCACCATAATGCTATCTCCAGTGGTCAGACAAGAGAAGTTCCTAAGCGTTTTCTCCAAGCTGCATAGTAATAATATACCTTAAATTGAAAGTCGCTTGCTATAAAAGTACTGCACACATCAAAGTATAATTTTAGTGCAAATCGATTGATATACCCCTCAATACTTGCTCATGTTCCAGAATCAGGAGACTGAGTAGCACATAACAATATAAAAAACATAGCAGTTGCCATTTAACTAGTACATGGTCTGTTAGAAGCTATAGCACCTAACAACGGCTGCATCATTCCATTTATTTAGAAAATGCATGTGTTCATAGTCTCAAGCAGCTACCCCTCCAATAAAGTAAGGCATTATTTTTAAAAGTTATTCCGCAGTGCAGATAATGCAAGGGACTTGACATGTCAAAAATGTTAATGTGCAACTTTAAAAACAATGTATTCATTCTCCTAGAAGTATTCAAAAACCTGCAATATGTATATGGGAATAAGGCATATTGACTGATAAGTTCTACAACCACCATCACGGTTTTCAGTTAAGTGTTGGGGAAAAGAATTTCAGTACGCTTACATAGCTTTTGGGTTGGAGATATCCAAGAAGTCCGTTGTGTGAGGCTGCAATTTAACATAAGTACCCTTTGGAAGTGGAACATTTTTCACACGTACAATGTCTCCTTCTTGTAACAACAGATTCTCCATCATCTACAACAAAATAACATTCAGGCACCCATCTGAAGCAATGGTAAGAATAAAATGATTAATTAGGCAGTACATACCCAGTAGGGCATATATATCATGCCTTCTTCAGCAATGAACTCCAAAACCCCACAATGCGAGACACGCTCAGTAGCAGCATTTCGGAGCTCGAATAACATAGGGTAATCAATATGAAGAGATGCTGCAGATAAGGTTATCCGTTTATTTAGATGGTTGACAATTAAACAACGGTTACATCAATGGAATATGACAACATAATGATGCACCAAATTAAAAAGTGCAACTAACCAAGTCGGTCAAGAGCAGAAGGAGGCATGATAACTGTGTAACAAACATAGGAAAATCAGATAATCAATATTCCAAAAAACAAAAAAAAAACAAAAAAACTGCCCTGCAATTGAAGAGAAATTTAGAAATATCACCTTTGTCACCATTCTCTATATGTGGCTGCAAAAAAGGACAGTAAAAAAAAAAAAAGTAAATATGAAAGGCTTTGGAAAAAGTAAAATTTAGGCAGATGAAGACAAACACAGAACGAACTACATATTACATAAATATATAGTAGTAAAATTGGAGGATGTAATAGTTAAAGTAACGATTTGCGCAATTGAAAAGGAAATTCAATGCATAAAATATTCACAGAAGAATAAAGATTGCATATATATGCAGGGTAAATAGAATCCGCCAACATCATCACAAGGAATAGACAACAATCAGGTCGATAGAAAACATTCCAACCTTGTCAATGAAAGATGCTGGATAGCACCTATAGGTTTGCTCAAAGGATGTTCCATGGTAGCCATATCCATCGTAAAACTGAGATGCATATATAAATATATTATCAGGATCATCAAAATCGTAAACCAGCACACAAAAACAATAGTAAAAAAGGCATTCAAAATAGGCATTAGATGGTTCGTCAATAGTATAAACTTTCCAGGTTTTTCCAAAAAGGCTTAGCTTCAATTAACACTTAACAGCCAACAAATGTTCAGAATCTTCAGTGTGCTAACACTCTATATAGGCTGAAGCAACTCTAAATTCATGGGCAAGCTAATACTACCGACAACCAAACAAGAAACCATCGTGCGGAAGTTATGACCGCCCAATGATCATTACAAAACGATAGAATGTCATTCTCAATATCCCCACCCTCAAGGCTAGGGCTGCGTCATGCGCAGAAACTTCAAGTTCCGGAGCAGGTTTCAAGTTCAGTATTTTGGATCAATGAAAATGATGCAACATAATTACGGAAATATAAATTGCACCAGAAGTGCAAGATCTAGAGTACGAACGGTACCATTTCCGATAATTTTACTCCACAAAGCATAAAACTGCATCATAATCAATTCATACCATGTTTACTACACTTCAGATATCAGCAATTCGTTCCCAACGCAGATCGCCTAGGCCAAGACAAATAAGCAAGAATTATTAATCAAAATACAACAAAAAAAAGAGAGAGAGAAATAACCCAATAATACACTTCAAAAAATTCATTTCTCGCTGTCTATATCAACAATATGCAAAAACTAAGATGAATCCCAATACCTTGATATCCAGAAACAAAACGTGAATCCGGAAGCGCAGGAGAAAGGGGAGAACTAAACCGCCTGAGAGAAATTGGGGAAAAAATGGAAGGAATAAGATGCTTGTGGGCGTATGGTGGCTTTTGGTGCACGCTATTTAAATAAGTCGTAATTTGTTTAGATAATATATTTTGTTTTATTTTTTTAATGGGATATCATAAATACGGAGTAGATATGAAAATATTTAATACTTAATATTTGTATAACAGGGTGCGTTTTTTTTTAATGAATTTGGAAAAAATTAATTTGATTTAAGTTTAATATATAAATAATGTTTGATGAAATAATTTATCAGAAAAAAAAAAAAAAAAAAACTAAAATGTAAATAGTAAAATTGATATAACTTTGTTAAAGGAACATATCCTTATGTATGATATTGATTTGCCCAACCGATTCCGAACCACCGGTCTGTTGGTTTATAAAATTGGTTCCAGCCGGTTCGATTTCATGAATCGCAGGTTCGAACCGCCGGTGGTATGTATTTTTAGAGTGTGGTATGTCTTGGGATGGATTTTCTTTATCTGAACTTTTATATAAATAGAGTTTGTAAAATGTTATATTATCATAAATTTATTAAAATTTTAATAAAAAAATAATCTCTGTTCTATTTTAATTCTTGGTTTCCGTTTTGTTCGACGGCAAACCGGCGAACCGGCGGTTTCCGGAACCGGTTGGGTAAGTCTAATATATCGTGGCTTTGTATAATCAGGATTATAAAAGGTTTGTTTGTTATTTTTATATTATTTGAATATAAAAATTATATAAATATTATTTTTTTTTTTATCTGAGGTAGTTTTTTTTTTTAAAAAAAAATGTATAAAATGGTTGCAATTTTATTTTTATTTTAAATTTTTCTTTTTGAACGACTTACCTAAAATAAAATTCTAGCAATTAGCACGTTGTTTAATATATTTGTTATTTAATCAATAGTAATTTTTAATAAAATAAAAACTTTCTGAATAAGCAGAAGGCACTTTTTTTTTTCTTTTATTAATTTATGCATTCTGCCTTCACAGTTCCTCCGTCGCCAACCGCCGTCCATTCCCGCCGCTCGACGCCGCTGGGTATGTTTAGAACTTAATTGCGTCCATTAGTTCTATTTGAGGTCAATTTTCGATTGCAGGAGTCTGCGACATTACTGCTCTTCATTAATGTCCATAACGTGTTCGATGAAATGCCTCTGTGAATTCAATATGCCGTGATTGTCATGCCGCCGAAACTGACTGACGTATGTGTTCTTCATATATTACTCTCTGTAGTCTGTTTATATGCTTGATCTGCAAAGCTCTGCAAAATTACTTGCACGCAAAATGGTCATACATTCGAACTTTAGGAACTTTGATTGAATGATGCATTTTGTTCCACTTCCTGTATACTTATTTCTCCCTTTCAAAATCGTTCTTCTTCATTGACATGACTCCCCTTCATTAATGGCCATAACGTGTTCGATGAAATGCCTCTGTGAATTCAATATGCCGTGATTATCATGCCGCCAAAACTGACTGACGTATGTGTTCTTCATATTTATATGCTTGATCTGCAAAGCTGTTAACTAAGCCTCCATAAAGATCTGCAAAATTACTTGCACGCAAAATGCTCGTACATTCGAACTTTAGGAACTTTGATTGAATGATGCATTTTGTTCCACTTCCTGTTTATTAATTTCTCCCTTTCAAAATCATTCTTCTTCATTGATATATGGTTAACGAATGCTCTTAAGGCAGATAGATTATGGCACCGAGATGGAAAGGAAAATCAGCAGAAGCTAAAGCCCTAGCAGAACCAATGTCCAAATTCGTTTCTAATCTCCAATCCTCTTTAATCGAGTCGAATATCGAAGGATTTCTCTCTGGCTGCAGCATGCTCGTCGCAGCAAATCCCGAGCAAACGGAACTCTTTAACAAAGCATGTTTTGGTCGTCCCATCGTCACGGCGGAGAAGGATGAGCAGCAGTGGTTTCAGTTAAGTCTAGAGGAAGCTTTTTACTTGTCCTCTTTGAAGAAATGCATCAAAATAGCAGCAGCTGGGGAAGGCGAGCGCGTAAAGATCGACGAGGATTTATGGAATTACTACATAGCAGTGTCGAAAAAGCCTGACTCGATTATCCAACTCGTCGCGTATTCTCATCTACGCGCGAAGAATTGGGTGGTGAGGGGCGGATCTCAGTACGGTGTTGATTTTGTTGCTTACCGGCATCATCCATCTCTCGTGCACTCGGAGTATGCAGTTCTCGTCTTATCCAACGACGAAAAGAGCAATGATCGGCTAAGAGTTTGGTCGGATGTACATTGCGCACTCCGGCTTTGTGGCAGCGTTGCAAAAACATTGCTGGCTCTTTTTGTTGGAGCAATCGGCGATACATTTGGTTCGCCGCGTTTGGAGGACTATGCCGTCGAAGAGAGAATCATCGCGAGGTGGAACCCCGAGCAAAGCCGGGAGGATCAACAGCCGACATCAAGCTCAAATGTGCCGTAAATTTCTATTACTTTTTCGTGTACTCATTCGACTAAATTGAGCTCCCTATCCTTTCATAGAACAACCAAGTTAGGGCCTTGAGGGAGTTCAAAATATGTTTCGATTACTTTGCGGTCTTCGACATAAATATGGCAAGCTTTCGCATCTACTGCTACGTAAATGTATTTAGAAAACTGCCGGTATAATAACAGGTAGACGAGGATGTCGCCGTCAAGTAAGGCATGTTACCGAAAGAGCGAGCGACGCCATCAACTAGCTCTGCAGTGCTGAGCCCATCTTCGCCGTCGTCGTCGTCGTCCTCCTGCTCCTCTATCCGTTGCTTGAGTGTTTGAAACATGAGTTCAGGTTGGTACTGCATCAACTGGAGCACGTCGGCAGTCGATGGCCCGGGTACAGCGTGAGTAACGGAAAAGCCATGTGGCCCGTCGCTCTGGGAAACCCGAATAATGCTCGGGCCGCCAAACAGGTTGTGGAAGCCGCCGAGCGCTTCCTCATAAGCCCCTCCGAGGAACATGCCGAGATAATAAGGAGCAGAGCTGTTGCTAATTTCGTGCAGAGGCAAGCTAGCCTCGCCTCCGATGAACTTGTTGATCTTTCCATCGCTGTCGCAGGTCAGGTCCGATAGAATTGCCCGGACAGTCGGGTGCTCGTCGAGCCTATGGATCGGAAGGATCGGGAACAGCTGGTGAATCCCCCAGTAATCGGGGATTGATGTGAAGATCGACAGGTTTACATTATATGTGCTGATTGGATCAATAACGCCAACTGCTCTCATCACCAATTCGCAGAGGGAGTCTACGGCAGAGAGCTGTTCCATGGTTAAAGATCCTTCTTTGAACTGCTCAACGCAACTCTGCTTCAAGTCTCGAGCATGAACCAAACAGCCATCGTACTCGCCATTGCTCGCCGCAGCAGACAAGTTTTTGCAATGCTCAAGAGCGGCGCCGGTCAGTTGACTCAGGAGGTACTGAATTCCGAGAGATGAACACTGCGGCGAACCATGGGAGCTTGATGTCGAAACAGCTTCGAAAACTAAAATCGAGTGGTGAGAAACAATTGCGCGGCCACTTTCGCTGCAAATCACCGGATGCCTCACCCCCTTGCTATTGCAAACCAGTCGAACCGCCTCTACAACAGCGGAAGCATACTCTTGAAGAGTGTAGCCGACGGAGAGATCAGAATCTCCGGACTTGGACCCATCGTAATCGATTCCTAAGCCTCCACCGATATCGATGATTCTCATAGAAGCGCCAAATCGAACTAGTTCACAGTAGATTTGTGCTGCTTCGCCAACACCGTCAGCGAGTAAAGATGTGGTCGGGATTTGAGATCCGATGTGGAAATGCAGCAGCTGCAGGCAATCGAGCATTTCGTGTTGCTGCAACTTCTTAACAACACGGAGAATCTGCATTGTAGTGAGGCCAAATTTCCCTTTCTCTCCAGAGGTAGAACCAAAATGGCCAGAATGCTTCGTCCTCAACTTAGCCCGAACACCAACGGCGGGACGAACACCAAGTTTTTGGCCGACATCGATCACTGCATCGAGCTCTTCCACCTGCTCGAGAACAATAATGGAGTTCATACCGAGCTTTTTAGCGAGTAAAGCTAGAGATATGTACTCGACATCCTTGAATCCATTGCACACCAACAGAGCCTCAGGAGATCCTTCACATAAACTGCTCATAGCCAGGAGAAGCTCAGGCTTAGATCCTGCTTCGAGTCCAAACCGGAAGCTCGATCCAAACCTGACAATGTCGTCAACGACGAACTTCTCTTGATTGCACTTAACAGGATAAACGCCTTGGTAATGAGCTTCATACCCTAGAGATTCAATAGCGATGTCGAAGGAAGATTGGAGGCACTCCAGACGGTTCTTCAGCACATCGGGAAAACGAACAATTAGGGGAAGCTGAAGGCCAAGACCGCCAGAACTTCGGTCATCGGAAGCTTTTTTCACGACCTTAAGAAGATCAATTTCTTCGTGCGCCAAGGTGTCGACGCCATGGGGACGTACACAGATGTTGCCGTTTGGATTAACGCTAAAGTACGGCGCACCCCAAAGGTCCACCCGGTACAGAACCGCCGAGTGTTCCGGCGACCAATTAGCGGAGAGCGGCGGCAGGACAGCGGCAGCGGTGTTCGTCGCCGGAGAAGGAAGAAGAGATCCACTGCAGCCGGAAAAAGGCTGCGGAGGAAGGGAGACGGCAGCGTCCACCCAGCAACTATCGGCAACCATCTTCGACAGTTGCGCAAAATTGAACAATTTTTTTTTTTTCAAAAACTAGAGAAGGATTAGATTATCGATCGAGTTTGAATATGAGCTGTGATTGCATGAGAAAAAGCCATGCGCCGTTTTATAGCGAAGGGTAGAGAAGAGAAGGGCAAAATGGCAATTTCACTATTGCTATTCGGGGGTAGGTGGGAGATTCTCTCCTATTTCTAAGGTGAATCGGCTTCAAGCTGCCGCGTGGCCAGCGGGACCCACACAAAGTAATAAATTCAGTGGTTGTTTTCTCGTAACATGACAGCCTCACATATCGTGGCCCTGACACCACGACATTTTTCATTTGATCCACTGATTCTTACCCATTTCCCTTCTCCTATTCTGTCTCGAGAGTCGAGTCTTACCAAGAAAATGGAGAGATAAGATTCCAAAAGTTCAGAGAAAAAAAAAGAGAGAATTCTCGTGACTCAATGACCAATCCCAAATACTCTCCCATTCAATTGCAAAAAATCAGATATTGGGCACACTCATCAATCAATACACGAAAGTGGGCGACTCATGTCATATGGGAACAAAAATAATTGACAAATGTTCTAGAATGAGTAGCAATGACTGAATAATGTTTAGAGTTTGACGGTGTCTCAAATTTAAAAGTTGTAGATTTAAAACATATCAGTTCAGTGATCATATTTGACGACGTGGGAATCCGCAGTTGCTACTCGAAAGTGAACACCGAATAAGCCTCAGGTCGAACTTAAGATTCTGCAAACTAGGCCCAATATAGTCAGAATCCACCCCACGCTACCAAATCATTATGCACGGTACATGAAATAATTGGGATATTTCAATGATGTAACCAAATAGTGTAAAGAATCAAATTTGGTCATCAGTTCAAACGTTAACGTCTACAAATCTTGTTGCCACATATGGTTCACCTAGTGTGACTTGTCTTATCGAATCTAGTTTGCAGGCTATTAGGTTCGACCAGAAGTTTACCCAAAGAGCACCCGTCGATCAGCTGTTACAAGTTCCCATATTATAAAAAAAAAAGTTAAGAAGATAAAACTTTACAAAATCAGAAAAAGGAAAATGGACCAATTACTAATATGTAGAATGTACTCGTGTACCGCAAGGCTACATCTGAGATAGGCTCTATTCTGCTCTCACATATGTTCATGTTACTAAAAGATACTGCCATGTTCTTAAGCTAACGAGGATTATATACACATTACCTACTGTTCAACAATACTAAGAGAATTATTTAATTTCAATATAATAGACCCAATTATCAACCAAATCTAGAGTGAGAAATGATAGGTTTCTAGATCCTGTGCACTAATTGACAACATTTCATGGGATGGCTATAACTTTTGATGGGTCCCTTTCCTCCATTAATTTGTTGGATGTGCTTCTATATAGGACATAATGGTGAGGGCAACTCAGATTCCAGACCAAATTTTATCATGTCATTACAGTTAAAAGAATAAATATATCAAAAGTTCAGAATGACGTACACAAATTTAAATAATCTAATATGGAAAGTGTAAGTAATATGGAAAAATAACTAAAGTGAGCTGTTACATTCTTACAATCAACAATATTTTGGCACACTAAACATTTTATGTTCAGATCTTCAAACATCTGCTTAATATCACAGTACACAAGCTAGTTTAATGATGATATTTAATATGCATGAATATAAATATATATCTCTTCTTTCTCTATTACCAAATCGATGACAAAGACAGGTTGTAAAATGATAATAGAGGAAATAAAGCATGTTACTCTTGTCTCAAACAGACAGGGTGACTCAAATGTATTGAAACAACTGAGACAAAATCATTTGGAATCAAATTCATTCACCATCTTAAACAACCCACACTAGTTGTGAGCTGAACCAGCATTCACTACTAGTTCTTTCTTTAGGGGTCACAGGACATCCCAAGATTGTATATAACCCAATAACCGAAGAAAGCATAATACTCATGGGGCAAAGGGAAGTGGCTTTTCTGAATATTAAGTACAAAGCACATGGAATATGGAAACTTATGTGGAAAATTTTCTACCAAAATGGGCTCCACTACCCCCCTTCCCACTAGAAAATCATAACTTGACCTAATTTCAGCCATGACCTAATAGCTTAGCGTCATAAAAGATTAGAATCCCTAGATTACACTAATCATCACTTATTAAACATATAAGTGAACACTTTACATTTGTTTGGGTATGACTTTTTTCAAAGTTTTGTGCATGTGAGCCAATATGTGTAGTGTTTTAATGAACTTTGTACCTTTTGGGTGGAACTTTTTCCTATTAAAAGATTAAACATGGCAAAAAGAATATACAATAGTTTTTATAAATTAGAGGACCAGAATCTGCATGATCTAAAAAGCTAACTTCAGCAAGATAGATAGATGAGGAATTTGTTGCCTTTCATCTCCACAATCAAACAAGTGTTGTCACAATTCACCAACTTGTGGTGAATAACATATTGGGAAGGAAAAAACAAACAAGCTTAACCGTTAAAAAAACATACATATCTTGAGTAACCGAAATGGAATCTCTAGAATTAGGTAAGACATTCTAATTTTTTTATTTTTTTATTTTTCTTATGAATATAAGAATTCATATTAATATGTTAGCAAAACACTTTAATCTCAAATTTTAAGGTTTATACTTTAGTAAGTCTTTTACTTCTATACATCACTCAATTTTCCCCGAATATATATTGGACCAATAAAACTCTAAATTTTCTATTTAAAAGTATATGAAACTACGATAATACAATGACAACCAACACAAGTTCAAATTTTCATATGCTGTGTAAATCTATTTGAATCCTGTCATAAGTTTATTTTTCAAAGCACAAAGGAAGAAAAAAGGAAAAAGCTCTCCACAAATATTAATGACTCAAAAGTAATGCAATATATTAAGATATCCTTTCCATTTGTAATACATTTTTAAGCAATTAATATTGCTTTTCAACTAGTACCTTAGTTTCATAATGGCTTAAATGTAGGACATTTAGAATGGAAATAGATTGATAAGTGATTATCCAACTTAACTAAAGTTATCAACAAAGTCCCCAAAGCAGCTTACTTAAAGTTATCAACAAACTTAAATAATTAATATCTTCAAAACAATCAGAACTTAGTGGGCAGCATGATAATATTCATCTTAATTGTTCTATTGGAAGACAATGACAGAACCACACAACCAACATGTATTTACTCATACAAACATACGACTCCACATGTGTCCGCTACATGGTTTACTATAAAGTTCAACCACTACTTGTCAAATTTTTTTAGATCTCATGATCTATTTATTGCATATGTATGAGAATGATTGATATAATGCTCATAAATTTTTCATATTGGCCCTATCCACCATTCTCTGTATTTTAAACTAGTATTATTAATTTGGTCCCAGAAGCCCATCATAGATCGTATCTGTAGAGCAGCATGCCCATACGTTGGGCCTCCCCATAATGTCAATACCCATGTATTAGGCAACAAAGATGAAGCTTGACAGAATATATGTATGAAAAAGTTGGCATCATAATTCGCTGATTCCAAATGTAGTGCAAAGCCTCATATGCATATGCAAGCACTATTTTATATTAAGCATGCACACAAATTGCAACATAAGCAAGAGGGTAGTGGAAGTACTAAGTATTAGGCTCAAAGATGACAAAAACATTCAAATAATAATGAAGGTTCAAAGGTTGTTCATGAATTCAAATACGCAAAAGATGAAGCATATTAAAGCAGATAGCTACATGCTATTATTTGCCACTGCAGGGAAGAATACTGAACAACTAATGAAACTAAGTGTTGGAGGAGAAGATAACATCTTAAATATTAATGTTGAAGAATAATGCAACATCCAAAACAGCAACTCAAACCTGGACTAGGTTCAATAGACTGATACAGCACCTATTTTTCTCATGTTCCATACCCCAGGAGAACCTGAAAGTTTTGTCCGGAACATTGAGCTGATAAGTCTTCTTTAGTCGGCTCTGGACTGGCCCGCTCGTGAAGACAATATAATTCCAACAATCAGACCATAAAGTGCCAAAGCTTCTGCAAAAATGAGGATAAGGATCATCCCAACAAAAAGCTTAGGCTGCTGTGCATTTGCCCTGCAAAATGACAATCATAACTTGATCAAGAAGAGCATTAAAATTTTGAGAATGCAATAATGAAAAAATAGGCCTGTAATAGAAGCATCTATTCCATTCACCTACACCTTAACTTAAAAGTTTAATAACATGAAAAATGACACTTGAATCCTGCAGCTCTTCAATACTCGTCAAAATCACTGAAGAAAAATCTCCAGGAACCACATCATAATCTTCATCCAAGTTTACAAACACAGGAAACATGACTTTCCACTGAAGTAAATCGTTAAGAACTTAAGTTATTTCTGTTAAGCATCACAAAGCATTTGGAAGCCAATCATATAAAATTATGAAAAAATTATGTGCATTGAAGTATTGAATTATTAATAGCAAGATAGAATGGCATAAGGTATCCAATCCCCATCACAAACGATAACAAGAGATATTCCTCAATATTTACAGCTTAGAAAAGTAAAATCTCAATGTCAACCAAACAACCATACCTGACACCAGCATCACCTACAATCCCAATAGCCATCCCAGCTGCAAGTCCAGCAAGGCCACAGGCCAAGCCAGAAGAAAGATGCGCATATCCATCAAAAAGGTAATACGATTTGGCCTTGGGATTTATACCAGTGCTAATAATCACAGCAATGATCAATCCGTATATACCCAATACACCAGCCATAACCACTGGCACAATTGATTTCATCACAAGCTCAGGCCTCATCACGCCCATAGACGCCACGCCTACCCCACTTTTTGCAGTTCCATATGCCGCACCCATGCCTATAAACACCAAGCCACCAAAAGTATGCATCGATAAAATAAAATTCATATTCATAACAGGGAAAGAAAATTCCACGCGCGATAAACAAAATCATGGGGATGCTCTTCCTTAACATATACAATCTACCGAAAGAAGTCCACATGCTAAGAAACCATGGAGAAACAACCGAAATCGGATAAACAATACTATTAAACGTAAAATTAGCAAAACACCATAAATGAAGATTGATGGAAGAAAATAGCGTACAGGAGAAGACGAGGGCGGCGGCGGCGCCGAGAAATCCAAAAAATGGAGCAGTTTCATCCCCGCTGAACGTCGAAGACATTGTCGTCGTCGATTGAACTTACTAATGCCACAATCGAAACAGCTGCTCTAGTTATGACACAATTGCAGATCTTCGCGTCAGGAGGAGCGACCAATTATTGGAAGAACAATCATGAAGTGATGAATAAATTTTGGGCCTAACTTAACTGGGCCTAATAACCTAAATTGGATTTTCGTGAGGCCCAAATGATTACCCATTTCTTTAGGCTCAATTAATGGCCCAACATCTTGCAGTACACTGACTGGAACAATCTGAATCCTTTAATCACAAAAATTATTAATAATTCATAAATATGAGATACACTTTAGTTTTTTTTTTTTTTTTTTTAAAACACATGCACATACTTACATTGCAGCGAAAATTTCACCTAACATATACATACACTCACATCTTTGGGATTTGATTTTTGAATAATTATTTAATATGATATAAATAAAATATTTGATGTAAAATTTTTTGAATATAAAAATAATGATTAAATATTATTTAATGAGATAAAATGAAGGGTGTGTTTGTTCGGGGATTGGATTAGATTTTTACTATTCATTCTATTTTTTTATCAAAAAATATTAAATCAAACATTTATTTTTTATTTTTTATATTATACTAAAAATCAATATTATATTCAAAATATTACATCAATATTTATTTATATCACATCATGCTATTATTCAAATTCAAATCTCCCAGACAAACACACCCTTTATTTATATATTTAATTATTTTTAAATTTGAAAATATTGTAAAGTGTTTGGTGTTTGAGTAACATTTGACTAAACACCAATTGTAAAATTTTCCATTATACCGTCTTAACAGTCAAAGTAAATTGATGGCATATTTGGTCATCACCGTTAATTCCGCTATGCTGATGCCATATTTGTGTATGTTGAGAAATTATTCCGCCATTATTAGCAACATCTGTCATCTGTATAGGGTATTTATAGAAAGCATCCTACAATTTGTATCTGGAGCACAGTCGAAGACGAAGGAAGAAATGAATTTATTAATCTGCGGATACAGTTATTAACAGATAGCAATCATAACATGCAGGGGATTGAACATTACATATTACACGTGGAAATACCCGAGAAAGGCACAATTTTGGCTGTCCATACTCAGAAATGGGAAGGATCATAGGGGTTTGGAGGAAGCGCTCTCGGTTCTGGTGGGTTGAAGTACTTTCTCGGAATCGTTGGAGTACGAGGAAGTTTAGGAACAGGAGGAGCTCTCGGAATGGGAATTGGTTTTATTTCAATTGGTGGTGTGCCGACGGGAGGAGGAGTTGGGGAAGGGGAAGGATGCTTGTGGAATTGGCTGGGTGATTTTCGTGGAGGAAATGGTTTAGGGTTTAGTGGTGGGAGTTGAGGTGGGAGATTATTGGGCAATGGTTGGGAGATTGGGGTTGGCGAATTAGGGTTAGGGTTAGGGTTTGCGATTGGCTCATCAATTGGGGGCGATGATGGTGGCAGAGAAGGACTGTTGTATGGGAAGTTTCGAGGTGGAGCTTGTGGGATCTGAATTGCAGGCTCTGGTGCTGGTAGCGGAATTGTGAAGTTTCCATCAGATTGTGGTGGCGGAGATGGAGATGCAGGCGGCGGCGCTACCGCCGGAGAAATTGGCAGCTCCGGCGAAGGAGGGGGGGTGTTGAAGAATGTTGTGATGTTAGGGAATGGCCAGAACAGAGCTGATTGGCACATCGTGGGGGAGAATTCTATCAGTGTCTGCTCATGTGTGGTTTTGTTCTTGTGCAGCATTCTCAGCTGGAGTGATGCAGTTTGGGCCGTGTTGATGGGACACGGCCGTGTTGTACTTTGAAGCTTCGCCAAGCATCCATTGAAACCTCCAGAATCAGTCCTTTCGTCTACAGACTGTAAGGCTATGGCAAATCTGCCGTCCCGGTCGACTCCGCCGTATCCCTCAGTTGTTTCTTGTTTAGATTTGCACCTTATGATGACACTAACCCCTGTGTGAAAACAATTTTGCAGAAGCTCATCTGACTATAAAGAATTTCATAGCTATGCTATTATGCCTGCATTTATTTGTTTATGAAATTTACCTTTAGATGGTTGGCTTATGTTGAAATCATGTCTAATGCATTCTGCACAATGCACAAGCCCGGTGATCTGAACCGTGTTCGTCTTGCTGTAGCAGAAGCTTGAAGTGAGCAGTAAGAGAGCCACGAATCCCGCGAGCTTATGATGAGCTCCCATGAAGAATTTGAGTGGTTTGTAGAGAATTTGGTTGCCAAATTTATACTGCTCGAGAATATGCGCACACAGCTGCTTTGCTTCGTAAATCATTTCATCTTTGGATCGTGCATTGATTGTTTGAGGTCCCGATTGAATTTACTTCTGGTGCAGGAGATGAACATGGCAGCAATTGCACCGGCTTTGCTGATAAGAAATGGCCTTCAATTTCAGACTGCCATTGATGTCTGAGTCAGCAATGCAAGGTTTGTACTGTCACTGCATTCCCTATTTCACTAGAAATAAATTGTGTCTTTAGTTAGGTGATAGTGCAGAAAACGTGAATGATAAATCAAAGTGGTGTCATAGCTCATTGAATGTTGAGTATCGATATATCTGGTATAGGTTCGATTACATGTTGGTTGGATTACGGCGTGCGAGCGTTTGTGTCGCTAGTCTTGTCGATTTGCGGCGGATTTGCTCTGCATCTGTTTTGATCTAATGTTATTAGTTCTTACCAAATTACAAACATACATTTGTAGTAAATATTTATGTTCATCTGACGCATGGTGTCTCTAAATGCACAAACATATGTTTATTATTCTTTGAAGAGATGTAAAGATTGTGTTTGGTTGTATTTCAATAAGGCCACGGTTATGATGCTATTGAAGTTAAGCAACGTTATGTTGCCTATACATAAATGTGTTTGACAATACATGAAAATATAACTTGTCAAGCATATGAAAATAATTGTAAAATACATCGTATAAAATGACGTACCTACTCTTAGGTTTGGGGGCAACTGCCTCCAACCCCCAAAAAATTATTTTAATTTATATTAATATATAATACCCTACAGTCTAATTTCTATTGTCCTAAATATATTTGTACGGGTTTTTTAAATTGTTGTGTTTTGGTTATGGATTGACAAATTTGTCCTTAATTATACGGTAGAGATTAAAAATAATAAATGTATGAAGGGTAAAAATGTAAAATTTGTATTTTAAAAAAAAATAGAACAATAATTGTTTAGTTAGTTTATGGAAGGAGAGAGTATATATTAATTAAAATAGATTAAATTATGAAGTATTTTTTTTTACATTAAATATGGTTGTGCTTTTTTTTTCTTCTTTTTTTTTTCTTATCAAGGAAATAGGATTGTGTTTGGTACAGAGAAATGAGGCCAGACAAATAGAAATGGTATCATTTCTCTTGTTTGTTTGAGTCAAGAGAAATGAAACTTGAGAAATAAATTATTTCCATTTCTCTGTTTTCATTTCTCTCCCATACGCAGAGAAATAGAGAGAAATGATATTGTAGTGTATATATTTTTTAATTTTTAAATTTTTTTTGTACTATTTAATTTTTATAATTTTTTAAAAATTATATTATTTTAATTTTACAAAAAAACAAACTTAATTTATTTTTAAAGTATTTAATTTTTACGACATTTTAAGAAATTGTACTAAAATATAATCTTAAAAAACATCGTATATAATTTATAATTTTTTAAAAAAAAAAATTACCAAAAATATTTTTCATAAATTCTCATTAGTTAAAACTCTCTTTTTATCGTGTTAATCATTTATTTTTGTTTGCTCATTCGTATATCTGCATTTTTTTTAGATTTCTCAAATCAATTATCTGTTTTATCAAACAAGAGAATTAATTCTCATTTTCTACTCAATTTCATTTCTCTTCAATTCTATTCTCTACTATCATTTCTCTGCAATTCCATTCTCTGTACCGAACGCCCCTAAAGAAAATAGAGTAGAAGTGGTAAGAGTGAATTGACGTGTATGTTTTTTACAATTTTTAACATAAAAGGAAAAAGGAAAAGATAATTCTCATTTCAAAATATGTTAAAAGACACTAAAATCGAACTATAAAAAAATTTGAAACCTATCTAAAAACTCCATCCCCTAAATTCCAGATAAGATTCTGTGTTTTATTAACCCATCTTATACCAATATCTTCATACACATATGTGCATGTATACATTCTATATGTGTGTAAATAGGGTTGATTTTTGGGAGAAAGGATCCTATGGACTTAAATTTGGAAGCTTGTCAGGTTATTGTATAAATATTTTGAAGACGATACACATGTAAAATTGACATATAGTAACCATCTATATGGTGCCCTGCAGTACTAATTCAAAATAATGTGACGAGGGACTATAGTGTATATTTTGTTTTTCTTTTCAGCACACATTCAAAATGTTATATTTAAAATCTTTGTTTTTTTTATTTTTATTTTTATTTTTATTTTTTTATAATAATGATATCAAAATAGTTTGAGAATAACCTCAACCAAGTACTAATCATACTCGACAAGCGTTGTGCGTGTGACAAACTCAACTTAAAAAATGGAGTATCAATTGCGTTTGAATCGGTGAATGGGTCTCTATAAAATTTAATGAAACAATCCAATTTAAAATATCAAATCAAATATATATTCTTTATTTTTTTTATATTATATTAAAAAATAACTTTATATTCAAAACACCCTAACTGTTGTTCTTGTCTTGTCTGGCGCTTGACAAGTGTCAATTGGTGCCATTATATAATAATGCCATGGCCAATAGTTTCATATGTAGCATTGGTTATGGAAAATAAATACTGAGAAAAATAACAATCATATTGTAGGAATACCTGATCGATATACATATATATATATATATATTGAATCAAATGAGTCGTATATAAAAAGTAAGTCAAGCCAAGCCAATTATACAATACAAGCAGTACAGAAGCAATAAATATAATAAATAATAATAAATCATATCCTTCTTCAGGACACAGGACTCACGACGACGTTCTTTCTCTTTTCAGACAACTCTCTTCATCTCTCTTTGGAATTTAAAAGTGGGAAGTCCGAAGTCTTTTTTATTTTTGACAGATAGAAATTCAGGAGATTAAATAACACTACTTACAACACGTGTATTCATTGTCCGAACGTACAAATCTGTCCGCCGGCCGCCGGCTCATGGGTGAGGGGACAGCGGCGGCCACCCTCCGAACTTGGGGTGCTTGAAGTACTTATGAGGGATCTTCGGGAAAGGCGGCAGCGGAGGACACGGCTTCTTAAAAAACGGCGGCTTGTAGATGGGAACCGGCGGCGGCAGTGGCTTCACTATTGGCGGCTTGTAGATGGGAACCGGCGGCGGCAGTGGCTTCACTACTGGCGGCTTGTAGATGGGAACCGGCGGCGGCAGTGGCTTCACTACAGGTGGCTTGTAGACCGGCGGCTTAGCCTTGGGAGGCTTGTGGACGACCGGCGGCTTGGGCTTGGTTGGCGGGCACGGCTTCTTAGGCGGCTTGTAGACTGGAACTGGAGGAGGGTTCGGCTTGACTACCGGCGGCTTGACCACCGGTGGCTTGTAGATGGGAACTGGAGGAGGGAGCGGCTTCACGACCGGCGGCTTGTAGATGGGAACTGGGGGAGGGAGCGGCTTGACGATCGGCGGCTTGTAGATGGGAGGGAACGGCTTGACGATCGGCGGCTTGTAGATGGGCGGGAAAAATGGCTTATGAAACGGCGGCAATGGGGGGTAGGTTTTGAACCAGGGGTGGCCGTAGTTTTTGAGCCATGGGTGGGAAGATTTGGGGAGTGGGGGGTAGTTGAAATGGGGCCAGAGGAATTTGGAGGTGCAGAGGGCGGCGGAGAATCGGAGGGTTTTGGTGGGGGAGAAGACGTGGACGCCATTGTTGTTGTTGAGGACGAGCTTGGAGGCGTCGACGCCGTCGTGCGATGGACAGGGAATGGCGGCGGCGCTGTGGAGCTGAGCGTAGCAGTCGTGCTTGAGGCTTTTCCCGTCCTGGCTGACGACGTCCTTCGGGAGGGATACGCTGAACTCGCCGCCGTCGTTGAGGTCGCCGGCGGCGACTCTTTTCATGTCGCCATTTTTCAATTTGCAGTCGATGCTGACGTGGAGGCCTGTAATTGCATTGCATGCATGGACGATTATTAATTTCTTGACAACTATCTATTTTTTTTTATTTTCATCAGTCTTTTAGTAATTATATTTTCTGTTTTTAAAGTTTACGTAGTTAAACGTAATTCTATTTTTAATTTCGGCTCTAATGTTATTAGTAAAAGAGAAAGTGAACTTAGAAACGAAAAAATTTTGTTAGAAAAATACTATTCCCTTTATCCTATATACTGTGTCTACACTATAGACAGAATATTTTATTTTATGAGGGGTGTAATTAGTAGATAATTAAGAATATATTTTTAGTGAAAATAATTATAAATTAAGATTAAGATAATTAATTAGTTTAATTAAAATTTAAAAAAATAAATTAAAAAGTTTAAAATGAGATTAAAGTGTGTAATCATTTTCCAAAAAATGAAAGTAAATGAAACGTAAGACGGACAGAAACGGCAATGTGGACATGATACGTGTGTGGGAGGAAGTAGTATTTTTTTGTAGTACAGTATTATTATTAGTACCTGAAAATGCTTGGGAGGGTTTGAAAATTATTAGTACCTGAAAATGCTTGGGAGGGTTTGAAATTATGGTTGAGACAATCGGCGCATTGTCCGGTTCCAACAACCTGGTAGGAATTGTCATCTGCAGAGCAGAGAACAAAGAGCAGTACAAAAGACAAGAAGATCAGAGTGGTACTCTGACAAAGGGAATCAGCCCTCATTGGGACCTCTACTAAGAAGGATTGTATGTATATATTTATTTATATATTAATAATAATAAGAAGAAAAAAAAAAAGAAGAAGAAGCTTCTGGAGATATATGGAGTGAAGCTTTGATCATTGAATGGGTTGAAGCAAAAGAGGAGATTATGGGCTCTATATATAATGAATGGTTATGGAGGATTTTTTTTAAGTTTATTTTATTTTATTCTTTTTTTTTTTTTTTTAAGAATTAACGAAGAAATGGTTAGGGAGTAAATCAGACCGACAGATCTTAAATGACATCACATGAAATTAGGGTCCCTCGATCATGACTCAATTAATCAAATTTAAAAAAATAAAAAATAAAAAATAGTAGCAACAATTTAGCAGCAAAATATGGGCACATGGCAGCAGGACCCAATTTGTTCATGAAATGAATGATCCCTTCCAACTGTTTGTTTATTTTATTTCAATTTTTTTTTATATTTTTCATCACCACACAACTTTTTTGAAAAACAAGATCTCATTCTATTTTTATATTTTACATGGATGGATTATTGTTGGCCACTAATATGTATGCAACCTTTCTGGCAGTCACAAATGCTGCAGTTGGGAAGCAGAAAGAAAACTATATAAAATTAAATTAAAGCATGAACATTTTATAAAAGTGTTAGTGCATTATGGCATCTACTTGTTCACGTGAATATAGTCGTTACAATTTTCAACATAATTGCTTCATTATACAGTCCCAATTACCATTAACCATAGCCATTACCAGGCTACTCGCTTATTTATCTATTTTATTTATTTTTCTTTATAGATCATAGGCTCTTGTATTATATTATTATTATTATTATTATTGATTAAAAAATATATGTTGTTAACGTACGACAAGAACACAATCCAAAACCAAATCAATCTGGATGATGCATAAAAATATAAAGAACAGTACCAAGTGCTTTTAGCAAACAATATGTAAGTATTTCCTCCGTCCATGTATAAAGTATACATTTATTTTTGGCACGGTATTTAAAAAATAATACTCCTTCTGTCCCATTGAAAGTGTGACATTTGCTTTTTGCATGTAGATTTTTTAATATTAGTATTATATTGAATTGTAGTGAAAAAGACAAAAATACTCCTATTAGTATGGTGTAATATAAAAGTAATGATATTTGTGTAATATATTGTAAGTTGAAAGGGTATTTACTATATTAGGTAGGTAGTACAGTTACTAAATTAGGAAATGATAACATTGTTTTGAGACGGACAAAAATAGAAAATTGTAATCTTTCAATGGGAAGGAGGGAGTAGTATTTTAATTATAGTGGATAGTTAAAAGTAGTGTAATGATATTTTTGCCATTATTTTTTGGTGTAAAAGTAATGATGTGATATAAAGTGAGGTATTTAATGAAATATTTACTTTATAATTAGACGTTTTAAAATAAAAATATATATACTTTTTTATTTGACGGAGAGAAGTATTATTTAAGTCTTGAGTATTTATTGTCATACTTATTATATATATATATCAACCTCCACATGTATTTTCATATGTTCTTATTTGTGTAGAGACATATTTTATCAATTTTTATTTTTATTTTTGACAAATTAGATATATATGAGTGTGTGTGTGTGATGGGTAGTGTGCCATAACATCATGGCTCGGCTAAGAAATTAATTCAATTGTCGTCTACACATATGTTAACTGAAAATGAGGTGCATAATTATGATGCGTTGGATTAATTAATTAGATTTCTAGATGAATATATATATATATATATGTGAAAGCAAATAAATAAATAAATAAATATATATACATACACTTGTCCTAATCAGACATTAATCATTACTCATTTTGATGGACGAGAGTGCCTCTCAAATTCATGATTTGGTGCGGGAGCAGTTGGGCGGCATTAATTGCACTTTCATATTTATGATTTTAATTCATTTTTTAATTATTATTTTTATAAATTAACTAATTAAGAACATCGTTGATGTGATCTATCCTTAGATAATATGTACCATGCACATGAATACGTGTTTACTATTAGTATTATTGTTGCTAATATTATTATACCTTTTGAAAAAAAAAAAAATTTAAAAAAATAAAAAGGCAAAATTGTCCATAGCTCCTTTGTGGTTTCGAAATTCAATATAAATTCTCCCTCTATTTTAAAAATTGCATAACGTCTCCTTATACTTTAAAAAATATTGCATAAAACTACTTTTTGGTTTCAAAACTCAACATAAATCCTCATTTTACTTTAAAAAATTGCATGACGCCCACTTATACTTTAAAAAATATTGCATAAAACCCTCTGTCATGCAAAACATATAGATAGGAAATCATATTCTTATCACACAAGGAAAGTTTCATGGTAGTGGGGTTTCATGCAACGTTTTTTTTTTAAATATAAGGGGGTACCATACAATTTTTAAAGTATAGGAAGATTTTACGTTAAATTTCGAAACCAGGTGGGAGTTATAAGTAATTTTACCAAATAAAAAAAATCATATGGAGAATTTGATTAAATAAAGAATAAAATGTCTATAAATACGAAGGATAAGCATGGGTTTCGAGCTAAATTTCCTGTTTTGGACAAACATTGGAAGGTAGAAGATTTCTTGTAGGTTTTGAAATAATATTCTTGCAATCTAGTAGGACTAGTAATTTAATTTAATTTAATTTAATTTATCTCTGCCCTCTAGGCTCTAGCTAGCTCGTCTCTTCTTCGTATTAATATGTACATAGGCCAGGTAGGTCAGGCCATCCATTTTCAAAAAGCAAAAGTTTGCCCATAACTATAAGTCTTTTACCTCACATGCAATTATTGCATGCATAACATTTGTTACTTTCAGGTAAGAAGTGCCATCATGTCATGGCAGAGATCTGGTGCTGAAAAAATAAAGCACCCATGAATAGCTAAAACTTAATTATATATAATTATATTAATTAAATAATTTCATGATATAAATTTAACATAATAAATTATTACAATAATTTTAGCACTTGATCCCCTTCTTTATTTTTTATTTTTATTTTTTTTAGTGCACGATATAAAAATTTTAACATCCTATCACCCCTAACGCCATTTCGCTCTCCAACAGACTATTACTACTATTAATTATTATTATTATTACAAAAAGTATGTTGGAATTTTTGACAGGATTTATTTTAATTAGCAAAATCTAACAAAAAGGGTAAACGAATCTCACATGCTTACAAGTTAGAAGATTTTCTTCAATTTTTTTTAATTTTTTTTTTTTTAAATTGGAAAATTTCGTCTTCATATGATGTCGGCTCTTGAAGTTATATTTAGTTATTTACTGCAGTAAAAAAAGGAGTTGATTTTGAACTTTCTTAAAATACTTCATACTATTTGTAGTCAGATGGGAACTTATAAATAATTGATTGATTCTTTTTTTTTTTTTATCCTTTCATATAAGACTTGAATTTGTATTTTTTTCACTCTCGATATTTTTTTACTACTTTGGTGATTACTGTTGCGCTCTTCATGCCATATTTCACACCCTTTTGTGTAACGCATTTCAAAATTGTTAAAATGTGTATTTTTTTGATCAAGTTTGAAAAAAATTTGTTTGAATTTGTCATTAAAATAATATTTGATGAGATATTTTGTGAGAGAAAAATATATATATTTTAAAAAACAGAATTAAAATAGTAAAATTTTAAAAATTTTGATTAAAGAAGTATACCCTAAGTTTTTCAATTTTTTTTTTTTTACACACGCGCACGCACACGCACCCACCCGAAATCAAAGAGAATAATGTCTTACGCCTTGATATACAGAGTTTAACAGAAACAGACCCTAAGTTGCCACCACTATGATGTGAAGGGGAAAAAAACAATTACCTGCACAATCCCTCATCCAATTTCTTTCTTTTTTTATAATATACTTTCTATTATAATTTCTTTTTAAAAAAAATTATACAATTCACACAGTTTTTTATTTCATATTTTTTAATTAAATTTAAATATAATAATAATTTTATTTATTTCATTACACATTTACAAAATTGTACTTATTACATATCATTCAAATCAATGCACGTCAAAACCCCTAAAATCTAACAAAAACTACTAACCAAAAAATACATTTTTACTTGACATTGTTTTTAATAAAAATATATTATTAATTTTTTTATAAAAATTCACATCAAAATACTTTTAAATAAAAATTTTAATCAATATTTCATTTCAAATCAATTCAAATTACAACTAAACAAATACTCAACTAACTAATAAAATATTATGAATTTTTAATTTAATATGAAAAAAAAAAAAAAAAAACCATTTGGATCTTAGTAGAAGAAGTAGAAATTTTAGTTTTTCAATACTTTGAACTTCTCCCCTTAATATAATTTGTTAAAAAATAATTAATAAATTTAAATACTCCTTCTGAGATATTTTGTTCCTATAGATATAAAAATTTAGATAAAATATAATTAATAAATAATTAAAAAATATATTAATAAAAATAATTATAAATTAAAATTAAAATAAAAATAATTTGATTAAGATTAAAATGTATAATCATAATTTCTAACAAAGAAAGACCGACTTAGGAGGGATCGAAATGAAAACTAAGAATAAATTATGTGGGACGGAGTGAGGGAATATATTTATAATATAATGTTTAATTCTAATTTTTACTCAAAATTTAATTAGTACTAATATGATTATTATTATTATTATTATTATTATTTATAAAGGTTAAATTTAAACTTGACATGTGGTTTGGATGTAGCAAGCAACATACAAAGCGTGAGGCGCTTGTGTCCACGCGTTGCTTACTCCGTGGAAGGTTGGTGGGACAAGATTGGATATGGTAAAATACGACACCACATATTTGTTCAAAAAATAAAAATATAAAAAAAATAAAAATGTTTGCAATATCTCGCCGTCCAGATAGAGAAGTAGTGAGTACACATATATCTCTCTCATGGCGGTAGCCTCCACCCTACTCGGCGGCGCTACAATTACCACCCAACTCACTCGCTTCACTGGCCTCCGCAAATCCTTCCCCAATCTTGATGACTCCGCCTCCACCACTCCGCGCTCGTTTGCACAGAAAGTCGACTCGCATCTCCGCCTCGCATCTACGAATAAAGGCAGTCGCGGTGTCGTTGCCATGGCAGGCACCGGAAAGGTGAAATTGCAATTTCTTTTATCTAGTTATTTTGCCCAATTTTAGCTTTAATATGTGTATTTCAGATCTGAAAAGCTGTGTCATTTGCATTTTGTTTGGTAGTTTTTCACAGATATTTGATTGAGGATTTTTATGTATTCTTTTCCTCTTCGCTCGCTATGTATGCTTACACTATCGAATGCTAAATGTTCAGGTTATTTGGCATAGAATTCCGAAATGATCGCTAGTACTTATATGATTTAGCAATTAAGTTCCAGGAGAGAATTTTAACGCGTGTATTCTTGTGATTGCTATCTTAAGATTTTGCAATGTTGCTGCCACGCTATGATTATCTAGTTTTCTTTCACAAGATTGGTCATCTTCAGTTGATATGCTGATAATTGTTTTTGGTTTTGATTGCAGTTTTTTGTTGGTGGAAATTGGAAATGTGTAAGTACTTTACCTTATTGCAATTTTCTTTTTCTTTGTTTCGGTTGCCATTGTCTGGAGTGTTCCTACTAGCGCATCATGTAAAGCTAGATATCATTTTTGGATATTCAAATTTAAAGTGGTAAATAATGTATGATGAGTTCCCGTAGCCTTTGATGCAAGTTGACTCGATGTACTAGCCCATAAGAAGTACAATTATGGTGCATCAATTGGTGTCATCCATTTATAACTAGATCTTTTTGTAAGATTATTTGAGGAAACTTAATGGCTCAAGCGGTTACATGAATGGTCTCAATATCAACCAACCAAACTTTATAGATGTTGAGCTTTCTTAGATGAAGTCTAAATCCAGTTCAGTTACACTAGTTTACTTGGTAAATGCCTACATAAAAGTTGCAAGTGCTGGAAGAGCTGTGAAAACTGAACACCATGATTTACTAATTATTTGCTACTTTGAATGCTTATCTAAATCCTAAACCATTATCATTTATGCTTGTTTTTTTATTTTTCCTTTCCTTTTTGGCATGTGCCATACAAATCTGGTTAGAATGGGACTAAAGAGTCCATAAGCAAGCTTGTTTCTGACTTAAACAGTGCAACGTTGGAATCTGATGTCGGTGAGTTCTTCTGTGCCAAATTACTTGATTTCCTTTAAAGTACATTAAAATTGTTCTTTTCTTAGTTTCTCTATTTGGTGCTCATGATTTAGTGGCAACTGTATCTCATTTAACTTCCACCATTACAGATGTTGTCGTCGCACCACCTTTTGTGTACATTGAGCAAGTAAAGAACTCATTATCCGATCGAATAGAGATATCTGGCCAAAATAGTTGGATTGGAAAAGGTGGTGCTTTTACTGGAGAAATCAGGTGCGTAAGTCTCTAACTAGTGGTGATTAACAGTTCCTACTCTCTGAACTAAACCCTGTTTGTAACATGAAAGAAAGCTGTTTTTCCTACTCACTTGTGTGTTTATGGAATACTTAACATTCCATTTGCTTGAATTATATGTTGTGAGGCTTAATGATTTAACAAACGTAACATGTAGTTGCAAGTAACCCTTTCATTGTTTCAGCGCAGAGCAACTAAAAGACCTCGGGTGCAAGTGGGTCATTCTGGGGCATTCGGAGCGTAGACATATAATTGGGGAAGATGACCAAGTGAGAACACATGGAAAGAAAATTTCCTGTTTTGTGAATTTTGCCATTGTTCTACTTTCAAATGGTAAGCATCCATACAACTGCCTGCTGAACAACTGTTTTCTGCAGTTTATTGGGAAGAAAGCTGCCTATGCTTTAAGCCTAGGTCTCGGAGTCATAGCTTGCATTGGGGAGTTACTGGAAGAGAGAGAAGCTGGAAAGACTTCGGATGTTTGCTTCCGCCAGATGAAGGCATTTGCCGGTGAGTTCCAATGGGTTTGCTGTTGGATTCTAAATGACAGATATCGTATTATTGTTCTTCATTCCTGTGACTTACCTTGTGTGCAGATGCCGTCCCTAGTTGGGATGATGTTGTAGTTGCCTATGAGCCTGTATGGGCAATTGGAACTGGTAAAGTGGCGACACCAGAGCAGGCTCAGGAAGTGCATGTAGCTGTTCGCGATTGGCTGAATAAGAATGTTTCGCCAGAAGTTGGTTCGAAAACCCGTATTATTTATGGAGGTATATATAACATATAGACTGATATAGTTTGTATACATTGCTACCTTACAAATTCCAATTTCATGAATCCCCTTTTGCTGTATTGTAGCCAATATTTTATGCATAATTAAGCGGCTTTCCTCCTCCTCATAGCTCATTATTTGCTGAAATTTACTGGAACACTTGAAAATAAACTCCCACAGGTTCCGTGAATGGTGGAAACTGTGCTGAGCTTGCAAAACAAGAAGATGTAGATGGATTTCTCGTTGGCGGTGCATCCCTGAAGGTAATCGCTTTTATCTGCCTTCCATGGCTGGGCTTATGAGTCTTAATTTTGTTACAAAAGTTTATTACAGTATTTTTTTCGTATTATCTGTGTCACAGGGTCCTGAATTTGCTACTATCATCAACTCTGTGACTTCGAAAAAGGTCATTGCATGATCGAGAAAAGGTCATTGCATGATCTTGGAATCTGACTCAGACAGTCCAATGTGGAGTTTCTTGCAACAGAGGTTTTTCCCGAACAGAGAGAGCCTAGTCGAGTCGAGCCGTGGATTGTTGTTCATGGTAGGCCACCTTTACCTTTTCTGTTGTCCTATATAAGTATGAGGTCCATATTTTGCTCGGCAAAAAAAGATCGCACCACATTTGTGTTGTAGCAATGTTTCTATATATTTTTAGTTACAGAGTAACCATATTTATGCTGGGCCAATAATCGTGATTTTTCTCAACTCAAATTTTCCTTACAGAAATAAGCATAATTTTACACTGAGTTTGCTACAGGAATTCTATCTCAATCCACTCTAATTTTCTAGACTATTTTTTGTTGACTAATAGGTATTTTATCCCCCATACTCTCTTAGATTTGATATGTTCAATCTTGAATTTGTTGCTGATTGAGCTATACCCAAGAAAATAATATATATATATATATTGCTGGATATACTATATTACTGTACATATATTTTGAGTAAAAAGTATTCAACCCAAGTCATTGTCCTTCATTCAATAATTGAGCTCTTGAAGATAATGCACGCAAGTTTTATATTGGTTTAATGTGGCTCTAGAATCGCATGTACTTCCAAGTATATACTTATAGAAGCACATTTATTTCCACTTGTCATGGTGTGAGTAAGCACAACTGAACTGAATCCAAGTTTAGTTCAGTGGCAGCCCATCTTCATGGGGAAGAAGATAAGGATTTGCTTTAAATTTGAAATAAATTATGCACTACAATATAAAAAATTGAATAACAGCATGCTTAAAAAACACAAAAGAAAAAAAGCAGCTTAACAAACAACCCACCCCAATCAATCAATAGTTACATCACAAGCACAGAGACAAAAGAATCATGATTGCATATTCAAGAAATTCATACAAATAAAGCATCCAATTTCAGTCCCCTCCCTAAATTCATGCAAAAGCCCTCCTACCTGTCGCTGTCCCTACCAATTATAAATCAACAGTAATATTGGTCTGATCACAAAAGATGCTTTCAGCATATATATATATATTAGTATATCACAGTACACCGCTACCTCAAGCTAACGTGTAATAAGCAAATGCAAAACTTCACCCACCCTACAACAACAACAACAATCTTACAAAAACATCAAACTAATCTGGCCTGGAATTAATTAATTAACATATTAAAATTACAAACTGATAATAAAGATGATTGATTGATTGATATGATCATATGAACCAACCCTCCAAGAACACAGACTGATACTGCACCATCACAAGCAGCAACACGATCAGCAGCGCCACCCCCCACGGCGACGCCCCGCCGCCGGACTCCCCGTCGTTCCCGGAGAAGTAGTAGTTCCTCCGCCTCCTATCCCCGCCGCCGAACCACCATGTCGATCCGTCCCACGCCGACAGCCACCGGACGGCGAACAGAATCAGCAGCGGCGCGGCCATAAGCAGCCAGCCCATGCTCTCCTCGGTGGCCTCCACGACGGATTCGTAGGTGACGTACCATTGGAGGCCGAGGAAGAGGAAGATGACCCCTAGAATCAGCAGCACTGGGTAAGGCAAAGGGTTCAGAGATAACACCTCCAAGATCGACCATGTCGTCGTCCTCCTTCCGTACATGATAATAAGAGTAATTCTCAAATCGAATTAAAGATCCCTCTTTGATGAGTTTGTGTGTGTGTGTGTGGCTGTCAACTCAGTCACTCACTCGTTGTTGGAGCAGTGTATTATTGCTGTTTGTACTGATCCAGTGCGGCGCGGACCAGGGAATTTACGCTGTACCTCTTGATGTGGAATCGGATTTAACTATTCCTTAATATATATACACGTGTATATATATATTTGTTAAAAGAATTAAATACTATTAAATTGATTTAAAATTCATATTTTCAACATCAAATCAATAGACACCCAAACATGGCGTATGGTTATTGAAATCCATTAGAGAGAGTTAAACCACGGTAGGTAGGCAGGGGGTGGGTATTGACTATTGAATGAATGAATGATATAAATTAAATGGGCGATGGAAGGAGAGACAGTGTGTGTGAGGTCCCCACGTCATGGGTTGGGTAAGAAAAACAACCGCCCAAAATCAAAAGAGTTTACGGGATTCATGATAAAATTAAAAAATAATATTACTTCCATTTTTTTTTTTTTTTTTTTTTTTACTATAATTATTTTTATTAATATATTTTTAATTATTTATTAATTATATTTCTCATAAATTTGTATGTTTACCGTAAAATCGACAAAATATCGAAACCGAATATTTTACTTCCTCTATCTACATAATAAGTATAAATTTATTTTTGACGTAGAGTTTAATAAATAATAGTATTTTAATTATAGTGGATAGGTAAAAGTAGTGTAATGATATTTCTGTGCTTACATTCTGATATAAAAGTAATGATGTGATATAAAATAAGGATATTTGTGAAAAAAAAAAGTGGGGTATTTAATGAAATAGTTACTTTGTAATTAAATACTTTGTAGCTGGACGATGGAGTATTAGTTAGCAGAAGTGTGCAACAATTTTTTTAATGCAATAGTATATTTGTAATTTAAGTAAAATGTAGGAATGCTTTTAATTAATTTTTAAAAATAAAAAATAAATACTTTCAAATAGACAGACAACAATAGTAAAAATAATATTTTAAATTAAAACAAAATATATTTTAAAAATAACTGATGATAGTTTTTATATTTTATTTTATAATATGTAAAATTAATATGAATATATTGATATAAATAAATATAAATGTAAAAAAATATGTAAAATATATATTAGAAAATAGATATTTATTTTTAAACAATAAATAATGACAAAATATATATAAATACACACAAACAGCCGGAACGAATAGTGTGATGTAGTATTGGATTAGGTTTCCAGGCTATGCTAATTAAGCACCAATTCCAATTCCAATTCATTTATGAATAATTGTTTAATCCATCCATCACCCACTCACAATTTCACCAAGATTTCATTCATGTACTCTATATGGTGTGAATAATGCATACAAGCACATTTCTTTCTTACCATCAATTTATTTAATTTACCAAAAAAAACAGAAGCAGCAACCATTAGCATAAGAAAAACAATAGGAGTAATATTTTGGGATATTATTGAGATGTGTGAGTGAAGGAAGGAAGGAGGGAGGGAAGGATCCGTGTAATTGACTTCAATTCCCATAAATACATGTAATTTTGATTTTTCTTTCCAGCCAATCCAGAACGACGCTGTTCACATTTATAGATTGCATTCGTTTCTGACACAACGTTTGATGTCATTGGAGTTTTCGGAGGGAGTTTGAGGCTGAGGCGGAGGAAACTTGGGGTGGGGTTCTCATACGCATCGAGGCTTTATTCCTGGGAAGATGAGGCCACCTAGGAGGCCGATCCAAGCTGTGATTGGATGGGTGCGGCGGCAGCCGCCCAAGGTCAAGGCGTTTCTCGCCGTTATCAGCGGCATGGCGGCGCTTGTCATCCTCCGCGCGATTGTGCACGATCATGACAATCTCTTTGTTGCGGCGGAGGCGGTGCACTCCGTCGGGATTTCGGTTCTTATTTACAAGTTGATGAAGGAGAAGACTTGCGCCGGTACGACCATGTAATTTCTTCTCTAATTTATGTTTCCAATTGTGAGGGATTAAATTAGGTTTTTGTTTGGGGGCTATTTGAAGGTTTTTCCTTTTGTTTGTGTTCTTAGTTCTTCGTCTCATTCGTTTCACTTGCTACATTTCCTATTATTTGCTAATCTCCTCTTTGATGCAAAAGTCGGAACCTTTCAGAATTGGGAATCTTTTGTGCTGTACATTTCTTATTGCTGAACGATATAATGAAGCCTTGGCTTTCTTATTGGCATTGATTCGATTACGTTTTCCCCCATGCCCCATTCACAGAGTGAAATAAGAAGAAAACCGCTCCCCTGTTTACATAAGTTTACAGTATATTTATTATTATTAGTTATTTTTTCTCATTTTTATTCTGATTGAGCATGTATGGGATGTGTTAAACTATAATACTTGTACCAAATGTTTTGAATATAAAATTTTAATATAATATTTATTGGAAAAATGCCGTGAATAGTAGAAATTCTGTAAAATCTTCCAAAAGATCACAAATTTTTTACATCGGAGCTAACTGTGATGGATTATGAATTGTACTATGGGCTGTGTTCTTTGTTAAATGTTTTGTGTTGCAATCCTTTTGTAGTAAGGCTGAAGAAACAGCAGAGTGAACATTAGGAATTTGTGGCAAAAATTTGTATATTGGCTGTACAGATTGAACTGTCCAATTTTCATTAGTGATAGTGTCTGATGGTCATTGGTTTCTTTTCACTTGTTCAAGTTCTTTTTGCTCATTCTTTAAGTACATTCTTCCTGAAAACTGTTAATTGGTTTTACAAGTTGTTATGCCCCAGTATTGTCTTGTACTTACTGCCTCACCTTACTCAACCAGCGGTTGTTTACTTAGTCTTCTTATGGCTTTTATCTTTATGAATGACTATGCTGATTGTTTCCATTATTATTCACTTTGTGGCAGGGCTTTCTCTCAAATCCCAGGAGCTGACGACTATCTTTTTGGCCGTTAGATTATACTGTAGCTTTGTAATGGAATATGATATACATACATTGCTTGACTTGGCAACACTGGCTACAACGTTGTGGGTTATTTTTATGATCCGTTTCAGGCTAAAGTCAAGTTACATGGAGGATAAAGACAATTTTGCACTATATTATGTGGTATGTATTTATAGCATCTAAACCCACCTTGGACTTTCCAAATTTTGGTAGGATTTATTGTGTCTGTGAAAACACTTAAAAACAACACTTAAATATACTTGCGACTCTGATGAAGGAATCTTAGGATTTCATTGTTCTATTTAAGCATAACAGATATCTGTGTCATCGATATCATTTTGAAATTGTCTCCTTTTAAGTTATCTTCCCGTTCTTGGCATATTGTCTAAGAAAGTGTCTTGTGCTAATGCAGGTGGTTCCTTGTGCTGTTTTAGCTTTACTAATCCACCCATCTACATCACATCACATCATCAATAGGATTGCCTGGGCTTTCTGTGTCTATCTTGAAGCTGTTTCTGTTCTCCCTCAGCTGCGTGTCATGCAAAATACTAAGGTAATCTTGTCTTGGGTTATGTCGATCATACAAAAAACGCAAGTATATGAAAATTGGATTTTGGTAAATCAACATCCTGATTGTCATAACATCTTTTAATCTATTGGTGGCAGATAGTTGAGCCATTTACTGCTCACTACGTTTTTGCATTGGGGGTCGCCAGATTCTTGAGCTGTGCTCACTGGGTCCTGCAGGTTTGAACTCTGAACTTGGTCTGCATAGTTTCAGACTATATTTTTTGGCTCAAATCAGATCTAGATTATGGAAGCGTAGTTCCCCGGTTATAAATCCATCATAATCTGTGCACTGAAAATAGTAGGGTGCAGCAGAGGCGCATGCTACTCCTATCTTCTAAAAGAACTTGCTCTTATTTGTGTGTGTTGTCGGGGGAAGGAAGAAGGGTGGGTGGAGGGGTTGTTTTAGCTTTTAAAGATCATGCATGCATAGGTTTCTTCTTCTTTTTTTCTTTTTTCTTTGATCGGATAGGTTTTTTCTTCTTTCTTTACATGTTATGTGCTTCATGGTAAGCTGTTTAAGATTTTGTAAGACATACTTAAGCGAGGAATGGGTTTCTCCTCTGATATTGTGTATATAGTAAAATTTCAATTATATCAGTCTACCCCTATTGCATTTGGCAGGTTTTGGATAGTCGCGGTCATCTCCTTGTGGCGCTGGGCTATGGACTTTGGCCATCAATGGTTCTTCTATCAGAAATTGTTCAAACCTTTATTCTGGCCGACTTCTGCTATTACTATGTGAAAAGGTCTGCAACTCCTGCTCCATTCCTGTTGTAACTATTTTTGCATGTTTGTCTTGCTAACATTGATTTATGAACTCAAACCTGCAGTGTATTTGGTGGCCAGCTCGTGCTCCGACTTCCTTCTGGAGTAGTGTAACCGGTTGTTAATCTATCCTGGGGTGTTTTTGGACTCTACTTGTTTAGCAGAAAAGGCATCGGATGAGGTGTAAGTTTTGGGAATTAGAGGCAAATGGAATATATATTATTTAAGCGAAATTTAACTTAACCCAATCAGATGGATCTGCTTGATTGTATCTCTCTACTGATTTGATTTCGAAGAGGAGATTTCATGGCACGCATTGTTATATTTTCAGCAATGATGGAAATGCCTAATCTGTAACTGAAGTCAGTCTCTCAGTCCCCCCATGGCTAAGTTTATCGATATTTTTGCCTGTGATTTGTTACTCGAGTGGTAGACAAATATAGAGTTAAAAAGTACTATAAAAATCTAAGGAGACATTAAAGATGGGCACAAAAAGATTGGAGGGTAAAGGTGGATGATACATACATATATATACACACACATACATCAAAACCTAACAATCATTGTGCAGCTGTGGATAAAGAAGAGTGCAATTAGGAGTAGAAGGTGGGAGGAGAGTGGCATTGACCTGTGGCAGCTACTCGGCAGCATTGGGAAGGTGTCTGGAGGAGGCATCCTACAATTTTCACCATTGAAATATATGGTTCTTGGGAAAGCCCATCCATTGCTTAGAGTGAATGATTTTAAGTCTTTTTTCAAGAGTATCTCTGTGGTCACTGACCCCATTTGATAGGGATCGGCCTCCAATAGTTCTGTGTTGTTGAAGGTATTTCCCCAGTATAGAGCTACATCTTCTGCGGAAATGTATTTTAGTTTATAGCCCAATTAGCTACTCCATCATGATAATAATTTTATGAGATGGGTGTGTGTATTATTGCTGCATTGAGATTTGAGTATGATTACCTGAAACTCCAATTGTTCGGAGTAGTGTACTGTTGAAGCTGAAGGCAGTAGAAGGTTGGCCAAAGCCTGGGTGTTGGACCAATACATTCCAGTCTGTGTAATTTCTTCTGTAGTGGTAATTCGATACTGTGAGCTTCACCCTCCAATGGCTGAGATAGTTGTTCTTGACATGCCAATGGATCCGGAGAGGACACATATGATCGGTGCATCGAACTAGGTCGGCTTTTGCCAAAGTGTAGGGAATTGCACCTGCTCTGTTGAACATAAATACACAAAAGCAAATGATGTTGGATGGTGTTATGATACGAGCCATAGTAAAATACTTTCAGTATCCCTTCTATGCAACAGCAAACCTGACGCATGACTCTGAGGGCTGGTCAGCTGGTCGACATCCGCAGCTACAATCAGGGCATGAAGTGATGGTTGGATTGTAAAATGTTGACAGGGAAACACAACAGATTGGAATCCTGCTGGCTAAATAGCTGGAGTACATGCATGTTGATTTCCATGTCTCTGAGAAAAACATTATGAATCTTAGTAAGGCTAGACAGGATTGAGAAGAAACTCTCATGTTAAATAACATTGGATATGCCATTGTTGTAAGCAGGACTACCAATCAAGACTCTTGATGAAATAATGTTTTGATAAAGGAAAATGACATATTCCAGATAGTGAACACTTACTAAATACTTGCTCTTCTCTTCTTCCCCCAATAACAGAAGACACTGTGGGACTAACATCCTGTACTTGGCCACAAGTGTAACCAGGTCCGGGTGCCATAAGGGTAAGATTCAGAGGTTTGTCTCCGGTGCTGTTCTTCTCCATATTGCCGACTACAACCTCAAAGGATGAGTAAGACATGGAAGGGTCAATTGCCCAGGCAGAAAGGATGCCACCATGGCAGCATCCATCAGATCTGTTTTGTGGATTTGCATCTGGCATAAGATCAACTATCACAGGATCCGGCTTGCAACAATGTGGTGCCTGATATTTGTAGGACGAACAATTTCCCTGTTGGATGGCAAAAGCACCTGACATTGACCAGATAATCTCATTTTTGGCCCATGTCCACCCTAGTTTCCAACCCGGTTTGTCTACATGCCGATACTGGTAGTAGTTCTGGATGGTCACTCTCGCCTGCAACAGCAGTCACACTGTGATGGGTAGTTGGCAAGAATTCAATATAATAAGAAAACAGTTAATTTCAGATCTCTTTCTTGCAACACTTCTCAAGATTGTATACCAATCACCTGAAAAGCACGTTAAAAATCTCAAATTTGGTGAAATGAGAGGGGCATTAGCAACACTAACCAAGTAGCCATCAAGTGTATATTTGAGTATGTCAAAAGTGATTGTAACATTTCCATTAGGATCCAAAGGATCATAGCAATCTGCACCAAGAAAAGCTCATGTATAAGAGTAGATAAGTAAGAAAAAGGAGTTAAGAAGAAAGGGTTTTCATACAGAAACCAAAAGATGTAAGCAGAAGAAAGAAGGTAATGCCTGAAAGTTTGGATGCCAAAGTTAACAACAGTAAAATCAACAAATACTGCTGCAAAGAAGGAACTGAAACCATTTTTTCCATAGCAAATACTGAGACTTGGACAGAAGCTGTTGTAGCTGAACATATGAATGGGGGGTTTTTCATCAAGGTAAGTGATGGCACAGAATGATCCAACCAAACAGATTATCCCCAGTTAGGAACAAAAATAACTCATTGGAAATAACTACAGCATGAAAACAGACAAAAAACATAGGATAAGGCATAATACAATCCCAGATGCTGGATCTTCCGATGATACACTAAGACTAAGTAAACAAAATACATTTAATTAGCTGGCTGTGTGGGCTATGTCGGATTTCACGGAAACAACACTAAAGTCCTATTCCAGCATTGATTTTTGACTCAAGATGCAGGGATCAATTGCATATACGGCTTAAGCTTCTTGTACTAACTTCCCAGGATACAGGGATCCAAAACCAAAGTTCCAAAGCTCCACTCAGCTAGCAACTTAATATTGTACGCACCTAAAAGTAGGAAGCTTAATATATTTATTCAATGTATTACAACAAACTTCCAAATCCACGTTGTATATAGTGATTTTCTTGACATGCTATGTGCTATTTTCTTTTATATCTGTACATCCTCACTAAACAAATTAGATAAGAAAATATTGACTGTACAACAGAAACAGAGAGAATCAATCAATACATCAAAATCACAAGATCATGACTGCAATAATAAGTTATAACCATAAAAAGATGACTACAATTTTAAACTGCATATCCATTCGTCATTGCCCAACTTCAACTCCACGAATACAAAATTATATTCCAATTTTAATCATTGACTTTGTAATACATCATTTTCATTAAGTATTATACCTAAAACACAAAATGAACATCGCAAGCCAAAATGCCACGATCATAAAATCAATGTGCACCAAGGGTGGGAGAAATCGTTCTAGCAATCCATACCGAGCTCGGTATCTATCGCAAGCGTTGTTCCTTACGATCATTTCCTCGAACAGTTGCAATGCGTCAAATCGCATGCTTTTTCCAAAATAATTTAATACTCCGTCGAGAAAACGGCTGCCGTCGTGCTTGCTGTACGCTGACACGGGCGATGATATCAAACTACTATAGTAATAAAATAAAATATTTGGGCTCGGGCTCGGTCTCGGGCTCGTCCAAATCTAAAGCCCACTATTATCCGACCCAAATAATCTAATAGGCCCAATTAGCGAAAAAGCCCACTATTTTTTTTTTTTATTTAATCTTTTATTATAATTTCAAAAGTAATACATCATTATGGTGCATCCATAGACTATAAGAACATCTCAACCAGCGCCATTAATGGCACGGCACTGGGTTGGGTTATTTGAGGTCGACTGTGTCCAACAAATTTTGCGTCACTTTTCGGGATTGCTACAGTACAACATCATTTTTGGTGTTGCTCTATTTTTTTTTTAATTTTAAAATTTTTAATTTTAATTTTAAAATTTATTTTTTATTTTTTTAAATTTTTAAAAAAATTATTTTAGATTATAAAAATAAAAAATTGTCTAAATTAATAGAAAAAATTGAATATTTGACAAATAATAATGAAAAATAGAGTTATAGTTAAAGTAAAATTAATGTACGCGCATATTTAAAGTTAAAATTGGATAAATAGAGTTGTCGGATTGGAGATGGACTAAGTACTCCCATGAGATCACCTGTCCCAAAAATAAACCCTATCCCTTTATCTCTAGATACATTGTGTATTTGTATAAAGTAATATTTTATATATATACACATGCGTGTATATATATATACAAAAAATGTGTGTATAGGACACGAAACAGGATTACGTTGACAGAGGATCCGATAAGTACTACTTGTTCCTGCTTAATTAATCCTGCGTTGCCAAATGTAGATGAATCGTACAAACTAAAAAAGAGGTCATTATTTATCATAAATAAATGCATTGCAAATTAATAAGGCCCTCTCTTTATTTTAATTCTTTACCTCATCTTAGCTTTTAGCCATTAACAACCTTCCAACTGAATCATCATGCTCCCAGTTGATGACTTTAATTAACTCGACCCAACTCAGTGCATACTTGTGTTTGTTTTGTGTGTATATATATATATTATAGTATGTGACTGTGTAAAAGAAAAAGGCAATAAGCAGAAAAAGGAAGGAGAAAAATGGCTGCAGGTAATAGTAATGGGCACCGTTGTACCGTTGTGGACGATGACGAGGAACGTGAAACCAATGTGCGCAAGATTCAGCCTGTGTCCAGCTCCATTCCAGGGTGCATGTTTCAACTCTCTAATGCATTTGTTGGTTGCCTTCTTTCCTCCATTTCTGCTGAGTCTGTGTTTTTGTAATTGTTGTAATGGCTGCAAAACAGGCCAAGGATTTTGGAGTCACCTGATATGGATAAGAGACTGCAGTTCTCCTACAAGTTGGCTCATCTTCTCGGCTTCGACGAGTTTTACACCTCAGAAGTAAGCACTAAGCAAGCACTCTCCAATGGAGTGTATATATATTTTTTGTATAATGTAATGTATGTATAATAGGTGTGGCGGGCGTCGGTGGGGGAGCTGCTAGGGACGGCGGTGCTGGTGTTCATGCTAGATGCAGTAGTGATCTCCACGGACGAATCCGACGTCAAAATGGCGAATCTGATAATATCAGTGCTCGCAGCAGTTATGATCACGATTCTTCTCCTAGCCGTCCATCCGATCTCCGGCGGCCACATTAATCCAATAGTATCCTTCTCCGCCGCGCTGGTTGGCCTCATCTCCATCACCCGAGCCCTAATTTACACGATCGCCCAATGTCTCGGCGCTGTATTAGGTGCCCTAGCCTTGAAGGCCGTGGTTAGCGACGCGATCGAGAGGAAATTCTCGCTCGGAGGCTGCACCGTCACCGTAATCGCGCCTGCAGGTCCGAGGAGCAGCGGCGTCGCCGTCGGGCTCGGGACGGCGGAGGCCTTCTGGCTGGAGGTCTTCTGCAGCTTCATCTTCCTATTTGCCTCGATTTGGATCGCGTACGATCATCGCCAGGCGAAGGCGCTTGGCCGCGTGGTGGTTTTCTCCATAATTGGGATTGTGCTAGGGCTTTTGGTGTTCGTCTCCACTTCCGTCACCACCGCCAAAGGATATGGCGGCGCGGGGATGAACCCGGCCCGTTGCTTCGGACCGGCGGTCGTTCGAGGCGGCCGCCTTTGGAATGGACACTGGGTGTTTTGGGCCGGACCGGCCATAGCTTCTGTAGGGTTTTATTTGTACACAAAAATCATCCCAAAAGAGCACCACAAGTTCAACGGCTATGATCATGACATCTGCAACGTTGCCAAGGCTATATTTAGAAGTCATTAAAATTAAATGCACCGTGCCCAATTTGCAAGGGTGTGTTTGTTTTTTTTCCCATTTTCAGTACTCCTATGTAACGCAATAAATTCACTAAGCATTTGCATTTTAATTTTAATTTTTGCATCAAATATCTAGAGAAAGATTACACATGCCTTAATTAATCAACAAATATAATTAATACTCCTACTACATTCGTTAATATATATCAATAGCTACGGTGAAGATTGTTGCTGTAGGAGCGTGGACGCCGGCGAGAGCTGCTCGTGCACGACGGAATTGACGGACACGGAAACAGGGCTGCCTTCCAATTGCAGCACTATGCTTCCCAGGATTTGTGTCAAAATCTTCTTGAACTCTAATTCTGACACTCGTTTCTCATTTCCAGCATCGCACATTTTCAGAGCATCGCCCATAATTCGATCCATCTGGAGAAAAAATAATAAAATTGTATTGTTAATTATTAAAATAAGTAATTATATATATATATGCCACTCATCCATGTAACATAATGCATCATAAAATCAAATCTAAATATAAATCTATTAAATTTAAAAGATTGTTATTTTTTTATTGTTATCCGTCCCAAAACAACTACTATTTTCTAATTCGGTAATTGTACTGTTCCTAACATAATAAATATCATTCAAACTTACACTATATTACACAAATATCGTTACTTTTATATTACTATTTTAGTCTTTTTCACCGCAACCCTTGTAATACTAAAATATTTGGAACATCTTTTGTAGCTTGAAATTTGTTTGATTTAATCACCATGTCATATATATTAAAATATATACCTTATCAGCAGCGCCGACGGAGGGAAACCCGGCGGCGGCCAAGGAATCAAGCGCGGTGCGCAAATATTCCATTGATATCATCCCATTGAGATCTCGGGGGACAATTTTTGCAGCATAATCCAGTGACTGTAAGAATGGAGACAGCGTACGCACAGATACCTAAATTTTGTGAAGAAAAGAGTTTGCAAGAATGAAAGAACGTAGCTTACCTTGTTGAGCTCGAATTCATTGGCGAGTAATCTCCTCACGCCGCTCCCGTCGAAAATATTCCGACTGTGCGCAACGATCGCCGGTTGTTCCTTGAGAAGCTGCACGACATTCTCTGCACTTGTCCTAAACTCGGACAGAAATTTTTCCAGTGAAGGTTGCGAATCATGACAAACCCCGGCGGTTTCCAGTGCAGGTTCCAGAATGTTCGCCATCACCTACGAAAAGGTTAGTTTCAGAAATTAATTAATGATGCTGGTATTAATCAATTAATTAATTAATTATTACCCAAGGATCAGTAGCAGGAGGCATTCCATGGTCGACTGTGAGTTTCTCAAAAGCCTTGACGAGATGCTCTTTTAACGATCCTTGAGGGGATTCGTTAATGATGTCCGAATACATGGGAATAATTTCCTTTTCGAATTTGGGGCCTGTGACGAACTCGAGCAGATCCTCACCGTCGATTCGGAGAATCACAACAGGATCGCGTTTCAGACCGGCGGCCATGCCGATGAGGAAATCCGACAGCACCTCCTTAAACTCCGTCTTGCTTATTTCCTCTTGCTTCCCGTGTCTAAATTCGCTGAGAACCTGTCGGAACTAATTCAGTTAATTAGGTTAATTTAGAAACGAGAACGAGGAAGAAACGACATCGATGACCTCGGAATAGATATGGTCGGATTGAGGCTGCGCCGGCAAGCCGAGGGCGGCGCCGATGTCTTTGACGGCAGGGTGCAGGTCTTGGACGGAAAGCTTGCCGTCGCAGTCGGTGTCCAGTTCCTGAAACTTATGATCCACGAAGTTGGTGAAGACTTTCTCATTCTCGACTAACTCCATTATATCTGACCCATCCATCACGCCATGGCTAGACCCACCGCCGGCGCCGGCGCCGGTTCTGTCCTTCATTGCGCAAGCAGTATAGATAGAGGAGCTGAGGCAGACAGATCAGACACCATTGGGTCGAGTGTTGTACTATATAGAGAGAGGAGGGAGAGAGACGCCATTGACGACAACGGCAGTGTGTGTACGAGATCGAGGCTGGTGACGTGTCGGGCGGCGATTGGCGGTGATGTCCCAAGTCCAATTGCAAAAAGGCAGGAATAAAGGTGTGGCTGAGACAAGTGGGGCGGTACGAGGTGCGGACCTTTTTAATGATACTGTCTCCCAATCATTACTCGACACGTGTCGCGATTGCGTAATGCAGTGGCAATTCCGGCTTGCCTTCACCCAATCACATTACATCGTCGGAATGATTGACTGACGACATATACACTCTCCCCCTCTCTCTCTCTCTCTCTCTCTCTTATGATAGAAAGATAAATAGATAAATAGGAGTATAATATAGATAAATAGATAGATGGAGTAGGTGAAGGTCGGCCTTCGCTATTAAAAGTTTTCTCTCTCACCCAATCAAGTCATTTTTATTAAGAGAAGACAGAAGATTTTGTTTACTTTATTTTCGTTCATTTTGTTACTATTTATTTTTTTAAAAAAATATCATATCAAATATATATATATATTTTATAAAATATTATATTAAATATTAATTTTTTATTTTTTAAAAAAAAATTTAAAATTTTTCAAAAACTTCTATTTAAACCAAGCCAAGCCATATTGGACCGTTAATCGTAAATAAATAAATAGAAAGAAAATAAAAAACAGATCGGGATTGGTCAAATTCACGTACTTAAATGGAGATGAAGATGAGTGCAAGATGACCAGAAACAAGTAGAAATGAATAAGGAAGATTGGCATTACATTGCATCGGTTGGACTTAGGTTAGGATGGTTTGATTGGGAGGGGACATATACATATACATACAGTGTATATATACATTGTATGTGAGTGGAGCCTGGCGGTTGGGAGTAAAGATGAAAATAGGTCAATTTTATTTTTAAAAACTAAGATCTGAATTGATCTATTAGTCTACAATAAAAATTTTTATAAATTTACGAGTTTATTTTGAAAATCTATATAATAATTAATTTTTTATTTTTTAAAATTTTAATATTAGTAAAATATAATTTAAGTAGTTAAAAATAATAATATCAATTTAATGTGATAGATCATAAATTCTTACTATATATATATATACTTGTTTGGTCCGATAAAATTGTGTAAATTTGATTGCACATAAAGACTAAAAGCTAATTATATAATATTTTAATGTTAAATTGAGATTTATAAAAAGTAAAATAAGATAAATAAAAAAAATAATGAAAAATTAATTTTATATGTTAAAGTAAAATTAATAAAATTATGAAGGGATAAGAAGTTATTTACTTATAAATGAATTGTGTTTATAAATTTTACAGTCCGAGAGAGTAATATTTATTTACTAGCTGAGTCTAGTTGTAAATTTTTTCATTTGACTTTTACACACGGATGAAAATAAGTTTATATTATATAGATATGTAGTGTAATAAAGTAATGTAATATTCATTTTATTCTTGAAAAGTAATGAAAATTTTTGATTTTGATAGACTAAAATGACAAATAAAAATTTTAATTGGGAAATAAGAAAATATTATTTTTACCAGATTAAAAAGGTATACAGTAATACTATTTCACGTAGTAAGAATATACTTACTCTGTCTCGTAATAAGGTATAGATTTCATTTTTTTAGCAAGTGTACTTTAATATTACAACTACAATTTACAATTTATTAAACAAATAACATTATTTTTTATAATACAATATTAATATATTTATTTTAGTCATTTTTACTTTATTACTATTATTATATATTGAGGTGCAAACCAAAAGTCTCAGATTGAAAGATTAGAAGAAGATCTAATACCTTATAAGTGCCATATAAGTTCCACTAAGACGAAACCTTTTAGAAAAAATTCAAAAACAAATTTATGTGAACTCAAGAGCCTGATTTGAGTGATATTGGGCATTGATTGGTGATAGTGGATAAAAAATATATAGATATCTAGTTAATGGACAAACTAGTATAATAAACCTAGTAATAATAGTATGAATTGAGTGATACATTATTGAATTTTCAATATAATCTAGATTGTATTTTTATTAAAATATTTATGACAATTATTCTTCAAAATAAATTGAATTATGTCCTACTCTAATGTAATAGAAACTTAATATATTGGATACTAATAATACTATAAAATAGTAAAAAAATTATTTTTTGAGCAAAGAAAATAATAAAGGGAAAATATTCCGGGTATCAACTAGGTTCGAGTGGGATCGAATGGTATTTTATGTTGGATATCCAATACCCAATTTGGCCTTAATTTCATGGTCTAATATATATACAGTACAAAAAGAATGTAACAATGACGGCTGACTTATAAAAAAAGCTGAATTGAAGCAAAGGAACGAATTCCAACGACTTATAATAAATGGTATACGAATTTGAAGAATTGGAGGATAGAGAACTGGAGATAATTCTGCTTACGTCAGCGTCATCGTACTTTCCACCATTGATAACCTCCACTCCATACTGGCTGTTTATCCACAGCATTTCAACCCACAATTCAACATGGAATCGAGTTTCTCTCTGCGACCTCGAGCGATCTCGTCGTTAGCTCACGTTCCGGCGTGTTCTGCGCTCTATGCACGTCCCGGTGGACTCTTACGCAGTGAATTCCTCGGGTGCGGCCACAGTCTCCGGCTACCGCGCAAGAGATGGAAGAAACCGTGGCAGAAATCCAGGTCGCATTGCTTCAAGTTTCTCTTCAGAGCTTCGCTGGACTCGCAGCAGATTCTTTTTGTAACGGCTGCCGTTTCTGCTGCCACTGTGGTCTATTTCACTTATTCAAGGAAGTATCTAAATGCCATTCAGGTAATCTTGAATATTTCGAAAAATGTAAGATTCTATTGGAAAAACTCAGTGTAAGACTATTTATAAGTATTCAAGAAAGTATCTTGATGGTCATCTGATATATTAGCCAGATGAACTTTTCCTTGTCGCTGATTACTACGCATTAATGTTCTCTTTCAGACAGTAATATGTGCCTGTAAGATTGTTCTATTAGTGAACATCAGGAGCTCAGTTCTCTGTCTATCTCATGTTCAACTGGTTCATAACATCAACTCACTGTCTATTTCCAATTTATAGATGTCAGGAAGCATAAGTTTTGCATTATCAGAACAGATAAGAAGTATGATGAGCTGGATTCTTTCAGACCAACATTACATGGATTTAAGGAATAATGATTCTATTGGAAGAAGGGAAGATTCTTTGGAAGACACTAAAGAAGATACTCAAGTGAACAAGGATATTTTCGGTGAGAGCAAAATTAGGAGTGATAAGGTTTCCTCAGAAACTCTCACTGAAGAAATATCCCAGTTCCAGTCTAGAATATTTGCTTCAAGTGCCACTTATAGTTCAACCTCAAGGTCATCTGATGTTTCAGAGGTATCATATATTGTCTTTGTAATTTGGCGTGATGTTTACCTTTGTTGAAGAATTTGTTGAAGTGGTGGAAGTGCACGTGAATGCCCCATCAATTAGTTACTAATGGTTTTCCATTCCTGGTGGTGCAGGCAGATTTAGATGCTGCTTCTGCTGTAAATCATATACATGGAGATCCAGATAAATTTAGTAGATTAGAACTTCTTGAAGAGGCTGATATAAACTACTCCAACCTTATTTTTGCGGATTCTACATGCAAAGAGCTGTACACAATTAATGAGGCCTCAATGGAGAACTTGGATAATCTTGACGCCTTGTCATCTTTTACGATCCTTCAAAATAATAATGGCTATTCTCCATTTATAAAAGATTCTCTGATGGAACGATCAAATCACGCTCCTTGCAATGTTATCTTACCTTTAGGTAATGATAAAGGCTTTTTCATGTTTTCTTTATTCTTTGAGAGGAATCTATATATTATAATTTATCCGTTCGCTTAATTGATAGAAAAGATTTTTCTGGAGAAATTTGAAGAGGGAAGACCTTTTGGATATAGCAGTCAAAGCTTTCTCTGCCAACAGAAGGAATCAATAAATAGGAAAGAGTTGAGAAAAAAGGGTAAAAACTTGTCTGCATCTTCTAATCCCAAGGGGGAGCGTAAAAATGACAAGCATGATCCTTTATGGCAATTGCGTGTTTACAATCAACTTCTGAGGGAAGGCAGGTAATTCTATGATGGAATTCTTCTATGTTAAAATGTACAAATTTCAACCTGACCTCAAAATCTACACAAAAGTATTGAACAAGTCATAATATCTTATATGAATTACTTGTATCGATGCAACTGATATTAATCACAGTTGTACCTGTTGTAATTATACCAAATAAAATTATTATGAGCTATTGCTAGTTGTTGCTTATCCAAGCCAATGATAGTACCTTCTCTTGTATATACAATGATTTTTCCTTTTTGATTATGTTATTTTATCATTAATATTATTTTTCACACTTTCTTGCTTATAAATTCTTGTTTTTTAGGTTAAATGATTGCATACAGTTGCTTGAAGATTTGGAAGAAAATGGTTTGTTGGATATGGATAAGGTTGGTTTGATTCTTCTCCTTCACAATCATTCAAACATATATTCAGAGGATTAATATTTGTTGAATGTCATTGCTTCAGGTTTATCATGTGAGATTCTTTGAAGTCTGTAAAAGGCAGAGGGCTGTTAAGGAGGCATTTCGCTTTACAAGGTTTATCCACAATCCAACCCTGAGCACATTCAATATGCTTATGTCTGTTTGTGCTAGCTCCCAAGATCTGGAAGGTAGTCTATGTATCTTTCTCTCTTTATCTTTCCTTCTCTCCTCTCCTTAAATTGTAAACCAATTGTCTTCTTTGTAAAATTAAACAGGTGTATAAGCCAGAAAATATGTTAGATTTAGTCACCCTGCTATCTTCTATTTAGGTGCTTTTCAAGTTCTGCAACTTGTTCGAGAGGCTGGACTAATTGCTGACTGCAAACTTTACACCACTCTGGTTTCCACTTGTGCTAAAAGTGGAAAAGTAGATACAATGTTTAAGGTATGGAAGCCATAAATTTCAGATGGGCATTTATACCTCGTTTCGGGTGCTTATGTTGGTGGTGGAATGTGGGTAAAACTTTTGGACCTTTTTTTGAAATTTAGATTTTTATGAATCTGTTTCCTTAGATACAATCTATTATTGCATTCTGTAGCCCAAGCCTCATTGTTCTATCATTGCGGTCAATCATATGGGGATAAAAACATGTCAAAAGTAATATAGCACTTTGATTGTTAGTAACTGGTGTTAGTTTGCTTTGATTGGTCGAAATAACTTTTATGCAAAGGGCCTTTTGTTATATTTGACAAGCAGTGAGAGTTTAAGGCATTTAGTTTTCTTTAGCTGCACATTTGGAATATTTGCTGCAATCAATTTCCATGTAAATCATGCATTCTTGGTCCTCACTAGCATGAGATGAATAATGTGGTAAAACAACAGTCTATTGTGCAAGCTTTTGGGGTAGTTTTTCTATCAGCTAATGTTCTTCATAATTTCTCCTTAAAAATGGTCCATGGTTGCATTGCATGTAAATCTGCAGTTTTATGTTCTTGTCTCCTAATTGGTTCTGCATTAGGTTTTTCATGAAATGGTTAATGCTGGAATTGAGCCAAATGTTCACACATATGGTGCACTCATTGATGGTTGTGCAAGAGCTGGGCAAGTTGCCAAGGCCTTTGGTGCCTACGGAATACTCAGATCAAAGGTTATACTGCATGATGGATCTGATTGTTGTATCTCTGTGTCATTTAAACTTGCAATCCATTTCATTTCACTTTTCAAAACTACTTCACATTAACCTTCAAGTATTTCACATTGTAGAATGTAGAACCAGACAGAGTAGTTTTCAATGCACTTATCACTGCATGTGGCCAATCAGGAGCAGTGGACCGTGCCTTTGATGTGCTAGCTGAAATGAGGGCAGAAACAAAGCCAATAGATCCTGATCATGTCACTATCGGTGCTCTAATGAAAGCTTGTGCTAAAGCTGGTCAAGTTAGTTTATGTAGATTTTTGAAAATTATGCATTTATTCTCAACTCTCATACTCAATTTAAGCTATTGTTATTTAAATGGGAATATAAAACTGTCAGGTTGATCGAGCAAAGGAGGTCTATAGTATGATTCATGAGTATGACATCCGAGGAAATGCAGAGCTTTATACTATTGCTGTGAACAGCTGCAGTCAACAAGGAGATTGGGAGTTTGCTTGCTGTGTTTATAATGACATGCTACTAAAAGAGACAGCACCTGATGAGGTACTTTGTTTAAATTTTGTTGGTTTACTTGTTATAAGCTACCTTCTGTTAGATGTCTTGAAATTGAACTTTATGCATAGTTATATGATTATTGTGATTGTTATGATGCTAAACAAGTTTGGTTGTTGGTTTCCTTTGAATTTATTTGTCTTCAAAACCCCAATGGTATGTAATCAAGAAAATTCAGAGAGGAGGTAACTTGTATACATTAAATGTAATTGTGTGCGTTTATGTTTGTGTCTATGACTCTGTGTGCTTGCGTATAATCAAAGTCACCCTATATAAGTAGTTTATTAATTTACATTCCTTAACTATATACGAGTCATACATAATCCATAAAATTTACTTGACTGAGATTAATACTCTTTTTTATAATTTGAGAGTGATTGATTGAATTCCTACTGAGAATATTTGATGCAAAGAATTATCTTTAAAATCCTGTGTAAAACTTCTATGTTCAAAGATGGTTGTTTTTGGCAAGATGTTGAGTATTGTTGGAGTCTTTCAGAATCAACTTTGAGTGGTGTTTGGACTTGTGTATATTTTTTGTCCCTCAATGATTAAGCTTATGTGTTAACCTGGTTTTTTCAATGTTGTTTTAGGTTCAATGGATTAGTTCCTTCAAACTGTTGTCATAACTATCCTTTTTCTCTGAGTAAATATCTTATAGCTCTTTGATATTCTTGTATATTGATATATGGTACAAGTTAGAATAAGTAATTTTTTAAAGGTGATGGTGATAGTGAACTCTACAATTGTTTTGGTGACATTTAAATCTAATATCATGTTATATTTCCCATGATCCAGATGTTTATCAGCGCCTTGATAGATGTGGCAGGGCATGCTGGAAAAGTGGAAGCTGCATTTGAAATTCTACAAGAAGCTAGGGCTAGAGGGATGCATGTTGGAATCATATCATATAGCTCATTGATGGGAGCCTGTAGCAATGTATGTGCTAGTCATATACTTTCTGCATTCTCTATATAATTCCTTTATTTCTTGATGTTTTGTTTTTTAATTAATATTATTAAGAATGAATATTCAAACATTCACGTTTTGCCTGCTATATTGTTTCAATTTTCATTATTTTAACATATAAACGACTAGCTACCTGTATTTTGATTTGTTAAATTAGGACTTTTATACTATCATTGCACCTTCTTTTGGATGGTTTAAGACATCTCCTTCTCTCTTTTTCTTTCTCCCCACCCCCTCTTCTTTGATTTAATTTTTTTAGTTGTAGATAAATTCATTCCATTATGCCAATGATCACCAATCTTGTTATAATTATGTATTGTCGTGAAGGTTGTCCTTAAGTTTCTCTCATGAAATTAGATTATTGGAACTTTTATTTTCAATATCTTTAGGCTGGAGATTGGCAGAAGGCATTGGAGCTGTATGGCAACGTTAAGGGTTTGAATCTAAAGCCAACAGTTTCATTGATGAATGCCTTGATAACTGCTTTGTGTAAGTTTTTCACCCAGCTTATTGACAAATAACTGATACATGGATAGGTTCATAGGTTTATATGCAGTTTTTGAAAAATTCATAATAGTAAAGATGACACTGAAACATACGGGTGTGTTTGGATTGTTTTGGATTGAAAATTTTTTAATGGAAAATATGTCTTGGAAATGATGTTCTGAAAGAAAAATAGGCTTTAGATGTGATGCATTTTAGCAGAAAAAATTATTTTCATGTAGATTGCATAGTGGCAAAATGGGAATGGGACAAACACAATCCTGACATCTTTCCCCCTGAAAAGTGTTACAACAATGATATTTACTTGTCATCATTCATAATAAACAACTTAGCTAATGCTATTGGGGAGGAGAAGTTAAGATAATACTGCAGAAAACTATTATAATTAGAAAAATTCATAACCATATATTGTTAGATCACCATAACAATATTAAACCTTTCATATGTGTAATATATGCATCATGTTTTTCTAAATTTTTTATGTTATATTGATGGTGTAAGAAATAGCATATATTTGTATTTTCTTGTAGGCAATGCGGATAAACTTCAAAAGGCAACTGATATGTTATTTGAGATGAGGGACATTGGATTATGCCCAAATACCATAACTTATTCCATCCTTTTAGCGGCAAGTGAAAAGTAATTTCCTTTGTTATACAAATATCGGATTTATCTTTGGTTTTAAGGCTAGATGGTGTGACTTGGTATATGACATTCTTCCCAGAAATGATGATCTAGAGGCAGGTCTCAAACTTGTTTCTCTAGCTAAAAAAGATGGCGTTACTCCAAACCTTGTAATGTGCCGGTGCCTTGTAGGTGAGACTGAAGATTGTTCTGTTTTCTTATTAACTGATTGTCATTTCATGAAAAATCATCATTATCTATTCATATAGTGATTCAGAAATTATAATATATTTGTTATATCTTGATTCTTACCCCTGCATGGATGGCTAATTAATGAATTGGTGATGTGGTAGTCTATTGTTTATGGCATATAATGGATTTTCCTTCTATTCATTTTAATGACATAGGAAGGTACAATTGGATTTTGTTGTCCTTTTTATGTTTCATTCACGGCATCCACACAACCATTTATACCATTGGCTACAAGCTCAGCTTATTACTAACAGAATATAAACATAAGAAATGCTGACATTGGATTATACATTCATTTTATTATTTTTATTATTATTTTTTAGTTTTTCAATTAATGTCTTGTCCCATTATCTCTGAACTGTATTCATTGTTGACTTCATTGAGTTACTGATCATGTTTGTTATCCTCAAGCTATGTGCCTAAGGAGATTCCAAATGGCTTGTATGGTTGGTGAACCTGTCTTATCCTTTTCCCTTGGCCGAGCTCAGCTCAATAGTAAATGGTATGAATTCATTACATTGTTTTTACTTATACATACAATGCAGTTATTTCTCTCTCTCTCTCTCTTTCTTTATTTATTTATTTTATTTTATTTTTTTTTTCTGTGGTGATGTATTTGTGTAGTTCAGAAAAGTATGCTTTACAGACTTGATTCATTAAAAAAAAGCGGATGCAACACATTAGTTTAGGAGTTAGGATGGTGACATCAAACCTATTGTTGACGGACTGAGAAAAATGATAAGATGGAATATATGATTCAATAGATTACTATATTTCTGCAGGACATCCTTGGCTTTGATGGTTTACAGAGAAACAATCATAGCAGGTGTGCAGCCTACCATGGATGAACTCTCACAGGTTTTGGGATGCTTAAAGCTCCCTCATGATTTGTCTGTAAGAGATAGACTCATTGAGAATCTTGGACTTAATGCTAACAAATCAAAAGGTGCAAACCTCTACTCTCTGATTGAGGGATTTGGAGAATATGATCCTCGTGCCTTTTCACTGGTTGAGGTATGTAAACAGCTTCCATGAATTATGTCTATTTGTGAACTTTGTTTCATGGAACACGCATTTCTGGATTGGTGATCTGCTCTGAAATTCAGGAAGCTTCTTCTCTTGGAATTTTGCCCCTTGTCTCTTGGAAAGAAAGCCCAATTGTTGTTGATATAAGAAAATTTTCAGTTCATACAGCTGAGGTGAGTTTTCTATAAGTTGTTATATACAAATGTTATACCCTAAATATATAATATTTTGTTAAATCCTAGTGATTTTCCTGCTCTCCCTGTAGTAGTATATACTGTATAGTTGACACAATTTGTGATTATCACGGCTGTAATCTTACATATGACTGAGAGTTTTGTTTTTTAATTAAATGAGATGTCACTATGTCATAACATTTATATGCATTACTTTCGTATTATCCCTCTACTATTCCTTCAGTCATCAATATCTCTAAAGTAATGCAAACATTAATCAGGTATACCTTCTGACAGTTCTCAAAGGTCTCAAGCATCGTTTGGCAGCTGGTACTTTCTTAGACATTGCTTACTTCTAACTTCTGATTTGTGTCTTGTCTTGGGGGATTATTCATTTCTTTCTAATTGCCACTATTTACTGTTCTCAATTGTTGGTAAGTTTGGAAATAATTTATGAATAATGTGGTATGTTTTGAGTCGTGTTCGTTGACATCCTATGCAACCTGACATTATATAGGATGTCCTTGAAATTGGACGATGCATGTATGGATCTTGTGTTTTGTTTCCAAGATAAAAGGGCTTAAATTAATGAAGCACCCTGATACAATTTTTACGATTTATTTATTTATTTATTTATTTATTTCTCTTGGTTTCTTCTATAACATTATCTTATCAACTTGGACAGGTGCAAGGGTTCCTAATGTAGCTATATTATTGCCAGTAGAAAATATGCGCATCCAAACATCAGCAGGAGATAAAACAATTCATATTGCGAGCAGGTTAGAGGGTTGTTAGTTAAAATGAATGTTGTTTGTGTCGATGAGATCGTGTGGTTGCATGCTCCTTGTATTATTTATTTCATATCTTTGATATTTAATAATAGAAGTAGAGGAAATTTTACCATTTGGTTAACAAAATTCAAAATAATGTTTGGTGGTCTGGAGTGAACCACTACCAATTGCTCTGAACTGAAGAATTGATTAAAATTTTATTTCCTTGGAAGTTTTTCTGCTGCTCATGATTTGACTGTCATCCTTCGTAGTGTAGTAGAATCTTTATACATATTGCAAGCCTTTTTTTATTTATTGATTATGGAGTCTTGGTTTTTAGGACTATAAATAAATTGAAAAGTATACCAACAATGCTCCATTTTCTTAACAGGATAAGCCAGGCAATTGCAGCGCTGTTGAGGAGACTTGGATTGTCTTATCTAGGGAATGAATCGTATGGGAAAATACGGATAAATGGAGTTATCATAAGGAAGTGGTTTCAGCCAAAGTTTTCTTCTCGTTTCAATGTAAAAAGAATTGATCACAGCTCATCCATGAGATATCTAGGTTCAGGCATAAGCCATCAACAACGTAAAATCCGAACTGGCTATTTGTCTTTGGAATAAGGTTCAGATATATTGGTTGCAGGAATTTCCCCTCACATGGCTGTCAATGTATGCTCCAGCCATAAGGTGGCTCTTCATGCTTCATTGGACTTGAAGAAAAAGGTTTTGTATTGAAAGACAGTAGTTTCAAGGCAACGGCAAGAAAATAAGATAACTTCCAAGTAGAAGTATCAATAAAAGAAAATAGAGATTCTATTGAGCTAAATACATGTCAGTTGAAAACCATTGGTTTTCCATTGTAGCTGCTGTCATACACTGCTTTGGAGATAGCTTTGAGCTGGTTGAGTTTAAGTTAATAACTTGATGGATTTGTATTATTTTAGAAGAAAATGACACCTGCGTTAATTGATATGTCAGTAACGTACGCCTTCTATATTGGGCATAGCTCATGTTGACTGTGGATTTCTTCTTATAAGAAATGCTAAGTCAAATGCTTAAATAGAATATTATGTAGCAGGTGGATTCTTTTATCAATTGAATTGCTAATATTTTTCTGAATATTTAAATGACGCAGTTGCCCTTTGCACAAAACTTGAGCCTTCACGTCTAACTTTCCCAATGAAGGATGCTTGGCTATTTCCTTATTTATTTGTGTATGCACAGAATATCTACACTATTTTACACGTTTGGAAACAAGTTTTACACTGTAAAGTGTTGTCTGATTACGTTCTGGGAGATGTATCCAATTCTGTTTGAAGTCGAATTCAAAGATTTCGTCCCTTGATTGTGAGAGGAAAGCATTTTTGTGGAGTACCAAGAATGCTATCTAATAATTTGGGTGCTTACACACCTTCTGAGTAGATATCTAGAATTAGTATTGCAATACTTGGTTAAAAAGGTAAACATTGTGTAGTATTATTCTCCTCTTCTTTTACATCATTACAGGCTTGTCTACAAGATTTTACACACTAGAGTGTCCCTGTCCAAGCACAGTCAGAAAAAAAAATTTAGTCAGAACTGGTGAGCTCTGCTGTTCCCATTGGCGTTTTGCATCAAGATATTTGCATCCTTGACGTGAGTTCAATGAAGGCATTCTCACAACACGGAATTGTGAGACCACCCATGGGATGGTTGAAGCCAAATTCTTCCTCTGCTCTTTGCAACAAATCTTGAAATGAAGGATGATTCAGGTATGATATGGGAACCACATACCTCTTCATTTGAATTTCTCCAACATAAATCACCACATGGCCCTTGGGCACATCGGATTGATTTCTACTGAGAAGGGATTGAATCTTGTAAAACTGTTTGGCATTCGAAAACAAGGATTGCATACGGATGGCCATGGCTTGTGTTTTCTTTTTAGGTTGGAGCTAAAGGTGTTGGTCTCTTAGCTTTGTGCTTCCTTGATCACCGTAGAACTCGCTTTAGCAGTTAACACTGTACATTGCTGGATATGGTTGCCTATATATACACACATATCATTGGTATTTCTCGAAATCCAAGGACTGATACTTTATTGTGGACCCTTTGTGATACAGGAGCACATGGCTTTTGTCATGAATTTAAAATATAAATATACAATTCTATTGTCCTTAACATCTTCACTCTATTGTCCTTAACATCTTCACGTGGTTTGTGGAACCCCACTTGTACCTTTCAACTTACCATTAATATAATAAGTCTTTCTTTTGTTGCAGGTTCCTGAAGATCTGGGCGGCATATGACTCAGTTACTAACAATTTTACATGGTATGTTCTGGCATTATGGAAGTTGTGCATGCCCTTGTTTTTTCAAATATGCTAATGGGTTCAAGAATTTAATACACCTCACAGCTTATACCAACCTTTTGTTGCCGCCGCTAAAATTATATGCTTTCTTGAATTCCATGCTTAGATATTCTATTTTATTGTCCTAGCCCACAGTTTTCCTTAGTGAGCATGTTGTATTATGGTTAAAATATATCACTATATATTATTTATTTTGTATCTTTCAGCCTATCTAACATCTGCACATGATGTCCTTGCAAGTACACAATTTGTTAGCTACATCGATCCAGCTTGTTGCCAATTGCTTGAGAATTCTGCGATGGGGTCTAGTGTCGAAGATAATCCTGCCTTTATTTGTTGAAAACTAAGTCCTATACTATAGCCCTTCATTAATTTGTATCACCTCTTTATAGATGTTGAAATGCTTGTATGCTAGTTCTCAATTTAATCTTTGGATAGTATATGAGTAAGCATCAATAAGACTCTCAGTTGATGGAAATTCAAGCCTAGATGATTGTTATAAACCGATTATGTAAACTAACTTTGATGCTCATGTTTTCATTAGGTTTTAGATAGAGCTAGAACACAAACAATAACTGTAGGACCAAAATAAATGCCTAAAACCTTTACAGATATGGTACACTTGTTTGCATAATTTGTATCACTGTTCATCTAACTTTATCCCCAAAGGGCCCTTCCTTGACTAATAATAGACAAGACTTGTTTTTAGGTTATGTCAGGTCCCTTCATCTTTAATGCCAAACGAAATGAAAATTTTGAACATTAAATGATCCATGGAGATTGCTTACCAAAAGGGGGCAGGGGTTGGATAATCCTTAGATATTTATAGTACAAACTAGACTCCACTATTCAAATTTGCTTCAAGACTGTAGTTGCTATCAGAGTAATTGCTGTATAAAGTAGTGTAAAAGCTATACATTCTCCATAGTTAATACTTGCTATTTACATGTGACAAATTCACTGCCATGACCAATGAGTTAAGTTACAATTAGTAAATGCATTTGTCGGTTGTATATTATATTCAGATGGTCATGTCTAATGAGGGAAGAGTTAATAGCAAAAACTAAATGAGCATCACCAGTATGTGAATGCAAATGATGTGGTTGCTTTTGGTCTAATGAGAAGCTTCTACATGACATGACTTTATACATATCTTCTGGTCTCTTCAATCTTATTAGTAATTTTTAGAAAACTGCTGAAGTAATTAAATGGGAAACAAGAATGCTGACCCAATGCTTGTCGTTTTTGGGTTGTGAAACTCTGTACTTATTGATCAACAAATTTTCCTCCATTTTATTTGAATTCGAGATCTTTTTGAAGCAATTAAGATTCAACATAAAAGAAGAATAGCCCATGAATGAAATATGCCATGACAATGAAACAAACCCACTCATTTCATCCTAACCAGGCAACAATATTTGGGATGTATATATGTACAAGAACCATACTTGCAAGCTTAATATCTTTACCCTTAGTTTGATCTTATTTTGTTGATATTTTCTCAAAAGGATGTTGTTTTAGCCTTGGCATGATATTTTTATTATTATTGAGTTCCTGATTTGTAGCAATCAGCTTTCCCACTCAGATTTCACCACCCTATGTCATATATATATATATATACATATATCTGTTCCCACCTATCTTCCCAACGTCTTTCTCCATACACATCATCAACACCATATCACTTATATATATATATATATATACATAAACGTACTTTATTAGCAAAAACCTCAACTTGTTTCTGGCCAATGGCATTGCAAAACAAGTGGAAGTAAAGTACTCCTGATTGGATTACTGTGGAGGCACTGTTGTATGGAACTATTAATAAATAATTTTAGTCTGTCTTTCTCTTTCTAGATTTTTTTCTTTTTTGGCGATGAGTGTCACATGGCCTCTAGATGTTGCTTTCCAGTTTTGGTAATGATGAATCACGTTTTATGAATAATGGAAGATGAAGAAGAGCATCGACAACTGTATGTAATAAGTCTTTCTGTTCTAGGTTTTCTCAACTTGCTTACTAAATTTAGTATTGGTTTTTAAGTCAAGTACTACGTCATTTTAGATATTTAAAGGTTTTGCGAAGAATTTGCAGGACGACGTATTATACAAGATTTAAAGATTATTATCACCTTGGATGGCTTCAGTGTAGATCCCTAAAAGATGAATATTGTTCTGACAGGCACACTAAATCATAAATATTTTACACCTGACACATGATCAATGATTAAGTTGTTTCATGATTTCTACTTCGTCTGCCCCTGGTTTAATCTCAAAACTGTGTTCTTCAATTATCTTATTATTTATTTTTCTGGTTCAGTGTATAATTAAATGGGGATTTTGTTTGAACTACACTACATATCCTTAAACCAAAAACCATCGATACGACGTAATTTATCTGCACCTCAGAACACAACATTACTGATTTTCATGCATCGATATGTGAAATCTCATGCCAGGAACAAAAAGGTTACTGATGAAATATGCACATTTCATTTTATAAAAGATCTGCAAGTTGAGAAATATAATCCATGCATAGTGCTGAGGACGAAGAATTTTCCCTTTTTACATGCACATTATGATTTAAATACCACATATTTCTCATTCCTAGAAACTCTGAAGATGAGTTTTTGAGTAGATAGCATATCACACAGTTCATTTTTAGGTTGACAATGTTACTTTCAATTAGGGTTCATAGATTCCAAAAAATGGGAGGTTGGATCTTTAAGAGAATCTGCATCATAAGAGAAGAGACTTGCCAGTTTGATCACTGCAGTCTGACAACTCTAATAAATTAACAAGAACAGAAATCTGTATACATCACTTTGCTAGACTGTATGATCAACTACTATACTAGAGAGAATTAAGTAGGCAAAAACTCTTTTACTAACACAGTCATATTGCTGCATCTCTAGAAGAACTTATTAGTGCTGTAAGACTCCGAAAGTAATCCTCAGTGCATGGAATTGTGAGGGCTCCCATTGGATGATCGAAGCCAAATTCTTCTTCTGCCAAATGCAACAACTCCTGGAACAAAGAGTGGTTCAGGTAAGAGATTGGCACGACGAATCGTGTGTGTGATTCGCCAACATAAACGGCAAAATGTCTTTTCGGAACATCAGTGCTAGTTGACAAGTTCCCATTCTTGGCCGACATATTTCTATGTAGCTTTTTTGTTGCATGAGCTATGCCTGTCAGCTTGAGTCCCATTGTTGGAATGACGGGCGGATGCAAAGGACTTCTGAAATTATGATTACACGGTAGGAAAAATTTAGGTTGAATTGTGGGTTCAGAGGAAGGACTTATATAGGGAGGGGAAATTCAATTCTTGAATAGAAATGAGAAGGCCCTGGGAACTAATTAGGGGGCAAGGCTTGACTTGAAGCTTGAGGTACTCATGAAGCTTTATGAACCGAACTCTGTAAGAATATATTATATAGAAGGTCGATGAACCTAGTTGAGAAAATATAATCCATGTTTTCTATATTTATTTAAACTTTCTTACATATAACGTTTGAGGGCTCCAGTTAAGGGCATGGAGCCTTTTATTTCAGCCCTAACATTGTTAAAATATAGAGGAAATAATTAGGTAGACATATCAGGTGAAGTATATTGGCAAAGAATCACATGGTTTTGACTAATCTGTAGCATGACATTGTGCCCTACCATACAAGGGAAACTCCAATCATATCCTCAACTTGAAATTTTTAGCAATTTATATCTCTTAATGTCTGTGTTCTGTGTGGCACAAACAACTGCTCAACCAAATTCTGATCCTTGGTTTAGTTATTTATGTCAAGGACCTGTCACGAAAGAGGATAAACTAAGATGTAATTTTGCCAAGTGAAGCACTGAACTTGGACTTGCACCCTTTTTTCTAGTTTTGCAATGTGTGTAATCTGCATGATAATATGTAGGAACTTCTAATAATACACTGTCCCAGAAACCTGTGATTCAGCATGGAATCCATGTGCATATATCTATAATCCTTATCAGATTTATAATGCTACAAACTGGATCAATGTATAGGGATAATACTTCTGTTATCTATTTATTCTGGTGCAACAATATTGAGAAGATCTTTCTAAGTTGCATGGTTGATATCCATTTTGTGCAAACAGCTGAATGTAGCTTGAGGGCCTGTGACTTATTTTAGTAAACAATACTAGAAATTTTAGAAACTTCATTATAGCATGACACACAATTTGGTCAAAGCAACCAAGGCATAGGGATAATAAAATAACTAGTTTTGGGACACATTCATCATCAAATCTTATCCAGAAGAGGAAATATATTAGTTTATAATTGTATTTATAAGACATGTTGCTCATTCATGTTGGCCTCAATCGCTTGATCAATTAAGTCTTGTCAGCAATAAGATGGAAAATCAAGTTAGAGTTTTGTCCATAATATGAACAAAAGTTGGATAAACAAAGACATGTCTCTACATAAAGATAATGCTGAATTTTCAGCCGTTGACATATTCTAAATCTTGTGGAAGACATTATTGCAAAGATATACAGAATCCATTACTAACCAATCTTGGCCCAACAATGCCTTTTGTTCTCTGTGCTATGAATTCAGACTTGAACTTCTTGAAATGTTCAGGCATACATTAAAGGTTGCATTTCACATCCCCGTGGAAGTGCTTGCCAGTTTTCTTTCTTTTGTCAAAAGATTTAAACAGAAATCTATCTACATGGGTAATAAATCTAGAGATTTTTCAAATGGTTTAAGCAGTTTTGGGTCCATGTATGTTTCGTTAGAGACTTCACACCATCATTCTTTATTATCAATATAATCTCAAGGAGAAATCCTGCTGTTTGTTGCGCTAATCGGTAGGGCCTTCAGCACTTCAACTAATATACATGCAGTTATTTCTTGATAATAAGCTGGAAAGCAAAAGCATGTGATGTCTCATGTGCCATTGTCCTCACCTGTACCACTGTTTTATATATATATATATATATGCATTTGTTGTGTGCACAAATTTGACCTATTCATGGTGTGCCCCATGCATAAATTGTTGAGTGTTTTATCATTATTATAAAGATTATTGGAGCTCCTTTTTTCTCTTTGTAACGCAAATCCACTATAATTCTGGAGGCATTTACCTTTAATTGGATCCTAGATTCATTTAATGAAGACGAGCTAGTCCAAAATGTCTTGGATGCATAAACTTTTCTGTAAGTGCACAAGGGTAGTTACCCAAACAAAGATTTGCCTGATTTTATTCAATCCACCAACATCTTCACTTCTGGTTGAGAATTTTTAGGGTGTGCTTTGTGCATATGGGTAGGGTATCATCCCACCCTTTTGCATCCTTAGTGTGCACCAAATGCTTCGTTGAATACTGAAATGAGTGAGAGAATAGTAAATTGCATATGTGAAATAAACAGATTGCATGAGGAACCACATGCCTGGTCTAAGGTCTTCCAATCATGGCAGATGCTTTAAAAGCAGTATCATAAATAAAAGCCTTTCTCTTCTGCATTATTGAAACCTTTCATCTCTGGCAAGGTTGCCTTCTAGTGTCGATTGGAAATTAATCAAATAAGGATATGTGGATGTTGCCTACAGCCTACTTCTCCTCCCTTTGTTTTTTATTTATTTGAAACTGAACTTGTATTACTTTCATCTTTTATAAACACAGAGTTAATCTGATTCATTGACAAATTTTTCATATACTTTCAATCTTATTTGCTGTCTGGCCATCAATCAGATCAGATATACATATGCATGTAAAATATATATATATATATTCACGGACAGTGTTGGCATACTTACAGTCTACTACACCATGAGCAATGCTTTTATTGCTTCTGCATGGAACAATGCAAGTGTACGAACCGAATGAACAGCAGGAGATGGAATCATTCATTATATACTTTATTCATCAGTAACTTTACATTAGACTCCAAACAAGGAAGGAGTAAGCTACAACAAAAGAATGTGGATTAATAATTCTCCAGAGGCAAAAATGGAGACAAGGCTCCTCCTAACTAGTTGCATGCCTCAGTGAGCAAAGCTGACTATTTTTTTTTTGCAGCATAAAATTCATTACAGAGACACCGGTGTTTGCGAAGAACTCAGTTGAGAAGTCAAGGTGATGAAGTAATCTTCGTGGCAAGGAATGGTGAGGCCTCCCGTCGGATGGTTGTACCCAAACTCCTCTTCAGCCAAATGCAGCAAATCTTGGAACAAAGGGTGGTTCAGATAACATATTGGGATCACAAATCTTCTCTGCATTTCACCAACATACACTGGAAAATGGCCTTTTGGAACATCATTGTAAGTCGCAATGCTTCCTTTCCTTGGCGAAATTGTTCTTTTTAACTTCTCTAGTCTGAACCCCATCTTCCTTGTTTACAAGAGTTAGGACAAGAGAGAGAGAGAGAGTAATGGATTTAAACTGATTTGAGTTGGGGAAGTGATGGTTAAGTAGTTACTCATGAGGTGTATATATAGAGATAGGGAAGAAGCAAGTAAGCAGGGCATTGAATTAAGGGTGGGTGACAGACCAGGTGAAATAATTGGGAAAAAGAATCACATGGATTTGACTAGAGTTTGTGTAAATTAGATGGACATTCTGGCCTACCATGTCTTATATTTAATGGATGCAACAATGACAAAATGCTACCTGGAATTAAATCCCCTGCTGGTTTCTTGTCAACAGAGAGAAGGAAAAACCAGGGCCATTTTTATGAGCTACCTTTCCAGATTCATTGAACCAAAACTTGTGGTGTTTTTGCTGTGATATACTTCATGCAAAGCAGTTTATTATGAGGTGGGGCCTTGGAATCTAAATCCTTTTAAATTAATCTTGCCTCAATCATGATTTACCCACTTTCTATTACAAAACCAATGTTATAGAAAACATGAGTTACAGACATACTGTAGTTCTTAATACACATATGTACATATATAGATAGGTACACATATATATAACTGATTGTCAAATTAGTTAATAATAAAATTTTTTTATCAATGTACATTTGAATTTAAAATGCAAAAGAATAGTGGCTTTATATTAATTACTAGCAAGTTTTTTTTTTTTGGTTCTTTAAGTCCAATAACTAAATGGGCTAGATCCAATAGAAGCTGAAAAATTTATTTTGGGCCTTTAGGGAACATAGGCCCAGATAAAAAATCATAAGAAAATTTGATCAAGCATTTGTGTCGTGGGTTGTAGACTTGTAGCAAATATTAGTATATAAATATGGTCTGGATGACAAATGTGGCCAACTTTTCTACAGATATTGAGTATAATGTATAAAGAACAATCAATGGAAGCCATGTAAGAAATGTAGCCCTCATCTTATCATCCCATTGGGTTATTGGGCTCATATGTTTTCAACAGACTAGACCACAGTAGACACAAAACTAGCATCGGTTTCTATGTCACTGATTAAAATTGGAGAGGGCCCTAAACCTAAAGGGCTCTTTCTCCACCCTAATGGACCATCTCATTCTCCTCTCCTGTAAGATGATCTTCTGATGATTGGAAGACAAGTCCATGTGAATCATTATGCCAATGATAACAGACCTATTCATTATGAATTGCAATTGTTATACACTTTTACTTCCAACTTTGAAATTCAACATGCATTCTTCTTCAAACATCGTACTATGTCCTTATTTAATGGAGTTGAATCTTTATGCTTTGCAAGGAGTTTAGCATCTCAGTGTACATGTGAAACCCAAATATACTTGTCTTCTAAACAAATGTGAATGTCTACCCAAAAAATCTGAATAGAGACTCAGGAGTATGTTTTCAGGCAACTTGTGTCTTAGCTTAGAGATTGAGTAATGCAGTGAGTCGTGACTCTATCGGGACCAAGGCTCTTGCAGATGGATGTGTTCATTTTTTCTAGAGTTTAAGCTGCTGTACCATGATTCATTATCCACCAGAGAAATATATGTAATTTATTGGTGTATCCCCGACTGACGGGGCCATGTATATGGCTTGATGTTTTTTCCGACTGATTACATAATGTCCCACAAGCTATGGTAACTAACAGCACAAGTACCAGATTGTATTTGCAACTCTAGGGATGAATCACTACAAAATCTATTTGGATGGGGTGGGGTCCTTATGAGGTTCTTTTGGAGAATATGGTAGGGAATGATGCATTCAAAGGTATTAATGGTTGCTTATTATTTCTCAAATATTTTACGACAAACACATGTGAAACTTCATGTGCTTGTGTCCCTTCTTATCTACTAACAACCACAAATCCAATTGGCTCTTCACCACTCAAACAAGATTTTGAAGAGTTAGGCATTTACAAGCTCATCTATATATATATATATGTATGCCAATGACAGATATCTGAGCTCACAACCAACAAGTCCTTCCACAACCAGCTTTTCAGCTTTCGCTTGCTTCTTAAAGCTTTTCACACAGATAAAGTTATACAAAAGAAAGATGGCCATTCGCCAAATGCTTAGACGGTCTTTATCATCTGAAAGGAGATCAACTTCCACAAGCACTGAAATCCCCAAGGGGCATTTTGTTGTTTATGTTGGGGAGAATGATATGAAACGCTTTGTCGTTCCACTGTCGTACTTGAACAACCCGTCATTTCAAGAATTGTTGTATCATGCTGAGGAAGAATTTGGGTTCCATCATCCAATGGGCGGCATCACCATTCCTTGCAGTGAGGAGTTGTTCACGGATATCACCTCACAAATGTGCAGAACTTGAGATATACAGTTTATTTAGGTCACAAACTAGGATCCTGAGCAACCAGTTCAACAAACAAAGAGAGTTGGTTGTGTAGAATGCTTTGTCCTGGACAAATTTAGGACTCTGTTTTCTGGAAATGCTTTGTACATGCTGAGACAAATTTTACTTAGTTTACATATCAATGAGAACATATATTTGTCATATTCTTTTCTGTGTTATTCTCTTGGCTGCCTCAGCAAACTTTTCTTTTCTAGCATTGTCTTTGATGGAAACCTAGACCATCTGTTGATGGTTCTTTTCATTCTAAAAGGTTCTGTTGAACGACCATCTTACCTAAACGCTTAATCATTTAATATTAAATAACCATCTTATCTAAAAGCTTAAAATTAAAGACATACGTGTCATTTATTTATATATATTGCATAGTCAACAGGTTCTTATAAAATTATGGTTTTATTTTCACTTTAAGGATAATACGAATGGTTCAGAAACTAGCCATTGTTCTTTGAAAGGGACAAATCTGTTACTGCTGCAACACAAATTCTGTATACAAGATGTTAACAAATTTATACTCCCTCTCATTAACAAATATAATTCTTTCACATGTGTACAAGTGCATCCACATGTTTTAATTTTCGGACACCCTTTAACTACTAATCCTTGCTATATAGCTCTAGTTTATATTTTGTTGTACTGTTCTGAGTTGGCACAGATTGGAGGTGACCTCTGTTTCTTAGTCCCTTCATTTCTGCAGAACAAATTAGTGAGAAAACTTTGTCCCTTCGGATATAATATTATGGAAGTTGTCATATACTTGACATGTGGCCTGTTATACATTATGCAGTCAAGATTGTGCCCCCAAAATGTTTGTTAGTTGTCTTGTGGCTATATATTTAGGAGAAGGGCTTAAGCCTTCAAAAAAATGATGTTACAGTGTCACCTAATCATGGAGTCTGAAATTCAAGGAAGGGTAAATGAATTAACTGGACTTTAAAATCCAAAGCACAGCCAGTCATGCAGGTCTCATTGGGTTCAACTAATCGAGAACAAGCATTCAACAGAAAGAGGTTTTCTTGAGGGCTAGACAACAATAATGAATTCCGGTTGGCTGATGTATAACATTTATTATATGTCAAGGCAATATCTTCAAGAGACCACAAGAAGACAGCTAGTAGATTTGGCATCAATACTTGTAAGTTAGGTGCTATGCATCAGCCTCTATCATATTGATTGCAGGAGAGAGGGTCCCAAAGGACTCCTTCTAAAGCCTAATGCACCATCTCCCGTAAACGCAAGATAAGCTTCTTCACCACTCATTCTTGAACAGTAAGACATGACTTTAATTGCATGTCTCCATTATATTGTGTCATTGGCACATCACATGTTCCTCTATGCAATGTATATATAGACACCTTAAGTGTCGTTCATAACAAGACACTAGCTCAAAGAAGACAGCTTTTCCTACAATTTCTTTTCCTAATCATGGCCATTACTAGATTGCTGAGACGATCTTTATCCAGTGAAAAAGGATCATCTGCATCAGGATCTGAAGTTCCAAAAGGGCATTTTGCTGTTTATGTTGGAGAGAATGAAAAGAAACGGTTTGTTATTCCAGTAGCATACTTGAACCACCCTTCGTTTCAGATTTGCTATGTCAAGCTGAAGAAGAATTCGGGTTCCATCATCCAATGGGCGGCATCACCATTCCTTGCAGTGAAAAGTTGTTTGTTGATATCACCTCCCAGATGTGGAGAACATGATGCATACATTAGACTTTTTAGCTTGTTAGATAGTCTAACAAACAACTTTAGTTTTTCATTCTTCAGATGTTTTCCACAGTTAATTGCTAATGTACGCAGAATGTATATCTAAACAAATACATGCAACTGATATAAGAGACTTATTTCATTATAAACTGCAATAATTATACACTTGTGTGATTTTTAACATTTTTTGCTTTTTCACCTTCAAAATTTGAAATTCTACTTTCAGTCTACTTATAAAGGTTGATGATTCTAGAACAGACTTTCAGCAATATGTTAGTTAACACAGGAAGTTAAGATCAAAAGTGTATTATGTCCTTATAGAATGAAATGGAATCTTAAGAGATACAATTACAAGAGTGATGCATTTTGTCACTGTTGGTGTAATTAGAAGTGTCAAGAAGGGGGCCAAGGTGCCAAGGATAGCAACTCAGAACGCGATAAAACTGTGCCTTATCATTCCAAATGGTGAGAAGATCTTTATCTAGCGAAAGGAGATTACCTGAAGTTCCAAAGTTTCTTTTTTTTTTTTTTTTTTTTCTGCAGTGTATGTTGGGAGATATGAAAAGAAGCATTTTGTTATTCCATTATCTTACATGAACAACCCTCCCTTCCAAGAGTTGCTATCTAAGGTTGAAGAAGAATTCGGGTACCATCATCCAATGGGCGACCTAACCATTCCCTGCAGTGAAGATCTATTCCTTGACATAACCTCTCAGTCACTTGATCAGAATGTGATGTCTGCACTGATGATTCTACAGGAACAAATTTTTGTAATTAGTTTATCTGATAGACAATTGTCATTAGTTTTTTCTGCTTCTTTTCCTGGAGTTTTTGAGAGATAGATCTGTATACAGGATATGATTACATAGATTCAGATAACTCTTCAATGAAAAGGCGTGTCTATTCGAATCAAATGAACACATACCTTACTATATCTATAAATATAAGATGTTTTGGCTTCATTTAACAAGTTTCAAGGAAATTGAGAAATAAAACTACTTCATGATTTAATTTCATACACTCTAAAATTCTCTGACTCTGATTCTACTCGTTTTTTCTTGCCAAAAAGTGCATTGTTCTTCGTCTTATCCCGTATACAAAATTCCTAATACCCGTGGGAAGACGTAAGGTGGAATTATTGTATTTGGAAAGCGTGTTTAACGCGATTTGAAGAACTATCCAGCCATTTTTGTCGCCACCCCTACAAATCACTATCATGTCCCCAACAAGATGCCATACGGATTTCCATGATTCTGTAAAGGCAGTTTTTCAATGGTGACCGAGAAATACATGGGAAACAGACTATAAGGTACTAAGTAGGTTTGATATCAGTTCCGGTAGAGATTTATGTTGTGCATCACGATTAATTAGGCAGTCTAGCAATATCAGCAACTGACAGGGCAATGTATGATCACTTGGAGCCTTCTTCCTAACTTATGATCAGCTGTTTAGACTTGATCATTCGTTGAAGAGCATAATGTCCCACGAACTATGGTAACCAACAAGACAAATACCAAATTGTATTAGTGACTCTAGGGATGAATCTTTTATTGCTATATTTCTCCACAAACCAAGAATTACATATATATATATATATATATACATGCACAAAATCTATTTGGATATGAGGTTTGGTGGAGAAGATGGTAGGGAATGATGTCCCCAAAATCATTAATGATTGCTTGTTATTTTTCAAAGATTGTAGGACAAACACATGTGAAACTTCATGTGCTTGTGTCTCTCTATATCTGCTAACAACCACATATCCGATTGGCTCTTCACCACTCAAACAAGATTTTGAAAAGTTGGGCATTTACAAGCTCACCTATATATATATGCCAATGACACATATCTGAGCTCCAACCCAACAAGTCCTTCCACAACCAGCTTTTTAGCTTTCACTTGCTTCTTAAATCTTTCTCACAGATAAAGTTATACAAAAGAAACATGGCCTTTCGCCAAATGCTTAGACGGTCTTTATCATCTGAAAGGAGAACAACCTCCACAAGCGCTGACATCCCCAAGGGGCATTTTGCTGTCTATGTTGGGGAGAATGAGATGAAACGCTTTGTCATTCCACTGTCGTACTTGAACAACCCTTCATTTCAAGAATTGTTGCATCATGCTGAGGAAGAATTTGGGTTCCATCATCCAATGGGCGGCATCACCATTCCTTGCAGTGAGGAGTTGTTCATGGATATCACCTCCCGAATGTGCAGGACATGATACATATTAGGCCTTAGAGATATACAATTTATTTAGGTTACAAGCTAGGCACCTGAGCAAGCATTTTTTTTTTCTTTTCCTCTCTCCATTGTTTAACAGAGGAGAGTTGGTTTTGTACAATATGCTTCCTGGACATGTTTAATATACTGTTTCCAGGAAAATGCTTTGTATATGCTGAGACAACTTTTACTTAGTTGAATATCAATTAGAACATACATTTGTCATTTCTTTGTTGTGTTTTGCTTTTCCTGCCGCTGTCGACTTTCCTTTGTTAATTTTCTTAATGGAAACATAAACCAGCTGTTGATAGCTATTTCATCCTAAAAGATTGATTTTTACCATAGTTCTGTAAAATAAATCAAAGGCCACTTGGCAGAAGATGTTCCAAAGCAAGTATTCATCCTCATGAACAAATTGAATTCTTCCCACCTACAAGTGAAACCACTTTTTTTTCTCTCTACATTATAATCAATACATGCTACTTTAGTTCTTGATGAGATTTAGTTCAGTTTATCAGAACTCGGCAAAGAGAGGACCATCATACTTTCGTTTCTTATTACCTTCCTATCATGTTATGCAAATTCAATTACAAGGTTGAGCCATATACTTGATTTTTGTTGCCTATTATATATAGTGCAGTCAAGATTGTCCCCTAAAGATGTTTGTCAGTTATCTGTTACCAAAAACTATTTAGTAGAAGAGATTAAGATTTTAAAAATTGAGCTACACTGCACCTATTAATGGTGTCTAAAATTCAAATGTAACTGAGTTATCTACTCGAGAACAAGTGCTCAACAGCAGATGGTTTCCTATGGTTTAATAGACCACAAGAAAAAATTCAAGTGGGCTGACACTAAATTATATGTCAAACCAATTAGCAGACCAATTTGTGGGACTCAAAAAGGATTATGCATCATTAGCTGTAAGTTGGGTGTTATGCATTCATCGGTGTCCCATGGATTACAAAGGACCCTCTGAAAAGGTCTCAGTCTCAACAATAATGCACTGTCTGCTGTTAGATAATCTTTTGATTATGAGAAGACAATTCCATGTGATTCTGCAAATGTTTTTGTCCACAATATACCCACTGAGTCTCTTCTCCACTCAATCTTGACCTTTCAAAGACATGATATTAATTACATGTTCCTCTATTGTCTACATAGGCACATGTACTTGTGTTATTTTTGTAATGTATATATAGAAAGCCTAAGTGCTCGTAACAAGATACAAGTCCAAAGAAGACAGGTTTCTTACACATCCTTAGACACACTGCTTCAAAAATATTACAGATTATTATACATCAACACAATGGCCTTCAACAGAATGTTGAGACGATCTTTATCCAGCGAAAGAAGATCAACTGCATCAGGAGCTGAAGTTCCCAAAGGGCATTTTGCTGTTTATGTTGGGGAGAGTGAAAAGATACGATTTGTCATTCCAGTAGCATACTTGAACCACCCTTTATTTCAAGATTTGCTATGTCAAGCAGAAGAAGAATTTGGATTCCATCATCCAATGGGTGGCATCACGATTCCTTGCAGCAAAGAGTTGTTCGTTGATATCACCTCCCAGATGCAAAGAACATAATTCATGCACTAATCTTAGAGCAATACAACTTTATTGTTAGTTTGTTAGATAGTTTTGGTACTATCCATATTTTTTCATTCTTTGAATGATGTATGCCACAGAAAAGACTCTGTTGTGCATAGACCTTTTCACTGGACAAATCTATACAAAGAAATTAGTTCTCAGGGCAGTTATGGATCCATCAATATATCCAACTTATCATTTCTTAATATATATTTCTGCATTTGGAGTTTCCCTTTTGCTACTACACGAAATATTGACAATCTGGAATGGATTTTGAAGATGGTTATTTTATAATTTAATTGATAGTCAAGAAAATTTGTCCCATAAACTATTGCTACTTTTAAGTCCAATATATATCAGCCTTTTTTGCAGAAATAGTCAAACTGATTATCTATAAAAGAATGCGTGAAACAACATTAATATATCTTACACTGTAAAATCCTAGGCCAAAGGTCAAAAGAAATTTTAAATTCTGTCCTAAAAACTAGAAATTCTAGTCAAGTATAATTATTAAGAATCACCTGCACTAGCTGTGCCATGGATTTCTAGGTGTTTGGTGGGATGGCAACGGTACTAATGATGCTTGTATGAGGTCCTGCATATAGCAGACAAAAAATAGACAGAGAAGGTGAAATCAGATTGATTTATGCCTTTCTTGGGTGTAATTTAGGTGCCACATATCACTATCACATTGAATAATATGAAGGACCACATATGGTTTTGAGCTGGAAAACTTGCCAACAAGAAATATTTGAAAATCTTTGTAATGATTGTAAGATAAATTCATGTGATCCACCATGTGCTGTGTTTCTAACATACTCACTACCCCCCCCCCCCCCCCACCTCCCAATTCACTACCAGTATGAGGTTAACTTCTTCTACCTAATCCTCTATATAATGCATCTACAAAAATATGGAGTTCTTTCATCAGCTTTGGTTTGTTTTACAAAAAATTACACATGTTTTCCTTAAATTCTTTCTTTCGGGTCATTGCAACAATGGCCATACACATACTAAGGTGGTCTATGTCATCTCAAAAAAGAACAAAATTTGAAGTCCAAGAGGAGCAATTTTCTGTATATTTAGGGGAGAATGAAAAGAAACACTTTGTCATTCCGGCGTCGAATTTGAAGCAACTAGCTTTTCAGGAATTTCGGATTGAAGTCAAGGAAAAATTTGGTCCCGTCATCCAATGGCCGGCCTCACACTTTCTTGAAATGAAGAGCTCTTCATCTATCACACCCCACCACCCAGATAGGGAAAATATATAGTGTATATACATACTAACTTTTTGAGGAAAACAATTTTAGTCATTAGTGTGTTAACCTGTTTTCTGGACTACATTATTAAGGACTTCTTGTTGTTCTGCATAGAGAAGATAGTTTTTTTTCTTTTTCACTCTCAGCGAATTCATGGAAGCAATATGAGGAAACTTGCACACTACAAACCATGTTAAGTTTGCAAAAGCATTAACCATCCAAACTATCATGCAATGTACTTGTGAGCTCTTATGTTCGGTCTTCATTAAAATTGTAGAAGACAAGTTATTTTGCCTCATGAAATTCTATGTTCTTTATTGTAACACTTCAACATAATTATTTTACAGAAATCGTAGCATCACAGATTCAAGAAAGGCAATTAATTTAAGAAAGCCCACATGGATTCTAGTAAAACTTGTTTCTTTCACTATTAATCATGAAGAAGTTTCTCACATGAATTTACTAAGAAGTAGCATTTGCAGAATTGTCCGAGGGACTACGTAGCCTTTGTTATGGGGAGATGGCATTGATAATTAATGAAATTTTCTCAGGACCATTGTTACCTACTGCAGACATGGATAGACTGGTCAGATCAAATTGTGCCCTTCTTGGATATAAGGTGGGTACATATCCATATATTACTGTCTCATTGACTGTTACAAAGGGTTAAACTATACCTGGAGAAATTGTCCACAGTAAACATATGCAATGAGTGGAAGACAAATCCCTGTTCATCATCATGCGCTAATACCTCTCAGGTTTACAAGGTATTTGCATCTTCCTCATCCTGTGCATAATAATGTACGGTGCTCTTACAATCCAGCAACATTCAGGTCCTTCCAGAATATAGGAAGTGTAATTCCTATCTTCCTTCTAACTCATGCGTGTATCCACCTCTAAAATTAATTCAACCATGGCCATGCATTCACAGGAAGCTCTGGTAGTCCTTTCAAGAAGTGAATTTTTTTAATTGTTCTCCCTTGAGCAGAAAAATGGCATACATACTGAGTTTCAGAATAGCTATAGCAGAATTATAGCCTTGTCACCAGTTGACATTATGGATTAAAATCCTCTTTTCTCTCCTTTGCATAGGCTAAGCTCAATCAGATTCATATTTATCAAAAGGATATACAAATAATTGATCTTCTTAGATCTTTCAAGAAGAAATATTCATGAAATATTTGTAGCAGGCAGAAATGTCTTTCCATTATCTATCTAACTATTATTTTAGAATTATATGCTCAAAATGAATGCTGGATATGAACTACTTATATGTGCGCCTATACATGCATATTTCTATCAATATGATGGAAATTATTGGATTTGTTACAGCTTTGGCCAAGGACTAAGGACCTCGTTGCCATCATGAATTGGTGGAAGGAGAGCATGCCATGCATTTTTTTGCAAGTAAACATTACTTGTAATGAATCGTGGATTATATTATTGTGTTTGGGAATATCACTTTAAAGAGTAGGATACATGAATCATTTATTCAAACCATTCATATCATGGAATCAATCTCATAAAGCAATTGTAACTCATCTAAAAACAACTAAAATCTTGGAAATATTTTAAACCAGCACAAAAGACAAAAATATTATTATCTTGTCGGCTACAAGTAAACATATTAGCACGGTCCTTGTTCTTTATTGTGATCATACAGTAGTTACATCTATAGAGAGTTTATGCTTGCTGAACCAGGAATCAGGACCTGTGAGTGATGATGAGGCTGGCTTCAAACTGAACTGAAGTTTTGGTTATCCAACAAGAATTGTTGACAGCCCAGATTTCAAGCTATTAGAGCATAGATTGCTAGAGTTTAATGTTGTTTTACCTTCTCTTCTTCACATTGAAGTTGGTAATTAGCTGTTGCACTTTTTAGGTGCAATCCTTGTCATTGCTAGTGTATATGTACGTATGTATGCTTAGGCATGTCTATGCAAGTAAATCTGAATTAGCTAAGGATGGAATGGAGACGGACAAAATTGAATGAATAATGCATCCTGTACAAGATCATGTGTACCCTGTTTTCGTAATTTTTTTAAAGAGTGTACATTCAGTATAAGTGTTCACACGTATCGCCTTTAGAAACCATAGTCAGGGGATAGATTAGGTACATTGAAGCCTATTATTATGGAATCTACAAGGTACTTGTTCTCTCAGAGACTCTTGAAGCTTTCTTTTTGATTTTATAAATATTGAAGTGCACTTCCTTTCATGATCTTTATATGTTTTTACAGTGCCTATGGAGGATCCCGGTAACAGGAAGAGGCAACACCTATGATCATCCCACTAAATAGAGATTCATGAACTTTTGGATGAAGGTGAGCACTTAAACTTGCTGCAACTCTTCAGGCATCTACACAGATTTTTTGAAGTGATCTGACAGCTCCAAATTGTAATTATGTGATCCATGTGCTATACCACTGATGGACTTGAAGTCACTTATGAAGTTGGGCTTGGGATGCTAACTTCTCAATCTTAAATGGACTTAAAGTTCAGTTGATATCAGGACAATCTTACAAAGACTGAATATTAATATTGAGGATGTCATCCCTAATTGCTGTCGTCTTGCTACGCTGATTAAGGAACACAAACTAATCTTGATCTAGACATGACCGGGTGGAATAAGCCAAAACTGTACCTTATGTTTCTCATCAAATCATAACCTCCACAAATCGTTTGACAACTCAAATAAAATACCTGAATCTATGGCAGTCTTGCATGATTTCTTCTACAAATTTAATTAGCAGAACCAAATGCTTTATGCATTCACATCTACTGGTTGCTGTCTGCTGTTCTTTTTATGCTTGGATAAATGAAGTGTTTGAGCTGACTTAGGTTTAATCGGGTTGGCATACACCAAGAACTGGTGTAGCATGCATGTGAGCTTAATTATGTAAAATTAGTTCCGAGCATCACTTGTTTTGGCCCATGCATATTGTTAATCATTTCTGTGTTCGTTATCTTGTAGCAGAAAATATACTCGTCTTGTCTCATTCGAACTCTACATTTTCCAAGTGATGAAGGGCATGCAGCTATATATTTAGGGTGAAGAGTTCTATTCTCGAGATAGACATGTTTTCACCATATATATTAAATATGCCAGCATGAATTGATTATACTACTGTAAACACAGCACTTGGACCAATTTTGTTAAGTAGGCAGAAGATGCATTTACAAAATCACAAGGGCTAACTTGGATTTGGGATAACATTGAAAATTTACGGAGGCTAGGAGAGTACTAATGCATCAAACCTGCTGATTCCTGGTTTGATCCTGTAATAAACCCTGCTGCTCAAATCAAATCCTGCATATTATATATATATATGTATGTATATATATATATAGTTAAGTTAATAATAATAATGTGTTCTTTAAACTAGGAGAGGAGTAAGGGGGGTTATGGGTGGGTATTATTTACTATTATTATTATTATTATTATTATTCCTTGTTGGTAGGCGGTGCTTAATTCATAAGGTGGCATGAATCCATAAAATGATCATCATCTATATATGTATCAGGTAGGAAATTGCCATATCCTTAAATGCAAAATTATTGCAAAAAGGGCCCCATATACAACTCCGGCACATTCTCCTGTTTCTACAATGTTGTGATATGTCTACATATGTATTAATTGTTGTCAACATGTGAGTTGGAGACCTGAGAAATGTATAATGTTATGCTCCTCCCTCCAGGTCTGCTCCGATCTCATGGCATAGACAATTGCCCTTTTTTTTTTTTTTTTTTTTTTTTTTTTGCTGAGCTGTAGTTGTTTTTGTTCAATTATCTTGATTTGAAACACCCCCTCCATTCCCATTCCCATTCCCATTCCCACTCCCTCTGTCTCTGCTTTCTCTCCTATTTGTTACCCTAGGAACATAAAGGGTTGCACAAAGCTACAATAGAGAGAGAGAGCAGTGAAAGAAAGCAAGAAAGTAAGCATATGAATATGATCTGTCTCTAAATTAACCCACACCTAATTAATATGAATGAATATGAGTTTCATAGTTTTGTCGATTCAGAAACAGAAACTTGGAAATGAGGTTATTTTTAGGTGGGTTGACAGTTTGGGGTAGTTGTGAGTGATCTCACAGACCCTTACTGCACTGGACGTCCTTGAAAGTTTTTAAGGCAAGAGTAACATGGGCTTCATGTGCCATACGGAAGGTCGTGTCGCCATCAACGCCCAAGAAAGGGAAATTCACTTGATATATTATTATTATTATTATTATTATGTTCATCTTATGAAAAAGAAAAACACAAACACAGTACATATAGTATTACTATTATATAGATATCATGGAATATAATGGACCACATCTCCTCTCCTCTCCTCTCCAATCTATATATTTATTCATTCTTCAATGATATATATAAATATAATCACCCTCATTCTTGTAACATGTCATGTGTGAATAAATAAATAAATAATTGTAGAGCAATTCAACACATGATTTTGTTTTCAGCAGCTGCTCATGTATATATATATATATAACTCTACAAATTAAAATACGTACATAGGAGATAAAAAGTGAGACATGAATCATCCAATTAGTGTAGTAGTCTGCAATGCTTCACCACTTGTAACCTAAGCAGCAGGTGAAGTATTTGAACATATATCTATCTATATATCTGAACCTTAGTTTATTCATATTTGTGTTTGGTATACATACACACATACATACATACATGTGATTGTGTAATAATTTTGGTTGTTAGTGTGGGGATAGAGAGAAGTTGTACTGTCAAGGACTTGAGGGTGAAGACAGAAATTAATATGCATATATATATATATATATATATTTGTGTATCTTCAGTGGATCTTGTTCTGAGCCTTGGAACATGCATGCGATGCGCCTATATATCGACATTCATATACATATATATAGATGTGTGAGTGTGAGTGGCTCTCGTTAATTACCATCCTGTGGGTTTCATCCCTCCCTCAGGACCACATTGACATACACACATTCATTGTTGATGTTCTCAATTCTCACCCTCAACTTGGTTGTGAGTGTGAATATTGAATGAGATTGAGATGCCATTCAATTTTCATTGATGCAATACCAATACAGGCAGCCAGCCCACAGTGAAAAAGTTAAGCAAGCATACATACTGTGGGTAATGTAATCTTATGTAATGTGTGCACTTGGGGTGTAAAAACATGTTTTTGGCAGCTTGTTCAGTAGTACTGATGGAATAGATAGATACCCTGAAAAGGGCTGGTCACATGGATTTGTGTAAGGATCTACTCAGGCATTTATATATATATATATATATATTCTGACAATAATTTAGCAGAATCTCAAGCCCAACAATGGCAAAAATACAAGGAGAGGAAAGGGTTATCATTCGTACCTTTCTGGTACAGTTAGTTTGTATAAGAAACCCCCACGTTTCTGCTACCTCAATTCAATTGAAAATAATAAGCAGATTATTATTAATATTTATCACTACAACTCCTTTTAATTAAGACAAAACAAAGAGGGGTTTGTTTTGATTGGCTCTGGAGAGAACTGGTAAAACACTCTCCCCTAATAATATTAGTTCACTACTCTTAACTACACATATTATATACATTACTTTAGCCTTGAAAAACACAGGGGGGGAAGGAAAGAAGAGAGTGGGAATAGAGACGACAGAATGTTGGGAATTGAAACATGGACTCACTCACTCACTCACTAGAGTAGAGTAGTGTTGTGTGTGGAAAAGCATGATGTTGAGAACTGGTGAAACCGACTCCCAACAGTGAAAGCTAAAGTATGTAATGTAATGAAGAGATTATTATATTATAGTATTTGATTTTGATTTTGATTTTTTATTTTTTTACGAGGGAGGAAAGGGTCCAACATCCATCCATACAGCCATAGGGCCAAGCAAGCAAACATCAACTACAACAGCAACAGAGATTAGCACAGCAAGTGGAGTGGGCTTGGTCCCTATGTTGTCCTTTCATAGTTACAAAAAGCCCAAAATACCCGTGGTGTGTCCCTCACCCCCCGCCCCCACCTCCCCTACACCTACCCCACCTTTCTCCATAAATACCCACCTTCAGATCCCTCTTCGCATCCCCCTCACCACAATTTCTTCCCACTTGCAGCCTGCCTTCATATTCATAGCATAGCTGAGCTGAGTTGCTTGCATGCTTTCTTTCTGCAAAATCTAGTTACCAATCCTGCCTCGACACACACTTTTTTTGTTTGTTTGATTCTGTTTTTTGTTTTTGAAAGCCACCATCATCATATATAACAATATGGCCATCAAGAAATCGAACAAATTGCCACAAGCAGCAGCTTTGAAGCAAATCCTGAAAAGGTGCTCCAGTTTGGGCAGGAAACATGGGTACGATGATGCAGAGGAAAATGGGCTGCCGGAGGATGTCCCAAAAGGGCACTTTGCAGTTTATGTGGGTGAAAATCGAAGCAGATACATTGTGCCTATTTCTTTCTTGACTCACCCAGAATTTCAGTCTCTGCTCAACAGAGCTGAAGAGGAGTTTGGATTTGATCATGAGATGGGCCTCACTCTTCCCTGCGAAGAAGTCGTTTTCCGATCCCTAACTTCCATGCTCAGATAATAAATCCTATTATCCTATTATTATTATTATTTATTCTAAACTAACCCCCGTAACAATTAAGGGTGGGTTATTTAATTTTCTAGCTAATTTTGGAGGAAGAAGATCGATGATCAGGATGGAATGCAGCTTTGCTACTGCTGTTGCTGCTTTTTGTCTTTTTTTAAACATCTTTCTTCACTCATGGAAGATCTATATATATATATATATATTTGTAGTCTCTAACCCATGACCCATGAATATTAATTAATGTTTTCTGGGTTGGATCTGATTTGTAAAAACAGCCTGTAAATTTTCCTCACAGTGGTGTTTCCATGCACCCTGAGAGAGAATCGTTTCGTCAATATTATTCATTCTATGTTCAATCAGTACTCTTTGCTTTTCTATATTTCTTTCCTTCTTTCTTTCTTTATTTCCATCTTTTTCAACTTATCTTTTTGCATGTTCAACCCAACCCAGCTCTGTTGCATTTGATGGAGACCTGAGGGCAGGAATTAGAATGACACATTCTACAAGTTACAACTACTGTTCCTCATGATTATATAATTACTACTAGTATAAGTATTATACCCTCACAAATTTGACTTACTATTGAGATTATTATTATTATTATTATTATAATGATAATATAATATATATGATAATTCCAATCTAGCACATACAGTTTAGGTAGCATATGACCTCTGCTTTTAATATTTGAAAGGATTATTTCTGAACATGCAACAGCAACAGCAGCAGCAATGGAGCAAGTCTTTTCAATGTGAATCTCAAAACTAAGGCCAAACTCTTGCCTGTTTAACTTTAATTGCATTTACCCATCAAACTGGGATAGCCCTATTTGCATAAATTCAATAACAAAAATATACACTAAATTGGGATGTCCCTCCTATCTAGTATGCAAACACATGCAAATGCAGCACCCAAAAATAAATTAATATTTACTTCACTTTTATTTAATTTACTTCTTTTTTGTAAATCAAGAATACTTAATAAATGAGTTGGTGGAGTAGATATTTCACATTTATTAGGCCTTATTATATGTATATAATACTATAAATGTGTAGCGTAGAAAATACTGGTCCATTGTAAATTTGTTGATGAAAATGATGAGTCTTGAACATGCAGCATGCTTGTCTCTACATACTCGTATTCTTCTTCCTTGTACTTTTGAAGCAAATAAGATTATCTAAAAAAAAAAAAAAAGTTAAAAATGTAGGGTGCATGGATCTTGCATTGCATGCATGGTCATGGATGCCTTTCCACAAACACACAACTCACCCCACTTCGAATATTTTATGAGACAAATATCACTTTTGTATTATTTTATATGCAGATATTGTGCATTACTTTATATCCCTCGAAACCTACACAGGAAAAAACAAAAAGACTTTTTCTTTTTGTAATATATACTTGCTGTATGTAATGTGTAGTGTGTGTGAAATCTTTTGATAGATACACATTAACTTAAGAGAGGGGTAGGGACCAATGTTATGAAATCAAAAACAGTAATGAAATAAAGTAGGTGCAAATGTTTACCTGACAAAGTCACTTGTTATCAGATGTGTTTAATTTGCATAATAAGTCGAGTCCCTTCATTCAAGTCATCCATGTCACTCCATAACCATTCTTATCTGCAACAGCATTTTTGGATTGGAATTACTGTCTGGCCTTCTTGTGTCCAATCAGATCAAAATCGAAATACATAAATAAATAAATAACTGAATATATTATGTATTTAAAATAATGACATGGAAAAACTAAAAGAGAGGAAGCTTCCTTTGAATCTAATCCGTATAATCTCTGTGCATTTTTAATGTCCAGAACTTTAAACTCCTCTTTTTTCTTTTTTTTATTACTACTACTACCACTGTTGTTATTTTTGATCTACACTTGTGAAACTTAAATAGTAATTGAATATAGTTTGTGTTCCAAGTAAGTTCAAGATGATGCTTATCTTGTTTATGTAGCATTCTTGGAAACAAAACATTTTGTAATATATTTCTGGTTAAGGCTCAGTGATCAATAACAACCAATATGAGCTGTCCAATGCTAATCTTCTGGCCCTACTTTGTTGCCCCCAAATTCAAATCACATAACCCCTTTGAAGCTGTTGAACATATTAAAGCTCTCTTCAATAATAATATGAAATGTTTGTTCCACATTTTATTCAGACAACTGCCATCCTATGGAATTTACAGTAACTTTTTAATAAAAAGATTATTGTCAAAACCTAAAGCACACCAGAAATACATCCAAACACACCAGGTGACACATGTAGTTCAATAGTTTCACTTTCATCACATTATTCAGATCTAATGGAGGTATGCACACCAAACTTAACTTGAACGGCCCCGCAAACAAAGGCCTTAAATATCACTTAGCCGGGCAGAGATTAGGCCTGTGAATTGGAACCATTGCCCACATCACAGACTCAGCTGTGGTAAAAAAAATTGAGGTCTTTATACATCAGGCCATAGTGAAAAGGTAATGTTTCCCATATGGTATTCTAAACGGAAAACCAAAAGAAAATACTCGGTGTCCTCCTAGTGTTGTCCTTTAGCTTCAGCTTTCTTGTGAGATTTGGCCTGAAACTGGAAATTTTTTAAGGGAAACGAGCAAAACTGTAAGTCTTGTTGATGCTAGCACAAATGATGAGAAAAGATTCATCACATAACAAAGCGATTGTTGCTGAGTGCAATCTATTCTACTATTCCAATGAATCTAAAGATCTTCAAAGAATTTCCTTGTACAACATAATTGACACAAGCACCTCTATGTTGATGAAGTTGTACCTAACACAGATCAAGAATGCAAGAAACATAAAAGTTCAGTGTAAATCCAGTTTTAAGAATGATTCTTGAATAATCCAACACACAAATGTTTATATTTACAGCTTCATCCTGATCCATCAGGATATCTACAAATCTAGGCATTTGAATGGCAAAAGTTCAATTTAAACAGGGATAAGCAAACTCAATTCAAGGCCCTTGTATGATAGCAATAGTCTCTCTTAAACTAACCATGTGCCCCAATGTTCTCCTTCAACAATTATATGATCAGTTTTAATTGAGTCTTATTTTATTACCTGGTTCAAGATATACCAATCCAATCATCCAAAAATGTCAGAACCAAAAAAATCATCAAAATTGGCATGAATTTACCGGTGCTTAAAAAACAACTTAACTAATCACCAGTATTAACCACAACAGAAGTTTTTAAAGTATGTTAATTTGCGGCATAACAAACACTTAGATTCTAGAAAATAACAAGCATTACCTTAAGAATCTTGAGCTTTATTTAAAGTATGTTTATTTGCGGCATAACAAGCACTTAAATTCTAGAAAATAACAAATATTACCTTAAGAATCTTGAGCTTTATGCTCCCGTAGACAACTCCAAACGAGAAAGCGGAAACCCTAGCAACCTGCCCCGTTTTGAATGTTCAAAACTCAATAATAACACAAAGTATGCACCATCGTCAACATTCCTAATAGATCGGAAAATGAAATAGGAATTACCAACGCGAGCGTGCTAGTGCCGGAGTATGGTCCAGGCGGCGGCGCCATTGATGCGAGCTGCAGACATTTGTGGAAATATATGGCAAGCCAGTTTTGTTCCTTTCTATGACTTCTCTTAATTATTTGGGCCAAATATTGAGCAAAAAATAATTGTGCCATGTTCCTCATATTTGCTAAAAAATAATTATTTGAGCCTGAAAATGATTTATTGGGCCCATTTGGGCCCTTTGACTTTGCACCACCAAAACAACGTCGTTTAGAGAACACTTAAATCCCCCGTTCAGCTCCCACAGATACACTACCATCTTCCATCGAGCAGCCGATCTCCGCTACCAAGAATTTCAGCTAGATACTTGAAATGTCGTCGAGCGAGCAGGTCAGAGCGTCTCACATATTGATCAAGCATGAAGGATCCAGGCGGAAGTCGTCCTGGAGGGATCCCGAGGGCAGCCGCATCTCTGCCACCAGCAGGGATGAAGCTGTAACGCAGCTCAAAACCATCCGAGATGATATACTTTCTGGAAAAGCAAAATTCGAAGATGTGGCATCTCGAATCTCTGACTGCAGCTCTGCCAAGCGTGGTGGCGATCTTGGTAGGGAAACTGAAATTCTTGTTCTTGGATGTGGTTATTTGGTCAGTTCGATGCATCACTTTTCAGTCTTTCATGGCTTATGATTTCAATGCTTGGTGTTTTCGAATTTATTTGCCTCGTTCGGCAAGGCGTCATTTTATGGCAGCTGCTGCTTTGGTTCTTGCTAGATTGCTCTGAAGATTTGGATTGGTTGTTGAGATATTATTTAAACGTCATCGCTGTTTATACGATCCTTGATTAATGAAATTCACTACAGCCTCCTATGGTATGAATATAATGACATAGAAGAAGTGGTGTCAGTGTGTGTCTGATTTTGTAAAATAAAATAAACTTGTAACAGCTTATAAATCTTGATGAAACTTCCATGGGATTCAGACAGAGTTAGGCATAATGGTTGGGAACTGAACAGTTGGACAACTGAGATCTAATGATAGTGTTAAAGGGCTATGCAAGTTGTGCAGAGTATATGTCACAGGGAAGACATGTACATAGAGGTGGGCATCTGAAGTTGCTTAGGTTTATAATGCCTGTTAATTAAGTTTACACTTTCTGCAATGTTAGTTCAGTTCAGATGATATTCTCATTGCAGCTGTTTAAACTTAAACATCTAATTCTTGATGTTTCTTTTGGTTTGGCTAATGGACTATGATGAGCAATCTTCTGTAAAATTTGTGTATTTCTTGGTCAAAATGATCGCTTTTTGGTTGTACCATTAGTTCATTTATCTTTATATTTTTTACTTTTTTCATGGGTGTCTTTGTGTTGGTTATGCAGTGAAGCTAGCATCCATGCTAACATATCTTCGGTTGATTGAATATAGATAAGATGTTTTGTTTGTTGATTGATATTTATCACTTGAACATCAAAATGTGTTTTCCATTCCGATTAGATGAACCCAATGAAAAGCCTTTTTGGAAATCACCTCCTGAACATAATTAGTATCATGCTTCTATGTTCACCTATAAGTAAATGTGGCTGTACTATTTTCACCTCTAATGCTATTCTTGATGCATTCTTATATGCTTGAGTTGATTGTTAGTAATATTCTTTATATTTTCTTTCCATGAAAATTCCTCAGTTCATAGCTTTGATACTATGATGTTGTCATGACATGACCAGAGTTTCATTCTAATCTCCTTGCATGAAGAAACTGAATTTACGGTTGTTATATTTACCTCTTTGACTGAAAAGCAATGCTGCTCTCGGCAGCCAAACAGGACTTGCAAGGCCAATTTTCCCTTGTTCCTGTTTTAGTATCGTGTTCATATTTTTGCTTGATTGCTATCACACTTAATATATGTGTAGATATGAGTCCTCTCTTTTATTCAGTAACTTCATTTGCCCAAGTTCAAAGAACTAACAAGACTGCGACCTTGTTCTGTTCGTGTTTCTAGGTCCCTTTGGCCGTGGTCAGATGCAGAAACCATTTGAAAATGCTACATACAGTTTGAAGGTCGGTGAAATTAGCGACATCGTTGACACAGACAGCGGGGCTCACATAATACTAAGAACAGGTTGACACAACCTTGGGCAAGGAAAAGATTAAAGGAAAGCCCTTCAGAATCAAGACTATGTCTCTTAAGACTCTTTGCATCCTGTTATTTCATCCTTTTTATAATTCCAAAATACTCTCCAACACTGTATTCCTATTTCTCTCTGTTTGGCAAAGACTTTATTAAATTTCCCAATGCACAATGGTAAATAACCAGGACAGACAGAGTTCTCTTCCAGAAATTTTAAGCATTGCTGCTACCATTATGGATTTAGAACTATTAGATATTGTTAAGAATATGATATCATTATTAGGGTGGTGTCACTAATTTCCTCTTCTTGCAATATTATAGTCTGTGTACAGTTCATATCTAGCATTGATTCAGGTGGCCCACATGTATGTATATATATATATATGCATATTTATGGGGTCATGTATATCCCTTTTTTTGTTCTTTTCTACATGCAGATGGTCTCCAAGAACTGGTAATCTCAGTATCACCATTCACACAGGCATCACGCAACCATACATACACCTGCCTTTTACTTTTACTTTTACTTTTATCTTCTTCCATTGATACTGATACTCATTCCTTTCAAGTTTCAACCATTAAATTTGCAAATATTTTGGACAGTGATTGGAAACACAGAACAATTAATTGACTTAAATTATGTGGTGCTGAGATTTCAGCAGTGGGGATATAAAGGTGAGAATTTTTGAATTTTGTAGTCAACAGTGGCAGGCAGGCATCGAGCCCACAAAAGGTTTAGCAGAATATTGAAGATAGTATATAAATTATAATGATCAAGAAGCCCTTTTTCTTTGTATTATTTTATTTGAAGTGGATAATCATTATCAAGATCATGGATTAATTCCTTTATATTATTAAATCCTATCCTCCTCATTTGAGTGTGTGCATGATCCAAGTCATTTGGTTACATATACATACCTGGCTATACTTTTTTTTGTTTTTTCTTTTTTAATTCAGGAGTAAATTCGAAGAGTAGGTGTGGCTAATTCTTACTTTATAAATAAATAAATAATAATAATAATAATAAAACAATATATATGTATGTCAATTAATATTAAATTTAATAAGATAACAAACAATTTGTAAAGATGATCTTTAGGGGTGCGAGATCATGAGTTCAAATATTTATCAGTTATTAGATTTGTTACCTTCTTTATAAAATTGAAGAAAATTTATGGTCCATCCACTTAAAAGTTTGTTTTAATACTTATATTTATATAAAAATCATTATTAAATGCAGTACTTTATATCAACTATAAATTAGATATAGTATATGATAGTATTAAATAATGGAGTAAAAAATAATTGTACTTGACGAGTAAAGTTAAGTATTTTTGGTCGTGTCACATAAATTTGACTTCAACCCATCTGTCCACCAATCAAGTGCCGCCACGTCTAACCTTTACAATTCTCTCAACACTATAATTTCGGCAAAAACCTATTTCATTAATTCATCCTGCACAACTCCCTCCCACGCCACCGACCTCTTTAATGGCCGCCGCCGCCGCCGCCGCCGCCGCCGTTACTCGTTCCTCCTCTTCTTCGTCCTCCAGACTAACCAAACCTCTTCCGCCGCCGGTGAAGCCTTTCACTTGTTCCTTCCCTAAAAACCTCCGAAAACCATATCCTATTCTAGTCTCGAAAAATCCCATAGCGGATATCGTCTCGACCTACAAGCAATCAACCATTGCGGATGCTGAAGCCGATGAAATTCAAGTTTCTGATAGTTACGATGATAAGCCTCGGGAGGAGTGCGGCGTCGTTGGAGTGTTCGGCGACCCAGAGGCCTCCCACTTCTGCTACTTAGCGCTCCACGCTCTCCAGCACCGCGGCCAAGAGGGCGCTGGGATTGCGACGGCGGAAAAAGGCGTACTCCAGTCGGTGACCGGCGTAGGCCTCGTCTCCGACGTCTTCGACAAATCGAAACTGGCTGAATTGCCTGGAAACATCGGCATAGGGCATGTTAGGTATTCGACGGCTGGTTCTTCGTTGCTGAAAAACGTGCAACCCTTCGTTGCCGAATCTCTCGGAATTGGAGTGGCTCACAACGGAAACCTGGTGAATTATCAATCCCTGCGCGCGGGGTTAGAGGAGTCAGGGTCGATTTTCAGTACGACGTCGGATACAGAGGTTGTTCTTCATCTGATTGCAGCTTCCAAGTCGCGGCCATTGTATGTCAGAATCATTGAAGCCTGCGAGAAGCTGGAGGGAGCCTATTCCATGGTGTTCCTGACCAAGGACAAGCTGGTGGCTGTGCGCGATCCATTGGGATTCCGGCCATTGGTTATGGGAAGGAGGAGCAATGGAGCCATCGTTTTCGCTTCAGAAACATGTGCATTAGACCTAATCGAGGCGACATATGAACGCGAAGTTCTCCCCGGCGAGGTTCTGGTGGTGGACAAGGAAGGAATTCAGGAGTATTGTTTGACGCCACGTCCGGTGCCTAAATCGTGCGTCTTTGAGCACGTGTACTTTTCGCAGCCGAGTTCCGTGGTGTTCGGGAGGTCTGTGATGCAATCGAGGCTTGCATTAGGCGAAATCTTAGCGACAGAATCGCCTGTGGATTGCGATGTTGTGATTGCAGTCCCGGATTCAGGGGTGGTGGCAGCAATTGGCTATGCTAAGAAAGCCGGGGTGCAATTCCAGCCGGGTCTGCTGAGATCGCACTACGTAGGAAGGACGTTCATCGAGCCTTCTCAGCCGATCAGAGACTTTGGCGTAAAGCTGAAGCTGTCGGCGGTGAAGGCAGTGTTGGAGGGGAAGCGCGTGGTGGTGGTGGATGACTCGATTGTTAGGGGAACAACTTCGCTGAAGATAGTGAGGCTTCTGAGGGACGCGGGAGCGAAGGAAGTGCACATGAGGATTGCGAGCCCTCCGATCATAGGGTCGTGCTACTATGGAGTGGACACGGCTAGTAGGGAGGAGTTGGTGTCGAGCAGGATGGGGGTGGAGGAGATAAGGGATATGATCGGGTCGGATTCGTTGGCATTTGTGTCGCTGGAGAGGATGAAGGAAATGATGGGGGATGATTCCGACAAGTTCTGTTATGCTTGCTTTGATCGGGAGTATCCGGTGCCGGTGCCGGAGCTGGAAGCGAAGGTGGTGAATGGTATGGGAAATAGAAAAGAATGTGAAGGTGAAGCACGAAGGGTGGTGGAGGATCTGAGTATTCTTACTAATTTAAGAAGATAGGATTAGGTGGTTTTGTTTTTTGAATCACGGGCATACTATTACGCTTATGAGACTTCTTGATGACTGATTAAATAGGTAGTTTTGATTATTATTATTGGCATGTTTTTGTGTTCAAACCTATGCAGAGCAGAGCAGAGCATACGTACTGACATACATACATGCGTTTTGAATGGAAATTCTTTTCCTACTACTGACAGGGCTTGTTTATGCACGTTGAGATCTCGCCAGTTTGGTTATTCATGCAAATGCAAATAATCCTCTCCCTATCTCAAAATAATACTTGATGGGACTTTTGTCTTTGACAAATCCAGCTGTCTTATCCTATTCTATTCATGGGTGGGTCAAATTATGTCCACAACATGATTAACGCCGCGATTTCTGCCTCATCTAAGTCATAACACACATACATACATACATGCATGCATAATTGCATACACGGAAATCTAATGCCATCTCATCACCTGCCTCATAATATATACACACACACACCGGATCCTGTCCCAAAAATAAACTCTATCTCCCTATCCTCACAATACATATTATGTATGGGGATAGAATGTGTTAATGGGACATATATTAGTGTGTGTATATATATATATACACATATATATGTATGTATACCTACATATAATAAAATCGAGACAAATACTTACTTCACCAAATACCAGACAGACTGACACCGGATCCACCAACAAACATGGAGCTCCTCCTAGTCCTAGACCAATGATCACCAACTCCACCTGCGGCTTTAAATTACTGTAAGATAACTCTTGTGACAGAATAAGAAACAAATTAAGGTCCCAACCAGCATTTCAACTCATCGTAATGAGCTGTGTGTATGTATGTGAACTAATGAATGAATATAACTCAGTCAAATCTCCACAATAATAATAATAATAATAATAATTTAGGATATTGTAGCCCCATTGATGCCTGCCATCAAAAGCTGACATACCTCAGCATGTTTTCAAACAATGTCCCCTTCCACTCCAAGATTATTGGTTTGATTCATTTTCTGTAGATGTGTTTCCGGTGCCATTTGGCTGCTGGGATTGTGTCTGATGCATGTTGAGTTGGGTTGCTTGATGCTGGTATATCTGGGTGCTGTTGATTGAAAGCTGCTCAAACTTTGAGGTGTCTCCGCTTAGTTCAGCCGTTGCAATCTTTAGGCGACTCACCTCAGCCGTCAACGCCTCGTTCAGAGCTGTTCCAAGATGCACGTGCAACCAAAATTTATATATTTCACTACTCAAACAAACTAAGAGGCTTAGTCAGTACTAGCATAATGATGTAGGAAACAAGGCAGAACCATTGCTTCTTCTGGGGATTCCTGGAACAATAACTTCACATATATATGCAGCTTATTATAATCCAACAAATTCAGACAGAAACCTCGTATCTGGTTTTGAAAATAATACAGATGTGAAAAGAACAGAGTATGAAATTTATACCATCTCGAAGTTGGGCTTGTTGCTCCATTGCCTGCAACCGAAACTTCAGCTCATTGTTCTGGCTAGTGAGGCCAGCAGAGTCCCTCTGAATATAAAATTAAGAAGGTAGTAAGCAATTACAAGAAACTGGGAAACCTTCCCACAAAACACTAATTGTAAGCTAGCTCTCACTTGTAGCATAGTAAGCTTGGCAGATAATGTGGTTGCTTCAGTTTGTAAAGTCTGTACTTTATGTTCCAACTCAGCTATATATCTCATTTTTCGCTCTTTTGAACGAGCAGCAGATTGCCTGTTGGCTAGGATCCTGAACACAATACACATTCACTCATAAAACTCAAAACTATTTCCAATGAATATAACATTGTGAACTTTAACAATGGATTGATGTCACGGATCACCTTTTAGCCCGCTTGGGATCGCTTAATGCGATCTCAGAAAGTTTCTCATTAGCCATAATTTTCTTCAGTTCAGCTCCAGTAAACTCACCATTCCCAAACTCCATGTTGAAACTATTCGAGTTTGAATCTATTGAGTTTGATGGAGAGAGTTGGCCCAGATGGGCTCCTGGGGATGGAGGCATCTTCGAAGAATCATCCCCAAAGTTCATATTTCCCATGAAACTATCCATTGAGAAGCTTCTATAGTGCCGAGTAGTTGGAGCAATGTCTCCCCCAGCATTCCTTTTGATCCCTTCCCTCTTTGCAGGCAGTGAAGCTACTCCCCCTTTATGTGTACTATTCCCACTTTCATTGATGCTGCTGGTCGCTTCATTATCACTGGTGTCACCTCCATTTGTCTTGGAGCCACTAGCTCTACTATCTAAATCTTCTCGATTATCATTCTCAAGCTTCTCATCGGCACCAAAATTATTATTGAACTTGTCCATGTCCTCCAAATTCATGTAAGCAGAAAAAAGGTCATCAACTACCTCTCCTTCCGATTTTCTCTCCCCCATCCCTTCAACATTGCTCTCACCTCCTTTCTCCCAACTCAATTCTGTTTTAACCAACTGCTTCGGGTGATCACCTGAATTACCTCTTGCAGTCGCTGACCAATCTAAAGCACTAGGACTTCTCAATGGTGGAGTCAGCAGTGAAGAATGCATAGATGTAAATCCAAATGGGATATCGCTGTTGGACCTTCTGTGAGCCTTAGATGGAGGAAGAGTTTCACCAACTCTAATTAAACCACCCCCTGTAAAAGGTGACCGCGGCAGCAAAGAATGTGAGCTCTCATTCCTATCCTCCATAGGCACATCCGCTAATAAATGGTCAGATACAGAATTCAAAGGCAAGTCTCGATATGGTGAAGGGCTCAATGGCGGCAATGAATCAAGGGCAAAAATAGCTGGCTGTGACAACGACCGAGCATGGCTCGGCTTTGAACTGCTACTACAACCACTGAAATTTTGCACTCCTGCCGGCTGATTGACAGGCCGATTCACTGGGATCTGTGAATAAGGTGAAATCGGAGGAATTTGTGGGTGTGAGGGTGGAATGCCAACTCTTTTACCAGTATTTTCAACCCCCCAATTGGGTGGGATTTGTCGAATCTGGCCTCGAAACTGTGGCATGTTTAGCAGAGGTACATCGGGTTGGCTCATCGGAAGGGCATGAGGTGGTTTAGCAAGTGAAGATGGAGATGTTCCGAAGGAAGATTGAGCTCTTTGCGAATTAACTTCCTCACTATCGCTAGCCATTTCTTAAGTATCACTGTCGGAAGCCGATCAATCTAAGAAACCTCTAAATACCGAAACAAAGATCACCGTAACTCCTCCACACACGTCAACTGCAGAAAGTGACGAATCGACAAAATAAATTGGGCAAACGCATCTACCTATCAACAAGCAGATTATCAAAGTAACACCGGAATTGTGCAGAAAAGGAAATTCCAGCAAAACAAAAACGGTGCTACGGAAAATAATGAGATGGTAAGAGTAAGAAAAGCGTTGATCTACCTACCATTCTGAGGAGGTGCGCAGGATATGGAGATTATCCGCCAGAATTGCGGGGAAATTGAGGCAGTGAGCGTGCCATAAATAAAGAGTGCAGGAATAATTGGTCTCCCCGTCTCCTCTCTTCTCTTCTCCTCCTCTCTTGTACAAGCAAGCAGGCAGATTTCTTTCTGCTTATGGCGAAGACAGCGACTGGTATGACTATTGCACGGGCTTCATGACTCATCACTACTGCTTGCTTGCTGCGATGCTATTGCTATACTTACTGCTGCTGCTACTACTACTGCTCCTCCTGCCTTTACTCCTTTACTTGCCAAAACGCGTGAATTTATCAATCTCATTTCAACTTCATTTCGCCCCAATTTGCATCTACATCGCATTTCAATTTCACTCGTAATTATTACGCTTTGAAATTTTGAAGCTTTTGGTAAAAAAAAAAAAAACTACAAATATCCGTCTCATTTAATTTGATCATTCCTTCTTTCTATTTTTTTTTTTTTATGTATTTCATTTTGTCATTTTTTTTTCAAATGTAATTATATATTTTAATTATATTTTAAATTTTATAATTTATAATTTTAATTTAAATTTATAATTATTTTTATTAAATTATAAATATTTTCATTAATATATATTTTTTTCATTAATTATATAATACCTCAATCAATGTACTCAACGTCCTAACTAAAAAGACAAATTAGTTGTGACAAATATAGTATAATATTAAAATATTTAATCCTGAGAAAAAAAAAATTAGAATTTGTTCTTTCTATTTCTATCGTTTCTTTAACATATTTTTCTACAAAAATTAATAATATATTATACATATTTATTATTCTTATATTTTCTACACAATTCTCGTTACAAACACATTGATGCCATTTTATTTATTTATTTATTTTTGATAATTTAGCATTTGTCCAACTTAATAAATGGTTTCAAGTTTGTAAAGAGGTCAAATGGTTTTTATTGGTTATTTTTATTATGACGTAATGAGTTTTTAGGATATGTTTGATTGTAATTTATAATTAATTTAAAGTTATACATTACTCTCTCCGTTCCAGATACAAGTATAATTAATAAATAATTAAGAATATATTAGTAAAAATAATTATTCTAAAATATAAATAATTATAAATTAAGGTTAAGATAATTAATTAGTTTAATTAAAAAATTTTAAAAAATTAATTAAAAAATTAAAAATGAGATTAAAGTGTATAATAATTTTCTAAAAAAAATGACATGGGATGTGGAACGGACAGAAACGACAATATAAACATGGCAGGTGAGACGGAGGGAGTAATATAAATTTTTATTTTTTATTTAGAATTTGGGAGTCTTGTTAAAAAAATAAAAACACCACTAGAATATAAATGTGTGAGATTTGTAGCAATTATTTTACAAAAATTTATTAAAAAAATATTACATAATTGATCTAATATACATTTAGATTAAAATAAACGTAAAATAAATTATAAAAAATACTATTAACAATTTGTATAATAATATAATTTTAATAATATAGTTTTAAATTAAATATAATAATGTAAAATTTTATTATACAATACTATTGCGTTCGTTTTTTTTTTTATAATTAAAAAAATTATTATTCATCTACACAATTCCAAATAAAAATTCAAATTATCATTTCAGTTGTGAATTAAAAATCAAATCATCTATTTTTTTTTAAATTAAAAATTACAAATATTAAAAAGAGAGTGTTTTATTTTATTTTATCATATTTTATTGAATTATTATAAAATATTGGATGTGCTCATTTTTTATTTTTTTAATGTATTTTTTATATAAAATAGTCTCTTCTCAAGTAAATTAAATTATGTTCATTTGATCGGATAGAAATTTTTTAAAAAAATAGAATTCTTTTAATGATAAATAAAAAGTAAAAAAAGATAATTTTTTAATAAATAAATAAATTTAGATGAAACAAAATAAAAAAAGAATAAATTTAAATGAAAGAAAATTTAAAAATTAAATTGATAATAGATATTTCATGTTAACTTGTTAATATTTATTGAAGTATCTGGTGATATTTCGGTAAAAAATTTTTTTTCCTCTTTCCATCTTCATTTTCCCACTGGAATAAGAACTAATATTTTCACAATATTTTTGCTTCCTACAGTACTGAGCCTGTGTAATTCTTTGTTTCTGTTCGTTTGTAAGATTTTGCAAAAATCTTATTATTCATCTCATTTTTATTCCCAAAAGTATCAAATTAAACACCTATTTTTTATATTTTATATTATATTAAAAATTAATTTTACATTCAAAACATCACATCAACACCTATTTATATCACATCATACAACTATACAAATTCAAAATTTTTACTATTCAAATCCCAACTCAAAATCCAAACCCCCAAACAAATATAATATTATATTGGGGACAGAAATCTTACTAAGTTGTCCTTTTGTTTTGTTCAATTATTTGTGATTATAGAACTCATTGCTACTTATTTATAGTCTCAACAAACACACCAACACTTGATTTTAGCACATGACATAGTTGTATACAACACATTTATTATTAAAAAACAGTACATTTTTTTTATTATAAACAACACGTGTTATGCATAATACTAATGAATTGTTTGTATATATAACGTGTAGCACCGTAACCATCTCCTATAATATCATACTATGCTGTTTTGGGTCTATGTTGTCTTAACTTTTAAACTGCCAAATGCTGATATTATTGTTTACAAAGGTTCAAGTAAATTGTTAGGTATTAAGTTTGGCTGAAAATATCTTTCTGCAAGTTTTTGGTCTCTCTTAAGACTGCCATCAACCCATAAAATTTCAATTTAAAACGGTCGTGTTTGTTCCAGATTACTTGTCCCATAAACTTCCGTTATGACTACGTCAGCTTATTCCGTTGAAATTTTAATGGTAAGACAAAAAATAATAATTTATTTTTTTATACAAGATTAATTTTGATAATTATTTTTGAATGAGACCAAAAATAAATAAATACGTTTGATTGAGACCAAATTTGATTGTTATTTAAGTTAATTTAGTACAGTGAAGGAAGCGAATCAAGTTCGGAGTAGGATCTTCTCTATTTATTGGGTCCACTCTCAACATTAAGGATGCAGAACATGCAAGTGGGAAAAATAAAGGGTCTGTCTGGTTATCTGTCGACTTTTGGAAGATGGCTGAAAAAAAATTATTTAATTTTAATTTAATATATTTATATAATTAAAATAAATTTGAAACATATATTTAATTATTTTAATAAATATTATATAAAATATACCAAAATATTTTTAATTTTTTATTTAAATTTTAAAAAAATACAGTATATATACAATTAATTTTAATATAAAACCCACTTGAAGTGAGACGTGAAAAATGTTATTTTATCGAATTTTTTTTTTTAATATGAATAAATAAAAAATATGAAAATTTATTTATATTATTTTTTCTCTCATTAAAATTAGTTGAATTGAGTTGGATATAGATATTAAAAAAAATATTTTATTAGAAAATAATAAATAATAAAAATATAATTAGAGATATTTTTGAAAATTCAATTAAAAATTAACATAAATGAAAGAGAAAATGTAATAAAATTATGATATTAATTGTAAATAAATATTGAATATATAGTAATAATTAAAATTTGTTTTGTTGACTTTATCAAAATTAATAATTAGATTAATTTAGCGAACCTATTAAAAAATAAATAAATAAATTTTGGACAAAATATAACAATCTATCAATTTTTTCTTTTTGGTATGTTCTAACGGGTAATATAAAATAATGACATTTATGTAATACAATATAAGTTGGAAGAGTATTTATTATGTTAGGTAGGTAATACAATTACTAAATTAATAAATACTCCCTCCGTCTCACATACCGTGTCTGCTACACTGTAGACACGGTATTTTATAAGAGGAGTATAATTAGTAGATAATTAAGAATGTATAACTAATTAGTTTAATTAAAATTAAAAAAAAAATTAAAAAGTTTAAAATGAGATTAAAGTTTATAATCATTTTAAAAAAATAGAAAGTGACATGGTATATAGAATGGATAGAAACGGCAACGTAGACACAGTATATGAGACGGAGGGAGTAATAATTTTTAGATTGCCAAACAAACACATCCTTTAGTTTTGTTTAGATAAGCCGCAACTTTAGGATCACAATGTATTATTGTATTGTTTAATGAATTATTAATAATAAATTAATAATACTCTCTCTCTCTCTCTCTCTCTCTCTCTCTCTCTCTCTCTCTCTCTATTTAGTCAATTATTAGTGATAGTGAATTATTAATAATAATAAATTAGTAATACTCTCTCTCTATTTAGTTAATTTTTAGTAATAAATTATTTTATTATTTATTATATTTGTAGTATTATTGATATTTTAAAATAATAAATTAATATATATAATTAAAAGTAATTTAATATATATTTATATATTTTTGTTATAATATTTTAATTTGCATATTATTTTTAAATAACAATAATTTTTTTTTTATTTATCTTTATTTATAATAAATTTAAATTAGTTTTATAAAAAAATAAAAAAATTTAAATGTAAATAATATTTACTTATTCTAAAAAATAAAAATGTTTTGAGTGATGAGAATGGAGGGTATTGTGTTTCATCATTTTCTAATAATAATAAATTTTAATTGTTCAAGAATTAATGTAGGTTTTTAATTAACATATAATATGATATAAAATATAAAAATTACCCATAATCCAACACTCGTGTACGGGTTGGAGCTAGTATTTGTAATTATTTTTTTTAGTTATTGAAATTATTAATTTTTTTAATAAGATTTAATTTAATTTTATATTAAAATATTACTTAGTATCATTTTATCAGTGTCTTTATAAATAATACCCCTTCCCTCAGTTGCAATAGAAATTTTTATTTTTTTTTAAAAAAGAACTTTTACTCCTCAACCTATTTATTTTTTAATAATATTATTTGTAATATTATAATATTTTTTATTAGAGTAAAAGATAAAAAAAAGAAACTGTGGAATTGAAATGGCTAATAATTATGGTGGTTGGACCGTTGGAGGGAGATTTAATATCGAATATGTTGCTCTAAATTGTTGATTCAGAAAATTTACAATAAAAAAATAATTATTAAATATGCTTTAATACTCCATAGTAAAAATTAAAATGAGCTGCTATATGTTTGCCTGAATTAGGAAAGTCAAGGCAGGAGGCCTTGTGGAGAAACCTAATCGCCCATCTATTCTTCCTTAGACTCAATCTCACCTTTAGTCTCACTCCACTCGTCTCCTTCTTCGTTCCCCATAAAAAGCCACTTCTCTTCTCTTCTCTTCTCGCTATGGTGGTTATCGAGCAAACTTCCAAACTGAGTTTCGGTAACGTCCCATTTATTCCTAACATCCTCTTTTTTGCTCCTTGAAGCTCCGCCATCGAAGATGATGTGGGTTGTGTGGCTGTTACGAGCTGGGTGGGCTGCGGCGATTCTGCCTCAGGTCATCGCGATCATTCCCTGGCAGAAACTCAATGCGTTTCGACGATTGATCGTCGGATTTGCTAACCGGGGGAAAGTTCCGCCGTCGTCTTCGAGGGTGAGTAGGCTGGTTTATTCTATTTGTCTTGACTGTGAACCTAATCAATCTATGGTTCGAGTGGCGTTTTTTGGTTGTTTATGTATTTGATCTATTCCTTTGCTATTTTCAAGTAGTTCTATACGTTGACTCTCATGCGCGAAGCGTTTAGAGCACATGAAATAGAATAAACAAATGTGTATCGGTAATGCCTGTTTCAGCACTTGTTTTGCTGTTCATTTCCTGCAACTTGTTTTGTTCTGCGCCTCTGTCTGTGTCTTTTACTATCTAGTATGGAATTTCTTTACATAGGAACTAGAGTTTAACGTGAAAAACTTATTAATATTCATTTTTATATTTCTTTCAAAACGAAAATTTCTTGAATATTTATTTCTTGAAACGGAACAACAGATAACTGGCATGATTTTGCTGTGTTTCTAACATGGAACTCAAAGATCCTCTCCTTCTTTTCCTCAACTACCATGAATTTAATCTCGCATGGTGCCTGACTTTTTCTATCAATGCGAATGGTAATATTTTTCTTTGTGATGTAGAAATTCAGTGTCCCACAGAAACTCTTCACTCACTTTTACATAGTCGGGTTCTTCTGGACTACCTTTTTACTTGCTGCCACATGGCATTATGCGTACAAAACATCCTCACTTGTTCTCGACCCATCAAGCGTCGCTAGCCACATTACTGGAGGTTCAAATGGGCTTCCCTTGCATCAATCTCGTTCTTCATCAAGTGAACACAGATATAGCATATGGAAATCTGTGTTTTTGCTTTTCTTGATGGAAACACATGTGTTGCGACGCCTCCTTGAGAGTATATATGTGTTCAAGTACAGCCCATCAGCTCGAATGCATGTAGCGGGCTATTTTGTAGGCATCAGGTAAGTGTTGCTTCATTTTACAACCCCATCAATTCACTGTCTTAATGTTTTCCATAAAATAGACAATTGATTACTACTATAAATTTATGGTGATAATTCATTCTTTCGTAATTCAGCACCTGCATTATCACGAATTTTTTATTGTAATTTTAAGTACAAATCTTTCATGTAGAGGAAAGTTTTAATATACTCCATAGGAGAAAGCAGATTATACAGTGAATGATATCAACTAAGTCTTTCCTACTAATCATAGTATTAATTGTTGAAGAGCAGAAAGTTGTATCTTACATTCGTTGATATTCCTTATTGCGACAGCTTTTATATAGCAGCTCCACTATCCCTTTTGAGCATGCATGCCTTGGAGGTGCTCAACTACGTGGCAAATTTATTTTCAGAATTTGTTGGTAAGGGGAAAGACACAATACAAGAAACAGAAGTAGATGTTGTGGGACTTGTGAATCCTCTTTCGCAATTCGAATGGTATGTTTGGATTGGCACAGCTATATTTTTCTGGGGTTGGATTCATCAGCGCCGTTGCCATGCCATTCTTGTAAGTGATTATTATAGCATACATGCTATTTACAACTTTATCTCATTTTGAGGATATGCAATGTCTAAACGGTTAAAGCCCTTTTATACTATGATCACATTAGTTTATGAAGATTGTCTTCTCTATGGAAAAAATATTACTTGGGCAGGTTTCTACCTTTCAGCTCATTTTATGATTTGTCATTGTAGCATGACTGTGATTCATACTGTAAGTTTTGCGAGCAGAGCTTATTGCTGAAGGCCATTTAACCTTATAGAATGTTTGCAGTTAGTGTCTCTAAATATTTATGGGCGTATGATGTTCTTTCTAGAAAAGCATACTTAACATGATCTCCTATAGGAATAACATGTATCCTATTGTTTTTGAAAAATCCAGGGTTCTTTAAGGAAGAAAGGTGTAAAACCTGATGCATATGTAATCCCTCTTGGCGACTGGTTTGAATATGTTTCATCTCCGCATTATTTTGCAGAAATTGTAAGCTTTACTGCTGTAATGATAATGTTCCATACTTTCTTGCATCCTTGGTGGCTCTTATTTCTTAACACATTTCTTTTCTCATGGAGGTCTTGTATGCTGGGCTGGTAGTTGCTAGTGGATTTACTGATATTACAATTTGGTTACTCTTCTTATTTGTGGTAAGTTGTTGTCTTTTTCTTTTTTGGTTAAGAATGCAAGTGCATCTTTTAAATGTGAGAGCATTGAAGTATGATTTCCATGGAATTATGGTTGTGTTGTTTGCAGGTGTGTAACCTTAGCTTTGCTGCTGTGGAGACGCACAAGTGGTACATTCAGAAATTTGAAGACTACCCGACAAAGCGTCGAGCAATTATCCCTTTTATTCTCTAATTCCGAAACAGAGTGAGGATGTAGTGTTAAAACTGTTTAACCAAAGGGGAGTGCCTTGGTGCAGCTACAATATGCAGGTCTTATTCTTATTGAAGGAAAATAATGCTTGTGTTGAACGGTTTTTTCGGCGTAGCAACAAATAAAAGAAAAAGCGCAGGAACACGAACACGACACAGCTCAACACAGACAGGTGTATTCTGTTGTTGTATTATGTAATGACATGTAATATGAAAACAAGGGGGATTTTTCACAATCTCATTTCCTTCCTATTCCAGCTAAAATGGAGGGATTTCTATTTCTATTGCTTTGATGATTAAAGTGTGTGTGTCTGCTGGTGTATCCTAAGACTCAGTAAAGCAATGGAGATGGCTGGCAGGCAGGGAGGCAGGCAACAGTCATGATTCATGCATATACAGTCTAGCCTTGAAGAAGAAGGTGTGATGCAGCATGATATAGATAATCTAGGTGCTTTGCTAAGATGGATAATCCAATCCCAATCCAAAGGTGGAGGAAGCAATCAATGAATCAATCAATGTTGCGCCACAAATTGATGAGAACCTTGGCTTGATTAACCAATAGCAGCATGTGTTTGTTGGAAATCCATGGCCGCCGCAGGAGCTCCTCGTCCCAGGCATCATCACCATCCTCTTTCCCCTGCCAGAAGTAATAGTAAGGGGTGAGCGGAATGGTATTGGTGTGGCCTCGTGATCCTGGAATCACCTGCTCCATGGCTATTCCAAGTTTAGTCTCCGTCCAGATGAACTTCAACAGCACTCTCGGCCTCCCAATCACCATCGGCTTTACCTTTACCACCACTCTCACCTTCTCCGGCGACGCACACAGACACTGTCCGCAGCTTGGCTTTGGGATGACCTTGATTCCATTTTGAGTCCAAACAAACGGACTTTTAACCAACATCCTCACTCCAGAAATATATATATTTATATATATATATATATTTTCTGGTTATTTGTTGGCAGGCGATGGAGCAGGCCAAGCTAGGCTAGGCCCAGCCAGTAGCCGCCCGGCGGATAGGTTAGAGAGAGAAGTGGAAGGAGTAGTAGTAGTAGTAGTAGGAAGGAATGAGAATTTAATTTGGTGGTGGGCGTGAAATTCCCACGGAGCCACTGGCCAATCAACCAATCCCTCCACGCCACGTCACCCACCTATCTCGATTAAATCTCCACCGTCCGTTAACCTCATCACAAATTGCTCAAGCGTAGGATCAATATCTCTATTCTAAACCTACCTACGTGCTTTTATTTCGCATCACTCGCCATTTTGAAGCAGGCAGCGTTACATTTACGATTGCAGCTGCGATATCATTTACATTTCACATTCGAGAGAGAGAGAGAGAGCGGAAGACAAGAAAAGAGAACCATGGCGGCAACAGCAAGCGCGTGGACGAAGCCAGGGGGGTGGGCTCTGGATTCTGAGGAAAACGAGGCCGATCTCCTCCAGCAGCACAAGAGCGATGCGGCTGCCTCCAAGGGGGTCGAAACCTCCGATTTTCCATCTCTCGCCGCCGCCGCCGCCGCCACGAAAACTAAGAAGAAAAAGCCACAAACCCTGTCTCTTCAGGAATTTGCGGGATACCGCTCGGAGAAGTCCTACGCGGCTGACCAAAAGGGCTTGACGCCGGATGAGCTTTTGGCTCTCCCCACCGGTCCGCGTCAGCGTTCCGCTGAGGAGCTGGATCGTAATAAGCTCGGCGGCGGGTTTAGATCCTATGGCGGAGGCATGAGGGATGAGCAACCAAGGCGTCAGGGAAGTTTCAATCGGGAGTCCAATCGCGAGTTTGCCCCTTCTAGGGCTGATGAGATCGATAATTGGGCGGCCGGGAAGAAGTCGCCGGGTAATAATGGATTTGAGAGAAGGGACAGGGGTGGAAGAGGAGGTTTTTTCACGGATTCGCAGTCCCGAGCGGACGAGGTTGATAATTGGGCATCGAATAAAAGCTTTGTTCCTGCGGAGCATAAGAGATATGAAAAAAGAGGGAGCTTTGGATCGGATTCTAGTAACGGTGGTGCAGATTCCAGTAATTGGGGTAAGAGGAAGGAGGAGGAGGGGCGAAAAATTGGCGGATCCTTTGATAGTTTGAGGGAGAGGAGAGGTGGCTTTGAATCGAATGGGGCAGATTCTGACAATTCGGGGTGGAAGAGAGAGGAGGGCAGCGTTGGGGGCAGGCCTCGATTGAATTTGCAGCCTAGAACTCTGCCGCTGAGTGAAGAGCAAAAGCTTGAGGTTTCCGGTGGGGCTAAACCCAAGGGAAGTAGTCCATTTGGTGAGGCTAGGCCGAGGGAAGAGGTGTTGAAGGAGAAGGGTCAAGATTGGAAGGAGATCGAGGAAAAGCTGGAGTCTACCAAGATTAAGGACGTTGCCAGTGATGGGCCGGTGGAAGTTGCGAAGAAAACCTTTTGGAGTGGGAATGGAAGAGACAGGTCTCGTGTCGAAGAGAGGACAGAAGGGGCTTGGAGGAAACCCGAGCCCACTGATTCTTCTCCCCAAAGGTAGGTGATTTGAGTATGATGCTGCCTGTGTTTGGGGTGGTGTATTTTGGCTTTTGAGAACTTTGTGCAATATGCTGGAACTTTTTTGTGCTTGTGTTTCTCTGGGTTAATCAATTTTGCAATATTGGATGGTAATTAATTGTATTAACTATAACAGGCTTGTAATGGTATTGATGGTCTGGTGTTTATTGCATCATGGTAGTGGGAGCTTAGTGTGGCAAAATTCTTGTTATATCTATATATTGATCTTACTTTCCTGCATATGTGAGATTGTTTATGTACTCAACTCTTCAATCCGTCGAGTTTCCTTTAAGTTGTTTTGCTGCTTGCTTGCTTCTTGTAATGTTACAAAGCTAATGCGTATTAATAATATCCCATTGCACAGGCAATACCTTGGCACTGTCCCTTTAAAAAGCAGTACTAATCAGCTTACCATCAGGATCTTATTTCACTAGCTCATAGGCCATGCATATCATGTGTATTCTATCAATAGTCAACAGCTTTGTTGATAATAACTGCTCTACTGATTCTATCATTGGTGGCAGATGCATTGGATATGCTCTTTAAAAGTAGATGACAGCTTGTACAATAGCTCTTAAATGTATTATGTTTTAACTACGTTGCTCTTTTTGTTATTCACTTTCTTTGAGTTCATTTGCTTTACCTGTAGGTATGCTAGTTCAGTTTTATCAAAGCCTACAGCATGTTAAACTCTTATTATGTGGAATACAACATTGAACGTGAACAGGGTTTTGATCCTGAATGGATCCTGTTATGGGAGGACCTTTTTATGTTTGAATTATTGGTATTTTATACTTGATTTTGTTAATTTCTGAGAAGAAAGTTCTCATTTGCCTCCTCTTTTGTAGTGCCATTGAATCTGAAAACGGAACTCCTGCTGAGAATGCTGTAAATGGGCATCCCGAAGAGTCTGAAGTCCAAGGTACTGTATTTTGATGAAGTGAAGAGGGCAGCTCTAGATGAGGTCGTAAGAACCGTGTTGTTGAAGTTTTGATGGTGGTAACCTGCGCATGATGTGATGAGTTGATGTGCTGAATACTAAGATTTTGTTTCCATTTACCTTTCAGTTACACATGTCGTTGCAAATGCATAATATAGAGCAATTTTGATAGACTTGCTGACTGATGTTCTGTGGAGCCTTGGGATTCTCTGAATTTCTGTATTGGTTTGGTGACTATTTATCTTAATTTCACGTTTAGAGTCAATTTCTGTTTAAGATGTTTGTTTGATTCATGAAAGGTTTGCATGCTTGATCACACTGTACGGTTTACATGCATTTATTTTGTGCTTATTATTTCATCTTCCTTTGTGGCATGCAATGTATTCTCATGTTTGTTAGAAACTGACTGCAAGAATGGTTTCTTTTATTTTGTTACACCTGTTGATATGCAGTATGACTTCTCATTGCTGTAATTTGCTGCTGCTTTAGCTTGACAAGTTCTTTTATGTGAATTGTGTGTGATGGCAGCATGAGCATGACAAATAAATTGCTACTAGTCTTTGACTTGGATAGTGATCTATGAAAGTTCAATAGATGCATTTATTAAAGCCTAAAGGACAAGGACAGATCTTACTGGAACAAAGAGTGCTGGTTACAGCAGCACCAATAGGAGCCATTTGGTCTAACATTACCATTTACCTTACCACACCAATGCAATGCAATGCAATCCAATCCTGTATATTTATTTATATTGCATTCTCGTTTAGAAACATTTAATGTAACCAACTTCTTCTCTCCTAATTTCTCCTTAAAACAGTCACAAGACAGAAAACAGGTAAAGAAAGCCAAGAGAGAGAGAAAGCAAAGTTGACAGGCGAGCATGTTCTCAATAAATATGGAAGACCTCCATTGCCCCTAATTTTAAATTTCTGCAACCATTTTAGTTACAGGGTCCAAATAATTCAAGCTGCCTTAAATGCATCTCTTCTCATCATCTTTCATCCGAGTGTCCGGACGCGAGAAATGGATGGATCTGATACTCGTATCCTTTCTGCATCATAAATGAATGCAGTTGAGAGTTGTGGCAATAGAGCTTAGCTGCTGCTGCTGCTGCTGCTGCTGCTTCCTTATATCATTCCCGACTCCGCCATCGGCTTTTTTCATGTGACAATTTTACCTTTTTCACACTCTGTATTCATACCAACACCACCCTCGCTACTTAATTCTGCCATCACCATTTCTTCCTCAACAGCTTCTCAGAATTCATGTCTTTGTCCCCGAGGATTCTGTTTACCGCCCTTGTCATTGCTTCGGCAGCCATTGATGGAGCTTTCGGGTATGCTTTAGTCTCCGGGACTGTGTTCTGCGACCAGTGCAAAGATGGCCAAATCTCCCTCTTCGATTACCCCCTTTATGGTAGCTACATTACATTACATATGTTCTTGTCCTCTAACCCTAACACAACACCATGAATGCTTGCTATAAGATTTTTTTCTTCTAATTTCCTGCAGGCATTAAGGTTACAATGGCCTGTCCGGGGAGCGACGGCCAGTCCACAATGTGGAGGGAAGAAACAACCAACTGGGTAGGCAACTACGTGATGAGATTCGACGGGACACCAAATCTGAGCGGCTGCTACACTCAGGTTTCCGGCAACACTCAGGCGGGGCCTAATGGATGTGGAGCCGCCGGCGGCCCGGCCCAAACTCTGAAACCTCTGTGGAGCATGTTCGGCATGGAAATGTACGCCGTGGATCCACTGATTTCTCAACCAGCAGAGCCCATGTCGTTCTGTCCCAGATCGGCCAGTCCCGTCCCCAGTACACCTCCGACGCCATGGCTGCCTCCGCCGTCCTCACCGGCGGTACCTCAGTTGCCCCCAATGCCTCCGGTGCCATTCCTGGAAGCCTCAGCTTGTCCGTACGAGTGAGTAGTCGTCGTTATTTTTCAAAGACTAACTTATTAAGAGCAACCTGATTGATACTGTTATTGCAGGAAATGGATGATGGAGGAGTACAGATGCTATTGGAAAGTGGTGACGCCGGACACGAAAGTGGCGGTGGCGTTCGGGGTGGTGGCGGCCAACAGATACGGGACAGAGATGACCCTGGCGCAGGGGATGATGGGTAGAGGCGATCCTTACAGGACCCTCTTGAGAGAAGGGACAACGGCGCTGCTCAATTCCTACAACAGCATCCAGTTTCCGTACCATCCCGTCGAGGTTGTCCAGCACATGAATTGGGCGCTGATGGGCTCCTCGACGCGCCAGATTCTCCACACTGCGCTCAACTTCATGAGGGCCAATTCTGGAGCTGGGAGTCCTGGGACTAATGCAGCTTGCAGATTCACTCCTTGCAAGTCTTAAATCAGTCTTACCTACAATCATCATCGTCATCGTCATTATTATTTATAAGGACAACAACTAACTGTGTTCTCGGCTTTTCTTGACCGACCGACCCTGCGTGTTGTTGTTTATGGTGTATGTAATATGTACGGAGTGATAGTACACATTGATGAACCCATGCCCATTAGGCAAATGGGTTTCTTGAGGGATTTTTACTTGATTAATTAATTATTTAGAGTACTATAACATATGGATTTCTGCGTTGATTTTTATATTACAGAATACATGAATAAAAACTCTACCTTGTCTTGGAATTGCAGAATGAATGAAAACGAAAGCTCTCATAAATAATAATAGTATAATCCTACCATTGATTCATTCAGAGGGGCAACAGTTGACTCGACGAACTTAGCAGCCCAAATCCATGGCGGCGTTGATAACCAAATTCATCGGTAATGGGTCATCTTCCCTCCACTCCCATGGCCGTCCCTTCATTGTACTTCTTATCCTTCTTTCCTCCTGCCCGCTCTTCGACGGTCAGGATTTTCCCATCGAAGAAGCGACAATCGCAGACGTTCAGCAGGCCTTCACAGATAAGAAGCTCACTTCCCGGCAGCTCGTCGATTATTACTTGCATCGCATCGAAATCCTCAATCCCCTGCTTCGCAGCGTAATCGAAGTGAATCCTGACGCAGTGAATCAAGCCAGCAAAGCTGATTCCGAGAGGAACGGAAGCAATCCCAATCCCATTCTGCACAGCATCCCGGTGCTGCTCAAGGACAGTATTTGGACCGAGGACAGACTCAACACCACGGCTGGATCGTACGCGCTGCTGGGGTCAGTGGTCCCCCGCGACGCCGGCGTGGTGGAGCGGCTGAGGAATGCTGGCGCGGTGATTTTAGGGAAGGCCAGTATGAGTGAGTGGTATAACCTCCGGTCGCTGAGCATTCCTGATGGGTGGTGCGCCCGAGCTGGCCAGGCCAAGGTTGGTCTGTCATACTCATACCTATTTTCGATTTGGTTTATTTGTTTCTACACAGTTGATTCAGTAACTATGCAGTATCCATCATCTTTCATCTATCTTTGTTGTGAATGTGAATGTGATGCTGTTGGGTAAAAAAACAAAAATTCTAATGAAAATTCCAGAATCCTTATGCACAAGGTGGAAATCCATGTGGGTCAAGTAGTGGATCGGCGATATCAGTAGCAGCAAACATGGCAATGGTGTCGCTAGGAACTGAAACCGACGGCTCTCTCATCTGCCCTGCCGATCACAATTCAGTTGTTGCTATTAAACCCACAGTTGGACTCACCAGCCGCGCCGGAGTTGTCCCGGTTTCATCTCGACAGGATACTGTGGGGTAGGCTTTGGCTTTGGCAAGTACCATCATCAACATTCATAATCATCTCTTCTCTTACGCTTAATTTGTGAATCAGGCCAATCTGCAGAACAGTTTCAGATGCGGTTCATGTGTTGGACTCCATTGTGGGATTTGATCCAAGGGACTCTGAAGCCACACAGGCAGCGGCGAAGTTCATTCCTCGCGGCGGCTACGCACAGTTTCTTAATAAAGATGGATTAAAGGGAAAGCGATTGGGGGTCGTGAGAGATCCATTCATTGCCCTTTCGAATTCTGCTGCTGCATCTAATTCATCCAACACTGCAATCCTCGATGCACATCTCCGGACATTGAGGTAAATTGAAATCTTCTAGTTATGTTTGCTACGGATCGATTGATTGAATGATTGATTTTGGGTTTGGAATTCAAGGGAGAAAGGTGCGACGGTGATAGACAACTTGCAGATTCCCAACATTGATGTAATCCTGAATCCTCTGGAATGTGGTGAGACGACGGCATTACTGGCGGAGTTCAAGCTCACTCTCAACACCTACTTGAAGGAGCTAACGAAATCTCCCGTCCGATCGCTGTCCGACATTATAAGCTTCAACCAGAATCATCCTCACTTAGTAAGAGGATATTGGATACCTACCTACCTACCTACCTCAGATTTATTGATCAATCATTATACGTAATATGTATTTTGATGCAGGAAAGAAGTGAAGAATTTGGGCAGGAGATTCTGATTGCAGCAGACGCGACAAACGGGATGGGAGAGGAAGAACAGGTGGCCTTGGAGAAGATGAAGAAGCTGTCCCGCGACGGGTTCGAGAAGATGATGAGGGATAATAAGCTGGACGCAATGGTGACGTTGGGTGCTGACGCCTCGACGGTGCTGGCCATTAGTGGGTTTCCGGCGATCACAGTCCCGGCGGGGTACGACTCCGATGGGATGCCGGTGGGTATGTGTTTTGGGGGGCTAAGAAACACGGAACCCGCCCTGATCCAGATTTCATATGGGTTCGAACAGGCCACCCACATCCGCCGGCCGCCGCCTCTGCAAGTGACGATGAAATCATTACAATTGGGGAGGGAGCTCAAATCAAATCTGGTTAGCGGTTTCATGTAATTAATGCTCTTGGGCCCTATTAAACACTGTCCACTAAAAATAATGAATGGGCTCTGCACTTTCCTTTCATTCTTCGGGTTTATGGCCCAATTTTGGAACTTTATGGTTGGTTTTTCTTAAAGCGGACCATGTTTTTTAAATGTGAATGGCGTTTTTTTGTTTTGTTTTGTTTTGTTCGTTTTTTGGCAATAATCCTCAGAATAAGAAGAGTTTTATTAATTAGAATTAATTTAAGAAATCAAACTTATATATATATAATTAAATAATTTTAGTAAAGATAACTTCGTGTTTTTCATTTGGATGCGTTTTTTATGTTTAAAAATTCTATATTTTGGTTATTAAGATTTAGTGCCGTTAAGGAGTCAAGTCGAATCGAATTTTAAGTGTGTATTCATTCGTTAATGTTCGTGAACAAGGTTTGTGTTTGTTTGTTAAGTTTTCGATCTCGTTTGTAGTGTTCGAGCTCGGCTCTTTAAGAATTTTTATTGTTTGAGCTCATGTTCGTATCAATTGGTTTAGAATCGATTAAGCTCATTCGAGTTCGTTTGTCTCTTTTTTTTTTAAAAAAAAATTATAAATAAATTAAAAAGAATTTTTAAAATTATTATTTATTTATTTTAAATTGATATTTTATTTATTTATAAATGATAATTTTATATGTATTTATAATATTTATAATAAATATATTATTTTGACGCATGTTCAACGTTCGCAAACAAAATTCGAGCTCGTTCGTTCGTTAATCAAACAAGCCTATTTATGCTGTTCGACTTGACTTGTTAACATTCGCGAATGAGCATTAACCGAGCCGAATTGAGTTGAACCGAGCGGAGTGACTAGATTAGTCAAACAGCTCTATTAAGATTTGAAAAATACTTTTCGAAATTGTAATGTTGTTTTAGTAAGTACTTTTTTTATTTACAAAAAAACAAAAAAAAAAAAAAAAAAATGAGTAAGCAACATTATAATTGAATAAGCTAAATTAGGAAACAAATTTAATTCAAAGATTCTTCAAAATAATTCCCTGAGAAGACTAGCCAGCTAGCTATAAATTGATGTCCCCAAATTTCATTATATATATATAATGAATTCAGGTAGCTAGAAAATGGAGAAGAGATTAAGTGTGGCGGCGTGGGTTATCATGGTGTTGAGCGTATACACAGTTCCGGCGAGGTCATTCTACAGCACGGAGGAGTACGTCCCCGTCAAGGAGAAAATGACCAAAATCCGCGTCTACATTCACGACACCCTCAGGTCCAAAAGTGGAAGGCCGACCGCCGTCGAGATTGCTCGTCCGAAGAACACCGGAAAGGAGGAAGGTCCGACGCCGTTCGGGAGCCTGTTCGCGCTGGACGATCCGATGACGGACGGTCCCGATCTGAAGAAATCGAAAATAGTGGGGGATGCGAAGGGGATGTATCTGTCGTCGAGCCTGCCGGAGAAGAAGGAGTTCACTCTGGTGCTGTACGTGAGCCTGCGTTTCAGGGAGGGCAAATTCAACGGCAGCACTGTGAACGTGTTCTCGAGGGGTACGGTGACGGAGAGGTGGAGGGAGATGTCGATCGTCGGCGGGACGGGGAGGTTCAGATACGCCAGGGGATTTGTTAATGTCACCACTGCCAGCTTCGATCCCGTCACCGGCGATGCAGTTCTTCTGTACGACGTCCATGTTATTCATCATTAAAAAAAAATTTTATTTTATTTTATTGTAAAAAAATAATAAATTAGAGCGTACCGTTACAATTAAAAACAAATGCTACTATGAAATAAAGCTTTTTAAGAAATTAGCAAATCTAATTGTATAAAATTAAGTAACACAAGAAAGAGGCTTACATACTTGAATAGGGAACACAAAATGGGTTGTATCCATTGCTAGAAATTAAATTCAAATAGAGAAAACAACAAATAGATTTTATCCTACAAGCTCTCATGCTCTAAAAACTTGACTAATTGAAAAAACAAAAAAAGAACCATCACCCTTGCCCACTCCATCCCATGAGAACCTTTGCCAAACTTTTGAATCAATCCCATGGGTACTAACTAAAAACTCCCGTTAGTTCATAAAATTAAAGGCTCAAGGAAGAAGTTCTACAAAATCACAACTTACCTTATGAATTAAAGAGGTGATCGACACTCCAAGCACCCGAGAATTAGTACCTCATTCCTCCTTTTTTCTATGGTCTGGATTGTGGTGATCTGATATTATGTTTGGCCAACTCCCGTGTGTGGATGAACCGGTATTAAACTATCTGAAGTTGATTATAGATTAAATTGATTGAATAGAACAATATACACATTCTCATCAAGAGTCTTAGTTATGCGTGTAAGTGGAGACATAAGCGCGCTCAAAGAATTTGATATTTTAAATTACTTTCGCATTAGGAGTAGGAGTAAAATAAAGGATAAGAAGATCCTAACAATTTTGCAAAACTACAAGTAAACATTATATAATTTTGCCATAATAAAAATAATTCACAGCATCACCCAATTTTTATATTTATTTTTTAAAATCATTATATCTCAATTTAATAAATTATGGGTTTGTTTATCTATATATATGTTTTTTTTCAATACCGTTTTCAATATATATATTTTATATTTGAAAAAAAAAAAAAAAAAAAAACAAAGACATATATTTGATGAATGGATGAAATGCTTCTTTTGTAATGAGAGGAAAGGAGTTCATAGAATGGAAAAATATTCCCATTTTCGTAACGGTAACAAAAGATGAAACAAAAGGAGTCAAATTTGAATATTAGTTTACGTAATTTGACTTTGTGTCCTGTCCTGTCCTGTCCCATTCCATTTCGAGATTTGCTTCCCAACAAATCCCAAGTCCTTTCTGCGACGCAACATACACCTGTTCCAATTAGTTCAACTGCTCTCGAAAGTCCTGTCGCCTCCCCATCTCCCTTGTAGTAAGTACTATAATTACACTAGAGCTGATTCATTTAGTTGATGAAATCAATACCCTAATTAAACGAAAATGGCAGCAGCTAATTCAGTCTGGATTTCCCTCCTTGTATCAATAATAATAGTCATATTGTTCATCCAGGCGGTTCCTACAGCTCATTCCCAGAACGATGAAGATCAACTGATCTGGGCAAAGAGAGTCGTGTCCGGAAACCAGGTAATCACCAATCTCCAATTCTACTTCCACGACGTCGTCGGCGGCCGGAATCCCTCTGCAATCAGAATCGCCGAAGCTCCTCAGACCAAAAACTCCACCACCTTCTTCGGCTCCCTCATGATGATCGACGATGCGCTCACCGTCGGACCCGACCCGGCTTCGAAGCCGGTGGGTCGGGCCCGCGGGATGTACGGTTCGGCGGGCCAGACTGATTTCGGGCTGATCATGGCTCTTAGCTATGTCTTCTCCGACGGGATCTACGACGGGAGCTCCTTCAGCATGCTGAGTATAAACCCGGCGACGGAGACGGTGAGGGAGATGGCGGTTGTTGGGGGCACCGGGCTTTTCCGGATGGCCCGCGGCTACGCCATTGCACGAACCTACTGGCTCAATGCAGCCACGGGTGATGCTATTGTGGGATATAATGTCACCATTCTCACTTATGTTTGAGATTTAATTATATATAAATATTGATTGTTATTGCTATTATATTTATGTAGTATTTTTGTTATTAATTGTTGAAGTTTAAAAATTTTAATTGGAGTATTTTCATTCTATTCATGGCCCAATTCAGGCTCTTATTAATTTGATTATATGTAGTTTGGTTGTTAGGTTTGTTGGGTTGCTTTTTTGACATTTTTATGCTAAGAGTCAACCTGTTGTTGTTGGGGTGCAAATTTGTGACTCAGCAGTAGAGAAACCCACATCAGTCTTTTTTTTATGAAAAAAAATAAAAAAACAAACAAACAAACTCAGCAGCAATTCATTTTATTTTATTTAATTATAGTTATTTTTATTTTATTTTATTTGTTACAAAATATTGATATACTTTTATTTAAATCTTATTTTAAAATTAAAATAGATTGATATAAAAATATATATATATATATTATTGAGGTGGAGGACAAAAGGTACAGAAAAACTCTAGTTGAATTTGTCTATGCAGATGGTCTAATAGTGGAATTCCAAGTTCTAGGGTATATTTTTTTAGTCGATTTTTTTCGAATTTTATTATTTGGATTAAGTGTTTTTTTTTTTTTTAAAAAAAAAATCACAAAACATCCTATAACATTATTTTTATATCAAATTTAAATTAATTTTTTTCCAAACGCATCAAAAAGAAACACACCAATTAGTTAAATTCAAAGAAATTGTTGAGAATATGGAGGACTAGTTGTTACAAATATATATTTTTATTAGGATCCTAAGTCTTGTCTTGTTGCAATATCCTTGTTATTATATCCAAATTTTGATAGAACGCATTTAAAAAATGAAAATAGAATATTAAACTATAAGTATCATCCCAGGTCTTGCTTGCTGTCTTAATTAGTCTTCTTAGGGAGGGGAGATGAGGAATTAATTGAATTAATTAAATAATTAATTCCTCTTATAACAAAACAAATTAATTAAAAGCCAAATAAACCTCTGAGCTGAGTGAGGTGTGTGTTGGGTCATTGATTTGATTAATTGCCCCCTTGTATTGTCCTACGTTTGAAAGTTGACTTTCTGTTAAAAAATAGTACTACTACTATTAGTGTAGGGTAGTAGTAATAAACAAAAAGTAGCTGCAAGAATCTTTTATTATACACACAGTTGATCTTCTTACTAGAGTCATCCATTATCCATTATCCATGATCCATGATCAACTCTGAAATTAATTAATATGAGCTGGGTTTCTTCCTCCTCTATTCTTCTCTTCTTCCTGTTTTGTTCCAGCAGCTTCTTCTTCAACAATGCTGCTACTGGTAATGATATTCATGGGTGTTGGGGACTCCCGTTTGCGGGATATGCGGGATATGTAACTAATGTCTTAGTTTTCCTAATAAGTTTGAGCTTTTAGGTGAGACGGTCATTAACATCCGACATGGTATCCACGACAATGTCACCGGTACTAACCCGACTGCCCTAACCATACTCCAACCCAATTCCTCCCCGAACCGTTTCGGCACCGTCAGGGTCATGGACGATCCCTTGGACCCGAACCCGGATCCAGGATTCTGGGACGGGCTCAGGGGACATACACCGGCGCCTCCATGGAGGAAAGAGCTTATCTCATGACCCTCAATTTTGTGTTCACCGACGGCAAGTACAACGGCAGCACCCTCAGCGTCCTGGGCCACAATCCCATCCTCCATGAGTACAGGGAGATGCCGGTGCTCGGCGGCGCCGGCGTTTTCAGGCTGGTACGCGGCGTCGCCACCGCGCAGACCTTCTGGTATAACGCCACTGCATCTAATGCTATTGTGGAGTACCATGTTGTAGTCTTGCATTATGTATAGATCGATGATACTATGCCTGTCAAACTTTTTTTCTACATTTTCTTCTTTTTTTTTTCTAGCTAACTTGTTGTGGCATGGTTTCATGCGGAACAAACGAATTTAATTACCATTCTGTTCGGGCCTTTATTTACAGAGCCCTAAACAAGCCCTGTCTCACTGACAAGCCCATGACAAACAAACATAGTACTTAATTGACTAATTGTATCAATATTATATTTTAATTATTATATGTATATGATGATGCCCCCATGATTACGATGGTGCAACTCCCCGAGATCGCATGCATTAATTTATAAAGATTCTTAGAGTAATCGATCGCCTTCACGTGAAACATCCAAATTACACAATCGGTACTATGTTTGCTTCTTTAATCATGGAAGGTATACATATATATATATATATATATAGAGAGAGAGAGAGAGAGAGAGAGAGAGTGAGAGAGAGAGAGTGAACAATAAACAACTAATTAATTAATTACTACTAAAAATAAATGAATTAGTGAAGCTAGGCTGATTCGTGTAAAACGTTGCAAACCAACAATGATTTGTTATAATACTATAACACATTATATTAAATTAACCAATGTGAGTGATGATAGAGAAATACTAGGTAGTATATATTTTGCAATGCAGGCTGCTAGCTTGGGTCATATATATGGATAGGGCCTTCCCCTTCCCCTTCCCATCCCAGAGTTTCTTTCATTCGATCTTTCTGTGACTGTCAGTCATCATTCAATCAAAGAAGAAATGGAGAAGCACACAATGCCCAAAACCCTAACAATCCATTATTATTCCATATTAATGCTGTTATTACACGCCACGGCATTATTAGCTGCTGGCGCGCCCCACATTCACAAAACAACATTAATTTCTCCGAGGCCTGAAGCAGTGGAAAAATGGCTGGGAAGCGTCCCCACCGCAGGGCCAAAAAAAATAAGCAAACTCCGGTTCTACTTCCACAACCGGTGGAGCAGCAAGAAGCCGACGGTGGTCGGAGTGGCGGAGGCGAATTCCTCAGCCGCATCCCCGACAGGGTTCGGGCAGGTAGTTGTGATGGACAATCCGATGACTGAAGGGCCCGAACCCGACTCGAAGATGGTGGGGTGGGCGCGTGGGATTTACGCTTCGACGGCGATGGAGGAGATTGGGCTGCTGCTGGTCACCAGCTTTGTGTTCAACGACAGGGATGGGAGCACCATCAGCGTGGTCGGCCACAATCGGATCTTACAGAAATACAGGGAGATGCCGGTGGTCGGAGGCACGGGTCGGTTCCGGCTGGCGCAGGGGGTGCTCACTGTACGGACTCTATGGTTCAACACCATTACAAATAACGCTGTCGTTGAGTGTAATCTCATGCTCCTGCATTAATAATTCATTCTTGAATCTTGACGACGACCCGATTCAATGGATCCGCAGTACTGTACTGCACTGTACGCGTGTGTCAATTGTCATGTTTCATTTAATTATATATGGCTATGTATATATATGCTAGCTCTAGCTCTAGCTCTAGCTAAGCAAGCATGGGTGTCTTTCTTTTATTTTTATGTTTGGGTTTGGAATTGGTTTGAATTTTAATTTCAATTTGAATTATTATTATTTTTTTTTCCTTTTGGAGTCTTAGGAATTTGTGTTTCTATGGTATTGTAAATTTTGTTTGAGATTAGAAGATTATGTTGAATGCTATTTGATCGGTAACGATTGGAGTGATGAGATTATTTATATTAATAGATTAATTTATATTAAATATACAATTAATGTAATAAATATGAAGTGTGATTTTTATTTTTTTTTATTGATTTTTTTTTCATTAACAAAAGAAAAAAAAAGAAAAAGACATTATTTTTTGTTGAGAAAAGAAATACAGACAGAGAAATATAAGTACTTATGCAAGGCCATAATAATATTTGAACATGTCCCGCATTGAATAGGTTTAGATTTTAAATTCAAATTTCTTTTTAATATGGTATTAAAATCTCGAAGATTTGAAAAGTTTGGAAACCGGGATGATTTCTTAACAATTGAAATAGATTATGTCATATGTACCAGTCAAATATCATCACCTTTTTAATCACAGAAAATTTACACCACCTTTTATCTAAACGTATTTGGGTCCAAAGGCATACAGATTCTTGAAGAAGCCTAAGCCTACATAAATTATATTTCAAAAGTAAAATAAATAATAAGTAAGCCCAAAAAAAAGAGAAAGAAGCATGACCCACTAACAACAACGGGTAGTAGTTAGTTGGTGCAACCCACGCCACTCCACTTGCATGTATAATACTTTATCCCTAATGTAAATTTATGTTAATTTGACGGTTATGATTTTTAAGAAAATTAAATAAAAATTTGAATTTTTTTTTTATGATATTTTTTTTATAAAAAAGAAAACGGAGAAATTATAATTTTTGTTTTATAGTAAACAAAAAGTAAAAAGAAATAATCTGTAAGAAATTGTCTGATAGGATGTGGTGTGATAAGCATGTCACATGAAATAGATGGAGTTATACTATACAAAATTTATGCTCATTACTCATAAAATCTGTCATATATATTAAAATTTAGAGTAGATAGAGTAAGACAACAAATATGGTGGACTCGCGAAACATTAGAAATTTTAATACTCATTTGGGATTGGCAGTATATGTGATGGATGATATATATTTTTTTTAATCATGGAAGGTAGATATATAAAAATGAATTATTATTATTATTATTATATTAGAGGTAGATAGATAAACCAATATTAGAGCTCTACATAGCTGATTGATTTGGTCCAGGCTCTGTCTGTAACATTAACATATATATACACATAAATTATTTCAATAATGATTTTAATTAATTAGTCATACTACCTGCAGTCAGTCACAACCACCATGCATACATTAATCATCCCATGAGGAAGCTGTGCTAGATAGGGATGTTCTTGAGAAATTAAAGTAAATCAATTTTGGCTTTTGCAGGCAACTTGCTTATATATGCAACAAAATCCCTTCCTTGAGTCATATCTCTGAAGCAAGAAGAAGATTAAATGGGGAAGTTCTTACCAGGCATGGCGGCATTATTGATGCTCCTCCTCCTCGTCAGCTACAGTCACAGTGACACAACATTAATTTCCCCAAAGCCTGAAGCAGTGCAAGAATGGATGGAAAGCCATAGCCAACCAAATGCAAAGCAAAAAATAACGAAGCTCCGTTTCTACTTCCACGACGTGGTGAGTGGGAAGAACCCTACTTCCGTTACAGTTGCGCAGTGGAATTCGTCGGCCACGACCCCGACGCTGTTCGGTTTGGTGAATGTGATGGATGATCCTCTGACTGAGGGTCCCCGGCGGGACTCGAAGCTGGTGGGGTGGGCAAGAGGGATGTACACTTCAGCCTCCATCGAAAACCTGGGCCTGCTCATGACCTTGAGCTTTGTTTTCAGGGATGAGCATGGCAGCACCATTACCGTGGTTGGCCACAATCAGATCCTCAACAAATACAGGTAGGTGTTAAAATAAATATATTATATTTATAAATATGCGTATATATTCTTATAATTGAAACACAGAATTTTAATTTATTATATTCTAACGACAGGGAGATGCCCGTCGTCGGCGGCTCCGGCCTCTACCGCCTTGCCCGAGGCCTCGTCACCGCGCGGACTGTCTGGTTAAATGTCACTACAAAAGACGCTGTCGTTGAGTACAATGCCGTCCTGCTGCATTACTGATTGATTAATTATTTATTTATCAATCAAATCCAATGTTTATTTTTACTATTGAGGAAATGTTATTATTGAAATTTATTAAATATTGGAAATGATGCTGTAACTTACTTTCCTTCCTATAAATATAATCTCGATTTAATTTCATCCACTCACTCCTAAATTACATAATCCTCCTTCCTAATCCGTCCTTCATTCACACTTTATATTTCTTCCTTGCCCTATCCCATCGTCGTCGCCGTCGTCTCCTTGCCTTGCCTGTAATAACCATGGATTCTCAGAGGCAGTGCTTATCCACAACCCTCACTACCCTGGCTCTTATTTTTATTGTCTTAATGAGATCTACTGCCCAGGCACAGGCACGATCAGAAACAGGATCACGACAAGTTTCAATCGCCCAAGACCCCAAGTCGGTGGAAGACTGGTTCAAAAACCTCCCCAACGCCAAGGAGAGGACAACCAAACTCCATTTCTACTTTCACGACATCGTCACCGCCAAAAACCCCACCGTCGTCACGGTCGCGGAATCCAATCTGACAAAGACGTCCCCGACTTCGTTCGGCCTGGTGAGGGTGATGGACGACCCCCTGAGGGTGGGCCCCCAGCCGGAGTCCAAGCTGGTGGGGCGGGCGCAGGGGATCTACGTGGCGGCGGGGCTGGAGGAAGTCGCGCTGCTCCTCACCCTCAACTACGTCTTCACCGATGGGCCCTACAACGGCAGCACTCTCAGTGTGTTGGGCCACAATCCCATCCTCCATACCTACCGGGAGATTCCCATCCTCGGCGGCTCCGGCGTCTTCCGCCTCGCCCGCGGCATCGCCACCGCCAAGACCGTCTGGTTCGATCTCAAGACGCAGAATGCTGTGGTTGAGTACAATCTCATCGTCCTGCATTACTGAGTCTATTGTTAGGTTTTAGATAGATTCATATCATACACATATGGTTAATTAATTTCTGCCATGTACTCAATTCCAATTCCGATGATGAATGGTTTCGAAGAATTAATATAATGGCCAGGAACAGAATAATTAATATCGTTTTCAGTATCAGTATCATCATGAGTCACGAGCAAGACAGGTACAGCCTCCACCAGAAAGGTGAATGAATTAAAGTAACTAAAGACGATAGTACGAGCTGCGTGTGACGATAGTAATATGCTTTACCACTAATTTTTCAATTGATGATGATAAAATATACATTAAAAAAAATTATTTTTTTTGTTATTTTAAAATTCATAGGCCGTTAATCCCACTTATTGCTGTATTATCGGTCTTTTTTTCCATGTATTATCTATCATTATTTTTATATAAAGATATCAAAACTAAAATGAAACCTCCAAAAAAAAAACACCCTTATTGCCTATTGGCTAAGGCGATCTCAGGACAACTCAATTATAATTCTAACAATAAAGTTGCTTAATTTATCTCTATTTTTAATTCAAAAAAAGTATTCTCTAAATATATTATTTTAAATAATTTTTTATATTAAAAAATATAAATATATATAATTAAAATATACAAAATTACATATTGATTTTTGTAGGAATCAATTTATAATTTGTGAAAAATAAAAATAAAAATAAAAATATCATAATTGATGTTGCTACGGTACAATCAAACACCAAAAATAAGGAGTTGCTAACAATTTCCAATTTCAAAGTGGGCCATACAGAATTGGGCTTCAGGAATGGAATGGACTGACTACCCATATTGGGGCAGAGCGAAAATGGAGCTGTTAATCGCAGCGCGACGGTAAACGGTATACTAATCTCAGGCGGCGATGCTCGCCGGAGCTCACCTGCCCCTGCTATGAAACAAAGAAGAATTGGCAGGTATCCCTGCGTTGTTCAAAACTCTATTGATCTTATTTCTCGAGGTCGATTCCACGAAGCAGTTGACACTTTACCCCTCTTATTTCGGAAAGGTTTTTCCTTAAACACTAAAGCAATCGCCTCTCTGATTCGGCAATGCGCCACTGCGAAATGCATCAAAGAGGGCAAATTGGTTCATCTTCATTTGAAGCTCACTGCTCGGAAACACCCCAACACGGTCCTGTCCAACCATTTGATTAATATGTACGCGAAATGCGGCGATCATGTTAAGGCACGCCAAGTGTTTGATAAAATGCGGAGCAAAAATTTGTATTCTTGGAACATTATGCTCGCCGGGTATGCGAATCTGGGGATGATGAAGGCTGCAAGAAAGTTCTTCTACAGAATGCCTGCAAGGGATTTTGTGAGCTGGAATACAATGGTGATGGCGTGTGTGCAGGGTGGGCTGTTTGCAGAGGCTTTGAAGTTTTATATGGAGTTAAGGAGGTTGCATATTGGATTTAATAAATACAGTTTTGCTGGGGTTTTGACAGCTTCTGTTAAGTTGGGTGACTTGTGGCTAGCCAGACAATTGCATTGTCAGGTTCTCGTGTTAGGATTTTTTTCTAACTTGGTCCTCTCAAGTTCTATTCTAGATGCATATGCAAAATGTGGCAACATTGGAGATGCTAGAAAATTGTTTGATGAGGTGAGAGATAGGGATGTTCTAGCGTGGACTGCTTTGGTTTCAGGTTATGCTCGAGGGGGCGATATGAAATTGGCTAGGGAAGTATTTGATGCTATTCCAGATAAGAATTCTGTCTCTTGGGCTACTTTAATTACAGGGTATGCCCACAATGGCATGGGACATTGCGCCCTTAAGGTATTATCGGAGATGATCTGGCTCAATGTCAAACCTGATCAATTTGCTTTTAATAGTTGCTTGTTTGCTTGTGCTGGCCTAGGTTCTCTCGAGCATGGTAAACAGCTTCATTCATATTTGATAACCAGTGGTATTAGGCCAAATGCAGTGGTTACAAGCTCTCTCATTGACATGTATTCCAAGTGTGGAAGGTTAGAAGCTGCAACGAAGATTTTTTTGACAATGAAAAATAAGCAGCATACGGTGTTGTGGAACACCATGATGTCGGCCTTTTCCTTTCATGGACGTTGTAAAGAAGCAATAAAGATTTTTATCCGTATGGGGAGGTTAGGTCTGAAACCCGATGGAGTCACCTTTTTTGTCCTTCTTAATGCATGCAAGCATTCAGGGTTTGTGCGAGGAGGACTTTATTTATTCAAGTCCATGACCTTGGATTATTGCATTGTTCCGGATCAAGAGCATTATGCGTGTCTAATTGATATACTAGGCCAGTCCAAAGATTTTGAAGAGATGGTAAACCAGCTGAAGAATATGCGATGCAAACCCGACGAATATATCTGGAATTCCTTTCTTGATGTATGTAGAATTCATGGAAATTTAGAATTGGGTAGACTAGTTGCTAGATATCTTGTTGAGCTAGAACCTCGACTCCCTGCAGCATGCCTTCTACTGTCAGGTATATATGCTGCTCTTGGGAGATGGGAATCAGCACAAGAAATAAGACGCCTTACAAATGTGAAACACGTGGAAGAAGGCCGAGACCTTACCTGGTTAGAAATTGATAGAATGTTGAACCTAGATACAGGATGTAATAAGTTGCATAGTCCTGAAGGGGAAACAACCTCAGTGTGGGAACGCTTAGCTGATGGGAGCTCATTATTTAGTGTTGCAAGGTAAAGTTTCCTGATATTTTTGTGCCATTGCTCTTCAAAAATAGAAAGAAAATTTTGCTGTTAAGGTGTGGAATCTACGATGGTGGAGTTTATGCCTTGTTTTGTATATTACAAATGCTTGTTTTCTCTTTATATCTTTGCTCCCTATGGAGTTTGGATTTGCGGACGATACTTGTTGTATTTTGCAAAGCTTGTGAAAGGGGTATAGTAATATTGGTGCTGAGCGGTTCACATAAAATGCATTGAATGCAACACTTTAGCATTGAAATCTGTCAACATACATATTTTGCATGTATCATAAGGTGTATCTTTACTACTATTATGCATCATATCATATAGGATAGTTTTATATGTTATATGCTATCAGTTTGGAACTTTTTAGGCAATCAGCTTATATGGTAATTGAGGTTCCCACACCCATTTGTTTCCTCTCAAGAGTGATAGGTAAACGAAGTTATGTGGAGGGATATGTTAATCTGTATTCATGTCTGAAATTCTGAGTAACATGATGATCTTAACTTGTAGCCTTGACCACTTGATAAGTTTTGGAGGCCATCTTGATTCTTGAGTATGGAAGGATAGAGAAGTTTGACATATTCCCCCTTCCTCCCTTCCGCGAACTACTATTAATACATTCTAGTTTTGGTTGGTCGTGTCTTGTTGTTGAGTAATTTCAATGACAGAGCAAAGTACCATATGCATCTGTCATCATGTTGTCTTATCTTGTCTGAGATTGCATGCTGGAGGAGGGAGGGGTCCTGTTTTATTCTCTTCTCTGAAGTGAAGAAGTTCGTGGGGGCAGTTTAGACCCAATAATGGAACTACACTTCACTTAACACACGCGTCATGTTGCCTGCCAATCCTGTAGCCTGTCAACTAGTCCCTCTCATGATTGAATATGAGACGTGACGTTTTACCTGCCACCTCAATCCCATCGATATTTCATATTTTGTCGTATACTGCCCACTTGTGCTGTGCTATCCCTCCAAATTCTTTTGACCTAACCTCTATCGAAAATGCTCAAAGATTGTTGAATACTTACTTCTTTAATCAATTCTCAAAATTTATCCAAATGTAAAAACGGGTATCACAATAAAGAATTAATTAAAATTTCCCAATTATCCAAATGTAAAAACAGGTATCACAATAAAGAATTAATTAAAATATCCCAATTTATCCAAATGTAAAAACAGGTATCACAATAATGAATGAATTAAAATATCCCGGATATGTAGAAACAGACAGCTAAAATGTAGCATTGCCCAACCAACCACTCAATCAAATTAACAAATATCCTCTCCAGTATATTTCTATTTCATCATAGCCAGTTAGTCGTATGCCATGGCATTCCAGCCTGACCCCCTGGCCCACCTTCATCAAACATTGTCAGTGACAAATCCAATGGCGTTCCAATTAATTCATTATTATTGTCAGAGAGAAAATAAGGAAGAAAAAACCAGGAGAAGAAGAAGAAGAAGAAGAAGAAGAAGAAGAAGTTGGATCCCTACATCGTCAATCAATCAATCTCCTCTTCCCTTCCCTTCCCTTCCCTGTAATTTTTTTCTTTCTTGTTGTTAATCAACAAACAAGAACAACAACAAGAATGGGGTCTCAAGTCTCCAAACAAGTGGAACGAAGAAAAGCAATCTCCACAGAGAAGAAGGCCCTGGTTGACCTCAAAAATGGAGGAGGAACAGATTATCCAGGCTCCGACTACCGCCCCCCTGATCGGAAAAACTGGATGGCCGGCCTCGGCCCCGACAAGGTCAGAATTCATCAGATAGTGTGGCCGGGCACTCACGACTCCGCCACCGACAAAATTGGGATCCCCCTCGTCAGCAGGCCCTTCGCGCAATGCCAATCCCTCTCCATCTACGACCAGCTCAAGCTCGGCGCCCGCCTCATCGACATCCGCGTCCAGAAAGACCGCCGCGTCTGCCATGGAATCCTCCTCAGCTACAACGTCGACGTCGTCATCAACGACATCAAGAAGTTCCTCCAGGAAACCCAATCGGAGATCGTCATCCTGGAAATCCGGACCGAGTTCGGGCACGAGGACCCCCCGGATTTCGACAAATACCTGGTGGACCAGCTCGGGGAGTTTCTGATCCACCAAGACGATCAGGTGTTCAACAAGACCATATCGGAACTGCTCCCGAAGCGGGTGATCTGCGTGTGGAAGCCCCGGAAGGCCCCCCAGCCGAACTCCGGCGACCCCCTGTGGGGGCCGGGGCACCTGAAGGACAACTGGATCGACACGGATCTGCCGTCCACCAAATTCGAGAGCAACATGAAGCACTTGGGAGAGCAGCAGGCGGTGACGCAGAGAAAGTACTTTTACAGGGTGGAGAACACGGTGACGCCGCAGGCCGATAATCCGGTGCTGTGCGTGTGGCCGGTGACCAACAGAATCCATCAGTACGCCAGGATGTTCATAACGCAGTGCTTCGAGAAGGGATTCGCCGACAGGCTGCAGGTCTTCTCCACGGATTTTATTGACGGGGATTTTGTGGATGCATGCGTCGGGCTCACCAGCGCCAGGGTTGAAGGGAAAGCTTGATTTCTGAATCAGCCATGGCTGCCTGATGTATATGCTGCTGCTGCTGCTGCTGTCTATTCATTCCACTTGTTCATCTTTCTTTGTGTTTTTTTTTTTTAAGAATTTTTTAGACTGTCCGTCCGGTGGTCTATTCGATTCTATACTATTCTCTATTTATGTGCATTTTGTTTCATTTCATTTAATTTAATTTAGGTGCCTGCCTGCCTGCCTGATTATCAATGAATGAATCATCTTGTGCAAAAAGTGAAGTGTGTGATTGAGTAATGCCCGTGCTGTTGTTTCTCACATGTGAGGTAAAAGGAGTTTGGAATTTTTATTCCTTATTCCCATGCATCATCGTACTGCAGATTTACTGCACTGCATTGCACTATATTCGAACATCCATGTGATCCCAGAAATAGAAGTACAAGTAGAAATCTGAGTCGTCCTGCCACTCTCAGAATAATAGCATGATCAAATTCAACAAGTGACAAATGTGTCTGCATGATTAATTTGGTAAAAGTAATACTAATGTATGTGTTAAGTAATCTTTGGTTTGCAAGCATATATATTATATGCTTTTGAAATTGATATATCCACACGATCAATCAATCATACATCTTTTGCTGACATTCAGGGAACATTATATGTGTGTATATATATATATAAATAAGAAACACATTGCAATGTTCCTTCCATGATTTCTAAACAGAGATCCTAGAAGTAGTGTGTGCGTCGCTCACGACAAGGATGATGCTCATGCTCATGCTCCAGCTAGACTGGAGTGGAGTCTGTCCTCCTGCTCTTACCTTTGGGCACGAGAACTCCCAGCATCAACCAATACCCTTCCGCTGCGGAACTTGCTAGCCAAAACTTCTTCAATGCTATGAAAAACTAATGAAAATAGACCTGCAGAGGGAGGTAGGGAGGGAGGAATCAATAGGATTGCATGGGCAAGTCAGTATCAAGTTACTACCTCACAGGCATATATATATATATATATATGTGTGTGTGTGCGCGCGCGTGTGTGTGTCTGTATCACATCCCATTGGCTTACAAACTAAACCATTTGAATTCAATTGGAGATCAAAAGCAATGCAAGGAAGCATTGATATTTGGAACGCCATGCCACAATTGTATTTGTCACTTGGAGAAATAGATGTGTGGGACTCATATAAACTAGAATCACCAGCAGTACCTGAGATGGAACTTGCTCTATCCAGCAATGTTCCCCTTACCAAAAGAGTTCCTGGAATTTGCTGAAAAACCTGCACATGGGAAATATCTTAACACTTTGGGCGCAAACAAATGGGAATATAGCATAAATTTTAGGAGATGATGTAAATACCAAAACTCGAAACAGTAGCACATCTGCCTGCCCATTATCATTACTTGTTGTTTCAGGCATGCTTAGCTCACTATGAGAATTAGCAGTCGCACCCTCGTTATTTGGAGTACTCAAAACTGAATTAATTTGATCCTTTGTAATTGTGACCTGTAACAAAATAACTAATTCAGTCATCAATAGCCAGTCAATTCTTTCGATGAACATATAAATCAGCCTAAGATTAAGAAGCATACATCAACATGGAAAGAGACCGCATCTAGTTTACAGGAAGCACCGCTATTGGCGAGGTAAGATTCCACATACTGCAACACATGAAAGGCACTGTGCTGACGTTGAACACCCTGAAATAACAATATACTGCACTTTAAGATATGATAACTTCACAGGATCAAATACTATATAAATGTATATATGAATGCAAAAAATCAAACAAAATATAAAAAAAAAAAATACAAAAATGGGCCTGACCTCCAGCATGAAAGACAGATTACTCTCCACAGTCTTCTGGGATGATACCATCTTCCTCGAAGGAGGCAAAAATGACCATGCAAGCCCCCATCTTGATGTTCTGCCCTGAACAAATTCTGTCGTCTTCACCACAGTCGCTCCAACATTCCAGAGTTCAGACACCAGAACATTCAGGTTCACTTTTCTTCCAACCATAGAAGTGTACCAACTAACGAATAAGAAAGAGATCAACATCAATTCAATTGATGAAAAATCAAGTGATGATTGTGAAATCAACATTTTACCGAATAGCATGCTTCAGCTTTATGCTATCTTCAATGATGCGAGTGATAAAAGCACGTTCACCACCACAACAAACCATCTCTTCTTGAGTCCCACCACAGGACATCTTTGGGTTCAAACCAGCTTCTTCCATTGTTTCAAAGAATGGGGGGTTGCACATACAAAAATCAAAACTTTCTCCATCTTCGACAACTCCTAGGAGTATAGGTGGCCCTTTATAAGACTTATTCAAGCTTGAATGAGTTTCTGGTACAGATGACAGCAATGAGCCATCATTTTCCTCTTTTGTTTTGCTAGCGTCAAAAGTGTCTCCACTGCTACATACAGAATTAGTTTGTAAATCTTCAGGCCGATCGGCAGCAACCCGTCTAACTTGAATCAATTCAGAGATATGTGGATTGCTGTTGACATTTTGATTTGCCCACTCTATAGCTACATCAGTAATATCTTACCAAAGCACAGAAAATAACACTCTTAAGTCCAAGCATGCTACATAAAACTGGGAGACAGATTTAGGAAAAATAATAGAATAAAGCACCTGAACCAACAAACTTCCAACCAAGAATGGATGCCCCAAGAAGGGGATAAATACAATTTGCTCCGGTACCAATATCAAAACCCTTGATATCACCGTCAGACCTGGTAGCAGGGATGCAATCTGAAGCCAAAAGATCCTCAATCCAATGGATATAATTTGATCTGTTAGGGACCGTAGGGCAGAGCTGCCCATCTGGGATCCACCTGGAGTGTTAAACAAAACCAAATTATTATGCCTATTTTGCTGATATACATTGTTTAGAAAAGGGATATTAACATGCATAAATAGTTCATATTGACAAGGGTTGAACAAATTATAAAGCATGGAGATATTTATTAAATAATCACAGAAGAGTGTTGTTGATGAACTCGACCATGTAGCTTCACGACCACAACCACATTTAGATGCAAACAGCACAGGACCAGTTCCAAACTGGTCACATATTGAATTATCCTCAAATTATTTCTATACTTCTAAAAGCAGGATCTTTGATAAAAACAAACGTTCCACTCTGAATACTAACTCAAAAGAATCCTAATAATGAATCTCTCTTTCAGATATGATTCAGAACTAACTTTGAAAGTCCAGGATAGCGCCTGAATATGAAAGAAGACTTGTGATCTCCAAAAAAAGCTCCTTTTTCTGTCCAAAGTCCAACGTAATTGATTGCCACAGTAACTTAGTCTTCTCTTTATTTAATATCATCAACTTGAATATGGATTAATATCTTTCAATATTTGCCAATTTCTACTATAATAGCCCCGGACAGGACAATGAGTATGTATAACCAACAATAATATACATACGCACACGAAGGACTAAATGTGACAACACACATGCTGACTGCTAAGGAGCTTGAGCCATAACCACAGTATACACTATGACTTTACTGCTGCATTGAAGGGATTTGCTCAAATTTAGAAGCAACTGAATACTTAGCGCGGAAGGGCATCGAATAGATTGAACAGCCAACCTAATTTAACACAACAATCTTCCAAACAAGCATACCAGTTCAGACCATGATCGTGTAGCAGCAAGACTCGTGTCAGCTCGCGAGTAGCATTGAAATCCGTCCAATCGATTCTTGCCTTGCCGTCACGTGAATATAAGACATAGGGCTCGAAATTGGGGTACAAAGAGGCCAACAACCCAAAATCCGGTGGGTTATCGCAGTACTTGTTCCGTGGATGGATTCCACGCCGCTGAAGGAAGTTTTTCCTCTTCCTTTTCCCGGCCATCGCCGACGACACAGCCCTAGTCACCGTCTATTTAAAAATCCAACCTTCGGAGATTCCAGTAATGCGACTTATTACTAGGAAGCGCTTTTAGTTTATTTTATTTTAAATTCTGTGCTATTTAATAAGACACCCGGGCGACGATAATAGTGGGATTCCAATTCCATCAAGACATGACACGACGATCAAGTTTGTACCGCATGGGTTGTTACTTGTTAGTGGACTTTAATTAGGGTACATCATCAAAGTTAAAGTCAAAGTCAAACATTTGCATGCGTTCAACAATAGAAATTAGAGATGGATGTTCCAGTGTTTGGTTTCATCGTCTGGGGACAAAGAGAAGGTTGAAATAGTGGTTCTGTTGGCATAGCTGGCGGTGACTCTGTGTTCTCCTAAGTAACCTGAAAAGTAAACGACGCCGTGTTCATCTGTTCCCCTCTCTAGTGTCCCAGTACGCCATTCTTTCAGCAGCGAGTCCACCACATCACCTGCTGGAAGATTGTGGAAATTGTTATCCGTCAGACACATCCTGTAGCATCCTTGGGGATGCAATGCTGTCCAAAGCATGATCCCATTGACCGACGGGTGCGAGAAACCTTCCCTCAGCGCCACTTCCAGGTATTTGGCCTGCGTCTCCTGATCGAAGGTGTTTTGGATGTCCAATTCAGTCAGCCAGATGGGAAGCTTCAGTGTCCCCAATTTATCCAGCATTGCCCTAATTAATGGAGGGTTTGGTACTGTGAAGTGTGCTTGCAGTCCAATCCCATCCATCGTCACGCCACCGGCTTCAAGTTCTTTCAATCTTGAGACGTACTGATCCACTGTAGACCTCATGTCATCACAAGTCTCCAGGACGTTGTATTCATTCATGAACAGCCGAGCCGAGGGATCTGATTTCTGGGCTGTCAGGAAAAATTCTAAACTGGCGTTGGGACCAAGCTTGTCCTCGTAGAAATCGAAGTGGAGCATTTCGTTGTCGACGTCCCAGTGGATGAATTCATTTCTGTAATTAGTCATCAAGCTTTCGATCCTGGAATTGACAGCAGATTTCAGCTGGGTAGCTGTCAGGTTACGAACCCATGAAGGATTGAATCTGGGGTTCTCCCAGAAAATGTTGTGCCCCCGCGCAACCATCTGATTCCTCCGAACAAACGCTAACATTTGATCTGGAATTGTGTAGTTGACCTGTCCAGGTTTGCCTTCTGTTGCGTACCATTTCAGTTCATTTTCGAACACTGCCGCATTGAATCTCTCGACAAACCATTTCTGCGCCAGAAAATCAGCACTGTTTGTTAAATCGCTAGTTATTTATATCTTCCTTCTTCGTAAGGGAAACGCTGTCGCTGGTTGACTGCAGCCTTAACTGTAATGTAAGCCCTACCTGGTACGGTTCATTTCCTAATATTGTGTCTGCTATGGCAGATCCGAATGGGAAATCCTTGGAAACTTGCTCCACAATAACTGTAGCTCCTGGTAGCCTGTTTCCATCTTCATCAGATACATGCAGCGTGACTTCACGTTTTCTTTCCTGCATTGGTTCGTATGTTTGTGTTTTAAAGAATAACCATATGCTAGTCCAGACAATTTGATTGAGCCAAAATGAAACTACGTACGGTGTTTATCAGGCTTTGTTGGTTTGCTTTCCATTGCTGAGGGGTGAATGGCTGTAGAGATCCACCAGAGATGGACACATTTAAGTTTTTCCCATCTGAATTCTGCCAGAGAGTGAATGTAATTGAACTTCTTAGCTGTTCATGGGCTTGTATTGAGTTTTAATAAATGGAAATGGAAATGAAGTTAACATACCTTGAAATATATGTAGGTATCGCCGGTTAAAGGCGAATCAAGAACAAAGCCACCCTTAAGAAAGGACCAGCAACCTCTCCTGGCTGTAACAGTCCCCATGCAAGTGAACGTCGTGTTATCTGATGTCAAGCTGGCTTGTATCACTGCCGAAGCTGCGCCTTTTATTCTAACCCAACCTGTCAATGAATCATGAAACGATTATGTAAGAAGTGTACTGTACAGGGACACTCCAAGGATAACTCTAGTGCTGTTGAATGAACTACTTAACTGGAAAAACAGTAGATTGTGTTGCCGGTGAGATTTTTTAAAACAAATGCAGGGGAATTTACTGGGATTCTGGATTGATTTTTGCTCCAAGACCCCAAAATCTGAAATTCCTTGATGATACCGCCATTGTATAGTGGATCTTCTGGCCATGATTTGCACTGAAAGAGAAACCAAAGCAGCAGCCCCAGCAACACCATTCAATTCAATATTTGAAGAATTTGTAAAAATATTACAACTACTGTTTAGTTAGTTACCTCAGTATAAGCAGAGTAATCATACATGAGTCTGTCGTCATCTTCATGTAAAGAAGGATAAGCACTCACTGAAAGAAAATAATGGCAGAGTCCCAAGAATACAATGAACAGGTGGTAGTACTTGTTCTTCATTCTACTGCTATTGCTACTGCTATTTGCAGAGAAATGTGATTCTGCAATTATATTGTTAACCAACCCCCCCCCCACAGGATATAGCAAGATCCAAAACTTACGGGTCTTTATTAAGTAGCTGATTGATGCATCACAATTGTCACATGAATGCATAAAATATAAATTAAGATGGCTAAATTAAAACACATGACATGCTAACGGGTCAATCATCTGTTATTTTATTAGACTAATATATATGGTGTCATTCCATTTGATTCCATGTTTTGGGGGAATTTATTAAGAGCTGTATTTTTAACATGTTGCTTAAACCTTCTTTCGTTGGGTTGAAGGGTGTAGACGTTTGGACTCTAACTCTAACTTAATGTGGCATTCAAGCAATTATTTTATTCCCAAGCTCCCTCAGAGATCCTTTTCTTGTCCAGATTGCTAATCTCAAATTGCTCATCTTGCTTTCTAATTGATCTTCTTGTAGTGCGTTTAGGCCATCTCCTCTACAATTCAGGCAACAAGAAGTTCAAGCAACGATCCTCCTGATACTGGCAAGATATACATATCCCACACGGAATAAATTGCAGTAATTCATAAGCAGATAATATCTTTAAAGTTGGGGTGAAGGTGGAGTTTGCTGCTGGTTAAGGATACATTGATTTGTCTGAGAATTTTACGACGTCCAATCTGATCAAAACAAGCAAGTCTGTTTTTTTAGACAAAACATCAATGAAAGAATGACGACAACATCTTACTATGTTATGTACTCTGCATAAAAAATGCCATACTTGGTTGATACACATAAGTTACAATGGAAGACTTACTCCACAAGCAGTGGCAGCTATCACATCAACATGTCTCTCTTTGATTACAGGAACTAGAGTTTAGCAATTGCACCTTCAACTTGTAGCTAGAAGTTGTGCTGCAAGAACAAGTGCTCTTGAGGAGAAGCCGGACCGATCTCTTCCACTAGACTTCTCAATGCATCTCCAACCGTGTTTCCATTTCCATTCCCATTTCCTGCATGTCTTGTCTCTGAGGTTTTTGCATCCAAATCTGATTCAGAAACAGACGACTTCCTCCTCTGCGATGAAGCCACGCTAGGGAACGTGATCCATGATGGAGCTCTAAATTCAATTCTTTGATCCTCTGTATCCGCCCCATCTGTTTCTGAGGTTGATTTGTTTCCCGATCTCTGAGAGGACTTCTTGTGCAATCTACTACTTCCCAACACCACTTCAGTAGGCAATATAGGCTGCTCGTTGCAAGGGCTACCCATCAACAAAGCAAGGGCACGTTCCAAAGCCGTAGTCACTTTGTCCATTGACGGCCTCTCCTTTCCTCTCATCCTCACACATCTACTGGCTATATTAGCAATTCGTTTAAGAGCTTCAAGATCTGGAGGAGGTTTCAGAACTGGATCCAGGATGGAATCTATATCACCAGCTTTGATCAAAGGGACAGCCCATTCAACAATGTTTCCTTCTTCATACTGCATATCAATGGCCTTCCGACCACTGAGGATTTCCAGCAGCAAAACACCAAAGCTGTAAACATCAGACTTGGTTGTAAGGTAATGAAGCCTATAATACTCAGGGTCAAGATATCCAAGAGTTCCGGCCGGCAGTTCAGCCAATGGAGAGCTACTATTGGCAGGTCCGAGTAAAGAGAGGCCAAAGTCTGCAACACGTGCATTGTGCTCTTCATCTATGAGAATGTTTGAAGACTTTATGTCACGGTGAATTACAGGGGGACAGGCATAACCATGAAGGTATTCAATCCCTCGAGCAGCTTGAACAGCAATGGTCACTCTTCTCACCCAATCCAATTGCTCTTTCAGATCATTGTTATTGCCATGGAGATGCTGGTGCAGTGAACCATTAGCCATGAACTCGTAAACCAGAAGCCTCTCTCCACCTTCTTCACAGTAGCCAAGCAGATTCAGCAAGTGGGCATGATTTAGCCTGGAAAGCAAGTCTAGCTCTGTGTGGAACTCGTTTGAATTCTTCTTCACATCCAGGGAGACAATCGCCCTTTTCACTGCAACTATCGTGCCATCCTTCAATACACCTCTAAAGACACATGAGAAGCTCCCCTTTCCCACTAGTGACTCTTCCTTAAACCCTTCAGTGGCTCTCTCGAGTTCCTCATAAGCAAAAACCTGAGCCCTCCTAATTTTCAGCTCATCCAAATCTGGCCTAATCTTCCCACTTTCCTTATGAAAAGAACCATTTTTACTACCTTTACTGGGAATGACAGAGCACCTGCAGTTCCTTAACTTGTATCTAACGTACAGAACAGCTGTCAAAGAAACAGAAATCACCAAGAATGCAGCAAAGGAGACCTCCGCGATTATGATTGGCAATTGCAGCGACCAAAACTTGTCATTCTTGTATCCAGTAACAGCAGCACTGGGACAACTACTGATGCATTCACCTGAAGTGCAACCTGAACAGTTATATCCACACTGCCTATCCGATGTCAAACTGCATTCTGAGACCTGATACATTTCTTGAGGACAACCATTGCTACAGGGCATGCAGATGTGAGAGCCAGAAGACTTGCACGGCGCACTTGCATTGTTAAACTCATAAAACCCCGGCGAACAAGGCGTTGGTTTGCAAAGTCCAGGTGAAACAGCCAGTGGCAGTGCAGACGGAAATCCAGAACCCCAACAAACGGGCATAAGAGAGGTCTCAGCTAAAATTCCACAGGTGAAGTAATCCCCAGCAGCAATCTCATAAAGCTTAACACCCTTAGGCGGCGGCGTACTGCTCTCCACTTTGAAACCCCAGCAAACAACGCCTCTGTCATAACTTCTAATTCCACATGCATCAAACTTACCTCCAACTACAGACAGCATAGGTTCCTCAGGAGCTAAATCCACATTAAGCTGCCCAGAGTTCATCACTGAGCCAACAGAAATCTCTTCTTCAAGATCCAAACTCGTCCCCCAACAAACCACTCTAGAATGCACCCCTTCCAAAATCCCACAAACATGGAAGCCTCCTGCTGCAATCTTTCTAAATCTCAGGTTCTTGGGAACCAGCCCTATCACATTACTGCTGGTCTGATCACCCCAGCAGAAAACACTCCTATTCTGAGCAAACAAACCGCAATTAAATTCAGAACCCGCAGAGATAGATTGGATCTGCCCATCAAAATTGTAGCTCTTAGTCATGTTGTAACCCCAGCAATCAACCAAAGTAGTGTTCCTCAACTTCCCCCCGAGGGGCTTTCTCAATCCGCACAAATGGTGGTCTCCAGCGCTAATCTCTAAGTACTCTGAGTCCCTAGTCATTTGTAGAGGCACGCCGGTTGGAATAAAACCAGTGCTCCCCCAGCAAAAGGGCTTATTTGAATCCATCTGAAGCCCACAAACAAAGCCATTGCCGGCGGTCAAACCAAGAAACGCCAAATGCTTTGGCGTTGCATGAATGATAGCAGGGTTGGAGCCGTAGCAATTAGCCATATGAGAACCGTCAGATTTTAGCCCACAGAACACGGGCCCGTTTTCGCCATAAGAAATGCCGATGGACGACATTGATCCCAAGCTCGTTGCTTTGGAAAAGAAATAGAAAAATAACAGCAAAACCACTAATTTTTTATCGACATAATTCAATAAGCACAACAGAGTCATCCCTCCAATACTAAAATTTGCACAAAATGACACCGGTTTAGCTTAGATTTACCAGCTGCGGCGGCGGAGATGGTAGCTCAAAGCCTCAAATCTTCACTGGGTTGGGTAGCTGTCTGTATGTAGCAGCAATGAAATGAAGGAAAAAGAGGGGAGGGAGAAACAGAGGAGAAGCTCAAGCGAGTTGGTGGGAGCATTTAATATTCTTCTGACGGTGGATAGCTCCCCGATGCTGATCGGACGGCCTGTATTCGTCCCTGAACAATAAAAGTGTATGCAGGTACCGTTGGACGTCGCAGTCGCATTCAATACATTGTGGGTTCGTCCAACTCAAATTGAACAGCATGTACTATTCAAAATTTTCTACATGGTGGACAATTTCTGGTTTTTTAAAAATCGAAATATATGAAGCCTATATCAAACTAGCAATTAATGATGAAAGCATTATAATTATGGTCGAAAAAGTTGGAAAGAATCTCTGCCTTGACAACTACATAAGCTTGAGTTAAATATAACTTTGTGTTTTTATTTTTGACTAATCATGCCCGATATGATATGTCAGCCTCGATCTATGCTGCGAGTTAAGTATTCTTTGTTAAAAAATATTGATCTGATTGATATAAATGAGATGTGGTTGCATGGATTTGAGTGAAGGGGGGAAGACTTTTGTGGTGCTGATGTGATTAAATTATGGGCTAAGATACAGAAAGGATGCTTGTTTCCAGGATTAACACTGTATTCTATGATAGTTTATATGAGTGTGTAATAATAAATAAATAAATAAATAGACCCTTCCCTCTCCCTCTGCATGCCCTCATAAATTCTTGTGCAGTCTAGTCTCCATAACTAAAGTTTGCAGTTAATTTGGTTATAACCAAAAGGGTGGCATTTTTCTTTATGGAGACTTGTGTCTCAGATTCGAATTAGATAGTATAAGAAACTATTGATATTGCTATTGTAAGGAGGATGGAAGGTTAAAGTTTGGATAAAACACTATTAGGATGAGTAGCCTCTTTGGAAAAAAAATTAAAAAAAAAAAGAAGATAAAATGGAAGGTTGAAGTTTGGACCCAAGTCAGCTTGTTCGGTGCTCAAATAACATTGGAAAAATAATCAGTTGGTTTTGTAATTCTTTGAAGAAATTCAGTGATTTAGAGTAAATCCAGTAATTCTTGGAAATGGCTAACTGGTATGTGCATGTGTAAGTCTATGATTAGATGAAACCTACCTTGTTCTGTCTTCATTAAATCTATCAAACAACAATATTATTCTGCCCCATCTATAACTATAAATTAATTATCATATGTCATTGGTGTAATAGCTAAACAGGGCAAACTTGTTAGGTGCTGTTCAGATTAATGTTTGCAGCAGCAGCTGTTTAGTTCCCATTCATTTGGTTAACTTTCCATTCAAATCCTACAAGAATAATGATCATTTTAGAATAGGTAGCTTCTTCTGAGGTTGAAGCAGCACAGCACAGCACTGCAGACAAAGTTGTAAATCCTTAGAAGAATAGTTGGATTAATTAATCTGAAATGAAGGGCCATGTTATGCTCTCTCACTCTCTGAAACAGTCAGTGATTCAGTTCCAATCCATCCATGGCTTGCACATGAATTTGGAACAATAAATCAATAATATCATCCTGTTTTGATGAATTGGAGGGAGGGAGGATCTTCCTTCCTCAACCCATCCTTTTAGGTGACAAGCTTTAATGTCCACACCACAGGCTCTCATATACTACCGGCCATTCTTCTTTTCTTTACACAAAATATTGGAATGCCACGATTAGCATATGCAAAAGAATGTAAAGTCAAATAAGAGAGGATTAGATGAGAGATAGAGAGAATCTTCTGTAAGCTGCTACTCCATTTTCAAAATGATGATGAATATAATTATCTAATGACGATGAAGCTACCAGGTTTAACAGTGAGTGACAGTGCCTTTGCTTTGTGTCCAAAACTGATTACTTTCTGGCAAAATCGAGAGAGCCGACAGTGGAATCACGATCCACGACTTCCCAACTCAACTCTCAGATGACGTAGTCAGACATCCATACCTGTCAGTCAGTCAGTAGTCCCAGCCCAACACAACAATACCTACGCCGCGCCCCTAGGCCCCCCTGCCTATCCGATCCGACGCCGTCGCCGCCGATGGACAACTCTGATGACCTCCACAAACTATCTCCGGCTCTTCACGAACCCATCAGCACGGCCGCCGCGGAACCCCTCCTCTCTAAACCATATTCGACTCTCGACCCGCCAGTAGCCTCCACTTCTGGACCTGATGATGATGACCACCTAACTCAGTACCTTCAGATCTCGTACAATTACGGGCCGCGCTCTATTAAAGATTTGCCTTTTCTCATTCTCTTTTGCCTCTTCGTTATCTCCACGTACGGGTTCGGAATTTTCGCCTCTGTTCACAGAAACCCTCATCGTTCCCAAGTCTCGTCTTTCGTCTACAACACTTCAACTGCCTCTTGTACACTTATTGCTGATTTACGGACTCCATTCTCCAATTCCGGAACTGATAAGCCCTTATCTTTAATTTCCCCCAGGTCGGTTCTCCTATTTAGGGTGGTTGACTATTCATCGTTTTCACTGAATCCCTCTTTGTTAAACTCCATTGGGTCAAGTTTTTGGGAGAGCTTGATTTGGACTCTCGTAATCACTCTAATTCTCAGCGCGCCATTTATCTTTTGCGTGCTTTTGTTGCTGAAGCACTACACGAAGCAGATAGTCTATGGTTCGCTTCCTTTCTTTGTAATAGTCCCAATTTTCATTAACGTATACTGGTTTGTAGCTTGCACTGTGAGTTCTAGGTGCAGTGATGCTTTTCCTCTGGGTTATCGAATTTTTGTTCTTGCTTTCATCTTCTTGGTGATTGGAGTGATTGTGTGGATTTTTATAGTGAATTGGCATAGAGTTGAGTTGACAGTGAGCATTATTGGTGTTGCTGCTAATGCATTGTCCAAGAACTTAGGATTGTTTGGAGTTCTTCCAGCTCTGACTCTTGGTTTGATTGTGTACTATGTTCCCATTGTTGTGTTTCTGATATTTGCAAACTTGAATGGAGAAATTGTGCCCAAAGAAAAGAAAGGAGAATATTTATGTGCTTGGAAGCAAGACAGCTGGGTGCCGGCTTACTATACGTTGGCGATCTTGACAATGCTTTGGTCTGCCACTGCCATGGTTGAAGCTCAAGCATATGTGATCAGTGGGACTATTGCACAGTGGTATTTCTCCAAGGATGATATGAGGCCCAAGCATGGAATAAGAAGCTCCCTGAGGTGCTCGCTCGAATATGCCGCTTGTTATTAGTTGAATTTTCTGTGAGCTTATTTGATTGGATTTTGGATCATGTGAAACATTGCAGGAATGCATTTGGACCTTCTTCTGGGACCGTATGCTTCTCTGGGCTGCTAATACTTGCTGTCCGTGTAGTGCGCTCTATTGTTGACAATGCAAGGCAAGAAGAGTCGTCCGGGATTGTGAACCTTATTCTTCGGTGCTGTGCCAATGTCCTGCTGGCAGCAGTTGATTTTCTGAACAAGTTCACCATAAACTTTGCAGCCATAACCGGGGAAGCCTATTGCAGTGCTGCAAGGATGACCTATGAACTTCTGAGACGCAACCTTCTGTCGACTGTGTTTGTGGAGACAGTTTCGACTCGGATATTGGGTGGGATTGTCCTCGTCATATCTGCAATCTATGCAATAGTGGTGAGTTACTGCCTACACTTAAATTGCTATTGATCTGAAAAATTCATTCTTCTTGACGATGACAAGTATTTGTGTGTGTGTCAGGTATGCGTTGTTTTGAAAGGTGCTGTACATTTGGGGGACAATGCATACATTGTGAGTGTTGCGGCGTGGATATTATTGATTGTAATAATGGGGTACTTGGTGCACGTTCTGGATAATGTCATCGACACGGTGTATGTGTGCTATGCCGTGGATAGGGACAGAGGAGAGGTTAACAAGCAGGAGGTGCACGAGGTTTATGTTCAGCTTCCTATCAGTAGAAGTCGTAGTCGTAGAGCAGCAGCTCCCGGAGCCTTACTTGTGTAAATAATCCAATCCAATCTCTTTTCTGCTCTTTTGAATGTGGTTGGTGTGGTGTTGCCTGTAATTGGTTTTCATAAAACTTGAAGAACATCTTACCTATCTAATAAAACAAGGTTGGTGGCAGTCAGACACCGATGATTATTTCGACCTTGTTAGTCTGCAAATTTCGAATTTCCGATAAAGACAGGGGAGGGGAAGAATATTAATTATCTGTTGTTGATTTAATGAAGAAGCGCCCCCTCCTCCCTCGCCTAGGATACATATATATATATATATATATATGTGATATTGGGACAATTATTGTGCGTGCGAGTGTGTCTATTATGTCTATTTAGATGCGAATTCTTTCTTCTTTTTTCTCCTTTCTGGCAGGGAGCTTTTAATGCAATCCCTCACCTCCTCATAAATCACAAACCATAATTAATAATTCATGATTCATAGTTTATACTATCTCATATTATTATTATTTTTGATTATTTGTTGAGGTGCAGGAGCGAGTGATCTTTCCTTACCTGTCCATACTACATTAAAGTGATCAATAATTGGTGTGCAGTGCAGTATAGTGAGTGTAGTGTAACTTGTCCGGAAGTGACACGCCCGCGCTGAGGTCTAGACCAGCTGTCCGTTGTGCGCAATATGTCCGGAATATACTATACAGTATGGAAGAATAATGCGGAACACTTACTTGCACTGAGGTATAAGTCATTAGTCGACTCGTACACATGAGACGAACTATGGCCGAAAATCAAAGGCAAGAATGTCAGCATGTGGCAGTAGTGTAGGTAAACTTCACCTCCGAGGATATGTATATATATTTATGCAAATAAGGATACGGGTTTGTTTTGGTTTTGATCTTATTTCGGGTATGCCGTTATAAGTAATTATAATAATATCAATATTACAGTAGCTAATCAATGAATGGTCATGACAAGGTCGTTCTCAGTGAAGTTGGCTCACGCATTTATTCATGCCATCCCATGCCCCCTACCCTACCCCCACCAATATTGGATTAGCCTTCTAACTATGTACTTAGTAAACAGTAAAGACGTAGCATTATTCTTTTTTCCTAAAATTATTTATTTATTTATGCATGTCCGCCTACCCCGGCCCTAATAAATCTGACCAATCATTATACGTGCTACATACATGCCTACATATAATTCTAAATCTAAATAATGAATGTAGTACAGTACATTACAACAAAATATCTCAAAAAAAAAAGAAAGTCGGGACAAATTTCATCATAAAAGCCACGGCCCACGCTGGCTGTCAAATCCCCAATCGAATATCACATTACTATCAATTAAAAACAAACAGTAGTGATTGATTCGATCCTCCCACGCTTACACCATTTTCCCATGGCTCCATCGGGTTGGGTGGTGTCTGCTGTGATTCTTGAACCAGGCAGGCAGGCTCTTCTTGTAGATTTTAGAATTTCTTGATTCCATTATTCATCAATTCTCATCATCATCCTTAATCATGAATCATAATCCTTCATGTTTGTTTCTTTGTTTCACTTTTTGCACATTCAATAATTGAGGATTTTTTATTATTACTTTTTAAATCTTTAAACCGGGAGTAATTAACGCTATAAAGCTAAATCATTAAAGAAGAGAAGAAAAAGGAAAAAAAAAGAAAAAGAAAAGACAATAAATGAATGATTCCTCCCTCTTATAATAATCGCACTCTCACTCTCTGCTCTTCTTCACTCACTGAGCAGAGCAAGGGCAAGGACAACCATGGCTTCCCTCCGCCTTCTTCATCTGCTCCTTCTGCCTCTGTTAGCTGCACTAAATTCAGCTGCTCAGGAAGCGGCTAAAACCTACATCGTCAGAGTCGACACTTCATCCAAGCCATCCGTCTTCCCCACCCACTTCCACTGGTACACTGCAGAGTTCACCCAACCCACCAACATCCTCCACGTATACGACACCGTCTTCCATGGCTTTTCCGCCCTCCTCACTCCATTCCAAGCTGCTTCTGTCCTCAAGCACCCTTCTATTCTCGCCGCCTTCGAAGATCGCCGCCGGCAGCTCCACACCACTCGCTCCCCGCAGTTCCTCGGCCTGCGCAACCAGCGAGGCCTGTGGTCCGAGTCCGATTACGGCTCCGATGTTATAATTGGAGTATTTGACACCGGAATTTGGCCCGAGCGCCGGAGCTTCTCCGATCTCAACCTCGGCCCCGTCCCCAAACGGTGGAAGGGAACTTGCCAGACAGGTGCCAAGTTCACTAGAAGGAACTGTAACAGGAAGATTGTTGGCGCCAGGTATTTCTCCAAAGGACATGAAGCGGCGGCTTCTGGATTTGGGGGAATCGTTGGGGGAATCAACGAGACGATTGAATTTAAGTCGGCGAGAGACGCCGACGGGCACGGCACGCACACTGCGTCCACCGCCGCCGGAAGATACGCTTTTCAGGCGAGCATGGAGGGCTACGCTGCCGGAATCGCAAAAGGTGTGGCGCCGAAGGCACGTTTAGCTGTTTACAAAGTGTGCTGGAAAAATGCCGGCTGCTTCGATTCAGATATTTTGGCGGCCTTCGACGCCGCCGTGAACGACGGAGTCGACGTTATTTCAATATCCATCGGAGGCGGCGAGGGCATCTCCTCCCCCTACTATCTCGATCCTATCGCAATCGGAGCATACGGCGCCGTTTCAAGAGGGATCTTTGTTTCCTCCTCAGCCGGGAACGAGGGCCCCAACGGAATGTCCGTGACCAATCTCGCCCCATGGCTCGTCACTGTCGGCGCCGGCACACTGGACCGTAGCTTCCCTGCGGACGTGACTCTCAGCGACGGCAGGAAATTCTCCGGTGTGTCTTTGTACTCCGGTGGGTCTCTGAACGGTAAAATGTACCCTCTAGTTTATCCAGGTAAATCAGGGGTGCTTTCTGCCTCCCTGTGTATGGAAAATTCACTCGATCCCAGAATGGTGAGAGGCAAAATTGTGATCTGCGATCGTGGCAGCAGCCCACGAGTTGCAAAAGGATTGGTTGTTAAGAAGGCCGGCGGCGTCGGTATGATCCTCGCCAATGGAGTCTCCAACGGCGAGGGCTTAGTCGGCGACGCCCATTTGCTTCCAGCTTGTTCTCTGGGCTCTGCTGAAGGCGATCAAATCAAGGCCTTCGTAGCCTCCAATCGAACCGCCTCTGCAACCATTGATTTCCACGGCACCATCGTCGGAGTAAAACCAGCTCCGGTTGTAGCTTCGTTCTCTGCAAGGGGTCCCAATGGCTTAAACCCTGAAATTCTCAAGCCCGATCTGATCGCCCCCGGAGTGAACATCCTGGCAGCCTGGACAGATGCAGTTGGCCCGACAGGCCTGGACATGGATACCCGAAAAGCAGAGTTCAACATCCTGTCAGGCACTTCCATGGCTTGCCCTCATGTAAGCGGGGCAGCAGCCCTGCTGAAGTCTGCGCACCCTGATTGGAGCCCGGCGGCAATAAGGTCAGCAATGATGACGACAGCAAGTGTCAACGACCACTCGTTGAGTCCAATGATTGACGAGTCGAGTAAAAAACCTGCAACTCCGTACGACATTGGTGCCGGGCACTTGAACCTCGGATTAGCCATGGATCCAGGGCTGGTCTACGACTTGACAGACAATGACTACGTGAGCTTCTTATGCGCAATAGAGTATGGGCCGAAAACAATCCAGGTGATCACACGGGCACCTGTGAATTGTCCGATGAAGAAGGGGATACCGGAGAATCTAAACTACCCATCGATCGCAGCGCTGTTTCCGAGCGGAACAAGTGGTGTATCGAGCAAGAGTTTCTTCAGGATGGTGAGGAATGTGGGGGAGGAGGCTAAGACAGTGTACAGGGTGAAGGTGGATCCTCCCAAGGGGGTGAGTGTAAGTGTGAAGCCAGGGAAGCTGGTGTTTTCGGAGAGTGTAAGGAAACTAGGATACTATGTAACTATAAGTGTGGACAGCAAGAAGATAGTGTTGGGTGAATCTGGGGCAGTATTCGGGTCACTTTCTTGGGTGGATGGGAGGCATGTGGTTCGGAGCCCCATTGTGGTGACTCAAATAGATCCACTGTAATGCAAGAACAATTCAAAGTAGAGAGAGTCCAATTCCAATATATATTAATTGGATTGATGATGAGGATGAAGATGAGGATGAGGATGAGGATGATGATGATGCAGCAAGTAGAAGATAGAAGTGTGTATGTGGTTTCAAGTTACTTTTCTTGGTTAGAAGTGCAGAATGAGAGAGAGTAGAGGATAGTTTTGTAAACTTGTTGGAGTACTTAATTCGAGGCAGGGTGCAATGTAATGTTAGCAATAGTAGAGTGGGCGAGAGAGTGATGATTATACTTATTTATATATATATATATCGACATGTAATTTATATGACTAAGTAAAGCAAAGAGAATGGTTGATGACTAAGAAAAAGAAAAAGAGAGAAAAAAACACTGACTCGACTTTGATTCAGCTTTTGTGTTTGGGGTAAATGTAATGAAATACTTTTACTTACTTAATAGTTTAGTCTAAACAATAAATAATTTATCTATGTCATAATGTATGTACGTATTGTACTAGTATTTACAGTCGCTCCCTCACTTCTTTCTTTTCTTTCTTCAGTTAATAATAGCAATAGTAATAAATAATAGAAATACTTAATATTTTAATGAGTATGTTTGCACTAATTTGACAATAATGTTATGTATACTGGGTTGAGGGTTTTAAGAAGAAAAAAAATACAATTATAATGACCAGTAGTAGTTGGTGATGCTTGATGGGTGATAGTGTGATAGAACTGCCAACACATGTAGGCCACATTCATCAGTACATTAATTATTTTCTATTTTATAAATATTGTATCATACTTTACTTAAAACAAAAATGAAAGATTATGAGTAGTATTGTGTATTTATATAGTTGTCATATGAAGAATAAGGTTGTATTCCATAGTTGTTGTCTATTTTGAGTAAAAATGCAGTAGCAGCAGTAATATCTGGGTAGAGGATTGTAGTCTCCCTACCTTGATTTGAAAATGCAATGAAACAAATTGCTAAGGCATCATTGCATGTTATTCATCAAATTACTTCATCCTTCTCTTCACTTCGTAAAAGTAGCTCAGAATCACCACAGTAGCCGCAACCGCAACTCCAACGGCACCCTGTGCCAATATAGTGCCATCTTTCACAATTGCCTTTGCAGTGCCGGAAGGTGGGGTGAATCCTAATTCAGAAAGTTTCTTATGTGACTCGGCATAGTCTTTGAAGAAGGCATCTTCATCCTGCACCCGATAGTTAGTTAGGATTACAAAATGCAAACGCAAGAGTTGATGAAATTTATTGCTGATTTGAGGAACCTTAAAGGACACAACTAAAACTATCTTATATTAGAAATGAGGGCAATTCAATGGCTAAACCAGCAGAAGAACACAAGCAACTTCAAGAGACAGCTCGTCAGGTTATCTTCCCAACAGAGAGCTTGTAGTATAAAACTCAGAGCCCATTTCCAATTCTAAGAGGCGTTGCATTTTCATTGGCACTATTGAACAAATTTTGTGATTGAATTTTATTAAACAAACAAAATATTTTGAATCAAAGAGTTAGGTTAACCAATGTATAGCAAGACAGAACCATGACTATAACAACTTTCGGGTAGATCAATTTGACTGCATTATCCATTAACCCAATCTATGTTATGTTTGCATGAACTATATAACCTACACTCAAAAAGAGATTTTTTTTTTTAAGAGAATTGATGAAGTAAATACTGATAACACCAGATAAATTGTACCTTTGCATAGAGTTCAACATAACGCCTAAACTCTTGATCTTCAAGCAAAGCCAAATCAGTTGGAAGTTTTAGCAAGCCCTCGCTTTCCCCCGTAAGTAGTTCCCTGGCAGGAAAAGATGTATAACATTAGGAAAAATGGAGCAAACAAGTATACTAATGAGAAAAGATGAGTGATGTAATGTAATAAAACTTACTGAAAATATGAATTATCAAACTTTAGTGGCTCCTTAGTCCAGGGGCCGTCAAAGCCTGATCTTTCTGGATGTGCCCTCCCCTGTTTTACATATGAACAATTATTCCAGGAAAGGGCTTTGATTAGTTATGGTCAGTAACAAGTATGGTCAGAAGATCCGTGAATTAAAAGTACCAAGGTGTGGCCACCAGATAGCGCCACTATGTCTTTATCAGATAAACCCATCCTGTAGAACACCTCCCTCAGATGCGGTGCACCTATTATAATCAAAATGATAAAGAAGATTTTAGATGATTCGTTGTCAACATGGGATGAAAGGTAAAATTGTTCAGACCATAATCTCAAATGCACAAATACAGAAATTCTTCTCCAGAGTTCATAAGTAACCAGATTCTGTAGATTTATTTAAAAAAAAAAAAAAAAAAAGATAACAAACACTTTGGAGCAAGAAGGGAGATACAATTACAGATGGTTTTTTCTTTCCTTTTTTCTTTTTTTTCATATGCATTTGAAATTTATTAGCAATGATTCAAGAGGAAATTGGAAATCCACATGAGAAGATACTATCTTAAGAAATAGATCAAGTAAAGCCACAAGGGGAACATGGCATAAAGCTGCATGAGAGAAAATAAACTTCTAAATGTACAATTCTTTATATAGTGATTTATTTGACCTCTTTTAGCATCTGGAAGCCGCCCTTCCCTTGGACTGATCTTTGAATCCTGAAAGAAACGTAAGGTGGCAAGCACAATCTTAATTTAGCTGAGATAATTTAGTGACAAGGTAGAAATATCAAAATATGCTAACATAAAAAATTCAAAATGCACAATGTGCAAAAGCATCCCTATCCCTCTAAGAATAACAGCACCTTTCTACCAGGAGAAAAGCTAATGGTGGGTCCCCCAGTGACTTCAACAGCAACAACACCAGCAAGCTGCATGTGAAATGTTAAGATACAGTGTGTCAAGGAGAAACAATGGCTCTTGATGATATAAGAAATGAAAATGGAGAATTCCGTTATACTACACGAAAATCGACTCCCTTGACAATTAAAGTTCTCTTACCAGTATAATCCATGTTTACTATCTTCCTTTATTTTAGGAGGAACCTATTATTATTCTATCTCAGCGCAAAATGTTAGCAACATCATAATTCTCTATTCTTGTCATACTTAAGCAAGGTCGTATATTTTTTGTGTAGCAGTGAAGCACTTGATTGGAATTCTCCAGTCATTATTTTTAGAGTCAGGCAGAGAACGTCTAGAGTTAGGCTTCCATATGATGGGAACATATTAAGCCTTCATTCTAATCAGAATAACTTCATGTAAACAGGGAAGTTCACAAACAAACACCAATTTTATCTGAATAGTATTAGAAGTTAGCCTAAAAGACACTGTAAACCATAGCTCACATTAATCCTCAATTATGACCAACACATCATAATAATAAACTGAGATCACAAACTTAAGATTTTAACTTTTATTACACTCTTTGGAAGGCAATGTTCATCAACTTAAAAATTTTTGCAATTCCCATTCATATAACACAGTAGGGAAAAATCCCAAAGCCTGAGCAATTACCTGATACAGATCTGCATATGTAATTTTAGGGCATTTAGCCTTCACTTGCTCTGCAACAAGACCAACAGTCAACCATATGAGAGAAAACCTTATGCATAATTTGAATCACCACTAAGTCCATCATAATTAAGTACTATAGCAGCTAATAGCCAAACCCATCCTGTACTGCATAAATGAAAAGAATCAAGGAACTATGTTCCAAAAATAAATCAACACAGTAGTAAGTAATACACACCAACCTATATGGAAAAAAAAAAAAAGTTCTTCAGAAGTTATATTGAAATAACGCCGGGTGGTTAAACATAAAGAAAGTCTAAACTAAACAATCCTTGGAAGGCATGGATAGATTAACGAGCAACGATCACGAAGTAAGACGTAAACGAACCGCAAAACTCGAGCGCTATCTTAAGGCCATTGTTAGCACCATGAGTGTACTCTTCTTCATTTCTAATCGAACCATTAGGACCTCCAGTCCTTGAATTAACATCATACGTCCCAGCATCATGCCACCTAATCGAAATAGAATAGAGAACGATAAGCAAAAGGTAAAAAGCTTATCAGGAGTAAATTGCAATCGAGGAAAAAAGTTGAGAGTTATAGAATACGCCAATCGGAGCATAATAGGGGCGCAGTTCTTGTTGGAAATGAGAGCGCGGAGATGGCGGCGAGCTTTATCGATTTCCTTGAGGTAGTCGGAGTCGACGTTTACTTTGGCCATGGGAGAGGCTAGAACTGTGAGCCTCTGAATCCGTTGGGAAGGAATGAGATAAGATAGCTTGACTGGCGCTGGCGCGTGTTATATATATATATATTGTATGTATTTACAGGCTGATAAGTGGTAGCTTAACCTAGTCTGCCAATTGATGATACTAGGCCTAGGGGATCCCTTATTTATTGTACATCATTATTATTGGTCAAAAAATCAATACATCATAAATAAATAAATAAATCCAAAACGGGGGAGTGAGTCTAAGGTTGGAAAATGAGCCCATTGGCACTGATAATAAGTATGGACTGCAACTAGCAGGCAGGTATGATCAGCTTTTGTACGGTATGGCCCAAAACTGAAACGAATCAAACAGGAGTCCATAGGCCGCCGGACCTAAATAATGAATGTCCGATCTGGTCCTGCTAAAAAATAATAATAATTTTAAATAAAATTTAGTATATATAACAATAAAAAAAGTTACCTAATTTAAATAAGGGCTAGGGCGATCTAAAATATCCCAAGTCCAGCAACGCGTAAGTATATAAATAACTCCTGAACAAAACATTAATTGGGGAGTATTCAATATTAATATAAAAAATAATATTATTATTATTGTTACAGAAACAAAAATCTCAAAAGTTCCCTTAGTAATCAGCTGCTGAGTGTCAGTAGCTTTTTCTTCTCTTTTTTTCTCTTCCGATCAATCATAAAGAAATTATCTATAAGCATGAATGAGGTGTGTCTGTGTGAGTAATAATCCTATATATATATATATACACACACGGAGATTCCTGTAATCTCAAATTTTTAAGATTTTTTTTTATTTTTTCTTTAATAATATATATACATAGTCTTTATTGGTTGGAGAAAGATTGCAAAGACCAGGGAGGTCAAGGGGCGGGTTTTACAGGCTCCGAGACCTGCCATGCTAGAAAATATTAGGAGACCCGCCCCGTCCTGCTTTTATTCGGCCCCAGGATCCGCTCCGTCCCGAACCCGGGTTTGGGCCAACCCTGCAAACCTTCTTTTTAAAAAATATATAATAATAAATATTTTTTTTAACAATCGAATACTAAAACAAATAGCATTAAAAGCAAAAAAAAAATCTAAAAACAATCAAAATCCATCCAAATAAGATAAATAAATAAATAATATATTTTTATTATATAAACATACATTAGGCATAATAATTTTAAAAAATTATTTGGAGCAACCAACTAATTGAATTTTATATTTAAAATTATTTAAGTAAATAAATAATATATTTTATTATATAAATGTACATATATATTAGTTACAATAATTATAAAAAATGTCCATGTTCGGGTTGATGCAGGTTTTTAGTAAAATCCGTAACCCGCCCCGAACCCGACCGAGTTTAAAATTTTAAATCCACAATCCGCCTCAAAACATATTATTTAAACCCGAACCCGCCTCATTAAGAGCGGGTCCGGGGCTAACCCGTCCCATTTGACATTCCTAGCAAAGACATTGAAAGTTGTTCACCGGATAACTCAGTTGCAGAGATAATTTCATTATAAAATATAGTAAGTATTTTTTATAAATTATTTATAAAAAGATTGTTATCTATTGAAAACTTTTAAAAAGATTGTTATCTATGGGGAACTTTTAAATAACTTTTAAATAGTTTTAAAATAATTTTAGTATTTGTTATGAAAATAATACATATATCAATTAAAATATTTTGAATTATTTAATTTATATTTATTTTAAATTTGTTTAAAATTACAAATTTGATTTGTTAATGAAATATATAATTTTTATAAAGATATATATTAATTTTTTTATTTGTATTTATAATTTTATATAAAATTTTCTGGTTATAAATATATATCATGTACTCCATTTTTTTTTGTCATTTTCTATTTTCGTCAGTGGTTATTATTTTCTGTAGTATCTATCTAACACCATTTCAACTTAACCGGGGTATGACGGAGATAATATAACATATTTAGTTATATATTTGGATAATTTTAAATAGTTTTAGTCAATTTTTAAATGGTTAATTTTAAATGCTAATTTGGTAGGATAATTTTATTTTACATAATTTTTTTAAACAAAAATATTTTTATATATAATTTAAAATTTTGATTTATTTTAAATTTAAAAATATCTAATTATGACTGATATTTGTAATTATATATTTTTGTAGTTTGATATTATGATTTTATATATCTATTGTATATTAATTTATTACTATATTTAAAGTGATTTTATTCAAAACATTTATTTATTTTATTAAAAACAATATTTGATAGATTAAGTAAATCATACTATCTGATAAAATAATCTAAATTTTGTATGAAATTGACATAAACTGAAATTTTACATCTGTTATATAAAAATAATAGTTGTCTACACTAAAATTTAAAAAATAAACATTTTAATTTTATTTTATAAAATAATTTTCAATTTTACTTTCTATCAAGTATAGGTAATTTAATATGTATTTTAACACATTTTCTTTTAGTTAATATGGTCAATCATTATTCTTTTACAAGTTTTTTTCACAGCTAGTAATAATAAACTTATAATTAAAAAATAATTTTTTTTTTTTAATATTTATAGTAATTAATGATTTGTATTTTCTTCTAACAAATAAAAATATAAATAGATACACATAAAAAAAATACAATTCATAAAATAAATAGAACAAATAAAATAGTAAAATATAAATATATAATTATTGTACCTTTTTTGAAAAAATTCAATAGAATCAAATAAATAATAATATACTAATTAAATTTAAATATAATAATTCGTGCTTAAACGCTAGTTAACTGTATATAAATATAGTAATTAGTAATCAGACGGCGGTGGCGGTGGCGGCGGCTGCCCCCGGGGGAGGGGCGCATTTGAGCTGGATGGCGAGGGTCTTGGGGATAGTCGGGCAAGGATCGATGAGGGCATTATCCATGAGGTTGTTCCTGTCGTAGGGTACGGTGCACTCGGTCTTCCCCAGGCACTGCTCCTCGACCACCTTACGCACCTTGGCCGAATCGCATGTCGCCGGCTTGAAGGCCCCGCATGCCCCCTCGGCATTCCCGAAGCTGGCGAACTCCACTCTCTCCACCACCTTCTTGTCCGGGCAGGTGAGCTTGGCCTCGTTCCGGGAGTCCACCGTGGACCGTATCTGGTTCTTTTTCAGCTCCCAGGAGGAGACGCTGGGGGGGTAGTAGTCGCCTATGACGCTGCAGATGGTGTCCCTGTTGATGAGCAGGATCTCTATCTTCGTGGGGTCTCCGCCGGTCTCCTCCAGGACCACGATGACGTTGCCGGTGGGCTTCAGGTGTGAGCGGGGGATGTGATAGACGTCCTGTGTGGGCTGCCCCAGGGGCGACAGGAATGACACCCAGTACCTCCCGATGCTCATGCCGTTGATCCAGATCATCCCCTTCGCCATGCTTGTCATTCGGACAGCTATTGGGTTGTTGCCTTCCGGGGCGTCGAAGTACCCCTGGATGGATTGATAATATGATTATCATCACCCTCACATGATGGAATGAATTAATTAATGTTGATTATTGTATGCTTGATTTGATTTGATCACCTTGTACCAAGACAGGGGTTGGGGGATGTTATTGTTCAATGGAAGCGGTTGCCATTGCACTTTTTTGGATCCTTCCTCCGTGAACAATTCCATGGCTTCACCGTTTAACCCAACCTGGTCTCAATAGTAATCACAATAATAAAAGAGTTCATCCATGATCATTGATTAATTATCATAAATTAAACCAACAATCAATCGAACTGTACTTTCAATGTACTATGATTCATAATTAATTACCTGGTGTCTCCACATGTTATCTGTAATGTCCAGCGTTCCAGCCATCAACCCCTGGATCGTTACATCTCGGGGCCCAGCGAATCTTCTTTCCATAAAGGATCCACTATTCTACAATTGTTGGTTGTTGATTTATTGAAAACAACTACGTTAAAATCGATTTATTTATTGAACAAACAAGGAGGATGGGTCACTTAAATTGTACAGCAGCAACAATTGAATTATTGAACAAACAAGGAGGATGGGTCACTTAATTTGTGCAGCAACAACAATTGAAGTGTAGTTACCGGCATGCCAATGGTCATGGACAATATAGATATTTGGTTGGGTCCAATTCGCAAATTGATCGAGTTTTTGAAGACATGGTTCTTCTCATCGATGTTTCCGTGTCCAAAACCTGAAAATTTTTACATTATATCAATTAAATAATAATAATCACGACGTGAATGTTTGTTAGGCTGTTCACCTAATTTCTTATAGCAATCACATATATTTAATTTAATTAAGTTAAATTCTTCCATGCAGTATATTATTGAGCAAAGAATTTCTTAATTAATTACCTACGTATTCTCCGTTGACGAATACCATCAAAGCATGGCCACGATTGCCAATCTGAAGCACGGGTAGGATGTCTATCCGCATTGGTAAGTCACCCCGATCCAAGTCGATTCTGTATGGTATCACATCGTAATGAAAGCCAGCCAGCCAATAGATTCCAAAATGACATTAAATTTCATATATATTACAGGAAGAATCATATCATACCATATATTTGAATTGTATAGAATAGAATACGTACATGGTGCTGTACCAAGCGTAGTCGGTGGTGTCGTTGGTGATAGAGCACATTTCCATTGGACGGATGCTCTTTATTGATAACTCGTTAAAGTCTGGGATTTTTTCTCTGAACATCTCCCATCTGGTGATCTTTGCTTTGACTGAGGGTACGAAGTTTCTAGAACTATGTTGTGCCACCACCTGTGCAAGTTTTATCGATTAATTAATTAATTAGAGAGATCTGAAGTACTGGCTGCTGCTTATTGTTCTGATCTGAGATGGGTAAGAAACAAAAATAAAATACCGATTATTACCATTTGGGTGTTGAAAACTAAGGTCTTGCAGTCAGGGAGAATGCTGATGGACTTAGCGGGGAGGAAATAATCCACACCCCTGAAATTGATAGTCCGATCTTCTCTTGTATTGTTGTTGGTCAGGAATGCCGCACAGATAGTGGGATCTCCAGGCTTGTCGTACGTTGTTATCTGCATGCATAGGTGAGTGAGGACTGACTGACTGACTGACTGACAAAACAAGACTAGCTAGCTAGCTGTATTTGCTAGGTATACTAGTATTGTACGTACCTCCAAGTCTTTGGAAATCTTCTGCACATTTTGGTTGCCCCGCAGCAATGCCCTCTTGCTCAACCTCATAGCCCTGTGCAAGTCTCTCAAGTGCCCGTATTTAGGATCCCTCGGCAAACCTGTCGCCCACATATTTATTTTTAGTCACAAGTATTTACTACCACTACTACTACTAATCGATCAGGCAGATAGATGTGGTGTGGATATAATATGTACATGCTTTTGTGTGTGTGTGTGTACTTACCATACTCATCCAGTGGAGCCTCGTCATAGTAACGGGTGGTGACAAAAGAGGAAGCCGTTCTGCCAAAGTTGGTTCCTCCATGGTACTGAGATATAGACATAGATATAGATGAAAGGGATTATTGTTAGATAGACAGGTAAAAGAAGGAAGGAAGAATAGAGGAGTGATAGTCTTTGTTTTGTTATATGTGTATGTGGGTAGAAATCACCTACCATGTAGTAGTTGGTAAGGGTTCCATTCCTAGAGAAGAAACGAGCAACAGAGTAGGCAATGTCTTCAGCAGACCTCTGAGAAGGAGGGTCACCGAACACTCTGTACTGCGCTGTCCAATTCTCAGTCCACAGGGAAGGCTTGTTAGGCCCTGGCCCTTTGAACGTATCTCCACATTGCCTTCCATTGCAAGTGCTTATCTGATGAAGATAATGAATGATGATGATGATGATGATCCAAACAAACAATAGGTAATTAATTAGATGAATGAATGCATACAATTGAAGGAGGAGCATTGTCCTGCTTGCACATGATCCAGGGCACACCATTGTACAGACTTGTGGCCATTTCTGCAGCCCACACCACGTATTTCTGTCCACCCTCTTCGTAAGCATCTTTCACGTTGTTATACTCGTTCTCGATCTGCCATGCCATGCATCAACCAGAAATCAATTTCTAATTCATTGGACATTACTAATTGTTGTACATGTGTATACATACACCCACACCTACCTGTGCCATTATGATGGGACCTCCTTGATCCGCAAAGAGCTTGGCTTCCTTCACCACGTTAATCATCTTCTCTGTGTATCTTTTCATGTGGAACTGCATCCATGCAAGATCATAAAGGATGATGGTGGTGATGATTCATATATATTTATAATAATAAACCAGCAAATAATTGAATTTAAAAATATTGGTTGGTTACCTACCATGAATGGCTCGTTATAAGTACGGAATGTGATGTTGGGAACGTTTTTCAGCCAGTATGGAAATCCTCTGCTCATCAAATTATATATACGAATATATGTCAAGTTAAAAATATACAGAGTGTGTGATGTGCAGTGCGTGAGTGAGTGATCTGATATAGTGTTGTATTAAGATGGAGGTATGCAGCACCCACCCCAAATTCCATTCGGATTCAATGTATGGACCCAATCTGAGTGTCACCCACATCCCTTGATCGCCAATCATTCTGATGAATTTGACAAAATCCTTATTCCCTGAAAAATCGTACTTCAAAACACACCACAGAGCATCAACAATTAATTAGTTAATCTGATACGCATTGATTGATGAATGAGTGACGACATGATCCAAAGTGGAGATGTATCGATCGATTGAACCAAACAAATGAAATGAAATGATAATATGGTACCTGTCCTTCAGCAGGCTCGTGAAGGTTCCAGAAGATGTAAGTCTGAACGACGTTGAGTCCACCTTCCCTTGCCTTCCTAAGGATGTCGGGCCACATCTAACCAATAAATAAATGAATAATAAGAACAACAATGCAGTTCTGCAGATCAAGAGACTTGAGCGAGAGAGAGAGAGGGACCTACCTCGGGAGTACTTCGGGGATAATGAATGGAGCCAGAGAAAAGCAGCTCTCTGCTTCCGTTAATGATAAGGGAACGCGAGTCGTAAGCAACGACGGGGCCGGCGGGAGCGGGCATGGGATTGGGGATGGGATTAGGGATGGGATCGGCAGCAAAGGCGGTTACAGAAAATATAACAGATAGAAGAATGAGGATGAGGATGCTGTGGCGCTCTCCTCCTCGTGGCACCAACATCATATCAAGTCTCCCCATCGATGATCGATCGATCGATCTCCACCCTGATTGCTACAACACTAACCAGTACACTACTACTGCCCTTGTTCTTCTTCTCCTCGTCTCTGTATAATATTGTATTGAAGGTAGGTGTGTATTTCTTTCTTTCTATCAACCTATCAGCTATCAATCTATCCAGGTATGCAAGTAAGTAGTTACAAATGAGATGAGATCATTCAGATATAATAGATTAGATTAGATGCATGTGTGTGTGTGTGTGTGTGTGGTGTCGAACCGCAAGAGCGAGAGTGAGAATGGTGGCACTAATTTATAGGAGCAGAAATACATAAAATTGAAGCGTGTGGGTGCAGTGGCAGTGGTAGTGGTAGTGGTAATCTACGTACGTACATTTGTCTCATCTCTTGTATTCTATTTTGAGTGAGTGAGTGTGAGTAAGAGTAGGTTGGTTTCATTGTTTTGCATCTCACAGCATTTCAACCATCACTCAACCACCGTATAGCCCGCTCCTCCTCTACCTTGTCTCTTTTCCTTGTCCTCCCATCAAATTATTATTATTATTCTTACTTATATATGCTTACACGTGTGTACATGAGTAAGTGTGTGATGATATTGATATTGATATTGATATTGATGGACTGGATTGGCTCGGGATTGGTGTTAGTGCCGAAACAGATTTTTACCCGGGGCGGATCCCATATTCCCACCCCCTCTTTATCAGTAGTATTAGTTTTCTTTCTTTTATTTATTTATTTATTTTTTAAAAAATATATGACATATGGGATAAAAAAATCATTGAAATAAATAAAATACTGAAAATAATAAATCAAAATTCTTATTATTCAGAATTGAATTCTTAATAAAAATATATTATTTTTTTTTATAAAATATTATTTAAATAAAAATTAAATACAATATATTTTCGTCTCATAAAAAAGATATTAACGTATTAATATTTAAATATTAATTATTATATAGTATAAATCAACAAAAAAATAATAAAAATATCTACATTAATCTTTTATAATACTTATAGAGTAAATTACATAAATATAATATTTTTTTTAATGTTAGGATATAATTTTAAGTAAAAAATTATATTCAAGAAAATATATTATTTGTTATTTAAACAATACAAAAAAAAAAAAAAAAAATATCTGCAATATATAGTTGATTAGATTAAGAAGATGAAGTATGGTCTTCTTGGCCTAATTTATTTTACCACTTCAATTTACTTTAGGATGATTCTTCCCAACTTGTACGTCTTCAATCCAACAAAGCTCAACGAGAAATTGAATAATTGAGAAGGCTGTACTGTAAAAAATCAATAGTTGTTCATGTGGTTCTAATATGCGTTTATTAAATTTTTGGGATGTATGTTTTAAGTTACTTCAATAGGTCGGAATGCCTTTTTATTGATTGTGATATTGTTGTAGGGTATGATTTGCCATAAGGAGAAAACAAGAAATCTATATATGTAATTTTTATTTATTTATTGTTTTTATTAATGCGGGCCCATCTGCAGGTAGCAATAATTTGGGTGGAATCCAGCCCAGCTCAGCTCAGCTCGGCCTACAAGAACACGTTGGTGTCGGCCCAACCCGACCAATTTGCATTTGGCGGGGAAGATTGATTGCCTTGGCCATTAATTTGGGTGCCCGCCCTTGCCCTTGCCCTTTCGCCTGTTGGGGAGCTGAGCTGAGTTGAGTGTGTGTTTGCGCGCCTGAAAGTGGAAAAGAAAGAGAGAGAGAGAACGATCTGTTTGTTATCGGAATGCAGGGGGAGACGGTGGAGGACGAGTTTTTGGTGTGGAAAAAGAATACGCCGTTGCTCTACGACCTCGTGATATGTCACTCCCTCGAATGGCCGTCCCTCACCGTCGAGTGGTTGCCCTCGCCGCCTTCCGCCTATGCAGGAGATCTCGCCGTCCACAAATTGATACTCGGCACCCACACGGCTGATGGTGTCCCCAATTATCTCATGCTCGCCGACGCCTACCTCCCCTCCGACCCTTCCACCGCCCTTGTAGTCGACCCGGAGCAATCTGTCATTCCCAAGGTTAGTAGCGTCGTTCTAATGCGACTATGGTTAAGTACTTGAACTTCTCTATCTACCTATATTTGCCCACTTCAGCTTCTTTTTGCGCGCGCCAACTGTTCGATGGAATTATAAGATGCGTTTTGCTGCATTTCTTTTTGTTGTTAGTCGATTGCTTCTCCTTGCCCTGCCCTACATCTGGAAGGATCATTTGTAGTTGTCTTCATATATAAATTTTCAAATCATTGGTTTGCATATTAATTTGCCTCATTGGTTGTTGGGAATGAACCGATCCACGTCTTTCTAAGTACACATCTTTTGAGTTTATATTTCTACTGTCTCTCTCTTATTACCTCGCTTATCAGAAAGTTCTGAGTGAGCGCTTCCAAATGAAAACAAGTTACGCTAACAACTGACGGCTGTATTGCATATATGCAGGTGGATATAGTTCAGAAGATGAGAGTTGATGGAGAAGTGAATAGAGCTCGGTGCATGTTACAGAACCAAGCTATAATTGCAGCCAAGACCAATGGTATGGACGTATATGTATTTGACTCTACTAAACAGCCAGATGAGAAAGGGAATGCTTGTAAGCCAGACTTGACCTTGAAGGGTCACAACAAAGAAGGATATGGTTTGTCATGGAGTTCTTTTAAAGAAGGCTATCTCTTGAGTGGCTCACATGATTGCAAAATTTGCTTGTGGGATGTTTCTGCAATGCCTCAACAGGAAGTGCTTGAAGCAAAGTGTATTTATGAGGTAATTTATTTTATCCTGTGAAAAAAAAGTCCTATGTATTGTGATGAGTCCAATCGTCTTAGTGGCTTCAGCTAGGTACATTTTCCATGTTAAAGTACCAACAAGGGTTCTGAATTTCTAATGGTGTTGATGTTTCTAGGGTCATGAAAATATTGTTGAGGATGTGGCTTGGCACTCAAAGAACGAACACTTGTTCGGCTCAGTGGGAGATGATTGCAAACTCATTATATGGGACATTCGCACGAACAAGTTACAGCACTCGGTTGTTGCGCATGAAAAGGAGGTGAAGGAATTAGTTGCTGCATTGATTTTTATAAGCATTTCTTCTATGTTATGGATTACTGCAAATAATTGAATATTTCAGTACAGCGCTGAGGGATTTGTCCCCTGGATCATATAAAATCATTTTCTTATAAATGAAAACTACATGGATATGAATAGAAAATAAGGTGTGCAGAACAAAGCTTAGGGGTATCAGAGATTTTATTTTCCATGCCCATGGTGTTGTTTCATCATTCTTCACAATGACTCATTCCTTTTCATGTTCTAGGTGAACTATTTGTCTTTCAATCCGTTTAATGAGTGGATTTTGGCGACTGCCTCCTCTGATACAACTGTTGGCCTGTTTGATATGCGTAATCTAAGTTCTCCGGTGCATGCCCTTGGCAGTCACACGTACATGCTCTCATTTACATTCAACATCTTGAATAATTTCTTGGCGATATATAGTATAGTATTCACCTTGTTGCTTTTGGGCGTGGACAGGGAAGAGGTGTTCCAAGTAGAGTGGGATCCTAACCACGAGACTATATTGGCATCTTGCGCTGATGACAGAAGGTTGATGGTTTGGGACCTCAATAGGTATTTTGCCCAGAAACTTTGTCTGAATAATGCTTGTCACCCCACCCCACAACACCCCATCCCTGGGGTGTTTATAGTACACCCACCAATAAAACGGTTGCTCTTAATTGGTTGTAGTGTGGGGGATGAGCAGCTGGAAGGGGAAGCTGAAGATGGGCCGCCTGAGCTCCTCTTCTCTCATGGTGGCCACAAGGCGAAGATTACAGACTTCTCATGGAACAAGAATGATCCATGGGTCATATCCAGTGTAGCAGTGGACAACACGGTACATGTATGGCGGATGGCAGAGAGCATCTTACCATGATAGAGATGAGATGAGATGAGGGGGTGGGGTGGGGTGGATGACATCTATGAAGCAGCAGCAGGCTCACTTGATTCTTGAATTCAGACTTGTAATGATGCAAGGGGCTGCACCTCATGTCATGCACGCATTTTATTGCCCCTTAGAAACTTTCTCGGTGGTTTGTTAGTTAGTATGCATACCTGAATTCAGAAAATATATTGAAGTCATATTCTGTTGGTGTGAATTTCATTTTCCAAGTGAACAACTATGATTTTTTCAGTCCAGTGAAGCCATCATCATCTTTAGAGCAAAGACAATGGCTCAAGTAAAAATAAATTCACCCCCTTGCACCTTCCCCCATCTCTCCAACTTCACTACGGTCGCAGCACATTCACCTGGCTGCGCTTTGGTGCCTTTCCTCTTGTTCCAAAGAAAGGGGAAGAAGGTTTGAGAACAGGGTTTTTTGTCGATTGAAATGGAGAAGATGATGGCTGGCCAGTGTTGAGGTCCCGCAACAACAAAAGATGCAAGCGGAGATTGTATTCAGTGGTCACCATGCAAATTGAGCTTAGGGTGGGAGAAAATGTGTTTCTCATTAATCTGGTGAGACAGAAAGCGAGAAACCGACAAACTCCACAAAGCCATTACCAAACATAGTTTCTTTTCATTTCAGGGCAGTGCAGCAAGGTGCTATTAGGCTTTGCTTAAGGGGGAGAGAAGACAAATGAACTATCACATGATTTCTCTAATCCTTAAAACCCACTCAGAAACCACATGAAATGAAATAGATTCTCTTAGCTGTCAAGATGTGCATCAAATGGGAACATGCCCTCCGGTAATACAATACCTAACCTTGCCATGGGTCATCCTCAGCAACAAAAAGAAACTTAATATACATAGAATCAACCAACATAATCCGAGCATAACCAACGAGGTTACTACTAGTAAAGAATGGGACTGTAGTCCGCAGTCAAAATACTATTGCTCTCTCCCATCAGGCTATCCTCTTTCTTTCTCAGTTACCCATGGTGGGAGCACCTGCACCTGCTCACAAAACATATTAAACATGGGGTTAGCAAATAAAGCACCACAGCTACGTCAATACTGATAGTCATCCCCGGTCGTATGAATAAAGTTTGTTTAATACGAATCTTAGCAGCAGGCTTATATGGGCATATAATGTAAAAGATCAAATGTGACGTAGCATGCTTATATGTCCATGCAATGTAAAAGGTCAAATGAATGTCCTCAGATTGTAAAGCTACGAGAGAAGAAGCAACAGAAGTTCACCTTTTCTCTTATTGCTGCTGGGAGCATTTGCAGTAGAAGGAATGCTAACATTAGCCAGTCCACAATCCGACAGTTGTTTTGGATCAGAATTTTGATTTCCCAAACATTGAAGGCTGTCAAATCCACAATCTCCAAGGCCTTGACTATTCAGTGCAGTTTCTGATCCTGGGTGAAGGCAGTAAAGCTGATCATTCCGTTGCATGTTACATGGATTCATCACATAAGTTCCAGGAAGGTTATGATTCGCAACACTCTGATAGATATCTCCACTCTTGATTGGCTTCTGGTAAGGGAAGGAACCAATCTCCCCTTCAATTCTTCCCCTAATGTCCACAAGCAGGCACTTCAGTCGAGCAATTTCAGCCTCCAGCAAAGCCTGCCCCTGTAACCTCTTCATTAGCTGCTGATTCATTTCCCTCAATCTCACAACTTCATCCTCCAATGAAGCAGTTCTTGCCTTCTTCTTTTCCCTATATTTGCGCACAGCTTCACGGTTGCCCAAAGGTCTCTTTTTGGATTTCTTCTCCACTGACTCAGCAGTGTCATCACTGGGAGTGGGGGCCTGAGTTTCATTAGGGGAGGGCATAATTTGAGTGTGAACATGAATACAAGTATGGGTGTGGGATTTGTCAGGGCCAGAGGGGTTGCAGGCATGGGCATGGGTACAGGCCTGTGTTCGCCCAAGAACATCGGTATAAGCCTCTGTCCTGCCAAGAGCATCATTGCAGGACTGTGTTCGGCTTAGAAACTCATCTATGTCAAAAGAGCAGCTGCTCTGAGCATTAGTCATATCCAAGCATGACAACATCTGTTCACTTGGGAAATCAAGCTCCCCATCGTCCATTTTAGAAGATATCTATATAACAGCAAATCGATTTTGAATGATATATTAATAATTATTCAGAGTGAAACTTTGAATGACATCCTTTCTCGGTAAGAAATTCCCATTCGTTGCAGCAAAGTCCAAACACGAGAAATTCCTGGCAGGAGGACAAAAGAAGCAAAAAACATCAATCGGCTACAGTACAGACTGGGCTGACGAGATGAAACCTCAACACCGTGATACCACACTGTATTAAAATAAAAATTATTTCTTTTGTAAGCAAAAGGAAATAGAACCTCTAAATCAGAACAACTACGCAAGATATGTAATGCAGCTAACTTCCAAAAGAAAATCATAACTGGAAAAAAATAATACCGCGATGCACTCCAATCACCTAAAATCGATAGATTCAAGAATAGCAACCAAAAAAACAAAAAAAAAAAAGGCCCGCTTACGATCAACTGCTACAATCATGCGTGAAGAAATAAATAACTAAGAAAATTCAGATTGGCTTTAGAAAGAAAGAAACAGAAAGAAATATGAAAAGTAGATCAATAGAAAGCAAGCAATCAAACAATTAAGTGCACGAGGGAGGGAGAGGAGCGATCAAATCTCAAAACCTGGATCTTCCGGGAGAACAATCGGGTTTTCGGGGAAGGTGACGCGGTGTAGAATATATAAGGGAGAAAAGTAGCCAGCCCTAAGGAAAAGGAGAAAAGGGGATGCGGGTGGCGATAGATATAATGACTGTGGGGGCAAGGGCAAGGGAGAGGAACATCAATGGATAGCAATTGAAGATTGATGCAGCAGTGCAGGAAGAAGATTCCGATTTCAATTCCGATTTCGCCTTGGAGTATTCTTCATTCCCAAACACCCATCCGCTTCCACTCCAACATCTGTGAATCTGATGGCATCACACGCGCGCGCACTCGCCTCCAAACTCGACTTTTATTTTCTATTTTTATTTCTACTTTTTGGATAATTATTACTTTCTTAATTATTAGTATATCGGATTCAGACTTTCCCTTCATTCTAAATCTGCTCATAATTAGCAGCCAAAAAATACTCCCTCCCCTTTCAAACGAGTTATTTGAAATTTTATCGAAAATTTAAAAATAATAATAGTGAATATACATAAAAAAAAAAAAAAAAATTAATATTTTTGCTCTTTTTAACTATATAATTTTATGTATAAAATAATTATATATATAATAATAATTTTTTTTTATAATTTAGGTAAATGTTACAAGTATTTTGTTATCCGAAAATAAAAAATAATACTACCTAATATCCTTACAACTTGTAAAATATTATAATGATATTACCTTAGTTATTTTTACTTTATTTTTACTATATTTCGAGAGTAATAATTTTTTGAATTAAAACGGATGAAATATTATTGCTTTATTATTATTTTACAAACAAAATTCAACAAATAAAATCAAAACAAAACAAATAAATGTCTGTGAGGGAGAATCCTGATGGTATAAGAATGAACTTGTGACAGACTAGTGTCACTTGTTTTGTCGGCCAAATTTGCAAAATTAATGTACCAACACTACATATATTAATTTTACTATCTCCAAACATCAGACTAAAAAGTAAATTTTCATATATCTATATGAATTTATTAAATTTATAAATTATTCCTTAATTAATTAATAATTATATATATAATTAGCATTAAACATATGCTTTCTCCTGTATCCAATTGTACATTTAAATATCTCAATAGAAATTTTAATAAAAATGAATAATAATTATTATATTTTTTCAATGAAAAAGAATGCCAAAAATAATGTATTATTTTTATTTTTATTTTTTTGCACAAATACATGTAAATATAGATTTGCTTGGTTTTTGTTGAATTTTTTTATTTAAATAATATTTTTATTTATTTATTTTGAAATAATAATATACTTTTATTTGCAAACCAATTTTTTATTGAAGCACAAATATTAGCCAAGCCCATATACATACATAGAATAAGAATATTGAAGCAATGGGTGCAGTGCAGGGCAGGCACGTGCATGCATTGCATCTCAATGAGGTGTAGTATAACTAAATTAATAACCAGCCCGCAAGAACTGGCTGGCCTGCTCCCATTCAAATTGTCTCATTGCATTGCTGCTATAAATATAATACTATTACTCATCCATCAGATCAGTGGTACTGGTAGCCATAACACTCCCTTTAATTTTGTCGTAACTAACTAATGTTATCTACCTGAAAGGCTGCAGTGTACAGCTTCAGCCAGCAACAAGAAGAAAGAGGATGACTGTTGTGTTGACTACTCCAGCACTTCAGTCCAGTCCAGTCCAGTCCAGAAATCTAACTCCAAGCAGCTCATTCATGTTCATATTCATATCCTTACAATAGATGATAATCTCCAGGATGAGGATGAGGATGGACTGGACTGCACAAACTAGCAAGTATCACCGGCTCTTCTCCTCTTCAACTACTCCTCCCAACTGAAAATGGGCTGCTGCTGCTGCTTTGATCAAGGCTTCCAGATGATGCAGGCAGACTCAGTCGTCCTCAACATCAACCAAGGCAACACTTATATGTGATTCTGCTGCTGTTGCACACGATTCTGGATACACTTCATCATCATCAATCTCCTCTCCCTCCTTATCTTCATCAATTCCACCCCCTTTCCATGACCCTCCACCCACGCTGCTGCTGCTGCTTTCATTTCCATTCAAGAGGCCTAGGAGGATCTTTAGTATCTGAAGATAACAAAATCATTAATTTTACTGCTGGTTCTGGTAGAGGAAGGAAGGAAGGTGGAGAAGATTCTCTCTCAAATTCACATTCACATTCGCTAGTACCACAAGTAAAACATCGTCATCACCTCACCTGGGATATGTTGGGACGAAGCCGGGCTGCTTGAGTTAGGCAGAGTGCTGCTGCTTGTGCCATTCTGTGCATTTGATCCTCATCAATCTTTCCATCTAAACACGGATCCAGCATGCTCTTGTAATCCCTCTTTTCTAGTCTGGGTTTGGCCTGAACGTATACACAATCACTCACGCACTCCGATTCTCAAGTTCTTACAAGAAAATTCTAAATCCCAAATTGTTCTTTCTTACTTACCCACATGACTAAGCTTTCTTGGAAACCCCTCTTTGTAGTCTCCAATCCAATACCAATACCGATAGGCTTCCTCCCTGATATCAGTTCTAGCAGAACTACACCAAAAGCATATACATCAATCTTATCACTCACTTTGCCATACATAAAATACTCGGGAGCAAGATACCCAAATGTTCCAACAACATCACTCTCTGTTATAAACGGCACTGATGTAGTTGTAGGTCCCCATATTGCCAGCCCAAAGTCACATAACTATGACGATGACGAAGTGAAAAATTACTCACCACCAACCAATACAATAAAGGAATGTATCTTGAAGAATTAATAACTATATGCTATACCAGATGGATGGATTACCAGTGGCTCCAACTCTTCAGTGAGAAGAATATTGGATGACTTTACATCTCGATGAATTATTGGCCGCAGACATTCATTGTGTATGTAATTTAGTGCTTCAGCAACTCCAACTGCAATTCGAAATCTTGCTTCCCATGATAAGGGCGTGGCTTCCTTTTTGTTACCTGCTTCAACAATCAGCTCAACTTCAAGCATCAATTACTCATGAGTTACAGAGAAATGGCCCGTTTTCATAAAGAGTGCCGTACCATGTATATTCTCTTCCAAACTGCCCTTTGACATGAAATCGTACATAGAGATTAGATAATTATATTCCATGCAAATTCCAATGAAAGGAACAATCCGTTTGTGTTGCTTCAGTGTGGTTATTATGTCAACCTCCCGGATGAAATCCATCAAGGCTTCTTTTGATGATCCCAAAACCTTCACTGCCACTGGTTTTCCATCTGGGAGAATTCCCTTGTATACTGAAGTGCATCCCCCCTTTCCAATAAGATTTCCTGTGACATCTAAACATGTCAAAATGAGCAATGTCCTTTATAAGGCAAAGTAAATTAAGAGGTAGAAGAAGCTTTCTAGTAGTAAAGTTGCCTTGCGATAAAAGACCTGAGGAGAACTCAGAAGTGATTATCTTCAGAAAATCATGGCTGAACACTTTGCATTGTACTGAATGTTTTGTGAGTATGATTTCCAGATCCTTGGGCATCTCTAGCTGGCTCACATGATTCTCGGATGTTCTCTTCTCGGATATGTGCTGCTGACATTCTCCTTCCGAGGAATACTCAGCCCTGTATTTGGAAGAAATCTCTGACAAAGATCGCCGTGGTAAGGTCATGACCCATTGCACTACTGATAATTTTTTGGCTTCCAGTACTGGTTGAGTTACTGTAATAGTAGCCTGAAGTAAAGGCCAACCCGGTCGCTGTTTTACGAAATTCTCAGCAGGAAGTGAGATTGAACTCAGAGACCCTCTCTTGTGTCTCTTGACAGGGCTCATAATAACATCATCATCTTTTGAAGCCATGTCTCTATCAAAACTAAATCTGCTAACTTCTGATTCTCCAAACTCAGAATTGGTGCAACTGTCTTTGAATGTGAGATTACTTTTCACATAGAAACTTGGCTTTGGATCCAATACAGGACCTGCCATCATCAATTTTATGTTCAGCTATCTACAATAGCATGAACAGTTTTTCTGACAAGAAGAGAAAAACACCAACCTTCTGATGTGATTTTGAAACAGCTGCTGAAAATAACCTTGCCGTTATAAATTGCCATAACTTCAGTTGTTGGAGGCAGCCTCTTTGCACAATACTTGGCAATTGAAGCCAATCCCCTGAAATTGATAGCTATGCAGATCAAATTTAATTAAACAAATAAATAAAATTGACATAGAAATTACTCAAGACTGCTGTTCTATGCTATGCACACGGCTCACCCCAAGGCTCTATGCTTATTTACCCCCACAACAACAGCTGCTGCACAATGGTTCTTTGCCTCTCTTACCATAACTTTTCTGAGTGAAATTCCTTTCAAGACTTCAGCTCTGAGAGCAATCTGAACAACCCCCACCCCAGGCAAACACCCAAGCATGAAATAGATAACAATTACATTTACCCTTCATCATATGTATAAAACAAGGAATTGCATAACATTAGTCCGTAGCAGAGAGTGGACGCTAACCTGCTTCTTGTTGCATATGCCTTCATACTCTTCCAAGTAACCATCCAACCAAGGTTTCTCTTTTGAAATACAAACTGCAGATGAGGATTTATAAGTCACAACACACATATTATTAAAACAACACAACCGATTTATTGTTAGATTCAAAATTTGGATGAACTGATAGAAGATTAGCAGAAACAAGCAACCACACCAAGCTTCAGTACCGGAATTTCGTGAAAGGCAAATAGCAACCACGGTATCTCCCGCATCAGCTACTTTCACCATTGCCCAATCCAACAACTCACCGGCATGGGCATCCAATCTTACACCCACCACCACATTCTTCCTTTCCAGGCTTAATCTCTCAGCAACCATTGTTCTTTCTTCCCCACTCGATTACTTAATCGAAGAAGACAGCTAGAACATGCACGGCGCTCTTTCGTCACACAATCTAAAAATCTTGATGGGTTTTTCAGATGAAATCAAAATGAACGCCAGAAACATGGACTATTCAAATTGAATCCCCCCTTGGAATGAATGAATGCATCATAATCCGATTTTTAATGGAAGTAGGGATTCGCGATTCCTGAACTGCAACCTGCCCTTCATTAAACTAATGTGAATTCTTGAAAACCAATCAGAAAATCCAAATCTCCAGTTCAAAAGCATCCTCATATATAAAATTCCTGCAACCACAAAATGATCCGCACATTAAAGAAACACACACACAAATATATATATATATATATATATCTACACGTTGAATTCCAGAAAAATGTAAGTAGGTCCTGACAACATGCCCCTACCTAAAGCTTTTGAATATTTGCAGTTATTCAAAGCCATTGGCATCAACCATTTAAAACGAATAAAACGCCGTCAAAGATGATCGTAGGCGGACCTACTTTTAACCAACAATCAATTTAAAATATCGGAAGTGGGGAATGCTAATTTGCCAATAGATGGTAAGAGAGAGGGAGAGAGAGAGAGAGAGAGGCGATCCCGGTACCGAATTTCACAGTATTATATCATTATTAGCATTATTCTATGGTTTAAGAGCAAGAATATTTTGCTGGAGGCCATGGACATTGGATGGGAGGTGGAGCGACAAAAGGGCCTTGCAGGTAACAGGCAGCTCCTGCTGTTCCATTGCCTCCGTTCATAGTTGTTGTTTAACGTCACTCGCACTTACGCTTACGTCATCGTATGCTGTGTCACGTCGGTCCTCAGTTGAGTCCGTTATCATAAATGACAGATAACTGCGGTCAATTTGGCCTGGGCTAATTCAAGGCTGGGCCCACATCCTATCTATTAAATAGCAACCAAAAGCCCATTGCACAAAGTCAATAAAAATATAAACATTTTTTAAGTGAAATGTCTCGAGGCCATTTGCCAGAGCCCGTTTCGTTTCTCCCCATTATTTAAATCAAAACCTATCTAACTAAATTTATAAATAACATTTAATATTATATTGTTTTTAATATTTAATTTATAATAATTTATTATAATTATAAATATAAAAATAATTATATACATCAATAAATGTTTTATAAAAGATGGACTGTGATTGTGAAGTTACAAGTTCAAATTTCAATGTAATTTACCTTATTAGATCATCCGATGAGTAGCAATTGCACGTTTCAGATTATAAAAATAAATAAATAAAAAATACACCCTCCAACACGGTATTGCACCTAGTTGGGTTGCGATGTGCGTTGGAGTGTTAACAATTGGGTTCGTGTATTCACTCTTGGGCCATTTGGGCCCGGCAGGTTATATTAGGCTTGGCTCACATCCTTTACTTGTGGGCTCAGTCCAATCTATCTATTTCTCTTGCACACACTAACACAAGACAAGACCGATCCATTCCAGGGAATAAAAAAGTCAAAACCAAACCTAAAAATACATGCACTTTATGCATTGACATGGAAAAACAGGAAGAAAGTCGAAGCCAGGTTTAGCTTGGTTTGACTTGGTACGCGATTCATTCCCAAGTTTGTTTGTTCCATTGCCATTAGATTCTGGACACAAACAGATCGCCTCCCTCCAACTCCAAATTCCAATCTCTCTCTCTCTCTTTCTCTCAAAATATTCTGATATTTGTTGTACTGTGCATGTAGAGACATAAAAATATCTGTCAGCTGTATACTCAAATTTGTTTGTTTGTTTTACATACATACTGTCAGCTAAACGGTACCTAACACACTCAGAAAAAGTGCCTCCACACCAATCCAATCCCCCATAGTTTTCGAAACAACACAACACGCTTCTTTACCTGAACTGAATTGGGTTGACCCTTCATCACCATCATCTACCTTCCTCCCCTCTCCTAAACAGTATAAATACACACAAACATGCGTACTGCTAGTAGTACTACATCTACTAGTTTGGCACACACACAAATAGTACATACATAACATGATGGAACAGCACTACTACCATTATGTCACTGGTGGCATCGCTACGCTGCTTCTTGCCTTAATCCTCTCTTTATTTTTATTGTATAGATTGCTGCAAAAGAGCCGATCCCGCAGCACAAGTAGCCTGATAAAGAAGAAGAAGAAGGAGGAGGAGGAGTCAGCCATAACTGGCAAAAGCCCTGCTCCTCCTGCTGATGGGCCACCGGATGTGGTCGTTGTCGGCGCTGGTGTGGCTGGTTCCGCCCTCGCCTACTCTTTGGCCAAGGTCTGTCTGTCTCTCTGTCTTGCTTGCTTGCTATCTATCTATCTATCCATCGATCTATCTATTTATTCATTCACAGGATGGGCGCATCGTTCAAGTGATTGAGAGGGATTTAAGCCAGCCCGACAGGATTGTTGGCGAGCTGCTGCAGCCGGGAGGCTACCTCAAACTGGTTGAGTTGGGAATGGAAGGTACAAAGTATAATGCATTTCCTGTTATGAACTGGGGCAGGGACCATTTAAATTACTACTACTTTGTTGCAGAGTGCGTTGAGGAGATTGATTCGCAGAAAGTATACGGATACACACTCTACAAACGCGGAAAATATGCAATACTGACCTACCCATTGCAAGAATTCAGCTCTGATGTTTCGGGCAGAAGCTTTCACCATGGCCGTTTCATCCAAAGGTTGCGCCAGAAGGCCGCATCCCATCCCAAGTATGACAACATTAATACGCATACATATATTAGTATTCGGTCGCCTTGGCTGAATCTGATCCATCAGCTTCTGCCTGAATTCTCCTTCTCCCTCTAGTGTTAGAATGGAACAAGGAACTGTGACATCTTTGATTGAGGAAAAAGGCACAGTTAAAGGAGTGAGGTACAAGAACATGGACGGAAAGGACATCAAGACATTTGCTCCTCTCACTATTGTCTGCGACGGATGCTTCTCCAACTTGAGAAAAACACTCTGCATACCACAGGTAAGAAAACAACTAATAACTACCCAAAGATCAATAACTCATATCCATATGAACAAACTCATAATTGGGCAGGTGAACATTGTGTCTCACTTTGTGGGTATGGTCCTAAACCTGGAGAACGGAAAGCTTCCGCACCCAAATCACGGCCATGTAATCCTGGCCAATCCCTCCCCTGTTCTGTTCTACCCTGTGAGCAGCACAGAGGTTCGATGTTTGGTCGATATCCCCGGACCCAAGATGCCTTCCATTGCTAACGGCGACATGGCCAAATACCTCGTATCAAACGTCGCTCCTCAGGTATAAATAACTAAATTATACTCCCCATAAGATTATATATCAATAATCTAATCTCATCTAATCAGCTACCGATGGAGCTGCGCGACGCCTTCATCAGCCAGATTGAAAGCGGCGACATAAGATCGATGCCAAACAGGAGTATGCCAGCATCTCCTCTTCCAACCCCAGGTGCAGTGCTGCTGGGAGATGCATTCAACATGCGCCATCCGTTGACAGGGGGAGGGATGACCGTAGCTTTAGCAGACGTGGTCGTGCTGCGCGACCTGCTCCGACCTATGGACGATTTCTCCGATGCAGTTGCCCTCACCGCCCACCTCGAGTCGTTCTACAGTCTGCGCAAGCCGGTGGCTTCCACCATCAACACTCTGGCGGGGGCGCTGTACAAGGTGTTCTGTCCGGCGCCGGATCAAGCTAGCAGGGAGATGAGAGAGGCCTGTTTCGATTACCTGAGCCTTGGAGGGAAGTACTCGGAAGGCCCCATTGCACTTTTGTCGGGATTGAATCCGAGGCCTATGAGCCTGATTGCACACTTCTTTGCTGTGGCTGTGTACGGGGTGGGCCGGCTGCTGCTACCGTTTCCATCTCCGGAGCGGCTCATGCTCGGAATCAGGCTGCTTTCCAGTGCACATGGAATCATCTTTCCCATAGTGAAGTCTGAAGGTGTGAGGCAGATGTTCTTCCCCATCACAATTCCAGCTTACAACAGAGGAGCCTCACTTGTAATGAAGAGTGCAATGTTTGATATGATGGCATAACATAACTATACTGCACACTGTTATTTGTTAATTAGTTGGAAAGGAGAGATCCATTTGGAAGAATGAAAGCAGATTAAGAACAAACCAGAATGATTGAACAATGGAACACAAGGAAGGATGTTTTGTTCATCTTCAACCAATTAAGACACTACACGCAAATGTGATGATGAAGACATCATATCATAGAATCATATCAAAAAGCAAACGAAATCATATTCAGAAAGAGAGACAAAAAACATAAATAGAGAGCATAACATAACCTAATCTAATCTAACCTAACCAAAGCAAACAGCATGAACAAGGTATGTTATGATATGCATGATGATTGATGTAACTAACCGAGAATTCATTCATCTGAGATTGAAGATCACATGAGCACGCACGCGGCAGGATTCTCATCGCTGAAAGCAGTTGTGTAGCGGACTTCGGTGGAGGTGGCCCTAGAAAGCTGCGAAAAGCCCTCGGAAGTGTTGCTGCTGCGGCGGACGTATCCCGCGGGGGCTTTTTTGTCGTAGACACCAGGTGCATAAGGGTGCTCCACCACGTCGTACGGGACATATGGCCACAGCTCAGCCTTCTTTCCAGTGCGGTGCGCCACACGCGCCACCACCTTCTCCGCCTCCACATACCCAACCACCGTCAGCTTGTTTTGCTTAGGCGACACCTCCACCGAGCTCACCCCTTTCATTCCCTCCACAGATCTCCGCACCTTCCTCTCGCATCCTTCACAGTCTATTTTTATCTTTATCTCCACAGTCTGTCCATCAATTAATTATATACTTATCAATTCTTCTTCCAATCGTCTCATCTCATCTCATATCAATATCATATCACTCAATCACGACCGACATTATTAACACACTACAGAATTAAATAAAAGCATGACCACCCTGCCCTATAAACAGTTGTGAAAGAAAGGCTCCTAATTATATACTGTAAAGTGATTTCCTTCTTTTTCACTGTTAGCTAATTACTAATAGCTAGGTAAAAGAGAAAGGTTGCCGATGCCGAATGCTAAGCAAATAATAATAATAAATGCTAAACACAATCAGTGGAAGAGAAGAAAACAAAAGATAGATAGCCCGCCGCCTGCGGTGAGTTGTCACTGTCAGTAAGATCATCGATCGAGTCACAGGTGTGACCACGGGAGATAGATCTGGTCTGAACTCAGATCTTCTGCAAGGTAGTATTGCAATATGTTCGTTCGTTACAGGTAACGAATTGCAGCAGAACAGAAGAAGAGTGAGATCAACAGGCAGCGAAAGTATCCTCCCAGTCCACTTGCAAGATTAAAATTAATTTACAACATTTGAGTGTGTTGGGGAAGGGGCACAGAAAGACAGACAGACAAAAACCGACCTGGAGTTGCTTGCGTTTCTTGGGCTTGGAATGGCCACTTGAGCAGTCGAACATGTCTGAGATGTGATCCAAAACCCCCATTGTGAGTGAGTGAGTGAGCAAGTAACAACAACAGTACACTCTTGTTCAGCGCTCTGCGCAACCAGTTGTGTACTGTGCTGGCAAAGCCTCTCTCTCTCTCTCTCTCTCTCTCTCTCTCTCTCCCCACTGTCTGTGTATATCTACCGATATGAATAATAAATGTAAGTAGTGGTAATGAATAATAATGATTGGAAGTTGCAAATTATTAGGTGAGGTGGGTGGGAGGGGGTGGGGTGAGAGCAAGCAAGTGAAAGATGTGTGGGATATACTTATATTGTAATGTAGTATATTAAAATAATATTGTAACACGAAAATCACAATCACCTTCATCCTCATTCGCACGTTGCAATCATTTCAAAATTGATTTTCTAACATATTTTGGCAGTCCACACTAACAACATCACATCACATCACATCAAACTTGAGAAAATATAAAAGTATTCATGGATATGGATGATGAAATTTGAAGCATTCCAAGTGGACTAGGATTCAATTGAGAACATCATCTGGCCCGTTATCAAGCAAGCTATCAATAAAACTAAGCAGACTATTATTATTAGCCTGAAAACTAAAAGGAAAAGAACACAATAACCAATCCAGCAAATATTATCCTGAATTTATATTCACAATAGACACGTGGGAAAAACAGAATCTTTATCGATTTGATTCAGTGACATAATCAATACATTTATGATGTATTAGAGATTTCTTCCGTCTCGTACCCACCCTTTTTCCTGTAGGAAATAAGAATATAATAGACACATAGATAGATACTCCATATGAGAAAGCCAGCGAAGAAGAAGATTACTGAGAATTGAAATTCCTGAACCAAGCTGAGGTGAGGAGCCGAGCCTCCATCTGCTGAGAACATGGAGCAAAGAACAGATTCTCCAACAAGAAGCCATATGAATTCTCATCATCTGCAGATAAGATATTGACTAGTTAACTATTATTATTATTATCATCATCATTGTATGGTATTTGAAGAAAACTTCACTACTAGCTGTTGCTACCTTGTTTGAATGTGCTGTAAAGTAAAATACAAGAAGCATCCCATATACAAGTGAAAGAAAATAAGGTTCTGTACTGCAATTCTCAACCAAAGATCCATATTTTGATTCATAAGATATGATGAGTGATGAAGCATCCCACATGCTATTTTATGACTTCTGGGACTTAGCAGTGAGCCAGGAGGGGATCTGCAGTTTAATCCCAATTAAAAGCACAATTCATAAGGATTATGCAGATCCAGTCCATCTCCTCCCCTCCTCCTCCGCCACATCAGAGCTCAACTACAGAAGCTTACAATTACAAATGCAGAGGGTTGCATTCCAGATAACACCTTTCCAGCCAAGAAGCGAAATTCCTCTCCGGATAGGATAGTCCTCATGATTGCTGCTACGATTGGATCAGATGCTTGAATTCCTGGCAGTCAGCTCCAACTTCATTTAGAGCAGAGAATAGTTTAGGTATAATTTTGCCCAGCATGAGCTTGAAACCAACTGAATTCATGTCTCCACTAGCATTAGTGGTGGTAATAGAAGCATCCTTTGTAAGGGAGCCAATTAAGTGTCCTTTCATATATGCATCACACGCCTTGAGAATATAGTAGCCACGGTTTCTGAAATGCTTGACGACAAGCTCTTCAAAGTGCTGAAACACAATTAGAATATTACATATATGGCAAGGAAATGAGGTGGGAAAAAGATAGTAGTTAAGAGAAAAAAATGAGAGAAATGCAAGGAAGATAACTTCGCTAGAAAAAATATGCAGAGCAGAAACATAATATATTTTGATTTCATTACCTTTGGACGCCTCCGCATCAGATACATCATCATCTTACAGTTCAATAAAAATGCATTCTCATTGTAGGCCAAAGAATTTTTCTCTCCTTCTGCCGTCCCAATTTGTTTATCATACCCAGCTTCATTAAAGTATGGCTTGGAATTTAACACTAGACCCTGGAGTGAAACCAACACCTGAAGAATGCTCGAGGTTGAAGGATCCCACACCTCATTCCCTTTACCTGTCCAGGTATTCAGGAGACTCAGACAAACTCTTCCTTCCTCATATAAATTAGGATTTATTCGCCACCCCCTAGAATGATAGTATGCTGACTGCAAATATGGAAAATGTCAGTTTGAATGTTTCATCACAAAATGATCATAAGTGATTGGTTATAGGAGATTTGAGAAAGGAGAAAATATAGAACATTAATAGGCCTGAAGAAACAGACAAACAGTGAAAGAGAAGGGAGGAAATGAAAGAATTAAAAGAACATAGTTTTACTGGGGGAACATCTGGATATTCAGTTGGAAGTAGAAAGTCAAAGAAGAAAAGCCCATCCTGGTAAGGTGTTCCATAAGCTCCAACAATAACAGCTCTCAAGAGATCCATTCTATCTTCATAGACACGCACATATATCCCCTCTGTTCACAATTATTTTGTTGTAAGAGCTCATATTCTGATAGCATGATATCAAGAATCAAATAATTAAGATGCCAGAGAGAACTTACCAGGCAGATTATTTTGCAGAATATCCCAATCTTGTTGAACTTTCTTAAGCCACTTTCGGGAAGTGTTGTTCTGTAAATTAGCTAGGGGTCTCAGTTCATTACACACATCCCACAAAGAGATAAAGAATCATGACTATTAGTAGCTCAATGTACAAAAATAAGTATATAAAATGGGGAAGCAGTAGAACAGAAACCAATAACATCTATCATTCTTTACTGTCTTTTTTTATTGGCTAGAGTCACAGAAGTCAAGGATCAATAGAAACTGATGAGAACAACTTACACATCCCGGTGTGCCAAGAAAGTTGTGGTCAGAAGGTTCTTGGACAATATCAAAGCCTTTAAATGTTGAATTGAACTCATTGCATTGAGAACCATCAGATTCTGAAGGCCCTAGGTCACTGCTAGTTTCAGCACTTCCTAACATATCAGTGGCTGCAGTAACATTACATTCCTCTTGTCCAGACTCAGTTGTTGGCTTAGAAATTTCATGCCCAGCAGTCGATTTTTCAGAGCAGGACACAGTCGCATAATCTGTGGTGATGACTTCATCAGCCTGAGGACTCTCTTCACTCCTAGTGGCTATATCTGATGAATCGGATTGCTTTTGTCCCATGGAAAAAATTCCAGAGGCCAGTCTGGTCATAAAACCAATTGCACGAAGGGGGACCGAAAGAGCTCCATTATCTCCACTAATATCTCCAGCCATGTTAGCACCTTCAATCTCAGGCCTCTTGTCAGTATCATCAACTGCCTCGTGGCCCTACATTCAAAATATGCATATGATGTATGAAATAAAAAAAATATTACTTTTAGAGATAGATTACAAAATACAAAGAGGCTATATGTTTTAACATTAAGCAGTCTGTTGTGTTCAATAGTCTTGAAGGTGCATGATATTGCAGTTTTTATATGAACAGTTGATTATAACACTAAATTTCATATTGTCACAAATTACAAACCATCAATGCTGCAATTTCAGCACTAAATGACTGGTCATTTAGTTCCGTAATTTACAAAGTAAAATGTGAATTCTCTCAGTCTCTTCCAGCCATGTATTATGTATTGGAAATGGCTGTTGAAAGTAGCCCATGGTTAATGGATGGTTCCCCCTAAGGTGCAAGATGGTTAAAGGTCAACGAAGCAATGAACAGTATCTCTCCAAGTCTGCTCTAAAGGCATGTTCAGACATGAGCCATGTGCCAAGCCATGAAAGAAGGCAAAATACATAAACATCAAGCCATCGAAGCAAAAACATAAGCTATAGTGAAGCTCTATTCTACACACAGCTCTGGTTGTGAAGAGTGAAAAAATAGTAAAATGTCATTGTCCTGATGTTGAACTTTCCACATGCAGCAAGCACTTCAGAGAGCCTCTGGAACATGTTTAGATACAATGTGAAAGAAAGAAAAAAAAAAAAAAAAAAAAAAAAAAAGAAGAAGAAAGGAAGAAAAGACGGTTAATATATGTCATGAATGGAATGGAATGGCTAGAACAAGTATGTACCTCATTCGCATTATCGACAGTTTCTACATTGTCATCTTCAACAGTTTCCCAGCTAGCTGTATCATCACTGCCATAACTTCCAGTTGCAATTGTCTCATCATCATCGCGACCACCAACAACATATATAGCTTGAGGGCCTACCTGATTTAACAACAGAGATTTTCAAGCAAAATAAAATTACACATTAGGAAAGGATTAACATAGAAACTCTTGTCCAGGAAAGTGGGAAGCATGAGAACAACAGAAATTCCTGTTATTTAGCCAGTTTTAATGGGCAACTATGTAACAAAAAGTGGAAGAGTGAGATAACAGAATCACATCAGACTTACACAACATAGCCTATTTTACCAGAGAAACAAAAAGGGGACTTTTGCATTCCTCAACAATTTGGAAAGCCGAGATAAGAGTTATCAGATACCAACACTGCTCAAAAACAAAAGAATATTGACAAGCTCGCAGTTGAGAAAAAATAAAAAAATAGAAAAAGATCAATACTATACTTTCAAATGAATCATGTAATCATATAATTCATGGTGCATAGAGAGAAATTACCGTGGATATCATCCCGTCAGCCCATGTCACTTCTATGCCACCATCTTTCAGTCCAGTGATGTGCCCAACCCAGGACATATCTGAAAATTCAGTAAATGTTTCGCTTGCAGATGCATTCTCTGTAATCTTAGTCTCATGATCTTGTGTCCTGTCATGCTTGGACTCAACCGGACTGTCAAGCTGCCTATCTTTAATAGAGTGAACACAATAATCCATTTTTGTTGGTAAGGAAACTGGTGAAAGACGAACAACTACATCTCCATAACAATAATCATAGTCAGGATGCCCTTCCAGCTCATATACACTAACAACTTCCTCATTATCGAATTCTCTTGCATCTTCTGCCTTTGGATTGGGCTTCAACCACTGGACACAAGCTGTCTTTTCCTTTGCATTAACACTTTTTACAACCCCAATTCGTCTGGTACCAGCACCATCATCGCTGTCATCAGCAGCCTTCTCAACAACATACTGTTCTGCAACAAATTCATGGTCGCCAGGTGTATCAATGGGAATTAAGGATGTGGATTCCAGACCTCGATTTATAGTTCCATCCTGCCATGCAACATCTACTTTTGTCTTTGTATTGATAATTAGGAGTGCCTTTTCAAAATTCTCTAGTTTCTTTCGAGATTTCTTGTCCTTTCTAACTACAACTTTACGGATCTTTTTACGATGAAGAGGCCACATTTCTTGTCCTGATCCCTTTGAGTCTGATGCTAAAATTTTGCCTAAACTAGACTCTACAGCAATTTCACATTGTGAGGTTTCACAATTTTTTGTCAAGGATGTCTCTGAACCACTATGGATCGTTTTTCTAAGTCCAATTGATTCCTCTATAGGGGTGAATTCAACATCAGATTCATCAGCTGCTGTTTTGGTAGATTCAGGTTCATTCTTAGTACAGTATTGAAATTCCAACTTGGATGATCCCCTGTTGGAGGGAATGATTGAGGGGCAAATTGATGGTGGAATGAGGCACCAATCACCTAAGTTCCAATTTGTATGAGCAAAACAAGATAGCAACCTTAAATTCTTAGGACTCTGCTCTTCAGCTGGAGTTGTAGCAGAGTCAGGTCCATATCCAGCAGAAGCTATCCAATAAATGAACAATGATCCCACTGTAACTTTAGTAACTGTACCTTCCAACCGGTTAGCTTTCCATAATCCAGATAGCCACCTAGAATTCTTGAAAACTGATGATGAGCTTGCCTTCACACATTGTCCTGGATAGTATGGAAAATTTCCATCTTCAAGGATGTTTCTTCCAACAGGTTTGAGACGTAGTGGATCTGCTTGGAAAACTTTGCAGGCCGAACCATCATCAAAAAGAACATTGACATTATCACAAATATCTTCTATTCTACCCAACCATGGCCCAAGGACAACATGATCTCCTATTGTGAAATCCCTAATTCTTTTCAAGTCTCTAGTTGATACATCTTCCAAAACAGATCCGTCATGCATTAACAGATCAACTAAAATGTTAACATCGACAACAATACCTATTTGGCCCATTGGATCAGAAGCAGAAGCAACACAATCTCCATGTAATAATCCTCTATCAACAATGGTCACATCCTTGGTGTTTTCTGTTGTAACCGATTCATCCATCCAAAGAACTCTAACTTGGTCAGCAGCAATGCGGAAGTTCTTAGAATCATTTCCGTCAATACTCTCAGAAGCAATTTTATCAGTGGTTCCTTCATCTTCCACATCATCTTCTTTAGAATCAAGCTGATCATTTTTGTCATTCTTGTCTCCACCTTCATCTTCATCATCGGTAATGCTGCTATTAGAATCTGAATCACCAGCAACTTGAGTCACAATTCCAATCTTAGAGTTGGTATTGCTTCTCACAATATCTTCTCTATAAACATATAAAACATTTGGTAATTTCCTTGATGTCTCGCCTGCTGCTTTAGTTTCATGACTCAATTTCAGATCAGTAGTGGTTCCATCTGATGATGAGTCACCTTGTTTTAAGATGCCATTTCTATTGGCTGTTACAGGTTCATTAACATCAGAATGGTCCTCAGATTCCATCTGGTACACACATAAGAAGGCATTTAGACATCACAAGCAATGTAAGCACTTCAAATTAGACTGTTTGACCATCATAGACAAACAAATGCACACAGCATATCAGAACCAAAAACATAGATATATCAAAAATCACAACACTGACAGCTATATAGAATCAAGTAAGTGTTCATAACCATCAGCAGCATAAAGCTCTACATGCATACATCAGCAGCATGGAATATGGTTGGTAAACCAAATCCCACACGTCTTCATTTCATGTCCTATTGAACGTTAGTCCAACGTCATCTGCCATGAGTCAGTTCAATCTAGTTTTCAAAATAGGAAATGCTGATGCTCCTCACCAAAAAAACAAGTGAGCCAACGTAGAGATCAAGAAGATATTTGTTATACCAATATGCCCTTTTATATCACATCCCAACCCACTATTTCTATCAGATTTCACCACATAAATCACATTATTAGAGCTAACTCAACATTTAACGATCACGGGAAGCATAACATGTAGTTTTAAATGATATGCATATGTACATATATAATTAAAAACCTGGGAAGACAAGTTACAGATGTATAAATTCCGATACCAGGTCCATTCAGATGCGCGAATACAACATTAGATGAATTGGTTGTCTGTGCCGAGAAATTCAGAATCGAATAGATATCGAGGGATACCAGAATTTCATTTCAACGATCAAGTGAATCACGATGACGAAAAGATTAGTGATGAATAGGGTGTAAAATGAGCAGGCGACAAAGAAACGACAGAGTAGTCAGAAATATTATGGAAAGGGTTGCTGGTGGTGCAAACAATGGAGGAGGAGAAGGAGAATTTGAGATAGAAATAGAAATAAAAAAGAAGGGAGGGAATGGAATGCAATGGGGAATGGTCGGTCGGTCGGTCCCAGCTCACGCTCCCGCTCCCGCTCCCGCTCAACTCCCACACAACGCCAGGCCCTGCCATGACCCTTAGTAAATAATAATATTATACTTTTATTGTATACAAAGGTATGTTTGTTTAAATGGATTTGAAAAATATTTGATTTAAATTTTGATATAAAAATAATGTATATAATAAAATAATTTGTAAAATAAAAATATATATATATTATTTTCGAAAAATATAGAAACAAACTTTTTGTATAATTTTCCTACTCGATCTTAACTAAATTGAAAATCAAACCTTCTGTGGCTTCAGGTTATCTGTACATATAGTTTGTATTGTGTAACTTGTCCGTGGAAACTAGTTTACAAGTACTAATTTCAGTCGGGGTCTAATTTGCTGGTTATTAATTTCTGCTGGAGTTTACCACGTCATAAATAAATAAAGAAAGAAAAAATACACGCGCGCGCGTTGCTTAGTGGCGAGGCGACGCGAGAGTTTGGAACCGGAGAGCGGAGAGATCGGATTTGGACGGACGGGATCGACAACTTTTGTCGTAGAAGCGCGTTGCGGAGAGAGAGAAATCAATCGTGTTTCACTCTTCACCAGCTAAGTTTGCTTATTATATATATATATATATATATATTATTTGGTATTGATGTTTTCATTTCCTTTCCTTTCCGCAAAAATTACATCACACATCAATCACATCACATGTTCGTTCGTTCGTGGAGGATAGGATCTGGTTTAGTTCAAGAATTTCATGCTAAAAATCTGTTACTCAGAAGGTGCTAGCTAAGTTTGTGGTTCGTGATTCCAATTTGCATTTCAATCTTTAAAGATTTATATATATTAGTATCATTTAGCTATAATAATGATTTGGATTTTTATCTCGTGATCTTTCCTTTCTCTGAGCAAAAATTATAGCTGGTGGAGAGATGATCGTCTGCGTCGCCGTCGTGGGTCACCAGGTGCTTCGGTATCTCCCTGTATTACTTACCGGCTCATATCATTATTGTTTAGAATAAGAATGCGCGAATTGTTCAACTACTTTAAAAAGACTGATTTTTCTGTTGGATGGATCTCACGGTATTTGCAGAACAATCCACTGTACATCCAGAGTTTTACCGAGGCAGATGATGCGCTCAAGCTTCATCACATTGTTCATTGTTCTCTGGACGCAGTTGATGAGAGAGGTGATTTTTGTCATTAGATCCTTCTCACTAGTAATTACAGTAATTGTGTTTGTGTGTATATATATGCATGCATCATTGGGTCAGTACACTGTAAGTAAATTAGGGAAATTTGCTTAAAAGTTCTTGAAATTTCAATTAGTTTGGACACCAACTGTTATTATGTTTGTTGCCTATCAGCTCAGTTTCTGTGCCGCCAAAACCATAAACTGGATCAGGTGAGAGCGATTGACATTTCAATGGGTTAAATCCATCCCTTCCTTTAGAACAAGATTAATGCCAGTTTTAGAGAAACCTCTGCTTTAGTTGCTGCATTTCATTTCGTTTTTAAGTACTTCAATATGTGCTGGCTATGAGCTATTGACGGCTTATGGGAATATGGGCACATGCAACAGTGCATGATTGTGGAAAACATGAAAATGATAATAATTGCTGTAAAAATGCAGTAGTATAAGATAATTTTAAGATGCCTAGAAGATAAAACAAAATGATATACTAATGACTGCTATGAAACATTATGTAGATTTTGAATCATCGGAAAACATTGGAGACCCTTTTTGAGATTTTGTAATATATTTGAGGAAGATATGAAATATACTTACTAGTTTCCTTGTAAGTTATTATCATTTGACTCTAGTAAATTTTCGTTGAGGTAGCTTTATAATTTGAATTTGGACTCTTAGTGGGTTTTGAATGCTGCAGTGAACAACCCCAAAAAGTCAGGTCCAATACTGAATGAAGCGTTTCTTGGTTTGCTATATCCAACTGAAAAATACAAAGTGTAAGTCTTACGAATCTTCTATTCCTTTTGTTTTTGGTAACTATGGGGGAAGTTACAGAACATAGATCTACTACCTTTCCTCAGGTATGGTTATTTGACTAATACTAAGGTGAAGTTCATATTTGTAACCACGGATCTTGATGTCCGAGATGCAGATGTGAGAAATGTAAGTGTGATAATGCAGATATGTCCTTCATTATATCTTTTTCAGTACCTGTTTTCATATTGGAGAAGCACTGAAGTGTTTCTAATTGATCACCTACAACATTGGTATTTGCTTAATATGGTCAGAGTGCTTCTATAATGTTAGACAATATCATTCAATTCTTCCTGCATTTCTGTTCTAAAAAGGTTTGCTCTGGGGTATCCATGTGGCTTAAAACAGTTCATAATTTGCTTGGACATTTGAGGTTGGAAGGCATGCGCTTGATTCATTTTTAAAAACAAAAACTAATCCTTCACTTCACTGAGAATCCTCATACCTCTCAAATTTTCTTTTGCGTGATTTTGTTGCATTTCTCTGGAGTTTAATGTTGTTTGGATAAGTTAAAAGCTGTGAAAATATGCCTGTTGCTGTTTGTTGGCGTATTATTATTTCTGCTGATTCTGAACCCATATACCTCAATTCTAGTGATCTGAATTACTGCTCCATTTTCTTGTTAGTAGCATGACATTTAACTTCCTTTCTGCTTACTAATAATTGATGTTAAACATGACATTTGATTTCCACTCTGCTTGCTAAAAAATTGATGCAGTTTTTCAGAAGGTTTCATGCTGCCTATGTTGATGCAGTTTCAAATCCCTTCCATGTTCCAGATAAAAAGATAACTTCCAAGGTTTTTGCCGAACGAGTCAGCACCGTTGTCAAGTCCTTCGGACTAAGCCCAGCCAGTTGAATGCTAACCTGAACATCTCGGCTTACACAGCCATGCTTCTGTTTTTGACTTGGGGATCTTTGAATTATACTTGACCTCTGAAAAATGCAGTGTTACTGCAAATGTTGTGCATAAACAATTTATTGAAAAGAGGATTAGGTAACTTTGTAGCTTTAATTTACTTTTTTTGTAGTCCATAATATTGTTACTGTCAGTGTATTTTGAGTTTCTATGGGAAATTGGCACGACTTTACAGTGTTGAAAGAAGACATTAAGAGAAGCTTGTGACGAACAAAATGGTCTGTTGGACAAAATAGATAAATGTCAACTCCAACTCAATCTCGACATGGTCGATGGGCAGCTGCACTGCAAGAATATTAGATTAGTCATCGAGGGAGAAGTTCATAACACAGACGACAGGAAACTGAACCAAATTAATAAAAACATTCATGTAACAGCAGCAGTATTCTTCTCCAACTTCAGCAAGTGCAACAACCAGTAAAAATATCCTTAGGAAGAAAACATGAAATCCATACAGCAGAAAATCTGGTGCAGGAAATTACAAGTAGTCCAGCCCCATCAGCATAGAATGAATTTCTATCCCAAAACGAAACATTCTTGATAGATAGAAACATAGATAGCTTATATAGGCATGCATATCTTTAGAATTCATCATCATCCTCCTCTGCTATATGTTTAGCAAGCTCTTGCTCTTGCTGCTGTCTCTCCCTTCTCTTCTCAGCACTCTCCTTTTCCTTGTGGGAATTGGGGGGGAAGCGGAGGGCACGTACTGCTTCATTGTGCATATTCAGACAGAATGCAATTCTCGAGTTAAAAGCAATCTGAGGCTCGTTTGTAGAGTAAATGTCCCCCGTCTCCTTTGACACCATCCATCCATTAACATGATCTATCATGGCATCGATTGCACCATCTCGAATTGCTTTGGAAACAATACTTTCTGCATCAGCAACTGGATTTGCAGAATCCAACCTCAACTTCTTAGCAACATCAGCGAGAGAAATCCGGGAGTATGAGATGCTGATGTTGCGTAAGCCAGTCCTAATAACATTGTGTCTTAACCTGATAATTAAATTATTAGTTCGATCTGTGCTGAAGGTGCTGGAAAACTTTTCAGCCACTGACTTGAAGAGCTCCAAATCACCAATCCGGACAGCCTGAAACCCAGTCATAAATAAGTAAGTTGACTCATTGGTATTGCTTCCAATAGAAAGAAACCAGACAAATCTCAGGCATTTATAAATCAGAGAGCGGACCATTCAAATCTAGAGAATTTCCATTTCATCAGAATTATCCAAACCATAAACCATATTCAAAGAAGATCATAAAACTACCGCAATATGAGCATATCCTATTTTCCAATTATTCTGCAGCCATTAATCACTGGTGTGGGATAAACATGATTAAAACAGAAATTACTATATACCAGCACTAGCAAGTGTAGCAATACTGATATATCATCCTCAAGAATATTGATAATTTACCAAAACAGGAATTATCACAGACCTACACGAGCAAGTGTTAGATTTACTGATAGATTGTCTTAAAGTATCAAAACATTCTATAATAGTCTTGTACTTACATTGGTAAGCTCAAAATATGGCCTCAGTGCTTTTTCCATCCCTTTCTGCATAAAAACTGTCCTTTCTGGAATTTCTCCAAGCAGCAAGCGGACAATAACAGCCCATTTGTTGCATTGAACTCGAAACCCCAGAGCAGAAATAGGTGCTTTCCTGGCAGCTTGAAGAAGGGATTCTTTGGCGTCGGTGTATTCCAACTGAATTGTCCTGATCTTTCCAAGGTAAAATAGGTACCGGCAGAACTGCAGACAGAATAGTAGACAAATCAAATTATAGAGGCACAACCTTAGGTAACAGCTAAACATACAATGCAGGGGAAGAGCAAACCTCCACCTACGCCCAGCACATCCCAAGTGGCATACATATAAATACTAACTAACAAGTACAAAAATAAACATAAGTATAGCTAATAGATATGCAGTACAATATGCAGTGTTCAACTACTTTAATATTTGAATTCAGTTGTATGAAACATGCTTAAAAGTCATATTGTTCCCTTTAGTATTTCTATTAACAGCTATCCTTTATTCCTAATTCAAGCAAGTCCAGTTAAAAGGATTATATTAACTTCATAGTACTATGGAAATTCCATTTCCATATGCCAGGTCCAAGAAATTATTGTCATGACAGAATATAAGTAGCAGAAATATGATAGTTGGAATTAGATAATAAGAATTTGAAAAACATATAATAGTGTGAGCAGTATGTCGTATTTACCTGTTGATTTGAGTGTGCTTCAAAACGGGGAGCCTTTGATCTCAACTTCTCAGCCTGATCGTACAAGTTGTAATGCAGATAATTCCTCAATAACAGATTTAGGAGAGTTTCCTGTATCACATCATCTCAAATCACTAGTGAAACCTGCTACCAAGTACCAACTTAACAAGCTAGACCATAATCACAGTGCAATACAAACCTGCCCCAATTCATCATGGCGCAGAGTAGCAGTACGGTGCAAAGCAAGAAGATTACTGTCACAATAAGCAATTTTCTATCAGATATGATACCCTGGTGCTAAATAAAGGTTAAATGAATTGAATAGACTGCTCATATGGCAAATTGAAATGGGAAGTTTGAGTTAAAGAATTTCAGTTTATTCATTCCCTCAAACATAAGGTGATTGGCAATAGTTGATTCATGCATAAAAAGAATATATTAAGTGCTCCAAGAAACAAAAACTAGTAGAAAACAAAGTACCCCCGTATTTCAGCGAGGTCACCAGTCAGCTCATAGCTTAAGGAGTAGTAGAAGTAAAGCCGGGATGCTAGGACATCAACAGTTCTTCGATTGACATTCCTTAGGCGAGCAATGCCAGCCGAAGAACAAGCCTTGGCCTGAAAATAAAGCAGAATCACCGCTAGTTTAAAAGGGTTCAAGCACAATATGTAGTACAAGCTTATTTTATAATTTAACCATATAGGCCATACCTCACTGAGTTTCTTCTGATCAATCAAATATATTAGAACAAGGAAATAACAAAAGATCTCAATCTCTGGCAAAGAATGCTTTGCAGGGGATTGTGTGACGGATGTTGCAGTATCAATTTCCATTTCATGCTCATCATCCTGAAAGCATCATTAAACAGAAGTTAAATGGTGGCCTGTTCTTACACATCCCCTCAATTTTGCATAATATTACATTAGGGGTTGAGAGGAGACAAAAATAATAGATGCAAGATAAGAAATTAAGCAAATTATGTCCATCCAAGACAAGGAAACAATTCAAATACAGTAGGTTTAAGTCACAGTTTTTTAAACTTGATTGCACTGAGCAATGATACAAGAAAATAAATTGCAGATTGATTTACTCCCTGGATACTTAAAAAAAAGGAATGTAAAAGTAAATTTTCTACTGTGCTTCAACAATTCAATCAAAACACGGCCTTTATACCTTTGGAACATAGGACAACAACCGGGAATGCACCTCAGATCCAGGCACAAGAGCATAATTGAGAAATGCTGAAAGTGCAGAACCCTTTAGCTTCTTCCTTAGCTGAATTGTCCAACGAATAGCCCTTACAATTCTTCGAACCTCTCTTGTGTAAGCCCCAGTCTCAATCAATGCAGCAATGTCCTTCAAATCTAGCATAAGTAGCCAAAAACTCAGTATCCCCAGTCTTAAGTCCTGACTTTCAGGTCAGATCAAGGACACAGCCAATAAAATGACATGGGGAAACAGGAAAAAGGAACAGGAAAGAAAAAAATTATCTTCAAACAAAGCAAGCATGACATACATAAATCCTGAAATGAACACAAATACTTCCGAATAAGAATGGTCTACTTGAGACATCCTTAGCGCTATCCTAAGTATATAAGGCAAGCATTTTCCTTCACTTTCCTCATCTCGAAAATATATCATATCATACTTGTGTCGTAAATATTAATTAACAAAGTTAAGTGCAGATGTAACACTTACGCTGAAAAGCGGTGGGGGAAGTGGGTGCGATGGAATTAGACACTGCAGGCTGCTGCTCCTTCATCTCAACGTCTTGTGTCATTTTCGCAATAAGAAGAAATCTGAGAAATAAACGCCAATACAATACGCACTCAGAAAGCAGAAATAAACGATTGAAACCCACCTGTTTTATGTTTTTTATTTATTTATTTATTATTATTAACGAATCTTTTACCGATTGTAACTGCTACTGAAGGAGAGATAATTTTGGATGTAAGATATGAGGGGGAAGGCGGAAAAGCTGTGACCTTCGTACTAGGGATCACTTACTTACAGAATAAATCACATAGAACCAGAAAACTGAAACAGGAAGGAGAAACAAAGAAGCGAGGAGTGTGACGAACCTGGGGCCGAGATGGATGAACCCTAGATATGAAGGTGGTGGTGCTACGACGCCGTCTGTCCCTTCAAAGTTGTATCAGGTGAGCCGAATGAGGGAGGGAGGAGTCGATCTGATCTGGTCCGGCCCGGGGCACTTTAGTCAATTCATAGACATTTCGTATTCGCTACTCTACCATTCTTGCTACTGTTATTTTATTTTCATTTCAATTAATTTTTTATAAAAAATATTAAACTAAAATTTATTTTTTTTAATACTATTATATATATTAAAAACTAATTATATCTATAAATATTATATCTAATAATTATTTATTAAAAAAATTTATTATTAAAAAATTTAAATTCAAAATTCTATTCCACAAGCATAGCATGGCATGGCAATTGGCGCAACATGCACTAGGTCGGTGCCTTCCATGTCGATTGGATTTTTAAGTTTTAGTTCAAAAGGTAAAAAAGTTGTATAAAAACCCAAAAAATAAGGATTTGTTTAGATAGGAATTTTTGAAACTTTGAAAAAAAAAATAAAAAATTAATATTTAATTTGATTTTTTGTGAAAAAAAAAAATATTTGATGTAATATTTTTTAAAAAATAAACCGTATAAATAATAAGTAAAATTGTATTGTATAAACAGAGCCTGAGCATCCCATAATTGTGGCAATCTGTCTCCATTGCGGCACTAGTGGTAGTATCTAACATTATTTGTAAAGTCTCGTAAGGATGGCCTAGTTTAGTGTAGATTTGACTAATATATGTAGTCTGTCTTACATAATTCAATTAATATATACACAGCAGTTTCAATATGAGACAGGCAATACAAGACACAAAGCAATTTCTGTAATGTCATACTCACTCACTCATGATATTTAGTAGGGAGTATTATCAGTATTTATAAGTACCATTGTCATTGTTGATTCATTCATTCAGCAGAGACGAGACGAGACATCCGCAGTCAAATTTAGACATCCGCAGCAACAGGGCAGCCAAGAATCTGCCCATGATCTTGTTGTCTCTCGTCAACATCCCTATCCCCATCCAATTGCTCTGCTGCAGCTGTATGAACCCTACAGCATAAGCCACACTTACCAGCTGGATGCTTCTCCATCTCCTCTGCTTCGCGTACTTCTCCAACTCCAACTCCAATCCCCTCTCACTCCCACTCCTTCCTTTCAGTGCTTCACCTAAAACCCGGGCTAAAACCACAGCATCCTCCAGGGCAGAGCACCCACCTTGCCCAATCTCAGGTGTCATGGGGTGCAGTGCGTCGCCTGCAACTGCCACGTTTCCTTTACTGATGCATCCTCGCAGCAGCAACTCCCAGGGATGTCTGTATCTCAATTGGGACCATATCATGCTCTTTGCATCTGTTTTCCTGAAGATGTCCTTCACTTGTGGGGCCACATTTCCAAGCTTGCTAAGGACAAATTGTTTCATCTTACTTGGGTCTTCTCTCATGCCTGTTTGACATAACATCACACCCACATTCGCAGCTGATTAATGAAACAGAACCATGGATAAGAATATGCAAAATCAGCTCACCTCCCGGAGAGTCAGAGGAGGGTATGTATGTGAAAAACCAGTAGACGCCCAGGTGGTCGCATGGACTGACCCCATATCTGACGCCATTTCCGAAGAACTGCAAGAAGCTAGACCCCAAACCATGCCCATCCTTGCATTCTACATAGCCCCGTATGGATGCTCGTCCTGCCTCTGATGCCTCACTGAAGCCAAGATATTTTGCCACCACCGAATTTACTCCATCACATCCAATCAAAACCTAGCTCAGATCGAATAAGGAAGGCGTGTGTCCATATCTATCTATATCCCTTAGAAAACAAATTGCTATTATTAGTTACCTTAGCCTTAACAAGGGTTCCATCTGCTAGATTAATTGACTTGAACAAGCCAGACTCCTTTATTTGCACAACTTTGGATGAATATCTGATGGTTCTGTGGGGGAGTTGATCTCTTAAGGTTTCGATCAGCACTTTTCTATTGATGCGCCGAACTTCATTAGGCTCCCTGTTTCAGAATTGGGGATACTCGATCAAATGCTTGGAGTTGGATGGAACTAGTGTTGGGGTGGGGAGAACGTAACAAAGCGTCAATCAGTCTCGTACTCACTCGATAGGTAGCTCTGCAATTGGCTGCCCAGAAACCAATGATGTGATCACTAGTCTGCAGTGCACACATAAGTAAAAGTAATAAATGGTAGCTGCTAGTGCTAGGTGCTTCCTTCAATCAATGAAATGAAATGAAATGAAATGCAATGCAATCACCTATCGAGCTGCTCATGCTTTTGACGGAGAAGGTCCCCAACACCTATGGCATCTAATGCCTTCCAAGCATTAGTCCACAACGCAAGGGCGTATCCTTCAGCTCTCAAGGTGTCTGCAGATTCCAATACCAAGCTCCGAATACCCAATCTGTGAAATAGTTTGTTTTGTTTGTTATTGAGTGATAGGCATAGGCGCTGTTATATCATTTCATTTTCAGCTGATGGATGCGAAAAATCATTTGGAGTAATAAAAATATGCATTAGGGATCGTCGACACTCGACGATATATACATAGGAGCGAGCGGGGGAGAACATCAATCAAGTGGAAAGCGTACCTGTGAAGTCCGAGGGAGGTTGCGAGGCCAGCAATACCAGCACCAACAATCACTACGTCTTCAGCACCTTCTTCCATCACCGCTAGCACAACCAACTAATTAATGATGTGGAAGACAGGGAACGCGAGTCTAAACTAGGAACATGCCTTGGGCGTCACCATATGCAACCAGGGAATCTCGTAACTGAATTTGAATGGATAACAAGAAATTGGGGGAAATATCAGAGCAGATAGGTAATTTGACTGGGCTCTTTCACTGTGGTGGGTAGCAGCAGTAATCGGGGGTTTCATTAGATTGGACGAGGGAGGGAGGAAGCAGTCGGGTGTCAATTCTGCTTTTGGATTGTGTTCATGTCGGGTGGAATTCCAGAAAAACAAAAAAATTGTCGATTCAAACCCGGAATCTCCTTATACTCAAACACTATACTCAAACACTGAATTAGTTTCAAGAGTTTTAAATCATCCGAAATTCGAACAAACTTTGTACCAACCCAACACGAAACAGACCCAAAATTTTTTAAAGAAATTAAATTAACCTAGAGAATACCATTTTTATTTTAATTTTTATATTATTTTATATTTAAAATAATATAAATATTATAAATTAAAATAATAATAATAATAATAATTTTAAGTCAACCGGAACATAAAACTCAAAACCTAAGTGTATATTTTTATGGAACACAACTACAGCTGCCCTACTACGTATCCAATGCTCTCTCACTCAAGCTATAATTGGGCTACAGATTTACAAAAAGAATTTGATGAGATATCATCATCACCATCAACTCGGGATTTCCATCACATTTGAGAATCACTTTCGAACTATCTGCACCAACAATAGTAGCATGGAGGATCATCGACTCCATGTGGGGGATGAGGCCTCTCTTGTGCTGCTGGAAGCTCTTGCACCACACCTGGGAATCACTTTTTCCTGTATCTGTTCATATCTGGGGATGCATTTTGTTCATTGCCTGTAGGATTAGAGTTGCCTGAGCTAAAAATACCATAGTTTTTCGATGGGGAATTGGCAGGGCTGGAGCCAAAAGCATCTTGCTGAGGTGGTCTTTGTTGAGGCAATCTGTACTCCTGTTGCCTTCCTCTGTTTGGAAACTGCCCACCATTGCCACCGGCACTTACAGGAATTCTTGATGGCGGTCTTCCAGGTGTACCATCTCGTGCATATCTGTTTTCCTTTGCCTGCTGAGGAGGAGCCCTTACTGGAGCAGGATCTCTTGCATACCTGTTTACCCCAAATGAAGGTGATGATGGTGCCCGGGTAGCTGCAGACTCAGCTATATGTATCGGGTTTTCATCCATAACATAGGGTGATGACCTCGATGACACTGTTGATTGATCATTTGTGGGGCTCTTAGGCACCATATTCTCTTCATCAGTGAAATAAAAAGCTGAGTGGCTACTGTCACCTCCATCAGAAACAGCCGATTGAGATTTAGTAGCGTGGACTTCATCTTCCCCAGTATCTGAGCCACCTTCTATAGCATCACAATCATCTTGGAATGGCTGGTTTTTACTGGATTGACTGCTAGTGTTTGGAGAGACAGCAGCCTTAGAAGCTTTCTTTCCTGCCTTTTTAGGGGGTCCAAACTTGGCATGCCTTACAACAATGTAAGCCTGTTTCTTTTCAATCTGTGGTCCAGTTTCTTCAACAGCTATGTCTTTAATCTGATGCAACATAACAGTTCTCAAAGTCATGCAAGGAACAGGAGGTGGAGCCAGTGAAATTAGCATTACCCAATTAGGAACTAGAGATAAATAAAATTAACTCTCACCAAAGCAGAAAAAGTAGATATCAGGTGTTCCAAGTCCATATTCTCTGTTGGCTCAATGGCTGTACACTGTCATAGGATGATGAGACATAAAGACACCAATTGCTGATGACTTAAGGAATTATATATAGACTTTATCAGATCAACCACAAGTAGCAAAATTCATATTTTCCTTGCAGTGATGAGATTAGGAGGGGGCAAGGTAACAATAAATCCAGAGGCACTCAGAATCTTTCAAACATGCCGACATAAAAAAAGAAAAATCAAGTGCAAAAGAAATTTTAGCAATAAAAGTATCAGCGTATATTGGAAATAATAATAAACAGTCATAATAATTCAAACAATTGGGGCCGTGGGGGGGTAGGGGGTGTTTGGGGGAAGAAAGATTGCATTTTCTAGTGAAACTACACAGCAGGACTACTGTAGCTTCATTTGCTTAACTGCATACCCAGTTACATGGACCTACAGCAACATATCTGGGGAAAGAAGGGTTGCATTTTCTAACCAACATTGAAGAATAGTAAAATTACTGCATTAAGTCCTTAATGGAGAAAATAATTATTCATTTGTCACTCTTTCTAGAACCCTTTTCACTGCTTTCACACACAACTGAAAGGAAATCTATAACTATCCATTAAGGCAGCCAGAGAAACAAAGTACCTTCACTCGATGGCCACTTTCCATGAGTCTCTTAACCATATCAGCTTTTATTTGAAGGTCTTTCGGTTTCTGCAACCAGAAAAACAATTGAAATGAGATATTCTGAAAATCACAGCAACATATTAAAGTATCAAAACCTACTCTTATCTTCACTAGACCATTTTCTAGTTTGCATCAAACCCATTCACAAAAGGAGAAAAAAGTAACTCTCTCTTCTTATACAGTATCAAATTGAAGGTGAATGCATAATATATAAATATTTATATATATATATATATATAAATTTTTATGTCATTGGCTAGTTTCCATTAAGTATAACTTGCATATACCCATTGAGAAAAGTCATCAGCCATGTATCATGTATGACTGTAAGCCATGTATCATGTATGACTTCAAAATTGGCTCTCTAAATCAGAATAAACAGTGAATGGAAATGATAACATAATAAGAACTCACAATCTTAGCAGCAAATCGTACTTCTTTAACAGATCCTGCCTTCAGTGTAGTCTGTAAAAGACAAGTATGTCAGAAAATGGCTATAAAGAATGACAAAACACTAATATAAGCACTCAACCTTGAAGTATTGAACTCTCATAGTTGCTTCAATAGATATGCCTATTGAATCCCATAATAGATCTTCTGATAGTTAAACCAATCAATACAAGAAAAAAAAATTCCAAACATAAAGGTGGATTGTCCTGTCCAAGTTTTGGTTTGAATCACCAAGATAAACATGAAAAAGTGTCAAGTGTATGACTATCAGCATTACGAATCAAGGTGTGTTGTGAAAGAAGAAACACCAAAAATGCAATAAAGCTACTCAAGTTGACTACGTAAACTTGTCTGCCATTAAACATAATCTTTGATAAGTAGAAATAAACCACCTTGCTTTTAGCACGTTCCTTTTCCTTTGTTTGGTGAAGGTACTTTTCTTTATGGTAGTCAAAAATTTTGCACACAGGTGGTATGGCATGTCTATCAACCTGATAATTAGAAGAAGAAATGCAAGATCAAATATCTTACTACAAATATATTGTATAAAAGTACAAGAGAAGAAAGTATATAAAATTTGAACCGAACAATTTTCTTGATAGCAAAATATAAATAGCATTTCCTTAAGAAGCCAACAGTAAAGGATCGCATTTCATGTTTCCCAAAACAACAAATAACTTTCTTATACTTATTGTAACAAATGGATTACTAATTTGGGAGAAATAACTTTCTATTACAGTTTAATGAAACGAAGCACTATATTTGCACACTTCAGTTTCATAACTCCTTCCAAAAAGCTCAGATTCAATTAATCCCAAACCACCTCACCCTAACTAGCCAGGAATACATGTGTGTTGTATAATCCATGTAATAATTACTTTTCTCCAAGCATGACATGGTTTGGCAAATTACAAGTGTAACACGTTCTCTCATAAGCTCAATGTGCCCAAGTAGGTATGCCCATTTAAAGGAAAAAGAAAAGAATATGTCTGGGGAAAATTATGTTTGTGTAATATCAAGACTCTAATCACATATATGTATATAGTAACTAGTAATAACAATGACAAGAAACAAGCAGCCAGAAGCTTACTCACAGATTTCTTGAGACCAAATAAATTACAAAGAATACCTCAACCAAGTCCAGCTTATGGCTTCTGGCCCGTGTCAATGCTTCATACCTCGACATTACCATGTGACCTATAAGTACACAACCAAACACTCTCAGCTTGACTAAAATGCTTTTGTAAATGCATAAAATTCAAGCATCCCAGTGATTTTACTAGCCCTATCAGGATCTTTTAAATTTCACTGAAATACAAAAACTAAAATTTAAGTATCCCAGTGATTTACTTGCTCTATCAGGATCTTTTAAATTTCACTGAAATACAAAAACTAAAGCATCTAGGTCAATAGCCCATGCTAAGACTTACAAATATCTTATGCTAAGACTTATCGGGTTCCATTTTTAGTGTCAGGTAACATCTTCTCAGTGAAGCAATATCTTATGCTCTTAATTATCAATATTGAAGTCTCCTTTAGGTAACATTCAACTTTCAGTGATACAGACACTACCATCCAGGCCAATGACTGATACTAGTGATTAATTCAAGAAGCAGGCTGCAGCTTTCTTCAGTTATATCATAATCAGGAATAAATATATAAATACTAGAGTTCGCCAATCAAGCTAAATGATCAATATACAGATCCGCAACATATCCTAAATTGTATACAGATGTGAACCTCAAGAAATTGCAGCATAAGCAGTCTGAAATTTCAAATTCGTGTGCACTCACCTTCATCCGAAACAAGTCTAATAGACGGAGCTGTAATATCCTCGTTCAACCTAGGGCCACTTGTGTCCCTTTCTTCTTTCTTCTGGTTGGCCTGGAACTTAAAGTAACGAAGAATAAGGCCGATATGTTTCACTCTTGATATTATCAACACAAATTCAAACATGATTCTTTGATCTTTGCAACGCAATACCTGAATCGGCGCTGCATAGAACCTGATATTGCTGCAAAAGTCAGAAAAGATACTGTGCTTGGTGGAATTAGGACTATTCAATACCGGGAATAAAGTGCGAGAACGAATGTCAAGACTAGCTACTGTGGACTGGTAATTAAGAATATAGCATCTCTTGGAATTGCAGAAGAAAATGTTAAATTTAGTTTTTGATTGTCTGAATCTACTCAAGAAGGCCATGGCCGGAAAAGTAGGAGCGTTCCGGTGATAAATGGGGATGATGCCTGATTGGAGAGGAAAACATTAAAAGCAAGCAGCTGGGGACGAACTGCTCTGCGACGGAAGTCTCTGAGGCTACAGGAGACGAAGCCAGATGAAGAAGAAGGCGACGACCCAAATAACATTAGGGCTAGATTTATCATTATTTTTGAAATTTTGGGCTTAAGACAGAGACTTCAGTCCATTCCAATTAACAACTACAATCCATTTAATTTAAAAATTATTATCAGTGTATGAAATATTTAAGCTTGTTTATACAATAATTTTTTAAAATTTTCACTATTTTATTTTGGAAAAAAATTAATACGAGTATTAGTATATTCTCTCACAATAATTATATTAATAATATTTACCTGCCACATACATAGCTGGTTAAACTAATGTGATTTATTTTGTCGAGTCAAATTTATATTTAAAATACTAATAATATATATACTGGTTTGAATATAATAACAAAATATTTTATATAGAGAATTTATATAGGGTGTGTTTGTTTGGGGGTTTGGATTTTGGATTGGGATTTGAATAGTAAAATTTTTGAATTTGAATAGTTGTATGATATAATATAAATAGGGTTTGATGTGATATTTTGAATGTAAAATTGATTTTTAGTATAATATAAAAAATAAAAAATAGGTGTTTGATTTGACGTTTTTGGGGGAAAAAAATTGGATGAATAGTCCAAAATCCTTCAAACAAACACACCCATAGTTACATAATAAAAAATAATCAATCAATAAAAAACTCGGGAAAAAAAAAAAAAAAAAGAACATATATTAGAGAATTCTGAAAATAATAAAAAATTTAATATTTGAGTTGCGAAGATGGAGATGGAGACGGAGACGGAGACGGAGACGGAGGAAGCTTGCATTGCAACTGATCTCGTATGAATTGATTAATCTGTGCTGCCATCTCCACTCTTTCCCAACGCCTCTCCCTCTTCCTCCTCCACCTCATACTAGTACTTCTACTATCTTCAGATTCACCAGCAGCAGCAGCTGCTGCATAGAGCTCCGGTTCCATTTCCTCCAGCACTTGCTTGACATTCTGCGACAGTTCTCGCACGCTCCTGCTCCAGTGCTCTCTCAGATTCTTCTCAATCCCTCCCACTATAACTCCAAACACTCCCTCCTCCGACCCCGCCACCGCCACCGTCTTCACAAATTGCTCCTTCATCCAAACATAGTGCGCCCTCTCTGCAACCTGCTTTATTTTATCACTTTTATACATTCAGCTGAGTTACCTGCCCATCTACATACATACATACATACATAAATACATACCTGTACATTCCAACTGCTCAAACACTTGGTCATCTGGGTGCAGAGAGGCAGAGCCAGAGCCTGCAGAAGAACCCGCGGATGGTTGTGGTACTGGTAATTGTTTTGTTTCTCTGCAGCAGGTGACTCTAATGTCATCGTCATCCTGTCCACCAATTCCTCCACCTCCCCGATCAACAGCACCTCCTTGTGGCAATTAGTCTTTGGCCAGTACTTGAGAATGCTTCTGAGCACCTCCGCCCCCAATCGGGGATCCTTCTCCACGAATTGGTATATGCAATAGGCCAGCTGCTTGTGGTACGCCTGCATCTCCTTTGGCCTGTGCAGGGGGACCAGGACTTTGCTCAAGAAAACTCTGTGTTCTTCCTTGAGCGGTACGCTGAAACCATTTATTATGCTTCCCCATATCTCCAATAGATCTCCGATTCCGATCCCGATCCCGATTCCCCTGCAGTCGTAGTTGTAATACTGCATCCTACTGCTACTACTAGTAGGAGTTTCTGAATCGAAAATGTAGTCCAAAATCACGTTAGCTGTTGCCTTCCTGATGAAGGATCTCGACGTGTGCAGCCTGGAGTATATCTTGTGGCACACGATCTTGAGGCGGTTTCGTTCCCTTTCGTCCTGAGTATGGAAAACGTTGAGCAGCCTGACAATGAAGGAATGATCGATGTAGTTGGGGAGAGTGTTGGGTTCAAGATTGATAACCAACTGGAGGAGTATGTCGTACACTATGCTGAGATGGGGCCAGCTGGCATCATTCTCGTCCTCATCGTCATCTTCATCACGACCACCATCATCGTCATAGTGGTGTGCAGGGCGGGGGCGGAGAGGGCGGAAGAGATTGGCGGAGATCATGGTGAAAAGGGATGAAAGGGTCTGTTGGGAGAGTGGAGATGGCTTCTTCTTTAGGAGGGAAAGGAGTGTGAGGAGAGAGTGGTACTGGTTCTGGTACTGAGATGAACAAGGGGATCGAGGACTATTATTGTAGCTATTTTTTTTAGAATGGTGATGATCATGAGTGGAGAAGGCGGCGGCGGTACTGCAGCTGCAGGGGGTTGGGGAAGAAGAAGAAGTAGCAGTGATAAGAGGCAGAATAATGCTATTAATATCATCATATTCATCGGTGGGGTGATGGTGATAGTGGGACGACGAGTTGAAATCAAGATCGAGAAGAACTTGGAGACTGGTAGTGGTGGGTGGGGGATAGTTGTGGCTACGTCGACGGTGAGCGCGGCCACCCATTCAGATTGCAGTTGCAGTCCAAGTTTGATGATGACGAGAGAGATAGAGAAGATGAATGAATTGTAGAAGCTGGTGAGTCGACAGAAGCGAGGTAAACGGCATTGGAGACTCCGTAAAGCAAAGCAGATCGTAAGGGAGCTAGCGAGAGAGAGATGTAGTTTGTCCTATACCCGAGATAGTCCTACACCTACACACACGTACGCGACCGAGCGAGCAGCATGCATTGTATTAGTACATTATTTAATGACCAAACCGAATTGTGAATGTTGGATTGAAATAACACTTTCACAGCTCCAATACAAAAAATCAATAAAATTATATCCACATTAAATGAATAAATTTTATTCTATATAAGTTGATATATTGTAAATATGATTTCTTAAAAATATGAAAAATGGAATCTCAAAATTTATTTTAGATCTAAAATAAGTCTTTTTTTCGTAATATTTATGAGATCTTTCTTTCTTCTATCATATTCTCTTTTCTTTTTCTTTTTTTTAGTATTGTTCGAAATGATATAAGTTATTTTATTTTTTAAATGATACAAATAATCGGAATACTAGATTAATTTTACAGAAAGATATTTTCTTCAACTCGGTTTTTTTTTCTTAATTTTTTTTATTATCACCTATTATTTTGTGCTAGATATATGCTTTTTTATCTTTAGTAACTATGCTTTAGCCTTTGTTGCCTTGTGTTTTATGGGTATGGATTTGGCGGACAACGACAACGACAGCCACATCCATTTCCACGTGCAAATCATATGAAATCCCATCGGATCGGACAGACCAAACCAATATTCTCCGCCTCCTTGTACCTTCATTCATTAAATAGTTACTTAAGATGGCCGGCCGGCCTACCCATATAATAATTAATAAATATTTATCAAAAAAATAAATAAATGGTACTGTATTATATATATGGCTGTGTGTGTGTAAATTTGTTAAGAATTTTGCGACAAACCATCTATTTAGATTTAAATTAACATAACAACACGCATTATATAGTTATAAATGGGCTTCCAAGTCCAGTGGGCCCGAATGAGTCATACACACACACATTCATGGAATTAAACTGCTGTACTAGCTAACTACCCAACCCACTCTCATTTCATTGAGAACTGAATATAAAAAAAAATAGACTTATTAATTTGAAATGCATCTAGATGGATAGATGAGGGGTCGTTGTTGTGATTACTTATTAGTGAGTGAGAGTTAATGGGTCTCAATCTCAATTAATTAATTAATTAATAATCAATGGGGTTGTTTAATTTATTAGCGTGTGGGTGTGTGTTCGTCACATCGCCCTTGACCCAACAACTCTTTATTTGAAAGTTTTGGCCAATATATATATATATATATATATGAATGAATTGAAAATTACCATTTTCTTAACAAATGTAATTTACTGCCTAATTCCAAGTTCATGTTGATGATGCCTTGGCTGTACCTTCAAACGTGTACACACGAATACATGCATACATACATACATACATACATACATATATATATATATATATATACACAGCTAGTTCAGATGTACACGCATCAATTATATATAATTAATATTAGTCTAATTGAACTACCTGTAATCAATGTAGTAAATAAGTAATCATTAGAAAGCCTAGTCAACGATAAAGTAATAATATTAATTACTCTTAATCAATGCTATCTATATATATATATATATATATACATTTGATTTCACCAACCACGCGCACATAAAACAATTAAATATTAATTTATTTTGATTTCATCTACCCCTAATTATCCCTATTCCTCGACCATATATGGGTGTATTTATTACCTGAATGTAAGTTAATAAATTTGAATTGGTCCCCGAATTAAATCAATAAAGATATATATATGGTTTGAAAAGATCCCCTTGATGGATAGAGAGATAGAGAGATGGTAGTTGGTACTTGCATTGCAATGGTAGTTGGTAGCCGGTTGGTAGGGCAATCCATATCCAAGTCAAAGTCAAATTACCCAAGCTGTTTGTTAGGGTGACGTCAGCATGATGATCCATAATTATATAATTATATATATATATATCCAATATACAAATTATTATTATTATTATTATATTAAAATTGTTGTGAAAATAAAGCCTTAGTACCTACCGGGAATTATATATATATATATATATATTGAAATAAAGAGGGGGAAATGTTACATTGACATGGTGCATATAGACCACGAACGACAGTGATAGACGACAGACTGATTCGTAGAGATTGAGAGAGAGTAATGAATCAATGCAATAATAATAATAATAATAATAATAATAATAATGATAAAGTAGGTAGGAAGGAAGGAGCGGACTATAGCTGAGTTGGGCTGATTAGCCTACGATGCGATCATCCGGCCCGGCCCGGCCCGGCCTGCCTGCTTGCGCCGTTTAACTTTTAATTGGTACATTGATAGATGCTCCCCACTACTCCATACACCCTATTCTCTCTCTCTCTCTCTCTCTCTCTCTCTCTCTCTCTCTCTCTCTCTCTCTGTGTATATATATACACATATTTTTACATAGATAGATAGATTGATTGATTCTATTCTGAAATAATCAAGTCTGGCGCTCTGATCAGTCGTATATGCCCTCCTCCGTTGCTCCTCAGCTCTGCAGCAGCAGCAGCATTCTTACTACTATTAGGTTTTGATCGATATATATATATATATATATAGATCGAGTGATTGTGTGAGAGGGGGATGATGGCGATGGGGAAGTGGCGGAATCTGATGCACCTCTTTGTGACGGTGTTCCTGTCGTATTTCGCTTCGTTGGTGGTGAATCCCACCATTGCTGATGTCACCATGGAAGCTGTGTGCCCTGGCAAGGACGAATGCTCCCTCGCCATATATCTCTCTGGTTTCCAGCAGGCGGTCCGTACCCCTAACCCTAACCCTAACCCTAACCCCTCTCTCTCACTCATTCGTAATTTCATTTTATTTTATTGCTCTTGATCTCCAGTACTACTCCACTCTACATATCACTTATATATCTATCTGCGCTGTCTTTATTGAATTAAATTTGTTTCCTCGATCCATGGATCATCTCCAGTAGCATCGTCATATATAGAATTCAACATGTGTTTGCGATGAGTACTATAAATGATCGATTGAGCTCCCACCGAGTAAATTAGGGTGTTTTTTTTTCTTTCATCTACGCTGTCTATATTTCTCTTAACTTTATTATTTTGATTTTGTATTTCTAAAATATATATATATATATATATTTAATTTTATAAAATATTTTATCGAATATTATTTTAATATAAGATACAAAGTAATTTTTCTCAAATTCACTCCACAGAAATACACGCAAATTATCATCTAATATTGTTTCACGTTGTTCATGTAGCCTGTACGTAAATAAGTAAATACTCGCTTACAAATTTCCCAAGGAAAACGACAACGTTTTACCCTTTTCTTTAATTTCTTAATCAAATATTAAGGGTGTATTTGTTTTGGGATTGGATTTTAAATACACTGTTCATCCCATTTTTTTCCTAAAAAAAAAAAAAAAAAACGTAAATCAAACATCTATTTTTTATTTTTATATTATACTAAAAATTAATTTTACATTCAAAATATTACAACAACACCTATTTATATCACATCGTATAATTATTCAAATTTAAAATTTTTATTATTGAAATTCCAACTCAAAATCCAAAGCGCCGGACAAAACATATCCTTTGGATGGATGGAAAAATGAATGACTAGTGAATGGTGTAGTTGGAGGCGACTCAGCACCATGCCTGTCTGTCTGTCTGTCTTATTAGCAATGACATGACATCAGCACGCGTTAATTTAATTTAATTTAATTAAAATGGAGGTATGTACGCTCCTACGTCCTCCATCTCTCCATTTCCGTACGGTACGTGTGGTTTATTATTATTACTAATTAAATTATTTTATCCAATTAATCATTACCAAACATGACTAACTACGTCAATCCTAACCTGACCTACATTGTAATGGATTATATATATATATATATATTAATTGTAACTTGTAGGAAAAAGTGGTGCAATTAATTTATTTTTCCTTGTTAATTTATGAGTGCGGTGGAATGATGAATTGGCCGATGAGCCTGCAGCGACAGCCGGCCTATATATATATATATATATATATATATTATTTGATCTGATATAAGTTTTTAAAAAAATAAAAAATATATATATATTATTTTTTACTAAAAAAAATAAAACTAAATTTAAATGACAATAAAAAAATTATATGAAATAGAGTATTAAAAATTAAATTTACAATAAAATACTTCTTCCGTTTCACTATTATATTTCTTTTAAAGTAGACACGAGAATTTATGAAAGATATAATTAATAAATAATTAAGAATATATTAATAAAAATAATTATCATAATTAAGATAATTTATAACTAAAATTAAAAAATGTAGATAGGAAGGAGGGGGGATAACATTAGCATTAACTTTTATCAATATTATATCAAATAACTATGAATGATGTCTATAATATATGCACATTTAACCTAGTTTTGTAAGTAGTATTTATGTAAGTAATTAATATATATATATATATATATATATGATATGAAGTACGTATTGTACGGTGCAGATTGCAGGGATAGGGTCGGTGATAATGATGCCACTGATTGGTAATCTATCTGATAGGTATGGGCGTAAGGTTCTGCTCACCATACCGTTGAGCATAGCCATCATTCCATTCGGTGAGCTAGCAATTACTTAACTAATTGGATCCATAATCAAAGGAATGAATATCAATTAATTAATTAATTATATATATATATATATATGAATGAATTTGAATTGCAGCCATACTGGGGGTGAAGAGGAGCAAGGAATTCTTCTACGTGTACTATGTGACCAAAACCCTAACAGCGATGGTGACTGACGGAGGAGTGATGTGCATCTCGGGGAGTTATTTGGCAGACAATGTCGGAGAGGGAAGCCGCGTCTCCGCCTTCGGAATTCTGTCGGGAGTAGTCTCTGCTGCCACAGTCTGCGGAACATTGGCGGCTCGCCTGCTCCCCATCGCCACCATATATCAGGTGGCCACAGTTGTAGCCGTCGTTGCTGCGCTTTACATGAGGATCTTTCTCGAGGAGAAGGAGAAGGAGACGACGACCACCGCCTCTACTTTGGAGCACCCAATCTTAAAACCTGCTTCTGCCTCTGCCTCTGCAGGAGGAGGTCCTATCAAAAACGTTATTCCAATGCCAAAGGATATAATTCGCTTGCTCAAGAGCAGGTATACATGTTAATTACTCCATTAACTGCATCTCCCTGCCATCTCTCTCTCTCTCTCTCTCTCTCTCTCTACCTCAGTCTATGTTGTAATCTATATATCTATCTCTCTCAACCATATATATATGTTTGCAGCGTTACCGTGTCGCTGGCATCATTTGTCGCATTCTTTAACAGTCTCGCTGAGGCAGGAGTTCAAGCTTTCTTAATGGTATAGATCCACTATATATATATATATATATATATCTCTTATATGCAGGCTAATATTCATTTGCTGTACGCGTCTTCACTGCTATATGATATGCAGTATTACTTGAAGGCGCGGTTCCACTTCCAGAAAGACCAATTTGCTGACATATGGCTCATCACCTACATTGCGGCTACCATCTCCAACGTAAGTAATTAATTATATGATAGACTGATTGACACTGTTAACTAATATGATGATGATGATGATGTTCACTGCAGATGGTGCTAATGCCCACGCTTGGACTCCTTGTAGGAGAGGAGACCCTGCTTTGTATTGGACTTTTTGCTGGATTCCTTAATGTATGTAAACTACTACTACTGCTACTACTACTACTACTTACCTCTCAGAGACGAGCCGATTCTGTTTATATTGTTGTAATGCTAATCAATATATCCATCTGGTTTTAATCAATTGTGCAGATGCTACTTGACAGCGTAGCCTGGGCAACTTGGGTAAACTAAAAATCATCATGCTCTTCAATTTCTCTAGCATTACACTGGCACCGGCACCAAGCTAGCTAGAACTGAATTAACAATTCTTTTGTTTTGGTGCAGGTACCATATGCTTCGGCTTTGTTGGGCATCTTCCTTTTCCTAGCAGCTCCTAGTGTAAGTACCTATTTGCACACTCATAACTACTCAATTAATTAACTGCTGCCTGACTATACCCCTCTGCGCCTGTACTGTACATCAAAATACAGATAAGATGCATTATTTCAAAACAGCTTGGACCCTACGAGCAGGTAAGCCCCTAAATTTTGTAGTATCACCACCACCTATGGATGGTTTCACTTTTGATAATATGCTATATTATTATTAACAAACAGGGGATTGGGCAAGGATGCCTGATGGGCATTGCCTCATTTGCCAACGTCATCTCTCCATTAATTTACAGTCCTCTTTCAGGTAACCTGAACTGAGCTGAACTGTTGTGAATTTTCATAATACAATATAATATACTATAAAGAATGGAAGGTGGGAAATAAAATGAAATGAAATCTCACCATATTATTGATGCACGCTCTCTCTGCTCTACATCCAGCTTTATTTTTGTCGGATGGAGCTCCATTCTATTTCCCTGGATTCAGCATGCTCTGTGTAGGACTTGCTTGGGTAAGCAAGATGATCACCATCTGCACCTCTCCATCACTATCTGCTATTCTTTTCTATTCTATTCATGTACTGCTTACTAACCAGAAAGTGTGTGTGGGTATTGTCATGTGCAGTTCATTGCCTTCATTCTTAGCATCGTCATCAAGTTCCGGCCATTCTTCTCCAGAGACGCAGCAACCCAGAGAAGTCAAGACCATCAACGCCAGCCTTGCTTATTGGCATAACACCCACCTAACCTACTCCGCCTACGGATACCACAAAAGCCATCCATCCATCCCCCAAACTCCCTCAATTTCCAGCTGCCTGCACCGCACTCATTCTCTAACCACAAGTTTGTTGTTGCTGCTGCTTGCTTCAGAAACACACTAGTTAGAGCAACACTGGTTTTCTTTTCTTCCTTTATTTATACATATATATATATATATATTTATAATTCATGTATTTGTAAAACTGTAAATACAACACAACTACCACTTACATCATTCGTCTCACAGAGAGAATTATCACAGGCTCTGCCTTTTGAGTGCTTATATATACACCCAAGGTGAAACAGGTGAAGATATTCTTCTGATATTGAGCAATGGTTCCAGTAGAAGTATCCTGGAAAGGAGCAAGAACATGTCAGTGAGAGAGCAAGTGAGCGGGAAGAAAACCAAAAAGAAGACAGGCAGATCCTAACACTGCAAAACACTAAATTAAAATCAAAACCAATGCAAGTTCAGCAATAACAAAACATCCACAAGAGAGGCTACCTACCTTAGATTCACTGGCTGATCGTCTTCTTCTTGTATGTCTGGACAACCTCCATAATATAGCAAATTCCGTTCAGTATAAAACTTGCAGTTGTTATTATTTAACATAAAAATGAGGTATGAGACGAATTAAAACAAAGCACACAAAATAGGTTCTTCCGTGCAACTACTTCTTAATACTCAGTTGCCATTGCGGTGATGATAAAACCAGTGTCGAAGTAAAAAAAACATTATTTGTTATTTGTTGTCTCTATTTACAAAAAGAAGACAGACATCTATCCTCTTTATTGATGGGCATGACTGTTGGTTCCATGCCTGCCTACTTCCCCTTAAATGGAAATGTCTTCACCTCTACCATCACTGCTGCTGTCTTCATCTTCATCAGTGTTGGCATTAAATGTCAGAAGAAGCTGATGCAGGTCCCTTCCCACATCTGATGCATGGTCTCCATCTCTGCTCCCTCCTTCAGGGCTTGCCCTCGCTCTTGGCCTTTGCAGAGAAAACAACTGCAACATCATGTCCTCCGGAGACATCGACATCCTTCTGTGCATCCAACCCTTTGGCCTTGGTCTTTGCTGAACCCAAAAGCCAAATAACAAAATCATCAATCCTCTAGAAGGCATAAGTATTGCCAACACACCTCAGTTATGCAATCAATTTTTATTCTGTCATACCATTCACAGAATGCATAAAAGTAGCCATGAACCACAACCACAATTACAAACATAAATACATAACAATGAATGAAGCATCATTGTGAATATCAATCACCATCATTCTTGATACCTTCATCATCATTGAAATTATCAGAACCACAATCATCATCCTTGTCACCCATATCTCCAATGCAGAGAACAAAATCACTTCCATCATCTCCCTCGTGATCCCCATTCTCCTCATTCTCATGATTATCGTAATCGTCAGCAATGTTGTACTCCCCGCCACCACCACCATCATCATCATCATCATCATCATCATCCTCTTCATCAACACCGCCATCACCATCCTCTTCATCAGTAAAGACATCCTCATCCTCTTCATCAGAATCAGTACAGGAATCCTCATCCTCATCCTTTTCATCAGAATCAGTACAGGCATCCTCATCCTCATCATCTTCATCAGAATCCGTGAACTCATTCACATCATCGTCAAAATAGATGAAGTCATCCTCATCCTCTCCATCATCATAGCCATAACAACCATAAAATGGAATAACCCTATCCTAATAATTGATAATGAGAAATTAAAACTTCATCCACTTCAACAGTTTCGAAGAAATATATCAGACTAGAGGAGAAATGATTAAAACATGACTCAAAGGTATCACCAAGAGAAACTATGGAATTCATTAGCTTTAACGGTCAGTTTAGTATAGAATATTAGCCACTGCTTTTATGTAAAATGATACTATGTCAGAAAATTTACTTGAGGACCACACAAACAAGATTAATTAAATAAATAAATAGTCAGATATATAGATTTGAATCTACAACTGGAGCAATAAACAGAGTGGGGATTTTGCAAGTTAGCAGTTCTTAGGAGTTACTCACAAAGTTAGTTTACAGGAGAAATGGATCTAATCTTAGAGCCATTACATACACCATACCATAACATTCCAAAAAGAATGGCCATGGGAAAGTAGTCGAAAGCTACACACAGACATGCTTGTCTAGATTTTGAGATTTAGTACACTAAGCTAAAGAAAATGTCTTAGCATACTCAAACTTGTAGATAGGCTTAAAATGATCATAGTTTTTACTTCTTAAAAAGAAGTCGTATTTTTACAAGACCTACTGCCAATCAGAAGAAATCAAATGAACAAACAGATAATCCAATCAGTGTGTCACGTTAACTTTCTTATACCACATTCCACGTATGAGGCACCCTATTAAGCTTCTTCACCTGCTCTGTTATATTTATTTACTATAGCAGCATGCACTGTGACAATGGAAATTTTTTTATATTCAAAGAACATCTACCTTTTGGATGTTAGTGGGTAGAATAGCTTTATCAGGAGCTTTTGGAACCCAAATTTTTATGTCTGATTCAATCCCACTGCTGGCTAGCACTGGAGCAAAAGGATGAGGTTCAATGCAATTCACTATGCGCTTATCAGCTTCCATAACACGGACAAGCTCTCCACCCTTCTTTTTCCAAATAAAAATACGCCCACAATCAGATCCACTCACAACATAATCACATTTAGGCCCAAAGAAGTTTACACCCTTCACAGTAGCGGAATTCCTGTGCCCTTTGTATGCCTGTGGAACAGCTTTCACATTTTCTTTGGCATTAGAAACAGATAAGCCAACAGGATCATCAGGAGTTGTATTGCTGACGTCGCTCCCTTCAGAAACATGAGAAGTAAAAATTGGATCGGGTCCTAGACCAATATCCTTTGTAAAGAGATATATAAACTCATCACTGTACGACACAAGAAGCTCATTTTGATCAGAGAATGTCAATCCTGTTATTCCCACATGCTCATCATCAACTAAATGAGGGGGGCAAAATAGATCAACAGGCCGATCAAATTTAGATGACCCATCCCACTTGTATTGGCGGATGTCAAATAGTCGAGCAAATTGATCAGATCCACCAATGGCAAATAAGTTAGGATTTCTTGGATTAATGGTAATTGCGTTCAGAGAAACAATGGAATAATAACTCTGGGTATGCACAGCTTTGCAAGTAAAGAGGCTGGTAGCAGTTCCAGCTCTCAGATCAATCTGAAAAAGGATAATGGTTGGAAATTAGCCTCATAATTCATTTAAAAAAAGCAATGCAAAGAAATATTTCACCCATTTAAAGAATTAAGATTAAAAGCTATATTTTGTAACAGATCACTAGACTGTTCTTTTTTTTATAACGGGTAACATATATATATGCATACATCTTCTGAAGAGTTTGTTGCAATATTTTGATGCTGAAACAAACAAACAAACAAAACAAACGGAAGACACCAGAGAGATGATGGGACTTTCAGACAAATAAATTACTACAATTGGTTGTTGGTCAAAACTCAAAAACAGAATATAGCTGAATAGTGGAACTCCTATATTCAATACCAGATATACAACAGAGTTCATCACATTGGGAAACCAAAACCCACATCTCTCCACATGTTTACATGATTTGATCCTCTAAATTCAGTATAAAATGCATCTGGGCCTCCTCAGGTTTGCTATAGCATCCCCTAACTGCTATTTCATTAAAGCATGGTAAAGTAAGCTTGCAATAAATTAGATGGAAGTGATCATTTGTTGGATGACTGTAAAAATGACAACATAATGTAGCATAATTACAGTATCCACAGTCATGAAGGCAACTCTAAAATAAATAACAATAATAATAATAATAACAAACAATAACACCTTAACTTACATGTTTAACTACTCCATCCTCAGCACATGTATAAAAAGTATGAGGGCTCTCTGGTACAAGAGCTAATTTGTGAACACGTCCGTGATGTTCTGCCAGTAGCTTAGTCTCAACTTGTGAGTTAAGAATCTGTGCAAGTCTTACCTGAATGTAAGAAACAACTGCATATGAGAGCATCCAGTAACAAGTACACGGACTTATGGAATTACCAACAGAAAGCAGGGCATAAAATCTGGTTGTATACACTTCTTAACTAAAAGAGATCACTTCTGACTGTTTTATTACACTATTTAGAGAAAGGAGAATGGGGTAGAGAAGAAGTAATGCATCACCTTTCCATCAGCAGCGCATGTGACAATGCTTCGACCTTCGGTGTAAGGAATGATCTTTGCTTGAAAAACATTGTTTTCATGACCAGAATGAAAATGAAGCTTAACTTGTCCGGTTTCCCAATCCCAGAGAATTATCCTTGTATCGTCAGAGCCTGATACAAGTATATCACCAGTTGCATTGAAGCTAACAGTGTTCACACAACCTTGGTGTTTATCCAACTTCCGCAGGATGTCAAAACGAAGCACGAGATCCTGACACCATAGTTCCCAACGGGGAAATCAGAAAGTCAGTGACGATTGGCCTGTGCCAAAAATAAAGTACCTACAATTTTCGACACAATACACATTGAGCAGCAAAGAATGAGAGATAAACACTTGAAACATTCCCAATTGATGTTCTTCTTCAACTATAAGTGAGGCTTTTGTAAAAATAAAATAAAATAAAACAAAAAACGGAAAACATACAGGCAAAAACGAAATACGTGGATACGACGGCGACCGGGTATAGGTGGCGGCTAGATAAAATTGAAGTTATGTGCATGGAAACAAACCTCGGAAGCGCCAAGTCGACGGAAGAAGCTCCTGGAGGAGAGTTCGCCGAGTTCACGTTGCCAAATATCTACAACAGCCGTTTCGAGGCACGCTCTCGTCCTTTTTCTCATCGTCGTCCTTAAATCCAAACCCTAACAAGAATGTTTGGGATGCCCACGGCGACGGACGCAAGACAATGCAGAACAGCGAGCGAAATCAATCAAGAAATTGGTAATCGAGAAAAAAGGAAAACCTGATGAGAACAACACAGAGAAGGGAGGGGAGAGTCGAGGGAAAGAACGGGCGAGGCATGAGAGCAGTTTAATATTTAGCAAACAAAGAGAAGTGGGATCCTCTCTCTCTCTCTCTATATATATATACACATAATATATAAATATCGAAAAAGTGATAGATCCGATCCAGAAACTACACGAGCGAGGGTGGGCCTCTCTCTCCCTATCGTCCCCCCCAACCAGGCAAATTGCAAAACCCATTAAACCCAGCGCATCATCACGTTGAGAGGTCAAGCAGAGAAAAGCACGAAGGTAACTAGCAAGAGTATGGTATATATACATATACATATAGTGTGTGATTTGTGAGACCAAACGGGACGGGTAACTCCTCCAATTCAATTCATCCATAAACTCCGAAGCCACCCCAACTCTCTATCTCTCTGGATCTTTCTAATTATTCTTCTTAAAACCAAGGCATCCACCATATATACATCTTCCCCAGATTCTTGAGGGACACAGCTTCTGCGATTAGACGCTGCGCTTGTCCTTCCACAGCAAGGGGCAAAGATGGCGCTGCTCCTACACCAACCACCACTCCTTGCAGCCGGGCTTCTATGTTGCTGATGGCTCTCTGCACACACAGAATAATATCGCATACTGATTACACGACACGACAGGGCATGCCACGCCTCCAACTACTAGCAAAGGAAAATGCTGTGTTCCAGTCAACAGCTAATAGGACAATAATAACTAATTAACCAACTGACAGTGACCACCAACCAACCTGTGCATGTGGATTTTGTACTTCTACTCCACTTGACTTGTGGGATTTTGTCCATTCCACAAGAGGATCATGGATAAATGTCTCCAACACACTCATGAGCGTCTCCTTGTGTTCCCTCAGAATTTGGAGTGTGATCTCGCAGACTCTCAGATACGTTCCCTCATATCCCGTGATGCCTAGCCCATCGATCATGTTCTACAAACAAAAAAAACCACAATGACTGCCTCATTCACGCACTGCTCCTGCTATATGATATGCCTAAGAAACCGAGACCCAAAACACTCCATTGATCATGCTTAACACTGAGCATTTGCTCTATTACCTGTGTCAATCTGAATGGCACCAGCTCTGGCTTCTCCAATTGCAGGCCCTTGTCAAACAAGCAACTAAAATCAACATGGACACAATCTCCTGTTGTTGAATCAAAAAGAATGTTTTCACCATGCCGATCGCCGAGCCCAACAATGTGCCCCACCATAGACCACACAGCAGTAGTATGTGCATAGGCAACACGTGCCCTAAACCACGTGGCTGGCTCCGAGAATGTGTTAAGAAACCATTTGTGAAAAGCTGGGGGGAACATTGGCAGAATCTTGGCCTTCAGCATTTCATCCTCTGGCATTTTACCTTGTGATTGGTCATAAATTCGCTTAATCAGAGGATTTGTTTTCTGCCTATCAAACTTTCCACAGCTTATATAGATATCCTGGAGAATATGTCGGAGCCCGCGAGTATGGGGAACCCACTCAACCATACCGCAATCTTCTGTCAATGGAATCACAGCAAACGTTCGAATATAAAGCTTCCGACGACGGCTTTCAGGGCATTTTGACAGTAAACGATTTATCATTGCATTGAATTCCATCATGCGGGCGTCTTTTCGAAGGTCATCTTTAGGTTTGCAAAGAAATGGACGCTCGGATCCATCACTACCTATGAGAATGATCTGCAAATAGTAAGATGAGACATTGTCACTTTATTAGCAATAATGGACTCAAGAATCCATTTACATTTATAATTTCACAGCATACTCACAGAAATTCATGAAATATGCTATAATAGACTCAACTTAACATCCATCTTTCATAAACACAATTGTCTAGAGCTATTATATCTAATATTTTCTAATGAGCCCCTTCAGAAGGGTAAAAAACTTCATCAAAACTTAATCATGCTTCACACAGTCAATCCAGGGTGACTGGTGATAATAATATTGAGGAAACTCATCAAAAGGGGATCTCCCACGCTGAGTGGAGAGAAATAAATAAAATCAAAAATTCATTATCATTAAATCAGAAGATGGTAGACCATGGAAGAGAATATGATGGAATAGAGAAAGAAAAAAGGTTAACCTAAGTAGGTCTTACTTTCTTTGGTCTCTGAAGCGAGGAAAGAATCTCCGCCTCGTCACCTATTCCAGATATTGTCGGAAGATCCGAATATGAAAATATATCAGATGTACCAGAATCAGTTAAATTCACATCATACAAAGGTAGATTGACAGTGAGGGATTCCTGGGTTGGCATAATAATTTCCAAAGGCATTATCCTCTTCAGGGCACTAAACTCAGTTAAAATATTGATGCTCTTTGCCTTTGTTTGCCCCGGATGGAAGCATAACCTGATAAGATGATCCACTAGTGTTGCAAATTGAGCAAACATAGAATTCGAACCTACTTGACTGGATCCCTTTTTAGCAGCTTGAATGATCTCGGAAGCAGCTTCCCTTCTTGAAGAAACAGTAGATTTTGTAACAGCAGCCATGGTCCAAAGGGCTTGTTGTGGATACTGCCTTAGAACAGAAGTAATTATATGCTTCACCAACCGAACAGTTTCTTCATTCTGGTGGCAAATCCTCGAAACCAGTTGAGGCAACACACTCAACCATTGGTAGGTTGGCAAGTCCTTCAAGCAGCCTCTCATGATGCTCATGACCTAAGCAAGGGAAAAATACACAAAAAGACTTCAACTAAAATTAATACAAATTATACTTGAATTGGTGAGACTACTACCTTCCCATGAACATTCTTCATATCTTTACTGGAATGCATGTTACTTGTGTAATAAAAGCTCCCGAAATCAAACCATAACGTCAACAACCTTGGAAGAGCCTGGAAGAGATACTTGTGTCCCCTATGAAGCCCTTTAGCATAAAATAACAAGACATCCGGAAGGTAAGTCCACCATCTTCGCTCAGATTGCTGTACATTAACAGATGCAACACGCGAGAAATTAGATGGCATCAATCTCAATGATTGTTCAGCACTGTCTTCCTGGCGTTTTCGAGCATCAACAAGCACTTCATCACAGTATTTTGCCATGTAGAAGTATCCCTTCTCCCACTTGGGTTGCAGTTCCTTCACCCTAGAGTAGAGATTTATCACATCTTCCTTCTGTTTTTGGCCGGTGTAGTGAATCCACCGTGAGTACAGAAGGAGTGTCTTTGATACATCTAGATTCCTGTTCACAGCTTGACTATCAGAGAGCAAAGGTGGAGGATTCACAGGAACAACAGACAGGCTTGTAATGGCTGATATTGCATTGGAACCAACGACCTCAGCAGGCATGCTCAGTAGAGATTGCTGAAGTTCTGCAATGGCACCATCAGACCTCCTAGTGCTCCACAGAATCTTAGCCTTCTCAATGTGAACATTTGATGCTCCTGCAGCCTGGGCTTCCAAAATTGCACGGTTTGCAGTTTCATAATGCCCAGATGAACGGCAAAGCTTCACGTATTGTATCCAGCAATTCCCAACTTGAGCCCCTAGGCCGCTGGCACTAAATACAAGTCTTCGGAAGGATAAGAGAGGTTCCCTCGCCCACAGAGATGGTTGGGTCAGTTTGAGGCGGCTTTCCCAGTTTTCCAATGTCCTTGAGAATTCTATTTCATCTAATTGGAAACTTTTCCCCAAAAAGGACTCACCATTAAGTAGAGAATTGAAATCTTCAATCTCACGAAGCAAGTGAAGCTTGACAACAAATGGATATGCCCGAGCATAAGAATCCATCCCAGCTGCAGCGAGTGGAGCAATCAAAGCTTGTTTAGACAGTGCAATTTTCTCAGCAACAGAGAATTGATCTTTTTTCATAATTGCCTGAAGAATTTTTGCAACATCATTGTCAAACAAAGCATTGCTCTCAGAGCTGCTATAAAGCAAGCCTTCTGCATCAGCCCCAGTCAGGTACTCATCCATTAAATCCCACCTCCCAAGCCTCCAGGCAGCCTGAACCCCTTGTGTGCACCATGTTTTCTTATACTGAGGAACTCTAGAAATCAATCCATCCACATGAGTAACCATGGCCTGTAAATGGCACATGTTAAGCAAGCAGTTAAGGACATCGGAGTGTCTTTGAACAGAAAATGGTTCCATCTGCAGAGCCTGTTCACAAGAAGTCAAAACTTCTGCCCAGTTCCCAGCCTTTTTGTTAATCAGGAGGTGGTCCTGTAAGCTTATTGATTTCCGTAGTGATGCCAAACCAGATAAACCATCCGGCTCATCCAATCCACTGTATGCCTCCATTAGAAAAGATATGTCTTCATCCACAAAGATGCCACTCTTTTCAGAAGCAGGGTTAAACGTTCCTGACTTGCCTCTCACATAAGACTCAAAATACAATAAAGACCTGGCATAAGCCTGACATCTAAATGAGGCCTTAGCGAGCGTAATTTTAGGAATTGCGCTAAGGAGTTCTGAGACATGTTTGCATGGTATAAGCAGTTGATTAAAATCTGTACTATGGATGTTCAACTTGACAGCTTGTTGCTTGGAATTGGACGAGTGAAGTGGCTGGGAAAGACTAATTTCTTGCTCCACATCATCAACCCATTGGCCTAAATTGTCAAGAAGATTGAATACAGCTTGAATGCACACCTCACTTTGCCCAGAATTATTACCATGAGCAGTAGTAGTGCTACTATCTGATGCAGCAGCATCAAGAACTGATAAAATTTCCTCTGTTATCCCACAACGGGCCTCCTCAGTACCCTCACATATAGCATTTAAGACTAAATAAGGTAGAAGATACATGGCTATTTGCATATCATGTCTCACAATACCACGACAAGCATTGAAAATTGCAGATCGAGGGCCTGTGGCAAGTGCAGTTAATTTTTTAATCCAAAAATAGATCCATCTTCTGAAAGACATTGATGGCCGGTATATTGGACCAGAAGTAGCCATATCTGACACATTAGGAAGTTGGAATCTTGAGGTTAAGCAAGGGGCGATTATCTCTTTCACATAGTTAGAGAAACGGGTCCACAACCTCTGCCCTCTTCCAAGTATTTCACTTCCATCACCCATGCCCCCCCGTGAAGAACTTCCATCCAACTTTGAGTGCTGTATGTCTCCAGCCGACTGCAGAACATTATCGTCGAGGGAAGCCTCACATCCAGCAATTTTTAGCAGCTCCTGGATAGCAAGTGCAGCTGAATCTTGAATGATGGTGTCAGGTGCTGCTCGAAAAGCCCTGGCCAGATGTTTATGGATCAGCTCAAATATCAGATCATCATCAGAACATGCTATTTTAAAGCGTGTGCTGGAAAAGCCCTTTATTTTGGCTGGATCAATAGCACCAAGTGCTCCAAGGCAATCCGCACATATCAGTTTCAGTCGCTGCCCAACTGAAGTCCTTGACTCCTCAGCACACCCCTTCAGCAGTGATGTTATCAAAGAGCTCATCAGATCCATAACTGAATCCCCTTCCTTAGTGAACAAACCAATGAACTCCGCATGTTTCAGGTTCAACAACTTGCTTAGCTCAGATGCTACCATGTATCTCACATTTAAATTTTCATGATTTAACCCCTCCACAGCATCGTGCAACTGATCTTTCAGGGTCATAGCTCCACGTACTTCCTGAATTACTTTATTCACTTCTGAGAGGACAGGAACATTGGGTACAGTAGGGAATTCACGAATATGCTGTTTTAAGATAACCTTATTCTGAACAACAAGTTCCTCCAATATCTCCACAATTTTACTTGTGTGGGTAGATGAATTTTCTGCCTCTTTCTCCAAGAATGGTACAAGAGCAGCAAAAACTTGAGATATCACATGTTTAGTGCTAGAAGGTGACAGGATAGATAATTGTTTTAAGAAAAAATGCAATACCGAAAGACCTTCACCTTGAAGCCATTCCTTGTTGATAGCATGCATGAGAAGCACCATAATTTTTGGAACATAAGTGCAAAGATGGGAGCCCATCAATTTAATCAGCATCTCTATTCGCGTAATGGCTTGTTTTTGCAATGCCTTATCTGCTGCATGAAGCATTTTTCTATCAATGCTGTTCAGCATACCAACAACATGATTCCTCAAAAATCCTGGAAGATCTTCACTGCCAGTCAGAATTTTAGCAATTTGTTGGATCATATGAGGTACCCTGGCTAACCTAAAAGAAGGTTGGTTCAAGTCACATTTTTGTTGTAATAAAAAATCAACTTAGAGAATGTAGAAAACAAAATTCAACAAATACAGTCAAAGAGCATAGATCATTATAGTAGATATTGAAACCCAGATGAAGTTTTTGTATTCCACAGAAATATGAACGTCTAACTTAAATAAGAAAGTGCAACAAACACATCACGGTTTGAAACAAATAGCCACTCTATACTTTAGAATGAGTGAGAGATTTGTTCTTCACTAAAGACTTTATATGTATTATTTGTAATAAAGTACCTTTTACTTATTTCTGCAGAATCATCTACGTCAGTAAAGCATACAAGTTCCTCTAAAAGTGCAGGTAAAGCAGCAGCAAAAATTTCTTGTTTGTCTGATCCAGTATGTTCATGGTAGAACTCCAAAGCAGAGTTTAACTCTTGCCCATCAGCTTGATGAAGAGCAAAGGCAAGTACTTTAGGAAGCCAATTAACAATTAACTGCACCATATCAGTATTCAAACACTTGGCCAGTTCATATAAAGTTGCTAGAGTTTGATCATTTTCATGTTGAATGACCACAAGTCTTGGAAGAACAACAGGAATCATTCTCTTCACAAGTTCTCCAGTTTCAATGCCAAGAACAGCTGCTGAAAATTCTTCAACCATTTTGGGTTGGTTGCCAAGCCTCATACATAGATAATCATACAATTCATTTCGGACATGTGGAGCTTTTGACAGGAGTGCATCAAGGCCTCCTGAATGATGGAAGTGGCATGATCTATTTATCAGCTTGGAGGCAGTTAGCCGCACAGAAGCATAAGTATTGTCCAGCTGATCGATCAATAAAATAAGAGAGAACAAAAACAGTTGATTATGGATATCAACTACTTGCATGACTGTTGCTGTAGTTTCTAGAAGGGTTTCGAAAACCAAAGGATCCTCTGCTGCTGCCAAAGCATGCTTTATTTTGTCCATAAACCTCTGTTCCTTGGATTTCTCCTGGGAATTCTTCCACAAAAATAAACACTCCAGGATAGGATCGCGAACAAAGAAAGTAATCTGGGAGACAAATGCTTGTCTCAAATTTTTATTCTTGTGAAGGAGTAAAAAATCAATACATTGAATCCACTGCAATCTAGTTGTAATCAAAACATCTTCAGTTCCATGGAGAAGGATGCACTGAATCATTCTGACACAAGCAGCTTGTACTTCTTCTGATGATTCATCGTAGAGGAGTTCAAAAAAGAGAGATTGCAAATAACTATAGTCACAATTGAAAAGATAATTTTTTTTCTCCACATTAGGTAAAAATACTGCTGAAGAAGGCCAAAAGTCATCTGTACCACTGCTTTCACACTTTGAACACCAAAATCTCGGCAAAAAATGACTCATACCAAAGAGTTCATTCTCCCTATCCTTCTTCAAGTATAATTTGCATCCAGCTTTAGAAGGAAGGCCATTACAATCATAATATCCATATAAGCATGCCAGATGACCAAGAGAGAGAGAAATGACTTTCTTGACTTGCTCATTTTTCTCTTTTTTAAGAGTCCTGAAAGAGGATAAAAGAAGATTGAACGGTAAACTGACTTAAGTACGCGATGCCAAAACTCAGAGCAGTATGCTGAAAGAATATTTCACTCTAATCAACCCCACTGGAAAGGCAATTTTCCAAACTCTAGAAAATTAAGAAACAAGAGGCACATGCTACAAATTTACTATCAGAGCTAACAACACAGAAGAAAAATTTTAAACAAACATAAACTGTCAATGGAAACATATTAACAGGACTTTTGAATTAGAGATCATGATCAACAATGAGAACAGACATTTTTGGGTTAAGAGACAAAAAGAGTGCAAACAAAGGTGATTATCTACAGCACCAAGGAGATAAAGGTGATCATAAAAAAGTTACATCATCAGAATAAATTTGTCAGTGCTCAAAGAAACTAGAGGCTTTTCTATCAAACAAATTTACTTTATAATATGCATGCTATTTGAGCTGGGTTTCACACAACGGCGCAATCTGGTAGGTGGAAAGTTATTCTGCACTTACTCCAGCCTATTGAACATGGGCATCAGAAAATCAGCACCAGCAAACAACACAATCACAGGCATTGATATGATAGCTTCAATTCTAACTTCTACTTCTTCATCACAGAGCCCCAAATCCAGAATATCAAGATCAACACCTTGCCATGTTATGCACCCAATCTTTGATAGAATACGAATTGAAAGACATTTTGCCTTCCAGGAAGCAAGATCACAGGATTCTGTAATGGATGAAGCACAGGTCCATGGAAGCCTCAGCACTGGCCGCAAGATATCTCCAATATCACCAATATTTTCAAAGATCGCAAGTCTATTCTCTTTAGATAGCGACCCTAAGGTAAGTTAATAAGTCATGTTAGTTTCAACAAGAAGATTTTATCAGCAGCTGCTTGATTGAAAGCACATGTCCAAATTTAGAAAATATTAAGGAGAGAGAAAAATAACTCATAACAATGCCATGCGGGTATTTGTTAATACTAAGCTCACCAGCAGTTTCATTACCTTGTGCAAGCAGTAAGCTGTCAACTGCTTCTAGAAAAATAGACATGCCAACAGGAAATGAAGTTTGTTGCTTCCCTTGCTAAGTTAATCAATACGGAAATGGTAAGGTCAAACTAATATAATGGTGAAGAAGAAGAAAAAAAAATGAATGACAAACCTGCTCAGAAATCCAAGAAAGCCACTTGCACATTTTCTGAAATATGCAAAGGGAAAGGTCTTCATGAGGGTGCTCAGAAAAAACAATACAGAGGGTGCTAATAGCTGCGAGCTCAATTTCTATCCTCAATGAATTAGAGTTCTCCCCGGGGGGATTTAGGAAATCAAGCAATAGATTTAACGAAGAGCACATCAAATCAGCATATTCTTTCTCCATAACACAGGGAACTGTGCAGACAAACTTGCATTCATCCTGGGATTTTGAGCAAGAATACTTTAACTTTTGGCGCTTTGCTTCCATTGGTATAATATCCTCTCTGGGTCTTTTGCTTCCAAATTTTGAGATTACAATTTCAGTATCCCTTAACTTCGGCAGAACAACATCAGCATCTTCAGTCATTATCCTTCCAACAAGATTAGGACCAAGACTGGTAATAGCAGCTCTGAAGCAATCTATTAAATGAAAACTGGTGTTTGATGAATAAAGCAGTGATATGAGACATTCTGGTCTCCACAAATAAGGAGGGCATGTCTTTACAATTCGTATGTACGCATTACACAAACCAGCCTGAAAAATTAGCAATGATGAAATAGTAAAATTACGAGAAAATAAGATTCAAAGAATTGCCTCAGTTAAAAGTACGTATATGTGAAAGTTGGTATTTCTTTTCCACTCATTTTTTCATCTCTAGTGTGTCTATTTTTCCTTCCTTTATTATTGAATTGATAGGAAGTCTCTTATTAAGACCCTATGAATTGATTAAAACCTCAGCTTCATACTAGAATCACAATGATGCCAAGGATTCGTTTAGTAAGAGCCACTGGACAATGAGGTGAGAGAGACATGAGAATAAAAGATGATCATGCAGCACCCCAATAACACATTTTCTATTTATTACATTTGAAATTGAAATTCGAAAGTGGTAAGTGGTTAACATGTGCATGTATGTCATTAACCTTCAGTTCCAAGCTACTTGTCTTTAGCATTGATTCAGGAAATATGTACAATATCTCAGCTGCTGTTGACCTGACAACATGCTCAGGACAACTAGAATGCAAGGACTGAAGACATCCTCCCAGAGAAGAATCATAAACTGCACTTCTGCAATAAAAATATCAAGGTCCATGAGGAAGAAAATAAAGCATAGCTAAAACAGCAGACTCAGACAAAACTAGGGTTGCAAAACACATGAATGGACATAAGGTCTCAACTGGTTTTTATATTGTTTCCCATTTCAATATTGTTTAATGCCATCAAAAAAAAATCAGAGTGACTCACTCAAAGTAGGGTTCCTGATCCATTGCAAGCAACAGGGTTTGCAATTCATTAGCCCTGAAGCAAGGTTCATTGACCATCATATGTAACAGGTGTGATTGGTGTTTTGGATGTGAAATTTTTAAATAGAAAGTTAGAAATAAGTTTTAGATATAATCTTTCAAATGGAAAATAGGTATTAGATATGATAGCTTTTATGAGGACAATATATATACTGTATATTGCATATTGCACAAGTAATTATGCAACCTAAGTTTCTTGGATGCTAGTTGCTCAAATTGATATACAGGTATTTCAGATGGAATAAAGTACAAATTTTAAAGAGAGCAATCTCTGAATTGCATAGACATATTTTATTCCAGAGAAAGCATATGTACCTGAATACTGAAACTCCCTCAACATCTTTGCTTAGAATGATTGTCATTGACTGGATTAGTTTCTCTGAAGGAAGAATCTCATAGTTTCTCCCGGCTCTAACCATCCGTACAAAATCAAAGCATGCCTTCACAGAACTTCAGAAGTTAGATGTCCTGTTTTATAATCTAGAAGAATTTGTTGTCATTAAGAAAATTTAAAGGTAGATATTGAACAAATTTACTTACCATGTGCAAATCATCATCTCCGTAGCACAAAAGCTTGCAGACTGACGAAACACATGAGCCATCCAAAAGCCCTTCAACATATAATGTTCCTTCAGTCAAACATTTACATAGAAGCTTGATGGTGGAAGTGGCAAAGGCTCGGAACCTTTCTTTTCCCATAACATTAATCAATATTCCGTCTCCACTAGCAGATGTGTTGAACGTTGGAAGACCACCAAGAAGAGCAGGATCATTTTGTATTCTGGAAAATGACTCACAGAAAGACTTCAACAAGATACTTTTCTGTCCCACAGATCTTCTCTGATCACAAACGGAGGCAACATATACAAGATCTAGGAAAACATCCAGGTAATTAAAGCAGATTCTTGTAGAAAATACAGAATAAATAACACACCATGAAAGAGATATATACACCTTCAGTCAACGACATAGCATCCAAGAAGAATTGTCTGTATGCATCTCTATCACCAGTGCGAAGCAAGGATAGCAGAGATCCAACAATCTCAACAATAACTCCATGTCGGGGGCTGAATAAAAAGAGAGAGAAGTACACACTCATGAAATTAAATAAATAAGACCAAAAATTTAATAAAATCTTGAAACTCAAAAACCAAAACAAGACTGCCATTGCAAATCACCCTCAAGCGAACAAACTACAAGTGCAGACATGATACGAAGCAAAAATCCCTCATCCACTCTTCTCGATAATAGAAATAACACATATAAGCATAAGCATGGTAAGGAAAGAAATGGAGGGAGCGACAGACCGGAATGCGGGCTCCGCAAGAAAAGGTAACACTCGGCCTACAACAGGAAGCACAGCACTGGCCCTCCCGTGATAGAAAACTCCGGGGAAATTCTTGGCGGTGTGTGACAAAAGCTTGAGCACGGCAATCACCTCCCTCTCTCTGGCTGTAAGAGATGGTCATATTAGTAAAGTATTGTTGTGAAAGAGAATGTCGAGGTTGGTCGATCGGTTGGAAGATGGAAGTAGCAGTGCAGTACTAAAAGAGTTTGAGGGTCGGGACATACCGGCGGAAGAGGAAGGGACAACGTAGGCTTGGAGGAGATTGGGCAGTACGGCGCGGAAGCGAGACTGCAAGGCTTCATCGTTTTGTTTGTCGGGAGGGGTTGATGATGACGAGGCAATGCGTTCCCGGAGTTCGTGAACCAGACTGGACAAATTCGCCATCAGCTCCGACCACTGCCACTGCGTGCACTCTCTCTCCCACAGCCACAGCCACTGCCTGTGCCTCAGTTAGTCCTTACCGTGGTTGCCTGTTCTTCATTTTGTTGCTGCTTCTGTTGCGTGGGTCGGCCGTCACTCGTCGGCGGGCTGGTGGAGTCAGAGCAGAGTGAGGAAGGGAGGGTAAACTTAAACTGCTTGTATATGTAGAGGGAAACTTGTATTTCGAACAGAATGTCACATATGTCAAAATATAAATGAATAAATAAATAATCTGCTATTCTCTGCTTGTGTGTTTTTTTCAATCTATGAGTTTACTACTGTAGACCTTTCTTTTAATTTAATTACTTGTAGTAGTATATTCTTAAATGGCAAAATGCCATTCTCACTGTACCTAAACTATTAATTGATTGATTCCAAAATAACATACATACAGACAGACAGCTAAAGTCAAGTCTGTGACTCACTGCTATGGTAAGGTATGGGGTCTTGCTGTTTCTTACCTTAGAAGTGAGCACCAGACATCACATTTACATGTACATACCAATTAAGACTGACAGGCCAAACAACAAATATGTGCACAACCAACTCAACATTATTAGAGTCTGCAGCACCCCAGAAACAAATTGCACCGACAAGCAGTCATTCATTCAAATAGGTCTGCTACATCGGCACCATCTTCCATCTCCTCATCACTCATGTTGTCTCCTCCCAGCAGCCACTGCTCCAACTCGTCGACTTCTTCATAGTCCTGCAAATAGATTCCATCCAAGTCGTCCCATTGATCTGTCCCTAACTCCTCCCCCCTAGTGGCAACATGCACGTATGGTCTACTTCTTGCCAGAGCATCCACCACGTCTCTGTTCACAGATCCCGTCACCCCTAACCACTTTAATCTTGGGAAATAAGGTTTCTTCAGCCACCGGAAGGCAAGCTGAGTAATGCCTCCACAGTTGTAAATATCCAGCAACCTCAAGCTACTCCCATGCCACACGTTTTCGTCAATCTGCATTGAGGCTAAAGCCATGACAGAGGTATCCCCAATGAGAGGGCATTGTCTAAGTCGGAGCGCAGAGATTGGGATGCGACTTTTAGCCAATAAAAGCACCCCGGCATCAGAGAGGTTAGGGAGATTTGACAGGTCGAGTTCTCTCAGCTCCAGGATGGTGTGTCCATCAAACAAGGAAGAAATGCACCTGTCAGTAAGTCTCTTACATCCCCTCAAAGACAATGAAACAAGGCTTCTACTCATCAAGCCCTTGCCTACGTAGGACAACCCCACATCACTTATATCACAGCCATCCATGAGTAGTGATCTTAGCTTGGCTAGTGTGCTGATAGCTTGGAGCGCATCATCTCCAAGGTTTCTACAATCCCTCAAGTCAAGAACACTGAGTTCTCCATTGGATACCAATCTTGCAACAGCTAGATTTGTTAAGAGATTACACCACCTTAGGCCAACATGAGTCAATGAAAGTGATGTTGCAATAATATCGTGAAAAACCAGGTCAGTTAGATGAGTTCCATAAAATACTTTAAGCCTACATAACCTAGAGCAGGAATGCAGGATTGTTTTATAGCCAGTATCCGTCACCTGACAAAAGCCACCAAGACAGATGCTCTCCATGGCTGAGCATTTGTCGGCCATGAGAAGGATTCCAAGATCATTCACACGCTTGAAATATACAGGAGCAATCTCCTGGCTTCTTACCAAACAGAGGTGTTTCAGTTTGCCATGTGCATTGATTTGTTGAAGACCATTATTGGTTAGATCAAATGCCATTCTAGGTTCCATTATAGGAGAATCTCGAAGATCCAGGTGGGTCAAGGAAGCAAGACATTTTGATATTGTGCTTACCATTATGTCAGTAATGTAGTCCACAGAAAGGCATAGTTTCTGTAGATTTGGCAATATGGTTGAGCAATGATTTGATGATTGACTAGGTCCTGCAGCAGGGCTAAGCAGTTCAGCTACCATTACTGAAGAAATATAGCCAATTTCAAGAGAAGTGAGTTTCCATGAGGCCAGTGCCCAGACTAGTGCAAAGTTTTGATGCAAAAATATGGAAACATCAAACATCAGGATCAGTGTCTGCAAAACAATATTTAGAGAAGGATTAACACAAAAAGCACTAATGCTGTCACAAATACAAGAAGGGCATGTTCGTTGCGCACAGATCTCTAAGGAATCCAAATACGTCAAGGGATCATTAAGTGTATGTCAATATATTATAATCAATTCTGGCTGCCACACTAGCTGATAACTTCATAGATTCTAAAATATTTTCGGAAGAGCAGTACAATCTACCTTGCTTTTTATTACAATACCTGAAAGTTTAGAAACATTACTATGTTGAATTCAAATTTCAGAAAAGATATCTAAATATCCAGTTTTTATACCCATTTCTAATCAGCATTCAATACCACAATTATTTAACTACCAAATACAGTATTGCCATAGCCATTAGATCATAAGGGGATCAATTTGATTTCAAGAGTACTATATCAATTTTTATGGTGTTTCTATCATGGAGATGCCAAAAGAATGTAAGCAAGTATGATGCAAGAAAAGATGATCAGAATCATATAAAATCCCCGGGAATGAAAGCTATGGAGATGACTCTAAATAGCCATAACAAAAGGACACGGATAAAAAAATGCATTTGTCCATTTTATCCGGTAACAGAACAAAATCCTGTAAACTAATTTTATCAATTTAGAATAGAATGGAACCATAAGTAAACCCTTACTTCTAAATGGGTGCAGCCACTGAGGAGTTCCTCCAGATGCAATACATCAATTGTTCGCCCCATTTTCTCAGCTACCGAACTCAGGTACAGAAACCTGAAGGCATCATTTATTAAAAATATATATACTTCAGAGAATCATCAAAAGTGCTCAAACTCAACCATTAGATGGAATCCACAATCAAAGGGCAATGAAGTTGACAACATCAAAAGAGACAAACCAGCAACTAGAAAATTGGCACAGCTAACGCAAAATCTAGCTGTAAATACAAAAATGTGCTATGTTGCAAAGCAGGTGTCCACTAAAAAGCGGACCTGAGGTGTTTGCAATTGTTCCCCAGTTGAGACAGAAGCTTGCCGCTAAAATCCGTGCAATTACGGAGGGACAGCTCGTGCAGAGAGGGACGAATCAGAATATCCAAGGAAGAGTCATCTAGCCGCGTGCAGTCCAACTTGAGGCTCCTCAAATGTGGGTTGTTCAGAGGCAGCAATGGCTTTAACAAATCCGCAGACGGCGCCATATCCTAAAATTGTCAAACAAGAGAAACGGAAAATTAATTGGCAAGATAGAAGAAAGCAGATCTATGGGATGGGCTCAGCACTCTAATTATACATATAATTCAGCACTCACGGGAAGATGGAAGTTTGGGAGGAAAGAAAGGGTGTGAGCGGCGCAGCAGCGGAAGGCTTTACAAGTGGAGGCAAGTGAAAGAATAGAGGGAACGTCGAGCTTCGTCATGATGGTGGCGATTATAGCGGTGGGGAGCTGGTGGAGATTCGGATCCGCCTTCTCCATTGTCAAATTCCCTCTCTCTCTGTCTTTTCTCTCTTCCCCCTTCCCCCTTCCCCCTTCCCCGTTGCGTTGCGTTGAGTGCTTTTGACCCTTAACAGGTTGATTTATCCCGTCCGTCTTGTCCTTTAAACTCTTTAGTCAGCCGTAGGCGAATTTTGAGATTTCTTGCTAGGTGCGTGCATTACCGATTAACACTTTTTTTCATTTTTATCTATCTCACCTAACAATTGACGTATTTTTATTTTTATTTAGTCAGCGCCAAGACTAAATAAAAATTAACTATATTAATTAATATTATTAAATTATCTAATTAATATAAGTATATATATTTATGTTTTTAACTATTCACGTGCTGAAAAAATAATTTCAGCATCAGATACATGTTGTTTATTTTTTTTAAAAATTATTAAATTTAAATATATTTAAAATTAACTATCTATCATATTTAAAATTAACTATCTAACATATAACACCATAAGTAGGACCTATTCAGAATCTATTTATTTATATCTTTCGTAAAAAAATAAATATTTAAATCTCTTTATTTATATTTCTCCTAAAAAAATAAATATTTATTTATTTATTTATTATAAAAAATTTTATTCTCCATAGTAGATATATTTTTTAATTACTATATAATTTTTAAATATTTAAATATATATATTTTGATTTTTTTAATCATATATATTATATTTACTTTCAAACTATAAATATTATTAATTATATAAAAAATAATATTATAACTAATTATTATTAACTAATTAAACATCCTTACTTTAAATACTGTGACCCTAATCAAATGATTCAATTTTGGTGGAACGAATGGAGTATATATATATATATATAATTAATTAACGTAATCTTTAAAGAAAATATCAAAATTCTAAAAAAAATTAAAATCCAATACTTTGCCCTAGCTCAGAAGCTCGACGTGAAACTACAAACATGTGAACAATGTCTAATCCACTACAACTTGAAATTTAACTAAAGGAGATCACTGCAAATCCATAAGACAGAAATTATGATTTCACTTTGTATGAAAACAAAGACACCGGTGTTCTTGAAAGAGCTTGGGTATTGATTATATAATAGGATGTAGTTTTAACAAATGTGGCTAGCAGTCAACTCATAACAATCATCTATTAAGTATTAACAGCACTACTCAGCAGACAACAGCAATTAAGTTCACTAAATCGTTAAATAAGGTAGTCAAATCAGGTAAGAAACTATGATAATCGCTACTGAAACTAGAACAGCCTCAGCCAGTGCTAGAGAGCAAATATACATGATACCACCACCCATTCTCCTCTGAACTCCATCACCAGTCAAGCTCTGTCAGGAGCATCTCCAGGTAATCTTCTGGGACCGAAATTTCCGGCATATGACCAGAGTTTATCCAAGTCCGCAGGTACAACCTTATCAGGCTTCTTGCTCAGCACTAGCGGTGGAGTAACAGAATTCCTAGGACTACTAGGTAGGGGAGGGGTTGAGCAAAATGTGGGTGTCGCAAACGGTGATGCATAGGGTGTGTGTTGAATTGAGAAAGGGCTTGGAGACATCTTCTTTTGAATAGGTAGGCCACTGAACCCTCCTCTGTTGAAAATCGACATGGACTCTGCTACAGCACATTTCAAGGTAGCATCATCTACATATAACACATCATCGATCCTCGCAATTATGTTGAATGCTAAGCTTTCCATTACTCTAGAATAGCTTTCCAGTATGGCGTGCCCAACATCCTGCAAGAAAAGAGTTTTCATGAAGTCTTTCACGACCAAGCATTATGTGGGAAAATATAGAAGAAAATTCGAAGGGGGAAAAGATCATCTATTGTAGTCAGTATAACTATTTCCCTGGGAGGGGAGCAACTCATTCATTGACAATGTAATTGTCTCTGATCCTACCCAACAGGTTGTTACCATTCTATAATCTTCTTGAATCCTCCTAACATGATTGTGATCCTGACAAATTGCAAGACAGAAACTAAAAAAGGAAAACCTGCAGAATAGCATAGTGTAGATTAACCACCTTGTTGTACTGAATTTTGCTCATGTCTAGTGCAGTTTGTGGAAGACCAGGAAATCTTAGTCTTAAACTTTGCAACAGGGTCTCAGCTCGTTGAGCTAGACAGAGACTCTTTTCTCCTTCCGTCACAAAGCCCTTCACCTTATCACCCCACAACTTCCGTTTAGATTTGTTACATTTAGAGTGTTTCTTCCGATCTTTCAGCTTCCACACATGCACAGCTGCCTCGATTCTGTTTGCCACATCTAGTGTATGATGTTCTGATGACAAGTTGAGGCAATCAAGAAGGCACTCAGGAGAGAACTGATCAGCAGTAACATAACGGTATATGATATCTCCAAGACAGTCTTTTCCCTTCTGCAATGATTTCCACACCAAGCACAAATTATAAAAGATGATGTTAAAATGTGCGTGAATTATCTTCTTATAATATAAGTTTCAAAATCTCAGAAACATGATGAAATAATTGACAGCTTGCTAGTGAGCATTGTATATTTGAAATATCATAGAAAACAATAGTGGATGAAGGTTGCTAGGTCACAAAAGATTAGAGAACTTCAGGAAAAATGTTAAGACTTTGCTGCACCATGTAACATAGTTGTATGTATAACTATAATAACAACTTATCATTTATCTTTTAAAAAGCAAAGAAAACACGCCCAAATAGTTCCATTTTCTAGAAACTCCCAATACACTTCTAGTAGGATGAGAGCAGAAATCACCTTGGGTAAGGATTCCAGGTAGGCAGTTGGTACGTCCATCTCAGCGAGAACATTGTTATTTATGGCCAAGGCTGCCTTGAGTATCTGGTTTGTGCAATCCCTACGTTGCTGCAACCACTTCCTTGCTTCTTCTGACAATCCCTTTGCAGGAACTTTAGGGCACGGAAGCCACCACTTCTCTTCTTGCCTAACTGAAGGTCTTTCACTCGCCATTCCAGATGAATACTCGTCGTAATCATCTAAAACTATCCCACGATCAACATACCAAAACTCAATGTCGTGAAAGCCATCAAGTATGCTAAGCAGCATTCCATCAAGCTTTTTGAGTGCTGGTAAGTTCATGTGCAGATCAGACCGCTGCCTTGGTGCCATTACCTCGTATTTGCTGCCACCAGGAACTTCTTGTATTGTTGGAACAAGTTCTACAATCCAATCACTCACAGATAAGAGCCACTCCATCTCTCTGCACCATATGGCCCTCTTTTGTGGAGCCAGAGGCTCCAACCTCCACAGTTCTCCAAATACAGTTGCTACAATTTCAAGCAATAATTAAAATAAGAATAAATCAAACCGTGATTACTTCACCTCATCTAGTTAGGCCGTTTGTAGACAGACAGTGGGAGGAAGTTACCAGAAAGATTGGTAATAGCATTTGAAATGGCTAATGCACTGCAAACTCCTTTACCACCTCCAGACATGTCTTCCCCGAGAAGAAGCTTGGAAAATCTTTCCTTCATCATCTCCATTTCTAAAAATGTGCACAGATATAAAAAGTACAAAATAATTAGGGTTTCAGATTCTACAAAATTCAATTTTATAAATTAACATATGCAATATAAAATAAATATGCCCAACATAGAGAACTAGATCAGCATCTTAAGTATGATGGATTATAACAATGCGAAGCTTGATTCTATTAAAAGCATTCATTTATTCAATCTATTATCAGGTTATTCAGATTTAAGAATGTATGAATACAAAATTAAACAATGCCGCAAAGCAAGCAATCCGGAAGCACATACCGGACGAATCGGTCCGGGGTTTATTCGGTTTCTCGTCCCACAGCACCACATCCTTCCCTCCAATGAGAGGGAAACTGAAGGTCGGCGTCAGAGGAGTGGAACAGCCGGGGGCGAAAGAAGAGAAACTCGCGGAACTGAAACCGCCGCCCTCGTCCTCCGCTAAATCGCCAGCTGAACTCTCCAACTCGCTAACGTCAGCGCTCATGCTATAGCTCCGTCGACTGTCTCCGTTCCCGTCCTCCTCCGAAGATACACTCTCCATTTATGTCTGATGTGAAAAAATAAAAGAGTAAAAACAGATGCTAAGAGATCTCAGATGCAAAATTCCGTTACCACTTACTAGCAATTAGGGAGGTTGCCGTTATGTGTGAATTCCTGCAGCGTCGTGTTGATAAAAGTGGCGGTGGTGGTGGTAGGGGAAGAGGAGGGAGTTGGAGTGGGACGGACACAAGTGAGAGAGAGAGAAATAAAGGTAGATAGATACGTGCAAAAGCACGCCGCAGAAGAGAGTGTCGCTCAATCTACCCCTGGCCACCTCTCTCTCTCTCTCTCCTCTCTCTCTCTCTCTCTCTCTCTCACACACACGCACACACTCACTCACATACAGACAGCCTGTGTGTAAGTGTAAATGTAATAGTCATCGTGTCTTTGGCTGGACTGGGCGTGTGGCGAGACGACTGTGGTGCGATTGTTCTTTGGTGGGCAACGGAACGGCGTTAGCCTTGCGGGTCGGGTCAGATTAGAGTTGTTGATAACGAACCGGACCTCGTGCCGACCCGTGTTCATATTCATGTCACCATATTAGTCTCTTCGCGTTCGTTTTATTTGACTGTAGATATATATATATTTAAAAAGTGTTTAATTAATAAATAATTAAAAATATATTAATAAAAATAATTACAAGTTAATATTAATATAATTTATTTATTTAATTAAAAAATAAATATTTTAATATAAAATTAAAATTTTTTTTAAAATAGAATCAAATAGACAAACGAAAATTAAAAAAAATGAACATAGATACCCATTGTAATTAAAATATATAAATACTAATTATTCATTTTTACTCGTCTTATTTACCTAATATGTAATTATGTACTTCATTGTATCCCAGTGAAGAAAGCATTTTTTTTCTTTTAATTGAAAATAGAAAAAAATCAGATTTTATTTTTTATTTTTTAATAATATATTAAAAATAATAATATTTTATTGATTAACAGAAATATATAAACTAATTTTGATATATTTATTTTTTACATACAAAAGCAAAAAATATTTCTATAAAAGATACGAGTATTTTTATATGTATATGTAAATTATTTTTACTTTAATAAAAATTTAATATTTTTTAATGCTATATATAAAAATAGGGTAAAAATAAAATTATAATATATCTTATTATATTAATGGATAGTATAATCATATAATAAAATAATTCTATATTTATTTTAACTTAACTATTAATAAAAATCAAAATAATCTTGTAACATTAATAATATTTTAGTATAATCTAATTTTACATTAATTATGCTACTATTATGCAATATTTTATTTTATTATGTGCTCTAATAATATACAATAAATATGTAATTAATTGGAAAAAATAATGTATCTACCTTAATTACTCAAAATAAAGGTATCCAACTCGATACTACGTCATTAATTTATATATAAAAAATAATTATAAATTAAAATTAAAATAATTAAATAATTTAAATAAAATTACAAAATTATAAATTATGAAATTTAAAATGCTATTAAAGTGTATAATAATTTTCTTTTTTAAAAAAATAAAATAAAATTATGTGGTAGTTAACAAAAATAAATAAAATAAACACTTTATATAGAACGGATGGAATAATATATTATGTTTAATATTAACTTTTGATATAGAATATAGTCGTTATTGAAAGGCTCAGAGGTTGACAGATCTTTTAAGACTTCCAAGATTTGCAGATCTAGGTGTTACAATTAGTATCAAAACTGATCTACAACAGTCCATACTCTTTGTTAAAAGGCTTAGCTGTTGATGAACCCTTGAGGCTTGTGTGACGTGCGGAACTCCATAGTCATTGTTGAGAAGTTTAGCGGTTACTTGCTTGTAAGCCAGGTGTTATAGTAAGAGGCTTAGCAACTGATAGATTCTTGAGTTGCAATATGTATGTTATATTCTTAAGTAAAAAATGATGTAATATTATGAAAGGTGTGTCAAATTTAAATTGATTTTCACATCAATAATGTAAACTAGTTAAATGTGACATGTATAGGTACCATTCTAAATGCATGGGGTCTTTCAGATAATAAGTAAACACATAAATATGGAGTATTACACAAACAGGTAGAAAACAGCAATTAACTCTTCAAAAAATTAATTTAATTATTTGATTGTGTTTTGTATCCTTGTTCATATCATTGGAATATAATAAACAATATATCACTCATCAATCATTAGCAATATCTTTTTAATATATTTTTTTTCTTCATCGAACAACAATCCAAAAGCATACACGCATATAATATAAGCTTTCATATATCTTTTCTAAATATATTAATCGAGTTGCTCGCTAATATTAAACAAAAAGCTACCTTGTGCTTGCCCCGCAAGACACGTATAAATTTTAAATTTATGCAAAAGATACTCTACTAATTAAAGAGACAACAAAATATATAATCATCCATTTTGATATATATATATTTTATATATATAACGTGAAAATTCGCATCCGCTACTTCTCGAGTGCGCTCAGGATAATTCAATCGAATCTAATACCTTACAAACTAGACTTAATAAAGCAAGTCACACTAAACGAATCATATGTAATAACGAGACAGACTATTGAGGGTTAAAGAAGCTAACTTGGACGCCCGTGTCTATAAGAAGGTAGAGACTGGCAGCCGTAAGGAGGGCACTCAATGCCATCCCGAGCAGTCCCAATCCCCAATTGAGGCACCAGGTGAGGCCATACCTCTTTGGTTTCTTCATTTTGAGCCACATGAAGCAGGGGTACGCCAATGTCACCGGCAGCGAGATCCCGCCCACCAGCCCCGCCATGCTTCCCAGAAACGGCATCGCCACCGCCACAAAGAAGCACATGAATCCGCTTACCGTCCGGATCAAGGCCCGTAGCCACCAGGGGCAAGCCTTCTTGAAACTCTTGGTGTACGCCGACTCCACGTCGTCGAACATCGGCATCCCATATATTTGGAATGAGCTCAGCGCATTTATGACCACAAAGGAACTTATCAGTCCCAGCACTGGCCGTGCCACGTCTTGCCCGTGGAACGCATACACGGCCGTTAGCATGCTACCATTCGCTGGGATCTGTCATATCATATCATATCATGAATAATCATGGTAAACTATTTTTTAATTTCGTATATATTATTATTTTAGGATTTTAAGTGGAATATGTGTAAAAATCGTCTCGTAAGTAAAATGCTTTTGCTAAAATGGTCCTCTGATGTCGAACTCACCATAATGTCTGTCGTTGCTGACGTGGCACTAACGTAGATCACATGTCATCGCCAAGTGGCAGCGACACATTGAATTTTTTTTAAAATTTTTTATTTTACTAAATGTCTTGGTAAACTATAATCATTTAAATGGATTATATTTTAAAATAGTGCTGCAATTAAAATTTTTTCGTTAAAATATCCTTCAACGTGGCATCTACGTGACGATGATATATTAGCAGCGAGTCCGATACCAGAAGACTAGTGTAATGAAAAAAATTTCTTGCAAAATCATTTTCAGATGGATCATGAAAGTCCTAAGACGACAAAAGGTAAAACACACAAAAAAAAAATTAAAAAAGAAAAACAGTCTATCTAAATTAAATAGATAATAATAAGAAGAATAATTACCATTCGACCGTAGGCCCAGTATCCGACTATGGCGAGTGGGAATAAGCAGAGCGCTACAATCAAGTATGCTCCTTTGACGCCTCTCCACATGGGTACGCTCGATGGATGCTTTTCGCTCGAGGGCATGGTCGCCTGCATGCATCCAAAGCTACTACTAATTAATAAGTGCTGATTGACTTTCGTTTATAGATAAATAAATAAATAAACGGTGTGGCGGGGCTTGCCTGGATTTCAAGGATGAGGTTATGTCCCCTAAACGCGAAAGCAACGATCCCAACGGCATTCAGCACGCTGAAAATCCTCTGAATTTCTGTTCCAGCCCTAATTGGATTGTACGACACGTTGGGCAGCCTGCCCTCCGCCACCGACACCGCCCAAATGGCGGTGCAGTAGCCAACTGCTGTGAGGGATCCGACGAGTGAAACTCCGGCGATGGAGTTCAGGTTGGGCAGCTGTGACAGCAGCACGGCTGCGCAGGTGAACACAAGGTACCACTCCACGCTCGTCAGCGGCTTCGGATTACTGCAATTAGGCCCGCACAGAGTCTCGTAAAGCAACTTGGAGGTCGAGCCGCCAATCACGATCAGAGCCACGCATGTGCCGCTCGACAAGTACATGATTGGAACTGCAGCCAGGACTTTGGATAGCTTATCCCCTGCATCGCATTCATGAATTGATCGATCATGAGTAACACTTACCCATTGATTGATTAGGCTAGCTAATTAATTATATAAATACCGAATGTGGCGCTGGCCAATTGCATGTATCTGCTGTACCGAATTCCATTTTCGGGAGACTCGTGGAGCTGCACCAGCAAGTAGAGAGTGTATAGCTGCCAGATGAAGGCCGCAGTCAAGTGAATAATACCCCACGTCCTGCAGAACAATATATATATATATATATATATAATTACTTCGACATTATATGTATGTATCGTGTATGTATGTATGTGTGTGTATGTATATACCCACCAGCCTAGAATGGTGAAAGCAACGGGGAGCACAAGAGCCTGGACCCCAATCCCGGAGCACAGAGTATGATAAGCGGCGTAATAAGCATTTCCATTCCTGGACTCGGTGATGGGAAGCCAGGCATCCTGGGGGTCAAGTTTCGTGAGTTTAATGGCTTTCCTCAAAGGGCTGCCCAGGGGGGTGATGAACCGAGGGGTTCTGATTATTCTCGGCGTTGTCGTGGATGATTTCTTCTTGTTGGTGCCGCCGGGAGTGAGCAGCGGCGACCGGGAAAGGGAGGGGGAGTGGTACTGCGACGGAGGGAGGGACACGATCGGCGGAGTTGGAGCCGCCGGAGTTGGGGGGCGTGGGGTTATTGGTGCTGATGATGCAGAATAAGGTTGCGCCGCCGCACTATTACCAGCTTCGTCGTTGTAATGGAGAGGAGCATCACCCATTCTTAACAATCAATCAATTGCCACCTAGCTATGATCTGATCTGATCTGATCTATCTAATTAAAAGCTTGATCTAATTACCAATTAGGTTGCTCTGGCAGGCTCTTCAATTCTACCTCGATCGATCGGCTAGAAATTAATATAACTGGCGGTTTATTATTTGTCGAAGATATCTATGAAGATTGAAGGTGGGTTAAAGGTTTGGATGGGGCTGAACTGAAGTGAGCTGAGCTGAGGTGGGTAACCGCAGTTTGGCTCTCTTCTGTGCACTCCTCCTCTTCGACTTCCGGTGTTAAGCGTGAAATACCAGTGCGCGTGTGTATTTATAGTAAATTTAAGGGTGTATTTGTTTGGAGATTGGATTTTAAATACGCTGTTCTTTCCATTTTTTTTCTTAAAAAATATCAAATCAAACACTTATTTTTTATTTTTTATATTATACTAAAAATCAATTTTATCGATTCTTATTTATATCACATCATACAACTATTCAAATTTATAATTTTTACTATTCAAATTCCAACTCAAAATTCAAACTCCAAAACAGTATAACATCCCTTCTATAATTGCATTGTATAGATATATTTTTAATGTAGTTTAAAGTTTTAAATTGGTGTAAAAGTAATATTAATTACTATTATACTAGATTGTAATGAATAGTACAAAAATATCATACTTAATGATATTTGTATAATATATTGTAAGTTGAATAGATATTTATTATATTACAAAGATAATACAATTATTAAAAAAATAATTTTAATATACAAAATTATTCTACTTTATATATAATAAAATCGTACATACTAAAAAAAATAAAATGAATAATTCGTATTTGAATAATAATATAACAAAATATATACTTATCAGACCAAAAAAAAGTAAAAACTAAATATGAAAATATATAATCGAACATATTATCTTTAATAAAAATATAAATTTTAAATAATATTTAGGTATTAACTATATTTTAAATATAATATTCTTAAACAAATAAATTTTAACTAACAATGCAAAAACAACTGAGTTAAAAATATAAATGTGCATTATTTTTTTTTCAGTAAAATACAATATGTGTGTTCTTTCACATTTTCCAAACGATATATTTTTTTAAAAAAATTGATATATTATACTTATTTATTATTTTTATATTATTTAATAATTTACATAGAAAATTATATTTTCAGACAATGTTCCAGAAATAAGCATTATATGACTTCTCAACAGGTTATTCATTCTAAAACTAATCACACAAACATGTTTAATTTTAAAATTTTGATGAAATTAGATATTTTTAGGCTGCTATGGATTGTGTTGTAACATTGTTTACTTAGACTATTATTTTACTATTTCTATTATTTAAATTTATTTATATTTTGTCATAATATATATGCTTATCTTATTAATAAAAAATATTTTATTTTTGTCCCGTAAATGATGACTTAGTGTGGAAGATATGTTATAAATTCAAACCCTTGACGCCTTTAGGTTATCTACAATACATGATTCACTTAGTATGACTTGCCTGCCAAACTTAATTTGCAGAGTGCATTTTCATATAGCAGCTTTGATTCTCACCTCATAAAATATATATATATTCTATTTTTTTATGTTTTTATTATAAAAAGAAATTATAAAAGAAATATACACCCGTCAAATGTGTGCCCAAGGTAAATAAATACTGGTAACGACATACATTTATTGATATATTTAAAGAGAAAAATTAAGGGTGTGTTTGTTTGGGAGAGTGAATTTTAAATATACTATTCATCCATTTATTAAATCAAAAATTTATTTTTTATTTTTTATATTATATTAAAAATTAATTTTATATTCAAAACATCATATCAACTCCTATTTATATCACATCGTAAAACTATTCAAATTCAAAATTTTTATTATTTAAATTCTAACTCAAAATTCGAACTTCGAAACAAGCACATCCTAAGTGGCTAGTGTGTGTAAGTTGACCGCCACTGCTTGGGTCTTTGGACAAAAATTGACCGCGAGGAAGAAAAGAAAGCTAGCAGATAGACAAGAAAAAACAAGAAAATGTCACTAATTACATACATAAAATATATTTTAAAGGGAAATAATAATAATAATAATAAGTAGGTGGTTAGTGTATGTAAGTTGACCACCAAGGCTTTGGTCCAAGGACGAAAATTGACCATGAGGAAGAAAATAAAAAAGGCAACAAAATAGATAGACAAAAATAATGGATGGAGGCTGGCAAGTGGCAACACTATTTCTTGATTGATTCATTTAACTACATGTTGAAAGGTCTTCTTTGGGTTCTTGCATTATTACACAAAAATGACTACCAGAGGTCATATTTGGGTGCCCATTTGTTCAGACTACAAAGGCCACGTATGCATGACTCATAAGTAGAAGAAAAGGAATTCGTCAATTAATACATATAAAATCATTTTGTATTTTTAAGTTTTTTTTTTTTTTCCCTTTTCGTTTTCAACCGGATGAGTACACATTAATTTTATTTTAGATATTAAATATTTTCAAATTTAACAAATTACATGAAAGAAAATAATATTTATAGTTAATTAACGTATGTGTATATCATATCAACATATACTGCCAAATAAATTCTTTGAAAAATTGGCATGAAGGATCAATATGTTATTAATATTTTTTTGACGTTCGGTAAAATTAGTTACTTTAGTTCCCCGCACGAAGATTAAAAAAATACATATTTATTACCCTTTATTTTTCACATAATTTGTTTTATTTTTTATTTTCGATGTAATTTGTCATTTTTTAAAAATATAATTATATACTTTAATCATATTTTATAATTTTACAAATTTTAGTTTTAATCTATAATTAAGTATATATATGTAATATTATATCTACAAAATATATAATATAAATTGAAATTAGTTTAAAAAATTAGCTATAAAATAAATATGGTAAACAAACCAATGTATTAATTTGTATATAATACTATTATAAATTATAAATATTGATGGAATGTTCGTAGAGTTAATTTTCGAAAATGTTGACTTATTTATACACATATGTCTTAATTATAAAAATAAGTGTAATTATTAACAATTAAATAAATAACCAGTTGGAAATGTGTTACTAATAAGTCCGAGAACGAAAGGATTTGTTCACCAATATATATATTTTTTATATGCACGATTCTTATAAATATTATAAACAAATATAATATATATTCATATTATGTTTTATGACGCGATTCTTTTCACCTATCACCAAAGACAAACTCATCCGAAAACGCAATATTTTTAATATAAAAACAATTAATTATATTTTATTTTTATATCACTCTCGAATAAAGAAATAAATATATATATATATATATATATTTTACTTTTCTTCGTCACATCATCACGAAGGTTAACGGTCTATTTACACAATATATTTGCACTTATTTGGTATTATTTATTTTTAAAAAATATCGTATTCCCTCCGTCCATTTTCTAATGTCCTATTTGATATTTACACGTATTTTTTAGAAAATTAATTTTTTTGTTATAAAATAACAAATTTGCCCTTAACCTTGTGTATAAAAAATGAAAAAGTAAATAAAGTAAAGGCAAAAGAGTAAATTTCATGTATAAAAATAGAAAGAGGACGTTACACATTCCAATTAGAAAAATAGGACGTTAGCGGACGAAATGAGTATTAAATATATTTTTTTTATCATAAAATATTAAATTAAATATTAATTTTTTATTATTTTTCTTTTTTTTCAAACCTTTAAAATTTTCAAAAACTTGTGTCTAAACACACCCTTAATGATTGCCTGGGGTATTTGAATTCAAAGGTATCCTGTTTTGCAAATTGCAACGTCCACCACACATCTTCACCAACAACTTCTCCAACTACAAAGGCCTCGAATTATTTCAGGATTATTTTCGACGCCATTTTCGAGCTAGCTGTGGGAGATTCACCGGAGAATGAGTCAGTCAATCGTGGTTCCTCTCCTCTCAAGACAAACGCACAGAACAATCAATCGTGGCTCCTCTCCACAGTGCCTTGCCACGTGATCACAACCCCAACCAAGTACCGGCGCCGGAGCAAATGAAAGACCTCCGGTGAGTGGTGAGCATAAGAAGAAGAAGAAGAAGAAGGAGGTTGATTTTTTATTTTGACTTTTGGTCAAAATCAAAATTATAAAACTAATTGTTAAAAATTATATGTTCCCACGTGTCGTTGATATATTGGTTCATTGCTCCAGCCTGTCGAATTCAATTCCCAAGGATCATTTTTGCCAAATAAAAATTATTTATTGGGCAGTTAATTAGAATCCTAAAATAATAATTTATTCATGATTAAAATAACTAAACTAATAAATATAATTAGTTTGAAATTTATATAATATTAAACATAATATGCATTCTAATTTACAGTAAATTAAAATAAATTAAACAAATATTAAGTATAATTCAAATTATGATTAAATTTATACTATTCATATTTTAATTTTATACAACTATATTTATAATAATTAATAAATTTAATCCAGAAAACCGATTATTTCCTGCGCACCTCTTCTTTTGTTTCAACCCAAATTTTCTTTCTTTCTTTCTTTCTTGTCAATATGCGACTTCATTTTTGCTTCCACCATAATTTTTTTTTTCAACTTAAAATGAATGACCGTAAGTTTTTTTCTTCTTCCCTAAAAGAAAGCAAGAATGCAAATAACAAAGAAATCGTAAAAACTAGATATTTTTGTAACAGGTAACAGGGCCTTTTCAATTCTGTCGATCCAACTCGACTGATATTGCTAATCTTAACTCACCCGATATAACCGATCTTTTAAAACAACCTTAATTTGCAACGGGATCGACATCTGCTGATCAAGTGAAGAGAAAAAAAAAAAAAAAAAGGAAAAAAATCTATCTAGTGAATGAAGGTAGGAATGTGAAAACAAAAAGTCAACTTGTCAGCCTCGTGACAACAAACAACATACAAGTCAAAGTCTTTCTTGCCCACTGTTCGGTGCACGACCCCTTCATTCTTTCTTTCTTCCTTCCCTCCACTCCCATCTCCATCTTCCTGATTTCCTCCTCAATTTTCTTCCATCTTCTTCCCCGACCCCACTAAAACAATTCTCATCTCTTCCCTCCTTACCATATATCTTCTGCAGATCGAAATCATCTCACCACCTCTTCCTTCCTTCATTCTGTTTTCGATTATTAAATTATATAATCAATTAACAATGGCGTCTTCCCCGGCCATGTTTTTCTCCTGTACCACTGCGCTTCTTTTCATGGCCCTTTCTTCCTCAAATTACTTGATCTTTGCCAATGCCAAGAGTCCCTTCCGCTGCAACTCCGGCGCCGCCGCCTGCACTGCTCTCGTCGGCTATGTACCCCCAAACGCCACCACTCTCTCCGCCGTCCAGACACTCTTCTCCATCGACAACCTCAGCACCATCCTCGGCGCAAACAACCTCCCCATCTCCAGTCCATCAAACTCCCCTGTCCCCGCCAATCGGTCCATCAACATCCCCTTCCCCTGCACCTGCTCCAACGGCACCGGACTTCCCAGTCAACCGCCGATCTACACCGTCGTCTCCGGCGACGGGCTCTACCACATAGCGGCTGAGGTCTTCTCCGGCCTGGTCACTTTCCAACAAATTCAGGCATATAATAGATTACCAGATGCCGACAATATTACCGTGGGGCAGCGTCTGCAAATACCGCTGCCGTGCAGCTGCGATGAGGTGGACGGGAACCAGGTACTGCACTACGGACACGTGGTGCAGAGCGGGAGCTCCCTGGAAGGGATTGCTCAGCAGTATAATACCTCACAGGCCACGCTGCAGAAGCTTAATGATTTGACCGATCCTCGAGAACTGGTCGCCGGCGATGTTCTTGACGTTCCTCTCAGAGGTATCTTTCCTTGTTTCATTCTTTCAATTAATCAATTGTCGATTGTCTTTGGGATAGATTTCTTGTGAATGAATTGATTTGATATAGGAGTAGGAAGGGTTTACTAGATCTGGTCGATAAATTAGGGCAGATGAAGAAGCTGACATTTGTGTCTCTGTTCTGACAGCTTGTTCTTCAGCTGTAAAGAATACCTCTCAGGACTATCCTCTACTTGTTTCCAATGGAACATACCTTACCACTGCCAGTGATTGCGTAGTCTGCGAGTGTGATGCCTCAATAAGCTGGAAGTAAGTTTGCAGAACCTTAATTGTTCTATACCTGATCAGGTGTGTCTTAACATGTATGATCTGGTCAGGTTACAGTGCAAACCATCCCAGAATTCTTCATCCCATTGTATCCAACCCAGATGCTCAAACTTGATTCTTGGAAACACCACAACCTCAGGTTGTAATCGAACAACATGTGCCTATGCTGGTTTCACTAACCAAACAATACAGACCACACTAGATTCGGAATCAATCTGCCCCGGTGAGTACATTAGCATTACTACTGACCTTTATGGTTTGATTTCTTCGATGACTGACTGACTGACTGACTTTGAGGCCTGTGTTGAGGTTTCAGGTTCTGGGAATAATGGATCGTCATCTGCAGGAAGCGATCGAGGAGGAGGCTGCTGGAGAGGGTGGACAGAAGCACTTCTACTTATCCATTTGTTGTTGCTTTGTACTTGTCTTGTCTAACAATGAAATGATCTTACACGCTTGTAATCAATCACTCTTCAGTTGGCCAACAGACTATGAAAATGAAAGTAAATCAATTATATATCAATGTATGATATCGATTAGTCCTGTAGGGCACATGAATGGAAAATCTAATTAAAAAGTAGAAAAGCCCATTTCTAACGTGACCCGTTTTACAAATTACAACGCCCCCCACCATAACAACCCATTCTCCACGCCATTCCAAATTAGCTTGAACAGTTGCAATCTAGGGCAGAGTGGGACGCAGGCAGGGAGGTATGGAAACCAGGCATCAGTCATTGCTCAAGAATAAATACTGGATTTTGAGACACGGCAAAAGCATTCCAAATGAAATGGGTCTTATTGTGTCATCCTTGGTCGGTCTGTTGATATCATATCCCCTTCATCGTAGTCATTTCATTTCATTCGCTTTATATATATCTTTCAGGAAAATGGGATCCAAGAAAAGTACCAACTGGCCTCTGATGGGATTAATCAGGCTCGTTTGGCTGGAGAATTGCTCTTCAAGGTAACTCTCGCCTCGCCCTGAATCATCTCCCTCTCTTTTTACTGTTCTTGTTTATTTAGTTGAGATTTATATCAGCTCTTGAGCTTGATTACAGCAAGTGTTGGTACTCTTACCCATCAAAATCACTTCGTAAAAACATTTCTGGATTTAAGTGATTAATTACCAATTCAGGAACTGGAAGAACAGAAGATTGGGTTAGAAAATGTAAGAATCTGCTATTCACCCTTCGCCCGGACCACCCAAACAGCGAAAATGGTTGCCTCTGTTTTAAATATTGCTTTTGAAAGCTTTCAATGCCAGGTAAAAGTTCATATCATGCACCACTTGCAATAGTTTTAATTGGGCATCGGGCATAACCAATAAATGGGTGCAGAAATTGAAATTTAAACAAAATAATCCATCATTTCTCAACAAATACCTAAACTCAAATGAAATTATGCATCCCTTACCAAAAGCCATTTCTCCTCATTTAATTTTTCATTCTCGTACAAAATCAAAAATAGTGAAAATATTTCATTTTTTTACTTCTAGAAATTGTATAACACCAATTTTGAATTTACTCTTATTATTCTACGAAAAGAAAGATAGATATATGGATTATTGCTCAATTGATTTGTCTAAAATGCAACTTTCAGAACATCTTGTTTATCCAGGTTGTTATTCTATTTTATATATAAATGTCCCCAACAAAACATTAGCCTAAGAGAGTAGTGATGGCTTTTGCAAGGTCAGATTCAACATGTGGCTTCATGAACGAAGTGTGTTACAGAAATTAGTAAATCCAATGCACCCCACTTAATAGTTTTATTGTATGAATGGCTCAAAAGTGGAGAAGCACCATATATATGTTCATATGTTGTTAATTGTATTGTCGATGGATTATGGTTTCATTTTCTTTAATTATGAATTGAGTTCTCTTGTTTTATCCTTAGCCAAGCCCTCTCTCACAATTTGCATGTCCTTGATTGATCTATTGCAGGTTGTTCACAACATTCGAGAACGATTCTTTGGTCCTTCATATGAGCTCAAGTCTCATGATAAAGTGAGTAATCTGTGCTGATGGTTAAGAAGGCAAGTGGGCTAATTTAGGTTATAAATGTGTTCCTTGTTCTCTTTTCTGTTGGAAAATTGCATGGCTCTGATTTTGCGGATCATGATAAAGTAAGTAGCTAGCGCCGGTAGTTGTATACAGAAATAAACCAATATAAGTGTTACCTATTTGTTTTTATTTTCCTCCTTTTGGTTAGTGATGGGATGACAGACTTGTTAATCTATATAGCACTATCTCAATAAACTTACAGTTAATTATCGTGCTTTTATCCTTTTTTTCCTCTATGAAGTATCCTGAGATTTGGGCCATGGATGAGATCAATCCATTCACGCAGCCTGAAGGAGGAGAAAGTGTTGCAGATGTTGCCACCAGGTTTACAAGAGCTTTGGGAATGATGGAATCAACATTTGAAAAGTAATTATAGTCATTTTTCTTCGCCTACTCTGCTGCTTATCATGTATTACTAATGTTGGAGAATCATTTGTTGGCATTAATTTTTATGGGTAATATATCTTCCTTGAAGGATATGTATCATAGTTACCTGTGCAGTGATTAGTTGTCCAACATCTTCCCCGAGCACGTGCTCTTTGCCATAGTTCATTCAACATCTTCCATGGAAAAAAAGATAATTAGGGGATTTCCATGAACTTGTGCTATTAGATGGAATCTAATCACTTTTTATTTTAATTTTATTATAGTTTTGAGTTGTGGCATTTGAATAATTAGCAGGAGTGATGATATTTCCTGTTTCTTTGTTATAGCTGTGCAGTTTTGGTGGTTAGCCATGGCGATCCTCTGCAGATTTTACAGGCAAGCATCAATGCAGCCAAGGAACACCGGGAAGCATCTGAAGCTGACTTTATATCGAGAATACAAGCAATCAAAGACCCGTCGGTTCTCTCACAGCACAGGACGTTTGCTCTGAATACCGGAGAACTCCGCCGCCTGGTGTAGTGTAGGCTGATTTATTCTGCAGGCATGCTATGCTGGAGGAATCTAAAATGTGGCTTTTTATCATAATTTATCTGGTGGTCTATAGTATCCTCTAACTTATTCCATTCTTTGGTTATAAGGATTATATTCATTTTTCATCCAAAATGCTTATTTTGACCATCAGTTACAAGAAGTCAATTTTTCACTAACAAAGGTGATAACACTATTGTATCACTTTTTAGATGCCATGCCAATATGTTAAAAATAAATAAATGAATTGTGTGGAACACTTATATAATTGCCATCAAGTATATATATGTGTGCTGAAACAAAATTTTATTAGAAAGGCTCATTTTGTGCCCTTGGGCCTTGTTAAGACAAGTCACATCTTCACACAAAAAGGGGAGGCTTGTGAATGTTTATGTTTTTGTTAAGGTAAGGTGCAGTGCATTTTGGGTAAATCCCAGGCACACAGGACTAACCATGTTGAACCCATGTCTTGATTGTTGAACCCATGTCTTGATGTTGCAGTTTATGGCTGACGAGTCCATCCTCACACCACAGAACTGTTTTTTTACAAGAGTTGATATTTAATTTTAACGAGAAATAATAAAATTTTAGGTTATAAATAAAATACAAAATATGTGATAAATTTTTACTAAAACACAGAGAATATTATATAATTTTTTCTATTATAATTACGAAAAATAATATAAAGCTTCGAGAATAGGTTGCAACAACTATTATTGCTCCAAAGGCTATTTTAAATATTTTATAATATTTGTCGGGGTACTTTTAGAACTGTCTTGCAATAAAGGGGCGGCCTTGCAATAAAGCAGAAGTAGGGGGTGAATTTATAGTTTGTGCTACTGCAATGGGCATTTGTGTGCACAGTTCTCCACTTCATTATTTCAGTTCAGTTCTGCGGTTCAAACCGAAAACGAAAACTCGGGGCCGCAGTGCCGAGCATCGATTAAAGTTTTACACCCGGCGTTGCAGAAGTGCAGGACTGAATGAGTGATAGGGCGAAGTACTTGGTGTTTCTCGGAGCCGGAGCCATTCTAGGCTCTGCTGTTACTGTTGCCATGGTGAAATTTTTGCCAAGGTATTAGAAAATTTCGCTTAACAAACTCTCATATTTAACACCATTTTTTTTACTGTTCAATATTTATATGCATCTAGTGGAGTTGGGATGTGTTTGTAAATGGAGTATATTATATTGGCCTGTGATTTGTAGAAGTTTGACTGGTATGTGATTAGTAGGTTTTTGGTTTTGATCACCTTGCAGGCGGATTGGAAGCCAATGCATGAATGCAGAGGTGGATGGATTTAAGGGTAAGTGATTGGCTCACAGTTGTTGTTTTTGAAAGGCAAGTAGTAATTTGTAAATACTAGATATGGAGCATTGCTATCTTTTTGATTTACAACTTCTAAAAAGTTGAAAACTGCCATTTGTGATTGGGAATTATTTGGGCTGTTTGGGAAGTTGTGTAATTTTCTAAAAATAACTAGTGGATCAGTTGCCTGAATGCTGTAGGATTTTATTGTTTATTGAACTATAGATTGGATAAATTATGTGTTATTTTGTTCCAAGAATGTAAGTTGATCCTGCAATGTGAAACTAAAGCTGATATTTGGAAAATACTACCCTATGGCAGGATATTAATACACTTTTCAACCGGAATATGAAATGAAATTCACTAGTAAAATATCTGGTCTTTTAAATGTTTTCGGTTATTTTTTATAATCTCAAAGTGTGAAGTCTGGAAACTGGAGTGCTTTTGGTTTCCTTATCACAGAGGCATATTGGCTTAATGCGGAGCTGAAACATTTGAGCTTTATTGCTCATGTTTTCAATATCCTTCTTGCACTATACAATTTATAATATGTTTTTTTGGTTCAATAATAACATTCTTTTCAATACCTACTTTGTACAGAACATGACATCTAACCACTGTTTTTCCCATAAAAAAACATAAATCCAGAATAAACCAAAGCACCAAAAATCCAAAGTGATTAACAAGAAAAAGAGTGTCATTGTAATCACTATAGGGTGTTTCTTATTGGTTTCATACAGTACCTTAAAATTCAGATGTGTAACTAGTAAAACAATATTAATTTTTTTTTTAATGCAGACCATGAGATGCCAGAGAATGTCAATCACATTCCTGTTGGCCCTGACCTTCTGATGGATGAAATCATGTCTGAGCAACTTACAAGGTGAAATAAGGTTCTGATGAGTATTTTGATGTTGAAGCCTTAGGATCTAGAATTTTTGTTTGTAGCATATAAAACAGCTGATGTTAATATATTGATTATCATACTGTACCTTGTTTTAGTTCTTATTATAATTGCAGGAATATTATGGGTTGACTGGAGCTGGGTAGATGGAATAATGGTTTCATTATATTCTTGATCTCTAGTTGCTTGACCTGTATCCATTGAATGGGGAGAATCTAACACATTTAGTCAAGAATAGTGTATCATATATAATTATTATTCAGGATGTGATTAGTCCAGAGATGTTCAGCAGAAGATATATATGCAAGATTGCAATTTAAACTTAATCAGAGTTGCTTCTTTCACCAGGAATATTCAATTTTTTGGCATTGAGCACCAAAAGAAAGTGGTATCTTCATATGTTGTGGTGATTGGTCTTGGAGGAGTAGGCAGTCATGCAGCATCCATGCTGTTGAGGTCGGGGGTAGGCAAGCTTCTCCTAGTGGATTTTGATCAGGTTTGAATTAAAATATACATTCTTCCCTCTAGTTGCCGAGTAACGCACTGGACTTTTTGTGAATCTTATATTACCTCTCTTCCATTCCTCTGTTATGACCAAGAACCTAGGAAGCTAGAAGACCATTGCATTTAAGAGATATGTGTTCTATTTCCATAGTCTTTTTCTGGAGTAAATCTAATGTAAAATCTTTTATTGACATCATTACAACAGAAAAGTTTTTTCAGACTAGAACTACAAGCCCTGAGTGCCATGATTGGTTAAAATATTTTGCAGTCATAGTTGCTAGATGAAATAGATCACAGATTATTTGAAGTCCATGTATTTATTTTAGCCTGTTAAGAATGCTTCAGTTACTCTAACTTGGAAAGATCGATATATGTTTTATATCCTTAATCAACAATTATCTATACATGATTAGTGATTAGCTATCTTTCATTAAATATTTCTGAAGGTCTCAGTCTCGTCATTGAATAGACATGCTGTTGCAACAAGAGAGGATGTTGGTACTCCAAAAGCTCTTTGCCTGAAGAAGCATTTCTCAGCAATTTTCCCAGAGTGTCATGTGGATGCAAAAGTTCTACTTTATGATTCATCATCTGAAGATGAAATTCTTTCTGGAAACCCTGACTTTGTCCTAGATTGCATTGATAACATTGATACAAAAGTAATGTGCATTCTTGTTACTTTTTATTTATACTTTATGTTAAACTCTTTATTTTCTTCAGAACTAATTTTTACATGCTATGCATATTAATTCTCGTCTCTCTGTTTAATATGGTTAATATTTCTTATTTGACCACCTTAACAGTTAAGTTGTTCAATGTGGCTTATAGGTAGCACTTCTTGCAGCATGTGTGCGGAGAGGCTTGAAAGTTTTGTCTGCTACAGGAGCTGGGGCAAGGGCTGATCCGACCAGAATCCGTGTGGCTGACTTAAGAGAATCAACCAACGATCCATTATCTCGTGCGGTAATCAGTTGATTTTTATTTTTTTTTATTTTTGAAGTCTGTGTAATGAAGTTTGATTGTTGATTATTAATAAACATTTAATATCTTATCTTTCAAGCTATAAGTTGTACATATACAGTTAGTGTTTGCTAATGAAGTCTGATTTTATTTTATTTTGCTTTTAGTCTTTTGGGAATATTGCCCCTTTTCTAATTTGCTAAAAAATACTTTCATTGCTTCTTTCTTGTCCTAGTAAAGATGCTTTTCCTATTCATATTTTCCTTCATGGCTGTATTTATTTATTTATTAACTTTAATAACCTGGTGCAACATGCTGTTGATGCTAAGTAAATTTGGTAACATTTCTAAAAATCATAAAAATTTCAGGTCAGACACCGTTTAAGGAAAGATCATGGCATTGAAGGTGGTATTCCTGTAGTTTTCTCACTGGAAAAACCCAAGGCAAAATTACTTCCCTTTGAAGGAACAAATGGAGAAGAAAATCCTTTAGATTATCAAGTAGGTAATTTATGCTTCTTTAGGAAGATATTAGGCTGCTCCTTTTAAAATCTGGTAGTTTAAATATTCTATTGATCATTCTTGTAAAAATATACTCCCCTCGTCCAACAAATTTATGCATGTTTTTCTTTTTTGTTTGTCCACAAAATTTTTTTTGGCATTTTCCATTTATAACAAATAAATTTTACATACTCCTTCTTTTATATCCTTCATCATTACATTTATCTACAAAAATACTACAACTACTTACACATTTAATCTATCAAAAATTTTCTTTCACTTTATTAACTCACTCGTATACTTCCCAAAATACTTCCATTTTATGTCACAATAAACCAATATAATACTATATTCATTAAAATTTATGTTCAATTCAACTGAGCATATATTTTGTGGACGGAGGGAGTATTTGTTATTTATTGAATAAGCTTCTGTTTTAATGTTTAATCTTGCATGATTTTTGTGTGAACTTGACCATGTCTATTTTCTAAAAATTTTCAAAGTAACCAGTCATTTATTAAATATCAGATTGTTCCTGGTTTTCGAGTTCGCATCATTCCGGTCCTAGGAACGATACCTGCTATTTTTGGACAAGTAATGGCATCATATGTTGTGACTCAACTGGCAGGACTGCAAGTTCACATGGAGCCAGTTGTAAATTTTGATATGGATCACTATCGTGTTCTCCACCAACGTCTTGTTGAGCATGAAGAGATCCAATATGGTACAGCAAAGGATGTTCAGGTACAGCTAGCTTATTGCATTATGAAAAAGTTGCCAATGGCTTTTTGGTACTCATATGCATTGCTAGAGAGAATGCTAAGTGCACTATCTATTCATAGATGTTGTCTAGTCATTTGTCAGAAATCAGTGCTCTACATGTTATACCAGCATTTATCATGTGTTTAAGTTATGTACTTATTCTAGGTGGATGTGGAAGAGGTTATGTATATAGCTAAAGAGTTGTGGCATGGCAGAAGTGCTAGAGATCAGTCATCAAAAGATGTTGGCCGTGGAATGTGGCGTTCAGTAAATGAGTTAATACTTATCAGGTATGGATGCTTGTTCAATACTTATAGTAAAGACTGTTTCCCCTGATTAAGCAATAAATATTCACGGTTCTTTTCATCACTTCGGATTTTTTGGGTCTTGGTCATCTTTTGTTTGAATAAATGGATAACTATCATTGTTCTTTTATAGTCTTTTCAAACCCCATCAAGGGTTTGAAACCAACTGAAAATGCTGTGCTTCCTAGATCCTTCTTCCCTTTTTCGTATTATTTATGTATTTACGACTAAGGATCATATTACTGTAATTGGATATATCTTAGGAGCTGAAGAAATATAAATTTTATATTTTGGTCTGTTAATTAACTATGTTTTGTGAATACTCATGTTTCAACCGGCTACTGAGTAGTGAAGGAAAGAGGATGAGGTTTACATCACAGAGTTCTATTCTCAAATTAATCCAATAGCCTTTTGTTGGCTGCCTTATTATTGGGCATTGTTTAATTTTTTCTTGTTCTTAGGAAAATAGTTGTTTAATCCAACAAAGATCTGTTATCTAACACGACACATCCAGTCACTCATGACGTCGGCGTGCTTTTCCGAGTAACTTATTAATACTTCATAATCTAATCTTTGCTTTCAGGTGGGATAGCACAAAACCAGCATCCATCTCCAATCTAATTCTCCTTAAATTTAAAGAGGTAGTGAGTATATTCTACATAGCTCCATTGAATCAATTGAATATTATCTTTAGAAACCCAACTCTTGCATTGCAGGCTGATGAACACGAATCGATGTCACTGGAAGATATCAAAGAAATGGAACCAGAATTTTTTGCTAGAGTGACATCTGTGCTAAGGCGAGCTGAGCTGGAGTTCGGTTTGTGACTTGAATGCCCCCATTCACAGGAAGTTTAACAGTGAATTTGATTTTGTGCTCAAACCTTTCTAGTGTTCCACCTGTGTTTAGAACAGTCTTAGCAGATATCTGGAAATTTAGCATACTACTCATTAATATATCTTGATGCGTAGGAAAATTTTGGCCTCTCATATGAGAAGTGTTGTTCTTAGATGAAACTTGGGATTGTATAGGGAGCGGAAAGCAGCTGTATGGTCACTGAAATCTACTGGTTACTTTAATGCTCTATTTAAGAGAATGAATGACATTGATAACATTGAAAATTGTCACTTTTTATCATTTCTATGTGTTCGATACTTTGATGTATCCCTTGGTTATGCATAAATAAATTTTAACTGAACAAGTTTACAAGAAGAAATGAAGGGTGGGTTTTCTTCTTTTTTGTGAGGTGCACCATCTATGCAGCAGTGTACCACATGGGCCGGACATGAAAGCCCATCCAACAAGTTGTGTTATTGAGCCTTCCCTAAAAATATTAATTTAATTCCATGTGGGCCGATAGCCCACATATCACATATAAAAATCTTAGCCAAAACCCAAAAGGTAGAAAATGTTATGAAGTAAAGGGTTAAGAATGGAGGACGGCGCAACGGCTAATATGGAGCGAGAACATCTCCTACACCGACCAACGTACGTAAGGTAACCACCCAACCTACCCCACCCCTTTCTCAGTCATTTCATTTCATTTCCTAAAAGAAACAGACACAAAATCCAATCATCCCAATCATCCCAATCATCCCTCCCTTTTTGTCTTTCTTTCTTCCCTTGTGAGATAGAAAAATAAGACAAACGAGGACCTCTGTGACCCAACTATGCCAACTACCCCTGGGAAGAAAGAAACCATCTATTATAACTACATATATTAAACAACTAAATAGAAGTAAGATCGATCGATCCATCCATCCATCCATCAATGTTGCAGAGAGCAGCCAGCAACGCCTGCTCCTGGTGGTGGGCCACCCACATTCGCACCAAGCAATGCAAATGGCTGGAACAATCTCTCCAGGGTGGGTACCCCCCTACCCCACCCATCACAATTCCATTTTGTATGCTTGTGGTTACTGGGTGGGTCAACATTTGATTTACACATACATATATATATATATATATATATAAGAATGGAGGGGGCTCTTCGATCACATTTTTGATTAATTTACCTAAATGCAGATATGGAAGATAAAGTGCAGAAAATGCTGAAGCTGATTGAAGGCAACGGCGACTCCTTCGCCAAGCGCGCCGAGATGTACTACAGATGCCGGCCGGAGCTCATTGCCGCCGTCGAGGATACTTACGGCGACTTCAAGGCCCTCGCCGACCGCTACGACCTCCTCTCCAAAGATCTCCAGAACGCCAACCACACCATCGCCACCGTCTTCCCCGAACAAGTCCAGTTTTGCGGCTTGGACGATGACGACGACGGCGGCGATAACCCTCACCCTCACCCTCAATTCCCATTCCCATCCGACCAAAATAATAATGACAATAACAACAACATTCCGGCGCCACCAGAGGCAGCCAATCTCAAAGCCCTTGTCACGGCGCCACCGCCGGCCAATCATCTTCCGGCCAAGAAAGGCGGTGGCGACAACAATGGCATGACGGTGAAGAAATTATCATCATCGTCATCGTCATCGGGATTGAGCAGGGAGGCGGCGGAGGAGGAGATAGTCCGGATGGAGAAGGAGATATTGGCGCTGCAGACGGTGAAGGAGTTCGTGAAGAGTTCCTACGAAGCTGGGCTGGCTAAGTATTGGGAGATCGAGAATCAAATCACAGCCATGCACGCCAAGGCCAGCGCTCTCCAGGACCACTTCACCAACATCGACGCCGTCATTGACGACGACGAGGCGCGCATCTTAATGGCTCAGGCCGCCATTGATTCATGCGACCGCACCCTCTCTGCTCTTCGCGAAAAGCACAAAAGCTTCACTGTGGAGGCCATGGAGGAGCGTAAGAAGATCGAATCCTCACAGCAATTGCTCCACTCATTGAAGGACTACTGCTCCCAAAATTCAGCTCCGGCTATGGCGGCGACAGCGGAGGCTACAGACCGGATGGAGAAGATGACGTTGACAGCTACAGAATTGGCAGATAAGATTGACGAGGTGGTGAACAAGGTGATTGGATTAGAGAGCATGGCGTCGTCTCAAATGGTTCTCATCAACACCTTGAGAACGACGGCGGATGATCTGAGCCGGATGCTGAATGATGAGAAGGAGACGACGACGAAAGATGAGGAGAGATTTAAGCAGTTGGAGGACAAACTGAGGAGAGTTCAGAATTTGGACGATAACCTGGAAGCATACAACAACAGCCTAGAGTCGCAGTTCGATCAAGCTCGTTCCACGCTCGATCACCTGTCCCGGAGATTGAACCTGCAGAAATCTCTTGCTCGTGATGCCCCTGACGATGACGATGAAGATGATGATAGTAACCTAGTAGGAGTAAGTCCGGAGGAGGACTTGAAGAATAACAACAACAATGACGACGACAACGAAGACAAAGTTAAACAGAAATCATCATCATCATCGTCATCAGCAGCGGCGGTTGAGGCACGCGAGAGGATGTTGCTACAGGAGTACACGGAGATTCTTAAGAACTACAAGGATGTTAGACAGAAACAGCGCGAAGAAGAAAAGAAGCAGAAGGACCACGAATTCAACACAGAGCAGCAAATCAGGGAGCTGAAGGAAGCCATTACAGAGAAGGACAACGAAGTTCAATCTCTACGCGAGATGTTGAGCCTTGTGCGAGGAAATGTAGCAGGTGGAGATATTCCTCAGAAAGAAACAACACATCATGACGACGACGATAATGATTATAAAAACAGCTTAACAAAGACAAGTAGTAGCAGCATACCAGTCGCTGCTTCTACCGCCATTAACGAAGAGAAAATTAGGTCAGAGGTCGATGCAATCCTAGACGAGAACCTCGATTTCTGGTTACGATTCAGCACGGCTTACCACGAGATGCAAAAGTTCAAGAGCGAAATTCAGGATCTGCAGGACGAAATATCAAATCTGAAAAACAAAAAGAAGCAAGGAGTAGTACCGTTTTCGCAGCTACGATCAGAGGCGCGGCCGTACTACAAGCACTTAAGCGAGATTCTGACAGAGCTCACCGTGTGGTTGGAGCAGAGCGCTTCTCTCAGAAATGAGCTGCGGCGCAGGTTAGCGTCGTTGAGCAACATACTGGAGGAAATCTCAGAAATCCAGAATAGCAACAGCCATAATTACCAAGTGGCAAAGCTGCAAGGTGAGATCTCAGGCATGAAACAGGAAAACGACAAGGTGAGGGAAGTGCTACAGGGGAGCGTGGAGCGCGTGGAGAAGCTTCAGGATGAGATTCACAAGGCATTGAAACAGCTCAAGGATGAGTTTGGTGTCTCGAGCGATCGACCGCAGCTGCAGAAGACACTAAGCAAGGCTCGAGTGCCTTTACGATCGTTCATCTTTGGGACGAAGCCGAAGAAGCAGAGACATTCTCTCTTCTCTTTCATGCAGCATCACAGGAAACTCCATGTTGTCTGAACTCCACAATCGATCCATCCATCTTCTTAATCAATCAATCAATATATATATAATAATATAACACATTGAGACAAGTCTGGTTTTTCATTTGCTTGTGTTCGGGTTTATTCTTCTTCTTCTTCATCAGTTTGGCTTAATTATGCGACTCCAGTGTGCTCATCTCATCTCATCTCGGCTCACATATACACATGATCATACATGCAATGCAATCACACATCAAGTGCATTGTTAAGAGTTGAGGGCTATATGCTGGGAATCTACCATATCACACCAAATATAAATATGCGCATTATTTCTTAATTATCCTACCATCAATGAACAAATTATTTCCCTTTTAACCACATTAACAAAAAAAATAAAAATAAAAATAGAATTACTTCACTCTCCAATTTCTCATTTCAATATACCTAATTGGTGATAATGCTTTTGGTGAGTGTGTCAACTTGTTCGACACTAATGATCTCTTTTTTAGCACATTCAAGTATGACCATATATCCACGTATTGACCACCAACTTAAATTTATCTCTAGGGAATTAATTCTTAATCAGCTAGCATATCAAGCTATATGAATAATTAGTTGTGGCATTCAGGCTTACTAATGCCCCCAAATACTTTAATGTGTTTGATGAATCACATTATTTATATATAAATACGGTAGTATACTTTGATGATATAGTTACATGTATAAGTGATTCTATTGAAACACACCTTTGACATTTACCTGTTGTTGTTTTAGACGTCTGACACAAGTGGACTAACAAGCATACTTAATCTCATTCCTTGTATCTATTCCCAAACCCTAGCATTATGTTATGCTTACTATTTTTATTATTTTTTTAAATTTATGTCATTGTCATGCCACCAACATTCCAACACCTTAATTAATAGGATTGTCACTAACCATAATAAACAAAATATTCTCAAGAAAAGGCTATAGAGATGAGATCTAACCACAGTTGTGGAACTTGAATGTTGCCATAGATGGATCCTTGTTTCTTTACAAATTCCTGCAATTGGATATCTACCCATAGTTATGAGGATAATTGATATGGTAGTTAGGTCAAAGAATCTCAGGGGCGATTTCAAGACAAAAATAAGGATGTCCATCAGTCCTGCTTCAGGGCTTTTCTGATCATCGTTCTACCTGCTTCTATCAAAATGTAGGATATAACTGTGACACCAATACCCAATGCCAATATCAGGTGGTCGTACGTGGTGCTCTGGATTGTGTATATCCTCACATTTATTGCATCCCAGTTGCTCTCCGTCCAAACGGGGTCCTCAACATTCGAAGCATTGCCTATGGGAAGCACAGTCCAGCCTCCCGATTCATACTTCAGCCGAGTTGAGTATGCAGGAACATATCTGGCATAGACAGACAGTAATCAACATCATACAAGGTATATACCAAGGTAAATATGTTTTGACAATTAAATTTACATTTCGTGCAAAAGTAATTGAGAGTGAATTCAAGTCTATACTAAGGAAACTGACAGCTTCAGATATGCGTGCTTCTCTATAAATATAACTCTATTGGATCAGTCACTACACCTATGCTATCAAATTTATAATAAATTCTAACCAATACCTGGTTGTAGAGATAACACAGACACCTTTCCCATCAAGCTCTGCTCCAACACACAGTTCACCAACACTGCTGCAGTCCTTTGGGCATGAAGAGCTAGCGTTTTTTGATGGGATGGACGTCTTGTCTGCCAAGAAGTTCCATACAAACCTCGAAATGTCCCCAGCATAAGGTGGGTATAGTGCAGAAGAAGGTTCTCCCAAAAGAACTCCTACGTAATGACTTGGGCAAGTTGTTGAGGGTGAAATATAGTGCTTCACCAGCCCACACGATAAGCCAGGTTCACAATTTAATAGGCAACCGAGAAGCTCCTCCACTAAAGTGGAATTGATTTTTATGCTTTTCATTACAGAAGGATCATTCCCACCTGCAAGAATGTATAGAGCACGGGCAACAAGAGAAGCAGCTGCTACAATAGATGAAGAGTTCACATTTGCTGCATGAAAACAACGCATGCAATCTTTAGCAAACACATTATAGATTTTACAACCCTTGTAGGAAGCTGAGCAGTAATACACATGAAAGAAAAAGAAATAGAGGAAAAACTAACATTGTTCATCAAGATGACTGTGGTAGAAATTGTTGCTAAAAGTAGAATCAAAATCTTCCAAGACAACGCCAGAAATCTGAGGTCTCTGCATTGAGATTAAGAGTTTACTTAGTTGAGAATAAGCCAGTAAATTATGGAACCACGAAAAGCTTTAAGGGTGTTTTTTGCTTGTGGATTAGACTGAGTTGTACTGTGATAAGAACGAGCTAGTTTATGAAAGTGATATGCTTAGTTTTCTCAACCTATTCTTATAGAATGTTTAAGTTGAATTCGCATTGATCAGTAAAATGCCCATAAAGCTTAAGCAGTAATTGGTTTGCAGTAACTCAAATGCACATAAACTATCAGGAGCACGTTATACAATAGAGCAGCCTTTTAATCTCTACTTCCAATTATAACTTAATGCACATATGATTTATGTGTAACATAGAAAACACTTGAATAAAAAATACACCGACACAACATTGATGTCAGGCATGCGCATCCATAAAAAAAAATATATAATATCTTCTTTTTATACCATACTCTGATGTAGTAACACTATGTTTAACCAACTAATTCTGCAGAGAATTTAATTGGTGAACCCATGATTGACCCAATTCAAAACATTTGTGGCATTTGATTTCTGACCTTTCTCATAAATGTCATCAATGAGGATGGAGGCACTCCAGGATTTGATCTGCTGGCGGGTTTGAGTACGATATTATCTGTTTTCAATGAGTCCTGCGCACTTTGTAGTGCCTCAAAGGTTACATCTGCTGAGCTTTTCTGCCAAGTCCATCGATAGCACAACATTCATGAAGTTCTAGTCAAATGCTTTATCAATGAGCAGAAATATAGATTTCGAGAAAATGCTGTGAAGGGAAGTACAGCTTCACACAATCAGATTAAGTTCATAGTGCAAACCAAGTCACACCTCTGTAGTATGAGTAAAAAATGTTCTGGTGCCATGAACAGAGCTCTTTCCAACTGATCCAATTTCCACCACCTACATAAACAATCATACATTAACAGAAACAGTACCAGAAAGCTTAGGGTGTGTTCAATTGTGTTTTAAAAGTATCTTGAAGGTATGTTAAGATATAATTTTTTTTTAAGTGTTTGGGAGTAAGATAATACAGTACTAGGTATTAAACATGATATTAAAATGGAAAATAGAAATAGATTATTAGGTAATATTTAAATAGATGTATTGGATGTGATGTTTATAGAGAGAAAGAATTTTGATGAATGGTGCCGAAAGGGAATTAAAAACATAAATAAACAGTGTAATTTTAGAAATAGTAAAATTTTGAATGGAAGATATGTGTGGGATGTGATATTTTGAATAGAGAAAATTGTTTTAATATAATACTTAAAATAAAAATTAGCATTTCATGTGATCTTGTTTTTTTTTTTTTAAAAAAAATGATGAATAATATGAAATCATATTTGAAAATACAGGTAAACAGAACCTTAGTATTGGAAAATGGTCAATAGCATTTCCATATCAAAATTGCTTTGAAGTTTCTCATTATCATAACATGGCTACAGCTAAGACAGCAGTGCTGTCGCCCTCAACCACATTACAGATTATTATGAAGTTTTAATTGATTAGATAGATGCCTGGAGCCCGGTCAGTAATGTACAGTCAGCATTACATATATCCTGCAATCAATTTGAAAAGTGGCTCAAGAGTACCGTTTCAATCTTAGACAAGTTAATCCCTTTAATGGTGTCTGATTGCTGATCAGATTCCAGAAGGAATCTCTGGCTTCCAAGATAACCCCAGGCTTCTCCAGTGAGGACCACAAAAACAAGCTGAAACCAAACAAGATACTTTCAATGACTCAGAAAGATTCAACAAGTCACAATTAGATGAGCTGCTTTCTAATATATAAACAGGGAGACCAGTAAATGCAAATGAACTGCATCTAAATATATCATTAAAAATGTCAATATTACTATAATTCTTATAGAAACTCTGGGCAGAAGGAATATTATTGTGATTTTTGCTTAAGGAAAATACATGGTCAGAAAGAACCAACCTGTTTGTTAAGTTTATCCAAATCTTTAAGATGAGAAAGTGCATCAGCTACAGCAAGCAATGCAATCAACCCCTGCACAACCATTTCTAAAATTAATAAAAAAAAGTTGACTATTCATTATATATCGTCTGTAAACAAAAAACGGAAACACAATAACAGCAGAAAATTTAACTTACTGATATAGGAGACTGTGCACCAAGGCTTTTGTCACGGAAAAATGATGCTGAATCCATAGATGTCATTGCCAATAAAATTGGTTTTTCCTTTGGTGAAGTCAAATTATTAATTGGTGGAAGTGCTGACCAGACACTGCTCTTCAAATTAAGATAGACATTAAAAATAACTAAGGCCTTGCCTTGTCGTATTTTAACCACCAAAACCATAATAATAATAATAATAATAGATAAAAGTGCCTTGCTACAATCTCATTTAGTAGTCAGTGCCCTCTCATTTTTCTTATATGCACTCCCTCATGGGGTCCACGATATTTATTATTATTTTTCATGAATTGTAATTCCAATGTTACCGGTAAAAAGAAAGTTACTAGTAAATTTTTATTTAAAGATGTTTTTACATAATTTTTTTCAATATTTTCGTGTAATTTTTTATATTCATGCTATTATGTATTTTAAATATATTTTTTTATATTTACCCTAACATTTTTTTTTCTTCATTTTTACTATTCAATTCAATATTTTTGTATAAAAAAAAAATCAGATTTAGCAATTTTCTTTTGTTCAAAACATTACATCTATCTATATATGGCATTGCATGCATGTATCCAATGATGTGTATATCATTAGTGTAGAAAATATAGAATATATAGTACATATCAAAGTGAGACCATACATATATAGCAAATGGAGTACATGTGAGGTGCAAATGAAGTATATAACATATTTTGCAAATTTAGGTATATAGGCGTAGGTGTTTACCAGTCATTTCTCACTTATATAAAATTGTGTTGTAATAGTGTAAGCAGACAACACATTACTTGTTAAAAATCTTAAGTGGGCCAAAACTTTAATTTTTTAAAGTTTTAACACCGCCCTTGCGACATAGGATTGCCAGCACATTCCCGCAACTAAGGATTGCTGCCACTAGAAACCTTAATTTGGCTAAAATTCTAATTTCTTAGGGTGTGTTTGTTTGTGAGTTTTAGTTTTTGAGTTTGGAATTTTAATAGTAAAAAGTTGAATTTGAATAGTTGTTTGATGTGATATAAGTAGAGGTTGATGTGATGTTTTAAATGTAAAATAAATTTGTAGTATAGTATAAAAAAAGAAAAGTAATTGTTTGATTTGATATTTTTGGAGTTAAAAAAAAAAGAATCTGAATAGTAAAAACCTATGGTAAAACCCACAAAAGAACACAACCTTAGAGTTTAGCACCCACTACAAAAGAGAATCAATTTAAAAGTTACAAAGATTGATGCTCAATAATGAAGTCGGGCCCATATTCAAACTCCACTTCCGGAATTTTTTTAATTTCCATGTCCCAAAAGATATTCCTGAGTTCCTTGCACCCATTCTTTTTCAGAGTTTAGAATTATATAATGAATTAAATGTCATCATACACTACTGAATACTGATCCTAAAATACAAACAAAATCTCTTAAGTAATGAATAACTCTTGTGAAGAATTTTATAATGTTTATGTGTTTTAGTGAAGCCAAAACATTCTACTATTATCATAACTATATTAATGGTCATGTTACAGACAATGATGAGAGAGAACAAAAACCAATTAAGATAATATAAAGGGAACCTTCATTACTCTGCAATACCATAACATAAACAAAAATAGAATAATTATTGATGAAATTAGAAAAAAAACTTTGATTGAAATTTTAGGCTTCGTACACAGAATTCTGGAGCATCTTGATCTATATACCAATTATCATGAGCAGTGAAAAGCACCATTCAAAACTTTTCAACCATAAAGTGGAGGTGGAATTCATGAGACTAACCTGTATCCACCAAGAGGAAGGCAAGTTCTTTCTTTTAAACAAGAGTGTGAATCATGAGTACCAGACTTTGTGGTCTAGTTGAGATAAAAATGGAAAGTGCACATTAATAAACGGATAATAATTGTTGTGACAAGTTTGAAGTAAATATTTGTCTTGCAGATTGCTTTACCTGCATCACTAGATCAAACTCGGCAACATTTTTAGTATAGGACCTTGTACTTTCTACTTTCTTTGAAGCAACCTGAAAATACACATTTATTTATCATCTAAAAGCCTCAAAGAAAGGGAGCAAAAACAATGCTTATCATAAGCTTGACAAGCAGAATATTTCCTCCCATCAACAAACATACAAACCCATGTCATATTTTTTCACCTTTAGTCCTAACTTCAAATATGTCGACAATAGTCACAATAGAGAATGACCAGTATACATGTTAGCACGCATAAGATACATTCAGCATATGTGACAGTTTAACAGTATCATCTGTCTCCCAAGGAGGTTATTTCCTCCATATGAAAGAGAGAGTATTATTTTCTAAAGGAGGATAAATATATAATTAAACTCAAGATTGATGTTGTATGGCTACAGAAATTTTTTAAAAAGGATAATTACCTCTCTTAAGATTGATGTGCTATTCTGAGAGAGTAAAAAAATGGGAATATTATAAGCTTTCCACATGCTTCCAGACCCCTGCAAATGGAACTAGTGATGCTTAATTCGCAGACACAGAATGCAACAGATTGTCCATGTGAGATTATAAAGCATATTTACATCACTCCCTCATTTACCTTTTCCTCCATATATATAACTGTATGTACCACATTAATTAATCATCTTAAGATCTATTCCTAAAAAGGAACTGAACTAAATACCAGCAAGTACCGGGGGGGAGGGGGGGGGGACACTGGGGAATAGATATATAAATTTCAAATCTAAGAGATTAGAGTGAAGATGCCATCCTTAGTCTCAAGCAGATGAAGTGAAAAGGACTTGTATTATGACATAGAAAGGCAGCCCAATTAGGTGTCATTACTGCTTGCAAAAGTTCCGTAGCATATATTTTCTAATATAAACAGTATAATCTATAATGTCCTTAACTTACTCAGCACACTGTTAACCAATTAATACTTATTCAGTTAATATCAAAATCTGATAGTATTTAACTTTTATTCTCAGAATAGGCCCATTCTGAAAGATGGCAAAAAATTAGTGTAAAGGATTCACCAAGCACAATAACATCAAGAAATGGAAGGAACAAAACACATTTATACCAGATATTCTCATGCACAACTCAGTATCACAACAATTTATTTAGTTTCAGGGTAATCATGAAAAATTCACATCTAGAGAAAAAAGCCCAGATACCTTTAAACCCTAGAACAATAAACCTTCAATTGAAGATTCCATGAATCTCATCACAAATGAGGTATGGCATAGCTAATGCATTTTAATAAATATATTACCGAGGAATTAAAGTCAACCAGTTAATATGATAACACAATCATTTATCACAACGTACAGATGGGTTCCACTCAAAATTATTGCTGTTGTATGGAGCAAACTCTGCTTGGGGAAACTTTACATCTGGAGAAAATCCTGGAAGGAAGAATAAGATCACTTTATGAATAATATTTTCTTCACCTAATTTAAACTAAAGAACTTAATGTATTGATTTACCCTTCACAGCATTTTGAACCTCGCTTCCTGATTCAACCAAAATACCAGCAACTTTTGCAGCAAAACCTGAATCTTCTGTAATCCTGATACAGAGATGAAACATGATCAATTTCATGGATAAAATACTCGAGATTTGCAGTATCAGCCACATAAATATAGAGCATGAAATCAAATAAGATATTCAATATATGTCCAACACAAGCACAACAGTTTTTAACCCTATCTTAAGAATATATTGTACTACTATAGATGTCAGGGTTATAGGTAACTCCAAAAATATGTATCAAGTTCTGTAAGTAGTAAGCAAGTCATGATGATAAATAATACAAAGTTACTTGCCTTGAAAGTAAGCTTTCAAAATCTCCCACAGAAACCAGGATTGCAGCTGATCCAACCAACTCCTTTATGCTATCAAATTTGACAATTTGGGCTACAACTTTCCCACGGCCATGGTCTACAGAGCAAAGTGCTAGTCACCGAACAAGTGGAACAACAAACTAAAATACATAATGCAAAGGATTTGATAAAAGTACCAACTTGAACAACCAATTTCTCCTGAAAGGTTGAGCAGGCGTACACATGGGAAGCCTTCAACTTGTGTGTACATAGATTTCTCAAGATCAGGAACTGACTCAAATGAATTTGTCCCCTCTGAAACTGTATTTTAGGATAAAAGGCAGGACAAGCATATCAATAGAAACTATAATAAAAGCAAAAAGTGAAAACATGATAAAATGCTATGGCAGCTTGAAGTTGTTTTGTGGTGCTCTAACTGAATGCTATGCTAATCACACATAAAGGATAATACGTAGAAATATTATACAATTTGTCATTTATCAGTTCTGTTACTCAAGTCTTATTTAGGACCAAATTATATTGTTCTTGTGCATTTTATGTTGTTGTTTCGATGTAATATTTGTTGAATGTGAAGTTTTGAGTGAAAAATGGGTGTTAGATGAGATGTTTTGGAGAAAAAATGGTAGATTGAGTAGTAAAAAGTGTGTTGAAAAGCATGAATATACAAACCTAAGTATACGACATTTACAAAAACTAGCATATGAATCTACTGCAAGCAGCTTTCTATTACTCTTAGGTCTCAGCCACAGAATACAGAAACTAGATGCAGTTTAAATGGCTATTTCTTCACTTGGTACAGCTATAATTTTATCCTTTTGATCACCACATACTCATCAATTATGTAGGCATATTTATCAGAAACCTGCCACTAGCACTAAGTCACTTGCTTTCAGCAAGCATCTGTCCAACCATTGACAATAACTCAATCAGACACTAGCTAAACAAACAGTCAGATACACACACGGCTCATCACAATGTCAGCTGTAAAATCTGATTTCAGAACCTTCAAAATAATCCAATTAAATATTTTTGTTACATAAATCATAAATAAATAACACAGTCTCAAAATAATACCCTTCAGTACAAAGCATCATAAAAGCACCCAGTAATCCTAAAAGGATTGACACTAAAACAACTGCAGGAATTCCATCCACACGCTAAACCGGAAGATGGAACAACTATTGTAATAGAAAACAATCACTAAGGTGCAATCCTCAATAATTATTTCGAAAAACAAATGGACAGTGGGAAAACAAACCTGAGAAAGACAGACGAAAGCTATCGAGGAAGAAGAGGACAGTTAATTGCAGCAGGAGCTTGCGCTTGGAGCCCATGGCGTAGCAGACAGCAATTGCCGTTGTACAAATCTAGAAACCCTAAGCCATGGCCATGGAAGCTCCACTACTCATCAGATGAATCAGTTCCACCTTTTTCACTTCGAATCAAATTTTGATATAATTTTAATCCGTCACACTACGACTTGACATTATTTATTTTCGTGTATCGATTAACAATCTATTTCTTTAAAACTTATTAAATCTACTTAACAAATACTCCGTCTCCGTAAGTATGCGTTTGTTCTTTTAAGGATTTATATAATAGAAATAAATTAAAAATGATAAAAAAATTATAATATTAAATAAATAATATTGTTATTAAAAATAATATTTTATTAATATAATATTTTAAATATAAATTTAATTTTATTGTAATATAATAAATAAATAATTAATTAATTAGATATTTTTAAAAAAAATTAATAAAATAAAAATTAAATTTCACAAATAAATACACATCTATTTACATAAATACTATTCCTTTCATCCAAGAAGCAATATTGAAACTAAGGGTGCGTTTGTTTGGGGATTTTGATTTTGAGTTGGAATTTGAATAGTAAAAATTTTGAATTTGAATAGTTTGTACGATGTGATATAAATAGGTCTTGTTAATATGATATTTTGAATGTAAAATTAATTTTTTGTATAATATAAAAAATAAAAAATAGATGTTTGATTTGATATTTTTAGGGAAAAAATATTTGATGAATATTAGAATTTTGTTAAAATCCTACCAACGAACATACCCTAAGTATAATAAAGTGGGAATTAGGTAAATAATAAAGAAGAATTGTATATTTATTTTTATGAGATAAAATGTATTTATTATTTTTTATTTTAAAAATATTAAAACAAAAATATTACTGAATATATAAAATAGGGGCCAGGAACACCAAATATATAAATATATACTCCTTTTGTCTTAGTATAAGAGTTTTGCTTGTATAATCTTTTGTTCGAAACAACATAAGTCATACTGCAGAGCGTTCGAATTTGAACCCATAATTTTTACGATACAAAACACTCCCCACGCTATCACATTACACATTACGGGACAAGTAAGACTATAATTTTGATGTAGAGAGAATATGACTTTCTTTAAGCCAGTTTCTCCAAATTTTACTATTTGGATTATTCGTTTCTCGAAAAAAATATATTTTTTTATCTCATAAAATATCCCATCAAACATTATTTTCATACCAAATTCAAACTATTTTTTTTTTTTTCAAACTCCATAATGTATGTATACACAATGTGTATATTTCTCTATGCATATTATATATACTAGTTTGTGGGACAAGCTGGAGCGGACTACAAATGGGGCTGTTGATCTGATGCCGTCGTGTTTAGACTATCTCGAACCCATAACTTCATTTTTGTAGGATTTACAATACATTTTTCCATTTTTGCAAGGTCTGCAGTAACCCATCTCCAACCATACTCTCTATTTTTGCAGGATCTCTTCTCCAGCCATACACTCCATTTTTGCAGAGTTAAAAAATATTCTCTTTATATTTTATTTTACATAATTTTTAAAATTACAAATAAATTTTAATATTTTATTATTTTTATACATTTAAGTTATAATAATATTTTCAATTAATTATTTAAATATTATACTGAAAAATTATATTTATAAATATTTTAATGTATATTTAAATTAAAGCTTAAAAATATTAATATTATTAAAAATATAAATATAGATTAAAAAAACAATATTATTGGATTAAACACAATTAGTACAACATAACTAATAGGTAGAGTTACTATACTCTTCCCTATGTTCAATTAAAGCATTGACGTAGTTCAAAATAAGTTTCTCTACTTCTAAAACAAAATAAAATATAAAATAAAATATAAAAATATAATACAATTTTTTATTTTGTTGACTATATTTAAAAAATTAAAAATTAAATAAATATAAAAAAAATAGATAACTATATAAATAAATAGATAATATTTAAAAAAATATAGATAATTATATAGATAAATAGATAATTATATTAAAATAAAAAAAACTGCACCCTGCTGGAATCGGGTGCTACAGTATTCTGCTGGGTCTGTAGCACCCGCTGAGTCCAACCGGTGAATTCTGCAAAATTATCGAGTGGGTTGAAACAATTTTTTTTCCCCATCCTATAAAAATAGAGAAAATCTCCTTGGTTGTAGATGTCTTAGGCCTATTTCAATTTTGTGAAAATAAAATAAAATAAAAATATAAAAGCGCTAGCTGCACCGCCCTTCTTCAATTCAATTCAGCTCAGCACTACCATCATCACTTTGCATTTCCTGAAATGTCAACAACCTTCTTCCACCCTAAATTCGAAATCCGAAGAAAAATCTACCATCGGAAATGGGAATTTGACCGGTTGATTTCTTCCAGAGATGTTCTCCAGAATTTCGTCGATCTTTCCAACCACTCAGTCAATTCTTCCAACATTTCACGCGCCGTCCTCTATTCTTCTCCGCCCGCTCTTAATTACCCCCGCCGCCAAGCAAGCATGACAATAATCTTCCATTTTCTTGGGTTTAAGTTCTTGTTATTTTTCGCTCATCTGGATCCTCCATTATTTTTCTTAATCCTTGTCTACTTTGGAAATTAAGAAGAATCCTGAAGGTGCGCGCAATCTGTTCGATGAAATGTTTCTTTCCTGTGGAGTCGAATCCGTCGTCGTTTTGGGGTGTTTACGGTGGGCGTGGAAGCGCTGCACCCACACGGGCTCCGACGACAGTGCCGCCTGGCCCATCGCCACTGCCGACGAATTCGAAGCTGTGCCGCGCGCCTGCCGCCTGATCCTTGCAGTGTATGAGCCCGATCTCCGCCACCCACAATACGCACCTGTCGGGGGCTACGGCCTCAATCCTAACTGGGTGGTCAAGCGCGTCGACTACGAGCAAACCCTCGGCCACGCTCCTCCATACTTAATCTACGTCGACCACGACAATAAGGAAATCATGCTAGCAATCCGCGGCTTGAATATGGTTAAAGAAAGTGATTACAAACTGCTCATGGACAACAAGCTCGGCATGCAGATTTTTGATGGAGGTACGTAGTAACTGTTCTTTATCATTTTGCAGATTCCATGGAAATAATGTTTCCTTTCAATTTATAATTATCGTCAAAGAAAGATTCTCTCTGGTTTCGTTGACATTATTTTATCTTATTTTTTAATTTGAGTAACTATATATAGAGATTCAAATACAAACTACTGTCCCATTGTTACCATATTGCGTAAGGACACCTGAAAATAAGTCGGTAGAAAATCATGATGTTCTGTTATAATCAATTTTGTTTGTTCAATTTCTCCAACAGAGTATGTTCATCATGGGCTATTGAAATCAGCAATGTGGGTTTTCAATGCGGAATCGGACACTTTGAGGAGGTTGTGGGAGGAGAACCGGAAGGAATACAAGATGGTGCTCGCAGGACATTCGTTGGGATCGGGAGTTGCAGCTCTGTTAAGTTTGATCATGGCTAGTCATGGGGATCAATTAGGGGGCATTCCACGGAGTTTGTTGAGATGTTACGCTGTGGCTCCGACCCGGTGTATGTCATTGAACCTAGCGGTTAAGTATGCCGATATCATACATTCTGTCGTGCTGCAGGTGAGTGGTGTTTGCCTTTGGATTTGGTTTTATGTTTGGTAGTTTGATTTTGTTGAGGTAATAATGCAAAATTTTTGTTACATCATTAGCTAAAATTAGAATATCGGCAAAATAATTTCTTAATAAAAGAAATGGAAGAAGGAAAGAAGCAAAGGGCATCCCCGGGGCTCTTCACATTTCAATTTGAGAAGAGGAATATAGATATAGATATTTACTCAAGTAATTTGAAGCAGAATGGAGCTTTACATTTCTTAGTAGCAACACATTTTTTTTCTCTTGGTCGACATTTGCCATGACGGATTGTTGTATTCTATTTTGTATATTCACTAGGTTCTGGCTATGAATACATTCCTCTGTCTTGTTGAGTTTCATATGTTTAACTTTTGCCGAACATGTTGAACTAACAATGGGTTTGAAAGTTGCTGTTTTGTCCAGGATGATTTTTTGCCGAGAACACCCACCCCGCTGGAAGACATTTTCAAATCCATTTTCTGGTTGGTTTCTAAGCTAGTAAGACATGAAAGCTGTAGGAAAAGTTACTAATCTCTGCCTTTTTAAGTCTTTTTCCATTGTCAATTAACTTTAAAAATAATGTTGTCTACAGTTTGCCCTGCTTGTTGTTCCTCGTCTGCCTGAGAGATACATTCGTACCTGAAGAAAGAAAGCTCAGAGATCCAAGAAGATTATATGCACCTGGTCGGATATATCACATTGTTGAGAGGAAATTTTGCAGGTATAAAGGAATTGTGTCGAAACTAGTAAATTTGTTGTCGATTGCAGATAGAAATTAAAGCAGCTTTATTTTGATTGTGGTTAAATATCAGATGTGGAAGGTTCCCTCCGGAAGTAAGAACAGCTATCCCAGTGGACGGAAGATTCGAGCATATTGTGCTGTCCTGCAATTCTACATCTGACCATGCTATTATTTCCATAGAATCTGCGGCGCAAGGTGCCTTACATGTAAGTGCAAATGTTTCATTCATTACCTAAAATTTGTGAACTTCACATCTTATTAAATCAAATAAACATAATACAGTGGATCTGAAGATATATACGTACACACATGTATATACTGAATACAATAAAATCCATCAATAAATTATACAGTCAGTTCCTTTCTGTAACACACATAATTGAAAAAACCCGATTATTTGTTGTAATATGTAGATATAGGGTAAAAATAACATAGAAAAAATGATTCAAATGACTTCACGATGCATAGGCAACTTAACCAATTTAAGATTCAGTATTGAATATCTCTATATCTTACATTGATGTATTTTTTCTTCTACATTAGGGATATTAATGGTTAGAATCTAGATTGTTAGGGGACTGTTGGTTGACACCTGCCTCTAGATAAATAAATAAATGATGCATATCCCTAACAACTTAAGTTTTTAGGTAAGACGGTCATTTACATCATTAACAAGGACGATGCTACCGATTGAGACGAGGTTGAATATATATGAATCAATGAAACCACTTTGAACTGATTAATGCATTCAACTCAAGGCATATGACATCACACGGGTCGTATATGTGTGTCTGTATATATATATATATATATGTAGAGAGAGAGAGAGAGATGAATGAGGTATCTTAAAAAATTGGGTGCATGAGGTTTGCAGGATTTGAAGGAAAAGGAGTTGCTGGGGAGCAGAGGAAATACAATGATCACTCCACCCAAAGTGCAGAAACTCGACAGGAAACTGACATTAGAGAAAGAACACAAAGATGCATTAGAGCGAGCACTCATGTTCAATGTACAAACAGATCAATCTGATGAGAAGATGCTTCCACCTATGCAGAAAGGCAGTGATGAACAAACCGGGGAGAAAATATCGTCAGGTTGTGAAATTAATCCGACCAACTGGAACCACCTACTTGACAAGCTTAAGCTTTTCAACCCAGGTGAATATCGACATTTGCTACTATTCAACACACAATCTATTCAACAGAAGTGCTAATATTGCATTCATTTTGTTTTCTTTTATTCCTTGAATATGTATATATATATATATATGTATATTCTTCTGTACAAAAGCTAGTGTAAGTATTAGCGTTAAGTTTGTGTGTAGAGCGTTGCTTTCAAGTTGAAAGACATTTTGTGGCAAATTCGCCCTGTTTGGAGAAAGTGCCCCGAGATTAAATAATCTCCGGGTGAACTTAATACCTGCAAATTAAGCCCGATAAGACAAGTAACGAATCACGACACCTCTAACGTCACAAGTTTATTCTCCACACCTGGTGGTGACCTCTCGATGCATTTTTATTTTTTATTGTTTGATAACTTCATAACCCGCAATCGATACTTTTGGGTATGTTTTCGGATAAATTCTAAATATAATATCTTGCAAATTAGATCCAATAAGTCAATTTTAAATATATATTTGTCTTGTAATACTGTTAAATGGAATAAATATTAATAGTGTGCACACAATGAATTCAATATTAGAATAAAACAAAAATATTTGTTTAAAAAAATTATATAGTTAACAATAAATAAAATATATTATATATTGTCTTAATATATTTATATAATTTATTTTTTAAAAAAATAAAAATATTTAGGGTGAATTGTTTAACTAAGAACAGAGTGCTTATAAATGGAATTGTGGCACCAAATTTGCTGAAGAAAGGAGATCCTTGAGATAAGGCACGCAAATTCTTCTCTCCAATCCACAGAAATGGCGACGGCGAAAATCACACCGTCGGCAACGGCTATTTCGGCCACCTTCAAGCACCTTTCTCTACTCCCCCGTAGTACGCGGAATTTTGCTACTCGAATTGCCGTCCCCGGAACAGGCCGGGCAAAAAAGCTGGCCGTGACAATGTGCTCCAAAGCATCGGACCCGCTCGAAGTATGCGCGAAAGAGTCTCTCACTGTCCCCAGCAGGCTAGGAGACTGTAAGTGATTATCTTTTCAAGGTCCTTGTTTGTAGAAGCAATTGGAATAGCTCGTAACCTTTCGTTGCAGTATGATGAAAATGACTATTTCTGTTGGTGCCTTTGGTTGTCGGAGAATGTGTTACTTTATGGAGAGAGGTGTTTAGTGTGAATTGGTCAAGACTCAAGAGTATGCAAGTAATTTGTTAATTCGGAAGGCAAAGGTTTTCTTTTGTAGTGAATTGTGCTTTACAGCGCTGAGGTAAGTTTCGATGCCCAGTTTAATGAGTGGGTAAGATGAACTTGGTGAGTCTTGGTAATTTGAATTTTTCTAAATTTGATAGAACTTCAAATTGGAAGTGAATTCAGAACTCAAATTCGTAGCGTCACTGAATTTGATCTGCAATTACTTTTTAAGTTCTTTCTGAATATCAATTCGTTATGCTAAAAATTTGATTCCATACCAAAATGGATATACAAAGAATAATCTATTAATTATTGAAATTGTCCCTTTCGGAATTGAACTAGTAACTGGTGCCACCAACTTATATAACCTTAAATTGAGTTTGTTCTGATTCCAAATTAGTTTTATTTAAAACTACTTTCATACCTATTGAATTTGAATAACTGAAATTGGATCCGAGGCTGGTGGGTAAAAGAGTATCCACCTGCACAACTCTAGATATATGTAATTGGGGCAGCCTTTGTTTCTAATGTTTCTGAATCTTGTTTTCAGGTCCCTTTTCGCAAAGAATTCTTCTTACATTGGAGGAAAAACACCTTCCATATGACTTAAAGGTTGTTGACTTGAGAAATAAGCCTGAATGGTAATGTCTAACATAATTGCAACAATGCCACGTACTTGTTCTCATCGATATTTCTTAAAATTCAGTATATGCAGTATTATCTTCTTTTGAACTTATGCAGTTGTCATATTTAGGTTTTTGGATATTAGTCCAGAGGGTAAAGTTCCTGTAATAAAGCTTGACGAGAAGTGGATTGCAGATTCTGATGTTATTGCACAGATGCTGGAAGAAAAGTTTCCGGAACCCCCACTTGCAACGCCACCTGAGAAATCTGCAGTGTATGATTAAGCTTTTCATGCTTCAATGTTAAACTGTGTATTTTCTTGATTTCTTGTTGTAACGAAGTATATACATCAGTTTCCAAGTAAAAACTCAATTCCTTTCCACAAAATTTGATTTATGTCCATTTGCTTAAAAGTTTTAGTCAATTGTTGATTGTTGGCAACAGCCTTCATATACTTGTATTAATCATTATTAGTGGTTCGAAGATCTTCTCCACGTTTATTGCATTTCTTAAAAGCAAAGACTCCAATGATGGGACAGAGCAAGCATTGCTGAATGAGCTTGGTGTCTTCAACGGTTATCTCGAATTAAATGTGAGATATCTGTTCTATTTTTGTTGATTATAAAACCCTTTCGAATTTTGTTCTTTCAAAGGCCTTTTATTTTATTTAATTATTTATTTATTTTGCCTTCATGAAATAGTTTCCAATGTTTGCGGCAGAGTTGAAAAGGGGCATATAAAAATAAATGATTTCTTTGTGATGGATTTGTGCTATTTAAGTAAATTAGCTTTGAGATTATGGAACCATGTGCTTCTGATGTAGCTACACTTAATTCTGACCTGATTGATGCAAGACCCATAAATAAAGGGACATATCTCACATGAAATAGAAATGATCACTCGCACATATACTGTCCAAGTTGAAAGGACCTTCAGATGGAAAATGGATGTCTTCTGAAGATTAATTTTGAAAACAATAGGAGGTTTAGTTGGACGGTTACTCAAATAATATTCTAAAGTTCATGGACTACTACTTCAGGTGATGACAAGTTTTCAAAGTTGACATTCAACATGTTAATGCTAATATTTCCATATGCTGCTATCCCTCATCCATTATTGTGCCCAAGTCTTAATATGTTTGATTTCTCATTGACTAAATTCTCCCACTGTTAGGACTTACCAATGGGTGCGTAAACTGCTATCTCCCTCCCTCAATTCCAAACCAAATTGTTTTCTTGTGTTTTTAGTTGATCTTACCGGTCATAAGGGAAGCATTTATATGTTCTTGTGTTTTTGTTAGACAATTAAAAATGCTTGGTGAAATGCCTTTTGAAGATGCTGTGGCATGATAACACGATGATATGAAGGTTCATTTTTATTAATATCTAAATTACTGTGATTTCTTTGGTTCTCTGTTTTGCAGGGTCCATTCATCAACGGAAATGTAGTATCTGCAGCAGATTTGGCCCTCGCACCCAAGCTCTATCACCTAGAAATTTGTTTGGGGCACTATAAGAAATGGTCTGTCCCGGATTCACTTTCCTATGTGAAGTCATACATGCAGGTAAGGTCAATAAATTGCATCATCACAAGGTCTCGCACATACATTTTTATTTATTGCTTTACATTGCATGTTGGAGATCATTTAAAGACAATCGTGCATTTATTTACTCTGAGTGTTATCAGTATTATTTGTGTTTCAACTACCTTATATTGATTTCTTGAACATTGTGTGGTCCTGATGCTCAGACTGTATTCTCCATGGAATCTTTCATCAAAACACGAGCTTTGCCAGAAGATGTTATCGAGGGTTGGCGGCCAAAAGTAGAAAGTTAAGCAATCTGCTAGTTATTTGTAGCATTCTTTGGCTTCCAGTTGTAACTTAATGTATATGTAGTCATTGGCCATGCTATCTTATTGCAACATGATCATGCCCCGTGTCTTCAACTAGAAAATTATCTGGTTTCAGCCCTTGAGTATTGATTTAGGAATTTTGATGTACAAAACACTTAATTCCGTATGCTTTGATAAATATCAACCACTCTTGAGTGAATTTCCTTTGGGCAGGTTTATAATCAGTTTTTGTTCCAAAATGATCATATAACAAATTCTTGAGAATTTCAGCCATGAATCTGAGATATATGCGCAGCGCAGCACTTTGCCCTAGATCAATTCTGACGGGTAGCTAAGTAACCTGCCAAATGATACAGCGGAGCCGCCTTTAAAGCATCGAAGTGGCTGAGCTCGTCCACAGCTTTCCTTGCAAGCTCTCCAGCAAACTCCCTGGCCTTCGCCAGCCCCATAAGCCTCGGGTAAGTTGCTTTCTCTGTTGCCAGGTCTTTCCCTGCTGTCTTGCCCAATTGCTCTGATGACTTTGTCACATCAAGTATGTCATCCACCACCTGGAAAAGTAGCCCGATGCATCTTGCATACTTCCTAAGCGACTCTACCTCGGTGCTCTCCCCTCCACCAAGGATTCCTCCACAGACAGCAGCAGCCTCCAGTAGCATCGAAGTCTTGTGCACATGGATGTACTCCAGTTCGTTCAAACTGATCTTCTCCCCTTCACTGTCCAAGTCCACTATCTGCCCGGCAACAAGCCCTTCTGACCCGATTGCCAGTGCCAGCTCTGCAATGGCCCTGACTACTCTGCAATGCTCCACATTCTTAGTCTTTTCCGCAACATGATTGAAAGCAAGGGACAGCAGGGCATCCCCGGCCAGGACTGCTGTATCCTCACCAAACACCTTGTGGTTTGTGGGCCTCCCTCTGCGTAGGTCATCGTTGTCCATGCATGGGAGGTCATCATGGATGAGAGACATGGTGTGGATCATCTCAACCGCACAGGCTATGGGCATGGCCGTGGCGTCATCCCCTCCAACGAGGCTGCAGGCAGCAAGGCAAAGGATGGGGCGCACGCGCTTCCCGCCTGCGAGGAGGGAGTATCTCATGGCTTGGTGAATCTTCATTGGCTTCTGCAGTGGGATAGCTTCATCCAAGGCTCTGTTCACCTTATCAGCCTTTTCCGACAGGTATGCTTCGAAACTGAAACTTGGGATCTTTCTGGTGGTTGCTGTTGTTGCTGCTGGTGCTATGATTGACGAATTATTTGTGGCATTGGTGGGATGTGTTTTTGTCATTTTCTCACAGTAGATTGTGGGATTTTGTTTGTTTGGGGGTTTGTGTTTGAGGAAGCGTTTTTGTTGGGATGAAGTTTGATTAGTTACAACAGGGATGGCCTGTACAAGTGATGCCATTGTTGTGCTCTGTGATTGATTTGTGAGCAGAGGGAAGACACACACAGACATATATATATATATATATGTATTTATAGAACATTGGTGAAGATGCTGTTTTGTTCCTTAGGGTTATGCCATCAAACAAGCATTGGATCCTAGTCCTACTATGTCTATGTTTTAAAAACATTCATTATTTACATGATACGTCATTGGAGTGATTGAGGTTACTGTTAGTGAATTTATTTGTTTTTTTTATTGTGTGGCAATGATAGAATAATTATGTTTCCTTCTGATGAAATTGTATCAGTGTTTATATTTTTTGTATTGTTTAATAATATCATTTTGTTGAGTAATATGGGTTTTATTGATATATATATGTCGAAGATTCACCTTGAGCTTTCAGGTTGTACTAGAAAGTGTTAATATTGATGATGAATTTGTTACTAAAACAAAAAAGGTTCTTGTCATAATTTCAATAAATTCGACATACTTGAAATGTAAAAAGTGAAAAATAATGGGTTGGTAATAATATTAATTAGTTTTGACAAGCTAACAAATACTCCATTTGGCCTGGGGGCATATGGTTGCGTGATCTTGGTTGAAAGAGAATCAACTTTGACATATTCCCCCTACAAAACCCCAAAATCTGCTTTGGGTTTGGAATATAATTAGACATTAATTAATTCAATCCCAACACAATCAACATCCTCCCGGAACAATCAGATAGTATAGGGTTTGGACTTGTGACTTTTTTGTATTTAATTTAATATTTTTTAGATGAAAGTTTTTAAATGAATAGTATAAATTTTTGCCAAAATCTCTGAAGATTTAGAACAATTTAAAATTGACATTGTTACAGGATGTTGGGTTTTTTGTTATTAGAAATCAATATTATTTGTTTGGAATTAGTGGAAATAGCTTGAATGTAATTTGTTTGGAATTGATTAAAATTGATTGGATATAATAATTTGTTTAATATATTTTATTTTGGTTGAAATTAGTTTATTGTAATAATAATATTTATTATTATAATAAATGAAGTGGAGTGACCGAACTAGTGTGCGTAAATTTATAATTGTTGAACTAGTGTGAATTAGTGTGTGTAACTCCAAATTTAGACCAATATTGAGCACAGTGGGTCTTTTTAATTGAGTTATATAAATCAACTAAGGGCAAGTAAGAGTTGGAGGGAAAGGGATTAGACAAAATGAAGGAAAATGTGAACCACACACAGGACACAAACAAACAAAACCTCATAAATAAATAAATAAATAATTAATTAATTATTATTTTTTTTTTTAAAAAAGAAAGTAATGGACATCTTACAATTAAACACCTAACTGTCAAACCCCAGTGGGAGATGATATGTGGTTGGTTATATATATAGAAAACTTTTTTTGGATGTAAACTCCAAAGTGCTATTATTTCATTTATTTAATAAGCTCTTCATGTATTACTATTTAGTTTATCAACCACATAATTTGATGGACTTATAAACCCTCTCTTAATGCATATCAACTTTAGTTATAAAATCAGCTTCTTCTAGAAAAGAATTCTTTTATTTATTTATTTATTTATTTTTCAAAATAATTCTCAATATATTTATTTATTAGAGGCTACTAGATATTAAAATAATGTTTATTTATCTATCTCTAAAGTTCCATGCACTTTGATAAACTATTATACCATTGAAAGGATAACAATTTGTGTGATAGAATTTATAAGATACTTAACTAAACCCTAAATGGGAGAGATGTTGGTGCTATTGATTCCTTTCAACATAATAATAATAATAATAAAAATAAGATAAAATTGGGTTAGTGATGAAATAAAAAGTGAGAGAGCATTACTGTAGTTTAATAATCTGCTAAGTGTTATGGAAATATGCAGAGGCAAAAACCACTAACTGTAATTGTTAATCAACACTGCTGCTGAGCTTGCCACAACTTCAAAATATTACTCCCTCTGTCTTACATACCATGTCCAGGTTGCCGTTTCTGTCTGTCTCGCATATCATGTCATTTCCTTTTTTTGGAAAATGATTACACACTTTAATCTTATTTTAAATTTTTTATTTTTATTTTTTGTTAAATTTTAATTAAACTAATTAGTTATCTTCGTCTTAATTTTTAATTATTTATATTATTGGATAATTATTTTTTCTTAATTATTTACTAATTACATTCATCCTAAAATACCGTGTTTACAGTGTAGCAGACACGATGCGTGGAACGGAGATAGTACTATCAAATTGCAAACTGTTTGTTAGGTTAAATTAAATTATATACAATCAATTGGACCCTTTTTATATTCACCTATAAGCTTAAGCTTTTAGAAAAATACAATCATTAATTTTTATCAGAAAAAGAGATCCATAATTTACCTTTTCAAGTGCAAATAGAAATATACAAAATTTGTACATATATATACAACAAAATATTAAAAAATACTTTATACAAAATATTACATCAATAAATATTTTTTATTCATTTTTTTTTTTTTTCCCCAAAATTTTCTACAAGTAGGAAACACTCTCAAATCTATATATATATATACAACCTATACATATTGAAATGCAACAAACAAAATTTAAATAATATAATACTTACACGTTTAATAAAGTGGTGATGATTAATTTGCATGAATAATCTTTAATAAAAGAATGGTGTGCTACAGCTGGCTGTTTTTATTTTATTATACTACATCATTTTTGTAAATATATATGATCCTCAAGTCAACCCTTACAATGAATTGGGCCGTTAGGGTTAACCCACTTTAGAATTATATAGATATGTATTCTTTGAGTTATATATATATATATATATATTGTCCTGAAATTATAACATGTTATATATTGTATTAATATTTGCTATGCGAATTATACTACTCCATCTGTTCCAAACATCTGCGACATTTTATTTTTTTGTTTGTCCCAAACTCACTGCAACATTTATAAATTTAGAAATAATTAATAATATTTTTATACATATATTAATATACACTTCACTTTATCCCATCACATCACTCAAATAAAAAATAAATAATCATTTCTCTCTCCAATCATATCACTTAATATCCAAATTATTTCAAATTACCATACTTAATACTCCTCGTCTAAATTCCAGTGCCAAACACAAATGTTGCACGATGTTTAAGACGGAGAGAGTATATTGTATTATACCGTATAATTTGCTTATTTGGATGACCGCCTGTTCATTTATTGAAAGATTACGTGACGGAAAACAATGATGTAGCAAATTTTCACAGCAATTTTTTTTTTTTGTTTTTCTTGCACTGAATATAATTTTCAACAATTATTTTTTTTTAAAAAGAATTATATAAAAAAATAAGAAAAATAAAATTATTTGTAAATTTTGAATTATAAAACTTGCGGCAAGTGAATTTGTGAACTACATTGAACTTCTGCAATATTTTAATTAAGATGGTATAAATTTAATTTATCTTTTTTAAAAAACATAGACAAATAAATATAATACAGTATATATTAATTAAATCTAAAATAAAATAGACTGCCATAATTAATTATGGTCAGTGATCTATATATATATCTAATTATCAAAATCTTGTTTGACAATGATGTCATTAGAGTTGTAATTATTGGACAAACGTAGAATCAGACGGTAAGAACAAAATTGCAATTAAACTGGTCTACATGTAAAACTAGCTTATCAGATAAGTGCTAACTTTGAATGGTAATATTCTCTCCGTTATTTAAATTTATACTTCTTTTTTTTTTTTGTCATTGAAAAATATTTTATTTATTTTTAAGTAAAAAATTATTATATTTTTATACTTTTTTTATTATAAAAAAAAGTAATAATTATTATTTACTTTTATTAAAACTCATGTCCGATCAATTGAAAGTTGATTTGGACGAGGAAGAGAGTAATAATAATCCTGCTAATAATGTTGACTATGTGATGGCTGTCGTAATTTAATTAAATAATTTAAAAACCCCAACCATTCCTTATAATAAATATTAATATTAATGTGAAGAAGGACTACCTTACACTTGTGCCATTGCTTAACTCATCACATCACACCATGATTATATAAGATTTGTATTTGTTTTGTTTGATCGAAATTGATTTGCAATAAAATATTAATTAAAATTTTTGTTTAAATAATATTTTAAAATATTTAATGAAAGATATTAGTAATATTTTATTATTACAAATAGTACAAATAAATAATATTAATGTCGATCTAAAATTACAAAAAAATAAATATTATTATTCAATTTATTATTATTACTTTTGAAATATTATATATAATATTTATTTTATTTTATTTATATATAAATAATACCATAAAAAATTCTATTCTTATCTCTAAAAATATAAAAGTAGAAAGTATAAAATAAAAATATAAAAAATAGAAGGAGATATGAGTTTTTTTTTTTTTTTTTAAAAAGTTTGGTTACCTTTCATGATTTAATATAATTTTTTTTATAAAAATATAAATATTTTATCTCATAAAATATTACATTCAATCTACTATTTAAATAAAAAATCAATCCCAAATAAAGTGCAACATTTACTTTTGGCACGGATTTTTAGGTGGATAGTATTAAGTAAGATAATTTAGAAATTAAGTAATGTGATGGAGAAATAAATAAATATTTTATTTATTTATTTTGGATGATGTGAGAGGATAAAGTGTGGGGTAGAAATTAAATATAATTAATTATTTTCTATTTTATAAATATTGTAAAGTGTTTGGAATATACAAAAAAAAAATAAAAAATATTGCATGATGTTTGAGAGGGAAGAAGTAAATTCTTATAGCTAGATTGCAAATGTTCACATTTAAATAGGGTAAAAATCGTACTATGTTTGTTGTATTTTGGAATGTTTTTTTTGTTGTTTTAAAAATGATAAAAAAAAAAAAAAAAAGAAGCTTAAATATGATATAGATTATAGAAATTATGTTTTAGAGGTGGTGTGTTTGTTTGGGGGTTTGAATTTTGAGTTGGGATTTGAATAGTAAAAATTTTGAATTTGAATAGTTGTATGATGTGATATAAATAGGGTTTGATGTGATGTTTTGAATGTAAAATTGATTTTTAGTATAATATAAAATATGAAAAATAAGTGTTTGATTTGATATTTTTAGAGGAAAAAAATTGGATAAACAGTGAAAATCCACCAAAATCCTTCAAACAAACACACCCCTACTTTTAAAAAAAAAAATAAAAATAGTGAGCAATATGACAATTGTTGAATAAATATGATATATATTAATTTTTTTATATTTTAATGTATATATTAATATATATATATATATATGATATATTAGCTGTCTGTCTGTCTGTCTATAAATACCGTCACGATTGAGCCAGCAGCTTCAGCCCACCATTTGCACTCTTCTCTCTCTCTCTCTCTCTCTCTCTCTCTCCAACTGCATCCAACTTCTGCCTGCACTCACTCACAGAATTCATTCTCAACTCAACTTGCCCTCCCTCCACTACACCACCACCACGTCGGGGGAACGATACGATAATTGTATCAGTTCCATTCAATTAAATGTACATGGCTATGCAGTCTCCGATTCGATAATCTCTCATTTCGGGGAGGAGAAGAGAGGAGATCACATCATGTCGTCGTCGTCGTCTTTCAGGAAGTCTTCGTTGAGAGTTGTGGATCATCGCGGTGGCGCAAACGATGGGGATGACTATTTGGTGGAGAGCGTCCACGAAAGGCTCCGGTCGTCTCGAGGCAGCCGATTCGCCTTGATCGCCAACGAGTTGGGGCTCGATTCGTCAGAGCGGAGGCTTAACAGCAGGCAGAGCGTCATTGACGGCTTGAAGGACCTCTCCCAAGGCTTGTTCATCCATCCCGATAACAGGTGCACATAACATAACTCAACTGCACCAACGCAATTACCAATTAATTAAATTCCATCCATATGCACTGCACACTCACACTCACACAGATCAGAAGTTCAAAACAGATTTCTGATTTTCCTTTCGCGATTAGATTAGATTCATTCGATCGGAAAAAGTTTCCCAAATTCCGAGCAGGCGAACGCGAGTTTCCCTCCCGCCAATGATATTAGGGTGGACGCGTGGCAGGAATCTATTGGTGTTTTGTTTAAATAACACAACTACTTAATATGACTTCACCTTGAGCCTTCAATTCTTCGATGGCTGGCTCAACTTTGACCTTTCCTTTTCGTAACCTGATTTTCAAGTATAGTAGTGCAACATTAATTAATTAATTAAAAATGGGTGGATAAGTATAGGCAAGCAAGAGCCTGACTCGTGGTCGTGGAGGAGATGGATCTTATAAATTCCTTTAATTTGTCCAGTTCTTGATTTGGAAGGATTTGCTTGCTTTTGGAAATCATTTCGTGGTCACTAAAAGAATTTTTTCTTCTGCATATATTTTTTGGTTTGGAAGTATTCTGGAAAACTCGAAAGAGAGAGAGAGGGCTGAGAGAGAGAGAGAGAGAGAGAGAGAGAGAGAGAGAGAGAGAGGGACGTGGGACAGAATCATTGGTAATCTAGGACAGTAGTTGTCAACAGAATTTATTGTAAACAACAAATTACAATAATTAGTAACAATAATTCAATTTGGGCTGCAAAGTAGAGCTAGCTTGTCAAAAGGGACCTTAGATATCGTACAGCTATGTGTTTTTTCGGCATTGTTTAACTTGTTGCGTAGGGAAGAACAACTCATGGTTGCTTGATTTACGCCAGGATTTATTTAATTTATTTATTTATTTGCTTTAATGAGAATGATGTTTCTGGATCCAATAGGTATTTTCTGTTAAAGATAATTTTTTTTTTTGTTATATATTTGAAGATAGATCACATAAAGCCGCATGGCCTACACATTTAAGAGAATAATAGCAATAAAGATTCTAGTAATACTCCATGTTGCACTACAAATCTGGGGAACTAACTGATTTCTTACTATATATAGTTTGCCAATTTCTGATATTGTTATGAATATTTGTTAATGATTTCTGAACTTTCTGGCTTTATTCCATATTCCCACTTAAGAGCATAAAATGGTCGGAGAAATATATGTATGTACATATATAAATAGCAATTCACACACTATGTTATGTCTCCGTAATCTTTGGGGGTGTTTGTTTGAAGGATTTTGAAGGATTTCCACTATTCATCCAATTTTTTCCCCCCAAAAACATCAAATCAAACACCTATTTTTCATTTTTTATATTATACTAAAAATCAATTTTACATTCAAAACATCACATCAAACCCTATTTATATCACATCATACAACTATTCAAATTCAAAATTTTTACTATTCAAATCCCAATCCAAAATCCAATCTCCCAAACAAACACACCCAAAATTGTTCCCATGACAGTGAAACATTCATGAAATATTATTAACTGTTCTGGTGTAGCAAATTTTTTATTTTATTTTATTTTATGACGGAATCCGCAACTCCTATTTTGAATTTATTTTAGGTAAATTTCCGGCCGAACCTAACATAATTCTTGAATTTCATTGTACTTTTTTCATGTTTCTATTCATTAATCAGAAATCAATTTTTTTGGATTATATTGTACACCTAATTAAAGTTGTAATTAACGAGTATCAACAAATAATCAATAAAAGATTACTGAAAATATATAATTATTTGCACAACTATATTAACTTTGTCATGATTATTATTATTATTTTTTTCTTAAAGTAAATTTACTGCGAGTGATAAGGAACTTTAATTTCTCTAATGCAGGTGGTACAAGGCATGGGAGAAATTTATACTGCTATGGGCAATTTACTCTTCATTCTTTACTCCAATGGAATTTGGATTCTTCAAAGGACTGCCAAAGAACCTCTTTGTTTTAGATATCGTCGGCCAAGTAGCTTTTCTCATCGACATCTTACTGCAATTCTTTGTGGCCTACAGAGACACCCATTCCTACAAAATGGTTTGCAACCATAACCTCATTGGTCTCCGGTTAGCTAGATATTTTCACAAATTGAGATATCCCAATGCATGTATAATGAGAACACTATTTTTGGACTAACCATTTTTTTTTCTTTGTTATTTTTGTAAGGTATCTTAAGTCTCATTTCTTCCCCGACCTTCTTGGTTGTATGCCTTGGGATCTGATCTATAAGGTTCGTATACTTTCACTAAATATGCAAAAGTCATCTATGAATTCTTTACTAATTCGTGTATTATAATTATTTGTGCTACTGTGTATCTTCTTTAGGCAGTTGGGAAAAAGGAAGAAGTCCGGTATCTTCTGTGGATCAGGCTAACTCGGGTTCGTAAAATTACAGAATTCTTCCAGAGGATGGAAAAGGACACTAGAATCAACTATCTATTTACAAGAATAGTAAAACTCATTACGGTAGAACTCTATTGTACGCATACGGCAGCATGCATATTCTACTTTTTGGCTACCACTCTCCCCGAAGAGAAGGAGGGATATACATGGATCGGGAGTTTAAAGCTGGGAGACTATAGTTACTCTCATTTCAGAGAAATTGATATATGGCAGCGTTACACTACTTCATTATATTTTGCCATTGTTACCATGGCAACAGTAGGTCAGTCCTAACTAACTTTTCAATTCAAGCTTCTTTATTTATTGAAGTTGATTTGTCGATCATATTTGGTTGCATTAACTGTTGTACAGGCTATGGAGATATACATGCTGTCAATCTGAGAGAAATGATCTTCATCATGATTTATGTCTCCTTTGACATGATTCTTGGCGCGTATTTGATCGGTAACATGACTGCATTAATTGTGAAAGGATCAAAAACAGAAAGGTACAGGGACAAAATGACGGATCTTATCAAGTATATGAATAGAAATGGGCTAGATAGGGACCTCCGCAATCAAATAAAAGGACACTTGCGTTTGCAATACGAAAGCAGCTACACTGATGCTGCTGTTCTCCAAGATATCCCAATCTCCATCCGTGCTAAGGTAATTAAGTAGCTTACAACATTGATAAAATTCAGTATTGATAGATCGAGAACGTGTATCTCCATGTGTACAAAGAATTTGAACTATGCCTATTTCATTCATTGTTTCATTTGCTTGTTATCTTATGTTTGAAGAATGGAAAACATCGATCTGATATTACTACTCTTCTTTGTGTTCTGTTCTTAGCTAATCTCGGATGGTTCCTCAGGCCCATGCATAATTTGTAGTTGAAAAATGAGCTCTTTACTTCTTGCAGATATCTCAGACTCTCTATAGATCATACGTCGAGAATATTCCGCTTTTCAAGGACTGCTCAGCAGAATTTATCAATCACATTGTAAGAGCATGTGACTAATATGAGTATATATATCATAAGTGTTAACAAGGAACTTTGCTTTAATACCTACCTACCATCACTTTGCAGGTAACCCGGGTCCATGAGGAGTTCTTCCTCCCGGGAGAAGTCATAATGGAACAGGGGAATGTCGTTGATCAGCTCTATTTTGTCTGTCATGGTGTTCTGGTCTGATATCTCACTCACTCACTCAATCCATGTTTAATTCCATTTTTTCTGCTTTTCTTACTTATGAATAGGCCTTTTTCATATCGTACCTGTTTACAAGTGGTGGATGGATGTATGTATGTTTTGCAGGAGGAGGTTGGAATAGGAGCAGACGGCACAGAAGAGAATGTCACTCTTCTAGAGGTCAACTCCTTATTCGGTGAGATCTCCATTCTCTGCAACATCCCCCAGCCTTACACTGTCCGTGTTTGTGAATTATGTCGCCTTCTTCGTATCGACAAACAGTCTTTCTCAAATATCCTCGAGATCTATTTCAATGATGCTCGTAAAGTCTTGAATAACTTGTTGGAGGTATGTATGTATGTATGTATGCATGCATGTATATCCAACCTACCTTGTGGAGTTTTTCATTTGTGTGTTGATTTTCGATAGGGCAAAGAATCTAATCTTCGAGTGAAGCAATTGGAGACAGACATAACATTCCATATTGAAAAGCAAGAGGCAGAACTTGCTCTGCGAGTGAACAATGCAGCATATTACGGCGATCTTTATCAGCTTAAAAGCATGATTCGATCTGGAGCTGATCCCAACAAGAAGGATTATGATGGAAGATTGCCTCTGGTATGTACTAAGCTCCGATCCCCGGCAACATGGACATGTGTGTCTTTTTTTTTTTGTTTTCATAATAATAACACATTATTAATTGCATTTTCACAGCATCTTGCTGCATCCAGAGGATACGAAGATATAACCGTGTTCCTTATTAAAGCAGGCGTAGATGTGAATGCTGAAGGTAAGTAAGTGACTAATTTCCGATGATCAACTCTGCTAATCACGACTTATATAATCAATCATTTGCTGCAATGCAATGGCTAATAGAATACAATTTTCTATCATGTTGTCAGATAATTTTGGCAACACACCGTTGTTTGAAGCCATCAAGAGTGGACATGACAGGGTTGCTTCATTGCTTTCGCAACAAGGGGCCGTAATGAAGATTGCGAATGCAGGTAGCTTCTTGTGCACGGTGGTGGCAAGAGGTGATTCGGATTTCCTGAGGAGAGTTTTGGCCAATGGCATCGATCCAAACTCCCAAGACTACGATCATCGAACCCCACTGCATGTAGCTGCCTCTCAAGGACTCTATCTCATGGCAAAGCTGCTTGTCGAAGCCGGAGCCAGTGTATTCTCAAAAGACAGGTACATTTTCTTAATTCAACGACTTACACACAGCCACACCTACATACTATGATTTATTGTAATTTCAGATATGGAAACACTCCATTGGATGAAGCTACCATGGGCGGAAACAGAAACATGATCAGACTTCTGGAAGAGGCGAAGAAGGCGCAACTATCGGAATTTCCAAATTGCTCTCAAACCGTCACAGGCTAGCTTCTCAACATATATATACATATAGTTTGATCATATATATATGTTTTTTTATTGATTTAGTTGTAATCGTAACAGATCGATTAACAATGGTGCATCATCATAAGAAGAAGTGCACTGTATTCCCGTTCCCTCCGTGGTGTGAAGACGATGAAGATAGGAGTAAGAGGAGACATGGGGTTGTAATGTGGGTGCCTAACACCATTGAAGAGCTAATAGAAAGTGCATCCAAACAGCTGGAGTTGTCATCATCGTGTATTATTATTTTATCCCAAGATGCAGGTCAAATTTGTGACGTTGATATGATAACAGATGGCCAAAAATTGTATCTAAACCAACCAACCTCTAGTTAGTTAGTGACACCAAAAAGGGCCGTGTGTGATTATAGATATATGGGCGTAAATATAATGGTGGTAATTTTATAGGATCAATATACATATATATATATATATAAAATAAAATTACAAAAATATCTATATTATATCGAAATATATTGTATTATAGATTTATATTAGATTGCCTATAATAGAAGTTGCATATCGTTACTAATTGACCCATCAGCATAGGGCCGCCTTGATACATAGGTAATCTAATTGTTCCTCGAGCTTTGGCTTGTCTTGCTTGTCTTTTGCTGCACATCAATTAATAATCAATAAATTGGGTATTTTCGCTTGTTTCAAAACTAAATAAATTTTTGAATGGAAATATATTTTGATTTTTAAATTGTTGGTGTTTCATAAACTATATCATTTTGAAGAAAAAAGTAAGAATGAGGAGGTGGCTTAATTTTATTCAAATCATTCAACAATATAAAAAATTTGAATTTATATATTAAAAAAAAAGAGAAAATTTGATTATGAATTGAATAATTCATTATATAAATCAAATATAAAAATTTTACTTTTTACTGATGTTTAAAATAATGTACACATTTTTTCTTTTTAATATTTGAATTAATTTTAAAACACATAATCAATTCATACACAAATAATACTTAATTTATGTGGTTTTTAATCAGTGTTGTACCATAATAATAATAATAATAATAATAATAATAATAGTGGATTTTCCTATAAAAAAGATGATAATAGTGAATTCGTATAATTCAAATCGGGCCAAAATTTATCAAATGTGACTGCAAATCCCTATGTCTTAAAAAAAATAATAAAAAAAAATAGCATGAATTGATACGAAAAAGAATATAATTTTTTAAGAATTAGAAATAATTTTTTCTATAAAGAAAATAATAATTCAAACGGAACATAAGCGTATGATTTTTGTGGTTTGTTTAGTCAAAGCTGGAATGCTGGATAAATCGAACAAATAGCGGGTCTTCCCGGACCCGACCCAACCCAGCGTGGCTTGGCTTCGGGCTCTCCGCCTCGGCCTCTGCCACCTAACCTACGCCCTCCGCATTTTATATCGACTCACAGTCAGAGACACACTCAGACTCAGGGTCAGGTAGGGTTTCTTGGATTCCGCCGTGTGTATATCACAGGAGTATCATATATATATATATATATATATAAGCGCGCCACTCCATTCCTCTCTTCTCAGTTGGCCGCTCCGACCCCGACTGCTCTGCTCTGCGCCGAACCCAGTGAGTTGCTTTTCAGCCCTTCTCTGATCTATCTTGTCTACTCTACTCGTCTCTCTAGTCTCTTCCTTTCTTTAATTTTCTCTTTAAAATATTATGTTGTTTTTCATGGCGAAATGTGTGTTGCTTTGATTATGAATATGAATTGGAATTGAATTGAAATGGATGTTGATTTGATCAATTAAAATGGTACTACGCATTATACCATATCCCAGAGCCGACGCAAAGCTTCTTTATAATTGACTTAACTGCTTCCGACGACGTTGGAATGGCTCAACTACATGCAATCCTTCCCTCCTCTGCTCATCTCCTCTTCCCTAGTTGTAGAACAGGTAGTGTGTCGTTTCCTCCTTCCTCTCCTGTGGTGGTTTTTCTTCTTTCAAACGTCTCATGTCACGTTTTCTGATTCAGCACTATCTTCCGACCATTGTCACTGCCCCAAGACTTTTGGTTCACTACAAGAGGTATTATTCCGTTTCTTTATTCCCCGTTTGCCAAAGATTCGCATTTTTGAGTGTCTCCCTTTCACTCGCTCTTTTGTGGCGCCAGCTTGGGTTGAAAGCTAGTGAGTTTCGCGGTCTTCCAATTGTCCAAAGAAGTGCCAACTTTAGCCTGAGCCGTCGTTCCCATGGTACCATCCCAACTCTCTTTTGAACCAGTTCCCCCTACTACTCTTTTCCTTTGGTTCTTTTAAGTTTACCCTCTTGCAATTTGAGGAGATTCCTTCCCTGTAGTAAAACATTTTGATTTTGTTTTTCCTTTTCCTTTTTCTTTCAACAAGTTATTGGTATGCTGTGAAAGGGTTGTCCGTAGTGGTGTTGGTTTTTGAATGCTTTTGAGCATTTTAGGCCAAATAATTATGTTGAATGCAGTTATGCATGCTGATTATATGTTCAAAACAGCCTGCGTGAATTTGATTTCACAAAAAATTGCTCACTTACTGGTCTAATATAATATATAACATCTAATTAATTTGATGCAGGTATCCAAGCAGTTTTAGCTGGTGATAAGGAAACGATGGAATCATATGGGGTAGATGGAAAACCTTTGCGAAAGAAGTTGAACAAAGTAGTCCTGGCTTACAGTGGTGGTCTAGATACGTCTGTAATTGTACCTTGGCTCAGGTACTTGTGATCATTTTGGTTTTTCTTCAATGCCACTTATATGTTTTGCAATAATACTCACATTTGAAAATTGTGCCTTATGAAATACTGCGAATAATGTGCAATCACTGATAGGAGAACTTAATGGCTGATCACTCAGGTCTATGGATGAGAGTGTATGCAACTTACTGGGGCATATTTATCCTTGGATTTGTAAACATGCATTTTGTGTGTAGGAGATGTTTAATATATATTCTCGCATTTTTTATGTATTCCAGGGAGAATTATGGCTGTGAAGTTGTTTGCTTCACTGCAGATGTTGGTCAGGTATGTAAAACCAACTTTAAACTACTATCTTACTTATAATATATGATACTTGTATTTATAATACAGAAAAAGATTTGGCCATGCTTGCAGAATTATTATAATTTATTGAGTAAGAAAATGTATGTTTTTGTTGGATGCATTTTTATTGATCAAATCTTGTTAACTTTAGGGTGCGTTAGAACTGGAAGGTTTGGAAAAGAAAGCCAAGGCTAGTGGGGCATGCCAACTGGTGGTGAAGGATCTGAAGGAGGAATTTGTGAAAGATTTTATCTTTCCTTGCTTGCGAGCTGGTGCTATCTATGAAAGAAAGTACTTGCTTGGGACATCAATGGCCCGACCTGTTATTGCAAAGGTATGATGCAAAGCTTTTAATAAAACAAAGTGTAGTCGTGAATGTATTTGCTGCATGAGGGACAGAACAGGATGTATACTTTCTGTCACATAAGTTTCTGGTCGATAGCTATCATTAACTCCGAAAGCATTTTTATCCACTAGAATATTCACATATCCAGATCAACCAAACCTCCCAGCTGTTTGAGCTTTTTAATGATCTATGTCTTTGCTATCGGGAAGAGTTGTGGGGTATGATGAACCAAAATTGTCTTAAAAGGAAAAAGGTTTCATTTGTATTTGCACTCACCATTGCATGCTATGCTATTATTATTGTTTCTCTCTCCCTCTGAAATTATAACTCACTCTCACTTGGTTATCACATAAATTAAACTGTTCAGCTTTTAAATGCATTCCATTGTGTTCACTTAAATGCTGTTTTTATTTTTAACTTGCAATATCAAATACAATATGCAGGCAATGGTCGATGCAGCTAAAGAGGTTGGAGCTGATGCTGTAGCACATGGATGTACAGGGAAAGGAAACGACCAGGCATGCTTCTGGAATTCCTGCACCTTTGATCTTTACTTAATTTAAGCTAGTAAAGTAAATTTGTTGAATTTTTGAGAGCGTGCTGCTTTGCTGCAGGTTCGGTTTGAGCTCACTTTCTTTGCACTGAATCCGGAACTCAGTGTGGTTGCTCCTTGGAGAGAGTGGGAAATAAGGGGAAGAGAAGATGCTATTGAATATGCTAAAAAGCATAACGTGCCTGTTCCAGTGACAAAGAAATCTATCTATAGCAGAGATCGGAACCTCTGGCATCTGAGTCATGAGGTAGTCATGTCATTCTCCGAAGTGTTGAGTTTATTGTCGTTGTGCTCTGATCTCATCTCATCTCATCTCCTGTTGTCGTGCGTCATTGAAGGGTGACATTTTGGAAGATCCTGCAAATGAACCCAACGAAGACATGTACATGATGTCAGTTGACCCGAAGGATGCACCTGATGAACCTGAGTGAGTTTCTTCTTCTTCTTCCTTGGATGGTATAAGTAATCTTCGCCATTAATGACTGTTATCTGATTGCTTCTCTCTGGGATTTTATGCAGGTATGTGAAAATTGGGATAGTTGCAGGAATCCCTGTTTCTGTGAATGGAAAGGAACTTTCTCCTGCATCTCTTCTAGCTGAGTTAAATGAAATAGGAGGTAAACATGGGATTGGGAGGATAGACATGGTTGAAAATCGACTAGTTGGGATGAAGAGTCGCGGCGTGTACGAAACTCCTGGAGGGACAATCTTGTTCAGCGCAGTGCGTGAACTCGAGTCTCTAACGCTGGATCGTGAGACCATCCAGACAAAGGATTTTCTTGCACTAAAGTATGCCGAACTGGTGTATGCCGGGCGGTGGTTCGATCCACTCCGGGAATCGATGGATGCGTTCATGAAGGAAGTGACAAAGAGCACAAGTGGAACAGTGAGGTTGAAGCTGTACAAAGGATCAGTGAGTGTAGCAGGCATGGAAAGTCCCAACAGTCTGTACAGACAAGACATATCTTCGTTCGAGAGTGGGGATATTTACAACCAAGCTGATGCTGCTGGCTTTATCCGCCTCTATGGATTGCCTACACGGGTGCGTGCCATGCTTGATTGATTTTATGTTTCAGAATCTGTCTGTCTATCTAATTATCTATCCTGTCTGTGTGATCATCCATGTCCGTTCTGGTTATGGGACAAATGATTGCTTTTCTGTTCTGTTATGGTTGTGTAGGTCAGGTTGTTCTGTTTCTCATTCTGACTCTGCCTTATGCTGCCTAATTAATAATAAAATATTTATTTTTTTAAATTGGGCTGGGTATGGCCCAAATAGTTTTGGGCCTTTTTTTATGCCCAAGTACAATTTTAAGCCGTCACTATAAGAAAGAAAGAAAAAAAAGAATCCGGAATTGAGTTGCTTGAATCGTATTAACGAAGTATAAAATCAGAGTAACTATAAGAAGAGATGCTGAAATTTAAATGTCCAGTTTCAAAATATAATTTAAAAGGAGATAGAATTATTTTTCTAAATTGAGAAGTGCAAAAATATAAAGGACTACTTTCTTCGGACGAGTAGTTGTGAACATCACAACATCATGAGAATAATCAATGCTTCGGACCGACCAGGAATTAATATCATTGAAACTCACAACTTTCCTGACTTGGACCGAATCAAATCCTCCGACCAACAACCTAAGGTAAGTTACCCAGGATCCTATAAGGAAGAAAAGGCTCCTCCATAATTAATATTTCATTGATTTACCTTCAGCGTCGTTATATTTAACGTTAAAAATATTTTTATATTTGTATAATTTTTTATACTAATATGAGTATGTTTATAATTTTTTATTAATTTGTACTACGTTTTGATATAATAATTAATATTCAAAGTCTGAACACGTAAAAAGTAACTAAGACCTTAGAGCCGGACAAAAATAGTATTATGAAATTATTAGGGCAAATACTTGACTTGACGGTCTAGATGTAGATCATCTTAATCAAAATTTTGTGTTTTGACGTGCTTTTCTTGATTTTCAAATTTCAGCAACATTTAGAGTGTGCTTCTTTGAGGTTGGTTTTAAAAAATTTGATTTGAATTTGATATTAAAATAATATTTGATAAATATTTTGTTAAAAAAAATACTATATTCTTCCACCAATATTTAGAAACTCTGGTTTTAGAGAGTGTTTCTTTTTAAAATTAAAAATATTTTGTTGATGTCAATTTTCAATAATAAAAAGTAAAATTCGAAAATAGAAATTATTTTCGAATTTGATAAAATAAATACCTGAGTACATAAGCAAAATAGGAAAAATAAATATTATAAAAGTAAAGTGGTGATCCCCAAAAATTTTTATTGAAGATGCCTAAAAGACCTATTTAAAAAGAAAAGGAAAATCTATGTCAACTGCCCCGATGTAGTTATCAGGTCGTACATTCGTATCCGATCGTCAGTTGTAACTTCTTCCAATCGCCTCAGAATTGTTTTTCGCCCGATCTGCACGTCTGCTGCTTCATCTCCCTTTGCCCGTCTTCCATTTGCCCGACCTATGCGTCGGCCCCCTTTTCTTTATCCGACTTCTCTTTGTCCGACCTCCATGCCAACCGACCTAAATGTCTACTGCACCCCCTTTTTCTTCGTCCGACCTCTCCTTGTCCGATCTTCTCCCCGATCACCTATCCACAAGTTCTCCCAAGAAAACCCATTTTCTTAACAACGCTACCGTTAGGCCTATATCCAAACCTATAATTTAATCAATAAGCTCTCGAAAAATCCTATTCATTAATTTTCCTTATTCAATAATTCTAATATTTATATAATTTTTTATATAAATATCATTACATTATTATTATTATTATTATTATTATTATTATTATTATTATTATTATTATTATTATGAAAATATTTTTGTCATTTTGTTTAATTTATACTAGGGTTATTGTAATATAATGATTAACAGTTAAATATTAACATGACAAAAGTAATTAGGTACATTGGGAATAGTATTAGTAAAATTTGGATGGGGCAAACAAATTAAAACCCATTATTTGTTAATAGTTGCTTTCTAAAATAACATTCATTTTACAAACATAATTAATATACACTCCATTTTTTTATTTAAAAATAAAAATGAAAAATAAAAACTACAAAACCTTCTTCCTAAACGAAACCTCAATCCCTAATTAACCAGAAAACCCTAAAACAATTAAGCTCAAAATGTATGTATGTATATACATATATCAATGAACGGCAATTAGGGCAGCCCTTTGTTTGGTGGTGGTGGTGGAGTGCATCAACGACGATCCTCCTCCTCCTCCTCCTTGACCTTCCTTGTTCCTTCTCCTCAACAGCTTCGACCAAATCCACCGTTTGGCCTCCGCAGCCAAGGCGGTTTTCTTCTCCTCCTCCTTCTTCCGATGCGTGAAGAACGCCATCGACCGGCTTTTCTTCAGCCCGCCGCCGGGAGACGACGACGGCGATTTGGACATTATCCAGTCGTAGTGGTTGGCAGTTGCAGACGACGACGACGACGAATTTGGAATTTGGGAGAGCTTCTCAGTTAGGCAAATGGAGCAAACTCCAGGGGACTGTATGTGCGTGGGATGCTTCGTGCACACCGCCATTGTATTACTGCTGCTACTATTACCAGCTGTATAATTATTACCGGGAGGATTCGTTAATAATATATTACTCTTCCTTCTTCCACATGCTGCTGCTGCTTTCTCCTGCTTCGTTTTTACCTTCATAGCTGCTGCTGCTGCTGCTGCTGATTCCATCTTGTTCAATTAATTGTAAACTATATATATATATATGTATATGTATGTATGTATATAGATCTTCTCTCAGAGGCAGGATTGCTAATGGTAGGTGGGTCTTCTGCTTTGCGTGTTTGTATATGTGTGTATCTATATATAGAGGAAGGCTGGAGATGAAGTCTTAAGTTATTGGGAGGATGTTTCGATGGTATTTCATCAATAAATTAAAGACTTGGTAGACTTAGACTACACAGCGTGCGTCGTGTCTCAGCAAAGGCTCTTCTCATCATTAATTAATTATTTCATTTCTTTTGAGAATAACTGTGACACGAATTTTTTATAAATATTATAAAAAAAAAAATGTAATATATCTGTGTTATATAATATGTATGATATTAGTATATTTTATTTATTAGCCAATAATTTAATAAACAATATTATTTTTAATATTATTAATATAAATTATTTATATCCAATATAAAAATACAAAAGTAAACAAACCAAGAGTAGATGGTAAGTTATTTTATTTGAAATTAATGATTAGGGTCTAAATTCAAAAGCAAATAAATAAAAATGAGTGTATCAAACTTATTAAATTGTGTAATTAATTGGGGAATTTTTATATGCTTGTAACGTTTTAAACATAGTGAAATTTTGATTGTTAGTTATTAAAAAATATAAAAATATTTTGAGAATTCTAATATTATTTGGGTGAAGTACTTTTTATTTTGTTTTAATATTTTGCCAAAAAAAGGAATATATTTTTATTAAATTATACAGAGAATTTCTTTTATTCGATATAACATAATGTATAAGAATAAATTAATCGACCAATCATATTATGACAAATATATATTTTTTCATAAATTCATTAATGAAAAGAAGTAGATCGGGTCAAACAAAATAAATATGGCATGACATTTGTGTTGAAAAATTAATTGATTATTGTTGAGTCAAGTGCAAGGCTGTACTTGTACCTTTCACTTTCAAACATAAATAAAATACATATTTTAGTTTGTGACGGCAAACCGCTGTGGAAAACCAATTAAAATAAAATAAAATAAAATAAAATAAAAAATGCCCTATAAGAAAAAAATTATTTTTGTAACAAAATATTTGTGTCTCTAAATCTACTTTTTTTCGTTACTAATGACATTAGAGACGAAATTATCAATGAAATTCCGTTAGCTAAGTGAACTTTGAGCGAAATTCCGTTACAAATATATTATTTTTTTTTTTGCAGTGATGGTTGTGGTATTCTAATTGAAATTTTGGTTGAGATGGATAGTGTTCTGTTAAATATATTTACTTCATAAAAATAATAATAATTAAATATATTTAATTCATAAAAACTAAATAAGATGTTTATAAGATTCATATCACATAATTATATGTCAAATCGGACCAAATTGGTGAGCTCAAAAATAGGATAAAGAAGTTGGAGAAAACTCCATTCACACTATAAATTTGTTAGGTGGAGAGCATGACCGTTAAATCCTAAAGCTTACACACATAAGCTTAGTAACTCTCATTCACAGTCTCATGTACTCTCTTCTCTCTGTCCATCTTCCCCATTACTACCGACCTTATTTCGCTCTTTCTCGACTCAACTTCATTCCCTATTTCTCATTATGGCCCATATAATTTCCAACCATTACAACTATGGATCAAGTTGAAAGAATTTGAAAACAAGTTTCTAACCACATGGGCATCCAATTAGAACAGCCGTCCAACTCGGTTTTTTCAACGTTTCATAAGGATTTCAGCATACCAAGGGATTTAGAAGCCCACACTAGACTTCAAAAATACAGAACATGGGATGGATGTCTATAGAACTTTAAGGAAACTGCGGATAGCAACTACTTTTTTAGTGTGCTTTGGGTAAATCTTGACCAAACTTACTATTCTGTATACTAAGTCTGACAAGACAAATCACACTAGACGAACCATGTGTGGCGGGTGAGACCTAGAGGCTTCGGGTGTTTGAACCTATGACTTCACGACCACGAGTCCACCCTCAACCAGGCTATCCCTTGTGGACAACTTAATTCCATATTTGATATCTAGAGAGAGAGAGAGAGAGAGAGAGAGAGAGAGAAAGGAAGAGCAGTCAAAAGGGTTCACATAGACTAGAGTAAACTTGAACAAATGACTAGAATGACAATGATGAGATGATATATACTCAAGCTCATCAACCCTTTTCTCCAACCTGCCATGAATTGAACTGAACTTAACCTCCTAGTGTAGTTTGTTTGTGTTTCCAGTTACAACAAAAGGAACAAGTTGTTCTATCAACTCCTACCATAGAATAGAAATCAACCCAAGTCCCACAACTAAACAAAACAACACAAATTGGGAAAGGATTTTACTCTTTTATCATTTACATATGTATCTACCTATCTCTATCCCCAAAGTTCGATACGGATACCATGGTTCCGGGAAGAAATATATATATATATGCATATTTGTGACAAGCTTCTTCAATATGGTGTACTACTGTACATATCACATTGCTTCTAGAAGGTATATATATGTATATGAACCACACTCTACAATAAGTAATAGCATACCATCACAATTATATATAAAGGAAACCCCATTGCAGCATAAATCATTCATTCTCCTAAGTTGTTGCATTGCAAGTAAAGGAATGAATGCTTTGCTTATCTAAAATAAACAACTTTCCTACCAGAATATGAGCAAGAGTCACAGAACAGAAACCATTATAACTACCAAAGCCCATAAAAAATTTCTACTGCTAGAAACCATTGAAGCGGATGGATTAGGTTTCAGCACAAAATTTTATTCCTAGTTAAGAAGGAACAAAAGGAAATTAATTGCCCAAGTGATTCTTACCCAACCCAAACACACGGATCTTACTATGAAATATCACAAGTTCATCAACAACGAAAGTAAAGAAAGCAGCTACAGATTGAAACCGATCGAAATAAAATCAATTCACCGACAGTGTGCACCGCTTCAATAGTTATCGTCTACTTTCTCAATCATAATTAAATAAGTTATGGTACAAACAAAACGAGACCCATACAATACCTTCAGTTGATGTCTTCGTCATCGAAATCGTCTTGGAAGGAGTTGAAGAAATCGGTATCCGCCAGACGGTGTAGGTCCAATACCGTGCCCTCTCCGAACAGCTCCAGTGAAGAATCGATGTCGTCGACATCCATCGCCACCGTGACGCCGCCGGTCTGCTCCTCCGCCTCGCCGAAGTAGTCCATCGCAATAGTCTTCATCCTATTCCTCTCCACGCTCCTTGTTAACTGACTGGACTAGTCTCATTGCAAAATTTTAGGGTTGTTGGGCGTATTTGGCAGGTTTGGGCCCAATTATAATATGGGTGGGCCTGAATTAAATTTGGTCAACATTTAGGGACGGCCCTTCATCTAAGCCCCCTTCACTCCTCTCACACAAACATATGAATATAAGGTTCAATTAATCCATCCCAATGAATTGTGCATTTGATGTATTTTTAAAAGAAAAGTTCAAAATTTAAATACACATGGTAAAAAGTGATTCACCATATACAATTCATTGACATACTTGGGGCCAAAAATTTTGAAAAAAAAAAAAAACCATCAAAATGATAAATTTCTTGAATTAGAAACAACATATTTTCATATAAAATATCATATTCAACAATTATTTTGTCGAAAAAAAATCAAAATAAAAATACACCACAAGTAAACAAACTAAATCGTCATTATTCACTGAAAGATGAGCATTCAAAAGGATTAACCAAGAAAGAAGCTATGAGATCATTCATCTCTTTTGTGGACTCAAAAAAACCTTTGTTGCGTTGCATTTACTTAGCTGAATCACCCGATTGTCGTGCACATTGAGACACATACGGTTTTAGCTGCAAACAAAGAGATGAATGTTACACTCTGTAATTAAAAATTGCTAAGGTATAAATTAAATTTATGTGACTCTCTACCACAGTAAGCACACACAAACATAATGAAGTTCTAACAACACACATGCACATGTAATATAGCCTATTTATATTACAGTAAACTAGGAGCAATGCAATAAGGAAATCAAAACAGTAGCACAAGCACCATAATTAATTTAACCAAAGGCATAATGGTTTTATGTTAGAAAATTCAATTTCTTTTATTTGTAATGACCTGGTTGTGGGTGTCCTCACTCCCTTCTAGGAATAACAGTGTTCAATTACTTGGCTCGAAAAAGGTATGTAATAAGGACTTGATTCTGGTGACTCACACGTTAAATTGGCAGAACTCAATCTTAAAGCAACCTAAAAAGCAATTGCGCCCATTCAAATAATTCATCGACTCTCCCACAATCTTCTGGATCAATTTATATTGTCAAAAAATGTGATATCAAACAATAAATATAGAATGTGGAAAGAGTTTCATGTGTGGCTTCACAAGAAAGTAATTAGGTGTTTTCAAACATTCCTAATTTGGCCATAAAATGTATAATAAACATAAGTCGGTGTTTGGAAACTCTCTAAGGGTGTGTTTGTTTGGGGGTTTGGATTTTGAGTTGAGATTTGAATAGTAAAAATTTTGAATTTGAATAGTTGTACGATGTGATATAAATAGGTGTTGATGTGATGTTTTGAATGTAAAATTGATTTTTAATATAAGATAAAAAATGAAAAATAGGTGTTTGATTTGATGTTTTTGGAGGGAAAATTTTGGATGAATAATAGAACTTTGTCTAAATCCTACAAACGAACACACTCTAAAATGATCTTTTGTGCTTATGTTTTAGAAAATAAATAAATAGATGTTTAAATAATGCCAAAACATTTTCTCATTTATTCTTTTAACCAAAAACTAAAGGACAAGGTTCTATTTAGAAAATGGAATAACCATTGAAACATTGAGGTTGCTTCTAGCCACTTCTTTGAACAGCCAAATATAATAATCTTGGTTTAGAATGTTAATTTCCAATATAAAATTTTATATTCACATATACATTTATTCATTAATAACGATTGTTTAGGTGTTTAAGATTAAACAGACAGTTCCGATCAAAAAAAGATTAAATAGACAGTACATAAAGTTTGCCTCAGGATTTAGGTTTCAGTGGTTGCTTGCGTAGAATGAGTACAAATATATGCTGCTGATGAACTTTTAAACCCATAAATATATATCATCCCAACATCATTAGAAAGATAGCATTTTATCACTATGGTTAAAAATAAGAGAAAATAAACTTTTTCGACATTATTCACAGAACTTTTCAACTACTACTACTTTTGATTCTAATTTTAACTTGTCATTCTAATTCTAGTTACAAGTAAGATATGAAAATTCCTGCAAAGTAGCACTCCCTTAAGAATAAAGTAGATTCAGCCATTTTAACATCTAAAATCAGAGTCACTCATAATCAGGCCTTAACCAAATATAGAGACTCGTTTATATATTGAGGAACTTATTCAAAACAAATTAGGATATAGTACCTTGAAGCCAGTCAAGTCTGGTACGACATAATTTGGCAACTTTTCAGGCTGCACCACATAACCACCTACACACAACATCATGTATCTTGTTAAAGAAGTATCCTCATATTCTATCCTTTAGTTCCTTGCCAAAATACATATTAGTTTCCATCTTCAGTTATGAATGCCAAACATTGGTAGGCAAGAAACAGCACACAACTCAATTAATCCACCAGAAAGATAAACATGCGGAACAATTGCAGTCGAACAATTTTCATGCATGCTATCAAAGTCAAACAATGAATTCCCACCAAAATCATGAGTATTTTCCACTTCCCAAACCATCCCAAACCACTACAAGCAAACATCAAATCGAATTCGGAATTTCATGAGAATACTTTAATCAATTCAATAATCAGGGAACTTGAATTCTAACAAACCAAATGAATATGAGTTTGAATTAAGACTTTGAGTCAAACCAAATCACATAGGAAAATGAATTGGTTCCACCAAATCCTATTATGCACTACTTGAATATGAATTCAAAGAAAATTTGGCAATGTACTTGATTATGGATTTCAATAACTACATTGGTGTACAAGCCATGACAAAACCTCTATAACCGATAGACTGAAATGAAATAGGTAAAACTTTACCCAAACCACACAATAGAATCATTATCCGCATACCCAAAACTCATGTCCGCATCAGAAGAACTGATTTTGCTCCAAATTCATACTAACGCAAATTAGAGCTGTCACTGACTTTGAATTACCAAAATTCATTTGGAAAATCAGTAATAACTCAATTGGTAAGTTACCGCACTGCCAAACCAATTATTTTCGACATAATTGCACTAGCATATCCATCCACCATTACCAAATAATGCATATCCGGAAGCACACATCAAATAAACAAGCACCTCAAACCAGAGTTTTCAATTAAGCTAAAATAATGGCCACCAACGTTGCATAAGATCCAACAAAGCAACAACACCAGAATATACTACCTTTGCGGGTGTGGAAACCAGTAGGCTTGCAATTTTTGCCCTTGTAATATCCCCGAGGACTTCTTTTCGACGTCAGAATATCAAGCGACGACGTTCGCTTCCTTCTGAATGCCCTCCCAATTCCCAATATCAACCCTAGCGCCATTTCCTAAACTATTCTCGTCTGCAACAAAAAGATCACACTAGGTATCAAACCAACTTCTTAAGAGTACTCTACCTACACCTAAAAGCACAGAACCACAGTGAAATGAAGAAAATGTCGTCAATGGCGAAAACGAGAAGAGAGGTGTGCGGGCGTGTAAGCGTAGGTTTTCTTTTCCCTTTTTTTTTTTTTCCCTTTTATCTATCTGATATTAACAAGATTATTGGGCTCCAATTGAACTCTTGATGTAAAAAGCCCAATTTGCTATTATATATATATATATGCATTTAAAGAAAATGTAAAATATAAAATGCAACATAGTTTGATGGAGAATTCAACCCACAATCAATCTAAACAAGTCAATATTTTTACCATTTTTACTATCAAACCATTATTTAATCTTGTTATTTTATTGGTTAAAACCACATAAAAAATAATTTAATTTTAAAAATACTTTTAATAAAATCAAAAAATTTCGGATCTATTTTTTAACGCCCAAATATGACTTTTTCATTCTGAATTTAGATCGAATTTTCAGATCATATCATTTTTGTCGGTTCTATTGTTGACCATGTAAAAATTAATTATGCTAATTTAATTTTATTAAACTAACTTCATAACAGCCATTATTATTTGTGTGGAGAATTGAATAAAAGGGACCTCAACATAAAGAAACCTGTAGTGGATATTATCTCATCGCAACAAGATTAATGACAGACAGACAGACAGACAGACACTAAATTATAATAAGTGTGTTTCTTTTAATAAGTTTGGAAAAAATTTGGTTTGGTTTGGTATAAAATTAATGTTTTGATTATATATTTTGTAAGAGAAAAAAAATATATTTTTTTTAAAAAACACAAAGTTTAAATAATTAATAATTAAGGGATGTTTCCAAAGAGCAAAGCGTATGCTCTATCTTCTTGATTGCCAAACACCCTCCCTCCCTCTTTTATATATATATATATATATATGCTAGTTCATCGATCTTTCACATTTTTTTACTTCACATAACAGTAAATTAAAACTCCAGGAAAATAAGCCTTCAAAACCCTTGATCCATTCGAGCTGTTTTTATATATATATATCTATATATTAGCTAATCGGTCTTCTTCGATTCTTCGACTCCTTTGTCGGATCCATGACTTTTCGACGGGTTCTGTAATGATCAGAATTGTACATTACATAGCTCATTTGATGGAGTTTTCCTGCAAATTTTGAAGACACCATGTTGATTCAATATTGTGCATATAATTATTTTTTTTGCTTTCAGAATTTAGTCTATATAGATATATAGATGTAGAAATTCAAAATTTGTATACACTATATTGAGAAATACATTCCATGTATTTAAATTTAAAATGAATGTGTCCCCTAAAGAATATAAAAACCTAGTGGTGTGAATCATAGGTTCGAATTAATTTAATTTAGCACAATGTGAAATTAATAACCTAGTAGACATTAAAAGTCGAAATATAAAAAGCTAAAGCACAAAAAAAAAATTTAATTTGCCTATCTGTAGTACAGAAAATTAGGGCTTTCTTTCCCTCACTTCTTCTGTATTTGCTTTAATATCTTTATACAATAGGTCAGGTTATCGAACATTGTATCCAACACTTCAATTTTCATACAAAATATTATATCCGATTGAAAAGGAGAGATACAACATTTTATCACAATACAACATCAAACATGCCCATTAAATTTTTTGGCACTAGACCATAAGTTTATGGCAAAAGGAAACCCTATTAGTTTTTTAATCTAGTTTTTAACCCGAAGATGATCGATGAATAAGAAATATTTATAGCATTAGTAATATCTATGATTGATTATATATATATATATATATATATAAACTCTTAAGAACATAATGAAGCACCAAGAAAAAAATATATGGATATAATCCATCCTATTCAATCCCTTGAAAATGGCCTTAGGACACCCTACTTATATATATATATATATATATGTAGGACTACCTTTCTTCATTAGTTTCTTATGAAGGGATAATAATCCATAACTACAAATTTAAAGATCATAATTAAATAATTAATTCATATCTTGAATGAGAATGAGAAATAATATTAAAGTTTTTTTTTTGTTACCTCATTAGATGGCCCGAGCTCGATGAACCAATGAAGCTATGTGATTCTCCGTCATTGCTCGCCAACCAACCCTCTCGACTACTGCGAATACAAAATATTGTTGATTCGATCTACCAACACTAACTCAAACAAAATTAAATTAAACCATCCATATATATATATATATATGTATATGCACAATCAAGATTGTGTTGATTATACTTTTGTACATTAAGACTAGGGTTTCATCTTGTTTTAGGTTTATTTGTATCTGTTACAAAATTAGCAAAATTTTCACAAAATGTTGGTATTTTTTTGAATTCTTATATGTGAACTATCATTTAGCCTGTCTACTAATTTTGGTGTGATAATTTCAAGACATTATATCCTACTATTATTTCACTTAAAAGAAAAAGAAAAAGTTAAAGTTTAAAAAAAAAAAAAAAAAAAGTAAACTATATGCACGTATATACACTACTAATGATTTCCACTATGTCACAATTTAATAGAAAAAGACTTAAAAAGTAAATTTATTATAAAGATAACAATCAATAAGTTAGCAAGTGAATAAATAAGCAAATTAAGTAATTGCCTCAACAGCATCAATACATCTTCTCATGTTTGAATTATTCAGACAAAATTTCTTTCCATTTGGACCCAAAAAGCTTAAGATAATAATAATAATAATAATAATAATAATAATAATAATAATAATAATAATAATAATAATAATCGATTAACTTTAAGAAAAGTAGGTTGCTTAAAGTCAAAACCATTGCCCTAAATACGTAGTAATATGTGTATCTATCTCCCTCGTGAAGAGAATCAGAACAAGGGGCTTTATTGAAATTAAATTAGTAGTTGAAAAATATATACTTTAGGAATAAATTAAAAATTATTCAAAGGAGATAAAGGGAAAGTGTGCGTATAAATAAGAATGGTTGCTTTCTCAATTATCGTAATTTGGCTTTTTAATTAATTGTGCTCTGCTTTAATTTAATTTAATTTAGTTTGCTCCCTTTTGTTCTTTTAAATATATATATATATATATATCAGGTGGAAATCTTGTTGTAATAAATAAATAAATTAAAGATTAGAATAAAGAAGATAAAAGAAAAAGATGAAATACACGTAAGCAGAATAAAAGCAAAAGCTGCCACAAGAACCCTTTTTTTTTTTTTTTTTTCTCCCTTTGCAATACTATTTTAATTGAAAATTATATTTAACCGTGGGCGTGTGGCTTTGATTCATATTGCCATGCAAAATAATAATAATAATAATAATAATAATAATAATAATAATAATATGATTAAATATCAAAATTATATTAGAAATATATTATATTCATCTCATCCTTTGTAATCTATACTCATTGATGATATAATATGAGTTGAACATAAGTTTTAATTAATATATTATTATATTACTTGATTATGTATGAAATGAATGTATTTTGAAAAAATATAAGTGAGATAAGTTAATGATGTGAGAAAAAAAAATGTAGGATTCTAACAAAAAAAAAAATGTCTTTCCAACAAAAATTATTGTTAGTTTAACAATTTTGGTTTATAATAAAATTATTGAATTTTTTAAATTCAAAACATTTTTCATTCTTCAGCACTATACATAGAGCATCTTAACCAATGAAAATATATATATATATATATATTATTTTTATATTTACTTTTTATAATTATTTATATTACATACATTCATATATTTTGGTGTTCAATCAATCAATATAAATGATCTAATTGTGTGTTTAAATGTTTGGACATAAGTTTTATAAAAATGGGTAACAATGATTAATTTTTATTTTTTATAATTAAAAATATAAAAATGTTATGTATTTTTTTCTAAAATAAAAATGAAAACAATTTTTGTAACTCATAAAATTCAATATGTGCATTAGCTTAAATCATTCTCGTGCTATTTCTAGGCTTGAATTGAAAGATGGGGAAAGAGGTAAAAATAAGTCAATTTTTTACTCAATTAATATATATATATATATAAGTTAACATAATAAATATATATAATGAACAAAATAAAATAAAAATTATGAATAGAGTACCTGGAAGAGTTGCTCCACAGTGTAGTGTTGATATTATCATGATTATCATGATGGAAAGATCCATCAGAAGACGGCCCGGCCCGTTGATCCATGAACTGCCGTAGCCCGGCCCGATCTCCGCTGCCGCTGCCTAGTGTTGACAAGTCATCTTCCCCAGCAGATCCGTCTGAATATTATTCATTCATTCCCAGAAACACAATCAAACTAAAATAAAAATTTACATTAATTATGAGAAATCCCTTTTTTAATATATATTCACATTACATAAATAATAAAATAAATATATATATATATTTCTGTATAAAAATATCGAAGCACTCACCTGAGGAAGCTGCAGGTTTATCAGTGGTTTTAACAGTCCGATACATCTGTAGAATTCAGACATCTCCAGCCAGATTAATTAATTAATTAAAAATTAATTGTCACAAAATATCATCAAATTTTCAATTAATTAATTAATCTCGAAATTTGATAAATAAATTAAAAGCTGGCTAATTATAGATATATATATATATACAGTGTGTATCTATATGAGGTGATGCATTATTGAAAAATGATGACTTCGGCTTTGTCTCTTGTTATCATTTCGTTAAATATTACTGCCTCTGGCTTTTCTGAACACTGCCATTACTCTCAATTGATTAATTAATATACATATAATAACTAATATATATATATATATTTAACATTTTTTATTTTTTTTCCATCAATCAATTAATTTATTTTTATTTCAATATCTGTATTCATCGACTACTGTGCCTCCGAGATAATCAACCAACTCCACACATTGACATTGCAAGAAAATCTTGTACAAAAAAATAAAATAAAATCACACAAATATATATACGCTTGTCTGTATGTATAATGTGTATATATGTTATCACACTGTCTGACTAAACCCCATCAATTAAGAAAATGTTTGTTTTTGTTTTTTCTCTTAAATACAATTTAATTTATTTCAAACGACTAAAAAAACCCACGAACAAAAAATGACTCGGAATAATTTGGTCAAAATTAAAGTAATTTTTCAGACAGTCTGACCAAGAAACAACAATTTTGAATTTAGTCATACCTGCAGATGGCTTTTGACATGAGCAAGAGTGAGATCTTTGACATCCATCAGTTCCAGTACTGATTTTGGTGTCGCCCCTAAATTCAAGAAATACGCAAATCAAAATCAAGAAAATTAAATATTGAGTTTGAAAATATATAATAATTATCACAAAAATGGAATAGAGAAAAATAAATCGATTGAGATAGACACAGATAGTAGTAGTAGTAGTGTTAATTAATTTACAGTTTCATAGCTTACTTAATTACTTACTTTCATGGCCGCCGAGGAGTTCGACTGCATGAACGAACCGCGCGTGGAGTGTACTCGTCCACCGCATTCTGGGAGCTCTCATGCTCCGTTTCGCCGGCGGCATCTTCGGGAGGAATCTGGACCTCATGATTCCGCCGGCGCCGTCGTGGGGAAGATGATGGGTGGCGTATTGGTGGTACTGGTGGCCGTATCCGTACGACATTCCGCTAAATCTGGCGGCGACGGCGGCGGCGGGGCTAGGGCTATGGCACGGGCTGAGCAGCGGCAGGTGGTGATCCAGGCAGCCCATCAAGTAAGGTGAGTTGGGGGAGAGAGGGTACGGCGTCTGATGGAGGCTAGCCACGACCGTCGGATCTTTCTCCCGGAGGAAGGGGAACGGACGGCTGGGATACACCGGGACGCCCTTGATCGGCTGCGGCCGGGAAGAGTCGTCGGCGCGGCTGCTGGTGAACTGGTACGGATAAGGGTTTTGTTGCTGCTGCGGTGGGTGAGATCTCAGCCGTCCATTGTGGAGGGCGATCTCGCCGTTGGATGGGTGAGCTAGGGAGAGTTCAGTGAAGGAGGTGGTGTAGTGCTTGGGCTTGCTGGAAACGGCGTCGTTTCTGGAGGAGGGAGATGAGTTGGGGAGACTAATATGGAGAGAAAGATCAGGAATTTGCCTTGAATTTGAATTTGAATTTGAGGAGGGCTCCAAGAAAATCCCTTCCAAGGGCATTTTTTGGGTTCAAATAACACAAAATCAATACCAAATCTCTCTCTCACTCTCTCTCTCTCTCTCTCTCTCTCTATATATATATATATATGTTAAGTCTATATATAGTGTGTGTGTATATAAAGGGTAGTGAATAAGGGATGAACACTAATTGGAGATGAGAGGAGAGGACAGAATCAATCCAAAGGGGCACTGAAAAAAAGGAAGTGGGATTTGAAATAAAACCAGAATTAATCGAAAGAAGAAGAAGAAGAAGATAGAGAAAGGGAATTAAAAACCCAATGTCTTCGTCGTCGTCTTCTTCTTGTTATGTGTACTGTTGGTTGCTGCAATTACAAAACTTGAAGCTGCTGCAAAGGGGTAGGTGAAAAGAGGGTAATAATGGAAAATGGATGATCAAGAAATGGTTGATGAAGACGAAGAGAAGGAAGAGAGAGAGGGAGGGGATGCAGTTGCAGAAGCAGAAGCAGAAGCAGAAGAAGCACAGAAGCAAAGGGAATAGAAAAAGAGGAGGATGGATGAGGAATAGAAAGGGGGGCTGGGGGATGGATTTGGATGTCTGGTTTAATTCCTCCAAAGTATATCTTCGAAAATGACATTAGGAATTAGCGACGAAGGCAGGCAGGGTGGGTGGGTGGGTGGGTGAGTACGTGCCCTTCTTCACTCATACATACATACATACGCTTACCGGTCAAAAACATGTTATTAATCATTTATTATTATTATAGAGTTGCTGTATTTTAAAGATAATATTATTTTATTAATTAATTGTATATGTAATAATATATTTGTAATTTATATAAAAATTAATGATATTTTAGGCTTTGCTCTTTCTATTGTTTTTTTTTTTTTTTGATCTATTTTTCCAAAAAATTAACACATTATACATATTCATTATTTTTATATTTTTTACACCAATAATCTTATAAAACAAACACACACTTTGTATTAATATTAGTGTGTAATTACTTTTTATTGAAATAAAAAAAAAAAAAAGATTAGAGTGAGACAAACACATAGTAAAAAAAGATATCAGACCGAACTAATATATACTTTCTCCATCTAAAACAGTTCCATGAATTATTATACAAATTGTAAATAATTTTATTATTTTTATTTTAAGAAATAATAATAAATTTATCACTTATTTTTTCTATTATATAATAAATTATTTTATTTTTTAGGTGTAGAACCGTATTTATATAATTATAGTATACGGAATGAATGGAGTAATGTACAGTGGCGCTTTTTGATGATAATTTCCTTCCCGCAAAAGACGGGTTAAAATTCTTCCAACAGAAAGTTACCCATTTCCTTTTATTCTTTTCCCCCACCTTTTCATCTCTCTCTCTCTTACATGCATCAATCAAATATACGTACAATACTGTGCCTTCTCTCTCTCTCTCTCTCTCTCTATAACATCCTCATACATCCATTTATAATATATATATATATACATACAAATTTAAAAGTTTATTTATTTGGAGTTAATTTTTTTATTTTGTGATATATTTTATCTTATTTGTTTTTGTATAAGAATAATATTTTTACTCGTTTCAATTCAATGTATTATTTTTATCTATTTTATATGTTCATTTAAAAATATATTTTTTTCAATTATAATAAAAGTAATTACATTTAAATACTAAAAGACCACTAATTTTAGAAAAGTAATTATATTTTTAATTTAAAAAGTAAATTTCAAAATATATTTTTACTTGCAAATAACATTTTCTTTTCGTCCCATTGGAAGGGTGGCGTTTATTTTTTGCACGTACATTTTTTAATATTAGTATTATATTGGATTGTAATAAAAAAGACAAAAATACTCCTATTAGTATGGTGTAATATAAAAATAATGACGTTTGTGTAATATATTGTAAGTTGAAAGGGTATTTATTATGTTAAGTAGATAGTACAATTACTAAATTAGAAAATGGTAATATTGTTTTGGGACAAAGGGAAATAGAAAATGGTAACTTTTCAATGAGACGGAGAGAGTATTATTATTTCTTAGTTATTATAAACAATAAAAAGACATATTGAGTTAGCTTCGACTGATGTAGTATATGTTGGGAACCCTGCTTGTTGATAAATAATTTAATAATATATTTTTCTAATAGTTTAAATTTTTAAGTGAGACGATTATTTTATTTATCCAATATCGTATCAGAGCTCTAAGTATCTATTCTAAACTACACCCCTTTTTTATTTTTTTTTTATTTTTTATATTATGAGTATAAATGTAACCCCTTCTAATAAAATCTAGTGACTCATTTAATGATAGGACAATGTACCAAACACAACTTTCTTATTCTAATCTACACATGGATTGAAATCGTGAAACCTTTAACATGCATTGTCAATACATTACAACCATTAAATCATGGGAGGAAATTTTTTTGCACCATTAAATTTTGAAGTAAAATAACTACTCCCTCCGTTCCAAAACTATAGTTTCGGTTATATTTGATACAAAATTTAAGAAATATTGATATTATATTGGCAGTGGATAAAAAGTACGGATAAAAGACTTTTTTACCCTTGTGAGTGTATTAGTGTAAAAAGTAGTGACAATTGTGTAATAATAATAAAAAAGTAATGGTTGTTTTATAGTAATATGATTAGTTATTGAAATAAGACTATTGTAATGAGACGTAAAAAAAAATGGAAAACAAGACTATTGTATTAGAAGGAAGGAAGTATAAGTTAGTAAAACACAACAAAAAGACATAACAACACAAGTTTGTTTTTGGGAATTTTAATAATATTTTACTATTTTAAATTTTTGCCCTCGAAACAACATATCAAATCATATCAATAGTAAGTATTCTACTAACAACACAACATATACATAATTAGCAACATACATCACATAATTTATATTAATAAATACAATGCAGCATAGGACAATAATACAATAATCCATATATTATATGGTACCATTGATCTCATAACATCACGTAGTAACAAAATACAATATAATATAATATAATATATGTTATATATATAATTAACAACATATACATTACAAAAAAAATAGTATATTAGTAACGGAATTCTGTTCCTAAAGTTCACATAGTTAACTCAATTCACTCTTTAATTCTGTTTCTAATGTCATTAGTAATAGAAAAAATAGATTTAGAAAAAAAAAATCTTATTACAAAATTAAAATTTTCTTGTAATGATACTTAATGATATACACTATATATTGTTTAAAAACACTTAATTATTGTATATATTATGACAATGTGTTGACACCATAACCAGTCCGAATTCTTTACTTATTAATCTAAACAATATACAATCACATATGTTACATTTTAAGAGCTTTATGAATTATATTTGGAATATTGAAATTAAAGGCTTATTTGAAAGAGTTTTACATTATATATATATATATATATATACTTCCTCCTCTAGGTAAATTTAGAACATTTGTATCAGGGACAGAGATTAAAAAAAATAAATATTTTATTGAAAAGGTGATAAAAGTAAAAATGTAGATTGGAGTATTTTTGAAAATTTAGTTAAAATTAAAGAAAAAAAATAAAGAGGGGGAAAGTAATAAAAATAGTGACATTTAATTAAAATAAGTATTGAATGGAAGATGATAGTTAGATGTTTGACTATGCTAAAATTAGTAATGAGTTAAATTTAACGGACATATTAAAAATAAAAGTGAGTGTAAATTTAGCGACAGGAGAGGGTATATATAAATAATAACTATCTAATATAATATAGTTAAATTTAGCGGACATATTAAAAATAAAAGTGAGTGTAAATTTAGCGACATGAGATGGTATATATAAATAATAACTATCTAATATAATATAGTAAAAATAATAATCACATAAATCTAATATAAATATATTGTCGCAATACAATATATTGTTTTTACTATTTTTGTCCGTCACATTTAAAATTATCTACTACTTCTTTTTAATTATACTCCTTTCGTCCCCGATATTATGTCTTAGTTAATATAAATACGAGAATTTAGAAAGAATATGATTAGTAAAATTAATTACTATAATTTAATACAAATAATTATATATTAAGATTATATAACTAATTAATCTAATTAAAAATATATAAATTATAAAAAACTTATAATATAATTAAGGATGAATTGTTCCTCTGATATCACCAATTAGTCAGAGTCATTGTGTCTGTATTGGTTACTGATCCAGTATGAATTTTTGAGATTATCATATCGAACGGGAGTATTGAATATGTTCCACACCGTGGTAATTCTCTTGCTTACAAAGTCAAGGACCACTCCACCTATTACCGATTGATTTAGGTTGAAAGTCTGGATCTCTTTTTAACAAAGTATGTAATTATTTTCAAAATATAGAAAATGACATGAAATGTTGAAGAGACATAACTAGAAAATGTGACATTATATGTGGGACGCAAGAGTGGTAAAAATAATCATATATAAACTCTAAAATATCTCTAATTTTTACAAAACAATCATTTTTTTTATATATACTTTTAATGACAAAACTATCAAAACCATAGTACATATTTTTAATATTTAATAAAATACTACTCTTTCTGTTCCAATACAATAGTCTTGTTTACCATTTTTGTTTGTCCCAAAACAATGGTCTTGTTTCCATAAATGACCATATCACCATAAAATTATCCATATTTTTCCATTATTATTATACAATTGCCACTACTTTTTACACTAATATACTCCACAAGTACAAAAAAGTTATTTATCCTTATTTTACCAACTACCAATATAATATCAATATTTCTTAAATCTTGTGCCCAACACAATAAGATTATACTTTTGGGAAGGAGGGAGTATTAATTTTAAATTTACTATATAAAAAAACAAATTAGTACACTAAGTTAAGAGGAAGGAGTATATAGCAACATTTAGACAAAGAACATTAAAGCACATGAATTATTAACTAAGATATGAACATGGACCCAAAAATCATAATTATATATATATAATATATATATATATATGTATGTTTGTTTGGAAATAGAGTAGCTCGTAGACCCATTGACTTTAGAGTGAGAAACCCACAAAGATAGCTAGCCTTGTTTTGTAGTGTACACATGAGAATTTCTCAGAGTGAGTTGTTTTGATGAGATTAAAAAAAAATTGATTTGAGTTTTATATGAAAATAATATTTGATGTGTTGTTTTGTGAGAGAAAAAAATATATATTTTTCTCAAAAATTTACAGAATGTAAATAGTAAAATTTGAGAAAATTATACTAAAAAAACATATCCTTAGATCATCATGTGCCTAACTATTGATCAAATTTTTTTTATATAATAATAATAATAATAATAACACCTTCTAATTCCTTCTTGCCTATTTTCTTCTTTCTCTACATACTCCCAAATATTCCTTTCTAATATTTTCAAGCAACTTTGTCTGTCATTGACCAATTATATATATACATATAATTGGGTTTTATTATGTCTTCTCCCACATGTATATCAAATTTAAAACCCTCAAGTGATTATATAACTTTTCAAAACCCTAGGTTGAATCAAATCAATATTTTTTATTTATATATATGAGTTT